ACCTATGAGCAGGCATTGCTACACATCAGCGTTCCTTCTGCCGGCGCAGAAGACTCGTACCATGAATTTCCTACCGAGGGCTTTACCGCCTAGGCGTGGGAGCCGCAGCCTCTCAGCTCCCTGTCGATATTGTACGACCAAGTCCCACAGTGAGCGAGATGCGACCATCAATGTGCAGGCAAATTCATAGTCTGTGCCAATCAAAAGTGTTGACATATTTAAGCGAGGACAAAGGGGATCACACCGGAGGGTCAGAATGCAAGAAGGGAGTGACGTACCAGGGTCCAGGACACTGATGTTCATTTCCGATGTGCGTAAGGAGTTTAGTCGATCATCAAGAACCTGCCGTTGTTTGACCAGCTGTTGAAGTTTAGTCGACTGTTCTATAAGCTTGTTCGTATTTATGGTGTTCACGCAGGCTAGTTCTTCTCTGTAGCAATCGAAAAAGGAATACCGAAGTTAGGTCACCGGTTCGTGTCTCACTCCCAAACGACGACGATAGCTCAGACCCACCGGCATGCTGCGATATCTCTGTTAACCAGCTCAAGCTTGAACATGACGTTGCGCATCTCGGCTACCTCTTTGCGCTGTTCTTTCAGAGGGATCTGCTTGGACGCTGCACGTTGCGCGTGCCATTGTTCAAGGAGGGTAGCGACCGTCCATTCGGAGCGATTAACGACCTCAGTAATGACTCTGTCGGCTTCGGCTTCGGCCTTGAGCTTGATTGCGTTTTTGAGTCGAGAATTAAGTTTGGTCACTGGGCATGATCGATACGCCAAATATCAGCGACATGGTAAGGTAGTGCATGAAAGACTGGAAGCTTAGGCGAACCAAGATCGGCCAGATGCTGCTTGTTATAAGCAGACGCTCGACGATTGATGTTCTCCAGCCGATGGGAGGCACTCGATGATCGATTCATGGGTATCATGCCTCGAAGCTGCGACCACAAGCGCTCAGTTCCCTCGCCATCAGTCAAACCAAAATTGGGTAGAAAGCGCGGATCAAAGTCAACCTGGCAGGACCACTTGTGCGCATAGGCATGCATCGACGAGAGAGCAAATTCTAGACGCGGTAAGTGGTCTGCCAGAAGATTGCGCTGCGACACCGGGGAGAGATGAGCTGCTCAGCTACGGACTAAGCCAATGCTCAGGCTGAGTGTCACGAACAAACTCACTCGGCGTAAGTGCGACGATAAGTTGCAGGCGATATCATACGCGACTCCGACGCGACTTCGATCCTGACTCGAACTTTGGTGGGAGTCCGATCCCGAGCTGGATCCGACGTTTGTAGCGTCACTGGTACGCGCAGGCCCCGTAGTACAATCCGTTTCTCCGACCTCAACTTCTTCGAGAATCCATTTCAACAGCGACACCGGATATACTAACCTGCGGTAGACCAAACTAGCTTATTAGTGTCCTTGCCTGGAGTCACAGATGGCCAGTCCACACATACTTTTCACCTGATTGATGAAGGTTGCAAAGTCGCAGGCAATGATCATGACGGCACACTGCAGCAACGAGGCCTGTGTCGGCCACTACATTTGACGAAGCGGAGGTCACACCACCATCTGCGGCCTTCCAGTTGGCTGTGCATTCATCCTGTATAGGAGAATAGCTCGTTTAGCAATCACAGACAGTCGGGTCAACTCATTATTGGGTTCGGGTGACCCGACACCAGCAGCACCAAGGTACCTTCTCGCCCGCTTCAGTCGATCCATCGATCAAAGCTTGCTCGTTTCGAATCTTGTCTGGTGGCAGGAATAACGCTGGACGTGACTTGAGAGGATCAGCATTTGCCCGCGCGAATCGTCGATGCTGAAAATTGCCGTCGACAGCAATGATGACATCGAGGTCATTCTCGCTCTTGCCGGCTTCATCGATCCGAGGCCCAAAACATGCCGGACAAACGTCGGCCAGACGCTCGCGCGGGGAGAGGCCGAGAATTTCGGCGGTCAAAGTTGCCTGCAGCTGTTGCATAAATCGATATTCATCCATTGCGGCTTGAAGATGCTGACGCACGGTTGGACCCTGGGAAGCTTCCAATATATTCTGTAAGAAACAATGAATGTTTCCGGCCTGTCCCTGTCCAGAGCCCACCTTGTTAAAAGGATCCTCCGAGGATAATTCAGAGGACCAAAAGAGAATGAGCGCTTCGGACATGCCATAGATACCAAAAGGATCTACCCCCCAGTAGGTGTCGAGATATTCGATCGTGCGAAAGGTGAATGCGGTGATGCCTTCTCTTTTTCGGTTTGAAGATGACGACGTCGGGAGAAAACCGTGAGCTGCCAGGGTTTGGATCTCGGAATAGCATGGGCAGTATCGTAGTTCTCGCATGCCTGCTCATGGTTGGGGGATATCAAATCAGTCCAAGACGATAACGTAGGGGTGGTTGACAAAAGATGTGCAACAGAAGCACCTACCTGCAAAGAACAGGTCGACAACCCGGACCTTTCTGGTGACTCGGCGTTCATGACATGCGTCGCACCACTCCTCGTCGTCCGGGGAAGGGACAAACCCGCTCTGTCGAAGCACTTCTTTGGCCTTTTTCTTCATCAATAGGTACGCCTGGGAAAGTCCAGGTCGTTTTGACGCCCTAGTCTTAGCTTCGGCCCTCGCAGTCCGGCGACGATTGCGCTGCTTCTTGGCGTTCCTCTCGATCCGCGATCGCTTAAGTGAAGAGGGCGCTTGGTCTTGAGAAGCACCGTCTGGGTGGAATGGCGAATGCTCCGGTCCAGATGAGTATCCACCACCGAAATCGCGACCGAAGTCGTAGTCGGGCTCAAAGTCGGGCTCAAAGCCGGGCGCGCTGTTAGGCTCGAAGTCGTGCTCGAAACCGCCGGTCTCGGTGTCTAGAGGCCACGCCGTTGCGCCATCGGCAATGTCAGTCCAAGGCTCGGACGATGATTTGTGGAGGCCGGCAATGGATTTCTTCGAATGCTCCTTCTCCTTCCGACGACGCGTTGACCTCTGGACCGATGGTGATGGGGGAGGGCTCGGCTGCCGTTTCGGACGCCTCTTCGCTGGAGAGCGGAAAATACCGAAATTGAAGCCGAACGTCTTGTCGAACAGCTCGCTATCGGGCGACAACGATGGCTCCCTTTTCCGTACTCGCTTGGTCCATAATCTCCTCCTCTTCTTCTTCTTCGTCTTCGCCTCCTCCTCCGTTCCCACCGACGTCGTGGCCCCATTCTCGATCGTGTCCTTGTTGCTGCAGGTCACCTTCTTCCTCCTCCTCCTCACGGTCGTGCTCTTCTTGCGCTTGGTCTTGTCAGTGCGTTTTGATGCTGAGCTAGGTTGTAGAGGTGGTGGTGTGTGTGGTAAGATGTCCATGCTTGAAGCGATGGGTGCAAGCTTGCAAGGCCTTGGGTGGAGGGAAGTGGGGGGAACTCGTGGTGCTGAGGCAGATGGACCATTAGCGGGGATAAGTAGCAAGTGCCCGAATTAGTGACCAGTTTTGCCTCCGGGGGCTGGGGGTTGGCAGGGGAATGGTGCACCTACCTTGTACCAACGTTTTCCTGGGCCAAATCTCGAAAAAGCTCCCTAAACTCGCCGCGCGCGGGGTAGTATATTTGTTAGGCTTATTTAGACCCGCATAGGTGAAAGAATTGGAAACCATCGGCGAGATCAGTCGCACAGAGGCTCGAGCGACTTGTTAGCCTCAGCCCTCCGTCCGAGTCGGTCTCCCTCGTGAGCCCGCGTTCTCCAGCGTTCTCCCGCATTGATCCCAGTATCACCCCCCGCTGCTCTGACTCTGGCAGCCTCACGGCCTCAGACTGGCGAGGATCCTACGCGCATGTTGCAGCTGAGATCGCTGAGACCTAGCGGCCACCCCATCAATCCATGGTGCTTCGATAAGATCTCAGTGGCATCGAGTGGTGAGCATCGGCCTCACTGACGACGACGGCGACACGGCGCACGTCGCTCGTAGAATGCATGTCTTGTCGCGTTCCGATCGGACGGGCAGTGTACCGTACACACAGGTCTAGGTGCCATCTTCCGCACCCACTGGGCCGCAGCGTAGCTCGCAGGTGACGTCAGAGTCGTGGAAATCACGATTGCGCGCCCGCATTGCAGCGTCGTTCGTCGGGTCGTCTGCACAGTGCAAGCGTACACATCCGCTCGTCACAGTCTCGTTACATTGCAATGGTCTTGCTTCTCGCTTTAAAACGGGTGCTTACTTTACCACATCCACTCGGCGTTCAGGTCTTACTTTGCGTGGCCCCTAGTACTGAATATTCATCGGCGCGCTACTGGTCGTATTCTGACGTCATGGGCTCGAGTATGCTAGTTTCAGGCGGCATGCGCCACATCCTTCTTTGGCCTTTGGACCTGGGCGGCACCTCCAGGCTCCAAAGTCCACGCCCGCGGGGAATCTTCAAGACCAAGACGTCTCGACTTTGTGAACAAGTCTTTCACGGTAAGCGTTACTTGTTCCGACTGCGACTCTGGTCACCGCCATCGCCTTGTCGATATCCTCGGTTTAGGCACAGTTCTCGCAAACCTGGCAAGGTGAACAACCCCTAGCCCACCGCTGCTTCGACTTCCAAGACTACGATCAAGACCTCAGTACCGCTCGACCCAATCCAACCGGCCGACCGTCTTCTACATGCTTGTGTCGTATACGCCATACAACACCTGGCCATCGTATCGTTTCCGATCTCATCACTGCGTGAGTCATTCGAGGCGAACGCGGCGATGGGAATAGATACGAATTCGATGACGAGGTGCTGTATAGCGTATAGCACCCAGGCATACAGTAGACGTTCAGCTTATTGGATCGGGTTGAGCTGTACCGGGTCCTCCATCACAGTCTCCGAAGTCGAAGCAGCGGCGGCGGGCTGTCGCTTCAGCTTCGGTCTGCGAGAATGTTCCCAAAATGACAACATCGACAAGGTGATGGCGGTGACCAGGTCCCAGTCATAAGGAGTGTGTATCGTGAAAACTTTGTCCACAAAGTCGGGACGTCTTGTTCTTGAAGATTCCCCGCGGGCGTGGACTATGGACTTGGGCGGTGCCGCCGGAATCGAGGTGAAGATGGGTCAATCGGGGAGAGCTCGACCCCTTGGGTGGAGACGTTGGCCTCAGTGGTGGGTCTTTTCGCTTGCCTTGTTGAAAGGTTGACATTACTGACGTAATAGCATCTGCGGGGTTCTGACCAGGCGGGTCCGAAAACGGGGCCGCTCAAGTACGATGACAACACTTTCGCTCTCCCCCTGCTCCCCACGTCGACCAACACCGAGGTTCGAAAACCCGATGGATCCGTGACCCACAAAGACAAGGCCGGCCGGTTCTCCTTCGGCGACATCGTCGCCATTCTAGAATGCACCCTCACCGCCCGGCTCAACAGTCTCGAAGATACGCAAAGGCGCAGTCAACCGCCCGATCACAAGCTGCTCCAGCTTCTCAACAACGTCAAATCAGTACTGCGCCAACATCAATTGGCGGACTTCGCTCTCGGATTCGCAATACGCCTCGACATGGTGTACGCCGTCAAGGTCGACAACGAGGTGGTCACAACCGTCGAGCTGAAGGACTGCTGGAAGACGTAAACCTTCCCAAGCTGGCTGCCCTTCTGCGCATCTTGCTTAACAACGATTAAGACTCGTCTGGGTTTTCCCATGTTTTCAGGTGCAAGTTCACACCAGACTGGGCAGCGCCTGTTGGCGAGCGACTCGACGCGCAACGCCGTCTCGTTGAAACCCAAGTCTGGTGTGAATTTGCACCGGAACACGTGGAAAAACCCAGACGAGTCATAATCGACGTTTAGGAAGATGCGCAGAAGAGCAACCATCTTGGGGAAAATCTACGTCATCCCAGCAGTCCTTCAGCTCGACGATCCTGACCACCTCGCTGTCGACCTTGACGGCGTACGCCCTGTCGAGATGAATCGCGAGTCCGAGAGCGAAGTCCGCCGATGGATGTTCGCGCAGTACAGATCTGATGTTGTTGAGAAGCTGGAGCAGCTTGTAATTGGGCGGTTGACGGCGCTTTTGGGTGTCTTCGAGACTGTTGAGCCGGGCGGTGATGGTGTATTCAAAAATGGCGATGAGGTCGGCGAAGGAGAGGAGACCGGTCTTGTCTTTGTGGGTCACGGATCCGTCGGGTTTTCGAACCTCGGTGTTGGTCGACGTGGGGAGCAGGGGGAGAGCGAAAGTGTCGTCATCGTACTTGAACGGCCCCGTTTTCGGACCCGCCTGGTCAGAACCCCACAGATGCTACTACGTCAGTAATGGCAACCTTTCTACAAGGCAAGCGAAACGACCCACCACTGAGGCCAACGTCTCCACCCAAGGGGTCGAGCTCTCCGCATTAGATCCATTGCATATGTGTTGTCGTGCGCATCCCCGACAACCTTCTCCGAGTTTTCGAGGTGCTTGCGGCGCGCCTCTTTCCGAAAAAATCTCAGCACTATCCGGCGTTTGCTCCAGCCACCTTTCGACTCGTTCGACAAAATTTCTCGAATGTGCCGCCAGTCTTGCTCCTGCCGAGCAAGTCATCACCACACTCCTTGGCTGTTATCAGCATAATCGCCTTCGCGGGTCAATCTTCGTTGACCCAGCGTTGCTCGCCCTGGCACATACTCCGACCACTGGTCGCAGTGTTCTTGACTAAAGGCCTCCTCGGCGTGGTGTGAAACAACGACTTCGGCATCGCCGCCCTGCGCGTCTGTCGTAGGCTTTTGGTTGACGTGTTCAAGAAAATGCGACACCCAAGAAGAAGAATGAAAAATGTCAGCGAAGAGCGGTCCCTTCCTTTAAGGCCAGGAGGAAACCTGTAATCCAGTCACCTCAAAGTTGGGCTGTGGAAACTTTTGGCGCCGGACCCAGCGGGTTCCGTGGAGGCTGCGCTGGAGCGTCGGAACCGCGATCGGAGCTCGACTTTGTAAGTGAAGTCAAGGTCAAAAAAAAGGCGAGAGCAAAGTCGCAGGACAGTTGGAAGCTGCAGTTGAGGCTGAGGCGGAGGTGGAGGTTGTGAACTTGGGTGGGGACGTGGAGGTCTAGTTTGGACTAGAGTTCGAGGCTGAGGCTGCGATCGCGAGTGCGTTTGAGATGGCCGTGGAGATTGAGCTGGAGGTCATGGACTTGAGGTGAACATGAAGTTCGAGTTCGAGTGCAAGCCTGAGGCTGAGATTTAGATCGCGAGTCATCGCGCAGAGAGCTGTCGAGGCATCGTCGTCGCACGTGATGACGCGAACAGCTTTCACGAAGGGCGAAGATAGGAGGAGAGGTGAGCCGGATGTAGGGGCTCGAGACGAGGACAAGGGCGAGTGACGAGTTGAATGTTCTAGGGACTTCTCACAAGAGGCGAGGACGAGGGACGAGTGCAAGGATGTGACCTTTGACGAGATTCGAGTTGCAGAAGGGAAGGAGATAAGTAAGCTAAGGTAGATACGTGATCCTCGTGCCTGACGAGTCGGGGACGAGGTGGCGAGCTTGAGGAGGCGAGGCACGAGGATCACGTAATAGTGTTGAGGCTGAGAAAAATGTAACAGAGCTTGTTTGAGAATCATGCAAGAGTCGGGGGCGAGTGAGTGTGTAGTTGGAGGAGAAGAAAGCCGTGCAGGTGCCGAAGCGGGGAGAGGAGGTCCGAGACGGGGGAAGGCCGAAGCCACGCGGACGACGAAGTGCTGAGAGGCCGAACTCGGAGTGGCGAACTTCCATTCGTGACAGCAGCTCGATCGGACTGCGGGGTGGATGGCGCGGGTTAGGGGTGCGAATGTGCCAAGTGTGTGCGTACGAGCCCAAACGGCAGCCAGACCGAGATGGCCTCATCGCGCTGGCGGCGCACGGGAGGCCGCCGATTTGGCCTGTTAGTCATGCGCCTGGAACAAATCCAATAGAAGTGTCAGAACTCCCCCATCGAACACCGGTAAGCTTGGATACACGCCACACCCATAGGTGTTTTATCTGTAGCGTTTCTTCTCGATATCGTTCTATCAAAACCGAAGTATTCCATCCCTCACTGAGGGCCGTTGAGAGCGGGGAATTCCACCCTCAGAGGGGAATACCCGAGGTCTCGTCTGGTATTTACAAAAGCGCGCCTGGATGCGCGTGGGTATTTCCGGGCCCGTACCCATGTCGGGGGGTGGGTGGGAGGAGAGGAAAAGGAAAAAAAGGAGAAAAAAAAAAGAAAGGAAGGGGAAAAAAGGAAGGGGGGGGGAAGAAAAAAAAGGGGGGGAAAGGAAGAGGGAGGGGAAGAGAAAGAAGGAGAAAGAAGAAGAAGATTTCAGGAACTGAGGCCGAGGCACGAAGTGCGTAAGTACGAGAGCCGATGAAGATAGTAAAGATAGTTGGAGAAAGAAGATAAGCGCTAAGGGAGCGCGCGCGAGGCAGGCTCGAGACGCGCGGGGCGACTAATATCAACAACTAGTAACTAATCATAATCGGGAATACCAGTGGGATGAAACAGCAATATATTGACACCCTCCCGTGCTGTCATACCACTGCACCTCGCAAACCCAAATTCTCCCGATGGAACATGAACGGCTTGGGACCCAAGGCTTTGGTGAAAATATCGGCAATCATGTCGCCGGTGGCGATGTAGCGGACCTCGATCTCCTTCTCAGCTACCCTCTCGCGGACGTAATGTTCCGAGATGCGAACATGACGAGACCCCTGATGGTTGGTCGGGTGCTGCGCAAGAGCCAGCGAACCTTGGTTGTCCCCGTAGAGTACGACTGGACCGGAGACCGGAGCGCCAAGTTCAGCCAGGAGTTCGCTCAGGTGGATGGCATCACCGCTTGTGTACGAAAGAGAGAGGTACTCTGCGTCGGTAGTGGACTTGGCCACCCTGTGCTCGCGTTTGGAGCACCAAGCAATAGCGGCTCCGGACAAGATGAACGCGTAGCCCATGGTCGATCGTGAGGTCGTTAGACAGGCTCCCCAGTTCGCATCCGAGTAGCCACGGAGTGGTTGGCTGGTCTTGCGATAGGTGAGGCCCAAGTCCAGCGTGCCTTTGATGTAACGGAGGACCTGCTTGATGGCTGTCCAATGCTCCGGGCCAGGCTGCTGGGAGAAGCGAGCGAGGTAGCTGACCACGAAGGCGAGGTCCGGACGAGTTCCAACTGCGGCGTACATCAACGAACCGATGGCCTGCAAGTAGCGCGTACGATCCTGAGGAGTGGCCGCCAAGTCCTCGAAGTCAAGGACGACACCTGGCTGCATTGGAATACTTGCCGGCTTGGCATCGGTGAATTGGAACCTGGCAAGGATGTCCCGAAGGTAGCGCTCTTGTGAGAGCGTGATAGAGCCGTCTTGTCCACGTTTGACTTGGATGCCTAGAATATATTCGGCAGGTCCGAGACGTTTGATGCCGTATGCGAGTTCCAGCGCGTCCAGCACCCGCTCGATTTCGGCGGTAGAGGGACCAACCAAAAGCAAGTCGTCGACGTACAAGGCAATATAGTGTGAGTGCCCGTCGTGTTCGCGGCGGTAGATACAGATGTCAGACCTGGTGGGGACGTATCCGAGGGACCGCAGAGTCGAGTCGATCTCAGCGTTCCAAATGGTGCCGGCCTGGCGAAGGCCGTAGATGGATTTGGACAGCTTGAGGATCTTGCCTGGCAGGTTTATGCCCTGAGGGACGCGCATGTAGAGAGGCTTGTCAAGTTTGCCGTGTAAATACGCCTTGTTGACGTCGGCCTGATGGACGTGATAGCCGTTGGCCGCGGCGAGTGCGATGAGGGCTCGAATGGACGTGAATTTGACGACAGGGGCGTAGGTCTTCTCGAAGTCAAGGCCAGGGCGTTGGGCACATCCGTGAGCAATAAGTCGGGCCTTGTGATCGGTGATGTCGCCATGCTGGTTGCGTTTAGTCCGGAACACCCAGCCCGACCGCAGGAGGATCTCACCCGCTGGGAACTCACAGGATTCGACGATTTGAAAGACCTCGTAATCGTTCAGAAGCGAATCGAATTCATCCTGTGCCGGAGCGCCCCAAACGTCCTCTTGTCCCGATCGGATGACGTCGCCCCAATTTGCCGGATCGCGAACAACCGACAAGTCATGATCTGCGAAGCCGGCCTTGGTGGATGCGAAGGCAAGGAGCAGGCTCTTGAAAGAGGCGGTGGGTCCGTCGGTGCCGTCGACTGGCTTGGCGACGTCGCCGTACTCCCAACTCGGCTTGACTTTGGCGAGTGGAGCTGGATCCGGAGGTGGTTGCGGCAGGTTCACGGCTGACTCCGTCGTTGCGCTCGTGGTCGATGAGGCGTCGTCGTTGTCGGCCGAGCTGGTCGATGCGGGCGACGCGGGTGCCTCGACAGGCGTTGGGGCCGGTGGCCGTGGGGGAGGCTCGACGGGTGTTGGAGCTTCGACGGGTGGGGGCTGGGGGGCGTAACCCGGGATGGACGGCTGCGTCACTCGGGTGGGCGCGATAGCGAAGGGGAACTCGGTTTCTACGAACGTCACATTGCGGCCCAGACTCACACGCATGGAGGAAGGATCGAGAAGACGGTAGGCTTTCGCGTGTCGATCGTACTCGACGAAGACCAGAGGAATCCCTTTTGGGTCGAGCTTGTCCCGTCGGTGAGCCGGCACGTTGGTCCAAGCGCGACAACCGAATGCCCGAAGACCCCCTACGCTTGGTGTGTGGCCCGACCAACGACTGTTTGGGATGGCTCCACCAAGGGCCGCGTGAGGCGAGAGGTTCTTGGCGTGAATGTAACACATGGCAGCCTCGTCCCAGCACGATCGTGGGAGTCCCGAGTGAGACAGTAGAGCCAGGGTGCCCTCGATGATCGACCGGTTGGCTCGCTCAGCCCGACCGTTTTGCTCGGGTGTGTACGGTATGGTCAATTCGCGATGAATTCCGCGGGCCACGCAATAGCCGTTGAAAGCGGTAGAGACATACTCGCCCCCGTTGTCCGAGCGAAGTGTTTTGACCCTGCGACCCGTGGCGTTTTCGATCTCCAGAAGCCAATCCTTGAATGTCTGAAGGACCTCGCTCTTGTGCCCGATGGGGTAAACCCAAGTCTTCCTCGAGAAGTCGTCGATGAACGTGACGAGGTATCGCTTATGGCCTAAGGATTCCTCGGGGAAAGATAAGACGTCCGAGTGCACCAATGCGAGTGGTTCCGCGGCATGCGACGACGAAGAGGGGAAAGGCAAACGATGCGCTTTGGAGGCAAGGCACGCGTTGCAGGTGAAGCCATCACACTCGAAGTCACTATAGGGCCAATCTAAACCCTCCACCTGGCCAGAGGCCGCCAGTTTTTTAAGTGTCTGGACAGAGGCGTGGCCGTAGCGCCGGTGAAGGGTAAGTAAAGGTAGCCTATTGGACTTGGTGGCAACGAGCGTGTGTCGCGCATCTTTGCTGGCAGCTTGGACCGAAGCGTTGAGTTTGTAAACGCAGGACGCGATGGCTGATGCTGTGGCGATGCACCCTTGCGGCGTGCGGAGCTCGACTTGTCCGTGTTCGAAGGTGATGCGAACGCCTTTGCGGTCGAAGGCCCGGACTGAGATGAGGTTGGCAGGGCTCTCGGGGACGTAGATCACGTCGTTGAGGGTGCACCTGGTACCATTATCGGAGACGAGCTTGACCGAGCCGATTCCCGAGGCCTTCACCGTTCCCCCTAGACCTTGCAGGACTTGCGGGGTAGGTGAAAGGGGGCCGTCAAAGAAGGACGCATCGTTGACGACGTGGCACGCCGACGCCGAGTCTAGCAGAAGGATTTCCGCCGGTGGCCCGATGTTGACAAACGTAGCAGAAGAAACGACGGACAGGTGTTGATCCTTGGATGCTGCCTCGGTGGCCACGAACGTGGACGCAGGCGATGATGAGCCTTGGAGTTCCTTCATGGCGTTCTTGAGCTCGAGGTACTTGGCTCGCTTGCGCGATTCCGGACACTTGTCGAGCCAGTGTTTGCCTTGACCACAAGCTGGGCAGTTGCTCGGGGCAGGACCAGAACGATCCCATTTTCCCTTCTTGCCTGGTGCAGAGCGTTTGGTCGGTACGACCGCCTTCGCAACGGGGACCGTCGCTCGATTCGTCCGAGCGTTGAATCCAGCCCAAGAGGGCGGGCATGGCGGCATCGTGGGGACCCAGTCAACGTAATTGTCCTCCGTAAGTTTCGAGTCGTCGGGGAAGACCGGAGGGTTGGCTGGGGGTAGGCGCTGACGCATGGAGAATGCGTCGTCGTCCCGTGCGGGGCGCTGGTTCCTGATCAGCTCGTCGAATTGCTCTTCAGTGAGCGTGACGGAGGTAGTGGAGGCGACGTCGTTGGTATGGTACGACGTTGATGACGGTGGTGGACGCGTTGATGCCATGTCACCGTGGACGTCGAGGTCGCCCGCCGCTGATAGGCTAGGTGGGCTCATAACCTTTCAGGAACTGAGGCCGAGGCACGAAGTGCGTAAGTACGAGAGCCGATGAAGATAGTAAAGATAGTTGGAGAAAGAAGATAAGCGCTAAGGGAGCGCGCGCGAGGCAGGCTCGAGACGCGCGGGGCGACTAATATCAACAACTAGTAACTAATCATAATCGGGAATACCAGTGGGATGAAACAGCAATATATTGACAGAAGAGGGAGGGGGAGGTGAAAAAGGAGAAAGAGAGGAAGTGGTACGGAACATGTCATTTTCACAGCATACATCATATTACCCAGGTGTTATGCAGCTACAAAGTTGTGCCTTTTGATGCCGAGCTCGGCCATTCATCTCAGCCCTTGTCAGTCCTCTACAGAACCTTCGTGATTGTGCGTCGTTCGAATCCATCTCGTCTGTCAGCCCGAAAGGCTTCCCGCAGTCCAAGCACGCCCCGTCACACCCAGTCATCGATCCGTCATCGCTTAGTTTTGACCCCTTGCGTCGACAAGTAGTTTGGCCACATAATCGACAATGCCTTGCGCCTTTTGTGGTACCCGCGCGCGTCAAAGCGCTGCTCGTGCCCAAGCCCGCGCTCGAACCAGCGTCGCTCGAGGCAGTTGCAACAAAGGGGCGGATGGATGACGTTGGAGGATCCGAGGCATCGACTTCTACCTCCGTAAGCCTCCCCAAGACTGGCGGTTTGTGACCGAGTAATGGCTCAGCCGCTAGCACGCTGACATCACGACCGCGGGAGGGGTCGGTAAGCAAAGCTTGAATCACTCTGACGTCGTTCCCACCCATGTTCATTGTGGCTTGAACATTTGCCAGCGACGACCATCTCGATGCCCATGTATTGATGTGCTCTGGCATCTGTGTGAGAATTGCGCTTCAGCTCAACATCACCATTCAGTGTGACACAGATGCGACATACTTTGTAAAAAAAGTCTATTCCGTTGGCATACTTGTTCCAAAGCTCGATAATCTCGAGTATCCAAAGCTCGATAATCTCGAGTATCCGAAGATTGAGGAGTTCCCAGTCGTACCTTGCTTGAGAGATATCTGTATAGCGCTCGTTCGCTGGGTGTATGGACATGCAATACAGCGAATCGAGTACCCTGACGTTCCGCTAGCCAGTCGTGGCGAAGCTTGCGATCGGTTGGCAGCCGGCTTTGCATATGCTGTATCGACGGCGTATTGTTCTGCAGCAAGCTCCATGGCGACCACTTGACGGGCTCCAAACGCTGAGTCCCGCGCTCGACGTGATAGGGCTCGATCAAAAAGCGCATTTGCGCTGTTGGCGACTGAACAACAGGTACGATGCCGAATGTTTCGGTGGTGTAGAGCAGCGGGTTGACTATATCTGACACAGTGGTTGAGTGCCGTGGGAGAAATGCCGAGGTCTTGCGCCTCAGACGATGTAATTCCACAGTGGGCCAGAGGTCGTAGTGCCCCACGAATGGTTTTCCGGTACGATTGAACGTCCCAACCTGCGAACACAAGGGATAATGGGTGAGAATGGTTGCCGCTTCTTCGAATCGCGATGGTGGAGTTGGACTGACCGTGAGATTGTGCACTAGCACGTAGTCAGCCAAGCACGCATTGGCATGGCACGGAGAAACACCAGACTTTGGAAACCGTTGGCGAAGGTTCCGGTGGATGCCTCCTTCGAGACTGTTGAAAGAGTCTGAATTGTCGGGCAATGCCGATCCGACCGACGTCGGAATCGAGCGCGACGTGGAGTTGGTCGAGACTGAGGCATCGGATGCGGAAGGTATGGCAGACGAGCCGTCTGGAAACGGAGTTTGGGGTGAAGTTGTTGCCGGTGCAAAGTTGAGAGTTGATTGAGTCTAAGATTAGGAGCCACGGACATGCATTAGTCAGAAGGAATACGGGCGACGGGAATGTAGCCCGGCTCACAGTGTACACTTTTGCAGGGGGAAACTGTATGGAAGGATGCGGCACGTTTCATTTCTGACGTCATTGCCACATGCCTAACAGGTTTTGACACTCATGATCCCACTGATCTATCGCAAATCGGGCTTTCACAACTGACCTGCATCCGCTGACTCTGCTCGTCTAATATGAGTTGGCGTTGAGGCGCTCGCTCGGCCTCTAGCCTAGCTCGCTCCGCTTCCTTGAGTTGTCTTGCACGTTCATCATCAAGTTCTCTTTCGGCAGCTTGCTGTGCTGCTCTCTCGGACTTGGCTATGGCCGCCTCCTCCTTCTCCTCCTCCGTCTTCCTCGGACGACTCTGAGGCCTGGTCGCCGCGGGCGCCGGGACTAAGCTACGGGGTCGACCTCGCAACACGATGGCTTCTTGGTCGACTGATCAATTGCAATCGATCCTGTATTCTGTCCATCATTATGTATTGAAAGCTCATCGAAGCGGCGCTTCGCGGCCTGGACTTGGCTCGCGGTGTTCGCGCTGTGTAGAGTGTCGACACAGGGGCCGATCTCGTTCTGGCACGCTGTCGATGCTGTCGTAGCCGAGGTGCCGACGATTTTGTCGTCCGTGTTATCGGCGCTTCGTTTCCGAAAGAAGCGTGACAGCAGTTGCACCGTAGGATATGGCACGTTGCAGCATGAAGACAAGGGGATGGCCGCGTGCGGCGCGCCTGATTGCGCCAACTCGGTGCGCCAACTCAGTAGAACTCAGTGCGCCAACTCAACTCGGTGCGCCAACTCACGCGCGCGGTGCGCTAACTCAAGTGCGCTAACTCGGGCGCTCGACTGCGCCAACTCAAGTGCGCTAAGTCAATTGCGCCAACTCAATTTGGAGCGCGCGAGTTAGCGCAAGCGCACCCCCCAGCACCGGTACCGCCCCAAAAGTTCCGGACAGACTTCATCGGCCATTCACTCCCCTGTGAAGAGGTGTGCGTACGAGGCCGAATTCGAATTGGACTTTGCCGACCTCACTAATAAGGGTAAGTGGAGACACCGATGCGCCTAACACTAGGTCATAAGTCAACCTGACATAACCCTTCTTCACCCCCGTCTGACTTGATCTTTGTGGCCGATGAAGTCTGTCGGGAATTTTGAGGCGTGCCCTGCAGCCTCTGGCGCCTCTGGCAGCCAACAAGATCAAGTCAGACAGCGACAATAGCAGCGCCGACGAACACGAAATCGGCCTCGCGGGCTTCGATCAGTTGGGCGCCTGACCAATCTGCTCGCTTTCTAGTACATAGCTCATTTTACCAACTGGTATAGAATTGAGATGAATGCCCTTTCGATGTTAAACTCGACCGCGCCGCGCTTGAGAGGTTCAGGGACTCGTCGCCGCCCCGCGGCGCGTCAATTACGTTAACGGATGGTTCTTTTCGGCCTTTGCTGCAAGGATTTGACGCGCCGATTCGGGCTCGCGCGCACGGACCCTTTCTCCCCCGTGGATGCTATAGCTGTGCTTCCCACACACGCGGGCTCACGGGCGGTACTCGCAACGCACGTTCCCTTTTTGGGCCTTCACTGCGTTGTCGACGTTTCCCCCCGTGGATGCTATAGCTGTGCTTCCCACACGCGGGCTCACGGGCGGCACTCGCAACACACGTTCCCTTTCGGGCCTTCACTGCGTTGTCGACGTTTCCTTACCAGCTTCTGCGGCTGCGTTCACCACCTGTAGGGACAGGTGCGTTCCTCACTCCCAAGACTACCTCCCAGCTGACGAGGTCGCTGATCGAGAGTTCCATCTTGCCGGACGTTCACAGCTGCTAGCAGCTCGTTATGAAACCCTCGACGTGGCTCGCTTAGAGTAGCTCGGGGTGAGTGCTTCGATACACCCAAGCTTGTTGCACGGTGTACTTTGCACTTGGATCCCTGCAAATTCTTTGTGGGGGCATTTTGCTCCGGGCCCTTGTTGGGCAACGAGCTAAATCGCATATCTCTCAGCAGACCCTTTGCCGTCCTTTGCACCAACCGCGCCCCAACTGTCTTTATACAGTGTCTTGTCTTTGTCGCAAAGGTATGCTGAGACGATCAGTGGACTTGCTCCATCATCAGTTGCAGCCGACTGACATCCAGAAGCTTGGGTCGCAAAGCTCCCAATTGTCATCCCGCCCACCATCCCTGTGTATCACCAAGAAGTTCGGACTCTCTTCCGTTTAGATCAATCACTTGCGGTTTTCCCCAGAAGGCGGGGTTTTCACCGCTTGAGGTATTTGTTTAACAACTCCTACACCACCAATGTTGTCCTTCGTCTTGCTGCAACTCGAACCACTATTCCGCTACGACTCGCGCGAGTGGTCAGGAGAGTCGAATTAGGTTAATCGCGCGATAAGGGCACTTTGGTCCCGAGAATGGCAACTCTGGTCCCACATCGGAGGCGACTCTGGGATCACATCGGAGGCGACTTTGGGATCACATCGGAGCGGACTTTGGGATCACATCCGAGGTCATTCTTGTACCACGTTCATGGGGACTTTGATACCACATAGTGTAGACGCCTGTATCTCTTGCAATATGTGATGTATCACTCTGGGGACAGTAGTTTGATGTATATACAGGCTATAGTACTCCTGACCGCTGAGACGAGGCGGACAATGCAGTACTTGCTACATCGAGGTTCTTCCCCGCTTGGCCACTGCGCGCCCGTGGTGGCGCCGAACCGCCAAAGCCGACACTCCCGAACGTGTTTGCGCCGATTAGAGCAGAATTGGCACCGGTCCCTCGCTTCTCTCATCCATGAAGAACAGTTCATACAGCTTGAGCGAAGATGCAGATTATAGTAGGTAACGCTTTTACATTGGCGGACTCTGTATGATCATTGCAGTTGAACGATATTTAAACGTATTCACATGTAAAAACTTGGCTCGCTTTACCTCTCCTTTTTGAGTGCAGCTCAAAGTGAACAAACCAGTTCTCAGCTCTTTCGTGGTATCCGAAATGTTGGACTGTACCTACTTCGAGCATGCATGACCTAGACGACTGGTGCTCGAGGTCACGCTTTGCGCTTCCGAATGACGCCGTTTGCTAGGAGTTGCAACAGCGGAAGTGCTACTCTCTTGAAGAATGGTAGAGTGCTTGCATCACTCTGGTAGGTGTTTGATATCGCGCGTGGCAATTACTGACGGAAATGAAGGAAGGGCGAGGGAACTCATGGTCAGTCTTGAAATGAGAAAACTTCCTGTGCAAACTTGGAGCACACACTCACTTTCGAATGCGAGCGTGGGCGTGTTGGCCTGCCGAAAGACTTCTTGACGCGCCAACGCACGAATGAAAGGGGTTGGACGTCGGACGTTCGGCGGGGGTTGGCGTCGTTCGTGATTGCCGAGGGCGTACACCAGCGCCGATGAAAGATCGACAGCCTGGACGAGGATCTGCACAAGGGACGAAGGAAGAAGGAAAAAGAAAAACATGTCAGCCACCCAAATCAAGATCCTTTGATTTTATATGCGAAATGGTCACCTTGAAGTGACTAGAGCATTGTTTTCCTGGGGTCCTGTAGTTTCTTGTACCCGAGCTCGCCATCCTTTCCTCGATCTCTTTTGCAGGCCGGGCCCGAGCAACGATGGCCATTCGTAGAACCTCTACAACAGGTCGACCTTCGCGGGTTGACTCCAAGCTTTCAAAAGAGTGATAGACACTTCTGGACGTCATCAGATCCCCACTGCCACATCCGACGGATGTTGATGATGATGGCGCGTCACCGAAGGTCGCTCGACGACAGCAAGACAGCATTCATATATGCGTGGAGCTCAGTCATGCTTCTGTTGATATATCTCACCAATTAAATTTAGGTCGATCACAGGACGAAACAAACGCAGCCCAGCACGCAGCTTCGACACACCCCTGTAGCTATGAACCTTGGGGACTCCAGACAAGAAGTTTGCTTACAAATTTCCATTCGGATTTCTGCTTGCGAGGAACGAGCGGCCTGAGACGGAGCTCGTTGTGCTCTGCAGTGGTGAGGATTATGTTTGAGAAAATTGCTTCGCGCGTCGTGTTCGACAGTTCGTCGGTCTGCCTTTCACCGAGAGAGCTCGCAGGTATGCCGGTCCAAATCTTCTTGTCTTTCCGAGCCAGGAGTGGTGCGGACACGATGTTGTCAGGTAATACCTCGTCTGAGCTGTCTTCTCAGACTCCGTAGTATGGAGCGTTGCCGAATCCTCTTCGGAGTCGCTGGAACAGTTCTTGCGAGAGCTCGAAAGTCCCGAGGCTGAGTCGGAGGTGTGAGACGTCGAGGACTTGCAGTGGGGGGAGTCGCGACCAAAGCCGCCGAGAGTTTCGAAGCGTCCTCATCCTCATATAGATACGATTCATCTTCCGATAGGTATGGCTCTGGCGAGATTTGTTGTTGCAGCGCAATGGGTGAGCGGCCCCCTTCGTCTTGAACTTGCAGTTGGTTCATGGCTTAAGTTGTTGACATGAGCGTACTTGGCCCCTTTACAAGGTACCCCATTCAGGCGTTGTTAGGCTCGAAATGGACGAAATATCCGCTCAACAAGGAAGGGAAAGAGTGCTTTGGGTGAGGATTGTATGCGTACGAGTGGAAGAGTAGGGGGTAAAGACGAGGAGCGTAGTACGAAGCTTCAATGAGGAGCTCGTTTCAGGGCGATTGGTGAGTTTGCCGGTCTCTAATAAGGGTCCTAGTAACGGTTGTAGGCATTATGGAACTAGAGCTCACCCATATGGTTTATGTGATGACGTCAGTGAGAATGTCATCACAGTGACAACGCAGAAGGAAAAGAAGGGTTTGCTCCACCCTACGATGTTTGTTGCATGCTACACTTGCTGTCTCGTCACGATTGTGTCGGACTCGGAGGTCCCGGGATCGCTGACACCACGGCGGCGGAGCGGCCAAGCAGGGAACAACCCCGATGTAGCAACTACTGCATTGTTCGTCATATCTCACCGGCCAGAAGTACTATAGACCTGTACATATATCATACTGCTGTCCCCAGAGTGATACATCACCTATTGCAAGAGATACAGGCGTCTACACTATGTGGTATCAAAGTCCCCATGAACGTGGTACAAGAATGACCTCGGATGTGATCCCAAAGTCCGCTCCGATGTGATCCCAAAGTCGTCTCCGACGCGGGCCTAAAAGCCGACCTTATGTGAGCCCAGAGTGACGAGCTATTAGCGCGGTTATGTCCGGGTGCTAAAAGAATGCACGACAAAACCAGGTTCTCCACCGCGCGCGCGCGCGCGCCGATCTTTCCCCCCCCCCCCCCCCCCCCCCGAGCCCTAGTATAATCATATTCTCCCCACGGAAATTACATAGAGCCTTCTACAGCAGGCGGATGAATTGTTGTAGCGGACTTGAACAGGGCGTGCCGGCTTCTGCCGCGCCGTTGCTATCGTCGGTAGCAACGTTGCTACCGGCCCCGGCCAGGCTGCCGATCCGATCGCCTTTTTTTGCCGCGGCGCGGCGCGATTAAGATCGACCCTTTTTTGTCTGCCCGTGGTGCCATGGCTGCCATGGACAGTGAGTCAGTGACACTGGACAGTCAGTCTGAGTCCAGTCATCGAATGGAGTCACAGACTAGTGTCGCCTTGTCAAAGCTCCCAGGTGAATCAGGGCCGAAGCAGGCCAGGTTCTCCAAGCTAGCTGAGCGCTGACCGGAGCTTCGCGCGCGCGTCACACGGCCGGCACTCGTCATGCGCCACGCGTCACATAGAGCGGTAACCGCCGGTCACTGCTAATTGCCGAGTGAGCTCTCGGCATATGCTGCCGTGGGACACGACGAGACACTGGTACCCGAGACACCATTCCAGATTGGGGCCCACCTCGGCCCAAGCTAGACACTGCGGGTGGCGGGTTGGCACCGCGGGTTGGCCTCCGGGATCCAAAACTCTGCGCCCGAGGGCAGGACGTGATGCTTCGGTTTTGAGAGAGCGGTATTGGGAAGAAACGCTACATATGGAATGTCTATGGTGGTGTAAAGTGTATCCCAAGCTTGCCGGTGTTTGATGCGAGAATTCTGACATTTTCATGGAATTTGAACCTGTTCCAGGTGCAGGATTGACCAGCCTCCTCTGCGCCGCCAGCGCGATGAGGCCATACTCGAGCCAAACGCCTGCAGCCAGGCCGGGCTGCCGTTCGGCCTCTCACACACCTTGTCACATTCGCATTTTCTTTTCGCTCCGCATCACTCTCCGCTCATTCGCTCATCTCCGCCTCCGCCTAGACAATTTGCGCCCACCGTTATCATCGATATCCCATCGTCACCATTTGGGTCTCTTTCGCTGAAGGGTTTCTCCCCTGGCTTCCGTCGCCCCGACACCAGCCGTTGCGCAGTCGCACTCCGCGAAGCTCCAGGCGCGCGGAGCCCAATTTCTAGCGCTCGCGTGGCAGCCGCGGTGCCAGTCGATCAGCGTCTCTCTCGATCACACCTGCTACTTCACGTCGCTGATAGCTACTTCACGTCGCTGATATTATGCCACCCCAAGCCGCGCAAGGACGATCGCTCAGACTTCGCGATGCCTCGGGCAGGGTCATGCCAGCCAAGTCCGTGCCGCGATCCACCCCTCAGTCCGATCCAGCCGTCCCACTCATCATGCGGGACGACGACGCTTCCACCGCTGTCTGCGCAATGCTAGATGGGCTCGCGATCTCAACCTTAGCCTCAGCCTCAGCCTCAGGCTCGAACGCGAATTCGAACTCGACCTCGACCTCGACCTCGACCTCTCCGGCGACTTTTATTTCCCCCCTTTTTCAAGACTTCGACTTTGAGCGCGTCAAGGCTCAGAGGCCCCGGCGCGGCCTCGACGGAACTAGCAAGTCCGGAGCCCACACTTCGGGCCGCCAAGGTCAAGGTAAAGGATTCAGGCAGGTTTTCTTCTGGCCTTTAAGGATAATTTTTCGCTGACGATTTCCTTCTCTTGAACATTGCATCTCTTTAATAGAATCAACCAAAGCATCCGACCAAGGCGCAAGACGGCGACGCCGCGCTCAACGACACGCCAAGGAAGCAGACCGCGAGCAGCGCTGCGATGAAGAGTAAGAGGAGTGGCGAGAAATCCTGGGCCAACGAGGATTGGCCGGCGAAGGCGATCAATCTGGTCGGAGCCCAAACTTTCGGCGATGACATTCTCGGCAGAAGCACTACTGGTGGCAAGTTCCAGGATCTTGTCGAACGAGCCAAAGCGACTCTGAAGCAACTATCGGATGACGAGCGAGCGGCCTGGAAGGGGAAGGTGATGAGAGGGTTCGAGAGGGAGGCCAGAAAAAAGCAGTCCGGGGGCCAGGGGAAGTCTGACGTCGTGACTGGGCACGGGAATCGAAATGAAGATGGGTCGATCGCGGAGAGCTCGATCCCTTGGGTGGAGACGTTGGCCTCAGTGGTGGGTCGTTTCGCTTGCCTTATTGAAAGGTTGCCATTACTGACGTGGTAGCATCTGCGGGGTGGTGACCAGGCGGGTCCGAAAGAAGGACCTTACAAGTACCATGACGACACATTTGCCATCCCGCTCCTTCCCACGGAGACCAACACCGCGGTTCGAAAACCCGACGGATCCCTGATCGACAAGAACCAGACCGGCCGGCTCTCCTTCGCCGACCTCATCGCCATATTGGAGTATACCCTGCAAGCCAACCTCGCCCTTCTCGAAGATACGCAAGACGACGGCAAACCTCCCAACCCCAAACTACTGCAGCTTCTCAACAATGTGAGAGCTGTATTGCGCGAACATCCTTCGGCGGATTACGCCCTCGGCTTTGCCATCAACCTTGATGTTGCATACGCCGTCAAGGTCGACAATGAGGTAACTAGGATCGTCGAGATGCAGAAGTGCTGGCACGACGACAACATTGCCGAGACGGCGGCGCTCCTCCGCCTCATTCTCAACGTCGACCGCGACTCGTCTGGTCTCTCGGACGTATTCAACTGCGCCTACGCGGCGGTCGGAGGTCACGGCGAGAAGGACCTGCGCCTCGAGTCGCTCGGCTCAAGCACACAACAGGTCTTGCAGGGCCTTGACGAGCAGGCAACTGACTCCGTCAAGGTGTCCCCTTTGAAAGGCATCCTGCCGAGTGTACTCGCGCACTCTGGATCGGGCACCTACGCAGCTTTTAAGCTGGACACCCCCCCCGTTCTCCTTCCACAATTGAACGGCTCCGACATGACCCCGACCGACGACAACTCGTCGACGTCGACGCCAGCTTCACACCACTACCAGCTATGGATAGTGCGGCGACTGCTGGAGCATGCCGAGGAGACGGACACGGCCATTCGCGAAGTAGCGGTCTCCATCCACATGGTCGCCAATCTTCCGCCAACCACACTCCGACACGTCGCGCTCGCGGTCGACTGTCACCGCATCCCTGCAAGCAAGCGCAGGCTCCCGGACTTGCCAAACGGCGGCAAACGTAGGGATGTTGTCATTCTTACTATCGCGGTGCCGGTGGTGGATGACAAGAACGGGTACCGGTCGATTCTCGACCAAACGAATCCGCCCACGACCGCCGAGCTCGCTAACCTGCTGGCGTCGGGGCTGGACGACATTTTTCAATTTGGCAAGGCCGATGTCTTCATTCGCAATATAAATACAAGCACCTTGTTACACTCAAAAGGCACGCCTTTATTCGTTTGCTCGGTATACGTGACTTGCGCGACTTGAGCAAACGAATAAAGGCGTGCCTTTTGAGTGTAACAAGGTGCTTGTATTTATATTGCGAATGAAGACGCCGGCCTTGCCAAATTGAAAAATGACGTCCAGCCCCGACGCCAGCAGGTTAGCGAGCTCGGCGGTCGTGGGCGGATTCGGGATGCAGGGAGAGATCCGGCGGTCGTGCCATGAGTGAAGACGGGATGCAGGGAGAGATCGACGCCAACACAATCGAGTGATTGACCTAGGACTTTGTTGATCGTCATGGCCAAAGCAACTCGAAGCGGGGGTGGAGCCGGCGCATAATGAAACCAAGTTGGCGACTGCTAGTTGCATTCGGATGCCCGCTCAATCTCCGGTCAAGATGATGGCTGGAATGACTTGCGATCTTGCGTGCAAGACGATAAGGCAAGTACCGTTGCAGAGGCCGGCGTCTGGGTCCAGATTGCGAAGAAGAACTACAGGGATCCCTTCCTTGAGACGCAAGTGATGCGCGGGGAAGTCGGACGGGTTGATTGAATGCAGATACACCGGCGAAATAGATCGGGCGCCATCCCACCCTCAGTTTCGGCTGCCTCGACGGATAATCGATCACGTGTGTATGCATCAGAACGACGCCGAAACAGCCTGCACCTTGCTTGTTGCCGTCGTCGCAGAGTCGGTTCAGCTTGGCTTCAAACACTCGTGCAATGAGATCCGGACGGTTGCATGCTTGGTCCTTTGGCCCGAGTGCAGCCTGGATTTCCGGCCGTCCGGGGATGCACGTCACCGTGATGAACAGTGAAGGCTTTTCATATTTGACGACGCAAGCCATCGTACCTTGGTAACCTGCGTGATCTCACACGGCCTGTTCTTCAACGTTGATCGAGCCCAAAAATCACCGAACGTCCCATTTGATCCGGGGTCAAGCTGTTGGCAACAGCTTCAGCGATGCCTTGGGCCGTGGTGAGACGCAGGTTTTCTTGATGCAACCGGATGGAGTTCAGTCGATCGGTCTCGACTTGGGAGTATCCGTCGATCACGAACCTCGAGAAAGAGACGCCGGGTGGAACGCGGGATTGAGAGATTGTTGCCGCGTTCGTGAAAGTAGTATGCAAAGAATTGGGAACGCAAGACTCGGGTTGATCCACCTCGAGCCCTTCTCCTTGATCTTCGTGCTAGATGTTCAAACATTCTATGTCAGTCTGTGCTTGCATCTCAACAGAATGGAAGACGTGAGAAAGAGCCGAAGACGCTTACGTTCACCTTCACCTTCCTCGCCGTCTTCATCCTCATCGTCGCGGTCTTCGTCCTCCTCTTCGTCTTCGTCATCCAGACCGAGACCGGCAAGTACCTCGCGCAATTGGACACCATTGTCGATCTGCTCTCGGTTTCTGGCGATGGGCGGCCCGGCTTGGTGGAACCCGCAAAGAGGAATGTTGGGGTGGAAGGCATTTTCCCCTGCAGGAAATAGTAGTGGGTAACGGAGAGGCATCGCAGACGGTGAGGTCCACGATCTCCCGTGTTGGTCTCGGAATCGCAGATAAGCATCGCCATTTCCGTGCTCGACGTAGGAAGGTTGTGGGTGCGTCGGTCTCGGCCAGGTGGTCGGCAGAGGCGCAGGGCCGACTCTTTGGCCGTGTCCCAACCTGCGCGGGTTTTGGCCGATGCGAACTCCCTCACAAAGTGATCCTTGGTACGCAACATGGGCTCGAGCTTGGTCAAAGTAGATCTTTGTATGCGACTGTCTGCGCCGTCGGGTCCCAGTCGAGTGTCAGTGGCCTCGGCCGGGTCGATGAGCCATGTCTGAGCAAAGGCTGGGCGTTGATTCACGGCGGGGATCAGGGCACCGAGTCGATGATAGAGGTGACCGAACACGCGAACACGGGGGTCCTAAAGTGCCGAGTCGTATCTGGTCGAAGTGAGCAGCAAGCGAAGTGAAAGACAGCGCGTTGTTGTACGACCGGGCATTCTCGCGGAACGCAGGAATGCCTTAGCTTCTGTGTAGGTGGGTCGCACAGTTCAGCATGTGGGTCTACTACAGACGAATGTCGTTGGCGGAGAGACTGACCGCTATCCGAGCCTTCAAGTAGCTGTTGAAAGTTGGGATTGGGCCGGAGAGAGGGAGGTAGCTGCACCTTGCCCTGCGAGCAGCGTGCTGAAGTGTCCGGTCGACTTTGTCCTTTCGCACTCCCAGTGTCGAGCCTTGCAGTGGGTACACACGGTCATCTGGGGCCGAGGTAGTCGCGGATGGGGGCTTGAGTGGCTTGAGCTTGATTCGAGGCCTGCGCACTTGCCTCTGCGCAGGAAGAGGTGGTGGTGGGGCGAGCTCAGCGTCGGATCGGCCATCGGGCCATCGCGGTGACCACGCTGTCCGTTCTACAAAGCTGTACGGCGGACGCTTCAATACCAAGATCGGTCGAGTGGTTGTCATCACGCGCGGGGAGCTGATTCTGTTGATCGGAACGGGACGAAGAGGAGAGTCGAGCAGCGGGACGCCCAGCGGGCCTAGCAGCGGGCGCTCGAGCAAGCTCAAGCAGGCCCATGGTCTCCCATGGTACGGCGGTACGCTATCGTACGGCGCTACCCTCGCGCGAGAGACTCGGCGCGTTTGTCACGAAAATTCGATGAGAGTGGGAGGGAAAAGGCGAAAATTAGAGAGAGTAGCGAATTCACAGTTTCTGGAACCTCACGTTGTTGTTGAGCCCCTAAAACCGGTGTCGGGATGCCAAAAATACGTCACGTGATCGACGGGGCATCGCGCAGCGAGACCACGCCTGAGATCTGTAGAAGAAGTGTCATGCAAACCCACGCGCTTGCTATACATTAAATCCTACACAAACTGATCAATAGTTCCCCACCATATCAAAACTCGACAAAAATTGTAGTCGGGCTGTAGCTCGACTTTTATGGTCCAGAAAATGCAGAAAGGGGCGTACATGACTTCTGATTGCGATACCACAGGCAGGTGCGGCAGACTCAATAGTGTACAGGTACATTCATCACTTGCGGCCTTCCAGGCCGCAACACAGACAAAAACTGCGATTTTAGGTACATGGGTCGCGCGCGGATCGACGTTTTTTTTACTAGTTAGAGTAATGGAGCAACTAATAAGCTTAAGCGTAGCCTTGGAGCTGTAGCCTGTAGCGCAAGCAACGCGGTGAGGCGGCAAGTCAAGTGGAAGGTCCCTCGCGTGTTGCGCTTGGCCTCGGCAGTGCCTCTGCGCGCGTGGCCGACTGCCGCCAACGCGGTGACTGGCGGATGACGCATCTTGTTGAAGGACGGGTCTACCCGCTGGCGACGATGTAACGACTACAGCAGGCGGCAGGGTACCGCCTGGATCGTCGGCACTGCTGACATTCATCAGGAATATTGGTTGCTTTAAGTTGTATGGCTGTGGTTCTTTTTGTGTGATTTTGGAGCGTTGCCAAAACACGGTCGAAAAGGGTCAAGCGTCGCGCGAGAGTTCGAAATTCGAAATGCTTCAACTCCCGCCTCGCCCAGCGTTCACGGCTCTCCTCCGCTCCCCTCACTGCTCTCCCGCCTCGGCCACCTCGCCCCGGCATCGATCCCACAGTCGGAAGCGAAGCAGTCGGCAACCGGCCATTCTCGCCGGCGTGCCACCACAGACACGCGCAGTTCCTCTCTCGTTATCTCCCTCCACACGACCCTGCACAGCCTGCACAGCCCCGCTCGTCGTTCAAGCATGGTGAACAAACAACGTGCTCGGTCTCCGCCCAGCCCTCCACTCAACAAACCCCTAGCTAGCAAGCGCCAGACTCGAAGTGCTACGCGCGCGTTGTTGAAGTTGGAGCACCAGTGCGAGGTTGAATCACCATCCCCGCTAGGGTACTTGCCCCTCAGCGCCGCCGCACATCCACTCAACGCATTCCCATGCAACGATGATCACACGGTCAAGCATAAACCACTTGTATGTAAATGCTCTGCTGCCAGACCCGGTGTGAGTTGCTAACCTGCTGATGGATAGCTCCGTCGGCTCCACGCGCCGCTTCTGACCGCCACAGGCCCCCTTGCCTATGAAGCCAACGTCATGGACCGCTCCTTCACCCGCGCCGTTGGACTTGTTCCCGGATTCATCGGACAGCTCGCAGCGCTCTCACCCTCTCTCGTCGCCAAGTGGGGCGATGCCATCTCGTACTCAGGCCTACTATGACATGGTCGAGAGCCTCACGTTGCCCGAGCTCAACAAGGATGTCGACGTCTTCTTCCTCGAAGACGAGATCGTTCCGCGAGTCGTGATCTGTAGTGCGTCTGACTTGGTGCGCTCGGCACTTGGGTTCGACGCAACACAATTCAAACGCCAGGCGCAGGATGCTCTTGCGCGACCCGGACGATCAGAAGTACAAGTCCTGTTCGACAAGGATTGCCGACGCTCGCCTCATCAACGGGCGGCAGATTGGGTCTTACCACTTGCTGACTTTGTGAGTGCCATATCCTGAATGACGACTTTGTCGAAGGCCATATGTCACGACTCTGATCACATCCCTCGCTTTGCAACTCGCATCGTCGGCACAGGCATCCGGTGGATCCCATCGGCAGAACAACTTGAAACTCGCACACGCCGAACGGCAGGCTCGGTTGACCCTCGGAGGCGCCGCCCGCCGCCTCGAACATGTGGAACGACATTACTTTTTGACGTGCTGCGACGAGCTCGGATCGGGGAACGGTGGAACTGGCACGCATAGCATGCTCGTCCCAGTGGCTTTCGGTGTCCGTCCGCCAAGCCACCTTTCGAGTCGGACCGTTCCCCCTCATCAATGTCGTACTCGACCTGGCACGAGATGCGCTCACGCAGCCGGCCCGCGTGTATGCGCCAGGATTGGCCATCCTCGACAACGAAGCGCATCTCGTCGTGTTAGATCATGAGGGGTGCCGTATTGCGATCATTCCCGATTGCTGGGGCGAGGGCTTTGGCGAGCTCGCTTCGGTGCTCTCCGTCCTGCTTGGACTGGAGGTCTACTCGGCCGGACTGTCCCCTCTGTTTCGCTACGCGCTTCACCCCAAGACCGGCATCACTCCGGTCGCGTTCCGTACACTATACCTTCGACCGTCCGAGCTCGAAGCAGATGCTCCCCTGGTCGGTCGCACCGTCGAGTTCGTCGCCGAGGAGCCCATCGAGCTCGTCGACTGTCGAGTTGCAGGCGGCAGCTCCATCTTTGGACGCTGCACGGTCATCTTCCAGCTTACGCGTCCCAGCTTGGTGCAAGGGTTATCGTCGACGTCAGATCTCTCGCCGTCGTTCGTGCTCAAGGTTCAGCACATAGAACAGAAGTTTAAAGGTGGCGAAGCCGATGTTCTGGACAAGATCGTCCGGTGTTGCGCTTCCCACGGCGCCCGCTCGGCTTCGTCGCTGCTCATCAAAAGACACGTCGCCCTGCCCGAGAAGGCCAGGTCGCTCGGTCATCATCGATCACAAATGGACGACAGCGCCTTGCCCGTGCTCATGGACCCGGACTATCCCGAACGACAACTGCAAGAGCCATCTCGACGGACACTCGACGTGCTCGTCGTGCGCAATCCTACGCCGCTACCGATTCGTGTCGACACTGGCCGCGGTCCTGAGCACAAACTCTCCCAGGCCTGCGAGGTCTTTGACCAGCTCCTCACGCTTCTGCCCGCGCTCTGGGATCTCGGCATCCACCATCGTGATTTGTCCCTCGGCAACATCCTTCACTACCAAGGCCATCTTGTTCTGGTCGACTGGGACACAGGCATCGTTGCGCAACCGGGTACACGCGTCCCTATCGCTGCCGACGTCGCCGGCTCGTTCAGGCTCACCGACGCCACCGCTCCACACCAAGCCTTAATGTACCCGAGGGGTTTTGTGAACGGTTGCTACAAGGTCCCCCAGCATGCCCTTCGGCACGACTTCGAGTCCTCCGTCTATTGGTTCCTCCACGTTCTGGACTGGTACATCGGGCAATCGGTCTCGGCCGAGTTGTGGGAGAAACTACAACTCCGCCCACTGGCGGACGAACCGACCTTGCCCCCCCTTCTCACACGCCTGGAGCTCTGGGAGGGGGGGGCGAATTTTCCCACATCACGCCAAGCGTTCCTCGAGGATCTGGCAACTGTGGATACTGAGCTCCACGATTTGGTCGACCTCATGACGTGCGTTCGTCCGGACAGCCCCCCCACGATCTTCGCCTATGACAGCTGTGTCAAGCAGAAGATGGTGGAGGTGCAGGCCGAGTTGCGACGCATGCTGGAGCGGGCGCAGCAACCTGATTATAGCGGTATTCTAGGTCGTTACCACAGGTTACTGAAGCTGCAGTAATATGGTGTTGTCCTCAAATTGAGATTCCGTTTCGTCGGCACAAGCTGCGTAACCCCTGTTTCCGTTGGGACCACGCAGTCAGATCCGATCAGTCATGCGCCTCAGAATTCTCGCATTCAACACCGGTAAGCTTGGATACACGCCACACAACCATAGCTGTTTCATCTGTAGCGTTCCTTCTCGATACCGCTCTGTCAAAAACCAAAGTATCCCATCCCTGCCCCGTACAGAGTGTGGGATGGTGTAAGGCGCCGCTCCGCTTACGCCTCACGACGACCTCGAGCCAACCTCTGCGGCCTCACGCTTGCCCTCGCGCGCGGCGCCGCCGCGTCTCTTGACCTTAGTCCTTTTAGTAGTCTTTCTTCGCCTGCGAATTACACCGTTTGATCCTTTCTGTTTGGACTCGGAACCAGTGAGGCTCGAGAGCGATCTCGTGCCTTTCAGATGGGTTCGCACACTTTTTGGTTCTCGGAGTGAGAACAGTCGGCGCTAGCGCAGCATCACCTTGGCCTCATTCACTCGGACCTAAATAAGCGCAGGGAAAACTTACAGGACCAGTTGAGGATTGAGTGAGGTCATCAGTTTTGGACCGGATATTCAAGTCAGACGCGGATCGACTTCGCCGAATCGAATAGGCACCACTCGGAAGCCACCTTGCCGCGAGTAAGACTCGTCCGACTCGAGCTCGCCGAGTTTTCAATTCGTAAGATCGCGGCGACGAATCTGATGCGGCCCTCGGAAGATGTGTCTTTCCTCTTTGCGGATGAAAGAGAAGACGAATCAGGGCAGAACGAGCAAGAAACGGATTGTGTCCGCATAGTTGTGCGAGGCTGTGGCGCCGCCTTGGTGCGAATTTCGACGAGCCAGTGCCGGGTCAAAGATCATGGTCGGATGGAGTAAGTTGGTCCCGCTGAGGACTGTCTCAAAGAATAATGATATGGTCTTTATAGCAACAAGAGTCAAAAAGTGTGAGTATGACTCGATGTTCACCAATTGGCCAATAATTTCCGCTTACCGAGCCGACCCCTTCTCGATCACTCGTCACCGAATGACTGCCTCTCAAGCTCCCGCCAAGCGCAAGCCATGTCCGTCGCCGGCGCCCCACCGCCGGAACTGAAGCCGATCGCGCCCTACCTCGCTCGGGCCAAGGAACTGCAAGCCGTCGAACCTGTGATTTCGTACTGGTGTAAGTACTTTATCGTCCGTGCTACTCTCACACTCGCGCGCTCGTTCTGTGTTGGATGGCGTGCCGCTCGCCGCGTGTGTGTGTGTGGGGGGCGCAAAGCGGATGACTCGACCCTCCCTGATCTTCGGACGCTGATCCTGCCTAGACGGTGTGTTTGACCTTTGAACAGGTACGTACTATGCTTTACAACAAGCGCTCGGACTTGGGGTGAAGGAGAATGCGTCGAACGCGTTCCTGATGGAGATGATGGATGGTCTTGAAGCGGCAAGTCACTCACTGTCTTCTCGCCGTCACCTCTTCGGCCTCAATCCCAACTCACACCTCCCTCTTCCATCGTTCTAACCCTCAGTCCAAGAGTGAACTAGGCACCAACGAAGCTATCACAGACGACGCCGCTGCTTCGGCTTACGTCGAAAACTTTGCGGTCAAGTTGTTCGATCAAGCCGATGACGAGGACCGCAAGGGCAAGAGTACGAGGTGAGCTGAGCCATGATGCGCTGACGAGGAATGGGATATTGGTGAGAATGCTCGGAATAACTGATGCCGTTTATTTGTGTCTGCGTTAATCTCAGGTTGACGGCCAAAAAGTTTTTAGCAGCCGCAAACTTTCACGAGATCTTGGCCACTTTTGGCGAGCTCAGTTCCGAAGTGAGCCACCGAGACCGAGCCCCATTCTCTCTGTACCAACCGCGTTTCCCCCAAGCTGAAACGAAGCACTCAACTGCGCTTCAGAATCGAGAAAAGATAAAGTACGCGAAATGGAAGGCATCCGACATTGCGAAAGCCTTTCGCGAAGGTCGCAAGCCGACACCCGGACCTGCCGGTGGTCTCCCCCCTCTCCAAGACGATAGCCCGAGAGGCGAAGTGACGTCGGAGGAAGCAAAGGAATTGGCTCGGGAACTTGCAGCTTTGGGAACGACGGGTGAACGACAGGGTGCGATCATTTCCGATCCGGAGGCGGGACCGGCGCAGAGTACCCGATCGGCGACTTTCCCTTCGACCGCCGATGATCCGGATTCGTACCCTTTCCCACAACACCCCACGACCCCCCTTCCTCGCGCCCCCGCCTCTCCAGCAGCCATCATCGATGATCTCGAACGAGCAGTCACTCCCCCTCCGCCACCTCCTACCGCCCCTACTTCAACAACCTTCCTCGACACTCCGAGCGATCAAGTCTCTTCGTCGATCGATCTCGGACCCACAACGCCTTCGATCCCCATAACACATCAAACTTCCGAACTTGCACCACCTCCTTCCCTTGCACCCCCACCTTCCATTCCTTCCTTCCCATCCGCCTCCTCCCCCACCCCTTCGACAGGTTTCGCCAGCGCCGTCTTTCCCTCCGCGCCACCCGTGATCGCACAAGAACCGATCCGTGCACGACCACTCATACCCACCTCAATCCCGACCCCAACAACCGCTGCATCTACCAGTTCAGGAAGTGTCTCTGAACCTTTGGACCCGATGAGGATCGCCCAAATTCAAAAACATGCGAAATGGGCCATCTCGGCTTTGAATTACGAGGACGTCGAGACCGCGAAGAAGGAGTTGAGGATTGCTTTGGGTATGCTGGGGTAAATGATGTGGGACGTAGCCTGGGTAATTTGATTTAGTGTTGGACTGCGAACGGGATTTGGGATGGGGCATGATGTTTGTGATCAGGTAAATTCGAGAGGGGTATTTTTTCTGGGCCGGGGGTGGGTGGAAGAAGGAAGCGGCCTTGCACCGCTTTGACAAACGATCAGTTTTTGTTTTTTTTTTGGGGGGGGGGAACCATCAGCTTTTGAAAGATGAAAAGTGGCATGGTCTCCTGCCCTTACCGAGCCCATCTCGATCGATCATAACCTCACTCGAACGCGATAAGCATGCTTTAAGCATGTCTCGGCGTTCGACGCGGAATCGGTCTCGGATGGGTGGGTGGGTGGATTGTCTTGCGACGCTTCACTTTTGCGCATCCGCACTCACCTTCTTGGATCTCGATCGCGACGAGCTACTAGGCCGCATCAAACTTTTACGACTCGGGAGCTTGTTATCGGGTGAGGCTGTCGACGGATCGTACGCCAGCTCTTGCAATTGATTGTCCTCGTCGTATAGGAGCGATCATCATCGGCTCTTTGAAAGGATCTGAGCTCATCGATCGAGCCGATTCTCTTCACCGAGCACCGAACAGCACCCTTATTCAAACACACCCCAATCACCTCGTTTCAACTCCAACTCCCACCCCCCTTTCCCACTCGCTCACCATGGCCCCTGCGCTCTCGTCGACAGCGGTCTCTGCTTCTAATACGACGGTCTCGGCCCAGTCCGAATACTACCCCGAGGATGTGGTGTCGTATCCGTCGAAAGAAGGAAGGACGCTCTATGGCGTCGTCACGGTCAGTCGTCGTTCGTATTGTGTGAGAGTGTTGAGCGGGGGTCGGGTGAGGGTGAGGGTGAGGGCGCGTTGGTTTGGGACTGGATGGAGCTGCGACGGGTGGCGCCGATCGGATGCGGTCGACAGCAGAGGGAGGAGCGGCTATCACAGAGCACGCTGTGCTGACTAGACGTGCCCTTTTCGTGACAGAGATGCTGGGTCGACGAACTGAACCCCGAAGCCGAGGCCGAAGCCGACAGGATGAATATACCTCACCTCGCTGTCAGTCTACAACTCTACCTACCACCCACCGAGGTTCGAGCTCTAGTTCTGACCCTCGGCGTCTGCTCCTGCATCACAGTTGCGCCGAGGTGAACTTGAAGTGCTCCACCCCGCAGGCTACTCGTGCGTCGTATCCGAAGAGGACGTTTCGCTCGTCGATCGGGGATTCCTCCCCTCCGACTTGGTCCGAAAGAGAGGTCGTCAAGGACAAGCAGGCACGATCGTCGAGCTCGACATTTCGGTCCAACTTCAACGCGTCATCGATCCGACCCCCGCTTCGACGACGTCCAACTCTGATCCATCGGACGTACCCGACCTCGAGATCGCCCCGGAATGGTACGACGTCCATGATCTCGGTCCGGCTACGGGCATGTCGAGAGGGGATCATGTCGTCTATCAGAATTGGGTCGGTATGATCGAGGAGGTGTTCGAGTTGGCCATTATCGAGACAAAGCAGGGGACTTTGAAGAGAGCGTGTGATGTTGGAGCTTATCTGACCGTCGGGCCCGTGCCCCAGGTGAGATCAAATCTGGGATCACCAGAGGAGCCTTGTTCTCCCCAGCTGGACTGACTCACTCGAAATGATGCTCCCCTTCAGGCCCGCGTCCCCTTTGAAGACATGCTCAACCCTCTCTTTCCCTTACAAGCGAAACGGATACGCGACGTCAAGCAACTCGCCGTGGCCGTCAACTGGCTCTGCACGAACCAACGACGACCCTGTCTGCCGACCGAAAGCGACGCCCTCAGACCGAAACGGTACTGGTCCGGCACGGACCTTGCGGGTTTACTCCTCGTTCGAGCGGGCGCTCAACATCTTCATTCGATAGGTGACAAGGTCGTATTCAAAGATCCGAGTCGGGAACCCCCTCGACCTACCAATGCACCAACCCTTTCCCCTCCTTTACCGGGCGATCGAGTCTTTGTGATCGCCAATTCTCGCACGAACTGTACCGTGCTCTGGCAGGATGGCACCCGAACGACGGACGCAGCGCACACTTTCGAACATTGTACGAACCTCGACGAAGACGTCGATACGTTTCCCGGTGACGTCGGCGTCTTCAACGGCGTCTCCCCCCCGCGCGTCGCCGTCGTCCAAGCGATGGACAGCAAGAAGCGTACGATCCGCGTGAGGTACCCCGATCATCCTGAAGAAGGGGAGGACGTGATCAGCGGACTCGAATTCGACCAAATCGGTGCGCCTCCCGAAATCTACCATGCCAAACGTCACGAAGTGGTGCTGATCGCTCAAGAAGGTTGGAAACACGCCTACGAACCCCCTACGATCCCTCGACTCGGAGATTCCGAAGTACTGAGCGGTACGTTCCCCGATCCCGAAGAAGTGCGTTACGAACTTTCGAAGATCGGAATGCGCATCGCCAACGCTTTACCGGAGGACCTCACCTCTTTTTCGTACGTCGATTATCCATCACCGAGGAGCAAAGCCGAGGAGTTGGTCGGCGTTGATTGGTATGGGTTCGTTTCGGACTTGTTGTTGGATGGTCGATTGGTGATCGAGTTACCTTCCAAGGTGAGATTGACGTTGCCGATCAATCAATTGTATCATCTCGATGATGGATTGGGACCGGATGGGGAGATGGGACCACCTGGTGAGGAAGGGGAGGGGGACGGCATGGATGAGGACGCGAGTGATGCGAGTTGGGTCACGGATGAGGAAGCTGGGGAAGGGTTGAATATGCCGGGGGGTATGGTGTGGGAGGATGATGAGGGTGAAGGAGGGCAGGAGCAGGAGGAGGATGTTGAAGGTTGGGCGGATCGGGATGCGGATGCGGATGCGGATGCGGATGCGGTTGATGCGGAGGGCGAGGGGGAGGGTGTGCCCGTGACGGATATCGTCGTCGATCAAGAGCACGAGCCGGCTACAGTAGACAAGGAACTCAAGACGGCGACGGAAAGGACCCCTCAAGTCTCGATGCCCTCGAGCATCGTCGACGATGAAAGGTGGTCGCGTTTCCTCATTCTCGAACAAGCTCCTTCGGATCACCACTATCTCAACCAAACCCCTCTCCAACCGTCGAAACAATTCATGTCGCGAGTACAAAAGGAACAAAAAGTGCTCGCTTCTTCCCTGCCACCGAACATCCTCGTCCGGGCCTACGAAGACCGTGCGGACTTGTTGCGATGTCTGATCATCGGACCTCTCGGCACACCGTTCCAAAACGCCCCATTCTTGTTCGACGTCTACCTACCCCCGACGAAATTCCCGACCGAACCACCTCACGTCTTCTTCCACGCCTGGGTGCAAGGAACGCGCGTATCACCTAATCTGTACTCGGAAGGCAAAGTCTGTCTTTCGCTTTTGAATACCTGGACCGGAACGGCGATCGAATCATGGAACGCTTCCCGTTCTTCGATCCTACAAGTGTTCATCTCGATCCAATCCCTCATCATGGTCGAAAACCCTTATTACACCGAACCCGGTTTCGAGAAACAACTTTCGACCGTCGAAGGTCAAGCGGCGAGTGATCTCTATAACGAACGAACGTTCGTCCTTTCCCGCGCGTTCGTCAAGAGGGCCGTCGAGTACGCGCCGATGGATTTTGAGAAGGAGGTGAGGGCTTATTATGTTGATGGGTTGGAGGAAGGCGTTCCGGGGGTTTTGGGGTTGATCGTAAGACAGAGTAGGGCTTTGTTGGAGGAGAGTGCCGAGTTTGAAGAGGAACAAGGGAGTAGGGAGAGCAGTGTGGTCGAGGGGTTGAAGGTGCTGACTGAAGGGGCGGGGTTGTCGTTGAAGAGGACCTTGATGGGGTTGGACAAGTTGGTGGAGCAGGTATAGATTGTTTCACTTTGCGATCGAGACGAATGCATTGCACTTGCTCTACTTGTCCAAGGTGATGGCTTGCCCCAAACTCGACACCTGCAATTCCTGTTCTGTGCCTTTGCCCAATGCTTTGCGCTCGTTGTACCTCTTTGTCTTGTGCGCTCTCGATTGTTTGCCCAGCCCAAACTCCTTGTCCGAAAGCTTCAACTCGTCGATCCCCTGGGTCAAGGTGTCGACGGTCGGGACCCAAGTCGACTTCAAGCTCTCTTCCGCTCCTACATCATTCTCCCCTTTGGCCGTCTTCTCCACCTCGATCTTGGGCCAAGGGATCTTGACCCACCCCGTATGGGTTCCCCCCTGCGCCCCCTCAATCTCCGTACCGACCAACTCGGGTACCAAGCCGTATCGATGCCAATGGAATCTGCCGTTCCTCCGATCCCAAGTGACTTTACTCCTCCTCAACCTCGTCGCGGTGTACGTTTTGCCCCCGTCGGTGACTTGCAAGCGGAGGTTGGAAACGTGGTAAGCGCGGGGTTGGTAATAGGTCGCTTGGGCGTCTCCACCGGAATAAGAAGCGGTCAATGCCTCGCCTGGGTATTGCGCTTGTTGACGTTTCTTGATCTGCGCAATGCATAAATTAATCATCAGGTGAGTTTTCATAAAAGAGATGCAGTCAAAACTGACCGCAAATTCATTCTCCCTCAACCAAACCCGATTCGCCTCCCTCTCGACCCTGTGCACGGTCCCCTGCACGCGCTTGATCGACTTGGGCCCCTTGACCAAGACGACCTTATCCATCGGCGCGATGTTCCAATACGGGATCCGATCCTTGACGTGTACGAAAGCGGGTTGCGGTCCGAAATGGGAAGGGACGGGCGCTCCGAATTGGCCGCCTTTGCGGGAGGCCGGACGCAGGTGGGTGAGCGTACGTTGGAGCGTGCGTGAGAGGTCTTTGGACATCGTTAAGATGGGGTGGGTGGGTGTTGGGTTGAGGAGGGTGGGAGGGGTATGGGGAAGTGGGGAAGAACAACGAGAGCAGGAGCGGATCAATCTTGCGACGACGAGCGAGAAAAAGTCACCGGTCGGCCCCGCGTCTAATTACGGATTACGGATTAGTCGCGGGGTACTAATCGTCAATTGAGGCTAATCCCCACCACCACCACTCATCCGCCTCCCGTCTCTTCTCCCGATCGACCCCACCCCAACCCACCTCATCCCACCATCCACCTCATCCCAGCAGCATGCCCTACCAACTCTGCATCCTAGGCTGCGGCACGATGGGCGTCGCCATCCTGTCCGGCGTGCTCGACAACCTCTCGTTCCCGAACGCCGCCCACGATCAGCATGCCCACAACGCCGGCGAGACCGCACCTTCTACCCCAATGGGCAGTCTGATCCTCGATCCGAGTAATCCGGATTCGTTGCCTGATCGGTGGGTGCGCCCTTTTCAGTTGGGGTGTGTTGGGGAGTCATGTACTGGGCGCTGACTGCCCGTCCGCCGACGCAGCTTCATCGCGACGGTCAACCGCTCCGAATCGGCCAAGAAACTTCGCCGCACCTTCCGCGACCACGGTCCGCTCGGTTCGACCGTCCAAGTCGTTCAGTCCGACGACAACATCACCAGCGTCGCTTCCTCCTCCGTCATCCTCCTCTGCTGCAAACCCCAAATGGCCTGTTCGCTCCTCCAAGCTCCCGGCATGTACGAGGCTTTGCAGGGCAAGCTGTTGATTTCCATTCTGGCCGGTACGACCATAAGTCAATATAGGGAATGGGTGCCCAAGAGTTGTACGGTCGTGAGGGCGATGCCGAATACGCCTTCCAAAGTGAGCCCCTTTTTGCGGCCGGGCCGTGATCGAGCCTTGCTCTTGATCGAACAAAGCTGATCACCGCGCGGGCAGATCCGAGAAGGCATGACCGTCCTCTCATCCCTATCCCCATCCGATCCTGAAACGCCCAAGAACCGGGACATCCTCCTCGCGTTGTTCACCCCTTTGGGCAGGTGTCGTTTCATGGATGAAAAGGTACTTTACATTCCCAACGCCGCTCTCTTCTCTCTCTCTCTCTCCTCCAATTAACTCACTCCCTCCCTCTCCTCCCTCGTACAAACACGGACACCAGCACTTTGACGCGGTGACGGCCGTGTGTGGATCCGGACCCGCGTTCGTATGTCTCGTCCTCGAAGCGATCGCCGATGGTGGAGTGATGATGGGTTTGCCGAGGAGCGAAGCGTTGGAATTGGCTGCTCAAAGTACGTCCGAAGTCACATGCGATGGGGGGGACGAAGTTCGAAAAGTGACCCCAACGCCTCGCCTTTGCACTGATTTCGTTCTCGCGTACGTATCGTAGCTATGCAAGGTGCGGCACGTATGGTGCTCCAAACGGGGATGCATCCCGCCGCGCTCAAAGATTCCGTCACTAGTACGCGCATCATCATCTTTTTTCACCTCTTCCCCTTTTCAAAAGCCTCTCTTTGACCAAACCCCCCTCCCCCTCCCCCATGTTGTTTCTTCCACTCGCCAGCTCCAGGCGGATGCACGATCGCGGGCCTTCTAGCTCTCGAAGATGGACGCGTTAGGTCCACGGTAGCGAGGTGTATTCAAGCGACTGCTTTACACGCCGCGGGCTTGGGGCAGAGTGGGGTCAACAAGTAAAAGTAGAAATGACGCCTCCGCGTAATACTACGCGTCATGAAAGAGATCGATGACGTATACCCTTCCCTTCCCGTATGATTCTTGCACGCTTCCCTTTTGAATAAAGCAATTGGGTTGGGTTGTTGGAGTCTCTTATACGAAAGACTCGACGCCGGTCGTGTGTAGTTAGAGCGCCTGGGAATCTTCTGAGATTCCTAAAATTCTCGAGTTTTTGACAAAGGCCGACGCCGTCGACGCTTCCCAATTTAGGCCGCAGCCCAAGCGTGCGTGCACGACTCGGGGAAGCGATCGATCGGCGGGTGAGTGATTTAGAGGAACAGAACTTGGGTGGTCTCGATGAATCAATCGTCCTATTAAAATTAAGCCTTCAGGGTGGTAACCCGTGCACGTTAGTAAGGTCCGAGTTCTAATTCGTACTAACTGTAACTAGCTGATTTGAAGGAAAACCCTTTCCCCACTTTTTTTTTTTTTTTTTTGACTCATCGCTCTCGAGCTGACCTGCGCGGCGGCGACAAGTCTTAAACGCGGGCTTCCTCTTACTAGTTCATCGCCCTCATCTTCCATCCCAAATGTCGACCCCTACCGCCAAAGTGAGTCCAACATATGAATCTACATCCGCAACATACCAAGCCGAACGTTGTCCCCCTCCCCCCCCCCCCGCTTACCCTTACTCCTTCCCACCCCAGTTGTGGTTACGATGCGAGACGAAGGAGTTCGAGCACCGCGCGTGCCTGACCCCGACGACGGCGAAGCAACTCATGGATGCGGGGTTCCAGATCACGGTTGAGGAGGATCCGCAGAGGATCTTTGAGGATGCTGAATATGAAAAGTACGTTGGTTTGATTGAACGTGGGGGGAGAAAAGTGGGGAGGACGACCTTATCTTCCGGCTACGTGCTCCGTACTTTATCGTCGTTTCTGGGACTCGGGACATCAGCAGCTGATCACTCTACACGACTCCCACTCAGGGTCGGCTGCAAGATGGTCAAACCCAACACGTGGCCTTCCGCTCCTCAAGACGAGATCATCATCGGTCTCAAAGAGTTGCCACCTAACGATAACTCCGCTTTACCGCACACGCACATCATGTTCGCTCATTGTTACAAGTCGCAAGCGGGTTGGATCGACGTTCTCCATCGTTGGGATCGAGCTCAACCGACGACCGGTATGCTGTACGATCTCGAATTCTTACAAGACGAACGAGGTCGTCGCGTCGCCGCTTTTGGTTATCATGCTGGTTTCGCCGGCGCGGCCGTTGGAGCTTTGGCTTTGGTCGAACAGATCAACGAAAAGAGGTTGGGTCAGATCGAACCTTGTCCCAATGAGAAGCAGTTGATCGAACACGTCAAGACGCAGTTGGAGCAAGTCAAGAAATCGTTGGCAAGGCCGGTGAAGGCGTTGGTCATTGGGGCTTTGGGGAGGTGTGGAAGGGGTGCGGTCGATTTCTTCTTGGCCGCTGGTTTGAACAGGTGAGCAAAACACAAACCATTCCGATTCCCTGGACAGATGTGATGGCCAACACCCTTTCCATGGCCTCTACAGCGAGGACGTTATCAAGTGGGACATGGCCGAGACGGCCAAAGGTGGACCGTTCGACGAGATTCTAGAAGGTGAGGGGGCCTAAACCCTAAAACTACACTCCTATAAAACTGTCCAACCTGAGCTTCACTCCCTTTTTTCTAACCCCCCAGTCGACATCTTTGTGAACTGCATCTACCTCTCGCACAAGATCCCTTCGTTCGTTTCGCGCGATTCGATCGCCGCCTTCAAAGGTGATCGTCAATTGCGTTGCGTGGTCGATGTTTCATGCGATACTACGAACCCCAATAACCCGATCCCGATCTACGACATCAATACGACGTTCGATAAGCCCACGGTCGATGTAGAAGGGTCAGTCCTACGGGGAAGGGATCTCCTTTTGATCGGAACGCATTTGAGAGTGCGCCATCATGCTAACTTTCCAGCCCCCCTTCCACTCGAAAGGATCACCTCCGGCCCTACCCTAACCGTCGTCTCGATCGACCACCTCCCTACTCTCCTTCCCCGAGAAGCGTCCGAAGCGTTCTCAAAGGACCTACTACCTTCACTCTTAACGCTCCCCCAAGCGATCGAGGAACGTAAGCAACGTGGTCTGGGACGAAGCATCAAGCTTTCGCAAGTGGGTACCGGTCCCGAGAGGGTTTGGAAGGAAGCTGAGGCGTTGTTTTGGGCCAAGTTGGAGGAGAGTAGACTCGCGGCGAAGGTATGAGGATCGGGGGGGTGGGGGGGGGAAGTTCGGGGGGTGGCGCTCAGGGAGCTCGTACGCCAGATTTTGGGTTAGAGCACGCGATCGAAGAGGTCTTTGCAAAAATGGGAACATGATTATTTGAGATCGTACACAGCTGTCGTGCTACGGTGTGATCTCGGCGAGGGGGGGAAAGATCGTCACGAGAGCACGTGAGCGTACACCGAACGTCCGCGATGAAACGCGGCTCCGAGTCGGTGTGAGGGAGGTCCGTCGATCGACTCCTCGATGATGCCAGTTCGCCGAGAAAAGAAAAAAAAAAAACATAAAAACATAAAAAAAAAAAAACATAAAAATACAGCTCGGAATGACCCGACTCTACTTGGTAGGAGAGATGAGCCCCTAAAGCCAACTTTGTTGACCAAGACGGGCCCGCGTCGACGGGGGGCGGCGCGCTTAGAAGATATCCGGCGAAGTCGAGCCGCCTGAATCGATCGTCGCCTTAGTTGAGTTCGCGAGCTCGCGCGGAAGAGCATTCGCTCGCCTCTCTTGGGTTGTCGTCCGTTCGGTTCGGTTCGTTTCGGTTCACACGCTGGTTCACGCACCCTAAAAAAGAGAAGCACACCACACGCACACACACACACACCTTTTTTTCCTTCTTTTTTTTTTCCAGTTGGTGGATTTCTGAACCGTGACGCACACATCCGACTTGGACTCGGGAGACACTTTTTGTCTCTTTTTTTTTTTTTATCAAACCACCTAACTAGCTATAGGACTAGGCTTGCACATCGACCAAGTTGTGATCAACCCCTCCCCTCCCCACCCACCCCACTCAACACAACGTGAGTGAGACCCAGATCCAGATCAGATCAGTGGAGTGTGCTGCCGGAGTGAGCCGAGTGGACCGGGTCCGTTGAAAGGGAGCACGCTTGGGCAAGCAAAGCTGGGTGATGGATGGCACGGCGGGGGAAGGGGGAAGGGGAGAGACGGGGAGACGGGCGGACGTGGCGGGGGCTAGGGCTGGACGAATGGACTTGGGGCGCCGACGTTGCTGGCGGGGTGGGCCGATCCGAGCGAAATGGGGGGAGCGACATGACTTGAGGGACGAGTTGGTTCGATGATGGGATCCCCCACGACGTCGACGTTGGAAGGACGGCGCTGTGGGTCGAGACTCGAGACGCTGGTGCGCAGATGGACCCGAGCGAGCGCACGGGACCTTTGGGACCTTTGGGGCTTCTCTCGCGCGGGTTCGCGCGTGCTGGCAGGTGCTGGCAGGTGCTGGCAGGTGCTGGCGCGTGTGGATCTGATCGCGGCGGGAGATGTAGGCGCATGCTCGACCTCACCATACGATCCAAACCGCGCCGATAACCCAAACTCGACCCTGTTCACCGACCGTTTGGACCGTCGACCGGCGATCCCGAATACGGAAACTGACCGCGTCTCGTATCTGATCCCTCCACGCGCAGTCTCCCCCTCGCCCGTGCCCCGTCGCCCGTCGCCCCTCAGCCCTCGCCTCCCTCCATCTCGACAGCCGATCCAACCTCACTCTCCCCAACCCAACCCAGCTGCTTCTCCAGCGATGCAGCAGAACGCTTCCTCGATCAAGACCGTCGTCGTAGGTGATGGCGCCGTAGGAAAGGTCAGTCCCAGCAAGCACGGAGACGGACGGAGCATTCTTCCCCGAGATGCGCTGACCGCAGGTGGCTTGCGTGCACGGATCTTTTGCTGCGATAGACATGCCTCTTGATCTCTTACACGACCGTAAGCTTACCCTTGCGAGGCTCACGAGAGCATCCCTCGAAGGAGCGATACTAATGCCGATCTGACTCCTCCCCCCCTCCCCCTCGGCGTCACTCTTTTACCTCATCTACGGGCTTCATCAGAACGCTTTCCCCGTGAGTCCATTTCGAGGTTCGTCTACGCGGCGGGAACTGGATCACTGATGAGCTGTTCTCGATTCGCTCCCCAGGGTGAATACATTCCCACCGTGTTCGACAACTAGCAAGTCCCAGCTCCCCCAGTCCATTCGAAGCCAAGCTCCCCTCATCTAACCACCCAAACCCCCCTTCCTCTCCACCACAGCTCGGCGAATGTCATGGTCGACGGGAAACCGATCAACCTCGGACTGTGGGATACGGCCGGTCAAGAGGATTACGATCGTCTGCGCCCCCTGTCCTACCCCCAAACGGACGTGTTCCTCATCTGCTTTTCCCTCGTTTCGCCGCCTTCGTTCGAGAACGTCAGGACAAAGGTGAGCTTTCTAAATCAAACCCTTCCACTCTTGAACGAACTCTGACGCCCCTAGCTCCCACGAACAGTGGTACCCCGAGATCTGCCACCACGCGCCCAACATCCCCTTGATCCTCGTCGGCACGAAATTGGACCTACGAGAAGACGCCGACACGATCAACAAGTTGCGCGAACGACGGATGGCCCCGATCGCGTACCAACAGGCCGCTCAAATGGCCAGGGACATCGGAGCCGTTCGGTGCGTAGAACGCTGAGCACGTACTGAGCTCGAAGAGAGATCGTTCGAACTGAGCTGGTTTGCGGGCCCCTTTTTCGCAGGTACTTGGAATGCTCGGCCCTGACGCAAAAGGGCTTGAAGACGGTCTTTGACGAAGCGATTCGATGCGTCTTGGCTCCTGCGGCAACAGAGAAGAAGAGAAAGCCAAAGGCTTGCGTCATCTGTTAAATCGATGATACGATCTTGACCGTTTTGGCGCGCCGTGATTCGACCTACCTTCAACGACAATGTCGATCATGGACACTCTTTTCTTCCTCTTTCACCCCCAACTCGTCATTCCGCCTCGTAATTCGACGAGGTTACGCTCCCGACCTCTCCTTCAGCCTCTTCTGCAGCTCCGACCTTGCCTCGCCTCGATCTCGCGCTCCTCTCCTCTGTCACTATCTCACTCTCTCATCCCACCCACCTCGCCGCACATACGGGTCGCCCTCTCCCATCAGTGCCCCACTACATCATCTTACTTTTATGTCCTATCCTTCATCTCGGGCTTCCCATCACCCTTCCGATTCCATCTAGTCTCTTTCTAGGTCTAGCTATTTCCTTCTCCCTTTTTTTTTTTTTTTCGTATCAAGTTTCGCCTCCCTGCCTTCTCTTTCTTTCCATGCACATTCTTTTTGTTCTTCCTGCGTGCCTAACTACAGCGTCCTTTCTGCCTCTGCTCTGCACTATCAAACTCATGCCTCCCCATCTGTACTACTGGCCCCTACACTCGACCTCTCCTCTTCCCTCTGGTCCCCAACAGCGATCCTCGATACGGCCCTGAGGAACTCGTTCATACTCCACCCCGCGCCATGCATCTTCATATCGTACCACCAATTCACAGCGATCACCACTCTATCCTCCTCCTCCCCATCTTTCCTCTGAACGACGTCGTCGCGCTTCTTCACCCCCTCCTGCCGTACAGCATGAAACCAGAGACTAGGGAGGTAGAGATAATCACCTTCGTTGAGGACGACGGTGAGCGGACGGGATAAGTCTTCGATTCCCGAAAGAAGTGACCTTCCATCGAGATGGGAAGCGTCAGAGTCGGAGTGAAAGAGCTCTTCCATACCGGTCGACTCCTCCGCTTTTATACTCCCCCTCTTGACCTTTCCCCCACCCAACCATGGGATCCGCACTCCTTCCGTGGGCACGATCCCGAATTCCTGCTTTGGCTCATCAAGCACCCACCTCGCATGCGGGAAAGTCCTCTCCCCCAAACACGCGAATTCGGTCGGTGGGTAAAGCGTAAAAAATTTAGTCCCTCGTATGACGAGGTAAATGTTCTCGTAAGGGTCTTAAGAAGAGTTTAGTTGGGGGGGGGGGGGGGGGGGGGGGGGGGGGGGGTTGTGAGTATTCATAACTTGTAATGGGATTGGTGTGTGACGAACCTTTATGAACGCAAGTTTCACTCCTTTCGTCCCCTATCCAAACATTCACCGCGTCCGGATCCGTACCTATCAAAAAAAAAAGAAATGAATCCGTACAAAAAATAGCTCAGTCAACCGTTCAGCGAACCCTGCGAACCGAACTTTGAACAAACAAAAAAAAAACGTACCGAACGATTGCCTAGCCCATTCGGGACCTTCCTCCCCTACGTCCTCCAACAAAAGTTCTAGATCTTGGTTCGGTTGCAAGTTACCGTTCTGGGATTGGAGGTAATAAACGGGGGTGGGGAATTCGGATTCGGGATTCGTAGGGGTGTTGAGGTGGTCAAAGAGGCTCGCGAGATTCATTTGGACGGCTTGCGGACCCCGCGCCGCGCGGCGGTGGAGGGAAAAAAACAAAAAGAGGATTTCAGTTTTGCTAACCCTTTTGGTATCACGAGGCGGCAGGGGATGCGTGCGTAGAGTAGTAGAGGTATTCGACTCACAGGCCGGTTCGACGAAATATTGCTTCCCATTCTTCGGGTCCCGAACGATCGAATCCGCTTTCCTGTACGCGCAACAACGCATTGAAGGTCCGAGTAAATTTTTGCCAACTTAGCGACCCAAAAAAAAACGAAACGAAAACCCGAAACGAAATCCGATTTGGTTCCTTGTTAAACTACGTACCCATCAGGACTAACAGCGACCACCACTTTCCTGTCCCCCATCTTGCGCACCAAATAATCTCTATCCCACTCCCTCAAAGCCCTCACCACTTCCCCTTCCCTCCCTACTAGCCCTTCCGACGAGGAGTCCACCTTCCCTCCCCTTCCCTTCAAACCGGCCCTAATCACCACAGGTCTACTCACCCCCACGAAATCTCGACTGAATTCCAACGCATCAGGAAAAGTGCTTAATTCGGTGAGGGTGCGTGAGTTGAGGGCTTGGTAAGTTTCGATGAGCTGCTTTAGGGAATCAAGGAGTTGAGTTGGAGTTGGAGTTGGAGTTTGAATTGGGAGGAGGGAGCGTTGCGGTTGGCTAAGTTCGTGGGAGGGGGCTTGGGGGAGTACGGTGGTGGGGTCTTGAGGCGGTGATGATGATGATGATGATGATGGAGACGCTGAGGAGGAGGAGGAGGTTGCTTTCGTAGCTCGGTCGTAACTCGATCCACAAGTGCGGCAAATCAAAGTTGAGTCCTCTCGCGGCGGAGCTTCGTCGTTGGAAAGCATCTTACTCGGATCTTTGCATCCCCCAATCCAAAATCGAGAGTACACCTTGATGGTCGTTCGATCGGCACGCGTTCGAACGAGGTATGCTTGGTAGGCTCTGGAACCGTAGGAGAAGAGCGAGAGACTCAGTCACGGAGGCGAACTCGCTTCGCACACTACGAGCGAGCGCCCCAAGTGGGGCCGACACGTTACCCTTTCAAGTCTCATTCCATTCCTCCCTCTCCACCTTTCACAGCATGTCAATCATGTGCAAAACGTTTTTTCGATATTCACAAAGCAAAATAAGCACTAATAGATGGGGGGGGGGGGGGGAATACCAAAACCAAAAGGGGACGAAGACAAAAGAAAGAAAAGAAAAGAAAAATCCGACGTAAAACTAAACATCAAAGAAAGAAAGAAAGAAAAAGAAACTTGGAATCGACGGATCAGATCGTATATAGAGTCCCCTCCTCCCTGCCACCCCCTCAAGCCGGAGCAGGCAACACCAAGCTCCTCCTCAACCTCGTCACGACGTCCAAGTACCTCGTATCGGCCTCGAAGGGGAACCAGCCATGCCTCAACAACCAATCGACGACGACGAGTCCGCAGTTCGGCTTGAACTCGTCCTCGACGATCAACCTCCTCAACACCTCTTCCAGATCCATCAGTTCGAACGACTCGACTTCGCCGTCGTCCGGATTGCACGTCGGGATCACGACTTCTACCCCTTCCTGTCCAAGCTTTCGAGGCGATTCGAGACGTAGGTCATAGACGTATTGGACTTCAGGTTGGATCCAGCCGTGGTCGGTGCGATAGGTGTAGACGACGCAACCCGTTGAACGGAGGTGACGAGCGACGTAGGCGGGAGGGAGGGACGCTTCTTCGGCGCATTCGCGAATCACGGATTCGCGAGGTGAGTCACCGGCCGTGATCCCACCTGCGACGGTGTTGTCGAGAAACCCGGGCCAGCTGAGTGAGAATGAGGACGAACAGAAGAGTCGGGAAGAGGACTTCATAAAACGCACTAAAGTCCTAAAGACAGAAATGACTCACGTCTGCTTCGTCGCCGCTCGACGAGGGACCCACAACTTGACCGGCTCGCCTTCCTCCTCGACATAAGCTGTGAACCCGCAAGCATTCCCGGAATCAGCTCCCGATCACAATACAATCACGATACCGCTTTGTCGGTGCTCACCAGTGCAGTGCACACCAAAGGTCGTCAGGCCAAACAGGGCACATGCGGCACGTTCCATCGTAAAGGCGACGTTGCTGCCCGGAAGGGGGTTCTCGTCCGCGCCGTGCGACTTGGGGCCGTAGACGGTGTAGAGCTCGTTCCTCCAGCCTGGTCAGAAAGCGTTTCAATCTTCAGTAACAGTATCCAAAGCTCTTGTCGGGACTGTGATCTTTGATACAACTCACCACCCAAGCATTCCTCAAACTTGCCGGCTCCCTTCCAGTTCCTGACCAAACGATCGATATGCTCGCCCCTCAACTGCGGGCCACCGTCATTGACCCAATCCTCGAAACCGACGGCATACACCTTATCCGCCGCCTCGTCGGGATCGAGGTAATTCCCAAAGCCATTCCCGTTCGAGCCATCATGTCCCGTCGCAGCGATGTTGCGCAAGCCCTCAATGACGTCCTTCAACGCGCCCACTCCCCCATTCGAAGTCGGACTCGTCGCATCCGAAGGTAAAGATCCTCCCACCCCACCGGGCGTATTCGTTCCCGAACCCGCTGTACTACCACCCGCATTCGGTCCCATACTCAACACCAAATGACTGTTCCTTCTCGAATTACCACCGGACCTCGGCGTCCCGGCCGTCGAGGACCTCCTCCTCGATTGAATGGGTCGAGGGAACCTAACAGGCGGGAGGAAGGACCAAACGGGACGAATGTTGATGCTCACGAGCTTGCGATTATCCTCGATCATAGCTTGGACGATTGATGGACGTAGGAAACCGATCGGTTGCTCGGGCGTCTTCTTGACTTTGCCCGAGTCCGAAAACGAAGGCGAGCGCATCGGCGCGGGCGAAGACGTAGGTGAACTCGAACGAAGGGTCGGCATCGGGGTCAAACGAGTGAAAGAAGGACGACCATGGTTTGACGACGTCGTCGACGCTGACCCACGCCTTGAAGCAGGGGCGGAAGCGACGACGGGGGTCGGGGTACCCGAGGTGCGAGGGAGCTCGACGAAGAAAGGGCACAGGAATTCTTGGTCAAACTCAGCCGTCGAGCTGTCCGTGCCTTCATTGACCTGATCGTAATCGAACTCGTCATCGTCCTCGTCATCATCATCCAACGCACTCGAATCGACCTCGTTGTGAGACTCGGCCCTCTTCGTCACCGACTTTGGCGCAAAAGCTTGCGAATGCGCCTCCCTCCTCCTCCTACAATCACTCGCCTTCCAAGGACCACGGGGCAGTTCAAAGTTGTCGCATTTTTCAACGACAGGCAGGAGCGTGTAGGTCCCCGGTGGAAGGGGTAAGATACGAGGGTTGGGGGGCAAGTCGTCAAAGATGGAGGGGCATGCATCGCGCGGTGAATCAGGAGGGCTCGACATGCTTGGGCTTGGCCGGAATCCTTGGCGTTTCCTGTTTTTTTTCCTCGAGTGTCTCCTGAAGCTATCGAAGCGTATATCCGGTCGAGTTTTGCCGCAAACGACGTCACAGATCCGCGTAGGGGCTCGATCGAAAAGGGGCTTCTTTTGACAGCGCCGAGCCTTTTTTTTTGGCCGAAAAAGGGGGGTGGTGCGGAAAAGGAAAAGGAACAAATCACGAGATCAGTACCCATCGCGGTAGTAGATGTGTACGGAGGAAGCGGGACATTCGAAAGCGAGAATCGGGAGTGGTTCCATGTAGTTCCGCACGATTGCGTGGCTCAGGAGAGTGACACCCTTTGGGTTTCAGCGGGGGCGCTGCCCCCCCCCCCCCCCCCCCAAGTAGAGTCCACTCTAGGCCATCTCAAACATGTCAAGCACGGCATCCAGAGAGCTCAACGCAAGCAAGGCTCGAGCGACCGATCGCCATCGGCGCTATGCAAAGGCCGCGACAACGCGAGGCCGCCAATCGCCGCGTCGCAGTGGGGCTCAGGAACGCGGAGCGAAGCGGGCCCACGACACCTGATCAAACGACGGTCGACGCGAGGGGCGAGGGCACTCACCTGAGCCAGGGGTAACACTGAACACTTGACGAGGTTGAGAAACACGGACGATCGGGAAGAGAGCGTCGGTGAGCGCGAGAGGACGAGGGAAAGAAAGCGGAGGAGAGCGAGAGAGCGAAGTCGTCGCGGCCAGCGCCGTGGCCTCGGCATGAAACGGCCTGAGCCTGGCTGAGCTGGCTGAGACTGGCAAAGACGGGCTAAGACGGCAACGGACCGCATACGGCAGCAATCGCGGGGGCAGGCACCGCCGAGCAAAAAGACCACCACCCACCATACCGCTTAATGGCGTGGTCACACATCATGGACTCCTATCGCCATACAGTCTTTAGGCTCGCTTTCTTTCGCTGTACATCCGAAAAAGAATCCTCAGCGCGCCGTCCTCATTCGAAACGAAATATCCTGAAATCGTGATGAGAAAATGCACCGTGGCAGCGGGCCTCCTAGTGATACATCGAGATCGCTTCCTCGACGGTGAGGCAGTGCACAATCAGCTTGGTATGCAGCGACTGAAAGGATGCACCGCGCGTCGCGTCAAGATCATTTTCGATCGCTCGATCAGTTAAAGCAGGCCTCCTGTTCACGCGCGCCCTAGTACTAGACTCAGGAGGTCACTCGCAGGTCTCCAGGGAGCTGACGCCTTCATTCTCGATGATAGGGAAAGTATGTAACGCGTGATCCGTCTATGTGATCTTTGCTATCTGGGGTGGGTGCACGATAATACTCCGAGGCGGCGGTGGGCACGAATCGAACCATGTCCCACTGCGCTTCGGCGGCATTGTAAGGCGTCGGTCCGCCTACGCGACGACCTCGAGCCAACCTCAGCGGCCTCACGCTTGCCCTCGCGCGCGGCGCCACAGCGTCTCTTGACCTTAGTCCTTTTAGTAGTCTTTCTTCGCCTGCGAATAACACCGTTTGATCCTTTCAGTTTGGACTCGGAATCAGTGAGGCTCGAGAGCGATCTCGTGCCTTTCAGGCATCTGCGGCGAAATCGCTCACGAAGGATAACCGTGCCGCAACTGGCCGGGAGTTTCAAGAAAAGTCGGAATATGAACGAACTGAAGAGCTAAATGAGCTAAAAAAGGAAAGGCAAGGCAAGGAACGAAAAGGGTGGAGTTGAAGAGTAGAAAGGAGGCAACCAAGAGTTGACCGCAGCTAAGGATGAGAAAAGAGGAAAAGAGATAAGAGAGCTACGGATCGCTATTTAAGGAGATCAGGGGAAATGAAAGGGAGAGATGTGGACAATGTGGTTCTTTGTGATGACCTAGGACAATAGAGACAGATGAGATAAAATAGGAAAGGATGACAAGGGGGCGCACAATGGTTGTCAATCAAAGGCAGGGAAAATGAAAGGAAGGTTAGGCAAGTCGGTCCGTCGGTCCGAGGTTTGAGCATGCACCTACCGAGTGGCTGCCGAACCTTACAGCTATCTTTCGACGGCATTTTTGTCTTGTCTTTGTTATTGAACCGCAGCCGATCGTCTGATTTCTAGGGTTTACAGTCTGTGGATGAGTTGCACAAACGCCGCAGCGTTGATGTCCCGCAGATCGTGTCAGCTCGACCCGCAGGACTCTCTCGACGAGCCGTTTGATCGACGGGCAAAGGAATGGGGAGGGGGGACTGCTCTTGGCTTCTTACATGATGGAACAGAGCCCCCGTAGTACTTTTTGCACAGCCCGCAGTTGTAGTTGTCCATATCAGCCTTTATCTCATCGCGGTTGCATTCTGCAATCGAAGGGCCGACGTCAGCTCCCCGCGTCAACCGTGGACATTCTATAATCTTAAGAACCCATAGGGAAGTGAAAGAGACATACCTGGTATGCTCAACGCCTTGGCACCCACTTGATCCGTCCACGCTTGCGCTCGTTCCGCCTTGCGCGTCTCGAATCCAGGGTAACCGTCGAGAACACTGTAGCAAATGCACTTCCAATCCGAAGAGCTGCTGCACTGCTCGCGCACCGAGATAACGTCAAGTCGACAGGGGGTCAGCTCTTCGACAATGGGTCACTCCCGTCCTGTTCGATCGGCGAGACACGGCATTCGTCCGATATCGCTGAACTCACCGGAGCATTGTGGGTCTGCAGCAATTTGCTCACTGCGTGGAGGTAGCAGAGTTCGATTTCTTTATTACTCAAGAGCGCCGAAGCAAGTGAGGCGATGCCGAACACGACAGTGAGGTAAGCGAAGCGGACCATCTCGAGAGAAATGAGGGCCGATTAACACGTTGTACGAGACGACGGGATGTGCCGAGTCTTGATTTGGAGTCCGCCGAGTCTGGACGCCTTGCCTTGACCTTGGAGAGTGAGGATGAAAGAAGAAAGGCAAGAACGAGTTGGACGAGTCACGCAACATCACTTCTCGAGTTCGGCCTTCTCCTGTCCCTCAGCGGCTTGTGACTGGTGAAACCTGGTGAAACGCGCATAGCCTCCGCCGGGCTAACGCCGGGCCGTCCGTTCGGTGATCGAGTCGTCTAGCGCCCGTTGAATGGATTCAGCATAAACTCGGGTGATTGACCACACCGGTGTTGACTCGGGGTTTCAGTAAGCCGACTTCATTTCCGAGCCGGAAGTAGGTAGGCGGATAGGGAAGCTCGGGGAGTTCAAGGGGGCGCGCCGGCTGAACGCGCCTGCGGAACTACCTACTCTCAGACAATGTCTCCCTCGCCGCTTCTGATTACCCGATCCACCGAATGATTGACCGCGGAGCGAAGGATGTAATAACTCCGATCGAAATAGTAACAGGCTAGAAAAGGTGGAAGGATTGTGCAGTAAGAGATGGTGGCGAAGGGAAAGAACCGGCAGGACGGGACGTGCCGTCGAGTGTCACTGTGGCGGTGAAGCGCGCTTCCGGTCCGACGCCGTCTGACGCTGGACTTTGAGTGATCGAGCAGATTCGGGTCACGCGGCTGCGTCGTGTCTCCGTATCCCTCCGAGGAGGAACCACGTAGACCACATCACCAGTGCGAACAGTTGCAGCCACGCGCTCACCATGTCACCACCCAACGTCTCAACAGGGCCATCTCACTCAAGCTCGAGTCATCAGCGCTAGGTGTAGATTTGCTCTTCAAAGCTTCAACCTTCGCCCAAGCATACACACTGCCCCGGGCGGAAAACCCTCATGTCCCGAGTGCGACATCTCTGTGTAAGGAGCCCAGATTACTTAGCGGCAGGCGTAAGTAAAGGCGGGTTCCTCGGTAGTACGCTCGAAGTTGCTTGACAAATAGACAGTCCCGACACCATTCGATTGTCAAGAGTCAATAGTGAGGGTCTAGGGAAAGATGAGAAAAGAGGAAGAGAGGAAAAGATAGAAGAGAGCTACGGATCAATGTTTAGGGGCATCTGGCGATAATAAAGGGAGCCGTGTAGACAATGTGGTTCTTTTTGAGAAACTAGGACAATGGAGACGGATAGAGCAACAAATAGGCAGGTGTCAAAAGGATGCACAATAGTTGACAGTCAAAGGCAGGAAAGGGAGGTCAGGCAAGTCGTTCCGAAGTTGAGCTTGGACCTACTGGGTGGCTGCCGAACCTTACACGCAGCCGAGGCTGCTGTTCATTTACTAGCTGGCATAGTATTCCTTTTAGGGCCTCCAAAAGGCCTGCTCGACTACTTTCAAGTATTCTGACGAAATGCCGCTATTGTATGCCGGACGCAGAGACAGCAGGAGATTCGAAGAAAGTAGAGATGCAGCGTGTTCCTCGCGCGAGCTCGAGCTCGACCGTCGAGCCCCTCTCGAGGTCGATCGCGCACTGCACGCTGCACGGGAGGCGCCCCTGTTGGCGGACGCGACGTTGAACGGGGCTCGGCAATATCGAAGAGGTCCATTTTAAACGTCACGTGGGATGATTGACTTCTGTATCGTTTGGGGCTATCTTGATGTTATCGGTGTTCTGGAACCCTGAAAAAGAAGTTCGAGGCCGAGCAGAAGGTAGTGGTCTGTGTGCGCGGGGGACAAGCCAAAGCGTCCGATTTCATCGTGCGCGATCGCGAATAAGTCCCGCGCGAGCGTCGACGCGCGGGGCTCGCGACTCACCTCATCGTCCCACTCGCTTTTCGAACATCCACTCCACAGGCGGCTCAGCTTTCTCCCCCTCTCTTGTTGACTCCCTTCCTAGGCCTATCCATTGCTCGCTACTTCTGAAACACCTCCTTGACGACGGCAACAATGACAATCGGCAATCCCATGCTCCCTCGATTCTAGCCCATTCGCTTCCTCCAGCCATTCAGAGAGGATCGCCGACTGGATAGTCAAGATCGAGCTGGCTCACATCTATCCGCCCATATCGACCCTTTCGCTGGTGTGCCGTGCCTGGACCGAGCCGTTCTAGCGCTTCGTGTGCCGCGTCGTCGAGCTGCCCACCACCGCATCGCGCAAGTCGATCTCGACTCGGATCTCGCCCAGCGCTATCTTATTCCGCTAATCACCTCCTGCTTATTCTCCACTCTCAAGACCCGGACTTTGTCATCGAATACCCGGGCTGGCGCGCGAGGGTTCATAGGAAGAAAGTCGATTCCGAGGCAAGTCCGCACACCATTTGCAGTGCAAGGCCGTGGTCTGAGCGGTTCAAGGCGTCAAAACGATCGGAGGAGAACCTTGCTACCTCGAATTTGGCAAGATGAGGGACAGCCTCGAAGGTCTTGAAGCCCGGAGGCGAGTCTCGAAAAATGCATACCGTTTCGGTTGGAAACCCATCTTCATCGCAACTGTCGACCCCCGGATCTTGACTCGTTCTCTTTGATGGATGCGACCGCAATCGGTGCCCCTCGCCTCGTCGTCCGATCGACTGGTCATGTTGCCCCTCTACTTCCAAGAAATTATCGGATCGGATCCCCCGACTACGCTCCGCATGCGCAGCTGCGCGAGCTGACTTTAAGTACGCACATCGAATCCATGGCGACCAGACCTACGCTCCGCATGCGCAGCTGCGCGAGCTGACTTTAAGTGCGCACATCGAATCCATGGCGACCAGACTTCGCACGGCCCAAGACGCCATCTAGAGGGTGAACTCTCCAGATGTGTTCCATCTCGAACTCTGAACATGCAATAAACGGTGGCCCTCGGTCCTCTCCAGGAGCTACGCGAGCTTTTACTCGGCGCCTCCATCGATCCGGCGGGACGAACGCGCTCGCCCGGTGTTCCCGACCACACGGCCGAGATGTGGTAGGTTGCGCTCATCGCTTGGGTCCTGTTCCCACCCATATCTGAGTTGGGAAATGGGAATTCCCGGAACTGAGTGTTACGAAGAACAAAAGAAAGTTTGGCTGAACTGAGAGTCGAACTCAGGTCCACTCCATTAATCAGAGTTGCTCTGACCTCTGAGCTACTCAACCAGCGGGAATAGATCAAAGCAGCGGCGCACCCGGGTCAAGCCGGCGGCGGTTCTCCCTTTCCCCTTTTGCATGTAGGGGTGGCATTGCGGTCCGCTGCCGCAGACCGCCCTTCTTCGACCTGAGTGGAGTTCGACTCTCAGTTCAGCCAAATCTTCTTTTGGTTTTCAGGGGCCTCCACCGCGTCTTGTTGTGACCGAGCATAGACTTGGGATTTCGCGGGTCAGGGTAGCTGCGCAGTCGCTCTCCTGTCTTTGTCTCGACCGAGTTGGGAAGTGGGTGCGGGGTGGGCCTCTTGTCGTTAGTACGCCAGTTCTTTTTCATATTCTCTCTCTCTCCTTCTCTCTCTCATTCGTCTCCTGGGGGGAGCAACCGCTTGGCTGGGGCACTTGAATCCGAAGTATCGGATTGGTGGACTTGGCCCGTTTCTCGCATCTTGCGGGCGGTTTGTGTTATCATCGTCGACTTCCATCTAGTTTTTCCGTAGGCCAATCAGGGGGAACAGGAATTGGGGGCAATATGATGAACGGTTTCTACAAAAAAAAAAATGGGAGCCGCGGCGGGCGGACTGGTGCACGGCCACATTGACTTCTACTATCTGTTCCTCATGATCATTGGTAGCTGTTTGTGAAAACGAATGGTCCTTGCATCTGCATGCTGAGAGAGGGTTAACTCCATTTTCTAGAAGCGAGTGCGTCAACTTGAACCCTGCGGACTCCGGTACGGAACTGGTGGCGATAATAGTAACCAACACAGGCGTTGAGGAGAAAGATTCGGAATGACACTAGAATCGCTTTTGCATCTTCCGTGCCAAACATGGAGAAGACCTGCTATTTTAAATAAGATCGCGTCAGTATTTATACACTCAAACATCTGTTCCATATAAAATTGACCGACCCTAGCAGCTTTCACAAGCTCTTCCTTGAGACTAGCTTGGTTCTAGTAGCCTCGGCTCGAGCAGGTTCTTGGGCTGGCTTGGCACGAAGCAGCTTCGAAAGGGGTTATGCAGGGGTTGGCCAGATAAAACGATCGCCGGTGATCATGCTGCGGCTGAAGTGGCTATGGTAGGCGGTTGTGCAGTACAGTGTGACGCGGGCGAGAGGCTGAGAGCTGGGGCGATCAGAAGCTGAGACCGCGAAGGAGTGTCGACACGTGACTTCCACCGAGAATCGACGGTGACGGTTTTCTGCCCTTGCAAGTTGTTACCGAATTTTACTCTATTGGTCGAAGTCAGTTCCTGCCAAGTCCTCTGTAGGGTCATGAAACCCCTCGAATCACTACGCAGTAGATACGTAGTTCACGCATCAGTCAAGGGTCCGCATTAGACTGCTGCCAATCCGCTCAAGTTTCCGATCAGATCTGATCTGATCTGACAACGGCCAGATCAAGATCAAATAGATCAGGCCTCGAGGGGAAAAAGTCAAATGTACCCACCCAGATGCTGCAAGTGCGTGCTTGGTCGCTGTGTCTGATTCGGCACAATGCATTCCCAACGTGTTTCCGCCAGAGTTGCGCTGTTTTGATTGGTGCTCAAAGTTGGGCCGACCCAAGAGATCCAAACGACGGCTCGAACGAGGTATGATCCAAAAGACCACAGAAATACTACAGGGTATGTTCCTCTCCTCTGATGGGCTTTTGTTGCGACTCATTAAAAACATTTTCTCATAGGGATCATGCGACAACCCAGTCAAGTCAGAATAGCGGCGAGTTTCTCAAAAAAGCGTCGGCTTAGCAAGATGAGGATGAGGAGGAGGATGAGGAAGAAGATGAGGATTTGAACATGTAGTCTCCCTGGGCCAAATTCGGCCATCCCATGTCTCAGATCAAATTGATCGGATCAAGACCAGGAGAATCAGAAAAAAAATTAGATCAGATAGGATCTGGCGACCATCTCACGGGTAACTGCGCGGCCGCGGCCGCGCCGCGTTCACCCCTGACATGCGCCACGAGTCAATGCACGGCAAAGCACGGAGCGGCTGCCTCAAAGACCGCTTCTCTCGTTCCTTCACCCATCCCCAGTCGACTTCAACGAGGGAAATTGCTGTCCACATATTGCTCAATCTTGCCCAATCTTGAATCAATCGCTTTTTTCCTCCTCGCTTCGGCGCTTTGACTAGGAGTCGGCCCCCTCCCTCGACCGCGTGAGCTTTTCTCGCCTCCTCTCCCGCTCGACGTGCTGAGCTCAGCAGCAGCTCAAGCCTTCTTCCCTGCAGCAGCCTGAGCTTAGGCCCCAACGCCCCTGAAAAACACTCCAATTGATTTTCATGTCCTCCGTCCGAGCTTCTACCATCGGCTTTGTTTGAGGTCGTATAGTTGGTGGCCCAACCCCTGGTCCAACGCGGGAGACGAACGGCAGCCTTATAAGGCGAGTCCTTACTAGGCAGATCCTGACCGACATTGGACCATAGCAATTTCTGCATTCGACACGCTCTAGCCCTGCCCGACGTAACGTGAGTTCACCTCATCGCCAGTGACGGCTGTTGTTTTCCATGCGCCTACCTCTACGAAATGTCGACCGCGGGCCGCATCGGCAGGGAGCGATTCGCCAGCGAGATCTGCGCCCTTGAACCCATTGCTCGATACTTCCCCTCACAAATAGGGGGCCGGACTCTACGTAAGTTCGTTACGTAATCGGATTAATGGAAAATTTAGCATCAAATTCGGGGATTCTTTGAAACATACTTTTGACCGGGTCGAACTTTTCTCATAGGTGGTGAACAACCTCATTCCTTCAAGTCTCGGGCCCCTAAACGCCAATGAAGTGAGGTCACAATTACGAGACTCCTTCTGGGTTTCCTCGACTAACCCCTCCTTACAGCTTTCGCATTGCTCAAAGGGACGTGCGACTAAACAAGTCAACTCATTATGTCCTTTGCGTCCGGATCCGAAGGGACCTTGTCAGAGTCAAAGACCCAAACAGGGAAATAACAATGAGAGGATAGGAGAGAGATGGAAGATCTACCCAACGTTGTACCGCAAAAGGCCCAACGTCGATAGCATTTTTTGAGTGCGCGTGCGTGGAAGATGAAGATTTGCAGCGAAGTGCGAAGACTGAGTGCTGAAGGATGATTCGGGTCAAGGTGTGGGAACACTATGGATCGAATCATATTACAACTGAAGTAAAAAGAAGGAGAGAGAGAGAGAGAAAAGGCTACGAAGAGAGACTAAATACCCGCATGTACGTTGAATGGTTTGTTCGCACATTGTTCGCATCCGGAGGAGGAGCCGCAACGTCTCAGACAAGTAGTTCGCATCCGAAGAGGAAACCATATGTCGCGGATGAAGAGCTCGGATGAGAGGTGGCATCCGGAGAGGGTACCGTGATGTCTCGGATGAGGAATTCGGGTGAGAGGTGGTTGCTCGAAGATCTTGACTATGACAGACCTCCATCAAGTTCAAGCTCAAATCAACAAGACCTGCCTCGACGAAACTCTCTTACTCTAGACGACTTGAACCGGTCATATCATAATTTGGAATGCTATCATGTTTCAGGTCAGGGCAATAAAATCGGGGTATTTGCCGACGTATCGCAAATAGAAAAGAAATGCCCGTACGTGAAGGGAGAAGTCAGGGGTGGGCTGGAGCCCGCCGCCCATCTCGAACCCCTCAAGCCGGCCGCCTTCGTGGATCGATTGCAAGAGAGGAAGAGCGCGCTCCCGGAGTTTCGAGTCGGTCGGATGGCCTTGTTGTGCATCCCTGATGTGAATGGTAAAGTGGCATTGCGTAACTTCTTGGCCCCGGCCGAGTGAATTGACCCGAAATCGTAGACTAAATTCTAGTTCTTTGAAGTTCACATACGATTACAACATATTCCCCCCAAACCACTCACTTTCCAAACGGACCTCATTCCGGTCCGGCGACTTTCCTCCCCTCCCGGACGCCCGTCGAAGGATCTTCCATTTCGTCCCACCCTACCGCGACCAAGGTTTTACCGGTCTCGTGGGAGACGGCGAACAAGACGCCGAGAGAGTTGGCGGCCGTGGAGAGGAAGTAGGATCGAGAGTCACCGAGGGAGATCTGTGGGGATCGTCTCAAGAGCCGATTATGAGTGCTCGGAGCGGACGGGGAGGGATTGAATGGAGACGCGCGAGGACGTACGACTTTGGCTCGAACGACGTCGCCGGGCCGGAAGCAGGACCAGATCTGTGTTGCAAAGATGGGTAAGCGTTGGTCACCTTGAGGTTGATAGATGGGATCGCACCTTGACCGAATCCTTTGCTGTCTGTCTCACATCCGGTGCGCGGATGATGCCGACGAAATCCGGTCGACACGGCTTGCCATTGACGGTCAGCAAGGACAACGTTGCCGACAAGCGTGTTATCCGCGTCACAGTTCCAATAACCTATTTCAAGTTGTTCGCTGCGTCAGATAAGCCAAAGCGCGACATCCGAGCAGATCTGTTGCGACTGACGATCGAGTTGGGTTCCGGGATCGCTTGTGCATCGTCCTTGCCCAACACTGAGATGATCTGCAAAGAAAATGTAGTCAGTACATCTTCAGCTCCCTGATCATCACCCAGGTAATCGACTGACCCCAGCCGCTTTGACCAGCTCCCCTTTGAGACCGGCGTAGATCTGGCCTCCTCTCGTGTACGTCCCCGGTCCAGCTTGGTATGTGGCAGTAACAGCTCCGGAAGGGGTCAAAGGTTGACCGGGGATGACGATCGTGCGTGGTGGCAGGGCAGTTGAAGTGGACATTCGTGGCCAACTAGGGGCTTCAAGTTGTAGGGCTGTGCGTGCGAGAGCTGCGACGAGGGAGACCGAGGTGCGAGCGAGTGTTGCAGGGATCTGAAGAGGCTTTGAGTGGTCTCAGTGATGCGGAATGGGTGTAGTTGATGATACTCGCGCAAGGTGACACGATGAACGAGACGAGCGCTGAGACGACGCTCGCCAGCAGCCGCGCTCGTCTCCGTCCAAGCCTGTATGTAATAATAGTGGCATTTTGCAAATCGGACTCAATCAAATGCTAATGTCAAATAAGACGCCCATCCCGCGCCTGTGAAGCTGGCACGGGGCCTGCCAGCTGCGTTGGCCTGCTTCCGTTTCCAACTCACGCCACCTCCCACCTCCCACTTCCAACTCGATACTAACCAGCATGTTCGGAGGTACAGCCAGCGTAACGACCCTCGTAGCTACGTCGCATGTAGCTGATGCTCGCTCTCCCTCGACTTGTACTATAGGACCCGCTCAAGGACCGACGCCTGCGCAAATGGCCTTGGCCAAACTGCAGGCCCGCGACACGTTCAAGAACTTTTTCATCACCTTGATTGGGTTGAGGATAGGTCAGTTCATCCTACCTGACCTCATAAAAGACGCATGACTAGAAGTGCGCCCGACCTGATCTCCCTTCCTCCTCCCACCCAACCTCTGGACTTTCCTTTGCCGCACAGCTCCGTTCGCATGGGACTTTGCTCGATCTTTCTTCAAGAAGTGAACGCTGCAATTCGAGCTTCAATCTGATCCTGCCAAGGGTCGGATACCTGTCGTGGCCCCACACCGACAGCGAGCGAACGAGCATGCGGATCGGGAAACCATCCCGTGCGATTGATCTCACTATATGACAGCTACCGGGTCGACGAGTACAGAGTCGAATACAAAGAGCAGGAATAGGAGAGTCCCACTGTAACACAAAACAACATCCTAATACACGAGGTCAAGACATGAAAGACCCCCCCCCCCAATTACAGAAACCTGGAGATCATAAGCCGTCGGAGGGTTAGCCCACGGATTCGAGTCTGCTGGATCGACGCATGATTACTCACACAAGCACGAACGCCTCAACTTTCGAATCACCTCGCTTCAAGGGACTCAACCTGACCTTGACCTTGGCGATCTTGTCACCACTCGTTTGGTCAATGCTAGCCATGGGGTAACTGTGGGATGCCCAAAGAAACACTCGTAATCAGTCCACCATGAACGACGCTCCATTCGATGCCACAAGCCAAACCGACGTACTCTAACCTGGTCTTGCGAGCCTTAACTTTGACCCCGACTTCCAGGACCATCTCCTTCCCTTCAACGACCGCGTCCAAAAACTTTTCCCTCACGCGCTCACCGGCCGAGAGCGTGCTCGAGAAGCTACCGCTGTGGTAAGAACTGCTAGTCGTCTCCCCCACTGATGAAGCGGGTGGAGAGGGTGGGCCCGGTGCGCTCGTGATGAGGGATAGGACGTCGGTTTGGAGTAGGTTCGATTGATGAGGATTGGAGGTGGAGGATATATTATTGCCGAGGAATTCGACCGTAGAGGGGGAGAGGTAGACGCTGGAACGAGTGAGGAAACTGTACGTTAGTATGGCGATATCTTTGGAAATTGAGATATCATCTGGCGGGCGTACATTTGGCGGGAAGGTACGACGAAGACGAGTAGTCGAGAGTAGAGCGCGTGCGGCTCCTCCGAGATCGTGGCACGCAGGGGTGTACCGCACTGTAAGGAGAAACGGGGATAAACGGCTCAATCAGTAGTTAATCCAAGAGCTCGGAAGAGTTGATCTGAAGAACTTGCTGGAGCGAAACGCGCAGCCTCATTCAAACTCGATTCACTCTGCTGAGCACCGGTCGCACTGGCCGTGTTCGTCGGACTCGGATGATGGTTGATCTTATCCCAGAACTTCTTGATCGCTCCCGAACCAGACGATGATTTCCCATTCGGCTGCTTCTTCCTCCCCGCATCTAAGGAAGCGACCTCCTTCGTAGTCGCACCGTCGGCGAATGAGGGAACGACGGAGGTCGTCGAATGATCCTGCAACACTTGCTGGAACCCCGCCACCTCCTGAACGATCGGCATCTCCTTCCCCAGCAAATCATCTTGATTCGCTTGATCATAATTCTCGTGAAGGGTCATACCCACAGCAGAGGCGAAGAACTTGAACGAAGGTGAGAATTCGTCGACGATCCCGCCCGGGCTAACACCGTCGCCTTTCTTGGCTTTCTGCATCCCGACGAGTTTGCGCAAACGTTCCTCGAGTAGATCGGTGACGTCCGTTTGGGAGCCGAGGAAATCTGTAAATCGCACAAAAAGCGAGCGTCAGGACTTAAACAACTTAAGCCGTCCTCAAGATCCTCAACGACGAATCACTCACAGCATAGGGTATTGTTCGAGTCGCGGATGGGAGTGACAGAGAGCAGGGTGTAGAACGGCTCGCCCGAGCTTCGGTAGTTAAGGATGATCGTGTCAACTACCCGAGGAGAGCGTGCACTGATGTTAGCGTAGCCTTTACGAGAGAAACAGAACACAAAAAGATGGTGACTCACATGGTTGACCTGCGGATATCGCCTCACGCATCGTCGTGGTCGTCGCATCGAACGGCTGCGGACCTGACAGGAAGCGAGAGTTCCGCCCGATGATTTGCTTTGCTTCGTCTGACGGTGCGCAAGATACCGGATATTAACTATCTGTTTGACTGTAGTGTTCCTGAATTATGCATGACTTACGGCCAGTCAAGTCCTCGAACCCCGGTGAGACGAGCTCGATCGGATGATCGCTCTCTCGAGGATTGGTCAAGTAGAACGCCGCGGCGTGTTGGTCGTGGATCGACGAAGCCTTCTCGAGCATCGCTGAGACAGCAGCCAATCAAGATCTACACATCAGCAGCTTAATTTGAGGTCCAAAAGGAGAATAAGGCCTACCTTGGCACTCGACCACGGTCAGCTGACGGATGTAATCCTGGAAGTCGTTCTTGTAAATCGCCTGTACGAAGGGGGAAAACTCTTTCATCAGCAGACAATTGAAGAATAAAACCATAACTAACCCACATCAAGTAAATGTGCTTGTGGGTCGACCAGCTTCCCCTCGAATCCCATCGCATCTTGTAATCCTTCGTCAAGCTGCGCCCTCAGCTTGGAAGGGAGCGCTCCTCGATTGACCGAGTCGCCAAGCTCGTGAAGCGCTGCCGCGCAAAGCGTGACGTTTCGTGAAAGCGCGCGGAAGGCGTTGAGATCCTTCCACAGGTCGAAAACAGCAACATCGCGGTCTGGGAGCAATTGACAGGTGATAGATTATGTCAGAGCGAGGAGTCGAGGACGGGGTCAAGCCACTCACGTGTGTTGCTCAACCATTCACGGAACTTGCGTCTGGACGGCGGATTGCTCATTGTGCGCTCGAAGATCTAGCGGAGCGGTACCCAGCAAGATGTAAGCAGTCGGATCCATACAGCATTGCCGCGTTGATCTTGGATCCTTGCTCACCTCATACATCGTTCCCTGAATCCTGGATTCGATTCCCTTCTTGGCATTGTGCGTGTCCATCGGTGAACTACTAGTCATTCCCCCCCGTAGTGCTGAAGGATCTCCCTCCCCAACGACGAGCGGCGAAACGTTCATAGAAATGGGGGGAAGTCGACCCAAGCTCTTCTCCTTATCCTCCACTTGAACCGGGAGTTGACCCCCCGTGGCCCAATTGGAAAGGTCGACGCGAACGCTCGTGACGGGAGGCACGAAGCTCTGGGCGGACTGATTGCGAGCGATCCGAGTTCGGTCAGGGGTCGCGGCGGTATGCTCACGTTCGACTTCTCGTTCGACGAGGATATGCTGATCAACGAGGATGTGTCGGGAAGGCCGATCGGGTAACCCGTTTTCGATGGCGCAGTCGTCGAGCTTGGATTCGGATATGTCGACGTCGGAGCTGTGGAATGCGGCGTCGGAAGCGGCGTCGGAAACGGGCTCGGAAACGCCGTCGGAAGCAGCCTCCGAGTCGGAATCGGACTCAAAGCGCTTGGCGGCGACGGGGGCTCGACGGGCTGGGAATGAAATGGTATGAAGTGAGTTCCACAAATCAATAGAACTACATCCGCATACAAAACATACCAGGTGATATACTGGATCTCGAAATGGCGGATCCTACCGAGGCAACGAGTGGCTTGTCGGCTCTTCGAGCGGAGACGGCCGCGTCACCTGTGAGCGAGGACTTTGAAGCGTTGCGTGAAGGATTCGGGGTCAGGGACACTTTGTACACCTTGACAGCACCTGGGATGAGGAGCAAGTAGTACGAAAGACAAGAATCAGCCTGGATGAACTTGGAGGCCCTGAGCTCGATGGCGAATTGGGGCGAATCGTTGGGACCGCGACGGTGGGCCCCGTTGGTGAGGCCGGTGAGGATTGCGAGGCATGCTTCGGAGTTCGAGAAAGGCCGAGCATGACTCACCTCGCTTCGACATAGTGTGATTCGTGAGATCTAATCCCAGCACCGAGACGGTGGAATGTGGTTGAGGAGAAAGTGTACGGGGTGAACGTGAAAGAGTACTGTAGATCACCAACGAAATAGGTAGGTAAGGTACATACACGAGGGATGCTGATCTTGTGCCGGGTTTAGTTAGGTGGGTGCTGCGCTCAGAGGCCCCGTCGTCAAATGGAAGGTCAATGAAGGTGCCACGGGGATCTGCCAGGAGCTTTGGCCCCGAGGATCGGGATTTGGTCTCGATTCTACGAGCTCGGGCCCTCGGATCGCTTTTGTACCGATGGATGACCGATATTCCGCAGCTGCGGACTACCCACCGGGTATGATGATCCTCTCTACCCATTGCCGGCTCCCTTCCGCGGAACTTTCCGTTTCGGGCGTAAAGATCACCAGTCACGCGCGCGCGCCTCGGGGAGCTCCCAGGAGCCGTAGGGCCGACGGGCCTATGGAAGCTCACGGATTCCGCGGGCCAGGGCAGTACCGAGGTATGGAAGCCGCCTAAAGTTCGCATGGAAGTGTTGAGAAGTTGAGAGGAGCTCCTCCAACAAGGGTCCGCACGTGATCAGATCAGATCAGATCAGATCAGATCAGATCAGATCAGATCAGATCAATTCTAGTTTTTTCTGATTATCCCTTGATCTATCTGATCTTGATCTGATCTGATCTGATCAATTTGATCTGAGACATGAAAATTGCCTAATTTGGCGCAGGGAGATTACATGTTGAAGTCCTCGTCTTCTTCCTCATCAATCTCATCAATCTCAACCCGACGATCAACACGCACGCAGTCCCGCGATCTCGCCGAACAAAACCAAGCGGGGGCCGACGCCCCCCCCATGCCTGAAGCGCTGATACCGCTGGATGGTTCAATTCATTTTCTCTCCTGTACGCCACAATGTAGGTACTTATTTCAAAGCGCAATTGAACCATCTAGTTTTTTAGTTTTTTTTTTTTTTTCTTCCCTCGAGGCCTGATCTGATCTTGATCTAACTCATGTCAAATCAGGTCAGATCAGATCAGATCTAATCTGGACCCTTGTTTTACAGGAGCCATCCATTTCGGAAGCGTACTGCAGTGACGTGCGATCGCTGAGTACATGGAAGATGCTTCATGCGCTTTCAAATCGGCTTTGGCGATCCCTACAGACGTCACGATAGTGCGCACTCGTTGAAACCCCGAATCGTCCCAAGTCGCTACCAATTCAAGCCATTTCGATTCGGCGGAGTGCCGAATATGCAATCCGAATGAATATACCAATCTTTTGAAAGGGGAGGATCAGGGAGATGTAAGCTCTTATTCAATTTGATCCTGAGCGCGGACTCCGAGAGGCAGAGGACGTCTCCAGGCCCTTCGGCGTGCCGGACACGGGGAGTCCGAGGGCCCGAGCTGGCTGCCGCAGCTCGGCAGGACTGTGGGGAACTTGGTTCACAGTCTCTACGACCGTCGGTATCGAACATAGGGCCATAGACACAACTCGATTGCAGCTTGAGCACTGCACCTGCGATGGCCCGACCCAGCATATCAACGCCGTCGATACGCATCGGTGCGGGCGACGGCTAAGGCAGAACTTTCAAAGCACGGGACATTACAAGAGCTACAACACCAAAGGTGGGAGGGATGAAAAATGATGCACAAACATAACCAAAAACCCATCGGTCTCGACCTTGATTAAGCCCTAACTTGTTCAGCCGCCTCAATGAACTCGCCGCACTGATCGGCGGTGAGCTTCTTGACGTTGGAAATCTTGGTCGCGTTGAAGATGACGCCGAAATACGCATCGGCGTGAGGGATCATTTCGGGTCGGAAAGTGGTGCAAATGTATTGACCGGTTTGGGACAGTTCGCCGATCATGGCTGCGACCCCGGTGCGTCGATCGGCGTCGAGGTTGGCGTCGATCTCGTCGAAAAGGTAGAACGGTGCGGGGTCGCATTTCTGAATGGCGAAGACTGCAAGGTGAAGCGCAGAAGTAAGCGATATCAGCACCATACTTCAGTGCTCCGACCAATCGTACTTTATAGACTCACTCATAGCCAAAGCGACCAAAGCCTTCTGTCCACCGGACAATTGCTGAATTTTGAGCCCCTCATTCGTCTTCGAGTTGAACGAGACGCGAATCGTAACCCCAACAAAGTTCTCCACTGCCACCCCATCCTCAGCCTCATCCTCATCCTCATCGACATCCATCTCGTCATCGCCTCTCAGTCCTTCCCTTCGTTGCATGATCAGCTCTCCCTTTCCTGCGGGCACGAGCTTCTCAAACACTGTGCGGAAGTTGTCGGCGACTTGCTTGAACGTGCGGTCGATGGCTTGGTCCTTGCGCGCATCGAGCGTGTCGATCAGGTCCGTGATGGATTTAGCCGACTCATCGAGCTCCTCCTGACGACTTGTCAGATCGGCTTGCTGCTTTGTGAAACTCGTGAATTGTCTGTGTGTGGACCAAATTTGACACGCAGTCGAAATCAGTGCCCGAATCTCTGAATATACGCCAACACGCACACTCACTCGAATGCCTTCTTGTTGACATGCGAAAATGCCTTGAGCGCTTCGTTGACCTTGCGAAGCCGCTTGAGGAGCTGCACGAGACGCGGCAAAACACACAAGTCAGCATCCTTCTACACCCGAGAGGCTACCCCTTTGCCCTACGCACCTTCTCCGATGTGACCGTCGTCTCGACGAACGCCTCCTCCGGCAACACGCCCAAATCTCGAATCTTCTTGTTACACTCGTCCTTGCGCTGCATCAATATCTGTCTCTTGTGCAGATACCTCTCTACATTCTTCTGTTGCCTCGCGATCGTACGTTGGTCGTCAGCGTGTTGTGCCTCCTTCTTTTCGCGTTCCTTTTCGAGTGAGGCGACTTGGGCGTTGAGGCTTTCGGTCTCGGTTTCAATGTCTGTGCACAGCGGACGTATTTCGGAGTTTGTTAGCTAGATTCGATCTCGGGTACCCCAAGGACTCATAAGACCTTCAGCATCACGCACCATCCAATTTGGACGTCAAGTCCTCGATCTGTTTCCCCAAAGCCTTCAACTCCCTCTTGCGAAGCTCGACGTCCTCCCCCGTTCCCTCCTGCGCATCCTTCGCCGCCCCGCCCGTCCCAAAGGTTTCGATCCGACTCCTCAGCTCCTCCCTCCGTCGCCTCAAGTTCTCACTCAGATCAATCTCCAACAAGTTCTTCCTTCCCGCAACGTCAGCCAAGCTCTCCGAAAGACGAGCGAGTTCTTTCTTCAATCGATCGACCTCGACGTTGAGCTGCGCGACTTGAGCTTGTTCCTGCGCCGTGAGGGACTGGACCATGGGTGTGCGCAGTTCGGCTTGGTACGCATCCCTCTCTTGCGTCAAATTGCGGGCATCGGCGCGCAAGGTCGTCAACGTCGTCTCGAGTTTATGAATACGAGCACGTTGGCGTTCCTCGTCCGCTTGAGCTGCCATCAAGGCCATGACCATCGGTTCGCGCTCCTCGTGTGTGCGTGCCAGTCGTCCTTCGACGACTTGGATCTGCCCTACCAACTGGGTCACTTCCTGATCCAACCTCGTGATGGTGCGCTTAATCTCTTCCCTCTCCTCTGACAATCGATCGACCTTTCCCTCCCATTCCTTGAGGTTCTTGACCGCGTCCAAGCGAGAGCGTCGTTGGTCGTGGTATCCACCCGTCAAGGAGCCTTTGCGATCGTACTTGTCACCATCCAACGTGATCGAGTTGAATCCTTGGCTACGGGCATAACGACCCGCGACTTCGAGACTCTTACACACGAGCGTCTTGCCGAATACTTGTTGGAACGCAGGGCGGTACTGCGCGTCGAATGTAAGTCGATCAATGATGGGGACGGCTTCGTTGCCTTCGGGGTACTCCATCTGCTGAGGGTGCAAGCGGTTCAGAGGCATGAACGTGATGCGACCACTTTTCTCCTTGATCATGACGTCGAGGATCTGTGTCGCCGTGTCGTCGTCGTCAACAACAATTTGGAACAAGCTGGGCGGTCCGATCGTACTCTCAAAATCAGTTATACGCCCCCCGATGCCCTGATGTAAACATCTCAAAGACGCACCTAGTTCCAGCCGTCACCTCCACAGCGACCTTGTACCTATCTTCAACCGTGAACAGCTCAAACAAGGCGCCATGGTAACCTTGCAAGCCGAGACGTTCGGCGATCGCCCGAGCCGAGGCAAGCCCACGAGCGGTGTCTCGATCGACTGTAGCAGAGAGGTTGCGTTGCGCCGTCTTGAGCTGTTCCATCGCGTGACGCAACTGTGAATCGAGCTTGGCATCTTCCTTCCATACGTCCCTGTGTCAAAGTGCGCCATCGATCAGCTAACATCCGGGACCCGATGCGCGCCTCAAACCACGCACTTTCGTTTCTCGACCGCCTCAGCCTGCGCAACCTTGTGCTGCGCCAACTTGGTCTGCATCTCCCTGATCGCCTCCTTCCTCCCATCCAACTCCTTCCTCACCTCCGCACTCCCCTCCTGAATCGCACTTAGTGTCTCCTTGGCCTTCTCCAAATCCGCCTCCAAAGCCTGCGCCCCCTTCTCCCTCTCCTGAATCGCCTTCCCATGCCCTTCTACCAAAGCCTTCAAGTGACGATCCCGTTCAGCCTGGGTCCGGAACTGGTTTCTCCTCCCTTCCTTGGCATGCAAGACACCCAAAGTCGTTTGAGCCGTCTCGAGCGCTTGTCGAGTCGTCGCTTCGGAACGGGACAGGTCCTCAAATTGAGGTGTGACTTCCATCAGTTCGGTCTCGGCTTCGTTGATCGAGCCTTCGACCTGTTCGAGCTCTTGTTCGAGCTCGTGGAGGCGTTCTTCTCCTCGGTCTGTCGTGACCAAGGAACACGACCATCAGCATATTTTAAGCAGCCTTAACTGGAATCGCTTAGTACTAACGAGTCGCGTCCTCGGCATCCCGCACGATGCACTCGACCTGGGCCTGGGACTTGGTCAAATCGGACCTCTCGTCGCTGGCTTCGCGGTGCTCGATCCTAAGGATCTCGAGTCGTTGACGCGTCGCGGTGAGCGTCGCTTCCAGTTCCTAGCGAGCACAAAAGCAAGGGGAATAGTGAGGTCAGCATTTTGATCGGTACTAGAAATGAGGCTAGGCGAATCGCGTACGGCGGCAGCCTTCTCGCGCTCGTTCGTCTCCTCTCTTCGCGTGTTGGCACTATCGACGTCCCTTCGTCGTTCTTCCTCAATCTATCAAGTGATCACAGCCGCGCGATCAGCCATCAATCGCTACCCAGTGAGAATGCAGAAAGCGACTCTGTACCACTGACCTGTTCCAACGCCTCCGCGACATCTTGCAGTTCTCTCTGGTAGATGGCATATTCGAGACTTCGACGCTGTCGATCCTGTGTCTGGAACTGGGCCAATTCCTCCTTCTCTTCCTTGAGTTCGTCCAATCGTTCCGAGATGAATTGTAAGAGGTCGGCAATCTTGCCCTTTTTGAGATCTATCGAACAAGGTCATTATCGACGCATCAGGGTACGGAGATCGGATCGGGACGACCGAGTGCGCACCAAAAACTGACTGGTCTCGTCCATGATCTTCATCGACTCGGCGCGTCGTTCTTCGTAGACGCGGGTTCCAGCGACTTCTTTCAGCAACGCCAACCGGTCCGAATCCTTTTGGTTCGTCAAATGGGTGATCTGCGCGGTAGCACATCCGGTGTGAGGCCCCGTGCCGAAGTACGGTCTAGAAAAAGCTTGGGAAAAAAGACTCACTCGACCTTGGGGGACGATGTAGTAAGGATTACTCCTACTGAACCCAGCCGACTCGAGCAAGGACATGACTTCACCCTTTGAAGTCGACTTGCGATCCAACTGGTACTCGTCCTTTTTGAGTCCGATCGTTCGCCTCAACAACAGGGTCGGTTTGTCTAGGGTTGAGAGACAGCGAGACGAGGTCCATCAGCAACGCGTGTTGAAGACAAAAAACACGTCAGATACACTTACTGGTAGGGAATCGACCGTCGGCATTATCGAACTCGACCTCGACGAAAGCACTCATCGTCGCGCCGCCGCCGGCTCCACCGTTCGATCCATCGTGCAAGAGCGTCTGACGTTCCTCCCTCGACAGGGAGGTGTATGCATCCGAAAGGACGAAACGAATCGCGGCGAAGAAGTTGGATTTTCCTGATCCGTTGCGTCCGACGAGCAGATTTAGGCCGGAACTGTGGAGCGAGCGTGAAGATGTCAATTCGGGTGAGTTGGGTTTCCGAGAGCTCACGTCTCTAGAGGAAGGTGCGACTGACGAGAAGGGGTCGACGATCGTTTCGTCTCGGTACGACTTGAAGCCTTGGATCTGGTGACGGCGATGTCAGGGTCGTTACAGGATGGTTTTGGGACGCGTGGGGGGATGTCAGTAAATGAAAGGCGCGTCGAGCGAGGAGATGACCTACCTTGAGACTCTGTGAGCAATGTCAGAACGAAAGGATCAGCAACACCACTCGATGCACGGTTCATTGTGAGGGTGTGCTCACCTTGATATGCATGGTGATTGCGTCGTACGACCAAAGTGCGGCGGGGCAGTGAGCGGCAGCAAGCCTCGACGCGTCTTGGGCCGATCAAAGGTTGGGAGAGTCCTAGGGTGTCGGAGCAGACCGCTGTGCTGATCAAGGTTTTGTGGTACTCCAAAGTAGAGAATGAAAGTACGGGATGAGCGCGACGGTGAGGACGCGTCTGAGATGTGGGCCCGGCGACGCGTCGTGCGTCGACCGCGCGCGTTTGGACCCGCGCTTCTATTAATGCGCAATCCAAGGCCGCGTCCTAATGGCTATAATAATAATTAGTCGCAATCCGGGCCGACGCTGTCCGACGCGTCGACGTTCGAGTGATCGAGCAGATTAGAGCAGATTCCGGTCACGCGGCGGTGTCGTGTCCGTCTTCTTTCCTCGGAGGAACCACGTACTGACCCACGTCGCTGCGAACAGTTGCAGCCACGCGCTCACCATGGCCCCACCCATTCTCTCAACAGGGCCATCTCACTCGAGCTCTTCATCAACACCGCGTGTAGACTCGCTCTTCAACCCTCGCCCGAGCGTACACTTTGCGCTCGCCGACGATCTCATCAACGACGACGACGACGACGATGAGGCACATTCGACCACCTCTTCTTCTGAGCAGACCTTGACGACCGCTCAATCGTCTCCTTCTCCTTCACCGATGCCCTTGGGTCCGACTAGTCCAAGAGGCTCTACCTCGATGTCCTCTTCTTCGGCGTACGGCGGGTACGGATCCAAACTAAAGCCTTCTCCGCTTGTTCCACCGACACCTTCTACGACCCTCTTCGAGTTCGATGAACCCGCCACCCCCTCCGTACCCTCTTCATCGACGACCACAACGCCCACCTTACCCAACCCTCGTTCCTCCTCGGAATTCTACCCGCCAAGACCGATCAAATCGCTCGTGTCCTCTCGAGAGGCTCAGTTCGATCAGGACGACGACGAGCTTGGAGACGAAGACGACGATGCTCAACACCAGAGAGAAGAGCACGAGCCTCTCATGATGCAAGGCCTCTTGCACTCGAATCGATCACGGTCGTCTTTTGATCAATTGGGTAAACCGACTTCCTCGAACCCTCTCGGCGATCCAGATCGGATACCCTCCCAAGGCACAAGCGGAGCACCAAGACTTTTACGTCAACTCGAAGCCGATCCCGAAGTACCCGAATGGGTGTCCACCGGCGCAGGGCTACTGGCCAACATTGCCAACATGTCCAATTCGATCCTCGGCGCAGGCATCATCGGACTACCTTACGCGCTCAGAGAGGCGGGCTTCGTGATGGGGATCTTTTTGCTCGTCGTCTTGGGCGTCGTCACGGACTGGACTATCCGGATGATTGTGCTCAACGCCAAAATGTCGGGAAGGAGGACCTATATCGACATTATGGACACATGTGCGTTATCACTTACCCATGTAGGCGTCACCTCGACCTCTGACTGATCTTCACCGAAAACCTTTCCCCACCCCAGGTTTCGGTCCGCACGGTCGAGCCGCCGTCTCCTTCTTCCAATTCGCCTTCGCCTTCGGAGGCATGTGTGCCTTTTGTGTCATCTTGGGTGACACGGTTCCCCGTGTTCTCGTTGCTATCGTACCGGGTGAACATAGCCCTTTCTTGCGGTTCCTCATGTCGAGGCAATTCGTCATCACCATCTTGACCGTCGGGGTCTCGTACCCGCTCAGTTTGTATCGGGATATCGCAAAGTTGAGTGGGGCTAGTACGCTGGCTTTGATTAGGTACGTTCCTTCCACTTCCTCCTTTGAATGCTGGACCTGTGAGCTAATAGTGATGCGTATTACGAAACAGTATGGTCGTCATCGTCGTCAGCGTCGGCGTGCGGGGACCGAGCGTAGCCGATAACCTCAAGGGCGATGCCTCGGAACGGTGGACCTTTATCAACTCGGGATTCTTCGAGGCCATTGGAGTCATCTCGTTCGCATTCGTGGTGAGCCTGGATCGCCTGCCACTCCGCCTGAGAACTCCGCTCACCTCGGCCTTCTGGTCCCTTCCACAGTGCCACCACAACTCCCTCCTCATCTACGGGTCCTTGAAAACACCCACCTTGGATCGCTTCGCCAAAGTAACGCACGTCTCGACCTCCCTCTCCGTCATCGCTTGTTTGGCCATGTCGACCTCGGGATTCTTAGTGTTCACAAACAAGACGGCGGGCAACATTCTCAACAATTTCGCTAGCGATGACGTGTTGATCAATGTCGCCCGAACATGTGTAAGCTGTCGTTTCTATCGCCTACCCGGACCACAACCTGACTCTTGTGAAGCCTGCTCCCCCTCGCAGCTCGGAGCCAACATGTTCACGACCCTCCCCCTCGAAGCCTTCGTCTGTCGCGAAGTGCTCGAAAACTATTTCTGGCCCGACCAACCATTCGACCGTCGAAGACATCTCATCATCACCAGCGCGTTGGTTTTATCCGCGATGGTCGTTTCTTTGATGACGTGTGATTTGGGATTGGTCTTGGAATTGGCCGGAGGTTTTTCGGCGACGGCGTTGGCGTATTTGTTTCGTAGGTCGAACTCCCACATTTTTTTTCCTCTTCCTACGCTCCGAGCCCCCGAGCGCCCCCTGAACCCCCCTCCCCTTTGGCGATCCCTACCCCTCAGCCGCAGCATGCTACCTCAAACTCACCTCCACCTCTTCTTCATCCAAGAACGCCCGAACACGGTTCGCCGCTTGGACTTGTGCACTCTTCGGCGTGGCGGTGATGATCTTGTCGACTTTCTTGAGTATCAACAAGGCGTTGAATGGGGAGGGTCACAAGACTTGTTGAGTGAAGTTGGGAAGGGTAGAGGGGGAAAAGAAGGGAAGTGTTTCTTCTTGAGGTTGCTCCTTCGTTCTTAGTGCATTCGTAATCCCCCGCAATCAAGTAGTCATCACGATATCCCTATCGTCGACGGTCGTATTGGTCCTCCCCCCAACTGGAGGGCTCTCGTTCAGGGAAAAAGATAAAAATGGCCGGTGGGGAACGCCACAGGCTGCGATGCTTGCAAAGATAAGTAAAGTAATCTACGGTGAATATAGTTTATTTTTTGTGTGTGTGTTAGGTTTCAGAATGTGGTATATGACACTGGGAGGATTGGGAGAGGTCCAAGTCTTGAAAGGGGTGATTGATGTTAGGGAGCAGCCGAAACCGGGTTCAAACGTGGGCCTGCACTCCGATCAGGCCGTGATGGTGAGCGCGACCTCTTGCGCGAGTTGGTAGTTGTAACGGTACTTTGTGTCTTCGACGGGCGCACGTTGAAGGACCACGAGCTATTGAACAAACCCCAAATCAAAACATTACTTCACCTGAACCACCAACCCGGCGTCGTTCGGCAACCATCTCCAAAACACGCCTCTCTCCGGAGTGACCGAACTCACTTCGGCTTTAACAGGACCCGACGTGTGGGAAATATTGTGAGGTTGGGGACGAGGAACTGAGCGGCGATGATGCCAGTGGTATTGTCGGCGACAATGCCGGTTGCGAACTAGATGGTGAGCAGGTGAGGACGTTGATTCAGTCGTGCGGCATCGAATGAGAGAGCGAGGAAAGACCCCCGCTCGGAAGCACGTGGCTACGCTTGCGACGCGTGGATCGCCCGGCGAGGCCTCACCGTCGAGATAACGCTCCCGTCCAGATGCTGCAACTGGATTCGGTAGGCAGGTCCTGGACCTTGAACGTCGACGTTATACTCGAAGGGAAGCACATCGCCGACTTTGAAGGTTTGTCCTTGGGAAGGGGAGATGAGGTTGCCGACGTTCGTCAGGGCAGGGGGACCACGGGCCTGGATCTGGGCGCTCAGGAGAGCGAGGGTAAGGGGGAAGGTGGGGAGCTTGAAGAGCATGGTCTTGATGGTGATGTGTGGATATGGGTGGAAAAGAGAGTGTCCCTGAAGGTGTAAAGAGCTGAAAGGCTTCCTTTGGAAGAGTCGGGGAGACTCGGTCCAGCTTGGACAAACGCCAGTCTGGAATCTTATTGGACGAAACGGCCGAAATATCCCGCGCGCGGGGCACTTGAAGCCAGATAGGAGATCCCCGATCAGATCCCCGATCTATCTGACACCAGTAAGAGGCGGTGAATGCACTCAGTTAGTATCGGGATATCTGAGTGGGGCTAGTACGCTGGCTTTGATTGGGTACGGTTCTTCCACTGCTCACTTAGAACACTGAACCTTTGAGTTAATAGCGATGCGTATCACGACACAGTATGGTCGTCATCGTCGTCAGCGTCGGCGTGCGGGGACCGAGCGTAGCCGATAATCTCAAGGGGAGACTCAGCCTGGCTTGGACAAACACCAAATACCCCGCGCGCGGGGCATTTGAAGTCAGATAAGAGATTCCCGATCCGTCTGACACCGAGCTAGTTTGTTAGATTCTGTCTTTGAAGACTAGCTGGAATTTATGGCTTTAAACTTTACTCCACACGTAAGTAAGAGGCGGTGAATCCGGTGCTACATAGTGACTTGCCTCCTGAACAGTGCCGCACAATCGCGTCTCGCGTCAATCGGCGATCATAACTGAGCTCCATGCTCCGTCGAAAGCTCGCAACCCCCGGTCATTGTCGCCGTTTCCCATCCATAGCTTTTCCCTCTCAACTTATGTCAACTTATGCAACCCGGCGGGTGGGGTACGGACAATTTTTTTCCAATGGTTGACAGTCCGATAGAGCCTACATGAATGGCGTCAAACCCATCGCCATTGCCACCCGCGAAAGACGGCCATTTTGACTTGCATAGCAAAAAACCCCCCCTGAAATGGGATGATCCCGGGATCGGGCCCCCGATTTGAAATCGGTGCAGCGATTTGAAATGCATTTGAAATCGCTGCACCGATTTGAAATGCATTTGGAATCGGCGCAGCGATTTGAAACGCATTTCGCGGGATCGATCCCAAATGCGTTTCAAATCCTCGTGGGATCGAACCATGCCCAACGGTCAATAATGAGGGCATAGAACTCGTGTGAGAGGGCCGATTGCGCAAGGTAGAGTAGACCATTATGTTACTATTACTCAAAGTTTGTGCCAATATACTACTGAAACGGTACAAGGCCCCATGCGGTGGAGCATCGCACCATCAGGCCTGCAATCTGCTCTTCAGTGTGATGTGAGCAGCGACCGGGAGCAACGAAACAAGCTTGGTTAATGCGCTACCCCACCCCGAGCCATTTCAATTTCAAATGCATTTCATTTCAGGGGGGGGGGGGGGTTGCTATGTGGTGCGCCCATCGCATGCAACCTCATGTGCGCACAAGTGTCGGTCGCGCAATGAGCTGATCATTTTCGGGGATTAGTGAAGAAAATTCTACGCCGCGAACAATACTGGTTCAACCATGAGCGTTTGAACCTGCGGAAGGAATTACTAATGCGAAACCAACAGAAGGACGTATCACCGTCAAGCAATACTTCAGTACCTTGTTCAAGAATCAAGAAGACCGAAGAAACACCGGTGACAGGTGAAGAGTGGATCAACACAGCGAGCTCCCGATGCTTCCGCGACGCTGCACAGCAAAATCGCTTCGGGTAGCCCAATCCCCTGACACTTATTATAATTAGCGATCTCCGAACGTCGCTGACTAGGCCACCGTCGGAGAGCCATCCCCGGGCCGGATGGCTGGGAGAAACGAACCGCAGTACTTCTGAAACACCGAGCGATGTCTGTGGTGCTAGCACTTATGTGCTAGTGATCACCGTCACTACCCCTCACTAGCGCCCACCAGTGCGAACGGCAGGCCGCCGTCGGGCTTGAGACGCACAAGCTAACTTAATAAGTGCGCCGACTCAGCACTCCGGGCGATGGTCATGGACAACTGTTGTCAGACTGATCGCCGTGATTGGCGCACGGCCTTCCCATCAGGGTCTATGTATTAGCATTTTTTGTAATCCCCGACACGTTGATCAGCGCTCTCAGACCGGGCTCTCCTTTTGGTTGTTTCAACAGCGGGTATTTCGGCCATCTCGTCATTTCCACTGCAGGGGCTGGCCTCCTCCCCCATCCCCTCCCCCCCGGTTCCCAACAGGGTGGATGCATGGGGCTAGGCTCGGGATAAAGTACCTGCAACGACTTTCCCACGACGTTTGGGCTTGGCGATATCAGCTCGGTGAGAGCTAAAATAAAGTGCTTATAGCGGCTACGCGGTGCTAGGCCCCCACTAAATGGACAGGAGAGATGGCAGCCTGGCCGGGTCCTTCCACGGGGGCCAGTTCCCGATGATCCGAGCCCTGCCCGAGTGTCATCCCCGTCCTAGCCGCCGAAGGAACACAACGGAACACAACGCGAGGACTGAGGGGGACCAGGTTCGCCATTGGGAGAAGTGGCTGCCGCACCTATCAACTACAGTAAAGAGCACCTCCCTGAAGTCGGCGCCTCCTACTAGACGGAGTGTGCGCTGCGTCTATTTTCTCACGAGGTGGAGTCATGAGGCTGTACGGATCTAGTTCCAAGCCTGGCAGGTGAATATGCAAGCAAGTAAACCAAAAGGGGCTATTCTTCGGTCGGTGAAAGCCGTGCTCCGGGGGCACTAGGTACCGTCGCTGACTAGTTTGTGGGATGAAAGCTTTTATCCAGGCCGCGCAAGCTGTCAGGGGTCTTTGGCGCTGTTTCGGTGTTTCCAGTTGTGCTCTAAGCCGTGAGAACAGCACAGGAGGTATGTCTTCGGGGGTGAAGCTGCGTGGCGCCATGCATTTTCCTGCGCGCAATCCGCGGACGCGATAAGACCCAGCTGACCATGATGCTGCTTTTCTTCTTTCTCGCCCATCACCTCACTATCCTCCCCGACGTAGATCTTTTCACTGCTCGAACTATCCACGTGCCATGCGCTCTTCAATCATCGTCCTCTTCACCGCGATGGTCGGTCTCGTCGTCGCGGCCGGCGGAGACAGGTAAGACCCAAGTTGCCTCAGCCCCTGCGTGCGATCGGGCGATCACGACTGCGGCCTAGGCCGAAATCGATCCCGCACTGCATCCTTGATGATGAGTTGAAATTGCTAAGCTGTTCTATTTCTATCGAACCGAACAGTCATCACCCCCCTGGTCAAAGCCATACTAACGGGAAGAAGAAAGATCCCCAGGCTTTGAAGCAATGCAAGTACGTCAATTCTCAAACAATTGAACAATCTTTCTCGGTCCGGCTTAGCTATTTGCGCTCGATCGGCCGGGCTAATATCTTCCTCTTCAATGCATTGGCTAGGAAATGCAAGAAAGACTGCAAGGAGGAGTAGGTCACGGTCAATTGGAGCAGTCCTCGCGCCGCCTCTCCGAACACGCTCGGAAACACGCTGATCAGCTTCGAGCCTTCACGCGCAGTAAGCTTGCGTGCAGGCAATGCCCCTTCTACTGCGACCCCCCCCCCGTGGAGACGTTTCGCGCACTGTGACCCAATACCGCAACAACCATGAGACGGCACTGCAGTGACCGCTGGTCTCTCTGTCTCAACAATGCTCGTCCCAAGTTCGCTTTCAACAGGCGCTCTTTCCGCCATTCCGATCGCTTCTTTAAATTTCCGTGGGCCTCGCTGGGTAGCTCTCTTCTTTCTTCTCTCTCCGTCGTTCGTTTTTCTTTCTTTCAGCAAATCCTCATCAGTTTTTCAGCAACTTTAGTGCCCCGGTCATCCGCATCGGTCCTCACAGTCACGAGCGAGAAACGGTCCAGCTGCCGGAGCTGAGCAAGTAAGGGAATGAAGAGAAACACTTTGGAAGTTGCAGCACGTCGAAAACCTTGATGATGATAGATCTACCTGAAAAGTACGCGCGCCGATGCAGACTAAACTCCCTGACAATGGAGAAACTGAGTGAAATGTACGACCCAAAAGCGAAGAGGAAGAAGATGGTCCTCAGCTTCTTTGAGCGGCCCTTTTCAGAACTGGAACCTGAACACCGGCTGCCCCGGCGTCGATGTCGAGGCGGATGCCCCGAAGATGGGTGCCGTCGAGGTGGATGCCGCCGACGTGGATGCTGTCGAGGTGGAGGTCGTAGCCGGGGCCGTTGACGTCGTTGAGCCCATCCCAGCAGCCGTCGCAGCGGGGAGGTGAGGGTTGAACCTGAAGAAATCTGGTGGGAGCCGCGTCGCAGTCGTCGCAGTCGTCGTCGAGTTCGGAGCCCTGTTGCCATTCCCGTTCCTAGGCATGGAAATGGGCGCAACGCGCAGGCCCGTACCGGTCGTTCCGACGCCGCTGACGGGGGTGAAGTTCCCTAGGGCGGGATTTTGCGGGGGCTGTCGGGGCGGGAACCCGTTCGTGTTCGTCGGCGTCCCAGTGCCTGTGACTGTGGCCGTGCCCGCGCCAGCACCAGTACCGTTGGCCGTCGTCGCCGCAGTCGTCGCCGCCGTCGTGGTCGTGGTCGGAGCATTCGTGCGAGGACGTACTCGTCTCGCTCCTGCATCCGTCGTCGCACCAGCAGCGCCACCAGCGCCAGCAAGAGGCTGAGGCGCCGCCGCTGCGACCGCAGCTCCACCAGGGGCTGCGTTCGCTGCCGCCGGAGGTGCCGCGCCCGCCGCTCCCCCACCATTACGATTCGCATTCCCACCGCCTCCCAAACCAAATCCAAACGCCCCATTAGCTCCTCCCGCTCCCGCTCCCGCCCCACCACCCCTTCCCCTCGCCATCGTAGGCCCCAAGGAGGACAGGTGCAAGCACACGTCCCGTTCCCTCAACTCGGCATCGAGCAAGTCCGTCTCATCCGCGTCCCAATCGACATCGTCGTCGGTGACGCTGATGCACGTCAAACCGGGCGCGACTTGGGCTGAGAGGCCCTGGAGACCGTCCGCGTCGTTGCGAGAACGCGAGACCCTCTTTTTCAGAATACGCGTTAATCGACCAGGTTGGATGGAAGAGCATTGTGACCATGCCAATACGCTCAGCGAAGGTGGGAATGAGAGGAACATGGGTGGCGAAGCGAGTCTGCCCGTCCAGGACAAGTTTTTGAGGTTGCGCAAGTAAGGCACAATCGCGTCGAGCAAGAAGGGGTACTTGGCAATGCCGTTCACGACCTGCGCCGTCGGGCAACCATTGACGTAATCCTTGGGCCTCGGAGGCGGACCCTTGCCACTGGTTCGTCTCGGCTCGTCTGGGGTCAACAGGCTTGAATCTCTCGTATCGGCGATCCAAGTCGATTCGACGTCGATGCTCAAATGGGTCAAGTTCACTCCGAACGTGAGTAAAGTAGACGTAAGACCTTGCGGCGTCACGCTGGCGAACGGATGGACGATGTCGAGGATCTTGAGCGTGTCGGAACTGTACTGGAGGATGTGTGACCACTCCGTCGCAGGGGCGAGCGGGTGCGTCAACTTGAGAGCTGTCAGGCCTTTGGGTTTGGGGCCTTCGGGCAGGTGCCGCCCCAACTTTTCGCGGAGGGCTTCGACGTTGGTCGCCAAGTTGGCGGCGCGGCACGCCATCGACACTGCTGCGTGTTCCCTGAAGGACGTTCCCATGCGCAAGAGGCGAGATCAGCAATTCGCACACAAAACGCCCCGCTCACGACACCTGACTGTTACTCACTTGGCATCCTCCATCCCAAAGTTCTGTCCCAACTCGGTCCACATACAATGCTCTTCATCAATCGTCCCATCCAACGACGGACGCAAGCCATGTACCGTCAGCTCCTCTAGCTCTCGCCACGCCGTGTTCATAAGATGACTGATACGAGGCGTGGTAAACAGCATCGGCACGTCAAGATCATTGGATGAACTGAGGCTGACTTGCTTGAGCTCGTTCAAGCCTCGTAGAGCCTTGAGCAGCGGTCGACGAGCATGGGCAAGGAACGTCGGCGCGATCGTCAGCGACTGCAGCCGCGTGCACAAGTTAAGGATATCGACGATGATTTGACCGCCACCACGCGCGAGCGAGACGTCCCCTTTGGCGTTGAAGTTGATGTGACGCACGTAGGTGGCGAGGTAGTTCTTGGGCAGTTCGTCGAAGTCCTCGACGGCGGTACGGGCGGCGTGCTCCGGCGCTTGGAGCGAACGCAGCAAGAGCGAGCCATGCCAAGCACCCGTGATGGTGATCTTGCAGTAGAGCTTGGCGCGAGAAGCGTGCAAGAACGTGCGGTTGACGAACAAGAGAGGCACAAGGGGGTCGAGGGGCAATCCGTTCGAGTAGGGACGAGGAGGGCCGTAGTACCTCGGATCCGAGTCGGTCACGTCACTATCGCTTCCATCGTTATCGTTATCGTCATCGTCATATTCTTCATCGTCGTCATATTCATCTTCATCGTACTCATCATCGTCACCATCCTGATCATAGTCAAACTCGGAGTCGTAATCGTCCTCAGAGACGATCGGTTGATCCGACGGATCTGCATCATCGTCATAGCCCCGAGTAGGTCCCCTCAATGCAGTAGGATCATCCAAGTCGATCCCCTCGTTCTCGAAACCAGGGAAGGCCAGCATTCGTTCGAAGAAGCAGCTCGGGCAAGTGCACGGCTCGTTCTCTTCATCGGTCTCCCATTCGCCCGACAAGGAATCACGGCTCAGCGAGTATGCGCGCGTAATGGTGATGTCGTCCGCATTAGCAGTGCCGCGGTTCGTATTCGTACTCGGCTGAGATCCGGGACGACCGCCATCGGGCGCACGAGCAGTCGAGGACGAGGGGTTGGCGCTGGTTCTCAAAGTCGACGTCGAGGCCGAGGTCGAAGGCGCCGCTGAGGCAGTATTGCCTGTTCGATTCGATGCCGTCGCGTTGGCGTTCGCCTGCCTCGGAGTTGAAGGAACAGTCGAGGTTGAAGCAGCAGGAGTGTTCGACCGATTCGGGTTGGTTGCGGCGGTCGATGCAGATGGGGTCGTAGCGGCGGTAGTGGGGGTGGTGGTAGCATTCGTGTTCGTCGCTGGGGCAGCAGGAGCGGCGTTCGGTCCGGCACCAGGAGCAGCACCATTGGCACCGAGAGGGTTATCGCCTGCACCAGTTCCGAGGAAGCCAGCGAGCATTCCAAAAAAGGCAGCTGGTGGGAGACATTTGACATCACGTCGCACGAAACAGGAGAGTGGTCAGCCCAGCCCAGTCGGAAAAGAGGAGACCCCTTTCCCGCCCTTGCATCCGCTGCTCTCTGCTCCAACTCACCAGGCCCAGCATCAATCACATCGTCCAACGAAACGTCCGGCGGAAAGAATCCCATACTGGACAACATTCCCAACCCACTCCTCTCCTGCGCAACGATCAAATCGACCTCGCCGACGATCTGACGCACGATCTCGGGGGGGAGACTGGAGAGCGTCTTCATGGGCCTGGAGCGGGACTTTCTGAAACGACGTTGGTTGATCGTCGTGGGATGGGTGTCTGGGGAACTGGGTGGGCGTCGTGAGGAGGACGCCATGATGGACGAGCGGGCGAGCGGACGAGCGGGCGAGCGGACGAGCGGGCGAGCGGACGAGCGGGCGAGCGGGCGGGCGGGCGGGCGGGTGTGCGGGCGGGTCGAGCGGGACAGAGCGGGACCGTCCGGGTGCTCCGCAAGTCTCGTGGACGCGACGCGACCGGCGATCAAGTGACGCTGACCGAGCGGCGTGTAGCGTGTGAAAGCACAGGCAAGAGTGTTCCACGTGGAACGATTCCTTTCGTCGACAGTCAGAGGCGAGTCAGGTGAGCACCGCACAGGGGGACAAGAGACAAGGACCGAAGAAAAAGGCTCAAACGGCAATTTACAGGCGCGTCCTCGATCCGGCGACGACGACGCGCTCTGACGCGCTCTAGCTGCACTCGCACGAGGGGGTTCGTGCCGGCTGGACCTCCCCTCATCACTTTCGACTTTTCAAGTGGATCAGAAGGGACCTCCACTACTATGAAGCAACAAGAGCCAGCACTCGGGATATCATATTGTAAAAAATGGCAAAGGTAGCAATACAAACAATTATCCACAAACAGGCTTTCCCCCCCAAAAGATATCATATCAAGCTCACGTCAGGATTCATGCTCATGAGAGCAAGCCCGAGAATGAATCCGCCGGTTGGGCTTGGGACCATCTGTAGCACGGATTCAACGACACATTAGCTACTGCTCCAACCACAAATACCGCAGACACGAATGAACCCTTACGACCAAAAGTTGCTCTCCTCAATCACCGACGAGATCGCCAACTCCAACTCGGGATCGAACAACACATCATTCTGACCGCCGGGCGTAGACCCGGACGACGAACTGTTCCCACTAAACCCCGTCGGCATCATCGGGTTCGTCATCGAATCCATCACGAACGAAGGGGACAAATACTGCGACTCGAGGTGACTCAACGCCGACGCGACGGCAAGATGATAGTTCTGTCGGGGTGCTTCAGCCAACAACTTGGACGTTAATTTGATCGCGCCCAACGTCGTCGCGACGTCCTTGACGTCCCCTTCGGGATCGGGCTTGAATTCATCCGGCATCAACTTGATCATCTTGAGCAAGAACAAGGCCGCAGAACAACAGCTGATCAAGGTGAACTCGGTCGAGTAGCCCATTCGCCTCGAGCCGTATTTCTGCGCGACGAGTTGCACCTCGAACGCGGCTTTGATCGCGGACTTGATGACGGGCATCTGGATCGGTTGCACCTCTTCGGGGGACGTGATGTCTCGCAGACCAAGCTAGAGACAAGATTGGTCCCCGTCAGATCCAGTAGTTGATACCTGTTAGTCCACCACGTTCGACTCACCGTATTGATATAAAACCTTCCCACCTCGCACTGCATCTTGAACGACGCAATCATGTACTTCCAAGTACTCTGTTCCTGCAACTCGGCCCAAGCGGACCACGTCTCCATCCACGCATCGAAATGCTTGTCCGCACGTTGGATGATGTTGACCGTTTCCGCGATCGAGGTTTGTTGCGTCTTGACAAAGTTTTCTTGGACACCTCCGAGGATGGTGACTAGTTCGGATTGGGCGATGATACGTGCGTCGACGGGTCGCAAGGCCTCGAACTTGAGCAGAGAGCGAGCAGAGGTGATGGAAAAATCGATTGTGACCAGGCCTCGTCGACCTGTGGCAATGCTGAGCCATAGGTCTTGAGCGTACAGGCTCAGCCATGTTCGGACCGTCGGCATCAGTTGCTCGAACGCCCTGTTCGAATCGGGCTTGTCCATCATCGAGAGCAGTCGTTCGAGCGAGCGAGGCAGATCCAATTGCGACGCGAGTGTGCACGAATGACCCGGCGGGGCTCCTCTGGATAGCCACGCACTTCCAAAATGTACACAGGGGCAAGATCAGTTTGGGCGTGCGCGTCAAGCTCTCTCTCTCGTATACGCGCACTGACTTGTACAACAGCGTCCCCTTGAGATCATCCAAAGTCGGCGGGATGTCCGAATAAACCGTCGCGCGCATGTACTTGAGTGCCTGCTGTTCACATTGATGGGACCAAGCCGCATTCGAATGGAATCTCGTCGCAATAGACAGAATACAGTAGAGCAACAGAGGCGAACGGGCTCGAACAGCGTCGTAGGTGTCGATCGTCGGGTCGATGTAAGGTGCCCATGGAGCCATGTGCGTCCAGAAGGTATCGAACGCAGAACGGGAGAGTCGATCGAGCATGGGGTCATATATTGATAACTCGGCGGCGACGTGACCCGAGCCCCCTGCACCGGCCGAGATGATCGAAGCTGGAAGGGCATTCGAGGCCGAGGGGAACGATGGGAACCCAGGTTCGAACGAGACGCGGTTGGCATCGGCTTGATGATGCTGGTGATGGTGAATTGGATTGATGTGCTCCCTCTCTTTACCCTTATGATCGCGCTCAGTACCTCGAGAAGGTCCGGCATGGGACAGTCGTTGGTGCGCCTGTCCGTTCGAGTGGTCCGGTGCCGAGGTGGAAGTCGCCTTGGCCAGCAAGGCGGCATGTTCCTGTATCGTTCGTTGCAGCACAGCCAGTTCCTGTTCGACCTGCAGTAGTCGTCGTTCGGTCGACCAGATCGGCGTCGCACCGAGACTGCGAATTGGGCGAGGAGAGGAACGTAGCACGCGACGGAAGCCCGCGAAGGTCAAGTCACGTGGTCGACGCTAGCACTTTGCTCCTCGTGGGACTCACTCTTGGTCCGACGATGTCGCAGCGGTGACGAGTCGCGTCCCGAGTTCTTCCTGGGGCACTCCATCGAAGATACACTCGTGGCATGACTCCCTACATCGTCGACAAGGCCACAGTTCGGGTCCATCGCAACGGGCTGCACCACCGCGCACACACACAGGGACAGAAGGGAGGCCACCACCACGCGGAGAAATGCATATGTCAACCGTCAGCGCCTCCGCAAGTTGGCGAAACATGCCGGACCGGTGAGTGCGCTACGGTGCTGCACACATGCACACGGCACATGCACAATGCCCAGCACAGAAGTATTGAGAGGCTCACCTTTGGCTCTTCGACAGGCAACACACGCCTTGGCCGACCTCCGGATGGGAAGCTTGCGGTCGCGGTGGTTCGCATGATACGGTTGCCCAGCTGCGCCTGCAGAAGCAGAGGCGGTCACAGACGCGGCGGGCGACCCACTCCTCGACGACCTCGACACGGAAGGTGACGCCGGCATGCTACGACGATGCCGAAGGATGTGGAGGATATCGAGGTCTACCGGATGGTCCAGTCGAGATTGGGTTGGGTGCTATGTCGCAATCGACGGCGGAGAACGAGGCCGTCGCTCAAAAGTGGATGTAAGCAAGCGCATGAGTGCAAGCGGGGGCAAGCAAGCCCGGACCGGGGCCGTGGGTGAGGTGGGGGCAACGCTAGAGAACGCTAGCGCCTGCCGCTCTGCAGGTCGACAAGGGGCGTCGACGCCAAACCCCGTTGCGCCAGGTCGCGCGGCTCCGAAATCAGACACCCCCCTTTCATTGTGCTGGTCTACTTCCGACTTTCACCGAATCAATTAAAGCCATATAAAATATCGTACTAGACTTTCGTGAAGAAGGAAAACCGCTGCAACTATGTACCGCGCCAAGCTCGGAGAAGCAGAGACTCTCCAGGTGAGGGATCGGCCGGGCTGTAATCACAGAGCGGGCCCATAAGTAGCCTCTGAGTAGCTAGAGTAACGAGCTCTTGTAACGACTTGCTTTCAGGCTAGCGTTCAAGAACGCCGGATTTCCATATGGTGCATATCAGAGGCGCATACCTTACACGGCCCCCCGCAAAAGACATCAAACCCGAGCTGGGGATTGTCGGAGGAGTCAGCCCCCTATCGAGCGCATTCATCACGTTCGGCCAATGATGTCACAAGTCTAAACGCAGGAGGGCGCCGGCAACAATGCATCAATACGCTGCAATACTCAATAGGATCGTGTCGTACCACACCTTTGGCCGATGCGGTCTTGTTCTTCGAACATCACTTTAACTGCCTAGGGGATACAATCTGGTACAGCCGGCCGCTTTCCCGCCAAGAGGGCCGTTAGCACTAAGCGCTCCTAAACACTGCGTCCTGAGCTAGCTATTGCCGCAACTACAATCATGTTCGTCAAGGAGACGGTGGTAGCCTGTAGGTTTGCCAGCACAGGCCGAAAAAGCCTCGGCGTCGAAAACCGGCGAGCAGCTCGGTAAGATCGCATTTCAACGGCGCGATATCGTGCTTGTCGTCAGGTGGCAAGTGTCTTTTATGCTCTAAACTCAATACTGCATGCGAACATTTATAGTAGCTTTCTTGGGTCGAAAAGCAATACGTTCTCGGTCGCCCGTTTGGCCTGAAAGCGGGGGACACTAGTCCTCACCAACTGTGCAATGGCGGAAAGCTCGACCCCTATCGGCATTCTTCCAAGTTCATTCTGGAATGCACCGGCGCTCGGAACACCCGACCGCGGACGGCGATCCGCGCCCGCGCCGAGGACGAGACGACTCCGTTCCGGGGACAGGGGTCGTCTGCACCCCGTGATTGAACATTCGCATCGTTGATCCCTCGATCCTACCAGCAGTCATGCCCAAAACATTCCTCGATCTTGGAAATCCTACTCGAACCAGGGTTGAAATCGAGACACCACTTCGTTATCTCCTAAAAATCGAAAGCAGAACACATCTTGACGTTCCCGGCCAAGAAGACTCTCCGCATTGACAAGGTTGCGGGCGGCGCGGCAGCGCCCAGGATCGTCGACGCCTGCTGCGCGCGCTCACACGCCCATTCAGGCAGGCGCAGGGCTCAATCGGGCAAGGTCCTTGGTGCCGAGTCGCTGATCCACTTCTTCGCACACCACTTATTTCCGGTTGGGTGTGCGTGTGACTTGTCGCGTCACTACGTCCTTCCTGCTGTACGCTCGTTCCCTGGATACAGCGTCTGCACTCGTTCCTTCCCACACTCGTTCAAACGTCTACACCCCTGCCCCGTCGGTCGACTCGACCCCGCAAGTGCTCGCTCCTTCCGAGGATCCGAGTGCCTCTTGTCTCACGATCTAACGCGCCCGAAGTGGTGAGACATTCCCACTCCAGCCAAACGAGCTTTACCCCCAAGCCCGACCACTCGAACGCCGCCCCACCCCCCTCCCACCACCCCAACATGCGAAGTAGTACAACGAAACTTCTAGTCGTCCTCTCAACATGGGCGTTTATCGGCGTCCAGGCGTTGGATGTGGTGTATCCTACAGCGCCGGTCGTGTTTGAGTAAGTTGGGGGCACTTCGGCGTTCGCGCTGGTCGACGCTTGCGCTTGCGGGCTCGGATTCGGGTTCCGCCGGAAGTAGCGCGAGCAAGGCATCGGTGTGGCGAGGGCCCCGCTTGGCAGTCATGCGATGTCAAAACATAGGATCATCTCCTGTGCTTCGAAGCACCACGCGAGCCCCAGCCAATAGCCCCCCTGTTCGGCTTCACCGTTGCCCCCGTTCACGCATTAACCCTCCCTGCCTTGTCAACGTGGCAGTCAATCCGGCGCAATCGAGAACCGAATAGTCTGGTCGCTCACCCCCTTGACGAACCCACCCCCAGCGACCAACTTTTTCGACATTTGGATGCGTAACGGGATAGGGGAGATTTACCCCGATGCCTTGAACGTGAGTATATTCGCGTCCGAACTTGCAGTGGCACGACGTTTCGAAAAACTCTCCCCGACCAGAATCCTAACCGCTCACACGCCCCGTGACAATTCCCAGGTCTCGATCGCCTCCAACCTCGACATGACTAATCCCAACATGACCTACGTCTGGCCCGACGCAGCCAAATACGTCCCAGGACCAGGGTACCAACTCTTCTTCTCCGCACCGGGGAACGCGAGTTTGGTTTATTGCGATTCCAAAGTATTCTCCATCGGGAGTACGACCTACAACGCTTCGCATACGACGTACACGGGTCCGTTCGTGGCATTACAACCGTCGAGTACGTCGCCTGCTTCGGCGACTGAGCCTGCAACGGAAACGATGACGGGGTCGGCAGCTACTAGTGCGGCGGTGATGTTGACGACGACGTCGAGTGCTGCGCAAGCGGTCGAAACCACAACCGTGACCAATACCCTCTCCGCCTCCCCCACCCCAACAACTGTCAGTGATTCGTCCTTCATCACTTCCGTAATTCCCGCCTCGGCCAAACCGACAGCAACCCCAGCGACGGCAAGTGTCGTTCTCGCGAATTCGAAACCTTCTTCTTCTTCCGGACCTGTGGCAACGGATTACGCGGGACCGGCGGGACAGGGCTTCAACCTTTTGTCCTCTTCCGGTATGATTTTGAATGTACGACGAGCGGGAATGGGTTTGGTGGTTGTGGCGACGACGGTATTTATCGTCGCTTGAGAGGAGAGCGCTGGTCAGCGCGCTGAGTCGTAGCCTGGTAGAGTTTGGTCCGGTTTGGAGTACCTAGCGTGTAGCTGTTGCTTCTTCCTCTTGTAATAATCCTGTAGATACGTGCTGTACAAACACCCATGATACGTATCATCCAGGGGTTTCCCCCGAAATTGAGCCCCTTTTGGATAGGGAAGACGATCAAGTTCCTCGGCGCGGCATGAATGAGAGCGTATTGACTCGCCGACGAAGGGGGGGTAAGAATTCTGTGTTGTTTTATTTTGAGATGTTGATTACGTCAATCCCCATTATTCCAATGACCAAAAACCCTCCCTATAACCCAACAGACAGTAGCAAAATTCGAAACCAACACCCTCGCCTTGAAACAACACCCATTCAAACCGAACCCAACTCTGGGCAAACACCCACCAGTCCCTACTTATCACTGATACTCATACACTTTACCTTCTCCTTCACGTCCTCCGGCTCATTCGCATCATCCCCGACGGTCCCTCCCCGACTCTCACTCTCGATAATCGCCTCACTAAGCGGTCTCCTCGCTTCTCGATTGAGGGACGACAACTTGCGATGCGTCGTCCGGGATAGACGAAGGGGTCGCCGGACCACCATGACGGGACATGATGATTTTTGCAGCAGGTAGTTGGATACGGATCCGAGGAGCATGCTGTGCGGGTGGGGTCCAAACGGGTGGGATTAGCTGGACCTCATTAAGCGAAGGTTTACGACGAGCGTCAGTTTTGGGTTACCCTTTGATCTTGCTCAATCCTCGCGTCCCAATGATCACCATCGTAGGTTCAACATAATCAATCTGTGTGCGAAAGGACCTCTCGAATCAAGATCAGTTATCCGGCCTTTTTCCCCCTCGCCCATGCCTGATATCGAACGCACCAAATCGACCAGGAGGTGCCTCGGTACTTTGGCATGGATCGCTTGACAATAGATCGATACGTTCAAGGACGTCTTTTCCAATAAAGCTGTTGCTTGTCGGGATATGGCGAGGCAGCTCGCTTGGCGTTCGCGCTGGTTGATGATTTTGGCTTTCTTTTCGCTCGCGGAGAGGTTCGTTGATTCGGGGTCGACTGGATGGGGAATGAAGGATCAAGATGGGTCAGGAATCACCAGACACAGCAGTCATGACGCGTGTAATACACAGCAGTCATGACGCGTGTAATCATAAATCTCACACTTGGAATCCGTTTCAATGATGGACACGATCGTACACTCGTCGCCTTCCCTCAAAACCGTTCCAATCGCCCACTGTGACTCGAGATACTCCACAATCGATCAGCACCAAAACTGCGTCACATTCTAGAAAGCGTACTCCCGCACGCACCTCGATCGCATACAAACTCTCATCACTCAAATCGCTCGCGACCAAGAAGGACCTCGTCCTCCTCCCTGCGCCCGCTTTGATCGGATCCCCCTGAGTCAAGGTGATACTACAGCGATTCTTCTCAAAGACCGGTCGACCGGTCTCGAGCTTGAGCGGTTGGAGCGTCTTGCCTGATTTGGTGGACTTGCGACGCAAGAGACCGGGTCCGGATCCGGCCGAATGTTGGGACGAGTCGATGTTGGGTCCTTCGCCGGGAAAGGTCATGGAGAGACCTTCGCGGGTGATAAAGTCTTCGGGCGTTTGCGTTGAAGAGTTGGCCTGGGGAGAGTGGGATTCGTGGTCAGTACGTCGGAGGGTGACCGTGCGCGTCGTGGGGGGGAGCGTGAGTCAGTGTGGGGCACGACAAGCCAGCCTCTGCGCCAGCCCCACCGCCCCCTCTGACAGAGATACAGCCTCAAGCCAACGACTGACCTCTGTATTATTCAACACCTCCTCTGGCCAATCCTCCCCCTCGTCCTCGTCCTCGTCCTCGTCGTCCGAATCACTATCGAACGCATTCGAAGGCCTCACCACGGGTGTCCTGTCCCCCTCCGCATCCGACTCGTGATCGGGATCGGTCCTCAGCCCTTCCGCACTGGGACTCCGTTTCGACGGACCGGCACTCGGTGCGGTGCGTGTTTTGGAAGTCGATCTGCGGCGCCGGAAGGGGGAGAGCGAACGGCCTCGCGAGCGGGACCACTCGCGGTCGTCGTCCGAGTCATGGCTCGACACGTTCAGCGACGGCAACGCGTCCGAGGAGCCGCGGGAAGAGATACGTCTGAGGAACGAGGTCATGTTGCCTGTCCCGTGGTTTGTTGATGGTGTGCGGTCGGCGGTGAGGAGGACCCCGATCGGCCCAGCGAGCGCGCTATTCGGTCGTCAGTCGTCGGCGCCAAGACTCGAGTTGGGCCGGGAACTTGAAGCGGGGCAGGAGCAGAGCTGAGCGCTGAGCAGCGAGCGAGCGAACGGACGTGCGCTGTGACGGTCAGCGGGACGTGTATGTCCAGAGCAAGAAGTGCGGCGAAGAGAGGAAGCGATGCACTTGGGCACAGGTGTGGACTGCCAGTGGATGAGGTGTGCGCAAGAGACCAAGCAGCGCGTCGATCCCTCCGAGCCTTCTTGAGCCAACCCACGCCGGCTTCCCCAAGCTTCCACATCGCACCCCCCACACGGACCTGATCCGAGGCCCAGGAAAGCGACAAGGCAATAGTGCAAGATCGGCAAAGGCAAAAGATCACGGAGACGAAAGAGAACTGACCTGATCGGGGGTCACCCTGCTTCTCTCGCTGGAAAAAAGGTTCATATCAACCCCTGTCTCGCTCTCCAGCGCGAAAAGAAACCACTTTGGCCAAAATCGATTCCGATCGTATCATTATCACAAACTCATCCTGCATAGAGCACAACAATCGACTAAAAATCATCAAAACACAAGGCGCAAAGAACCAAATACCTCGCTGCGTCCTCACTTCTTTGCCCTACTGCTCGTTGTCCTGGGTTTGGCACGCCGAACCACCCACCCCGAGCGAGAGGTCGGTCAGCCATGGGTCGGGGGACTAGAAAACAGACCAACACGATCAGCCAACAGCTCTTCACTTCCACCTCTTAAATCCCTCTCAAACTCACCAACAAGAAGTACCCATTCATCGCCTCACAAAACCTCGTCTTGTACTGTTTAGGCGTAATGATAGTCGGACCCCCCGGTTTGTTCGAGCCCCCACCCAAAAAAGCCGAATCCTTGACCCAACTCTCGATCCTTTTATCCCACGTATACGTGCGGATGAAATCGACAATCCCGACGACCAACTCGTGTTTTTTGGCATCGACGCCGACGACGAGCGAATAATCCATTACGTTCAAGTCGGCGAGGAACTTCGAGTCGCTTGCGATGGCGCGTTGGAGGAGGCGCTTCGAGTCCTCCCGTACGTAGAGCGGGGTGCGACGGGATATCTCGACGAGGTTCTCATCCATCAGGACTTCGTGGGGGCGGTCTTTGTTCACTTGCACCAAACGATTACGCGTCGATCCTTTGAGGTCAAAGACCTGCTCGAGTTGGCGGTCGTAGAAGAGGTTCTCGGTGACGAGCACGTCCAATTTCATCGTCTTGCCCGTCGTGGGGTTCTTGAGCCCCAAGCGGTAGAAGCCAAAAATCTTGGCGAGCAAGGTCGGGCGCTGTGAGTACGAACGGAAACTCGTTATTTGGATCAGTGCCAGACTCCATAGTCGCAAAGTCGCGCATCATCACTCACCCCTGTGGCCATAGCGTTGGACATGTAATCAAAGTACGCCGGCGCGAAACGCAGCAGCGCATCCATCTCCAACCGACTAATCTCCTTGACAATGAAACGATCATCTGCACGGCATATCCCATATCAGCAACGCGAACCCTAGCCACATCATCCAAGCCTCGCTAGACCCACCTTTCGTCTTGAGGAAGTCGACCTTGGATCTCCCCCCACTCGAATCCCACTTGACGCACCGCGCGAGACTCTCGATGTACTGAGCCGAACACGCGCAGTTACGGCGTAGGGCATCGAATTGCTCGGCGAAGAAGATCTTGCAAAAAAAAGTCGTCGAGTTGTCTTCGAATTCTATTCAAGGTAAAGCGTAGCCTGCTCAGCCAATCGTTCTGCCCTCTTCCCCTCAGCGTTGACCGGTACTCACGCAAGCGGAAATGTTTTGCCTCGGGCTTGCGCAGCGTGTCCTCAACCGTCGCCAGATCCGCCGGCGCTTCAGGGGCTCTCCGCGGCAATGCCTCATCGCCATGAACAGAAGCCTCATCGGTTTTCCTCGAGACCGTTGCCGCCTGTTCCTCAAGCTTGCCTCGATAGGCTTTCGAGCTGTGGAGTCAACCGAAAGAAGAACGCAGATGTGAGTTTCGAGCCAGAGACCACCGCTGTGCAAGTCGATCGCGACCCACCTCAAAGCAAACGCCAACACGGAGCTGGGTTCATCCTCACGGACGAGGATTGGGTTATCCGCAAAGAGATGTTCGCTCGAAGCCCTGTGAGGGTGCAAGTGGTTGAAAATCAGCGACGGGATCGCGAGCCTACAGACGCGCATCACAACGACTCACAGAGGGTATTCAAGCGGAGTGAAATCGGCGCCACGATAGGCCCACAAACTCGAGATGGCTTTGATGATGGACCCTCGTTCAGTCCCACTTGATTCCCCCTCTGACATCTTTGGCACAGGCACCGAGTCACTCAAGCCCGTTGCCATCGATGTCGTCGTTGCGTTCTCTGCTTCGGACGACAAAGCCGATTTGCCAGTGACGAATTGCGCACCGCCGCGAGTTGGAGACTCCTCTCGTTTAGATCGAACCTCCTCCAATGCCGCGACCACGCCTGAGATGTCAAGGCCGGGCTGAACAAGCGCCTCGGCCATGCTCGAGAGGGGTAGACCGACGTCGAACTGCGCCAACTCGTTGAAACTCGAGGTCAGGTTCGGCTGCTTGCCCATCTTCTGTTTCGCAGGAGGCAAATTCGGCACGGGCCGCTGGGCAGCGGTTTGCAACGTCGTCGGAAGCGGTTTCGCCGCAGTCGGGACGACCTCACGAGGGTTGGCGTCCTCAGCATCGTCATCATCGTCCGCATCATCGTCCTCATCATCGGCTCCATCACTCGCACTCGAATGATGCTCATCATCATCCGAGTCCTCCTTGGCCGCATCAAGCGCATTGTGAAACACCTCGATCGTCGACCTCACATTCCCGACCGGTCGTGCCTTCTTGAATCCGAACCTCTTCTCACGCTCTTGATCGTTCTCGCGCGAGAGTCGATCGAAATGACTGCGAATTCGAGCGACATGTCGACCATGTGAAATGACGCGTCGAGCGGTGCTCGTTCCCGATCCGGTCGGTGTGGCAGTCTTGTTGATCGAGCTTGCCGTAGGTCGTGAGACGCCCAATCCGATCCCCCGAGATCCTTTCCCGACCTCTCCTCCACCTCCTCTAGCCGACGATCGACCCGTCTCACTTGAATCATCCTTCGATGCTGCGTCCTTTCCCTTGCCTTTATAACTCGACCGCGTCGAACCCGTCGGTCTGACCGAAGACGACCTCGAGCCTGTCGCAGAAGATGAAGGCAGATCATCGCTGACCCTCCTCGAAAGCCCAGGTGTGATTTGGCCGGGTCTAGAGCCTGACCTCGATGGCGCACGCGACGTCGTGGGTGAACTCGACAATCGGTTCGGGAAGATCGCTTGTTGGGGACTCGTAGGTCGCGAGTTTTGCGGCGAACGCTTCGAGGACAAGGGCTTGCGAGGTTGTTCAGTAGCAGGCTTGGGCATCGAGTGACCTTGCTCGAGCGCAGGCTTGCGAGAAGTTGACGGAATCCGACTCGTCTTGAGATCCGCCAAAGCCGATCGACTCGACAAATGGGACACAGCGACATTGCGGGCATCTGTGAGTGCAACCATCCGCCGAACCGCTAGAGTCAGTCAATGTTCATGACGCAACTCCTACAAGCGTTGGACAGACTCACAACTGCCATCCCCATCCGAAAGCACATCCTTCAAAGTCGGCCTGCCCTTCGTCCTTGACTTGTCCGAAACGCCTCTCCTCAAAGTAGGTCGAGGCGACTCGATCGGCGGACTCGTCGACACGGCACCTCTGAGACCCAACGAGCCCGGAGCCATCTTCCCTCTCTCGACGCCAGGCGATGCTGAACGACCCTCCGCGAACAAGTCAATAAGATGGGCGACATTCTGACCCGTTCTCGTCCGCCTCGGCAACGCAGCAGGCTGAACTCGATCATTCTCACTCTCGGCGCCACTCGTATCCTCGAGCGTCGACAGACGAACGTTGTAAGGCGAAGGAAGGTGGGCATTCCCCATGCGGAAAGTGAGGGGTGGATCGGCGCAGACGGTCGAGTCGCTTTCGTTGTCGGTCATGGACATGCGACGGTGAGTATTCGAGATGGGGGTCACGAAACCGGGCGTCACGAGTGCCGGCGTATCCAAATGAGCAGGCTCGGACGTCATCGCACCCCTGCCAAGAGCCGAAAGTGTCGAAGTCGAAGAAGCCAACGACGTCTCCGCCGAAGTCTCCGTACTCGATTCGACCGTCGACGCAACACTCTCCAACTCGGCCCCCTCAGCCCCCTCGTTCGCCAACTCCAACTTCTCATCCAACTCACCCATCCCTCCCATCGACACACTCGAAAACGTAGAAGCCGTCGTCGTCTTCCGTTCCGGCGAGAGCGCGACATCATCAACGGAAAACAACTTCTTCAACTGCATCGTCGTCAACCTCCTCACGTCCTTCTCCGTAGGGATGATCCTCTGCTCCAACGCCGTCCATTCCGCCTCCCAATCGACGGCCTTGTTCTGTAACGCCCTTCGAACACTCGTCATCCCAGTCCCATTCGTCGATTGAGCGAGTTCGTACGTCGATTCCAACACCTTCAAGATCGACCTTCGGTCCTGTTCGCACTTGGCCAACAACTCGGCCATCGCGGCTCGACAATCGTCCAATCGATCGGCTTGGACGAGATCATAATTGAACGACTGAATGCGATGCGCGATCGAGTCCCAGAACGCGGTGCTCTTCCTCAAGACCGTCAAATACTCCTCATTCCGTAGACGCAATTGTCGTTCAGGTTTGATGTAGACGATCCTTGGGGGTGCGACGACGTCGCGGAGCTCGATCGTCTCCATCGAGATGGTGAACGTGATGGAACGACACATGATGTACCTCACATGATCCGAATGACCATTATGCTGACAGACCTGATCGGTCCTCTGCAGTCGATGCGGATAGAACGACAACTCGAGGTACTTTGCGAAACTGAGTCGATACGCCTCGGGTGACATCGGAGCCATGGCCGTTCGCGTACCGCAAATCTTGCAATACCCGAACATGACGATATGACCTTCGAGCTCGGGCCGATCTAATGCGACGGGGTGCGCCTCGGGTACGATCGTCAATCGGTAGGACCCGTGAACCCACGTCTCGTAATGCGCCAAAAGGGGTCGACCACACCCTTGCACACTGCAAGGCTTGCCCGCATCCCGACAGATCCGCTCGACGTATTGACCCAACGACACGTCCCCCTTCCCGTAGAACGTGAACGACTTGAGCGTAGGTTGTCGACACAACTTGGTCGTCTGCGTGCACCCCAACGTCTCCAACACGACCAAGTGTTGATGCTGCGCCGGATCGAGACTGTCTCGAGTCGTCTTGAGGTGCTTATCCCAAGCGAGCAGGTCCTCGACGTGTCGTGCCTCCGCCTCGTCGATCTCGGTCGTCCTCGATAGCTCTTCGGGCGACTGGAGGATACTCGTTGGGTCATGTGGAACGACAGTTGGCGGGGCCATCGTCTTGATCTTATCCCCGACATGGATCGTAATCGCACTCGCGCCAGTTGCCGCATCACCGGACCCTAAAGTCGACTCTGCCGAACTCGCTTCACCCGCTGCTTCACCGGCCAACGCAGGCAGCGAAACGACCGACGAAAATGCCGAAAGTCGTTCCCTCGATGCCGCCTCCTCCACCAGAATCTGCTCCGTCTCTTCATACTCGCGCAAATCACGCAATTCGGTCAACTTGCGATCGTCGTGACTCAACTTCGCGAGAGGGTAGGGCGGTGGGTAATGCACGAAGGGCGAGCCGGAGAGCGCGGTGCGAGCGAAGGGTCGTAAAGAGCGGGCGATCTCCTTGGAGACTTGTTCGCGTTCGAGTCCGAGCAGCGTCGACGTCGGTCGAGCGGCCTTGTCGTTCTCCAGTCCTCGCGTTTCCTTCTCCTTCTCATCCTCCTCGACATCCACCCACTCCGCCTCCTCCTCCTCTTCCCCCGCCCTATCCCTCGTCGCGACCAACAACTCATCCCTCAACAAATACCCCTCCAGCCTCGCCCCATAAGCAACCAACACCATCATCTCGACGACCCCTTTAATCCTATGCAACGTCTCCCAATCCTCCCCTCTGAGAAGGATCGTACACCCGAGATTCTTGGCGCAACCTTCGAAACGCATCAAGCTTTTGCGCGCGCCAGGTATGAGCGGATGAACGAACGTCTGCACGCGAAAGGTGATACATCTACCCAACCTCGGTTCGAGCGCAAGCTTATCCATGGACGTAATGATGTCACTCTGCGTCGACCTCGCGACGTGCGCAATCGAAGACGGTTTGACGTTCCTCGCCACGACGATCCCTTCCTTCATCAAATAATCTAACGCCAATCCAGAAACGTTCTTCTGCACCAATACGACGTGAGGTCGTTGCGCCTTGACGCGTTGCACGAGATGGTGGAGGTATTCCTTCTCTTGGTGAATGAGCGGATCGATCGAAACGAGTTGGTTCTCGATCCTTTGGTATTCCAACGGAAACGAAAAGAGCATCACCCGAGGATGGTCCAATTTCCTCGCCATCTTTTTGTGCAAGACGTTCTTGGTGAAGACGACGCCATCGACGTATTCCGAATCGCGAGGTCGACCCCCTGGGATCTTCTTGATGCGAACGTAGTTGCGCACATCGAGATCATCCCCTCCCGTCAAATCAGGAACGGTATGTTGCGCGACCTGAACGAGAAGAGGTACGAGGACGTCCTCCCATACTTCCGGCCGAGGGATCTTTGCGCTCACGAGCATCTGCCGCAACATCTTGTGCGTATGACGAAGGACCGCATCCGTGATGCCGATGTCCTGAGGTGGCTCGGTCGAAAACTGCGAATCGTCCAAGAGGGTGAAGGTGCCTGCAGCTGTACTCAAGGTCGGTGTCGCGAGGAGTAAGGGAAGCTCCCTGGTCGCGCCGGCGCGGTAAGCGTCGAATTGACTGCGATGCGAGGAGTGCCGGGAATGAGGCGTGATCGGTTCCAATGATTCGTGATCGTCTTCGTCTTCATCAGCTGCGCCATTCCCGACGACCTCTTCACCGGGACTGGCGTGCTCCTCGAGCTCAGGATTCGGTGAAATCGTCGTCAACGTCGGATCGAACGCCACCGCGTGTGCCGTCGCTCTCTGATCGCCCAACGCCGACAAGAGCGAAACCGCGACATCCGGGCCCGCTTTCCCATTCCTCTCCTCCTGCGCAGTCTTCGTCTGCGTCGGCGTCCCATCCGTAGATATTGGAATCGGAGCATCGACGTCCTCTGCCAAACTTCTCCTGAAAGGAGCGATGGCCATTGAAGCCGCTGCGACGACCCGACTTGATTTCCTTCGTAGGAGTCGACCGAAGGGGCCGATCGATATCAATCGCTTCGGATTCTTGCTATCCCCATCGTCGTCGTCGTCCTCATCAGGGACTTCCTCCTCATCCCGTGTGTCGCGCATCTCATTCGCCTCCTCCCCACCATCGGTATAAGGTGTTCGCGGCCGACTGGACGTATCCGAATGAGCGTCCAAAGTCCTCGGGCCGAAATCGAAATCGCTGGGGTTATTGAAAGGCGTCTCACTCCTCGGGAAGAGTTGACTAGCCGCGAATTGACTTTGAGGTGGTTGGGCACTGGCTTCCAACGGTCCCGAAATGAGGTACGGTCCGTTTGGAAGACCGGGCCTCGAAGTCGTCGTCGTCAACGAATTCGGATCTTGGATCGCACCACTCGTCGTCGCTGAAGACCGTTGTGCCGGATCCCCACCATGTTCCAAAACGGACAAACAGAGGTTACAGACCCTGACGTAACCCTGTTGTCCGAACCTGGCCGACGAGATGATGTTGCTCGCGCAACGTGAACAGAAAATCTGTCCACAGATGCGACAATGGTGTTTGCGACGAAAGGCGGAGAAAACGGTTTCACAATCGAAGCATTCTTTCGACGATTCGTCCTTGATCCAATAGTCCTTGGAGAGTCCCTGTCGATCGTTGCATCAGCCTCGGGCGTTGACGCTGTACCGAGCTGCTGCAACACGGGTGGACTGACCTCGCCTCTCAACTTTCGAATCGCATGAGCTACACTTGCCGACGGTCTCGCGACCGTACTCAAACTGGCTACGCTCATTGAATCATCGGCCATCTCCCTCGCCAATGGGAAGCCTGGAATGCTCGTCGATAGATTGAGCAGGGTCGTCGCTCCCAACGCCTCACTGATGGAACTGCGAGTCGATGACCCATGGGCCATCGTCGTCGAAGAAGGTCGACTCGATCCGGCCGTCGATCCACTCCCACCGAACCATGTCTTGTTCGAAGCGGGGTACAACTTCGACCCATTGACAGGTCTCTTGGCCGATCGGGTTGTCTCGGTATTGGCCGCCGTGACTCTGACCGATGGAGTTCTCGCCAACAAATCGGCGAGTGCGCCTGCGCCGCTAGTAGTAGTGGGGGCTTTCCAAGGTGGGGTGGAAGGGGAGGTCGCATCGAGGTTACTTTGGGTCGAAGAGGTTGATTGAAAGAGGTGGTCTGTGGAACCGGTGGAGTTGTTGCGACGATGATGATGTGACGAAGCGACGGTCGCGTTCGAGGTTGACAACCTCAACGCTTCGTTGCCCACGGCGGATGAATAACTCGTACTAGCCACAGGTGGGATAGTCGTCGCAGTGGAGGAAGAAGTATTCGATTGACCCCCCGCTTGAGTGGATGTACTGGTACTGGTGCCGACTATCCATCGCTTGAGTTTGGCGGTCAAGGTCGTTTCAGTTTCCGGATCGGCTTCGTCGATGAAGCGCGGGAACGACTCGAATTCGCCATGAACACCCGAGATTGACATGGTGATTGTCTCCGTGCGCTCTGGCAGGGCGTACCCAACCGGGAGCTAGAGTTGGTGCGACCTAGTGACGACCCAGTGTTGACAGCCGGATGAGTCAGCACGTGACGACTTCCCCACGTTCCCGTTAACCACCACCTCACTAACCCACTACCACAACCGTCCACGCGGCGTCGTGTACTTGCTCGTTCCTGTGTTGTTGCGGGATGACGCAGCCGGCGTCAACACGCAAGCGTGTGGGGCGTGCAGCGCTCGCCGACCCGTTGGTGACCGAGTTGGTGACCGAGTTGGTGACCGAGTAGGAAGAGCGAAAGAGGGGACGAGGTGCACGCGATCGACGGGTCCGAGCGCAGCCGAGCGCAGCCGAGCGCAGTCAGTCGACAGTTCGCGATCCCAGCTCGGGCTAGCTCGGGCTAGCTCGGGCTAGCTCGGGGTAAAGGCTCGGGGTGAGATCAACATCATTTTCGTTCCAGACTGGGTTTTGGTGTATTCCGCGATTATCGGGCCCAGTGAAATAAGTCGAGTTCGCCAGATTCGATCGAGTCAGAGACAGGTTCACCGACCTCAACTAGGCTCGGACCAGTAAATTCGAGTCTGAGCACGACGTCTGGCGCCCCACTGCACTGCCATGCACGTTCGTTGGTGCGTCAGTTTCCGAGCGCTCGAGGCCCGAGTCCGAGCTCGGAAAACGGAAATCAAGTGAGATCAAGTGCGCATCACTGCACGGGCGACACCGAGTTCGTCTTGGTCCCTTCTTTCCTTGCTCTCCCTTCGCGTGTCTGCGAGTGCGTGCGTGCCCAGCCTCCATCGACCGACGTGCAGTGGAAACAGGTGGAAACTGAGCCCGAGTCCCGTCCCAAGTCGGTTACGGTGTCTGAGCACTTGTCGGGCTCCTGCTTCCTTCCGGCTGAGACATCATCCCACCTCGCTCATCCGCTAGCGCCGGCGGTCTCACTAGAGTAGTCACCAGTAGTCACTAGTAGTCACTAGTAGTCACTTGACCAACCTGCGCACGCACCCCACATCCCACCGCCCGACCAACTCTTTTGCTCTACTCATCACCATGAGCGCCTCGCACATCCTCTACGTCGGATCCTACGCCAGCACCCTCTCCTCCCTCACCCTGACCGTACCCTATACCTCCTCCGCCGCCGCCGCCGCCTCCTCCCTGATCGTCTCCAATCAGCTCAGCCCCCCCTCTCTCGGATCCGGTCCCTCGTGGTTGACCCAACATGGAACGACGATCTATACCGCCGACGAGGATTCCCATCCTTACGCCTTGCATTCATGCTATTCGATCGACGCCCAACATCCTACGATCCTACACTTCCAAGCCAGCCTCAAAGTCCCGAACCAAACCGGACCCGTGGACCTCATTCTCTCCTCGGACCACGCGCACCTCTACGCGGCCAATTACGTCTCCGGATCAGTGAGCAACATCGCATTGGACGCGAGAACAGGTTCCTACCTTTCTGGAGCGACACCGCAATCGATCGTCTTCACCGGTGCGGGCCCCAAGTTGGATCGGCAAACCGGACCGCACGCGCACCAAGTCGCGCTCGAACCGACCGGACGTTACCTCCTCGTCTGCGATTTAGGCTCGGACCAAGTCCGCGTCTTTGATACGCATACCCCCTCGGGGGATCTCAACCCCTTGGACTCGTTATCCGTCGCGCCTGGAAGTGGACCTAGGCATTTACTTTTCGCAGGGGAAGGGACTCTATCGGACCCTACGCTCGTGTACCTCGTGAACGAACTTTCAAGTACGCTCCTCATCGCTCGACTCGATTACCCGATCGAACCTTCCCCACATCTCACCTGGACGATCTTACAAACTATCTCGATCCTACCTTCGACTCAACCGACTTTAAATTGGACGGGTGGTGAACTGGTCCTTTCCCCCGATCGACAACACCTCTTCGTTTCGAATCGATCCCCGAAGCAAAGCCCCGCTCTCAAAGGCCACGACCTCCTCTCCATCTTTGAACTCGATCTCGCGACGGGCAAGACGACCTCGACCGAACCGACCTTCTTCCCCCTCCCCGGCTTACATCCCCGACACATGTCCCTCAGTCCGGAAGGTGATTATTTGGCTGTGGCTTTACAGCATTCGAATAAGGTCGTCGTTTATAAGCGGGTAGGAGCGCAATTGGAATCGGTGGGAGAGGTGGAGGTGCAGAAGCCGACTTGCGTGATTTGGAATACGGGAGGGTTGGAGAAGGTGGGGAAGGTTGTTCAAAGTTGGGTAGAGTGAACGCGGGAATGGGAGGAGGGAGAAAAGCGACATAGTTTGCCTAGTCACTATTCGGACCCTCGTCTCGGAGAAACCCGACCCAAAGGAGTCTGAAATGAGACAAGTCATTACACATGCCCACGATCCACGCATCATAGGATCCTAAAATCTACATCCCTTCATCCTTCCCTGCTGTAGGAATCATTTACTGCGCCGCCTTGCCAAACTTGCCCGCGGCCTCATCGAACGCGTCGCTCTTGTTCTTCAACTCGACCACAAAAGGGTGCGTAGGTTCTAAAGCTTGCAAGGAACTGCTAACAAGAAAGCGCCCGAATATCAAAAGGAAGGCTAGGAGTGAGCTTTCGTTCTCGGGGATCTTTTTGAGAGAGAGAGAGAGAGAGTGACCGGTAATGGTACGTACGCCAATGCCTTTTCGACCGTCAACGCTTCGGAATCTTGGGCATTGGGGGTGTAGTACCTCGCGAGCGCGATGAAATTCGCCAACAAAGTCGGGTGACTCGGGTTCTATCCCATGCGAATTGAGGAACCGAACGCCGCAGGGGGGTGGGGGGGGGGGAATCAGTTGCCGAAATGGCGATAGGATTTTTGCACACGTTCGAGAACGTACCATCTCCAACCCCTCCAAGATCGCCTGCACGGCCTCGTCCCACCTACCCAAACAAGCCTGACTGACGGCCACTCCCGCCAAGGTACTTTCCCCTCTCCCACCGTGTAAGCCCTTGATCTCTTCGTAGACGTAGTAAGCTTGCTCGTAGCGTTGTTTAGGACCCAAGGAGAGGTTCGTCCGGGCGGTAAAGAGTTGGGATTGGAGCGAGTCGGAGGTGAAGGAGGTGGTCTGGGGGGACGTGAGGAGGGCGAGGGATCTTTGGGGTAGGGAAAGGGATTGGTAAAGGTGGGTGAGGATACCGAGGCTGCGGGATTTTGCAAACGCGCGTCAGTCGACTGTTGGGTTCCTTCGAACGGCGGGGTGCGGATCCGATCCCACAGACGTACCACTCCTGATCGGCTCCCAATTGAACGGCCTCGTACAACATCTCGACCGCTTCTTCCCTCCTCCCTTCCTCCCCACTCAACCACCAAACCGTGGCGAGTACACCTCGCACGAACCTTCCCTCTTCCTGCTCCTCCAAACCGCCTTCGCCGAGTTCGATCTGCACCTCCTCCAGTTCCTCGATCGCGCGCTCGTGATCTCCCGAGAGGAAGTTGGCCAAGGCGGTGAGAGCACGCGTATCGAGCGTTCGTTCGAGGGAGGAGAGGAGCGAGAGAGCGTCGGAAGGGGAGGGAGGCGAGAGGGCGAGGTGCGCACGCGCGGCGTAGAGCGTCGGAAGCGTCGACGCGGACGGGAGCTCCGAATAGGCCGAGAGCGCAGAGCGGTAAGAACCTGCACAGAAGGAGGAGCTCACCGTTAGTGAGCGGTTCACGACGCAGCGCGAGGCGGACGGTCGACCGCGGAGGGAGCGTGTACGTGGCGCGTCGAGCGATGGTGGTGAACCAACCACGTATTACACGTATGCACGTAGTCACGTAGTCACGGCACACGCCCCACACCTTCTCAGCTGTGTACGTTCGAGCACTGACCGTTCTGGAACAAAGAAATGACATAGTAGTCCGCGTCACTGATCGTGTCCATCTTGAGCAACGTCTCTTGTGGAACGTCTCTTGTGGCTGGGTGGGTGGGGTGTGCGTGCAAGGAGGCAAGACGAGCAATCACTCCGGCGCGCGTGTCGCCGCAGAACATCGAGCGAGTCCGTCCACGCGCTCGGACCCCTTCCACGACCGATCTGGCTCGGACAAGTATGAAACGGCATCCCACAGTATTCCCCCGTCTACTGCCCAGAGCTCCCAGCTGTAATAGCGTGTTTGCGCTTTCTCTCCCGAGCAGACACCTGCCATCGTACTTTAATAGTTTCAAAGTTTCACTAAATCGATCGAGAGACAGTGAGCGCAACCCAACCACAAACGTGGTCGTCTAGCCGTTCATTTTTGCGGGAGAGGGTTTAAAGACCAGGGTATGTTTCTAATTGTTTTTTTGCGGATTGCGAAGAATCAAGCTTGGTGAATGCCGTGGTCGATCGTGGTCGAAAGCGTGAGCTCGGTCATTTCTTGATCTTCGACCGTCGTCGACTTTGCTGGCGGCGGGGGTCATGGTTGCGGCGTAGAGCCTTTGGGAAGCGAATCATGACCATTCATCTCGGGTCGTGAGGGGACTGCACTCGCTTCGATCGGCGGCGCGACGGGTGTATCAAGAAAGGGTGATGGAGCAGCTTCGACGATGGGTGGTGTGGACTCCTCGTTCGCTGGGACTGATACATCGACGGGCCCTGCTTCGACTCCATTCGTCGTGGATGGTTGGGTCGGCGATGGTGCGGTCGACCCATTCGCGGAAACCGTGCCATCTCCCATCGCGACCTCAGCACTAGGTGGCCCCACAACCTCTCCATCCTTCACCTTCGACACCTCATTCACCCCCTTGGCCTCCCCCGCCTCCTCCGTCCCTTGCCTCACCTCCTTCTCGATCTTCTCCTCCTTCCTCCTCCTCCTCTCTTCCTCCCTCTTTGTCTCCTCCTCCACCAACACCCTCAGTCTCTCCTCATCAACCTCCAACATCAAACTCAACCTCTGGGAAACTCTTCTCCCCCCCTCCCCCTCGGCCCTCCGCTCCTTGATCCTCTTCTCCAACTCCTTCCTCTCCCCTTGCCTCTTACTCCTCTCCCTCTCTTCCTCCTCCCTCTTCTTCTCCTCCGCTCGAGCAATCTTCAACGCCTGCGCTTTGGTTTTCGCCTCTTGCCTCTTTTTGTGTTCGCGTTGCGCGAGCTCGTGTTGAATCTTTTGGCGTTGCTTCTCTTCGTTCAATTGGGTGTAGTAGTCGTGGTGGGCCTTCTCTTCCTGCACTCGAAGACGCGCTGATCGGGCGGAGATGACAGGTGGTGGTGGTGGGGTCGGAAGACGGGGTGGAAGGAAAGGCAGAGTCGTCGTCGTTGAGGACGCGGCGCCGCTGCGTCCGTGGATCGAATCCAACGTGATTTTCGAAGACGAGGCCACCGCCGACCCGTTGTTCCCTCCTCCGAGCCGCTCCTGAACGAACTTTTCCTCCTCCTCACGTTGAGCATGCAGTCCATCCAAGACGGTCTGCAGTTCCTGAACGCTCGGTAGACGATCCTTGAGAGCTTGTGAAAGTGGTTTGGTCGGAATCGGTACTGGTTCCGGTTCGAATTCGTCGTCGTCTTCGTCGTCCTCGTCGGTCGATTCGTCCTCTTCCAACTGCTCTTGCTGCTGTTGGACCATCCTCCTCGCCCTCGTGCGAAGTGACCTCCTCTGTCCTTCTACCGAAGCCTCGTCGTCCTCGATTTCGTCGACCTCGAAATAACTCGACGTCTTCCTCCCCAACACGCTCGATCGCATAGGTCTTTTATTCGGCGTGTTCGCCGTCGCGATCGTCGTCGTCCGTCGTTTCCTCTTCTTCCTATTCGTCCCCAACGCAGCGCCCGCCTTGATCTTGGCGATCCGCATCTTCACACAAGGTTGGATCGGCGCATCGACCAACCACGATTTTGCCTTCCCTTCCTCCGCACTCTGCGCATCCTTCGCCTCGACCTCCTCGACGCGCGCAATAAACTCATTGTACTCCTCGACCGAGCGCGTCAAAGTCCTCCATTCGAACGCAGGGTCCGCCGAAGACGGTCGAGATAAACCCTTCTCCTCCTCCTCCTCCCTCCCTTCACCGTCGGACCTTGCACTTCCTCGCGACGAAGGGAACGCCAATCCGAATAACCTCGCGGACGAATCCAATGCGTAAATCATCATCAAACTCTCCTTCACCTCCACACCATCATCGCCTCCCTCTTCGAATGAAGCGATCGTTCTCGTCGAGGTCGTTCCGAGTGGTTCGAAAGCCAACGCGTTCAACGCTTCGGGCTCTTCTTGCGTTGGGTCGGCGTCGGCGATATCGGTTATGAAAGCGTCGTCGGTTTCGTCTTCGGATGAGGAAGAGGATTCGTAATGCACGTCTTTGGGATCGCGCTCACTGCGAGAGGAGGAAGAAGAACGTAAGCGTTGTCAGAGGGCCGTGTGAAAGGATGGGTGTGTAGGGAGGGGGGAAACTGACTTGTCATAAGCGACTTTGATCTCCCTTCGAACCGCTTTACCGTAGGTCAAGAGGTAGTCGATGATGTGCTGAATCACGTGCACCTAGAGCGAGGTAGATCGAGAGGGTAAGCTATCTGCCGTTACTCAAAGGAGGGTTGGAGAAAGCTCGACGTGTACCTTTTCCTCCCATTTCAATCTCCAGAAATTGCCTTCGTCCTCTCGGCCGATCTTGACTCCGACGCGTCTGTACGCGCCACCAACCCCCCACACATCATCAATCACCGCCGAGACTCTCCAACTCGTGTATGTTCGCTCCCATTTTCGCCGTACTGACCTCATCAAATTGACCTCCCACCCGATGCCCCCCTTGAGCGGCCCGGAACCCAATCTGGTATTCACGAACCTGACGCACCAAGCGAACCAACCCTTCCTATCCTTGGGGTTATAAAATTCGGGAAAGTAGCCCATGATGTCGTAGAAGCTCTGCATGATCTCGATCAAGAGCGCGGACTTGGGCGGTGCAGCGATCTCGTACGATTCGGTCGAGAGGGGACCGGTCGTCGGGTACGGTGGCGGGGGCAAGTTGTCGAGTTGGGCTTGGGCGACGAGCTGGTCGTATTCGTATTCGGCTTGGGTGATCTCGGAGGGTAACCAGGTCGCACGGTGGATCGTGGACGCTGGGCGGTAGTCGGATTGGAGCAGGCCCGTTCTGGGGTCGCGCCGGAGCGAAGAGGTCGAAGGTGGGGACGAGGCGAGGAGCGCGTCCTCGAAGGACTTGATGTCGAGCAGCAGCGACTTTTTGGTGGGTGTCGCGGATGGGTACAGGTCCGTGAATTTGACGAGGTAGGCGTAGATGTACTGTCGACGCGGGTGAGGGGGGGCGGGGGCGGAGCGGGAGCAACGCGGGTTAGTCGACCATTCCACGAAGCTGGAGAGCCAGATCTCTCGGGAAAGAGAATGCGATCGTCGATCATCTTCGCATCAACGGTCATGCTGAACTGACCGCCACCCTCCATGAATCAGCCGGCGTAGAGGGCGCGACGACCTGACCGAGATCCTCCTCGACGACGACTTGAGCAGCAGCAGCAGCAGCAGCAGCAGCAGCAGCAGTAGCAGGCGGCATCACCGCGTCCTCGTCGTCACGCTCCTGGCCGTCGTCTTGATCTTCGGCGTCGGGTGCTTGATCGTTTCGCATGGGCTTCGTCGACTGAGCGCGCTCCGAGGTGGAGGAGGAGCGGGTGCGGCCGGTGCGGTCGATCGTGTTGGGCTTGGACGCGTCGAGCTCGGACCGAGCCGGCGGCTGCCCGTCCATCGTGAGGGACTCGTGTGGCTGGCTACTAAGTGACCGACAGGGACAGGGACCGTCGCACCGCAATCCGGCAATCCGCTCGTCAAGCTCCCCCACAGAGATGCCGTCGAGGTCGTGTGACCGCTCGTTCCAACCAAGGGACGTTCGTACGGAGGAGCACACACACACACACACACACACACACACTTTTGTCCGGAGCGAGTCTCGGAGCGCGCCGCGTGTTCAGCCGCGCGCGATCGGCTTGCTTTGTTTTGTCAGTGGCGACCGCTGCCGCTGCTTCATTACCAACCGCATCTAACTGACAATTCGCAACTCATCACCCCCGCCCCGCCCAGGGCTAACTTTTCAAAGCTCATCATCGTCTCGTGCATCGGTGCAAAGTAAACCCAATCAGACCCCGCCCTCACAACGCGAAAACTACGTGAAAAATGTCCCCCATCTCGTGTCCGTCCGTCTCAATTCATGATCTAATCCTCCGTCGCCGGCGCCGCAGCCTTGACGTTTTTGGTACCTGTACTCGCCCGTCTCACGAGCTAGTCAAGAATCAATCAAGTCAGTCAAAAAGAACGAACGACCAAACCAACTCCAGAACCGACCTTGATGTTCTTATGCGACGCCGCGATCTTCCCCTCGGCCATCTTTTTCAAAATCCTAAACTCGCTCCGACCCGTGGCCCTACAGAGCGCATAGAACCTCGACCTCGGATCGGCCAAGAGTTGACTCGGCGAATCGTATTCCAAAATCTTGCCCGCGTCGAGGAGAAGGATCTTGTGGAAGCCAATGACGGTGCGCAGTCGATGGGCGATAACGAGAAGGGTCGAGTCGTTGAATTCTTCCGAGATCGTTTGCGTGATCAGTTCGTCGGTCTTGTAGTCGACCGAGGCGGTCTAAGGAAGCATCACTCAAAAAGTCAGCTGCCGTACTCGACCTCTTCCAACGACACCGCATCGCGATGCGCACTCACCGCCTCATCGAGCAACAAAATCTTGTTCCTCTTCAACAACGCCCTCGCCATCGTCAACAACTGCCTCTGACCCTGCGAAAAGTTCTGCCCCCCCTCGGACACCTCGCTCTCCAAATCAAAGAACGGCGATCGATTGGCCCCCTCCTCAACTCTAGCCTCTCGCTCGCCGGGTTTGATGAGTTGCACCCTTCGCAACGCATCAAAGATCTCGAGGTCGGTGAATTCGTGGAACGTATCGAGCGTCGACCTCAACGTCCCCGAAAGGATCGTCGGATCCTGAGGGATGATGGTCAATCGTTGACGCAAATCCTTGAGCCCGACTTTGGCGATATCCAACCCATCGATGACGATGCGACCCTTCCACGCTTCCATGAATCGGAACATGGCCAACGTGATCGTCGACTTGCCACTTCCCGTAGCGCCGACGATCCCGACCTTCTCCCCCGGTGCGACGGAGAAGGAGATGTTGTGCAGCACGTCCGGAAGTTCGGGCGCGTAGCGGATCGCGAGCTTCTCGACCGAGATCGCTCCCTTCGACGGCCAGTGCGCGGGAGGTCGTGGCTCGATGATTTGCGCCGCTTCTTGCTTGACTTCAGAGTACTCCTTGATACGCTCGACCGAGACCATGTTCAGTTCGAGCGAAGTGAACCGACGCACGAGGAAGAGCATGTCATTCGCGATACTGAGAGCGAACGTGAGCGCGAAGCCGGCGAGAGAAGCGTCGATCGTATCGCCGGCTTGGAGGAGCACGACACCCGTAAGACCGAGGACCAAGGCCGAGAGCAGTTGGAAGCGAACCGAGAGCCATCGGTTGACGGACCACAAGGTCCAGTAGTACGTGACCTGCGTCGATGCAAGCTCGAGCATGATCTCCATGAAGCGCGAGCCGGAGCCGAAAGCACGGATGACGGAAACACCCGCGACGGCCTCGCCATAAATCGAGTACAGGGGACTCTTCGCGATCGAATCGAGGCGACGCAATTCGCGCGCGTTCTTCGCGAACAACCGAGCGTGCCACCAATACGCGATGCCAACGATGCCGAAGCCGATCAAGAACGTCGGAGCAACGGAACTGATGACGTTGAGCGTCGTGATGACTCCCAGACCAAACATCAAGGATCGACCAATGTTGTCGGGCAACTGACTGTCGACGGCTTCGGTATCCTTGCCGAACCTGTTCAACAGTCGACCGAGGGCCTGCGTATCGAAGAAGCGCAGAGGCGCGCGCAAGATAGCCTTGAGGATGATGCGGTAGATCCGATCACTGGCACGTAGCGATCCAGCATAGAGCACGAACCACTGCAACGTCGAGAGGACGACGGCGAGCAGCGACAGGAAGCAGTAGATCCCAAGATAGTAGTTGACGCTGTGATGTCTTCGACCCGTCGTCGCATCGGCTTCGATCTCGTACGATGCACTCCACCGGGCGAGCCACAACGACTGCGCGACATCCGCTAGCTTGGCGCCACCGAAAGCGATGACGAACCAGATCCAGAAAAAGACGCCACCCAGAAGGCCGAGGTAAAGCTTCCACACGTCCCACTTGACGGTCCCGATCGCCCTCGATTCCTCCTCAATGAGCTTCCTCGGCGCGGACTTGCCATCCGCGGCCTGGTTCTCCGCATCCAGAGTCGTCACTTGCGCCCGGTCTTCTTCGTCCTCGTCGTCCGACTCGGCCTCACTCGCCGAGCTGTTCGACTCGGACACGGGCACCGATTCAGCGACGAGGTCGACGAGGACCTTGTTCTTGAACTTGGCACTGGGCGTCGCATGCTTGGCCAGTGATTCGACCGTCGGTTCGTCGTCGTCCGCGAGCTTGTAGCCACCGAACTCGCGGAAGCCGTCCGCGTCACCCGAGAAGGCGACACGGCCATTGTCGAGCGAGACGACGAAATCAGCACCGGGCGCGGTCAATTGGACATGGTGCGAGACGAGGAGGATCGTTCGACCATCCATCAAGGGCCCTTTGAGGCACTTGTGGTAGATGTGCGAAGCCGTGTGAGCTGCAAATCGGACGAACCAATAGAATCAGCAACTACGCACTGGCCTCATATACTGAACTTCAAGTCCAACTCACCGTCCACGGCGCTCAACACGTCATCCAAAAGCAAGAGCGTCGCCCTCGAATACACCGCCCTCGCCAAACTGACTCGAGCCTTCTGACCACCCGAAAGGTTCACGCCCTTCTCTCCGATCTCAGTCAGATCCCCATCGGGAAGGATCGACAGGTCGCTATCGAGCGAGCACGCCTCGAGCGTTCGCTTGTACCGACTTGCTCGAAAGGGGAGACCGAAGCAGATGTTGGCTCGGATCGAGGCGTTCTGCAACCAAGCCGTTTGCGGGACAAAGGCGGTATGATTGGGGTGCAACCAGTTTTCCTCGGTCAGGAACGTGTCCCAATCGATCGTAGGCAACAGGATCGCATTCGCCGGTGATCGAGGGCAGACGACTTGCCCCGCCAAAACGTCACATTCTCCGAGCAGCGCAAGCAACATCAACGTCTTGCCCGAGCCGAGGGGACCACTGATGAGTGACATTTTACCGCGCGGAAAGTCGACGGAGACGTCTTGCAACTCGAAAGGTCGAGCGGCAGGCGTCGACGATCCCGACCCCGAGGGGGAGACGGCGTCGTTCTTCTGGGGCCACGTGACCGTGGCGGAGCGGAAAGCGACATCAGGAGATTGCGCCTCGATGGGGGCGTCGGGGTCATCAGTCGTTACGACTTCGACTTCGGGGGTGTCGAGGTAGCGCTGCAGTCGGCGCAACGAGACCAAGCACTGGATGGCGTTGACGAAAACATCGGGCGCGGCGTTGAGGGCGAAGCGCAACTCGTTCCAGACGGCCAGCGAGGCGAAGGCGATCGAAGGCGTCAATTCTTTGCCGATGATGTTGGTGTAGACGTAAAACGAGACGATGACGCAGAGGATGGGCGAGATGCCCCAGATGCCACTGAAGCTGACTTCGAGCAAGAAGTTGCGGCGCAGCTGCTTGAGCTCGAGCGTGCGAGCTTCCATGATGCGCTTCTCGAACGGTTCCTCAAAGGCCATGTACTTGATCATGCGGATGCTCTGGAGGACCTCGTTCATGAGCGACACGCGCTTGTCACGAGCGGCCATGAGCTTGTCCTGCACATCGGCGAACGCGCTCGAAGTCCAGTGGTTAAGAGGAATGAAGAAGACGGCAACGAGAATGCCGATGAAGGCGGCGTAGTCAAGCAGCTTGTAGAGGAAAACTGTGGTTGGTGAAGAGCGAGCACAAGTTTCAGCAAAGCGGAAATGGCGCGTTTGTGCGAATGCCAAAGACCAACACTCACAAGTACCAATGATGATCTCCATCGGGGTGTCAATGATGGAAAAGCACCACACGCTGAAGTCGGCGACTCGATCGACGTCGATCGTCCACAAATTCAGCACGGCGGACTTGCTACCGAAATCGGTCTTGTCTCCGGTATGATTGCCTTTCTCCTCGCCTCCCTCCTCTCCCTCACCGTCCTCGGAAGACGGTTGCGCGGCCATGGACACCCCAGCAACGTCTTTGCGCCTCAGGGTCTTGTCGAAAACGAGCGTGTTGAGCTGGACGCGGATCCTGGTTGACAGCATCGAGTTGGACACGAACCAGAGTTGACCACCGACGAGGGCGTCCAAGACGGCGGCGGAGAACAGGCCGAGCGAGTAGGTGTAACCCCACCTCAACGAACCGCCAGGGGTCTGATTACGCTCTTCCAAGAACTTGACAAAGCGCTGAAGGAAATAAGCGGGGAGGTAATAGATGAAGGCGTTGATGAAGGCGAGGGTGGCCTGCCAGAGAAAAGCATGTCGGTTGACCGAGAGGACGCGGTACAATAGCGGGTTCATCCACTTGGGACCTCCTTTTCCTGACTTTACGCGCATTTTCTCCCAGAGATTGGGGGCGCGATCGTTGGCGGCGAGCGAGGGCATGTCGTCCTCGGAGAGGGTCTCGGCCTTGAACCCGACAGCGAGCACGGGCGAGAGCCATTCGAAGAGCACGTACGAGAGCGGCGAGCACGACTTGAAGTCGGTGACGGCCTTGTACTCTGACGATGTTGCGGTCGTCTTGAGGTCGTCGTTGTAGAGCTCGGAGGCCTTGAGGGGTTGCACTTTTCTCGCGAGTGGGGCGCATCGACGGGTATTACCGGTAAGGAGGAACGCGACGAGTTGAAGGAGCGTGTTGGCGACGAGGATGACCATGATGGGAACGTAGATGTGCTTGGGGAGGTCGTGGGAAGGCACAGGCGAGGTTGTGGCCGGAAGGATGATGCGCACGATCGTCGTGAGCAGCGCGGCACCGGTCAGAGTCGCGAGCGTGACGGTGTAGTCCCAATGGCGGTCAATGTCGGCGTCCGAGTTGGTGAGGAAGTACGAAGCTGATGCGATATAGGCACATGCGGACTGTTGGGCAACGCGTGATCGAATGTCAGTGCCCTACAATTTGCCCGGTAGAGGGTGATGCCCCCCCCCCCGTAGCTCCTGCGGAGCCGAGCGCATGACGTCGTTCGCGTGCGGCGTGTCCCTGATGATTCCCCCAGTACGAGCTTCGCATCGACTGACCCAAAAGACGATCATGATGGCACTATCGATAAGGGAGGTCTTGGATGCGCCTCGAAGTGCGTCCCATGCGATCGCAAACAGATTGAGCGACACGAGCAGCAGCAGCACGAGCACGGTCGCGAGCTTGCGAACGCGCAGTCGGCGGTAGTGGCGCTCCACGTCCATCTCGTAGTCGAAGTCGATCTTGGGCGGGTTGATGGCCGGTGCAGTCGCAGCAGCTGGAGCAGCCTCGTCGTCGGTCGGGAGGACGATCTGGCCCTGCTGGGGAGGCCGGGACAGGGCGAGGCATACCGCCGCGACGACGACGAGTACGGCCAGGAGCAGCCCCGGCAGCTGGTCGAACAGCGCTCGGCGAAGCGGGCTCGAGCTCGCACTCGCACTCGCCGGCTGGATCGACAGCAGCAGGATCGCCAACATCGCGTCTTTGGGGTGTCTCTTTCGAGAGGAACGCGGTGTGGGCGTTGAGCGCAGCAAAATAATGAAGAGAAGAGCTTCGGACGCCGGCGAGTCGGCGAGTCAGCGCTCTTCGCCGACCGCGTGGAACCGACACCGGCACACGTCGAGTCAAGCGCTGCCCACCACCCCGCGCTATCGATCCTGAGCAGGCTACGCTCGAAGCGCCTGCCTTGGTCTCATGGCCCCGGGCCTGAGCCCCACGATTGGCTGCACCCAGGATCAAGCATGGCAAAAATGAGATTTGCACGAATTACAACACGTCACTACAAATCGAATAAATAGCTGAATGCAAGCTCGCCGGAGAACTCACTTCAGGTTGGGAGATAATTTTTCTCGGCACGCTGCCTGGCACTCGATTGCCGCGGCAAAGAGAGCTCCTCCGCGAAAACCGCACCGGCTATTCTTAGCAACACGAAGGCATGTGGTGCTTGATTTCAGTGTACAGAGCGCAGTAGTAGGAACTCAGTGACACAGAAAGTCACGGTGTCAAGACTATTTTTCGTTGGTACATGCAGGGACCACGCAATGATTATGCGAATTGAATGGGTAGTACTTTGGTCCGTGCGCGCCGATCGATCGGATTCTCTCAAAATAGCTCGGCCGAGACTAACTTTTAAATCGCCGATGAACGAGTTAATAACGAGCAAGTAGTACCTGATGAGCGGACGACTCGAAATCGTGGCGAAGGCCATGAGATCAGATCTTGTTGAGCGCGTCGAGCCAAGTCCATGTATGGGATTGCGCTTTGGAGGAAGCGATGGCGTCGTCGGAATGCCAGTGATACTGAACGAGCCGGTGACGTCGGCGGTCGGCAGCAATGACTTCTCTCGAGGCAGCCAGAGACATGAGACAGCTTGACGCAGGACGAGGATCGCTGCAAGTAGCCGTAGTAGGCTGCTTAGCTCTGCTCTGATTCTTTCTGTACCTTTACGGATAGATTATACGAGTACTAGAGCCACGCTTTCGCAAGAGGAAGCTGACCGAGGCCCATTTGAGACTTATTCAAAGTTTAAGCTCCGATGCGCGACGCGCGACGTTCCCGCCCGGCGAGGCCGCCAACTTGCCAGCTGAAACTTCTATGGGATTTGAACTGTTCCAGGCGCATGACTGACCGGCGAACCGGCCTCCTGTTTGATTTGACTGCGTGGTCCCAATGGAAACCGGGGCTACGCAGCTTGTGCCGATGGAATGGGATTTCGACTGGGGTCAATACGATATCACTGCAGCTTCAGCAACCTGTGGTAACGACCCAGAATACCACCATAATCGGGCTGCTGGGCCACCTCCAGCATGCGTCGCAACTCGGCCTGTACCTTCACCATCTTCTGCTTGACGCAGCGGTGGTGCCGTCTGTCACTGCTGGCAGTCGGGGGAAGGCTGCCCAGATGAGCGCACGTTATGAGGTTGACCAATTCGTGGAGCTCAGTATCCACGTTTGCCAGATCCTCGAGGCATTTCTCCCGTAATTTGGGAAGATTTCCCCCCTTCCAGAGCTCCAGGCGTATGAGAGCGAAGGGAAAGGTTGCTTCGTTCGACAGTGGGCGGAGTTGTAGTTTCTCCCACAACTCGGCCGAGACCGATTCACCGATGTACCAGTCCAGAACGTGGAGGAACCAATAGACGGAGGACTCGAAGCCGTGGCGAAGGGCATGCGAGGGGACCTTGTAGCAACCGTTCAGCAAACCCCTCGGGCACGTTAAGACTTCGTGAGAAGCGGCGGCGTCGGTGATCCTGAACGAGCCGGCGACGTCGGCAGCGATAGGGACGCGTGTACCCGGCTCGGCAACGATCCCTGTGTCCCAGTCGACCAGAACAGGATGGCCTTGGTGGTGAAGGATGTTACCGAGGGACAATCACGATGGTGGATGCCGAGATACCAGAGCACATACAAAAGCGTAAGCAGCTGGTCAAAGACCTCGCAGGCCTGGGAAAGTTTGTGCTGAGGACCGCGGCCAGTGTCGACACGGATTGGTAGCGGCGTAGGATTGCGCACGACGAGCACGTCGAGTGTACGTCGAGACGATTCTCGCTGTCGTTGGTCGGGATAGTCCGGGTCCACGAGTACGGGCAAGGCGCTGTCGTCCATTTGTGATCGATGAAGACCGAACGACCTGGCTTTCTCGGGCAGCGCGACATGTCGTTCGATGAGCAGTGACGATGCCGAGCGGGCGCCGTGGGAAGCGCAACACCGGACGATCTTGTCCAGGGCATCGGCTTCGCCACCTTTAGACTTCAGGTTTATGTGCTGGACTTTGAGCACGAATGACGGCGAGAGATCTGACGTCGACGATGACCCTTGCACCAAGCTGGGACGCGTAAGCTCGAAGATGACCGTGCAGCGTCCAAAGATGGAGCTGCCGCCTGCAACTCGACTGTCGACGAGCTCGATAGGCTCCTCGGCGACGAACTCGACGGTGCGACCGACCAGGGGAGCATCTGCTTCGAGTTCGAAAGGTCGAAGGTATAGTGTACGGAACGCGACAGGAGTAATGCCGGTCTTGGGGTGAAGCGCGTGGCGAAAGAGTGGAGACACTCCCGCCGAATAGACGTCTAGTCCAAGCAGGACGGAGAGCACCGAAGCCAGCTCGCCGAAGCCTTCGCCCCAGCAGTCGGGAATGATCGCAATACGGCATCCCTCGTGATCCAATACGACGAAATGAGCTGTGTCGTCAAGGATAGCCAAGCCTGGCGCATACACGCGGACCGGCTGCGTGAGCGCATCTCGTGTCAGGTCGAGCACCACATTGATGAGCGGAGGAACGGTGAGGAACGAAAGCCCGGGTGGCGGAGGCGCACCAAAGGCCAATGGGACGAGCATGCTATGCGTGCCAGTTCCACCATTCCCCAATCCGAGCTGCACGTCAAAAAGTATTGTCGTTCCACATGGTCGTGGCCACGGGTTGCGTCTCCGAAGGTTAACCGGGCCTGCCGTTCGGGGTGTGCGAGCTTCAAGTTGTTCTGCCGATGGGATCCACCGGATGCCTGTGCCGACGAAGCGAGTTACAAAGTGAGGGATGTGATCAGGGTCGTGACATAGGATCTTGGACAAAGTGGTCAGTCAGGATATGGCACTCACACAGTCAGCGAGGGGTAAGACCAAATCTGCCAACCGTTGATCTGGCGAGCGTTGGCAATCCTTGTCGAACAAGACTTGTACTTCCGATCGTCCGGGCTGCGCAAGAGCAACCTGAGCCTGGCGTTTGAATTGTGCTGCGTCAAACCCAAGTGCCGAGCCCACCAAGTCTGACGCTCTACAGATCACGACTCGCGGAACGATCTCGTCTTCGATGAAGATGCGATCGACATCCTTGTCGAGCTCGGGCAACACAAGCCTCTCGACCGTGTCATAGTAAGCCTGAGTACGACTCGGCTTCCCTCCACTGGGCGACAAGGGAGGATGCGAGCGCTGCGAGCTGTCCGATGAATCCGGGAACGAGTCCGACGGCGCGGGTGAAGGAGGGGTCCATAACGTAGGCTCAACAGGCAAGGGGGCCTGTGGCGGGTCAGAAGCGGCGCGTGGAGCCGACACGCCATCCAGCGCCATCCGTCAGCAGGTCAGCAACTCACCCCGGGTCACACCAGGTTAGGCAGCAGAGCATTTACATACCACACTCGTTTGCGTGACGGTATGTTCGTTGGATGGGAATGCGTTGAATGGATGTGCGGCGACACTCAGGGGCAACTACCCCAGCGGGGATGGTGACCCCACCTCGCAGTGCTCCAACTTCAACAACGCGCGCGTAGCACTTCGAGTCTGGCACATGCTATTAGCTCGAGGTTTGTTGAGTGGAGGCTTGGGCGGAAGCCGAGCACATTGTTTGTTCACCGTGCTTGAACGGCGCGCGGGTGGGGGCAGGCTGTGCAGGGCCGCAGGGCTATGCAGGCTCGCGAGAAACTTGGAGGTAACAGCAGAAGAAAACTGCACGTGTCGGCGGTGGCACGCAGGCGAGAACGGCGATGACTGTGACCTACTGTGACTGGCCGAGGGTTGCCAAAGGCGACCAACCGGCGCGCCAGGCGAGTCGTGGACGAAGCACGAGGGCACGAACAGTACCGAATTTTTCTGAGGAATCACACTGTGTCCGAGGCCCGTTTGATTTGGGCCAAGATGCTGGGCCAGTGTGTGACCTCGGGAGCTATTCGGTTCAGACAGGCCGGAATGACCGCTAAGTGCATGCCATTGAGCTCAATTTCTCAATGCCATCTGATCAGCGCTTCCCAACAACATGAATGGTGGAAGTGTTGAGACATTTCCGGAAAGAGGCGCGCCGCCAGCACCCTGAAAACTCAGAGAAGGTTGGCGTCGGGGCTGCGCACGACAATACAGATGCAATGGGATCCAACGCGGACGGCTCGACGCCGTGGGTGGAGAGGCTGGCCTCACCGGTGGGTCTTATCCATTGCCTTACAGTAAGGTTGCCATTCCCTTACTGACGTAATAGCATCTGCGGGGTTCTGACCAGGCGGGTCCGAAAACGGGGCCGTTCAAGTACGACGACGACACTTTCGCTCTCCCCCTGCTCCCCACGTCGACCAACATCGAGGCTCGAAACCCCGAAGGATCCGTGACCCACAATGCAAGGACAAGACCGGCCGCCTCTCCTTCGCTGACCTCGTCGCTATCCTAGAGTACACCCTCACCGCCCGGCTCAACAGTCTCGAAGACGCTCAAAAGCGCCGTCAACCGCCCAATTACAAGCTGCTCCAGCTTCTCAATAACATCAGATCTGTACTGCGCAAACATCCATCGGCGGACTTCGCTCTCGGACTCGCGGTTCATCTCGACATGGCGTACGCCGTCAAGGTCGACAACGAGGTGGTCAGGATCGTCGAGCTGAAGGACCGCTGGGATGACGTAAACCTTCCCAAAATGGTTGCTCTTCTGCGCATCTTCCTAAACGTCGATTATGACTCGTCTGGGTTTTCCAACGTGTTCAACTGCGCAAACACACCAGACTCGGGTTTCAACGAGACGGCGTTCAAGCGCGTCGAGTCGCTCAGCCCAAGCACACAACAGGTCTTGCAGGGCCTTGACGAGCAGGCAACTGACTCCTTCAAGGTGTCCCCTTTGAAATGCATCCCGCCGAGTGTACTCGCGCACTCTGGATCGGGCACCTACGCAGCTTTTAAGCTGGACACCACCACCCCCCCCGACATGACCCCGACCGACGACAACTCGTCGACGTCGACGCCAGCTTCACCACACCTCTACCAGCTATGAGCAGTGCGGCGACTGCTGGAGCATGCCGAGGAGACGGACACGGCCATTCGCGAAGTAGCGGTCTCAATCCACATGGTCGCAAATCTTCCGCCCACCACATTCCGGCACGTTGCGCTCGCGGTCGACTGTCACCGCATCCCTGCAAGCAAGCGCAGGCTCCCGGACTTGCCAAACGGCGGCAAACATAGGGATGTTGGTATTCTTACCATCGCGGTGCCGGTGGTGGATGACGAGAACGTGTACCGGTCGATTCTCGACCAAACGAATCCGCCCACAACCGCCGAGCTCGCTAACCTGCTGGCGTCGGGGCTGGACGACATCCTTCAGTTTGGCAAGGCCGGCGTGTTGATGTTTGATGTTTCGAATGAACACGCCGGCCTTGCCAAACTGAAGGATGTCGTCCAGCCCCGACGCCAGCAGGTTAGCGAGCTCGGCGGTTGTGGGCGGATTCGTTTGGTCGAGAATCGACCGGTACACGTTCTCGTCATCCACCACCGGCACCGCGATGGTAAGAATACCAACATCCCTATGTTTGCCGCCGTTTGGCAAGTCCGGGAGCCTGCGCTTGCTTGCAGGGATGCGGTGACAGTCGACCGCGAGCGCAACGTGCCGGAATGTGGTGGGCGGAAGATTTGCGACCATGTGGATTGAGACCGCTACTTCGCGAATGGCCGTGTCCGTCTCCTCGGCATGCTCCAGCAGTCGCCGCACTGCTCATAGCTGGTAGAGGTGTGGTGAAGCTGGCGTCGACGTCGACGAGTCATCGGTCGTGGTCGGAATGTCGTCGGAGCTGCCAAGTTGGGGAAGGAGGACGGGCGGGGTGTCCAGCTTGAAAGTTGCGTAGGTGGCCGATCCGGAATGCGCGAGTACACCCGGCGGGATGCAGTCCAAAGAGGACACCTTGACGAACTCAGGCGCATTCTCGTCGCGACCCTGCAACGCCTATTGGGTGGACGGTCCAAGCGACTCGACGCGCAACGCCGTCTCGTTGAAACCCGAGTCTGGTGTGTATGTGCAGTTGAACCCGTTAGAAAACCCAGAAAAGACATCATCGAAGTTGAGAAAGATGCGCAGAAGGGCAACCATCTTTGAACGATTTATATCATCCCTGCGTTTGTCCAGCTCGACGATCCTGACCACCTCGTTGTCGACCTTGACGGCGTGCGCTCTTTCGAGATCAATCACGAATCCGAGAGCGAAGTCCGCCGATGGATGTTGGTGCAGTACTGATTTGACGTTGTTAAGAAGCTGAAGCAGCTTCCGATTTGGCGGTTGACTGCGCTTTCGAGTATCTTCGAGACTGTGGAGCCCGGCGGTAAGCGTGTATTCTAGAATGGCGACGATGTTGGCGAAGGAGAGGCGGCCGGTTTTGTCTTTGTGGGTCACGATCCGTCGGGTTCTCGAACCTCGGTGTTGGTCGACGTGGGGAGCAGGGGAAGAGCAAAAGTGCCGTCATCGTACTTGAACGGTCCCGTTTTTGGACCCGCCTGGTCAGAACCCCGCAGATGCTACTTCGTCAGTAACGGCAACTTTTCAGTAAGGCAAGCAAAACGACCCACCACTGAGGCCAACGTCTCCATCCAAGGGGTCGAGCTCTCCGCGTTGGGTCCCATTGCAACTGGGTTGTCTTGCTCAGCCGCGACGCCAACCTTCGTCGGATGTCGAGCGAGCGATCAGGGAGGGGAAGGTGATGAGAGGGTTCGAGAGGGAGGCTAAAAGGAAGCAGCCCGAAAACCCGGAGAAGGTTGGCGCCGTTTTCGGACCCGCCTGGTCAGAACCCCGCAGATGCTATTACCCCAGTAATGGCAACTTTTCAGTAAGGCAAGCAAAACGACCCACCACTGAGGCCAACGTCTCCATCCAAGGGGTCGAGCTCTCCGTGTTGGATCCCATCGCATCTGGGTTGTCGTGCGCAACCCCGACAACCTTCTCCGAGTCTTCGGGCTGCTTCCTTTTAGCCTCCCTCTCGAACCCTCTCATCACCTTCCCCTCCCTGATCGCTCGCTCGACATCCGACAGCTGCTTCAAAGTCGCTTTGACTCGTTCGACAAGAGCCTGGAATTTGCCACCAGTAGTGCTTCTGTCGAGAATGTCATCGCCAAAGGGTTGGGCTCCGATCAGATCAATCGCCTTTGCCGGCTACATCGCAGCGCTGCTCGCGCTCGGCTTTCTTGGCGTGTCGTCGAGCGCGGCGTCGCCGTCTTGCAGCTTGGTCATAGGCTTTGGTTGAATATATTGAAGAGATGGAGATGCATTTTCCAAGAGAGAAGAATCGTCAGCGAAGGAAGGCCCTGAAAGGCCAGGAGGAAATTTGCCTGAATGCCTTAGCTTAACCATGGCGGCTCGAATTGTTGGCTCAGAACTTGCGATGAAAGTCGCTGGAGAGGTCGAGGTCGAGGTCGAAGTCGAAGTCGAAGTCGAGGTGGACGCCAATGAGAACCTCCAGTTTGAGTTTGACGCTCGGGCTGAGCCTGAATGCGCGAATTCAGTCGAGTTGAAGGTGGAGATGAAGGTGGAGGATGTGAACTTGGATGTCGTGGCCTTGGAAGTAGTAGAAAATGAATGAGACGTCGATTCCGAGTTCGACTTTAAAAATAACATGTCTCCATCGCATTGATGATTGGCTGGAATCGATCGACATTCGGCGTCTCGGTCCCTCCGCCACAGCAGGAGAAGCTGCCAGAAGCATCTCCTCTTTCTTGTCCGTACCAAATCTGCCGAGAGTCATGCCTCGTAAGATGTCCCAACTGCGTCGCTCGCCAAGATCAAGCGATTGTGACCTGAGGTCCTCGAGCAGTGGTAAATCTCCAGGCATCTTGCGGGATCCCGTCCTCGGGGTCGAGGCACCATCAGACTGCTCCCCTCGACTGCGGCGTTGCAGAAGCCCCTCGCTGAAGCCCTTGACCTTGTTCTTGATGCGCAGACTCGCACTGGGCGTGGTCGGAGAAGACAGCTCGAACGAAGGGAGCCTTGGAGGTGTTGGCGGTACGATCACGGGCGGTCGAGTTGGGGTGTCGAAGCTCACGGTGTCGATTTGGGGAGGGCAACGGGCCTCGGCGCGTAGGAGGCCGAGTTTGAGTGGCAGAGACAAGGCAGCAAAGGTGACGAGCTGGATGATCCGTCCCAATCTGGGCCGTTTTTCACCATGGCCGTGACATAGAACGATCCTCCGCCCCGAGTGCCGAGTTTCAGATCTTCGTCTTCTAATCTGCGCCCCAGAAGAATTAGTTAGTCCCGTGATGAGAAGTGTAGGGTGCAAAGCCGCCACCCCTGGAACTCAGCAATACAGCGTCTGTTGCCAGACGGTCGTTCAAGGCTCATCGCACCTATCAAATCTGACACGTCAAGAGGTGCCCGAGCTGCCTCGCGGACCTGCGATATGAGCTAAACTGCCTCCTGTCTCCTTGCTTGAGCAGGTCGAGCACAGGATAACGGCTCGCAGTCAGAGTACAGTTGTTCTCATCGTGCGCACCAGTATGACTGGAAAAAAGTGGATCGTGTCGGATGCAAGAGGCTGCAATCGTATCGAGGTGCAAGCTGGGGGAGGTTGATGACCAACGCTGACGTAGGGAGGTGCAGCACACGAGCCTGGCTGCGATGACGCGATGACGCGATGACGACGCGACTCGTGCCGACGCGACTCGGCCGACGCGTGACGCTGACTTCGCTGGCGACTCGGCTGCTGGTATGCTGACGTAGGTTGACGTTGGAATCATTGGAGAGGCCTTTGTGGGGCTCAAGACTGCCACAGATCGTCACGTCGCCGCTGGCGCAGCACTCGCTCATGTTCAGTAGCCTGACGGTGGGCGCCGGCTTTGGCTGACGCGCAAGGAGGGGCAAACGCGCGGACAGAGACAGACATTTGACAGACAGGGACAGGCAGGGACAGGCAGGGACAGGCAGGGACAGGCAGGGATAGGCAGGGAAGCTAGTGACAGGTGAGTAGGTAGTGGGTAGAGAGCGGCCAGAACCTGCAGACCGAACTTTAGCGGACTGACGCGGAAAGGCGCGCAGCCTCTCGCTACCTCTGGTAGCCAGTCGCAACCTCGCAAGCTACCTCAAGCTACTCGCAACTGCCACACGTACTGGCCGAGGACGCTCAACTGCGCTCAAAAAGGCTTGACTTTTCAAGCGCGAGGGTACGCCGTAACAAATAGAGGAATTCGTTCTCTAGATAGGACTATCGTCGTAGCTTTGACGACGTGATCTTTTAAGAATCCAAGCTCTCATCGCATAGAGTGGCCGACATCCGAATTAGGAGTAGAGAAGGCTCACATTCTCAAGCAAGAGTAAGGAAGAGTTCAATCAGCGGGAAAGAGGAATACAGACATGACTGCAGCGTCGTCGTCTCACGGCAACGACAAAAAGTACCCTCGTGATCCGATCGATACATATCACAAAGGACGAGGGACAGGGGCAAGCGTGTGACCTCTTACGAGAATCGAGTTGCAGAAAGTAAAGAGAGGAGCAAGCCGTGAAACTGGGGAGCTTGGTCGGGGGAGGCGGCGCTTGAGTGGGCGGTGCTCGATTTACCGAATGTAGCAAAAGCAGACGGTCGAGCTCGAGAGCGAGAGTCGAGGAGTCGAGACCATAGCGAAGGAGACGACAGTGAATTGGGCACAGCGCGACGCGAGAAGCGTGGTGATGGGAACGCGGGAAAGGCAAACGCGCGCGGAGTCTGTTGGAAGTGGCGGAATTCTCCTTTACGACGAGACACCACTTCCAGTATCTCCCGCAATTCCGCCTGGACCGCGGCCATCTTTTGCTTGTTTGCGACCGCAACCTCGGCCTCGCTTGCACCTGGAGAACCAAGATCGATCGGAAGGGTGCACATCATACGGTCCACAAAGCCGTGCATCTCCGGGCCGAGCTTTTCAAAATCTTCAAGGAACGCTTTGCGCAACTTGGGGCACTTGCCGTCTCCCCATAGCTCCGTGCGGGCGAGATCCATCGGAAGCACCAGACGCCGCCGTCGATCGCGGCCACGGGGGCGAAGTTCCAGGTCTATCCATAAGTCGGCAGAAAAGCAGTTGCCGACGAACTCGTCCAGAACGAACAAGAACCAATAGACCGCTGACTCGAAGTCGTGGTGCAGGGCATGCGAAGGGAGCTTGCTGAACTGCGCACCCAGCATGAGCCAGAAGCGAACCTCCCAGGATACGGTCGCGCGCGTGAATCGGATCGAACCGGCGTCTTCGGCAGCAACAGGAACCTGTTCACCCGGCTGGGCAACGATGCCTGTCTCCCAGTCGACCAGAACAAGGTGTCCTTGGTGTTGGAGGATGTTGCCGATCGACAAATCGCGATGGTGGATGCCGAGATTGAAGAGCGCAGGCAGAAGGGTGAGAAGCTGGTCGAAAACTTGGCAAAACTGGAAGAGTGTGCGTTGCTCATCGCGGGCATCGTCGAGGGTTGTAGGTAAAGGAGTAGGATTGCGCAGGACGACCACATCGAGTGTGCGCCGACGCGAGTGTCGCAGTTGTCGTTTAAAGTCTTCCGATACCAGGAGCATGGGCAAGGCGCTCTCCTCCATTTGCGATCGATGACGACCGAGTGACTTGGCCTTCTCGGGGAGCGCGACATATCTTTCGATGAGCTGCGCCGATGCCGACGGAGCCTCGGCTGCGCAGCGCTCGACGATCCTGTTCAGCACATCCGCTTCGTGTCCGACAAAGTTCTGCGTCGTGAGCTGGATTTTGACCACGAACGAGGGCTCCAGATAGTCCGTCGATAAGGCTGGGGAGCAAGCTACCAAGCTCGGGCGCGTGAGCTGAAATATGAGCGTAGACCGCCCAAAGACGGTGCTGCCGTTGGCGACTGTGGAGTCAACGAGCCTGACGGGTTCCTCGGCGATGAACTCGACGGTGCGACCGACCAGGGGGGCGTCTGCTTCGAGCTCGGACAGTCGAAGAAATCTGGTACACAATGCGAAGGGGGCAATGCCGGTCTCGAGGTCGCATGCATAGCGAAAGAGAGGTGACAATCCGGCCGAGTAGACGTCCAGCCCGAGTAAAACGGAAAGCACCGAAGCGAGCTCGCCAAAGCCCTCGCCCCAGCAGTCCGAGATGATGGCGATCCGGCACCCCTCATGATCGAGGACGACGAGGTAGGCTGTGCCATCATCATGGATGGCGAAGCCAGGCGCGTACATGCGTGCCGGTTGCGTGAGCACATCCTGTGCCAGGTCGAGCACGACATTGACGAGAGGGTATGGGGTTTCACGCAAATCATCTTCCGAGTCACAGGCTCCAAAAGCCAACGGCACGAGCGTAGCCCGCGCGATCGATCCCCCCTTCGCCGAGGTCAGCCCGTTGCAGCACGTCAAAAAATGGTGGTGTTCGATCAGATCAGGGCGGCCTCGGTTGCATAGGTTGGATAATCGAGCACACCGTTTTGCATGTGCGAGCGTCAGATGTGGCTGCCGACCACGCGCACCGGATGCCTGTGCCGACATTGAGTCGCGAACCGAATTCTTTGAATCAGCGTCCTCACATACGACCTCTGGAATGACCAATTCTGGAGACATGGCACTCACAAATTGCGCAAGTGGTGAGACCCAGTCTGCCATCCTTTGCTCGATCGGTCGCCTGCAGTCCACGTCGAACATGGCTCGAAGCGCTGATCGGCCAACTTGAGCGAGAGCTTCTTGCGCCTGTTCACTGAATTCGGTTGGCTCAATCCCAAACGCCGAGTGCACCAAGCCGGACGTGCTGCACATCACGATGCGTTGGATGACCTCATACTTGATGAAGGCGCAATCGACGTCTTCATTCAGCTCGGGTAACAGAAGCCTCTCGATCATACGATCGTAGGCTCGGTTGTGAGGGGGTGCGTTATGACTTGGGAATGAGGGGAGGTCAGAGTACTGCGATCTCCACAACAACGAATCCAACGACGAATCCAACGACGTGTCTGAACGCGCAGGTGAAGGAGGGCTCGATGAGATTGGCTTCACAGACGAGGAGGGCTGTGGCGGGTCAGAAGCGGCGCATCGTAGATTAGCAAATCTGCAACTCGAACCGAGTCTGGCAGCAGTAATGATACTTGCACAAACTTCTTGTTCAGCTCGTTCGTCGAATGCATTGAGTGGTGGTGCGACACTCAGGGGCAAGCACACCAGCGGAATCGGTGACTCAACCTCGCACTGTTCCAACTTCAACCGTGCGCATGTAGCACTGCTTCGAGTTAGGCGCTGGCTGGTCGCCACTGGTGGTAGGTCGTTTAGCGTTGGATTGGGAGGGCCACGCTGACCCCTGCGCATGTTTGCCATGCTGAGCATGGAATAATGACGCAAGGCGTCGAGGCTAGGCTAGGCCGAATTGAACGAGAGAGAGAACACGCGCCGCGCTGTGCCTGAGACAGTCTACTGACAGCCTGGGACTGTCATAGACTCATAGGTCGACTTGAGCCTGCCTGATGAAAGATTACCTGCAGTGAGGCGATCGGAAACGTATCTCCGAAACCCGGCGGATGAAGGCACGAGTCCACTCTAGCCACGCACCGAAAGTGTTTGAAGTCAAGAGAAACAAAAGCATAAGCTCGTGCCCTGTTCATGATTTCAGATAAGCGCTACCAACAGAACCGCGCTTTCCAAACTCAAAGCCACGTGCACCTTGCTCGCACCAGTACGAGCCATCGATGGCTCCGCTGGCCCGACCGCAGGCTAGTCAGGTTTGAACCGAACCGGTAACTCGGCGTAACTCGGCGTTCAACGAACGTTGAGCTGCAAGGCTGCAGACAGTGGTTCCAATACAGATGACTGCGTTCCGCCGTTCCTTGCGGTGTGAACTTATGATAATGCAACTCGCATGACACGTGCGCCGTTCTCGTTGAACGGTGGCCCGCAGCTTGCCACTGCATCGGCCTCAGCTCGCTCGCTTGGGGCGGCGCAGTTTCAACCCGTAACCGGCGGCGCGTCGCGCGAGGGTGAGCGGAAAGGGGCTAGTACTGATCGACTGATTGCTGCACTCACCCGTCGGTCTGAGCTAGGCGCACAGTAGCACGGCACAGATATTACGAGCCAATGATTAATGAGGTGCACACTCATAAGCCGCTTCCAACTGGAGGTCCACTAGACTGTGACACTCCCTCGAGACGGCTGGCGGTCAATCCCGGGCTCGACGTCGTCGCGCTTGCAAGTCCGACGCTGACAAGCGCTCGAACAGGGGTGCCGGGCGCTTGAGCTTGTCGTTTTTGCACGGGAAAATCAGGGCAAGGACGTAATTCGTTCATGTCAGAAAGAGGATTTCGAAGAGAAAACTCGAACTCGTATGCCTAAGTGTTCATCCCATATATTTTACCGGCGGGCTGGATGTCAAGAAGAGTGGCATGGCACTGACACATTTGGAGGTCGAGGTTACCTGAGCCGCCGCGAGCACTTTCCTCCTCGGGCACGTCAGCGCCATCCTGAGGTATTCAGGTTTCATTCGTGCCAGTACGAACCAGCGGTAGCCGATCTCAACACCCGTTACAGACCACTTGGGCAGTTTTTCTGATTGATAATGTATAGGAAATCATCGCTCCACAAATCGGTCGTCGAGGGCATGGCAAGCCGGATCCAGAAGCAGGTCCGGCGTGAAGCGATCCCACTTGGCCGAGGGCCTTGGACAACAAGTTGAGAAAGGTGACGCCCTAGCTTTTGTTTTGGCTAGAGTTTTTTTTGTAGTGGGTTGGAAGTGGATGTAGTTTGGCATCGGACCTAATAATCACAAATGTTCATATTGAGGGCCTGGCTTGGCTCCCGCTTGATGCCTGTGAGAAAGTCCAGTGCTGCGGAGCAGGTGCCATCCCGATCCGTTTCTGGTGTGTTGACGACACCAGCGCGAGAGATTCGAACTCCTACATTCAACAAACCCAAATTATTCAAACCTCAAAGCTTTTTCGGTTCCACTGCACCTTGACGACGCCAGCGGGGTACCACTTGCTCCACCCGACTGGTCGCAAAACCCAAGAGTGTGGCCTTAATCTTCCCCAGAACAGATCAACAGCGAAAAACAATGATGAGTAGGTTGCAAACTGCTTGTACAAATGCGGGTATCAAAGCCGATAATACGAGAGAGATCAAGGAGGAAAGAAGAAGGGAATTGAGCGATCATTCCGATTCTAAAGCACTGAAGCTAATCTCGGATCGGTCATCATCGCTTCGAGGTCGCCAGGTGGTTTGGAGAACTTGTCGGGGACGCTGATGAAATACGCGTCCATAGCTATGAACGATCACACAACGTTTACTCTTCAGTTTGATCGTTCCGCCTACAGTATTTGATTTTAGCAGGCAAGTCCACTCACCCGATTTGAACCTCGTTGCATAATCGGTCGGAGGAAGGACGGTGACTTGGTTCGCGTCCGATGCGGTAGCCTTCTTGACACCGGACTTGACCTGATGTTCGACGAGTTTGAGAGTGTTGAAGACGCCTAGGGTATCGATGAGACCGATGACGAGCTCTTTCCTGTGATTCCGGACGGCATTTCAGTACATCGCCACTATGAGCGCAGGAATCTACCTTGACTTACTTCTCATCATTCACACCAACGAGCAACGAATAATCGACCCCCCCATTATCCGACAAGAACTTGACATCATTCGACAACGCCTCCCTCAACAGCGTCTTGGAATGCGCATAGATGAGTAAGCGGTCCTGCGTGAGCCAATCGCCATCCCAGCCCGTCTTGCTCGTCGTCGAAGCAGGGTCATTCATCGTCACCTTGGCCGTGCGGGATGCTACGCCTTTCAAATCAAAGGTGCGCGTGATGGAGGTCGAATGGAAGAGGTGCTCCATGCATATGAGGTCGAGTTTGCGTACTTCGCCCGTTGCGTGGTTCTTGACTTTGATGGTGTAGAAGCCAAAGATCTTGGCGAGCAAGCTGGCGACTTGGGGGCTCATGAGGTAGTCGAGCAAAGCAGGGCAGAAGGAGAGGAAGGCTTCCCGTTCCGAGACGCCCCAAGCAGTGACCTATGGATGTAGCTGTACGGGTCAGTGATATTTCTCGACAGACGTGAGAAGCCACACGCAGCGCACCAGTTCCTTGAGCATGAACCGTCGATCTCCCGTGATCCAAAACCCAGCCGAGCTTTTCCCTCCCGAGGGCCTCAAGTCGCTACACCTCGACAACGACTCGACGAACCTGTGAGCACGCATCAACATGTTCAGTGCCGAAATCAAATTTTGCTGGCTGAGCGATCGGGAATACTCACAAACTCTCGCTAAGACCACATCGTGCGCGCAAAGCGCGAAAGCGCGCAGCGTACCACGCCGTCACTCGGAACGACTTGTCACCATGCCTAAAGTCTTCGATCACTCAAGCGCGCAAGTCAGCAAATGACGCAATTCCTCATCAGTACACCCCTCAACGACTCACTGAACTTGGTATGCCCCGAATTGGAGATCCCCATCAGATTCGTGGCTCTGGAAGACCCACCAAGCCCTCTCAACGAGTCCGGTAAGCTCAACAACGTCGAAAAAGCGTTCGTGAGGAACTTGGGACTGGTCGTCGCTTCCTGCGTTTGCGAACGCGCGGGAACGGTAAGGAGGGACCCAGCGGTGCTCTCTTCTCCGACCGTGTATTCTGTTAGGGTACGAGAAGGTACCGGTGTACCGGGTCGCGTCGACGGTGCCGAGTCCAGCGAGGAGAGCGAGGCCAGCGATCGACTAGGAACGTCCGTCGAGCCGTTCATGGCCTTCTCCGGACCGTCAGGAAGTGACAGCGACGATGCCGACGAATACGAAACAACACTCGTCGTCGTCGCCTCCGCAGCCAGCTTCTTGACACTCAACCCAGCAATGATGGTCGGCGTTGCTCGTCGAACCCCGGCACGCGGAGGAGTCGAGGTCGTCGACCCCGAAGTGACGAGTAGATCCTCGAGGACGTCGATCGAGGTAGGCTCCGAACGAAAGATGCTCCCCTTGTCAAAGCTCTGCTCGGGCGTAGGGGTTGGCGATGGCGAAGGGCGAAGCGAGCTCCCCGTCCCCGCACTCGGCTCAAATGATCGTTGTCGACCCAATCGTTGCAGCACCGATCCGGCTCTGACGGCTTTCTTGGGCTTGGCTTTGAACTCGACCTCGTCGGCGGGAGCGAAGTCTGCGTTTGGGTTATCCGGATCCAAGATCCTGACTCGAGAAGGACTCTTTGACAAAGCCTTGTTAGTCGCCTTAGTTTCCGAAGTCGGCTTGGGTCCCGACTCCAACGAGGTTGCAGCGATGATGTGACTAGTGAATTCGGCTGGAATCGGTTGACGAGATGGCTTGCGAGTAGGAGGTAGCAAGTCCGAATTGATAGAGCCCCACAGGCTGTCAGGCGTCACTTTTCGAGAGGGAACCGAGATGGGCGCGTCCACTTCCTCTTGAAAAGCTTTGGCGCTCAAGGCTAGAGAGCGGGAGATGGGGTAAACTCAGATTAGGCAACACGAAAACACAATTGTGAACGCTCCCATGACTCACTCAATGCAATTAAGGACGAAGGCTCGTCCTCTCTCACGATGACTGACGAATCGACCGGGAACAGATGCACGATCGGATTGACCAAATACTCCGGCTCAGAATAGGTCGGAGCCTCGAGGGGAATCCCACCCAAGTCAGCGGCATGCTTCAGCTCCCACGCTGCGACCCGAGCTTTGTCAGATTTGGCCAAGCCCAGGAAGAAGTAGCGTCCTTCGTTGAGCTGATGCGCAGAGAGACATTCGGCGAAGCGGAGACATTCTTGCGCATTCTCCTCGACGAGTGCTTGGAGTCTTTGGAATAGGTCGTGCGTTGATGTTGGGGTTGATTCGACTTCGGGGTTCGCTGAGGAAATCGACTCGGTCGATTCACTTTGGTGTTCGAGGATCGTATCTCCCGAGTTGGACCGCTCTCGACTAGTGGATCTCGACCTCACTGGTTCCTCGAGAAGTGTGGTAGGTGAGTCAGGCATTGCAGCCGCCGTATTGGACTGCAGCCGCTCGTCCAAATTAGCCAGTCGAGCGCGCAGCGAGTCGTAGAAAGATGCTGCGAACCAAAGGCGGAACATTTAGCTTGGGGCGTCACAATTCGTAGCTAAGCCCATCGACAGCTCACATATCTCCGTCTTGAGCAACTCTAAAGGTGCAATATCTTGCTCCAGCTCAGCTTGAGTCGGAGCAACATGATCAATATCGGCATCCACGGCTGTCGGCAGCCGAAGCTCAAACAATCTGAGAAATGATCGAAAGACCATAGTGCCATCAGCGACTATATTCTGCACCCTTCAACCCGTAGTCGTACGTCCAACGCGTAATCGCACTCGAACTCACTCAATCTGATCCATCACGATCCTCACCACCGTCCGTTCAATCGCAAACGACCTCACCAGCGCCCCTTTCTCATCCGTCGCATGCGAACACAAATCGGGCAAAGGAGCGAAATTGGGATCGTAGAGTAACAACTCGGTCCATTTTGCGAAGGAGAAGGCGTACGATGTGGCTGAGAGGAGGGTTGGCTCTGTCGAGGCTTGACAACGCTTGCATGAGGTCCAAGAGGCGATGCGAGGGACGAGTGAGGTGGGGTCTTGCTCCAAGGTATTGAGCTTCTTGAGGAGAGAGCCCGTTTCGCTTGGGATCCCTTCAACAGCATCCCCATCCACCGTCACGTCATCTTTGAGTTCATTCAACGAGATGCTCAGACGATCCTTACTATGCATAAGCACGAGACAGTGCTCCCTTTGCGCAGCTTTGCACATCGCACTCTCGCAAGGCCCATCCTTCCTCCTGACCAAGCGTTCCAAGATCTGACCCAGCGTCGAATCGGCCGATCGAGTGCCTGTATCGCCGTCGATCTCGGAGGACGTGCTCCCATCGAAGTAGTAGTCGTACGCTAGCCATTTGGGGGGCTTGCAAGGCGGTGTCCCCGACGTAGCGTCCGAGCGAATGGTCTCGACGAGGAACTGCATCCCCTGATGTCGGAACGTCCCCGAAAGCGTCATATTCGCCGTCATGAGACTCTGTAAACCCGCACGAGCATCGAGCGTGATCCGAGTTGCTCTAGAGTTGGCACTTGAAGGAATGGACGATCCAGATGCGGAACGCAGCCCGCCTCCAGGAGTTCCCAAGTCCTGTCGGGGTAGATTGAGGTTCCCGGTGACGAGGTTCATGGCCAATGCTTGCGAGTCGAGATGACCGCGTGGAACTTGTCTCGGTGTCGCATCGAGCATGTTGGGGTCAAGCGCCGATTTAAGTCGAGGCATCGTCGCCGGTTCGCCGAAATCGAACGACTGCGCATCGAGATCGACCGGTGGAGCCTGCGCCAGTTCTTGTTGCCGCAGTCGTACGAGCAGATGAGGTGGTGGGTACACCACATCAGGAGAGACGGAAAGAATACACGTCTCCATCGCATTGATGATGCGCTGAAATCGGTCGACGTTCGGCGTCCCGGTTCCCTCCGCCAAAGCAGGCGAAGGGGTCGGACGAGGGGACAGCATCTCTTCTCTCTTGGCCGCACCGAATATACCGAGATTCATGCCGCCCAAGATATCCCAACTACGTCGCTCGCCAAGATCCAGCGATTGCGACCTGACCTCCTCGAGCAGTGGTAAATCTCCAGGCATCTTGCGGGATCCCGTCTTGGGGGTCGAGGCACCATCAGACTGCTTCCCCCGACTGCGGCGTTGCAGAAGCCCCTCGCTGAAGCCTTTGACCTTGTTCTTGATGCGCAGACTCGCACTGGGCGTGGTCGGAGAGGACAGCTCGAACGAAGGGAGCCTTGGAGATGTTGGCGGTACGATCACGGTGGCGGTTGTTCGAGTCGGTATCACGCTCACAGTCATCGACCTCGACCTGGACAGCGGGATCGATTTCGGCCGGTTCTGGGAGCCCAGCAAGATACCCCACAGGCTGCCTCGGGACCAGTTTGATCGCCTGAGAGATCGCTTTCGCTGTGGAGTGCTGGGAGAGTACGCCCCTGGGATGAAGGGGACTTCGTCATCGAGGTCTTCGTGGATGACGTCGTCTCCCGAGGGCTCGGCAGATACTGGAGGCGGCGTCGGAGGTGTTGATTCGGGTAGGGCGACGGGTCGGGGGCACCGAAAGTCGCGCAGGAGACCGACTTCGAGTCGCAGAGAGACGGCAGCAAAGGTGACAAGTTCGATGATCCGCTCAAGCTTGGGCAACTCTTTCGCAGTCGCAGTAAGATAGAACGTCCCTCCGACCCGAGTGACCAGCATAAGATCCTCGTCCTCGTAGTCTGTCACCCCTCAGAGAATGGTCAGTCGCAAATTAGGGGTCCGCTTCAACCAGCCGAGCAACTCACCAATACAACGACTCTTTCCAAACAGCCTCTTCCCATGCCACTGATCACGCACAAATTCGACCCCAAGCCTGGACGTGCCATGCCGCACAGCCGAAAGCGAAGTCTCGGTCGAGCAAAGCATGACCCCAAAGATGGTCAACTTTGGCGCTTCAGCCACGGACATCCACGCCGAGTCGCCCTCGCCCAGGCCTTCCGCTTGATCATCCTCCTCGGCCTCGACACCTGTTGCGGACGAAGATTCGGATCGCTTGAGACTGCGTTCATCTTCGTCCTCGCTCTCCTCCGACTTCATCAGCAAGAGCGCCGCGTTCCTCCACCTCTCCCTCCTCTTCACTTTCTCCACTTCGCCACCTTCTCCACCCAGAGCCGATTGAAGAGCCTCGGTCTCTTTTCCCTTGCGAGCTCGGTCCTTTTGAGTCGGGTTCGCTTCGTGCCGTTGGTGGGTTTCGGCGAGTTGAGCTCGGTCCTCGGCGATACGCGAGTCGACGATGGCGCCTAGTGTCGTACGGTCCAATGTAGCTACGAGAGCGCGCAAAGAGGTGATGATGGGGTCCTGATATGATCGAATCCCGAAATCAGCACGTATGCTCTCGAACGAATTGATTCAGGGCCTTTCCTGTGCCCCAAGCTCAATTTGCCCCAACGTACCAACCACACGCCCTCGTCCTTGATCTTGCACCCCTTCAGACTCTGCTTGAGCAGATCCAACACATGATCCCAGCTCCTGTCATCCAAGGTGTGATCGTCGTCGCTTGGTCCGAGTTGGGGAAGCAAGCGGGTGGTCGTGCTGGTCGTGCTGGTCGTGCTGGGGGGTCGAGCTGCAGCAGGAGCGGCCGAGGGGAACGGGATCGAGTGGGGGGTCCGGGAGTCGGGAGATGAACTGGCCGTGGACGTGGATGAGGAGGCGACTGGTGCCTCAGACGCCATCTTGCTCAGTCATACGGGACGCAGACACGACCCAGTCAGTGATCAAGTTGGAACGTGCGCCGACGAGGACGGCGAGCGTGTAAGCCGATTTAGATCGACGGCCTGACGCGCCGACGTTCGGGAAACGTGGTCGCGCTGAGCGGGGTGGGGCCTGCCAGCAGCTGTTGTGGTGGGACCCTCTAGTGGTGGGGCCCAAGACGGCGCTCAAGACGGCCGACGACGAACACGGACGAGCACACGCGTCCCACCCGAGACACACCGCGCCGAGGACGTGTATAGGCTTGGGAGTCGGTTTGGGTCACTGAGCTCTCTCACTCGGGGTGACTAGCCACCAACGCTGCTTCGGATTTGCGTAATGGTAAGGTGGTAAGCCGCGAACGTCGCTGAAGACAACAATCTGACTAAAGCTACCCCGACCGAAAATCGTGAGCGTGTTCAGCGAACGGACGAAGCGGCGAATAAGCGCGACTGGCTCCAAGGTAGTTCTGAACCGTAAAACCTGACTTCTTGCAGCCAATTCACTAATTTGAAAGACCAAACGCTGACATCGCCTTGAAAAAAACCTTGAAAAATACACCTCAAAAAAACCCCACCATCTAATCTCAACTCCCGACCTGCACCCCGCCTCCATCTCACCCCGTTCCAAACGCCAATCGTCCCTGACTACGATTCGGGTCGCCCAACTTGGTGATCCTCACTTCGGGACCATACGTCGAACCAGACATGCTTTGAGGAGTGATGAGAATGAACTGCACTTCGTCAGTCGCTTTGGCCGTGTCGACCATCATCTTCATCGAGATGCGGCGGTTGACCGCGTCCTGAGAACGAACGAGAGCGAGCGTAGAAAGTCAGCGACTGTCCTAGCGACGAGGTCAATCCCACGTGTAGAAATATGTAAACGCACCATAAAGACATCAAACTCATCCAAACACCTCAAAGGGCACCCCACCGCCTCCCACATGGTCAACAACAAACAAATCGTCGAGAAACTCTTCTCCCCACCCGAAAGACTCTTGGCATCCTTCTGCTTGCTCCGATTACGCTTCACCCCACCTTCCGTCTGAACGCGCAAGTTGAGACGCATGTGGTTGTGGTCGAATTGGAGTTTACCCGTAAAGCCTCGGGCACTGAGATGGTGCATGAACTGCAGCTTCGCACGAGCAGAGATCTGATCACGGAAATCGGTCCAACGCGCCACACGAGTTTGGTATGCCGAGGTCAAAGCTTTGACGAGGACGTTCAACGAAGCGACGGTCGCTTTAGCTTCGACGAGCACGTTCTTGCGGTTCGAAAGCTCGGTCAGGATCTCTTCGATCGTGGCGCCTTGTTGGCGCTCGCGGTTCTTCAACGCTTTTTGCAGCGAGTCGATTTGCTTCCTCAGTTGCGCTTCGGTCTGCCTCTGACCACCTTGTGGACGATCGCAAATCTCGAGAGCTTGTTCCGTGAGATGCTGCAAAGATGAAGTGCTTATGTCAGTCAGGCAAAACTCGCAAAGATTGTAGAATAAGTAACCTGTGGTGACTCACTGCTAGCTTCTCGCGTTCGCGCTCGACACTGGCGCGCAGGTCATCGATCTTTTGTTCCTGAGTCGCCAACCTGGTATTGTATTGATTGATCGCCATCTCGGCGTTGACGCGATCCTTGATAGCTCTGTTGAGTTGTTCCTACGAGACGCCCCAAGTCCCAACGAATGAGCAACCGACAAAAGAAAAGGAGAGATCCGTGACAGACTGACCATGATCGACTTGAGCAACTTGTCGACCTTCTTGATCTCCTCTTCAACCAGTCGCGTCTGCTCCACGGCCTCCGTGCCATTCTCCTCTGCCATGGCCGCCTCATGCAATCGCTTCGCATCCTCAAATTGCGCCAAGGTCGTATCCAGTTCATCCTGGCACGCCTCCCTCAACTCCTCCAAACCCCCAATATTGCTCGGTTCCTTTTCCTGCAACTTCTGTCGCTCCTTCTCGATATCCCGGTTCGTCTTGGTCATGCTCTGTTTCTCATTCGAACGACGGCGGTCCAAGATGTCCTTCTGGCGATGGATCGCCACCAACTGTCCATTGATCGCCTTACTCTGCGCCTCGAACTCGTTGAAATGACCTTGGACCCGTCTGAGCTCGTTTTGGTGATGTTGGATTTGATCCTCGACGTTGGGGCTGATGCGAGCTGCGCCTTTCCACGCATCAACAGCTCGACTTATAGCCCGGTTTTCGCTGCGGTTCAAACAGAAGGTGCAATATGATCAGCTTCGAGCAAGTAGTGTCTTTTCCTCCCTCGACGAGCGTGGGGACTTACTTTGATCGGAGAATTTGAAACATGTCGCGACTAAAGGCCGTGCGAACGTTTCGCTTGCGCATGTCAAGGATATCATCACCCTCGGGACGGGTTATGACAAGTGCCGCGTTCTCGGGTTGAATCGCGTTGATGAAGGCTTGCCTGACGTGTTCGTTTGAGAACTGTGGGATGATGGGGCAGAACCCTTCAGTCAGTCAGCCCTAACGGTGCTCGAGGATGCACCACCTAATCTCCGGACCCACCTTGAGTGCGCGCAAGACGGTCAAGACGTCTCTGTCAGGCTCGGAAGCCGAGCAGTCAAACGATGGGTCGTAAGCAAGTTTGATGATCGGGACCTTGTTATTACTGTAAGGACGAAGCAATCGCGACCGTCAGCAACTGCCGCCATCCACGACGTCGGCGCAAAGTGCCCTTTTTCTCACATTCGGTGCTGCCTGAACAAGTTGAACAAGCGCTTGCGGTCCTCCTCGTTCGAGACGACGAAGCCATTGAAGGTATTAGCTCCCACCGCTTCGATGAGTGCGCTCCACTTGTGATCGACGAGCTCGATGTAACGTCCCATCGGACCCAACGGCTTCTGGTTCCATCCTCGATCGCTGTCGATCGCCCTGAGCAACCCAGGAATGGCCTGCCCGTACGCGAGCATGGTATTGCCCTTGGAGGCCTGTATATTTCGGATGCGTCCCTTGATCTTCTCAACATCGTCATTCACAGCCCTCATCTTCATCTTGACATCATCCATATCGCCAACCAAACGCATTCGATCGGCTTCAAGCTCTTCCAACTCTTGCGTCGAAGTGGAAATGACCTGCGCGCGCTCGAGGTTCTCTTCCTCAAGTTTGTTGATCTTTTCGCGAATGGGTCGTTGCAAGGCCTCGATGTCGACTTCGAGTCGCTTCTTCTCCTCGGCGATCTTTCGATCGTAATCAGCGATTTGGGCTCGCTGGCGCTCAGTGGTAGCGTTGACCGTTCGGTTCGTTTGCTGTTGCCGCGTGGAGGAGTCGTCGTCAGCAGACTGCGTCGCTCTTCAAAGGCAAAGCCCTGGACCACCATCTATCCCAACTCAACAACTCACAGCCCACTCCTTGGCCTTCTCTCGCGTAGCCGCAATCCTGTCCTTGAGCCTCTGCAAGACCGGTTCCTTCTCGTCCTTCTCCAACTGCGTCTCCTTTTGCGCCTCTTCGCAATCCGCAATGGTCGCATCAGCTGTCGCCTTGTTGGCTTCAAACTCCTGCAACCTGCTCGTAATCTTGTTCACCGTCTCTTCCTCCTTGTGCAACATTTCCTCCCCTTTACCGATATTCACCTCGGCCTCATCGACGCCGCACCACGCCAATCGGTTCTTCAACTGCTCCAACTTGTCCTGCTGTCCAACGGCAGCCTCAGCATCCTTGGCGCGTTCCTTGGCGCGCTTATAAGCGTCCTTGAGATCGGGGATCATCTCTTGCTTCTTGTCGACCGCGGCTTGCATCGTTTGAGTGTTGGTTTGGATCGTCTCGTACTCTTCGGTCAATTGCGCGAGTTGGGTCCCCTTGAGGAAGAAGTTGTACTTTTGTTGAGCCGAGGCCGAAGCGAGGAATTGACGGGACTGGTCTTGGGTCAGGACCGTCATGGGGTTCTCGACTTGGATGTTGAAGGCGTCGACTGCGGGTGTGGCGAGAGGGATCAGCTCCAGAGAACGAGATTTGTCATCTAGCCGCGAGGTGAAACTAACGAATCGAATCCAGCGTCGCCCTATTATCATCCACGAGACCTCCTTCGGCATTGAAGATCTTGTACGAACCACCACCGTTGAGACGCAAAGTACGTTCGATCGTGATCGAGTCGCCGTAGACGTGGTGCTGGTACGCTTCGGGACCACGGTTACGAAGCTTGACCGAGCACTTGGCCACGGTCGCGCCTTCCATCACCAGGCCTGAACCTTTCGTCGCTCGATTCTGTTCAGCATCAAGAGTGGGCGTGAGCATTCACTCGTTGCTGGAACGCAATGGCATACTCGTCACCACTCACGGTCGCCCTCGCGTTACCACCCAACGCCATGGTGATGCCGGTGAGGATGGCCGATTTGCCCGATCCGTTGTTGCCGACGAGGAAGTTGATTTGCGGACCAAAGTCGACCGTCGTGAGTTTGTGGCACTGTTGATCGTCACCATTGAGAGTTTGGACCGGCGATGAAAAGGTACAGGGTCAGTGTCATCTGCTCGTCCTCGTCCTCGTCCTCGTCGTCGTCGTCGTCGTGTCAGTCCAGACCGTGGTCAGACCGCAGAAACTGACCATGAAGTTCTGCAACTCGACGCGTTCGATGATCCCCCTCTGAGCCACGGTCTATGAGAAAGTACCGAGTGAACAAGTCATCAGTGCCCACGCCAACGCTCCTGCTTCGTCGGCCCGTGCGCAAGCTGACGACGCGATGCGACGCGTCTCGCCTGAACTGGGTCGACTCACGCCTTCACCACGAGACCTGGCCTGCATCTTGGCATTGAACTCGTTCTTCCTCCTCACCGCCTCCTCATCCTCATCCGAATTCTCGTCCATACTAAAGTCCTCCTCTTCCTCCTCCGCTTCCCCTTTCCCCTTCTCACCACCCTCCACTTCTTCGTCCTGCTGCTCCCCCTCGACCTCGACAAGCTCGTCCGCGCCGTCAAGGAGCGAGGGCAAATCAGGCGGTGAACTACGAGGTAAGGACGAAGACGTACGAAGACGTTTGGCGGGCGAGTGAGCAAGTTCATCCTCCGAGTCAGAGGCGACGTGTTTCGCCATCGTTGAACTCGTGGGCCGTGTACGGGGTACGAGAAAGCGACGCCTGGGTTGAACAAGTCAAAAAAGCAGAACGCGCGTTCGGACGCGCTTCGACAACGCGTGGCGCGCGGGCAGGACTCGGGCAGACTAAAAAGTAACCAGTCTTAGTAGCGCCGCCGCGCGGCCAGAAAACCCTATGCAAATAGGCGACCTGAGCCCGGTAGCAACTCGGCGCGGGATTCGGCGGGAACAAGCTCGCAATGGTTTAAAGTCATTACAATTGATCCGGAAATGATTTTCTGGATTGGCCCTATGACGTAAGTCATTGGCGGGATAAGCTTGTAGAGCTTATAGAAAAGCTTGTTGAAGTCCAGGTATATCCATTAACGCCTCAGCACTGCTGCAGCCGTGGTATGTCTGGCCCAATGCAACACGTGATCTGACGCGGGTTGCGCGAGGTTGCGCGCGCAGGCGCGCGTCCGAACAGATCCGAACCTGACGGAATCGACGCGTGTTGTGCGTTGTTGATACGTAGACAGCTCTTGTCCTTAGGCCCGCTTTCGCCCGTACATTCAACACAAGACCCATTGGTCTCGCCGCGAATATCCTCGTCCTCGATCGCTGAACCGCATACACGTCACACGTCACACGTCACGTCCCTCGTTGATCTCCGTTGATCTTGTGATCCTTTCACATCGCCAACTCATACCAACTTTCCACGCTTCGGCGCTCGACAAGCCCCACGTGTATGTCCGGCGATCGTCGTCCGGGCTTTTACCAGAGCACGAGCTTCTGAGGGCCTGCTCACATCCACGTCTTGACTATAGATTCATCGCGTCGCCTCGGAACATTGCGGGCTCCTTCCCTCCTGGATAACCATTCACAAACAAGGCTCTGGGTGCGTGGTGGAAGTGCGGCTGCGCGGTCGTCGACGCGCTGTTTGATTGGTTTGATGCAGCACCGTGTCGTTCTGACCTTCCCCTGTTCGCCTTCCAGCCTCTGCCTGCACGATGTTCTCTTCCATCCAAGTCCTGCGCCGCCCAGCCGACCGCTTGACGCTCCCGCGTTCGCAAACATCGATTATCCAACCTATTCGCTCGAGTCGGGTAGCCACGCGTCCGCCTTCCCAGACGACCTCCCTGTCCTAGGCAGCACAGCTAGCACAGGGCACCCATCAAGTCGACCCTCCTGTCCCGCCGATTCCGCCGCCAATCGCCTAGTGCTGCCTGACCCCCTTCAATTGCCAATGGACGAAGCCAATACATCGTCGGGCGTCCTGCAACCCTCGCCGAGTTTCTCATCAGTAGATGGAAGCACCCCGACAATGCATCCATCACCACTTTCCGCCGCGGATCAACAGTTCGCCCGCGTCGAAGTCCCTGTCGCCACCGTACCGATCCGAGTTTCGCCTTTGACGCCAGCGAAGAGGCCGATGGGCCCTAGCCTCCACGAACAGAGCAAGGCTGTCCCTAAGCGCAACTGTCGCAAATCCGAACGACTTATGCACGAGCAATGGGCCCAGAAAAGACACGACGAAGAGCTCGAGTATTGTATCCGACACAATATTCGACTCGATTATTTGAGGAGCATTGTTGCGCCCGTGACTCGCCTTGGCTCTCCCACTTCCTGGAATGACTTTGTGCAGAGCAAGTACTTCGAATCGCTGGCAGTTCAAGATGGATTGGAAGGTAGGCACAGCTCTTGACTACCTGACTACCTCGTGCTAAATTCTAGCATAGCATTGCACTACGCTGTTGTTGAACTAACGGGCTGGGTTGGTCCGCTTTAGTGCCGACCAATTTGGTGGAGAGGGTTAAGCTCGCAAAGCCATATTGGAACGACATAAAGGATGACGCAGAGGCGATGACGCAGAGGCGATGACGAGGTTTGACGCGGCGCTTGCCTTGGAGCGTGAGGAAGCGACGCAAGCAACGCAAGCGACCGAAGGTTCATCCTCCATCAAGATCGCCAGAAACAAGCCGATGAGTCACGAAGCCATCAAGAAAGCGCGCCGATGCATGCAGGCCGCGTTGGAAACCATGGTGAGTCCAAGCTCAATTTGATACTGCTCACAGTAAAGTAACTGAAAGGATCATAACACCCTCAAAACCAACCCAGAGCACTTCATATGGACTCACCATGGTTTCCAACGCGGCCTGCATGCATCGGCGCGCTTTCTTAATGGCTTCGTGACTCATCGGCTTGTTTCGGGCGATCTTGATGGAGGATGAACCTTCGGTCGCTTGCGTTGCTTGCGTCGCTTCCTCACACTTCATATGCGCAAAAATGTGGACTCCCATTGTTTGCTGTGGTCTCTTCTGATCTTCCTGAACTCAATAAGGACCGTTTCATGGTCGCGAGCCCCGGTGGTTTGGCCTTTGCCTATCGACAAGACTGGGGCGATAATTTGGGTTCAAGACAGCTGCTCTCCGACTTCGCGGATTGCATTACCGGTAGAGCGTTCTTGGAGGACAAAATGACCAAATTGGAAGCAGCTGGTCAGTAGGTGCACGCGCCGACAGACTATTGTCACTTGCTGATTGATGTCCGTTACGCTGTCACGCAGTTTGGGAGGCGCCACTGAAGGAAGCGAATCTTGAAACAAAAGCCTCGTGGTACAGCACGATTGTGAAAAAACTTTTCATATTAGATTTATTGTAACAGGTCAAGATGTAATTCATGATTTTGCTCGCTATTTTTCTTTGAATTATTATCTATTTTGCAGTGTGGACTATGTTCTAACCGAGATTTCAGTTGCTGCTCACTTGTTGACTGTTAACGATGAGTCTTCTTCTCGGTGCAGATGATGCCGTGATGCGACGTACCAAGAACCAAGGGCACGAAAACAAGAGTAAACCGCCCAGGTTGGTGTACGACCCAACCGCGCTCATACAACAGGCCAGTATCGTAGTTGAATGCGGCCCGAGCCTCAACTTGGAGACGAACTTCGCCAGCCCCATGGGCAAGCAAAAAATGTCGGGGGCCGACTTGGATCGTATCATTCCCCTGCTGCGTGCAGGAGAGTTGAGATTCAGGCTAACGGAAGAGGTATTAGCGGATGAAGAAGATGAAGATGGTGCAGCTATCCCTGCCAACGGCCAAGATGGCAGCGCGGTGAGCCGCCCCGATTCCGACGAGCACTCTTATTTATAAGTGCGCTCTGACATACGCAGTTCCGGATTTCCGCGACTGAGTATTCGAGGTGTTCGAGGTGTTTCGAGATCATTTTACACTGGCGCACGGCCCAAAAAGTCTTATCCGATCTCTCATTATGACGACTAGCGACCGAGTATGACGGTCCATGCTCAAGTGCTTGCCCCGAGTTGAACCCGCCAGCCTGTCGTGCCTCGTCCGAAAGTGTGTTTCACGCGGTGTAGGCATCAGGTATTTGCCACGGGGGTCCCGACGTTTCGCTCCATCTGATCTGTCCAATCAACTCAGTCTGGAAGGCGAGCCGGTCTTCTCAACTCCAAAGTACCAGGCGACCGCAATCGACATCGTTCCTGGGGAGGTTCCCAGTTGGGGCCCGCTCTATCTCCTCGCCGGCCCCGAGCTGAAGGCACTCCGCGACTACTACCTCGACAAAAAGCTGGCCAAGGGCTACATCCGCCCTTCGACCTCGTCTTGCTCGTCTCCGATTCTTTTCGTCAAGAAGAAGAGCGGTGAGCTTCGTCTCTGCGTCGATTTCCGGCGTCTCAACAAGGTCACGATCAAGAATCGTTACCCCCTGCCGTTGATCGATTCGCTCCTGTCTCAGCTCTCTCAAGCTCGACACTTCACCAAGCCCTATCTGCGTTCTGCATACAAGTTGGTTCGCATCCGCGAAGGTGACGAGTACAAGACCGCCTTTCGCACTCGCTACGGACTTTTCGAATACTTGGTCATGCCTTTCGGTCTATCCAACGCGCCCTCTGTGTTTCAGCACTTCATCAACGACGTTCTTCGCGCAGAAGTCGACCGCTTCGCCGTCGTCTATCTCGACGACATCCTCGTATATTCCAAGACGCTTGAGGAACACATCGAGCATGTTTTGATCATTCTTCAACGCCTCCAAGACGCCAACCTTTACGCCAACGCTTCGAAGTGCGACTTCCACCTCGCCTCTGTCGAGTATTTCGGCTACGTCGTCTCGACAGGGGGCATTTCTATGGACTCCGCCAAGGTCCGCACCGTGTTGCCATGGCCTCAACCCGACAATGTCAAGGCCGTCCAATTATTCCTCGGATTCGCCAATTTCTATCGGCGCTTCATCTCCAACTACTCCAAGATCGTCAAGCCCCTTACTCGGCTTACTCGCAAGGACACGGCCTTTGCCTTCGACGATCAGGCGCTCAACGCCTTCACCACGCTCAAAAGCGCTTTCACTTCGGCTCCGATTCTGGCTCATTTTGATCCCTCGCTTCCTACTGTGGTCGAAACTGATGCATCGGATTATGCCATTGGCGCTATTCTCTCCCAGCAGGGCGCCGACGGAATCCTTCATCCTATCGCGGTCGATTCCCGATCAATGGCCCCTGCGGAGCTCAACTACGAAACCCACGACAAGGAGCTCCTCGCAATATTCTGGAGCATCGGTCGCTGGCGCCACTACCTCCTGTCGGTCCAATCCCAATTCACCGTCCTGACCGACCACAAGAATCTCGAGTACTTCATGGTATCCAAGGTTCTCACTCGACGCCAAGTTCGCTGGGCTGAGATGCTCGCGGAATTCGATTTCATCGTCAAGTACCGCCCAGGCGTCCAAGGTGGCAAACCCGATACTCTCAGCCGCCGGGACGACGTCTACCCCAACACAGGGGGGGAGCATTCGCTGCAAACAACCCGACGAACACTCGAGCCGTTCTGCAACAGAATCGACTCGCCACTGCTTCAACAAGTTCTACTCCAATCGACGAGGACAATTCAAGTTTCCTGACTAACATCGCTCAAGCACAAGCCAAGGATCCCAAGCTTCTACCAATCATCCAGGCATGCCGCAACATAACTCAGGAGAATGCTGACTTCAGTCTCGCCGATGACATTCTTCGCTTTCAAGGTCTCATCTACGTTCTGGACGATGGCCTTGGAGCAACTCGAACGCGGTGACGATGCACAGCAACTTTTCGCGCATGTCATTACGACGAATCGTCGCCTCGGTCCGCTCCTCAACATCGCCTCCATCCTCTTCATCGTCCTCGTCAATGGCATCCACCTCGCTATTCTTCGTCGTCGTCACGATCATCCGACTCACGGACACCCGGGACGCAGCAAGACTATTCAACTCATCAAGCGCACATTCTACTGGCCGGGCGTTACCACATTCGTCACGAGTTACATCTCGACATGCCACCCGTGCCTCCGCAACAAGCAATCGCGCCACAAGCCTTATGGACTTCTCCGGTCTCTCGAGGTACCGGTACGTCCTTGGGCCTCCCTATCCATGGACTTCATCGACCAGCTTCCGCCCTCGGATGGACACAACTCGATCCTCGTCATCGTCGACCGGTTCACCAAGATGGCTCGATTTCTTCCAACCAACACCTCTCTCACCGCCGAAGGTCTCGCCGACCTCTACGTCACCAACATATTCTCTCAACATGGCGTTCCGCACGACATCGTTTCGGATCGCGGGACTCTCTTCACCTCAAAGTTCTGGTCAGCCCTTTGCAAGTCTCTGGGCATTTCTCGCAAGCTGTCCACTGCCTATCACCCAGAGACCGATGGCCAGACCGAGCGTGTCAATCAGGTGCTGGAGCAATATCTTCGACTCTACACCAACTACCAACAATCGGATTGGTCTCGTCTGCTTCCGATGGCCGAGTTCTGCTACAACAACACTCCCCATTCGACGACGGCCATGTCCCCTTTCTTCGCCAATAAGGGGTACCATCCGACTCTCGAGATCGACTTGGTTCCGACGCTCGGCAGTTCGCATCAAAACTCGATTGCCGATCTTAAGGAGCTTCACGCCCTCTGCCGCGACACCATCCAGAAGTCTCTCGAACATCATCAAGTCTACGCCAACCGTAAGCGTATCCCCTTTCCTTCTCTCAGCGCAGGCGATCGAGTCTTCCTCTCGACTCGCAACATCCAATCGACTCGCCCGACTCGCAAGTTTTCCGAGAAGCGCATTGGCCCCTTCGTCATCAAGCGCAAGCTCTCCGAAGTCGTCTACGAGCTCGAACTTCCGCTTCAATACCGCAGCCTCCATCCGGTCTTTCACGTGTCTCTCCTGACCCCGTGTCCCAAGGAGAAGATCGCCAACCGCCGACGGCCGCCTCCGCCTCCGGTCTCACTGATCGAGGAAGATCCGGCTTACGTGGTGGAACGCATCCTCGACTTCCGAACCATCCGCGGCAAGCCTCAATACTTGGTAAAATGGCTCGGATAGTACGACGACACCAACGAATCAACGACCTGGGAACCCGTCGAGAACCTCAATTGTACGGACCTCCTCCGTGAGTTTCATTCCCAGCGCGATCTGCATAGTCGACACTTCCGCCGCGAGCTCTGATGCGCAGTTGCAGTAGTTCTCAGTGAACATGAGCAGGCAGTGCTCTCGGAATTCATCACTTACTTCGATATTGAAACATGGCCAATTTTACAGACCGATCGGCAACACTTTGTTGTCCGCGGGAGGAGTTCCGAGGAGCTCTGATCGCCCGATCGATCGTGCGGGGCGGGGCACACAGGAGGTCGCTTCCCAACGGCTGAGGTCGGTCACCGCGCCGTTCCACCTACTCTGTTGGACTCCCTCCTCTACCTGCTTGCTCGCGCACTCGACCGCCTTGCCACACTCTCAGCTTATCATGACTGCTCGTCAGCTTGCCGCCCTTCGTGAACTTGCCGCGCTTGCTGAGGTCGGTGATGCTCCAAGTCCAGCTCCGCCGACGAGCATTCGGGTGATCCCAAACCCGCGGCTGACAAGGCGCCGCTTCTCGCAAGCGCTTGCGACCGACTTGGCCAACACTTCGGCCTCCTCGAGCCCTCGCCCTCTCCGAGCTCCTCGCCTCTCTCGACGCTAGTCGACCCCGCACTCCCTAAGATCCTCAAGACGCGGCTCTCTGTTTCTCTCAGATACTGTCTTTCTTCTCCCTCTTTTGTTCCTTTCAGGCTTCTACCCCTACTTCTACTCGCGTACTCGCGATCTCGTTCTCTTGTCCTCTACCAACCACCAACCACGACTATCCATCGTACCACCGCCACGCTTTGCGCGTCGCACCACCTGCCAACCAACTCTTCGTCAGCGACCACCTTTTTTCTGGCCAGACACTCGCCAAAGTCGCTCACCAATCGCACCCGGCCAACTACTTCGCTGTCGCACGAGCTTTACGTCACGACTCACGGGCCGCCATCTCAACAGCGACCTGGGCAGCAACCGCTCTGCGATCTTCCTCGTCGTCCTCGGGATCGGGTTTGATGACAAATTTCACGTAGTCAACCAGATGGTACACCGGTGGACAAGTGGGTACCCTCGACGCCATCAAGTTCAGTCTCCGAACACCCGTCGGACCCATCGCCGCCGACCCAGGACCTCGAACACATCTGGCCTCTCCGCCTTGACCCTCGGCATCCTCAACCTTCACGAATTGCGCAAGTTGTTCATCGACATTATGTTGTGTTCAAGAGGAGGGAGTGTCATGGTCACCAAATTGTTCAATACCCTTCAAGTCCTCCATCCCCCGGTCATTCTTCTTCGATCTTCACCCATCGCTCCCGCGCGCCCTTTCTCTCGCGCACGCGCCTTTCTTCCCGCACGCGCTGTCAAGACTTCGCGCTCGGACCTCCAAGGCGCCTCGGGTCAAAGGGACGGTTCCCCTTCAACGCGACCTCCGGACTGGTTCCCCTTCAACGCGACCTCCGGACTGGTTCCCCTTCAACGCCTCCGGACTTCCCATCGGCATTGGCACCGCCTCCTCTTCGGACCCCTTGTAGTTCCTACAGTGGGCTTCCCTCATCCGGCATACACTACATTGCCTCAGCCACTTCTCAACAAAGGAATGGCTCTCCAATAAGGCACAGCCTTTGTTGCGCATTTTCCTCTGGTTGTGGTAGACTAACTCTCTGGTAGATTCTCTCTCTCTCTTCTTCTTCTTCAGTTGTATTATTCGATCAACAGTGTTCCTACACCTTGTCCGAATCCCATCCTTCCGACGCTCCTCTCGCGCCCTCGCTTCCGCTTCCGAACCGACCTCCTCGTGATCACCTCCTATCATCTCACGCACCAGGCATACAAGTGCTATTGACGTTATACCTTTCACGGTGTGAAGTTGGATAGATCTTCGTTACCTCCATTCCTATCATCGTCTCTTCCTCTTCGGACTTGACCTTGACAATTCCTTAACTCACTTTTTTTATATATAGAGGTAGTAAAGGGCATTTTACTACCTCTATATTTACTACCTCTATATATAAAAAAAGGTGAGTTAAGGAATGTACCTAAAATCACTGTTTTTAACCAGGTGGCGGGCCGGAGGGCCGCTTGTGGTGGATGTACCAGCATGCTATTGTGTCTGCCGCACCTGGCTGTGGTGTCCATGTTTCGATCAGAAGTCATGTACAAGCTCTGTGGCACCTTTTGTATTTTTTGCGCCAGTCGAACGAAGCTACAGCGTTCCCAGTTTTTTCCTTCACTTTTTCGTTGACGTAAAACAGTGAGAACACTTATATTGTATTTAATGGATGGCAAGCGCGTGGCTTTGTATGACAATGCTTCTACAGCAGAGCTCCGCCTGACGGGCGGGGCGAGGCCTGGCGTCTGTCACGTGATGCGGCGCGCCAGCGGTGTCAGTGTCATTCCGGCAGCCGACCAGCGGTATCAGGGGCTGAACAACAAATTTGCCCGTCCGGCAGCGGACCAGCGGCATTAGGGGCTGAACAACAAATCAAACCCCGTAAATAATCCTGCGCCACTCCCTCGAACCTTTCCTTTTCTCCCACTCTCATCCAATTTTAGTGACATTCATTCAAGAACAAACCCCCCCACTATGCCCCGGTCCCAAGGTCGCCAGGGGGGGCCATCGCAACCTCGCCAAGTCTTGGGCGCGAGGGTAGCGCCGTACCATGGGCTACCATGGGCCTGCTCGAGCGCCCGCTGCCGGGCGCCCCGCAGCTCGACTCTCCTCTTCCTCCCGCTCTGATCAACAGAATCAGCCCCCCGCGCATCATGACAATCTTGGTATTGCGACACGTTTACGAGCCCGCCGTGCAGCTGTGCAGAACGGACAACGTGGTCAGCGCGATGGCCGACCCGACGCTGAGCCCACCCCACCACCTCCCCATGCGCAAAGGCGCGTGCGCCGGGCTCGAATCGCGCTCAAACCCCTCAAGCCTCACGTTTCGATTCGCGACGACCTCGGCCCCCAGACGGCCGTGTGCACCCACTGCAAGGCTCGGCACTGGGAGTGCGAAAGGTCGAAGTCGACCGGCAACTTCAGCACGTGCTGCTCGCAGGGCAAGGTGCGGCTACCTCCCCCTCCCCAGCCCAATCTCGAGTATCGGCAGCTTCTTGAAGGCTCGGATACCGGTCAGTTGCTCCGCCCAACAACATTCGTCTGCAGTAGACACACATGCTGAACTGTGCGACAATTTTCCCACGACAATCTTCCCACGCACACAGAAGCTAAAGCGTTCCGCGTGAACGCCCGTTCGTACAACAACGCGTTATCGTTCACTTCGCTCGCTGCCCATTGGGACCAAACTCCAGTGGGCACGCTAGGACCACCCGTGTTCCGTGTATTTGGTCGACTTTATCATCGACTCGGCGCCCTGATCCCTGCCGTCAATCAACGCCCAGCCTTTGCTCAGACATGGCTCATCGACCCGGTCGAGGCCACCGACACTCGACTTGGACCCGATGGCACAGACAGTCGCATGCAAAGATCAACGTTGACCAAGCTCGAGTCCGTGTTGCGCACCGGCAATCGCTTGGTGAGGGAGTTCGCATCGGCCAAAGCTCGCGCAGGTTGGGATACGGCCAAAGAGTGGATCCTGCGCCTCTGCCTACCACCAGGCCGAGACCGACGCATCCACAACCTTCCTACGTCAAGCACGGAAATGGCGATGCTTATCTGCGATTCCGACACCAACACGGGAGATCGTGGACCGCAAGATCTCATTCTCCAGGTGCACGGTAATCGATGTCCCGATGGTCGGCCCAAGTACCAAGTCGTTAGCTCGCTCCATCCGTCCGCGATGCCTCTCCGTTACCCACTACTATTTCCTGCAGGGGAAGATGGCTTCTACCCCAACATTCCTCTTTGCGGGTTCCACCAAGCCGGGCCGCCAATAGCCAGAAACCGAGAGCAGATCGACAATGGTGTCCAATTGCGCGAGGTGCTTGCCGGTCTCGGTCTGGATGACGAAGACGAAGAGGAGGACGAAGACCGCGACGATGAGAATGAAGACGGCGAGGAAGGTGAACGTGAACGTAAGCGTCTTCGGCTCTTTCTCACGTCGTCCATTCTGTTGAGACGTAAGCACAGACTCACATAGAATGTTCGAACATCTAGGACGATCATCAAGGAAAAGGGGTCGAGGTGGATCAACCCGAGTCTCGCGTTCTCAATATCTTGCATACTACTTGCACGAACGCGGCGACTACTTCTCAATCCCACATGCCACTCAGCGTCTCTTCCTCGAATTCGTAATCGACGGATACTCCCAAGTCGAGACCGATCGACTTAACTATATCCGCTTTCATCAAGAAAACCTGCGCCTCACCACGGCGCAGGGCATCACCGACGCGGTTGCCAACGGTTTGACCCCGGATCAGATTGGACGTTCGGTGATATTGGGGTCGACGTTCAAGAATAGCCCGCGGGAGGTCACGCAGCGTTACCAAGATGCGATGGCGTGTGTCGTCAAATATGGGAAACCTTCGCTGTTCATCACGGCTACGTGCAACCCCGACTGGCCGGAAATCAAGGCTGCACTCGGGCCAAACGACCAAGCAAGCAACCGTCCGGATCTCATCGCACGAGTGTTTGAAGCCAAGCTGAACCGACTCTGCGACGATGTCTTTGGCAATAAGCAACGTGCGGGCTGTTTCGGCGTCGTTCTAACGCATACACACGTCATCGAGTACCAAAAGCGGGGCCTGCCGCATGCCCATATCCTCCTCACCCTCGCGCCAGATGATCATCCTCTGTCGACTGAGGCGATCGACGTCTCTCAGCCGAGATACCCGATCCTTCGCGCTATCCTGATCTCCACGAGACCGTCACAAGGCACATGCTGCATGGCAAGTGTGACGGAAACTCGACTCAGCCCTGCATGGAAAAGAACAAGTACGGTAACCCGAGGTGCAAGCGCCATTTCCCTCGCGAACAGAACCCCCATACCCGCATGCACCCTGATGGCTACCCGTTGTATCGCCGACGCTTTCGCCACGCCGTCGTCAAGGGGGGTGTCATCTACAACGATGGTGACTGCGTGCCGTACTCGCCTTATCTCTCCGCCAAGTACAACGCGCATATCAACGTCGAGGCTGTGACAACAATCGGCGCGATCAAGTACCTCTTCAAGTATGTGTACAAAGGTCCGGATCGAGCTGTGGCGCGTGTTGAGCGCGCAGCGAACCGTGAAGGGGCTCGCGAGGACGAACCGGTTCGAGATGAGATCAACGAGTTCGTCGAAGGTCGCTACATCAGTGCTCCAGAAGCGGTCCACCGCCTATTCGGATTCTCGACCGGTAGAGTGTGGCCGCCCGTCAATCGACTACTGGTCCATCTGGAGCATCAACAATCTGTGCAGATTAATCCCGACGAACCGCTGCCCCTCGACACTCCCCCCACTCGCTCCAAATTGACCGGCTTCTTCGACCTGTGCGCCGCAGGTCCCGACGGCGAGCTCACTGCCACATTGCTCTACACAAATGTTCCCTGCTACTATTCCTGGAATAAGGAGAAGCTGCGCTGGCAGCGCCGAGTTCGTGATCGCAATGTCATCGGACCAATTTACACCGTTTCACTGCGTAGTGGGGAGCGCTTTTACCTCAGACTGCTCCTCGAGGTTGTCATGGGTCCCACGTCTTTTGCGGATCTGCTCAAGTTTGAAGACGTCGTGTATCCTTCCTATCGCGCCGCTTGCGCCGCTCGCGGACTTCTCGCCGACGATGGCGAGCACCACATCTGTCTCAGGGAAGCTGCACAGATTCGGACCGGTGACCAACTGCGGCGATTGTTCGTGTTCATGCTCATCCATGCGACCGTTGCCAACCCGCCAGCTTTACTGGATCGCCACTTTGCTTCCCTGAGCGATGATGCCCGTTATCACATCGCAAATTATGCGGACGTACCCGTCAACGATCAAACCATCCGCCTGTGGACGCTCAACAAGATTCGACTCCTTTTCGCAGCGAACGATCGAACTTTGGCCTTCTTTGATCTCCCCGAGCTCACCAAGGACGAAGTGCAGCTTTTCGATCGTCCCGACGATCGGCTTCCCCGTTTCGATCGCGAGCAATGTGCGCAAGATGCCGAACAGGCACGTGCTCGCCTGAACCACGATCAGCGTATTGCATTTGACGAGTTTCTTCGCGCGGTCGAGCTCGATGTCGTCGATCAGATGCGCGACAACAACCTTGAGCGGCAGCATGTGTTTTTCCTGCTTGCACCTGGGGGTACTGGCAAGACTTTTGTAGAGAATGCCCTTCTCGATACTGTGCGAGCTCGAGACGACCAAGCGATTGCGGTGGCGTCGTCCGGAATGGCGGCGTTGCTTCTCAAGGGAGGACACACAGCGCATTCGACTTTTCGAATCCCACTCGACACCTTGCCAACCTCGACGTGTCCAGTCGACAGGGAGAGTGATCTCGCGCTGATGCTGCGTACCACCAAGCTCATCATTTGGGATGAAGCACCAATGGCGCATCGATTCGCGGTCGAAGCGGTCGACCGTTTACTGCGTGATCTCCGAGAGACCGAGGAGCTCTTCGGCGGGGTGACAACGATCTTTGCGGGTCAGTTGGGCTCTTCCGCCTCCGCTCTGATCGACGGCATGCTGACGAGGTTTCCAATTCGTAGGGGACTTTCGCCAGTGCCTTCCTGTCGTTCCCAAAGGAACTCCCGGTCAAATCGTCGATGCATCCCTCATCAAGGCAGACTTCTGGCGCGACGTTCGTGTCTTGCGACTTACCGAGAACATGCGTCTCAGCTCGAACGCTGATGCGATGGACGAGGATCAATTGGCTCGAACGCGCGACTTTGCGGAATGGCTACTCACCGTGGGAGATGGAACTGCCAACATGCATCCATACGACAAGATTGCAGTACGTTTGGCTCTCCTCTTTTACCCAACCAACCGACACTAAGACCCCTTCTATCCGTTTCGCAGCTGCCTGATTACCTGCTGCTTCCGGACGGTCAAAGAACGGCCGAGGGGTTGATCAACTTTATCTACCCCGGTTTAAGGACCGTGAACAAGGAGTCCCTCGAAGACCTGATTCAGCTGTTCTCACGTCAGGCAATCCTAGCTCCGCATAACGCAACGGTCGATCGCCTCAATGCCAAGCTGATGGAAGAGTTCGATGGCGACTACATCGAGTATCGCAGCGCAGACGAGGTTGTTGAGGCAGGCGAAACTGGGGGTGGAATGGCGCCTGAATTGATTTCGCCAGAGTAGCTACATTCAATTAATCCATCCAACTTCCCCGCGCATCACTTGCGTCTCAAGGAAGGGATCCCTGTCGTTCTTCTTCGCAATTTGGACCCAGACGCCGGCCTCTGCAACGGTACCCGCCTTATCGTCTCACACGCAAGATCGCGAGTCATTCAAGCCATCATCTTGACCGGAGATCGAGCGGGCACCACGGTCTTCATCCCTCGCGTGCGACTCGAGGCAAATGCGACTAGCAGTCGCCAACTTGGTTTCACTATGCGTCGGCTCCAATTCCCGCTTCGAGTTGCCTTGGCCATGACAATCAACAAAGCCCAAGGTCAATCACTCGATCGTGTTGGCGTCGATCTCTCCCTGCATCCCGTCTTCACTCATGGGCAGCTGTTTGTGGCATTGTCTCGAGCCATGAGTGTTGATCGAATCAAGGTGCTACTGCCCTCTCGCGACCCCGCCGATGATGACGACAACCTACCTGCCGTCGATCGAACGGCAGCCGCAACCATCGTGACCCCAAACCCAGTATTCCGCTCTGTTCTCAGGGCAATGAATGGAGAATAATTTCTATGCTGTATCGTGTCTTTTATCCACTGAGACCATGGAAACCGTTTGATTCTTCTCACTGTGACTGTCTTACATCTGCTGAAATCATTTACACTCTTCAATTCCTGCTATTTGAATTTCATAATTTAACGGGTTCCCACTGGTTTCTCAAAAGAAAAGAAAAAGAAAAAACCTAACTATCTATATGATCGAAAATAGGGGCAGCTTGACGGCCCGTTGTCAAACCGATCGGGGCGCGCACGACGATCCGAAAGAGGTCGCCGTCGATGACGTAATGTCGATGAGAGCTACGTGATTGACAGCGGAACAGGACGTGTTGCTCGGTTCCAGTTCCGAGATTTTGTTAAATCTTTGACTTTCACAAGTCTGAGGCTGAGGCTGCGCTTGAGGTTCCGAGGGAGACCGCCGTCCGTAGAATCCAGATGGGGACGGCCGCCTGGCGCCTAGCGCTTGCGCGCACGGCAGCGCCTCGAGCGGGAGGACCCAAGAGCGCCGAGCTTTTTTTTCGCTCTTGGCACTCCCGCCTCGACGACGACATTTGGCTCGGGCTTGGCCTTCTCCCATCGACACAAGCACCATCACCCGTCTCCAGTCTCGACAAACACACGCACGCACGCACGCAGCCTCCAGTGCCACACATCACAACTCACTGGTCCGACGTCGACACGACCCTTTTTGTATCATCTCCTTCGACTGGGACGACTTGGGACTCGACACGGTGAGCAATGCAGCCTCTCTCTTGCGCGTGGTGGTCTTGCCGCGGGGATTGGCGGGTCGGCCAAAGCGCGCTGTAGTCGGGGACGAACGCGCTGCCCCGCCTCGTCTCGGTGGACCGAGGTCTACTGAAATGGGGTGTGGCTACGATGGGTGTGATGAGGCAGGACGTGTTGGGGTATCGAGTGATGATGTGGCTCGTGTTGACGGGTGACTTGCGTGGCCGCTCGCGGGGTCGAAGCCGGGAAAGGTTTGGTCGCGCTGTCGTGCTTGCTTGCTCCTACCGGCCAATCAGTTGTTCCTCCCAGTTGGAGCACGCGCTGTGGTCCTTGCGCCGTCGCCCGCCGCTCGCCGCTCGCCGCTCCTCGACATCGACATGCACCACTGTGTTGCTTGCGTGATCGGCCTGTCGTGTCGGCCTTTCGCAGTGACCATCTACGTGGGGACCTTGCGGCGTGGCCTTCTATGCGGTCGCTCACCGGGTCCAAGGTCCCGCGTGAGACCGTTGAAGACCCGAAGCTCGGCCTTGCGCTGCTGTCGTCAGCCGGCGCGCGCCCCGCCGATCGCCCGGGTGATTTTAAAGTGGCGCTCCCCCTCCTCTCCCAGCCCCGACCGCGGGTCATCATCAGTCGTTCGGAGCTCGTTCGCCTATTGGTCAGGGCAAATCTGCTTCGTGCTTTTCCCCCCACTCGCTTTCCCCGCAACTGGCGGGCTTTGCTGGCACAGAACCTCGCTTCGATGCCCGATCCGCTGAGAACAGTTCGGCGGTCGGCTTTCGGGCTCTCAGGAGAGACCTGGCTGGCGAATCGGCGAGCGACGATCGGCCAGGGCCCGCGCACGGCGGCGGGGCTGCGCTTGGCGCTTGGCGCGGCTCAGGAAACGAATGCGCGTCGCTGTTGCTTGTCCTGTCTGGACACACCACTCCACATCACTACCGCGCATGCTACGGACACATTCACTGACACAGACGATACATCCATCCTCGACATCCGTCCAGATACATCAGATCCATACTCCTTCACGACAGCACCCCATCGCTTGCTGGGGTGATCGCCGACTGAGTTCTTGGCATTTCCGTCGCATCTTATAACCGGCCCCCTTCGACATGGCGCCCCACAAGAACGGTGTCGATGAGAACATCTGCCGCTGGGACGACTGTGGAGCCGAATTCTCTGACCCGGACGCGTTGTATGACCACATCACGTCGCTGCACATCGGCCGCAAGTCCGCCGGCACGCTCTCGCTCGAATGCAAGTGGACCGGATGCAACTCCAAGGCCTCCAAGCGTGACCACCTTACTTCCCACGCACGAGTACACATCAATTTGAAGCCCCATGTCTGCGAGGTGAGTCATCGCAAATAATCATCTGATCGAGCGGCCTCGCCTCTTCGCCGCCGAAGCTGACCTTGCCCACACCGCTCACAGATCTGCTCTAAAGCCTTCAAGCGACCCCAGGATCTGAAGAAGCACGAAAAGATTCACACCGAGGAGCATCACGTCAATCACAAGCATTCCAAGGCCGTCACCGTTCCGAGTGGTGCCCCCCGTGAGCCGTCGACCGAGATCGACCCTATCACGCAGAACAAGGGCCACGACTCGCACCCCTTCCAGCCAAACCAACACCACGCCGTCCCTGTCCAGCAGATGCAACAGCAGATGGGCATGCCCAACGCCTACGGTTTCGTTAGCTACCCCTTCGGCTTCCCCGTCTTTGGTCAAGCCGCCGCCGGTCAATCCGTCGATCTTTCGGCCTTCATCGCCCACCAGCAGCAACTTAACGCGCAGGCCGCGGCGGGGATGCACATGGGTCCCATGGGTTACCCCACACTGCCGGCTTACGGCGCCCCTCACCATGCCGAACCGTTCCCTCAGGTCGGTCAACACCCGCACCAGGCGCAGCAGGCCCACGCCGCCGCTCAAGCTCATGCGATGCAACAAATGTTCGCGGCCCAGAACGCGGCCATGTTCCCTTACGGTCAAGCCGCTCTCCCCTACATGCAACCCGATGCGATGCCCATTCATCTCGCTCCTTCGGCAACCAACGCCGACGTTCGACGAGCCTCGGCGCCGGCGGTCGTTGCGGCCCCTAATAACGCGCCAAAGCCGTCCTCGCTCTACCCTTCCCTCCCGCAAGCTCTCAATGGTTTGGGGCGCCCCAGCGCGCCGGCTTACACCTCCGTCCCGGTCAAGACTGAGGATCAACCCTCGCCTGCCAACTCAGCCCACTCATCCCAGGGCAGCTACTACCCGAACTCTTTTCACTCGTCGAGCGTCTCACCTCGCGTCCCTGCCCTCTCCCCACCGTCCTACTCTTCGCCCGAGAACTTGGCGTCGCCCTTCTCGGAGCAGGACAGCGACTCGGGCTCGGCGAGGCACTCAAACGCCGGCCGAGGCAAGAAGCGAGGTTTTGAAGAGGCTGCGGGTCAGTTCCTTGGCGACCTCAAGAACAAGCGTTTCCAGGACAAAGACGCCGTAGGGGTCCACCTTGACGCCTTGTCGCAGTTCCTTCTCTCGCCGGAATCGGTCGCCCCTTCGCTCACCCCTGCTCGTTCCAAGGACGGTCACTCATCGTCATCGTCGATCTGTTCGGACTACTCGACCCAGGCCGAGATCAACCAGATCAACGAGCTCTTGCTTTCGCTCGGTCAGACGATCGAGACCAAAGATTTAAACGAGTTCTTGCCCGCACCGCAACAACAGCACGTCCAGCCGAACGCGATCCCGCAGCCACCATACACGACGTCGATGTATCCTTCTTTGGCTCAGATGGACCGACAGTACGCGCGTGCTCCCACCGGCTCGACGATGTACGGTCATCATATCACTGATCCGATGCGACCGGGCAAGTCCATCGCCGCGCCGACGCTCGTGAACGACTTGCGCGCTCCGCAGTACACCACCGTCGATCGCCTTCACCGTGCTGCTCCTATGTCGTACCGCGATCAGCAGCAGAGCTTCGACGACCATGAGGAGGACTCGGTCGCCGCTCGCAAAAGCTATTCGTCTTCGATCCGCACGACGTCGTTCGACGAGATGGAAGAGGAGCCGAACACGTTGGCGCCGATTTGTGCCAGCTCGTCGCCGAGCTCGGGTTTAAATTCGTTCTCCGGCCGTGCATCCCTCACTCTTCCTTCCATCGCTTCCATCGTCCCGCCGCCCCCAACCGAGTCGACCGCACCGGTCACACTCCCTTCGATTCGTGCGCTGCTCGATGCCGTCGAGACGACCGCCCGCAACGATGCTTCTACGAGCTCGCCCTCTCCCTCACCCTCTGCGTCTTCATCCTCGTCCTCCTCTTCGTCTCCTGCTTCTCCTCCTCTTCGCTCGGCCTTGTACCCCAAGGCACCTGTCCGATCCTTCTCGACCGATTCGAAAGCCTCGACCTCGACGGTCCGACCCGGCTCTTCAAGTGGCGTTGTTGATCGACTAACGCACCGCGTACATAAGCTCGACGTCCATCCCGCCCCGATTCAAGACGACGAAGACGAGGATGCCTCCCCCCTCGAGGTCTCTTCGGACGAAGACGAAGACTCCGACCACCCCTCCAACAGCAAACGTATCCGCTTCGAGTCCCCCGAACCGATGGAGCAAGAAGATGATGACACGAGCGAGGACCCGCGTCAGCAAGCCGATGCATGGGCACAGGCGAATCTGATCAAGCAACGACGGATGTTCGTGCTCAGGACGTTGATCGCTCACCTCAACGCTTCGTACCGCGCTAAGCTTGCGGCAGAGGCTTTGCAAACACCCTCCGCGTCAGCGACTGCGACCGCGGCATAGCGTGCCTGTTATTCATCCCCCTCTCCCCGACTTGAAAGGGTTTTGCATGTATCCGCACGTGTTTACGTGGTGTGTGTGTGTGTGTGTGTGTGTGTGTGTGTGTGTGTCTATTGTTATAAAAAGAAGTATTTCTTTTCTTCGGTTGTCTGGACCGGCCGCTTTTCGTGTTTCTTCCTTTGTCTTCCTTCACCTACGAGCGTTGCGAACCTTTAATGTTTTTACCCTGCAGCTTTTGACGTGTTACTCGACCAATACCATGAGTCATTCGCTGTGAGCGGCCAGACCGAAATGTTCATTCTGCCGGTTCCCCTAGCAGTAAGCCTCACCGAGCGCTGGCGTTTCACTTCGGTTCCAATATCGTGTCCAACAACAAACGGACAAGCAAGCAAACCCCTCAAAAAAAGTAAGACCTCCAAGAAAAAAGCGACAAGACAAAGACAAAAACAAAAAGGAGAAGAAGAAAAAACCTATGACCAAACCCCTCTCGAAACACTCGCGCTGCAAAGGTCTTCGCCGTGAGCATGGCGATAATCTCATCTTTTTATTTGATTTGATGGACCTCAATAGCAGTACCGTATAGTTAGATCAATACCCGTGTAGGGCGTAACAGAGCTTTCAATTGGCTAAAAGCTCGCCCGATTAGAAATCCATTAGCTGGAGCCATCACTTTTTTACAAAGTTTCGAGCTACCTCGCCAGCAAACTCGACCCACCAAGGCTCGCCGACAGCTTGGTAGATCAAATTCAAGTGAACAGAGGAGTGTTTTGTTGAAAGGGTACCATAGGCTTCTGGCAAAGATTCGGACGTTGTTGGGGAGGAATAGGCCATCGTAATAGACCAGGACATCGACAGTGTAAACTATACGAGGAGCCGCCGGTTCCGAAGTGCCATCTGTGGCCGTCGACAAGGCGAAAAAAGATGTTGACTGTCAAGGTGTCGATCTCTTAGAGAACGAGTGCTCTAAGAGGCTGGTCGAGGCTGTGCTTAAGGAAGGCTCGCGGACCAAGTACCTTTCGACATCAGACTAGAAAAATGACCAACGAGATACTTCTTCGCCCGGAGACCAGCAATCAAATTCCTTTTGGCCTAAACCAGGGGAAGGGACCTGAGGACGACACTTCACTGGTGTGCAGGCAACGGGTTCGTGCAAACAAATCTTGACAACGAACGAGCAAAGTCCACATGAGATTCCTAGTCAATCGTATTATCATCTCCAATTGGAGGGGATTACTGGGTTTGGCGTTTTCCGATCCTCTTTATGCGATAAAAAGGACGCCTCCGAATCTTGAAGCTCCTACGCCAGCGCAATTTCGGCTGCGGATTTTCAGAACGATCTTGGAGAACGCCACAAGACAATCCGTCGCGCCACCAGCTCCGGTTGCTCAACGACTGAAGAAAGAAAAAATCGTGATGACAAAAGCGTGATAGGAATGTATAGCCTTGCTGGAACTTCTTTCACTGGTATCCATCCCGTGCGAGCTCGCGCGTTGCGCGGCGTCTTCTCTCTCTCTCTTTCTTCCTCCCTCGGCGATTCATGATGTTGCCTCGCAACCTCGCACCCGGCCGACGATCCACTACCAGGTCAAATTCAGGTGACATTCAACCGGGCCGAACTCAGGCCTACGAGGACTATACCACCTTATCGTGCCGGAAAGTCAATTTTGTCACGCCTTGATTTCGCTTCGTACCGCCGATTGTCTCCAACCGTCTCTGCGCCGCTCCGAGCCGTCTACAACCCCGTACGGGTCTCCACACAGAAATCAAATATCGTTATTGCCCAGATGAAACGGCTCTTGATGATGACTCGCGCAAGTGTGGATTAATCAGGTTGTCTACATGCTCGTAGTATCACCCCAAAAATCTGCCTCTGCTCGAGGATTCAGTTTGACTTGATACCCATGCTGTGTCAGAGTGCACTTTCTATCGAGTCTAAGCTCTTTTGGTTCTTCTTTCACTACGAAAAAACCGATGTAGGAGTGCTACTGTCCAACACCTGTGGGGTGGCCCAGTGTTCCATGGACCCAGTTTGTTGGAGCGTATGGCAGGTAACGGGTTTTCCTGTGCTTCCACGACCGGTTTTGAACAAACATCCAGAAAAGGGCTATATGTCCGGCGTTCCTAGCCGAGATGAGAGCTAGAGCAGTGCACTCGGACGGATAACGACGGCAGCCGCCAGCACTGGACGACAAACAGCGGACGTCTCGGACACCGAAGTCGGACGGACGTTGGCCCTCCAGTTGAGGCGCAGAATGTAACCGTTGGACACAGTGGAACGGGGACACCTTCCATACGAAGAGAACGAACTAGTCCTTACTAATTAAGTGCGAGTATTAATGCCGGCAATTGTACCGTCTATTACCGCCAACGCCCGACTGCTGAAACTACGTTATGGCTTGAGTTCAGCCGAGTGAGCGGCTTTTTTTTAGCACCGAGGCGTCCGCCAGCTACCGAACTTGCAACAGGACGTTCAAGGCAAGACGACCCATAAATTTGTATAGCAACTCGTGCTCTTCTCACGAGTGTGTGTCTTTCTCTTCTTCCACCCCTCATCGACCCGATACTCACTCTCAAACGCCATGATCCGGTCTCCCGCCTACATACTGGGCATCGTTACCCTTCTCGCCTCTGTCGTGCTAGCTGTTCAACCTTCTGAATGCGCTATAAGGTGCTCTCAATCATCCGAGAGCAACGCTACTGTAAGTACCTCCCGGTTTTGGAGTCGACCCTTTGCCTCTGTAATCCACAGAAGTTCTCATCAACTCGAGCGCTGATTAGCTCTAACTTGGTCTTCACCAATGCGATTTCGCCACCATTGTACAGTGTGCCTCGTTCACGGATTTATCTTGCGTATGCTCAAACAACGTGTACGCGGACGCCGTCTCAGCGTGCGTTCAGCAAGGTACGTGCACGCCTCGCTCAAGAGTTCGGCCACTGTAGCGAACGCTGATGCTGCGAGAATTTTCGCATCCACTATCACACAGCATGTCCCGATCAATCCGAGGATATCGCCAAGTTTGGATGTGATACTTGCAAGAACTCACTCGATCGTGAGTTGCGATGCGTCCTCTTTGCCCGTACCGGCGGTTGTACTACGTCGAATAGCGGCTCATAGACTGACGGCCCACACGTTTTTTTGTCGCAGATTGCAAGGCGCGCGCCAATCAGACCGTCACACCTCCAGCAACTGAGCCGACGCCTACTGAATCCCAAACCAGTACCCCGGATATGCAAGCTGCAGCTAAACTTGACGACCCCGCCGCCGCCAAACCCGCCGCCGCCGAAACCGCCGCCGCCGAACCCGCCGTCGCAAAACCCGCCGTCGCCGAACCCGCTGCCGCCAAACCCCCGGCCGCCGAACCCCTAGCCGCCGAAACCCCAGCCGCCGAACCCCCCGCCGCCGGCCTTCCACTCGTCAAGCACCTGACCAAAACCACATACCGTCGCCCCAAGCCCATAACCAAATCACCCAAGCCCTGTCCTTGTCATGGAAAGAAGGGTCCGAAACATGCAGTGATCATCCCTGGGTGTGCGGAAACGACCAAGTTTACCAAGAACCATCATCGTTATCGCGGACGAAAGCACAGGCGCCCTCGACCCCAGGCATGCACTTGCTAGGCCCAGTGGCGATTTTCGTAGTCGCCAGAGTCTGACTGGCTCGCCTGCTTTCTGGCGTAGTAGTGTATACCTAATACTTCTGTGACAGGGTATTCCATGCCTTCAGTCCACTATGGAACACAAAGACCGTTTGCTAACTGCAGAACACCAAGACCCCTAAGTAAACCCGCCATCGCATCCCTCGCCCTCTACTCCACGAAAACCCTAAAAGCCTTTGTCCCCGTCCACCTCGCCGCCAAAGCATGCCCCTTCCCCGTTGGCTGACTGAAAGCAACATCAAGCCTCCTCCGTTCTTGCGAGATGGGCGCACCGTAGATGCATCGGGCTGCGATGAGGTCGAGCATCTTGGTACCGAGGCCTTTGCGGCGATAGGTCGAGCAAGTCCAGATGCGGTGAATGCCTAGTAATGTAGGGACGGGATTGGGGCTATGTGGAAATGAAAGGGGGGTCAGTGATAGCTCTGCCACAGCTGCTGAATTAATCAGGATAATGCTTACTCGCAAAAGACGGCACCGCCCTGATCATCCCCCGCGGAGAACTCGATCGTCCTCCTCCCATCCTTAACCGGTGCTCGACCCTGATCCTCGCCCTCCGGAACCACAATCTGATGCGCCTTCTTGATCCTCTGCACCAAACACGCCGCAACGACCTTGTTCTTGTGCTTCGAGTTCCCCTCCGCAGTAGTCACAAATACGAGCTTACAATCCTGGCGCAACTGCTTGGGCGTCAAAGCAGTTGCGCCTAGCTCAGCATCGATCGTAGCGAGGATTTCTCTGATCTTCTTCCCCGCCGGTTTGGTCGACTTGACGGATGCGGGATCGATCATCGCACATGTGAACTCGGTATCGTGGTCCAAGATGATCATGATACCATTGAGGAGAAGAGGAACATGGCAAGACGCCGCGACCCAGTCGACGCCTCCGACGACCTTCTTGTGGTGCTTCTCGTGCAAGGCCATGTCGTCGGGGGTACGGGCGTAGGACAATCCACACTCAGCGCAGGAGAGGGTCGAGTGACCGGCGGTAGTGAATGGATCGAGATACAACTGCTCCAACTCGGTCTTGGGTTTGTTCGATGACGACGACGAGGCATTCGACGAGAGAGCCTTCAAGCTCGAAGGAGCAGCCTCAGGGCTCAAACTCGATGATGGTAACGAAGCTAACGTAGACGTTGATTGTTCAATCTCCTTCGAAGTCTCATTCGATGCCTCGGTCGGACGGATGATACCGAACAGCGACCCGTGGGCTCGCTTTGTCGCAGACTTGGACGGGCCAGCTTTTGTAGAGAGCAAAGTCGGCGTCGGTTCCGACAACTTTACTCGTTTCGGCGAAAGCTTGACGAAGAACGAACGCAGGTCCCCTGACGGTTTCGATCTGGGTGCTGGCACACTCTTCATCGTTGAGGTCAGAGCCTGGACGGGCGAAGCATTCTCCTTGAACAAACGGTGGGCGACGTCGTTCGCTCGAGGGGACCTCCTCGTTTGGGCCTTGTCTAACGGTTTGACGGGCGAGGATGAAGATGGAGGTGTCGAAACAACCGATGGTCCATCATCCTCGTTATCAGATGTCATCAGTCCTGATCGAGCGCGCTTGACCGAATGATTGAACACGGCCGAGGACGAAGAAGGTGACGAGGACGAGGCGACGCCCGAGGATCTGCGTAAGCCGAGGGGCGGTCAGTGGGAGTTCGAGTACACGATACTATGACGTGCAGCGGACTCACGAGGGCATGTCGGGTCTCGAGGACTTGTTGGAAGAACCATACTGGCGTTTGATGATGGGCCGTGTGCTGAATGATGTGGTGCATGGACCTGGTCGTCAGCATCACGTCACGTCACGTTGCGACGCGCCTCGTGCCGACAAACAATCACGTGCGGGAGACGCGTCGCGTCTTCGCCCCACGCAAGTGTGCTACTTACCGGTTTGACATGGCGAATCAGGCAAGAGAAAGAAGAAAGACGAGAGCAAACGTGACAGCAAGCGGTCCAAGGGAAATGAAGCTCCAAGCCGTTGAGCGCGTGCAGTGAGAGGTAAGGAGGTGAGGGCGCGGTGACAATGTCAGCCCGAAGGTCACGTCGTGAACGCGTGTTGCACGTCACGTGATCATAATTGCCTCGGTTTGGTCAGATCCTTCAAGTTCGGGAAGACGGCGCGTCGAATTGGGGGCACATTTAGCTGCAAATGGAGTTGGGCCACCAATATTAGCTCTTGATGAGCAGTGTACAACACCTACAGGGTGCATGAGCTTGCAAGCCGGACATGATACGGCGGTGCGCTATGATTAGCTAACTCCTGTGGGGCTCCATGCGCGCAAGAAGGCAACCTCCTGAGCACAGGGGTGCCGAACCGGCACTGCGCCTCACTCACGGTCCAATCGAACTCGCGCGCAGGGTGTGGCCTATCTTATCAGCTTTCATAACCACAACCTATGCCAAGTCGAAGCACCAAACCTTAGTCGAATGCGACCTCTCGCGACCCAGGCTCTCGAAGAGTAAGCGAGAGTCCTAACTCAAATGAGAACGCTTCAAAAGTGCTGACACTCGTGTGCGAGCTTGGGTGGCGAAAACGCTGTCGATCGACTTTAAATCTTGAGATCCTCCTCGCCAATCCCTGAGGTCGTATTTTGAACCTCGACCAACTGGTCCAAAGCTTGAATCCGACGACGTTTCACTCATTGGCCTGGCTCGATTACCGAGAGACTCGGATGCAGAGGTCGTTCGACGAGGTCGAGGTGTGCAAGATTTTGCCCAAAGGTGAAGGTTTTGCAGATCACGTATCGCCTCGTTTTGCGAGGTTTGGTCGAGTAGGGGCGTCTGTCTATATCGGGGAAAGGTGCTATCTCTACTCTGTCATTAAGACAGGATCCACCATTTCTTCCGCCGCCTCTCCGCCCTCGTCCGAGGTCACGACAGGAGCTTCTGACACGTCCACCTCATCACGACTGAGCACGAAAGAAGCGACTCGGTCTCTCGCCGATCTGGCTGTGATCGCCGATTACGCTGGAGTCGATTGGTAGGATGGGACGGAGGAGCAGAGGACCATTAACGGGGAGATCATTAAGAAGATGATGCAGGTCGCTCAGGCGAAAACATAGATATTTCGGCAGTGATGAATATATTATCAGATGAGCAGGCTGGGCATGGCTTGTAAGTTGGTTGGTAATGATGGTAGTGCAATCTCTAGATATGTATATGATCCAAATAAACGACACAGAATGCGATGCTGAAAGATGATGCGACGGTACTACTGCTTCCGAAACCCCTGAACTGTTACACAGATCCTCCTCGCGTCCAGCACGACTCGGATGTTACAAGCCCATCAAGTTCCGCCAGAACATCTAATCATTGTCCCATATACTGCCCTCCATACCCATGGACCGCCGTTGGGTCATGACCTGCGCCATTCTGATAGATATGCGAGAAACCCTGGTCGTGCCCTTCCTGTATCCCCGCTCCCAAAGGCTGAGAATATGTCACCTCGAGTTGGGCATATTCTTCGTGTGTATTCGGGTAGTCCGAGTGTTGTTGATGCTGGTCGTGATAAACAGGATGGCCCGGCGAAACCCATTGTCTGCCACCATCTTCAACGGGATACGCGGGTGCCGACGATGAGCACCGCTGATCCCGCACCTGATGAGCCGAGTGATCGCCATGATACGTTTGCTGCGAACCATCCGCAAGCACGAAATGAGACTGATCATAACCTTGATACCTCGACGGATAAGCGGCCTGCGCAACATACTCCGTTTCCGCCTTGCCCGACGAGTTCGGTCTCAGATCGACCACTGTTTGTGCGGGCTGAGCCGGATAATGAGGTGCATACTGCTGCACGGGCATGCTCGCCTCGATCGACATCTGATGCGTCGGATAATACGCCGACATCGAACCAATAACTCGATCCTGATACGCCGTCGCCAAAGTCGACCTTGACGCCTCATTCGATCCCTGAAGCTTCGGGGACCCACCCGAATGATTCGAGCGACTTGAATCGGGTGAATGGGGAGGTCCCCCTGGAGGCCATATCGACGAAGCAGTGGTCTTCCACGACGTTGTCGAATGATTCCTAGTACGTTCGTTCGCTTCACTTGCTTCCGAATGACCCGACGACGATCCCGATCGATTGGATCCCGATTGAGGTGAAGAAACGACGAGGTTCTGGTTCTCGTGGCCGAGATGAGCGGCCCTCCAAGAGACCTCAGGGGCTACCTCTTCGAATCGTCCTGTGTAGAGCGGTTCGAGCGTGGGTGGTAGGTGGCGTGGTGGTGGGGAGGGCATCTTCCGTGGTACCAAAGAGCGCAAGAGCGCGTCTCGTTCTTCGGCCGTGGGGGGTGTCAAAGGTGTGTACTCGGATGCGGGTATGGCGTCCTTCTTGTTCGATAATCGTCGGGCTTTCAACTTGTCTTCCATGAGTTCTGTGAATATCAAACTCCGGTCAACCTCAAGCTCCTCATAAGCCCTCACCCTGTCCACAGAATCCGCCTCCGATCGATCGCTCCCATTCTCCCTCAAAGACCCGAAAAGAAAACGTACTCAACCTCTTGTCCAGCTCCTTGATCCTTTTCTGCCTTTTGGCCTTCCTCTGCGCAGCATGTTGATCAAAGAGTTGATCCGCAAGCGAGGTCGGATCTTCCTGCGCTGTCCCGTTCGGTTCGGGGTTGGGGTCGAGGTAGATACAGGGAGGGTTGTGGTCGACGGGGAGGCCTCGGGATTGGGAGATGAGGACGCAGGCGCCGCAGCGGGGATGGGCTGGGGGTGGAGGGCACGTATATTGGTCAGTTTCTAAGCTTGACATATGTTAATGATCCCGGCAAGACCCGGTTGCGGGGCTCGAGATCTCCTGCCCCGTGGAGACCGAACGTCAAAAAATCCGACCCGACATTCGGCCCAAGCGCATGATGACGGTGAAGCAGCGAACGAAGGCTGGAGGAAACGACGAACCTGCATCGCATTGTGACTGCGGGTGACAGCACATCAGCTGCTGATCCCACCTCAAGAAAGCTGTTTGATCTACCTACCTTCCTGGCTATACAAGCTTGACACGGTGTGCCTGCACAAGTGTCGAACGCGCTCAGCCTGGCCTCAGTATGTCACTCATTTCACCTCTAGTTCAGGCACCACCCGGGGACAGACGACCGGACTGTCACTGAACTGACCTTGTCCATTCGCCACGAGCCACTTGGTCGACGTAATCTGTTTCGGCAGGACGATCACCATACCTACCTACCGAAGCGTGTGTGAACACCTTCCCAATCTCGCTCGAGGTCGCGACTTGAGTCACAGAGAAGGTGGCCGGTCACCCGGTCACTGCTGAAGCGCTGATACAGTCGCGCTACCTCGCGCTACTGTCGCTTGGTCGCGCTTTATAGCTTCGTTCCAGTCCTGTCGAGCCTATCAACGCCTGCCTACGCCGATCAAAATCGATAAGCAGAGTAGTGTGGCACTTGCGCTCTTGTTCTAGTGTGCCCCAGCGATCGATCTCGTGCGCATCCCAAGAGAAACAAACACTTTACTTTATCACAGAGTCTAGGTGTGCAACAAACCTGCCACATTGCTGCAAAATGTTTCTTAAACATGCCCTACTTGTCCCCGTCCACATCAAACTCCTGCCCAAAACTCTTGGGCCGATGAGTTCTCCCACTCCTCGACTTGGTCGTCACAGCCGGTACGACGACCGGAGCCGGGATCGTCTTTGTTTCACTTTTCATCGTCGTAGCCGATACGACCTCCTTCAGCGACGACGACACCCTCGGTACCGCCTGGGTAAGAAGCTCAACATGCCCAGGTGTGGCACTCGAGCCTCTCCCCGGGGTCGAAGACGAAACCGATGACTCTCTCCTCTTCGCCGTCGCAGCCGAAGATCTCCTTCTCGAAGCAGCCGAGGTCGAAGGTCGTTTGCGTTTCTTGTTGGCTTGTGCGGATGTTCCAGAGGTCGAAGAGCCTGGTGTTCCTTCTGTTGGTGTACCGCTGGCGAGTTTGTTTGAACGTGGAGGAAGGCCATATGGTGCGGCTGAGATGAAGAGGGAGAAATCGCGAGGTTCGGGGGGTGGGGGTGGAGTCGGAGGTCGTGGCTTGACAATATGCGTAGGGGTTGGCATCAACGTGATCTGAGTGTGGTAAGAGTTGTGTCAGCCTTCGTAGGATGCCGCCCATGAAGATTTAGGATCCGGCTGACCATCCGATTCCACCACACCTCGACTTTTTGTCGTTCCTTCCCTTTACTACAACTCAAACTCTCCAATTCTACCTTGACCGCCTTACTCAACGACTGCTCCAACCTGATCGACATGGGTACAGGATAATTCCTATTCAAAGGCTTGATCTCGCCCGTAAGTGGATCCTTCGTAGTCGCAGTATCGACGAGCCGTTTAAAGTCGTCGGGGACGAGGATGAAGCTCAGAATTGCCTTGCCAGCCGGGAGAGGCTCGAATATGAAATGTAGTGGTACGAGATAGGTATCCGTCGGTACTTCACCGAACTGCAAAGCCAAAGCTGGCCGCCGAGTCGAGGTCGAGGAAGCATTCAAATTTGCGCCGTTGGTCGAGGCCGGAGTCGCAGCGGTGGAAAGCGACGATGCGACATTCTGAGCAATCAAAGCTTCAATCGAAGTCGCTGCCAGGTCCGGAGTCACAGTCGCCAGTGGTGTGGTTGTGATGGTCGTCGTCGTCGCCTCCGAGTCTTGAACTGGTTCCGTCGACGCAGCTTGCGGAGCGGTCCAAGCGACCCTCGACAAACGAGTACTCTCGAACATATGCGGACCAATCGATACAGTCAAAGTGATGATGTGTTGCAGCTCGTAAGGTGGCAGATTGGTCGATGACACAAATTTGGCTCGAGCGGGTCGCGTCGAAGCGAAGAGAGGCAGGGCATCGTACAACAGCCGTCGACGGGATTGTTGTAAGGCCTCGACGATGGTCAAGTCGGATTCGAAGGGCATTACGATCGGAAGTGTTTGATGTTTTGCGAGCTGTTGGTCCGGTTGGCGGCCCGTTTGAGCAGAGCCAGTAGAGAGTTTCAACGGTCGGCGACACCGGTGGAGAACGTGTGAATTGGGTCGTGAGCGCGATGCGAGGGCCCGCAAATAACGCAGAGACGTGCCGTCGACTCGTGTCGTACGCCAAGCTGAGATCGGGTATCAAAGTGTGGGCACCGGGCGGGGCAGAGGGAGGCGGCTCCGTAGCTCCGTGCGACTGAGCTCGAGTGGGTTCGCGCCCCCCACTTTCTCCCACTTTGGCTCCTTCGATCACTCCCCCGCCCTTCAACCCCCTGTCTCGATCTCGTTTCCTGGCCTCAACCCCGCCTTTGCGCTCTTCTTGACGCCAGGGAGGTGGCCCACTCCATTCGGGATGGTCTGGCTCTGGTCATCGAACCATGAAGGTCGACTCGCGGTGGTCGATTGTCACTTTTGTGCGACCAAGCTCGACCTCGTCAATGCCAACTATGGTGATGCTCGTGGCAACGGCAAGGGCAAAGCAGTGGCCTATGATCGACCTGTAGCTGTGGGAACGCGAAGGGACTGGATTTGTGGCTATTGCGCGTGTCGGAATCATTTCGATCAGGTCGGTTTCGGCGAGGACCGTCAGTCAGCTCGGCTCACCCCACTGACTTGATGACCCCAAACACTAGAACGGCGTCATCATCTCGGACGAACCAGCTCATCATGATGCTCAACTCAACCTCGAATCCTTCTCCCGTAGAGGTGAGTTCTCGCGCCCCGGACCCGATTTAGTTGTCGAGACCCCTTTCGCTCATGCCTCCCCCATTTGTACACCGCAGCGACGCCCACCAAATCCCGCATCACCTCGTCCACACCCGAGAAACAGTCCCCATTCTGTCGAAGCTGTCTCTCGAACCAATCGTTGCAGATCCATCTCCTCGCCTCGTACGACCTTGACTCGGATCATCCAGTGGCTTCTACGTCCTCGACACCGACTTCGGTGTCGAACTATCGTCAATCCTTGGATCGACGATACCCCATCGTTTGTTCGACGTGTCTTCCCTCCGTCGAATCCATCATCAAGCAGCGCGACTATCGGACGAAAACTTCCCTCTTTGGAAGTCGACTTCGAGAATCTCAACGGGCTGCCTTCAAGACGGCTAACAAACCGACCAAAGGATTGTCGTTCTCTACAATACTCCTGTGGAGGTTACGAGGAGTGCTTTGGTACTCGACATGGATCACTTCGATGCTCGCAAACGCCTGGGCACTATGGGATTCAACAGTGTCGAACAAGCCATGTCCCCTCCCCGTCGTTCTCCTCCTCGCTTCCAGTCTCCTCTGGATCAACTGGGATCGAACATGGCTTCAATTGCATCGTTCTAAGGTACTCAAACGACGTCGAATACGAATTCAAGGTCGAAAGCTATACATCTCCCTCCAAATGCTCGCCTACACACATCGCCTTGCATTCGCCCTTTGGCGTCACCTGAAGCCCTCGTCGATCGTTCCTCCACTGTATGCCATCAGTCTGGCCCTCCAAGTGGTCTTCTTCATTCTCTCCTTCTACGCGATCCGCCTCGTCCCACGCGCCCAAGTCCGTATAGGCCCTTCGAGGCCCGTCATCCTCCCCACTTCCCCAGCAGCGACTCTCACTCCAGATCCTCTCGAACCGATCGAAAGTCTCTCCATTTCTTCGGACGTACCTGCACTCTTCCCCATTCACCCCAACTCTACCGACTCTCCGCCGAACGCCAAGCCAGGTTCAAAACTCTCCCTCCTCTCCACCACGCTCCTACGCCACCGTCTCCAACCCGAACCCAAGTTCGGTCAACCCTGGATCCAAGCCTCCCCCGCCTCTCTCTACCAACACCCAAACGACCAAGATGGTGATATCGAGATGTCGGATGCTGAACCCGATCCTGAAACCGTAACTGATGCTGATGCTGCGCGGCGGAATGGGAAACGGGGTGGAGTGATCGAGTTCGGGAAATCGAAAGTGCGTTGGGGTTGGAACGAGCCTAGTTCGGGATTGGATGAGGTGTTCGAAGAAAGGATGAGGGTCGATGATGAAACGTCTCTGGTGGGGGGAGAGAAGGAGCAAGGGGATGCTAAGAGAGGATGGAGGTGGTTGAGGTGGTTCGGGGGGTGATGTGTTGAAGCTATGAAGGTGTAATCCGTAATCTCTAGTCCGAATCACATCATGCAGTTACTCAGAAAGAATGTGGCTTAGGAGATAGACTCGCTGTTCTTGACGGACTATGTTGGGCCGCCGATGGTGGATGTGTCAATGTACTGTTTGGTCTGCCGCACCTCCCAGCGGTATTTGGAAGGCACGCACGTACAACCATTTCTGCATTTTCGGCACCCTTTAAACCGGCCCACCGGTAGGTCAAGACTTTTCTTGACTTTCCTCCGTACTACAGGCTAACTGAGTCAAAGATTGCCCTTTGTGAGTCTCCTCGCATCTGAGATTTGAGCTCTAGACATTATCGTTGGTCGGTATTTAGTTTAAGGGGTCCCCGCCATGTCATGTTACAGTGGAAAGTCATTAAATTGCACTCCTATAACCAGGCATACTTCCTCAAACAGAGCAGCTCGCACTAGCTCTCCGCCCTCACGCTCATCCCCGGAATCCCCTGCGCTCTCTGAGCCTTCACAAAAGCCAACAACTGCTGCCTCATCGCCGGATCCTGACTCGACACACTGACGCCATACCTCTCCAACTCCTCATCCTCCCTCAGAGCCTCATCGCCATACATCTCCTCATCCCCTCCCCCTTCACTAGGATCATCCCTGAACGCTTCTTCGTCCTGCTCGTGTTCAGAATAATCATCGCTCGGTCTTGGCGTCTCGGCTGAAAGACTGGTCATCGTTCCCGATTGAGTCAAGGGTACTCGACCAGGTCCTTCCAATTGGGATAACCTCGAGACCATCAACCCATTGAGGAACGTTAATTCCGCAACCTTGGTCTTCAACCTCCGGATTTGCGCCTCGGCAGAAAGGCTCGATCCTGCACTCCTCGACATGGACGACGACGCCGACCCTTGTCTAGCAGTCTTAGGTCTCGAGACCGAAGAACTTGCCGATCGTCCCGCGGTCCCTCCTCCGTATTGTCCTCTCGAACGACCCCTTCCTTCCCTTGACGTCCCACGACCCGACGACCGACTCCTCGAACTATCGTCATTCTGATTCGACGAAAGTGGCGAAGCGGACCCGTCATACACCCCTCCGTGCGGTCTTCGATGTCGATCGACTCGCAGATCCCCCAACGAAGCTTCGACATTCATCATGGACCTTCGCCCGTCCCCGTTCGAGAACGCATCGTCGTCGTCGGCCGTATCACCTTCCAACTCATCAATCTCGGAGAGGTCCTCGGCTCCTTCGCGCCCTTTGCCTTTAAAAGAAGAGAAAGCGTTGTTGGTAGCGCCATCCCGTTTTTCAGGTCGACCTCGGCGTTCATCGTGCGGTGAGCCAGGGACATCGACCCGTCCCGCAGCGAGACCCGAACCCGCTTGAGCCCGAGGAGGTGGCGCGGCCAAAGTCCTCATCGCGTGCGTCTCGGGCGAACGAACCCCCTCCTCGGCCGAGCCAGTGGAGACGACGCTTGCGGCAGAAGTACTCGACACGGACGTTGCTCGCCGGTGTCGTGGGTTTTGCGGTGCGAAGACGGAGGGCATCATTGGAGCGGTGCTAGCCGAGATGGCCGTAAAGGAAGGCAGGTGAATTCTCTCCGTCTGTCCATTCTGGTCCGAGGCCATCGTCGCATGATCATCAGAAACTCGAGGGGATCGATTGCCGTTCGAGACCAATGGCGCGAGGGTTAAACGTCCATCGGGTCCGTTTAACTGCGGTCGAGGAACTGGATTTGTAGCTCCGAGGGGGGAATGGCTGTAGCCTTGAGGCAGCTGACCGGGACCAGGATACAAAGCAGAGTTGGGTGCAGAAGGGTGAGGGGGTGATGCCGTTAATCCCGCTGACGCAGACCTAGATGCCGGATTGCCGCCTCCGATCATGCCACTTTCCGAAGTCGGTGCGGTCACGGGAGATCGTGATCGAGAGTTCGATTGAGCATGCGCGATAGCTGGCTGCTGCAACTGAGCCTGCGAGTGAGCGTGTGACGCCTGGGCTTGTGCTTGCACATGAGCCTGAGCGTGAGAGTGAGCACCAAAGAGAGGCGGAGGGTAGTAACCAGGAGGCATCGGGTGCTGGCCAACAAAACCTGGTGGCGGAGGATAGCCATAGGGCGGGTAGTAGCCTTCGGGCGGAGTGGTTGCGTGGAGTCCGGGGTTCGCCGGATGATACCCCGGCGGAGGAGGCAGAGGATACCCGTAGGGCCCGGGTCGAGGTGGTGCTCCTCCAGCCGGCGCTCGTTCCGCACTTGTTGGTCGAGAATCGAGTGACTGCGCTCGTCGACCATCGGTAGAACGCGAGCGGGATCGAGGCGGCGGGTAAGGGTGATGGTGGTGGGAGGGTGCGAGCGGGTGGGGCTGGTAGTAAGGGTACGGATACGGGTAGGCTCCCGGGTACCCTGGCGGTATGGATGGTGGCTGCCCAAAGGCGACGTTGTTCGGGGACAGCCCGGTCTTCCTCGCCTTGCGACCGTTCGAGTCGACCTCGGAGAAGGCGCCATCGTTGAAAGGCTTGTTGCGACCGTCCTCCATCTCGGCATCCTCCTCATCCATCCCGGGCCCACTCTTCCTCCCAACAACACCGGCGTCTCTCGACCTGCTCATGCTCCTCTCCTTTGACTTGGACGTCGTTCGGGAGGAATAACTTGACGTCGAAGCGCCGAGAGCCGAAGGCGAAGCCGTGGCGGAAGATCCGGTCGAGGTCAACGCCGAAGGGTTGCTTCGATCCTTGCTCGTGCTCTTGCCCTTGCTGCGGTTGCGCGACTTGATGACATCCGTTTTGAGGGAGATGGGTCTCGGTCGACCTTTCATCTTGAAGAAGAGGGCGCAGGCGTTACATAGGATGTGCGAGCTGTCGTGCGATCTACGCCAGAGCGGTGTTGTCTGTGCGGAGCAAACCAACCGAGTCAGTTCACCGTGGGCTTGACTGTCGCCTCCTCGATCTCGCCTAGACGGGCAGAGGGACGTCTGCTACGTGATTGACGCATGCTGCAGCATCGACCCCAGTCGACTATCGCGTGACGACCCTGTGATCCGACTGCAATCGGTGCCGAACGACTGGCCGGGCGCAAACTCCGTGCTCGGTGTCTAGACGCCTTCGCTGAATCCAATCTGATATATCGGCGTGTGAACTGACCTGGGTCAAGCAATTCGCACACATGGGCAGATCCTATCGAAGAAACGCACGGGGTTCGGATCAGCTATCGGATCAACGTACATCTTGATCGCCGCTCGGGATGATCAGGGAGATGCTGCGATGAGGAGCGCTCGGTGTTCTGGGTTGGTGAAACCACGAGCCTGACCATAGGCTTGGGGATCGCCCGCGCTTGGACGACGACAGCCGCTCGTGCCGAAGAGGGGCGCTGAAGCTGCCTTACCTTGTTGTAGTTGGCCGGCATTTGTGCATTCGGAGAAGCGACTGCCGTCAAGGTTGGATCCGGGATCGCGACATCGCTCGTCTCGGCGTCCTGGGAGGTGTTGTTGCCCGTACTGGCGCTGGGATTGCTGCCAGCCATAAGCGCGGCGGCGGCTAATACCGCGGAGGACGAAGTTGAAGCGATCGGAGCGCCCGAGTTGGCCACCCGCGAGAGCGTGGCAGCAGCATCCTGTGCAGCCGGATCCGACATGGTCGACAACAGACTACGTCGACGGCGAAAGGGAGGTCGTGCGTCGTCGTCGTTGTCAATTAGCAGATTCGAGGCGGGAAGAGGCGGATGAGCGAGATGAGCCCGGGCCAAGGCAGCCGCGCAAGGTTGACAAGGCCGCGTGCGAATGAGAGGGAGCGCAGAGTGGAGCACGAGGCGCCGCGCAAGGGCACGCAGACAACGGAGGACGGGCCCGGGTGGAGGCGAACAGCAATTCAGTTCAAGCGCTAATCGGATAATCGACAACGAGCTAATCTTCGATTAGAACCCCTCCAATCGCCTCATCGGTCGTAAAGGTCACGGTCGGGGACCACTCAACGAAGCTCCGTGTCGTGTCGAGCCCTAGCTGCGTCGCGGGCAACTTCCTGGCATCACCAGAGCCAAAAGAAAAGAAAAGAGATTTCACGCACTCGTAGACCAAGTCCTGATCGTCCTCCTCGGCGACGGCGCATAGTTTGGGTGACAGCGACTCGGACTTGGCCGTTGTATCGGGTGACCAAGTCGAGGATCGTGTACCATAGGGAGAAGAAGCCGACATTGTCGTGCTGTCCGACGAGGACATGGCTGGGTGAGGTCGGGGCTGGCGACGGCGTGAGCGCGATCCAAGTGGGGCGTCAGGCGGACGACCGCGACACGAGGTGGTGATAAGCTCTTATCAGCTGCAGCGGTGCGAGCGTTCGATCGTGCGGGTTGACGAGGGCGAGGAAAGACAGATGAGCGGTTCCAGAGGCGTAAGTAAGCGATGGTGGTATAGTCAGAGCATCCTTCGATAGTACATGGCGTTGCTCCAAAGATGTTGCTCCTTGTGAATGGGACGCCACGTCGAGATGAGTGACGAAGGTCAGGCTAGCAGCCGCCGGGAACGAGGCTTCAATTGAATCGATGCGGCGGAGGAGCATTATTCATTGTAACGCCTCTGGTACTCGAGCTGGACCTCCCCTCCTCAGCTAAATTTTGTATGATATCAAGCACAAAGCTGGCTGCCTGGCTATCATCGGTCTTTCCGAGCAGATTTGTGAGACTTTTTCGGCAGCACGCTTCTGCCTCCTGTTCCGGGATATGATCAGGTCGCGATCCACACGACTATGCACCGCGACCTTGACACTTCTACTATGTACAATGCGCCCTTTAGAGTATTTTAAAGTTTTTTCGGAGCTATAAGTTCGTTTCAATGGTGCATTTCATGACCTGAGAAGTGTGATCGTTCCGCCGTCGCTGATTTTTAAACCGAATCCAACCAAGACCAGCGTGCCCGTGCCCCTAGAATGTAGAGCCGCACCTTCGATTTCAAGAGCAATATCACCACTATCTATTCCGCCGATGTGCTTGACAAGGCCCGCAAGTCCATTCCTACTCGGCGATCCGTTTTCTGCGACCCTCGGCCGTGTGCGCTGCATCCTCCTCCTCAGTGCCACTAGTAGCCAACACCGACAGCTCTTCCATCGACGGAAACTCCGGAAGCGGACGATCCAACTGCATAGCCCTTAGAGACGACGGGGTAACTTCCTCCTGCTGCTCAATCTGCAAACCCTCAACCATCCGCCCAGCGCGTTGCCTCTCAGACCCAACTGGTTCTGACAAGGACAAGTTGGACGTCGACCTGGCCATTTCCTGTCCAATCTCATCGAGCTGGAGGACCCTTGCGTCCTCGGGCTCATCATCGAATAAGTCTGATCCTTCGGTGTTGATGGTATCTCCAGACGCTTCGCTCTCGTCGGGGTATTTGCCGTAAATGTTCGCCTTCAGAAGGCGCGGTAAGGAGAACCCTTGGGATGCTATTGAATATGAAGACGAGGAGGCTGTGATTGAGCTTCGTGTTAGTTGTTGAGTATTAGAGAGAGCTCGTCGCGTCCGCACTGGCTCGGTCCGATCGAGGCTAGGCGAAGTAGGTAGCGGGATGAATCGCGGGGACGAGGAAAGCCCAACGGTCGAAGACCCACGTCGCATCACGCTCGACGAGGAAGGCGAACCGGCCATGGCTCGCTCGGTTTCTGAAAATGAGTTTCGGCCGGAATACGATTCGATCGGTACAGGTCGGACCACGACCGAGACGAGCTCCCACTGCCGACGCTTGCTTCGACGAGCTTCCCTTGCCCGCTCCCTTCGGAAGATCTCGAGTGTTTGGCCCGAGGAGTGGCTCACATCTCCGGCGGCATGTGAAGGATCAAGACCACCTTGATACAAACTCCCAGACATGGGTTTGGTCGATGGTTCAGATTGCGATGGGGTACCATACCGTAAGGATCGTGGGACGGCGACAACTCGGACCGATCGCGATGCTGACGGCTCGGAATCTGAATCTGAATCGACCTCGACTGTGCGAGGTCTCGCTGGCAGTAGGGGAGGGTTCGTATTTGTATTCGAAGAAGAACGTCTCCGGTAAGTTTCGTACGCCGGTCTTATTGGAGCTTGACTCGTCATCGATGGCGGTCTCGACGGGCTGCCACTGGGTCCTGGTCCAGCCAAGGGGTTGCTCACCTCCGACGAGGGATTCTTTGTACCAAAGATCTTCTCGCTCAATCCTTCGAATATGTTGCCGGGACCGGAAGAAACGACGTCCCACAGGCCCTGTTGATTGGGTCGTTTTCTTCGCTGCGGTACCGATTCGACGATGTAGTCGTAGTCGTTCCAATCCGACTTGTCCTCGTGTCGGGGACCGGGGAAGGTTGGGTCTGTGGCGTATTGTACCCGCAATGTCGATGTGACGGGATCAAAGACGAATTGTGGGGTAGGATGAGAGCGATGGGATGGGATGGACATGACAGGATGCGGGTATGCGAGAGTCAAGGCCCCGTCTGCAGTGCGGCCGAAAGGCACGAGGCACGTGACACGTGGAACACGCGATGGATAGGGGGTCAGCTGAGTGGAGCTGACCGCGTGCCTGGACAAACATCACTTGCCTACGCATTCGACGGGTCTGGAAGCAGCCACACTATACAGCAAACCATCCCAGCCAATGAACCACCTGGGTGCAGCGAGAGATGAGTCAGCTTCAAGTCAGCTGATCTGCCCTCGTCACAAGTGGGGGGAAGATATCCCGAGTCGCGTTGGGACAATTGAGACTTGGCGGCGAAAGGGCTCACAATTGGTTATTGGCTCTGTACTGAAGTTGATCCCCATCTACTTGAGGTTGTTTGAGAGGGTGTAGTCCAATAAGAGCCCCTTCGTTGGTCTTGTGGCCAAGCAGATCGAGCACCCTTCCACCGGCGCCGCGGTTGCGAAGGATAAAGTAGCCCGAAGGGAAGCCCAGTGCGGCCTGGGAATGGTCGAATGCGGCGTGGTTGGGAAATATCGAGTGCGCGGATATGCTGGATTGGGCGGTCGCGTTCGCGGTCTCAAGCGAGGACGATCTGGGGACGGGTGCGACAAGCGAGGCGTATGACGGAGGTGGGGGCTGGTCTGACGAGTGGCCCGAGATTGAGGTCGAATCCTGTGCAACGGGATCTGGTGCTGGGTCCATGTTGCACAGTCCTTTTGCGGTAATTGAGCCGTGAAGTCCAACTTCACGACACGCGACACGAACGAGTTACAGCCAGAGAGTGAGAGTCGCAGGTTTGTGTCGATTGAGTGCCCCGGTGGGGCCGTCAATACTCTACGACAAATTTATGGACGAAAAAAGAGACAAAGCGCGTCAGGTCCTGCCGGTCCTGCCGGTCCGGACATCGAGAGCATGCCCCGGGGCTCCCCGGGTCGGACAGGGTATTTTAGGCGATGTAGTGCCTTTATGGGCGTCTCTGCTGGCTCTATCATTTTCTACTAGACTCATGAAAGTATGCATACGACAACGGAAGACGATACATGCATAGTAGCCGGAGCTGTAGTATTTTCATATTTTTCTGGGCGCACCGCACATCCGTTGGCGGAGAGTACGCCCTAGTACGCCCCAAACAGCTGAAGCTCTGCCTAACGGAGCGTACTTGCCTCGGATAAAGTACGCCCGGGGCGTTTGTAGAACTTTGGATCGCGTTCATTGCTGCTACTACACCTACCTATGGCTTGTCCACCTGATGTCCCAAAACTCTTCATCATCTCTTCTATAGTAGTCGAACACAAGCCGAGAGCGCGTAGTGGGTCTTGAACCGAGGGAAGGTATATTGACGTCGATTGACATTCATTCCCTCCGTCTCGTAATCACGTTCAGAGCGTCGTTCCAAAGTCGGATCAAGTTGCACATTAGTGCGGAAGCCGCATCGGAAACTCGTGCGTTCCCCCCGATCTAGTGTAGGGTATCGAACATGTGGCAGTGTCAGTCACCAGGACGCCGAATGGCAAGGTGAGCACTATCAGAACGACGGATCTCCGGGCGGGCCGGGCGGCCCTCCTCTGCCTAGGCTGCGGTTCAACCGGTGCGGGTGGCAACGTCGCACGGCAAGTGGACTCGCCGTTCTTGAGCAATAAGTTGCAGGAGTTCGCCCGCATGGGAATATGATGTCGCTTAGCCCTTCGCGAGGCTTTGGACGGTGAGGGTGATCATGCAGTGGTGGGCTAGGGGTCAGCATGAATGCGAGCACCACCAGCGGATCCAAGGCGGCCGTCCCACCCGATCAACGAACAAGTTAGAGCAAGGACAAGCGAGCAAGTGGGAAGGAAAGCACTCAAGGATCAAGAATTCAGTCACTACTTTGGTTGAACATCATTACTAGTCATGAGGAACAGGTGTCCGAAGGTGGTCCCAGATCTGTCGCGTTCGCTAGGCCCAAAGTGCGGAGCCAGGCCGATGGAGAAGAAAGAAGAACAGAGAAAGGGGTCTGCGAGGTCGTCGCTAGCTTGGGGGTGGGCCAAGCGTACCTAACGGGAGGAATCACATTAATGACGCCACTGCTTCTGATCTTCACAACCTCTGCCGAGCGCGGCACGGCGCGGATCTGAAGCGAAATCGCGGACAGGGGACCGTTCACCGAGGTCGACGAGCCACCCCTCGGAAAGACCAAACACCTTATCGATTGAGCTCGGTCGCATTTCCCCTAGTAAGTTGAGCTCTGATTTCACCCCGGTTCTTAGATCGCCACCATCGATACGATAGCTGTTGCTTCAGTAGCTTTTCCCGCTATCACCTCGATCCGCTCGGGAACTCCGAACTCCGCGCGTGCTTACTGAAGCAACGGGAGGGTGGATACCCCATCGAATGGGTTCAGAGGATCAAAAAAACAATGAGGTAGATGTTGGAGCTCAATGGTCCTTTTGATCGGCTGTGCCTTGGGTCGATGACGACCACGCCATGTCCAGCCACCAGCGGTATGACTTTGGGGAGACAGGGAGACCTTCCAAGGTGGATTTGGCGCGACAACTGGCACAAAGGGCTCCTGCACCTTCCGCGTTACCAGACCACCGTCCATGCACGGACCATGTCCAAACTCGCGGCGGGACCATCGCCACCCCTCCGCGATGACAGCCGAATGCGATTCCAGGGGACCATGTACCTCGGGCTGTGAATCGTTGTCACCTTTTACTAACTAGTTCGAATCCATCAATGTGCTCAATTCGCTGAGATAATCTTCCGGTAATTTATTAAAGGGGTCGGCGCCGGAGGAGGTGCCTTACTGCAGCTCTGAACGAGATATTCGACAGGGGGGAGATGACTACCGAGCGGGGCCTAGGCTGTGGCACCGAGTGCACATCACGACTCATCACAAGTCCCATCGATCTCGCTGTTGGAAGCTCTCTCCACACGGACGACAACAAGGCGTGCTTCGACCTTCCAATTTCGAGCGGACAAGTATAAACTGGTCGGCGCCGGGCGCCGGGCTGCGCTGAATAGAGCGGGGGTAGCGGGGGGCCGGCGAGTCCATCAGGTGCTTGAAGGCCGTTCCGGAGCTCTCGTAAGGTGCAATGCTGCTGTTGTGAACTCTCCTGTCCAAAGAATCGTGCAAGGCCTTCTGAATTAGAGGCCCAGGGAGGTGCATCTCTAAGTTCGAGTCCATGTCTCACATTCTGTCACGCCTCCCAGGCCAGTCGAGGCTCAACCGGAGACTCGAGATCCTTGGAGCGCGTTCGGGGCCGACCATTTTGCAAGCGCATACATCCACCGCCGAAGCAAAGCACGCCATCCGTCGGCGACTAAGCGCAAGCGCGGTACGGCGGCCGCGCCCATGCCCATCAGCGCATCTGTGGCGCGATTGGTCAGGTCGATGATCTTCGAGTTTTGCTGAAAAGAAGGTCCCTTCCCTAGCACACCACCTATCAAATTTGAAGTTGATCCTCTCTCCTTTCTCCCTCACCTCCTCCACGTCGGTCCCTTCCCTTCTCTCTCGTTCTACGTGCCACCACTCGCACCTTCGAGCAGTCGGCGCTCGCTCAGCTTTCGTCATCGTCACCGAATCGACCGTCGCCGCTTGCCAGCAAACGCAGCCTCTGCCACAATGGCCACGATAACCGAACTACCGCAGCAAAAGACCTTCAAGGAAAAGGCGTTTGCGTGGCTTGGACATGATCCAATCATCACAGAGACGGCCTCGACCCGAGGTGAGTGCTGCAGTGGCCACGAATGCGCGTCGTGTTATTGCCGAGCTCCCTCCCGAGTCCCGGGCACTGCGAAGGTGTCATCATCGACGCCCTCCGTGTTGCGTTCGCCCGCGGCCAGTGGTAATTGGTCACCGGCCTGGCCTGGCCGTGGGATTTACCTTGCATGGGCATGGTAGACAGCGTCCTGACGTGGACTTCACACCCCCTAACAGATGCTCTTGCCTCCGCCTCGAGTGACCTTCCTGGTGCTGTGAGTGCTGTCTTCCTCGGCTAGCGTGTCGGCATGTCACGTCGGAGAGCGCAGATTCGGCGACGCGCGCGACGCGCGACCGACCCCCTTTTCACTGCGCAGCGCGCTCACGCTGTCTCTTGTTTTGGCTTGGCTGGTGCTCTTGCGTGCCTCGTCATTTCAACCTTCCCACAGGCCGCGCACTATGTAGACCGCCTGTTCCCCTTCACCAAATGGATCCTCAACTACAACTTGGGATGGCTCACCGGTGATCTCATTGCCGGCTTGACCGTCGGCATGGTCGTCGTACCTCAGTCCATGTCGTACGCCAAAATCGCCACCCTCCCGCCCCAGATCGGTCTTTACTCGTCTTTCGTCGGTGTCATGATCTACTGGATCTTCAGTACTTCCAAGGATGTCACCATTGGTCCCGTCGCCGTTATGTCGCTCGAGGTATCCAAGGTCATCAAGCATGTGCAGAACAGTCCAACTGGCAAGCAGTACTCGGCCCAAGAGATCGCCTCGACTCTCGCGCTCATCTGCGGCATCATTGTGCTTGGTATCGGAGGCCTCCGTCTCGGCTGGATCGTCGAATTCATCTCGGCCCCGGCCGTCAGTGGCTTTATGACCGGATCCGCCATCTCGATCATCGCCGGCCAGCTCGCCGGTCTGATGGGCTACTCCAACAAATTCGATACTCGTGCGTCGACGTATAAGGTCATCATCAACTCGTTCAAGTACCTTCCATCGACCAAACGCGATGCCGCTTACGGTCTCTCAGGCCTGTTCTTCCTTTACGCCGTTCGCGCCGTGTGCAACCACTTTGAGCGCACGGGGCGAACCTACACGATCCGGCGCACGGCCTTCTTCCTCGGCACCTTGCGTACGGCGCTCACGATCATCTTCCTCACGCTCTTCGCCTGGGTCCACTTGCGCCACCAGAAGCCGGCCAAGTACGATATCTCGATCCTCAAGACCGTGCCCAGTGGTTTCCAAAACATGCAAGTCCCTCGTTTCCGCACCGGACTAATCAGCGAACTCGGCTCCCTCTTGCCCGTCTCAACCATTATTCTATTGCTCGAGCACATCGCCATCTCCAAATCTTTCGGTCGAGTTAACAACTACAAGATCGACCCTAACCAAGAGTTGATCGCCATTGGTATCACGAATGTCTTCACCCCCTTCTTCGGGGGCTACCCCGCCACTGGATCCTTTTCGCGAACGGCCATCAAGTCCAAGGCTGGTGTGCGCACGCCTTTGGCCGGTGTCATCACCGGTATTGTCGTTGTTGTTGCCATATACGGGTAAGCCAGCTTGCCTTTCACGCCCTCATCTTGTGCACCGAGGTCCTGACATTCGTTCTCTCGTATCACCAGGTTGACCGGCGCCTTCTACTGGATCCCCAATGCCGGTCTCTCCGCCGTCATCATCCACGCGGTCGGTGATTTGATTGCTTCGCCTCCTCAGGTCTACGCTTTCTGGCTCGTCTCCCCTCTCGAGGCCATCATCTTCTTCGGCTCCGTCATCATCACCGTCTTCACGACGATCGAGATCGGTATCTACGCTTCCGTGGCCGCCTCGGCTGCCTTGCTCCTCTACCGCATCGCCAAGCCCCGTGGAACCTTCCTCGGTCGCGTTCGCATCCACTCGGAAGACAACAACATCACGCGCGAAGTCTTTGTGCCTCTCAACAAGGATGGCGTGCACAACCCTTACGTCAAGGTCGAGGCCCCGCCGCCAGGTGTCATCGTCTACCGCGTCGAGGAGTCGTTCTTGTACCCCAACGCCAGTCGCTACGTCGACCACATCGCCGACTATGCCAAGGAGACCACCCGATCGGCGATCGATTACGACTCCTTGAGCTTGTCGCAGCGACCGTGGAACGACCCTGGACCGTTGCGCTTCTCCAAGAAGAAGGACCTGGGACCGGGCCAACTCTCGGCCTCTGACGCCAATGCGGCCAAGCCTCTCTTGCGCGCCATCGTCATCGACTGCTCTGGTATCAGCAACATTGACTCCACTTCGGTGCAGAACCTCGTCGACCTTCGTCGTGTCCTGGAGCGATATTCGGGCCAAGAAGTCGAATTCCACTTTGCGTCCATCCTCTCGCCTTGGATCAAGCGTGCCCTGCTCGCCGGTGGCTTCGGTCGAGGCCGAGGCAGCCAACCGCTCGAAATCGCCGCCGTCGTCCCCGCCGGTACCGAGGCTGTCATCGAACGATACGAGAAGCACTTCCCTTCGTCGCCACCTAACGGTCGTATCCCTTCGGACGATAGTTCGAGTGCGAACTCAAAGGTGGCCGACATTGAGGAGGCCGGCGGTTCCCTCGACCAGCGATTGGGCGAGCATCTCTCCCCAACAGGCCCTCTCGTCTCTGCCTTGACAAATCGCTTCCATCTCGATCTCGCAGCCGCCGTGGCCGCGGCAGCTGGTCGTGAATGGTGAGCGTGATTTATCAGGTGCTTCTTCTTGAGGGTCTTAAGGTTATGGGGCTAGTTACTCCTCGTCGTGTCTCTTTGGGCCAAAAAAACCGTGGTTGCAGTGATCGCATGTTAGTTAGTTCCCCTTGTTTCTTTTGGTTGTAATATGATTCCATTATGTGCCAAAACAATAACACTCTGGCAAGGATGTGCCCTCAGAATGAGCTCAGTTCGCGCGAGGTACGATCGTCAAGAGCCGAACTCGGAAAGAATGGGAACGCTCGTGCCATACTTGGCTCTTATAGCCCGGCTACCGACCAAGTTCCGGATCTTCATCTTCGTCGGGCACTGTTTCAGGGTTTCTTGCCGTGGTTGTTGATTACCCGCCGATGGGGGTGTCAGAGGCAACTCCACCGATCGAGACCGTTCTTCACCTCATCTAACCGAGAAAGGTTGGCGAGGCCCGCGCTCCGTGAGCTTTGACCTCTGATTTTGCAGTGATTGGCTCGTGCTGAACCTCCGCCTGACCGGGCAACTCGGGCAGCACTGCCTCTTGCTTCTCTTACATCTTCTTTCCCTCCCATACCAGACGCATACAACATCCGGTTTCATCGTCCACCGAGCTCGGCTACGTAGACAAGACCCGGACGCGGCTTCCAAGAGTTCAAGGCGCACTGCCGTTCTTTCCGAGCTAACTCCGCCGCAACACCCAAGCCACGCCTCCACCATCTCGACTCTTCGATATGGCTGCTCCATTGACAGCACTCATCACGCTCCTCCAAGACAATGTGGGGAAGAAAAATGCCGCCGACTGGATCAACCGTTGTAAGTCAGAGCTATCTACGATATCTCTCCCGCTCGGTAATCAGGACAGGGGCTCGTAGTCACCCAGTTCCGCTCTCCGATGTTCCCACAGATGGCCCCGCCACGTTTGCAGCCATTGCGGAGGATCAAAACCCGTTCAGTTTCGTCATCGTGGCGGCTCACAAAGTGATCTTTCCGGGACTGGGAAGCTCCTCGATCATGTGAGCTCACCCTTCACCGTGATCACCTTTTAAACCTCTCGGACTATGCTGACGCTACCGCTCGGCCGGATGGAACTGCAGACAAGTGTGGTGGCTCGTCGCGCTTTTCATCGTATCAATGGGGATAGCATTGGCAGGACTCATTCTACGTCTCCAACAAGGACGCTTCTGGCTCGTCCATCGTATCGACTCGAGGATCACAATGCCCAACATTTCCATCCAAAACTCTTTCTGGGCGTTCATGTACAGCGCTTTGAGCATCGTCGCCCTCGCAATGACGACTCGAATCGCGGCCGGTACCGACTACTCGTCGTGGTACGTCAACTTTGGTAGCCTCCTACCCCTCGTTCTGTTCATGGGCCAATACGCCGAGATCTGGGCGAGCTGCTCGAGCTATTTCATCCGCCGAACCGAACGGCACGAAGACGACCCGCTCCTCGTCTCAATTTGTTTCATGCTACTCCCTTTCACCTGGCCCCTGGTAGCCATCATCCCACCTCTCGTTGGCTTCACCATCGCGGCCCAGAACCTTCATCAAATCTTTGCGGGTGCGCGGAAATGCGTCAGCAATCTCCATGCCCTTTCCGCAGCGTGGGTACCCGGCATGGGCACCGATAACCTTCTTGCCCAACTCACCGAGGGCTTGGGGCCCCTGCATCAGGTTCTTGCCTACGGGCTAGCTTACACGATCTATACTCAACTTGCCTTCGGTTACATGGGCTCCATATTAGCCATCACCTTTGTCGTATGTTCGAGGAATGTGGCTCACTTTGTATAATCGGTGGCCTACCGCTGTATCACTGACACTTCGACTTGCTCGACCCCGTTCTTCAACAGCTGTACATCATCGCCTCCGTAGTCGAGGTAATGAACCTCCGACGCCAGTCGCACAAGCTCCGCCTCCAAACCCAAGTCGGAGTCGCTAGACCACCCCAAAGGCTCAGCTTCCCGCCGAAACTCACGTTGAACAGCGCTGCGGGCACGGTTTCCAGTGAGCCGGCGTTCAATGGCTTTCAAATGAATTGCTCGGGGGATGATGCGCTCACGAGTCAGCTCAAGTAAGGATGCGTCAAGTGATCAGGGAATTGTGTCTTGACCCATCCTTTTTAATCCCACCAGACTCCAAGCAAGTCTCATCGAATGGGCAACAACGAACCGAGTCCTCACGGCCATCCCCGTCTCCCTCATGCTACTCTTTAACTCGGGCCTCTCCTTTTGGTCCGCGGCGAAGCCGATTCACTTAGGCGACGATTACCGCCAAGTGCAAGAGATCACGATCGTCGCGGGCTGGATCAACGTGAGCCTTTCGACCATTGTTGCGGTGTTGATTCTGTTCCGATCACTTAGTGGTTCGCCGGAGGTGACGCTCAAAGTGAAGAATTGGGCGCCTTGGTTACCTTTGGCACCCATCAACACATCTCCCAAAACGACCTTCACTGCACAAGGCCCCTTAACTATGACGTATTACACCGATTCGATACAGAAGAGCCCCTTCATGTCGGCGGATGGCTCCCAGAATGACCTAAAGATGCCCGACTTTGCGGGCACGGTCAGCGGGATTACGATCAAGAGGGAACGACAGGTGTCGGTCGATGATGGGACTCAGCGTTCTTCTGTATAAGCCTTCTCATGTTCGGTCTAATTGTGAATTTCTCTCTCGTATTCGATTCCCAAGGCGATCGAGCGTCCTTGTTGCTAAATCCATCTCTTCCTCAGCTTCATCTGCATTGCATTAGCACCTCTTCAACCTCCATTTCCTACTTCCTACTGCCCTGGAAGTCCATCAAAGTACCCCTGACAAGTCTTCTCGATATCGATGACCTCCTTTGGCGCATCGACGCTGAGAACGACTTGATCCCGCTCCCGAACCAAGATCTCGTCTTCGACGCGGACGGAAGTATTGTGGAATCCGACGGGGAAGGAGGTGTGCGGTGGGACGAAGATGCCGGGTTCGATCGTCTGGTGAGTCATGGGTTGCACGTCAGTAAGCTTCCCCTCCAAGCATCGGGTTCGAGCGTCATCGAACTCACAATGACCATCCCCGCTTGGATGCTGTTCAGGGCCGAACCAGATCGACATCAGTGACAGAACCTTAATAAAAAAATAAAAAAAATAAAAAAAAACGGAAAAAGCTTACCTCTCTCCTCGACTAAACCCCGGCGTATCATGCAAATCGATTCCAATCGGATGCGTCAAGAAATGCGGGTACAGCGTCCTCTCCAAATCGCCCCCTCTCAAATGGAAGCCTAAATCCGTCAATTCAACCCTCATGATGTCCACGCTCCTGCGATGCAGTTCCTCCAAAGTCATCCCCTTCTCGGCTGTACAGAGTTTGATGCACTCCGTTTGGACGCGAAGGACGACTTCGTAGAGATGTTTCTGAGGGGTTGTGAACGTTCCGGAAACGGGGAATGTGCGGGTAATGTCCGATGCGTAGCCGGCGTATTCACAGCCCGCATCTAGGTTGACGACGTGATTCGGAAGGAGGGGGAGTCGGTTTGATGTGTAGTGGATTGTGAGACCCGATGGGCCCGAAGCGCAGACGGGGACGTAGGCTGGTCGTGGTGAGCCTTTTAATGCGCAGTAGTATTCGAAGTGAGCGACGATGGAGGATTCGTCGATCGCATCGGGAGAAGCAGATGTAGGTTCGCAGAACCTCATGGCCTGTCCAACGTTCCAACGTCAGCAAGGAAAGCAGCTTTACGTTGCTCGGGCTGGGAACTTACTTTGGCATGCGCTCGAGCCGAGATTTGCGCTGCTTTGGTCATAACCTTGATCTCGGCCTCGCTCTTGATCAATCTCAACCTTTCAACCTGCGCATTCGCCGACTTGACCGTCCTCCCACTTCCACTCAGCAGTTCGAGAACTTCGCTCGTCTCATCCAACGCATTCGCTTTCGGAACGAGGTATTCGAACAGACTCTTCGTCTTGGACGGGATCAAGGATCGATGCCGCGATGGTGTGGGTTCACCCGGCAGATCGACGTATATCGACCCATTCGAAGACGAGGAAGAAGACGGCGAGTTGAGGATAGCTTTGAGATGGGTCGAGAGAAGCGCGATGTCGTGGGCCTCGTCGGCGCCGAAAACTTGGCAGGCGCCCTCTCGACCTGACCTCGGGCCGTTCCACGCTTCGTCGTTGGCGTCCTTGGGGGGCACGAACATGAACATCTTGTATCCTCTCAAACTCGAATCTTTGACTGGAGGAGAATCGAGGTTCCGATATCAGTCTTCCGACCACCTTTATCGAGACGAGTGACAAGCAACGAACCGAGCACCAGAAACGAATCAGGTTCTTCCCACCCCGTCAGGTACCTGAGAGCGTCATTCCACATACGAGTCAGCAAGACAGCCAAACCGTTACTTCTCAAGCCGAATGAAGGGGCCCCACCAAAAATTGGATTCTTGTCTAAACTTGTAGCTGTGTGTAATTCAGAATCGGCGAGGTGGCGGGGCCAGAGGGTCAGCTGAGGCGTGCGGCGTACCGCGTTTAAAGAGGGAAGTACGCACAATATCTTGGCCGTGGCATACTTCAACCTAGCCCCAGCGATGACGACGATGCTCCCCGAGTCGAGGCCGTCCATGAGTGTGCGCCGTCGTAGCTCGTATTCGTGTGCGCTGATGCCCGGTGTCAGTTCCCCCTCGGCCAAGAGGTGCGGATGCGTCGAGGGGAGAGGTTGACCGTATCCGGGGGAGGAAATGGTCGAAGGATCGAGTGATGGTCCATGTGTCAAGGCGGTGGGCGCTGAGGAGGAGTGGTAACCGTGTGATCGAGGTCGGAAGGCACAGATCGCGAACGAGGCAGCGGAGATCGAAGACGAACACGCCGGCTGACGAGTGGCAGATGGTGATAGCGAGCGACCAAGCCGACAAATGCGAGCAAGCGGATGAAACGACCTCGGTGGCATCCCGTCTTGGTGGCGGTACAACACTCTATGAGGAAACGAGGGCGAAAGACTACCAGCAAGCAGCCGCGGAGGAGCGACGATCGTCATTGCGCGCCGGAGAGAATCGGGCCCGAAGCCGACAACAGAAACCGTTAAAGACATGTCACATCCGAGATAGAGACCCCGTAAGAAGCTCCTGAAACTACTTGGGTCTTTCCAATACCTAGAATGTGCCAGCGCCCTGTATAATTTACAGCAGAATATTTTTCCAGAGTTCCGCCGCGGCCGGCCAGCTCCGCAGGTCTCACGTGACCGCGAGAACGACTGTGAAACGTGACTTTCCCCTCGAACTCGTTCTCTTCCTTCAGCTTACCCTTCTTGGCCACCAAGCGCACCATGAACAATGTCATGATCCCCAAGGACGAGCAGTCTGCCCAGGATCTGGAGTTCATGGACCAAGCCATTGTCATGGTACGTCCGTACACCTTGTCGCTGTGTGGTGCTTGAGCTTCGCACGCACCGACCTCTTCCCCACCTTCCCTTCTTGACCACCTCATCCTCCGCGTTCAGGCCGAGGAAGCGTTCAGCGTATCCGAAATCCCCGTCGGCTGCGTATTCGTCTACGACGACCAAATCATCGCGCGCGGTCGTAACCGTACCAACGAGCAACGCAACGGTACCTCCCACGCCGAATACGACGCCCTACGTACGATCCTCCCCTCGCTCAAGACCCAAACGGCGTTGGACATGACCCAGGTCACGCTTTACGTTACTGTGGAACCTTGCATCATGTGCGCGAGCGCGTTGAGACAAGTTGGGATCGGCAGGGTCGTGTATGGGTGTTCGAATGACAAATTTGGCGGCACGGGTGGGGTTGCGGATATTCATAACGAGTTTGAGTTATGGCATCGAGAGGATCTAGTGATGTGATCGTATCGAACTGACTTCCCCGCGAAATTTTCCCACCAGTCCTCGGTTGATTTACGCCCCACCGTATGAAGCCGTCGGCGGTTACCGAAGAGAAGAAGCGATCATGCTCCTGCGGCGATTCTACATTTCAGAAAACACAGCAGGTAAGGCACTCCGTCCACCTCGGATATTCCCGATGAGCCGATGAGCCGACAAGCTGACTCACGACCTCGGTCATTCCAGCGCCCAATCCGAAAAAGAAGTCGAATCGAGTGCTCAAGCACGTCATCGACGAGATCCCCACTCCGACAAGTAGGACACAATCGCCAGCCGGGTCCGATTCGGGTGCGAGGTAGCCACTAGGGTACTAGAGAGCGAGTGCCGCACGAGAAGGGAAGCAATCTGAATCAGTGCGAACAGATGGCGTTCTCTTTGACGTTATACTGAGGGTATTCATTTATGTAGATGGTTATGTTTATGTAACACGGGTGTATTTGGATCGGGCATGGAATGACTGATGATTCCATGGGCCGAACTTCGAACGTGAGGACGTCCAATGGGGACCAATATCTAGGACAGATACGAGAACGAACCCAGAAATACGGAACAGGGCAACAGCATGAAGATAATGCAAATGGAATGTGAGGCTCTTTCTAAGGTGAGAAAACTTGGGGTTCTATTGGACCTCAAAAGCTCCCTCCAGCTCCGGACCGCCAGACCCAAGGGTCAGTGGCGTCATCAAGCGAACACACCAACAAAAGAGATCACGTCCCCCTGCATATTCTTCAACGGACTCAAATGAAGCGTACCCTCGACTTTCGGACCCCTGAACGAAAGTGCGCATCTCAACGAGCCAGAAACACCTTCTTCGATCGTGGTCTTGATTCGTTGGCGTGTCTTCTTTTGGTCTGGCTCGTGCACTGTCGCTTTGACGAGGTTGAGGAGGTCGAGGTGGACTAGTTTGGAAGTGTCGACGTCTTGGAATGAGGCACCGGGTAGGCCGAGGTAGCGGAGAAAGCCGGAGGTGACGAAGAGGATCTTGCGATCTGTTTTGAGAGCGCAAAATTGGCGATCAGGAATGCCTTCGGGGCAGAAAATGTAAAAACCCGCGGAGGAGAGCACTCACTATCAGCTCGTAAAACGACGACTCGTTCGTACGTCATCTGGAAATCCGACAACTTCTTCTCGATCGGTGCGGCCCCATGTTCCATCGAAGCATCGATCCCTGGTTGTTTGACTCGAACATCCTTGACGGACGCCGCACGCTTCCGAGGGATTGGCCTCGAAAGCGGGCTCACGGTTGACGTTCGAGATTGAACAGGAGCGAGGATGAGCGGTGCGGGGACCTGTCGCTGATCTTTTTTGCTCTTCGATGAACCCGATCCTTCGGTTCCTTTCGACCGACTGAACAAGGAGAGGAAGCTAGGGCGTTTGGTGACGGCGGGTTGCGCAAAGCCACTCATCATGTCCTCGCACGACATCATCGTCGATAGCGCAGCGGGCTCAACGGTCGTGTACCTCCTCCTCGGCGATGGTAGGAAAGACGGGATGGTCGTGCTCGGCGATTTGGGGGCCATAGACTCCTTCGGACTCAGCGCGGAGGGTTCGGTCCCGCCTTGTTCGTGAAAGATATTGGACTCGACAGCGTCGGTATAGGACCCCGGGTCAATGACAGGTCCACCTTCCGTATCATCGGACGACAAGACGAACGACAAATCTTCCCCCGAGCCAGCGGCGATCGCACCCGTCAAGTTCGTCTGCCCTCCGATGAAGTACATCAATTCCCCCGCCGCATCCCGAAGGGGTAAGATGCACAACAGGTTCCAGAACGGGGCCCCCGAAGCGGTGTAGTTGAGCAAGAGTTGCGTAATAGGTTCCTCGTTGTCGATGGCGGTACGGATCGCCTGAACGCTCTCCGGTGCCGTCGCTTGACCTTGTAAGAAACGACAGTTGCGACCGATGATTTGATGCGCGGCGTAGCCCGTCAAGGCGCAGAAAGCCGGGGATGCGAGGACGATAGGGGCGTCTGGTAGCCGGGGGTTTGTGAGGCAAAAGACGTCTCCGAGACCGCTGCGTTCGTCGTTCGTGAGCTCGTATTTTGAGAGTTGAGCTCGAGTGTGTTGCAAGAGGCGGTGTCGGATGAAACCCTGTTCGTGTCGAAAATGACAGAGGCTCAGCTTTTGGAAGCTGGTTATGCGTACAATTCTGGCCTCGAACCTACATGGAACTCATTCGCGTACAACGTGTTAAGCAAATGGCGACTCGGCTTCTCCAACCCTAACCCGACGACCGACAGCGCCGTCAACTGTTCTCCCGTGTCCCTTGCGAAACTCGGAGCGAACGGAGCGAGTGTGGCGTTCTCCGGCGCAAAGTGCACCTCTTGAATGGCCTTGGCGGCCATCGCGCTTCGACTCGTTGTCGATTTCAACGTATCAAGATCCTTCCATAATTCGAGAGCATAAACGGCAGCAGTGGCTCCTCCGGTCCGGGAGAGGTAGTTGTGGAACTGGGCAAAGCCCGCAGGTGTTGCAAGGAAGGCATCGAACGTATTGCGAGACAGGAGGCGCGCGAGCGAAAACGCCAACGAAGCCTGCAAAGGCGACAGCGCCGCGGGGGGGAACGGATGCGAAGATCTACCTTTCCACGGATCCGATGGGTTCAGAGGTCGGTCGGGAAGATGCGAGAAGCGTGTCGAGCTCGAGACCGAGACGATCGAATGGGCGTAGGCCGGTGCGCCGATGCCGACGGTCGGCGCCAAGCCTGGCTGAACGTTGGCGACGGGCGAATATTCGTCCCGGAAGGTCCTCTCCGCCAACGTGGCAAGTACGCTCTCCTTGTCGAATGAATCGAAGGAGGTAGGGGCGGTAGAGGGTGAATTCAAGTTGGTGACCGTGCGGGTACAGTGGGCCCCGTCATGCGGAGCATGATCCTCGTCGCCGCTCGAGTCGCCTTCAGTCAATTCTGTCCGAGCAAACGTGGCCGCAAGGGGTCCAAATTGGTCAGCTCAATAGCTCTGCCTTCTACCCAAGACATGAAAAATCATGAAACCCGACTGGTTGGATTGCTAGTCTCATAAAAAGTCCGAGTGCATCTTGATAGCCAGCCACCTTTCGGACCGAAAAGACCGAAGGGGGCTCCTTGCCAAGTCTCACTACGAGCACGCCTAAAGAACTCGAGGGGACTCACTAGCGTTCAACGCGCTTGCTCCCACTATGAGTGCTGGCCCAGATGACGGTGCCGCCGCACGTGACGAACTATTCACCCGTAAGGACGGATCCATGACATCGTTCGCTTTCGGACTTGCAGGATCATTCTGTAGCGCATCGCGGCTACTTGATCGAATCCTTAAGGTCAAGGGCGGCATCGACGGGTCTAGCCCCAATGGCTTGCCGGGGCCTCGATTGCCTGCTGCCGGGGCCGAAGATGATGGCGCATCGTATCTGCGAATTTCGGAGATTGACGTCAAAAAACCGCTTCGGTCACTCGAGAAGGGTCTTTAAGAAGCCAGGACCACAGGAAATGACGCTGGGAGGACCGTACGGATGGACTCACGAGTTGGCGCTATGGAAAGAACGTGGAGTCGTCGGTACTTCCGGCAGAGGCCCTGCAGGCGCGGGGAGAGGGGCCCAAGAACTCATCTACCAGATCTCGGAGATCGGCTGGCGGGGTCGGAGATCTGGCGGGGTCGACTTCGATTCGGCCGGACCAGGAGAGCACTCGATGTGCAGAGTGGGAGTTAAAGAGGTGAAGGTTCTTGATCGGAGGGAAGGAAGGGGGCAGACCAACGTACTTGGCGGCGGAAACGTGGCAGGAGCCCAAAGAGGTGGAGCGCTTTGCTCGCTGGATGAAGAGGAGATGGCCAAAAGCGAAAATTGCACGGAGGCCCCGACTTTTGCCCAGCCGCTGAAACAGCCCTAAGCAGACCGTAAAGTTCTATTGAGTCGCAGTCGCACTCGAAACAGCGTATTTAACCCAGGCGATTTTGGTGCTGATGCACTTCAAACAGCTCGGCCCAGATCTAGGTTTGTCTCCCGAAGGTGTAATTTGTGAGCCTGCAGCTGGGAAGCATATTTAAACTCTGGTGAAGGCTTGCTTGGGCCGCGTCAAACGTTATATGCAGCCCCAACTCTCTCGATCTACGGGAAAGACTCCTTCAACAGATGGCCCACGCGCCTTTGAGGTGGCTAGCGATCCAATTGAACGATGTAGATCGAGTCTTTTCAATTGCGCCAAGTTCGAGCCCAATTCTTACGCCCGCGCCGCCAAGTTCGAGCCAGCCTAATTCGGCGCCAAACCGAGGGCTCGAATCCATGGGGCAGGCGGGCGCGAACGACCTCAACCCGGCCGCGCGCGGGCCAAGGGGGCATTCTTTTCCATGAAGCTCGATGTTGATCCATTTCGATTTTACGGTTCGATTTCGTCGTTATTATGTTGACGATCCATGAGGCACCTATTAAGCTATTACACCCTTTGAAAGCTTGTATCCCCGCCGTTTCCCTGTACATTTATCTCCCGAGGCCCCTTGATTCCACCGTGCTATAGATGCGTTCCCGCTAATTTGGTTCGAAGAATCGAGGACAACCACAACATCGACAATCAGCAAGTCTTTGACTGGGCAATTCACATGGGCAATTCAGGTGGTCGATCCGTTTGCTTTGCTTCACTTTCGTTCGATCGGTTTGTATCGTACGGGTTTGCGCCCCCCCCCCCCCGAAAAAAGATCCGATGCTTATTACGCATGGATCAGGCGTTCTCAAGCTGGGGCAAAAGACTTACTGAAGCCATGGAATGAGGCGAGGTTGAGCGTCCATTTCTACACCCACTAACGCACATACACATAGCTTTGCGAAACAACACCGAATCGAAGAGTCGAACTGCCCGATGCAGACTCGGAGAGACTCGGTGTTGACACCGCCTCTGTCGGGGTATCGTCTCCACATGTCCAAGCCGGTCGATAGCATGTACCCCCATATTTACACCGCGTGTGATCCTCAGTCTGAACCCTCCAAGCCCTCGCGTGTGTTGGTCTCGCTCTCGATCCTCTTGCTCGCGACTGCGCCCCCGAGACACGAACGAATCACTTGTAATACAGATCGACTAGGCCTTCATTCCACCCCATCTCCACCTAACGTCTACTCGTCGTCCTCTGCCCCCTTTGCAGCAGCAGCAGCTGCAGCTGCTCGTTCACTCGGCTTCAGGGCCATCGGTCCCCATCGCGCGATCGGGTCGTCCTTCTTGGCGCCGATCACGTCCCATTTCAACTGTTGGTGGATTCGAATTTGGGCACGATACGGTCGGGTGAGTCTGAGTCTGAGGAAGGGGAGGGTTGAAGGTGTACGTACATCTGTTCGGAGAGCGACGGCGTAGACGGCGACGGGGACGAGGACGCCCCAGATCAACGAGAGGCGTGTGGTGCGGTTCGTGAAGCGGAAGTGACGCCAGACGTTCTCTCGCTGTGTTTCGAGGGAAGATCGAAAGGAAGAAGAAGGACCGGTCAGGTCGAGGTGGGCCCACCAGGGCGCGACTAGCTCGCGAGCGCACGAACAACAGCTCAGCTCGACCGGAACATACCATGTAAGCCCATGACTCGACTGCGGGGTCAATCTGGAACAGGCCGATGAAAAGTATAGTTGGGGTGAGTACAGAGAGTTTCTGGACGAGGTGTGGTGCGCGGGCGGAGGCGACAGGAGGTGGTGTTACCTTGACCGGTTCTGAGCACGGGCACGAGAGGAGGGGGGGGGGGGGGGGGGGCATGTGAGTCCACTCTGAGAGCTGCAATGAAATGACCTCCCGCACGACTTACGGTATCCGTGTCCACCGCCGGCCATGATGATGTCGTAGTGGTGTGAGGGGGTGAGGGGAGCGTGAGATGCTCAGAGGCGCGACAGGGCAGCACAGCGCCGCACCAGCCAAGACCAGCCAGCACCAGCACCAGCCGAGACAGGCCGAGACCAGCCTGCCAGCACTCTGCCAGCAGCCCGCCGAGGCGCAAGGAGGCGCATTGACCACCCGGTCGGTCTGTTTCCCCCCTACACCCCTACATACTCCCGACCTCTACCAACCATGGCGATCCGGCCCCTCGTCGGCACACCACTCGGTAAGCCAGCACTCCACCCCTGACCGGCCATGACCTCGCCTTTCGCGGAACACCAAGCTGACGCTCCGAGTCCGCACCCTAATACACCCTGTACTCGCCCCACCGCCCCACCCAGCTGGCTGCTGCACCGTCCTCTCCGTCCTCGGGATCATCATCCTCTTGGCTTTGGGTCTCGCTTTCGATCATGGGGTCAGTTCATCCCTTTGGTAGCTCTTGACCTGTCCCTCCCGAGTCCACCACCAACGTTCCTCCTCGATCCCCTCCCCCTCATGACCTTCCCCACCCTAACCCAACCTCAAACTTCGAATCCTCGCTCCCGAAACCTCTACAAACCCAGGCTGAAGTTCTAACCGGTTCGACCAAATCACCCAAAGACGCCCACGCCGTAGCGCAACTATGTTACCGCGCCGCGATCGTCTACGCCGCGATCGTTGGCTTTTGCGGATGTCAGGTCAGTTGATCGGACCGTCCTCGAATTGCGCGTTCTATCGGTCTTGATTTTCTCGAACATTTTATTTTATTTATTTAATTAGATCGGGATGAACGCGAGGCACGCAAGAGGAGCGGTTAGGATTTGAACGACTACTGCCGTGACCCGGAACCCCCTAAGCTCGACGCCCCTCCCTTTGAGGGAGGGCTTAGTTGAGCTTACGAAACCCCCATGCCGACCTAACACGCGCCACCGCGGAGAGCGGAGATATAGATATGTAGCAACCCATTGCTGTAATACTACGTTCTGCGGTACCAAAGATTCAGAACTCGACAGAGCCATCTTCCGAGCAGTGGCGATCGTCGTAACAAGGACTAGGTATGAAAATTGCATCAAGGCACCGAGAACTCGTCGCTACAGACATGAACAAGAACGAAAAAAAAACAGATAGGATGATGGGATGTACCACATATCATATACTCCAAAACGCCAACATCCAAAGCGAAGCCCCGTCGTCGAGCCCGGTTCGGCCGATGGAACGACGAATCACACTTTAGCGATGTTGGATGCGCTTTCATGAGTGCGGGTACGATCCAACGTCGTTGCGATCGCTGCCCTCGGAACGACCGTGGTGGTGATGAGTGCCGAACACGAGACCGTGCATCTCGGCGTAGTACGACTGCGATCGGGTCAGGGTTTTCTCGGTGAGCTTTTCCCACCTCGACTCGGCCGGACGGATTATCAGATGATACAACATGGTGTCACTGACCTTGAGGCCCTCGACGGTATTGTCCTCGTGGAGCAAATTCTGACCCAACCTCACCAAGGCGTAGACACCGAGCACCCAGCCGAGCGCGCACAAGCTGAGAAAACCCGTCACGAACAAGGTGCCGATCAGGAGCGTGACTGAAAGTTCGCCGCGGCTACCATCAGCAATCATGGCATAGTCTAGGCAAAGAACGACGTGCAAGATAACTCACCAGCGGTGCCAATGACGAACGTGAGGATGGCGAGAGAGATGACGAGAGCCGTACCACCGACGGTGAGAATGGCGCCGAGCGAGAAGAGGACAAACGTAAGGACGGGGAAGAAGGACAGCGCAAAAAAGACACCGAGCAGCGACTGTGATGATTCATGTGAGTCAGTTGACCATACCTTAAAAAGTCAGGTCGTGCTGCGGTCGATCGGGTGCTGCGCCGGGACCCGATCGGCCTGACGCAGCGAGCCGAGGCCACGAGGAGCGCGGTTAAGTTGAGCGTGAAAGCCAGCTGGAGACGCGACGTGACGCGTGACGACGAGCACACCGACGAGCGAGAAGACAACTGACGGTCATGATCGGCCGTGCATGAGCCTGTGCCACGAGATACTCCTGCGCCGGATCAACATAGTGTTTCCTCGCACTGTCGGTCATTCCGAGCTCCCCAAGGCGCGATCGGAGGTGTTCGAGCGTTGCAGTGGGTTGGTTTGGTGCGATCGGCGGTGCAACAAGAGTCCCGTCAGCTTGTGTTCCGACTGTGAGCAGCCTGTTGACGACCAGACATCCAAGGACTTGCATCTCGACCTTCTCGTTCAGTACAAGTTGCACCTTTTGAACATCCTTCATCACCTGATCCTTGTCTGTGTGGGCGTTGGTGGGTGCGACCGAGGTTATTCGCCGTTCGGGGTCGGTCAGTCTCGCTCTCGCACCACCCCGTCGTCATCGCTCGGCAATCCCAGCGACAGGTCGTGCAACTCACAAGGTTCAAGGTTGTCCGAAGAGGTGGGAGGCTTCTCGCTCTTGATGGTGTGGGCAGTGTGGGAGTGGGACATGGTGGTAGTAGACTCGAGTTGGTTTTGTTGTTGGGTCGGCGAGTGCACGTGAGGTGGTGAGCCCGTGTGGAGAGAGCGAGGCGGATGCGTGTGGGGGGGAACGGCCAATTTGTGCTCCTGCCGAGCCGATCGAGTCGAACCCGGTCGGAGGCACGGCTGAATTTGCAAATATCCCTCAGGGCGGTTTATCATGGAAGAGATGCTTCGTCCACTTCAAGATCACCACCTCTCGATTAGAATGCTTGGTCACTTTGTCCCGCTGCTCCGGTCTTTGATCGGTCATCGTTCAGCGCGTAGCACAACTTGAACGACCTCCCTTCGATCACCTGCCCTTGCTCACATTGCTCCGCCGAGAAGAGGGTTGCACCAATCATGCATAGCATGCTACAGACGGAATAAATAAACAACAAGAGCTACATCAATCCGCATGAATACATCTTGCCAAGGTCCCGCCCAAGCTCATATAGTAAGCTCAGAACCCAACCATCCTCAACACCAAATACAGCGTCGAGCCGATCAACCTAAACGCCGACAGCGCCGCGACGGCCCAAAAGATGCCGACCATGTAATAATTGATCACGACCCCATTCTTGGACTCTTTGGCCAAGAACTCGGTCCAGAATTTCGAGGTGAACCCGATCACCAAAGCGAGATTGATCCCTAGGTAGGAGAGCAAGACGTTGGTCCTCAATACGGCGAATCGATCGGCTTGCTTTTGATCGATCGTTCGTTTGGTGTGCGTTTCGATCACCGGTTGCGACATCTCTTTACGCATTTGGATCCACAACGTGTCGATGTCGTCGGGCGCGGTCGGGATATCGACCTCGACAATGTCTTGCCCGTCCTTGTCTTTGGTCTTGGCGGCGTGTCCGAGATCCTTGATCACGGTCGAGCCTTTGGTGCCCCATGCAAGCTACAGGAGCGAGGGGAGTTGAGGTCAGTCATAGCGCCTACTCTTGTTTAATAAATGAACTCACATCATGCAGATTCGCGAAAGAATAAATGGTAAGGACGCTGATAAAGGACGGTAACAAGAACATGCTGCGCACCGAAAGTGCAGATCGACATCAGCAAGTGTTCATGCGAAAGGCCACGGAGACGAAGGGAACTCACTATTGGAGGAAACAAGTAAACAGATGCCAAGGGTCATAATGTAAGATCGAACTGATCAAGTACATGCCATACGTCGCCGCGAGGGAGATGACAATGTTCTGCGCAGGGTGAACTCCGCAGCCGTCAGCCGCCAGTCCTCAGCCCCGGGGGGGGGGGGGGGGGGGGGGGGGGGGGGGGCAAAGAAGTCAAACCTACTCGGAAGCCACTCTGCTGCAAGAGCGCGTCAATATTCTTCCATCCGCCCAGGGTATGCGGTACAGAGAGGTAGATCGTCCATGCGGTACAATACAACGCGACTGTGACCGAAAGAAAGACCGCATCGGGTCAGCACTGGAGCTTTCGAGGTGGACTTGCTTCCGCGCACTTACTCCCGAATAAAGCCGCGAACGACGTCATCACCGCCACATACAACCATTTCGAACCCGCAGGTTTATTTCCAAGTGCGCAAACGACTGCAGGAGGATCGAGAACGTCAGCATTTCCGATTTTCTCAACCGACGCTGCGCACTCCCGTTCAAAAAACCTACTCGTGATCCCAAGCGTAGCGATGTAAACCGAGTTGGCGACCGAGATGACATCCGTTCCATAGCCTCCAAAGCCATCATGCGCCGGATCGCTCGTCGCCGAATTGCAGATGAAGAAGAAGGCGAGGTAAAAGGAACTGAGCCCGATCGTCTGGAACAACAGCTGAATAAAGTTGTACAGGTAGATGACGCTGAGCCACAACTTCCTGAAGAATCCTTGCCCCGAGGTCCAAACGCGGTAATAATGGAGCGACGAATGCAACGAAGCGAAAAACGCGCCGTTGAGCCATCGTCGACGTTGGCCCAAGAATTCGGGCAACGTGTTGGGCGTGTCGGTCGAGGCCTTGGCGGATTTGACGTACTTGAGCGTCCACGCCTCGTTCTTCTTGCACGTGATTTCCATGCACAGCAGACGATCTTCGGCGAGGTACATGTTGGAGTCCGAGAGCGACGCGACGTTGCCCGGAGCGTGCATCTTTTCCCCCAAAAAGTAGACGCGCAGAGGTTCGCCGAGGAGAGCTTTGTAGCGATAGGCCGAAAAGGCGCCGGGCAAGACCGAGATGAAACCAAAGACCGATTCGAGCGGTTTGTCGAGGATGTTGGACATTTTGTACTCAAAGTTCTGCGCTGCGACGAGGGGGTTGAGCAAGTTGCTGCAGCCTCGTCCCGTGTCGACGGTAATCTCTCCGCAAGCGCCACCGATCCCGGAGTGCTTGTCAAACTCCTTCCACAAGTGGTAGATCGACGAGCCACCAGGGCGCGTACCGACATCGAGCAAGACGCAGACGTTGGGTCGTAGCTGGTGACAAAAGGCGTTGAAGGCCCATCGATGCGAATTGAGCTTCTTCTTGTTCTGCTCCTTGAGGCAAAACAGGATTTGAATCGGCGAGATCCCACCCGAGACCTTGCCTTCCTTGTCGACGACGACCTGGGTCGTGTACTCGAAGAGGTGGGCCTCGACATCCTTCTTGTCGACCGTGTCCTTGGCAATACCATCTTGGAAGCAACCGTACAGTCCCAAGATCTTGAGCGTGCGAGGATTGATCTTGGCCCGACCGTCCGAAACGATGCAGACGACGATCTTTTTCCACGACTGCGATCCCCACGTTTTGGACTTTTGGCGTTCCTGCAGCATCTGGATGTTCTTGATCACGGCGGTAAAGGTACGACAGAAGAGTTCTTCGTCTTCGTTGTACATGGTCAAACAGATGAACAGCTCCGTCTGTCGTCCGTACTGCACCTGTCGCAACCTGTACCGTTGGCGCGTAAAGTCGTCGGGATCATCGGTGACGGCCGTGTACCGCATCTTGCCCGATTCCTGATTCATGTCTTCACCGCGGTACTTGTTGAATTGCTGGATCGACCTCGGCACGGGCAAGTCCATCACGAGATGACCATCGACCAACGCGATCTGTCGTACAGACACCCCACCACAGACACCCCATCATCAGTCTCGACTCCGGTTGACGAGCGGCCGGCTCGGAGGCCGAAAGAAAGGGAGCCAGGGTAAGAGCGAACTCACTTTTTTCCTACCACGCCTCTGCATGACCTTCATCCTCTCCTGCTGGAAAGCCCCACCTCCATTGTTGTGGTAGTTACCCAAGACACCACCTGCGCCGGGGATGTAATGCGTCGCGGGGACATAGGTTGGTCCGACAGGGGCCGGGGCCTGCCAGGGCACGTGACGGAATCCTCCTGGGTTGGGTGAAGGCGGAGGGAGGGCTTGTTGCTGAAACAGTTGTGGCGAAGGGTACGAATGCGGGTAGAAGCCGTCCTTTTCGGACTGGAGGTTCAACGCCGTATGCGAATTCGTCTGCGCGAACGTAGGGTCCTGGTAGACGCTCGAAGCGGGGTAAGTCGAGTGAGGGTGCGTCGAGCGCGCCTGATCGCCATCGTCCATGTCGCGTTCCATGTGGTAGTAATACGGATCTGTAAGCTCGATCGCGCTATGGTTCGTGGGCTCAGGTGCAGGGGTTTGGTAGTAAGGGTCTTGGTACGAGTTCATTTGCGCCAAGGTAGGTCTTCGTGAGGGTGGGGCAAGAGGTTCCTGCGGTGGGAATGTGTGATCCTGTTGGCGTCCGAGCGGTTGATTCGCCGCAGATCTGGGCGGACTCCGGTTGCGGACTGCGCCGCTATAGGACGACGCGGCGTCGTCAGGGTGGTATGAAGGGCGAGGTTGGGAAGGGTGGGCACCATAGTATGTACTCGACGTTGTACGAGGTGGGAGACGATCTCGTGACATCGTTTAGACCGGATGCTGTACAATAAAATCGGGGGCGAGGAGTTGGGAGAACGAAGATGAGCTCGAGCCGAAACACGTCGAGATGCGCGGGTCGGTCGCGCGACAAGCTGCGACAAGGGGATATCGTGCAACCCAAAGTGGCTTCTTCTCAACGACGCGTCGAGGTTCGAGTTGACTTGGTTCAACACCTTCTTCTTTGGGTAGGAAGTCGACTGTTTGGAGTCGTGGGAGGTCGTGGAAAGACGTGAACAGTCAAAAATAATCAAAACGAACGTTGCTCAATCAGCGGCCGTACTTTGATGAGCACTAACCCTCAGGCACAGCAACGTAAACCAGGTAAATCAGAGTGGGATGAGGCCTGAGAGGCATGAGTCGGTGCTCCTGAGCTGAGCTCACAGGCCGCTGCGCGCTAGAGTCGTTCAGAGACGACCCGAGCACCCGCTACATCTTATTGCCCGCACAAACAGCCCTGTTCGAGCCGTTCGTACGGGGACCAAGTCCAAACTCGCTCGCACGCAGAAGCCTCACACAATGATTGGCGATTGGCAAGCTCGAAGAGGCACCCACTGGGCTCACGTGGCCCGAGCGCGCACTGTGACCAACTTGCCCTCAAGCCCCCCAAGGCCAAAGTATAGCTAGATCAATCTATTCATTACAACAAGATGCGCGCGGTCTGCCGTTCAACGTCATCGTCTTCTTCACTGCGACATCCACTTTTGATGCCGTCCAAGAATCGAAACGAGGTAATCGAACGCAAGAGAAAAAGAAAAAATCAAGGTCAGCGCACGGTCCATGTGAGCAAGTCTGAACAAATATTGACGAATGAGGCGAGGAGACAAGCAATGGGATCTACAGAGATGGAAAGCTCAGATCAGTAAGGGATCCTTCTCGCGGCCCAGGAACCGAAGCGGAAGCCACTGACCAGGGTAACTATGAAATGACCATCATTGTGGGGTCGCAATGCCAACCACGGTCTGGCTCTCCCGCAATGGAAGAGGATCGATTTATACGCGAAAAATGGCGGTAGCGTCTCATCATATCCCATGCTTTGAATCCTCCTCCTCTCGACCTTGTGACCGGTTGAACGAACGCACATGAAAGTCGTTCGCAGCGTCGCCTTCCTCGAAGGAGACTGGAACAGCTTGTGTAGAGAATGTGTGTAGAAACGAGACTCACCCATGATGGCCGTTGGACATGGCCCCCGCCGATGAGCGGTGACCGATGTGGGGAGTAAGAAAGCAAGAGGGAACGAACACGCCCAGGCGAGCGGCCCTGTTGCGGCCCGCTGCGAAACTTTTCCCAGCAAAGCCGCCGCGAGAGCTCAGCGTGCGAGCTTCAACGGAGGCTGCGTGGGGGGGGAAAGCATCCAGCGTGGACAATGTCAGCACCGCTGGCAACCTCATAAGGAGCTAACAGCCTAGGCGCACCCGTTACAATGGTGGATGGGTCGTGTGCTCGGTTACGAAGACGGTGTTGCGGGTGCTGTAGGATCGAGGGCCGGAGACGCCTTGCTGCCAAGCCTGACCTCGTGCACCAGCCGCGGAGGAGGAAGCACCGACTGCCACATGTACTTGAGACCCCCCTTGACCCTTTCGTATTCGACGTCGTCGGGTGTCATCCTCTTGCCTGTGCGCGTGTGGTAGAGAGAGAGAGAGAGAGAGAGGCGAGGTCAGAGCGACGCTCCTCCAGTCGACAGCTGTCGTGGCCACTACGACGGCGAGGGCTGCTCACCCTTCCAGTAAAAGACCCCCCAGGCTCTTCCCATAGGTTTAGGACCCGACAAGTCAAGTCGAACCTTCTTGATCTCCCACCTCGACGTCGGCGGCGCAGAGGCTTTGCTGGCGGAGTAGGTCGGTACGGGGATGCCCATCTCGGCCCATCGCGTCTCGTACACGACCGCGTTGACACCGTCTCGAGGGAGGAGAGAGAGCAGCCGAGGAAGTTGAACAGGTCGAGACGCGAACGACATGGCGGCTTGTGGAGGCACTCGGTTCAGGGGGGGAGGTCGGTGCTGGGCAGGAGGCAGAGATGGACCGACTGGCGCGCGTCATGGCCACTGCACGACTCTCGGCCTCGAGGGAAGTCGAGGGATTACGATGAAGTAACATCATCGAAAGAACTTGCAGCTTTCCAGTGTCAAATACTGAGACTCTCATGGAATCGTCAATCACTGAGACCGTCTGTCGTGCAAGGCTACCTCTCCTGTTCCGAGACAGGAGGCTCAAGCCTCAAGGACCTCGACCGACGCAGCAGGCTTCGAATTTGAACGGGAAAAGAAGAATATTATGCAATTGCGTATCAAACCGAAACCGTTCTTGCTGCACTATTCATCACACACGTACCCTTTCACAAGCATTAGGATTACCATCGAACCCATTTCATCAATCGAGATCATCAATCGGCAAGCTTTCCCTCTCCTCCTCCTCTGCCGCCCTGGCTCTTCCCGCAGCTCGAGATGCCGATCGGGAACGCTCAACATCGGGCCAGCTCCCAGGCAGGCCTGAGGTATCCTCCCCATCACTTGCGTTCGAGCCACCACTGCCACTCCCACTTGCTTCGGCCTCGGTTCGGCTATTCAAAGCCGACGCCGTCGCGGTAGTTCTAGCTTGGTTTCCAGTCGCGGCTCCATCGGCAGCAGCAGCAGGAAGCACACCATTGACAGGTTGCGGCACAAGTTGAAATCGGCATGTAGGACACGTCCCCGATTGTTCGAGCCAAGGGACCAGGCATTCGTCGTGGAAGGCGTGCTTGCATTGAAGAACGAGGAAGCGGTCGCCGACGGTTGCCGGGTCTTGGCAGATCGTGCAGTCTTGGAAGTGCGAAGTGGGGTCGTCTGTCGGATAAGGACGCTGTGCAATCAGCTTTCTAGTCAGATATTGGCCCTTTCCGGACTTGCTCACCGATCATGGCTTGAGAGACGGCGACTCTCGGTAACTCGTCGATCATCTCCTTGGATGCCGGTTGAGGGCCAACTCGGCCAGAAGCCTGGAATGTGCACGCAAGAAGTGAGGTTTTGTGCTGACGGTAAAGTTTTGAATGGAAGCACTTACATGTGCCATGAGATCATTCAGCAAATTCTGAAACGACTCCTCACCCCAAGCATAGTCCCTTGGGTTGCTCGCCAAAGGTACCGCCGCTCCTCCGCCGAAGGCGTTCAACAACTGAATGAAGTAGTCAAACGGCGATCCTTCTCCCGGTACACCACCGCGACCCTGTTGAGCTGCACCATTCCCGCCTTGGGTATTGTCGTTGTTGTTTTCGTCATCGTCATTGTGCCCACCCTCGGTGAAAGGGTTATTGCGAGGATCGTCGGCTGGGTCGACGGGTGGAGCTCCGAAAGCTTCACCGAGAAACGCGCTGTGTGCGTCGATTCTCCTGATCAGATGATGCCACAGTCTCCAACTTACTGATGGCGCCCACCTGGACTCACGCAAGGTTCCGTAGGGGTATCTCGTCTCCTTCTGCCCTCGGTCGCTGAGCGTCGCCACCATGTCGCTGGCCACCGTAGGGTAGATCATCATCATCCGGATCGCCAAGATCGTGGGCCTCCTGCTCTCTCCTCCTCCTCTGCTCTGCTGCTCGACCAGCTGCACCCGCTCCTCCATCGTGTGCCTGTGCGCCTGCACCCGCTGGCTGAGCTGGTTCTGGGTTCGGTCGCCCCTGAGCGGCGCCAACTGCCGCTCCAAAGGCCCTCAACAGACCCATCAGCCCTCCCCCAGGTGCATTCCCGCCCTGAGCATTCCCAGCCGCGCCTGGTCCACCGAATTGAATGACTCTTGCTTGACCATCCGGTCCTTGGGTGATGATGCGTAGTGCAGGAACTCCTCCTGCGCCCGTTGCTCCACCAGCCCCGCCTTGCCCAGCGGCAGCTGCTGCTGCTGCAAAGAAGCCAAACGGCCCATCGTTGACATCCATCCCGGGTGCTTCTGGATAACCAAAGTCTCGAGGGTCATCGTTCGAGTCTTCTTCCACCTGAGGGAGGGATGAACAGCGAATGAGCCTTGAGATTTGGATGGTGGAGGTGTGGTGCAAGCTGGAACTGACCTCTTCGACGAACGAGTCGCGACATACGGAGCAGGTCGGTTCGGGTGCTCGGATGATGGGTTGTTCTTGTCCGCAGGCGTGACTGTACAAAGTACCAGATCTGGTCAGTCCACCGTTCCGCAGACGGTACACGCTCTAGAGCTACATCGATGGTCACGAGCTGCCTCTTGGCCGGCCGAGACGCGATGACGACAGCCACCCACGGAGCTGGTTGAACCAGGTACGTGTTTCATGTCGCAGACTGCAATCGAGCGGAAGTACTCACCACCACCAACGCGATTCGTTGTTGGACGACATGGTTTGGGTCGCCTGCCTGTCGTAGCTGCTGATACTGACCGGTGCAGAGGGTGCAGGCGAGTTCAGGTGGGGGTGGTGAAAAGTCAAGGCGCGAGAGAGCTTCCGGCAGATGTTGCAATTAATGTGGCGTATCTGTAGTGACGTTTTCTAATCGCCGTTCTCCGCCAGACGCCCGGCGCGCACGGACCCGCGTCACTTTGATGCTCATGGACCGCGAATTAACGCACTTTCTGGTACTCGCTGGAGACCGATTTTTGATGTTATTTCGCTTCACCGCAATATAGCTGCATCTGAGTATCACATTACTTCAGACCTACCAGCTAGGGCTGACAGTCAAATCTCAAACACCGTTACGGTCACGGTGACGCCCTTCAAGTTGAACGCGTTGGGCGACCCGCCGGAGTTGAGCATTATCCGAACGTAAGCGCGGCAGAGCGCGGCTGCCAACTTGGGCCGACTGGCGCACCCGGCCGCGGGTTTACCGCGCAGTTTCTTTCCTCCACCTCCTCCACCTTCGCCTTCCCTTGCTTGGCACAATTTTTCCTTCCTTACCTCCGCACCTCCGCACCTCACCCACCCGCACCATGTTCTCCCAAGTCGCCCGCCGCTCCGCCCTCGTCGCCCGTGCTGCGACCGCTTCCACTCGACGGGTCGTGCCGTCGGCTGCTCGGTCAGTCTGCCCCTCCTCGCCCCCCGGCTTTCACGCTCGAGTGGTCCATCGTCGGCACTTGACGATCGTAGCGCGTGGACGCCTTTTCACACGAATCTACGCTGATACCCCCGCTCTCACACGTCTATGCAGTGGTTTTGCTACCGAGCCTGAGCTGCCCGCGCTGTCGTCATTGTACAAGCTCACCGATGAGGAGGAGATGCTCCGTGATGCCGGTCAGTCGACAGTCGACGGAGGCCACCGCGCGCGCACCCCACACTCCTCCTTGCCGTCGGGTGCGGAGAGCGGGCCGTCGCGATGGCGTACGACCGCATCTCGGATCAAGCAACACGTGAACTGAAACCTCTAGTGTTCGATACACAGTCCGCAAATTCGCCGAAGAGGTCGTTGCACCCAAGGTCGAGGCGATGGACGAGGCCGAGAAGATGGACCCGGCCATCATCAAGGGTCTCTTCGACCAGGGCGTCAGTCCATGATTCATAACATGCCTTGGCGCAGGATCGTACTCACCTTGCTTGTTCACCTAAACCGACAGCTTATGGCCATCGAAACCGACCCTGAACTCGGAGGTGCCGGCGCATCCTTCACTTCGGCCATTTTGGTGATCGAAGAACTCGCCAAGGTCGATCCTTCGGTCTCGGTCTTGTGCGATGTCCACAACACGCTCGTCAACACGATCCTTCGCCATTACGCCACCCCTGAGCTGCGCGAAAAGTACATGCCCCAACTTTCGGCCGACAAGCTCGGCTCGTTCTGTCTTTCGGAACCCAATTCGGGCTCGGATGCGTTCGCGCTCAAGACCACCGCCACCAAGAGTGCGGATGGGTCTCACTACGTTATCAACGGATCAAAGTCATGGATCACCAACTCGGCCGAGGCGGGCCTCTTCCTTGTCAGTTCCAAATGGCTCCAGCCGGTGGTTAAAAACTCTTAAGGGCACTCACTGACCCGAACCGCTTGATCGTACGCACACACTCTCAGGTCTTTGCCACTTCTGACGCTAGCAAGGGTTACAAGGGTATTTCATGCTTCCTCGTCGAAAAGGAGATGGGTGTTGAGATCGCCAAGAAGGAGAAGAAGCTCGGTATTCGCGCTTCATCGACCTGCACGCTCAACTTTGACAATGTTAAGGTGCCCGCCGCCAACTTGATCGGCGAGGAGGGCAAAGGTTACAAGATTGCGATCGAGATCTTGAACGAAGGACGAGTCGGGATCGCGGGACAGATGGTTGGACTTGCACAGGGTGCTTTCAACAAGGCCGTGCCGTACACGTTCCAGCGCCAGCAGTTTGGTCAAGCCGTCGGCTCGTTCCAAGGCATGCAAATGCAGTTTGCCGAGATCGCGACCGAAATCGAAGCCGCACGTTTGTTGACTTACAACGCCGCAAGGCTGAAGGAGGAGGGACAACCGTTCACCAAACAGGCTGCCATGGCCAAGTGGTACGCTTCCGTCGTGGCGCAAAAGGCATCCGGTGCGGCTATCGAATGGGCCGGTGGTGTCGGGTTCACTCGTGAGTTTCGCTCGCTGCTGCATGGGTCGAGACTGGGGGATGGGACCTTACTGAATCTTTCGCATTCATTTCTGCAGGTGAGGTCGGTATTGAAAAGTTCTGGCGGGATTCCAAGATCGGTGCCATCTACGAAGGCACCTCCAACATCCAACTCCTTACGATCGGTGAGTTGGGCGATAAGCGTTAAATTGGGGACGTCCAGTAAGCACAAACTGATCCCCCAGTTCTCTCTTCTCCAACCTACCAGGCAAATTTATCACCAAAGAGCACTCGTAGGTAGTTTTTATATTGGTCCCGTTTTTGGTTAATATCCCATTGTTACTCCTTTTCCTCGCATCCCATTCATTTTCGCTGCGCGAGCCCGTGGGCCTGAAAATCTAGTTGCTAGCCCTGAGAGGGCTCAAGATCATCAGAATATTCTATGTGAGGACGTTCAGATGTGATGATGGGGATATTCATTCCTCGTACTCCCGAGTGGCAACTGCCTCGAGCGGTTACCGTGCCCAGAAAGGTGGTGTTGGGGTTGGACCTGGTTGGACCGAAACGCAAGCCGTAACCGCGTGACCCCTCGCATTCCCTCGCATTTCTCTCTGGCTCTTATCCCCACCGCGCTCTAAGCCGCTATCCTCCTTTTCTCCTCCTCACACCATCTGATCACGGCATCATGAGCGATTCTACGCGCAACACGACCGCCACCAGTAGCCCTGCAAGCTCGGACTTTGGAGATGAGGCTCAGTTGGTACATCATCCCCTGCTACTTTCAGGAGTGTGAAGGCGGCGTGAGCCTTTCCCGCGCCGCTCCGTCTCGGCCTTCGACCTGCCGCACGTGCACCAGTGATAAGCGCCGCTCGATCAAGTGACGCCACACATACAATGGAGCAAGAAATCAAGGGTAATGTAGAGCTTCTTTCGTCTGTTCTTTCTGCGTCGCATACATCCACAGTCGCGGTCCTCGTTCAGAACGGCGCAAGGGGGGGGGGGGGGGGGGTTGGTTATTTTTGGAGCGGCCGCTAGCGCCTGATTGGCCCACTCGGCGGAAAGCCTCTGCGCGACCGGCGGCTCCGCCTCTACGAACTCCTCCTCACACCGCATCCAAGTCCCTTTCCTCTTCATACACATCCTATTCTTCTCGTCTCTCCAGGGTGAACCCTCCTCTCGGCGGTCGGTCGAAGCTTTTCTGTCGGGGGTCGGCTACAAGACTCGCTCCTTTCCTGTGGTCGAACCCCTTGCCACAACCCCCGCATCGCTTTTTACCTTCGCCGAGATCAGGGGAGCTCTTTGGGAGATTCCGAGCAAGCTTGGGATGCAACTTGTCGCTACGGGTGCCTGCTGCAACTTCTTCAGTTGGCATATCTTCCTTGGCCTCTTCACGAGGTTAGGGGGATAGTCGATCTGAGAATGGTGAACAGTGCTGAGATCATACCGTCTGAACTTGAACCGCGTTCGTACGCGCGTAAGAACAGCGATTGCAAGTTTTCTTCATTCCCCCTTTCGGTTTCTCGTTTCTTCGTCTTTGGTGTTGAATCCTTGAGGAGCTCCGGAGCCTTCGCTTTCGTGGGCTCTCTCTTTGGCTGCTCCATGGCGTGCATCTACTTTCCACAACCTGGCGTCGAGGTCTGACCGGCACGACTGACGGGATATCATTGGGGCTTGTCTGCGGTTGCTTCGTACGCACGAACCCAGGCTTCGCTAGGGTACAAACAGGTGCTGCATCGAACTTGGCACACTTTTGAAGCCTTCATGGCCGGGTAGGTCGGCTTCTCCGTTTCTGTTCGCTTGGACTTGGACCTTATCCGCAGCGCGCATATTCCTAACAGTTTTGGATCGCTTTATGTCGTTGGCGGTGTTCGCTACCTCTTCTCGATCGGTATCTACTCGTAAGTTCCTCTCGTGTCGAGTGAGGTCTCTCTGCCTTTTCACTTCCTGACATACCTCGCCTTCCACAGCGGTGGACCATTGGCGCTATGGACGACAATGTTGGCGACCGTCGTTTTCATGACGATCACGGCCGCCTCCCTTGCCGAGGTAAGTCTCTTGTTTGCGCGTTCACGTCCCAAACCAGCTTGACACGATAACTGACCCCGATGTTAACATTGCAGATTTGCTCGTCGCTGCCTCTCAGTGGTAGCATCTACGCTTGGGCCGGTGCAGCCGCAGGTCCCAAATACGGCCGGTTCTTTGCCTTCATTGTCGCCTACTGGTCGACGACGGCATGGACGTCTTTCGTCGCGTCCAACACCCAAGGCACGATCAACTACATTCTCACCGAGCTGACCGTTTTCAACCACGCCTTCCCCGGCGGCCTCGACTCGACCAACATCAAGTTCCGGGCCGTGCAATGGATCTGTGCCGAGATCTTCCTACTCCTCGCCGTGCTCAGCAACGTGCTGTCGCCAAGGAAGTTCACTTGGGTCTTCAAGGCTTCGGCGGCTATCATCGCAATTGATTTCTTCTTGACGGTCATCTGGCTGCCTATCGGCGTGTCCAAGACTTACGGGTTCCAGCCTGCATCCTTCTTGATGACGACATACAACGTGAGTTGCGCCTGCGCATCCATCTTATTCCTGACCTCAGGAACTGACTCCTAGACGCGATCCTGTCCTTCACTGTCACAGGGAACGGGCGCCTCGTCTGCGTGGAACTACATCTTGGCTTTCTTGTCGTCCTCGGGCGTGCTGACCGGATTCGACGCCTCTGGACATATCGGGGAAGAGACCAAGAACGCATCGCTCGCCAATGCTCGCGGCATTTTCTGGTCGGCCACGTTCTCGGGTTTGCTCGCATTCCCTCTCCTCATCTTATTTCTCTTCTGTTCTCCTCCTCTCGACACCTTGTTCGCGATCGAAGCTCCCCAGCCTTTCGTCCTCATCTACACGCTCGCGCTCGGTAAGGGAGGCCAAATGGTCATGACGCTCGTCGCTACGGTCGGCCTCTTTGTCAACACCAGCTTGGCTATTCTCGCCGCCAGTCGTCTCGTCTTTGGTATCGCTCGAGACGGCGTGTTGCCCGGCTCGAGTTGGATCGGCAAAGTCGATCGCAGTGGACAACCCAAGAATGCGATTATATTTGTCGGTGGCGTCGCCGCGGTCCTGCTCTGCACGATCTTGCCCTCCCAGGTCGCATTCACGAGTCTGATCAGTGCATCCGGTCTACCAACGATCGCTGCTTATGCTTTGATCCCGATTTTGCGCCTGCTCTTCACCCGACACGAGTTCAGAACGGCCAAGTGGTCGAACGGGCGTTTCTCGGAGCTCTTCTGCCTCATCACCGGCATCTGGAACCTCTTCCTCATCACCGTCCTGGTCTCGCCTTACGAGTGGCCCGTCACGGCGCAAAATTTCAACTTTTCGAGCGTCATCTTCGGGGCCATCACCTTGCTCGCGATCTTGACCTGGTGGTTCGCGCCGGAAGAACGATGGCTCAGTCACCGCGACCTCCTCAAGATCATCGACGGCACACATCAGCAGCAGCACACGGCGACGGTCGACGAGCATGCTTCTATCCCCGAGAAAGGGCTGTCGGAGTGATAGGGAGGTAATTGTGTGCCTACCTAGCTTTGCAGGTACTTAGAGTCTTATCGCATTTCTTGGATATCAGCTCATTCTTTCTGCGAGACGTTGTTGCATAACCGCCCCCCCCCCAAACGTTCCCCTGTTCAACACGGGCGTTCTAGAAGGCTTTCCGTGATGGCGAGAGAGATGACGAGAGCCGTACCACCGACGGTGAGAATGGCGCCGAGCGAGAAGAGGACAAACGTAAGGACGGGGAAGAAGGACAGCGCAAAAAAGACACCGAGCAGCGACTGTGATGATTCATGTGAGTCAGTTGACCATACCTTAAAAAGTCAGGTCGTGCTGCGGTCGATCGGGTGCTGCGCCGGGACCCGATCGGCCTGACGCAGCGAGCCGAGGCCACGAGGAGCGCGGTTAAGTTGAGCGTGAAAGCCAGCTGGAGACGCGACGTGACGCGTGACGACGAGCACACCGACGAGCGAGAAGACAACTGACGGTCATGATCGGCCGTGCATGAGCCTGTGCCACGAGATACTCCTGCGCCGGATCAACATAGTGTTTCCTCGCACTGTCGGTCATTCCGAGCTCCCCAAGGCGCGATCGGAGGTGTTCGAGCGTTGCAGTGGGTTGGTTTGGTGCGATCGGCGGTGCAACAAGAGTCCCGTCAGCTTGTGTTCCGACTGTGAGCAGCCTGTTGACGACCAGACATCCAAGGACTTGCATCTCGACCTTCTCGTTCAGTACAAGTTGCACCTTTTGAACATCCTTCATCACCTGATCCTTGTCTGTGTGGGCGTTGGTGGGTGCGACCGAGGTTATTCGCCGTTCGGGGTCGGTCAGTCTCGCTCTCGCACCACCCCGTCGTCATCGCTCGGCAATCCCAGCGACAGGTCGTGCAACTCACAAGGTTCAAGGTTGTCCGAAGAGGTGGGAGGCTTCTCGCTCTTGATGGTGTGGGCAGTGTGGGAGTGGGACATGGTGGTAGTAGACTCGAGTTGGTTTTGTTGTTGGGTCGGCGAGTGCACGTGAGGTGGTGAGCCCGTGTGGAGAGAGCGAGGCGGATGCGTGTGGGGGGGAACGGCCAATTTGTGCTCCTGCCGAGCCGATCGAGTCGAACCCGGTCGGAGGCACGGCTGAATTTGCAAATATCCCTCAGGGCGGTTTATCATGGAAGAGATGCTTCGTCCACTTCAAGATCACCACCTCTCGATTAGAATGCTTGGTCACTTTGTCCCGCTGCTCCGGTCTTTGATCGGTCATCGTTCAGCGCGTAGCACAACTTGAACGACCTCCCTTCGATCACCTGCCCTTGCTCACATTGCTCCGCCGAGAAGAGGGTTGCACCAATCATGCATAGCATGCTACAGACGGAATAAATAAACAACAAGAGCTACATCAATCCGCATGAATACATCTTGCCAAGGTCCCGCCCAAGCTCATATAGTAAGCTCAGAACCCAACCATCCTCAACACCAAATACAGCGTCGAGCCGATCAACCTAAACGCCGACAGCGCCGCGACGGCCCAAAAGATGCCGACCATGTAATAATTGATCACGACCCCATTCTTGGACTCTTTGGCCAAGAACTCGGTCCAGAATTTCGAGGTGAACCCGATCACCAAAGCGAGATTGATCCCTAGGTAGGAGAGCAAGACGTTGGTCCTCAATACGGCGAATCGATCGGCTTGCTTTTGATCGATCGTTCGTTTGGTGTGCGTTTCGATCACCGGTTGCGACATCTCTTTACGCATTTGGATCCACAACGTGTCGATGTCGTCGGGCGCGGTCGGGATATCGACCTCGACAATGTCTTGCCCGTCCTTGTCTTTGGTCTTGGCGGCGTGTCCGAGATCCTTGATCACGGTCGAGCCTTTGGTGCCCCATGCAAGCTACAGGAGCGAGGGGAGTTGAGGTCAGTCATAGCGCCTACTCTTGTTTAATAAATGAACTCACATCATGCAGATTCGCGAAAGGTGAGCGTCGCCATGCCGCGCGGCCGGCGGCCGCGCCAATTTTGTTCGATCGACTCGAAGGTCCGTCCCTGTTTTGGTGCCTTGGGAGTGGCTGCTCGATTTACGAAGGCTCGCTACCACGCTCGAGTTTTGTGAGGTGAACACAGCACCGACGCCCTACGACTTTCAAAGGCGCCGAAGCCGCCTCCGAAAGGCGTCAAGACGTCGCTCTCACTCTCAGTAGCTCTCAGTCGCCCTCGCTCGCAAACGCACGAGCGCCGCCGAGCTCGAACTCGTTTCTTGCATCCTGGACGCCCTGTTCGCTTCCGCTTTCGCACCCGTGTGTCGTGGAGCTTTCTGCTGCACCTCTTGTGTGTGGCTAGCGAGAACGCGACCACTAGCCCCCGCTTGCGTCGGTTGTACTTGGCTCCGACACGACCTCTCGCCTTCGTTCAGCAAGATTGGTTTGTGTCAGTCTGTAAGGCATATTGCACCGACGGACGAGTCGACGACGCCGCCTTGCGCTAGTGCCTTCGGCTTTCGCCTCCGACTCAATTCCAAGCCCCCTGGCGCTAGCCCGGGTTGGACCTGATCAACTCCTGTTCACTAGCACCGCCTCGTCACGCACGGGTCTACGACAGAACGGTTACTCGGTCCAGCTGATCGACCTCACCTTCCTCCACGACCACGTACCTTGGTGCGGCGCTCGACGCGCAGGCGGGGAGTGATCAGTCGGGTATTGGGGAAACCCCTCCCACCCCGTCCCCCTCACCTCCACCCCGCCTATTCTCGTCCCGAGCCACGTCGCGTTCTCGTCGTCGTCACGGCTCCCGATACCCAGAAGTCAAACCCAAGGTCTCGCTTTGCCTCGTGACATAGCCTTTGCTCAGGTTATTCTGGAAACGCTGACGACTCTCGCCTAGAGTGCCACACCTGCGATCTCACCCCGTAGCTACCGACTGTCCCTCCGACCCTCGCAATATGCACACGTCCTCATCGACTTCGCATGCATCCGCGAGCGCACCGGTTCGATTACCCCCGGTTTCCGTTCCCCGCGATGACGAACTCCTGCCACCTCCTGTGAGTCTCCGTCGCCGTCGAGCCTCGTGGCCAGGCAGCTCGGTCTAACGAGGGGGGACCGACCCCGTGATCCGAGAGGCGAGCTGAACCTTGCCCCATGCCCATTGCCCGTTCGTCGCGTCATTGTTGGCCATATCCTTGCCTCTCGCGTTCTTCGTGCCTCCTTTCTCACTCTTTTTCAAACAGGCTACTGGTTTCAACAGCCTGAGAAGGGTGTCTCTCAGTGACCCGTTCTTGCATGCCTACCCTCAGTCGGGTCCTGGCCCGAATGGCCCGGGAGCGGCCTCGTCCGGATCGGGTATGGATCCTCCGTCGCCGACCTCGGTCAATTCGCAGCAAATGGGCTTCTCCGCAAAGCGACGCGACCTGGATGGTGAAGGCGAGGCCAAACCGTTCGATCACAACGGCCGGGGTCCACCTCAGCAATCGTATGCCGAAGGCTCTCGTTCGGGCTCGCCGACGCACCCTTACCATGGCCATTCTCAGGCCAACTATGGCGGGTACGGTCCCGGGGGTCACTATATCACTCAACAGCAGCAGCAACCACTTTCGCAACACCACTTGTCGCACCACCCCCACCACCCGCAGTCACAGTCTCATCTCTATGGCCCCAGCCATCCCGGACCGGCTGTACCGGTGTCCCAGCACCAGCTGGGTCCGAGTTCGAGCTATCGGTTCGGCGGCCCGACACCAATAGGGCCTCCGCAGGAATCTGGTTCCTACTTTGGTCAGTACTGTGTCCTCGATGTCGGCCTCTTCGAGTGAGTTGCGACTGAACAGAGTGATTATTGTCCATCAATAGATTATTCCATGAGGCGGCACTCGCTCTCAACGAATGGGATCCTCGGTGCCCCTGGCTCAGCGTCGGCAACGCCTTCGTCGCCGACACGACGGATATCCGCCGAGGCCGCTCCCGGCAATCTGAAGCGGAAACAATCCGGCGAGGGTGTCATTCATGAGGAAGGAGGATACCAACACGCCGGTGCTTACGCCTATTCAGGCAATGGCAGCAACGGCATCATGCCTCCCCACCAGATCAACACCTACCGGCCGCCTTCCAAGCGCCGAGGCTCGTCTTTGACCTATGACAAGATGAGCAATCTCAGCCTTGCCGAGCAGCAGGCGCGAAGGGACTCGGGTATGAGCTCGCAGAGCAACCTGAGCCCCTGGGAGGACGACCGACGCGGAAGCGGCGGAAGCTGGACGAGCGCAGGGAGTCAGGGTTATTCCATGTCGGGCTACCCTATGGATCCTTACGACCAGCGAGGTCCTCCCCACGGCCCTCCAAATGGCACCTACGATTCGCCGAGGGGCTCAGTCTCTGATACGACATGTACTGGCGGCCCTACAGTATTCGGACGTAGGCCAAGCATTGGGATCAGTCATCTCGTCCAGGGTGGGTCGGGCGGCTATGGTGGACCGCCAGCGTATGCGAGGTCGCTACCTCCTGTCGCCCACTCGCCTCCTGAGGAGAATCGCGACTCGCCCCACTCGGCTCATGCGATGGTACCGGATCGAGGGGGGCCGTACCTAACCTCGGCACCGGCCGGTCCTCCACTTGCCCCACCGAGTGGTCCTTGGCGCCCCGTCCCTGGATCCTACAATGAACCCCATCGCGATAGTCGTCAAAGCTCGACCGGCTCTCTCGGACCGTACGGGATGGGCATGGGTGGCGATGGGGACCCGGACCATTTCAAGGATTCGCCTTATGCCCGCAGCCCCGAGCTTCGCGTAACGCACAAGTTGGCCGAGCGCAAACGCCGCAAGGAGATGGCGCACCTGTTTGATGACCTGCGCGACGCACTGCCTGTCGACCGGGGGCTCAAGAGCAGCAAATGGGAGATTCTGAGCAAAGCCGTCGATTTCATCCAGCAGCTCAAGGCGACGAACGTCGAGCTCGGCAAGGACAACGCCAGGTTGAGGGCTCATGTCGGTTATGGTCCTGGTTCTATCGTCGGTACATCGATACCGGGAGGTGTAGTCAATTCGCCACCACCGCACCCACCGCATATGCAGAGCCCTAGGATGTCGATTTCGGCGCCTTCCCACCCGCCGCCGCAGATGTACCAGAACCACTCGAGGCAGCCGAGCGATTATTCCTCACACCCCGTGTCGGTTCAGTCGGGGTCGTCTTCGGCTGCAGTCTCGGATTTCTCAGGCGAACACGCTCATCAACAGCAGCAGCGGCACCCAAAACAACAGGGGCAGCAGCACCAACACCAACGGCAGCAGCAGCAGCCGCCGTCGCACCAACAGATGCAGCAGCAGCAGCAGCAACAGCAACAGCAACAGCAGCAACATCACTCTCACCCAGGACAATCTCGACATGGATCCTACCAACACTCTGCCCCACCCCAACACCAGCGCACAGCCTCGACGATGAGCCTCGCCTCAGATCGAGGATCGGGTTCGCCGAGCGGGGTTGGGGGCGGCAACGTCGGCGATGCGGGCTCGATGATGGCTTCGGAACAGTCCGACTTTAACGACAGCGGTGTTGGTGCTAATTCTGGCGTCAAGAACGCTTCGCCTCTTTCCAACTCGTCGGTTACGTTCGCGCCTACGATAGACGCCACAACCGTCGCCGCCTGAGCTCGTCGACTCCTTTTGGAACTGCGCTTCTTCCTTCGCTTCATCTTGTCCGCTTATTTCTTTGCCTTGGAATTTGGTACCGTATCTGCTTTCTTGTGCGGTACCTTCTCGCCGCTTTCTTTTATCAGTAGTAGCAAATCAGCGCGGGTTTTTTTTTTGGCTCTAATATATTTGATGCAGTTTTTCTCCTTTCAAGGACGACCCGAAGGATAGTGAGATGTGAGAACAACTGAAATGAGTTGATAACGTTTGAGCTGTATGACTGCCAGTAACGAGGTACAGGTGGCGTAGGATCGATTTGGCAGCTGTGAACGCATGTTACGACATGTCAAAGATGTTTTGAGTGTAACGGCATTGTTCCAGATATCTCGGAGACTTTACATCAGTGTCCCACGGTAAGTTGAATGGCGAGTCGTAACGCCGGCTCGTCGGCGCTACCCTGACGAACGAAAGGCGCGTTCCTCTCGCGCGAGGGATCCATTGCATAAACTTACATAAATCGAAAACTAGCCCAATTCGCGGCCCATGCTTTGGTTAGTTTCGTCTCCTCAAGCTCATACCGCCGGCGGTTGGCCCTACTAGGTAGATGGTACTTGAGTCATCGACCCGGTCTTTCTAATGTTTCAGATTGGTTCGAGGAGCTCTGTAGCGGTGCTACGTGTCCGGCGATTCGTCCTTATTCAGCCTGGCCAGATTCGACATACATTCAGCCTCCCTTGTGATTCCCTTTGTGTCTTGTAGTCTCGAGTGTAGTATCGAGATATACACTACGCGTTCAAAATCGCCTTGGCCACTGGCAGTCGCAATCTAACCCGTCGCCGGCTGTCGCCGGCTGCCGGCCGAATCCAAGCAGATCCAAGCGACGACGCTTAGGCCGTGTTATCACCATCTTTCGCAACGTCCGCCACTTTCCTTCCCCCAGCTCGTTCCCGGACGAGTTGCTGTACACCCACCAGCCCAACCGAGAGTCCCTTGACCTCGGGTGCAACTTTGGCGCGTTCGATTATCGAGTGCGATCCCGAGTCAGGACCACCGAATCGGTCAACCTGCCGACCAGCGTGACCGCGTGACCGCATCGCCGTCACTGCCCGTACGACGTGAACGACGATCGCCCCCGCTCGCCAGCCTGCCCGCTGCCCTCCGCTGCCCATTGCGGGAGATTGTCACGAGCGCCAGCGAACGAGAGACTTCCTCGCCGCTCTTTGTATTGGCGACCCGCGATTTTCTACGGTCTCGTTGGGAAATAGAGCCCAGTGAGGCCAGCATCCGAATCGACTCTGTGGACACAGCCCTCCGCGGCCTTACCGACCGTGGACTAGCGTAGACCGGCTGACTCCCACACTCTGTGGGGGCGGGCCCTGCGCGCGATAGTCTACTGCTGGTGTCCGGGTCCTCTTCGGACAACACAGCCGAGTCTCACTCATCTTCAAGTCGCCTTTCTCTTCCATTGTAATCGACATCTTGGCCAACCCATTCCACCACCTCGCTTGCACAGGCGGCGAACCGCGAATCGCCTCAGGCGGCTCTCGTTCCCCTTCTCGACTACGAGCCAGCGGCAACGGAGGCCCAAGCGATCGTTGATCCTATGCGGCGTCGCATGGGCATCCCAGTCGCGTCGGCGCAGGGGCCTACCACCATACAACCCGGCACTACCAATGCTTCCATCTTTTTGGCGTCAACGAGCGCGGTCTTGAACTCGGAAGCGGCGCAAGATCTCGACATCCCTCAATCGGCTTCGTCGTCAAGCACCGACTTTTCGCCGAGCTCAGATCGGCGAACGTTACATGGGGATGACCGACTTCCAGCCTCGGGTTCGATGGACGCCGTAGCTACTCCAAACCAAGATAATCAGGATAGCGACGATTCGGATGCGTTTGAGGAGCCGAGCATGGTGCGCGACAGTGATGATGACGACGGATTCGACGATGACCGAGCTTCGGACATCCCCGCCACCCGCATGGGTCTCAGGGACTCGATGATGGGATCTGCTCCTCCGGAAGGTCTTGGCATCGGGATGGACGATGCGCAGGACTTTAGTGCCTCGAACGAGCCATTGGCCGGTCGTCTCAGACGGTGTCAGGCCATGACCGGCTCACTCGATGTTGGGCTTCAATCGTACTCAATGCAAGACCCATTCGTCGCTGCGATCGAGGGGAGATCTACCAGGCATTCCCATGTTGCTTCCGTAGAAGGTCTCGCAACGCAACAGCAAGACTCGAACTCGACCTCAGACCTGTCGACCGCCTCCTCATCAACGCGCCACCGTGGCACATACTTAAGCGTAGCCAGCGGTCCGTTGGCCAGGTATGCAAGTGAGGGCCCTTCGCGGCCACAGGTATGTCTTGACGATCAATGATGTTCCCCTCATCCTCCGACCGTCTGGTCTGATCGTGGTACTTTCCATCCAAGCAGTCGTCGATCCGCAGCAGCCCAAAGTCGTTCTTCTCGAGCCTGTTGAGTCGATCGCCTCGCTCCGTCAGTCGATCCCAGGGCTCCGTCCCAGATTCAATTGAGTCAGCTTCTGGGTCTGGGTCCACGTCTCGCTCTCCTCAATTATCGACTCCGCCTCGCCGATCTCGGCATTCCGTCGAGGGCTTTTCGACCAGTAGCTCACCTCAACCGAACGAATATTCGCCGAGCGCCTCGAGCCCCGACCTCGTGGATTGCTCACACTTGACCGAATCTACGACTCCGACTGATCCGAGGACATTGCTCACGTCCAGTGCTGCCAAGGGGAGTAATGGCTCAGATGCGACGGCACCGAGCCAGAGCCCTCCTCAACGCCGTACCCCACTTTTGGCCGCAGTTGCATCCTTCACCCGGAGCGCTTCCATGATGATAAGAGCCGATTCAAGCCCTAGCTCACCGCCAACACATTCGAACTTGACGCCGGCAGGGGTTACCTCGATTTCGGGGAGTGGAGCCATCAGCACGGGGCGTACACCGGAGCCGACGGCCCGCGTCTTCTCGGCTCCACCACAACGATCATCCGAAAACTTATCCAAGCTCAATGGCTCAGCGACCGAGACCGAAGTGACGCCGACCCTCGAGTCAATTGGGCTAGGGCTCGCTTCGCTCACACAATCGTTGTCGACTTCGAGGCATGCTCAACCGCTCTGCGGAGCCATTTTGGATGACAAATACTTGCTTATTGGTGAGATTTTTTTGATTTTTTTTTCCCCAGTGAGCTCGCGGTAGGATATTAACCTGACTTGTCTTTCCGGGTCCTAGGAACGACGGCTGGCCTTGAATTTCTTCCGCTGCCGGTCCCCGGAGGCGTTGCGCAAAATGTTGAAGGCGGCAGACTGTCCAAGAACACACGCAAGCCGATCCAACTCATCAAAAAGACGCGCTTCAAGGAGCTCACCGTGCTGAGCGAAAGGAGCAACATCCTACTCGCCATCGCGGGCCGCAATGATCATGTTCGAGTGTACGCTCTAGAAGGCATTCGTGCGATGATCAACCGGGCGATGGCGACGTTGGATGTGCAGGACGGTTATGCATTCTCGAACGGGAAGAGCGTAGAAAGCGCAGAGTTGCTGGCACAGGACGATCCGAAAGGCAAAGGGCGAGCGACGTCGGGCTCACTGCCTCAGCCGGCACAGGCTTTCCGTTTTCCCGCACGTGCCCCTGCTCCCATCACGGTACCGCCGCCTCCCGAGTACTCGTCCCTGCACACTGCGTCAAACATGCCGGCTCCCTCCCCAACGCGGCCGCCCCATCGTCGACAGGCTTCGCTCACGACTCGACCTGGCCTGCGTCACAGCAGCTCATCTAGCATCGTGCGCGCCGTTCCGATGAATCCTCGACTCGTTTCGTACCATGGACCTTCCACTTCGGGGCCGACGAACGCCAACGCACTCAACGCCTTTGCTTCTTCGACGACCAACGCCCATGCCTCGGCGCGCTCATTGCGGGGATCTAGGTCTCGCGAATTCGTGGCGAGTCGACGCAACTCGACTGCGACGATTGTCTCGAAGCGCCGATCAAGGGGCGATTTGAACCGGTACTCTATGTCTTCGCTGAACGGGGAGCGCTTGAACAGTTCGGATGCTGGACCTTCTTGGGATGAGTCGGTGTCGGGGCTGACGTCCCCCTTGGGAAACGCTGCGAGCGCGGACGTCAACCAGGGTCAGGGTAATCAAGATCAAAGTGGTCGGTGGGAGTCGTCCACCAGCGCATCCGACTCTCCTTCTTCGCATTCCACGAATGGGATTAGTTCGAGAAGTCTGTCGACCACGGCCACTGAGCCCGATGCGCTTCCGACAGATTCGGGACATTCAGCTCAAGCGTCACCAGAAGTGGAAGTGGAGCCTGGTCCCAAGCCCGCTATGCCTACGTCCGACATAGAATCGGACAACGCGCAACGAGATGGTTGGATCGACGGGACGCGCATGACGGCGATCAAGAAGATCGTGCCGAGGGAGCCGACGATACCTCGCATCGCTCCTGGCCAAGTTTCTCCTTCGATGATGCTCGCGGAGTTCTTCCGCGACTCGGAGCCACCTATAGAGACGCAAGACCTCGAAGTGCCGCACGACTTTGACTCGAATCGTACGTCATCAGACTCCCTCGCTGCAAGACGTAATTCGGCGTTACCCAGCCTCCCGGACGGGGACGGGGATGATCCCCCTCAAATGCGCGATCGCGATGGGGACGCGGAATCACGCGGTGGTGAATTGCTCTCAGGTTGTTCGTCCTCGTCAAGTGGATCGGCGCTGTCGCACGTTTCGGAGTCAAGGGTGCCGCCGCGTCGGATGATTGCGCGAGACGCCAAGACGACTGTGCGACCCGACAATGGTGATGATGGGCCGACTGAAGCCATGCGCGGGGTCACACTAGCCGAGATCATCCGTGACGACCCACCACCACCAACAAAGTGCACTATGCTTCCAACTTCAACTTCGGTTCCGAATGGACTGTTGACCGCTCCGTCTCCTTCGACGTCCGGAAGCGGTGCGCGAGCGAGCAAAAGATGGTCGATGGGCAACGTTGGCTCGAGGCTGCTCAGTCGACCCAGCACTAGCAACGTCGACGGCTCAGGTTCTTCCTCGCAGTCCACTCGTGAGAGTGCGCTCGCTGCCGCATCAAGCGGTCCCTTGCTGTCGACCTCCACGCCCTGGATGGCCCCTAGATCAGCTTCCGCGCCCGTTCTGGCCGACAACTCTGACGGAGACCGGCCTCTTCCGCCTCGGCCTTCCATTTCCGAGACGGTGGCTTCTTCGTCGACGATCGACAACAAGCGTCGCAGCCGGCCGAACACTCTTGAACCGCCTATCCTGAAGGTGCCTCAGTCTAGCCGAGTGCCAAGCGATGCCCATCCGGCAAATGTGAGTCGTTCTACCTGTTCGATGTCCAGCACATCCGCGGAAATGATTCCAACAATATATTACGTTACAGGCCTCCAGTCCGTTGGACTATGTCAAGCTAGCTCGAACCAAAGGCGCTCGTCTGCTCCGGGCTGTCGAGACGAAGAAACGGACCTATCTCGCAGTACTTGGAGGTGATGAGGGCGACCGCATAGAGCTCTTCACTGGCTCGCGTGGTATCTCGCTCTCGCTCAACCGCACTTTCGTCCTCCCTGAACGCCCTCGTACGATCGAGTTTCAGCTTCAGGGTGATGATTTGGTTGATATCTGTCTGTCCTACCTCCTCATGCTCCCTCTTCACGTCGGTTTGCTCGGTGTAGCTGACACAACGTGCGCTCCTGGCAGATCTCATCTACTCCGACTCCATTTTCGCTCTTGAACCGGCGACCGTGCGAGTACGGGAGGTCGGTGTGGGTCGAGGAGAGCGTCGAGCGCGCCGTGAGCGGGAAAGGCGCATTCGAGATCTGGCAGCATCGGCGTCCGAACCTGTCGAAGGCGCGGACTTGGGCGAGCGTCCGCTCGACCCGTCGCTCACCCCGCATCCAGCTGAATCGGTGTCCCGGCGGACGCCGACACCCGACAGCGGGCGCGACGAATCATCCACAACATCGCCGGACACGCCCCAAGCCGCCATGTCCGCTGGAAACTCATCCTCTGGCACCCCTTCGGGTATACCTCCGCCTCCGCACCTCCCGCTGGGTCCCAATGGCGACAATTCGGACACCCCATCGTCATTGTCAACGCCCACGATGGTTGACAGCCCGCTCGACCCCGACGACCCTTCGACGATTGGATCTCGCCTCAATGCCAAGTTCATCAACGCGCCTTACACCACGTTCCAGCAGCTGCCGTTCATACCTCCGGTCCCTTCGTCGATCTTGGCCTCGGCTTGGACCATTCCACCCCTCTACACCGATGTCATTGGAGCAGATGCCGACGCCGATGCCGGTGCCATGGACGATGCCGATGCCAATGTGGCGATGCCGGATCCTCCCTTCTCGATCCCGACGGCCGTGTACTCAAACAAGGCTTTCAGCACCGGTGCTTCGCGCATCGAGCCTCCCTTGCTTTCGCCCATCTCCTTGCTAGGGCCTGCGGCGCACCGCTCGCAAGGCCCACCCGGCTTGTTCTTTGTCACCAAAGGCTCGAACCTTTCGGGCATTGTCACCGCAGAAGGAAAATCGGGTAGGTTCCCTGGTGGTATCTGTTGGCTGTGATCTTGGTCCACATCAGTGTAGCTGACATGGTCGTTACTCCCGCGCAGTGATCAAACGACCTTTGGTTTGGAGCGAAACAGCGATCAGCCCGGATCCCGAACAAGCGAGCTTTGTCGAGCCCAACCGGGTCGAGATGCTCATTTGCAAGCGATCCAGAACGGTCATCATCAACCTCGCCCGCTCGGGGATCCACGCGATCGCCGTCGCAGGACAAGAACGACACGAAGATTATTTTGGGGAAACGCTCTCGGTCGCTCCTGCGTCGGGTTCGAGCGGGAACAGTTTGAAGGAGATCGCGTGGCTCGGGACGCATGCCTCGAGCCAGCTCTTCTTTGCCGAGCGAGTCGGGTCCAGTTTTGTTATCAAGTGCTTGTACGCCAGGCATTAATTAGGATATCTCCCGCAGCCGGGCTCGTTCGTTTTGTGTATAGGCCTATACATTTTGACTGTACGCCACTTTACTATGCTAAGCCATAATTCTCTTATCGCAACGTAGTTTGTGGGGTATAACATGGTTACTGAACTGGCACTATCCGGATCTTACTACTGGATGCTCGTCATCTTCACTCGCCCGCCATCTCCCCACTCACGGAACGGCGCTGAAGCATTCGAGCGGGTGGACTCTTGGCCCGAGTGAAGAGTTCGACCGGAGGTGTCTCGATCGCTTCACCGGTCGAACTGACCGGGGTGAGGAACTGTCGAGAGACCGATCGTTCGGGCGGTTCAGGTGTTTGACGCGCGGAAATAGGCTCCTCTTCATGGTCTCCGTCCAGCGATTCGTACACGGATACAAATGAGGCATCGTCAATGTCGGTCGAACCATCCCCGCTACTGAGGCGGTGGCGGTGAGACGGGAAATCTCGATCGTCCAGACCGAACGAGCTTCGACCTTCAAGGTCGAGCGTCTCTTGTGAGTAGCGAGCGGTGTCTTCGCTATCCGCAGTGGAACCGTTCTCATTCAACCTGAAGCCCCCAGCGGACTGAGGCAAGTTTGGTTCAGGGGTGGTGTAAGAGCCGTCGCGTGCGTCATGGAAAGAGGCAATAGACATGATTGACTCGTTCGCTGCATGATCTTGAAAGCGAGGGCTTCCATTCGTCACGCTTCTGGTGCCCGAGAAGCATCGGTTGTGCTCAGACATGGGGGATGTGCTGCGCACGTCCGCGCTGGTAACCGTCGGCGAAGGCGTGAGACTGAAGGGTTTGGGCTGGAAGCGACGAGGCTCGCGATACTTGACACCAGAATTGGGCTGCCGAGCGGTTCGGAACGTGTGGAACGAAGCATCGCTTTCGGCTGTGGATACGATCGAAGTGCGACTAGCCTGCACCGGGGTCTCTGGTAGGGGTCCACCCGGAGGAGGCCGTGGTCTTCCGGCCGACGCTTGCGGAATGTTGATCGTTACCGTCTCGTCCTCACCAGAAGCTTGACCGATCGTAGAAGTTGATGCTCTCCGAGGGTCAAGAAGTTCTACCACGTTTCCAGAGACCAAATTTGAATCGATGGAGATACGATGGTCGTTGGAGTGCTGGCCGATCGACTCGGCGTTCCTGAGCACGATTTGGAGCCGAGACTGGATCGAGCGTAAGGTTTCTTGAACTGCTGCGCGCATGGCATCCATTTTCTCGGGATCCTCGACGTCATCGATATTGAGCGAGGGCTTGCTACACTCAGTGGTAATCTCCTCCTCTGCGTTTGGCGGTAAAGGTGATGTTCCGCCGTCAGATGAGCCCGCTCGACGATTGAGATGTGCGCGCAAAGACTGCACCGTTTCGGGTCGAGACGAAGCATCGGAGCGACTAGACAAAGCCTCGATCCGTGCAAAGACGGTCTCGACGAGAGGCGATGAATCGCTGTCGGTGGCCAAGATCAAGTGCATCTCGGTCATGAGCATTTGTTGCTGCCTCTCGAGATCATCACGTATTGCTTGAACGTTTGAAAGCTCGGACAGAGCTTGCTCTCGTGCCCGTTCAGTCGCTGACAAACTTGCTTCAAGATCGGCTTGTCGCTTTTTCTCGACCGACAGCGTGCCCGTCAAACGGCGTGCCTCGCGGCGCTCCTTTTCTAACCGTGTCTTGAGTTCAACAGACTCTTTGGTGAGCTTGTCTGAGAATGACTTGAAAGTGTCGAAAGAGCGCTGCCACTCTTGGCTTTCTGTCATCAGAGACGCAAGCTGAGGAAGGACTGCGAGTCAGCGTCTGGGCGCGATCTTGATCTTCAAAAGTCTTGCAGTACCTTGTTGTTGAGCTTGTTGATTTTCGTCTCGAGACTATGAAAATTCATAGAAGGCGAGATTTAGCTGGCTGAGGGTAGGTTTGCCGACCTTGCCGATATCGTCACTTACTCGTCACGCCGATCGACAAACGTCTTCGCGTGCCTGCGCACCACTGCTTGAACGTGCTTCGCCGAGGGGTCCAACTCCGCCAGCTTTCGAGGCTTTTTGGCGTTGAAGAAGCGACCCAGCCCTGTGCGCGGCTGTTCAGCCAGAATAGCGTCGAATGTCTGGATGACGCGTTCCTGATCCCAAGCCCAACTGTCACTCGGCTTGATCCTCTCCGCATCGCGAACGACCCCTGAGACCTCAACTTTATCGAAAGGTCGGAAACGACCGGCCGGAAACGCCTCGACTAGATCTGAAGGGACACCATAGTGTCCTCCGACGTTACCAATGGCTACTTCGAGCCTTTTCCTTGCCTTGTCGCGCAATAGTCCGCTGGTGATCGATCCGGGCTGCGGTCGATCACAGTTGACGGTGTTGGAGTCCAGATCTACGACCACGACTTCGGGTTGCAAATCGACGAGCGCGATTGAGCGGCATAATGAGGTGACTCCGATCAGCCATGGTCCTGGATCTTCGAGGTATATTTTGATGTCTCGGGCCGCAACGGCTGGGTAGACGAGTCCACGCCAGCCTCGTAGCTCGAGGATGTGCTGGAAGGTGAACGTCGCAAGACTGAGCATAATCGGGTGCGCCGAAACGAACAGCACTCGACCCAAGGGGGAGAGGGCAATCTAGTGGTCGACGATTCAGTTTCACAAAGATGAATTATCTGGTAGAATTGGATCGCGTACCTCTGCGATCGTGAGCAAGTTGTCGGCGTGGAGGCACTTGAAGATCGGGAACATGATGAAATTGTGATCGAGCGACCCCCCTGTCTTCCAATCGAGGGTTCCTGGCATGGTCTAGGCATCGCACAACCACTTGCATCATCAGTGTTTGCCATAAGCTGTACGGGGATAACCTTGTGATACCTACAGCAACAAAGTAGGTGTTCTGTGCCGTTGCGGTTGCGACGGAAACTGGCACGCGGATCTGCTCCCCGACCCGAGGAGCCACAAAGTGAAGAATGCGCTCCATCTGGAGCGAATGAGATGCGATGTCTTGATGGTAGCTGCATACAGTTGTGTGAGTGATGAACAATTGATGAGAATAGTCGAAGGAAAGCTGAATCGAGATTAAAACTAACCGTGCCCAACTGATTCGCAGAATGTCGCTCAAAATGTTCTGTACGGGAGTGCGCAGTCATCAGTTTGCCGGGGCAGTGCCACTGAGGCACGACCGAACGCACGTATACTGGCGCATGTGAAATGAGGATAAGACTGAAAGTCAAAGATGTCAGTTGTTTAATTCGAGATAAACACGGAGGAGTGGCGGCCGACCTGTAAGGAAGCCACAACGGTAAGCCAACGGGCAGGTCGGCCAGTGGGGACGCCGTAGCTGCAGAGTCACCCCACTCGCTCTCGGTTGCTGCGAGTTTGTACAGCGACAATTCAGAAAGTAGTACTGAAGCATTCACGATGGCTGGACTTGACTCACCAAAGCCGTCCGTCTCAAGATCAAACTCGGTCGTGTCCGTCTCGTTCCCCGCTCTCGTCCAATCCCGTCCGTCCCTCAGAACTGCCCCCATGGGAGATTTGAGTTGCTTCGCCAACTTAGCCCCCAATTTCTTCCCCGACCTCGCAGCTCTGACCGCTTTATTCACCGCATAGTTCTTGGCTTGAGATCCAGAGTGTAAAGCTACGCGAATCGCATTGGATCGAACTGTGTCGGCATGCGACCAAACGTTTAAGCACGAAGCATAGTAGGTTGTCTCGCATGAGGAACTGAGCGCGCGAGCCGACAGTGACGACTCCCAAGCGGCTTCTGTCGACCCAGAGAAAGCGGGCGCGCTGCTCAATTTGGACGAAGTTTGCACGACGAAAGGGAAGTGGGCGACGGTGGCCGGAGGCTGGGTGGTCGAAGCGAGGATCTCCACGTCCCGCGTGAACGCGAGCTGAAGACGCAAATAAAACTCCTGAGTCAGCACATTCAGTTCCAGAGGATAACATGGTGTTTTTGAACTACCTTGGTCGCTTTAGCTTGCATCTTGGCGATCTCCTCCTTGGACAATGCTGCAAATTCGGGTTTGGAAGTCGAATTCGCTCGGGTGTGCGACCCACCACGGCTGGCTGATCTACCCGTCGTCGTCCCCGTATTGCAATCCAGACTGTCCAAAGCTGGACTGCACTCGTCATTTGTGGTCATGCAACCGAGGACTTCGGGTCGCCAGAATCGAGGAACGGCGTTTGGAGAATGATCAGGCGCCGGCGTGCCGGGGTCTGAGAAATCGGTGAAGCTCCAGGTAGCAGGATCTTTCGGCAGACCAGCGACAATGTACATCGTAGCGAGCGGCTTGTGGACCAAGGACTTTTCCATCGACTTGCTGGGGTTGGAGAGTGGATTTGCTGATGGTGCGGACATCGGCTCCTTGGGCGTGCCACCGCTATTGCCAAGCTCGGTCCTCACGCTCTGACGAGACTCGGAGGGACGTGGAGAGGCCGGGGGTGAGGTCTGGGGCTCTCCCATGGCTGCATGCTTACCCATCATTCGAACGTTGTGCTCACGAATGGCGGCGCTAGTGGTCGAGCTGTCGAGCGTTGCACTGCGCGAGTGAGGATAGGATCTCGGCGGTTCTGTGTAGCTGATCTGAGCAGGACTGCGGGCCACAACAGACAAAGGCGAATACAAGGTGTTGGAACTTGACTGATTTGAGAGTTGTGGTGACGTATTGGCAGTCGCATCGGATTGAACCGCACTTGGTGGGTTTGGATCCTCGGCCATCTCGATCTCCTCGTTGGCGGGATCATAAGGTTCTTCTTCCTCCAAGACATCGTGCACGGTCGGACCTTGCGAAAGGGTTGAGCCGAGCCTTTGTCGAATGAGGCTGGAAGGATATTCACTTCCTATCGACGAGTACAAAGTCGAGCGGTCCGCTGTATTGTACGTGGTTGCCGAGAAGATGGAGAGGCGTGCGTTGTCGGGTACGACCCTTCGAGTGGGAGCGTCCGTGGTCAGTGCGAGACCCAAACCGGCCAATCGGTCGTCTTCGGTGTAGACACTGGTGCGCACTTTCGATAGCCCTGTATCGGATCAGCACTCGTCAGACTCGAATCGGGCTGGCTGAAGACACACCTCCTATCTTCTCCACCCCATTCTTGCTCGAGATCGATGAGTGTTGCTCGCCAATACCGAGATCTTCGGACGTTGGAAACTCGATGTCTGACGATGTAGCGGGCCCCTGTCGTGTCGATATTGGAGACCTATGACGGAAACTGTCGAACAATTTGAGCGAACCTCGGTCTGAACCCGTTCGACTGGCGGTCGTGGCGTCGTCGGCTAGACTGCCGCCCATCGATCCGAGAGAGCGTCTCTCCAACGAGCTCGAGCGACGGAGGCGAGGTGAGGATGGCTCGGACCCGTTGGCACCCCGTTTGCTCCCTTGACGAAGGGACATGAGCGACGATGCGGCTCGCAGAGGGGCGAATCTCGAACTAGTTGCACCTGCACCGGGCCCCTGAGCCGAATTCCTTGGCGACGAGATGCTCTTGGCCTTGGACGTGGATCGTGACAGGCTCGAAGTCGACTCGCGCCTCTTGATGACCAAGCCAGCAAGGATACTAGGACGACGTCGAAGGGGTTTCCCATCGTCTCCTGTTGGTCGACCATTGTGAGCCTCGCCCAAGACGGATTCGTCACTCATGCGTTCCCAGTCGTCGTCGCCCGCGACCGCAAAAGGGTCGTCGGTCGGTTTGATGGTCAAGCTGTTATGCTTGGACGCCGTGGACCACGAGTGGTGTTGCTGGAGAGGGGGGAGCGAGCGCGGGACCGATGATGCTGCACTCGATGCGCGGCCGTGGCCGTGGCCGACGCTGCGCGGGGTGGGACTGGCAGCCAGGGGAGCCGGATGACTCGGCGCTGCAGACGAGCCACGCCCGCTGTTCGCTGCGACCGCGCTGCCAGCGACGAGTGCAGCACTAGTGTTCTCGTCTTGCTGAGCTCTAGCGCGCAGTGAAGTGCTGCTAGCAAAACGCTGAGCAATGGGAGTACCATGCTTCGACATTCTGCGCCGTGAGTGACCCCCGAGTCGAGCGGCGCGTTGAGACGTGTCGTGTCGATCAAACGCGTGAGTCGCCTGCAAAGTCAGACACGGCAGTGTTCTGTCGCGGCCTGGCGGTGAGTGGGGAGTGCGCAGAGGTTGTCTCGGTCACAGTTAAATGAGTTCGAAGGCACGGCAACGGGCTGAGACTAACCATGGTGATCAAAGTCGCCAGCATCCCCCCACCCGCGCTCGCTCCGTTTACGCGCTTGGGCAGCCAAGGATGCTCGGGCCCCTGCGTTTCAGTCGTTGACTGGCTCCTAATCGAGAGCCCCTCCCTCGCGGGATAAAGGAGGACTTGGCCAAATCGAGCTCTTCGAGCGCCGCTTGTATCTGGGATGTACAATTGAACGCGTCTGAGACAGGCGCTTCTGGCAGCCATCGTCGGTGTTGCAGACAGAACAGTACTCGAGAACATCCCTCCCGCGCGCAGGAGCACGGACCTCCTCGAGTCTAGTTGACAAGTGAGCATGACTCGGCAGACCAGCTGACGTCACGCCTCGTCGCCCACGTAGATCCGACCCGTGCTGGATTTCACAACTTGACGGCGAACTTTGTAGTGGACTGAATCCTATCACCTACTTGAATAATGTAGCTATTTCGGTTTGATTTCGCTTTTTGTCGAGGAGGCGCTGACCCAGAGCGGCCCGACGGGGCCGGCTCAGTCGGCGCGAACAAGACCAAACAACGACGTCACCGCGCGCGCTCCTTGCGATAGGCGCCGATCTCCTTCAACTCGGTCTCTAAATTCGTTCGACTCGCGCAACGCCTTGCACACCACCAGCACACCACCAGCACACAGACCAGCCGTGGATTCCTGTCAAAACCCAAGCTGGCCCCATCGAGTCCGATCCGGCCACACCTACATTCGTTTGACTGGTCGGTCACTCACTCCGAGTGGCGGTGGCTTTCTCGATCTCGCTAGCTCCTTCCTCGACCTCGCCTTCGCGCCTCAACACGCCTTCGGACTGGGTGCGGGCCCGCTCCGGTGACAGATCAACAATCGAACCAACACCGCTGGGATCTACAGGGAAAAGAATCCTCAACTGTGCTAAAATCTCGTCGTGATCCGAGCCGTGCTCGACGTGACTGTGGCGGCAGTTTGTAACGCCTCCCAACAACCTGAGCAGCGTTGCACCGACAGGCCCTCCAATCCCATATATAGCTTGAGTCTCAGGCATGGCGACCTTGAAGGAGCGAAACTACATCAGTACCGTCAGTACCCTCCTAAATTACCTTATCGCTCGCATCTGGCTGGGGCCGGACTCGTGAAGGCCAGCCGATGTTGATCGTCGACTGCTGTCTTTGGTCCCAATCCTATAGTTCGCAGGTCTCAAAGGCACGGCCATCACAGCAGGATCGTTCCTCGTCGTCGGTTTCGCTATGAATGAGGTCCTCAAGCGGCTGAGAAGGTACCCCGATGAGGACCGCCGACGCGCCAAGGGCGAGAAGGTGCGCGATCGAGGCGTCGAGGCCTACGCGATGGGCTACGTGTATCGAGCAAGGTCGTTTGTGCCGCACCTCCCAACACCCGACTTCGGACCCAGACCATTGGCTTGGATCTATTCGACCTCGTACAAGCTGCCCGAAAAGTTTTACGAGGTCCACTGCGGCGCGGACGCGACGACCTATCTGAGATTTCTGCGCGGCACCTTCTACTGGACCTTATTGCTCACATGTACCATATTTCCCCTCCTGCTCTCGATCCACTTCATCGAATCCGATGCGACCGTCAGCACCGCTTCGATTGATCGTGCGTCGCTGACCTCGCTCGTGCTCAAACCGAACGGCACGCGCCTGCTGTGGGTGCACGTCATCTGCATCTGGCTCATGACCTTCTCCTGGTACGCCGTGCTCGGGTGGATCGGTTACGGCACGGTGCGCATCCGTCGCAACAACCTTCGTCGACTGTTGCGCGACGAAGCCGACTTCCTCGCAAAGGGCAACACCGGATCCGCCTTTGCAGGATCAGAACCTAGGCCCATGAACCCCGACGACGAGCGACCAGTGGGATGGCGGTGGAGGACGATCCTGATGCGCAACATCCCACCAGCTATGCGGTCCGACGAAGCCATTCGTGAATACTTTGAGTCGGCTCTGCGCTACGGTGGCGAGCCTTCCTCGTCCGACGTCGACAAGTTGGAGTGCAAAGAGGCGGAAGCGATCGAGATGAAGAGCAGCCGCCGTGCGCTGCCGCCGACCTCTCCCCGGTCCAGCTCCTCGGCGCATCCTCGACTCATCTCCGATATCATCCTCGTGCGCAAGCAGAACGAACTGAACGAGCTCTATGTCAAACTGCGTGCCGTTCAACACGAACTCGAATCGGCACATACCGAGCTGGCTCAGAACGTGATGAAGTTCGTCACGGCCAAGGTCGAAGAGCAGAGGAGGCGCGACGAAGGTCTGCCCATCAAAAAGTCATTCTGGCGTCGCCTGTTCAAGCAAAAGAAAGCGACAGTTGATGAAGACCTGGAAAGTGTGGCGAGGCAGGGCGACCACAAGATCATTGATGCGCTGCGCAAGTTCCTTGTGGATCCGGATCAACCCCTCGACTATGGGGAACCTGGAGCATTCTGGATCGCCCTGAATGCACTGCACTCCTCGGATATCACCCTACTGGATCGATTTCAACCCCTCGTCCAGCTCAAGCACTTTTACAACGGTCAGAAGGTGCCCTCGATCGACTACCACCTGGCAAAGATGAATCTGCTCACTCGCCTCATCGAGGAGATTCGAGCCAACCCCGAGCAGATCGAAATCGCCTCGTCGGCGCTCATCACCTTCGAATCCGCCACGGACGCACGACGAGCTCGAAAGGAGCTGAAACCTAGGATGCATGGGCGCCATCGCTTCGGGCAGCAAGCACTGGCGTGCAAGATTGAGATTGCCCCCGAGAAGCGCGATCTCGATTGGAACAAGCTGGTCAACATCTCCCTGTCGGGCGACATCCTGCGTGGCTTCCTCTTGCAGACCGCGATCTGGGCAGCGACGATCATTTGGGTCATCCCCGTGTCCTTCGTCGTCGGCCTCTTGTCGCTGAGCTCGATCTCCAAGTACATCCCCAAGCTCGCCAAAGTCTTGGAGGACAACACCGTGACCCAATCCTTATTCCAGAGTTTGTTGCCGACCTCGATTGTGGCATTGTTGGGTATGCTCGTCCCGACGTTGATTGGCATCATCACGAGGAACGGTCAAGCTCTTATCACCACCACCCGAGTGCACTCCGCTGTTCAAGCGAGGTACTGGAAGTGGAGCATGACCAATATTGTGCGTTTCTCACCTCGTACTCGTGGGCAGCAAATCTTCGTTCGCTTACTAGACTTCTGCTTCACAGATTCTTCTTTTCTGCATCGGACTTACCGCGTTCAACGCTTTCTTGAATGCATTCAAGCAACCCACGAGTGTCCTTACTGTTGTCGCTTCGTCCTTCCCGAAAGGTGCGACTTTCTTCGTTTCATGGACGCTCCTGGTTGTCGGAGTGCATCACGGAATCGAGATCGCCCTCTTTGGTATTCCCTGGATCAACCATGCCTCGTGAGTAGGAATGTGTGGCAAGGGGGTGCAGGCACAAGTGATCACCCACTTGGCATCTTTCCGCCTTTGCAGAATCCGCAAGTACAAGGCACCTCGCAAGCGCGCCTTGGAGAACGAACCTCGCTTCTTCAACTATGCCTATTGGATGCCGAATCATCTGATCGTCTTCGCGGTGACGGCGATTTTCGCCTGCCTCAATCCTCTCGTTATTGCGTTCAATATGTTCTATCAGCTTTTCGAAATGATCGTGTTCAAGTCTCAGGTTAGTGATCACCGTTTAGGACGAATTATCCCCACTATCTATACTGAGTTGATCGCTGATCCCCTATCACAGGTGTCTCATGTATACTGGAGGCGGTGGTATGAGAATGGCGGTCGTTACATCTACCGTCGTCTTTTCCGCTATTCCCTGGACGTCTTTCTGGTCGCCCAGACGATCATCATGGCGTTCATGTTTGTCACGAGAAAGCCAAAGTACGGCGGTGCGGTCATCCCTCTGTTACCCGTCACGGTCATCGTCAAACTCATCGGAACGAGATGGTTCGATGCCCTACTGGACGAAATTGACGAGGCCGAGATCGATATTGTGTGTTGCGATGATGCTCAGATCATCGAGGATCTTTCCGTGCCTTTGACCGACTTTGACCACAACATGCACAATCTGTCGCTTGGCGAGGCGTACGGAACGATCAAGACTTTTACTACGAGGTCAGAAACACGATGAGCTTATATGTTCATTTCTTGACACAATGCTGACGTTCGCGCGCCTTCCTTCGCGTAGTACTCTGCCCGCTCTCGCTCTCCGCCCGCACGAGAAGCTTCCCATTATCCCATCGCCGGCCAAGAGTGCCGAGCACCTTCACAGTCGCGCTGGATCTACTAGTACTGCGCAGAGCCCCACTGCAGGTCACACAAGTCATCGCCACCACCATTTGAGGCACTCTTTGGACGACAATGTGCCGTTGACGCAGGTCGAGACGCTGCGGACGCCGACGCCGACGACCGCCGATCTCACGGTCACGGATGTGTTCGGCCCCAAATCGAGCCCGCCTTCATCTCGCGATACGTTCGATTTGAAACAATTCGCACAAGGCGATCATGGCTCAACGGCGCCGAAGCCTGCGTTTGTTGACGAGACGAAATTGATCGCGCTCCATCCTCCACTCACGCGCGATGATCGACCGGTCACGAATGTCCGGTACGACAACCCCGCTCAGGTCGCGCCTTTGGATAGAAGCCTATGGCTACCATCAAACCCGCTCATCCCCGTCGACCTCGGGGACACGATCGATTACTACGGTCGCGCCATGGTTTCAAGCGAAGGCGGAGATGGGATGATTGGGAGATGGGATGATGACGAGTATCTGAGCGATGAGACTGCAATCGTTGCGGCCGATGGTCAAGCCGTGACCACTCCTGGTGGTGAAGGCAATGGATTCCTGTCTGTGCTTAAGCGTTCCTCCAGTCGGACCTCGGGCAGCACCAAGAGCCGACCCGTGCTCAGCGGCAACGAGCGTATTCGAGTTGCTAGCGATGTGGCGCTTCGCATCGAGGCAGAGGGGACTTCGATTTCAGTCGTTTCTGACGAGCGTCCGCGCAACTCGAGTATTGGGTCAGCTTCGGGTTCGATGATGCCTTCCATGCGTCGAAATTCGCTTTCGGAAGCCAGTCAGATTCAAATTGTAACTAGTCCGTCGCCGGTTGGGACCTCACCGACAGAGGAGTTCGATCAAGGCTCTCCTGGACCTCGTCAGGGATCGTCGCCGTCGATGCTTCACTCGCCTGCCAGCAATCTTTCATCAGCTAGTCCCGTGACACCGTTGCAAGACGACGCTCAAGTCCAAGAGGACGGCACCCATCTGACTCTGACACCTCGTCGGCCGAGTAACCTGAACCTCGGTGACTCGGCGGCGTTCCGAGTTCGAGACCGCTCCAACTCGGGTCACTCAGGACCTCGAACGCCTAGATATGCCTCCAGAACTCGCAACGCACGCTCACCTTCCGTCGCACCATCAGGCATCTCGATCGCTGAAGAGGAAGAAGGCCACAGCGGCGTGGTCGTCATTTCCCAATCAGTCGCCTTGATCGGGGAGGTATTGGAGGAAGAACGTAAGGAACACGAAGAGAGGAAGGAGAAGGAGCAGAAAAGGCATGCGCAGGAATCGCAGGACCGTAAATTGGGTTGGTTCTCAAAGCTGTTGCTCAAATATGGTGGGGATGAGCATGAAGCTGAATCGACTTAGCGGGGCGATAATGGGTCCCGGGCGTGGGTGTGCGTTTTTTATTTTAATTTAAATCTTGATACTTTGTTTGGTTTGTTTTGAAGCTCGTTTCATTCACTTTCCTAACCGAAACTTGTATATAGCCTGTACCTGATGGCGAGAGATGAGATACCAACGCCGTGGGAATAGTTCGAGAGTGATTCGAGCAAGGGGGACTTTTGCGCCCCAAAGCACGTTGAACCTTTCGCGACTGTTGAACTAACAAGACATTTCAAGTTTTTCAACACCTCGGGCGCTGAAGGGGTCTACCGCGTCATCTGGTGCAGCTTCGGCGTCTTCGCGAGCTTCGGAGTTGGGGCCGCGGCTCCCCCTCAAGCTGGCAGGCCACGCGAACCTGCTGGGGCTGGGCGACTTGCCAGGGCGGGACGCGGCACACCTATGCGGGTCAAATTAAGCCTGCCAAAAAAACTAGGTCGCGCGCAACGCGTTAAGGCAGCTTTTTTGAAATTTGGCCCAGGAAAACGTTGGTACAGGCATGGTATACCATCCCTCCCCCACCGCCCGCGCCCGGAGGCAAATTAGCGGCTAGGTAAGTAGTGCACTTGCTACTCGCCTACGCTAATCGGCCATTTGCCTCAGCACACACTGGCACTTCGTATACTCGAAGATGGACAACAACAACAACAACACCAACAACGCCAGCCCTGCTGCTATACCACCACTTCGCCCTGACCCTCCCGATCCTCCCGGCCAAGCCCCCGCCACCACCACCAAATCATACTCCGCCGCGGTCGGCGCCCGCTCCGCTGCGAAGCACGGCAACGCCACCGCCAACACCTCGACTGCCGTCGCCGCCCATCCCCTGATGCACAACATCGAGAACTGTGTCATCATCAACACCCCACCCTCAACCTCGGTCGAGCAAGTCCTCCTCGCGCTCGACAAACACTACCCTGCCCTTACCGGCGCAATGCCATGCGTCATCAAGGGTCAGCGCGGCCTCCGCTTTCCCAAGGCCGCCGATCTCGACACCCTGGTTGCCAACGGCCTTACTGTTGGCAAGACTCTGTGCAAAGTCGAGAAGCTGTACAGCTCTACTAAAGGAGGTGTTGTACAATGCACCCTTACGGGCTTTTTCTCCGACCCCGAGGGCCTCCGCCTATTCGATGAGCAGATCGCTGCCTATGGCACGGTCCTCCGCCGTCGCATCCAATACATTGGAAAGACGAAACACATCTCTGGGATGTACGACTTTATCCTTGCCCTTAAGGATGTAGATGTGTTGCCCCCTGCCTCACTTTCTATTGCTCGTGACGGTGTCACTGAGCGAATCCCACTGAGGATCACCGGTGGCATGCGCCACTGCGTCTTCTGCCGTTCCGCGGCTCACGTCCGTAAGGATTGCCCCGTCGCCCCGGCGTGCAAGTCCTGCGCGAGCACCTCGCACGCCACCCAGCACTGCCCGGGCCGTCACGCGTCGAGCCCCCAGGGTCGCCCCACGTCACGTGCCCCGCATGCCTCCACCGTTACCACCGCCGCCCCCGCCGGGTCCAAGTCGATCCCCGCGGCCTCCGCCCCCGACCGCACGACCAAAAAACGTCGAGTGGAACAGGATCTGGCTGCCCAGACTGAAGATCTGTCCAACAGGGCTCAGCCCGAATCTCTGTCGAAGACTGCCCGCCCCGAGTTCTCCTTCAATTTCCCTTCCAATACTGCCCCCCAGCCTGCCTCCAACCAGGGAACTGCCTCTTCCCTCGTTGAAAAATCCTCCGAGTCCCCCAGCTCAGAGACCACCTCTCCATCCCCAAGCCCTCCTCCGGCCACGCCAAAGTCGATCATAACTCGATCCAAGTCGATTGCCGCCCTCTCCATGCCAGCCACTCGTGAAGCCCCTCCCACTGCGCCTGCCCTCGAAGCCTCCGAGCCGACTCCCGAGCCCTCTTCGCCCACGCCGTTGCCCTCAGCCGCGCCCAAAGCCCGACCCGATGACGCCGACGCCGACGACGAGGCCGACGAAGAAGCCGAAGACCAAGAAGCACCTCCCAAGGACGTGGAATACGCTATGGACCAAGATGATGAGCACAACTAAGATCCCAAACGTGTCTTTTGTTGCTGCCAACGTGCAGTCAATCAATGAAGACCGTAAGCGTGCCTCTCTTTTCTCCAATCTCCGCTCCCATAACACCGACGTCTTTCTCCTGAGCGAAACTGGCCGACCTTCCCCCGAAAGGGTGGCCCAGTGGACTCAGGAGTGCCAAGACTTAAAGCTCTCCGCTCTCTTCACTCCCTTCAACAACACTGCCATACTCTGGAAGAACGACTCCGTGGTCATTACTATTGATCCCGAGTCGCCTCCCAACACTCTTCGTGCCTCTTTTTCTTTCCCGGACCGAGTCACCGACGCCACCTTTCGTGTGGGTGATTCGAAGGTCCGGGTTGTAGTAGTATACGCGCCTTCCTCCGACAAGCCAGACAAAAAGTGCTTCCTCTCACATCTCAGCACCGCCCTCCGACAAGTCGTACGTGACGAACCCTCGCCGCCTGCGCTCCTAGTCGGGGGCGACTGGAATTGTGTTGAGTCCCAACCCCTCGATTCGGAGAACCAAAACGGAACGAATTATGGGGGTCAGGAGATGCGCGACCTTGCCACGGCCAACAATCTTTTCGACGCCTATCGGCTCCACCTGTAAGGCGCCGCTCCGCTTACGCCTCACGACAACTCAAGCCAACCTCAGCGGCCTAAGCTTTACTTGCGCGCGGCGCCACGGGCGCCTCTTGACCTTAGTCCTTTTGGTGGTCTTTCTTCGCCTGCGAATACACCGTTTGATCCTTTCTGTTTGGATTCGGAATCAGTGAGGCTCGAGAGCAATCTCGTGCCTTTCACTTTTTTTTTGAAACCGACAAGTCGGCTGTACGACTCCGTCCTCACCAGACGTTAAACCCCGACCTTCGCAACCGCATCGGCAACGCATGGTGCAGACCCGCTCAGCCGCTGCGAAGGAAAAAACGAACACGAACCCGAATCAGACCAGACAAGACACCGAGACCGATACCGAGACCACACCGAGACCGATACAGACACCGATACAGACACCGATACAGACACCGATACAGAACCCGATACCGATACAGACACCGATACCGATACCGATACAGAACCCGAGACCGATACCGATACCGATACAGAACGAAGAAGATCAGATCACAGAGATGTCGAACGAGAATCGAGATACACCACCGCACACGGAGAGTACGGCACGACGAGTCAAGCTCGACATGCCGTCACTGAAGGCGGATTTCAAGTCGAGGGACGTGACGCGCTGGCTGGCAGGTTGCGAAGACGCGAAGAAGTCGGCGGAATGGAACTATGGCGGAACGATCGCCCCAGTGCACCTCATCCGTGAGGCTGGCAGCAAGATGGAGGGCGAAGGGGCGGACTGGTACATCAATTGTCGTGACAAGCTGAAGGCGCTCAAGTCCTGGGCCGACTTCGCACACGAGGTCAAGGCCCGATTCGTCAACGAGAAGACCGGGCTGGCCGCCGAACATGCCTTTTTCAACGCACACCAGAGCGGCCGCTTCAGCGATTTTGTTGCGACATTGACACAAGAACGCAGCCAAGCAGGGTCCGTCGACGGTACACCGGCCATCTCTGACGAACTTTTCAAGTGTCAACTCCTGCACCGATGCGACGAGCTCCTGTACCTTCGCGCAACCGCCTCCCCATCGTTTGCGCTCTCCAAGTTCACAGTCAACGGGCTTGTCGCATACCTTCAGACAATGTGGGAAGCCATCACCCTTGAGCGGATGACAACGGGGGCCCGACGTATGAATTGGCGAAACGACCAAGTCCGCCAAGACCAAGGCGAGGCCGCTGAAAGGCACGAGATCACTCTCGAGCCTCACTGATTCCGAGTCCAAACAGAAAGGATCAAACGGTGTAATTTGCAGGCGAAGAAAGACTACTAAAAGGACTAAGGTCAAGAGACGCGGCGGCGCCGCGCGCGAGGGCAAGCGTGAGGCCGCAGAGGTTGGCTCGAGGTCGTCGTGAGGCGTAAGCGGAGCGGCGCCTTACACCAATCCGCCTCGATCTTCCTCAACGGTTGGCTCTCTGCCGCTTTCGACATCCTGTCGGGCGTTCGGCAAGATGATCCCCTGGCCCCGTCTCTCTTCGTTCTGGCGATCGAAGGTTTTGCCTGTCAGATTCGATTGAGAGTCAAGGGCATCGAGATTGCGGGCCTCCAAAACATTCGAGAACTCCTCTTTGCCGACGACGCTTGCTGCGCACTCCACAACCTCTCGGACCTCGACCACCTCAATCGGGCGATCGAGCTTTACGAACGGGCAAGTGCCAGCAAGCTCAGCAACGCCAAATCTTTCCTCTATCCCCTTGGAGTTTTTCGGGATCGGCCGATCGCCCCAGATCTCGGGACCTGGCGTCTCAGCGATTCGCAGTTTCGCTACCTTGGTATTCAGGTCGGGGTGGAGATCGCCGAGGATGCGGGCTGGGAAGATGTCAAGGCCTCGACCATCGCTCGGATACGCTCAATTCCGATGTACGATCTCCCATATGCAGCCAAGTGTTCGATCATCAACATCTACTGCTACACAAAGATCCTGTACTACAGCCGATTCCTCCCCGCCCCCAAGAGCGTTGTCAAGGAGATCGAGGATGCGGCCATGCTCGTCATTCACGGTCGAGCTTCGGATGGTACTCAGCGCGTCCGAAGGTCTCCCGGTCGCGCCTCTGCATCCCTCTCGATCACGGCGGTTTTGGCTTGATTGATCTGCCTCGGCGTCTAGCGATCGATCACGCGAAGTGGGTCTTCCAGCTCCGGGCCCCGGACGGCTGCTTCACACGCCATCTCTTCGACATCCGCATCCGCCTCCAGGCACCGAACGAACCAACCCCTTTCACTTTGTCCAGACCGGCCCCCAACCAGCATCATCGCCCTTGGATCTGGATCTGGTGGGCATACTTTTGCCATCCTCCCCCGAAGTGGGACCATGCGGTGAGAAAGACGAGAAAACTTCTTCCTGCACGTTGGGTCCGATACTTCGAAGCCTGGGCGTCGGTGACCACGCTCAATCCCCCGGAACTCTCCAAGAGCCAGAACCTCGAGCAATGGGCGACGCACGTACTCTACTTCCCAGCGGGCCACGGAATACAACTCTCGGTAAACCCGACGCTTTTTCGAGGGCCCGATGGCGAGGTGATGACCCCGTCTTCGTTTGTGAACGTGTCCAAACGCCACCAAGTCTTCATCTTCCCTCCTATCTTCCCCAAGGGACACCAGAAGGTATTCGATCTGCCTGAGCAACGTTGGAACGCTTGGTGGAAGGCTTTGCGCAAGGTTCGCCGGGTTCACTCGGACGCCGAGGATACCGGCCACCTTCTCTCCCTGGGGTCCCTCCATCCGGGCAGCCAAGTCGCCTCCCCAACCAGCCCTCACCCCAACAATCGATCGGCCTCCTGTGTGATGTGCCTCTCGGAAGCACCCGAGTGCCTGGCCCACCTCGCGGTCGGCTGCCCATTTGCCCGGCGTCTCTGGTCTGCTCTGTCCCCGACCCCCCACCCAGTCTTTGTGGACTTTGTATGTCCGGTCGTGTCTCGCTCGGAACGTCGCCTTGTCGAACTATGAATCCTCTTCTTTCACTCGATCTGGAAGCTCTGTCGCCGTCACCGATTCTCGTCGGATCTTTTGGAACCGATCACCGAAACGGACTTCGAGGGGCTTCGAGCCTCTATTCAGAAGTCCAAGGGTCGCCTAGTGTCTCTGTAAGCCACCAAAGGGGGTTTTAGTGGGTATGGTTGATCCTGGTTCAGGGTCAATGAGTCCTACACTACTGGCTTCTGCCAGTGTGCGTAACAGCATTCCCTCCGACTTTTCCGAAGATTTCTAGGTATTATTATAATTATGCTGTTAATGAAGTCTATCAAATAAAAAAAGGCACCCCCACCTTCAAGCTTCAACCCTCCCTCACGGCCTTGCACCCACCGAAGTCGCTTCAAGCATGGACTCCCTGTGACACACACCGCCACTACCACAAGCAAATCCAGCGTCCCTAGTAGGGAAAGATAAAGAAAAAGAGACCAAGACCAAGCGTAAGAAATTCACGAGGAGGAGGAGGAGGAAGAAGGCGGCTGACACGATCATCGAGAACGGGCGACCACGGGACCAGAGGAGGGGGCGAAGAAGAAAAAGAAAAAGAAAAAGATGAGGCCATGGCCTGTGCGAGAACGAGAAAAGGAGCAAGTCTTGTCCCCGGCGAAGAGCAAGGCGTTTGTAGAATCCTCCGGCTACGCTGCTGGCATTACGGTATAACGATCAAGGATGGTATGGTAATATAAGGGCTAACGTATGACTAAGTGCTTTTAAGACACCCAAGGCGAGAGACACCAGAAACTGGGGGTAGAGCCGAGAAGCGAGGTGACCGAGTTCAAGAACGAAACGCTGAGATCGGAGACTGTAGACGATGCCGAACGAGACCTGAAACACGCAAAGTGAGAGACGAGTAAAATTTTGTATTGGATCCTGGAAGTCTACATGAAAACAAGAAGCGAACTCCCCTCAAACGTCCCGCACGTTCAAAACGCTGCTCTCTCTTCATTCCCCTTCACCGCTTGATCTGCACATCGGGCCCGGTCTTCCTTCCAATTCCTGCCCTACTGATCCCACTATTGCTCGTCATTTTCCGAGTCTTTGCGGCGCAAAAGTAAAGGCTTGTAAAAAAACCACCTCCTCTTCCTCTCCAGTAAGCCATCTTTAGCCTCCCTGATCCCTCCTCTCATGGCCGCCGGAAAGGCGCCCAGGTCCAAAACTTGCTGCCGCTACGACTTCTATTAACCTTGACAAGTTGAAATGGAGGATGCGACCAGATCCCGAATATCACAGTATCCACGGCATCCCGACGAGGCGGCGTCCAAAACGCCGACCGAGCCCTCCTCCATCGCCATCGATCCCGAGCCTTGATTACCTGTGCCAGTGCCAGCACCCAGGACACGGGCGAACAACAGAAGTGTGCGTGGAGCTTCGGCTTTGGTGTACCGACGACGCTGAGCTTTTTCAGCGAACGAAGCTGATGACTTGCCGAATTTGACTTCGTTTGCCGGCAGCCCTGGTGACATGATTGATGAGACGGATGACAACACGGACGAAGGAGCGAGCTGACTTTGACATGAGTGATCATTCGAGCGACGATTTGAGTCATCGCTCTATCGACGCCACAGACAACGGTGCATGTAGGCTTGAGGAGTGGGACTTCAATGCGGATGATGATGGCAGTGATGACGAAACTTGTTGAAATCTTTAATGGCTGTCTGGAATCGAGGGCTCTTGTTCCAAATGCCTCAATCCAAACAGATGATGCGACTGCGCTCGCGTGCTTTTGCCTTTCTATTAAGTATTGTCTCTTCATGTCAGACAATATGACCCTTCCCGGGGAAGTGCAGAGGATGCAAAGTAGCAACCATACGACTGAGAGGCAACCAACGCTGGCAGGAGTTGGCCACCGCTTAAATGCGATCTAGCCCGCTTGAAATGGTTACTGCCCAGCAGGAGTGCTGACAGCGGGAAGTCTATCAGGTCAGCTAGAGATCCAGGAGGAAAGCGCTCTGCTGCTGGCGATAAGATAAGCGGGCATTCTTCTTGGCTGCGCTTAGTGAGTGCGCTTTCCACTTTCCGCCATTGCGTTTGGTGTTTATAGCGTGCGCAGTCAGGCCAGTCAGATGCTCGAAGTCCGTGCCGGGTCTTTGCTGATACTTCCTGAGATCTCAGCAGAGATCACATTGCTAAGTATCAGACTCCATTAACCCCCACTTGAATTCTAATGTGTACTTGAACGTAGGCTAAACTGGGCCCATACTCAATCTGTTTTTCGGTGCTTTTCAATGGTGTTGTCTTGGCCACTTTAAGCCACGCAGCCACTAAGACAGTTGAATGTTTGCATCGACACTGGACTCTCGACATTTCAGATACATGACGACGCACTCAATACCCCTGACCGGAAGTTCGTGTATGATCGAACTCATTTTAGTTTGATAATGAGGAATGAGTATGACAATACACCCATAATATCTGTCCCGTTTGCTGAGAATCAGGTGACTTTGATGCCAATCACACCTGCGCATTTCATGTGCTCTCTGCCGTGTGACCCGATGCGTTGCGTGCTCTCACCGGTACATGTACTACAACATGGTAAAGGCAGAAGCTCGGAGTTAGCTATGGACAGAAGAGTGGGGTGTAAACTCCTGAACGAACATCATTGAGTCAGGATCACGATGTTGTTCTTCGTACTCTACCATTCCTCCTCGCATCAGAGTGCACGAGTGGCCTGCGAGCTATTGCAGGCCTCCGACTGTTTCTACTGTCGACCAACGCAGCCTTTGCAGATGACAGTTCCGGTGGTATCTCAATGGGTCCTGTTTGCTTGAAATCCTCTTTGTCAACGGTCATCACTTGTACTGTAGTGGCACTGAAAGTGACTAGGTTTTTGAGTCAGAGTACCTGGCGCGGGCAGAATCCACCGGTGGTCAACATTGCGATCAAAATCGTTTTGAGCACTCGGGTTTCCACATGGCAGATATATTTGTGAAAGCGAACCTGAGGCTTACCGGTCGCCTTCTGTATTGCATTTCCCATCAAGTCGCCCACAGCCTTCTACTGCACTGTCCGATGCTGCGTTGGGTGCGCAGCTGAGGGTCAAGCGATAATGCCTGCATTGTGAAAAGTGCAATTTGTCAGAAGTCAAGTCGCACTTCAGAGAATAGGACATAATCAGGTGAAGATATAATGAAGAGCTATACACCCGAATTCTGAGACGTCCTACCGAAAATGTCACCCCCTGTGTGCTTCGTGTCAACTATCGAGATGCGGAACAATCACAAAATGATCATTGGTTAAGATGCGAGGCGCGAGAGACAGCGATGAGGTCGTGTTTGGACAATGTGTAGGATTGCTCCCAATCGAGCATTGTGGAAGAACAAGAAGAGGGACTAATCATCAACCTGATCCGACTCATTTCAGTGAGGAGCATTTAGTCACCCAGTGTGCGTCGACGCGTCGATGTGCTTAGGCCAAGGTCAACGTGAGGGAGGGAACCGTGAGCCCCCCCTTTTTTTATCTGATAAACTTCAATAACAGCAAGTGACCAAGCAGCTTTTTGGTCCCAATACCATTAATACCATTTAAGCCCCAGTTGGGCCCAATACGACTCGGCTAAAGAAAATTCCCATTCTTCGAGATCCGAAGCTCCGAAGCTGTCCTAGCCAGTGTGCTTAACTGCATTCCCTCCGAATTTTCCAAATGTTTTTAGGCATGTAATTATACTATACAATTATAACTATATAATTATACTACTATTGAAATCTATAAAAAAAAAGAGGGGAGGGGGGGTAGTAAGTAGTGAGTGAAGAAAAGCAGAAATTAGGAGTGGGGGCAGAAGGTCAATACAGCAGCTATCTTACCTGTGCAGATTACTTGGTTGTATCCTCCATCTCGTCAGCGGGTGGTATTGGGTACAGCAGCTATATTGCATTTCGGTTCGGAATTTGACTCTTGGGAACATTGGTAGGAATATTGGTATTGTCTATAAGGATAGGTCTAACGCCTTATAAGCTTTCGCTTCACGGCTTGTGGGATGCCCAGAGAGGTGCACCGTGCCAGGGTGGGCGAGGAGGGGGCACCAATGGTATACCATCCCTCTACCAAGCTTTCCCCGGGCCAAAAAACAGAAAAGCTGCCTTATGGCGCGTGCGCGCACGAGTTCTTTTGGCTGGCTTACTGGACCTGCCGATCTGACGCGGCAGGACCGATGCTCGTCATCACCAAGCGCCGTGCTGGTCAAAGCTCCTTTTCGCACCCACCTACACCGCTTGGGTGACCGAGCGTGTCTTTTTCTCCTCGGTTCATTACTTGGCAGGCCCTGGTGTTGGCACTCCCTTCAAGTCTTGACTTGACTTACCGCCAGGCTCGTTGCCGTCCTTCGAGTCGTTCAGACGTCGATTGACAGCCAGTGACCCGGCCCTCGTCATAAAGCGCGACGCAGCGTCATCGCGACTACCCGCGCCAGAGCCAGCCAGCCGGACCACCAGCTGCCGTTCCCGACCTCACAACACCTACGCTCTTTCGCCGAGAATTGCAGTGACCGTGATCGACCATGGACTTCGCCGACATCGTCAAGCAGGCGAGGGAACAACAAAAGTCGCATGGGTTCAAGTCGCCGCACCATCTCTCGCTCAACTCGAATCAGGGCGACCACCACTACGAAGAGGGAGCGACACCGGGCAGCACACCGGCCTCGCCTGGCTTCAACGGAGCACGACCTCGCTCGAGCCATTCCCCTTCCAACGCCGAGACGTCCCTAGCTCGGCCCATATCGCGAGGGGCAGGTGCAGGGGCTCCTTCAACCCCAGGCTCGGGGACTCGGCCCGCCTTCACCCCGACCCCTACGCCGACTCGACCCCGTCACCGCTCCCAGGCCTCGTTCGACTGGTTCGCCGATCTACCCCCCAATAGCTCTTCGGGTACGGGATTTCCGACCCTGGGACAGCAGACAAGCTCACGCAACCCGAGGAGCCGTAATCCTTCCTTCTCGAAGCGCGACTCGAGATGGAACCCTTCCACCTCGAACGGTCATGCCTACGTTTCGGACAGTCCTCGGGAGTTGTCCGAAGCCGAAAAGGAAGACGAGGACCAGGACAACGGCAACAGTAAGAACAAGTCTCCTCAAAGTGGAAGTCTCGGATCAAGTATCCCCCCCAAGGATGAAGAACCGCCAGACAAGGGGAAGCGATCGAGCAGAGACCTCGGCAAGTCGTCCCAGTCGTCCCAGTCCGAGTTCCGAGGCGCCTTCACCGAAGAGGACATGACCCGCGGCGCAAGAGCATTGAAACGACGGTCCGGATCCGAGAGTGCCGCGAGTGGTCCCAGAAGGAACAGTACTATGAATAGTCAGCACGACGAGGCTCGTGATCGCTTCCAAGAGTTGCCCGAAGAATCATCGCCGCACGCCGCCGGGACCGTTCCAGACAAAGGCAAGGAACAACCGAGCTCGTCCGCGACCGGCGCTGCACCGCCTGCCTTGGGTGGCCGCAAGCAAAGTCTGTGGCAGGGGGCAGCCGAACTTTTTGGCGTGTCTTCTGGCTCTGGACCTGCACCCGCCGAAGCCGAAGCCGAAGAAGCAGACAACGAGGAACTAGACGGTGACCCCGAGGCGCGGAAAGCCAAGGCGAGCCAAGCAGCCAGGAAGTCGTCGGCATGGGGGGTCGTCAAAAAGAAGCTAGGTGGAGAAGCTAAACAGCCAAAACAAAAGGCCGGGGCTACGTTGACCGGTCATGAACTTGTCGCGGTGAGTTTTAAGATGATCGTTGACCTTGCTCAGTTCATATCCCGCTGACGATCGACCTTGCGCTGGTTCACAGGAATTGACGACGGGTATCCTGCCAATGGTGATTGTCAAAATGGCCGTCATGGATCGCGATGAACGAGGCGAGCATCGCATCCCCATTCTCATGAACTACCTCAAGCTTCGCATCACCGACTCGGTCTACCCGTTCCACGACCGTCACGCCGTCTTCCGCTGCGAACTCGAGTATGGCGACGCTGCGGTCAAGTGGGTCATCTATCGCGAGCTCAAGGACTTCATCAACCTACACGCCCACTACCGTGTGGCGAACTTGCGACAAGGTATCGAGAAGTTCCCGACTTTCCCCAAAACGAGTATCCCATACCTCAACTGGCTCAAGAGTGAGAGGGGTGGCTCGATCGCCAAGGCTGACTTTGCCAAGGCGCAGAGGAAGGCGCTGGAGGACTATTTGCTCAAACTTATTCGCGCTACAGTGAGTGATCCGAAAGCATGTTCTGCTGCAGATCGAGCGCACTCCCTAATCCGCTGTCTCCCCTACAGATGTTTGGCCCGGGAGCGAATCGCTTGTGCAAGTTTTTGGAAATCTCGGCCATGTCACTTTCGCTCGCGACTCGGGGCGGCGATCAAGGCAAACAAGGCTATTTGGTGAGGCGGACAGACCGTCAGAGTAGCTGGGTAGTATAGCTGATGTGTTCACCCTTCTCATAGACCATCGCTTCTTCGGGAGCGTCGAGGCGCAAAGCCCCGGGCTTCCATCCATTAGCGTTCAGCAATCGACATCAGCCCAAGTGGTTTATCGTGCGCGATAGCTTCATTGTTGCCGTCGACGATCCAGCCTCGACCGAGATCTACGACGTCATCATGGTCGACTCGACGTTCGAGCTCGAGCGTCCCAAACGTATCCTGCGGCAGGGTCTCAACGCCATCACTTTCAACAATGACTCCTCCGAAGAAGCCGATGGGCATCAGGATGACATCGTTGCGTCGGAAAAGAAGCCAATGGGCCATCGCGGCGCTGGCGATCCAAATGATCCCTCGACAACGGGCGCAGGCTCCGATCTAAACAAACTGAAAGAGACCTCGAACCACACGTTCTACCTTCGCACCTCGGAACGCAAGCTCCGTTTGATCGCCAAGACCGAACGTCAGCAGGATCAGTTCATCGCCTCGATTGAAAAGATGCTCGCCAAGACGATCTGGGCCGGCAAGAACCGCTTCGACTCGTTCGCGCCGATCCGACTCAACGCGTCTGCGCAGTGGCTCATCGATGGCCGAGATTACTTTTGGAGCTTGTCCCGAGCAATCTTGTTGGCCAAACATCGCATCTACATCCACGATTGGTGGCTCAGTCCCGAACTTTACATGCGGCGACCGGCCGCGGAGAACGAACAGTGGCGCCTGGACCGATTGCTGCAGAAGAAGGCGGAAGAAGGCGTGCAGATCTTCGTGGTTAGTTACCGTAGCATGGGTAATGGTGCGCTACTCGGGTCATATTCTGACGCTCCGTCTCTCCTCCTGCACCAGATCGTCTACAAGGAAGTCTCGAACGATTTCACCCCCGTTGAATCAAACTACACCAAGAGCAGGCTGCGAGGGCTGCATCCGAACGTGCACATCCAGCGATCGCCCTCGCACACTTCGACCGGAACGCTTTTGTGGTCACATGTGAGTCAATTGAGAGCGCTAGTTCCCGGTTGACAGATAGTGACACGCGGCTTGTTCAACCCACTCCACAGCACGAGAAGATGTGTGTCATTGACGAGACGATCGGCTTCATGGGGGGTCTCGATCTCTGCTTCGGTCGCTGGGATACCCCAGGGCACGTCCTCACGGATGAGCGACTGAATGTCGTGTTCGATCCCGAGTTGAGCAAGTCCGCAGATGCCGAAGCGAGAGCGGGATCACAGATCTGGCCGGGCAAGGATTACTCCAACTCCCGCGTCATCGACTTCCACACCTTGACCAAGCCCGAAGAGGACATGTACGATCGAGGCAAGGTTCCTCGTCAGCCTTGGCATGACATTGGGCTGCAGATCATTGGCCAGCCCGCACGAGATCTGTGTCGCCACTTTATTCAGAGGTGCGTGCCATGCTCGGAGCCTCTTATCAGAATTTTTCGACCCTGATGATCAAGGATTCCAACGCACAGGTGGAACTACCTGCTGCGTACAAAGAACCATACCGTCAAAATGCCGTTCCTTCTCCCAGCGCCGGACTTTACCCCCAAAGAGCTGCACGACCAGCGCATCACTGGAACTTGCGAGGTGCAGATTTGTCGATCTGTCGGTCCGTGGTCGATGGGTATCTCCCACGTTGAGCATTCGATCCAGAACGCCTACATCAAAGCCATCCAGCTCTCGGATCATTTCGTCTACATTGGTGAGCAGACAGCCCGCTCCATGCGCTTGCGAGCTCAGCTGATCCTGGAACGGGCCTGTCTTCATCAGAAAACCAATTCTTTATCACCTCGACTGAAGTGGAAAGCACAATTATCGAGAACAGGATCGGTGACGCGCTCGTCTCGCGGATCTTGCGAGCTCACAGCGAAGGCACAGCCTGGCGCGCCATCATCATCATTCCTCTTGTTCCTGGATGTGAGTTGCTCTCTAGTATGATAGAGTCGAAAAAGAGGCAAAGTCACTGACTCTGTGTTCGAGGCACAGATCCTTTCCCTGTCGACCATTCGGATGCTGGATCGGTACGACTGATCATGGAATGCCAATACCGCTCAATCTGCCGAGGCGAGCACTCGATCTTTGCTCGTCTGCGCCGCGAGGGGATCGATCCGGACGAGTATATCACATTCTTTGGCCTTCGAGGCTGGGGCAAGATGAATTCGGGGATGCTGACCACCGAGGCGGTGAGTCACGTTCACCGGAACATGACCTTTCTTTGGACATACTAACATGCTCAAGTGCGCATCATCCAGGTCTACATTCATGCCAAGGCTATGATCGTCGACGACCGAATCGCCATCATTGGCTCGGCGAATATCAACGAGCGTTCTCAGCGAGGCGATCGCGATTCCGAGCTGGCATGCATCATTCGAGACACCGACATGATCGATAGCACGATGGGAGGCAAGCCGTACAAGGTAGGCCGATTCGCCCACACGATGCGCGTGCGCCTCATGCGCGAGCATCTCGGTGTCGACGTCGACGAGTTGGGTGCGGGTGACGAGGACTTGCTCGAGCAGACGGATGAAGAGACGAGTCGCCAAGAAGCCGACGAAGCGTGGGATCCTGACAATGAGCAAAAAAAGGGTGATCAAGGCGGTCAACGCGCCGGGCACACGTTCCATTGGGCGGAGAGCATGGCCAAAACGATGGACGAGAACACCGGCAGCGTCGTCTCCGGCGCGAAGGAAACCGTGTCGTTCGGGTTGCAGAAGGGCGCCGACAAGGTCGACCAGCACCTCAAGGGCGTAGTTGACAAGATGGACGGAGCCAGTGATGGCGCCGTGCATCGCGAAGAGGAGACAAGTGCGGCGGACAGAATCATTCAGGGCGAGAAGGGCGGCAAAGGGTTCGCTTCGACGGTCGTTCCGACATTGGAGGAGAAGGTAATGGCCGAGGAGCGACCCACCGATGATCAAAAGACTAAATCGGGGCTGCGCGAAGGCAAGCTGTCGGCCAACCAGCGAGAAAGGGCTGAAGGAGTGACGGTGAGCCCACCAGGGGCCAGCGGTGTGCACGAACATCGAAACGAATCCGACGACAAGGCGTCGAAGACCAAGCAAGCTTCGAATGACGCCGAGAAGCACCTGGGCGAGAAGATGACGATGAGCAGTCCCGAGGCCGACGATGTTCGCAAGTTCGAGCGTGAACCCGTTATGGAAGGTGACGACGGCAAGTCGAACTCGACTACCAGCTCCAAGGAAGAGGGGACCGAGTTGCACCACAAGCGCTTGGATCCAGTCGTACCCAAGACGGAGACCGTGGATGGGAAATCTCGAATTCAGGACGATGCTCCACCTCCGGATAGCAAACCCAAGGATGGCGCCAACGGTTCGTTAAGTGATGAGTCGTCGAAGAACGGGTCATCGTCCCCCTCCACCGCGAAAGCATCATCGTCCACGACCCCCTCCTCACCTTCGTCGAGTGCAAGCCCGAGTGCAAAGGCCAACGAAGCTGCGGCAAATCGCACGACCATTACCGGAACCTTGCGGCGCAACCTCAAGGAACGCGGCAACGTCTATTCAATCCCCGTCCCCGCTCCCAAAATCGATCCCTTCGGCTTTAGCGACCCCATCGTCGACTCCTTCTTCAAGGATGTCTGGCTTGCAGCAGCTGTGCGCAATACGCAGGCGTATCGTAAGGTGTTCCGATGCGTCCCTGATGACTTGGTGCAGACGTGGAAGCAATACCGAGAGTTCCAGGTGAGTCTCAGAGTGACTTTGCAAACATGTGCCCGTCCTGACGGCGCTCGAGGGACCCACAGATCTGGGCAGAGCGTCACAACAAGGCTCCTAAGGATGTTGTTCCTCCGGGTGACGAAGCGCCTCACACCGATCCCGATCATCATTCGGGGCAGCACGGCGCGGGTGGAGGCGGTTCCGGTGGAGGAGCCATGGGTCAGGGTCAGAACGATCCGCCTAAGGGGGAGACGATGCATAAGATCAATACTCGGGGCGATCGTGCCGCGTCGACAGGGAACTCGGCGATGAGTCCCACGGCTACGTCCAGCCCCGCGGATAACGGCGGTCCATCGGTCAAGAGGGATCGGTCGGGTACGTTGGCTGGTGAGGGGCATGACCATGAAGAAGGGTTCCCAGGATGGGAAAGGGAACAGATGGAGAAGTGCTTGGATCAACTGTCGGGTTGTTTGGGTGAGTCTGGAATGAGTTCAAAGGCGTGCGCTTTGTTTGCGGATGTTCACGGACTGATCTCAAGTCGATCCCTCTCCCAGTCGTATTCCCAACTCGATTCCTCGAGGCCGAATCTGCTGGGGGCAACTTCTTGTAAGCGTCCGGTGGGTCTGCATAACGGGGGGCGTGTGCTGATGGCTTCTTTGTTGCACAATTCGTCAACCTCGCAGGTTCAGCAAAGATCGCCTGCCCCCCCTTTCTGTGAGTAGCTATGCATTGCGACTTTGTTTGGGCGACTGTGAGTGCATATGTACTAACGCCCTCCTCCGTTCTACCATGTCACAGATCTACGATTAGGCCTAAATTTATCTTGTCGAGTGGTTTCAAGGCGCGCTGTTTATCGTCTGTACCTGTGTTCGGTTATTGTGTTTCTTGGGCATTTGTCTCTTGCAATCCACGTGTCTGACATCAATTTTATCGACTTGAACCCAAGCGCAACTTTACTCAATGATAGTAGAGCTTTTGACCACGATGAAGATGAGGCTGTGGTCAAGGACAGGGGCTTACGATTTACTCACGGGCCTGCTTGAAGCTCAAAATGGTCACGACCCTCTCCTGAATCTAGGTGGTCTTCCTTTCTTGAGGTTGTTGCATGGGGTAAGACCGGTCATGTAATGTCCGCCGCAAACCCCGTGCGCCCGGACGAACTCCGGACTGTGCCGATCGCCTCGCAAAATTGAACGGATGGACGGACAAGGAAGCTTGCGCCGAGGCTAGATGCGAAACGATGAGTCAAAGCATTCCTCGGGTGTGACGAATTCCGCGCAAAAAGTGATCGACTTGGGGCTAATCGGTAATCGTACGAATGAGCTTTAAATGAGGCTGCAACTGGAAGAGGCTCGGAGTCAGCGCTCGACGGGCGGGGGCTCGGGCACCGGCAACCTTCTTGCCGAGTCGCGTGAGCTTGAGCTGGTGGGCGATCGCCTGCCCTTTGACTCGGCGGTCGACCCGAAAAAGTCCAGTGGGCTCAAGTAAAAGTCATTTTAAGTGGTGAAACAGACTTTTCACGGTGAAATGATCAGACAAACTGGAAGAGAATCACCACTTCGAGAAGTATGAGCCGGGGCTGAAGTAGGTACATCGAGTGAGGCCGGCCAAACCCCGTCGCGCGGACGGTCGGCGCGTGATTGAGGCGAGCGCACCGATAATCACCAGCACGGGTTTCTCGTGGGCCGACTGTCTCCGACTGTGGGCCGTAGTGGGCCGTAGCCGTCGCGCTGACGTCGAACCTCCGAAACGGCGCCTCTCTTCTCTTGGCTCCCGTTCTGATTCCTGCAAACCCACCCCGTCGGAGTCGGAAGTTTTTCCCCCCATATCATCATCCTCACGTATCATGTCTCCCTCCTTTGAAGCCCAAGAGGATCAGTCGTTCCAGCAAGAGGTGGCTGCCGTCAAGACATGGTGGAAGGTCAGTTCTCGGTTCTCGGTCCCAAGCCCCGCTCGCCGCTCGCCGCTCGCTGCGCCGTTCGCCGCTCAGAAGGTCGTGCTCGGTCCGCGGGCGTTTCTTGCGTCGCACCGGTCACTATTCGCCGGCATACTTTGCAATTCCATGACACTGACCAGATATTCGATCTCGAACACTTCCAGTCTGAGCGCTTCAATGGTCTGGTGCGACCGTACACGGCCGAGCAAGTCGTGTCCAAGCGAGGCACGATCAAGATCGAGTACCCGTCCAACGCCCAGGGCAAGAAGCTCTACAACCTCCTCAAGGCCAAGGCCGCAAAGGGGGAACCTTCCCACACGTATGGAGCGTGAGTTGCACACTCAATTCATGTGTTGTTTGCTCGTGATCTCGGCAAAACGGTGTCGTTCTCTGCCCATCTTTCTGCTCTTTGCCTCGGGAAAGGCGCGGGCGTCCCTCGGCAGTCGGCCTTCTTGCGCGTGAATGCCTTCTCCGCGCCCGGCTGCTCGAGCAAGCGGGGACCCCGGGTTCCGCACACTCGACTCTGCGCGGAGACACGCGGCCCTATCGCATGCACCCACTATATGATAGTGCAACGCTTCATGGCCTATCGCTAGTGGCTGCATCCTATGTCGGTGGTTGTGGTGTGCGATCATAACTGCAGCACTCCTGCGCAGCTGCCGTGGCTAGCTGCAGACGGGATCCCGACTTGATCCGGCTTGCTCGAAGCTCCATGGCCTTTCCTGAGCAGTTCGTCTCCGCGGTTCCGAAAGGGACTTTGCCATATCTTCCTTTATTTGTGGCTTCATTCCGCGATCCGGCACCCCTTTCTGCGATCGACCCGCCTCACAGGCTATCTGTCTTCGAGATAATGCTCACCCCTTCACAAGGCTGACCACTTTTCATGACCATCTCCCCTTTACAGTCTTGACCCCGTCCAGGTGACCCAGATGGCCAAATACCTCGAGACCGTCTACGTTTCCGGATGGCAATGCTCCTCGACGGCCTCGTCCAGCAACGAGCCCGGTCCGGATCTTGCTGGTCAGTCGATACACACAACTTATGGATGGAAAAGGAAGTGTTGTCTTATCTGACCAACACCTCCTCTCTTCTGCAGACTACCCTTCCAACACCGTTCCCAACAAGGTCGAGCACCTGTTCATGGCCCAACTCTTCCACGACCGAAAGCAGCGAGAAGCTCGCTCGGGCCTCTCCGCCGCCGAACGTGCCAAGACCCCTTACATCGACTACCTCCGACCCATCGTCGCCGACGCCGACACCGGACACGGTGGTTTGACCGCCGTTATGAAATTGACCAAGATGTTTGTCGAGAAGGGTGCGGCCGGTATTCACATCGAGGACCAGATGCCCGGAACAAAAAAATGCGGTCACATGGCCGGCAAGGTGCTCGTGCCCATCGCGGAACACATCAACCGATTGATCGCCATCCGACTGCAGTACGACATCATGGGCGTCGAGAACTTTGCCGTCGCTCGTACTGATGCCGAGGCCGCTACGCTACTTTCGTCCAACGTGGACGAGCGTGACCATGCGTTCATCCTCGGTGCGACCGTCAACCAAGGCGAGGATCTCGTCACTGTCATGAACATCGCCGAGCGCTCCGGAGCTTCCGGCGACAAGCTGCAAGAGGTTGAGGACACCTGGACCCGAAACGCCAAGTTGCAGCTCTTCGGCGACGCCGTCGCTGCTACTGCTAAGCAACAGGGTGTCTCGCAAGACCGAATCGACGCCTACTTGAAGAAGGCCGCTCACCTCGCACACGCCAAGGCGGCCGCTTTGGCCCAACTCGAACTCGGCGTCTCGATCTACTGGGACTGGAACGCGCCCCGAACCCGTGAGGGCTTCTACCGCTACCAGGGTGGAACGCAATGCGCCATCAACCGAGCTGTCGCCTTCGCGCCTTACTGCGACCTTCTGTGGATGGAGACTAAGTCGCCGATCCTCGCGCAGGCCAAGGAGTTCGCCGCCGGTGTCCGCGCCGTGCACAAGGGCAAGTGGCTCGCGTACAACCTTTCCCCCTCGTTCAACTGGTCCGCCGCGGGCTTGAACCAGGACGATATGAAGGATTACGTTTGGGAATTGGGCAAGCTCGGCTTCGTGTGGCAATTCATCACGCTTGCCGGTCTGCATTCGAACGCGTACATCTCGGACCTGTTCGCCAAGGCGTTCGCGAACGAAGGCATGAAGGCCTACGTCAACCTCATCCAATCCCGAGAACGCGATATCGGGTGCGACGTGTTGACTCATCAAAAGTGGTCCGGTGCGGACTACGCCGACAACTTGCTCAAGACCGTCACCGGGGGTGTTTCGTCAACGGCGGCGATGGGTGCCGGTGTCACAGAGTCGCAGTTCAAGCACTGAACAGCTTTTCTCGAACAATGAAGAGTTTTCCTCTACTTTGTATCAGCGATTCTTGTAGTAGTACACTTCTCTTTATCGCGCCCACCCTCTCTGTCTGTCCTGGCTCCCTCTGCCCTTCTGTTCTCTGAGAGACCAATCAAGATCAAGCATTCAACCAGACTTTTCCAGAGAAGCTGTACTACAGGAAGAGTCGCGAGAAGGAGGAAAGGGGAAAAAAAATGTACCCATCGCTTACTGCCCGACATAACAAAGTCCGATACATGTGAATGAATGAAGACTCGTTAATGAAAAGAAAAGCGTATACGGAGATTCGAGCCCTTTAGAGCGGATGGGGGTTGGAACAGTGACGCGATAAAAAGTCCAGGTCCGAAGACCGGAACTTGCGTGTCCTATTGATCTTCGCTTTCTTTGTTCTGATGGATGATCGGCCCCCGAAACCACACTCCTTTTGTTATCCCTCGGTGAAGGTTATGTTTGTCTTTCTCAGGGGAGATCCCCTGGTAAGAGCAAACGCCGAAGTGGAGTCGGTTGCTTGAGTTTCTTGAAGGAGGGGGCGATCTAAAGAAGCGTATAAGGTGGGGGAATGGAAAGTCTTGTGTGGGTAGAGGTAATATTGGGGTGTCCCTCAGAGGGGGACGCCCAAACAGGGGGGGGGGGGAAGCTTAAGAATCTGCCTAAGCTCTCAACGTCTCTCTTCTCTCCAATGAAGCTCCTCGAACTGCGTCGCAGAGCGTCCAAGTGTTTACCTCCGTTCTCGGAAGATCGGTATTGCAAGCATCCCGTAATCCCGCGTTCCGTTCCAGCCGAAAAAAATTGATTTCCGTCATCCGTCCGCCGGCCTCGTCGCTCAAAAATTCGGTGGTGGCAACCCATAAGGATTATGATTCAACGACGACGGTGAACCGGCCGAAGTCGTAAACGACGGATCGAGCGAGGTATCATGATGTAAAGGATGATGATGATGACTTGATCGATGGCCGTAGGTCGGATCGAGGGAGGGATCGACACCCCATGCGTTGGACGAGGAAGGGGGGATCGCGTACGGGTCGGGAGCGTAGTAGGATGATGTAGATGCCGAGGATGAACCGGATGGAAGGGCGTAGGGATCGTTGGCTCCTGAATGGGAATGCATCAACGAGGGATTGAACGAAGATGATGAATGGGGGATGGGGGATCCGTAATGCTGCGGTTGATGCAGGGTCGGATCGAAAACGCTCGGATTCCCTGGTGACCCAGTGGATGAAGGGTACATCATCGGTGAAAGACCGTAATCCCCTGGCATGCCGTCCATCGTGCTTCTTCTCAACCCTCCCGGACCAGATAAGCCTACTCCGTCCATCATCGGTCCGACGCTGGCGGACGACCTGTTCTTCTTCTTATTGGCTTCGGCCAAAGCGGGATCCGGATCCTCAACAAAGGTCTGCCAGATGTACGACGCGACCTGGTTCGCTCCCGGCAATTCTTGAACCAAAGCTTTGACAAGGTTGTGGCTGAGTCCAAAGTAATCGGGACCTGAGACCGAATTGGATTGGCTACGTGAACGAATGACGTTGACGGCTTTGACAATCTGGGACCACGCCGAAGTCGCCGTCGTGCCCGTAATGACGACGCCGGGTTGATCCTCGGGGTAGACCTCAAACTGCGGTCCGTTGTTGTCTCCTTCGATGACCTTGCAGACGTATTCGACCGTTGTTTTGGGATCGATCATGGATGGGTATTTCCGCGATGCCTCGTACCCGACGGGGAAGATGTACCGCTCCGTATGGAACGCATCACGATGATCGACCGTGCCAAGATTGCGCAAGACCATCGTCCCAAATGGCAAAGGAAGGATCGGTTGCCCATCGCCATAACGGGGTATGAAAGGGATCGTGTGTACTCCTGGTGTGACGACCGAGACCTTTTGTCGCTTTGCCTTTTTGTGCGGCGCAGCTTTCTTTGTGGGTGCAGGCACAGGCATGGCCAGTGCCGACGATGAAGGCGTCCCAGGCTTGATGTCGTAGGGGTCATCGTCGTCCGTGATGGCGCCGAATCCATCCCGAGACAGGGCAGGCGAATTGATCGAGTCGTCAAAGAGGTCATTGTCCGCTCCAACAAGGTGGGGGAAGGGGTCGATGGGGTCCGGTAAGGGCGTGGCTCCAGCAGCTGCGAACGGATTCGGCAAAGCGCTGAGGTGTTCGTGCGACTTGGGCTGCACGGTGGACATGCTCGACTTTCTCGAGTTCGACGAAGGCCCGTCGCGTTTTCTCTTGCCCGAAGTCGTGGTGGTCGATGTCGAGGCTGCTGGCCCCGCGACGACGACCTGCACGACCCCAACTTTTTCTCCATTCAGAGCCCTCCTCACATTCTCTGCGATCTCGGCCCCCTGCGCGCCCAAAAGGGACACGAGGGCGAACTCGTTCTTGGAGGCTACTGCGGCGGCCCTTTCCCTCGCTTCGGGTGACTCTTTGAGCTTCTCCGCGGCGAGATGGGTCGTTAGATGATGGGAGCGGCGCCTCGGTGGGAGGTCGGACGGCAAGAGTTGGGGTCCGACGGGGTCGGCATAGGATGAATCGGTAATGTCGGTGGCGGTTGTCAACAAGGGAAGCTCGCGTGGTCTGTCGGCCAGGGAGGGTACACTCGGCGGGTCGAGGAGGGGTGTCTCAGAGGCTGAGGAGGCGTGCTGGGCGACCGAGGTAGACATCCCGGCGGCACGTTCGAGCAGTTGCACTCGGTCGAGCAGGGACCGCTTCTCGTCCTGGAGCCGGGAAATGATCTTTTGTGACCGATGAAGCGTGTATTGGGCTTGATCCCTCGCCTGTGCACGGACGTCATCGGTATCAGTGGATGTTGGGGTGCGGGTGCCAGACGGGGAGGGGATGAGGGCTCACCTCGACGACCTCGTCGTAAGCCCGCTTGAGCGTGCGGTACTTTGCACTGGTGACGCCTCGAAACTCCCTGTCGAGCTTGTGCTGTACCTCAGGCTCGCGCGGTTCGGGCTTGCGGACGATGGCCGGTCTCGCGGAGGAGAGTGCGATCGGAGGTAAAGACGACGACGGACGCGGACGCTCTACGACGGGGCTCGAAGGTACGGATGAGGCCGATGCTTCTGAGCTCGAGGTCGAGGTCGACGCATCGGACGAGGCTCTCTTGCGCTGGGGTGCTGCTGCGGTGGTCGTGGTCGTCGCTGTGGTAGTGGCTGTGACGGGGTGTGCGCTGAGGGAGGGTGCCGCTGGCTTGCGGTGGTGGTGGTGGTGATGGGCGAGCGTGATGGACGGCTGCGTCAGTTTGATGATCGACGGGCCGGCGGCCGAGACGGTCGGGTACGAGCTCAAAGTCGACGTGGATGCTACAGGGATCGTATTCGCAGCAGGGGCGTGGGCCCGGGCATGAGGATGGGACGGTACGACCGACGGCGCCGACGAGGACGCGAGCGCGACTCGGTTCGTGCTGGCACTGCCGCTGCTGCTGGACGCGGTGGCCGAGGCTGACAGTCCGCCCAGCTTGAACTTGAGCTTGAATCCACCGCCAGCACTCGCACCAGGCACGCCCTGGGGTGCCGGTGTAGGGTGGGACGTCGCCGAGGACGAGGCCATGACGAGCGATCAGCTATCAGCAGGGCGGCACACGGCGAGAGGGCAAGCCGTTGGCTGCAAGCTGCGCAGGCTGAGCAGAGCAAGCGGGCAGAGCTGAGCTAGGCTGAGCTGGGGCCGGGCTGGGCCGGGCTTGGGCAGGCTTGGGCGAGCTTGGGCCGACGACATCCGCCCGCACGGTGAGCCTGGCGCGCTCGACGACAACTGAATTACCCTCTATCTTGCGCGCGAGTTGCAGTAGTGCATCTTGTCATCCTTCCCACCCCCTTTTAAGCGCTGGCGCAACGAGGCGAGATGTCAACACCGCTCAGCTTTCTCGGTCAGTACCCCCCAGCCCAGACGCACCCCGGCCTCACCGAGCCACCAACAGGGGACTTTACTCCATCTCCCACAGAAACGAATCGAGCGTTGGAGGCATTCCGTACGTCCATACCGAGCGTCTGATCAGCCCCAGCACACCCATCTGACATCTGCCCAGGAGCATCTACTTGATCAACCTTATCGCAGTCGAAGTAGCCATCCATGCATTGCTCTACACCCGCAACGTCTATCCCACCAGTCAGTCCTCTCGAGTAAATCACGTGACCGTCACCCCCCGAACGCGTGCATCACCACTCACCGCGTCCCTCCGTCGCACCGAGTCAGACATCTTCAAGCAACACCACAAGTACAATATCCCCGTATGGCAATCCAGATCCCCCCTCGTCAACGAATACGTGTCCAAAATGTGTCGCTGTGTTGGCGAAGAATTGGACAAGGTTCGTCTCGCTCGCCTTCATTGGTGTCAATATCGCCACATCTAACTCATTCAACTCAACAGAGGACACTACGAAAGATTATCGTGGTCATCAAGGACGATGGGCCCGCAGAAACACCCTTTGAACGATTCGTCTTTGACGTCGAATGGTTGATCCACGACGACATGCTCGGTAAAGACGCTCGTGATTTCATGTCGGTCCAGTCTACACCCGCATTGACAAAGCGCCGCGCGAGTAAAAGCTAAACAGGCGTTGAATTCTCGATAGACCTGCGGCAGGGGGGATCACCCGCACGGAAATGGACGAGACGCTGAGGGGCTTCATTGTCCGAGTCGAAGCGGCGAAGAATTACCTACCCAAATTGCCCAAGAGTAGGTCATCCAGCCTGGGTCCTCGAGTCCTTACCGTCTATCTGATAGGATTCAACCGTTTTCTTCCCGTCCAGACGTCACATTCTCGGTCGTCCTGGAAATGAGGGACGATGTCGAGCCTCAATCGCTGCAAGCCAAACGAGGAGTGAGTTGGCCAGGTCCTCTTTTCCTCTCCGAGGATCGCTTCATCGGCATCGCATCTCACGTGCGGACTGCCCATCATTTTTGTTCTTCTATTCTTTACCGTGATTGCAGATCGAGCCTTCCGAGTGGTACAGAGCCGAAGCGCGGCATTCGGCCGAAGAAGCGCAGGGGCTCGTCAGTCGACTCGTGCCTCATCAAACGACCAACCTCGGCATGGTTCAGGTCAGTCCCGAGTTTCCAAAGCGCGCAGTGAGTGCTTGTCTCAATGAAAAGTTGCTTTCTCCTTTCAAGGTCCAATTTCTTGCCGAAGTCCTAGAAAAGGACCCTTTGGCAAGCTTCGAGTCTGGCGAGGCAGAGACGAGTACGAATGAATCGAACGAGGCACCACGGCGGAATCGAGATGAGGATGAACAGGAGAGGCGGAGGAGAGAGAAAGGGAAAGCAAGGGCGGAGTAGATGGAAGAAAGGTGCATTGTATTTCTCCGAGCCTATAAAGCGCACCCAGTCGAGAGCCGACGACCGAATTCGAACACGAGTCGGCACTCCGATGGACGCCTTGGCAGACCATGCACTCGACTGCGGGGTCGAGGAGGTGGCAAAAGCAGATCCGAGCGGAGTAAAATCAGAGCTCCTGCCTCCCTGTGTTGGGGCACTGCAACTCAACCTGTTGGCGCAACTTGGCAGCCTCGTCACGGAGCTCGGTCCGGGATCTTTTCACGTGTCGTCATCAAATCGCGGCATGGAGCGCGCCGCCCCGCGCCGCCACCTGCCGCAACGGCCTTGGACCAGGACCCCAGAAAGCCCCGCCGGAGGCGCAATATTTTTTTGACATTTTGAGGACCCAAATTCCTGAAAATCGTCGAGGCGCATTGCAAAAAATTGACATTTTGGGACGAAACACACGTTTTGCCACCGAGGCGCCTTTGCAGATTTTGACATTTTTCCCGGGGGTCGAGGCAATTTTGGCCGACCCTGAGAAGCCTTCGGCATGACCATGGGCCCGCATTCGCCTTCGAGACGCGCTTCGTGCTCGCGCTTGTACCGGTCACTAGTCATTTTTTGTGATCACTTTAGTGCAGAGGCTGTTAGGGATTAGGTACCAATAGTTACCACTGCTGAGATTGAAGGGGCGCAGGTTCCGTTCCGCTTCACTACGTTCTGACATTGAAGCATAGCACGACAACATGATCCCATGCTTGTTTCTCGACGAAGACCAGGACTACTATTTGAACGACGATGACTTCGATCGATTATCGCCGCTCACCAACATGACGATCGCTGAGCTCCTCGCCTTCGATGTCGCTCCCGCCGACGCGTCTCTTCACATCGAGTTGTCCAAAGACGAGCCCAACCAGTATTCGACCTTACCCTACCCGACTCTCCAGACCAGAGACGCGTTTCTCGCCACCGATGCTCTGATCAACGCACGCAAGAATGGATATCGATCTTTGGCCGTCGCGTCGACGCGTTTGCCGCTCGGCGCCGATCGGCTATGGTAGCAGTACGATTGAGCAAAAGATCTCCAAAGCTGGGCGCTGCGAGCTCAACGATGGATGGACAAAATCGTCGTTATCAACGGAACTGACCGCAACCGTATCGCTGTCGCACGTCGCATACTGAACGGACTGCAATGGCAAGAGCAAGACGGGCTTCTACCATTGCCTCTTCTTGGGGGAGGAACGAGTTTGGTTTATCTTCTGAGATTCTTAAGTCAGTACACCAGTCCTTCAGCTGGCCACTCGTGTTCATTTCGTATCTGAGGCAACTTGCTTATTCGCGTCTCTACTCAGGTCACGATTGGCTCGGTGAAGCCGCGATGAACTTGTCGATTGAAAGCGTCCTTAGAGCTGGACGAGTGCAGAATCCCGATTCCGAAACATCGTATGGACTCATACCCTCTATCGACATTTCCTTGTTACTGGCTCGCCCTTCCGGTTCGGATCCTCATTCGATCTTCAAAGCCTGGCCCGCCAAACCAGTATCGTAATCTCATCGAGCTAGGCGATTGCATGCGCAACGCGCCGACCTCAAAATCAATCTGGTTTTTACCCCTCTGCTCCGATAATCACTGCCACACCATTGGAGATTGGATCTCTGATCTGCTTTGGCCTCAAGCGTGGCATGCATTCACTCAGCTGCGATCAAACTGCTTATGGAGAAGAAACGCTGTCCATCGGAATTGGTACGTTGTTTTGAGTGGCAGTTGAGCTGTGACGTTCTCATATGACAAAGGTCTTGTCTGCTACAGTGCGATACATCTACAGCAAAGTGACAACACACCACTGCAACCGAGACACGCTCCCGTCGTTGGTTCTACTTTCAAATGTCGTCGTACAGGAGCTCTCGCCTCATCGAGCAAGCATGCTATTCCACTCACCTCATTGATGGCACCATGCCGTTCCGCATGATTGATGGTCGACAGGTCATCGAGTCATTAGGCCCGCCAGCGACTACATATCGTTCAACCACGGACCTTACCTCATGTTACCCCGACGAGCGTATAATCAGCACGTGCGCACATGCCGAGCAAAGATTTGCCGCCCTTCGGAGCGTCCCCGGCCTGCGAGATGCCGCCGGTAGAACCTCTACAAGCCGCACAAATGCCTCCGCGGATACAAGGAGCTCAATTTCAGCAAAACGGAGGTCTGACAACGAAGTAGCGAGCCCACCAGCAAAGCAAGGAAGGCTTGTTTGATGCCTGGAGCCACGCGCGACACCAGCCGAAGCGACGCGCGCCGCAAGCCACTTTCGATCGGCCGCCGCGCGCCCGCAAACGCTCGGAACGCGTTTTCGAAGACTTTTGAGCCATTTTTGGAGCATGTAGAACACATTTTGATAATATTTTGAGGCGCATGTGAAATTTTGACATTTTGGGGGGCCAAAATAGGGTAAAAAACTTTGACAAAAAGGCCAAAAAACGGCGTTTTTCAACATGCGCCTCCGGCTGGGCTTTCTGGGGTCCCTCTTGGACCTGATCCAGGGCGCTCGTTATCACCGGCGTACCCACGGCGTACCGGCTTGTTCGGGTTCCAACTCTGACCATAGCTTGTTTGCTCAACCCTGGGATCTTGGTCCGCTTTCGAAGCCTCTAGCGGTCGAATTAACAAGTGGCACGGCTGTCAGGTCTCGTCTCTGGTCTGACTCGGTGAACTCGGGCGGTGACCCGTGACCCGTGCCCTCTTTCCAAGGTGAGACTGAGACACGCATGACGACGATCGCCGGCCCCTTTTGCTCCCTGACGGAGGCGGAATATCCACCTTTCGTCGCGGTGGGGCGAAGAGAGGTACTATTTCCGTTAAGCAGACAGAACAGCATGGGCTGATATAGGCCGTCCCTTTTCAGCGCAGGTAGAAGCCAATCACCTACCTCGTCAGCAGCCGACTCGGGACTCGGCGCAGCGAGCGTCCGCTTGGCATGTCGGTGCGATCTAGCTCCCGACGCGGCGGCAGCAAGGTCAATGGTGCAGGCTACCTACTCGAACCTCCAACCCTATCGAACGACCTCTCCAACGAGATCGAAGAAGAGTTCCACCAGCGACAAGAGGAAGCCTCCCGCGCCGTGCGCTCGCTCGATCAGGACTACCAGCAACGACAAACCCAGGCCTTCACCACCTCAAACGGGCGCCATCATGATCCTCGAGCAGTTCCTGGAACGAACGGGTCCACGCCGGGGGGTTCGATCATGTTCCCTTCTTCGAGTGCAGTCTACATCACTCGACATGGTCGATCAGGTTCGTCTGCATCGGCACCTGTCGCGCCGACGCTGAACAAACGCTCTTCGACGACTTCGACGAACCAACCGAATCCTTACGGTGCAGGCGACGAAGCCGAAACGAGTTCAGTCGCCATGGCCGGATCCCGACCACCTTCAACTACGAGCTTTAGAAACAAAGTCAGTCGACCGCTCAACTCGCATCGGCGTACCAAGTCCAACACAGGCCAGAGCGTCGTCGACTCGGACTATGCCGTCGAACACGATGATGCTGCTTACGGAGGGATGGCGACTTCAGCGAGCAAAAAGGCCAGAACGGGGGGTTACTTCTTCCACGATCAATCGATGCCGCCTGGAACTTTGAACGCAGCCAAGAGAAGCAAGAGCGTATCGGCTTCGCAGACCGCCGTGAACCGTGCTCGGGAGGAAGCGCCGAAACCGACTCAGTCGAGACCTGGGACCGTGAACGGCGGTCGGAATGGCTACACCGACCAGACTGAAATCGAAGGTGTAGAGGACCCTGCCGAGGCGGAGCGGGAAGATACGCTCGATCGCGAAGAGGCCTGGTACATGTTGCGAGCACTTGTCGGGCTCGAGTTGGACAGGGAAGAGAGTCAGCTGTGGAAACTCAAGGATCTAGATGCTCGAGAGGATCTCTTCAGGGGTGGTGACGGGTCCGTTGCTATCCTGAAAACTTGAGGTCCACAATATGACTCGCATACTGACATCGTTAACGCACGGGTTCCTGCAGATCCGTTGAGGAAGAGTTCGCGGACGAGATCGACCCTCGCAACGTTCCCATCCTGCGCTACCTGATCCGTCACTTCCTCTTGACTCTCCCGCTCGTACGGGATACCGTCTCCAAAAACTCCGTCTCACCCGACGACCAAACGGCCTACTGGACCGAAGGCATCTACCCCCTCATCCGAGCCTTTCACAACGCCGACCTGTCCAAAGTCGAAGATCGAGGCATCGCCAGTCTCGGAGCGCAACTCTATGGCAAGCATCTGCGCAATGCGATCGAGCGATTCGTCTCGGCTGGACTGAAGCTGTCAAGTTCTTCGCTTCGACCCCCCTCCGTCGTCGATGTGGACGCACCTGATGGATCCGGGCCCAGTGGGAACTACAACTTCATGCCCGCATCTCGGGAAGGGGATGGATTGGAATCGCCAAACTTTTCGCGCGGCGCCGATTCGAGACGGGATTCACGTCGTTTCTCGTTCAGCAACCTATTCAGCGTGGCAGGAGGCAAGAAGGGCAGTGATCTACCACCAAGCCCCGCAGTCAAGCAACCTCCCACGGGCTTGGGCATGGTGTCGAACCCCAACAGCCGTCGCGATCGCATCGCTTCCACCTACCTGACCCTTGAAGGGATGAACGAGGGTATTGGGCTCGAGTTCCGCGGGGATGAAAACCCGGGCGATGCCCAGGTTGCTGCGATGTTCCCTAGTCCGCCGACGAGTCTCGCTACCACCATTCCCATCCCTGCTTCAATTAATATCCTAGCGCCCCCTATCCCAAGCAGTACCACTCTCCCTACGCCTCGCGAGGAGGAACCCGTCAACAAGAACGACGACGAAGAAGAACCTCTGCGCGACGCTCGCTCGCACAAATCTGGCCAGTCGGATCATTCCGTCGCCTGTACCGAGAAGGCTCTGCCGATGAAGCGATCCAGCTCGCATGCCACTCACACCACGGGTGGTTTCACTTCTGGCTGGGACGACTCGGCCAGCTTCGTTTCGGCTCTTGAAACGGCTGGAACGCGCACGGCGGACGAGAGCGGCCGTGATCTGGAACAACAGGGTCTTCAAAGTACTCCCGACGTCCCTATCTTCCCTTCGAGCGTGCAGATGCGCAAGCAGAAGAGCGAAGGTGCTCGGACAATCGAGGCCAGCGATTCGAACAAGAGAATCTCGGCCTGGCTGGAAAGCGACGAAATGACCTTGACTGCTCATCTCGATGAAGCCTTCTCCACCGGCGCAGGTCAGAGGAGCGCTACAACGACACCAACGCGAGAGCTGGAGGACCCCTTAGCTGGTCAACCCTACATCATCGATGATGGTGACACCACAATCCGCCTCGGCGCACCAATCAGTCCCGCCGGTTCATCGTCGCCAAGAGGCATCTTTGGTTTTGCGTCTCGACTGCGGACGTTATCGAGCAACAAGAACCATAGGGAAAACGCGGACGACAACAAGGAGATCGCAGCCATGGCCCTCCCTGCAGAGCTGATGAACAGTCGACCTGTGCAATCGGCAGCTCTCCAACCCAAGCTATTGTCGAAGGGTGGCGCGCCATGGCCATTCGGAGCTCCCGTGCCTTTCTGGCGTGGTGCACCCTACGAGCGACTCAAGTGGGGTGGGTTTGAAGCCGACGTCGTGGGCGTTCGCAACGGCCTTTTCTCCCATGCCTTTATCATCCGAGTGCGTCGACCCCAACGACTGGATGAATATGTCGTTCGCTCGGAGGCGCAATTCCTGAAGTACTTCAAGGTGCTTGACCGCCAATTTCCGGCGGCTCACATCCGCCGCATCCCGACTTCGGATCCCAAAGACGACACCGTCGTCACCCTCACACCGGCCCTGTTCTCGGCTCCTAGCTCGGCCTCGATCGTAATGTTTCGACGCGCGGCCTCCACTGCCACGATCGCGGATGCTTCGCCGGAAGGTCGAAGCCACTCTCGACTTGCAGCAGGCCTTCGAGAAGCCGCCGCGGACCCTTCGTCGCCGTCGCATTCGTCGGTTTCGAATCGGCATAGCGTCCATTCGAACTTCGCCAAGACCCTCCGAGCTCAAAGTCTGAACGGGGATCTTAAGGGCGTTCGACGCAACACCGTTTCAGGAGTGACTCGACCGAGTTTCACTTCGCGTGCGTTGAGCATGCTCTCGAACCGGTCCAACAACTCACTCGCGGCGCGCATGTCGTTGCCGATGGAGATGAAGAAGATGCCCCCTCATGATGCGAGGAGGAGGGCGTTGAGGGCTTGGTTGAGGGATACGTTATCAATTCGCACCATCGGGCATCACAAGGAGACGGCGGCTTTCTTACTTTTAGGCGCGATCGTGCCCAAGGACAGAGAGTGAGTCTACACCCATCTATCCGTACGGCTTCTCTGGCCGAGACTGATATTATTGCGCTCTTCCAGTGTCGTCGACATCACTCGACGTGAGGTGATCGATGAAGCAAGACGATCTGCTCGAGTGGGCGTGGCCGGCGGAGCCGCTGAGCGCGCGCGCGTCGCCCGAGCTCACTGGGATGCGGTCGAACGTGAATGCATCAACGGCGACGGCTTCGTCGCCATCTCGGATGCTTTGCGCAACGTCAGCGACATCGAGAAGCTCCCCGCTCGCTACTTCAAGACGATTGAATCGTTGCGCTTCACCCTCGCGCAAGGCCTGTACGACCTCTTCGTCGGCGGCGAGGCCTCGGGGCCAATCTTCACAAAGCTGAAGGCATTGCATGCCGCGTTCCCGTACTTCCTCGTCAAACAGGCGTTCAAGATTGGCCGGTCCAAGACGATGGCCAAATACTTGCAGGACATCCTGTTGGCTCGACCGTTCGGGAGCAAGAGCTTGCTACAGAAGTAAGTCACACTCTCCATGAAGCCCTCAGAGATAATATCTGACCCATCATCTAATCACGATGCACCTCATCAGGATTCTCGCCATCACGCTCGACGATGACCCTGCAGCATTGCTCGAGCAAATTGCGCGGTACCGTCAGCGCATCGGCTCGGCGACGATGACAGAGAAGCTCGACATCTTTGCCTACGAATCGCGCGAGAAGAAGGAGGTCGTCCGCCGTTATGCCGGTAAGTGGAGAATGTTGTGCGTTCATAGCCCCTCAGACCGGTGCGCCCATTCTGATGAGCGTGGACATTGCAGAGGAGAACGGGATCGAGCTCGTCCTCGCCATCGTTCGTGGAGCCGACGAGCCCCGCTTACCCGCTTACGAATTGGAGCGTGTCGTACGAGCCAGTAAACGATACCGCGCCTTCATGAAGACCAAGCCTTCGGCCCTCGCCAGGGCTCAAGTGACGGACACGGATGTCCGCCTCGTGCTCGACCTGCAGTACTACTTCCGCCTCGTCTCGCGCGATCGCGACTCCACCATCATACGCGAAATGCTCGGTGAAGATGCGATCGCCTCTGCTCTCGAGGTTCTCGCCGGTCCCTTTATCGAGCTGATCAAGCGCATCTACAAAGTCGGCAATCTCTCGCAAGCTGTTGGTAGCTTCCAGCGGTTCCTGGATCAGTTGATCATTATCATCGAGGCGCTGAGATCGAGGATCCAAGAACCACAAAAGAGCGTGAGGATCTTGGCGAGGTTGCTGGGCCGTCATCAGCAGGCGTTCTATGAGTTCATTCGCTCGATTCATCGCGGTGAGACCATCATTGAGGAGCTATTGCAATGGTTCTGGTGAGTCTGTTCGCACCCTTGATTTTTTTAGGTCCAGCGACTAAACACGCTTCTCTGATCCGTTCAGGACCGCTTCGGTCTTCCTTCGACGAGGTCTCGCCGAACCCGTCAACCTCGATGAAGTCCTACCTGAAGATCACGAGGAGAAGATGTTCTTCCTCTACGAGGTCGAGGATCTCGTCACGTACCACCGAAGGAAGCGTGCCAAGCAATATCAAGTCATGTGCCGCAGGTTCGCCGGCGACGTTGACGCCGATGATCCTGTCATTGTCGAAGGAGATGGTGAGTTCTTGTATTGTCATTAGGTTGAGCGACCTTCACTAACGAAGCCGCTCTTTCTCCTGCCCAGGCAAAGGAAAGTCGAAACTCGAGCCTTTCGCCGAACCGCGCCCTCGGCCTGTCACTTTGCTCGAACTGCCCATCTACCTCGACGGTTTCACTGCCCAACTCAAACGCGTCTTCGCCGTCTGATGCGCTCTTGATACCTTTCTTGTTTGCGAATACCTCATCATATTCTATGTCCAACGTTCATCCGTGTATACGCTTCGGGGCCTCCGGCTAATCAAACTTATACTTATTGCTTGGTCACTTCTCGCTCAGAAGCAAATGTATGTAATTGATCTTCTACTCCATCAGATCATATGCTATCTAGAAGTCACAAGTTGCATGAAGCGCTCCACTGCCTCGATGTTTGGCTTTCAGAGTGGGCAGGCCTGACCTCCTGAACGCTCACTCGACGGCCGTGTTTCTACCGTGACCTGGCATTCCGCGCTTGACCGTGATGTCATTGACTGCGGATTCGCTTCGTGGGTTGACTGTTTTTCAGTCGAACAATCGATCCATGCAACGAGTTTGAAATTGCAGACGGTTGGGCAAGATAGAAAGTTTTTGGGCCAGATGCTGGAGCATCGACGGGTGCCAAAGGGAGCTAAGGTGCCCACGTCTTGACCCTCATCGTCGCAGTCTGTGAACCGCTGAGTGCACGGAGTAGCATCAAAACAGCGACGACGGTCGAAATGTTCTCGTTGATCCATGCCGCGACGAAGGTGATGGCCCGAACCCAACCGTTTTTTTCGCCCAAGTGAATTGATTTGCGGGCCGGCTCGAACCAAAATGGCAGTCCAGCATAGGTAGCCAGCATGAGTGATATTATGATTGCTCTCATGATATCAGTCAGGACCCGATTTGAGGTGGCCTAATTGATGAGTTGCGCTTGGAGTCTGAGGCCGAGGGTATGAATTCACGATCATCAGCTTGGATATCCAAGGAGAAGTGAGCGTGGTCGACCTCACTGATTTCAACTGATTGGCGCACGTCTCTCGAGCAGGTGGGCCGGAAGGAAACCCCTTCCATGCCGACGCATTGCCGGGAGGTGGTGCACTAGTGGTCTCGTGCTTGAACCTCTGGGAGGGAATTTCACGTCGTTGCGGAGAGACGGGGGCTCCGACGGGAGGGAGCCTTGGAAGCTGATGTACCCGGCGGCCGTAAAGAATAGTGCGTTCCCGCTGCGGTCCTTAGTACCATAATGGGAACGATAATCAGGTAAAGGAGGGTACAACCATATATTCCTGACACCTCCGACGTTTGGTAATACTACTGCTCGATCATGATAGCGAGCAGCTGTTCGATTCATTATGAGCGGCCGGTGCAGATATGGATGTTCCGCAAGATCCTCAAGTCTGACATCGTCGATGATTCCTTTATGCTCAAAGAGCCAGCTCACCACGCGTCCACCACGTGCAAACTTAGGAGCCGGGCTTAATCTCCAGGTTGGGCCTTCAATATTTTTCTTCGAAAAACTACTTAGCTCCTGCTTGATTTTTTGTAATACAATAAGTTGTCTGATGCTGATGAATGGATTGAACTATGCAGCAAAATCGACACTGAACGGGATTCCAGGACCCCGTCGCAATGATCTAGATCGCTCTCTCCAGATTCAATCTACTGTTACTTGCTGATACCGTTCAATTGTGATTCCGGTGATTCCAGATTGAAGGTGGTCCACTGTAAGTTTTTCAGAACCTTCCGATGTCACAGACACTTGCGCTGTCAAACCGGGGGGCAAATCCTTCTTGGCCGAATTTTGAGACAAAGGAGAAGCCTGAGCTCCAACCATGTCCATCAATCCGGTTAATGCGGTAGACATCGGTGCGAGCGGCAACCATGGCGCAAGTCTCTTGACCGCTTCTGTTGTCGTCGAAGACCTGCTCAACGCGCGGAACAAGATGAGGACCGCCACTACAGTTGAACATATCGAGTTGATCCACGCTGCGACGAGGCCGATGATTTGAATGGTCCCATCGTTGTCAGAGAGCTTGATGGGTGTGACAGACGACCAGAAAGCTAACGCCGCATTGGCGCTCAGCATCAGCGAGACCGGGACGGCCGCCAGGAGACGATTGCTTGTTGCCCATGCCATGAGCCGCGCTTGCTGCCTGTCGAACCCGTAACGAGTCATGGTCAGCATCTATGCATCTTGAATGAACGAGAATGAAGTAAATAGTTATGCGTATCACTCACTCAAGCTGAGTATTCGCACTGTTATTGTTCGAGGAGCCGATTTGCACGGCGAACTTCGCCGAGGTCGGCGCGCTCGGTGGCGCGGCGCAGAACATTTTGCCGGGGAACAGACCCATCCTGTTGGGGGCCATCGTCAGCCCAAGACCCGCTTTGCGGCGCAAGATGCGAACCTGACGACTGAGGTGGCTATATTCGATGACTGTTGCGATTACGTATAGCTGCTCAAGGAAAGCATCCAGTTGTTTCAACCGACTGGTCTTATCTCGGGCCCAAAGCCTGTCACGTGCGTGACATACCATGAACGTGATGACCAGAACCGAACCGACGAAGCGGAACGCGACACGTGACCACAATGCATAAATTTGAGCGTAGGCGGCAATCGCTGCAAGGGGATGCAGAGCCTGTACGAGCTGGGCGAGATCGGTGTCCATGGTGGCGCCACTTGTCCAGGAGGATTCCAAGGCTTTAATATTGACTATACACTGACCGACGCCGCCGTGTACGCCACCGAGGGCCCGGGCTGCGAGGGAGAAGAAGATGATGGGAGGTGAAACGGCAACGATAGGCCATAGAAAAGGAAGAGCCGTGAAGCACGCCGAGATCAAGCCGGAGTCGTGCCTGTGTGGACCGTATTTGCGCAGACACCAGGCGCTGGCCGTGGCCCAAATTTCGGGGTACTGGCCCAAGAATAGAACGACGGGCAGAAATCCTTGGTAGCCGATGTACCATGATGGGTATACGGAGCCTGATACAATCCTACTTGTGATTACGAGCTCGATGATGCTCATAAGGCTGTACAAGAACGCCCAGAAGGAATTTTGGATGGAAATGTTGGGCATCGTGATCCTCGAATCCATGCGGTGGACAATCCAGAAATGTCCTTGTGCCAGGCGCAGGATAAGTCCGACTAGGGCCATAGTCATTGAAACAGTAAACAGCGCAACGAGCCACCAGAGTTGTCTAAAGATCAACCGGGCAGCGCGAGTCAGAATAGGGTCCTTCCGGAGCTCTTCAGACGTCCGGTGGGCATTTACCGCGTGAATGAAGGCGGCATCTGCGGGTATATCGAGTCATGCGCTGCCTTGATCCCCCAAGGAAAAGGGTTCTGATTGTTGTTGATCGCTAGGAGAAAAGGAGTACCGTCTTCGAGAAGCCTACAATGGTCAGCATTCGGTGTAGCAGCAGACTGATGTGAGGTGTAGTAGTAGCAGCGATAGGCTCCGGGGCGGGGCGACTCACATTTCGACATCCATCTTAGCGTGTTCTCTGACCCAACAGTTTTCTGGAGTGTGTCGAGTAGTGCTTGAATTTCGGACATCACAGCGCTGATGCCGTGTAGCGTTAAACGAGGAATCGGGGCAATACTTGGCTTGGGCCCGAGCGTGCTTTCGACGATTGACTGCGGCGTCGGAGGACAGTTTTGAAGCTCGATGGCTGAGGTGCAGGAGGCCTTACCGATTCCAGTGCGGACAACTGCTGTAGTAGCGGAAGGAAGAAACGAAGTCTCCTTAAAAGGGCTGAGAGGTTTGACAACCGAGGTGGCCAACAATATGGGACCGATGTCCATCACGTCCTCATCAGAGGCTCGAGCTCGTGTTAGGTGCCCTCAGGCATGAACGCCCAGAGATGCGCAAAGCTCAGCTTAATGGTTATAGACAATTCTCGACTCTCATTATGGAAAGCGATAGCATTGGAAGCACTGACAATCGGCGGAATCCATCCCCGCAACATCCAGAAGTTCCCTATTAGCATATACACGTACGATAGATCCGGGGTCTATACAAAAGATGGGATTTCTCGCGTAGATTATGTCCAAACAATCTTAACCAAGCGCCAGGGGGCCGAGCGTCCCGTCGCTCGCGATCGCTCGAACTCCAACACGTCCTGTAGTCTCTGGAAAGTCTGAGCGTGACAATGCGAAGAGCTCGTCCGAGGTGGCCCCGAGCAATTTGGGCTCCTCTCCATTGCGCGTGTACCATACGGTGTACATCAACGCAGGCAACGCAGGGGTCGCGCAATCATCGCTCGGATCTGCGCCATCAATTTGCCACTCGATTCGCTCGCCGCTCGATGCCCATCGCACGCCCGTGATCGAGGGTGTCACCGCTATTAAACCATCGTCCGCGAGGATGGAAATTGAACCAACCAAGATCCTCGAACCTCCTGGAACCTCGACACCGCAACTGGTAACCCTGGTGTCGACGTCAGACTCGATCTGAGCTGAAACAGCATGCCAGCCTCCCGCCTCCTCACTCGACTTCAAGTCCCCCAGCCGAAGTGGACCGTGAGCGTCGGTCGCAAAGAGGCCGAGCTCGGCTTGCAGAGCTGATGATTCTTTCCATATGAATTTCATACGCGCGCCATGCACCTTAAACAAAGGTATGTCTGTTGCACTGATGGGCACTTGTATCGTCTCCGAGCGAGTCGACTCGATGCTTAACGCGCACGATCCGAACCATGCCTCGTCCTCGACCAGGTCCGTCTTGATCCCCTCTTGTGTCGAGGGTATAGCCAAGCAAGGAAAAGGGAACGTCATGTTGAGGTCGGTCCATCCCTTGTCCCACGCCGCTTTTTTCTTCCCATCAATGAAGAAGCCATGTCCTGAGCCTCGAGAGAAACACGTCCAAAACGACCCGTTCAGATTCGGTGGCGGTCGATTTTGGTCCCGAGCGTAGTTCGAAAGCGGTTTGGAGATCTGATCCAACAAAGAAGTGGACAACGCAGATGCGAGACAGGTGAGCTGAGCGGTCCGATTGGCGTTGTCGATTGCGGCTGGAGCGACCGAAGCAGTCTCCTCACGCTTGCCAACAGGTGCGAGCGGTGTTGGTGCGTCGGGTAGTCGCGATGTTCCAATCCAAAGGTGTGCTTCATCCGCGAACCACTCGCTGTAGCCCTTGGGATTCGTAAGGTCGTGTCCGAGACTTTCGACGGTCCATCCAGGGGCAAAGATGGCAACAGAGTAGGCGGCATTCGGCGACGTCCCCGCTGACACTTTATGCAAACTCGATTTGGTCACCCGATCGAGTAAGTCCAACGCGATCCATGAAGCAAAGCCTCCACCCCCGAATTGGCCTCTCCCCCAGACGTCCAAGCCAAAGTAAACCTGGTCCATCTCGATCATCGACGATTTCTCGGCGACTTTGGTCGTAGTGTCTTCGATTTCCTTCTCCCTCCACCAGTAGTTGAGGAAGATCGAGTCGGCCACGTTGGCGAAGGGGAGTGTGTAATCGTTCAGCTCGTTCTGCCATGCAACGCCCAGAAGGTTGGCGGCGTCGTACCTGCCGGGGCACGAGATGGGTCAGCACGACCAAAGAAAGGTCACGTAATTCCGAAGGACCGCGATGACGACGAACCACATGATTGCCGACGCCGGGCCGATGCGCCGTCTGGCCTCATCCTTGAGGTATCGCAACCAAAGCAGCATAGCTTTCATCTGCTCGGCTTCTTGACCCTCGACGAATGGCACCTCGACGTTGATCAACCAGCCTTCAAAGCTATGCTCGACGCACATGTCGATCAGACGGTCGGCGTAGCTCAGACTCGCAGCCGTAAGTCGTGGGACGCCATCTTCGTTGGAGTGCTCGAGCAGCTTGAGAAGGTCTTGAGGACCGCCATCGCCTTCGAAAATGAAGGTGCCGAGCATCTTGACGCCGTGACGATGGGCGGCTTGGATCCACGCTCGAGGTGGGGGCGACACTCGATGGTGGGCGAAGCTGTGTAGCGAGGGAGAGGTTGAGCTACGGCTGAAGTCCGACGAGAAACTGTCGCACAGATAGTACGTACTATATGAAAGAGTCGATAAGATGCCACCAAGTGAACGTGTAGCCTCGTTTGTCATCGTGCTCGCTGTATCCTCCCTGGCAGCATCAAGGGCAAGACAGGGGTCAGTCATTCTACCTCTACCCGAACAAAACCCGAGTGGTTAGCTCTGACCCCGTAGTCATGGCAGACGGAGAAGCGATGCTTCCCCGCTGTATCCGACCCGACCTTCGGGAACGAATAGGGGATCGTCTTCAGCTGTGACTTCGGCCTTCGTCGATTTTCAGCAAAGTCGGCAAGGGAAGAGAAAAAGGCGGGAGACTGTTGCGTTACATCCCCAACTAATGGTCCAGCGGCGGGTGTGCGCATTGTAAGAAAGAAAGAGACTGCACTCTCACAACTAGGGTGCAGGGTGTAGGGAAGGTTAAGGAGAGAGAGAGAGAGGGAGGGAGGCAGAGTCAGAGTGGGGGTTCGACACCGAATGTCTCGAGCTAGCGAGCTCGCCTCGCTGCGCTTCTCGAGCGGTGCAAAGGCCGGAAATGCAAAAGCAGGACTGAATTGCACGTGAATGTGTGCAAAGGCATTTTGTACGCGCGCTAAACTAAGTACAAGGTAAAATCTCCATGCTCCGAAGGGTAAGCTCCCTGGAGGCCCACGAGTTGACCAGCTCAGTTCTGGACCATCTCGTCGACGGCCTTCTCGTACTGCTGCTTCGTCGGCAGCGACATTGAAGGGGGCAGAGCGGTCGGAAGCGGCGGCAATGCAGCAGCGGAAGCGCGTCGGGAGTTTTGAATCAAGACGGCACTGCATTAGGGTGTGATCTCGAGTCAGCTGACACAGCCGGGAAATTCTCTACCCCCACCGAAACCGCGGAAATACATACTCGATGATGACCAAAGCGGCCATGGCTTCAACGATGGGGACGGCGCGGGGCACAACACATGGGTCGTGGCGTCCTCGAGTGTTCAATACACCGTCCTGCCCGTCATACTTGGCCGTAGCCTGATCCTGCGAAATCGTGGCCGGGGACTTGAACGCGACCCTGAGAGATAGTATGGCACGTGTCAATAAGCATTCCAACCCCAATCCGGGGCATTTGAAGTCCTACAGCTCACTTGAAGTAGATGTCCTCGCCGTTGCTGATACCACCCTGGATGCCACCACTTCGGTTCGTCTTGGTCCCGAGCGACCCGTCGGCTCTCCTGATGAAAGCATCGTTGTGCTTGGACCCGGCCAACTCGGTTCCCCTGAACCCGGAACCAATCTCGAAACCCTTGGTTGCGGGGATCGACAGCATGGCGTGGGCCAAGAGGGCTTCCAGCTTGTCGAACACAGGCTCTCCGAGACCGAACGGAGCGTTGCGGATGACGCACGTGACCGTACCACCGATCGAGTCGTTGTTCTGCTTGGCCAACATGACTCGCTTTGAAGTTGTATATTGTCCGAGAAAGTGTCGTCAGCATTGTACCGACCTTCGTGTGCTCAAGTTGTCTGCAAACTCACCTCCTCCATCGCCTTGGCCGTCTCGGGGTGAGGGCATCGGATCGTGGTCTGGTCGACGGTCTCCCTCGAGACGCTCCTCAGCAAAGCCAGATAGTCCTCGTCGTCGGTGTCGTCGTCACGCTTGGAGGTGGGCATGTGTACTTTCCCTACCGACGAGACGAAGGCGACGATTTCGACGTTGTGGGCCAGCTTGAGGTACTTTTCGGCGATAGCTCCCGCCGCGACTCGGCCTAAAGAGGAGGAAAATCCTCACCGTGAGCACACCTCCATGTGCAGTCACCCGAACTGTCGAGCCTTACCGATCGTCTCTCGTGCACTGCTCCTCCCCCCGCCCGAGCTGGCCTTGATGCCGTACTTGAGCAGGTAGGTCCAGTCGGCGTGCGAAGGGCGCGGGTAGTGGTCCGTCTCGGTGTAGTCGTGCGGGCGCTGGTCCTTGTTGCGTACGAGCATGCCGATCGGTGTCCCCAAGGTAACACCGGCCTCCACACCGGATTGGATCGCAACCTCGTCGGCTTCGTTGCGCTGGGAGGAGCGGTTCGGAGATTACGGGCGTCGCGGTCAGGAGGGGATCAGATCGGATCGGATCGGATCGCAGATCAGCCAGAGGTGACCGCGTACTCACCGGAGTGGTAAGAGCAGACTGGCCAGGACGTCGCCGGGTCAGTTGGGGCTGGAGATCACCGTTGCCGAGCGGCATTCCCTGTTGGCGTGCGAGGTTCGACCGTGCGAGTCAAGAGCGGCCGCCGCGGAGGCAACGAGAACATGGTCGGGTTCCAGATCCAAGGCGCGAGCGAGAGGAAGAGAGTGACATTGGAATCGGTGTGAGTGGCAGGTTGGAGTGCTTCCTCCTCGAGAAATGAACTCCAGGGTGCGATGTACTGACAGGAGGGCAGCCGTCGACGATGCAGCCGACACTGGCGCAGTGCGACTCGCCGTACGTCGTCACACGGAACATGGAACCAAAGGTGCTCATCTTGCCCGATTGACGGTAAAGCGATCAAGGGGACAAAACAAACGTAAGAGTTCCTGGGTGATGGGTATCCGTCGTCGATCGTCGTCGAGCTCGCACCGTCTTCGCAGGCAGAGAGACTCGGGGAGTCAGGGGGTTCGACAAGGCCGACAGTTGGCGATCGCCCGTCGTCTGCCAGCTGCGTCACTTGCTGCAGCCTGGGCCGCACTGATCGATCTGAGCAACGCCGAATCATGCGTCCGCGAATGAAAGGGGACCACTGCAATTCAGGAAAATGACCAATCCTATGCGTTCGAGATGCCAGTGTGCTGTAATCGTATCGCGAGACTTATGCAAGACCTACCTAGGCTATTCGTCCAACTTACTGGACCGGGTCCGACGGTGCCCAGGAACGAGCCGACCAGTGGGACCTCGGGCAACTATAAACTCTCTGGCGCATGAAGAAAAACGCTGCAGTGGGACTTTCCTGCCGCGTGCACAGGTGAGTGGTATCTCGGAAACTGTGCTATTGTGGCTCTAATTACCGTTACAATAGCGCGAGCTGAACTACATACCTTCGAGTAGCAAATGACTCGCCTTGCAGCTTCCTGCAGGTTGGATCGTGCCCGAAAGGGGGCACGCCCGGCAGTCGCCCGGCCTCGCACCGCCTGTTCGGTCCGCGGCGCACTCCGCGCGTTGCCTGTTCGCTTCGCGCGTCGCCGTTCACCATCGGAGCTATATCGAGCTTCAAGTCGTTGTTGTTCCTTGTTCTCTTCACCGACGAGCTCAGGCCCTCTCAAGAACCATTCGTTGGCGTGAGCAGGCTTATCCGAGTCTTCCCGCCCTTACCCTACCACTTCCAAGTTCTCTTGACCGAGACCGAGCCAACCCCTCGGGATCGTCATCGCGGTAAGCTAGCCGACGCCCGTCGCCGAGTCATTGCCCACCGCTCCATCGCTCCGGATCGACTCGTCCTTCGACTACGTCACAGAATCCAGTTCGCCCCTTCTCATAGGACCATGTCCAGGTGAGTGACGAAGCCTATGCTACTACCGGTACAACTGTCCTCGACTCGATCTTCGGCTTCAGTTGAAGCTGACTCCTTCCGATTTGGCTTCCGGCGACCGCCGTCAGCGCCATCGCTTCAATCGTATCGAGGGCGTCGTCCGAGGACTCGGACTCGGACTCCAGTGATTTGGACTTCAATATTTACGGTCAGCACCAAGTGCGCCTGAAGAATAGCGTAATCGGATCCGCGATTGACGTGGTGGTTTCTCTGTGAGGTCCGCAGGCTACTACCCCACGCTCGGTAAGCCATCGGTGATGCCAGGAAACTCTTTATCGCGTCAGGATGGCTTCCGCCGAGCCAGCTATCGCAACTCCTTCTGACTCCAGTCCTGACTTTTCCTTTGCAGCGGCAGCGATTGTGTTCATCACCCTGTTCGGTCTCATTACGATCATCAATGCGTTCCACGTTTTCAAATCCAAAGTATGGTGGATGTCCATTCTTCTTCTCGGTGGGCTAGGTTAGTCCGCCCCGACCTCCTATCATATTCACTAATCACAGTCACCTTTCGAATGCTAAAACCTGAGTTTGATGCTTTGTAAATAAATCGATGCTTGTTTCAGGTCAAGTGATCGGATGGAGTGGGAGGCTCTGGAGTTCCAAGAACGTTTATAGCCTCGACGCTTTCTTGATCCAACAATGCGCGTAAGTCCCTGGGTGATCTACACTTCTAACGCCGCAGTATAGCACACTGCCTCCTTTCGTTATTACTTATGAAAAATCTTGATTGTCTGTTCATCAGCCTCATCCTATCTCCCTGCTTCTACTCTGCTGCGCTGTACGGATCGCTTGGCATGCTGACTCGGACGCTGGGGGCCGAGCATTCCCGCCTTCGACCGAATTTCTACATGCTCGTTTTCTGTCTGGCCGATCTCTTGGTCAGTAGAAATGAGCATACATGATGTTTGACCCACTTTGTTCTTAAATCTACGTTTACTGAATTCTGACATTGCGCTTTCCCAGGCGCTGGTTGTGCAAGCTGTGGGTGGTGCGATGGCTGCAATCGCTCTCGAAAATGGAAAGGCGTCCGAGACGGGTTCGTCCGCTTCTCTACCAAAATGTTCGGAGTCCCCTGCTGAAAATCCATCTTCTTGCACCCGTATCTTCTATATCCCCGATAGGAACCCACATCATGGTCGCAGGCATCGCTTTACAACTCGCCGCGATGCTCGCGTTTTGCGCGCTCGGCTACGACTTTTTCCGACGGGCAATACGATCGCCGGCATACCAAGAACGCAAAACGCAGCCCGGAGTCAAGCTGCAACGAATAGTATACGGTATGGTGTGGGCCGCGTTTTGGATCCTCGTTCGGTCAGTCAAATGGTCGCTGCACTGGAGGTAATCGCTTGGCGCCGGCCCGCCGAAGCTGACGACAGTCGAGCCCCTTTTCTTTTGTCGTTCTTTTTCGACTACAGGTGCCTCTACCGAATGGTCGAGCTCTCGCAAGGCTGGACGGGCTATCTCATCAGTCAGTCCAGCAATCGTTTAATCAGTCATCCCGGACCAACCCAACTCAGCTACACCCTGTCCGCTTCTGACAGCCCACGAACCATTCTTCATCTGCCTCGATGCGATCCCCATGGTGCTCTGCCAGGCTGCGTTCGTCATTGCTTTCCCTCCCTTCTGCATCCCCTACGAAGGCTCCAAAGCCAAGGTCGATGCAGAAATGGCTTCTCCAGCATCTACGGTCGTTTCGGATCCCGAGAGTCCGCAGGAGAAGGGTCCGTTCACCGCTGCACGTTGAGCAGGGAAAACTCAGTTTGGAACTCGTCTACTAGTGGGCGGAAGAACTCCGAGGACTCGGGATGAAACCTGCTGGCTCGGATAGCGAGCTGTTTGTATCTACCACGTTTTTTTTTGACTTGTTTGACTAGACGATCTGATCATGTAGAATGGAGTGAGCACAACTTCCTTTACGCTTGGCGGCAGGCTGAGTGAGAGCCTCACTGGCATTGATTACGTAATGCGCCTGTTTGTGCGTGTCCTCCCTCCGCCCACTCGACCTGAACCTGACCAAACCGACGCCGAGCTCCCTCTGCTTCCGACCCATATACGCCGATCCCGCCTGATCTGCACACCAACGTACGTGACTGACGCCTCTGTCGAACGCGTGAGACTGACCCTATACCGCCTTTTGGTCCTGGCACTGCTCTGCTCCAATGTGACCCACCTCCGCTTTCCGCCCCACGCCGGCCCCCCACACGTCGACGCATGACCTCTGCCACTCGCGCCCCACCGACCGGCAACCATTGCGTGTCCTCGGCGCTTCTCTCCCATCCTCCCTCCTTCGCTTGCCGACACGCAGACCACACAACCAACATGTCCAGTGCTCCTCTTCCCAAGGCGACATTGTACTACTTTGGTGGCTCCGTCTGGGCCTCCGTGCCCTTGTTGTGCGCCGAGGAGAAGGGCTTTGGCCCGGACGTGTTGGAGAAGAGGAGTGTCGACCTATGTGAGCCAGTGTACGAAATATGGTAGCTGGAAATACAACTGACCCTTGGATTGGTGACAGTGAATGGCGACAACTTTTCTCCGGCGTATCTGACCAGTAAGCTCACGCGCTCACACTGGAGGGAGCCTTCCCTAGGCGGAGTCCGTTCACACCAAACTGATTCCCAAACACTTCTCACCATCGTCCCAGTCAATCCCCGCGGTAGTGTGCCTACCTTGGTCGCCCCTTACGAACACACGACGACCCCCGATCTCCCGACCAAGTACAAAGCCCTGACGGACTCGATCGAGATCTGCCAATTCCTCGACTCGTCCACGTCCCGCTCGACGACCTTCCAAAGCCCCTCCTTGACCCCAGCGACCGTGCAAGGCAGTTCCGAATCCAAGTTCTGGGTCGAGCACGTCCACGGTCCCGAGGCGGCCGATCCGAATGCGTTCTTGATGAGTTTCCGAAGCGACGACGAACGCAAGGCCAAGAATTCGAACCTGCCCGGCGATTTCTTGAGGGGGCGACAAAAGGCGTTGGAAAAGTACGCCAAGGAAGCCGGGGGCGATGATGCGAGATTGGCTGCGTTCTATAAGAACAAGATCAAGGTCCGTTACAGTACCGCAAGACCCGGGGTAGGCTGAATCCGAGTTCGGCTGATCCTTCGCTACCCCACTTGCTGCCTACCCGCAGGAGAATGGTGGTCTCTTGGCCATGTACGAAGGCAAAATCGACGCTTCCCCCTTCATCGAAGCCTCAAAGGGGATGTACGTTGCCTTGAACAAGACGATCGCTCTGCTCGAAAAGAGCCTAAGGGCCGCCTACCTCGTAGGGGATCAAGTCTCACTTGCCGAGTGAGTTGCTGCCTCCCTTCCTCCCTCCAGGAAGGCTCTTGAACCAATCCCGATCACCCTAACCTTCTCTATGACATCCCCTCCCAGCCTCCACCTCGGAGCCTACCTCGCGCGTATCCTCGCCGCCCTCGGAGCGAAATCCATCACCGACGTCGACGGAGCACTTGAGAAACTTGATGCTGCTCTGACCGAAGCTTCCGGTCCCAAGTTCAAGGCTTACGTCAAGGTCTTGTTCGAGAGGGAGAGCTTCCAGAAAGTGTACGCGGAGGGGTTGCATTGAGTGAGAGGCAGGCGTTGTAGGGTAGGATCGGAGGGTGGTCGGTCGGGGTGAAAAATGACATAACAATAACCGAACTTTCTCAGAGGTCCTTCCGCCTCAATGAGAGAGATAAGTGGAAGTAGCGTCGAGAGAGTGCGAATTACAGACTTGAAAAAAGCAAACGTTACGTCGAACACGGGAGGAGAAAATCGAGAGCCGACGGCGCACAACAGAAGACGGAGGCGTGGGGAAAGGGTTTATAGACGACAGACAGCAAAAAAAGGCGACTGGATGAAACAGCGAGCAAAGCCTGTTGTGACAGGCCAGAAGGATACATGCGATATAGGGGTATGCTGGGAGGGGTATGGGAACTGGAAAATGAAACTGGATGTGCGCGGAGAAGTCATGTGTAGGGTCCCCCATTTTTTTGAGACTTGCCCCTTTAGACTCTGCAGTAAGAGAAAAATCAGTATTTACTCCCAGATTCAAAGTCAAACGATGTCAGACACACGCGGCGACTTACTTTCTGCTGACGCGGACAAAGATGCGCAAGAGCGAGACGATCAACACGGCCAGGCACAGCATGACGCTCAAAAAAACTGTGCGAGGAGGGCATTTTGGAAAGAGATGAGCTCAATAGCCGCAAGGGAGATTTGGCGAGGCTGAGACTGACTGAGGACGACCTGAGCCATCTGTTGCTGGCAGATCGAATCCGCGACCGTGCCATCGACACTAGAGAGCCCTACAGACGAAGGTGACTCGTTGTACCTCGCGTAAGGAGTGAAGGATGTGCATTCGAGGGAAGAGGTGAAAAGATCGTCGAACGCGAGGGAGAGGAGGGCGGACCACAGACAGATGAAGACGAGTTCGAGGAGCGTGTAGGCCATTTTAGTCCGTACGTTCCAGATCCCGATCGGTGGTCCAAAGTATTCGATATAGACCGTTGCAAACACATGCACGATCGCGAAAGGGCCGACGATAATGACGAACAAGGTCGAAGTCCCGATGATGCCAATGACGTTATTCCTCGTTTCCTGCAACCGGATATGGGAAGCGATACCCAGCGTGCACGCGGCGAGGATGAGATTCATTGCTCGGAACACCAAGGGTGCGAAGACGTTATTGAGGATGAAGTTTTCAAACTTGGTCGTCTTGGATTGTGAAGCTTGGGCCGCTTGAACGAGCGAAAACGGATCTCGATTCGCGTTGACAGAATCCTCGTCTCTCGAAAAGGGTGCCCACGGCGTTGACCACCCCGGTGTCTGTTGATCAGAAGATGATTAGCTCAGGACACCTTCAGCCAAAGGGGACAGCCTAGACTAACCTGGGTATGATTGACCGAGAAGACGCTCGAAGGCGCCAAGCGAGCGGCCATGTTCATGCTCACCTGCCTCGCATAACTCGGTCTCGGCGGATCGAGGTCATGGTTTTCGTGCTTCTCTGCCTCGGCGCTGCTGTCGCCCGAATGACGCTTCTCCTTGTTGTGGGTGGGTACAGCCGTCGTGGGAAGCAATGTATCTCCTCTTTGGTCGCCTTCCAGTCGATTGACGTAATCGTGAACGCGGTCGAGGTACCGGCTCGGAAGGGTGAAGGTCCACCAGCGGTCGCCGGTCGGAGGAGCACTAATGGCCGCCGCACCATTCGACGCAGTGAGGTTACTCGAGGCGTTGTGTGTCGCCTTTGCCAGTCCAGCTACTGCGTCCGCGTTGGTCTTGTTCCTGGTGTCCTTTTCGGTATCCTTGCGTCGTGGGTTGAGAGGGGCGGCGGAGGAAGCGGAGTGGGCCGTCGACGAGGACGAGCGAGGCCATGTATGGTTCGGTACGGCATCATCGTCGTGTGCATTCGTTGCCCCTTGTGGTGTTGATGATTCGTCGTTGGATGTGGATGCTGTTGCCCCTGCGCGAGTGTTGAAGTTGAGATATGAAGGTGTGAAGCTCGACGATGACGTCGCCGCAGCGGTGGCATTGTGCTTGGCGTCGCCGCTGCCCCTGGCGTTGGCTTGAGCGTTGCTGCCTTCGCCGGACGCTGGGGCTGGAGCACGAACGATCGACGACAAGGACCGCTGGCGATTCGCACCCGATTGGCCCAGGCTCGGCGGTGGGGGTGCGTTGTAGTCGTACAGGTATTCGACTTCTTCCTTGGGTATGTTGCGTGCCCATGCTGTGGATGGACCAAGCGTTCGGTTTCCGCGGTGGCAGCTGGGTCAGCGCTGGAGCCTCTCGCCGGTCAGTGCGCTGGCCTAAGAGCGCTCTCGTTCAACCCCGGCGCTGGAGCGCGCTAGCAGGCTGAGGCACTGCATCGGCTAGACTGCGGACAACGTACATGGCGTAGTGACTACCCTCTTGTTGCTCATCTGGTACGACTTGCGGGGTGAACCTGTCGATCCGCCATGGTCGCTGGTCGTCGTCGAGCCAGCACTCGACATGATGGATGCTGTCGCTCGCGCCCGCGTACGAGCGAAGGCCGACCCAGCCTCAGCCGTCGGCCTCACTGCGCCTCAATCGCGCCCCTGAGACATTGTCCCCCCTCCGAGTCGATTTTGACCCAAGTACCGAAACACGTATGTTGGGTAACTGTGAATTTGTTTTGGACGTAATTCGTGATTCAGGGGGCAAAGTAGTGTATGAAAAGAGGGGGAGGAAGAATGGTCTACTTTTTTAAAGGGGTAGTAGGAGATAGGTGACGTCAGGCAGAGAAGAGGAGAGATCATAAACAAAGAAAGAGAGAAGGTGAAAAATCCAGCACATCCACGCTGGTGGGAGTGTGCAATCCAAAAAGTGTAGACACAGAAGAGAGAGATGCTTGAGCACTCGCCGTCACCACCCTCCTTGGCCTCCCTCCTGAGCATCTGACGGCGCGGACCAGCCTTCCCCTTCACCAGCAGCACCCTTGGACTTTCCACCCTCGTCATTGTTGTTGTTCTCCTTCCTGTTTGCCCGTCCTCCCTCGGGAACAGGGGACGAGTTCCACCCTTCACCACGCTCAACGCCGCCCGAAGCGGTCTGATGATGGTTTCCTCCGCCTCGGCCGCCTCGTCCTCCACCTCGTCCTCGACCAGCACCTCGACCACCCCGACCTCCCCTCTCGCCATGTCCACTGGTACCAGTCGTCGGCGCACCTGCTGCCGCTGATTCAAACGATGAAGCCTCTCCCCCGCCCGATGCAGCACCAGAAGCGACAGGCGTGGCAGGAGCAGCCGTCGACGACTCGTTGTTCGCCTCCTTCTCCTTGGCTCCATTTCCACTCGAGCTCGAATGCTGTCCACCACCGCCGGACTTGTGTCCTGCCTGACCACCTCGAGGATGTCGGCCCCCTCGTTCACTCCTCCCATTATGTCCTCCTCGTCCACCTCCCGGTGCCGAAGGTGTCGTCGGTGTCGAAGAAACTCCCTCCTCCTTCTCAGCCGCGGCACTCGTCGCCTCGATCTTCTTGTCCGCTGCTCGATCACCATCCTTGGCCACCCCCGAAGCAGGTACCTTCGACTCGTTCGTGTTGTTGGGCCCATTTGATGCCGCCGCCGTCTCATTCCTTTCCTTCCTCTCCCCTCGGAACCCACCCTCTGGTCCATTTCGTTCCCCACCACTACTCCAACTTCCGTTCGAACGACCCACGGCGGCCCCACCTCGACCCGAAGCCGTTCGACCATTGGGACCGAACCCGCCTCGGCCGCCTCGCTCACCATAGCCTCCCCGTCCTCCTCGGTGAGCACCAGGTCCGCCGTGCGAAGGGCCCGTAGGGGGGGCGACGTTGGGGTTCGCCGAGGCGGCAGTTGCCGAAGGAGGAGCTACGGGAGCTTGGGCTGGAACCGAGGTCGTCTCGACTTTAGTCTCAGCCGATTTGGGTGCGGTTGTCGAAGCATTCTGAGTTGAAGAGGTTTGAGCACCCGAAGATGCAGTGGCGGCGGCGGGAGCACTAGGTGCGGGTTTGTTTTGTCGGTACGCAAAGTTGAAGCCTTGGCTTCGCATTTCACTACCGATCCGACCATCCACAATGTCAAGAAGGAGTGAGCCGTACGCCGCATCGGGGAGGTTCCAGTTCCAGCAATTCTTCCATGCCGTCTCCTCGGTCGCGTTCGTCGTCCCTGCGGCTCCGGCGGGACCACTGGGAGCGCCCGAGCTGGGCACTCGGTTGGCAACAGCGAGAGCGTTGTTGAGCAAGACACGTTGGTTTTGACTGTCAGGAAGCAAAGTGTGCTTCATCAGTCCATCTGTTTCGTGCCCGGATGGAGCATTTCCGAAAACTCACTCGACGACACTTTCGACCTGACTCTTGACGGTGTCCCAAATTTCGTTAAAGCCCTTCTTGGCGTATTCCAATTTGAGCTTGTACGCCTCTGGATCATGCTGGACGCTGAACTCGTTGTACGAAACGCCGTAGCGGAAGTGCAGACCGGCCGAGACGGTCAAGTCGGCCTTGAGCACGAGAGCAAGTTGAGCCAAGAGCCCTTCCCTCCCGGGCGAGGCGTGAGAGACCAGCAATCGAGTCTCGGTCGCGTCGTACACTTTTTGTGCCGTGTCGACAAGCTCACCGACCTGCAGGACCGTGGTCCACATCGTGCCACCTCCACCGGCGATGGTCGCGTTGCCTGTGCCGTTGTCGAACAGCTTGTGCGAGACGACGGCACCGCCGAGACCGAAGAGACGGAGACGGACGCCACCGATGAGCAGGACGCGCGTCGTTGCTTCGTCCAAGACGGTCAAGTTCGGGATCGAGTAGCCGTAGGTCGTGGTGAGGTTGGATCTCCCTGCCGGTCCCTCACCTGCACCGGTCGCGGCCTGTAGCTCCTCGGCCGAAGCGGGGACGTTGAGGAACGAAGGTGCGGCGAGTCGGATCTTCTCCAGGACGGCGACATCCTCGCACGCTCCCCACACGGTGTAGACGGGCACACGCAACTTGATCTCGCCGGCCAACAATTTGGGGAAGTCAGACAGACCGAAGTAGGACGGGTCGTCGACGGTTGGCCCCGGTGCGCCACCCGGCAGCTTGAGCGGCGGCGAGGCTAGCATCTCGCGCAGTTGGGCCGGTTGTACGTTGGGGGCGAGCAGTGCCGATCGAAAGGCTGGGGAAATGAGGGACGAGTACTGCACGAGGTGTCGGAGCGTGCGGTCCGAGATGGAGGGGAGCGAGGAGGGTTCTGTCAAAGGGGCAATCGAGGGAACGCGGAGGGGGTTACGCCATTCAAGAGCAAAGCATCAGTAGCCGTCCGTCTGTCTGGTCTAGTTCCAGAATACGGTGTGTCGCGCTGACCATAGAAGCCAAAGTCGCCGCTGTGGATGATGGCGACCGCGGTATGCTCGGCCGCAAGTTTGTTGAGCGTCGAAAGCGCACCTGAGGAGGATGCACGAGGAGGTATCGTGTTGTCAGCAAGAACCTCTATATGTGGGCGTATGCTCAGATCGTATGGCGGGTGTATGCGTCGAACAAGGGCCGCTTCAGGAGCCACCACGAACGGGCAGTCGATCAATGGGTGCGTGGGCGCGGCGCCGCAAATGACTACGGGAATGCGCTGAGCAATCGGACCCCACCACAGAAGCATACGCCGTGTACGGAGTTACGGGGTTGTACTATTTCCCAGCTCGATCTGCCGCGTATGCGGTTGCGATGGCGACGGAGCGACGGAGCGAGGACTGGTGCGAGGACGAGTGGAGCATTCTTTCTTCGTCCCCAGCCATCATGCATACGTGCCAACACTAGTGCTGCCAGCCTGAACCTTGACTAGGTCTATAGGAACGGTGTGCATCCTTCCGTTCACGATGGTGGCTGAGGGCTGAATCGGCGCAATCTGCTGGTGGTGGGTGGGTGGGTGGGCGCACGGTCCCTCTGGTGGTCTGGGGCGATCCGCGTGGGTTCCCTTTCTACCCAGACGACGGGCTCAACGTGCTGCGACGAAGAGCATTGGGAGCTCACCTCGGATGTCGGACACGCATAGTATCTTGCCCCCCTGGGTGTTGATGACGTCGACGCGGGTCGAGTGGGTGTCGACGCCGTGCTGCTGACCGCTATGGCCGTTCACTGCTGAGGACGCGGGCGGTGCTGGGGAGGCCATTTTGGACAACTGGTGAGAGGTTGCTCAAGTGCAATCGGCAATCGAAGGTGAGTCGCTCTGATGAGGTGCGGCGAGCGAGTGAGAGAGGAGAAGGAGCACGCGCGCACACGAAGAAGGTGGAGACGGCCTGACTGGGGCAGACTGGGGCGCACTGAATAGAAAAAGGGGTCGCCACGGTCACTAGTAATCTCGGGTAAACTCGCAAAGACTAGCGAGATTTGGTGCGACATGGGTTTTCCGGGTCCACCGACACTGAGAGCGGCACAATGGCCACGAGTGCAGCGCCCAAAATTAAGATCACTGGCAGTCCATTTTTTCACGTGCCTAGTCCGACCATCGGCACCCGTTAGCACGTGTAGCTGCAGTGATTCTCAGGTAAGGCCATGCATGCGGCGGCGTTCGACGGCGGTGTCGCGTCGACTCGCGGCGACCTGAACAACGTGAGCTCATCGAGCTGCCGCGTCCGACCCCACCGCCGTCCACTGGCCACTTGGTGCCCGCTACGACACACGCCCCATTGAAGCTAAGATGATCCGACTCGCCTCGGCATAGGTGCTCTATTACTACCTCGTGAAACCACCATGTCGGCCACTCCCAGCGAGGCGACCCCACCTTTACATCCGTCCCCTTTCTTTAACTCGTCACAACATCCTCACTCCTCTGATCCTTCTTCAGCTGCTCAGCGTGCAACAGGGACCACCTCATCCACGAGTGACTCTGAGTCGTCATCAGACTCAGACTCAGACTCGGGCTCAGAATCGCTCTCGGATTCGAGCACGCTCGACAGTCGACACGCCGACAGCGGAGATAATGTACACCGATCGCCGCGATCCTCTCTTCTGCACGGTCGAGCAGAAGACATCAAGGACGATACCGAATCTGGCTCCGATCGATCTAGTGACGAAGATGGCGATTCGACCTCGACCGAGGACGAGTTTTCGCTCCCCGGCGCATGGACTTCGGCTCCCAAACCTCGGCGATTGAGGGGCTTCGCCTCGGCGAGAGCGAGCACTATTGTCGCCCAGCCTCCGACCGTGAGCAACATCAAGGCCGGTAGCACACAAGCCTCGCGCGCACATCTGCGGCTTTCATTGGCCCTGATCAGGGTCCGTCAGGCGATTGCCTCCTCTTCGTTCGATGCGCTAGCCACGGCCGTGAGATGGCTTGCCTCGGTTCTCACCCCTTCCTCGATCGAAGGATTGGGTGTCTTCTTGCCCATACTCGATCGACTCGCTTGCGATCTCGAGCAATGCGTATCAGGCGACGACAAGGGCAAGGCCTTCCGCAAGCAACTCTCTTCTCAGGACGCCAAGGCGTTGATCGCACTGAGGCAGCGATGGGCAGTCTCCGATGTCGCGAAGCCGAAAACCACCGATGTGGAGCACGACTGGGCCTCTCAGATTAGGCTTTTGGTAGGAAAAGTACGTGCCGCACTATCCGTACCTCGCACATCCCCATTCTAACACTCCCAACCATATCCTTCTTCCAGCATCCATCAGCGGCCCCTACTTGCCTCTCTCGGCCGTACGACCGACGAACCGCTGCGGCCCTCACGGCACTCGAGTCTCTTCTTTTGCCCTCATCTCTCCCCCGCATCAACCTTTCGAACCTGGGTATGACGACGGATCAATTGGGCTCGCTGGACGCCTTCAACCAGGCTGAGCATGTCCTCGAATGGTACCTCTCGTTCAATCCGAGCCGGGAGACGAAACCGACGGCCAGGAGCATCCTCGACGCCGTGACGAGTCTTGATTTGTCCAAAAACGTGCTCGATAGTAAGCATTCAACACTGAAACGATCGGCTCCTGAAGATGAACCTCAAGACTAAGTTTGCTTGACATTCCCCGCAGATTGGCCATCGACCATGCATCTTCTCCTGCCAAATCTCGAGACGTTGACCATTTCCAACAACCACTTCCGACACATCCCGTCGACGATTGTACTTTTTGTTTCACTTCGACGGCTGCGTCGTCATGGCAATCGATTGGTCAAAATGCTTCGATCGTCCAGGGGCAATAAGAGGTCCGCAGCTACCGCATGCGGAGGAACATGTAGCAACACCAAGCAGCTCGTCGAGACGATACTGGCACGCCGACGTCCGAGGCAGAAGGACGCTCTCGAACGTGGAAAACCATCCTCTGTTCCTTCGCTCGTCTCGACGTCGATTCAGCTACTCCATCTTCACCTCCCATCCTTCGAATCCGAAGCCTCCAAAGCCCTGTTCTCGAGCATCCCACCTCATCTCACCGAGGCGATTTGGGATTCGTACGAATGCGCATCCTGCCATCGGTTCCTCACTCCTCTGATCCAAGATGCCGCCGACCACCTCCCGCCTTTCTACGAGAAAGTTTACCACCTCGACCCAGGAGTCTCTATCCCCTCCCAGCAACCGACCGTACCGCGACCTGTCGCTCTCAACTCAGCATCACCGGGTGGATCCCTCACACCAGCTCCAAGTCGGCCCTTGACCCCTTCAACAGCGTCAGCTCGTTACCTCTTGACTTTGGAAGAAAGGGTACTATTGGCTCTACACGCGCGGAGTTCAGACAAGTTGCAAACGATCGTCATCGGGGACTCAAGGAGGCATCGCTTTTGCTACGATTGTGGGGCGAGACATCTCGGCGTTGATGATTTTAGAGAAGTGGGCATGTTGGATTCCAGTGCTAGGAAGAGGTGTGAGTGCGAAATTTGCAAGGAAGAGAGGAGGGTCAAGGGGGAGGGGGACAGAAAAGGTCAGGCGGTCGTGATGCGTTGGCTGAGGAGGAAGGCTCCGAGATCGCTTGTGGTGTGCTTTTGATTCGTCTACTTTGCCATATAGAGCGTGAGAGCGCGCTATTGTGAAAGCCACACCTGTTGTTGTTACTACGCTCCACGTCCATTAATCGATCCAGACAGCCGTCGCAGCCGGTGCCTTCCCGTCCAATTGAACCCTAGCCACCTCTTTCAACTCCTCCCCATCCCAACTCAGAACCATCACCAGACCCTCCTCCGAATCCGTCAAGGCCAGATAATCCTTCCCTTCCGCTCCCTCCAAAGTCGATGCCCAAGGAGCAGGTTCAATCGCATTGGCCCAACCACCCGAGGTAGGAGTTTGCAACATCGCCAAAGGTTCGGGGGACGCGAAGAGGCCCGAAGGGAGCAGTTTGAACACGGCGACGTAGCCCAAGGTTGAGGGCTCGAGACCACGTGTAGAAGCGCAAAGGTAGGAAGGGGTCGAAGAGGAGTTGGATGGGGAGAGTCGGACTTCGTCGGCCCAGAAGAGGGTGGGGGAGAGGTCTATGTAAGGATCGGATGGACACTGCGGTTGTCAGCTCGAGTCGAGAGCTGAATTTCGTCTGAGCTGGTTGCTCGCGCGCTGCGTACCCTTCGGGATGATCTTGACCCCGTCTTTCCAGTCAAGTTTTCCTTGGCTCGACACCTGCACGGAGGTGTCAATAGAGGGCGTCAATAACGCATGAGTGTACGGATGTATACTCCGCTTCGTGGCACTCACCTCAAAGACGTCGACCATGGACGTATGCTCCTGCAGTGAATAAACGCAGTGTCCATTCGGATGAGGGGTGACGTGCCGCGGCCCGTCGGTAGGGCGAGGTGCGATGCTCTTATCCGTCAAAATTAGCTTCCCATCGTTTTGTACCGAGTACACAAAGATGCAATTCCTCCCACTGGTATGAACAAAGCGTCGCTCGTACGGAACAATCAGAACGTCGGCCCCGAGAACGACCGGGATGGGCACGCCGATACTCACATGTCTGCGATGTAAAGCCTCTTTCCATCCAAACTCAAGTCCGCCGAATGAGCCCCATGTCTCAACCCTCCGAAATCCATCACACCCCCATCATCCTGTTGGCCCTTCGCATCCACGAAATTCAGCGCTTGCAAAGGTCGCTTCGCGCTCGAATCGAAGCCTCCGGTCTCGGGATCGATTTTGAAGACTTCGCCTGTAGGCCCTCCGGCTGAATAGACCGCGATGCTGGAGTTGCAACAGTATCCTGACCGGGCTTTGGTTTCCACGCTGTTGATGTGTTCGAGGACAGGTACGTGGGTTTCGTTGCGAACGACCCGATAGGATGCGAGTCCCGGAGGCGTGGTCCATGCCGTTGCATACAACCGAGTGAGATCGGCCTGTTCGACCCATGAGCGGTTCCATCCGGTCAGCTTCCGTTTCAGCATCAATGGACCAAACGCGTAGCCTTCACTCACGCTCAAAGAAAGCCACGAATGAGCGCCCGTCGCTTTGCTCTGACCCACAACTCGAAGCGAGCCATCTGCGTCATCGAAGGCGAGGGTGAAGACCACGGGGGTAGAAAATGTGCCGACCAAGAAATGATGTGGTGTCATGATGTTGGGGATCGGAGCACAGGGGTGGAGCAGTTCGGGAAAAGTGAGGAGCGACGCGGTGAGCCCCACTCATGCGATTCTCGGCTGGCAGTTTCCGTTTACAAAATCGTCGAGTGGACTTGGGACATCGCCGAGCAGAGCAGACTCTCGACATTGAAATAAGTGAGATTGTTGTATTCTGATGTGTAGCACATTTCAAAGTCGGACCGAAGGCTCTCCGTAGCCGTCACCTTGAAGATCCGGCTCGGGTACATCTTCCCCGACCTCACGTGACTTCTGACTCGCACGGTCGCACTGTATAACGCCTTTCGGCGCTCTATGCCGAATGGTGGTATCAGCTCGGAATGTAGATCGATGGGTAGTTTTGACGGGCTTTCCACACTACAACGCTGTGCCCGATGTCCCGGGCCGCGGTGCACAGCGACCGAAGCCTCAACTCCGCCGGGATCACCAGCGAAGACCGGGCCCGCGGCCGGAATTCCGTGGTTATCCCGTCCGGATCTCACGGCCGGGTGGCCCGGGGGGCTTTCGGCGCCCGCTATTAGTCTTGTCGGCTCTAAAATTGAGCTCTTCATTAGAGCTTCGGTACAGATGCACGGCACGACCGGCGGAGGCACGAGGTACACCTAGGGTTGCTCTCATCTTCTCTCCACGCTCCCACCCACTAGCCTACACTACTCCAGCCCGAGCCTTCCACTCTACTGAGATCGTGGACGGCCAAGTTTGACATCCTCATTTTCGGACCCCGTCGTCGACTCTTCGCCCAACCCATTGCACCGCTGCCTCCCGAGTTGGCATTCTAGTTTAGCAGACATGGTGAACACACCAACATTGATCGAGTCGGAGCCGTTATCATTGACCGAGTCCCACCTCTCGATCGAGGCAACGAGGCCCTCGTTGCCACCGAGTCAAAGTCGGTCCGCGAGTTCGAGCGCCGGTCGTGTGCTGCCGAGTTTCCAGGCGATGTCATCGTCGCCCTCCGCAGCGGCTGCTGATGCGCACGGGGCCCCTGCTACCGCGCCTGGAGGTACATCCGGTGCACGCACAAGTACCACAAGATCCGAGCCACGTCGACCATCAACGGCCCCCAGTATCGACAGTCATGACACCCTGGTGCACGAGTTCGACACCCCAGTGAACTCGGCACGCGATCCAAAGGACGCCGACGCGCCCTCTTCTAGCGATCGACGCGAGGACCTCGAGAAGGGCAAAGTCGGCGCAATCGTTGGTGAGCCGGTGGAGAAACCGCCTTTGACCGATGATGGACGAGTAATCACCGTCGTAGACTGGGAAGGACCTGATGATCCCGCTTTTCCGTGAGTGTCGGAGAGTCTGCAGTGGCGTCGCCCGCCTTCGAAGCCTCCTGTCCGCGGGGGGCTGTTCCGAGCGCGCGCTAGCAGTACTGACCCCGAACGGAGATGGCTCACTTTGCAGTAAAAACTGGTCGAACAAACGGCGGATGGGAGCCACTATGATCGTGGCGAGCTTCACTTTCCTGTCGCCCATGTCGAGCACCATGATCGCGCCCGCAACGGGGCAGATCGCTGAGAAGTTTGGCGTCACAAGCACGGTTGAGATCTCATCCTTCACTTCCATCTTCGTGGCCGCATACGCCTTGGGTCCGCTTTTCCTCGGACCTGCGTCCGAGCTCTACGGTCGGGTTCCCGTTTTGCAGTCGGCGAATCTCATCTACCTCCTCTTCAATCTCGTCTGCGCCTTCGCCAAGACCCCCACCCAGCTGCTCGTTTTCCGCTTCCTCGCTGGACTCGGCGGGTCGGCCCCACTCGGTATCGGTGCCGGTGTTCTTGGTGACTTATGGCGACCTGAAGAACGAGGCCGTGCGGCGTCCATGTATTCCCTCGGCCCGCTCCTTGGTCCTGCCGTCGGGCCGATCGCGGGAGCTTGGATCGCCGAAAAGTCCCGGTGGGAGTGGGTTTTTTGGTCGACGACGATCCTCTGCGTGGTGATTCAGGGTTTCGGCCTCGTTTACCTCCGCGAAACATATTCGCCGCAGCTTTTAAGGGACAAGGCCTCAAAGATCAAGAATGAGCGAGGATTGCCGGCCGATTCCCTCGAGGTGCAAACCATTTTCGAGATCAAGTCCGGAGGAAGTCGGAAACCGGTCGACGTCTTTAGACACAGCATGGTCATGCCTTTTAGACTGTTCTGGTCTGAACGTGAGTTGTTGATGACGTGCCTAGTCGTGGTTGGGACGAAATTGACCTCGGTAACACAATTTCTCGACAGATATCTTGCAACTCCTGGCCGTCTTTGCGGCTTTCATTTACGGCCTTATTTACATCACGACCGTCACGACGACCGACATCTTCACGCAAGTCTATGGTGAAAGCGTTGGAATTGCGGGTCTGAACTTTATCTCTCAAGGTGAGTTTGAGTAGATGACGGTGCACGGCCCGTCACTTTGCTGACATTCGCTTGAGATCCCTGTCCGTCCTCTTCGCTTAGGTCTTGGCTTCTTGATCTGGGCTCAGACCCAAGGACGCGTGCTCGATGTTGTCTACAGAAAGTTCAAGGAGAGGTACGGCGGGGAGGGCAAGCCCGAGTACCGACTACCCAGTGAGTCTCTTATGCGGTTCGGGCCATGGCTCCAAGCAGTAGCTTACCGTCTAATTAATTCCTGTAGTGATGGCTTTCGCTGTAACATTGCTACCCCTCGGGCTTTTGCTCTACGGATGGGGTGCCGAAAATCGATTGCATTGGATCGTGCCGAATATCGGATTGGGTTTCATCGTACGTTGCTCGTTGCCTTTTGCCTGGCCAGCGGAACCCGTAAACTGACCTGTCGTGCGTACATAAGGCCGCCGGTATGATCAGTGCCTTCCAGTGCATCAACATGTACTTGATTGATGCCTTTACATTGCATGCTGCGTCCGCCGTGGCAGCCGCAACCTGCCTTCGTTCGCTGTGCGGATTCGGTAGGTCATCTGCGACTTTGCTGTCCGTCAAGAGAGACCCTCCAAGCTGATCGATGCTCAACTTTCAGGTTTCCCGCTCTTCGCCCCGTCCATGTTCAAGGCCTTGGGGTACGGCTGGGGGTGCACATTGCTCGCCGTAGTCGGAATTGTCATCGGTTGGCCGGCCGTAAGTCGCTCTTAGCCATACTTTCGATCCTCAATCTCACAACAATGTCTCTGACCCTCGCACCTCCCTCGTTAGGTCCCCATTCTGTTCTTCTACGGCGAGCGCATTCGAGCGTCGAGTAAATACGCAGCCAAAAGCAAAGTCAACCCGAACTACTCATAGCACTTTAAGATAGTGGAAATGTAGTGCAAGTTGAAGTGAATAATTGCTGTACATCATATTTTACTCTGGTCACTCATGAGGCCCATTTCGGCATTTCAAGGTGAGACAACCCGGTGTCATGCAGTTTTCGATCTTGGCAAACCAAACGGACTTGAAGCAGTCAACTTGTCCGTGTCGTCTGCTCCAAAGTTGATGCAGATGCGAACTCGCATCTCGACAAGTCACCTATCACTCTCTGCCAAGACTCTCTGCCAAGGAAGCTCTGAAGTTGCGACTGGTCATGATGGCCTTCAGGACGGGTACTTTGACTCGAATGCGAAATCCAGGCCACGTTGCGCCGGGCCCGGCCGGCCGTTGAAGATGCGTGGCAGGTCATGAGCATCGCCGCATTTTTTCTTCTTCTTCTCGAAAACCTTTCCCGCGTAGCTGTGGGGGGTCGTCACGGAAATTGTGGAGGTGAACACGGGGTAGCTATAGTTGAAGTATCTTGAGAAGCCAGCGGAACGGCCGTCGACGGTCCAGCAGCGTCCATCAGCGTCATGACGCGTGACTACGCGTGATCGCGCTCCTTCGCGCAGCTTCGCTGTCAAACATTTGCGCGCCGCTCCTTCACTTCACAGCGCTGCCCTCTGACGGCCAGATCGCCCACACTTATGGCAAAGACGCGACGTTCTTGTCCCAGCCACCCAATCGACAGGCGACATGGTGCTGAGTTACGCCGTGCTTGTGGGGCCGCCTTGAACGTCGAGTCTCCTCACGACGTGTTCCACTCAAGGGATAAGGCAAGCATCCATCTGATTCATCTGCCCACGTTCTACTCGAGCCATTCACTGACTGGTATACCTTCTCTTCGCATGCCCACAGGCCCGGGCACCACCATCCCCATCTCCGTCACATCCGTCCTCGCCGTCCGCCTCGCCCCTTCTCTCGCCCTCAGAAAACCGCGCATCATCATGCGATACGACGTGACAGAATTGTCGGCCTATTGGCAACGGCTTCGTTGAGAGAGGAATGCGATCAAGATTTCATCGATGAACGTATCCTGCCTCGCGTCGTTGTGTGCGACCCAGTCGCCTTGGTCCATCAAGTTTTCGCCATCGAGTCGGACCATCTCGTCCGACAAGTGCAAGACGCACAACAACACAGCAAAGCTGCAAAGATCATCCGCGCTTCGTACAATACGATATGTGGGCGCCAGAGTCACTTGCGAACATTAGATTGGATGTCGCAGGCAGCACGCCTGGTAAGTGCCCTTTAGAAGCTGGACAGGAACCATTGCGACATCTACGGACGCTGACCAGCTCCTCTACGCTCACTTTCTCATTCTCTCGGCGCAGGCAACGAATAATCAAGCGCACAAGCTGACCATCGCTGAAGTGCAGCGATGGCCCCGCCTGACCGACCGAGTAGTAGAGTCGGAGTGTTGGAGTTCCGGCCGCCGACTCACTCCAACTAAAGAATCGCGGTATTTCCTATCGTGCCACCGGCAAAAGATGTCCACGTCGGCTCCAAGCCTCGGGAGCCGTATGCTGGTCCCCATCGCATTCACTGGTCACGATTTCGAGGAGCAATAGGCAACTTCCCTCCTTCCTGCTCATCCGCTCGTCGATGTTATGCTGGACCTCGCGCAGCACGCACTCACGCAACCGACGCGGCTCTTCGCACCGGGTCTAGCCGTCGTGGACGGGGACGCTTACCTCGTTGTCCTCGATCACGAGGTGTGTCGGATTGCTGAGATCGCAGAATGTTGGGGAGCTGGCTTCGGAGTGTTCGCTGCGGTGCTGTCAACCTTGCTCGGACTGGACGTCTACTCGAGCGGATTCTCTCCCTTGTTCCGATACGAGTGCTGTCGCGGGACCGGTCTCACGCCTGTGTGCTTCTACCCTCGTTTTCTCTGCAGAGGCAAAGGCAAAAACGAAGATGAGGGATCGAGTGTGATCAAGGGCCGTACTGCCGAGTTCGAGAAGGAGGAGCCGATCGAACTCTTGGTGTCCCACGTTTTGGACCGTGGCAGATCGTCCATTTTTGGTCTGCACGCTAATCTTCCGCCTGTCTCGCCCAAACTTGCTGGAGCAAGCGTCTCCGAACGCTCCGACTTCCTCGTTCGTACTCAAGATCCAGCTCGTCCCTGGTGAACACCGAGGCAATGAGGCGCAAGTGCTTGATTCGATTCGTTCGCATCACGAGAGGGGGACACCTTTCCTCGGAAACCATTGGCCACCTCGCTTTGCCCGAGCTGACGAAGTCGTTGCCGCTGCACTACTCACAAGCGCCAGACCACGAGATACCCGAAGCGGCGAAACCGGAAGACCCAAACGAGCGTGTGAAAGAACCTCTCCGACGCACGCTCGATCTGCTCCTCTTACGCAATCCGACCGCTGAACTGCCCAGACCCGTCTCCGAGCCCGTGTCCGGTTTGCGCCAGGTCTATCGGGTCTTTGATCAGCTTCTGGCTGGTTTGTCGGATACCCACGCGTCGGGCATCCACCATCGTGATCTTTCACTGAGTAACATCCTGCATCACGAAGGTCATCTCGTTCTGATCGATTGGGACGCGGGCGCGGTCGGTGCGAGTGTACCTGTGGCAGCTGTCGAGGGCGGACGCTTGAGTATGAGCCTTGCGACCGCACCCCTCGGCGCGATCGCATGGTATTGCTGGGGATTCCGGACTGCCAGGGTCCATGGCTTGCATCACGCACTCGAGTCGAGCATCTACTGGTTCGTCACCGTCTTGAGGTACCATATCGCCTCGGAGGATTCGGCCAAAGTATGGGACGAGATGGGGCTCCCTCCATCCTAGCCGATTTCGTCCGCCATAAGCATGTACGTGCACACCTTATTGTGGGACTCGCGACCTCATGTGTGGGAAAGGAAAGCGCTGTTCGACGTTTTGGGTCGTTACAATCCTCGATTGCGTGAAGTTGTCGATGTCGCAACCGATGATCCCCCCTTCATCTGCTCTACGGGATCTGCTCTGGGGCAAGAGATGGCGGCAAGGAGCATCGCAGCTATGCGGGATGTGCTGCGCGTGATTTTCGAGAACGTATTACTTCACCCGAGATGGTTGCACATGGGTGTGTGCCTGCGTGCGAAGGTTTTTTCTCGGTTCAGTATCATTATTACCAATGCAGTGACATATATGCTTGCACTGAAGCGGCGACTTCGAGTCTGTGCGCACGAGCCAAGCTTTGATCAATATGACCTCAATTTGCCGCCTGACGCCTTCTCAGTTCTGACTGCACTCCTCTGCCGCTCTCTACCAGTCCTCAGACCCGTACTGAGTACTAGCCATCGTCGCCTCATACGGTTGGTCGGGTCTCTCTGGGCACGCGAAGGTCGGACTATCTCAGGTTGCGACGTCCGCTGCAAGTTCTCGCGATCGAGAGTCGTGCCGTCCCTATACCCCGAGGAACACTCTGGATGGGCTCGAGAGTCCCAAAGTGATATTTGTACGCAAAACGCAAAAAATTGACGGCAGGTTGAATAAATTACCACACTTAGTACTAGAGTCACTCAGTGCCACGACTAGTAGCCAGTACTTATCCTCCAGTAGTTCGCGGCTGTTCGCGGCAATGGGCCCAAGAACTCCGAAGAATACTGTCTGGAGCTCTCTGGCGAGCTCTGGCGCTCTCTGCAACGCTCTGCAACGCGTTCGCGTGCGCTGCTTCTGGACCTTCTCGGCATCGATTTTCGCCTCTGTCTCTTGTTCAACAGGTCGTGTACGCGCCACCGTTGCCCGCCGATCTTTGCTCTTCCGATCTCGACTCGAGCTCTCGCACCGCCCACTCGCCCTGCTCGCGGCTCTTGGCATGTCGCCCCGAGCAGCTGCTTCGCTCAACCGGGCGCTCATACGAGCGCTCACACGAGCGACCCATGGGTCCATTACTAGCTCATGCAAGACGCGGTCCTGCCGCCACAATATCGACACCAGCATCAGCCGCCGCAGCTTCGTCTCGTATGCGATCCCACTTCGCAAACATCATCGAGCGCAACCAGCTGCGACGGTCAAAGCGACTACTACAAGCATCTCTGAGCCTACGGATTCCATCCAAGGATCTCAGTATGCACCTGCCGAACTGCTGACCGTCCTGCAGGAGACGATCAAAGTGAGTCGGTCAGTGTACGCACCCGTAGCGTGGCCGTCGTCATCGGGCCGGATGCTGATCATCATGCCTCCACCCACCCCCACTTGCGCTCCGACTCGCGCGCTCGCACAAGACCCATGGCCCGCTGCCCGTGTCGCGCTACATGACCCTCTGTCTCTCCCACCCGACCCTGGGATACTACACCACCCGCAACGTGTTTGGATCCAGTGGCGACTTTATTACCAGCCCCGAAATATCCCAGGTCTTTGGAGAGGTGTGTACATGAGAAGCTTTGCGTACGTACCTGAGCGAGGCTGAAAAGTCTTCGACCGAATCACGGCGGTTCGCTTTGCATGACCGCTATCAGCTGTTGGCGATCTGGTTTGTCACGCAATGGGCCGCACAGGGCGCTCCCTCCAATGTAAGGATCGTCGAACTCGGACCGGGCAAAGGAACACTCCTCGCGGACGTCTTAAGGGTCAGTCTCGGTGGAACCTTGTCCATCCACTCGCCTTAGCTTTGTCCGCTTATCGTTCCCAACGCGCCCGACCTCCTTCAGACCTTCAAGGCGCTCCCACAAGCATCTGCACGTCCTGTGACCTCGATACATCTCGTCGAGTCATCTGCGGCTTTGCGCAAAGTCCAGAAGGAAAAACTCGTCAATTCCGGGTTCGCTGACGTCGAAACCCGCTGGTGGGACAACGCCGTCGAGATACCACCGAGTGAGTCACTCATCCACGACGGGCTCCTTCTACTGCACTGAACACGTCTCGAATAATTGAACGGCACAGGTGAGGACGAATTCACGATCGTCATAGCGCATGAGTTCTTCGATGCTCTGCCGATACACATTTTCGAGGTACGTTCGAGCTGATCTTCGAGGGTGGCCTGCTCCTCAATTGCTGAGACTCCCTTCATCTCGTCTACCAGAACACGCCAAAAGGGTGGCGAGAGGTCCTGGTCGATGTGGCCGATTCAAAAAAGGCAGTGTAAGTCAGGAGCTTTCCAGCACTCGCGACTCCAGGCTGACTTTCATCATGCCCGCTGCAGTGTCCCAAACGTTCCAGTCGAGCCCCTTCGGCTGGTGCTCGCTCCCGGTCCTACGCCTGCCTCGACTCTTTACACCCGCCTGTCTACGGTCATTGACAACCCAGCCTTGAGCGCCTCGACTTCTTCTGCCCTCTCATTCGACACGACACTCCCTCCGACGGGGGCAACCTCACCATCAACCGCGCAGGCCCCCCAAAATGTTATCGAGCCTATTTCCTCCCCCACACTGGCTCGCTTCGCTCGTCTGCCTATTGGGTCTCGTATCGAGATCTCACCCGCAAGCTGGGAAGTCGCCCAGAGCGTGGGGAAGCTCTTCTCCCCTTCTTCGAGTCCCAAGGGTGCTGCGGGCTTGGTCATAGACTACGGGGACGCCAAGGCCTTCGGAAGGTCATGGCGAGGTTTCAGAAAGCATGCCGTGGTGGACCCGCTGACTAAACCGGGGCATACGGACTTGACGGCAAACGTCGATTTCGCCTATTTGAACGAGGCGTTGGCGGAGGATGGTGAGAGCTCATCATTTGATTCGGATCTGGACTAAACGAGATAATCTTGCTGACTCGGAACCTGTCACCAGCCTCGACACATGGCCCCCTGTCCCAAAGGACCTTTCTACGCTCATTAGGCCTAGACGCCCGCATCTCGTCTCTCCTCCGCCATGCTCCCATGGAACGTCAAAAAGAAATCGCGAGTGCTGCCCAGCGTCTCATTGACAAAGCCGGCATGGGCACGCAGTACAAGGTCATGGCGATCACGCCGAAGGGGAATCAAGAAGGAACGGCGTTCCCCTTCGTTGAAGGGGTCGAGGAGGCGCTGGATCAGGCCGAGAGGGCTTCATAGAGGATTATTGCAGCGTGAATGTAATTCAATCTTATTACATAATACTACTGAAAGGATGCGTGGTACACATTCAGAGATTGTCATCTGCGACGAGATTCGGGCGACGCGGATCGCCGGCGGTGTCTAGAGCGTGAAGAGGGCAGATTCTCTCGCCTTCCCGAGTTTGACCTACTTCGACCCTTTTCCAAATCCGGAGGTAGCTTGGGCGCGAAATCTTCCTCGTCGTCTTCGTCATCGTCTATGTGATCTTGCCGTTCGCCCCTGTCTTTTGCGCTACAGCTCGCCTCCTCCGCCCCCGCGCTGGTCCCTTCTCTCATCCTCTTGGCCACCTCTCTCCCCTTCTTCAACTTCCTGCCGCATCTCTTACACAGTACGACCTTGACCAACGCACTCTTTTTGATACCCTCCTCCATGTACCCGAACCACGTTTCTTGTTCAGTCAAGCGCGTGGAGACGAGGGGAAGCTCTTCTCCTTCTGCGTCGGGGTCGAAGGAGGTCAAGTCGTTGCTCAAGGTGGGGTCGGGTTGATGGTATTCGCAACGTAAAGCAGCGCAGGTGAGGTTCCCAATCCCCGAGATGACTTCCTCTTCTGTCCTCCAGCGCAGAGCGATCTGCGATGCAGTGTGGGAATGGATACATGAGCCCGTGTGCGATCTCTACAGCAGGTCGATTTGAACGCGTTCCCGGACGTACCGCCCCCGTTTTGTAATGCTTGAGCTCGACCAGGGCGAATTCGCGAAAGAGGGATTGGTAGTATTTTTCGGCTAGTTGGTCTTCCCAAGACATGGGAGGGGCACCACCACCACCGGAAGAGGATTGGTCCGAGCGGATGAAGCTGTTCGGGAAATGATGGAAGGTCAGGACCGGCGCTTTCAAAGAATTCAACGTCCAATACGCGTTCCCATACTGACCGATGATGTTCCTTCAGTACGTCCAACTCGGTCTTGGATGTCGGACGAGCGGGGGTTCGGCCGTGCGAGTAGTACAGCTTGGTCGTGTCGTGTAGGCGTTGGAGGCGTTGTTGTGCATTTTCTACGGCGACGACGGATTTTGAGGAGGAAGAGGTTGCTTTTGATCTGGAGTTTGACATGGCATCGGGGTAAAGGGGAAGGTGAACGGAGCGGAGATGGGGAGAGAGAGAGAGGGCCGTGAGCAGGCCGACAGAAGCAGCGAGTGACGAGGGACCGAATTCCACAGCGGCCCTTGCCTCGCGGGGTTTCGGCTTTGACTCCCTCTACAGCGCTCAAACCACACTCAAGGTCCCGTTCCACCATGCCGAGACACGATTCAAGCGCTGGGAAGCCTCAGAAGAAGAGCAAGAGTCAGTCCCCATCTCATGCACCCATACACTCCCTTGTGAGAGTGCGGAGGTCGGGCTCGAGTCGCCGTCTCGACTTCGCAACCCACTCCGCGAGCGGTCATCGTCCCGTGACCTGAGAGCAGCGGGCCGCTGGAGCTGACCTCGATCCCCCTCCTTCTGCGTGTCGACAACAGACTCGAGCCACAAGAAAGCGACGTAGGTACCAGTCAAAGTGGTACACGTCCAATAGCCCGGAGGAAGGGCCCTGCACTTACCTCCGCTCCCGGTTGCCCCTGGCTGGCCATTCCGCATACACTCAGCACCAAGCCTGGTCGATCGTCCAACTTTAACGCTTTTCTGAATGTGAGTGCGGAATGGTCCCATCCATCTGTCCCAGCGATCTGATGAGGCTGATACAAATCTCGACCTGGCATACCTCTTATCGACTTTGCTGACGGACATGCGAACGCTTATCGAGACGTGCAGGTGAAATTGGCCGAGCTGAAGAAATCCGAGCCGACACTGTCCCATGCTGAACGGCTCAAGCAGATCAATGATCTTTGGAAGGTGGGCTCGAAAGACATCCGCCAACTCCTCGGGCGTCGATCCCGTGTTTGCAAAGCTGGCTGATGGTCCGTGCTGACTTCCCTCGGCTCGTGACGTTCGGTAGATCGAGACGGGCAAGAAGAAGCAGTAGTGATCGTATCCACCCTTTTGTCTTCGTTTTCGTGGCCATCTTTCTCTTGTTGTAATATCAGGTCGTACTTTTGCCTTCTCTTCTGCTTATGTAAAATTTTGACTTCGCTGTCAAGAACCGACTCAGAGATGTCCAAGTCCTTGCGCGCGCTCTCCCCCACGTCACCCTTCCTCCACTCCGCTTCACACGTTCTGCCATACACCATGGCACCCATCAAAGTCGCCGCGATCCAAGCGTCTTCGTGTGCCTACTCACTCGACGAGTCGCTCGGAAGATTGTGGACCCTCACAAAGGAGGCTTCGGACGAAGGGCGAGCACAGCTGCTCGTCTTCCCCGAAGCGTTTCTCTCCGCGTACCCACGACACCTGGGATTTGCCATTGGGAGTCGAACGCAGGAACAAAGGGACTGGTATGCGAGATACTTGGAAAGCGCGGTCAAGATCCCGCCGGGCGCCATGGGTCAACGTTATGGCGACCAATATCGTAGCGAGACTCGTGAAGCCGCGGCCAATGATTCGGATGAGTTTAGGGCGTTCAGAAGAATATGCTCAATCGCCGAGGTTTTCAAAGTCGTATGTAGCGTGAATACAATGCGCTGGACGCGCAAGCGTCGCACTGAGACCTCTTTCTTGGCCCATCCCTTTTCGCAGTTCTTGTCGGTCGGCATCATCGAGCGCTCCCTCGTCGGTGCGACGTTGTGGTGCAGCAATATCCTCGTTTCCCCCGAGGGTAGGCTCTTGAGCCTTCATAGAAAGCTACAGCCCACGGCTTGCGAGCGTAAGTTCTATATATCTGGGTTCGTGCTCGTCCGCTCCCAACTGAAGACACTGATGACTGTCTCCTTTACAGGCGTCGTATGGTCGCAAGGCCATGCGTGGAACACTCAACAAGAGTCCAACTTGCAAGTTGTGGATACATCCATTGGAAAGGTCAGTCTCCCCGAGTGGCATGCTGCTATCAGCAAGGCCTCTCAGAGGCTGACAAGATGCTTCACCCGGCCATGTGGGGCGGCACATTTCCAGATTGGCGGCCTGATTTGCTGGGAGAACTTCATGCCCCTACCGCGATACGCGCTCTATCAGAAGGGTGTCGAGATGTACGTCGAAAAGCCTGCTCTTCCTTGTTCGTGTACTCGGATGAGTGACGACCTCAAATTTGCTTTTCTGGAACGGAGCAGTTGGACGGCACCGACCGCCGACGCTCGACCGACCTGGACTCCGTCTATGCAGCACATCGCTCAGGAAGGGCGGTGCTTCGTCATTTCTGGTGCGTCGAATTCTACCACATGAATCTGAAGTGTCAAGCTCAAGCTCTACCCTTGTTCTCCTCGCATCAGCCAACCAATACCATAAGCCGTCCGACTACCCCGCGGACTATCCCGCCAACGCCTTACCCGCTAGAGCCCCCGAAGCGGCCGAAGCCGAAGTCTGGAGTCGCGGTGGATCGGTCATCGTTGATCCATTAGGAACGATCTTAGCCGGCCCTGTATGGGACGAGGAAGGTATTCTCTACGCTGAGGTTAGTGTGGTGAAGTAGTGCTGCGCGCTGCTCACTGCGCACTGTGTTCCGCTCGGGGCTGACAAGCCACCTTGAGCCCATAGATCGATGTTTCCTCCATTCCTGGGACCAAGTTGGATTTCGACCCTGTTGGTCATTATGCGAGGGAAGATCTGTTCAACTTCTCTGTCCCTACGGATCACGCCTGAAGGCCTTCATGAGGGGGGGGGGGGGGGTGGAAACTACAGGCCCAGACTAAGAAAGGTATTGCTAGGGAAAACGGTACAATGAAGGCAACTCATAAAGAACGCTAGCTTCAAAGGGGTATTGAAGAGGGTATATGATGGGGTTCGGTTCTGGAAGTCCAAGAGCGGAGTGTCGATCGTCTCTTCAAGGCGAGGCGAAGCCACCGATAGGGGTCCTCAACGCCTTGTCGATGGCATTGAAGACTGTGGGGTCGTACAAAAAGTTGAATGTTAGCAACTTGGAACGCTCATGTGTTGGATTGGCTTCTGCACTTGCCATAATCGTCGAACCCGGTGGAGGTGAAGACGCCGACACCGAGGTAACGCAATTCAACGGCCCTCTGCGCTCTGTACGCCGCCGAGCGAGCATCAAGATAGGTGATGAAGATCTTAGTGTGGGGGTTGAAAAGGAAAGGCGTCCTGGAGCAGTGGTCGTAGTGCCTTGTGTATCCCTTGCCGGTGGTCAACCCATCCTCGCCCGCGAGGATCCCCTGCGCCTTCAACTTGACATACGTGTAGTCTGCGCCGTTGTAGGTGTCGTAGTTTTGAAATATGCGTGTCCTGTACTTCTTGGGAACTTGCTGGTCCCCGTACACGATGCTTGTGCGGAGCTTACTGTCGTGGAGGGTGAAGGCCTTGTCGAACGAAGGAACACCGAGGATGATCTTGTTGGCGGGGAAGCCGGCCTCGATGAAGCGCTCGATGTCGGTAGTGAACGACCTTCCGGTACCGCATTTGTACGAGGGCGAGTCAGGACCGGTCTGGTTAGTCCATCCGCCGACGTAGTCGTAGGCCATGACGTTGAAAGCATCGACGACCTTGGCGAAGGGCTTGTAGTCGGTCAAGGTCGTGGTGCCGCTCGGGCCGAAGATGCCGTTGACCGACACGGCGGCGGAGATCCAATCGTTGGGACGAGAGTGGCGCAAATCCTGAAGGAACTTGAGGAGGTTGGCCGAGTCCGCGGGATCGATTTCGTTCTTGGGGTTACCGGGGACGGTGGGAAATCGCCAGTCTATCAAAAGATGGTGTATGGTCAAGATCATGGAGTTGGGAGGCTAGTTGGGCCTGTTGTGCACTCACCGACATTGACACCATCGAGCTTGTTCTATTATTCGCGGAGAAGAGTATCAGCTTTGATTTCAGAGTCCTCTTCACTAATACTTTACTTTGTAACGAGGCCAAATACTGACCTCTATGACGACCTCAAGTATCTGCTTGACGAACTTGGCGCGCGCAGATTCGGTCTTGACCAAGCTCGAGAAATATTGCTGTTGGGCACAAGAGATAGGGGGCGATAGCTTGTGTCAGTCACGTGCCCAAGTATCGAGTCAACTTCTTCACATTGGGACTAGTATGGTACCGAGCCATCAGCTCCACCGATGGAGAGCACCGCCTTCTTCTTGTCTGTTACGTGGTAGGTCAGGGGTAAGTTTCAATTTCAGAATAGGGGCCACTGGGGGATCAAGCATATTTGAACTGTAACTCACTTGCGTGGGCTCCCGACACGAATTTTGCAAGGCCTTTTTCGCCGGCAGGGAAGGCGAGTCCATCCTTGGCCGTCACAGCGGCGCTAGTGAATGTGGACCAAAGAGGGGGTTGAGGACGAGGTCTCAGCTCCAACCGTTCGCTATTCGCCGGGTGAAGAGGCCCGAGGGTTGCCCGGCTGGCGCGAGCTAGCGGTCAGCGTACTCACATGTGGTAGCCAATATCAGTGACTTTCCAGTCAATGATGGCGTCGACCTCATACCTGTAAGGAAGGAGGCGACGAATCAGTCTACACATGCAGATTAAGATCAAATCTGGGGTGGGCGCAGACCACATTGTGAGGGGTGTGTTGACGACGACTTACGCCGGATAGTGGGCGGCGAGCAGGCCTTTCTTGGCCGAGACGGCGACCAGAAGTGAAGCAAGAAGTGCGGTGCTGAAGAGCATGTTGGGTGAATGATCGCTTGGGGGGAGGGGGAGAGAATGAGAGAAGGCTTTAGTCCCACCTCAAGCTGTACTTGTGTAGCGAAGCCGTCAACAGGTGCCAAACAATCCGGGGACTCGGCAGAGCGAGGAAAAGGAGGCCACATGAATCGGGGGGTTAGCGGAGGTTAGCGGTGTGAGCGCGGCCTCTCTCACGGGCCTTGCCCACAAGTGAGACAAGCTCACTTATCCTTGTTTGAATAGATCTATTATAGTGCCCTTCACCTTTTTTGATAGTCCACGTTGCTCTCTTTCCTTGTGACAACTTTAGGCGTTCTGGACGCTCTGAAAGGAACTCGAACACGTCACCAGTCTGTTAGAGCAATCTCCGCGACCCCGGAGCGAGCAAACTCTTCCAATGAAACAGACTGGTTTCGCCTGGTCACGTTGGTTTCATGCACACTTCGCGGTCAAGTGCACTAGGAAAAGGTGCTCAAGTTCACTAGGCAAATGTGCCAGTAGGGCACTGCCAGTTGGTGTTATTAGAGGTGTGACTGAATTCGGCCAAGTGCTCGGCTGTGAAAGGAGCCTTCTTCTGGGCGCTTTGTCGCAGACTTCGTCTGTTAGATTCTGTCTTTGTGAGCAAGACCGGTGAAGCTCAAACCGATAACCGCGCATGACTTAAAGCTAGAGACGCCTTGACGTCGCCGTTGAGACTTGTGTAACGGCCAGCCGGAAGTGACTGCAACCTCGCAAAGGCACACGCACCGTGCGATCGTCATGAACCTAATCAGCCGATCTCGGCCCCACTGCACCCACCGATATTGACACCTGCGGTAAGTAGTGCTGAGTTAACCCGGAGACAATAGGCTGTGTTTGAGACTCCGGATCCAGCACGAGTCTCGTGGGGCACTGCAGTATGTATCGTGTCGGACAATTGGGAAAACTATTCGACATGGCCAACATCGATCATCGACACCGACGATCGAGCTTACTTCCAAACTCCGGATCTCCGGGGTGAGAGTTCACATGGGGTGGGCAGGATAGGCAAAGCAAGTACCTTCTCTACCCAAGCTACCGCCGGTGACGATATCCGGTCGCCGGCCTTGAGGATCCGCCGGCGGGTGCACTGAACCTGAGTGCCGACGAGTTGCGGACCCCTATGCGATAACGCCGGTCCATGTGCATGCGGGAGAGGAAGGCATTCGTACTTGGCTCAGGTTATATCCAGTCAGCCGAGTTTTAGTCGCATCATGTCAATCCGGACACCACTTTGGCCAATCTTCGCCGATCGATCGCCTGTCCGCTCGGACCTCTTTTTCCGTTCGCCCACCCCACTCGACCCGATTCGCCGTCTTTTCTGGTCATCGCTTGTTGCATTCGACGCCTCGCCCTCGCTGTTCCCCTCGGTTGTGGTGTGACTGAAGAGGAGGAAGGTGAGCTCTCAGTGATGATGTCCTGAGGCTCTTGCGCCACCTTTGCTAGTACTACATGCTGACGACGTTCACTCGGGTGCACAGAGCTCGGCACGACTTTCCGATCGCGGGGAGGGCGTGCCTGGTGTCGAGTCGACCACGATGCTGAGGCGAAAGTGTCGGTCGATAGTACCACCCTCGACGGCGACCCTCGAGACCTGCCATATCGCTGCAGTGCTGCCAGCGTTCCTGCTGCCGGCCTTCGCAATCGAGCGAGCGGTCCTCCAGCTCGACGTCCACCTCGCCAGCGATGTCGCACCCTCATTCGCTCCAATGGCAACCACGTCTTCGCATGCACAATCGGACGTATCACTATCAAGTCAACACCGTGATGTGTCGCCCTCAAAGCCTCGCCTGCGGTCACGAACGGCGTCCTCATCATCCTGGGCGATCAAATCGAGTCGCTCGTTCAGCTCCTCCGCTGTCACGTCACAATCTCTCGACTCGAGCAGTCCCCCAGAACAGAGTCACCCACGCGTATGGACAAGTGATGATTCGAGAACAACCGAGCACCGGATAGGGGGCCTCGCGTACCGAAAGGGTAGACTCGCCTCGTCTTCTAGCCAGCTGTCCGCGATCCCACCTCGCTATAACAGTCAAGGGCGCGTGTATAATCCAAATGCCACCTCACAACACCCCAAAACGCACGGTATAGACCAATCTCCTGGTGCTCTCCGTGATCGTATGCACAGATTGGCTGAGCCGGCGAACCGCAGCGAGTTGCTTCGAGCGATCCACCAAGCCCCTGTCTCGGATTGGGGCGACAACGCGCTCTACTCATTGCTCGAACTCAAGAATCATACCAGACGGCTCGAACGTCTTGACGACATCGCTCCCGTTGCCGCACTGTCGACGCTCGGTATCGCTGCAGGTCAGCCGACCTTTTCGCTGCAGCTACTTCGCAATTCGATGGATGCTATCCTCCTTCGGTATGGGAACGACCCCAAGGAGGCGATCCGGAAGGTTTCGAAGCTGGTCGAACAGCCACTCCGTCGTCTGAGGCACGACAAATCATTTGCGACAGCTTTGTCCGTCACCAATCCTGCGCTTGCTCGCAACTGCTTCACACCGGTTGTGCTCAAAAATCACCTGCGAGCTCTTTACGAGCTCGATCGATACCCCGAGGCAATTCGCGCGTTTCACATGTTCGAAGAGCATGGTCTCGAACCCGATGCAGCTTCTTGGGATGACTATGTCGGCGCCCACCTACACCACTCGGATGTGCAGACAGCGCAGGCGGTCCTCGCTGAGAAGATCGAACGGGGCCACGGTACGACATCCAACACGGTCCTCACTTTGCTCGATGGCATGTACCGGTACGGAGGTAGCCGCGTTATGGAAGACCGGGCTCTTGAAGATGTCACTCCGGAAGCATTGAAGCGCTCGCAAGCGGTTTCGCAAGATGTCCGAGTGCTAAACAAAATTATAGCGGCTCGATTCGCCCGACGGGATGCGGCGGGTGCTCTTCAGGTGTTTCAACGCTACTTCGATGTGTCACCTGAGCTACGGAGTCGAGTGGCCGAGGCTTTCACGATCTATTCACCAGATTCACAAATATCCTTCGACCACTATCAGCCGACACCCGATTTGGCGACACTCGCCATCATCACCAAAGCTTTGGCTCGGACACGCCAATTCGAGACTGCGCTCAGCTTCATCGTGGAAGAGTCGCAGCAGCCAACCCTTGGCTTGGTCATCGACGACCACACCATTGCTGTCATCGTTCTCTGTCTAGTTGAACGTCAGCCCAACGGACTAGCTGAGGCGAGCCGATTCCTACAAGCCCTGCCCCACGGCGAGGGGCGCGTCGAGCTGGTTGGTTCCGCATCTCGGACGGTCAATTTTCCGCGTTTCGAACCGTCTGGCATGGCCTTTGAAACCCTGCTGGCTGCCACGCTCCGCCAGACCGGGCTGACGGGTGCCAAATCTCTGCTCGAACGCCTCGTGGAAACGCACAGCAACGGCTCGGTCAGCGTGTCTGAGGGAACGATCACGATCCTCGTCGAGTACCTCGCCCAACAAGTCGGCCAGATTGTCGAAGCCGCTTCGCTGATCATCCGATTATGGGAGCTGTCGTCGGACCGTGGGAATCAAAGGCCGAGTCTGAAGAACGTCAGTGCTCTGCTTCGGGGAGCTTTGCAATCGGCGAAGAACAAATCAATGCCTTCACGAGATGCGATTACTTTGACGCTTGCCGTGCTTCCGCCAAATCTCCTTCCCCCCGCTAGCGACGAAGAGTCCGGCAGACCCTACCAGTCCATTATCGGCCCCGATGCTGCCAAGATACGAGCCTCCCTCGTCGCTCGGGTTCTGCAACCTGATCGGACGACATCAGAGCTGCTGCTTGAGACCGTGTCCCCCGTCAATTCGATGGTGAACGACACCGAGCACATGTGGGAGCATCTTCAATCCTCGATCCTTAGCCGTGGGATCAGGCCCACGTATCGACATCTGGACCTCATTCTTCGAGCTTACATCCACCTCGGGGACCCGGCTGGGGCTCGTCGCGCCCTCGATCGCGGCTTGAACCACCTGTTGATCGAAGCCCATCCCGCTCTATACGCCACCCTCATCAACGGTTTGACGTTATGCGGTGACCTAGATGGCGCTCTTCAAGTTTACGCAGAAATGGGTGATCGCGGGATCGACCCGAATCGCCGCGTATACGTCGCTTTGGTGATCGGGTTCATCCGTCAGCGCAAACATGACGCCGCTCGCATGGTGCTCGAAGAAGCCAAGCAAAGCCTAGCGGATCAATCGATCGACACGAATCCCATCTTTGTCGGCGTAGAGTACCGCGCTAGGATCGCGCGTGATCGGTTCCCGGATGCGGTCCGATGGCTTCATGCCAAGCTGGCGACGGGCCAGGTCGAGATCGACGAGGTGCTCGCTCGAATCGTGAAGCGTTCCTGGAGATGGGCCAAGTGGAAGCTCAATCGTCGCAGTCGAGGGTTGATCGAATTCAAGGGTGGCCTGCCTCGTAACGAGTGGAGCGATGAGGAGGTTGCTGAGATCGTCGAGTCGTTGGAAGAGACGTGGAAGTGGGCGAGAACAGCGAGAGCGAAGCGACGGCAGGAACTGGGTCGAGGCTGGAACGAGGCGCAGAAGATTTGGAATGGCTCGAGAAAGTCGTAGCTTGAGTAGTACGCAATGCAAACTGGATAACTTTCTATCGACAACTGTACAGCGAGAAATAAGATGATCCACGAATTATCTACGAGTGACGTCCCAGGAATGCTTAGCCTGTATCTGCACTGAATTCGTTGATAGAAGATCATAGCTTGACAAACTTCAAGTCGCCATAGAACGCCTGGAGATGTTTCGCTACTTCTGCCGCCGTCTCCTTCGGCTTTTCTTGAACGAGCGTGTGGAAGGCCTTCTTGACCCTGACGATGGTTGCGTGGGGGATCAAGCGCAGTGTGTCCTGCAGCGCCTCTTCAGTAAGGACCGAGCAATCAAGATCCGCACAAATGAACCGGACCGGCAAGATTGTCGGTAGCATCGCCAGTCGACCGCTTGCTCGACGCGAGACAGTCGTGCAGAGATCACCAAACACGAGCTGGTGGTCCAACGGAAAGAAATAAGATCAGGCCTGACGACTTGACAATGTGCCCAAAATGGAAGACTCACCGCTTCATCTTGTGGTCTCATCTTCAACCTCGCCTCCTCCGAGCCCAGAATAGTTGTCATCCCATACTCGACGTACGCTTGCATGGATCTCGAGTCAAAGGTCTGATAGAACGGTTTCTTCTTCAGGCTCACCAGGGCCGCCTCCTTGGACGGCCAACGATCCTTGCGAATAAAAGCGCCTTTGCTCTTGAACATCACTTGTCGTTCCCAGCTCGGCGGAGGTATCGCGGGGTCGAGGAGGATCAACGATGAAAAGAGGGACGGTTGGGCGCTCGCGGCATAAATCATGCCTGCGCCGCTGAGACTATGGCCAATGCCGACGATGAGGCGATCACGAAAAACTCGCTTCGACAGCACCGAGAGGCCGGGGAAGAGTGGCCGAGCATCCAGCTCGCGCATGCCGTCGGCCACGGCTACTATGTAGGGTAGTTCGTCGGTGATAGGATCAGGCGAGAAGGGATCGGGCAGGTAAGAAATGATGAAATTGAGAATGTCCCGGCCATGATCGGCCCAATTAACTGTCGGAAGATCCGAACTATTGTTCAGCATCGTTCTACTATGAGGTAAGAATCCGTTTGGCCACTTTGGCTCACAAGCTTTGCCCAAGACGTCCTCGTTCAGCAATGCCGAGTCGCCTTGATTGAAAGTATCGATGCTCCAAATTTCGCCAATTGGCCGGGTTTTCGAGTCGAATTGTTCGAGCAGATCGGACAGCATCGGCTCAAAAGTTTCTACACCAAGGGCACATTATATCAGTGGCGCGCAGTTATTGGGTTTGTCCCTACTAACCTTTGTGAAATCCATTCGCATGACCCAGGACGAGCGTAAGAATGGGTTCCTTCGATCGCCTAAGGACCGCGCCATGAGTCGTCGAGCTGCGGTACCTGTTGACGACGGTGTACAATTGTTCTTGACTTGCGAGTTCTTTCGTATCAATTGGGTTCGTAGGGTTCCTCAAGCCTTCGAGCTGGACGTCTAACAGTTCCTTACACGCCCGATCGGCATCGATTCGACCAGGTGGGGCCTTGCTTGACGATGATAATGAAGTGCTCGCAGACGTAGCGCACGACGCCTTTTCAGACGGCGAGGAAGCTGGATCTGTAGTGCTTCCTTTAACCGACCTCGGAAAAGCAGCCGGGACGATGAAACGATCGACGGTCCATGAAGGATGCCGAGCGCCGAAAGGAGCTTCACGTGATCGGCGAGGCAACCGCTCTCGTTGGAGCTTGCGGGTGAGGCTTTTGGGGGGTAAGAGAGGTAGAAGAGGACCTTTGAGGCCTAAAAACTCCGCTTGCTGCTCCAGGGTAGCCAGTCCGTTATCGTCCTCGTTCGACATGTTGCTGTGAGATGGTTTGCAACAACAGAGAGGCGGAGGCCGAACTGGCAAGCCGAATGCCGAGGCCCGGGTCGGTTATCATGTGAGCCGGGGCTATCTCCGGATCCTTGCATAACTTGATCGAGCATACTTACGCAGAGCGCGGCTTGACAGACGATCAATCTAAAAATAATCAGAATTGATTTGCCTACAACATTCGAGCGTCATGAAACATCCGTCATCGGCTGCCTCATTCTGCTAGGGTAGAAAGGGCCACTCTTCATCATTTCACAATCTTCCACGATCCGTTCGCCGTCTTCTCCACCAGGCCCTCGATCCGCATAGCATCCAAGAACGCGACAAGTTCGTCCGTCGTTTTGCCCTTGTAGGTGGGGACGAGCATGTTGAGGGTGGAATGAATCCGAGCGATCGGCAAGGCGCCTAGGTTGAGCAGCTGCGAGGCAAAGTTTTCGGTCCGATGATCAGGACCAGCCATAGCTTTTCGTCGAAGGCCGGAGTGGGCCGAAAAACATACCATGCCCTTGATGTACTGCCAGTAGACTCGCATCTGTGCTCGTAAAATATGAGAAGGTGTCAAACCGAGTGGCTCCAGAACACGGAGCACTTAGGGTACGAACCTGCTCGATTTGTTGCGCTTCGACGCTTTGCACGGCTTGAGCCTCCTCCTCGATCACTGCGGCGAACGGAGTGGGATGGTCGTCGGCTCAAATTCGTTTCAGGCAGCCGGTTGTCAGACAGAAGTCGCTCACCATGCGAAGCAGCCTTCTCCGTCGCTGCATCGGTGAACTCGAGCAGCTTCCACTCATCGTCCGGTAAGCTCTTGAGCACCCCGTGGTTGTTCCAGAAGTAGAGAACGTTGCGAATGGCCACGGTGTCGATGATCCGCAACTCGTCACCGATCGAATCGGCGGTCCAAATGGCTGCACGGTACGAATTTACGCGTCAGCGCGAAGTCACTCGGCGCTTCCCCTTCATAGCAAGATCTCGTACTTCGCAATTGAAACACTTCAAGCACCGAAGCTTGCAAAGGTGTGACGTCGAGAGTCAAACTTCGATCGCGCAGATCAACTGTGATGTTGATTGTGCCGAGCTGGGGAAGCCATCGCAACTTTTTCTCGGGCTTGAGCGCCGTGAACGCTTGATCGTATTCGCGTTGAGCTCTGTAAAGTGATAAGTAAAGTAAGGTCTTGCTCTGTTTGTACGTCCAACACGTATGCGAGCTCACCTTCCGAGGTGACCAGGCAACTTGAGCGGGGCGGGCTGGAAGGACGGCCAGAACAAACGTGAAACAATGGTCGCGTGCAAAGGAACACCCTGCACATTCATTGAATCGCGGGGTCAGTCGACGGTCGACAGTCACCACTAAGGGCGCCTAGAGATCCACGCACCTGATTCCGCTCATGAACAGCCACATCGATAGCCTTGGAATCTTGCAGATCCCGAATCATGACCTCGCACCCTTGCAGACTCGCCTCCCCGAACCTAACTTTCAACACCTCGACATTCTTAATCTCCTTCTCGAATGCATAGTCCTTCACGGCCAAGAGTCGTTGGGCCAACAGGACTTGCAATTCTTTGACGAAGACATCCTTGGTGTCGTAGATGCTGACAAGGAGTTGTATGATGTCACTTCCTTTGCTTTTTCGGAAATCTGAACGTGCCATAGAGGTTAGAAGGTGATGTCAGCAAAGAGAAACTGCCTTGTGCTCGCATTTGCAAGACTGACCCGCAGGCGCATCGATTGGGTCAGGGGTCCATTTGGGGTCGTTGTAGTTCTCTGCTTCATCTTTGGCATCCTGAACAGGTTTTGCACCCGAAATTGCCAACTCTTTGACCAACTCGTTGCCTTCCTCAATCAACGACGAAACGATGCATCGGATGGTATCTTCCCGAGCTCTGAAAACGAAAGGGAGAATGTTAGCAGACTGATAATCGATGTGAGCAATCTGATGACGCACCGAAGATATTGTCGTATTGGATCCGCAATCCTTGATAAAAGCACGCCCTGCGGGTCTAGCAGACGCAGACACCTGATCGAAGCAATGTATTGGCTTATGATATCCTTCGTATCGACTCCCGGGTGCAGCAATCGTTGTTCGTTGAGATGTCGCAGCTTGTTGACGATGATGGCTCGCTGGTCTGTTTTGAGAAGGCAAACCTGCAAGACGGCCGAGTGAGCTAAGTTTCTTGAGGGTCCGAACGACATTCCGAGCTCACTTTGAGGTCTTCCAAAGCAGGTGTTGATCTTGGAAAGTTGACGATGATGTCAAACATCTCTGACGCCCTGCACGAATAGGGCACCACACGCGTCAGCTTTTCCGCCTCCACATAATCCCCGGGACATAATCCAAGCGTACCTTACGACACCCATTGTCTTGTGCACATGGTATTCGAACCGTGTGAATGTAGGCTTGAGCAGCTTTTTCGCGTCTTCGGACCCGGCTGCCCCGTCGGACAGAGTCTTCTCGTACAGGCCCGCCACCCAATTCAGGACCGGCCCGTTGACCCAACCGAGCAATGCTTGTAGCTGGAGTTGATCGAACACGCCTTTACAATCCCGCGCAACCTTTTTCTCGATCTCCTCGTATATCAGCCCGAATAAGAGTGGGTCGTAGCGGTCCAAGAGCGGGATCAAGGTCGACAAGGCGTGGGCATGGTTGGGAGGAAGCGAACCGAGGGGTGGGGAGAGGTGCAAGAGGTACCGAAGATAGACACCGAGCGCTTGGGTGAACTCGGGGGGTAAGACTGCGTACAGGCAGTTCAGACAATGTCGTTTGTATTTCGCGAGGGCCGTTGATGACCTGGCGTGATTTGGTGAAAATGAGTGTATCAGCGGGGCTCAGATGTTCGACGCGTGGTGCACGTGACCTAATTGGACTGACGGCCAAAAAGTGGAGAGCGGTTGCTGCCATCGGTCGAGGATGAGTCCGACGCGGTGAAGAAGTTGAACCACGGCGAGCGGTTGATGATCGCCCGATGATGACTATGATGTAGCGATCCAAGCCGGTCAGTCAGCTTGGCTGCCCTGAAGGGAAAAGGCTGCCGATTGAGGTCACCGACCCAGAACCGATCGAGACAATCGAGCACCTCGGCCTGAACGACATGGAATGTGTCCTTGATGGCCACTGCGGGTGAGATTGAGATGACGTGAGCTGACAGAGTTTATGAGACCAAACGCTTGGGGGACAGTACTGACGTAGATAGTCGTCAAAGAGCCGATCACTGAGCCCGGCTCGCTCTACGGCCTGAGCGGCTCTGACGATGACAGGAGGCTCAAAGTAGTCGGTGTGCAAGTTCTGGGCGTGCGCTGCCGGGTTGAGGTGAGCGACGCAGAGTGGCCACGCCTGCTTGTCACAACGTCGTACCGAGATAGGAGGCGCGCTCTCAGTGCAAATGATCGGTGATCGAGCACGACTGACCGTGGTGCGACGTACCTGTGCGACCGAGATCTGATCCTCTGTAGCCTCGTCTCGGTAGTGAGGTGGGTCGAATTGGTGTGCCGTCTCTCTCCACAGGGATGCTACGTTAATGTCCATGCTGCCCTGTTGATCGAGGTGCGGGTACGAAGCCACTGCAGTCTACTGCAGTCCGTGGGTGGGCTTCTCAGGCGCGTGTCGTTTGGCCGCACGGTCCCTCCTGGTCCCTCACGCGCTCACGGCTGCAGAGGCTGACCTCGGTAGTACGGTAATAGTACCGAGGGTCCGCGCGCGTGACGAGGCATGACGCGTCGTTGACATCGCGCACTCATCGCGTCGTGTCCTGCCTCATCGCGCCTCGTGTTCGTCTACGTCGCCGTTGCTCCCCTCCGCACCTCCACCCGCGCTCGGGCGCCGATCTTGAACACTCCTACGCGTGCCAGGGAACATGGGCGGCCTCTTTCTCTCGGACGACTCGGATGACGAGCCCTCTCGCTCTCGACCGTCGCCGTCGCCCACCACTACCGATCGCGCGATCGACCTGGACGAGCAGGAGGAACTGGACGACGACCAAGCCGCACGACCTTCCAAGCGCACCCGTCTGAGCGTCGGACCAGAGCAAGCCAATGGATCATCCGTCTTGCCCAAGCTCACCACACCTCGAGCTGCGACGTCCGAAGCGTCGAGGGAGAGGAGCATCCTTGTCGTCGACGATTCGTCGCCCGAGAAGCCACGCACAACCTTGTTCAGGCCTGAGCTCAACGATGACGACGACAGCGACCTCGATGATGGCTTGCACCAGGAAGGATCCACATCGAAGCCTCAACAAAGGAAAGCGCAGCCCATACGCGAGTGGAAGTCCAACTACTTTGGAGGTCAGTGCTCGCCTGCTCGTCAGCTCCTCTCAGCCTTGGCTCGACTCAGCTCAACTCTGACACTGACTCCGTCCCCCTCTTTCCACCTTGCAGAACTCATGGTTTCGGGTTATGCCCTCTTTTCGTCATCGAGCTTCAACAAGCTCGCTCAGGGCGACACCGTCTCGATCCAGCGCGACAAGCCCAAACCCATCCCTGAGCGCAAGAAGGGCAAGGTCAAGGAAGACACCGTTGTTAGGTGGGTACATCTTGCCCGTCCTCTCCCCCTCGAACAACTTTTCCTCATCCCATTTCGCCTACACAGATTCAGTAACTCGAGAGGAGTAGAGATTGGTCGCATTTCCGAGAACGATGCCACGTGGATGAGCAAGTGAGCCCAAGCTGCTCGATCACTCACTGTTGATGCCGGCAAGGTTGCTGATGATGCATCCTTCTCAGGTTGTTGGATCTGGATATTATTGCATTTGAGGGCGTTGCCACGATGGTCGACCGCAAATTCAAGTCAGGTCAGCTCGGGGGTGAAAATCATATCAAGCGACCCGCTTTCTGCCCCTTACTTACTCTCAGCCCCTGCATAACGTCCCGCAGGCGACACGATCTACCTCACACTCACCCCATACATCCTTCGCTCGGCATTCACTGCACCTAGCCAAACCATCAATCCGGTTACGAGCGACTCAAAGGGTGGTCAGACCTTTCACCAGGATCTGAAAGAAACGACGACCGAACGAAGCCTACGCCAGAGAAAGTTGGCCCTTAACAAGCTATTCGACAAGATCGATCTGCAGCCATTCGTGAGGGCGCAGACGGGAAGTCGGAAGGGCAAAGGCAAAGCTGGCGGTGTCAGTAGCTCGCCAAGTAAGAGAGCCATGCTTGAGAAGTATGATGCTAAATGTACGGGCAAGGACACCGGTGATGAAGACGGGGAGGAGATGTCGACGGTTCGTTCTGAGTGCCACATTTTCACTAAGAGTTGGACGGGCCGGCTGATCTCGGCCCTTTGCGATCTGCAGAGTGCTATTGCTGCTGTTTACAAGAAGGCGACCAAGAACGATGCCAACCTGCCCGAGATGGACCCTGCACCTACTTTCAAGCTCGAGTTGCGCGGTTATCAGAAGCAAGCGCTCAAGTGGATGTCGAGCATGGAGCGAGGTGAAGAGGACGCCAGGGAGGAATTGTCAATGCATCCACTGTGGGAAAAGTAAGCTCCATTAGTGTTAGTGTCCGTTGCAGAGAGCTGTGCTCACTGACGCGCTCCGCGTCGTGTGGCAGGTACCATTTCCCCGAGCCGGGGCAATATTCGACTAGCGAGCCCGAGTCGTTCTACTACAATCCCTTTTCCGGAGAGCTCTCGCTCGAATTCCCAAAGGCTACCAATGGCTGTCGCGGTGGTATTCTGGCAGATGAGATGGGATTGGGTGAGCTTGTCTTCTCCTGCCGTCGCCCCTGAATCTCTGCTGAGTTACCAGACATATGTATCCAGGCAAAACGATTATGATTGCATCACTTATTCATACGAGCAAGCCATTCGAGAATGATCCCGAAGCCGCTGATGATGAGGACTTGACGTCTGAACACTCGGAAGAAGACGTGGTTCCCCTTCGACGACTTGGCGCGACTCAAAGTCGCCTCGGTGCCGGTGGACATTTGACGACGGCCCATGCCCAAGCTCGCCAGAAGGGCAAGCGTCGACCGAGGGCTACGTTGGTGGTGGCGCCCATGACTTTGCTGAATCAATGGGTCCGCGAGCTGGAGAAGTGCTCTCGCGATGGCATGCAAGTACTGCAGTATTATGGGAACAGTCGATCAATGTTGCAGGAGCAGATCGATGCCGGTGTTGAAGTCGTCGTGACAAGGTGAGCGTAGCTAGGCATTGATGTTCAAATAAGTAGTCGTACTGATGGTAGCTATCCGGTATAGTTATGGAACTCTCGTTTCTGACTTTAAGATGAGTGGGCTCGATGAAGGCAAAAAGGCGAATAAGTCTGGCGCATCGACCTCTAAGGGGGAGGACAAGAAAGCGAAGCCATCAGAACGGAGGGGTCTTTTCGCTGTCGATTGGTTCCGCATTGGTGAGTTTTACTTATCACAATAGCCGTGGTCTGTTTTTTGCGTGCCATCTGACCCTCGTCGCATCGCGTTGCTGCAGTTCTGGACGAGGCGCACCTGATCAAGAGACGCGACACCCAGAACGCGAAGGCCGTTCATGCGCTAAAGGCCGAGAGACGCTGGTGCTTGACTGGAACGCCCGTCGTCAAGTGAGTGTATAGCCAAGCTCATCTTCGCTCGAAACATTTAGCTGAGGTATTGCATGTGACCCTCTCGTAGCCGCCTCGAGGATCTGTACTCGCTCCTGCACTTCCTTCGATTGGAGCCCTGGGGTAATTTCTCCTTTTTCAGGGTAAGTCAATGCTCGACTAGTGACCGCGACTCTCGTTGCTCGACGTCTGAAGCTGATCATCTCTTGGCCGCGTAGACTTTCATCACCGTGCCCTTCGAGCAAAAAGACTCGAGAGCACTCGAAGTGATTCAGGTCGTGCTCGAGTCAATTTTGCTCCGACGCGAAAAGAAGATGAAGGACCGCAATGGGAACCCGATCGTCAGCCTGCCCCAGAAACACATCGACGTCCAATACCTCGATTTCAGCCCCGACGAGCGCGAGATCTACGATCGCTTGTACAAGAGTGCGAAACGCAAGTTCTTGATTTATGAGGGACAAGGAGCGGTCTTGCAGTGGGTTCCTCGTCCCGCTTCTACGCGCCAAGGGCATCATGCTGACTCCAGGCTCTCGGACCCGCACCGGTCATCAGAAATGTGACCGCGATCTTCTCAATCCTCATGCGACTACGACAAGCGGTCCTGCACCCATCGCTCGTGCTCAAACGACTCGAAGCGAATCTGCGCGAAAAGGGGGACGTGGACGAGCGCGCGATCCAACAACGCATCATCAAGTACCTCGGCTCGTCGAGTCTCGCCGATACCATGCTCGACGAGGCGATGAACGGTGTACTCGAGGCGGACGCAGAGGAGGAGGAGGGGGACACCGCTTGTATGGTCTGCGGAGACTTGATCGAGCAACCGGTGTGGTTGCCGGATTGCGGTCATTCGGGATGTCGCGCTTGCTTGATGCAACATTTCTACAACTGCGAAGAGAAAGGTGAAGAGGTGAGTATGGATCGCGTAGGACTGCGTAGGGAGGCAAACTTGACTGACGGAGCCCGTTCCGGACCTTGGTGACTCATAGCCACGCTGCCCAGAGTGCCTTTCAGGCCCTTTCTCGGAACTGCAGATCGCAGCGATCGAGAGGGGCAAGAAGCCGCCACCGTCAGAGTCGATCGATCCTGCGCAGAAGGTGGACAAGGCGTCAACGAAGTACAAGTTGTCCAGTCCGGCTCCCGACTCGTCTCAGACCGTCATCACCATTCTCGACAGCTCCGACGAGGAAGCTGGCGGAGCGACCACTCCATCCTCCGCGGTTTCTTCTGTCAAGGGGAAGAGTGAGCGGAAAGGGAAAGGGAGGGAGCGGGTCAAGCCCAAGCGAATCGCTGTACGCGGTTACGAGGATCCGAGCGACTCGGAGGACGAACTGAATGGTGGGACGACGTCAACGAGCGAAGCGATGCTGACAAGTGACAAAGAGGATGAGCATGCGTTGGGCGGCCAGAGTATGCCGGCGGACGGGCTTAAGCCGAAGTCAGATTTAGGCCTCGGAGCTGACGACGACTTCAAGAGCTCGACGAAACTCGAGGCGCTTGTAGTGTCGCTCAACGCTGCAAGGGAGAAGGATCCTCAGCTCAAGGCCGTGGTATTCAGTCAAGTGAGTCGGACGGAGACTTAGCAGCTTACGCGAAGATGCGGGTGCTGATGGTGCTTCTGGGCAACAGTTCACCGGCTTCCTTGACCTTATCGAGCGTGTCATGGCACGTGGTGGCTTTACGTTAGTCAAGAATTACCAACGGGGGCTGTCAGGCTGTCACAAGATGTGTCCAAGCTCTGACTCACACCCGCTTTGAACTCTACTTGTGCTTCGCAGCTATCTCCGACTTGATGGGGCAATGTCACAGCAAGCTCGTGAGAAGGCAGTCCACAAATTTACAACCACGACCAAGTCGTGCATCCTGCTCGCTTCCCTCAAGGCCGGTGGAGTTGGCTTGAACCTGATTGCGGCGACCCATGTGTATCTGATGGACTGTTGGTGGAACGCTGCGATTGAGGTAAGACTGGATGGATCCGTGCGACCTTTCATCGGACGCAGCAGCTGACCCCTCCCACACCTGAATAGTCGCAAGCCGTGGATCGAATTCATCGCTTTGGTCAAACTCGAGAGTAAGTCGCTATTCTGAAGCACGATCTCGGTAAGGGTTGAGCTAATTGTCCATGCGCTTCATTTCAGGGTATACGTCACCCGCTTCCTGATCAACAAATCAATCGACGACAAGATGATTGCTCTGCAAGAGCGCAAGACCCGAATGGTTGATAATGCACTTGGAGGAAAGGCGAACAAGACGAGCAAAGCATTGGCCGAGGACTTTGCTGCTATTTTTGCAGACGACTGAGTCAACCGGGAAGCACCGGGATTGTGTAAGCTCAATCCAGCCATTCTTCAGAGAGGTTTGGGCCTGGCACAGTTGCCGTCCGGAATTTCAGGGCAATTTTTGCCTCAGCTTTCGTGTAAATTGGCAAGCAGGGACGTTTAGCCTAACCGCATACAGCCTCTTTGAGATCCAGTTGAAAAGGTGATCTGCCAACTTGCACAAAGTTTCAGGAGCTGTGGGCGGAGCAAAACCCAAAGTGTCCGTTTTGAGGCGGATGTGGTTTGATCGGGTGCGTAGTCCCTGCAAGCCTGAAATTTGGCACATTCTCACTGCTGTAGCACACCCATGAATCACTCTGACGGTTCGTCCATCTGGTTATGGTCATCAAACATTACAAGCTTCGTCATGATTGAAGTAGATTGCAGTGAGCATTTCTAGTCGCCATGTCACAGCAAGGGGTCACTTTTCAGGCCAAAAGTTCAAACATGCCCATAAGTAGTAAGTACCGGGCCCTTCAACAGCGTGGAGCGTTCGAGTTGGCACAAATGCAACTCTTCGCACCCTTCAAATCCCCTAACCTCTTCCCGGTTTTCCCTTCCTTAGCTCTCCTTGTGCATCCTCTGAGGCAATCTAGGTGCCAACGCTGAGCCACACTGCTCACCCGACTTATCTCCAAGCTGAGCCTTCTCTCCTATATTGGACTACGCGCGCTCGTATGCTCCTCTGTCCAAAGTTGCTTTCGCGCACGTGAGGGATGTCTCTTGTGTCACATCGGTCGTGAGTCCAAGTCACCGTCACTGCTGGCTGTGAGGAAGTCATTTGGAAGATTATCGCTGACTTGCTTTACGGTCAACGCATTCCATCCTACGCTCATGCCATCGTTCCCGTGGTCGAGGTCCGACACCTTCGCTCTCATGCTCGCGACTTCCGCTACAAAGGCGAGCTCGCAAAAATTGGCGCGCCGTCCATGAACCCGGAGGTCCCTAAGGACCGAGACCTATCGACTCGATTGACGTCAGTGAACCCCCCGTGTACGCGGTATCCAGACCATCCCAGTATTCTAACCTTTCCCTCTTCTTCCTCTTTTTGGCAGCCTGCAAGCGGATCCGGTCGGATGGGGGGCCACGGACCGTGTCCTGACAATCCCGTAGGTGCGCAGATGCTCGTCGTGAACGACGGGCTCTCGACCTGCTTCGCGGTCAACCCCGTGGCTCTGGCGAGCAACAACCACCGGTTCTTATCGATCAAGTTCGCTTCGTGTCGGATGAACTCGACCGTCTCGAAGATAGTGGCGATCCCGATCTTGGCGCGGTCCGTCGACGGCACGAATAGCGCTGCGCATAAACTGATCAAGCTCATACCGTGGTTCACTTCGGCTTTACCACCCGGAGTGGGGTTGTAGAGGCCCAGCTCGAAATCAAAGAGGTCCTCTCTCACTGAAAACCCAACGATGAACGTCAAGTTGCGATTCCAATTGTCGGATGAGCGTTTGGAGAAAGGTCGGCGAGAAGGAAGAAGCCGACGCCAACGCCGCTGCGAGTCCAGCGTACTCTGCTTGGGCGACCGACAGTGCGAACTTTACTTAGCATTACGAGGTCGAATTTGTGTGGCTGTATTCGGGGACAGTAGTACTGATCTCGAGTAACTGACAGTCGTTGTCCGAATACCCGTTTCAAACCACGCGGCGATTATGACAGTGCTCGGGAATCGGCGAGGTTCCCCATTTAGTAATTGAAGCTCAAACCTTTTTTGGGCATCGGATGTGTTGAACTATGGCAGGATTAGACTGTTCGGCAACTTTATTTTGCAACTTATTAGGAGAATCGCCTCGGCCACCAGGTACAAGCTCGGAGGAGTCGCACCCAGTTGCTCCAGCTCGCTCCCATTGCAGCAGCGATCCGCTTGGGTGATCTGACTCACCTTCCCTCTTTCTCTCTCCTGCGCGCCGCTCCCACCGCTGCCGCCGGGGTCAATGCCGTCGCCGCGATACGACGACCGTGCGCACGACTATGGGCCCGCGGATTCCAACCCGATGGCGTCGACGTGGATAACGATAACACCATTCGAGATTTCACCGAGCTCGTCCACTTCGAGCTCATCGCAGACGCCGGCGATAGTCCCTACACCAGCTGCGATAACATCGACACACCCCACTGGCGCCGATGATCAGCCCCCGAGTCAGGGTCAGGCGCATGCCGCGCGAGCCGCTCAACAAGCTGAAGGCTCGGCCGGGGATGGCGACCACCCCGACGGAAACGGCGGAAACGGCACGTCGACCGAGAAGCGATCAAAGTCGTGTGCGCCATGTCGGCTGCGTCGAGTCAGGTGCGAGAGACCACCCGGGGAGAGCGACTGTATCGCGTGTACGACCCGCAACTTGCCGTAAGTTGGCTTCGGAGCTGCACAACCGCTACAGCAGTGGCCCAGGGCTGAGGGGGGGCGTTGGCAGCTGTGGCGCTCGACCGGCGTTCCCTGCGCTGTGTCAGCTTGCTAACAGCCTCTGCCGCTGCACGTGTTGCTGCGCCCTGCACTCGAGTGGTGCTGATCGCCAAGAGAGGTTGCATCCCTACCTCCCCGTAATACACTTACAGCTGTACACCTATGCCGACCAAGCCACGGGCCAAGGTCATATCACGAGAGGGGAAGCGTATACAGCAAGCCAGGTCAGTGCCCAGGACGTCCATGGGCCTGGCTGTCCCGTCGACGGCACGTGACCCACGAAACGCCCACTGACGCGGACCTTGGCTCCCTGGACCGTTGTCAGAGCTATCTTCGGTGAAGTAGGAGCAAATTCAGCGTCGTCCACTGCTTCGACCTTGCAGGCGTCGCCTTCTCTCTCGCCTTATTCGGCCAGTGTGTCGTCGGCCTCGACTCCACCTACCACCGAATCCGAGTCCGAGTCCTCCCGCTTGACCGCGCTCATCGCAACGCTCACCGAACGAACGGCCCAAGGAAGCCCCAATATCTCCCATTCAGATTCAGAGTCCAGGCTGGCCCTGACCGAGGTTCAAGGCGCTTTGACCGCAAGCTTGCTGGATGGTCAGTCATCATCCCGGAGAATCATTGCCTGGAGCTTCAGCGCTGACAACGCTACATTGACTGATCGATCACGCAGCTTATTGCAAAGTGAGCAATTGGATAATCGAATCAAAAGAATTATGTCTACTAACGTCATGGTCTGTCATTGATAGGAAGCTCCCACAATCGCATTGCTTGAAGAGGTCAACCTCAAGACAGCCTTTGATATCGCCGGTAGAAGAATCGTCAGTGACGCTTCCCCGACCTGATCGAAGAAGTCTACTCATACTTACCAGCGGATTATCGCATACCAGAGCCACCTCGATGATGCCTATCAAGTTTATTGCAAAGTTGTTCTTGCGCTCGGGGCTCGAACGTCGGATCATCCTCTGCTGATCGGCACTTCGGCTCCCCTGATATCCGAACTGGCGGCACTCGCGAAACATGGCAAAGACTTGCGAGAGTACGGCGCACGGCGCGAAAACGCCTGCCGCGTGCTCTTACAAGACGCTCTCGATATGGCAGATCGGAAAGGCACACTGAGAAATGCGACGCCCGAAGCTGTCACAACCTTACTCTTGATCGAAAGTTTGGTCGAATATTCAGGGGATATCTGGTCAGTGAATCGGGCCGCTGCATCTTCATCGTATTTTGACCTCTGCTTCGAGCCAGTAAAGCTAATACCCTGCTGTTCGACCTAGGCTTTTTGACCGCCCATACTCCAACGCTTACAATGGCCATACGAAAGCATTGATGGAGGCCGAGAATGCGGTTCGTGAAGCGGGCGGGGATCCGAAGCCGAATAATGTGGTCGGCGACGTCGCCCGGTGGACGGCCTTCACTAGGGATGCCATGGCGAGCGCTTACACAGGCCAAGCTCCGAGGTTTTCTGAAGACGATCTCTTCATCATGGTCAGTTTGCTGAGGTGCGGGATAATATTCACTGCTTCCGCTGCTTATCGATGCACCTCCCATTGGACCACAGCTCGCCGACAATCAATTCGACACGCCACTCGTGGAAGTCATTCGGAGAGGCGAGCTGCCAAACAAGATTGAGAGCTTTTGGCACTTATTTGGATGCTACATGTTCCATCTATGCGCGCTTGCGCGCAAGACGCCGGAAAAATTGACCGGACCTCGGTGCGTGTGGCCGCTTGGCGTAGAAGCGCTAAGCACCGACCTAATTTGACGTAACTGTCGATATCCAGGGCGCGACGGAAACCACTGGATCTTGTCTTTGCTGCAGAGTTCATCCACCAAGTCGAGATTGCTGAGATGGCGTTGCCGCACTTGTTGCGTCGAGCGGAGATGCTCGAGGAGGCTTTCGACCAGATTGGCATCGGCAAAAAGAATGAGCTCATGGCAATTCATACACTCGTGAGGAACTTCCGGGTCAGCATGTGGTACATGTGAGTTGGGAAGTTTTGTTTATTGCCGCGAGCTCAGGAATCGGTGTAACTGACGACGTGGAACCTCTATAACCGGTTCATGCTCTCAGGTACCTCCTCCTAGCCAAAATCGTTCGGCAACGCGTCGGTGCTCGGCCTTCACCGGGTCATCGAGCGACGATCAGGGAGGTCGGACCATGGCCCGTCGGTTCGTCACCCAGAGATGACGAGGACGCAAACTACTGGTCCCAGATGATCTTGCTGCGTAACCAACTGGAGGAAAAGTCATTTTACTCTGTTCGTGCCATCATTGGCGTGGTGGAGGAAACGATCCAGCTCGATCTACCTCTTGGGATGTTTGAATGGCTCGACGTGCGAGGAATCCAAATTTTGTTCTTGAGGCTTCCTCTGTGGACCAAGTTTTTGATCGACGTCCCTACGATCGAACAAGAAGGGCCCTTCCCCGACTGGACGTTTGCGGTCAAACTCGACACGCTCGGAACGGTGCTCAATGCACTTCACTCGGTCGGCTGGCAATCAGAGCGCTTGGCCCGACCCGCGGATTGGATCAGCGACGAGATCCGGGGCCTCAAAATGCAGCAGTATGAATACTGGCAGCGACGGGCCTGTCCGCCTGCACACATACCGACTCATTCGGGAATCGTGCCACCACTGGACACAGTTGGCTCATACGACTTCGGCGTAGGCCCGAACCTCGCTTTCCTTTCCAACACATCGACGGCCACCCCTGCCCCTGTATTGCCCAACATCGCCCCCGGATGGGACCTTCCGGGTCACTTACCCACCACTACACCCAACAACAGCTCGCAACTGGATGATCTTGGGCCCGCTCCTCAACCCAGAGTGTGGACCGACGTCGAGATCCAGAAATTCCTCGATGATGCCTCGACAATGGGTTTGGGCTCGATGCAAGGGTCCAATCGTGAGTACTGAGTCACTGATGCTGCCAGTATCTTTTACTGAGCGCTGCGCTAACGTAGGCCTTGTTCTCTGGTAGCCTTGAACCCGGACTTCTCGTCGGTCTTCACCCAGTGGAGGTGAATTATCGCAAGCTTCTCTAACCCTATACATTTCCGCCTTGGTCGCGTTTTGCCCTTTAACCTTCGTCGAATTTCCAGATGATTATTCGTTCCGTCTTGCTGTTGCGACTTGTTGTATTTACCACACATTTGTTCCGCACGTGAATCGAAGCGCGCCGATCATGTGCCCGTTGCCAAGCCAGGAAAGGCAGCCCAAGCTCGGTCCGGGCTGCAATCAAAGCCGACTTGCTGGGATTCCTCCGACCGGTACCCCGGCGATCTGATAGTTTGCACCTGGGGTTGAGCTACTACCTCCATCCGCCGAGCAAAGCGGTGATGTCGAGCTTTACAACGGAGGCTTTGACTGCTCTCGAGCTCCAAGCCGATCCACTCGCTCTCAAAGGTCCCCTACTCCCATTCTTGCTCCCCAAAGCCACGATCCCATCGGCGCAGCTCCCCACACGGCGTCGACCATGGCAATCTCCGTTCGGCAAGGACAAACATCCGGAATGGGTCCTCGATTTTTTCATTGTTCCCGCGGCGTTTCCTAGGTCCGTTAAAGGGAGCACACAAAAAACCACGACCACAGCTTTGGATGTAGGACCGGCTCGGTTAGTACCCGCTCGGCCCGACACCAGCACTCTCGACTCGGCTTCAGCCCCCGCGGCCGCCTCAAGAAAGTCTCCACGGATCGATCCACAAAAAGCCGTACACGACCTCCTACAAGCACAGCTACACGGACTGAGAAATCCGACTCAATTGAGTGACAAAGCAGAGTTGCAGGAACAAGAACAGATGTTTCTTGCCCCCAATCGATTTCGCAAATCGACTTCTCCGAGGTGGAGCACGTCGGCGCAGAATCGTACCGAAGCGAAGGGAAGCGAGCCGTGCTTGACGCTGGTTATGGCACATGCGAATGGGTTCCATAAAGGTGAGAGGAGAGCTGCGGCTTTGATTTGGCGTTGACGAAGGCTGACCGAACCGAATATGGCTCGTGGTATTCGCAGAAACGTTCGAGCCGATGATTTCGGACCTGCTCGACCGAATGGGGTCTGAAATACGGGAGGTGGAAGAGATCTGGACCATCGATACCTTTAGTCAAGGAGATAGTGCACTCATGAACGACGAAGTTATAGGAAGGGCTTGTAAGCGAAATGCTCCACGTGAATTTTCCGAGCCTGAAAAGTTCTGACCTCAGGCTTCTGCTACAGTCAATTGGGCCGATCACGCCCGAGACATTCTCAACTTTGTTATCTCCTACCTTCCCGACCCGTCGTCTCCGGATCCAACACGCTCATGTCTACCCTACCTGCCCCCGACTCACCCCACCGCGCTTGACCTTGACCTTAAGCCCCTTTTGCCCGGGATGTCAACGCCTTCAAACCGAGTGCATCGCAATCGCCTTGTCATCGGCCTCGGGCACAGTATCAGTGGAGGAGCGATGGTGACCGCTGCAAGTGCCCAACCGAACCTCTTCTCTGCACTCCTCCTCGTCGATCCAGGGGCTGCTCCACCTTATCAACTCAACCGTGACCAGCCGAGTACCATGCAGGATTGGTCGATCGGAGCCTTCGTTCGGAAAGAGCGGTGGGCATCGAGGGCCAAAGCTCGGGAGAGTCTGAAGAGAAAGATGGTGTTTCAAAGGTGGGACGAGAGATGCCTCGACAAGTACGTCGAGTTTGGAACGATCGAATTGCCCGATGGTGCAGGGGTGAGGCTGAAGACTCGGCCTAAGAATGAAGCGGTGAGCCTGTCAATCCTAGACGGATCCTGTGCTGTCTTCATTGAATCATTCATTCTGGTTCGCTTCCAGTTGGCCTATGGTGATCCTTGCGGTGTCAGTTCACGAAGGTGCGGTGGCCGTTTACCCCTCATTCCCACCATACTCCCCGTCCATTTTATATGGCCCGAAGAAGGATGCTCCGTTCTGGACGAAGAGTCGATCGCCGACACGATGCGTGCGATTCCGCATGCCACGTTCGCGAGAGCCGAAGAAGGGGCGCATCTGTTGGTGCAAGAGAATCCGGCAAGTACTGCGGAAGAGGTGGCCAAGTTCTTGATGAAGACTTATCCGACAATCTCCAAAGGCAAGGAGGGGCGGCTTAGCGGTGAAGCTAGGCTGTGATTAGAAGCTTGCCAGGCGCAAGAAGCAATAATTGTAGTCTTTTCCCTAGCCGACGATTTTGATGAAGACATGATTGAGTTGATTGTTAGGGGAACTGAAAGATGGCAGGCTACGGCAAAAAGGCCCAAAACAGGGCAGACGAGTTGCGCAAACTAGGCGAACGGTCTTGAATAAGGGGGGTGTAGGCGGAACAGCAATAGGGCGGTAGGATTGAAATTGAAGATTTGGGAAAATGCGGCCAGAATAACGTGGGACTCAAATGATAATGGGAGACAGCACCTCTTGTGGTTGGGGCTAGCCACGAGGTGCCTTAGATCTGGGAGGTAGAGAGGGGCAGGATGAAACGAGTGGGTTGTTGCTTTGGCCGACGAAGACGGTTGGTGGCGTCCAGTACGTTGGCGAAAGGAGGGTGAAACGAGTCTGGTAGGATTAGAAGGGAGGGAGGCACATATTTGAAGTTCCTTTTTCCGAGACGCAGGCGAGGGTGTAGAATGTGACCCCGCCATCATCTTTCGAGCGGGGCGAGGGTAGGTCGTAACGAATAGACGCGGGTCGTAGAAATGAAAGCAGGCGATAGAGAACAAATGCGTTGGACGGAATAGGTAGGGCCCTCGAGGCGATTACAAGGAGAAAGGCCGGGGGCTTCACGGAGCAAGGCGGACGATCGAGGCGGAGGCCGCTCTAGATCATGCCCAGATCTGTGTTGGAGCGCACAAGAATAGAGCGAATCAGCCAACATGTCCCCAAGACCTTGGTACGATTAAAGTCACATACCTTGAGTGTACTATCCCAAGACCCTGTACAAAGCGCCACCCCGTCCTGACTGACACCCAGACAACTGACGCGGTTCTCATGCCCCGCCAACACTCCGACCCTCTCCCCTTTCAGTGTGTCCCAAACGTTGCAGTTGAAGTCATCGTACCCGGCAAAGAGGATACGACCCGATACGGAAAACCCGACCGAGGTGATGCCGCAGAGCACGTTGTCGTGGGTGTAAGAGTTGAGTTCCCGATCGGCTCGAAGGTCGAATAATCGACACGAGGCATCGTCCGAACCTGTTGCGAATGCGTCGCCATTCGGGAAAAATCTGGGAGGGGTAGAGGCGAGTAGTATTCAGCCAAAAAGGACCCGTGCACGACGCAACTCGGTTTGCTCGACATGGAAGGAGCGGGACTCACTGCACGGCGTTGATATCTGATTCGTGGCCTGTAAATGTCTGTACGGCTTTCCCCGTCCGAATGTCCCATACTTTGGCTGTTGCATCGCATGCGCCCGAGACGAAAAGATTCTGGTTCGGCCCCAGGGACAGACTGTGTGGGAAAAGTTCGAAAAGCGAGATTTATCAGAAGCCTGAGACGATGCTTGTTGAGGGGAAGCACGTACCTCATGACATCCCCAGTGTGATCATTGAACTCGATCACGCGCACTCCAGCATCAACATCCCACAGCATGCACGTCATGTCTCCCGACGACGTCAGCACCTGCCGATCGTTGAGGAAGCGGCAGCAAGACAGATACCCCGTGTGGGCCGACAATTCCCGTGCGACCTTTGCCGTCCCTTCTTTGGAACGCAGGTTGTAGATGGAGCACACGTTGTCGAGACCACCGCAAGCGACAAAATTGCCGGAGGGGGAGTAGGCGCACGTCATGACCCATGAGGACCGGAGCGGGATCGCGTGGACCTTGTTGGTCGTGTAGGCGTCCCAGACGATGAGTTTACCATCCTGCGACGCCGAGACAAGATGTCGCCTGTCCTGAGACCAATGCATGGCGTAGATCTTGGCGAGATGGCCTTTGAGTGTCCGCCGTGGTCGCATGGCAATCCGTGGTAAGGGATCAATCTCGTGGGCCATTGAGCGTACTGTGGGGTCGGCGGGAGGCGCGATTGGGCCCGTCAGGGGCTTGTCCGGCAGTGAAAAAAAAACCCCAAATGACGATGATACTCACGAGATGTATCGGCCAATTGTTCTCGCTTTGCGCGAATCTTCTCCTTCAGGTTCTCGGCCTCTCGCCTCGCGGCGGCGATCTTTTCCTGAATCTCGGTCGCGGACATGGTTCACCGAGTACTCGAGAGGACCGGGGGAGAGGTGAGCGTGAGGTGTTGGAGTGTGGGAGAGGAGGGTGCTTTGACTCGAGATTGCACGAGGCGAGGTCCCGATGCGAAGGGATGTGGTAACGAGGGCGAAGACGTGATCGAGCGGGTCGAGCTCAAAGGGTGGGGGGAAACAATGGGCCGGGCGCGTTGGCGACGGCTCACGACAAAGACCGAGCCGGGCTTGCAGGGCCTGTCTCGGGATCAGTTGCGCTCGCTGAGCGAAGGGAGCAGCTCCAAGGGTCGGGACTAAATAACGTGATTAGGAGAACCCAAGTCAGCAAATGAAGAGAAGGTGGAACGGGATAGGTACGAGTGGGAGTGTGTGCGTGGTCATGCCCTGGCTTCAGCATTATTCGGGCTGCCCATTGTCAGCGAGCCTCCCCCGCTGGTCCCCAAACTGGCTTGCGCAGGCCGGGCGCGAGGCAGGCCACGAGCGAGCGGCGGGTGGCGGGCGCGGCCCGACCGCCATCGCCCATCGCCCGCGCGCGTGGACTGGCCTGCCCGCCCTGGCGTGCACAATACAGCAAGAGTTGGCCGGCTGGCGTCGGAGGCGCCGCGCCAACCCACGGTGAACGGTCGTACGCGGTGCCCGGCAGTCGTCCAAGCCGTCCAAGCCACACGAACCGGCCACAAGTACAAGATCCAAACGTACCTGCGTCCGGAGGAGGTAACGAGCAGGGGTGCGCGCTGCCGAGAGCGGTTGATCACACGCCCCGGGGCGGGGTCACGCTCAACGTCGACGGTCGAAAGACGACGATGGCGCTGTGAGCTATGAACCTCAGCTAGCTGGCGCCTGAGCGGGAGCCTTGTCGAGTCGGTCGCGGGCACAGGAGAGGGTGTCGCGATCGCCGTGCGGTCTCAACAATCGGAACGGTGCGTTCTAGTCGGGCAACAGGTCGGGAGCACCAGTCTAACAAGCTCGAGGGCGCGATCTCGAGGGCGCGATCAGAGAGCTCCGGGACGTGCTTCGATGAGGTCGAGACGCCGTCGATCGAGCGCGGCGAGGGTGTGGTTTGTGGTGCTCGGCTCGGGTCCGTCGGTTCCCGCAGTTGGGGGGCGGCTCGCTGTAGCAACCAAAGTCGGATCGAAGCGGTGGAGGTCGAGCCAAGCAAGTTGCACTCGATCTGGACACTATCACGAGGCTGGAATGCAGGGGACGCGGTCAATCGGCGTGTGCAGGCTTAGAGAGGATCTTGGAGCGGGAAGCAACGCCCAGAGGAGAGGCGGGGGGCTTCGTCAAGCCAGAAAATCAACACAGCAATTGGTCAATACAAACACCCACGCGCTGGACACTAATCTCGAATTGAGAGCGTGCCCGTGCGCGCCTCCCCGCCCGGCGCGCATCTTGACAGGGTCCAAAATTCTGACGTCCTGCAAAGACTTTTAGTGCGGTATAAATTTGAACCAGATCTGAAAGAAAACATGGACAAGTGAAATTTGACAAGTGAAATTTGCAAGGCTATTTGGTCAAAGACTGCATCTTGAAGTCGCAAACCAGCCCCGTAGGCTCACTCGCAGACGTACGAAGCCCGTGACAAGGCTTAAGCTGAGTAGCCGCCGCCGCCCGCCCCCGAGGGAGCCCCGGCTGCCCCGCCAGCTCTCCCCGGTGTGTCATACTTTCATCGTCTCGACCTTTGAGACCGTCGTACATCAGCAACTTTGCCACTCGCGCTTAGTGCGATTTTAGCGCACCGGAGATTATAGAAAACGAGCTAAATTTCACAAAAAGTGCGCTTTTGGCACTAAAGTGCGCTAAATTGCACAAAGTTGCTGATGTAAGAATGGACGCTCTTAAACAACCCTGTTTAACCAGAATTCGTTGCGACCTGAGTTGCCGCTGACTGGACGACGAGTCGACGACGTCGGACCGACCCGGGAGAATAGACACTATGTACCTGTGATCGAAGGTGCGAGTACCACATGGCCGCGGACTTTTGCAAGGGTGCATCTGGAGCGTCGATCGTTTTCCAAAAATAAACTTGTGGCTGATTTTCAGAGTTGGTAATTATTGTCCAACCGTGTCGGTCCTCGGGAACAGTGTGGGTAGGAATCGGTGCATGTGCATCAACGCCCAACGGCCCGGTGATCGGCGGGCAACGACGGCGTGCTTTCTCATGTGGCAGAATGATTGATCCAGGTCAACGAGGCATCTCCGATGTTGGGGTAGCAGGCTCATCGACTACCTAGGTACACTGTTAACTTGTCGTCATTTCAAGAAAGTCACCTTATTACTTTTCAGCACAAAACTCTGACCAGATCCCGATTCTTGCCGGTCAGCGATGCTTTCGGATTCAGGGACGCTCGCCGGCACAGGTCCAGACTTCGAAACTCACATTGTGCCTACTGTAGCTACCGTATCTAGACCTAAGGTAGGGTAGGACCGAGTTTCCGTTTATTTCAATGACCACCCTCTGGAGACCGACTTAACAGCATTCCTCACTCTTGGTGCCAAGGGGGCAGATAGGTGTAAGGCACCAAAATCCTTCCGGTAGGCGATCGCACGGTTGGAGCGCAATTTCCAATGTGACTCGGCTGAGCAAGCCTAAAATACTCAGTTCGGCATCTGAGAAATGAACGCCTCCCAATCTGATTACACTTCCTGCCCAGTTGCCCAGAACCTTAACTTTAGAGCGTAAGACTGTTTCAACACGTCTTGCACCTCATCTCCTCGGACTACCGGAGCGTGGTCACCCTTGATCGCTTTCTTCCCCACACGAGATGTGATGTCGTTTCCCGAGTCGAGCGAGGCTTTGATACCTGGCCACATGGGATGGTTCTCGATGTGCCCGTCGTGATGAGGATGCGTTGCGCCTCCTTTGTTCTCCCCGTCCACAATCTCGCCCGACGACCTGACTACGGCGGCTGAGAACGGCGACGGGGGGCGAGCAAGGTCGAGAGTCGAGTAGTGCGACCCGTGTGCCCCGTGTTATCTCCGCGGACAGGCTTGACACCGTTCACCTAATCGTTTCATGTTGTTTGAACTCGATGGAGTTGAACGCTAATATGCCGTCCGTCATTTCGGGTCTGTTCGAGGGGTAGCCGAGAGGATTCTGTTCAGCATTTGTCTCGAATGCCGAGCACTCCTTTCGAGGACTCCCCAACTTGCTTCTTGGGTGCAAAGACTCTCAGTCCTCGAACGTGGGTGTCCTTGCCGTTCATATGGTTCGATACAATCGCGACTTGTAGCAGGTGCGCTCTGATTGGATCTCTGAGAATAGGAAACGGGCATCGACCATAACGAGGCGTCAACCTCGGCGTCAACCTCGGCAGTTTCAGATCCTGAGCGAGGGCGGGAAGGACCACTCAACTGTTCACTCGAAGGATCGTCGGCGTCGTTGTTCCCAATCCGCAAATGTTGCCATCCTGTAGGTTGGTGCAGGTCGACCCATTTGACTTCGTGTAGATCGCCGTGGTGGGTGCCGACTCGGATAGAGATCTTTTGGGGCGTGTAAGAATCGTCGCGTCCGACGTCGGCGTAAATGGAAATTTGCTGATGGGGATGTGCGGTGCCTCATTCCTTAGTTGTTGGCTCATCACTTTTTGGGAGAGAGCACTCTCACGAAAACCTGCGCTTACGACGATGGACTGCTTCTTTGGGAATTGAATGTTGATCAAGTGGGGCTGCCCACCTTCGCTCCTACAAGCGACGATCCAGGGGGGACGTGAGCGAGTCCGATTATTGCAATACGCAGGCTTACGGAAACACGCACTGCCACAGTGTGTTCAGGTTCGGATCCGAGAGGTGTCCTACGCCGTGGTTCGGCTTGGACGATGAGACGGACCACGCGGCCAAGGAGCCAATGTCGACCAAGTTCAACGACGTCGCGTCAAGTACGGTCGGATCTGAGGTGCGCAAGATGGCATTAGCGGCATGCTACTGCTGTAAAAGAGGGGGAGGATGCGGACTGACCTTGTTCTGCCATTGTTGGAGGTGAAAGAAGTGGGTATAAGCTGGTACAAGAGAACCATGGCAAGTCGAGTCGACGACGCGCGCCAAGCAAGTTTCGCGCTAGTCGCGCTCTCCTTTCCGCCCCCACTTGGCTCCACTTGGCTTGCGAAGGCCGACTACGTGTCCTTTGCTCCGCACCGGCATAGAGCCAGCAGCTATGCTTCAACGACTCGCTACGGCATCAACACGGCGAGCCTGGCCCTCGGGTCCCTGCACATGTTCTCACACAAGACGCCAAGTCTCTTCCTCCTCCTCTTCCCCGTCACCGTCCTCGTCCCCAGCGACAAGCTCGACCCGCCCAACCCGCCTCGGTCCCCCAATTCCTGACCTTTATCAAGTCCTCCACGATCCCGAAGCGGTCAAGCTCAATCTCAAGCGACGCAACTCGCCCGTCCCGCCCTCCGTGGTCGATGAGCTCCGCAACCTCGAGCACCACACGGCTCGACTGCGCTCGCAACTCCAGTCCGCTCGAGAAAGGAGGAACCAATTGACCCTACTCAACAAGGATCGCAAGACCATGACCGATGCTTCGAGGGAGGAAGCCAAGACGATCAAGGAACGTATCAAGCAACTCGAGCCGGACTTGAATGAGCATCGAGCTAGAATGCAGCTTCTCGCTCTCAGTCTTCCGAATCGATCACATCCTTCTTCGCCCGTCGGTGGGGAGGATCAGGCCAAGCTCATCAAGTATCTGGGACCCAAAGTTGCGTCGAACGAACAGAGGGATTCGCTGAAGGATCATACACGATTATCCGCAACCGATTTGGATTGGACCGATTTCCCGACGGCCTCGTTGATCTCGGGCAACTCGTGGCCCATGTTAAAGAACACAGGTGCCAAGCTCGAATTGGCGCTTACACAGTATGCGCTCTCGATCGCGCTCAAGAATAAATTCGAACTTGTCCTACCCCCCGATGTCGTACGCAGCGAGATCGCAGAGAGGTGTGGGTTTCAACCCCGGGATCAAGGCGAGGCGCAGCAAACCTATTTCCTCGGTGATGGGGGTGAAAGACCGAATCAGAACGACCTCTGTCTCGTCGGAACGGCCGAGATCCCTCTCGTGTCCATGAACGCAGGTCAAACCTTCCGTGCTGAACAACTACCCAGACGCATCGTTGGATTAGGGAGGGCTTTCCGAGCAGAAGCCGGGGCGAGGGGTCAAGAATCGAGAGGGTTGTACCGGGTCCACCAGTTCTCCAAGATCGAGTTCGTCATCGTTTCACCCGACGACCAATCGCAAAGGCTTTTGGACGAGTTGGTGAGGTTACAGATCGAGATCCTCTCGGGCCTGGGTTTGAGTTTGAGGGTTCTCGAAATGCCGACGGAGGAATTGGGGGTCTCGGCTCAGAGGAAGGTCGATATCGAGGCTTGGATGCCTGGGAGGGGGAAATGGGGTGAAGTATCGAGCGCCTCGAATTGCACGGATTGGCAAGCGAGGAGGTTGTTGATGCGGTACAGACCTTCCGGGAAGGAGCAGGAGACGGAAGGGATCAGGAAGGAACAAGAGAAGGAACTTGAAGACCTCAACATTCCTACACCGGCGGCATTGGAAGCGACGGCGCTTTATCCATCTCAATTCGAGAATCCAGTCCCGGCATCTTCAAGTGGGGGCGGAAATGTGTGGTGTCATACCCTCAATGCGACGGCCGCTGCGATCCCTAGGCTCATCGTCGCGATCATGGAGAATGGCGTCGTTTTGGACCAAGAGGGCAAGGTCGAGAAGGTTCGGTTGCCAGGGTGTTTGAAGAGGTGGTGGTTGGAAGGTGGCAAGGCCGATGAAGGGATGATTGAATGGGTGAATGAAGGAGAGGCGCTGAGTGTTAGTAGCGAGTGATCTTGGCATCACAAATGCGCGATCTGCAGGCAGAATTTGGTTCCAGAGCGAGAGAAGACGTAAAAGTGGCAGTGATTACTACAAACAGTCGTCGCAACAGCACTATGCCGACTGCGCACTGAACAAGAACTGGAACGACAACGTCTTTGAATCTGGATCCCAATGCTCCCAGCTCATACCTTCGGTCAAATCTATCTCCTTGGACTGGATCTTGAACGCGATCGTCTGGTACGGTTCGGCGGCGATGAGCAGGTACTGGAATTGCCGATCGGGTTGTTCGACGTGTTGTTCGAACGCGGACATGAAACGATGGAAGGGCTTGACGTTCTCGGCGATTTGAGGGTAGTGTACTTGGAACAGGAGCCCGAGCTGCCCTGTTATCGGATCGCGGACTTTGGTCACCTGTGGTGTGGGTTCGGCAAGAACACGGTTAGCCCTCTGTATGCGCTGTTCGCAATAGACGCGGAGTGAACGAACCTGGTATCCTGGACTCCCGATTTTGATGAACGTTTTGTGCTGCACCTGGTTCTTGGCGGCCTGCTGCTGCGCCAACTGCTGTGCGTACCCGTCCGATCGGTCATGTTGCGCTTCCCTCGCCGCTCGTCGCGCGAGGTTGGTCTGATGCTTCTTTCCTTGGGTGTGGGCGAGGTAGGAACCTTCGTTGGTGTGGAGTGTGAGGCAGAGTCGACATTCGAGGCCTCCCAAGTGGTTGCGAAGGATGTAGGGGTCCTGATGGGGTGAGAGCGTCGGTAGAGGATCGACGGCGCAGGGAGCACACGCGTGATCGTGTTCGCATGTGGTAGACAAAGAGATGAGTCAGCTCCAGCTCGATATGCAGACAGAGCATGTCGCATATACCTTTGCGAGGTCGATGGTCTCCAAGGCCAACTTCCGCAATCGTTCCCTGCGGTCGACGGCAGCTTCAGACGCGCCTGCTACACCACCACCTCCAAACTTGGATCCGACTCGGTTCTGTTGGGGACGATGGAGGGGATGGAGTGGTCAGCACGAGAAGACGAGGTGAGAAACCTTGAAAGGAGCTCGTAGTCTCGATGACCCACTTGGTAGTCTGCGGGGTGTAGATGGAACGAGGATCAGTATCGATGGCTGGGATTCAGTGTGATGAAGTTGTAGGTTCGACTGACCCATGATGATGTATAGTGCGATTGACGGGTGTGAGGTCAGGAAACAAAGCCCGGCCTGGTTGAGCGCGCGATCGAAGCGGCCGAGCTGAGCTCCCTCGTCCGCAGTCGTCCGCGGTGGCTCTCCTGAGTTGTCTTGTGCCACCCACCAGCACCCTCACCCCACCCCAGCCCTCGATCGGTACGACCCATCACCGCACACCTTTGCAGAAGCATGACAGGAGGAGGGGGTGGACTGTCGTTCGGTAGGCCCCGGCCATCTGGAACTCGAGCAACTGGGCTGTCGTCGACTTCATCACCTTCTGCAGCGCCTTCGCCATCTGGAACGGGGGCGCCAACGCGTCGGACTCGTTCTCGATGGGTCGGCCGTGCCGCGGTGCTGCCGACCTCGTCCTTCGCGTCGCAAACGCTCAAGCTGATCGTCGTCAGCCTGTCCATGCTCGGACTGCAGCTCGTGTGGTCGTGCGAGATGGCGCAGGCCAGCCCTTATCTGCTCAGTCTGGGCGTCTCAAAGGCCATGATGAGCGTCGTCTTTGTCGCCGGTCAGTTCGAGTTCCCAGTCTCACTCGACCCGCCGCCCCCACTTCGAGCTGCTCCCCCCCCCCCCTCTCTCTCCTTTCCAACCGAGGATGCCCCAAGACCCTGGCTGTCCGCGCACGTCCACGCACCTACCTTCACACTCAGCTGACACCAATCATGTCTTCCCAGGCCCCTTGTCGGGATTGATCGTACAGCCCGTCGTCGGTGTGCTGTCCGACGGATGTAGATCCTCGCTCGGCCGACGGCGCCCCTTCATCATCGCTGGCTGCGCCGTCTCGAGCCTCGGCGTAGTCTTGCTCGGGTGGTCGGGACAAGTCGCAGGCTGGTTCACTACACATGGATCTGCCATAGTCAGTACAAAGCTACCTCGTCTTGACCATTCTCTGCTGTACAACGTGCTAATGTCAAGACCCACCCTCGGGCTCGGCAATTCTGATCGGCACGAAAATCTTCCATCAATCGCGCACAGCAATCGCACTTGACCATCGCACTCGCCGTACTATCTATCTACCTCATCGACTTCAGCATTAACGTCGTTCAAGCCATGGATCGCGCTCTGCTCGTCGATGTCCTTCCGCCAAATCTTCAAGAAGCCGCGAACGCTTGGGCATCGAGAATGGTTGGGTTCGGGGGTGCGCGCCGGCTGCTTCGATGTGGCTTGGCTATCTACCCGGGCCCTTGAACTGATTCGCATCCCTGTCTACGCATACAGCCGTATTTGGGTATTGGTTCGGTGGGCTTGATCTTGTCTACTGGTCGAATGGCTATCTTGGCGATAACCAGCTCAAGGTAAGCCGGCGTCGTGGTGGTCCAGCATGACAGTTGCTCATCCGGCACCTACGCATAAAGGTCATTTGCATCTTTACTGCCTTCTTCCTTTGCGGATCGCATGCCATCACCGTCACGTGTGTACAAGAGCGCGTGCTCATCTCACGTGAAACCATTGACGAGGCGACGGGCGAGGGCTCAAGAAAGCCTGTAGCAATGTTGAAGGCACTGCAAGAGATTTGGACCACGATCAAGACGCTTCCGAGACCGATTCAAGAAGTGGTCAACATCCAGGTTCGTTCATGCACGATCCTGATTCCGGCGAGTCTCCTGCTGACGAGACGAAACCCTCGCAGTTCACATTGTCTCTGGCTTGGTATCCGATAATGTTTTTCTCGACAACATGGGTCGCAGAGGCCTATCTTAGATCGCTCGCAGGAGGGGGGTCCATCGATTTGGGTAACGTTTCCGTCAAGGTTCGAGACGATGCGACCAGAGCTGGTACTCGAGCGATGCTCTTCCACTCGATCGTCGCCTTAGCCACCTCGATCCTCTTGCCTCCATTCGTCGCTTCCTCGGCCGCATCTTTCTCCTCTCCGCCTCCTCGACTCCGGCATCCTCCCAATGGATCATCCTTCCTTGATCGTCTGACTAAGACATGGAGGAGATTCGCACCGACTCTTCCCTTGCCATGGCTTTCTCTTCCTCTGCTCTGGACGCTGTCCAATGGATTATTTGGGATACTGCTTCTGAGCACCTACTTGTCCAGCTCGATTTTTGGTGCGAGCTTGATCATTGCCGCGGTTGGGTTCTGCGGTGCCATCACGCAGTGGGCTCCTTTCGCACTGGTGCGTTCACCCCTTGTTTCTATGTCTTCGGCAATGTTCTGGGACGCACAGCTCACTTTACGAATGTGGGAATATGTGTGGGTGGCATAGCTCGGTGAACTTATTCTTTCTCTGGGCGCCACGTCCACATCATCAAACCCAATTCACCTCGACTACGCCTCAGCCGGGGGCATTCCAACGTCGACCTGGAATGAGTCGCGAGCATCATTGGACGACAACTATCAGGCTCCTTACGACGACACGCCCAAAGCTTCGTACGGATTCCAGTCCAACCCTACGACCACCGAGAACGAGGACGATGGCACGGTTCAGATCGCCCGGTTTCGGTCTACTACGACCTCGACGGTGACTAGTATAGGGTCCCCGAACAGTGCAACGAGCGCTTATTTTGAGGCGGTGATGGATACGCCGATGGTCGCGGACACGCCGTCCCTTTCGCTACCACCCTTCCACCCGTCCACGTCCAACATCGAAGTGCCAGTTTTGAGGAACAAGATACCCACTCCGCCCCCGAGACACGATCCACCTTCGGAACTACGTATCGTCACGTCCCTCGTGGCTCGTCTACCGAGTCACATCGATGTCGATCTCTTCTCTTCCCATCCTTACAACTACCCTTTGCACGCCGACGAAGCATCGAGTCAGTTGACGCTCCTGCCTGGGGATTCGAGATCCGCGACACCGATGAGGAGAGGGTCGGCGAGTAGCCCTCTGCAGATCTTGCAGGTACGGCATTCGGACGATGAAAATTCAGAGAACTCCTCTGATTCCGGGGATGCAGATGGCAAGAAGAGAGATCGGAAGGGCGTGCAGGATGGTGGTGATAAAGAGATGTACGGAGGGAGAAGAGGGACGATTAAAGCTTCAATCGCGGATGGGGCACCGACGATAATGGTCGATGAGGATCCGGATGGTCTGGACGAAGAGAGAGCGGGTGATGATTCGCGGGATAGGCTGGGTGAAGAAGACGATGAGGATCTTGACGGTGCGGCTGATCAAGCCGGGGCGATCATAGGGTGAGAATTCTTCCAGCTCGGCCTGTGATCGCATTGACCAGAAAATTGACAGGTGCCCGGCTCTCTTCTGCAGGATCCACAACATCTACGTCGTGATGCCGCAATTCCTCGTCACAGCTTTGTCTTCGATCATCTTTGCGCTCTTCGCACCTCACCAACCCATCATCCACCACGGCGGATCGACGACGCACCCGATCATTCCTGCTGATCCGGGCACTGTTTCGCCTGACGATCCATTGTCAGATGGAGGAGGAGAACTCGGAGAACGTCTGATCCGGCGGGCTGTGTGGGCGACTCTCAACCATCTCGTCCCTTTGCTCACTCGAGCCTCGGACGAGACGCCGACAGGGGATGATCAGCCCCTAGAACGGCAATACGATCCTCTAGGCATGATCTTCCAATTCGGAGGCTTCATGGCCCTCATCTCCGCTTACTTGGCTTGGAAGATGACGCGGCATTGGAACGAGCGAGAAAGGGAAGCGAGGTCGCATCATGGGGCTTTGAGAGGGCAAGGTGGTCCGGGTGGGACGATGATGAGGTCGGATCGGACATGATTCTCGACGTCTGGTGTCGTGTGAGCTTTCAGTTCAGCTCTGTTTTCCGCGACCTTCATGTGATGTAATTCTGTGCAACTTTCACTTGAGTTCGTTTCTTCCATTTCTTTGTAGTATGGGAACGACATCCACTTCCCCTTGCACATTTGCCAAGAGTCCTTCCCTAACACACGCTATATCAACCGAGATCTAACAAAGGACTAACTTGCTACAATGACAAAGAGTCTGCCCCGAATCCCAATCCACTTTAGCCCTCGCAACCTAAAACGCATCGTCGCCGACCAGGGTCCCGAACAACCCTAATTGATCACCATGATTCGCCGCCTCGTTACCGCCTTGGTTCATCGCAAAGATCGAAGCGAACAACATATCTTGTTCCTTCCCTACATCAACCGTATTGAGCGTCGGATCCCACTGCCAAGGTAAATCGAACGCGAGCAGACCGAATTCGGACGCGCTCGTTGAAATGGCCGGGTTCGGATCCGTCCCGTTACCTTGGTGCGGAGGATGAGGGTTTGACGAGTTCTGCGCATGATGATGATGTCGCGTGTCGGGAGGACCATGCATGTTGATCGTTTCGCCAAAGACGGACATGCTGTCACCTGCTGTACCGCCCGAAGGGGTAGCACCTTTCATCGCCGAGGTCGGGTCGTCCGCGGTCGCAGGATCGATGGGCACTTCGCCCAAGACTGAATCGTTGTCGCCGTGGAGACCGTGCATAGTCGCTTGTACGGTCGCGTCATCGACGATGGCGGGTCCCCGAGGTGAAGGTGGATACGACGGCTGCGTAGGGTCGACAAGACCTTCTTCTGCCAGCAGAGCGGGTACGCATTGCGCTTGCAGCCGGGTTAGGAGTACCGAAAAACCCCTAGAGATGTGCTCGGCGTCGACAGAGGCGTGCCGCAGTGCGGCGATGCCTTGCTCCAGCAAGCCGATGGTCTTGGATTGGCCGTGCTCGACGACACCAACAGCCAATGCCTTGAACAAGAATGTCGCGGCGAACATGATACGCTGGAATATACGGGAAGGGCATAGTCTGAGGTAGCCTTTGGGTTCAAGGAAGATGACGGTCTGTTGGAGGATCGCTTGCGCCGCAGCGAGAGCATCGATAATCCAGGGTCCTTCTTGTAGGTTGAGGAGCGAAGGCGACACAAAGAGCAGATCATTCGCCTGCGTTTTGTCACGGTAAACAGTTAGTCTATAGTGAGAAGCGAGTTTGTGCTGTGGCTACCTACCTTGACTCGTCTTCGAAGACGTTCCTGCAGAGCTCGAAGCGCAATGGCATTGCCGTAGAGGCGGATGTAATCAATCTCTATCCTCAAAAGGGTCGATTCGACATTGCCTTGCTCTGGGGTGGAGAGTTGCGAGACCGTCAGCGGGAGTTTACATGATCAGTCTGAACAAGTCTCACTCACTCAAAACGCCTTTGGTCTTGGTGGCCATGCTCCTCAATTCGTGGTCCAAGCTCCTGATGAAGCTCTCCCAATGGCCCGTCCTAAGCAGACTCCTCGTGATCTCCTTGTTGGGGTACAGTCTTTCCTGGATGGTGCCCATCAAAGCCGCTAATAGACCCTGCGGCAACGTCCGCTCGGCCCACAATTCGTTCAATCCACGCTTCTGCACATCCAAACTGGCTCGCTGGGTAACCTTTTCCCACCACGCGCTCGACATGTACGATTGGACGACGGCGTTCCTCCCCAAGCGAACCGAGACGTGTCGATCGGCATTGTAGCAATAGATCCAAGCGCGGAGAATCCTCTCCGATTCCCAAGAAGGGCCATCACCGTCGCGCGCATCCAAGCCGTACAAGGCCGTGTTGTGCATCCCTAGCTCTTGCGCTAGTCGAACGGCGAGTCCGAGATAGGTCCATGACATCGAGTCGTATTGATTGCTCGTCTTGAGAGCCTTCGACGTCTCGCGTTCACCTTCGTCTTGATCCTCATCGGCTTCCTGGCATGCCAAAGCTGCATCGGTGCGATGGATCAAGGGCGATGACGGCCATTCAGTCAGAAGGAGCAAGGCTTCGACGCTTGAGATGTGTCGAAGCGATGACGTTCCATCGAGAAGATAGATCAACTCTTGTCGGATCCACGCTGCGCACAGAGCATGGATCTGCGCGGCTCGATCGGGGAGCAGAATCGCAGAGTATCGAGCGGCGATGGTGATGACGGCGCAGAGCAGTAGCGATTCGGTCGAAGTCAAGATGGCGAGATGCGACAGGTGGAAAATATTTGGCGATAGTAAGGGATATAAAGGGGCCATCTCGGCTTCAAAACTGAGTAGATAGAGGGAATGTCAGCTGCAGAAGCGCTGATATGGAGTACGAGCCATGTTGGACCACTCACAAGGAGAACAAGACCTCGGCTTCAGGTTGCGTAAGTAGACCCTCGGCGATGGGAGCCCAATTGGACCACCCTCCGAGCTTGGCGACCCGAGGAGGTGACATCCTCCCAGACTGATGGCTTTCTCTCCGGTGCAGAACGGCCCCACCTTGAGGCGTCGTCGTTCCTCCAACTTCCACGTCAGGCGAAGGAATGAGACCATTCTGGTGACTAGGCGATCCATCTCCCGAAACAGTCGATCTCAGACTCGAGGCCGTAGCCAGTAGCCTCAGCGCGTCGGACGGGTTGTGCAATGTCGAAGCGAGCAAGACTCGACTGTTGCCCGTCCGGTTCCGACTGCTCGCTCGAGACCCGTCCCCCCGAGCTCGTTCGACAGCTTCTTCGAGCGTCACATCCTCGACCGGTCCACCATGTATCCCGTCCTCCCTGCCCTCTTCCCCTTCAAGGTCGTCAAGTTCGTCTTCTTCGTCTCCTTCGTCGATTGGTGGGGGTTCATAGTCCTCGGCCTTGCGTCGCTTCGATCCATGTGGGTTCTGTTCGCTCGATCCGCTCGCTCCGAAAGGTAACGCAGGTCGAATATAGGTCGGTGCGTTCATGGCGGGCGGGTTCGTTGGTGTCGGATGAAGTTGACGTGTCGGCAACGAAAGCGGCGACGGGATGAAAAACTGCGGTACCCCCGTTCCCCGTACGAGCGCACTCGGCGAAGGTAGCCTCGTCCCTGCCAACAGAGCTGCTGCAGCATGATGTGGAGAGTACATGCTTGGCGTAGCAGCCCAAGCTGGGATTGATCCAGGGGCCATCCCCAATAAGGGGAAGCCATACGGGTTGGCGACGTCGACCTGGACGTGCGCCGAGGTCGAAGCTGCGGAGCCCGCATCATGTGGGCCAGATGAGATTGGTGGTAATGCTGGCTGCGAGTGATGGTGAATTTTCACATGTGACAAGTGGGATGGTGGTTGCTGCTGCGTGTGCTGTGGTATCGGCAGATTCGACGCGGTCGGATCGGCGGGCGTGACCGAGCCCGAAGTCGGTGCCGACTGCCCTCCGCCTCGACTGGGAAGCAGTTCGAAGTTGCGAGCGGGTCTCGGGTTGAATATGCAGTCACGCGATTCCCTTCTGCATCTGCGACAGGGCCCCTCTGACGGTGCATCGGGATCTCCGAGGTCGCATTTGAGTTTGCGCTGGTGAAGGGGCAGTGAGGGGCGAGCGCCCAGGGGGTACGAAAAATGGGGAAAGTCAGCTGACATCGATCCCAAAAACTGGGGAAACGCGCCCTGACCGTGCGCGTGCTCGAGCAGCCGCTGGTCGATGCAGTCATCACAACGGCGCGGAGGAACGTGATGGGCATATTGTATGATCCAGTACGTCGTGGATGCCGCCAAGTCGCGAGCCTGACCTGGAACGGTCTGTCTCCGTTCCATTCCCAGTGCTGCCACTGGCTCACGGCGATGTCGCCGAGTGCCTGCTCTCGCCATTGTTGGCTGCTGGTCGCAAGTCCAACACATGCCGCGACGATCCATTGGTAGCTCATGAACTAACTGATCGACAGGGAAGACCTGAGCGTTGACGACACCATCAGAGAACGAGGTGTGCAGGTTCGGCGTCGAGCGGAGAAGATCGCGAGATTTGCGTAGACCAGAGGCAAGCAAACGCGGGGTGGGGGCGGGTCCGACGGTCCCGGTCAGTCACAGGTGCTCCGGTACAGGAATCTGACCGCGGGTACTCACAGGCACGGTAGGTTCGTTTCGGCTTTCTGGAAAACACTTCGCCCGTGGAGTCGCTGGTGCTCTGCCTGCGTGCGAGGCCCGTTTGTGGCGCTGGGCCCGCCGAGCCCTCGATCGAGCTCGAAGGCGCGCCGGGTCCGGAGCGAGCTGCACGACCAGCACCGGAACGGCCGCCGTGACTGGGAGCCGCAGGGGATGAGGACGATTCGTCGGACGAGGACCCGTAGTCGTGGTGATCTCTATCCCTGTCCCTGTCCCTGTCGCCGTCCTTGCCTCGTATGGAGGGTGCTATCGGTCGAGGCGACATGAGTGCTCAGCGCTCTGAATTGGCGTCTCGCCCCGGTGCAACACGGACCCAACCAGTGAACGCTGTGAGCCCGCGTGCCTGTGCGAATGGCACCCTACTAGTATTGGCCTAGGCCCGGCGTCCAGCTGTGGACACTCCGAATCAACGGACTTGATCGGAGGTAAACGGGCCTTAGTGGAAGACTTGCACGAGCATCTGCATCAGAAGAGGCCGGGGGTGCACACTTTTCACACCGTATCATTGTACCATCCTTCCCCGTGGGGCGCTCGGAGTCGTCTCCCTCACTCACCGGCGTCGAGACATGACATACATAGGAGAGCACAACATGGAACTCGGCTCAAGAAGTCCGAACTCGTCGACTTGCTCGGGCCGAATATTCTCCCAACGGCCCGTTTCGAATACTGGTGGCTCGACATGGCGTGGTACTCGATTCATCGACGCAATGGATCATGCCCAACATCTTGTCTACTACATAATGGGATACCCATCCTCCCCTTGCTTCAAGCAAGGACGCCGCTGGCCCGTTGCACTCTTGACTTGCATTTCCACCCCCACTCGCGTGCGATTGAATAATCCTGAATTCGGAGGCGGTGCTCGGCGCTCGGCTGCTTAGCTCTGCTTGGGCTGTGGGCTACGATCGCCAAGCCGGGACGGTCGCACGTCTCTCTCGCTCCTCCCTCCTGTCACCTCGAGCGCTGCATATCTTCTGCAGCGTCCTCATCCCACCCCGCTCCGACCTCTCTGCTGTTGGTACCTCTCTCATGTCCTGTATCCGCCCTGCTACACCAGGTAAGTCGTCATCGATCGAGCCACACTGCAACCCCCCGTGGCGAGTGCGCATGTACTGACCCCCCGCACTGCCCGTCCCCGTCCCCGTCCCTGTCCCCGTGTCCCCCCCATCACCCACACCCCACCCACCCCGTCACAAACGCACGGACTGTCCGTCTCCGTCTCCGCGCTCGCTTCCCACTCTCTCGCAGGCACGGTTGTCGTTCTTGCTGGCACTGTTGTGAGTTCAAGCTCATTCGAAAAGGAAGAAAGCGTTCTACCCCGGTGCTGACCCTCCGTGTTGGTTTCCCGTCACTCACAGCTCTTGGCGCTCGTCTCCGTGTCGGTGCCGATCCTCAAGCCGTTCTACTTCCTCAAAGCCGAGGTCGCCAGCAACGAGATCATCCTGGGCGTGTGGGGCTACTGCTCAGGTTCGAATTGCACTCAGCCCAAGCTTGGCTATGCACTTGGTCAGTGCAGTCCCCGTGACCCGTCACTGCACATCCCGGCCTCAAACTGACGAGGTCCCGACGGGCGATGACGATCGTTCACCATGCACCAGATCTGGCCCAGGTATTCGGTTATTCGGGAGTCGATGGTATCGCTTTGACCGAGAGTATCCCCAATGCGCTCGTCAAGGGATTGACCTACGTCCTCGTCCTGCACCCCATCGGTACGTCTCCTTCTTACCCCTCGACTCGGCTCGGGCGCCTCCATTCAAGTTGCTTTGGGTCTGCTGCGAAAGGAAACTCCCGTCGCTGATCACGTACCTTGGGTTTCAATACAGCCGCCGTCTTTGGAGCCACCTCTGTCCTACTCGGCCTTTTGGCGCACATCCGAGGCTTCGGAGGGACATGTTGGACCACCTTCTTCGCCTCGTTGGGCGCCTCGACCGCACTCCTCGCTTTCGCCATCGACATGGCTCTCTTCCTCATCGCCAAGAAGAGGATTTCGTCCAGCTCCGTCGGGGGTGCAGCTAGTCTGGGTGCGGCATTGTGGATGACGTTGGCGGGAGGATTGCTGCTCATGGTTTCGGGTTGTTTCTTCGGCGTAAGTAGTTGTTTGTGCTGCTAGATCATATCGTGGAGTATCAATCGGAGGTCATGCATAGTCGAATCTAACAATTTTCATACACCTACTCTAGTGCGGTGGTCGAATGGTCAACGATCGGGCCTCGCGTCGAGAAGACTCAGAAAAGAATAGGCCCGGACCGGATCCGGCCTACGGTGAGCACATGCGCAACTCGGCCTACCGGCAACAACAATACAACACTCGGAACGGGGGCAACAACCTGCCCACGTTTGCCGAGTTTCATAACAGCGAGGTGATACCCCTCAATCAGATGGGGGAGAAGAACGATTTCGATGACGACGTGAACGATGTAGGATACGTCGGGAGGGCGCCGTATCGAAGGGAGATGTCGGGTGGAGCGGCCGTAGCTGGTGTCGGACAAGGGTACGGACGACGTAATGATGGTCCCGTCCTGGCTGGCGGAGGACCAACCTCGCCCCAACGATACAACAACCCTTCGGCCTACCCACCCCCGCCGAGGAGAACCACGACTGCCTCCCCTCCTCCAGCCCAATACGGCGGGACGACCGAACCCTTCCAATCCATGTCCGCTTCCAACGGGAAGTTGACCAAACCGCCTCGACCCCCCTCCCCTCCTACACCACAAGAGAACTTCCACCCTTCCCAAGCCTATGCCGCCTTCGTTACTCGCCCACCTTCGACGGTCGTCACGGGCACACCTGAGCCTTCGAGTCCGACGGGCGGCAACAACTTCCATGGACCGAGGGATATCGCTTACGAACCCATGTCGTCTGCTTCACCTGCACCGGGTCAGAACCAGTATGGGGGCTATCATCATCAAGCAACTCATCAACCGACTTACGGCGGGAACAATGATTTAGCGCAAGTCGCTCCTCAGCATACTGGCCCAGCTCCCTCTTACAACACCTATCAACCGGATTATGCCCAGCACATGCCGACTCACCAGGAGCAGCAGCACTACGGTTCTCAGCCGCAGCACCAGGGGTATGATACTTACGCTCCTCAGCACCAATACAATTACGATGCGCCCGTACAACACGGCTACGACTCGACGCCTCAGCAGCAGCAATCCTACCAGTATGGAGGGCCACAATACGACCAATACCAGCCGCATCAACAAACACGGTACTAGGATGCTCGAAATTTGTACAACACCGCTCCGAGTATGGGTTCAAAAGAGCAAGACGTTCTCCGCGAGTATGTGAAGTTGTTCAAACGCAACTTCTCTCCCGCTTCTTGCACTCTCCTGTTTGCAACCTTGTAGCACTCTTCCGCTTGCTTCAGCTCCCTGCATCGACACTCACCTAGGTATATTGTAACGATCATGTTGATACCGAAATAAAAATGCCATAGACACGCTTTCTCGTCGCGAGGTGGTGATGTGTCATACAAGTTTTCGTCATTGCATCTCTCCCAAACAACTCCAACATAATGAGCACTGTCTAAGCCTTGAGACCCTGCTGAGCCTTCAAAGCCGCATGCACCGCATATTCCTGGGAGCGAAACAGGCCGGCCGATCAGTTCCAGGCTTCTCGAGACCGTCACTCCGAGATGCCTCCAACTCACTTTTTGGATCAAATGCGTGCTCTTCTCAATCAGGCCCATCAATTTGCCGACATCCGAGCTCCACTCGTTCAAAACCTCGTCCCCCGATTTAGGTGCTTGGAAACTGACGATCCCGGCCGGTCGATCGATCTTGGCGTACACCGTTTTAGACGACACGAGGGAGGAAAGGAACGCTTCCGTCTTTGCTGGTGTCAGGTCCAAGAGTTGCGAGAGGCGGGTCATGGTCATGCGGGTGTAGTACTTTGACAGCGTTCGGATGTTCTGTTTTGTGCATCGCCGGTCACGGGTCTCAAGGTCAGTCAGTCGTCCTGTGCTGCCCTGTGCTGTGCTTCGATTGAGTCCAGGCTACGCACATGTTCGATAATCCGATCGTGCAGGACCTCGTACCGCTTATCGCCCTTCGAATGCTTCGAGTCCTCTTCGATATCCCCCGCGATCCCAGCGACTCCGGTGGGACCAAAGACCTTGGTCTGCCGCAGGCTGGCGCCGTACAGACCTTCAATTCCGGGCCATCGCATCAGCTCGGGCGCTGTGAAGCACTTCATCAGGTCGCTGGGGGTGATAGAGATGCAGCGTCAGATACCGGGGCCACAGGTCTGGAGGAAGCGAAGAAGTGGGGGTCAAACTCACTAAGATTCGGTAACCTTGACGAGCTTCTCGTCCTTGAAGACGCGTGCCAAAAGATCGGACTGCTCATTGTCGTAAGGCGCGAGGATGACAAAGTAGACGATGTTGCGCAGTACGGCGGACCACTTGGCCTCGTCGTCCTGTATCGAGGGGGTTTCGTAGACCTGGCGATAGAACTTGCAGACATCGAGGTACTTGCCCGCGTTGAGCCCCCAGAGGATCATCAACGAGTAATATCGAAGTTTGAGGTCCTTTATCGAGGAGGAAGTCAGATGAGCATTGATCGCATGCAGCACGCCGCGCGCTGTCGCCAGTGGTCGACGTACCTCGTGCTCCTTCTCGGTCAACCACTTGGCGTTGATGCGCTTGGCGACGATCCCAAGCTTGTCCCAGTCCTCGAGAGCCTTGAGCAGACGCATCTGTTCGAGGATAAAGTCGACCTTTTCCCGTCGTTCCATCGAGCCAAAGGTCTCGACCTGGAGATCCTGCATAAGCTCGTTCGCTTTGGCGACGTCGCCCTCCTTCTCGCGAATGGTGGCGAGCATGCGCGTGACGCGTGCGCGTGGTACTTCGAGGTAAATCTGCGTAGAGTTGACCGTGTTCAATTGGTGCATACACGTCCTGAACACGCGGCGCACCAGACTGACCTTGCCCTCTGTAACGTCCCTGAGGGTCTCGATCAGGTCGAGCTTGGGTCTGCCGTCGAGGTTGTCGAGGTAGGTCATGGCCTCGTCGACCATCTTCTGCGTGGCCTGCCTCAGTTGGCCATGCTTCTTGGAGAGGAGGGTGATGTGGGTGTTGAGTAGGTCGTACTGCTTGTGGTGGTGCAGGATCGAGATGATGGCGATCAGCACTCGGGTCGTGGAAGCCAGATCGGCCGACTGTGCGGGCTCGGAGGTGGGCAGTCCCGAGTTGAAGGCGTAGGCCAGTGAGACGAATGAGAGCAGTGGGCCAGATGGGATGGTACGAGAAGCGTGTCAGTGGCATAGAACAGGACGAAGATCCGAGTGGGGCCAGCACTGACGTTGCGAGTGAGCTTCTCGAGCGCCAACAGCTTGTCGACCGCTTCTTGGACCTGGCCCGACTGTGTTGATGTGAACTGGAATCAGTGTTGCGGCTGCTATAGTGCCTCTCTGCTCGTGCGAGGACTCACACTGGCCAGCGATTCGGCGACGGGGATCGTCTGCAGCGAGGGTCAAGGCGGTCAGCGCCAGGTCATCCGCGCGCTGTAGCATCCTTCGAGGCACACACCTCATCACAGTCCTTGGTGTGGTCGGCCTCTTGTTTCCGCGGCGCTTGCGACATGGTGGGCCGAGTGTTCCTTGGCTCGTGGGGTGGAGTGAGGCAGAGCAGAAGTGAACGGCGCTTGCGCGTCGCGTGGGGGGTCTGTCGTCATGTACCGAAACGCTTGGACCTCCTCGCCACGACTCACTGACTTCTCAAGCTCATTCCAACACTTCAGCATCACCCACACAGGACTACAAGCACGGGTTAATTACATACTAAACTGAAATCGCTCATATACCAGGTCAATACGGATACCCTTTCGCACCCCTGACGCCAGAACCATCCTCCTCCATTTCAACGACGCCCTCGGCAACTTGAGCAGCGTGCCTTTCATCGAGACCAGGCAATATCGCCGGGATATACAAATGGCCCGTCTTGTAGTTTCGCACTTCGTCCGGCCAGCTCTAGTGGTGAGACGTCGCATGGTGGGATCCCGAGTCAGCCCGGCGAAATTGATCCCAGACGAGAGCTTGAGCCGCTGCTCGTTCAGGGGCTCAGCGACTCACTCGAATTGCCGAAGCCATGCGTCCCGGCACACCCGGCTCCTTCGCCAGCTCAGCGACAGGGTGAAAGTATGTCCTGCAGCCCGGACAAGTCAAACAAGTCAAACAAGTCAGCCTATCGACCCAGTTGAAGTTAAATCCTGGTCCCTGAAATCATAGGCACTCACCGGATCGTGAACAAGATGCAGCCCGTCTTGGGCATACGCCTCAACGTTTGCCGCTCAGATCTATACCACACCTCTTCAACTCTGTCGTGAGGAGAGCCATATCTCAGAAGATGCCATCTCGCTACATAAATTGAGTATGCTTACGCCGTGGCAGGCTGGGGTGCCTTCCAGTTGGGGTCATTTGACTGCGCGAGGAGCTCCGGGTCGGGGCCTTTGGTCGCCTCGTCAAATATTTGCTCCTGTCGACAGGGAAAGATCGCTCATCAGTATGTTGACGTTCGCTGGCACTTCCCCTTTGTAGAATTATTCACTCACAGGACCATTCGTGTGATTCGACCAAGCGACCTGGTCATCGATCTGGAACGTGTACTGGGTGTTGCCAAGAAGTATGATGCCGCCAAAGGAGAGACTTAGCCTTCGACATCCGAGTCTAAAATGAGACGAATTATCGCTCCAAGAAGACCTACGTTATACCTCTGCACCGGTTTATCGCACTTGAGTTTCTGAAAGAAGCGCTCGATCGAAAACTTGAGCTTGGTCGGCCACCCGGGCACCTCACCACTCGAGTGAATGTAGTCGAGCGAGCGACCAATCTTGTCCTTGAGCCGCCAGAAGCCGGCGGTACAGATCGATCCTGCTTGGAAGCTTCGGACGGGGATGAAGGAGGAACAGCGGTAAGACAGATGATGCGTGGCGATCTCAGGGCCGCGAGGAAGAAAGTTACTAGTATTCACCGTCTGTACCTTCGCACATGACGGCCAGGTCGTCCTCGGTAAGCACTAAGGTCGCGCGAGGTTGTCAGTTCTAGTCTACCTCTATGATTTAGAGGCTGTCGGACGAACGTACATGCAGCAACCCTCATCGGGTTCCACCCCTTACCCTCGACCTTTTCAATCTCGGCAAAATCAAACACATCCCCCGTGATCTTATTCTCAATGACCCCAATACATCCCGCCTCCTTTCCACTCAACGAATCTCCCCACGAACTCTCGTCTTGCTCATCATACTTGACTCGCTTGACAGTGAAGTAATGCGGATATCGGATCGCGAGGTATGACGCTATTTCGACGAGACATTCAAATGCCTGCGGTCGGAAGCCGGGCATCACTCGATTCACTTCCTCCCCTTGGGCCCGAGTGCGATGAGAAACAATGTCGAGAGTCTTTCGATAGCTGAGCGGTGGTCGGAATGATCCGTGTAAGGTGTGAGCTCTTGGCTATGCCCTGCCTTGCTCCGAGCAATCGAAGAATTTGCACTTACTCCGAGTCCAGTTCTAGCCATGTATCCCATGGCATCGGCCGGATCCCCATGTTGATCGGATAGCTGTCAACCGTTCCGGGACTTAGTGATTATGATGTCCGTGGTGTATATATCGGGAGGTGCACCCTCATGCTCGACTCACGTAGGGCCCCACCGAAAGGGGCGAAGAGGGACAGGCTTGGTGTGATCAACATCAAAGTCCGTCCAGGGCTCGACTTTGGGGTACTCGAACGCGACTGGATCCCATGCTGATGTTTATGATAATTGAGTTATTAGCTCTTCAGCATATTTTCGGCAATAAAGAGCGTCGCTCATGAACCGATCCATGCTGCCCGAGCTTGAAAAGACACGGCTGATCTAGCGCCTCCACTTCGGAGTGGAAGCGCTGGTCCCCCACCGGTTCGTCGACTGCGCCATGGCGAGGTGCGAGAGGAGCCATGAACGATGCAAACAAGAGCATGGACTCACTACCAAACACTTTCTCCTTCTCCAAAGCTGGAGAGCCAGGAGACGAGCCTGTCTTGGGTTGTAGCGCACTCCGGCGCCGGCTTTGGCGAACGGCGCTTACCCCACGAAGCGCCAGAAACAGCCCCACGATAAGGAGCGATAGTAGTAGAGGCAGGGTCATTATTTGTGAAGGTGCCGTATACGAAGGATCGCGCCCGTACGCTTCGTAACTTCACGAGGTAGGAAATGCAGAAGGGCTACCAAAAGCAAGACCAAAGGAGGGATTCAACGGTAGACGACTGAAGTGTTGGCACTCCGAGGCGCTTATGATTATCGTGGGCGCTTGGGGCACCAGGGCGCACGAGGCGCGGTTCCAAAGTCCCACGCAATGCTCAAGCGCCCCGGTCGCGGGTGATAAGCGATCCTGCAAAATATTCCACGACTCCGGCGATAAGGTGAAAAAGGTCCAACAAGAGAAGATAATTACAAAAAAGCGTTGCGACAAGTCTAGGATCTCCCTTAGCCGTTGTTGCCCCTTCGTCCGCCGCGCTTGATCCGATCGATGTGATTGCGCAGCTTCTTGCTCTTCTGCTGCAGCGACGACGTATTCTTTTTCCTGACGTTGCGCGAGTTGGCAACCATTGCAAAGGCCTTCTTCTTGCGCTTCTCTTCGTTCGTCGTCGAGTGCTCCTTCTCGCCGAGTTTCTTGTGCTTAAGCGAGCCAAACTTTTCACGACCTTCGCGGCCTTCGGCGATAAGCGCCAGACGCTCCTCATACGACGCCTTGGCCTTCTTCTGCACACCGATGATGACACCTTCGGTCAAGAACGACGAGGACTCGCCCGTATTGGCCTTGCGTGCCGCGGCCAAAGCTGCAAGCTTGCGGCGTGCTGCACCACCACCACCGTTCTTTGCCTCTTCCTCCGCCGCGGCCGTGCGCAACTCGTTGATCTTGGCAAAGTCTGCAGGCGTGAGGATCTTGGTCATGGCAAAGGTTGTTCCGGCTAGTTCCTTGTTGGCTCGGGTGAGCGACATCTCGTCCTCGTCCTCGGGGTCGACAACGCCGGTGAATTTGACCGTTTTGATCGCCGTGCCTTGCTCATTTCCCTCTTCTTCGTCCTCAACCTCAACCTCTTCCTCGCCACTCTCATCATCCGAATCCTCCTCATCTTCGGCTTCACTGTCATTTTCTTCCTCATCGAAAGCGATCTTGTCATCCTCGACCAACCCAGCCACCTCGACGACCTTCTTGCCCTTGGCTTCCTTCTTCTCGATCCTCCTCCTCTTCCTCGCATTCATTGTTTCCTCATCGTCGTCCGAGTCCGAAATGTCGATATCCTCTTCATCACTCGAGACGTCGTTCCAGCCGCCCGAAGAATCCGAATCGTCCTCGTCGAGTTCCCAATCATCCCACTCGGCCTCCTCATCCACTTCCTCACCCTTGGCCTCGCGCTCAGCCAAATGTTGCGCCAATAGATCCAACCCTTCGATTCCCGTCGCGTCTTCCCTCGATTGACCAAACCCAAGTGGTTGCATCTCATCTGTAGCCTTCATCGATGCGACCTTGCCTCGATCGCGACGCTGCAACAAGCCGGGGTTGACCTCTCGGTACAACGCGAGCAATCCCCGAGCAGCGACCATGATACCCTTGTCCTTGCTCAAGCGGTACTCGACCAAGTCGTCCAAGAGGTCCTTCTCCATGCACCAAGGTTGACGTCGGCAAATTTCGGTGATGGCATTCAAACCAGCGGCGTTGACTTCGGCCGCGACACCAGAGTGGACGAACTCGTGCGCGAGCTTCCGCACAACGGGCGTCAATTCGTCCGGCGGGGTCAACTCGTGCACCGATTCGGCCAAAGCGACGAGGATCGCGGTGATTTGAAGTTGGTGGTGGGTGAGGTACTTGACGATGTAAGAGTAGAAGCTCAGGACCGTCAACTTGTGCGAGCCGCAGACGCGACCAAACAGTTGCATGACCAAGACCTTGTGGTCGAGCGTGTAGGAGCGATCGTACTTGACCAAAGACTGGTACAGCTTCTCGCCAAATGTCTGCGGGTCGTTGAGCAATTGCAGAGCGGAAAAGTTGCCCGTCACTTCGGCCGCAGCGGCTTCGCGTTGACGACGTTTGGCGTTGGCGTTCTTGATGTCTTTTTTGGCTCGTCGCTCGGTCGACTTGCGCTTTTTGTTGATCTCTTGTCGATGCTTGACCGTCTTGATATCGGGACCTTCATCCTCCTCGTCCGAGGAGTCCTGTCCACCTTCTTTACTCCCATCGGGCAAGGCAAGGAAGAAATGCATCGCAGCCGACTGAACTTTGGTATCGGGGTGGAAGCACGCCGAAGCGACGATCGAGACCGTCCTCGCGTCCCGCCACACGTTCTTGCGCCACAGATCAGACGCGATCTTGACGGCCCACATGGCCTCCCTCGCGCCTACGATCTTGACATCGCCTCGACGCGAAGGCTTGACGCCGGTACCGAGTCGCTCGGCTTCGGCGTCGATCCCCTTTTCGATCATGCCGAACAAGAGGCCTTGGACCATGCGGTTGAGTTTGAGGTTCTTGGTCTTGAGATTGGCGTTCCTGATGTCACCGAGAATCGTCTTGAGGATGAAGGAGCGGAGATTGGGCGACGTCGTCAATGAAAGCAAAGGAAACAAGGTCTTGAGCAGTCTGTTCGGAGACGAATGGACCACGGCGTGAGCATTCGACGTCGATCGAAAGATCGCAGGAGGGTAACTGACTCTACACCGGAGATGACTTCTCGCCTGCGCAACAAGACGAGACCTTGCATCATCGTCTTGCGCGTCTCGGGGCCGAGCTGTACTCCTCCACCACTGACGCCGTTGCCGACTTGGCTGATGGATCCGGCCGCGCTCGAGGTCGCAGGGGTCGGAGCCGACGATAGGAGCAAGTTCGACAGCGTTGACGGGAGCGAGGACGTCATGGTCGGGTACAAATGAGCGACCTGCGGAAGGACAGTTGTATATGAGTATCGTCCAGATGAACGCAAACATATTCTGTTTCGAAAGATGCGAGAAGGACCAACCTGACAGACGAAGCCAGTCACTTCTCGGAGCTTGTCCTCGTCGCCCTTGGCGCCTCCCAAGCCCAACTGCACAATCTTGACCAAACTACCAAAGCGCGCCCACTGTACGGCAAACTCCTCGGCATAACTGTCACTGGAACGCTTGATGAGGTTCTGCAGCGAAGGCAGCGAGGTGGTGATGAGCGCTCCGCGGGCGGTCTTGACCCTGAGCGCATTCGGCGCGGCTTGCTGGCGCGACTTTGTCGACGACTTGGCGTTCTTGATCGTCGGGGCGATGCGTTTGTGCACCTCGACTGCGGCCATGGTTCTGGCGGGGTGGTCGAGTCGAATCGATGGAGCGACACGGTGTGGAGATGTGCGCCGAGTCGAACCGAGCGCGAACCCCGCTGAGAGCTGAGCTCTGAGGCCTTCGCAGCTGAGCTCGGGCCAGGCTGCGAAAGCTCGTGCAGGCGCACTGATCGCGGCGCCGACACCGATCGCCGAGCGGGCCCGGAGTGAAACTCGTGCAGGCCCACAAAATATTGCGAAAAATGCGGTACGAATCCAACGCCTCTGAAAATTCTGGATTAGTCTTCCGTCACCGTATGCCCGAGCTTAATTTTCACAAGTGTTGGAGTCAAATCGTCTCGACCGCCGCCGCGGAGGCTCCAGCCCTCCCTGCCCCGGCCAAATGAAACCGCGACGGGAGGTGACGCGGCGACGGGTGGCCCGCACGACGCGTCGCGCGCCTACGCGTGTCGATGCCAGATTGACCTTTGCCCATCCCGCCATACGACCAGCCACTCTCCTAGCCCATCCAGCCGAGATTTGTTTGCCCACGATGCAGACGAGTACATCAGCTTCCCGCTTTGGGGGTGCCTCTTCCTCCGCCAAGGGCAAAGGGCCTGCGACCGAGCCCGCCGCGGCATACGAGTTGCCCTGGTCAGTACTGGCCCTCGAGACAAACTATCAGGACCGCAACGTCGTCAAACCTTCAAGCGCTGACGCATACACGTCTTTCAATCCTCCACAGGGTAGAAAAGGTGCGAGAGGAGGAGTGGATCATCCAGACAGCTTGACTCCGGCTGAGGGCGCGGCTCTACCCCTTCCCCCACAGCATCGACCCAAGTCGCTCGACGACATTGTTGGCAACGTCGAGACGATCGACCGCCTCAAAGTCATTGCCAGGGATGGCAACTGTCCCCACATCATCATCTCCGTAAGCACTCGCTCAAGATTGGGCCACCGTCGTTTCGAGACCCGAGCTGATCTGGCTCTCGTGTAGGGCTCACCTGGTATTGGCAAAACGACCAGCATCCTTGCCTTGGCTCGACAACTCTTGGGCGAGAACTACAAGGAAGGCGTTCTCGAGTTGAACGCATCCGATGAACGGTCAGTCCCGATCCAACTGACTGGTATCCGGGCGCGCCTCAGTCGGGCTGGGCTGACTTTGCTCCGGTGCTCGCCGTCTCCCAATCGGGACAGAGGTATCGACGTCGTACACAACCGCATCAAGGCTTTTGCCCAGAAAAAGGTCACACTCCCACCGGGTCGCCACAAGCTCGTCATCCTCGACGAAGCCGACTCGATGACCCCGGGAGCCCAGCAAGCGCTCCGCAGGACGATGGAAATCTTCTCCAACACCACTCGCTTCGCCTTTGCGTGCAACCAGAGCAACAAAATCATCGAGCCGATTCAGAGTCGATGCGCCATCTTGAGGTACTCGAGGCTGACCGATGCCGAGTTGTTGAGGCGTTTGCTGGAGATTTGCGAAATTGAAAAGGTAGGCCGACTGGAAGGCACCGCGCATGGCCCGAGGCCTCGCCATGCTCGAATCGGCTGACAATCAACTTGCTTGGTTCATTTTCGTGGCAGGTTGAATACAATGAAGCAGGTCTGACAGCGCTCATCTTTACTTCGGAAGGTGATATGCGTCAAGCGGTCAACAACCTCCAATCGACCTACTCGGGCTTCAACTTTGTCGGCGCTGACGAGGTGTTCAAAGTGTGCGACCAACCCCACCCCGTCAAGGTGCAACAGTTGATCAAGGATTGCGCCAAAGGGGACATTGACGCGGCCATGACCAAGTTGGAGGAATTGTGGCTGCAGGGGTATGCTGCGGTCGATATTGTGGCGACTTTGTTCAGGGTTACCAAAGGGATGGAAGATTTGCTTGAATACGTCAAGCTTGACTTTATCAAGGTGCGCCAACACCTCGGTGATCGTATCCTCCCTGAGACCCGACTTCCTGACGCTCTTCAACTCTCTTTCAGGAAATCGGGTTCGCGCACATGAGGATCCTCGAAGGTGTTAGCACCGTGGTACAACTGGGTCAGTCGTTTCGTCCAGTCCTCCCCGAGAAAGAGTGGTTCGCTGACCACTTCATCTACAAATTGAGCTTGACAGGTGGCTTACTTGCTCGCCTGTGCAAGCTGTCGATGAAACCAGAATTGTTCAGGCAAGCTTGATCGGTCTTGGAGACATGTAGCATCCTCGAGTCCAATATGCACATACGCTTTAATCTCGTATCTCGCGCTGGGCTCAAAGAAGAGCCAGAAAGCTTCTAAGAGAAGATATGGGTGATTTATGCAAGGGGAGGAAGAAAGAACAACTACGTGAAAGAGAGCGCGTCGTGGAAAGGGGACCTGTGCACCGTGCCGACCATTTATCCGAGGGGGTGGTTTACAGCATGAAAGAGAGAGGAGACTGCGTAATACAAATTCATAGGAGGGTCAGCATTCGGTCACCTCGGGCTCATCACCTCCACTGATCCACTCACCTCGAGGTAAGCCTTGAAGCTCTTGAGCCACCTCGCGCCAATCGCACCATCGACCACTCGGTGATCGCACGACAAGGTCACCTTCATCACGCTGACCTCCTTGAAGCCCTTCTCCGACTCGGGATCCAAGACCAACTTCTGTTCCGTGGCTCCAACGGCCAAGATGCACGATTGCGGCGGGTTGATGATGGCCGTGAAGGATTCGACGCCGAACATGCCCAAGTTGGAGATGGTGAAGGACCCGCCTTGGTATTCCTCGGGCTTGAGCTTGCCGTCGCGCGCCTTGCCGGCCAATTGTTTAGTCAAGGTCGAGACCGTGGCCAAGCCCTTGGCTCCGACATCGGGGATGATGGGCGTGATCAAGCCGTTGGGTGTTGCGACCGCGACCGAGATGTCCGCGGTGTGATACCTATGGACCCCGCCCAAATGAAGATGTATCAGTAATGCATTCCCATCGCTCAACAGGAGGACAGAACTCACTGTCGGACAAAGTCGCCGTGCCATCCCGAGTTGACTTCGGGCACATCGTTGAGGGCGAGCGCACTGGCCTTGACGACAAAGTCGTTGAAGCTCAGCTTGGTGCCCGTCTTGACACCGTCCTTGACACCACCTGCGGCCTCGGCCGACTTGGCGGCCGAGTTGAAGACATCGCGCAGCTTGGCGACGCGGTCCATGTTGATCTCGGTGGTAAGGTAGTAGTGGGGGGTGCCGGACTTGGAGTCGGTCAAGCGCGAGGCGATAGTTCGTCGCATGTTGGAGACGGGGGTATCGGTGAATTTGGCCGGGGCCGCGGAGGAGGAAGCGGAAGGAGCGGGGGCGGAAGAGGACGAGGACGAGGCAGCAGCGGCCTTGGGTGCCTCGGGCTTGTACGACTCGATATCGGTCTTGACGATGCGTCCACCAGGTCCAGAGCCCTTGATCTTGGCCAAGGGGATGCCCTGCTCGAGCGCGAGACGTTTGGCGAGCGGCGAGGCGAGAATGACGGGATGGTCGCCCGAGGGCTGCATCGACGACTCCTTCTTGGGTACAGAGGGTGTTTCGGACTTGGTCTCTTGCTTCTTGGGCTCGGGTGCCTCGGATGCCTTCTCCTGCGGCTTGTCCTCCGCGACCTCGGCGGGCGCGGCCTCTCCTGCACCATCCTCGGTCAAGGCCTTGATGGCGGCCTCGCTTACATCGTCGCCCTCCTCGGCCAAGATGGCCACGATGGAGCCAACTTTGACACCTTTTGCTCCATCACCGACCTGTGCGTTGGAGAGGAAGTTGAGTTAGATGGGTGGCTGGAAGATCGGAGCGTGCCGATGAGGAGTGTGGAGCGACGGAGGACGGGAGGGGATGGGTGGGGGAGGGTGTACGCACGATGATCTTGCCCAACACACCCTCGTCCTGGGCCTCGACGTCCATCGTCGCCTTGTCGGTTTCCTACAGGCCACCAGTGATGTCATATCAGTGCCCAGCTCAACTGAAAACGGTGGTGCTGCCAATGTCCCGAATAGCGGCACTATCGATCGAGGATAGCGCGCGCGCTCTATACGGCCTTTGGGCAATGGTTGCGCTGCGTGCGGAGCCGAACTGACAATCTCCAACAAGACATCTCCCGGTGCGAAGGCCTCGCCCTCCTTCTTCTTCCAGCTCGCGATACCGCCCTCGGTCATGGTCGGCGACATGGCCGGGAACATGAACTTGGTCAACGCATGCGACCGCGACGTCGCATGTAGGTCTGCGCGACGGGATGGGATGGGCCAAGCGAGTTAGCGCTCAGATCGATCAGGGGCGGAGAAGCACAGGAAAGTGCGAGCGGCGGAGGAGGGAAACCGACCACAGCAACCCTAGCAGGAAGGCGATGCGTATAGGGGACTCACATCTGGGCGATGACAGGCTCGATCGAGCGAGCGAACGGGCACGCTGTTGCACGAGTTGGCGAATCATGGCTTGCGAAACGGGCGGGGGGTGGTGGTAGTGGTGGTCGTGGTGGTGGTGGGTGGGTGGTGAAACACGGGTCGCTGATTCCGTTCGGCGTAGGAGCGCCACGGATCAATCCGCGAGGGAGCGCGCGGGATTCGCCGAACAGGCCTCGACACGACACGAGTGTCTACATCTATTTCGTGACCTGATTTATTCCAACGAATTTTGAACTTGCTGCTGATCGTACTTGGTCACGAGAGTACAGGCGGGTGCCCACAGAGCGAATTCCATGTCGTGCCTGAGTCAGAACCGCTGGCGAGTCCGGCCCGGAATCCCCCAACGCAGAATTGGAGAAAGGAAAAACACTTGCATTGAGAATCTATGGAAGGAACATATAGCTACAACAATTATGTACTATGGCACTGATAGGGTGGCGTTCAGACTCCATGCGGACTCGAATATACACGGAGTCACGATGAAGAAAAACGGACGTCGGCGTTTCCGTCGGGTCGCGCACGGACCCCTTTGAGCGACCGTGCTCGGAGATTGCAGCCGACGCAGCTGGACCGGCCATTTGCTGCACCGAGCGCGTTTGCTTGGGAGCGCCCGGGAGCGCCGATCTGGCTGCTATTATAACAACGATATGGTCCTAGGTCAGCTTGCTGGGTCAACCGCGAGTTTCCATTGATAGGAGGCATGCAAAGAGTGGCTCGCTTTGGCGGGATGGTTAGGATGTCCAATTTTCAGGTGGGGTCCGTCCCTGGAGTCAATCGCCGGCCTATAGGGGTCCCCATAGTCTGTGGCCATTTCCATGCATGTGGATCAAAAGCCTCAATCAGAAGTACCCCTGAAGCCCGAATCTAGGTTGCTCAATTTCTACGCCAGCGAGAAACTCGAGACTCTGAGAAGAAGTAACCCCTTGTCGCTGCGCCGGCCGACCCGCACGCCCGCGTCCACGCAACAGATCGATCCTTGCTCGGCCTCCCTGGACCCGGATCGAATTGATCACTCTGGTTTCGTTGCCTTTACCATGAGAGGTCCTAGAGAAGAAAGAAAGGCATTCATTCCTCGAGTCGAAAAGAAAGAAAAAAGGAGGTCCAACCTGAGCGTTTCTACGCCACAGTGCACACGGAGCGGCGCCGAAATTCTTGCTGGCACTTGAGTGGCACTTGACTGGCACTTGCGGCTGCATGGAGCGTGCGGCTATGCGGCCACTTGGCGGGTGGCTCTCTATCCCTTCGCCCGCCCTCACACGCGACGATCCGCGTTCCCTCCCTTCCTTTCGAGCATCTGGTCTGCCGTCACCAGGTTCCAACTGAATAGGTAGGTCGGGGTTTGGTCGGAGAGACTCGGTTCGGCCGAGTGCGCCGTCGTATGGGGTACCACCTGCGGTGGGGAGAGTGGAAGGGCGGGGGGGGGGGGGTGACGACGACGCGCCATCCTCGCTTTACCAGGCTGTGCAAGCTGCATAGACGGCCGTCGGGGCTCCTGGGGCTCGACGGGGGCTGCTGTAGCTATCAACAGGCGCAGGGAGGGTTTGATCGAGAGGTCGTCGGGAACGATTGGTCGCGTTCTGCTATGCGATGCTGGGCTATGGAACGATGATGCCCTAACCGCGGCGGCGATCGTGGTCGGGGCCTGGCCTGCCCCTGGCCTGCCCATACGCCCGCGCCGAGCCCGCGAGCGGCGTCGTGTCAGTCGCATCGGCCGGCACCAGTCACGCAGCTCGCCCCTCACAGGCCTCACGCTCGGCGGTCGCTCGTTCGCCCGAGAAATCATCGCGACGCGCCGTTTGCATTTGCGTTCTTATTTGCTTTGATTGTACTGACGTTCGTTTTGATCGATCTCCGCTGGCGAACCCGCTGTTTCGTACACCTCGTCACCCCTTTCGGCCCCCTCCTCCCCTTTGTGATCGTCCGTGGACCGTACCTGCATCCCACTGCCTGGGCCTGCCGCAGATCCACCCCCTGCCCCCCCCCCCCCCCCCTCCCTCGCCCCTTCCCCTCTCCTCAACACCTCCATCCCCCCGTCCTCCCGACCCCGTGTGCGCTACCAGAGATGGATTTGCGCGTCGGAGGAAAGTACCGGTGAGTTGCGCACCGTACAACGCACTCTGCTCGATCGGCGTCGGTCGTAGCGATGTCTCACGAGCCGACGGGTGTTTCCAGTCAGCAGCACCGTCGTGTGCTGGCTTGCACGGCTGGCCTCGTCCACGTTGCGCGTCACTAGTGTGGTGCACGAGGTCGCCATTGCTGACATGATGTGCCATGCGTTCACCCTGCACAGAATCGGCAAGAAGATCGGTAGTGGATCCGTGAGTGCCTCGCCTCCCACTCAACTCGCTCCCCCGCCCCAGATCCAGATCAGACCGACCTCGTCACTCACCGCCAAGTGCAGCACACTGACATCCATTCCCCCACTCCCACTCTTCATTGCTGCTCCATACTGTCGGCGTCCACGCATGTTTAGTTCGGTGAGTTGGTCATGCAGTGCAATCGCTTCGGCCGTCGATTGCGGACGGGCGGCGGAGTCGGCGGCGGGCTCGCTTCCACCTCGGAACGTCGCGTCAGCGAACTCTCCCCAAAGCGGTGGCGCCTTTGCCTCCCCGGCCGTTCGCCTTGATTCTGGTTGTTCCCGCTATGGCATGAGGTGCATCCCGGGCTTACCATATCCTTCAATTGCGATCCGTTCTTCAGGCGACATCTATCTTGGTGTCAACATCATCTCGGGCGAAGAGGTTGCCATCAAGCTCGAGTCGGTCAAGGCGAAACACCCGCAACTCGAATACGAGGCCAAGGTCTACAAGACCCTGGCAGGCGGCGTCGGGGTTCCGTTCGTGCGATGGTTCGGCGTCGAATGTGACTACAATGCCATGGTCCTTGACTTGCTCGGCCCCAGTCTGGAGGACTTGTTCAACTTCTGCAATCGCAAGTTCACCCTCAAGACCGTGCTCCTGCTTGCCGATCAGCTCGTGCGTGCCCGTTATCTTGTGGGGCTTCGATGTGAAGGAGGGGAGGGCACAGTACTGATAGCATTCGTCGGCCTCATTCCTCCCCCGTCTCATTACCGTCCGTGCAGATCTCCCGCATCGAGTACATCCACTCTCGCAATTTCATACATCGCGACATCAAGCCCGACAACTTCCTGATGGGTATCGGCAAGCGAGGAAACCAGGTCAACGTCATCGACTTTGGGCTGGCCAAGAAGTACCGCGATACCCAGACCCATCTTCATATCCCGTACCGTGAAAACAAGAATCTTACCGGAACGGCGCGTTACACTTCGATCAACACCCATCTCGGAGTTGGTGAGTCGTTGCGACGAGCCACACACCAGCTAGCCGTTTGATGAGCCGTCACTCATCGCGCGATGGTTCCTCATTTGTGCAGAGCAATCGCGTCGCGACGATATGGAATCGCTCGGGTACGTTCTCATGTACTTCCTTCGCGGCTCGCTGCCCTGGCAAGGCCTCAAGGCTGCTACCAAGAAGCAAAAATACGATCGAATTATGGAGAAGAAGATGACGACACCGACCGAGTACTTGTGCCGTGGATTCCCGAACGAGTTTGCCATCTACCTCAACTACTGCCGATCCCTGCGCTTCGATGACAAGCCTGGTTAGTTCCGGCGACACTGCACCTGTCTCACCCTCGAGAGGCTTGCGCTGACGTTGGCATACGCATACCCTGGCAGACTATTCCTACTTGCGCAAGCTCTTCCGAGACTTGTTCGTTCGCGAAGGCTTCCAATACGATTACGTCTTCGACTGGAGCGTCCAGCAACGATCGGACGAGGCCAACAAGGAGGCCCAGACCCAGGCGGCGGCGCAAGCGGCCCAGCAGAAGGCTCAGGCCGCGGTCGCTGGAGGCCAGGGCCAAGCAGGTGCTCCCAAACGACGTGTTTTGCAGCCGGGAGAAGTTGGGCCTCAGGGTGATCAGCGAATGTGAGTGACGTTACACGCTGAAAAGGCATTAGCCAAACTCTCGGCTCCCCCCCCCCCCCCCCCCCCCAACCTTTGGGGAATCAGGCAATTCAGATCGACTGACCCAGCGTTTGACCCCCCCACAACCCCTTGTTTTCTGTCCATGCTTCAAGGCTTCGCAGCCAAACCCGTACCACTCCTAACGATCAACGGGTCGCACGAGCTGGTGGAGAGTGGTACTAAATGCACGGGTACGCCTCGACCTGCGGACTCGCCACTCCCCTCCAAACCCCTTATATTCTTCTCCCAAGGTCGTCGAAGCTGTTGCGTGTGTGTTATTGGTACGAACGGTGGATAGACGCATTTTTTGTCGCGTCTCCCCGTGGATGTGATCATCGACTCGGTGGTCAAGGCGGGTGACTCGAAGCGGAGACCTTGCGCTCGCAAAGGCCGACTCCGTTTCTTCTCCGCCACATCCATCGCCGCTCTCGACCCCGACCCACCACCGCTCGCCGTCTACTCAACTCCCCACCAACGTCATTTGCAACTCCGGCTGTCGCTAGCCACTGTATACTTGCCTGTCAAGTCCTGTCTTTGTTCGTCTCACACCCAACGGTCGTCGCATTTTTTGGCGCGTTCGGCTACTGGGTGGATTTTCCAAAGCCCACCTTTTTCTGGGCTTGGTCCTGTTCAGTCAAGGACAACAATTCGATGGCGTTGCAGTGTGCACCTCTTCGCTCGGCTCCTCCGCGATCGTGCCGGCTTGTGGGAGTGACCGAAAGCAAGCGTGTGAGTTACGCAGGACCGACTGCGCGTCTCGACACCGATTGTTTGAACCCCCCGCCCCTTATCCCCTAATACACCTCTACCGAGTTTCGACAACCCAACTCCTCTTTCGGGAATCGAACTCGAATACCGGCCTTAGTGCCTTCGACATATCGCTCAGCTACGCACCATCCCCCATCCCCCGTCCAGCCCCTCGACCACCCCGCTCGACTGTACCATCAATTGCCTACGACCATGACCTCACCGCTTCGAGCAGCTCAAGCCAGAGCCGAGTTCATCCTCGTCATCCATTGTTCGTTCATGGGGACGCTCGTCGTTTTGTGACCTTTGGCAGTCTTTTCACAAGGTCGCAAAGCTAGCTCTTCTAAGCGCGCACGCACCATCGTCGCGAGCCCTCTCACGAACGCTTGCAACCATCGGTCGCAAGCCTGCTTCACTAGCCTCTTCCTCCTTTTTGTCCCGGGTTGAACCTTGGGGAGGAGATGCTTTTGCATTCGTGGAATCGTCCGTCATCGTCAAGGTGCATCGTTGGGAGAGTGGTTTACCATTCCGCCCCAGCAACGCCTCTACTTCGTCTTCGCATCCAACCGTCGCATCGTCTACGATCAGTTCCAACGTACAACATCTACCCTACTCCCATCTTACATCCTTTTCAAGACTTGTCGGAGCCGCATCTCGTTCGCGTCACCGCCTTATCGTCTCAAGACTCCATGCCATCGATCGATGGGACTTAGCAGGAGGAGGAAGAATCGCCGCGCATTCTTTCTTGTTTTGTCCTCCTCGGGCTCACTCATCGCCCCTTCGCGGCCTGGCACGCTTGATTCGTTCAGAGGTGGAGGCAGTGTTTGAGAGAGTTGATGTTCTGTTCCGTTCTTTTGGACTCGTTCAGGACCTGCCCCCCCGTTTTTACAGTCCTCTTTCCACTCGTATTCGTCGTCTTTGTTTGCAACGCCGAACCCTCTTTTCTTCGGCAGATAAATCAGTCAGCAGACTACGTGCTCCCGGTGTGAGGGGTCATGCATTGACTGCAGTCGAGTCGAAAGAATCTGGAGAGTTTCGAGACTGCTCAGTCAGGCGATGATGTAATGCGCACAAGGCTCGACTCACGGTGAGACGAGACACAGCAGCTGAGCGCTCATCTGATTTCCGATTGGAGTCGGTCTCTCGATATTCACTATTCAATTTCTTCGTCTTTTGCGCTGCAATCATACTTTGTGCGCACTGCAGCGACGATCTTGCGCCAGTTACACCACCACACTTCGCCGAGGTTTACCGCCCTTAGCCCTGTTCCGATGACGGAGCCGTCGCAGCGGGGATGGGCTCGGCCTTGATCTTGGCCGATCGACGGCCGTTGACTGGTTGCGCGCGAGGCCCCGGCGGTCGGGGTCGAGCAAGTCACTTGACCTCACCACCGGTGACACCGAAACTCGACTCCTCTCCGAAACATGCCTGCACTAGGTTCATCCGGGAAGATTTGTAGCTCCTCGATATGAGATCCTGATCTACTACGGTCCTCGTGACTAATGGGGACTTGTTGGGGCGTGTACTAGCTCGGACAGTGGGATTTCTTTGAACCAAAATAAAGAAATAAAGTACTGCGGGGCTCCCCAGGGTTTTCTTGGGCGAGAGATGGGGGGGACCTCCCCGACACGGGGGTTTCCTTCGCGTCACCACCGCATACCAACCGTCGTCGGTGTCGGTCTCGTATGAGCTGTGTTAGTTCAGTGTGGTCGGAGCAGCAGCAGCAGCAGCAGCAGCAGCAGCAGCAACCACAGAACCGACGTGATTCATCCTCGACTTCGTCTACTTCACTGCAGTCGTCGTCCACCGCCGCGAGCAGAGGCTCCTTCTCGTCGTCGTCGTCGGGATCCTACTCGTCGTCCTCCTGGGCTTCGTGGTCCGCTGCCACCAGCACCGGACCGACGTGTTACGGTCCGAGGTCGACCACCAAGGCGTCTCTCTTTCAGGTCGCGTCATCGGGTTTGGATCTGGTGGCCGAGACACCTTCGATCCTGCAGTACAACGCGCCGCTCGTCTCACCCCCAACTTCGCCTGAATCGATCCACGCAATTCTAGGTGGGCCGTGTCCTAGCCCTCAAGCGACCTCCTCAACGCCATCGACGCCTGCGGCGGGCCCGGGACCGACGCCTTCCAGGACGAGGGACATGATGTCGGCCATCATCCCCAGCATCACCAGTCATAATCATACCCCGGCTTCGTACACGACCTCGCCCCACCCCACGTCGTCGTCCAGCCACCACAAGAAAAACTTTGTGCCACCCTCGATCAAGCTCAATCAATTCTTTGCTTCGATCGAGAGCGGCGCGTCCGCACCCACACCCACACCCGCTCCGGCAGCGAAGGCCGTTGGCGGCGGCGGTGGCCGGAGCGGCGGCGTCGCGGGCCTCGTTGGCAGCACCGGAAACAAGTTCAAGGGCTTGGCAGGTGGTGTCGCCAATTCGGCCAAAGGCAAGATGGCTCAGGTAAGTTCATGTCAATCTATTTTGTCGTTTCACCTCCTTCATCGTCGAGATCATAGTCCTGATTTTCCCCAGTCACGGATTGTCCAGGCGAAAAAGGCCAAAGCGCTCAATGCTCAAAAGGTCAAGGCGGACAAGGTCGCGGCGGCTCAAGCGGCGCAGGCCGAGGCCGAGGCCGAGCAAGCAGCTCGGCGACGACAGCAGCAGCAAGTGACGTACGAAGACGAGTATGATTCCGAAGACGAGCGATATTTCGATGACGAGTACGATGACGAGTACGATGACGACGATGACTATAGCTCTTCGGGTGACGAAGGCGATTCGGAAAGCGAAGGCTCCGCCCCCCACAACGTCGGCTCGGCGTCTCGGTCGACAGATGCACAGCATCCCCACCCTCCCCACCTTGCGGCCCTGTCCGCCGACACGACCTACACTTTCAAGCCTCTACCTACTCTACCTCAGTACAAGGGCTCGCGCGAGTCGGTCGACTCGGATGAAGACGTGGTCGCGCACGTCGAGTACGCCACCGAACGAGATTTCGTCGAGTCGACGTCGGCGCGAGTCACGGCGCACGAGAAGGACCCCGACCACCCTGCGGCCAAGCACGCGCACCAATCGAGGTACAGCAGCGATAGTGAAGTCGAACCAGACGATCGAGACCGTGATGACGAGTACCGGGGCCGATCGCGACGGCCTCGATTGCTGTGGAGGTCGCAGTTGGCCGAACCGACGGTCAATGTGCTCGACCATTACTGCCGCGAGTACTATGCGATGGAGTTGCCGAAGTTGAAGGGCAAGGGCAGTCCCGAGGGGAGGAAGTGGTCGCGTCAATTGGACCAAGCTGGATTGTAAGATTACCGACGGGTGAACGCAGTGTTCCCCTCTTATCATTATCTTCACGGACCCGGACGCGAAAAAAAAAGCAGACCGAGGGTCTTTGCTGCTCGCTTTTCCTGGACATGTATGTATATAGGCGATGTCATTCTCCTCAGTAAGACCAAGTTTCCGCGTGTGTGTTTTTAGTTCTGTTTTTATTGCATTGCAGTTCGCACGTTCGTACACCGAAGGGACTTTTATTCAGTCGCTGGCTTTAGCTTGGCGTCGGCGGCGGGTATGGATCGTGTCCATCCCGAGTCCCATCGTACTTTGCCTGCGAGTTCCATCGGCGCCCTCAACTCCCTCGGTACGATGCCGGTGAGCCTCTCGTTGCCGTAGCCTTCCTGGTCGACGTTCTGAAATTTGTCCCCCTGGGTCGCCTTGGCGTAGAGCTGCGGCGAGGTTTGTTCGAGCAGCTGGAGCGCAGCCTGCATCGAGGCGTACTTTGCGCGCAACGAGCCTTCGTGGGCCTCCCTCTGGTGACGACGATGCAGTGCCCATGCCCTGGTGATGGTCTCGTGGGCTTCGATCGAGGGTACGACTTTGGACAGGGCTTGCAGTCGTTCTTGGTCCGTGGGCGACGATTCGTACAGCGTCTGAGCGGTGGCAGCCCTCGAACCGGGGGTTCGAATCAGCGGATTGCGCCCACAGCGCTTCCCCCAAAGAGACCAACTCAAGCATCAACACCCCGACTTACCTTCCTGATGAGGTCGATCCTCGAATCGGCCTGCTCGATCTGCCCTCGGTTGCCTCCCCCCGTGCCCTTGGAGCCGGTTTTCTTGGCCGACTTGAAGGGTTTGGTCGCGTACGATCGGGTGAGGATCACGCGCGACGAGGTGCCGATCAGTTGGTCCGTGGGTAGTGCGAGTCGGAGCATGGCTGGGTGGTTTGAAGCTGTGGTGGGTGCGAGGTGGAGTCGAAGCCGTCGCGGAGGGCGGTCGCAGTCGGCAGTCGCGGGGCGTTCTAATTATCGGATAGTGGTGGGTTACTCAGCGCTCAAAGTGGGCTATGGTCGGTGCGAATAGCAGCAGCGCGTGAGCTTGGACCTCCTCTTGCCGGTCTCGACGCTGCCCACGCTGCTCCCGCTGCTCCCGCTGCCCCCGCTGCGCTCCCTCTCCCCGCAGCCGAGACCAGACGCGGGCATGCCACCCAAACGCAACTACATCGACACCTCCCAACCCAAGACGACGTCGCACTCGCAGCCAGTCGCGAAACGGTACAAGCGGTCGCACACATCCACGCCGTCCTCGCGCCGCGCCGTCTCGCGGCCGATCGGAGCCGCCGGGACCGGCGACGACACCTCCCGTCTCATCGCAGCCCACCACCAGCAGGAACATGCCTTGGGTGGCAGATCCTACCTCTCCGTTAGGGACTTGCCCCGCGTCGATCGCTCGGGAACGATCAACCGCGTGCCGACGCTCGTCGATTCGAGTCTTCGAGTCGCAGCGAGGGCGTTGATGCAGACCATCACACTGCCATCCCCCGCAATAGCGAAGGGAACCAACAGTCCGAAAAGGACTTCATCGAGCAGTGTTGGATGGAATCCTGATCGGGACGCGCAAGCCTCGACGCCGCATCTGATGGCGCTGAGGGAGTCCATCCAGCAGTTGCCGAGCGGGATAGCGAATCGGCTCTTGGCTTTGGTGTTGCGGGAAAGCACGATCGAAATGGAGAGAGCCTCCACGAATGAGAACGCCGGCGTGTCTGTGAGTAGTGTGGCCACCTACTCGAGCCCCCGAGCAGGTGTTTTCTGTTCGCGCCCGCTGACTCGAGCGAAATTTCCCCGCGGGCAGGTACTTTCACTCGCGGCGCTCTTCTTGCACCCAAACACGACCAAGCTATCCCTCTCGTCCCTCTCAGCACCCACCTTACTCCTATCCAAGATACCCCAGTGCACCTCTTTGACCGATCTCGACCTCTCGACCCACACCCAACTTACCGACCCGTCCGTCGCCAAAATTCTCGGCGCCCTTCCGACCCTTCAACGGTTGAACCTGAGAGGCTGCACCAAAGTTGGAGACGCCGCGATTATCGCTCTGAGCAAAGCTACCGAGTCAAGATTACAATCGATCAATCTCAACTTGACCGCCGTGACCACCAAGGGCTTGACCGCCTTGTTCGCGAGGTGCTCTGGCCTCCAGGTGCTCAAGATTGCCAATGTCCAGGGCTTGGTACGTATCGCTGCGGTGGTTCTCACTCAGCATAGCTCTCAGACTAACGAAAAAAAGTTTCTTCAGAACGATCGCAACGTGACCAAGTTGATCGATAACTCGATCCACGCCGCACTTGGATGGCGTCACATCCCCTTATCCCAACTACGGTGCCTCAAAGTGCGCTCAACCGACATCACCGACAACTCGCTCGGGCGGCTGCTTTCACTCTGCACTTTCACCTTGGAACGACTCGACATCTCCTTCACGGGCGTCAAATCGCTTGACCTCGTCTCGAGGGCCTTGCATACGGCGCCGGAATGGAAATTGGAGAAACTCGTCGCTTCGGGGTTACCCCTCACCCCTGTCAGCTTGCAAAGCTTTTTCGGCCCTTTGGCGGAAACGAGGACGGAGCAGGAGAGGAAGAGGTTCAAGGTCCTAAAACTGGGGTCTCTTCCTAGTACGAGTACGAAACAACCTGGCTTGACGGATGCGGTCTTGAAAGGCTTGATGCCGAGTTTGGTCAAGTTGACCGGATTGGAATCAGTTTCCTTCTGTCAGGTAAGGGCAATAATTCTGAGCACCCGTCCCTTGAAACTTTGGGTCGTGCTGAACCCTTTGACCTTTTCCTCTACAGAACTGGGCCCTCGGTCTCGCTCGAGAACCCATGACGTCCTTCATCTCCACCATCGGCATCAAATGCCTCTCCCTTGACCTCACCCTCCTTCTCCAATCGCACCACCTCGAAGGCCTCGAACCACCTTTGGATGAAGATGGCTTTCCGTCCGAGGAGGGGTACACGAGACCAAAGCTGCAGACGTTGATTTTAAATTCGAGTCGGATCGACGATGGGGCCAGTATTTCGATTGGGTACTGTCACGATTTGAGGACGTTGCATCTCGCCGAAACCAAGATATCGAGTCAGTTGCCTCTGTCGCTTCTCACGAAAGCGTTTTGACGCTGACTCTGTTCTCTCATCAACTTTACCAGCCGACTTTCTAGCCCATCTAATGAAGGCATGTCCCTTGCTGTCGAACCTCAACTTGACTTCGTGCAGAGGCGTCCCGGTCGCGCAGAGGAGGACCTTCTTCGAGACGTGGGAGAGGGAGCACGAGCAGTGAAGGGGAGGGAGGACTCTGCTTTCAGATGTTGTTGTAACTTATCGCAAGCCCGCTATAGCTCGCTCCTAGATTAGACTGTCAGGGCTCCACACAGATTTACCACTCTAGCCGCAGGAATGATCACGAGGCAGATTCACATTTCTTAACAGGATTTGAAGATTGCAAGACACGAGACCGGCGTAACGGATGAACACAGAGGAGTATAAAAATGAATGAGACTGAATGGTCAATGCGGGAGAGAAGGTACCATGAAAATAAAACCCACAGCACGAGAGCCTCTTTCTAAGCGTCTCTTCTATTCAACCCTCCATTCCCTCAATCCCGACGCGAATACTTTGGCGGACCACTGCGGTGACTGCTCCCCGAAGAACTATTCCTCTCATGCCGATTGCCCGAAATATCCCCCTCCCCATCCGAATCGTCCTCGCGTCGGTTCAACCTCGCCTCTTCCCCACTTCTCCTCTCCGATCTCCTTCTCCCCCCAATCGCCTCTTCCTCATCCTCGTCACTTCCTACGTCAAAGACGACTCTACCATCATCGTCTCGGTTTCCCATCCTCTTCAACGCCAAGTTCTCGTCGTCTTCGTCATGATCATCATCATCTTCGTCACCTTCGTGATCACCACGGGAGATCGCATCAACGTCGTAATGTTCTGCGTCCAACTCGTCGGTCGGTACTTCGTCCGAGAGTGCCAAACGACGGTTCCTCGACGTCGGTCTCCAGATCCAAGCGACGGATAAGAAAACGATCATGTACAAGATCGACAACCACCCGTCGACCAAGATCCATTGATACCGCCACGTATCGGGGGCGAAATCGTCGTTGAGGCGGTAGGAGAACGACAGAGCGGAGATGACGAAGAAGACGAAAACGATGATGACGCTGAACATGAGGATGCGGTACAGCTTGACGAACATGTTCGTTTTGAAGGATTGACGACGCGATTGTAGATCGGCGATGGTGGTGTTGAGTGACCAAAGGATCCACATCAGGAAGGTCGTGAGTGAGAGCGAGAGAGGGATCACGCAGAATAGAATTTGCCACCTGGGATCGTACAGAGACCATGAGTCGTCAGTGTCACCGCAAGTTGTCCTACTTTTATCTGATTGCACACTTACATGTCAATGCCAGAGCTCTGTCCCGGGTCATCGAACAGGAAAGAGGCCGTGCCGACCGAGTAGAGCGAGCCAAAGACGAAATGGATCATGGCGAGCAAGCGCACGCGCATCATCGTGCTGCCGAGGGTCGGTCGAACGATCGAGTAGCCCATCGAGACGATGAGGAGGATGAAGAACGAGACCGAGTTGCGGAACGCGTTCAAGGCGGTGATGAAAATGAGGTACGCGACCGTAACGCCCGGATGGCCCTTGTCATTGACGTAGGCAAAGTAGCGCCAGACGGCAAACATCTCGATGACGAGGAACACGATCGTCGCGGTGATGTAGGTCTGGATGGGCAAGAGGGCGCGTCGGTGTTGGTAGCACAGGACGAGCCAGATCGCGGCAAAGCCGAGGTAAATCATCGACAGGATGAAGTAGAACTGCGGCGAGAACGCTCCTCATCTACATCAGCTCAGTCCTCGACGAGGGTGCGGAAGCGACAGGTATACTCACAAACACTTTGGGGTACTCGGAAGCGGGGAGGTTGCCGCCAAAGGTGTTCTCAAAGTCGACGACGCCGATGTAGGAGCTGTTGTACGAGGACTGCTCGAGCGCGACGGGTACCGATCCTACGCAGTAGTAGCCGGTCTTGGAGACCTCGTAGCGATACCGGTTCAGGGACCACGGGTCATCCTCGGTGTTGGGGTTGTCGAAGCGGACCGAGACGGTGAATATGCTCGCTTTGGGGTCGCTCGAGGCGAGGGAGGGCGGTGTGGTGATGAAGGTGCCGAGCTCGGCTTCGGTGCAGACTTTTGCTTGGACGGCGGCGAGTGTGCAGATGTAAACTCGCTGTGTGGGATTGAAGGAAGATTTAGTCCTAGAAACTTGAGCCGTATCCGAGTGTACGTGAACTGACATCGGTGGACCATGCCTTGTCCGTGTCCGGGCTTGCCTGGCTCTGTTGGTCGACTCCGAGGTGTGCGGCATCCTTCCACTCGTACACGACGAGCGCGAGTTGTCCCTTGGACGAGGGCTTGAAGATGACTGACGGGATGCAGCATTGTGGGAGTGGATGGAGTGGGGTGCGCAGTCGACGAGCGTTGGCGTGATTCGGTTGACGGACGTGGCGCCCAATTTTAGAGTTCGATCCAGCCGAGTGAAAGTGGAATGAAGCGGGTGTCAGCACCAGTGGGCGGCGGCACTTGTGAGACCGAGACCACTCACCTTCGATATAGGCCGGATGTTGTGCCGTGCCGGCAAACATGCCGTTGCAGACCTGCCTGATCGCGTCGTCGCTCGAGATGAGCACCTGATACGCCTGCCCGGATGTGCTCAGCAGCACGACCATCGCCAGCAGAGAAGCCAGCATCGCGCCGAGCCATGCAGGTCGTCGTCCTCGGCCGTGGTGTGGCCGGGTCATCATCGCCGTGCGGTCGGTGAAAGGTGAGGAGGCTGGTCGAGAAAAGGAGGCGAGGTGAAACAGGAGAGCAACTGCGCAGTGCAGCAGTGCGAGCTCACGCCAGCGCACGCCGCGACTGACACGCCGCGCATGAACTCGCATGAACGGGAGCGATTGAGTGTGCGCGCCGACGCGTCTGCCGCTCGGACCTCGTCAAAGGTGACTCATAGTCGCGTGTCACTTCCCAAGACGCGCGTGCGAATCTTTGTGTTCGCTTGGCTTGCGATCGCTGTCTCTCGGTTCGCCAACAAGCCAGCGCCATCCATCCAACAGTGCACAATGGCCTCCGACAACGGCATCGTGGACGGCACACGTCGCAACCGCGACCATGCCAGCCCCAGCCACGAGGATGTCGAACATCAGCCTCTACTCCTCACGCCATCGACAGCCGCGGAGCAGTCACCGCCGCAGCCGTTCCCAGTCCGTCCAACGCGATCAAACACGATCATACCGCGGTGCATGAGCTAATGTCGTACCTTGTTACTCTGCCCACAGCTGCGACAAGTGCTCATCCTGTTTCTGATGCGGTCAGTGAACCTCTGGCCTCTGCGGCTGCTCCCCCTCCACTTTCCGCTCGATGGCACCATACCGTGACGCGTGACGAATCGAGGTGATCGCCCGAGTTGGCGGCGCATCCACTCAAACGGGCCAACAGTCAACCATCGCCTCAGCCGCATCTTTTTTCGAGGGAGAGTCTATGCTGACCCTCCACATCACATCACAGCTTCTCCGAACCGGTCGCGTCCCTGGTCATCTTCCCCTTCATCTCAAAATTCATCGAGGATCTCGGCCTCACCGACCGGCCCGAGCGAATCGGTCCGTTTCTCCGAGAACGACTCGTGCGAGATTTTTTGCACATCTGACCCCCATCGGAATACACCTTCCGCACAGGCTACTACGCTGGCCTCATCGTTCGTTCGTTCCGTCGCTACTCGCTCGTGGCCTCCACACTCACGTCAAACTCTTTCTGCCTATCCGATCCGACAGGAGTCACTTTTCGCGCTGACCATGTTCAGCACCGTGCTTACCTGGGGCCGCCTCTCGGATCGGATAGGACGCAAGCCCGTCATGCTCATCGGTTTATCGGGGTTAACGCTTTCCGTCGTCCTGTTCGGGATTCAGAAGTCCTTCCTCGGTCTTGTCCTGTGTCGGATGATCGGCGGCGCCCTCAACGGCAACGTCGCCGTCATCAAGAGCATCGTCGCCGAGTTGACCGACGCGTCCAACCAAGCCCGCGCATTCTCCTACCTTCCCTTGGCTTGGTCCATGGGAAGCATCATAGCGTGAGTTGAGCGAAGTCCATCGAGAGACACTGCCCTCGCATGGACTGATTACTCGGTTCTGTCGAGAGCAGGCCCATCATTGGGGGCTCCCTGGCTGAACCTGCAAGACAATATCCCAACACTTTCGGTCGATATCCCTTCTTTCACGAAAATCCTTATTTCTTGCCTTGCTTCGTCGCAGCACTGTTTCCATTATGTGGTAGGTTTCCATCCGCTCCTTGCTGGGGGGAAGAAACATCATGTTCGAAGCCCGTCTGAACTCCCTTTCATCCTTTCGCAGGCTTTCTTATCGGTTTCTTCTTCCTCAAAGAGACCTTGCCCTCACGAACAACAACACCACCTAGGGCGCCTCTCCCAGCGCTAGCAGCGATTCGAGGGTCAACCAAATACGCCACCCGAGTTTCATCGACGGTCCCTCTCCCACCGCACCTTCGTTCCGGCTACGACACCCCCGGATCCGCTTCAATCCAGTCCCAAGACGAAAACGAACCGCCCTCCATCTCCACCCTCTTCACGAATCGCCGCGTCCAGAATTGTTTGGTCACATACGCGCTCTTGGCGCTACAAACGATTGCACTCGATGCCTTGTTCGTGCTCTTCGCTTATTCGCCCATCAAGGTTGGCGGCTTGGCCTTTGACGAAGCCGAGATTGGCAAGGCTTTGGGATTAGGAGGCGTGTTCACCGTCCTCTTCCAACTCGTACTTTTCCCTTCCTTACAAAAGCGATTCGGGACCGTCCGACTGTACCGCGTTTTCATGGGTCTGTATCCCTTCGTCTTTGGTTTATTCCCCGTCATGGCGACGGCTGCGAGTAGGAAGTACGACGGGAAAGGCAGGGGCGTTTGGCCGGCTTTGGCCTCGTTCCTCTTGCTCAAGTCCATGTGAGTCCCTGAACCCTTTTCCCGAACCACTGTTTCCGATCAGCAAATTGACAGCTACTCTCCTTCTCTCAGCGCCAACTGTTCCTACGGCTGCAACATGCTCGTCATCACTTCCTCCGCCCCCTCCCGTCGTCTCCTCGGAACCCTCAACGGTTTAGCTCAAATGCTCTCCTCCCTCATGAGAGCGATAGGACCGCTCGTCGCTTCCTCCCTCTTCGTCATCAGTAAGGAGAAAAACATCCTCGATGGCCACTTGGTTTGGATCGTTTGGGGTTGCGTGGCGGTGTTGGGTTTCTTGAGCACGTTGAGGTTAAGGGAGGAGAAGGCGGCTTGGAGGGTGTTGGAAGAACGGGGTTAAAGTCGCCAAGGGTAGATTCATAGGATTCGGTTATGTAGAGCTTGTTGTTGTATGAGTAGTACTAGCTCGGTTCTGGATTCCATATCCACCAAGCGAAGAAATGGGACAGGAACCGATTAGGATGAGCGTCGGAGGCAAGTTGAAGCTTCTCTCTGCTTTCACATTCTCTCAGAAACCGGGCTTTTCGATGTGATGTGATTGTTGCAAGGTAGAAAGACTCGGGGGTGGACCAAAGAAACAAACAGCTGAATAGAAGACAGATTGGGAGGGAGAAAGGAGAAAGTAAGCAGGAGGAGGGTCGAGAACGAGTCAGGCCCGTGTTCAGAAGGAGGCTAAGTAGCTAGAATAACGGGCGGGGGGGGCCAGACCCCACGCAGGGAGGTGAAGTACAGGAATATACGGTTAGGAGAAAGGGAGATCGGGGGCCGATCGTTGACACATGTGCTTTTTTAGGTTTGGTTTTCTTGATATGAAGCGGGGCGCATACGATGGTCGTTGGGGGAGGGGAGTAGGTGGGAAGGCGGGGTGTGGAGAGAAGATCCATTTACGAGAGGCAGATGGTCTGGATCATGATGTCGCAGACCTGGTAAGGGTCGATGTTGGAAGCCGGGCGGCGGTCCTCGAAGTAGCCCTTGCCCTCCTGTGCGACGGCGCGGGGAATTCGGATCGACGAGCCACGATTCGCGACACCGTACGAGAAGGAGCCGATGTGAGCGGTCTCGTGGCGACCGGAGAGACGGAGGTCGTTGTCGGCACCATAGACGGCGATGTGCTCGGCGTGGCGTTTCGAGAGCTTGTCGCACATCTCCTCGATGACCTTGAGGCCGCCTTCAGCACGAGTGGCCTTGGTCGAGACGTTGGTGTGGCAACCGGCTCCATTCCAGTCACCGGCGAGGGGCTTGGGGTGGAGGGAGACGGTGATACCCCATTCTTCGGCGATTCGCATCAAGAGGAAGCGGGCCATCCAGAGATGGTCACCCATGTCCTTGCCGGGGCACGGGCCGACCTGGAACTCCCACTGCGAGGGCATGACCTCGGCGTTGATACCGGAGATGTTGACACCGGCGTACAGGCACGCGCGGTAGTGGGCCTCGACCATGTCACGGGCGTAGACCTTGCCGGCACCGACACCGCAGTAGTAAGGGCCCTGAGGACCGGGGAAACCTCCAGCGGGCCATCCGTAGGGGCGACCGTCGGTACCGAAGATGGTGTACTCTTGCTCGAGACCGAACCAGGGCTCATGAGCGGCAGCGGCGGCCATGGTCTTGGAGCAGTTGTAGCGGTGGTTGTGCTTATTGGGAGTACCATCGTTGTTGACTGGTCGGAGACGAGAGCGGGGCAAATCAGCAAGTCGGTTCGACGACACGGCGCAGCAGAAAGAACATGTCCAGTGCGGGGAAGCATCGCCGACTCCCATCCACGGTGACCACATCGCGTGGTGCCGCTCTAGTCTGGATCAGAGTCACAAGTCGTTGTACACCACCGTCACGATGCACCGCCACCGCTGCAACAGGCGCAGCCCGCGCAGAAGCATGTCGCGTGACCGCGTCATCGACACTCCAAGGCAGCCCGCCGAACGGCACTGCGCGTGGCCGCGCCTCGGATTCGGCAATCCGCGGTCCGTGATTTCGCCGACGAGATCGGGCGATCTCGCGCCCCGACTCCTATAGGATGATGACACTCACAGGTCTCGGCGATAACGAGGATGTTGTTGCCGCCACGGAACGGGTCCTTGAAGATCGCAGCGGGTCGGAGGAAGACGTCCGAGTTGTGGCCCTCGGCTTGACCGGTCGACGAGCCGTCGAAGTTCCACTCCTTCAACTCATCAATCGACTGGACGGGGCCATCGAGGGTCTAAAGAAGGCGACACAAGGAGCGGGCGAGCAAGCGGAGAAGCGCGAGCGCGGGTCAGTTAAAGAAAGTCTTCCATCGCAGAATCGAGAGCGTGGGGAGGACCCAGGTCCGAGAAGCCGTGGGTGTCGCCGTCGTCCGTCGCCACCGTCGACTGCGGGAACCACTGCAGCAGTCTAGCCAACAGCCTGCGGGGATCCGAGAGTGCTGCAGCGCGCGAGGCCGCGGGACGGGCCAAAATGAGACGTTCCGAACGCCGAAGCCAGTACAAACGTCGTACAGCCCCAGCCCCAGCCCCAGCCCCAGCCCCAGCCCCAGCCCAGCCCAGCCAGCGCAACCCGATGCTACAATGGCCCTCCCTGCCTTGCCCCACAGCCCGGCGGTGTACTCGCGCGCCCGAAGGTGAGAACGGCCACGGGCAGCCGCGGCCAACCGGGTCATGACTGAAACAGGACACTCCCGTTTCCGAAGATCCCGATAAGCAATCACCAAACGCCACTCCTCCCCGCCGCGGCGGCCATCACATCCCATCAGCAGCCACAGACCAGGCCAGCCCACAGACAGAAGCGGGGAAATGACGACCCCAAAGTCGGTCCCAGTCGGCCCGAACAGCTCGGGTTCGTGAAGCCGTGGACAGCTCAGAACTCGGGGTGACGCTGAGGGATTATCGACGCTCGCAGGGTCGGCTGGGCCATCATGAGCTATGACAAACGGGTGACCGAACGCGCGGGCGATCACTGCAAAGCCCCAGCCAGGCGCGGCTCACTGCCCGAGCGGCTCAAGGCGGCACCGGCGGCAGCGCGAGACGGAACGCGGTGCGCTCAGGCGCGGGCGAAGACGGCTACTGATCCCGAACGGAGCAGGATGATAACGCCTCCCCGCCCGTCGGGACCAGCACAGCCAAAAAGAGCACACACGACGACGACCCAGTACCGCAGACAAAACGAAGGGAGGGCACACTCACGGTCGTCTTGCATCGCAGTCCTCCGTCAGCATCGACCCAGATGTATTCTGTGAAGGGTGCAAGAGAGCCGGCGGCGCAGCGGAGAGAGGAGCGGTGGGAGCAAGCGGTGAAACGAGCGGGACGTTGGGCGATAAGGCGGACAGGGTCACAATCAGCACCCATTTCGACGGCTACACTTCGAAACAGGCACCCTGTCGTGACGACAGAAGCCTCCTTGGTGAGGTGGACTTACCAGCTTGGATCTTGTCGCCTTGGGGCAAGTTCATGTACTGTAGGGGGCAGACGCCGGGAAGCGGAGCGCAAGCGGAGCATCGATCGACGTCAGCTGCGAATTCACGACACACACACACACACACGACCGACCGGACTGCCCACGACGCCCGCTCGACAGGCGGCGTTCGGGAAGCGTACCTTTTGGAGCAAGGCGGGGTGGGCGACGTTGGGGTTCATCTTGGGCAAGAAGGGGGGTTTGGTGTGGTGTGGGAGAGAGGTGAGACAAGAAGCAGAGAAAAGGGTGTGGGAAGAGAAAGGGCAAGAACAGCGAAAGTTGCCGAAGGGCGCGCGTCCGCATTCTGGCTCGTCTTCCAAAGCCAGCCAAAGCCCAGCCTCGGCCACCGCCCCACGGATCTGTTCGGACTTGGTTCACGCCGCCTCCGATTCGCTACGACCCCCGTCTCGAATCTTGAGCTCTATCGGCACCGCGGTAATTTCCCAACCGGACGGTCGATCTCACTCGCCGGTCACCCTGTAATCATTTTGGTCCGGACTGGTCGTGACAACTGACTTGCTCGTCCGCTTGGCGTTTCGAGTTGTACAAATCTATCACAGCCATTCATTCAAATCAGCGAGCACCTCTCACTGTTTTGAGATGCACCAATGAAGCACTGGTCCGCAGACCCCCTCCGAGACCGAAACGGCGATCTCTCGACGACTTCATGCGAAACAATACCACCCATGAAATGCACTGGATCAAGTTCCACACACATCACCGAAAATGACGTGTAAAATGCACAAGTAGGGTAATGTCCGAAAAGCAATCATCATAAACCGATGGAGAAGCTTGGGGCAATTTCATGGGGGAGACATTCAAAGCCCGCGGGGTGCGATCGATCAGGCGCGGTGATCTTACCTCCGCCCGCCCGACCCGACAATCATCTCGTTCGTGATACGTAGCTTATTCCCAGATCTTTTGAGAACGTCGGAGTGGGGTGTGGGGCTGCCTACCTAGCACAAAGTCCTGGTGGGTAGCAGCGGGCCATGACAGCAACTGTAGTGTTCTGCGAGCTATCGACAAGCCATGCCCGAGTCTCTCCAGCAGTGTACGGCGTCCTTGACCGCGGGAGTGCATTGCAGTAACTCGATTCGAGTTTGGACGACACCCATGCGGGCTGTATAGCGGGCGAAGCGGATAGACTTGGCTTACAGTAACAAGGACAACAAGCGGCTGTTATCGCTGAAAGTTCATGCTGTATCCTCCACCCGGCTGCTCGACAAATTTGAAGTTCTCCGTCGACAGACCGAATTTGCCTGCGAAGGAGAATGCCATCCCAGTTCGGCCTTAGCATTAATCCAGCAGCCCTCTTTCAAACCGGATCTGGTTTACTCACCGAGTACAGTATTTCCCAGATCCTTGAGCTTGCCCATCATCTCGGCCTGCTCTTTCTCTTGCTGTGCCTTGGCTAATGGGGTCAAGCGCGTTTGCGCAGATTTGATCTGCTGCTTGAAGGAGGGTGAAAGATCGGGAAGGGCGGACAAGGCGGTGTAGTCTGTAGGATAAAAGAAGAGCCGTGTTGGTACCTATCGCGATTGATCGTTCGATGCTTTGGTAGGATGCTTACCCTCCAGAGCCGAGGTGAGCGAGGACCAGGTGCCGAGCTGCTCGTTCGCGAGTGCACGTCGGTGGAGGGCCTTCATGTATTTGGGTTTCTCCTCGAGTGCTATGCGATTATTGGAACATAGGGTGAGCTTATGTCAGCTGAGACCAGCCCTTACAGAAACATTCACCTTCGTCGCAGGCCTCGACCGCTTCCTTCCATCGTTCCTGTGGGACAAGATATCTCGTTGGTCGCAAAGCTCAGGCTTTGAAACTCGGAATCCAGACGTCACTGACCATCTTCAAGCAGCATGCAGCCACATTGGCGAACAAGACGGATCTCAATTCGACGAGTTCGACCTCTTCGGGATCAGATTCTTGCTCCGCTTCCGTGACCGGCTCTTCCTCGAGGTTGAGCTTGTCGACACCGTCGAGAATGTTTTCCGCCGAGTTTGACTGTTCCTCGCCTTGCTTTTGCTCTTCCTTTTGCTTGCCCTTGACGATCTTGACGCCCGGCTTGGTGCGCACGGGCAATTCGACGAGCCCCTCTCGGTAGCAGTCCAGAGCTTCCTGCCATTGGCCTTTGCCAAACAGGGTGTTGCCCCGGGTTTTGAAGGTGGATGACCGATCGAGGATGTCCTGTGGATGAGATTGGCTTGATAAGCGGCTGAAGCGATAGTCACATCAAGAAATAGTAAGCCGGAACTTGCTCTCAGCTCGGAGGGTGTCCACCACACCGAGTCGTCGTGGTCATGATCGGGGTCGTCGTCGTCTTCCTCATCATTCTCATCTTGCCCCAACGGTTCTCCTTCGCTCGTACTCGGCTTGGCTTGTTCCCGAGTTGATGGGTTCGGTTGAGCTCGAGCGGTGGTGGTCGATGACGTTGAGGGTGGTGGCGGTTCTGGTGTTGATTGATCAAAGTCGTCGGTCGAATGAAAGCTATGCGTCGACGACGTGGGCGAGGGTGGTAGCTCTTCAAAACGGGAAGAGAATGACGACGGTGAGGCCATGTCGTAACGTGCGCTGTAGCTCTAGCTGGCTATCCTCGGACGGTGCGAAACAAGCCGGAGGAGGGGTGTCAGGCAGCGAGGTGAGCTCTGGTGAGCTGATCGGCGCATTTCCGCATTAGTAAGGTCGGACGATTAGTTGCCAACTTTCAGGCGAGTTTCGTCTCGCCAGACTTATACCGCTGGTGGCTGGACAGGGCGTGGTACTCGAGTCATCGATCAAAGCCGAGCATTTAATCTACATCTTCCCGCCTCTGAACCCATTCACCCTCCCCTTGCAGTGCTTCAAACAAACACGCCGAGTCGCCGACGCTTCACCCCCTTTCCGAAAGCAAAATGGGCACTCAGCGCGCACCGCTTAAAGGCGCTTAAGCCCCGCTTAAGGACGCTTAACAAGACGTCCTTATGGTCTTTTCTGCTTTTGCTGCAAGAGTTTGACGCCGAGGACTCAAGCGCGCGCGACCTCTACCCTCCTTGCAGTAAGCCGTGCCCGCACGCCTGCCCCTCTTGCAATAAGCCGTGCCCCGCACGCCTGCCCTTCCTGCAGTAAGCCGCGCCCCGCACGCCTGCCTCGAGCCTTGGTCTGTAAGCCGCACTTGCGCAAGAGTTTACCAAGCCCGCTCCTGCCGCACCTTTCAGTTCCCACTGCTTGCCGTTGCCGTACCAGTATCGCTGTGTACCTCTGCCACCTCCTGCCAAGGTCAGTGGCCTTCCTTGAACTCTTCCTGCCGCCATTTGGCTGACAGGTTCAGAGCTTCTCACAGGACCCCCCCAGCGATACCGTACAGCTTCCGCCTTCCAGTCTTCTGCCTTACCAGTTGACGACGAACAGCTGCCACTGTCCGTCCGCCTGCACCTGCCAGTGCTGCGCCTCTTTCGTGTTCGACTGCGTCTCGCTCAAAGAGCCGAGGTACATCACCCACCTTCAGGCTCTACCTTAGGGTACTCCTGCTCTCGACTGTCCTTGTTGGACACGTTGACTGACTTGGCTACACTGCTACACAGACCCACCCTCGACGTGCCAGCGTCTGAGGTCTGTTTCCTTTGCTGTCTTCTTGTCTCCAAGCGACACGCTTTACAAGCATAGGTATGCCATAGTCCTCAGAGTCTTTGCAGTATTCCGAGTACTAATAGAATCGCGCTTTACAAGCATAGTCGTTCTATCTTCGTCTCCTCCCACCCACCCTACAAAATAAATAAATACAAAAACAGCCTTGTGTTCTTTCCTTTACTTTCTTATCTATGGTCTCTCGTGGGTAGATTTTCAACCCATCCCGTTTGTTACGGGATGCCTGGTTCTTATGCTGCAAATCCGACTCCATCCCAGCTATTTCGGTTCGCATTGCGCTCTTACGATGGAGTCGAAGCCCCTTAAGCCCCGCGTCTTGTTAAGCGTCCTTAAGCGGGGCTTAAGCGCCTTTAAGCGGTGCGCGCCGAGTGCCCATTTTGCTGATGTCGGTGCGAAATCGGCCGCCCAGATCGCCGAGTCTCACTGCAGTGCACTGCATGACAGTGCCCACCCGGCGTGCAAATCAATGATACGAACCCATGAGACCCGGACGCGTACTCGGAAAAATTGAAGTACCATTCTGATGTGACTCTGAATACTAATCGCCCACTTAAGATTGCGTCCATCGGCCGCCGCGAGCGCCGCGTTAACGCTCTGACGAGGTCCGATGTCTCCTTAAAGGATAAATTGCGCACCCGTACGGGGGCCTGCTCGGGGGGCAACCGGAATAGTCTACGACGAAACGGCAATTACTTATGAACAAAGCGGAGAAAGACACGCGCGGCAGTGTCGACAGGACGCGCGTCTCCTTACCCCCACGTCAGTCGGGCCCATTCGCGAGCGCCAATGTCTGCGCCGCCGACGCCGACCACGACCGCGACGGCCACCGCACCGGCCATGGGGCGCCATCCGTCCCGCACACCGTCGATCGACGCAGACGGCGACTCGCTCATCTCCTTGGCCACGACGACGACGAACCGTGACCTCGACGAGCACGACGGAGCGCTCGATGCGGCCGGGGCCGATCAGGCGGGCTCGAGCTTGTTCGCTCAACCGATCGGAGCCATCTGCGCTTACGGGCCCCGACTGGCCTACACCTACTTCAACTCGCCTGTTCCCAGGGCCGAGGCGCTCAACGCCGTGCAGGATGACGTGCACTTCTTCACCGTCGACGACCAGCTGCTCTACCTCAGCTTCTTCCAGGACTCGGGGCCGCTGAATGCCGCCTGTCTCTAGTTCGTTCCTGCTCCCGCTTGGCCTCTGGAGCTTATGCCCAGCCGCATGCATACATCCTTCCTCCTCAGGTCCCGAGCTGACCTTGCTCGGCCTCTGTATCCACAGTCGGTTCTGTTTGCATGTTCATACCCTACTCGAGGTCAGCCTTCGCTTCCTGCATCCTACCCCTCTTCCCCTGTCGTCGACTCTTTGCTCGCGGTCATCGTTCAACAAGACCGATCACGCGTGTCAACACGCATACAGCCACCCCGCTTGCGCCCCTCTTTCGCCCTGCCCGTGATCCCTTCTCCGATTTACCCCTTTCGATCCCTTCACTGAACATCAATGCCTCTTCTTTGGCACAGAATGAGGAATACGCCAACAAGCGCATCTTTCTGTATTCGTCCGAGGAGCCGGACAAGAAGGCCAACGCCGCATTGCTCATTGCCCTCTATGCCGTAAGGACGCATTTTTTGGTCACATGTGGTCCCACAACAATGCGCCTTTGCGCCTTTGCGCCTTCCCACGACAACGCCATCACAACTCGCGTAGACCGGGAGGAGAAGATCGACTACCCCCCGGGTGGACATCGATTCAGCCGGATGCGAGCCGTTGGCTTGTGCTCCGGACTGGTGATGAACGAAGAGCCACGATGGAGGAACAGAATGGATGTACCGCCTCCGGGATGGATCAGGCTCATGGTTTTCCTGGAGAAGGAAGGCTGGTTGGTGCTCTCATCGGTCTCCGAAGCAAGCACGTGACCTTCTCTGGCCCATCGCGCCAAGGCTCAAAATCGACTCCATTGCAAGCGTGGGTGTTACCTGTACTAAAGTGTTATTCTCCCTTTCACAGATGATCGTTATGCGGTGGCACCCTGCCGACGTCCTTCACCCTATAGCCTGTCTTGAATTAGTGAGTGGGCCTCTCTCGTGCGCGCGCCGAGTCTCGATCTTCCTCCTGATCTCCATTTGCTCTTCCCTGCCCACCTCACAGCAACCCTTCCGCGACGCCGGCTACGCCCGCGCCGACTTTCACCTCTCGGTCCAATCCGTCATCTACGGCGTATACCGCGCCATTTCCCTCCGTCTCCTCGACCTCTCCACCTTTGACCTCGTCGCGTACGAGACGTACGAAAAAGTCGAGAACGGCGATTGGAATTGGATCACACCTGGCTTCGTGGCGTTCGCGAGTCCGGTCGAACCTAGTTATGTCGCGGCTTTGTCGGGGGCTGGGGCAGGGCAGAGGAAGATGGAGGGGGCCAGACCGAGGTTGAGTAAGGCGTTTGGGAACGTGTTGAACGAGTTCAACAGAGGGGGCGTCAAGGTCGTCGTTAGGTCAGTCGGAACAGTCGGTTCGCGTTAGGTGGGTCGAAGGCCCCTGCTCATTCGTTCGTCTTGGTCCTTGCAGGTTGAATAAGAAGCTCTATGACGCAAGCCACTTTACGTCAAGAGGGATGCAACATGTCGAGAGTAGGTCACAGCGTGGTTCAATCGTCGTTGCACTCGGCTCATTGGACGTCTTCCTCATTGTCCCACAGTGTACTTTGACGACGGTACGAATCCGACGATGGAGATGACAAGAGAGTTCATCGACCTCTCGGACAAGACGATCTCGTCCGGCGGGGCTGTTGCTGTGCATTGCAAAGCTGGACTTGGAAGGACAGGAACCTTGATTGGTGCTTACTTGATTTACAAACACGGCTTCACGGCTGCTGAAGGTGAGACAAGGGACGTTATCCTGCAAACGGAGTCAGACGACCGGTGCTAAAAGACTTCCACTCTGCTCACAGCGATCGGGTTCATGCGCTTGATGCGGCCCGGGTCCTGCGTCGGACCGCAACAACACTTCCTCTACGAGAACCAAATGACCTGGGTTCGATGGGCCGCCGTCGATGCTTACAAACTTACGGTCCAACCTTCTCCACCGGTGGCCGCCGTTCAAGCCTCGACTTCATCCACTACCACACCTTCGAACGTACCCGTTGCTTCCACTTCGGCTGTCCCCATCGGCGTGGACGTGCCCATCACTCCACCCTCGCAACGGATCCGTCGAGTCGTCACTCCAACCCATGATCCCGACGCCACGCATGCCCACCGACCAACGACCCCCGCCGCGTCGACCCTCGTTCCTCCTCGAACACCGGGGAGGAACGCTCCCGTGCCTGGACAACCGAGAAAGACGCCAGGGAAAAGTAAACATTCCGTCGCTACGCCCGAGACGCAGCAGGCCGTTGTGGAGGACGAGATGGATCTGGTACCGAAAACGGCCAAGATGTTGGTTGATGGGCGGGCGGAAGAGGATGAAGGGGAGGAGGAGGAAGATTCATCTGATGCGATGAAGACGATCCCTCCCCTTGAACTGGTACCCAAGGCGATGAAGGAGGCAGCGACGAATTCGGCGGTTACTTCGAAGAGATCGGCTACGCCAGGGCCATCTCGACCTACGCGGATCGCTCGACCGAGACAAGCACGACCTCTTTCGGCGATCGCGGACAATCGAGTCGTCGATCGATTGGGGTTGGCGACTGGAACTGCTGGAGGGAATTCGACCACTTCAGATCGAAGAGGACGAGGTGGTCTTGCCGCGAATACGACAACGGCGAGAGCGACGGCGGAAGAAGCCAAGCGCTCGAGAGCCGTTCGGGATCTCGGGACCTTGTTCGAACAACCGCCGGCGGGGTCGTCGTCGAGGGAAGGGACGTCGAGTGGACCCGCTTCTGCAACGTCGAGTTCGACTCGGTACCGGACACGAGGAGGGACGAGGGCAACGACGCCCGGTGCGGGGGACGATCGGATCCCTTCGGTTGTGGAACCGCCGGCAAGTCCGACCAAGTTGCCTCAACGCGTTCCGGCCAAACGAAGAGGGCAGGCCAAGGAGAAGGCCACGGCGATGTCAACAACGGCGGCGGCAGAACCGGGTACTCGAAGAGAACGAAGTGTCACTGCGAGTGGGGCTGTGAAGATGAACGTCGATGGTCATGCTCAGGGCGGTGGCGCAGATGATGGGTCGAGTACGACTTCGGTCGAGGAACGCAACGCGTTGGCAGCGAGCGTCGGCCTTTCTTCGAGGAGCGTGAGGAGGAGAAGGAGTAGTCTGGGGGATACGGATTTCGTGCAAACTTGATTATGGAGAAGATTTATTTGGATGCATCTTGGTATTATGGACTTTGTTGCTGCTGTGTTGTGCGAGGGGTCCGGTGCACTTTGATGGGGGTATGTCTTGTTCTGGGGAAACCCTCTTTGGTCTGGCCTAGGGGCCTATGTGCAGCTGTAGTGGGTGAACATGCTCCTTTGTGCTCAATGCGACCCCACTGATTTTGTGATGTTGGTCGATCTGCAATTGTGGACACCCAGTCAGTCCGAGTCCGAGTCCGAGTCCGAGTGAGCCCTCTGAGGCGAGGAGGAGCTTATCTGATGAAGTGGCGGCCGGTCGATGCTCGCAAGCGGCGCGCGTGAATTTGTCATGACGAATGGCCGTGGACTCGCCCCGCCGCGATGGCGTCAACTCTCCCCCACCCCACACACACACACACACACACACACACACACACACATAAACATACCCCACAACCACAACCACACATACATCATGTTCTCCACCATCCGCTCAGCAGGCCGTATCGCCGCCACCTCGAGGTCTGCCATCGTGCGCCCGAGTGTGGTCGCCAGCCGTGTGCCACTCGTCGCTTCGAGGGCCTACCACGAGAAGGTCCGTTCCCGAGTCATGAGCGTCCTAGGATCGCAAGACTTGGTTTGCTGACATTGGGTCGTACACGTGCAGGTGATTGATCACTATGAACGACCACGCAACGTAAGTGTTCTCCCAGCGTGTGCTCGCAGGGGGCGTGGACAACCCTGGTCCTAGTCCTGGACCGCAAATGGCCCCGTGAGCCGAGCATACGATGCCCTTCGACCTCGAGCGCCGCAAGTGGCAAAACCGCACCACAGCATCCCCGACCAGTGTGGATCCCCAAAATCGGGACAGGTTAACGACTACGACCTCGGCAATCTGGGTCACCGTTTTGCAACCCACGTCACAGGATCAGGACCAGCTGAGCTGACCATGCCTCCGACCCGCCTCTGTCCACCGTTGCCCCTCCTTCCATCGCCCCATCGCACACTACCCCACTACCCCACACACAGGTCGGTTCTCTCGACAAGAAGGACACCAACGTTGGGTCCGGTCTCGTCGGTGCACCCGCATGCGGTGATGGTCAGTCACCCGCCGACAGAGCCCAGCGCTCGGTCACTCCGGACGGACGAGCCACGAATATGCTGACGTCGTCGTGCAACCTCTCTCTCTCTCTCTCTTGCACAGTCATGAAGTTGCAGATCAAGGTCGATGAGAACGGCATCATCTCGGACGTCCGATTCAAGACTTTCGGCTGCGGATCCGCCATCGCCTCGTCTTCCTACATGGTTCGTCCTCGGCCATCGTGGCAGACTCTTCCCACCCTTCCTTGCAACCCCACCAAGGGCTGACTCGACCTTGTTCCTCCCTGGACTTTCATCAGACCGAACGAGTCAAGGGTATGACCCTCGACCAAGCCGGCGCGATCAAAAACACCGAGATCGCCAAGGAACTGTGCCTCCCGCCCGTCAAGTTGCATTGCTCCATGTTGGCCGAGGACGCCATCAAGGCCGCCATCGCCGACTTCCGTCAGAAGAAGGAACAGGCCGCCGCGAAAAAGATCGATGTGTCTAGTTTGGGAGCCAAGGACGCCGGCGCTCAGGCCAGTACGACCACTTGAGTGAGCGTTCAAGATTTGGGGATGAGGGTGGAGGACTTGAACGGGGGAAGGGATGGTGTGTACGATCAAGAGGGGTTGCATGAGCACGGGTTGCGTTTTGCTGGCGGTGATGATGTACATATTCTTGACATTTTTTTTTCTTTCTTTGTGACGCCTCATGTGTGCAAATCGAATTTCAGATGACTGTGCGCTGGTTGCGGAGACGAGGTTTCAATGCGAGGGGACTGCGGGTGGTATTACATGACTAGACAGTACAGGGTACGGATGCAGAGAGCTTTGAGGACGACATATCTAGTCGTAAACTGTGAAGATGAGATGAAAGGCGATGAGTGCTGTTGTCCGCATCGTAGAACGGGACGAAGGAAACTGACTGTGAACGAGAGCGTAAAACACTGCTCCGACGAAAGAACGAGACCACGCCCCGGACCCCAAGCATCAGTTCCTACCGACTCATTCTCAACAAGCCGTCAACACTTTCCACTCACGCGTCCAAAACAGGATATAAGGAAACACATGTTCCAGCAAGCCGCCTAGCACGACCGTCCTCCAAGCCGACACACGATCGCCGGGGAAATAACCATTTCCTCCTGCGGTGCCTTTCGTGAGGAGGAAGAGGGAGCCGATGAGGGTAGAGGTGATGAGGTAGAAGAGGAATCCAAAGGTGTTGGTTAGGCCTAGGACGCCGGCTGTGGCACCTGAGATGGAGGCGGAGGCTGAGCAGACACGGAGGGAGGGTCACGGAGGGAGTGATTAGCTGGTGTGCGCTTGGTCAGTCGTTTCATTCCGGCGGTGGTCTCAGGCGCTCACTCGACTTGACATAATAGAGCGAGTTGTTGTTGGAGATGAGGTTGGGGACGTAGTACGCTTCGTCGACCGAGGTCGGCGTCGTGCTCAGCGCGGCCACTGGCGGACGGGTGGCTGTTTGTGGTCAGTGGATGGCATACAGAGTTTGTCCAAGCTACTGTGCTCACTCTTTGGCTAGTACGAGCCGGGCTGGTGATGATCAAACGCGAGAAAGGAGACGAAGGCTGATCCCGAGAGCTCGAAAGTGGGGGATCATCTGAGCTCGGACCCACAGGGAACTCTCCTCTCGAACGACACGGCTCGCTAAACATACGACACGCGCTCTCACTGCAGATGAACAGATCCTGCCTCACCAGTGGTCGGATTACTCAAACAAACGAAATTTCTACATCCGAATTCTGCGCCGAAGTCTCCCCACTCCCACTCCCAGCACTGATCTGACCAGCCGCCTCCCTCTCATGAATCTTCATATGCCTCGCGAGCTGATCGCTCCTCAAAAAAGTCTTATCGCACTCAGGGCACTGGTGCAATCTCTCGCCACGATGGGTTCGAGCATGTTTGGCGAGATTGGAGGATTCGGCAAACGCGGCTTTGCAGCCTGGGAAATCGCACACGAAGGGGCGATCACCGGTGTGGGTTCGCATGTGGATAGTCAAGGCCGACGCGGAAGCAAAGGCTTTGTCGCAGCGTTCCCACGTGCATTCGTAAGGTCGTTCACCTGAGTATGCAATGAGAGGGTAAGGCAAGGCTCGAAACAAGATAGAGAGGGACAAACCTCTGAACCTACCTGTATGAGTCCTCTTGTGCTGCGCCAACGAAAGCGCCTCCGAAAACTTGCGATCGCACAAATTGCACGCGAACGGCTTGTCCTGCGCGTGCGTCTGCAAATGACGCATCACTTTCTGTCGTTGCGAAAATTGACGACCTCCTTGATTGTTGCGTGAGCAGCCTTCCCATTCGCACGAATAGGACGACTTGCCCGAGCCGACGTGCGCGAGCGAGAGGTGCGACATGAGTTCAGCCGAGCTAGGGAAAGTCGCGGAGCAATCCTTCCATCGACAGGCGTGAGAACCCGGGGTCGAGGCACTTTCCTCCTTGGCGGCTGATTCATGCGCAAGAGTCGATTTTGAAGCGCAGTGATTGTATGGGTGCGACGAGTGGTCAACGTGACGATGTGCCCGAGCCTTGGGCCGCAAGACGGAGGAAGGGGGAGCGGTCGGCGCCGAGAGTCTCGCCATGGACGGCGGAGCGAGGTGCAAGGTATTGACATGAACAACCAGCAGCGCGTACGAGTCGAACGATGCCTTGCATTCGCGCCAACCACAATCGTAGCGGGTCGCAGGGCCATGCTGATGGGGATGCCCGTGCTCGTGCTCGTGCTGTTGATGGTTGTGCTCGTGCGACGGGTGGTCTTGATTGGCTGTGCTGCTCAGTTCGAGGAGGGCGCGTGAAGGCTCGACGTCCGCGTGCTTGTGCGAGTCATGATGAGATACATCCCAAGCTGCCGGGTTCTGTTCAATTTCGGGCGCGCAACAGCAGCAATGCAGCTGTGATGGGATGTGGTGGAAAGATTGTCAGCGCTGCGCACGAAAATTCACCGACTTTGGACCTAGAAGGAGACTGACGATCTCTTGGATCGCTTGCTCATCGAGCCCCTTCATGAGCTCGGCAAGAAAGCTGGAATTGCTAGCATCTTGGTTCAATTGGTGGTGCTGCTGGTTTTGTGGCTGTTGATCAAGAGGGGTGAAGCAATCGGGGCAGTCTGATGTCGGGGTGATAGATGCGGCCGTGGAGATGCCGAAGCAGTCATCGAAACTGCAGCACGAGTAGCTAGCCAGATTCGAGATCGGGGTTGGTGGTGGTGGTGCAAGTAGAGAGGAACAGCAGTCGAGGTGATGAGCGGGCAAGAAGGAGTTGATGAGGGGCGAGTTGGCCGATGATGATGCCGCGGTGGGATCGGCCTGGCATTGATCGCAGTCGTCGAACAAAAGTGCCGACGAAGATGCCGAGGTCGACGACCATGGCGTACCCGGACCTTCGAGGCAGGTTGCGTCACATTCGGACGAGCCTGTGGCAGCTGATACGCTCGAGGATGCAGACGAGGTCAGAGGGAATCCCAGCAAGCGTCGATTTTGTTGAGGCAGCGACGGCGCAGGGAAGCACGCCGGCTGTTCGCAGCAGACCACGCCGACGCCCAGTTGCGAAGGGCGGGCAAGATGACCCGCGCTGCTGCTGCTGCTGCTGGTGCTGTTGGCTGAGATCGGAGCGGGGCAGCCATGCGGGAGCGGGTGCGCATTGTGGTGTTGCGAGTCGTGGCCCAAACAGCCGAGAGGCAGTATCGAGTGGATGAGCCTTTCACAGGTGGTGCAGTCGATGAGGCCGACGCGAGAAGTGGTTGCAATCGCACCGGCACCACCGGCCGCGCCCTGAGCCGCGCCTGCATGAAGGTTGTGGTTGTGATGGTGGCCCATCCCGCCGCGTACGATCCCGAAACGGATCAGAACTTGCTCTAATGATACTGACACACGGACAAGTCAGCTCGATAGCTAGGAATACAGCAGCCAGATGGCACGACGCACGTGGACGACGACAATTTTCAATCTAAGGGATGCGATGTCGGTGGCCTGAGCGAAGGGGAGTCTGGCCAGGGGCAGCGGCGAGAGGACCGCGCAGGTTACTAATCCGATCTAATCCGATGAGGGAGGCCCCCAAATCACGGCATCGGCGACTAATTACTTAAAACGATTTGTATCGCACTGCGTGCGTACACGTCACCGGCGAGGATATGAAATATGAAAGAGTAAGAACAACAATTGCACATGGTCCTAGCTCCGCAATTGGACACAAGACTATTATCTATACTACAAGCATCGGTTGTCCTGCCTACACCTTGCTCCGCCTGCGTTTGGCCTTGGAAGCGCCCGCCCCGCCCGTCGACTTTCGTCCCCCTTTACCCTTGGTTTTGGTCGGGTTGACGCTATCCGCCCCCGATTCACCCGGCGTCGCCACCAGCGATGTCATTCCATCCTCATCCTCAGCGACGACGGCCTTGTTGGCCGCAAAGAACCCGAACGCATCCTCCTCATCGTCCTCGGCCTCCCACCTTGAAGGCTTGTTCGCTGCCGCCAACGCAGCGGCCTTCTTCTGCCGCTTCGCCTCTTCCCTCATCCTCACACCTCGGTGTCCATCCTCCTTAGCTTTCTCTTCCGCCTTCTTGCGCTTGATTTCGGCGTTCCGGATCGACTCCTCCAGCTCCTGGTCGTCCAGCAGCAACGAGACGACCTCATTGGTCTTGGCACCGGAGTCGGTCGGACCCAGGCCCGACGATGATTGTACGACCGCATCTTGGACAAGCTTCTTGTTGCGAGCAAGCTGTACGATACGTTCGTCGACAGTATCCTTGGTGATGAGGCGGTAGACTGTCACCTGCTTGGTCTGACCCAATCGATGAGCTCGATCCATGGCTTGAGCGTCGTTCTGTTGGGGCAAGAGGGGGCAGAGGTCAGCTTGGTCACAGAGCCACGACACTAGATCAGAGATGAGCGCACCGAGGGATTCCAGTCAGAGTCGTAAAAGATGACCGTGTCCGCAGCCGTCAAGTTGATCCCGAGACCACCGGCGCGTGTCGACAGCAAGAAGATGAAGAGCTCGGGTTTGGTCTGCCAGTCCATGACCATGTCACGACGCTCCGAGATGGTCGAGCTACCATCGAGGCGCAGGTACTTGTACTGCCGGAACGCGAGGTACTCCTCCATCAAGTCAATCATGCGCGTCATTTGGAAGTAAAGTAGCACGCGATGGTCGCCCGTTTTGAGCTCGGCCAGTAACGAGTCGAGCTTGGCGAGCTTGCCAGAGTCGAGGATCAGCTTGTGCAGTTGGGGCACCTGCATAGGCGGGAAGGGCAATTGTGCCGACGAAGAAGCCCCGAGCACACCCTGCGCAGGAAGGCCGGGTAGTGCCGACTCGAACCGCTGAATGTCCGTCGTCGAGTTATGTGATGAGCCGGGAAGACCATAGATCGCGGCTGAGAAGAGAGGATCGAAGCGTTGGCGCTCTTGATCGTACGCGAACGAGCGGTCACTGCACACAACGTCGATCGAAGGCGCCACGACCTTGTCCATGTAGAAGCGTGCGTCAGGTTTGGCGAGCCTCGAGTGGGCTCGGTGTTCTTGTTCGACCTCGGCTAAGGGGACCAGACCGCCTTCGCGCCACGAAATGTTGCTCGACAGCGAGGCCGTCTTGTTCGGAATCACGAGCGAGAACGGTGCTGACGGTGCCCCTTCAAGACTCATAGCATCGTAGTCGTCTCGGAGGCTCTTCATCGCTTCGTTTTCGAGCGCGAGGCCGATCCGAATGACATCGTGGGCCAGCGCGACCTTGCTGAGCTCGGACGGGCTCAGCTCAAGGCTTTGGGCAAACGCAAAGGTCGACTCGCCCTTTCGAAGCGAGCGCTGGATGTAATCGGGTGACCAGATGTTGAGCAGACGGTCGAGGTGGAGCGAGTCGGAGCCGGCACGGGAGTTTTGACCGGGAACGTTCAAGAGTCCGCCATCGCGGTACAGCAGCTTGGGGATCGTGTACTCGATAACGCTTCGAGTTGCATAAGCCACTTCGAGCATCTCTGGGTCACGCACCAGGTTCGACGTGACGGGGAAGTTGGCGAAAGCAAAGGGAGCCGTGACGTCGGCGCGCTCGAACAATTCAGGATGGTTGCACACTTTGCGGAACTGCATGATCAAGTTCATAAGTCGCTTGACACTGTCATCATCGTTGAGGCTCGTCGCGCGCGAGACGAGGTCAGTGATGGATATGTGCTCGCGAAGGGTGCGGTACATCGCCTTTTGTCGGGGCGTCAGATCGCAGTAGACATCGATCTCGATTTTGTCACCCAGCTCATTCTGTACGTTCTTCTTGATACGTCGCAGCATGAACGGCTTGAGGATCATGTGCAACCGTCGCAGTTGGTGCTCGTTCATCGCGCCTTTGTTCTCCGCGTTGCCTTCGATATCCTTGGAAAACCATTCGCTGAACTCGTCGTGCGAGTCGAAGAGCGACGGCATGATAAAGTGGAGCAGTGCCCACAGCTCGTGCATCGAGTTTTGAATCGGGGTGCCTGTCAACAAGAGTCGGTTGCGGCACTTGAAGCTGAGTAGTGTCTTCCAACGAGTCGAAGACGAGCTCTTGATCGCCTGCGCTTCGTCCAGCACCATGTACTGCCACTTGACGCCTTGAAAGTACTTCTCGTCTTGCACCACGAGCTGGTAGCTGGTGACGAGGATGTGAAAGGGCGCGTCTTTGTCGTATCGGAGCGACTTGCGGTTCCAAAACTTGCGCAGGATTGCACGGTCCTTGGTGTTGCCCCAGTATGGAAGCGCTTTAAGGGCAGGGACAAAGCGAGTGATCTCTTGCTGCCAGTTGTGCAGTGTCGAGGCCGGGGCGATGACGAGAAAGGGTCCCCAGATGTCGTGGACTTCGGCGAGGTAGGCCATCAATGAAATGGATTGTACCTGTACATGAATCGGCACGGTCAGCAAGAACATCGTGCGTGGAGGTCGGGAGATAAGCCAGCACTGACCGTTTTCCCGAGACCCATCTCGTCAGCCAGAATGCCGTTGATACCTTGCTCGTACAAATTCGCCAGCCAATTGAGCCCCTTGAGCTGGTACTCCTTCAGTGTGCATGTTAAGATCTTGGGCTGCGTCACGATCGCAGCGCCCGTCATCGTCGGGTTCTGGAAGTTGAGGTCATCCGAGTCGTCAAAGCTGAGCCCCTCGGCGCCATTTGCAGGTTTGGCTTGACCCGCGGCCGCATCAAAGGCGGATGCGGCATTCTTGGCCGCGTCAACAGCAGCCTGGGCTCCCCTCCGAGCGTGCTCGGCGACGTTCGCTTCGTCGTCGACGTCAAAATCGAGGTCCTTGAGAGCGCCGTTCGAAGCGGCTGGTTTGGCTAGCGCCGCGATCACCGACGGGTTCGACTCTGCCGGTGCAGCAATCTTGGCATCACTCGCGGTGTCCTCGGAGTCCTCGGCCTCGCTCGTCTTGATTTTGTTCCCGATAAAGTGAGAATATAGTTCCGTTTGTGTGATGAGAAAGTTGAGCTTGCGAGCCTGTCGTTTCGCTTCTCGCATTTCTTCCTCCTTTTTGGCCTTGTCGAGCGCCTCCTTCTCAGCCTTTTTGCGCGACTCGCGCTCGCGCTTTTCATTGCCCTTCATGAACAGCATCATCTCCCTTACGACACGTTTGGCCCTGACCTGCACGTCCTTGACCGTCTTGGTCCTCGTCGCCGCCCGTCGGGCCTCACGCGCAACGATCGACCCGACGCGCTTGGCGAAGAACTGTCGGCTCTGCGATGATTGTTGTTGGATCTTGGAGACTTTGGGGATGTCGCGCTTGGCAATGTGTATCCAAAGCTTGCGCTCGAGCTCCTCGGCCGATCGGGTCTTCTTGACCTTGACGGGTGAAGAGTTGAGGTCACGTGCAGAGTCGTGGTCGACATCGTCGGATGCGTACCCGGGGGCGTTCGATCCAGCGCGAGACGATGTCGGTGACTGCATCAGATGACTCGAGTTCTGCCGTAGCATGTCGTGGCTCGAAGCGCCATTGGCTCCCCGAGATAGACCATGCGTCCCCTCGGCAAGCTCGTCGACATCTTCCTCGAGATCGCCGTCTTCGTAGCCCAGGCCAGATGGGTCGTCGTTCTCGAGTCGCTTCTTCTTCCGGGCCCCCTTACCGTACTGATCCAAGTCGAACCTGTTCAACATCTCGTCCCTGTCAAACTTGAACCGCTCGCCGTAAAGCTTCTCCTCCTCTGCTCGCTGCTCCGGCGTTAAAGCCTCCCAGCGCTCAAACTCGAGTCTTCGCGCTTCCCTGTCCTTCTCGGACCGGATCTTGCGCGCCTCCTCGTCCTTGCCCTTCTTCTCCCTGTCCTCGTCGCGCTTCCGTTTCGCCGCCTCTCGTTGCTTCCTGAGTCGGTCCTCTTTCTCTCGCTCCTTGATGGCGTTGCGTTCGGCCTCGAACTCGATCCTCTGCCGCTCCTGCTCGGCGAGCCTGGCGGCGGCCTGTAGCTCTCGTTCGCGTTCTAGCAACTTAGCCTCTTTCCTCGCTCGCATCTCGTCGATCCTTCGCTCGGTAAAGTTGGCGATCCTCGCCGCCGTCGCAAAGTGTCGACTCGCTTCGTTCGCTATCCAGTCCTGTTCGAGCTGTTGGCGCTCGGCGTGGATCCGATCAAGGTAGGCTTGGAGGGGCTCGCGCCAGATGTGGGCCGTCGCGCGGAGCAACGTCTCCGAGTCCGAGTCCGAGTCTTCGTCAGCTTCGGGCAGAGCGACTGCTTCGTTGCCGTTCCGACTCGAGTTGAGGTCAAAGGAGGTGTCGGCCACGTCCTCGATGTCGGCATAGATATCGTCGATGTAGCGCTTGGGCTGGATCGAGCGCCGAGAGGACTAATTGGGGTGACGGAATGTCGTCAAAGAGGATTTGGAGAGACAATCAGTCAAAGGCGCCCACGAAAGATTCTTCGCGTGTGTTACGTACCCTTCTGGCCGATGAGCCTTCCTCGTCGCCATCAAGGTCATCATGGAACGAGACGGACGCTCGACTGGCTCGAGATCGCTTCCTGGCAGTCGACTCGGTTAAGCCGCTGCCTGATGCTACGGCAGTTATTGCGGCGCTACTCGACACGCTTGATTTGTTGTTGAGTAATCGAGAGAGCGACATGATAGCGTTGAGGTGCGAGCGCGTCGCGACGGGTGACAGCGGAGACCGGTGCCAGTGGAAAGAAAGACAGGTCAAGCTCTGCACAGAGCGATGAGCTGTAGGATAACGAGCAATTCCGGGTCAGCCGCATGTTCTCGGGGCGCGGTGCAGCAGCGATGACCAAGGGCTGACCTGCAAGCTGATCCGCGGACGGTGGGTTGTCCGCGTGGACCGTGTGGGGGCTGAGCCCAGCAGCACTCGAGCTGACCGTATGAGCGATGAGCAATGACACGAAGATGGTGTAAACTGGTGCTTGGTAGCGGGCCTGGGTGTGTGGAGTCACCGCTGCGACCAGGCTCGCTCGTCGAGGTCAAGGATGACCAGCGCGGGCGTGCCCGGGCAGCTCCCCGCGCTCTACTCGCTGGCAGGCCACTGCAGCAGAGCAGTGGAGCCAGTCGGGAGGGCGTGCTCGAGTGGGACCGGGTGGGGAATGAGTGGGGGTGAAGGACGATGCACGATGTCAGTCGTGGAAGGAGCCTCGACTCCGTAGTCACTCGTTCAGAGCACGCTCGAGTCGGTGTAGTCGCTCGTGGCGAGCAGAGCCGATAGTCTGGTCAGGATCCGAGCCACCTTGACTCGGTCACCTCGTGGCCGTGCCCGCGGCCAAGGCTTTGAAAGTGGGAGCTGGCGTCAAATGGCGCGCCGAGTGGAGGCGAACTCCCGCCCGGCGATGAAAAGCTGCCCTTTAATGCGTGCGGCCGATAATTTTTCATCCACGCAGTATCGAATAACAAGGACATTTCAATCGGACTAGAGGGGCCATCACTCTCAATGTTTCCTTGGTGACGTGGACGATGACTCTCAGTGTCTTAGGCTCACTGTAAGGGGATGCCTTACAGAACAGCCCCATAAGTAGCCTCTGAGTAGCTAGAACTGTCGAGTTCTAGTTACGACTTGCTTTTAGCCTAGCGGTCAAGGCGACAGATTGTAGGTTATGCACATCAGAGGCGCATACCTTAAACTCACGAAACGGCGCTTCAAACTCCCGACCAAAGTGTGCCCCCAACGAGGAGGGAATACTCGTAGAGTTGCGTGAAGAGAGGCCCAAACAACCAGTGTAGAAAGAAATAAGAGCAGACTTGAAAAGAGTATACCAGGGAATCTTTGAAGCAGAAAATATGAAGAGAGTGACGTAAGAACACAAGAAGAAACCGGGGAAGAGTGGAAATGCGAACGATGGGGAAAAAGGCGAGTTCGGAACGACTCCGAGGCACGTCGCTCGGTTCGGCAAGAGTACCTGAAAGCGATAGTGATCTTCTACAACAACGTCGCGAAGGCTACACCAATCGCACCAGCCAAGACCGCTCCAACGGAGGAGCGCAAGCCAAATGCCGAGGAGGTGTTGTTTTGTACACCCGGCGTCGAGGGAGGGGGTGTGCCGGGGTTGGTGTTGCTGTTCGGGTTGTCATTGTTCGAGCCGTCACCGCCCGTCGTCGTGTTGTTGGCCGCATTGCAGGCCTGTTTGCCGACATCAATAGTCTTGTTGTAGTCCACTTTGTTGCAAGCTGGACGAGCAATCAACGACCATGTCAGCTCCTCCTCTAAGGTTCCGCTGCAGCGAAGAACCGGAGACGGTTGCTCACTCTGGCTCATGCATGCCGTGAATTGCGTTTGGAACACCGAATCTGTGCACTGACACGCAACGGTAGTGCACTAAAACATGAACAGTCCAGACCATCGAGATGCTGTCAGCTTCTGGGAGATCATGATTCGCAGAAATGATTCCGCGTCGAGCTCTCAACCGCACGGAGGATACTCACGTTGGTCTTGGTCTTTTTCTGAGCGACGGAGATGCAGGGGATTGCGCAAGCGGGGAAATTCGAGTCGGCGGGAGAAGCACCTGCGGGCTCCTTGTCTTTCGGGCCCTGGTCCGTCGAGTTGGAACCGGCGGGGTTCTCGCCAGCTTCGGTTTGGGCTCCGGGCTGCGGCTCACTACCTGGCTTGCCCTTGGGAAGAGCGGCGGGAGGACCACTGGCGGGGTGCTGGTCCGTCGAGTTGGAACTGGCGGGGTTCTTGCCAGCTTCGCCGTGGGCTCCGGGCTGCGGCTTGCCTCCTTGCTTGCCCTTGGGAAGAGGCGCCACAGGGTGGCCGGCCTTCTGGCAGTCATGGAGGTACTTGTCAACGCCAGCCTCGAATGCGGCAGTGTTGGCTGGCACGAAAGAAAGAAGTCGGTACCAATTGAGCCGATGGGTTTCGCGCGCGGATAGGAGGTCAACAAGAACGCGCTCACCAGCTGCTCCGCACCTCATCAGCGAGCCATGGTATTCCTGACTGGTGCAAATGCATTTGAGATCATCCTTGTGGCACTGTAGGATCATCGCGGCTTGTCAGTCTGAGGTACCATGACATGGAGCTTTATCTAACCAGATGCAGGGGCAGACGACGGGACTGACCTTAGATTTATCGAGAGCCTTGGCCTCGCACTGGGCGGCTGTTACTCCGCCCTTGGGCGTCTCGGCAGCGTGTCCGGCGGCGGACTTGGCCGAAGGGTTCCCCTTGTCGCCAGATTTGGGGGCAGGCCTGGGTTGTTTCTCGGGCTGCTTCTTAGAGCCTTCCTTGGGAGTGCCAGGGGCCTTCTTATCGCTCCCATGCGCGCCATGCGGCGCCTCAGCAGACGTCTTACCATGGCCCTCGTGTTGAGCCGTCCCCTTATCGTGACCGTGATGAGTTTCGGACTCGGCAGTCGGCTTGTACGCGGGGACGAACTCGGGCTTGAAATCCTTGGGAGCCTTCTTCCCGCGGTGATCGTGCTCGTGCTCGCCATGATGATGCTTGGAATCAGGCTCGACGCCGTGCTTGCCGTGACGCTGGGTAATAGGCATGTCGTCGTACGGACTATGTTGGCCGGGAACGGTACTGAACTTGTGCTGGCCAGCAAGCACGTTCAAGGGTACAGAGTGTACGGTGCCGACGTGCTTGTCGTGGTGCTTGGCATGGGGCTTGACCCCATGCTTGCCTTGCTGCTCGGTAGTAGACTTGACCGCGTGCTTGCCAGGGTGTTCGGGTTCGCGAGTGCGCTCTTGCTCCCCATGATGCTTGGAAACACCCTCGCTGTGCTTGCCATGAGGCGGGGGGTAGGGTGGGTGTGGAAATGATGGTCGGGAACGGACCTGAACTTGTGCAGGCCCTCATGCACGTGAGAAGGCACAGCGCGTACGGCGTCGTCGTGCTTGTCGTTGGACCTGGCATGGGGTTTGTCTCCATGCTCACCGCGAACTTGATGCTTGCCTTCGTGCCCGTGTTTGTCCTTGTCGTCAGGGCCGTGGTCGTGCTTGTGGTCGTGATCATCAGCAGACTTGGCCTTGTGCTTGTGATCAGGGTCGTGCTTGCCAGCGGACTCGCCATGATGGTGCCCACCGACGGGGCCCTTGTGCTCGGACTTCCGCTCTGCTTTCTGGCATTCTAAAATTCGGAAGGTGGGCATTCAGTACAGACAGGATGGACCTCAAATCGTCTGAAGCGATGAACGTACGTTTCAAGGTGTTCTTGGAACCGCATTTATTACAGCCGTGCGCGTTGACCTTCTCCGCGAGCTCGGGGCAGGCTGTGGAAAAGAAAGCGTCGTCTCAGTTTTCGAAAGGAGCTGGTTTCAAGTGTGCAGGAGGCACCTTCCCCCCGCGACCAACGCACTTGTTTTCACGCAGTCTGTGACCTTGCCAGCGAATTTAGCACTCTTACAAGCACATTCCACATCGTCCCATTTGCAGCCGCCCTGCGAGAGTATTGGCGAATGAAGCGTCAACGTTGGTCTGGCCCTCTCGCAAGACCAGGGGAGGCGCTGAGGAGTGGCCAAAGAGCGGAAGTATGCACTGATCGTCACTTACTCCATTTCGAGCAGCATCTTTGGCGCATTTGACGGCACATTCGTCGCCAGCACCTGCAGCAAGTGCCACTGAAACGGTCGACGCCGCTAGACCCAGCGCTAGGAGGCGGAAATGGACCATCGCGAAGCAACGGGCGAGTGAACGACTTGTTGAGCAGTGAGAGGGGGTTGAGCCAGGAGTATTTAGCCGGGAGCGTTGAGTGAGTACCGTTGGCCAGGAGCGTGGAACGAGTGACGACAAGTTGGGAGGTGAGTCGGGTAAAAGAAGAGGTCTATGAGACTGGAGGGAGGGAAAGGTAGGAAAGTGTTGAGCAAGCTTGGGAGGGAAGGGGAAACCCGGTAGTCGCTCGCTGGCTCCAGGGGAGACAATAGCGCCAGGCAGCACGCTGAGGCACACTGGCCGCACCGCCCTGCACCGCCCACCACTCGCGTGTTTCGCAGCCCCTTTTTGAGCCTGGCGCCGATTGCCGCGTGTCTCAAACAGGTCTGAGGTGTCGAGAGGAGGCCTTACGACTAGGCTGTCCGCTACTTCAAAACTGTGCTCTCCATTTCCTCCACCTCGGCCCCTATCGAGGTAATAAATGAATGAAGCCAGTGCTGGCGAGTAGCTACCCCTGGCGGGCGACTTACAAGGAGATGGGTATTGGCACAAACGGGCAAAGTTGTGCACGGTAGTCTTTGAGAGAGTGTTACATCCGGCCCGGGCCCCGGACTCAGGTGGCTCCCTCTCCGACTGTACTTTCTATATCAACAAAGTGGTGTGGCGTGGGCCTCTGGTGGTAGCGATGGCACACTGCGTTCTTCGGAGTGGCCTCGATTTGGCAGGGTGCGAGCCACACGAAGTCATGTGAGCCATACTACAGGTCAGTTGCCGCAGCTGCAGGGAGCGCCGAGCGCTGAGCTTGAGCCTGAGGGCCGTTCATCCTGAGCTGAGCGGCGATGCGCCGAAGTCGGCTCCCACAGTGAGACCACGTCAGATCCATACACCACAATTTTACATTGTTTTCGTTAGATCCAAACATCTGTGGGCAACAGGGTCAGGAGGGGGGAGGGGGGCAAAACGATCCTTCGTGAGTGAATATTTGAATTCCGAACTTACGCGTTGGCAGTGCTCTCGCGCTGGCCGCCAGAGCTTGAAGCAGGCCGGAACCCGATGTTGCACTCGCTTTCAACAGGCGATGCAAGGGAATAGATGACTGCACCTGACGAGCGCTGGAACAAAACAGCGTCTCTCATGTACACAATCAAAGAGCAGAGAAAGTTTGAGAGCAGTTTTCAAGATTGGATAGCACCGGTGTGCGCACAGTTCGGCCGCCGGGGGGTTTCAAGTTGGTTGTCCGGCCGTGACTTCGAAAATCGAGTGCTTGTGGTCCATCTATAAGACCGTCGAGCGGATACGCGAGTAGAAGTGGGCACCCCTACATGATCTTTGTAGTTTTAGCGACGTATAGTCAATTTAGGCTCTAGGACGTCCTTGGCTGAGCCCAAGGGAGCGAACGAAAAGGGAATTGCCAAATTCGGAACGCACAGATCCCCTTCCTTTGTTCACCTAAGTGCCTCAGCGGGTACCTCTCTACTCCATTCGCTACTATTCTCACTCAACTCCCCCACGATCGATATACCAATCTTCAAGGTCATACAATCACAGCCATCTGTTATCCGTCTTGTATCAAGACTCCACTGTGAGTGCTCAGAGATCTCCGACGCGGGCTTCGATAAGCGCCGAAAGTCAAATCTCCAGCACTGAACTGGTGACCTCTGCAGACAATGTCTGTCGGCCTCTGTGACGAACTCGATTCAATCTATCGCCGCTTTGGTTCATCATACGACGAGAACGGAGCTCAAGAAATCTTTAGCCGGCTGCAAAGTCTCTTGCCACGCCTGGCCAGAGAAATATCGTCGGGAGGCTTGCCCCTAGACGTAGTGTCGGTCTGCCTAGATAAGGTGCGACAGATCAACATTGTCTCTCACCAGCTCAGCTGTCTTGAATCAGAATCCGCCGAAATAGAAGCGGCAGCCAAGCTCGAAGTTTCTGAGCTGCTACACGGGCCCATCGGCAAGGTCGGAACTACTCCGGTGAATCAAGACGAGGACTCTTCTGAAGATTCCACCTCGCAAGAAGAAGACCGTTCGATCTTGCATTATCGTGCGTTTTTCCTCGAGCACATCTCCTGGCCGTACCCATCGCCCTCGGAACGTGAACAGCTCTTAGCAGCCGTGCCTGCCCATAATCGTGCGCAGCTTTCGAACTGGTTCGTCAACTCACGTCGTCGATCAGAATGGTCGGCGCTCGCTCGAAATTTCGGTGGCGGGACGAAGGAAGGAATGGAAGAGCTCATCAGACGAGTTGAATCAGGACACGGAAGCGAGGAAGAATCAGAGTTCGTTGATAAAGTCCGCAAGTACTTCGAGGACGACGGCAGCTTGACGATCAGACCGGACTTGAAGGAGATGGTGGTAAGGATAGAGAGGGACATGAAGAGACAATGTCCCAGCAAAAAGAGGAAGTTCTCAGATATATGGGTGAACACACCGAAGAGGAAGCGGTCATCGAGTGGCTCAAGGTCGTCGAGCGAGGGGTCGTCGTCGAGCGAGAGGTCGTCGTCGAGCGAGAGGTCGTCGTCGAGCGGGGGGTCGCGGTCGACTCTTGCATCCAGTCCGACCTTCCACTCGTCTTCAACCCTCAATGCTTTCGAAGATCTCCAGATGGAGTTCTCCCAACCCCAGCCGCTTCCACGTGGTCTACAAGCTCACCATTCGTGCGTCGATTCGCCCGCTGCCTCCTCCGAGTATCCAAAAGCCGGCGTCCCCGCGTCACGCCGATGTGTTTCAGATTCTCGGTCTCACATCTCGCCCAAGAGGTCAACACCACCTTACCGCTCCGTCTCATCTTCGTTCGCACTTGGAATGGAGTCGACGCTTGCCGGCTCTTTGACGATGCCAATCGATCCGGATTTTCTCGCGACGTGTCCCACGGCCGGCTCGGCTTGGAACGGCGGTGAATCTCCTAAGACTTCGGATTATCGATTCGCCTCGACTTCTCCCTCGACGTTGGGAGCGGACCATTCGGATGCAACGAGTCTCAACACGACGACGATGAGCAATACGTGGTACGAGACGTTGCAAGACGATCGATGGACTGACTTGTACCCATGGCTCGGACGGAGTGGAAGCGATTCGCTGAGCGGCGTCGATATGTTTGGTCAGGACGAAGAGGTGAACTGGCTGATGGGGACTGAGCTGGTGGGGCTGTGTTGATGTTGTGACCGGGATAATACAGATAGTGTCTTTTTACTGTGAGTTGTCTGTCATGTACCCGCTTTTGGACCTTTAAGTGCTTTAGATCGCTGCAAACGTGGGCTCAGGCTCCTGATCTAAACCCCAGGTTTTAACATGCTCTTAACCATCTGGAAGCGGTACAGCTCAGCATATACAGGGACCGGGTTTCCTTGTCATCTGCTCTCTTTGTCAGCGATTTTATCGATTGTCATAACGAGTATACCTGATGCACTACGCAGTCGCTCGAACCGGCGAAAATACGACAGCGGAGAGGTGGGCTTGAGCTCGGACCCTGCCGCCGGTCTCTACCTCGTCTTCTTGCCGTTCGCAGTCCCTCACGCTCCCAACCCTTCTTCAGAGCTTGCTGGTTCAAGCTCACGCGTGATCCAACTGCGACATTCCACCTTGACGGTTAATCAGAGTCCTACACCCCGAACCCTCCAGACACGTCGCTGCACACCAGGGTTCCGACCTTGATCACGTCGTCGCAGCCGTCATCGTCATGTCAGATTCAGCGGTGGCCGTGCCCAAGCCGGTGAATCCGCGCTCAATATTGCCGTCACCAAAGCGATACATCGAGCCCTTTGTCCTTGTCGCATCCTCCTGCTCGGCTATAGCAGCTCGATTGTGCACACATCCTCGTACGTGCCTCTCCACCGCCGATCTGCTCGGGAACCCACCCTGCGAAGCTCATTCCCCGATGTTCCCCCTTTCACGGCTCGGTTACAGTGGACACACTTCGCATTCGAATCCAAACCGCACCGGGAAGGACAGTACCACCTCTCAAGGAGCTTATTCCCCAACCGAGGGTGAAGACGTTGTATGCTGGTCAGTCATGAGCTTCTCGCAGCTCTTTCGAGGCGATCCCGTCTAACTGGAGTCGACTCGAGTTCTTGACTTGGCAGGTCTTCCGGTCGCGATCGCCTTTTCCGTTCCGGCGCTTTCGGTCTATCTCATGACGTATGAAGGTCTGTCGTGATCGTGTCGTACAGCTCCGGAAGAATTGATTTGCTGACGTTCTCGTCGTTCCTCTCGTTTCAGCCTCGAAACGATATCTCGCCGAGCAACTCTTGCCGCCCGGCGTCAAGCCGACGGTCTTGCAACAGATGCCCGTGTTCATGCTATCTGGACTGGCAGCCGAATGTGAGACTTATCTCGAGTCGTGAAAGTCGTTGACGACGAGCGAACAACTGAATTAGGTCGAAACACCTCTTTCACGGAATGATAGTCGCCTCCGGAGCTATCTGGACACCGATGGATGTGATGAAGGCTCGATTACAAAAAGGTGGTGAAGGGACAACATCCGCTTCAAAGCTGCTACGCAAGATCTGGAAGGAGGAAGGGTACCGAGGTGAGCGATCAATGGACTGAGCCGCGGCTGGATTCGACCGCACGTGACTGACATTGGCGCTTCGTCATGGTGGCCCCACAGGTGTCTTCCGTGGATATTGGCTGTCGAACGCCATTTTTGTGCCTTACATTTCACTTTATTGGTTCCTCTACGAGTCGTTTAAGCTCCGCTTCATCCCCAACTACGACCCCTATCACACCAACAACTCCGCACCAACCGCAGAGACGACTTCAAGTGGTGGTCTACCACTGACGGCAAGATACACCTTATGCTCAGTCTCGGCGTGCGCCATGGCCGTAAGTGTAACGAACCCCATCGAGCTGGTGCAGTCGAGGTGGCAGACGAGTCGGGGTTTGGCTAGGGATGGGATCGGGGGGATCGTCAAGGAGCTGTGGAGGATGGGCGGGCCTAAAGCGTTTGCTCGGGGTTTGGGCATCAGGATCGCTTATGCGGTGAGTCAGGGCTGTGGTTGATGGTATCATTCTCATGTATGGGAGAACTGAATGATGTTGTTGGCATTCCAGATCCCGTCCAACGCCATCTCGATGACGACGTACGAGAGCATGAAGCGATGGAAGGGGATATGAATGAGCGAATTTTTATGTGATGTGTTCTCACCGAAGCCCAAGTTTCATAGACGAATATTATAGCATAGCATATAACAGCATCTTGTTGTAACTCTAGACGTGCCCGCCGCCCCTCCAATAGTCCGCGCCCCTCCGCCGATCGAGAACAAGGGGCCGCCGAGGGCTGGAATAGGAGAGACTCATGTCTCGTATCTTGAGCCAACATTCGACCGCTTCGCGCGGGTCTTGATAGTCCTTCTACGACATGGCACACAGTCTAACTCACTTCGAAAGGTGATGTCATCTATTCACCCCTATGCTCGACTTACAATCTACTACCTCGTGCACACCACGATCGTATTCGTCACCTTGCTCTCGCTTGCACTGACCCTGACCCGGGCGTTCCTCGAGCTCCTCAATGGCGGTCTCGGGATCCTCCAAGTCACACTACGCTACGCTTCCAAACATCTCGAAGACCACGAGTGTGCGACAGAGGCATGGAGGGATATAGGACGAGAGGAATTGAAGGTGCGAATGACGGGTTTGAAGTGGCCTTCGAACGGTGCCGAGGTCGCCGGTGCTTTCAAGGGGGCCGGGTCGGTGTTCAGGGTCGTCGATGATGGGATGGAGCAGGTTATGGCCAGGGAGTTTATGAAGAATCGGAAAGTCGAAACGAGTCAACAACGTCAAGCACGAGAAGAGATGCTTGCGTTGAGGAAAGCGGTGGTTGCTGAACCGCCGGGCACAGGGGGACTTTGGTCGTACGCCGGTGAGTCCATCACATGTCGAGTCCTTGCAGCTTCCACTGATCATAGTTACGGGGCTTCAGACAATACCACAACTCGTCGTCATAGCCGAGAAGGGAATGTACCACCGTACACTCAACCGCACATCGTCCCTCAGATCCAACGACCTCTCGAGCATGTTATGCCGACTCGTTCCAGAACTGCCGAGGAAGCTGTCCATGGTGAGGCTTCGTGCTGGGTCTACGGTGCTCGACCCAAAGAGCGTTTGATTGACATGCTGCCTCTCGCACACGTTCTTGGCCACTTGAAAAATCTCTTCCAGCTTTCGTTCATCGCGAACCCCAAGCTTTTGCTGAGCCTCGCACACGACACAGTACGTAGAGCCATGCGTCGCTCCGTTGTTGGAAGTCTTTCATCGAATGGGTCTTTCTCCGAGCCTTTCGCAGACTCGGCGCCTCTTGATCACCGGAGAGAGGTCGGGATGGAAGGGGGTTGCATTTGGACGGCGGCGGGGCAATGGGAGAGGATATGACCCAAGATAATGCCAGAGCGTAGGTTGATTGTATTTATGTGTGGATAAGGGGCGACGCATCGGTTTTGTTCACTTTGGAATCGGAAGTCGAAAGTCCGCGGAGCTTGTGACTCGGACTCGGTGATGTTCGGCAAGCGCTCAGGAGCGATTTTGCGCCGATGCAAGAATATTCGTCAGCAAAGCAAGAGGTGGCCGGCGGAATTTGTTTATGGTGTAGGCATTTTTTCGAATCATCGAATAGGGCAGAGGGTGCTGCTACCACTGTGAAAGCGACCAAGTGGTATTTACCCGAAAAGCCCCGAGTCAAGTCAACAAGATCGACCGGCGTCTCTGAACACCGGAGTTGGGCTCCGCGCGCGCGGTCAATTTTCGGGCTTGTGTCTCTCGGCTTCTCTTCCTCCCTTACCGATCCGCGCCGACCAGCACTCGTCTTGCTCGGTCATCGTCTTTTCGCTTTGCCCGAAGAGGTTTTGCCAGGATGAGCACCGGATCAGTCGCCCACTCTTTGCGTACGGCTTTCCGCTCGCACCAAAGCTGGACTGGCCCCGTGGCTTCGACATCTCGTCTGATCAGCTTGTTGAGCCCGTCGGCTGGGGCTGACTCGGTCGCGCCGGCCAAGGCCGCAAGGATGAACACGACCACAACCGCCGGTGCTCGCCATTTCGTAGCATGCACATGCAGCCCCACACGCTCGGCTGCGATGCAAACCAGGTCCTACAGCAGTAGGCCTACCCCGCGTGCTGGTAAGATACAACCCCCATGTCATCCCTGGATCAGCTAGACGTGGCTCATCCCCCCACTCCCAACTTCGCAGCCTCGTCGCCGTCGTCGGCTGCACCCCGTCGCAAGCGCACCATCATGGACCTCGACAAGCTCAAGCGTCAAGGCATACCCATCACCGTGCTCACGGCTCATGACTATTCTTCGGCGCGCTTCATCGAGTCGTCCCATGCACCAACCCCTAGTTCTTCGTCGGCAGAGCCCGGCACCACATCCTCGGTAACCACTTCACCTCGAGGAATCGATGTGTGTCTTGTCGGCGACTCCCTCGCCATGGTCGCATGCGGGTACCCATCCACGACCGACCTCTCGCTCGACGAAATGCTTTACCACTGCCGATCCGTCGCGCGGGGTTGCCACTCGTCCTTACTCGTCGCGGATCTCCCCTTTGGCACCTTCCACACCTCGCCCGAGCAATGCAGTCAGAGTGCAGTCCGTTTGATCCAAGAAGGGCAGATGGATGCCGTCAAGTTGGAAGGCGGCCAAGAGGTCGCGGATTTGGTCCAGCGCCTCGCCTCGCGAGGAATCCCCGTCATGGGTCACGTTGGTTTGACCCCGCAAAGACAAGCCTCGTTGTCGGGCTATCGAGTGCAGGGCAAGACCGTCTCCTCTGCGTTGAAGGTCTACCAAGACGCTTTGGCCATTCAAGCCGCGGGCGCCTTTGCCATAGTCATCGAGGCCGTACCCTCCCGTCTCGCAGCCTTCATCTCGCAACGTCTTCACGTCCCTACGATCGGCATCGGAGGAGGCAAAGACTGCGACGGACAGGTTTTGGTCCAACTCGACATGTTAGGTGTATCTTCGCTCGCCAAGGGGCCCAGGTTCTTGAAAAAGTACGCCGAATGGGAACCTCAAGCGACGCAAGCGATCCGTCAATACGTGTCCGAGGTCAGGGAGCGCTCCTTCCCCGTCGAGGAGGAACATGGGTACCCCATGCCCGATGAAGAGTGGCAAGGTTTCCTGGAAGCCGTAGGCGAGACCGGCGACTCCCAAAAGTGAAGCAAGATCGAGATCCGTGGACGTCGACCGACTCGCGAACAAACCGTTTCGATTATTTAGGGTATGACAGAGGGGAAGAAACCACAATGGCGTAAATTATAGTAAAAGTTAAGCCAAGTAATAATATCACAACTGCGGCACGGCATGTCCGTCCGCTCTCGGGTCCGAGCCCCCGGCCCAAACCCCATTCGAGAGCTTTTGAATGATCTGTCAGAGGTGGACAGCGAAGCAAGAGCTAGCATTAGTTCCTGCATAAATGATTTGTGGCCCCAGGATAAAGCGATTCGAAGGACTGACCTGACCCCGACCAAACATGGCCCGATCGTGCCCCTTGAGCAATCTCACATCATGCCCCATCTCCTTGAGCTTGTCGAATGTTGCCTCGGGAATCCCATGTTCAAGGAAGACTTCGGAATTGATATCCCCCGCATCCTCAGGGTTGACACTCGAGTCCGGTAGACCTGCACCGATGCAGATCCTCGGTGCATCGATCGCTTCTTGCGGATCGTGGCCGTGGTGGAGCATGTTGAGCAGGACTTGGAGTTGGCCTTGGGGTTGATTGAAGCCCCCCATCACGCCAAACGCCATGAAAAGGTCCAAGTCTTGGCCTTCTTTGTTTCCTCGGGTTACGAGGGCGGGGATGATGGTGTGGTAAGGTCGTTTCCCGCCCTGTGCAGTCAGTGTCAAGAATTAGCTGGGCCGGTCTTCATTTCCCCCGGCCAGGGCAGAGTTTGCTCCCTACCTCGGCGCAGTTGGGATGACCCTCGACGAGCGTGAAACTGCTACCTCTGTTCTGCAGAGTAAAACCGCACCCCTTGGGGACGGCGGATGTACCAAATCCTGCATAGTTGGACTGAATGTACGACATTGCGTTTCCTTCGGCATCCGCAACGCTGAATTGCACCGTGTCGCTCGAGGCGAAAGGGGCACCTTTTTTGATGATGGGGTTCGCCTTCTCGGGATCGAACAAGGCCGCACGTTGGGTGAGATAGTCCTTGCTCAGCAACTCCTTGATAGGGACTCGCGTCTTTTCCGGATCGGCGACGAAGGCTCGAGCGTCTGCAAAGGCTAGACGAAGGGCCTCGATGATGACGTGAAGCCACTCGGGCGAGTTGTGGTCCGCTTTAGACATGTCGACCTTACCCGTGTCTTGCAAGACGTCGACGATACCCAGAGCAATGAGTGCAACGATTCCTTGTCCGTTGGGAGGTATCTCCCAAAGTTTGATCCCATCGTCGCCCCCGTACGATATGGAAATGGGATCGACCTGGGTACTCGTATGAGAACTGAGATCCTCAAGAGTCATTTCTCCGCCGCCGTCCTTGATGATGTCGACGATTGCTTGGGCGATACGGCCTTTGTAGAAACCGTCCTTTCCAGTATTGATGAGCTCACGGAAGTTTTGGGCAAGAGTGGGGTTCTTGTAGATTTCGCCTGCTCGCGGTGCATGGGTTTGTTTCGTATCGGGGTCCGTGATGAGCATCTCGGCACTGTTCGGAGAGGCTCGAACCAGGTGCCGGTAAGCGTGATGCCACTGATGTGCCGAGATGGAGGAGATGGGAACTCTATAGTTCAGGAAAGCACGATGCTAGAGATTTAGTACGAGAGCACCTAGGGCACAGCTATAACGAGCAAAGACTTGCCCTTCTTCGGCCATTTTGATCGCCGGCTCGAGCGCCTCCTTTATGGTGATCTTCCCCGAGCCATAGAGCTCGATAGTATCAATCCACGCAGCAGCACAACCCGGAACAGTGACGCTGTATATTCAAGACACGTCAGATCAGAATAGCCCCGCCTAGAACCCAGTTCCTCAGAGCATAGTCCGCGGCGATCTCCGGAGAAGAGCTCACTCACGCGTTAAGGTTGCCCAGCAGGATCTCGGCACCCTTGATGCCCTTCTTCCTCAGTCCTTCCAAGGTCAAGGCCTGGGGTGCCCTCCCACTCCCGTTCAGCCCCTTGACCTGCTTGGTCTTGGCATCGTACCAGAGGCAAAACGCATCACCACCGATCCCACACGACCCCGGTTCGGTGACGTTCAACGCCGCCGAAACAGCCACCGCAGCATCAGCGGCATTACCTCCCTGACGGAGGATTGCAAGACCGGCTTCACATGCATAAGGTTGCGATGCCGAGACCATCCCTCTGGCGGAGTAGACGGTAGAACGCCGCGACGAGAAGCGCGCAAACTCGCTTTGCCCTGAGGCGGGGAGCGAAAGGGGTAGGTGCAGATTCCGAGTCATGGTCGTGCTGGAGTAGTGTCCTCGTCTGACAGATTCGAGTCCAAGTCGGATGTGAATGCTTGAGCAGGTAGGGAGGCGTGTGGGGAGGATAAGCGCACTAGCAGCCGGGGCAGACGGTACGCTACTGTGGGGATCACTTTCGCAATGTGGGGCGGGGAGAACCGGGCCGGTCCCAAGTGGAGGCGAGCCCAGCAGATGTGGGCAGTGGCTCCTGCCTCGTTATGTTGAGCATTCGTGGAACCATGCACTGCGATCCCAGCCGTCGGGAACCAAAGATTCACTGGTCTTTCTGGTCAATGCACAGGGCAAGCTGTGCCAACTCTGTCTACCTCAGACCGGCTCTGTGCCAGGCCCAGCAAAAACTCGTCATGGTTTTACTTTCCACACACTTCCGGAACTGAATGTATACATGCGAAAGCTCTACAACACGGGCAAAGGTGAAGAAGTCTCTCGTCAAGAAATGCGAAACGAACAAAAGGGAGAACACGAGACGGGTCGGTTCGCGAGAATGAGGGGAAAAGGGGACAGTGTCGGGTCGGGGGCCCCCGGGGTAAGGGGGAAGAGCGCCAAGGTCGCATGCGTAAAAATCAGTCGTCGTTCAAGTACGAGCTCCAGTCGTCCTCGTCGGCGATCGTAGTCGTGGCCGCGGGAGCAATGGTCGTGCTGGCACTAGCCCACTCATTTTGAGCCGAGAGTGGGCTTTGAGACGGCCAAGCCCCACCGAGCGTGGATGACATTGCGTTTCCGTTGAACGAGCCAGGTCCCAGCATCGCGTTGGCGCCGGCACCGGCGATGAAAGGCGAAGGCGATCCTTGCTGTTGTTGCTGCTGCTGCTGCTGCTGCTGAAGCTGAAGCTGTTGTTGTTGGCGCTGCTGCTGCTGCTGCTGCTGCTGTTGCTGTTGCTGCTGTTGCTGTTGCTGCTGTTGCTGTTGCTGCTGTTGCTGTTGCTGCTGCTGCTGTTGCTGTCGAAGCAGCATCTGCTGTTGCTGTTGCACCATCGCCAGCTGGGCGTTCTTCTGCTGAGCCATGCCGGCGATTCCTTGATTCTGGCCCAAGAGCTGTCGGTGAAGAACGACCAAATCAACATAAAGCCTCGAACCAACGATACTCGTGCCCGCAAAATAACTTACTTGTGAAGGACTACCGGCAAGGTATTGATTCGGCGCCTGCGTTTGGAACATGCCGGGCGACCCGTTTTGAGCGAGTCGTTGGCGAGCTTGCAGCTGCATCGTCAATATTTCAAGGTTAGTACCGAAAGCACATCCGAGGTCCAGAAGCACGCAAGCTTGCACTCACCTGAGCAAGTTGCATGGCCTGCTGATGAGCAAAGGTCTGCTGCTGTTGCTGCTGCTGTTGCTGGAACTGCATTTTTTGCTGTTTTCCGGCGGGCCTCGAGTCAGCGCACAGCCACGGTCGAAAAAGGGGTTCATTCACCAGGGACTTACGATGGCAAATTGCTGCTGTTGCTGCTGGGTCAAGTGCTGCTGCTGTGACTGCTGTTGGACGGCTGCCTGAGATTGTTGTTGTTGAGCCGTGACGGCAGCCGCCGCTTCCGCAGTCGCCTTGGCCTTCTCGGCTTCCTCAGCGTCCTCCTTCTTCTTTTTTTCGGCTTCCTCCTTGGCCTTGCGTTCCTTTTCCTCAGCCTCCTTTTGCTTCTTCGTCTGGCGCTTCGGCTTGGGTTTGGTAGGTGCGGGCGTCGAAGGAGGAGCAGGGGATACCTTGTTTGTCAAAGCGGACGGCGAATCAACGGCACCACCAGCGAGTCCCGTGTTGCGAGGCGTGGGCGCTGAGGCGTAAGGGCTTTGGGCAGGGAAGATTGCGGATCCGCTTGCAAGAGCGGAGTACGCCGGTGAAGGTGCAGCAGAGAAGGCGGCCGGAGAGGCATGCTGCGGCGAAGGTGCGGTCGGAGGTCGCGTTCCAGTAGCGAAAGGCGAACTATGGGACTGAGCTGAAGGAGTCGGTGTCTGGTGCAGAGGGAGGCTACCGGGTGTGAAGGGCGAAGAAGCCGGGGCAGAACCAGGCGCAGGTCGTTGGGGCGGATAACCGAACTGCGAGGGAGTGCCCGGTTGCCCGGCGCCTTGACTTGCTGCAGCCTGTTGGTAGGCCATCATCGCCGCATTCTGTTTTTGCTGCAACAAATTCTGCGATTGGGCGTAGACTGCAGGTGAACCGGAACGCATTTGGAGCTGCTGCTGCTGAGCCAGTCTGGGAAGTCGAATCAAAAGAGAGTCAGTTCCAATTACCGTAAAGTGCCTTCAAGTCAGCAGTGGACCAGTACTCACTGCTCTCGAAAGTATGCACTGCCCGAAGTCTCGGAGCCGGGAGGACCGCCTGCTGGTGGACTCGGAGCGTAAGGCGAGTTGTTGGTCTGCCTCAACTGCGCATGTTGCAATTGCGGGCTCTGACCGAAGGGTGGCGATCCGGCCCTGCCGACCGAAATGTTCTGCTGCTGCTGTGCCGCTTGCTGCTGAGCTTGCTGCTGCTGTTGTTGCGCCACCTGTTGTTGCAGCTGCTGTAGCGTCAATGCGGGCGGGCCATTGTTCCCCATCCCAGGTGGTCCCATCAACCCCTGAGGACGAGCTCCAGCCTGCATCTGCTGTTGCTGCTGCTGTTGAGCAAGCCTCGCGTTCGCCATCGAAGTCGCCTGGAGCTGGTACAGTAGAGCTTGCGCGTTGCGTTGGATCGTCTCTTGCACGTGCGGCGGGAGCTGTCGGAAAGACGCGGCCGACATGATAGCCTGAAGGGACGCGTACTGCTCGGCCGGTGGTCGATGATCGTTCGCGGAGCCTGGCATGACAGGACCGCTTTGGCTCTGCTGCTGCTGCTGCTGCTGTTGTTGCTGCTGCTGCTGCTGTTGGCCTGGGTGAGGAGACTGGGACGGGCCTGGCGGCGGTGGAGGCAACGGTCGACCAGGCGTTGGCGCGTTCGGATAGGACGAAGGCGGTGGCATAGAGGATGTCGAGTTGCCCAGATCCGAGTACGAGCCAGGAGAAGCGGCATGGGCGTGTTGGTTGAGCGCCGACATCGGACGAGTAAAACCGGGGCCTGGAGTCGCTGATCCTTGGCGATTGGGAATCGGCGGAGCTCGTCGAGCTTGTGCAGGAGAACCTATGGCTTGCTGCTGGGCCTGTTGCTGCTGAGCCTGTTGTTGTTGCGCCTGCTGCTGGGCCTGCTGAGCCTGTTGCTGCATCTGCTGCTGCCGCTGCATCGCATTTACCGCACTTTGCTGAGCCTGCGCCTGAGCTTGAGCCTGTTGGGCCTGCGCCTGCGCCGCTGCCTGAGCGGCCGCTTGGTACTGTTGGAACTGCTGCTGCTGATTTGCCATGTGCTGCTGGCGAAGGTAGTTCTGCTGTTGCGGGGTGAGCTGGGCAAAGTGCTGGGCCTGGACCTGCGGTGGCATTTGGAGATGTGACGGAATCAAGCTGGGATTCCCGAGAAATGCTGGAGGCGCATTGCCTACGAACGGCGGTTGAGGCTGCGAGGGAGGGCGTTGAAGAGGTGCTTGATTACCCATGGGCGACGCTTGAGCTCCTGCGAAAGCGATCGACGATCCGTTGGCTGCTGCAGGTCCACGTGCTTGAACCGCAGGCGACATTCCCGTCGTAGGCGGCAGATTCGTTGCAGTACCTGCCGGGCTTGCGGATGGGCCTACCGGCGCGACAGTCGACGTGGACGTGGTGTTTGAAATAGTCGGCAGAGATGCAGGCGCTCGAGCAGGGGACCCAGTCTGAAAGGGAGCAGCACTCGACAGCTCGGGCTTGATCGCAGGAGTAAATGCTGAGCCTGATCGTTTCGGCGGACTCTCCTCGGCATCCGTATCGATGGCTCGTTTGCCGTTGAGATTGACGACACCTTGCATCGCGTTTGACATGAATACCGGGCCATTGGCAGGCTGAAGAGCAGCGTTTGGCAAAGTCGGCGCCGGTAGAGGCTGCGAGGCGACCGCCGTGCTTGGAATAAGCGCGTTCTTCTGAGCTTGCTGCTCATATCGGTCGGCCGCAGCGAAATAGGCCTTGAGCGTCGAATATAGCTGTGCCAGTCGCGGTCCGAGCTTGGGGGTTGGCGGACTTTCAAGAATCGGGCATGGAGGGATCGGGAAAGGTCCGTCGCGGATCGAAGCTTGCTCGGCCATGGCAGACAGGTAGGCGATATTGGACTGCAGGCGCTGCGTCAAGGCCGCGTGCTCAACCGAATCCATGGGCCCGCTCTTTTGCAGCTCGCATGCGATCCTACAGAAGTCAAAGTCGAGTCAGCTCAAGAGTCGCCGTGATAAAGGCTGTTGGAACGAATTTCCACGTACTTGACCAGTTCGACATTCAGAGCCAGCACGCACGACACCTTATGACCATTAAAGCGACGGCGAACCTCCTTTGGCGACATAGCTTGCACGCTGGGGGGCATCACCAGCGGTCCGGGTAGAGGCGACGATTGCTTCACCGGTTTTCCCGACGGGTCGGATTCTAGGCCGGCGGCCGAGCCAGACCCTGCGATCACTTCAGCCGATTTGGGCGGCGCTTCATTTGCTGCCGCAGGAGGTGACCCCGCTTTTGTGGACATGTTTGGTTCACCGCTTGCAGCTGCGTCAATCCGCTTGTTACTCGAAGCATCCGTGCCTGCTGGCTCAATTGCGTCTGCAGTATGGTCGCTAGACTTCTCCTGATCGGCATTGATGGAGGTCGAAGTCGCAACAGCTTCCAGGGTCGTCCTCGACGTTTTAGGAGCAGTCTGGGTCGCACCGGCCCCGGAGGCTCCCGCGTCGGCCGCGGATACCGGTACCGATTCCGGTGCCGGGTCGGTAGAAGCGTCAGGGGTCACGGCCGGTATCGTCGCTGGCGCGCTCGGTTGCTCGTCTTCTTGGATGATGTCGGCAACGATAGATTCTGTCGTCGCACCTTCATCGTCGTCCATAGTCAGAGGAAATTTTGTTGCTTCTACGACTTTCGTATTCGGGGTTGGATCTTTTGTCACGATGTCCTGGGATGGGGTGGGTACTGGGCACAAGTTGAGGAAATGGGAGGAGTCAGCATTTTCACGCCGACTTTTCATGGTCTCCTAGCAGCTGGAGCGAACATGACTCACTCGGTTCATCTTCGGCCGACTGCTGTGCCATTCCGCCGAGCTCAGCGACCTTTTCTTCATCCTGCTTCGGATCGGTGAGATCATCCGTAGCGTCTGGTATGGTGTCCGTAGTCGTTGCGGTCGTCAACAGCGAAGACTCTGCCTCCTCCAGGGCCGCAGGCGGTTCGGGAACCGGTTCCTCGTCCTTTACCGAACGTGCCGTCAATAGTGTAAGTTCGGGGGCAGGCGGTGTGCCTGTATACGCCTCATCCACTTGAGGTGAAGCTTTTGGTGACGCGACGGGCCGTTCCGGCTTCGGTTCAGACTCCGTTTGCCTGGGTGCTGCCGGGGGTTCCTCTTCGATCGCCGGCTCGACCGAGGTAACGTCGGAAGCCCGAGGTATCGGTGCCCGCGCCTCCGAAGACTCTGGCTCGTGTAATGATGCGTCTTCTGGTTCAGCAAATACATCGACAGTGGGAGGAGCATCATCTCCTGCCGCGACTTGCTCGGACGCGCCGACGGTCTCGTATTTGGGCTGCGACTCCAAATCATCGGCGAGAGAGGTGGGCTCTGCTGTAGGGGGTTCGGGCACTGGTTCGGTGAGGGTGAGATGGGTTGACGGATCGGACGATGAGACCAGGGCTGGCTCTGGCTCTGGCTCTGGCTCTGGCTCGACTGCGGCTGCTGAGGGTGGATCGATGCTCGCCGCGCTTGGACCGACTGGCTCGTCTTCAAGGATCGAGTCCGTCGCTCGCGGTAGATCGATCAACGAGGGGTAATCGTATTTGGGTATTGTTGGGTCGACTTGTTCTATGGTGAGACGCGTGTCGAGTTTGGGTTGCGATGGCTCCGGTGTGAGGGCCTGGTCGTCTTGTGTTTGCCCAGTCTGCTCCTCGTGCTTGATCGTCTCATCGCCGTCCTCGTTTGTCTCGTCGTGACCGTCGCTGCCGTTCTTGTCGTCCGACTCTTGGATCGGGTCAGGTTGATCTACAGGGACTAGACTGGCGGCTCTGCTACGCGTGATCCTCGTCGTCCCCGGTGACGGATCCCTGGAACGGGTCGAGATCGAGGTCGAGGTCGAGTTCGAGGTAGAGGGGCTGCGACTAGCCGTCCTCGAGGCTGTCGTTGCTGCTGGCGGGTGGGCATGGTTCGAGGACGACGGCACCTGCGACAACGATCGCGTGCTGCGTCGTGCCGTAGGTGGTGAGCCAAGGTCGATCGTCGTGGCAGAGGTCGAGGCGGTGGTCGTGTGTGTTGTCGTAGCGGTGCCCGCGGTCGTCGTTGCTGGGGTGGCCAGGGCTGCACTCGGTTCCCGCGACGCGCCTCGTGAGTGTGGCATTGTTGCTGGCAGCGGGCGGCCGAGCTGCGACTCCGCTCCTGCTCGTCACGGGCTGCTGCTGGCTGGGATTCGGGATCGCCGGTCGGAGCGGGGTCGTACGAAGCTCAGTCGACGCAAGCTCGCCTCGGCCGCCGCGTCAGACAGGACGAGTCGGTCCTAGGGTCGAGTTGTACGTTTCTCGCGCCCCGGTGGTCGTTCCAACACCAGCCGAGATGTCAGGAGAGCGTGAGACAAGGCGTAGGCGTGAGCTCGAAGCCGTGAGGCGGCGTGAGGCGACGCGCGCGCTCGACTCGACTCGAGACTTGCGATGGGCGTTGGTTGCAGTCAGTTTGTGGCCTCAACGCCTCAACGACGGCACCAGCTCGCACGGACCGCTTCCCTGCCCTGTTTCTGCTCAGCACGCTGGGAGCTGCTCGCACCGAAGAGAGAACAAGGGTCGTGGGCAAAGACCAGTTCCAAACGGAGCTGTGGAAATCGCCCATGGTCGGTCGTCGACTTTGAAAGTTGAACGGACGTCGGCAGTCCATGAACGCGCACACATCCACCTGCAATAAGCTCCAGCTCGGAGAACCCATCCGGAGAACCCATCGAGCTCGAGCCCCGGAGTCAATTCATTACCCTGTCGCCGCGCTTCTTGCGGCTCCGAGACGGCGAAGATCGACAGCCCAGAAAGGATGTCCAGCACTAGCTTGTTTTTGTTCCTCTTCGAGGGCGATCGATCCCTCACGATTCGGAGACCCGGATGAATTTGAATCATCAACTCTACTCATCCAGTACGGTACCTGGGTGACTCATCGCGGCAACTTGTCCTCGGCGCTCGAATAATTTGCGAGCTGGATTCCAATTGGTTTCTTTTTGTCTCGTTGTGCGGCGCGCGATCGTTACGTCCTGCGCTGTCCTGCGCTGTCCTGCGTCATCGACACGGCCGAGGCGCGATTTCAGCTTCATCCACTTGCCGCTTTGCGCGTAACCGATCGCAAATCGTCGGTCATCAACACGGCTCGGACGTGAAGACGATGCTATCACGTCAGTCATCGAGCATCTCACGACTTGCACGACCAAGTCGCTCGTCGTCGGGTGTGCTGCAGCGTCCTCTGTCGTCGCTGTCATCGCTGTCGTGCCCCCTTCACGCGAGTCGGAGCGATCGCCCGAGACTACCGGTCGTCGTCGTCAGCCGAGCTTCATCTCAATCGCTCCTCAGCTCGCCCACCCCGCTTCCACGGTCGACATGGTACGGCAAGACGTTCTCGACGAGTAGAGCGACAGGCAGCAAGAACCATGACCATGACCGTGGTCACCAGTGGAAGCAAACCGGGTCGTCCTCGTCGTCGTCGTCATGGCGATGGTCTCTGATCCCGATCCTGCTCGCCGGATCGTCACCACTCTTATTGGAGTCGCCCCACTCCCACGACCACGTCTCAACCTCTAAACCCTCGCTCAAGTCAATCAAGTCAATCAAGGAGAACATCGACCACCCGGAAGACTCCGAGTTCCTCGTGGCCGATGGCGATTCGCTGTCATCGTCCCAGCGGCCACTGACGCTGTTGGGCAGGATCGGCCGCTTCTTTGTGCTCTACGTCTTTGAGCCCATCAGCACCACCGGTCGCTTCATCCACCTCGCAATTCTCTTCCTCCCCGTCATCCTCAGTGCGCCCGTGTTGATGCTCGAGGTGCTCGACAGCGGCCGCGACAGGCGGAGAGTATTCAAGAAGAAGGAAGGACCGAGGGTCACAACCAGTTGGTGGTATTGGTTCCTCGTGCACCAGATGGAGATGGCCGGTCCCACATTCATCAAGGTGCGTTTCTGTGTCTCATATACAGCTCATCTGAAGAAGGCTTGGTGACACTCTCCCCAACTTTTTTTTAGCTCGCCCAATGGGCCGGATCCAGGACCGACTTGTTCCCGTCCGAGCTGTGCGAGCTCTTTGGCAAACTCCACTCCAACGGCAAACCCCACTCGTTGCGATATACGAAACGCGTCATCGAGCAGGCATTCGGCCGACCTTTTTCCGAGATCTTCCTCGAGTTCGGAGCGAGGCCGATGGGCATTGGCGCGATCGCTCAAGTGTACAAGGCCACCATCAACCCCGATTTGCTCCCCGACGATTACCTCGACCCCAAACACGAGAAAGACCCTTCGATGACGTCCGCCGTCACGCGCACCATCACCCCTCGACCCGATGACCAGCGACCTCCCAAGATCCCTTCTTCCGCTGTCGCGATCAAGGTTTTGCATCCTGGCGTCGAAAAGATGATTGCGAGGGATCTCAAGATCATGATGTTCTTTGCCCGAGTGCTTAACGTCCTTCCCGGCATGGAGTGGCTGTCGTTCCCGGAGGAAGTGCAGGTCTTTGGACAGATGATGATGTCCCAAGTCGACCTCCGCATCGAGGCCAACAACCTGCAGACGTTCGAGAACAACTTTCGACATCGACCGACCGTTTCTTTTCCCCGTGCGCTGAAAAAGTACACGAGCAAGAGGGTTCTTTTCGAAGAATTCGAAGACGCCGTCCCTTTGGAAGCCTTTTTGAACAAGACGGGAGGAGCGTTCGATCACCGGCTGGCGAACCTCGGCCTCGACGCTTTCCTTCACATGTTATTGATCGACGACTTTTCGCACGCCGATCTGCACCCGGGAAACATCATGGTCAAGTTCTTCAAGCCGACGACCAAGTCGATGCTGTCCAACTGGTTCCCCTCCCTGTTCGGCGAACCCCCACATGACTCGGCCGGCACGGCTGATGACATCGATATCGTCCACAACATCCGCGAATTTTCGAAGAAACCCGCGGTCGAATTCCATGCCGAACTCGCACGGCTGGACGCGGAAGGCTACCAGCCCGAATTGGTCTTTATCGATGCTGGGCTCGTCACTCGGCTCGATGGGCAGAACCGCCAAAACTTCCTCGACCTCTTTTCCGCCGTCGCCCGCTTTGACGGTTACGAGGCCGGTCGGCTGATGGTCGAACGGTGTCGTGCGCCCGAGCTCGTCATCGACGAGGAACAGTTCGCTCTACGGATGCAACACCTCGTGCTGAGCGTCAAGTCGCAGACCTTCTCATTGGCCAACATCAAGATCGCGGATGTCTTATCCGAGGTGCTGAACAACGTCCGAAGACACCACGTCAAGATGGAGGCCGACTTCGTCAATACCGTCATTTCGATCTTGTTATTGGAAGGCATCGGGCGACAGCTGGACCCGGGTATGGATCTATTCAAGTCGGCTTTACCTATCTTGAGGCAGTTGGGTACGACGATGAGTACGGAGCAGATGAGACAGGGAGCAGGTGGCTTGGGGCTAGGTGGACTAGGGACGATGCTCAAGGTCAGTTCAAGCTCATTCGACAGATCTGACGACAGCAGCTAATTCGATCACGCTGAAATTTCACAGGTCTGGGTATGGATCGAGGCCAGGCAGATGGCCGAGTTGGCCGTCAAGGACGTGGACCAACTGATAAGATATGACTAGTGAGTTTCCTCTAGCAATGTCGTCACACCGTGTTATTGTTCAGCTTGCTGACCACGCTCTCTCCTTAAGCCTGATGCCGAACGTTTAGAGCGTGGCATGTATTCGGTTGAAATGATAGATAATATGACGGTGACCGCCCGGGTGTCCTGTATCTAGTACGGTTGTTTTGTAATACCAATGCTGACTTTTTAGATTTCACCGCCGCTGTCCAAAAAGTGAAAAGCAGTTAAGAGCTTTCCTCCCACGTTCAAGCGATGACCTCCTCCTTCTCCGAGATGACCTCCTCGACCCATTCCTCGACAATCTCGTCGGCGACGTTGGCCTCCTCGACTCTGAGCAGAGCGAACTTCTTGGGCCGTCCCATCTGGTTCCTCTTGGCCTCCATGATCTCCTTGGCCCTCGAGCGCCAGGCGTTCCACTCCTCCATCAACCTCTGCCTCAACCCGATCAATTCGGACGAGACGTTCGACGCCTCCAACTGATCCTGTTCCTCGAACTGCCTCGAGTAATCCCTGAGGTTCTTCCTGATCCTCTTTTGGTCCTCCTTGGACAACAACGTCGCCGGTCGAGGACGCCACAAGAGTTGCTTGAACTTGTCGACCTTGGCGCGCGCCAACTCGACACCCTTGAAGTCCCAAATGACGTAACCGGGTTCCATCGAACTCATCCAGGTCGAAGCCGACGTCGCGACGAATCGTCCCGATGGATCCCACTCGATGTCGGTGACACCGTAATGTTCGACCGTGGTGATGAGCCGGATCGCCGCACCAATGTCCTTCTCGTCCGTCTTGTCCTCTCGGTCGAGGTCAAGATCCCAAAAGTCGATGTCAAACTTGGAGTTGCTGCCGAGGGTCGCCAGGAGGACGTGACGTCCCTTGGGGGACCAGTAGATCGAGTTGGACTGCTTGTTGTCGAACGTTCGCAAGGGTAAGAAATCGCCCTTGCGTTGATCGAAACCGTAGAACGAGACCGAGGTCTTGAGCAGGACACCGGGCAGACCTTGACCGTGATTGGGGTCGTTGGTCGTGATGAGCACGAAGCGATCGCCCTTGGGTTCCCATGCAAAGGCGGTGACGGCGTCCTTGATCTCGATGACTTGAACCGGGCAGTCCTTGTCGCGCAGGCGGAACAGTTCGAGGTTGCAATACTGCGTCTTTTTCGTTTTGGTGTGGCGGTCGACCTTGACGCAGAGGAACTCGCCGTTGGATTGCCAGTGGATCTTGCACTGTGGATGAGAAGCTCGTTAGCATGCTTACACGCGCCTCGGAATATGGCTCCGATCCAACACTCACGTCGTGGACGTTGAACAAGTTCTTGGACCGGATGGGCTCACGACTCGGAATCTTCATCAAGGTGACACGTGCGGGCTGGTTCTGCACCTCGGGTGTCCAGAAGGCGATCGTGTTCTCCCTGGCGGGGACAAAGCCCTTCTTGGCTCCCGGTTCGGGCTCGAGTTTGATGCCGCGTTGTTCGGCATCGACCTCGTCGCGCTCTCGTTCGCTCAGGGGCGCCCACTCGAAGTCGGCGACGCCGTCGAACTTGAGCGACTTCTTGCCCAAGAGACCCATCGAGGGGACCTCGTAGACCGAGATCTGTACCCCGGGGGTGACGCGGGCGAGGTACTTTTCGTCGGGAGACCACTTGAACATGGGCCACACGATCCTCTTTTGGACCTCGGGCCCAGCGTTGGAACCGTCCTGGTTGACGATGGGGAACGTACGCAAGAGGGCGCCGGTCATGATGTCCCAGACGGCGATCTGGTTGCCTTGGTCCTCCTCGGTGAAGGGCGCGGAGGGCTCGATCGGGCGCGGGGACCAGGTGACGAGGTAGCGCTCAAAGGGGGAAAAGTCGATGAGCTTGACCTCGGCGTGGGCGAAACGGTTGATGCGGTCAAAGGACTGTCCGGCCCAGAGCGCGACACCGGGACCGTGGATGGTCGCGAAGAAGGTGCCGAGCGGGGACCACTGGGTGTACGAGTCGGTCCACTTGGATCGTTGGTGCGCGACCTCGTGGTTGCCGTTGCGGTTGTTCCACACGATCTGCACGTCGTCGCCGGCGTAGAGGGTCAACTGGTCCCTGCCGGCGGGGTCGGCGAGCCAGGAGCGGAAGTGCTCGCGCGGTACCCATTCCTCTGCGCGGGGTTCGACGTAGTCGTCCTGGATCTGCTCGTACTTTTCGACCTGGGAGAAGGGCAGGACCTTGAAGGTGTGGCGCTTGTCGAACTTGAAGTCGTGCATGGCGCGCTGGAAGGCGAGGGCCTCGGTCGGGTTGGACAGCGTGATGAACATGAAGCCCTTGGACTGTCCGTCGGTCTCCAAGGGATGCTCGATCTTGTCCTTGGAGAGGGTGATGCCGGCTTCTTTCTTCGCGGACTTGACGATCGCACTGAGCAGCTTGTCGGCACGATCGGGTCCGACGACGGGTGCGCCATCGAGGATCACGACCGAATCCAGCGGCGAGACGTACTGCGACGCGAATCTGGACGGAGAAGAAGCACACTTTCCAGGTTAGTGCAGGTCCAGATAGGGTACGGGAGCCCCTGCCACTGGCCACGATGACACGCTTCCAGGGTGGAGATACGCGGTCGTGTTGGCTGCGAATGCGACGAGGGACCAGCGCCCGGGACTCACTCGGCTTCGAGGTCGGAGTAATCGACGTCATCATGTTCACTCATCATGCGCGACGGTGGATGAGAGGGAGGGGTGGGGGGTATTATGGGGTATGGGGTATGGATGCGAGTGCGAAGGCGAAGAACGAAGGCGGCATTTATCGAGTGTGCACTCGCGCGACGACGACCAGCTTCGTTTCTCTTTCTCTTCCGTCGTCCTCGGCCTTTTTTTCTCTCGCGCGGGCTGGCCACGTCGCGCGTCAACGCGCTCGGCGGGCGACTCGAAGGTCGCGATTTGTGATTACTACGCGCTCGAAACGAATCGCATTACAAAACGCACCGATTTGCACTCGGCGGAGCGCGTGGCCCCCCCCCCCCCCCCCCCACTCACTGATCAGGCAGAGGCACCCAGCCTTGAGCTTGACGAGCTCGCTCCACCCAAATTCGGATCCGCTTCCATACACGGCCCACTTGACGCGACACCGTGGGCCGCTTCCTGGGAGTTGTTGGTGGCTACTTGAGCCATGTCAGTCCCGACTCTCAACTTGACCCTGCCGACGCCGTCGTCGTCGTCGTCATCCGAGGCAGCAGCAACCAGAACGACTCCGACACCGCTCGGCGCGGACACGATCACGATCACACCCGCCGCCTCGACCAGCAGCGCCTCGACCACCCCGGGCAAAGGGACGCCGCTCCCCATCTCCCCACTCAAACAGCTCAACGCGCAACAAGACGCACCCCCGATCCGGCCCAAGCTCGAGAGCTGCTGGGAGCAACTGACCACGAACCCGACCCTGTTCGCCGAGCGCTCCATACCCCAGCTGCACCGCTACTTCAACGAGCTCTTCTGCCTCACACCCAACCCCGACACGATAGAGCAAGCCCTCGATGCGCTCTCTGTGCAGGATCTCCTCGGCGAGTACAAGGTGCGTCGCTCTCCGCCGTAGAGGCCGCAATGAACGAACGAGACCAGACCAGACCAAACCAGACCAAACCAGACCAAACCAGACCAAACCAGACCGACCGTCCGATTCTGGCTTTCTGGCTCGCTTCACAGGACAACATCACCTACCTCTTCACCCATGCGACCCGCACGCTCAGAGAGACTCAGACCGACCATATCACACGCTCCAACATCACAGAGGTACGCGTTCACTCTTGGCCTCCTCTCCCTCGTGCCTCCCTCCCGCATCACCCCCCTCCACGTCATCGCTCCATCTGCTGACGGTCTGGAGTGGCGCTTACCATCGTTTGCCCCACGGACTACCTCACACAGACCCTTATCCCCTTTCTACGCAACCTACTGTCGAGGCGCTACCACAACTTCAGCTACGAGACCATCAACCTGCTCGCAGGCAGTCTGGCTCATTCCGACACCGTCTTCACCGTAAGTCGAGCTCGACCTCATCCACGAGCGACCTTTCCAGAAGCTGACCTTTTTTCTTTTGCGCGATGCTTGTCCGTAGAACCTCGTCTCGGCGATAGACCATACGCTGCAGGACCGCAGCCTCGCCACACCCCTGCGCCACCGGACACTGCAACTCGCGCTCGTCCTCGTCGCCTCCATAGACCAGGGCTCGATTAACGCCTACTTTCTGCGCCGCGACCTCTTCTCGACCCTCGTGCAGTTCATGACCGACGATGCCACCTGCCAGTTCTCGTTCGAGAGCGCGCTCCTCTTGGGCCTCTTGGCCAACTACAGGCAGCACGAGGCGAGGAACCCTTACCGCGTTCGGATAGAGGACATGGTCGAAGAAACCGTCATGGCCGTGAGTCATGGACACGTTTTCGCAGAATGTTCACACACCAACCGAGACATGATTTCCGCCCTCAGAGACTCATCGAGGTCGTTCAGGTAGTGTGCCAGCAGGCTCGTGACTCGTATACGCACATCGTCGACGACGCCCCGGCCTCATTCGTCGCATCCATCACCTCCCTCATCTTTTCCTTCAAGGTGCCCGAGTTCTTCAAGCAGGGTCTTGTCTTCTCCTTGCCTCCACCACCTCCCTTGAACCGTGCGACATCCAAAGCATCCCTACGCTCAGAGTCTAGTACCACGCCCGCGGCAAAACCCAAAGCCGATGGAAGGGCTTCAGTCGAGGCTGAGGTTGAATCGAAACCGACGGATGTCGCGACGAAGGACTCCCAGACCACCCCCGCGGCCACGCCGGACCTCGTCGTCTCCTCGGCTCCTTCGACTGCCATCCCCAAGGAGAAGAAGGAAGAGAACCAATTCAAGGCCATGCCCAACGAAGTGCTCGTCATCCTCCTGCCTTTCTTCGACCTCATCCATCTCAACAAGTCGTTTTGCGCTTTCGTGCTGGCCGACTCTCCTTCGGGCAAACGTAAGGCTCTCGCTCTGTGTTCTTCCACTGCTCGCTATTGACGATGCGATCATTCACAGCTTCGGCACTGCCTTCGACTCTGATCTCGCTGTGTTCATACGTCCTGTGCCACGCCTCCGTCTCGTCAAGGGCAAGAAGCTATGCCCGGCTGTGCTTGTTGTTGATGATGGTGCTGGTGGAAGAGGGGGAAGGCAAGCTGTCGAAAGCGACAGATGAGATCTGGATATGTCGCCAAGTAAGTCTCGACGATGCTGATAGGGCTCGCTGCCTCTCGCTGACAGTCATCCAAGGGACCTTGCAGCGCATCCCCATGCTCCCTCGATCGACAGGAAAACGACCCGCCCTCGCCGCCATGCTCGACTGTTGCGTCATCTTCCTGCGCCATAACCTGCGCAAGAAACTCGACGTCGAGACTTTCATCGTCTGTCTTCGTCTGATTCAACGGATACTACAACAGCTGAAAACAGAACGCATCCGCCTCGTTTACGACTGGGTCACCGTTTGGCGCTCGATCCTCTCCCTAGCCGGGTTTGTTGTCTCACAGATTGAAATCCTGCGCCTCGTCTCGACGCAAATCGACGATCTCATCTCACAGATCTTTATCCTCCTCTCCTATGCCGCCTATTGGGGAGAAACTCTCTTTCCTACGAGCGAGGGCTCGGCCCTGTTGTTCTATGAGCTCTTGCACGCCGACGAGACTCTGAAGGCCTTGTCCGACCTCTTGGGCATCTCGTCGATCCCGCTCCCACCTTCCTCGTTCTCGGCCTCGAGCGAGGACGCGGGCAGTCGGAGAAGTTCGTCATCGGTGTTTGCGAACCCGAGGACGTTGGCGGCCATTCAGGCGACACCGCTGATGAAGCCGTCACCATTGATGTTGGATCCGACTACGTTCTTTGGAGGGTATGCAACAGGCGATAGCGGGTCCGGCAGTGGTTCGGGCTTGAAACCGCCCGGGCCTTCGAGCAATGCTTCGACAACGGCGAGCGGGACCTCTGGTTCTTCATCGACCGCATCCAGCGCCGAACCGACCGAGGCGTCGCAGTCCCACCTAGCCAAAGGGTTCATCGCAACCGAATGCGTCTCGAACCTCCACCTCGCCCGCACGCACTTCATCAACTCGATCGAAGCCTTCAAACAAGGTCCCCTCTCACCCCTTGGTAAAGGCGAAGACCCGACCTTGGACCCGGAAACGATCGTCGCTGTGATCGAGGATAACCTGGGTGGGTTGGAGTTGATTGAGAGTAGTGCGATGGGGGATATGAGGAAAGGGATTGCGAATATGGGTGGGGTCGTGAGAACGATACCGAGTGTTGGCGCGATGGCGAAGGGGACGGGTACGACGGGGGTCGGTGCGAATGGGGAGGAGGCGGAGTTGAGTGGCGCACCGGGTTGGGAGAGGAGCATGATGGTCGTGGTTTGTAAAGACGTTTTGTCGATCCTGTGTCCCTGAGTTGATTGGGCTGGGCCCTCTTGTATTGAAAGTCGTATTATTAGTCTTGGGCTTGAGTGCAATCACATACCAGCAACAATCGGAGAATGAAGCTTTAAACACTGGTAATGACTGCGCACGTGTGGCGTCCGTGCGGAACTTGATGGATCACACGGGGTCTAGGTATTTGGTTGACTTTTGAGTGCGGAATCAACTAGCAGATAAGTTGATTGTGGCACTGAACAGCAAAGGGGTCGACCAATGATGGGCATGTCTAGGAATAGGAACGACGCAAAGGAAGGACAAGTTTGAGCAGGACCGGCCCAATTACTCAGTCACGCCAAATCCAATCAGACTCGAGTTGAACCTGAATAGAATAAAACTTGGATTACTTCTTTTGTGGGAGCTTGAACCTGGCGACATCGAGGCTTGATCGAGCAATAGGCTGTGCCTTTGGCACTGAGGCTTCAGCGGGCGGTGGAGGCGGAGTGGGACTTTGCCCGGTGAAGATTGAAGATCACTCAATGGCAAGGAGTGCATGTAAGCTTCGACGGGAGCAGTATTGACGTTTCTTGCAGTTTAATACCGCGTCCCAGGTCCCAGGTACGGCGTCCTTTTCGCAGTAGAACAGTCGCAGAAGGCCTCGATCTAGAGCGAATTGTTCTTCTTGTTCTCCGTCAGGGATGATCACATTTCGAATACGATCTTCGTTGCGTGGACGTGCATTATATTCCAATAGTTGTATTGTTCGACAGAGTTGAAAGATACGCGTACAAATACATAGGATGCTTTATGCTAGCCAGAACAAGGGGCATGCCTGCCTGAACAAAAGCAAGATCGAAGAGTCCGGTATCGTCGTGTTGTTGGGTTCGATGTTCAGGCGACGACTTCGGCTTCGACCAACTCCCTTCCCGGTGCGTCCCCCCATTTGGCCAAGACATCCTTCTCGTAAAAGTCCCACCACCTGAAGCATGCAAAGACAACGAAAGAACTCATGAGCAACCTTCTCGAGTGAGCCTATCTCGATCCCTTCCGGAACTGACCACCGATGAGTCTTTTCGTTCGGATCCCCCTTCTGCACCCTCTTGGCCCACGGCTTGTCCAGGATGTAATGTACATTCTTGACATCCTCATCCCTCCACATGGTCTGGTGACAGTCCCTTAATGTCTTCAATGCATTATACCGATAACTCAAAGGGACGAATTTGCCTTTGAAGACGTAAGCGAGTAGATCCTGATCAGGGAACTTGAACGTCTTGATGATGGGATCGATGGCGAGTGTGTCGAGTATCTTGGCAAAATTGATGGGGGTCGGTGTGAGAACGACGAGACCCGAGTTGAGAAGTTGGTGAGTCGGCTTGGTGAATTGGTCGGCGGGGAGGGGGTCAGTGTGTCGTGCCAAGGTATGGGCACAGTTTTCAGGTGTCCTAGAGTGGGTCGGTGAAATGGTGTCAGGATATGGGTCTGATAAGACAGCGGTCTGATCCAAGAAAACTAACCACTCTGCGGGGTAGTGAGCCAACCGACGGGGATTGCACGTGCACGCATGCGCCGCAGCGATCTGATCCGGTTCGAGCGGCATCGTCATCAACTCATCCATGTTGGCCATGACGAGCATGTCGGAATCCAACAGGACGATCCTCTGACCACCAGACCAGTTCACCGTCAGTAAGTGAGCAGGTGATGATATTGATCAAAATCCGCACGTATTCAACGAACTTCATATTGGGTCAACCCAAAAACACCCAGCTTGGTCCACGTATCCGCGAACCGATGATCATGCTCGTCCAACTCTGTCTTGTCCTTGGGTTCGAGGTATTCGATATCGTGCACCTCGATCGACCGAGCATGCAACACGTCGCGAGCGGGTTGGGGTAGAGACGGCGTCGCAAAAACGACGAGAGGGTACTGGGAGCCGTGGTGTCTCAACGAGGCGTCGAGCACGACGCAGCCTTGAAGGTAGTTGGTCTTGGTCAGCAAAGTTGCCCAGACGCATTTCACTGGTGCGGGCGACATCGCTGGTTTGTTGCAGTTGGTACGCGGAGAGCGGAGGAGGGAGCCAGAGTCTTGAGAGTCGAACTCAATCGATCGGCAATTGGTCGATCGCTCGATCGCTGTGGGCTGTTGTGGGCCGGTCGCATGCACGGACTCCGGAGCACGCATGCCCGAATCGCCAACAAGGATACCGGCCGAGTGGACCGCATACACGCAGGTCGAGTTATTCGCTCAGTGCATTCGCTGCAATGGTGTTGCAGCAAAGCGCAAGGCTCTGCGTCCTTACTTTACATAGACGAAGAAGAGAGAATCAAACGTCAATTAAAAATTGTGGTAGGCGCCAATCAGTCTCTCTTGGCTCATGAGCGAGCCTCAAAAACCTGGGGCGCGGTCAATCTAATGCAGTACAACATGAACAAGCCGTACAGTCTCGACAAGAAAAGTCCTCCCCATCATCTGAACAAACTCAAGCCCTCCAGTTCACGAGCACTTCGTCCGTTCGGAACCTATGACAGGAGGTCAGACGCAAGGTCAGTTTTCCGCCTCCCCCGGATCTGGGTAGGCTCTCTCACCTCTGGGTGCAGTCGGATTCCTCAAAGGGCGTTTCGAACCCCATGCGATGACTCAGTAGACCTGCATGTGCGATCATGATGCCGTTGTCGATGCAGAACCTGGGTACAAAGGATGTAATACATAGGTCAGTCAGTCAGGACCGACCGATCTCCTCTTGCTGGAGCTCAGCTCTGCTCTCACCTTTCGTCCGTGGCGAACACGCTCCCTCCTCGTTCAGCAGCCATGATTCCCATCATCACTTGCAAACGCTCATTGCCTATCAAGAAGTTCCGTCATCAGCACCCTGGCAGGACTCCAGTTAGCCACGTCGTGGCAGACTTACATCCAACTCCACCGACAATGAGCACCTCCTTTCCCCCGACATGAGCCATCGCCCTTTCGGTGATCTCGACGAGCATGGCAAAGACCGTCTCTTGCAGACTGAAGCACAGATCCGCGGGTGTGATGACATCGTCCTCATCCTCCTGTACTTGCTTCGCTCTGTCCCCCCTCTCGTTCCAGTCGGGGATGACGACCTTCTTCGCTCCACCCTGCTCCGAGGGTGAGAACCCGACATCCTTGATCCCGACCTGATCGCCCAAGAGCCCACTCGCTCGAGCCCTCCTCTCATCCTGCGAGACCATCCTCTTGCCGCCCAACTTGCCATTCATCACTCCAGCACTAGGATCGGTAGAGTCGGACGAGTTGGTCGACTTTTGCGTGTTGCTGCCCGTGGGTATTGTCGGTGGGTCAGTCGGGGTGGGTTGGGTGTAGCCTCGTTTGGCGTGCGGGTTCGAGGTGGTGAATCGTGGATCTCGGGTGTAGGTCTCGGCCGAGGCGAGGATCCCACCGAGTGAGATGTCCATTCCCTTCGTAGCATAAGGAAGGGGAAGTAATCTTCGGCCTCTGCAAATTGCGCCAAAGATTCAGATATTGCACGGATTGTTCAGGTCCGAAGAAACGGAATCACGAACTTTTTCGCTTCCTTTTCAATATTGGCTCCAGGACTTGGGTCATTCGACAGACCAATGATCCTCGCGAATCGATCCAGACAGTTGCCAACGGCAATGTCGAGCGTCTCGCCGAATATGCGGTACCTCTGCTGCGAGTAGGCGATGACTTGGGTGTTGCCGCCCGAAACGTAGAGCACGATCGGGGAGGGCGAATGGGTGATTAAGCGACCTGTCTCGATATCTGCACGAACGCATCGAGGTGGGTGAGCGTGATACTGGGAGGAGCAGGCACTCTCAAACCCGCGTCCCGGCACGTACGACCGACGCAATGGTTCACGCCAACCAAAGGCTTGTTGTACATCAGCGCCAGGGTCCGAGCAACGAGCGCGACAGTTTGAAGTGGGGCGCCCATTCCAGGACCTGCTCGCGGTCGGATCACAGAATTCGCGGCGTGTATCAGTTCCGGATGCCCGCCCACACTGGAACCAAGACAATCATATTACCTTTTGTGAAGCAGATGACGTCGACTTGGTCCAAGGTTCGATTGGCGGATTTCAAAGCATGGTCAATGACCTGCACGATCCATCGCTTGTGGTGGCGCGCCGTGTCGGAAGGCAAGAAGCCTTCGCCCGGTGGTGTAACGTAGGTGTGGCGGATGTTGGACAGGATCGAGACGGAACCCACGTCGTTTCCGGGCGCTGCTGCAGTAGAGGAAGACGTCGACGGCGGTGAATGGAGAATGAGCCCTGCGCCGAGCTTGTTGGCCGAGCCTTCCAGGCCGAGTGCGAGCCAGGGTTTGGTAGGAGGTGCTAGAGGTGAAGGAGTGGGTGCCCGAGTCTTCTTGGTCTTCTTGGAGTTGCTGCTGCGAGGAAGCGCGTCCGATGAGGTCGGGGCGGATAAGCTCGTAGAGGACGATGACGAGGGTCGGTGCGAACGAGGGTCGAGCGGAGGAATCGCAGAAGTGGTCGCAGGCAGTGAAGCAGCCAGGGAAGCCAGTTTGGAAGTCATTGTGGTTTTTATGCGGGTGTGGATGTTGGGAGGGGCAGTGGAAGATGTACCAAGGCAGCAAGGAGGGCAAGGAGAGAAAGTCGAACCGTCGTTCTCCCAGCACCGCTGCGCATACACTCAGCCTCACTCGGCGCGCACCTCTCTTGGTCCCGGGGAGCCTCGCGCTCGTAGCTCTTACGGCCTCCTCTCACTCGACCTTGATCACGGACTAGGCGACATGTCTTCTCTACTCGATCTGGCCAATCTTGAGCTGGCGTCTACGCCCAACACTCTTCCCCCGTCCGACTGCGCAAGCTCCGCTCAGCCGTCGTCCTCGCCGTCATCGCCCTCATCACCGCCGTCTGTGATCCCGACTTGGCAGAGCTCATTTGCGATCGAGCAGATCCCCACCGAGATCTTGGTACAGGTCTTTACCGATAGAGTCATGATCATCGTCACCCAGTTGGGCAGGATAGGTTCCTTGGTTCGTCGCCTTCGCCTTCGTCTTCGAAGCTGGTCTGAAAACCTACGCTCAGATTGCGATCTCTCCTATCCTTCCTCTCCTGGCAACCAGCTCCAAATCAGTCCACCCGTACCAGGTCTGCCTACCCCTCTCCGACCCACCACCTCCCACAACCCACAAGACGCATTCCTCTCCTCTTTGCCCCTCCCGCACCCCGCCTCGACCCTGACCACCCTTCTCGGCGTCGCCCCTTCAACCCGAGCAACGTCACTGTACGAACTCTATGCGCAACAGTTGGGCGCCATCGTGTTCGATTCTTCAGGGGAAGAGGCGAAACCCGTCGTGTTGGGTATTGCGTTGACAGAGTTCCCTGCGCGGCATGGCGATGACGAGGAGCATGTGGGGGACCGCGAGAGGAAAGTCTTTAGAGAGGTGCTCAAGAGGATTGTAGAGCAGGGCATGATTTGGCGGAGTGTGTAGACTGTCAAAACTGTGTATGCGAGGGGTGGTCGTTGATTTGTAGTGCTACCCCTTCGTGGGTCCTGCCCACGTCTGATCTCGGGATCTCATGACCAGCTCTCGAATTAGTGACTCTAAGTCGTGACTATTTATTCCGAGATCCGGTGCCATTCGGCGAAACTGCCCGTCGCGGACACTCGTCGCAAGACCGCCGACCCATACGTGCAGTGCATTTTAAAAAGGGGCGTCGGAGCTGCGAAACGGCGCTGACTCGGAGGAGGCTCCGGTGAATGGAAAGTTTGGCGGGAATAACAAGGAGCGGGTAATTCTGAATATTTTTCGGCCCGATCAGATGTTATCAGATGACAATGAAATGGAAGAGCTTTAAGGTTTGTTTTGGCTAGAAGGTTCATTCAAGGGTGAAATCGCCGCCGATCGGGACCGAAGAGAAAAGTGCTGCGGGTCGACTCAGGACTCGAGGTGTCGAAGATTCGTGCGGGCGAGACGTTGAAGCAAGGCAGTGTTGTATAGGGAGTATCACAAAGCATGCTATGTTTCACTAAGCCCCCGGGTCCACCGAAGACGCTTTGTCTCGAGTTGCGAATTATCTCTGTCGGCGGTTCTACTACTACCTAGGCGGTAATTAGCGGCGTCCCCGTGCGAGTCGTCCTACGATCGTGGCAGCGGACCCGTTCCTGCTCCGTTCCACGCCATCCTCGCCCGTCCTCGATCCGACTGTGCAGCGCCGCCTCGACGCGCACGGACGCACGGCGACGGGTGCTCATCCCCCATTCGAGCAGGGATGTCACCTAGCCCAGGGGGGGTGACTTCCACGCCTACACCCTCACCGACCTGGGAGGACGGGCGCTCGTTGTTGGCGCTGAAAGGGGCGAGGCGATCATCGCCCGCGCGCTCGTGCGACGACGATCAGCGCAACGACCACGGCGGCCAGAGCCCGGCTACTCTACGGCGCACGACACCTCAACAGCACCCAGCTCTGAGCAATGGCGAATCATCCGTGGGAAATGGAGCCACTCTGAGCTCAACTATCGGAACGGATCGAGCTCTAATTGAAGTGAACGTCGAACCGATCGATCATCACGTGCCCTCGCCGCCACCGCCTCCGCCCCACCTCGCCGTCGGCGTTCACGGCCACAGCCATGGCGGCGGCGGCGAAGATGACGATGGTGATCAGGTTCGGAAAACACGAACCAGCGACACGGCTAGTATATCATCAGCACCGGTCATGACCACTCTGTCTGCCGAGGCTCGCCCGTCGCCTAGCCTTCTCGGCACCGAAACCCACCACGAGGGTGCTACCTTCACCGGATCAAGACGAGGGCACACGCTGCCATTGCCACCTCCAAGGACCACCGAAGCACCTGTACACCACCGTAGAGCCGATACAGTGCCCATCTTATCGCAAGCTCCTCCGGGCCCTCTACCGTCCCATTCGCGCGGAACACGACCCCCGCTCGACACTCTAGGATCAACCGGGGCCTCCTCGATCGATCGTCACGCTCATGCTCCTATCGCATCAACGTCCTTGACGAATATGGATAGGCGAGAGTCAAGGAGAGCATCGCTGTTGGAGCCTGCTTTCTACTCGACCTCTTCGGCGAGCAGTCCTTCGCTCGACGACTCCGCCGCTGCCCACCCGTCTGCCAATGGTGTCGCGACGACCTCGTTCGGCAGGGCCACCATTGGAAAGCGGACCACTGAAGCGGATCTCAGTCGTCCATCGTCAGCGGGGAGCGCCTTTGACAACCCCAGCCCCCGCCACAGGAACGACAAGAAGGGCAAAAGTCGTATGAAGAGCGACGACCCGCTCCAGTACTCGGGGTGGGGCTCGCAGTTCGAAAGTGCCGACGACCCTCTGGATCCTCTCAGTCAAATGTTCAGAACCTCCAGGTCAAGGGAGCCGTCCTCGAACGTCAGCCTGGCGACATCGAGAACAACGGAGACCGCGACCACCGCAGCGACAACGATGACCTCAGCTAGTTTGGATCCATCGGTCCAAGCTCTACTGGATGCGATTGACCTGGGTGCGGCCCGGAGACTGGTTCAAGATCTTGAAGCCCAGCTTCCCGTACGGACGTCGACAATGGGGCGTTCTTTGCCGCCAGCCTCGAGTGCCGTGACGGCTTCGACGAGTGTCAAATTCGCGACAGTGCCAAGTTCTTCGCCTCCTATCGCGCCGCCCGCACTGGTCATTCACCCTCCAGCGAAAGGCACGACGCGCCGCCTGTCTTTGTCTGCGCCTAGAAGACCATCTCTCCACGGGCTCGACTCAATGGGCAAAGATAGCCCACGGCGCAGATCGTTTAGCGTCGGGAAAGGTTTCGGCAGACAACCGTCAACAGGTTTGCCCACCTCGACCTCGGGGATCATCGCACCGAACCTGGCAACACCACCGGCGACTCCACAGGAATCGAACTTCGCGGTCGCCGCTGGAAACAATGTGGAACAGAGAACTATCGACGAGCGAGTCGCGATGGGTGCAAGTGGGCGTATTTTCGAAGGTTAGTTAGTTCCTTTTGTCTGGCCAGGCCCATGACCCGCGCTCGTCCGAGCTGAGCTTTTCATGTCTTTGTTGTAAATGCTTTCCAGACCAAATATCCAAGGTTCAACTCCAGCTTTCTCCGGCGACCCATCGCAGGGCACAGAACTGCGTCAAGTATTTGTCGCTGCGTTACAGACCTCTGGGCGCTCAACATCCGCTGGCCGACGACCCGCCGCTTCCAAATCTGCTAGCAGTGTCTAGATGGAGGTTGGCGAAGCAACAGATCGAGAGCTCGCAAAGCGTCGACGGTTCGGTCGATGGGCGCAGGTACAGGGGCTCGAGCGGTGCGTTTATCGATACCTCGAAGAAGGTCCCTCCCTATGGAAAGAGGCGGAACGAGAAACCTGGTGTTTGGGAAGTGTACCCCGACGACATCCTCGACTACATCAAGGCCGGAGGGAAGCTCGAGGATCCCGCAAAGGTGGATCCTGAAGAGCGTTCGAATCGAGTGTCGATATCGATGCCGCCAAACTCCCTGCATTCGCGAAGCTTGGAACGGCAATCCATGTCATTACCATTCCCTGGCCCGTCGGAAAGAACACGATTATTCACTCCGGATCAGGGAGGATCGCTCACGTCTATGAATCGACCCTCTCTATCGAGGGTCAGAGAAGATTCGTACGATTCTGTTCGACATGCCAAAGTGCGTTCGATCGACAGGTTCCTCGGCTTCGGTACCCCGAGCGACCCTATCATTGCGGGCTCAAGTGTGTTGCCGGTTTCGCCGCCTCGCACCCATCCGGGTCGATTCGCTGGTTCACTCAAAGACGATTTCACCCCGGGAGATGACGAGGATCATACGATGATGGAAACACATGAAGCATTGAATGGAAATCGGAACGCCAACTCGTACCCGTCACCGCATCGATCCAGGTTGACGTCCAGCATTACGCGGCGGTTCGAAAAGATGCGCGGACGAGGTCATGCCCCTTCCTCGTCGATGAATGGATTGGATTGGGAGTCTAGCGATGGTGGCTTTGGCCCCCTCCAGCCCCCTCATCGGAAAGGGTACTACTCGGCCGACCCCTCGCTTCCTGGCACGCCCGAAGGGTCCGATCATGACCTCGGGCTTTCGACGAGCGCTGGCGCACCAATGAGCTCGAAGCGAAGTCTTCTTCCCTTGGCAAACCTGAACCTGTCGAATTCGACCTGGAAGAAGGGCACGGCTTCACTGCGCCGAAATCGAGATCGGGATGGGGAGCGGAGAGGGAAGGAACCTTTTCCCCCACTGTTCCAGTCTCAGAGTCGTCTCAGGTCGAATGGGACCGATTCGGGACATCGTTCTTCGGGTGGCGACGACTCGAAGGCAGCCTGGAAGAAGGATAGCCCCTTGTCTCGTTCGAGAATTGCCAGTGACGGACTTCGGCTCTATTCGTCCACGTCCGGACTCAACCTCCTGGACGACGAACGGAGGAGACGAAAAATATTCGAAAGTTATAGCGAGGACGATATGGAGGTACTCAGGAATGACTCGAAAGAGGTCCTTGATGTTTCCGAGGAGCGATTCGCACAGCTGATGCAGTAAGTGGACCGATATGCCTGTGTAATCCGCTAGACTAGTATCTGATGGGTTTTTTCTATCATTCTACTCAGATTGACCAAAGCCGCTTACTCCGATCTGGACCAAATCGAGTCATTCATTTCCACGGTCCCTCTGACCATCAAGATCAACTTGGACGGTTTGGTGCGCCTTTCGTCGCAGACGCTGAAGAAGACGGGGATTCAAATCACCGCTCAGGCCCCTCGACTGCCGGCTTCTGTCATCCAATCAATCGTTCGACTGGATTCAATCGAAGTCGAGCGTGGCCAGGATCTGACCAGCGTCAAAGTTGAAGGGCGACCGTCGACTTGTGAACCTCTGCACGGTATCAAGGACGGCCGTCCTTCTCACGTCAGATTCGCTTCGACTGGGTCGACAGACTCGTCCGAGTCGGACTCGGACTCGGAAACAACTTCGTCTTCATCAGATGACGCAGGTAACCGTTCCGACGACGAGAGGGAGCTCGATACCGTTTCCACCCTGCCGCGCCGTCGAAAGTCGTCTTTGCCGCCTAATCCCTCGGCCCCATCACTTCCCCCTCGAGCTGCGACGGACATCGTTATCGCTCCGTTCGACCCTCTTTCTCGCATCGGCCGAAGGCGCACTCGATCCGCGACCCTCGCTGTTCCTTCCTCCAGAACCCGCGTGCACCCTACTTTCGACCCTCTTATCGATCTGCAAACGCCTGTCGACCCTATCAAGTCGCTCGAACTGGCTCTGCAAAAGTTTGAGAAGACTTTCAAGATAATGGACGATGCGGCTGAGAATGCCCTGGAGGAGCAAAGGTTGCTGAACGTAGAGATTGAGGAGTTGGTGCTCGAGTCGCGCCAAGTGATGAAGGATTATGATTCAGCGGACCACCGATTTGTAGGTGCCCTGCTCTTGATTTCACACCGGCTGCCTACTATGAATACATCAGCTGATCGCACAGTGAACCAATCTTCCTCTAGATCCAACCACTACAAGAGCAAGTCAATCGAGTGCTGCAGTTACTGGACAAACCTTCTTCGTCCTACGATGGTCTTTGGATCGCGCTGTCGATCGCGGTCGGCGTCTTACTCTGGCTTGCTCGTTTCGTGGCGATCGTGATCAACTGCGTTCGCTCGGTCGTCAAATACCCCTTTCTAAAGGTTCGCCGCGTCGTCTCCCCGGCACCCTAGCGCCTCCGCAATTCATCCTCTCGCTTTTGCCCCCCTGCGTAGAGCAGCGTGTATTGCAGAATCTTTACAGTCTATTCTTTTGTTGTCGTACTATATTATCCCGTTATCACTTCGGTTCTAAAAACCATCTTCAGCCAACCCTACCGCGAACCCCTTGCTGAATCGGATCCTGTCACGCTGATCGGTCCTTGCAGTCTGAATCTAATCCTTCAGTTGAACAGACTTCTTCCGTTGAGACACAATTAGGTTTGTCGGTTCAACCTCGTGGAGGGCGCACATGGAAGATACGAGAAGCACCATGGCAGTTCCCCTCCACCCTCTTCGATGCCTCAAACATCCGCTTCGATCGGCTTACACAGACCCGCATACGATACAGGGACATACAGCTCGAATCACGACTGTATATCGGCGCTTAACTTGTTCGAAGCTACTGCGGACGTGATATGCGAGGTACGTCCGTCAGTTTCGAAAGGCTGGTCCGATCGCCCGTAGTCACCTTGTCGACAGGAGGTAAGTAGGTGACCGCCGAATCGGTAGCCCCTGTGAGAGGCACGGGCACTAATCGTTTCGTCGGGCTCGGTGTATGCGTGGGAAGCTTCACTCTAATTGCAAAGGAAAAATAACTAAAAGTTTGTGGCCAAGTCCCCCGGCAAAACCTGTGCCAACGGAGCTCCTGTTGAAAGCCAGAGGAGGAAAGGATCGCAGAGATCAGTCACAGGTGTTTGGAGAGAGATAGGTCTAGAGATAGCAGTACTTGGCCCCGAATCGAGGACGGACAGAATTACCAATTCTGACAAGGTTTTGCAGTGAATGGCCGCTCGGGATCTCAAGAAGGCGGGGTCCTTGGAGGTGGAGGCCCTTGCGGCGATTCCGCTCGCGCGATCGAAAAAGGTTGGCGGAAGGAGGGGAACACGCCGGGGCCGAGGAAGATGCTGCTCAGGGTGCTTTTTCAGTGCTGAAAGATGCGGAGGGAACGAGAAGGAGAAGGACTGGTCTTCTAAAAGAGTCCGATATCGAGCCCGGTCTTAACTTGTAGATATGGTGGGTGTCTCGTCATGTCAAGCGAGTCCGGCCGGCGCAATCGGAAATCGGAGTAGAGCCGAGAAATGTCCCGCTCACGCTCGGACCGCTCTTGGTGACCGGCTCCCCACTTTCGCAGCCGACAAGTTGGGTCACGCCGCATGATCCCCGTCGCCTCGGGATCCGGTACGCGACCACCAGGACCACCAATCAACCGGAATGGATCATATCCGGATGCACCACCAGGCATTCGCCTGAGTCAAGCACCTAGCCTCGGTCAGGGACGAGAACGAGGACGACCTGGAACGCCGGCGGGAACAATCGCTGGTGCCGTGCCTGTGTCTGCTCCTGTGCGGCCCTCTCGCAAAGGCAAGGAGAAGGCCGTCGATCAGGACAGCATCAATACACTTCAGCACGAGCAGGCTGACATACAAGACAAGCCGGTACCACAAAAGAGCGCCGTTAAAGGCTCGTCGAGTCGCTCGGATTCAGCCTCGATCGCCGCGAAGGACAAGGTCAAGTCCGGCAAGAAGAAGGTCAGGATCGACGTGGCCGAGTCATCCCACTCGGAGTCTTCTCCATCATCGAACGCGTCGGCTGACGGGGATGCCGATGACGGCGAGGACGAGGATGCCGATGCCGAAGCTGAGGCCGATGGGGATGGGGAAGGGGACGAGAGTGAAATCGGACCAAGCTCCCGCAGACAGAGCTCTGGACACATCGGCCAGGCCGAAGATCTCGAAGCGTGGGACTGGGACTGGGCAGACCCGTCGAGTCTACCTATACCTGGCGTCGCAGGGCGCAAGAAGGAGCTCAAGTATCTTGACGAGGCCATCTACAAATCGGCCCTTTTCGATGCCGCCGAGCAAAGGGTCGACCTGGCGAGGATGCTGCTCGAATGGCAGGCCCTCAAGTCGAGGCAGGATCAAGTCGAATCGAGTACAATTGCAGCGGATGAAATGCTCCCACATCAAACGCCCCTTGAACCATCGCTCGAGCACAATAGGGACGAACCAGGTCAACCTACGACCAGCGACACAGAGGGGCCGAGAGCGCCCCGAGAGAGTCTGCCTCCCGAGTCGATTCCCTCCGAGGTACCCATACCATCGGCGGCCTTTCTCGAAAAAATGTCTAGATGGCCTTTACATCCCTCGCGGCTACCTCCTCAAGACGTCGCCTTGTCATTGGAAGACGCGTTCCACGATCTCGTTGCCGTCGCACTCGAAGACTCGGTGCTGCTGAACTTGATCCGACCCGCGCCCAGTCCACGCCCTCCACGGGCTCGAAGCGCCTATCAGGCCAATGCGCCGTTCGCCGTCCACGTCGACCCACCAAACAACCTTTCATCCGAACAGAACGGTAAAACCAGTGGTCTGGATCCAAGTTTGCAAGATGACGACTTGGACTCCATCGGGAGCGAAGACGAGGATGAAGAAGAAGTGCTCACATCATCGCTCGACGATACTCTTGACGAGGCAACCTTGCGCAATCCTCATCTCCCTCGCTTACTGCATCTGCTCGAACAAACGACTGAAATACTCATCGAAGGAATGTTAGAGCGTGTCCCTTTAGGCCCACCGCCTCCGATGGACTTTTACCAACGGACCGGCGCGATCGATCCGGTCCAACTGCCACGGGCTATGGGGTGGGAAACTGTGCTCGATGTTGTAAAAGGGGTCGAAGGAATATCATCAAGGTACAACGGATGCACCTGTGAAATTTTGAATGAATATCAGGCGAGCGAGCTAACTTAACGTTGCTGCTGCTGGCATTTACAGTGTGATCGAGGAGCTCGAACAGAGCATGACGATCTTATATGGACCGGCAAGCCAGGATCCACACCCAATCCAAGTTTTGCCGCCTCTGATCGCTCCTCGCAAGGTACGTCTACCAAAACGTCGGGATACGGCTCCACCAGATCCATCAAAGAGTCGAGAGCAGAGTACGAGGCCGAAGGACACTACGTCTCCCGCATCTGACGAGGAGACGACGTATCGGGGGAAGAGGCAGAGGCGAGATTCGACCGAGTCGATCGAGCACGAGCACAAGAGGTCCAGGCAGACGACCATGTAAGCCGGAATGGCACGAATGAAGTATTATGTGCCGGCTGCTGAACTTGTGTTTATTCTTTGCTCGTATGTAGCACTCGCTCCCGTTCAGCCTCACAACAGGCGCTGTCAGGCGGTGCTAATTCGGACAGGACGGGCTCGCACGACGATGGAGTCAATGAAGCCCGTGAGGCTCAGAAGTTCACTGATGCGGAGCCCGATGATAACGATGGGAAAGAGGTGGCAACTTTGTTGTCGTCGCTCTTGGTGGTTGGCGCAAGAACCGCGCCTGCTTGATCCCATCGGTGGTGCCCCCGCTGGCAGGCTTTGGTACGAACAGGCCTGAAGACAGGCATGGCCGCCTCAACATGATGAGGGATGATGCAATACAAGATAAAAACATTTGTACATCCTCTTCAGCAAAAGTATAACACTACTGCTCTTCAAGTCGATTCTTCCTCGACACCAAGGTCGACCTCATCTCGTAATGTCCACTAGTCTCATCGTCCGACTCCTGCTGCTCGTTCGTTTTGGCGTTGCTCTTCGCCCGCATCCTCAATTGAGAGACCAGTTTCGATGGTCGCCCATACTTCATCCCTTCCCGCTCCGGTAACATCTTGATGAGCTTGAGGTCATCTTCGCTAGGTTCCTCTCCTGTTTCGTAAGCGGCCGCGACCCTCTTCCTCGCGTCCTCCAAATCGTGTAGACTGATCCCGGACGGCAAGTACAAGGTCGAGAACATGCGCTGAGTCGCCCGCACGGACGCCAACATGCTTCGAACCTCTTGTGGAGGCAAAGGCGACCCGTCGGGGTCGGAGGTCGAAGATCGAGTCACGGAGTATCCGATCTCCCATTTAGAGGGAAGTAGGTGGGGCGGAGTCGTACGGACCGGAGCCTCATCGGCTGCTGGCTTGGGCGTAGGGGGTGCGGGGGTGTCCTCTCGGGGACCGATCATGACGTGTCGAACGGGTTGTCCGTTGACGTAGTTCGTCCCTCTGTACTCGAGCAAAGTCAGAGGGCCCGCAACATCATCCGTGGTCGATCCGCCGGAGGATTGGGGCGTGACGAAAACCCTCAGCACATCTTCTTTCGGACTGGCGGCAAAGGTCATTCGAATCGAACGCTCTGGGTACAGACTCGTCGCTTCAAGTAAAATCCGTTCCAAGAAGCCCAAAGCAAGTCGGAAGATTTGGTTGCCCGTCTCGTGATTGCCAAACAACGCAACGTCCATTTCTTCAATCGGGACGTATTGGAAGCCGTAGAACGTGCGCGTCGAGTGGTAAGCGACGAAGCAACCGTCCATGTGGCCGATGCGCGCTTGGAACTGGTACTTGAGGAAGGCCGAGCGAATGAGATCGTAGTACTCGCGTTCGAACGAGTTCCACAGTCCTCGCAGCCGATCGACAGTGTAGCCGGCGCCTTCGATGTAATTCAGCCGATCTTGGCGGATGGCGATCGTCCCCCTGGTCTTGAGATCGAAGGAGACATTGGGGAGATGCGGGTCATGCGCATCGAGCTGAGAACGTAGGACCATGTGATCCGTCTAAAGATTCAAAGCAGCAGGTTAAAGTCAGCGCCCAATACTCCTTCACGGTAGACCGTTGCTCTGCTGCAATTTACCGCCATGTAGTGATACGCCTGACGTTGATCAACTTCGGAGGCAGCGGGGTTCAGGCTTGACTTGAGGAACCTCCTGAACTCGGGCTGATCTGTCGTCAACAGCTTCTCCATCATGTGACCCTGCGGACACCGTTCAAAATGCACTGACTCAGCCCACGTTAGTACAACTCATCGTCACAGTGCAAACTCACATAGTCGGCCAAGACATTCATCCCCGAAGTGACATCGATTGATTTGTCCGCATCAATCGAATACCGTCCGTCCTCGTAAAGGAGCTCGACGGAAGCAGGTAGCTGCTGTCCCATGCTGAAGTCCTTGTTCTGCGGAGAGACAGCAACAACGACCCGAGCTCAGACTTGAAGCACCGACTTGTGTTCAATGAGCAGGAGACTGACCTGCTTCGCCCATATGCTCGACAGCATCTCCAAATTGACTTCCTTTCCTTTACTGATCCAGAAGTAGATCTAGGCATGAGGAGGAGGAGTCAGGACCGCACCCTTTTCGTATGACCCTTTTGTTGGGTTCTCTACACACCTGACAAAGCATCGCTACGGTCGAGCTCGTGCTTCCAACGAGTTTCTTGCCCTCCTTCTGGGCGAGGGCCATCAGATCTTTGTCCTCCGAACTCGTCACGTAGCGTGGCAGTTTGGACTGATCGAAATCCTCGATAGGTGGGACATCGTTGAGAAGTCCTCGGGGAAAATTCCAAACGCGAGATCGAGGATCTTGGAGAAAGTGGACACCGGGGTTGAAGAGGACGCGCTGGAGGCCATGAGTAAGCTTTGCGATAGGCGCCGGGGATTGAGGTAGCACGGTCACCGGCGTCGACGCAGCTGTCAAAAAGTTCGAGTAGTCTGAACGCGGAGGCAAAGGGGGCAATTCGGGTTCGAGTCTGGTCGCGTTCCTGGTCGAGGAAGTCGATGAGCCTGGTGGCGGCAATCGCTCCCGTTGTAACCAAGCGAGCTTTCGCTGGAGCTGGCCTTGGCGCACTTGGAGGGTCTTGACCAAGTGGGTCTGTCCATTCGAGAAGCTTTGTAAGCTACTGTGCAGCGAGAAGTTGGGTCCCTGTCATTCAGATGACTCACATGAAGACGTTTCCGCTTTCCATGTAACTCGCCAAAGAAAGGTGAATCGTCCCTGGGTACCTCTGAAAGCCGTGCTACATGGACCAGATGGTCTATGTCCCCCATCCCAGTGTCATCTAGCGCAGCGTCTGACTCCTTGGGGTGTTTCGAAGGAACCTGCACGTCGAAGAGCGGGTTCAACGTCAGGCAGCCGACAATCAGCAACGAAGAATGGGCTGCTCACCGTTTTGGATGGGCCTGACAGCTCTCGCTGTATCCTGTTCTGGTAGAGTTTCTGTAAGGTGCTTCTTGCTTCGGTGTCCAGGGCCTCCCAAGGCGTTTCGAGGGAAGCTAGTGTCCGTTCGGCAGCTGTGAGCCGGCCTTCGAGCCGGTTGAGTTGCCACAATGTTTTCGAAACGACCCTTTCGTGGGACGGCAGCGGCAGCCGCGATGACAACACGCGGCGCGATTTCCAGCCTGACGAGGGCGCTGACGCGGGCGAGGAGGTGGAGGTTGAAGTGGATGGGGCTGCCCGACGAGTGGAGGACTGGCGGGGCTCGGCGGCGGTCGCTTCGAGCATCTCGTTATGCGTCGGCGGGGTCGAAGCACGTTGCTTACTTCTGACCCGACGAAGTGCAGGGCGCTGAGGAGTGAACTGGCGAGCAAAGGATGATATTGTGCCGTTGGGCAGATTGGGCAGATTGGGCAGATTGGGATCGGGTTGCGACGGGTCCGACTTGCTCGCACTCGCAGTCGTGTCTTGGTTCGCGGCTTGTGCGGCGCTTGCGATCGACTTTGAGAGCAAGCGGTCGATCGCTTCCGCACTGTTGGAGCTGCTGGTGCGGACGAGTTGCTCCTGTGAGGCCGAGTCCGAGGGCGAGCTTCGTAGACGGCGAGCATGCGCCACTCGTTCGGACAAGGTCGAGGGTGGTGTGGTGGCGGCGGAAGAGGTGGACGGCGTGTTGGATGTGGTGGTCGATGAGACCTCAGTGGAAGACTGTGATGGAACGGCGGAAGCTGAGGTGGAGGTGAATGTTCGGTGCGACCATGCTGACGACGGCGACGACTGCAACGGCGACGACGAGCTCGAGCAGTTGCGAAACGGCGACGGCGACGGCGATGGCTGCGACGACGACGGGCCAGACGGGCCAGACGAGCCAGACGAGCCAGGCGAGCCAGACGAGCCAGACGAGCCAGATGACGATCGAGTGGTGGTCGAGGAGAGGGACGAGCACGTCGTACGTGTCGCTAGAGAAGCAGCGTGGCGTGTGAGCCAGCTTGTGGTCAACATGTCGTTGTTGGGGTCTGCTGAACTGCTCCGTCTCACGTGAGCGGCTTGAACTGTGATGGTGCGACGAGGTGCGACGCAGACCCGCTCGCGGCTCTCGGCGCGCGCCCCAAGTGCCGACGACGACGCGGGCGGGGATAATTCGGGATTAGGATTAGGCAGGATCAGACTACTCGGATTAGCTGTTAATAGTCGGCGCAGTCCCGGCGCAGTCCCGGCGCAGTCCCGGCGCAGTCCCGGCGCAGTCCCGGCGCAGTTCCGGCGCAGTTCCGGCAGGTCCCGGCGCGCCGCCGAATGGGAAAGGAGCTGCAACCAGGCCTGATCGATCCACGAGGCTCTGTTCGTTGGGCTCCTCCTTCCTGCATCACTCTCTACGGAGCCGACTCCCCTCCTCGTCTCGACTATGCTCGCCTGCAGGTGCCAAGCCCGGCGGTCACTCGCTCAGGCCGTTCGCACACGATCGCACGCGCCCCCCACCTCGTCGCCGTCGCACCGCCTCGTCGGTCGCACCATCAGCACCTCCTCTCCCGCCTCGGCGCCCCCCTTGGGCTTCAGCTCGGCATCATCTACATCTCACTCTGCGTCCTCTTCAGCTGGAAGACGCAACATCCTTGGCCTCGGTGCTGCTGCCACAGTAGCAGCTCTGTCCGCCGCGGTGGTTGGGTCCTTGCTTGAGAACGTGGGTACTCTTCGGCCTATCCTTGGTCGCTCGGCCTTTCGCCGCATGGACCCATTGGCCCCTTTCGGATCCGAGCTATGATCTTGTACTGACGCTCATTCTCTCTTCATAGTCATCGAAACCACTCGAGTGCAAGGCCGCTGCGATCGATAGGTCCACACACTCGGGCGAGCTGCCCGTCGAACTGCGCAAGCTCGGCCTATCGTACGACGCAAGTACAGCAGACCACCCGGGCCGGCAGTCCAGAACGCGATGCTGACACTTCATTTTCTTTTCCCACTACGGCCTGCGACTTCTACAATACGATCGGGCCCGTGCAATTCACTGGTCCCTCCCCCGACCACCCCCACATGTGCTCACAGGCAAAGCCTCCTATCGACCTCGACGACACTTCCATCCCGATGCGTGATCGCATGGTAGCCCACATCCAGTCACTCCAGGATAATATCTGTCACGTGCTCGCCACGCTCGAGAACGACGACCCCTCTTCCTCCCCTACTGCTGGATCCGGATCGACCGAAAAGAAGGACTTCCGGTCTTCGTACTACCTTCGGGACAACGGCAAGGGCTTTGGTGACTCGCGCGTATTACAAGACGGTAAAACGTTCGAAAAGGCGGGGTGTAACATCTCGGTCATTCATTCGACCTTGTCGGTCGCTGCCGTCAAGCAGATGCGTGCCGAGCGGTTCGATTGGTGGGACGGCAAAACCGAATTGCCGTACTTTGTCGCCGGTTGCTCGTTGGTCGTTCATCCCGTGAATCCGCACGCCCCGACGATTCACTTCAACTATCGATACTTTGAGATCCACGACCCCAACGATGATCCCAATGCCCCTCCCAAAGCATGGTGGTTCGGAGGGGGGACCGACATCACCCCTTCCTACCTCTACGAAGAGGACATCCAGCATTTCCACGGCTTGCACAAGCAAGCGTGCGATCGACACGACAAATCGTACTACCCCAAGTTCAAGAAGTGGTGCGACACGTACTTTTACCTCCCCTTCCGCGTTGAGACACGTGGTTTCGGCGGCATCTTTTTCGACGATTTGGCCGACGGAGACGATGCCCAGGCCTGCTTCAACTTTGTGAGGGATTGCTCGAAACAGTTCCTTAGGGCTTACTACCCCATCATGCAGAGGAGGAAGGATCAGCCTTTTACCGAGGAAGAGAAGAGGTGGCAGCAGTTGAGGAGGGGCCGCTATGTCGAGTTCAACATGAACATCGACAGGTCAGTCCCACCTATTTCAAAGCTTGCCGGCGGACGGGTTTTGCGATACTAAGCCGCCCTTTCTTTCATTGCACACAGGGGCGTTCGCTTCGGATTGGCGATGAAGCAGCCTCGAGTTGAGAGTATTCTCATGAGTCGTAAGTCGAGCCATTCAGACCCTCAGGTGAAATGTGCAGCTGATGTGCGCGCTGTGGGTGGTCCCTTCAGTTCCCCTAACCGCTCGATGGGAGTACGAAACTGAAATGGGCACGCAAGAAGGTTCGCCCGAGAAGAAGGTTCTGGACATCCTCAAACAACCCATCGAATGGGTTTAGAAAGTTCTTGGAAGTACCGGGTAACTTCAACCTCTCTTCTTGGGGTACAATTAGTAGCTTCCGGATTTGGTGAAACGTCGCTGCATTGCTCGCCACGTCGGATGGGGGTATGGAACCGCAAGGCTTGGGTATAATGGCACCTACCAAGCGCAGTGTGGGTTGACGCGTCCTTTGCGATATGGATACGGAGGAGCTGTATGATCATGGCTTGGCATCGCCAGTGTACCCTCTCAGATGGGGTGCGATCGGATATGGTTCCGGAAGAGGGGTGCTCCCCAACGAGAGAACGACAAAGCGTGTCGTGTTGGCTGTTCCAACGATGGCCGACATGATGAAAGAGCAGGGTTAAAAACAGGCTCCACGGACTCCAGAAATCGCATGCAAGATGACTCACCACTCCCACCATCCTGAATATCTCTATCGACGACCCTCAGCCCATACACCTCGGCGCATTTGATGGAACAGATCGCCAGCGATTCTTCGGGAGGGTCCTGGAGGACTTTTTGTGCCGCCAGCGCTGTAGAATTGACCGGAATGACTTGAGCTCCCGGATAGTTGGTATGAAGGTAGGATACGCATTGACCGATTCCCTGAGAGGTGCCGAACCCGAGAGTGGGGGGGGTGGGAGAGTCAGAGAAGACTTGACCAGGACACGTGACCTCGAGTCCCGGAGGAGGTTCCACTCACTTGTTCATGACTGTAGACTCGTTTATATCTCTTCCTCTTCTCTTCATCACCAGAAAGGTTCCACAAATTGCTGTCCTCAGCACTAGCGAAAGGTCGGCTCAACAGCGCATGCCCCACTTTAAGGCCGATCATTCCTCGCACGCTCAATTCGGTCGTCCGTAACGCCTGCATCGTCTCATGCACAATCCCAATCGATGAGTTCTCGATGGGTACAATACCATACGAAGCCGAGGTTGATGCAACGTTTGAAAAGACGTCTGTAGATTGCGAACCATGGAGGATGAGAGCTCGGACCATGACAACACAGGGGCTTTCGCTCGAAACGTACCTATAATCCGTTCTTGTGGTGCAAATTTACAGTCATCACCGAAGAATTCTGTCGTAGCCTGTCGGAAGTCGGACACGAGGCCGCATCAGCCCATGTTCGGTGTTTCCCTTCCGTAACTCCGTCCGGTCAATGACGTGGCTTCGCAAGCGCTAGTAAGGCCGTAGTGTAGACAGGTACGGACTTGGTGCGAATATGTTCCCAATGGGCCGAGGAAGGCTATCCGTGGCGCGGGTGATGCTGGTGTCATGTTGGATAGTTAGACCGGGGAAGGTTAGAGTCAGACCGATGACGAGTGTCGAGACAGGCCCCGAGCGCTCGAGGCAGCTCGAGCCGGGCGGTGGCAAGTGAGTAGCCCTACAGTGAGAGTCAGCACATCGTGCGGTACAATTTTCGGTTCGCGCGGCAGGCGAATGGTATGCTGTACTCTTTGTGCACGCTTTTTCTGTACGCGTGTCTGCTCCAGGTCAAACTTCCGATGCGCTCGGGGATAATATTATGCTTGGCCGTTCTCGGAATCACTCTCGCGCACGTCTTCAACTCTCCCCATCAACATTGTCTGTGTTCGACTTTCATTCAAGTTTCATACGGAGCCCGTTTGCCCAAAGGATAAGGAGTCGTAGGAATAAAAGCACCGGCCCCACCCGATTCACTTTATCCGAGCCAGACTCCCCCGACTCCGATCCCCAAGGCAATGTCTTTTGTTTCACAGGTCCCGCATTATGCCCTAGGAGCGACGTTCTTGGGTGGCGCCAAAGATTGTTCGCCGTTGGGGGTGACGTAGCATGCATGGATACCGCCGTCGACCTTGAAGTCGGTACCGGTGATGAAGCTCGAGTCGTCCGAGGCGAGGAACAAGGCCGCCTTGGCTTGTTCGATCGCTTCGCCGAAACGACCCATCGGGATGTGTACCATCCGTCGTTCCTTCTTTTCCGGGGTATCGAGGAACGACATCAAGAGTTCGGTTTGGAGGGGTCCACTGTTGGAGCCGAATGGTGTCAAATCGTCACAATATTCAGCAGCAACCCAGGCACCTGACCTTTCGCGAGGCGAAAATAAGCAGGGTCACTCACGGGCACAAGTTGTTGAGTCGGATGCCTTCACGAGCATGAACCATGGCGAGCTCGCGCGTCATGGCCAAAACCGCACCCTGTGTCGCGTCATGGCACGGTTTCAGATCTCGGTCAATTTCCTCATTGCGCGGCGGATAATCAGAGTCGGCCTCGGCGCGGATGAACAAACCTTGGAAGCGGTGTCTGCGCATGGCAGGTTGAACACCAAAAAGATTCATCAGTTCAAAACAACTTGATGGAGACCCGAACAGCTTTCACGAGTCTTACAAGCAATCTGGGGCGTTGCGGCACCCATAAGAGCGACGAACGATGCCGTGTTGATGATGCTTCCCTTGCTGCCGCCGGGGTTCTTGCGCATCGCCTCGATGGCGTACTTGCAGCCCCACCAAACACCCTTGAGGTTGATGGTCATGGTCAAGTCCCAGATTCGCTCCTCGGTGTTGAGAGCGTGGTCATCGGCGGGGTGCATAATGCCTGAGGTGATAGGACACGTTCGGCGCATCGATTAAATTGACGTTCAGGGTGGGGTATCGGAAGTGTTTCACTTACCAGCATTGTTGCTGTCAGACGGAGGAGATGGGAGGGCAGAGGACGCGGGAGCAAGCAGCAAATACAAGAGCGGGATGCACGATAGGATATTGACGAAAAAGTCAGCAAGGGTGCCCCGGCCGCCACTTCAAGACACCATGGTCGGTTCATGGCAAGCGCCGCCGCCTCTCCCCCCACGCGCTTGCCAGATCGGCCGGCCATTAAGCGCCGCGCTGCTCCACGTTGGATCTACCCCACTTGATTTTACCGCGCCACTGATTCTTGGCTCTTGAAGTCGCGGGGAGGCAGTCGTGTAGACAGCAGCAATCCGAGGACTGACAAGATGACATCCAGTCGACCAAACTTCTCGACGGCCTTGGAGACCATGTCCTTGATCTGCTGTTCCTTGCCGCAGTCGACGACGACCGCGAGCGCTTCCTTGGAGTCCGAGACTTGGGTTTTGATAAGCTCGACGGCGCGTTCAGCCGCCTGTTGGTTGATGTCGGCGCAGACGACGTGCGCGCCCTCCTGCGCGAACACGAGCGCCGTCTCGAGTCCGATACCACTGTTGAGACACGATGGGTTAGTGGGCGCTTAGCAGACCAGACGGGCTGCAGGGAGGGGCAAAGTGGACTTGCTTGCCGGCTCCTACGCGTGGCAGTTGAGAATCGAAAAGCGTGCGGTGGGGGCGAGGGGATCAGTTCAATGGCTGTTACGAGCTACGAGAAGAAGAGAAGCAGCTCACCCGTGATGATGCAAACGCGTCCGTCGAGGCGAAGAGTGGCGACCATGTTGGCTAGTGATAGATTGGGGTATGGAAGGTAGAGGCGGAAGTGGGGGCTTCAGTTGGTACGAAGGAGAAGGAAAGCTGATGTCGCAGCTTAGGCCGCCGCACATATAAAGTTCGACGCCAGTTCGACGCCCATAAACGCCGGTCGACGACACGACCAATCGCAACCGGAGAAGCGCGGGTTTATCGGGACGTGTAAGGTATGCGCCTCTGATGTGCATAAAATACAATCTGTCGTTCTTGACCGCTAGGCTAAAAGCAAGTCGTAACTAGAACTCGACAGTTACTCAGAGGCTACTTATGGGGCTGTTTCTGTAAGGCATCCCCTTACAGGACGGGCCATTTCCTATCTGAAATCGATGTAACCTTTTTAAAGCGGGATATACAGCTTTAAGTCTAAGTTTAACAGAGCTTCCTTGTATAATCTCCTGACTATGAGGGACAAAACATCGCAAACTTAACTGCGAGACATCAGATATCAGACAGCGGCTGTTTCACAGCTGCAGGAACCGGTCTGGCATCCCGGCGTTATCCAAGATGATCTGTTAAGGAAATGTCGGTGGCAAATATAGCACTACGAAAACCCTACGTAGTGTCGTATCTTCGCATTCTCTCAAACTCATCAAAGAGCTTCAATATTCGATCTCCAACAACCCTTACCCCTTGCTCCTCCGAATCGAAACCAAATCTGGGGTCAGGCCGACCAACAGATCTTCGACGCTGTCGATCTCTATGGGTTCGTCTCGCCGGCGATGGGGCTCAAATGGAGGAATCAGATCGCGGGTCTCTTTTGGAAAGGTAAAACAGCCACAACTGGGATGTGCAAAAAGGTGGGGAAAATGAATAAGAAATCTCGGGTCTTGCAAATTGCACTATCTGATCTCGAACGACAAGCTCTTGTCCGTAAGCGCTCACGGCGGCTGATCTCGGCCCCTCGGTGTCCAAACGACGGCCGAGACCGCGGAGGCCTTTCCCCCGCGATCTGCAAACCAATTGCTTCCTCTGTTCCGTCCACACCACACGCTCCGCTGAGTACCCACACCATGGCCATCAAACTACAAACAGGACTCGGTGAACGCTTAATCTCAAGTGATGTCGAGGCAAAAGCGTTCGCCGAGTTGCCCATCATCGATATGACGAGGTTGACCTCGTCCAAGCTTGAAGATAGACAGGCCTTGGCGCTCGAGGTACGTCTGCGGGATTCGCGGCCGGGTGGAAACACATGCGAGGAAGTCGCTGACGATAAAGGAGCTTTGTGCAGGTCCAAAAAGTACGCTCCACCTCCTAAAAGTCCCTAATTGAGGACTTGATTTCGCCGCCTCGCGATCCCGGTGCCCATCTTAAAGTGGCCGCGGCCGAAGTCCATAGTGCCGCCGTGCTGAGCCGAGTATCGCATACTCATTGCTTAAACATCTACCATAGGCCGCTATCGAATCGGGATTTTTCTACATCTCGAACCACGGCATTCCACAATCCATTCTCGATGAAGCCTTCGCGTGAGTCTCCCCAATCACGTATCGCACCCTCGCTTGGCGCGTTTGGAGCGGCAAAAGCGCGCCTTCGGCTTTCCTATCGGATCGCACAGCACTGACGGCCACGGCGCGTCGATCTTCTGATCACAGTCAGGGCAAGCAATTCTTCGCTCAACCGACAGAAAAGAAGATGGAGGTCGATTTGCACAAGGGGACGTCTTTCAAAGGCTATGCACGTGAGTCGCGTCGACATACATTCTTTCTCGGCCAGCGATCAGTATCTGAGAAGCACTCGATCTTCGGCATAACCCCTGAGCAGCTTTGATGGGAGAAGCTGTCGACCCTGCCTCTCGAGGGGACGTACACGAATCGTTTGATATGGGATCCGATTCGCAAACATTTCATCAAGGAACCGAAAAGAAAGAAGGTGTCATCTCAGGCAACCTGTGGCCCTCTGAGAAAGATCTTCCCGGGTTCAAGCCGGCGCTTGAAGCGACATGGGACCAGATAATGGCATTGGGCAAGAAACTCTTCCCGTTATTTGCATTGGCCCTGAATCTGTCAGTTCAGGCTGCTCGTTTCTCGGCGAATTTATGCTCTGGTGCTATGATAGCTGATTCCGCAACCATCCACAGGGAGGAGAACTATTTCGACGACAAATTGACCAATCCGGGCTCCGTGATGAGGATTCTGCATTACCCGCCGCAGACCGGTCCCATCGACATGACTGCGATTGGAATTGGTAGCCATAGTGGTGCGTTTGGGAACTGGGCGGAAGCAGCCGGAGAAATGTGCTTAAAAATCCAAGGCGAAGGGCACGGCGCCGTCGCGATGATGTTTCGAGAGATGCATCACAACGCCTTGAAAATTCTCTTCACAACTAACACCCCGCTTGTGTCAATTCTTCAGACTACGAGATGTTCACTCTACTCGTCCAGCACGGAGATGTATCGGCCTTGCAAGTTCTCAATAGCGCCGGTGACTGGGTCCAAGCGCCTCCCATCCCTGGCACGATTGTAGTCAACATCGCGGACCAACTCCAGCGATGGACAAACGGTGTTTTCAAGTCGACCATCCATCGTGCCATCAACCGAACAGGGAAGGACAGGGTAAGTCTTCGTCGACAAGGCCACTCACTCGCATGGCGGTCTGATTGAACTCCTTTTTCGCGTACCCAGATGAGCCTGCCCTTTTTCTTTGGAGTCGACTACGACGTTTTGATCGAAGTGTTGCCTTCTTGCATCACGGAGGACCGTCCAGCAAAGTATGAGCCCGTCAAGGCCGGGGAGTGGGTCGAACAACGTCTCAAGGAGACCTACATCAAAGTCGACCCAGTCACGGGCATCAAAGCTTAACCGGGCTGGTGCATGTTCTTGGTCGAGTAAAGTTTTTTGGGAGGACGAGGACATGGCGACGGTTTTAGGGTTTGTAACATACACACTCAATCTCCGGGTGAAACGCTATAGGACGAGAAATTAAAGCTTTCATTGAAATCAAGGATTCTGGATGATCGCACGAAGAAGCAATGAAACTAGCATCACACCCGTATCATATTGAGCCGAACCATAACAAAAAGCTAGCAAAAGAAAAAGCGTATGAATATACATAAAAAATGCCGCGGAAATCACTTGACGTCGTTGTCGATTGCGGCTCGCAGAGCCGGACCAATGCTGTCGACGAACTGCACCAACAACGATTTCGAAGAGTTGACGCTCGGCGCTGGCAGTTGAATCGAAGTCTTCTTGACTTCTTCCTCTTCTTCTTCTCGATCGTCATTCGTCTTCGAGCTCTTCGTGAATAGGCCCCTACGTGCCGGTTTGCCCTGCTGCCGTCTCCTCTTCTCGGCGACGCTCTTCTCGACCTTTTCGACGCGCCTCCAGTCGACGAGCAGCCCATTGATGCCTTCCAGTTCGCCGAACCATCCAAACTCCATGGGAGAGTCTTCGCGTTTGACGAGCAAATTCATCACCTCCCGGTCCTGCAGCACCAGGTCCTCGTACAAGAGATCTTTGTCCAATGAAGCGGCCCATGCCCCCGCAGCAGACGCCGGATCAGGATGCTCGACCTGCAAGAGATCGACTCGCAAGGAAATGTCCGAGTAGACTTTGCGATAACTCGTCCAGCAAGCCAAGGCTCGAACCTCACTCAGCACGGCTTTGCGAGTCTTCTCGGGCTGACTCGCGAGCAAGGCGTCGTAGTCGACCCCTACGCGTTGAGGAGCTTCGGAAGCGGCCTTCAAGTCGCCTCCCTCACGGCGCGAGGAAGTCGAGTTGCGGCGTCTCCCCGGCTTTCGAGTTTCGACCGGAGGAACGCCTTCACGGATAAAGGCGAGACCAGATTTGCTCCAGTCAATCAATGGGTCGAGCAGATTTCCACCGTTCGATGCCAGCTCATGCATGATATAGTACAGCTTTTGAACGTGGCGTGCCGCGAGGGCGATAAAATCGGCCGGCGCTGAAATTGAACAAGCGAATGTCTGATCAGCATCAAATGAGACCACCACTCCGATACTGCCAAAATACACGAACTGTTCTTCTCCGAGTAGGAGACCTTGATCATGTCGTCCAGGAAAGCTTGCAAGTCACCCAGACGTTCCGAAAGGTTCGACGCTTCAGCAACTTTGTAAATCGTCTTGTAAAAGATCGACACGGAAGCGTACAGCGTCTTGGGTGTGTTGCTCTCCATGACGATACCTACGACTTGCTCACGGTCCCGTGTGCGACAGACGGCAGCCAATAGGCCCTTGACATTCTGAAACTTGCCCGCTTTTGAAATATCGTCCACTTCTACGTCGACGCCGCCGCGTCGGATGTATTCAGAGTGCCAATCCTTGAGCATCTTCACCTGCGTGTCGTTGGCGTGGACGCGCATAATCGTGATGACGATCTCTTCGCCGCGTTTCTCTAGAGAGGGCCAGATACTGGGTCAGCCAGATTGTTGGTTTAAAAACATTCCGAAGCCGAATTAACGCACCTGCCTGCGCTCGAGTTGCTTGGCGCACTTCGTAGGCAGAGTAGACATGCTTTTCGATCGCTGCGCATACGATCTCGCTGTCGATGCGAGCGCGGAATTGCGCGGCGAGCTTCTTTTGTTGCTTGATACCGCTGTTGCAAATGATCGCAAAGATGCGCTGGAAGAGGGATGCTTGTCCAGCCGGCTGACCCAATAAAATCTGTACGATTGCTCGAATGGCCAGCGTCGGGTTCACGAGCGAAAGACCGAGCTTCAGAGCAGCGTAAGGGATCAGGTCATGGAAGGACTTGAGGAGTGCGAGGATCTCCGGTCCATTTTCGTTCGAAATGAAAAAGTAGTGGAACATGTAGGCGACCCAAATGCGTGCCCATTCTTCGGCGTCACGGTAGGACTCGGGCAAGGTCTTGAGCTGCGAAGTGCGCTTCACAAGCGCCATCGACTTGTCAATCTCAGCTCCGGAGATAAGTGCGCTTCGATAGAGCGCCCAAGTGGTGCGCAGCTTTTTGCCTCGTCGGCCGACTCGGACCCATTGCTCTCGCAGCCGCTCCGCCTTGTCTTCGTCTCTTTCCCCTTCGGCGACCCATTCCTGAAGTTCCTGCAGACTCGCCTTCTCCGCTGATCCCAGCAAGAATGCTTCGAGCTTACTGCGAGCGTCCGTTAGCATCGCACTGTCGCTCAGTTGAGACGGAGGCGACGAGAGCGCAATGATGAGCATGCGCAAGTACTGCTGCAGCTGAGCTCGAGGAGGCGCTACTTTTAGGCTCGAAACGGGTAGCAGAGGTGTATCGAGCAAGTTTTTGGGATCGACTTTTTCCATGGCCCGCGCCAACTTCACGAACGCGGACCACTTGCGCAGTACTAAGTACGTCGGACCTCCTTCGACCACAAGCACGCGTGAAATGATGAGGAAAGCCGTTTCGCCACCACTTTCTTCTTCCGAAACGATCGCTGACCATGCGTTGTAAGCGATGGGCTCTTTGGGCCTGAACGACATCCACAGGCTGTCCATGGACCCAGGAACGAGATGATCGATGCGGCGCATGACGGAGATGGACGGTCGCGCAGGCGCATGCCGCCCTTGCGGGGGCAGGCATGTGGAAGTGTAGGTGCCAAGGACTCGGGTGAATCCCATACCCAAAAGGCGTCGTTTGGTGATCTCAGCACGCTCGGCTGTGGTCGAGAGGTCCCGTTCCATGAACGAGTCCCAGAACGGTTGGATGCGGTCCGTCCAGTATTCGGGCTTGGCTTCACGCAAAACTGGCATGTGGTACAAGAAGCGCCAGAAGAGGTACCGCAGCACGGGCGATTCGAGGTTTTGACCTTCTTCCCATTCATAATTCTCAAAGCCGGCTTCACGCTTGGCCTCGCCGCCGCCGCCCATACCGACCATGCTGAGCAAGCCGCCGCTCTGTGGAGCTAGATGGCGAGGACGGGAATTGGGACCGTTGGGATGAGGGAGGAAGGGCTCGCCATAGACCGTCAGGGCACCGATCTTGGACAAAGCCGAGCCTTCTCGCTGGATCTCCAGACTATGTGTCACCTGTTGTCAGCCGCTGGTATCGTGTGGTCGGGCACTTGGTGCTCCAACAAGACTCACTTTATCATCATCCGATTCAGATAGTGTCGATCTTGGGGGGTGAGGTCCATCTCGTTGACCTCTCGCTGAGGCGAAGGCTTGGCGGATGCGGTGGATGTCGTCGAGCCGAGACCAGGCCCGTACGACCTCGCGCTTCCTTTCTGCTTGAGATCATCTTCTTCCTCGTCATACTCGATGTCGACTCGAGAAAACGAAATCATGCTCTGTCGGCGGACAGCATGGGGTCGCGAGGTGTGGGCGGGTGCAAACTCTTCCTTGTTGTCGATGCCTCCGCCGGGCGCGATGTACGCGGCGCCGCGAGACCCGAGTCGTGCTCGAGAGCCTCGTCGGCCCGCATGGTGATCATCATCTTCGCTGTCAGAGTCGCCGACGGCGGACTCGTAGTTTGACGATTGCTGCCCCGTTGAGGGACGGCGTTGAGAGGCCGAACTCTTTCGGCGCACGAGCTTGGCCCCTCCCGCACTCGACGAGCCGCGGTTTCGGGCCACGGGAAGTGATGCCGCGACGATAGATTTTCTGCGCAGCTTCTTTGGACCAGCCGGAGCCTGCGTGAGAGATGAATCGTGAGGGCCTGGACCGACCACCGCGCCCACCCCGCCCGCTCGGCTGTCAGCTCCATGGGCCGAAGGATCGCTCAAGTTCTCGGCAAAAGCTGACTCTTGCTGCGAGCTGACTTTGCGACGAGAACCAGGGATCGCTTGGGAAGACCGACGTCGATCCGCATCAAGACGAGGGGACTCCTGGTCTTGAGATTCAGTATCGTCGTCTGCCTCTTCTCCTCCTCCTCCTCCGCCTTCTTCTTCTTCTTCGTCTTCGTCTTCGTCATCGCCATCGCCATCGTCCTCGCTGTTGCCGCCCCCGCGAGCATCGCGGGTGGATCGCTGGCTGAGTGCGACCGCGGTGGCCGGCGGCTCGGTGGAATCGCTGTCGCTGCGATCCGACTGGGGAGCTGCAGATTTGACGCTGGATGCGATGCGTTGCTCCGACTTGGAGATGGTTGAGGTCTTGCGCGAGTAGTCGATGACAGGCGGCGAGTCGCTTACGACGGAAGGCTAGTTCAGCAAACGAGCCGAAGTCAGTCCCGGAAGTCGCCGGCATGTGAGGACGAGAGGTCATGGCTCTGTGGTTCAATACAAACGCTCTCACAAGACGATACATGAACACCTAAACTTTTTTACTCACAATAGTCACTCGCTTCGGCTTGGGCACAGCGAAGCCTGCCGGCTGGGCTTGGACCGCCCCCGCCCCCACCTCGCCCGCCCGCGAGTCCTCTTCCTCGTCATCATCCCCGCCTGAGTATCCACCCGTTTTCGCCTTCAAACTTTTGCGAGAAGCCTTTCTGACCACTGTAGGTCGGGGAGATTCGTCGTCGTCGCTTTGAGTGCCGCTCTGACCGCTGGCTTCACTGGGGTCGTCATTGCCGTCCTCACTCGACGGTATGGATCTCGACCTCGTCTTGGAGCGCTTCCAAGGTGTAGTACCGCGGTCATCACTATCCTTGTCCTTGTGCGACCCCTTTCCAGACTTGATAGAGCCCGAGTAATCAATAAAGCCGTTATCCACGGCGACCATGGCTCCCCAGGTGTACGAATGCAGCAGGTGAGGGTGGGGAAAAGTGAGCAATCTACCGCCAGTGGCAGCGGGGGAAGGAGCACCACTTCGCCGAGGGCCGGCCGAGGCCGCGCCCCAATTCAGTGCCCGCCAGTCGCCATCTCCGTCTTATTGCAACTCCCGCGATGGAATATGGCGATTGTATTATACGTCTTCAAATCCCCCTTTGACCAATCTACAGAAAAAAACATCGGTGTTGCCGCATTGCGAGGTGGAATCTGCATGTCCACCGATCCCCAGGGCCCAGGCTAACGAGTGCATATATCCAGAGTAGACGCCCGGCGTTCGAAGTCCCCGGTCACGTGACTAGACATTGAACTCGGTCAACCCACCACCATGGATTGAAGGACCTCAAAGCAGGTCAAATTCAGACACGAGAGCGGCATCACTAGCACGTAGATTCTCAACTACAAGGTGCACGTACCGTTAATCAGACGGTAGTCGTGTGACTTGGAGACGAATGCCACTTGCCGTTGTGCCGAATCTGAACGTAAGTCCGTCGCGATGAGTGTGCGAGCGTTGTGATCAGGCCCAACTTCACAGTGAACTCGGTGGGTAGGAGGCTGCGACAAGGCGTCTCTGCCCTCAACAAAAAATGCGAATCGAGTCATAAATTTGAGGCTCCGGCGGCGAAGCCGAGACAAGTGATCGGGCGAGCAGGGTGCCTGGGCAGACACGTGATCGCACGAGCATAGTAAGACCCGGGAAAGCTCAGCCCAATGTGCGTCCCCGAAAATGTACAAATCGGACCCTCCGAACCCCAAACTGCGACTCAAAAGTGGTACAAATCGGAAAAATTGGCACTCCAGATCTTGGAGGTACGTCCTGGATGTGGTACAAATCGATGTACCTCGATCTCGCACCTCCCTGGTCGTCCCCCCTACCAGTGATCCCAGACCGCCGCCGCTGATACGTGCTCGGCCATCGGCCGCGCGCGCCGCGGCCAACTGGCGGTCCATTAGCTTGAATGAGTTTCTGAACGAAATTGGACGCGCGAGCCGATTGTAATGCAAAAAAATGCCAATAGACGCCCCTGACAGCCTCTGACCACCCTCACCTTGTGCCACGTCGCGAGCATCCTACGTTCTGCGCACTTCACTGCGTGCCCTTGCTGAGGGTTAAGAGGACAACATGTCATCTACAACAGCCCCTCCAGATACACGAATTCAACTGCTCTTAGACGATGTGCTCGAGATTCCAGATGAGCAATTCGCCGCTATGTCTCCTGTTGCCGAGCTCACTGTCGGCGAGCTTCTCGCGTTCGAATTTACCCGGCCTGACCTGACCGCAACGCTCACCGTATCCGAATTCGAGCCAACATTTCATCAGCATCAGATTCGCCCCAATAGCACCACCCGCGCATTATTCAACAAAACTCACGATCTTCGAGAATTGTACGCCTCCGGCTATCGATCCATCGAGGTTCGATCCCCTTGCACGTCGATAGTGGAACACATGCCAATCGGTTCCGAAGCATTCTGGCAACATCTGGACTCTGTCGAGCAGCTGAAGTCAACCATCTCGGATAACGTTGATTGGCTAAGCAATGTTGAGGTCAATGACAAACGCGACGCCGCGTACATCAAGCTGGCAAGCGCCTTGCTTGTTGCATTTCGAACCCCTTCACTGCAATTGAGAAAAGTTGCTCATCACGTCGGCGTCTGCATGCACCACAGTGCACTATATTTACACAAAGCCGTCACCAGCAATGCCTCACTGCAGTGTTGAGAGCACCGAATCCCTCGGACTCGTCTCCAACATCGTGATTCAGGAGCTCTTCCCTACGCAAGCCAGTTCCGGAGTCTTCACCAATCGCAACAGCAGCGGCCAAGCTCGAATCTTCTTCTTGAATGGTCACCGGGTCGTCAGCTGCCTTGACACCTACAACTCGAGCATGCAGACCGTTGAGCCCCCAGCTGGTTTTGGGTTCGACGGCCACACTTGGCGAGTCCTGGACCCACAGGCGCAAGCGCGATATTCCCAGCTGCAAAGCTTCAAAGGGGTCCTTGCAGCGTCCTTGGTCCCGATTCGGAAGGGACTTGCGCATGCTGGCGAGGAGAGGGGCAATGCAGACGGAGGGAGCCGAGCCGATAAGCGGTCGGTGACGTTGAGGTCGGATCGAGACGGCCGCCTTACAACCTCCGCGTCGTCGGAGCGATTTTTCGTATTTCTGGCTGTTGGAGAGCGATTTTGGGGCAATTTCACGACATTGAATTTTTCATGTTTTCGGAACTCTTCCAAGGTACGACTGAAAATAGGTACAAATCGACCCCTCAGACACCTCATCCCGATGTACAAATCTGCCAAAAATCGCCGTTTTTCGAGACGCACATTGGGCTGAGCTTTCAAGCACAGTGCCCTCGGCCATCGCTCTCCATCGCCGGACAACACCGAGCCGTGAAATCGGTCGAACTCCGTCATTGCTCGTCTCGCGTCTGCCGCTTTCGCGCGGCGCCTCTGCATTTGCTTTCCCTTCCCCCATCCGTTCAAGACCCATCAACTTGCTACCATGGCACCCTCCCATGCGCCTCTGTCCTTAGGTGGCTGGGTGACACTCATCGTCCCGACGGCTGTCGTCTGGGCGCTGACACCGTTGAGCTGGGTGCTCGTCCCGTACCACCACTTGGTCTTATCAAAATCGCAGCGAGTCGCGTGGACGTCGAAATACTGGTACCTCTTCCTGCTGTACCATGCCTACTTGGACATCCCCTTCTCGGTCTTCCTCTTCTGGCTCACCAAGAAGGCGCAACGGCCCAAGGAGCTCGTTCACCCCGGACCAGACGAGATGCGACGGATCTTTCTCGAGTGTCTTGAAGTTGGCGCCAAGCTCAAGGAGCGACAAGTCGGCGTCCGTAAGCCCCGCACAATGAAGACTTCTCTGACAAAGGAAGAAGTCGATGAGATGGGCGCCGAGGTTATGCGGCTCAAGTTCCGTCAGTGGTTCAGAGGCCGCCCTCCCCTATCCGAAATCTACCGCGCCAACGCGATCGAGTGGATTGCTTGGGCAGTGGCCAACGCTAGACCAGAAGACGTCGTATCTGGATCAGATGCGGATGTTTTGATCAACGAAGGCATCGAGTGGATGCAACACCGATTGCACCACGACTTCACCCCCGGGCGTAACCCAAAGGTCGAGTCGATCCGGCTGACAATGGATTCGGTCCGAGCGGCGCATCGACCCGTCGGCTACTACATCGTCTGCAACTCGGTCACTCTGCTCACGTATGCTTGGCTTCTCACCAATGGATGCCGCTACGAGCGATACGGCGAATGCGCGTACATCACACGCGGCGCTCGACCGGACAAGCGCTCAAAAACTTCGGCCGGTCTTCCCATTCTGTTTGTTCATGGTCTTGGAATCGGACTCGGGCAATGTGAGTTGGTTCGCACCGTTGGCTAAGCTCTAGATGCTTCTCCAACTCGGTCCTGATCAAAACCATTTCTTCAGATCTTGATTTCTTGCGCCGGTTCTTGGCACAGCCTCAGCCAATCATGATTCTCATTCAACCCAACATTTCGACACAAATCTTCCACCGTCACTTCCTTCACCCGCCGAGCAAGGATGAGCACGTCGCCTCTTTCAAAGCCATCTGCGCCGCCAAAGGCTACACCGAATGCACTATCCTCAGTCACAGCAATGGCACAATGGTTCATGCGTGGCTGCTTCGAGGTGCCAAGGAGCTCTGTCGCCGCAACGTCCTCGCCGATGCAGTCTCGTTCTGCCTCTGGCAAGGCGACGTGTGCTACTCGTTCCTACATCAACCGTGGCGCGAGACGATGGAGGTCTTGTTGGGCTACTTTGTCGCCCGCGAACTTGGTACCGCGCACACCATCTGTCGCAACTTTATCTGGTCCGACATGCTGTTGATGGAGCGCGACCTACCGCGAACCGACCCGGCCTCGCTGCAGATCATTCTCGCCGAGCGCGATTTCCTCATTGATGCGGACGCGGTGGTGGCATACTTGCACGAATCTGGCATTAGTGATGATTGTATCACGTGCGTCAAGGGTGCGCAACACGGCGCCGCTCTTATTGTGCACGAAGAAGGTATGAGGAAGGTGTTGGCATCGCTATGAGATATCCCTCGATCGAATTCGGACTAGATTCTCACTAGACCTCCTTCGCTAGGACGCGGACTTGGCCGCATGTACCAGTACAGCCTATAGTAATACCTTACGCCTGTAGTTTTCATCGCTTTATCCTTGCACTGGTCTGTGAAATAGAGTGCTCGAGCCCACATCGACATATTACTACTAGTAGCCGCCCAAAGTGCACCATCACAAGCCGGCACTGACGACAGACACGATGCCGACCTCATGTTCTGTATTAGCTAAGCTGATTGTTCTGAGAGGAGTTCAGCACATGGGTCTTCCGTAAGCAAACGCTCTTCCGGTCGCAAAACGTAACCGTTTCAAGGCGGCGACGAGATCAATGCGACGACGGCGAGAATCCGAGACCGCCCGCTTGAGGAATAGCAGCGAGACGGTCACGATGGCGGGCATTTTTAAGGTTGACCATGATCCTTTGGCATATCCGGACAGTCACACCGATACTCACCTTAAAGCTTGCAAGTCGACCTACCCGGTAGTCACGGTGAGAATCGGCAGGCAGTAACCATTGACCAAACTGACAAATTGGCACGGGGCCTTCAAGCCGCGGCGACGTCTTTTGAGTCAGCAGCCCGCAACCTTATCAGATCGCATCCAGCGCGGCCCCGCGACGGGCAAGCGAAGCGTCGTCTTTTGCGCCGTCCTCGCTCTCCTTTCCCGTACACTCCGCCCCGTCCGTCCACGCGTGATACATCACCAAGGTCCCTCAAGCTCGCGCTCACGGTCGTCGGAGGGCGAGTATTGACTTGTCTGAGGCTCGTTTGCTTCCCGCTCTTTCCCCATCGCGTTCGCCAGCTTTCGCCCGCGCCCGTCTCGCGCCCGTCTCTCGCCCCCGGTGCCGGTCACAGGCGTCCAAGTGACGGCCCGACGATCGAGCGAACGAGATGGTCCTCGTTGACGGTGTCAAGGTCAGTCGACCAGAGTGCAATGACAATTGCTACTTGTTCGGCGTGCTGACGCGACGTGACGCGACGTGACTCGCCTTGTACCTTCCCCTCCGGCTTCGTGGGGTCTGCCACACGCACCAATCCGCTGCGTAGTTCGCTTGCCATTCGTGCATCAAGGGTCACCGCTCTTCCAAAGTGAGTAGTGCTCCATCTCAGCTTATGAGCCCTGATCCGGAGGCGAGCTATTGACAGCACAATTGGCCTTGCAGTGCACACACACCTCACGCCCATTGGTGGAGATCAAGAGTCGGTCTCTTGTGGCTGGCTTGGCACCTGGTCCCCTCGGGCGCTCGGACCTCTCTGTCCCCGACCGGGACCACCGACGAGGGGTCGCACAGCTCTGTACTGACATGTTTGCTTTGCTTTCTCTCACCGTTCGCCAACACCACAGAGAAAGGAAGACCGACCTCACAATGCTCGCATTGTCGCGACTTGCGCAAGACTCGCTCCGTGCACGGCAAGTGCGACTGCGTCGGCAAGGAGCACGAGGGTGCGCATACGCCACGTGCTACTTCCGGGTGCGCATGAACTGACTTCGTTCGCCCAACCCTCGTCTCTCCTTCGGACAGAGAAACCATCGCAGCAAGTCCTACCCAATGGCTTGTCTGATCTGATGAGGGCACGAGAGGACGAAGCCGGTGCTTCAGCCGAACCAGTGAAAGGAGGTGCCCAGAGTAAGCCACACTGATCGGGGCACGTGGCTCATCGCAAATGAATTGACAAAGTCGAACCCAATGGACACAATGTGTGCACAGTGTCTCGTCTTTTGAACCCCTGCAATTGTCGTCGTGGTGGCAAATGCAATTGTTGTTCGGTGGTCGACCGCTCGAAGAAGTCCCGTCTTTCGATCGACTCGACCACCTCTTCGTCGGCTCCGTCCCCTATCGCCTCCACCTCCGGATCACGGTCAACCTCTAGGACAAGGAAAGCAGGTGTAGGTGGCTGCTGCTCTTCCAACAAAGCTTCGAGCGATGCAGCGAGTCCGATCACGGCATCACCCGCAATTTCGGCCGAAGCCTTCTCCCCAGCTTCTACCGCTTTCAACTTCAGGTCCCCCGACGTGCCCGTGTACACGCCGTTTGCATCAACGTCCTACTTGCCCGCGGCGCCAACGCCACTTTCGCAGACTTTCTCATCGCCATTCCAGTTCCATTCCGCGTCCTCGACCGCGACGCCTTCGGTATTTGCGCCAACAACCGACCTCGGCGGCTGCATCGGCGATGACCCGACGTGTACGCTCTTGCTCGCCCACCTGCAGGCCAATGCCCCGCCACCGACGGGCCAATCTTCAACGTTATCAGCATCTGATTCTGCCCTTACGCTCCCGCTCGACCCTTGGTCGTCGACGCCTTTTGCCCAATCCTTCGTCCCCCACCAGACTCCACTCTTCCTTCCGCACACGCAAGGCACTTCGGCGTGCTTTTGTGGCGACTCGTGCACTTGCGTCGGCTGCCCTCAGCACGACCCGCTCGGTCAAAAACGCGCGCCTACGCACAATCCTGGCCCTGGATGTGGGTGTCGCAATCGTGCCGCCGAAAGCGCGCCGCCTCCGCTCACATTGCAGACGACGCAACTGCAACCGTCAGGCAAGCGCGTTTGCTGTCGCTTCAATACGGATGTCGAAGTGCCTTCCGAAGTTTCTTCCATCGATCAGCTACTGCAGAGCGTGATCGACCAAACCTCACCGTGCGAGATTACGAGCTCGAATCAATGTGCTATGACGTTGCCCGGATTATGGAACGACGGAGGAAACGAGGCGATCGCCGCGAACTTGCCCGGGGTCAATGATGTTTGGAGCGGTCTCAATATCTCGAACGACCCCTGGTTCACCACTTTAGCCAACCCGGAGGCGCCACAGGCGTTGCCATTGGTAAGTTCCATACACCTGACGTCACTCTGAAGTCATGGCGCTGACCTTGACTGGTCCCGTGTAGTTCATTGCTCCCGAACAACGCCAGAAGCGAAAGGCCAAGGCGCAATCTGTGTGGGCTTTGCAGCCGCTACCCGAATCCGGCGATCCCTGGTCGGCAACGCAACCCCAGGCTTCGACGAGCACCACCGATTCGAGTGAGATATTCTCCAATCCGTTCCAACGCAACGAAGCGAACGGCTGCTCGTCAATGTACGCTCCCGCTGCGGACGATCCGTTGGGCCTTCAGACTTTGAACGAGGGCGGTGAGGACGAAGATCCGGAACCGGGATGCGGCGACGAGTGCCAGTGTTCTTCGACCTGCGCGTGTCGTAACATGGACGTCGTGGATGACGATAGCCCCGAGGGTCACTGGCACGATGATTTTGAAGCCCTGTCGACAACCGCTTCAGGATTGTCGACGCCACTACAAATGTACGGTCCGCAATCCCTGAGTACGACTGAAGAGTCCGAGGTGCCAACTCAGCAAATGGCTGCGACTTCGCTGGGGAACGCGGTCGACCTGAGCCTCTCATTTGCGAGCTTTAAGAACTTCAAGGCCGAAGATGTCGAAGGTCAGGCCATGAAGGAAGGGCATCGACCGGCCGACTTCCTCCTCAGTCCATCACAACCCTCGCCGGACCCCCTAAGCCCGACGGATCGCACGAGCTCGAGTATCAAGCGCGACGACCCTTCCCTCGTTGATTTTGTAGCGGCTGGGTTTTGTTGAATATCCTGGAAGTGATGTCAGTAGATTCGATACGATAGAAGATACCAGGTGAACCGAGCATAGTCTTACGTGGACTGTGAATGTACTACCTTAAAACCCAAAGTGCCACCTGCTCGGCGAGGGGCGCCGCGCCACAGGGCTCGGGCGATCGCGATGAGAAGTTGAAAGAGGTCCAAGCTGAAATCTCGCGAGGTTCGCAAGCGGACACTCGACCGGCGCTCTCCACTTTGGACATCGATCCACTTCCACCTTTACCCCGAAGGCACAGCACACTTCTTGCGCCTCGCCATGGAAGAAGAGACGGCTTCACGCAAGTTGACCAAGAAGGAGAAGAAGGCGCTGGCGTTCCGAACGAATGCAGGCAACAAGGGCAAAGGCAAGGGCAAGAAGGTGACGGGCGACCTCGATCAGATGGCCGTACCGGAGACGGATGACTTGGACGACGAGGGCGTGCACGCGAACGCAGAAGAGGGAGAAAAGAAAGTCAAGAAGGACAAGAAGAGGAAGAGGGACGAGACCGATGCGGATGCGGACACGGCGACTGCTGCTGAAGGAGAAGCTGCCGAAGCCGACTCGGAGGAACCCAAGAAGAAGAAGCGACAACGGGGCAAGAAGCCGTCGCAGAGGAACAGGGAGGCCGCTGCAGCGAATGCATCCAAGTTGTTGCTCTTCATCGGTTAGTTCCAAGCGCAGATGCCACGATGCTGCATTTTAAATGGGGGCACGAGCTTGGGTCGCTGACTTGGGCATCTCTGTCTATGTCTCACCCCCGTCAATGCGATACAGGCAACCTACCCTACAAAGTCACGATTGAGGAGATCAAGACCCATTTCACACCATGCGGTACGCTAGCACGACTTATGTGCCTCCGGGTGGTCAGGACTGAATGACTGACATATTTCCACAAACACACGATCGCAACTCCAGGCGAAGTCCCTGAAGTTCGCCTCCTGACTCCGAAACCCAAAGTCGATGCCGCGGGAGCAACACCAACAACGACTAAATCCAAAGGATGTGCCTTCATCGAGTTCACTTCGCCCTTCGCGCTTCAGTCCGCGTTCCGGCTACACGAATCCGAGCTCAACGGGCGCAAGATCAACGTCGAGCTGACCGCGGGAGGAGGAGGCAACTCGGAAGCGAGGAAGAAGAAGCTGCAGGACAAGCGAGCGACGATGCAGAAGGAACGCGAGAGGGTTGCGTTGAACCGCAAGAAGAAGGACATCGAGGCGGGCAAGCTGAACCCCGATGGGTCGAGATTATGGGGTCAACCCAAGCCATCGGCGACGGCCGCGACGGCGGGCGCAGAGGGAGGGAGCGCATGGGCAGCGTCATCGTCGGGCCAGGATGGAGCGGGTTCCACCGCACTCAATGGCGCGGAGAAAAAGATCAAGAAGGTCAGGGATCGTCGATTGGTCAAGGATGGACCAGCCGCAGCGAGATCCAAACCGGTCAAGGCGCCGAAGGCGATGACGGGTGCCAACTCCATCAAGCTCGGCAGCTTCTAGTTTGTTGTATCCGCTTCCTACGATTTATCACTTGCATTACACTCGCATTCACCAAGTCAGAGACCGTTCGGTCAGACTCAGTGTAAGGGCTGGCTTTAGAGGAGCTACGGGGGGAGACAGGTCATCGTGCTCGGATTAGCCCTTGCTCCGGCGGCACTTAGTCCGGGGTGAGGTGCAAGGCACAGGGACCTACAAGACTTAGATACCCGCCAATCATGAGCAAGCCTCCGAGCGGAGTTGCTGGACCGACAATCTTGGTCAACGCGCCCATCCTTGTGCGAATTGAACAGATCAAGTCAGATTCTGACTGCTGAGCGCTCACGTGACCTGGCTGGCAGCGGTGGCAGCACTCACTTTTCTCGGTAAAGCAGCAACGCAAAGATGGATCCGGAGAAGAGCGTCGTACCCACGATAATGAGGGGTGCGCTCCATCGCTTGCTGTAGATGGGGTGTTGTGAGATTGCCAACAAGGCCACTGCGAGGGAGGATCCATGGCTCGAACGAGATCAGTCCCGTGCACTGCGTGGCCGCCATGGCTGTATACCGATCGTTGAAGCCCCGACTGACCTCCATTGACGATCGCGTAATGACTAGCCATGGTCTAGCGGTAGATGAAGCACCTCGTCCTCTTGGTCAGCTCAAACTTGTCTACTGCTCTTGGTCCGTGCAAGGCAGCACATAAGGTGCTCACCCATGTGGCGGTCTTTTCTCCCAGCCTAGGCGCCAGTGCATGGGCTCCAAATGCTCCAGCCATGATTCCTGTCGAACCTGATATTTCAACAGAGCCGATGGGATGGTCAGTGCCTTGCGAGGACGGATCCTCACTAGCTCGGCGATGATGTGGGGTGTCGATCGAGCGCGAAGTGGACTCACTGAGAAGCGCCCCAGCTTTCCATGCTAGAGCCGACGAAGCGGGGAAGAGTGGCATTGACGTGGGTGTGAGACTAAGACGTGTATGTCGTGGGACTCAAGTGAATGGTCCGGTGTGATGCGAGTTGAGGAGCGAGTCGGTGCGAAGAGGAGTGACGCTCCTACTCCTCCGTCTCCTTGGCGCGTCTCCTGGCACTCCCCCTCACTCTCCTAGAGTCCCCTCAGCTTGCGTCCATCGCCTCCGATTGCTAGCCTGCAGAAGTCGGCGCCGACGCTCGGCAAAAACTGCTACAGCTGACCAATAGTGGGCCCGAAGAACTACTCTCCCACTCTGAGAACCGTAATCACTGAGTGATTAAGGCTGTTTGTCGCTGTCGGACGCCGTCCGAGTCGCGTTCGGCCCCAGGTCGTCATCGGCTTGCGAAATTTCCTCTAAAATAAGGTGATTTTTTGTGCCTGTGTTGCAAGAGCGATGGATCGCGGCTGGCCGCCTTTTGGGTGGGCAGTGGTGGCTCGTAGACGGTCCGTTCCTTCGGTATGCGGCGAAAACTCGTCGCGAGCGAATAGGGTGAAGTTCTGCGAACCTTGCGCCGCGTTTGCGAGGCCAGTTATTTCGAATGGGTCTGAAAGCAGGAAGACTTTTCTCCTGACTTGAAACTTGATTGTCACCAGCCGTGTCCGATCGAATTTCGTTACGCTCCCGGTCCGGCGGGTTCAGCAAACGTCCGATGAGCTCGACTGATCCGAACGCGCAACCGCTTGTTCAAATATTCCCAACTCAAGTCTTGAGGGAGCATCACATCTTTCTACCTCTGGCGATTCACGAGTCGCGATTCACATCTTTTAAGAGGCATGCTTCGAGGACCTCGAGGTAATGGGCTGGCAGTCGTTCTGGATGGGACGACCCTTTGATGCCGCTCACGCCAGTTACTCGAAAGTGCTCGTCGATCTGTTCGAGTCAGATAGGGTTCGGCTCTGGTCCCCCATCTACCTCTACTTTGACACTTGCTCTAAGACCGGGTAGAAGACCTTTGCCTCGCCACTCGGGCAACTGAAAGGAGCGAAACCTCGCTCTGCCTTTCCCATCTATTCGTTCTCTTCCGTTCTCACCCGAAACGAACTACAAGACCCCCAATCAGAGTGCAATCACTTTTTTTAATTTTTTTGTTCGTTTCTCAGAAGTTTCTCGCATTTCAGTAGCCCCAAAAGACCCAAAGAAATCACAAGAAAAATCCAAGCCAATCTTTCATCTGGTCCGCTCTTGGAAACGTCAAGTCGTCGTCCCGCCCATGATCGAAAGAAGAAGAAGTCGTAGTTCCCTGCTAGTCGAACGTGCACAAAGATCTCGAGAGTGGATTTCCTCGAAAGAGCAGATGTTTTATAGGTGATGGTGGGTACCCGATCCAAAAGAGGTCGAGCCGGATCGCTTCGATGTCGAAGGAGAAGGAAGAAGGATTGAGCGGTGTAGTCGGATAGAGGCGGTCATGAAGAGGAAGTTGGGGTTGGGGGGAGTGGTAGTAGGTGAACAAATGCGAGCGAGGCAGAAACGCGAGTCGACAAGAAACCGAGAGACCGAGAACCGAGGGGAGAGACGGCGGTCTTAACGGAGTCGGCTGTGGGAAAGATCGAGACGATGATAGGGTAAGCACCCGTGCTGTTGTACAGTGATACAGACGGGACGTACCGAGCTTCACGTTCAGACTCGAGGAGGGCGAGGATGTCGTTCTCACGAACGGGGCCCTTGACGTTGCTGTGGAAGTACGAATAAGATGGGTAAATGATCAAGTCTCGGCAGTGGTTGCTCAGACGAGAGCTGGTATGGAATGCGCACCGGATGATGGATCGGGTCGAGTCGTCCATGAACTCGACGCGGACCTGAGTGACACCACCTCGCGAGCCGGTGCGGCCGAGCACCTTGACGACCTTGGCGAGCTTGACCTGAGTCTTTGAGGATTCCTGAGGGACGAAAACAAGATCACAGAACCTAGGTCAGCCCACTGGTGCGCGCTGTAGTGGACGTGATGTGGTGCAATGGGGGCCAGGGGTGTCGCAGGAAAAAGTCGCGGCGAGGCGTGTCGAGGGTCGCATGGTCGGAGTGGTGTACTGGCGACGGTACCATACCCCATCGCCGTGACAATCAAACTGTAGGCGTCAGGCGTATGTGTTGTGCGGTGGCTGGGTGGCATGATATGGCGTGGTCGGGCCGTGGTCATCGCAGGCGTGCTTTGCGTGTGCTGCCGCTGGCTGGCGGGCTGGCTGGCTGGCCCGCCTGTGGCCTGGCTGGCGAGGCCTGCCCTGGGCGGGGGGCGCCGAACGGCCCACAATGAGCGACGACGACGACGGCGGCGAGGGCGAGACGGTGCGACGGTGCGACAGTCGAGACGCTCCCTCCACTGGGTTGACTGGTTCCCACGCAGAAAGGGTCGAAAGAGCATGGACGATGGGATTTACCATACTGATGAGAGAGGGTGGACGACCGGTGGAGTGCTGTAGTGCGAACAAGAGCCAAGCCGTCTCGAGCGAAAGTCGACAAGTGCGCCTGTTCACGCTTTCACCTTTCGCTACTCTTTCGCTGTCGCTGGCCTGCGCGGGCTGGTCGGCTCTTCTGGCGCGGGCACCCATTCGATTTTGCAGCCAGCAGCCAGCAGCCAGCAGCCAGCAGCCAGCAGCGAGCAGCGAGCAGCGGGGCGCGCGAAATTCGTTTTCGGCTGGCGCGGTTTGGCCCAGCGCGCGCTGCCCCCCCGGCCTCGCTCAGCCTCGCTCATTCGCTGGCCCAAGGCTGGCGACGACGAGCTACCGACTGACTGCCTGCCTTGCCGCGACTCGTCCTTCTCTTCTGCCTCGTACAAGACTCGACGCATCATGACTGACTTTGCCCCCGTCCCCCAGGGTGAGTGATGCTTCCACTACCGCAACCAACAGGACGACCATGGTCCAGGGTAGCTGTCGTCGTCGTGGGCGTGGCGCTGACAGTTTTACCTACGCTGCTTTCCCCCTTGACCCACCACGCCTCGCCCCGGGTGCGTCCTCTCGCGCGACGACGACGACGACGACCGACGGCCATCACCGCCACCACCTTCCACCGCCGCCGCCTCGCCACAGACGTGCTCACCGTCAACGCCTCGGGCATCTTGCTCTTCAACCGATGGGATTCGGCCGATGTCGAGGTCAAGGACATCTCGTTGACCGACTACATCCAGGTCCGCAACGCGATCCTCCTCCCACACACCGCCGGCCGATATGCGTCCAAGCAGTTCCGCAAGGCCCAGATGCCCATCGTTGAGCGTCTCGTCAATGCGTAAGTATGATTCCCACCACCTTGCCACCTCTCTCGACCCCATCGTAGCGACGTAGGACCCTGTGACGCGCGCATACGGGCCACGGTCGATTTTTTGCGGACCGTTCAGGGCCGACTTGCGGTGGGATTGCATGGGGTACAGCGGACTATCTGGGGCGTGGAAAGTGACAGGATGAACTATTGGAAGTCAACAAGAGGGAGGGCAGCACCGTTAGGGCGGTCGGAGATTGGAGGGAACGGTCTCGCGGGATGGGGGCGTGACACGGGCCTGTCCACAACGGGAGCTTCGCCGGACCGTAACTGGCGCTGACCTGATTTCGTGTATGCTGCATACGTCTGTGCCCATCGACAGCTTGATGATGAACGGTCGCAACAACGGTCAGTACTCAAGAGTATACGCTTCAATCCGATCACCGACGATCATATACTGATATCATCGACACGGCCTGTGTACCACCTCTCACAGGAAAGAAGCAAATGGCCGTCCGAATCGTCGCCCACGCATTCGAGATCATCCACCTGCTCACCGACCAAAACCCCATCCAAGTGTATGTCGATGCGAGAAATACACCCACTTTTTTAATTCCACAAATGCTGATGAGGCAATGTTCGTTTCTGGGTCTGCTGCAGCCTTGTTGACGCCGTCGTCAACACTGGGCCTCGTGAGGACTCGACCCGCATTGGATCTCAAGGTACCGTCCGTCGTCAAGCCGTCGATGTCTCGCCTCTCCGACGAGTCAACCAGGCCATCTCGCTCATCACCATCGGTGTCCGCGAGTCGTCGTTCCGCAACGTCAAGTCCATCTCCGAGTGCCTTGCCGACGAAATCATCAACGCCGCCAAGGGATCGTCCAACTCGTACGCCATCAAGAAGAAGGTGCGTTCGCTGTGATTCGTGGTGGGGAAGATGCTGTGGGAGATGAAACGGAACTGACCTTGTCTCCCTTTTCGACCGACCATCAGGATGAGCTCGAGCGTGTCGCCAAGAGTAACAGGTAAACGGGTTGATGGGAAGGTCCGGAAGCTATGTACGGTTGTTTTTGAGATGCACACGAGGCTCAGGCGTCACGCACTCTAGGCGCGCTGGGCCAAAAAGGAAGAAGGATCTTGCAGAGTAGATGCACACGGGAGACGGTTCCTTGATCTACCATCTTTCTTTCGCTCACTTGGTGGCTCTGGGTTCTCCCGACGACGAGAGGAGTACGGAAAAAGCTACTCGTGAGATCACAAAAAAGTCGTCGTATGCCCTCGAAGACATCATAAACTCAAAGTTACTCTAATGCACTCTGGGCATCGTGCACTGGTGGGGTCTCCGACTCTCCGCAAGCGCCCCGGAGGAGGGAGCCTTCGTTTTGACTTTCCTCGCGGGGTCCGTACGACGTCACACGCAAAAACATGCCCGAAAGACGGGGTACAATGCATTCCATTTGGGTTGCAGTATGCTGAACAACGATTTTCAAAGCGCTTGTAATATACGGATATGACAAAGGCAACACCCGCACCTGTGTATTCTCAGCATGTACGGCTCGTCTGGTCAAGTTGGAGTTGGCCGTGATATCGAGCGAGTCGGGCCACTCCGATCGTAGAGCTTGATTTCGCGCTCTCTATCTCTCTCTCTCTCTCTCTCCGACCTTCTGTTCACCCTGCTTCGCTCGCCAGCCTTCGTCCCCCCTGTTATTCACTCTTCTGCCCCACGAAGGCTCTACTGCGGATTCGGATTGCTGGCATAGGTCTCGTAGCCCGCCCCATCGAAGCCTCGAAGGTAGCCGACACCCGCTGAGTCTCCCCATCTGCCCAAACAAGACGTCACCTGCCTGCAGCTAGCTTCCGATACCGCGCCCGTACGACCGTGGATGCTCCGCCATCAGGCTTCGTCTCTTAGCGATGTCGACCAAATCCTCCAAACCCAAGTCGTCTGGTGAAGCGCACAAGGACCCAGATCACGTTACAACATTGGCCTCGCTCGCCCTGCCGAAGCCCAGCGGCATCGCTCGGCGCAGCCCACGCGCATCGTCCAAGTCGTCGACAACAACCATCTCGACCTCGACCTCGACCTCGACCTCGTCCTCGGTGTCCTCGTCGAGCTCGAGCGACGACTCGAATGGATCTCAGCTCATGAGACCACCCGTCAAAGTCAATGGCCCAAAGCCCAAGGCCTATTCGACCGCAACGACGCCCGTCTCACAGATCAAACGAGGCGGATCACCACACGAGTTGGAGCTCCAATCCGCACGGAACGGCCTCGCGCCTCTTTCCAACTTGGGTAATGGCGGACTCACCGCCGCTCTCGACCTCCATGTCCCTCAACCGACGATCGAGGTCGGCGACTGGCCCGTGGATCGCTTCATTGATAAGGGTTACTCCGAGATGAGGGGCCGTTCGAGGCGAAAGACGATTACCGGTCCCATGAGGCTCAATGGATTGCCGAGCGGGCTAACAGGCGACGCCGAGAGCGAGAACCTGGTGCTGCGCCAAGACGATACCGAGAACGACGAAGATGACGACTCGGAGTACGGCGAAGCCGAGAGGGCTCAGAGGATTTACCTGTCAGGTGAGTTGGATTGGCCCGATCGGCCGGTCCTTGGAACGCTGCCTTGACTGAGAAGATTGTCTTCAATTTCCTCGTAGGTCCGACCGAAGAATTGGTCGAGTCGTTGCCTCGGCCGTCTCCTCTACCTCGGTACACGTCCCCACTGCCCTCTCCGGCTCTTTCGACGACTTCAACATCGTCGCTCGTCGCAGTGCCCATCATCCAACAGCCCGCGGATGGCACTCAGCTGTCCTTCCTCGATTCGACGCCGTCCCGACCCCGACCTCGAACCTACACGCTCTCGCACTCTGCGTTCGGCTCTTTTGGTACCTTCCCCTCCACCGCTCGCTCTGGGCCTCTCCCTGCTCCGACTCTCATCTCTCGTATCAGGCTCTTCTTCCTGCAACTCTTATCCAACGCTGCCAGCACGGCCTTCCTCATCTTGATCGTCACCTGGGCACTCGGCTCCCGCGCCTGGCTCGCCGTTCGTCGATGGCTCAGAGGCATCCAAGACGTACGCGAGAGACGTCCGTGGGATACCGACGAGATGCGAGCCAAGTACGCGAACGAGCAAGTCGTCAAGGATATCCAGTACTATGCGCGCGAATGTGGCTTCGACTGCATCGAGCAAACCGTGCAGACCAAAGACGGGTACTTGCTCAAGGTCTTCCGCGTCGAATGCCTCAACAAGAAGTCCAAGGTTCATAGCGACGGCAGGCGAGGCTTCCCCGTCTTGATTCAGCATGGCCTGTTTCAGAGTTGTGGAAGTTTCATCACGAGTGAGGAGAGGAGTTTGGCGTTCTGGCTGGCTGAGCATGGGTCAGTCTGGCCTGCGAAGACCTGACGTACTATCGCCTCGCGGCATATCTCTAACGTTGACGGGCTCGATATCCTTATTGCAGAGACTATCAAGTCTACTTGGGCAACAACCGGGGTGTCTTCGACATGGGTCACGTGCGATTGAAGAGATCGGACCCAAGATTTTGGGGTGAGACTCTGTGTGGCTGATGTGCGAAAGCAAATGAGAACCATGCCGACCTTTAAAATTTTATTGGGGATCACTAGACTACAACATCAAGGAGCTGGCTCTCTACGACCTGCCCGCCATGGTGGATCACGTTCGTCGCGAGACTGGTTACGACAAGGTGAGACCAGGTCTGCTCCGTGAGCCTGATTTTCGGGTGCTAATGTGATATGGGTTTTCCCCGGTGTAGATCGCCTTTATTGGGCACAGTCAGGGAAATGCGACCATGTTCTGCTCGCTTGGTCGGTTTCTCTCTCATCTAACACATACACATACGTGAAACCATAGCTGACGTCCATATTGGCTTCAGCTCAAGGAATGGTCCCCGAGCTTGGAGAGAAGCTTTCAGTCTTCATCGCGCTCGCTCCTGCCGTTTACGCCGGACCGTTGACGACCGGTTTCCCCTTCGGTGCGCTCAAAAGCATGAAGTGGAAGACGTGGCGACGTTGGTTTGGTGTGCTCGACTTCATTCCCTTGATGCGTATCTCCTACAACCTCACCCCAAGCAAACCGTTTGGTCTTCTCGGATACCAAATGTTTGCCTTCTTGTTCAACTGGACCGACCGAAACTGGGTGAGTGTCCCATGAGCACAGAGTTGAAGCATGGTCAGGGACTAATTGTATCGATCGTCATCTCTGGCGCACAGCTCAATCGTCGCAAACCCAAAATGTTCCGCTTCACCCCGTCGCCCGTGTCCTCGGCGTCCATCTTTTGGTGGACCGGCTACGGCGGCTTCTCGACTCGCGGCTGCGTGCTCGACCCGAACGTCGACAAATGGTTCGACCACCGATTCCCGCCTCTGGCCATCCACCACGGCGGTCTTGATTACCTCGTCTTGACCGAGCCTCTGCTCGAGCGTTTGAGGGAAAAGGAGACCGACGTCAAGGTCATTCGCGTTCAAAAGCTCGACGAGGGCGAGCACTGCGACTTCTTCTGGTCAGTTCCGCCCGAGGACGAATCGCAGATCAACCCTTGCTGATGCTCGTGCATGTTGTATTCGTCACAGGCATATTGATGCTGTCGAGCTCTGCTTCAACTCTTTCGTCGAGGACATTGAGCGCACCCGTCCGAGGTACCCCGAAGAACTTTCCGCCGCTTTCAAGTCCGACGCGCCCAGCAAATCGAACGGTCAACTTCACTAAATGTCAACTTTATACACTCTGAGATCTCTCTGCAGTCCTCACTCGACTGAAAGCCGATGTATCCGTACCATCACCCCAGAACACAATCTAATCCCTGAAACCACCTTGTTCTAGACTATTTATCCTGTTGCCAATGTTGCACTCTTATTCCGTTTGCGGTGCTTCATCCCGAAGAAAGCTTGTTGGGACATGCAACCTGTCAGAGGCTCGTGTCCGGCTCAAGATGTGTTTGGTAAAATGGTAAGTGTGATTGCATGTGTAGCCTCGGTCAAAATTCTTTCGACTGAGATCTAAATTGGGCAATCGACATCCGTGCCGGTCTCCTCATGAGGCGGAACAAGAGGATGGATGTGGCTGCCGACAGGGCGTACCTAATGAAAAAATAAGCCCAGAAAGGGTCAGTTTACTTGTAGTCATCAGACGGTTGTACGTGCACAGATCACGTACCAGGTGATGGCGTATGTGAGATGTTGATTCCGCAGTGTGATGGTAGCTTCTCGCCCTACCGGTATCCCGTCCTGCACTCTTGTGCCTGCCTCTCCAGCATGTCCCACTACGAATCACGTTGGTAGATTAGCATGTTGGCTCACGATCGGCTGCGCTACAATGAGCCACGACTGACTGAAGATCTCATCGACCAGCACCGGTTCGGCGTGGGTGTATTGGGCCATCTGTGCGATGTCCGAGAAGACCCACTGCCCCTTCTCCGGACTGTTCTCCGGTGTGAACGAGTTGCGTTTTTCTTGGTCGCGGAGCATGCCTACGACTTGTACGGTGCCTTCGGTCTGGAGGGATTTACCGGGCAAAAAAAACGTGAGAATCGGTTAGGGGCGCCTCGCGCGATAGATCGTCGTCCCGGCCCCCGGGCAGAACCGAGTCGACCACGAGCGAAGATCAGACTTACAAGACTCTCGGGTCGATCCTTGGTTTCCTTCCTGAGCCTCTTGACGAATCCTCGGTTGACCATGATCGTATCCTGGCCCTCGCCTCGAACCAAGGGAGTGACGACGTGGTAGCCGAGTTCGCCGTCCCTCGTCTTGGGCCCGAGTTCAATCTCGTGTTCATGGTCGAATTTGCCTTTGACGATCACTTTGCGGTAGGCGAATTCGGGGATCGCTGCGGGACTGTAGTGAAAGAAACCCACGAGGAAGAGAGAGCGATGGACCGGACCCGACAGGGGTGGAGAGATGACGACGCAGGGAAGCAAAAGTGCGTAAAAAGCGAGTGAGCGACCATCAATACATTGAAGACCAAACGTAAAAAAAAAGGCGCCAGAAGGAGGTCAGATGGCGACGCACTCGATCCGGGCGGGCAATCCGACAGGTTCCTGGTGGAGCTTGGTCTCGAGACGATCGATCATGTCGAGCTTCCACTGCAGTCGCTGCAATTGCCATGTGCCCAGGCCAAAGGTGAAGACGGGCATGATACCCAGTATCCATACGAACGGTCTCGATCGGGATGTCATGGTCGAATGGGACTGGGTGGACGAGAATCGTTGCGCAAGGAGCGAGCAGGGTCGTGGACGAACCACTGACGATCGAGGGGTGGTCCAGGCTTGATGCGGCCTTGGGCAAGGTGTTCGAGTCGTCGACCGAAGCAGGGAAGCCATCTGGTGAGAAGTTGGGCGTCGATGGTGCGACGGGGTGCGTGATGTTGGTGGGTGAGCGAGCAAGAGCTTCGAGCATCGACGCGAGACCCGGCCAGAATGACGCAGACGCGCACGGACCCCGCGTCTACAAAAACCCAATTTGGCCCGTTTGAACATCGCAATCGACTCGGAGTAACTTGGCGTGAACTTGCCGCCAGCGTGGACCGTAATCACATACCGTCGCGCTGTCAGATCACACGTATTCGTCTCAAGTTTCAACTCTTCAAGACCTCCGAGTCGGAATCTGCGGGTAGACTGCAGTGGGTAGTGGGATTGCCAACCCCGCCGGAACCCCGCCGGGACTGCCCAGTCGACGACCAGTGCAGGGGCCCAGGCTGGCAGTGCCCACTGCAGGCTGGCAGCCCGTGCGCTCCCCCACACGTCGGAGTCCTCGTGCTTCGGCTTTGGACCTCCGTCAATGCACAGCCCATAGGCCGACCCGGATCCGCACAAGAGCTGAGATGGCCTCGTTGTCGTCGTCGTAAGTCCCAGCTTGGGTCGACGATCCCCTGAACATCCCGCTCGCAGTACATAGTGAACACGCTCTCCTGAACGGATGCCATCTCCTGAGACCGAGCCCACCCCGGCGTGCGGTCATCACTTTCGCACCGCACCTGGCGCCCTGCGGGACCTCCGCACCTCCAAACTCGTTCTTGCTGACATCTCTTTTGCGCCTCTGACGCGTCGTATGCGACAAACAGGTGCCTTGCGACCGCGTCGTCTCCCGCGCATCTGCTCAGCTCGCCATCGCAGCTCGGGGTCGAGCCCGCTACGAGCTTCGTCACGCGTGATGGCACTCGCTTGATGCTCGATGACAAGCCCTGGGTCGCCGTAGGACCCAACATATACTGGCTAGGTAGGCGTCTGACCAGTACAGCTGGACACGGCGTGTCTGACTGATCTCTCTTGGTTTGCGGCCATCACAGGGCAGGACGAGAATGTGCAGCCCAACCCGGCTTGGCCCTCGCAATCACGCGTGCTCGAAGTCATGGCCATTGCGGCAACCATGGGCGCGAGTGAGTCTGATCTATCGTCAAAAACATAGCTCTCCAACAACCAGAGTCGCTAAAAGCCGGTGGGCCTGTTTCCATTTGACACAGACACGATCCGCTCAACGACGCTCGGCGTATCGGTCGGCAACTCGCGCTCGGTCGAACCCAGTCTCGGCACCTTCAACGAAACCGCTCTCGAGACGATCGACTTTGCCCTTTCAACTGCTCGTGCATACGGTCTGCGACTCATCATACCGTTGACCGATCAGTACGACTACTACCACGGAGGGATCCCGACCTTTCTACGTTGGAGGAATCTGTCGGCAACGAACCCCAAAGCCGACTTTGGCCCCTTCTACGACACGACCTCCCAAGTCTACTCGGACTTTGCGCTCTATGTCACGACATTGCTTTCGCATCGGTCCAGCCTGACAAATTTGATCATGGCCGAAGACCCAACCGTTCTTGCGTTCGAAACGGGCAATGAACTCGGCGGATGGGGTGGCAGCAACTACCCGCCTCCTTCCAAGTGGACGACGTCGATTGCCAAGCTCATCAAATCTCTGGCACCCGATACTCTCGTCGCTGATGGGTCTTACGGCGTTCACAAGGCCGGCTTGAACATAGCCGAGATCGACATCGTTTCCGATCACGCCTATCCTCCTTACTCGTACAACGTGCGCAAAGCGGCAAACTTGGCCCACTCGAGTGGCAAAGTGTTCCTCCTCGGAGAGTTTGACTGGACGAACCGATACTACTTTCCTCTCACGTACCTTGCTGTACTCATTCCGGCGGTACTGGCCGCGCTTGTCTTCCTGCTGCCCGCTCGATGGTGGCCATGGCAAGCCAGTCTCGGCTGCTTTTGCTGCCGCGGTCGAAGACGTCGGAAAAGGCAAGCCAAGGCATCCTATTTCGAGGTCATGCACAGCGACTCGGTGCGACTCTCCTCCGCCTCTGTGCCACTCGTTGAGGAACCCGACCCCAAGTACGCGTTCCCCCCACCATCCACACCACTCGGAGCTTCATCCAGAGCTTTGCCATCCCTCGACGGGCGCCGGTCGTTCCTGGACCGGACTTTGCCCATTCGTCGTTGGCATTTTTCATTGTTGATCCTCCTACTCGCCGCACCCTTGGGAGCCCTCATTCACACCTTCTTGCCGACGCCGCTCTCGTCGTTCCTTCCGGCCGTCGAAGGCCTCGCTTTGGACGGCAAGCTGTCCGGGTCCTTTTACTGGTCTCTCTTCGGCAAGGACTCGACATGCTGTCAATACGTGCCCCACGGCGACGGATATACGCTCCACTACCCTTCCGATCCTGGTGTGGTAGATGGAAGCGGAAAGAACGTCGTCGAGTTGACCAAGCACGCCTACAGACTGAGCAACAATGTGACTTGGTGGGGCGCGGCAATTTCTTCGCTCACGCTCAACGATCTGCCCAGTGTACAATGCCCGCAGAACGCTTCGGCGACAATGGGGACGACGGATTTGAAGAATAGGAAGCCCTGGGAGAGGGCGAACGTCACCGAACTGTAGCACCTCCCAAGCGGCATGTATGATTTGTTGGTCCCGTCGCCTGTTCGTATTCAGCGATCAGGGACGATGAATCTTTGGGCGCCATTGTGTAATTGTAGATGTAGCGCCCATAGAACACTGTATGCAATATGGTTGAGCTGAATCGACATTTACAATCGCTCGAGGGTTTGCTCCAGTACGAGGATGGGCATATGCTCCGTCGCAGGGGGCTTTGGATCGCACGCACAGCAGCGCATGGCGCCTGAGGCCCGGGCGACTAACCGAGCAGCTGCTGCGGGGATCGCCCGATCGCATGGCGTTTTCACGCCCGACAATCGATGAGCGAATTATTACCTGCCTAGGCATTGCCGAATAATCATCGAAGCCAGGGTATTGCTTGAAGTGTCTCAAGATTCAGAGTAGGCTGCCAGGGCCGAGCGTCATGCTCAGTGCCTCCTCGCCACTGCGTCGGATCGGCAGCTCGAATATCTAGCACCGCACGAACGAAATCTGCCGGGACACCATCTTCCTACACTACCTTAAGCACAAAGCCTGGATAGCGGAGATACTGACACCCAAATATCGCCCACCTAGTACCTACCGTGCTGTCCTAGGCACCTGAGGATTTAAGCTTCTCCGGAGGCCGATCGAATTGCAAGATGCGCAACTGCCTTCCAGCTCTTTTGCTGAAAGGAATCTTGCCAGGGTGTTAGGTGCTCTGTCCCTCGATGCGCTCGATGCGATCGTCTCTTCCAAGAGTGCCATACGGGTGTCATGTGCACCACACATGGTGTTGGCCAACCTTGTTTTACTTTTTTAGGATCTACGAGGCGTGTCATGTCTCGCATCGCTCGACCGGGCGATGCAGCCCATCTGTGAATCGCCATCCCGAGACGTCATGCAATTCATGGATGGGGCATTCGCCATGTGGGGGATTGCCGCCTGCCGCGGTGCACGCTCGCCGTTCACCGGGCCTCTCCGACCTATTATAAATGTGCTTCGTGCCGCGCGGGTGGGTGGGCGCGGTCTAAATAATAAAAAAGCGGTCAGGATTATAGGCGGCGAAAGGCCACTCGCCGTGGCCGATCGATGGACAATAAGAGACTGACAAGCGTGTAATCCAACCGTCAGTTAATTGCAACGAAAGTGGCTGTGAAGCTAAACATGCGTACCTGACGAGCGTGTAATCCAACCGTGGAGAGAAGACAACGGTTGGTGCGCATCGCCAGGCTTCACTAAAATTACAAAAATAGACCCAGCATCAACGATTTGTCAGTTCAGAGTCAAGAGTGAGCATGTGAGAGGCCATGATGATAACCCGGAGGCTGCGATCGCGCTCCCTCTTCCCACCAAGGGTCACTAAACAGACGAGCGCTTCTAAACAGATTACCAAAGAACGCGCGGTTCCTAACCCTCATTCCCAACACACCAACTTGGACGTCCGGCCGCCGTCCATCAGGGTGCGCGGAATGGAGGCCACAGAAAATGTTTCAAGTGTCTCATGTCTTGATTGATTGGAGAAGTCCATGGCGAACAGTACGAATCGAGGTACCGACAAACATGAGCCGTCTACTGATGTGACTGATGGAAAATCATCTTATGGGGACACGGCTTTAATGCTACAGAGCGCATAATGGATGCACTACCACGGCTGCAGCGCGGAACAGTCTGCGCAGCGCGAAGCCGGCTCATGGTCGCCCGACGAGCTTTATAGGAGGCGCTGCCTGAGGCGAGCGGTGGGGCTGCGGGAGGTGCGGGAGGTGCGGGAGCACTTTTGAGTTGGCGCGGCGTGGTGCGGGGCGCGGAGCTCGGCGGTCTCTGTCTGGTTCCTTGGGGACAAGAATCATTTGAAAAGTAAGACAAGCATTGAGCGGCAGTTGCTTTCCCAAGGGCTGGTTACCTTGCTTGATCGCAGGAAGGTTATAATAGGTTCTGTCTTGGCAAGGTTCGAGTCTGGTACTTACTCACTCGTCAAGCCTGGCGTCTTTGCGCGCTCTGATAGATCTTTCCATGGCCCGGAAGACCCTTACTTTGATCCAGAATGCCAACCTAATCGACCCGGGGTTGCCGATCTGTTCAGGGCGGTAGGATGTGGCTTTACAAACAGCTTACTTGCTGGGAAATTGCCCTTGCATCGACGGAGCCCTCCCATGCCCTTATAATTCGCGACAATCGTCAACGCTGTGCCACAGGTGGTACTCAACACTAAAAACCGCCGATGGCACCCTATCTTTGAGTTAGGATCACGAGCACCATCATAATCTTTTTACGATGAAAGCTCAGAACACTGTAGAGTAGTCAGAGAAATGGGGTCTCGATCTTTCCAAGTAAGATCGAAGGGGTTTCGCCCCTGGCCAGGGGCTTCGTGTTCGCAGGCACGGAGTGAACGTAATGCAGATATAGGCCGGCGACGCCCCGTGAGACATTGATCTACAATTCCGTGAAATTTTTTAGGTGCTTCATTTTTGAACGCACCTACTAGGAGAGGTGTGTTGCGTATACCTAAATCTCAAGCGCTTCAAAGCACGTGATAGGGGCAGGTAGGGGGCGGCCCAAAGAGGAATGCTGATGCTTCTGCTGTCGCTCTCCGGAGGCAAGAGGCGAGATCTATGGTATAGCAAAGCGGTCGATCAAAGATGATATGTAAAGATACGGGAAAAAGATGGGACCGAGACCGAAGACAAGAGAGACGAGAGAGCGACCGGAACGGCCGAGAGACAGGGACGGAAAAGGGGAGTAGCAGAACCGAGAAACGAGACCGAGTACGAGAATGAAACGCGGAGACTGGAGACTGGAGACGATGCCGAATGAGACTTGAAACACGCAGAAAGTGAGAGCCGGGCAAGAATCTGTATTGGATCCTGCAAGTGGTCTGCCTAAGAACAAGAAGCAAACTCTCCTCAAACGTTCCGACCATTCAGGCCGCTGCGCTCCTTTCATTCCCCTTCACCCCTTCATCCACGCATCCGGCCCGGTCTCCCACTCAAATCCTGCTACATGATTCGTTGCTGACGGTCAATCCTTGAGTCATCGAAGTGCTGACCCGGGAGCGCTTTATCGCTGAGAAATCTGCCGAAACCGGTGTTTGATCCTGCCCGAACCGGTGTTGACCTTGACAGTTTGAATCGACTCCGGAACTCGGCCCCGCTACAACCGAAATGACTCCGGAACTCGGCCTCGCTTCAACCGAAATGACTCCGACGGGATCCCGAGTACCACAGATCACGACCCTTTCTACATGACGTTTGTCTTAGCTGTTGCACAACTTTCCTCAATGGGAATTGGGAGTGTCATCATACAGTCGCGAGGGCGAGGTCGGGCGCGAACGAGACGCCCTCGTCATTTCGCAATTGACCCTGGCAGTGTTCTCAGGTCCATCGTCCTTAGACACGGTATTTCTCCACCCAATCCTTCATGCTTGCTGTTCTTCGTCTCCATCTCTTTCTCTTCCTCTCCTTCACTTCACCCTGCCATATCCCACCTTACTCCTACTCCTCAACCTCACCCACTTCCATTGAAAACTCTTCCTCTTCCATGATTCCCTCCATCAAACACCGCTCGGAGGGTGTTGCAGTCCGACAGTCACTGCTCAGTGTGGCACTCGCATGCCTACTGCTCGGTGCCTCCGGTGTGCACGGCTTACCATCGCCTATCCTCGAAAAGTCGGCTTCACCCGCTCGCCGGAATCTCCAGCTCGAGGCCGAATCACTCGAGGCGCGTGCCGATCGCCCCTTTCGCCGCGCTCTCGGCAAGTCGTGGACCGGCAAGTCGACCTTAAACGCTGGCAGTAATCTGGGCATTGGAGCAAGTGAGTCGTTTTCCTTCTTTGGCTGTGTGACCCGAGGGCGCATGTCGTCACCTGGAGGATTTAAGATTTGATGAAACGTCGACTCGGCCGAGGCGTCATGGCATCGCCTTTGCGTGCGAGTCCTACTCGTCGCCGTCCGGCTGAGACATGCACATAATCGAGACATTTGACCGTGCTTCCCCATTCTGGGCCAAAACTGACCCGGTGGCAAGCGATTGTATTTGCGCAGTGCAAATGAGTCTCATCAGCGATGATGAACTACTTGTGAGTTTCTTTGGTATCAGCATTTTACATCCACTTATTATGTTCTGGCACGCATTGCGACGGGGGCAATGTACCAGTGTGTAATCCGTCGTTGAGAACCTTGGCGCCGACGTCCTTGAAGCCGCCGCCGTCGCTCGGGCCACCTGTGTGCAGACTCTGCGCCTACTCCTGTCACGTCGACCGAGCACTGACAACATCCTATACCCATCCTCGTGTGTCCGATTTGCCCTCCGTACATTCGTTTTCAATCATAGAGTAAGCACCCTCACTCGTTTTCGCCCTCGCCACGTGACTGAGCGTCGCGTGGATGTTTCAGATGAAGATCACTGACGTATTCGTGCGGATCACTGGTCCTTGCAGTGTCAGTCCATGCCGATATCCTAGCCTGGCGCGCGCCCGCAGTCTCGCGCGCAGTTAGCTACGGCCTATAGACCTCGTACGACATTGGAGACTGACCATGCATTCTTGCCTCACTAAAATACCTACAGCTATGACAAAGCCGAAAACAATCCGGGACAGGTCAAAGGTCACAGCGCTTGGGGTGAGTGCCGGCTCAAGGATGCGCAGCTCCTTTGAATTCACGGAGACCGGCCGAGAGCTCATGCCGAACATTCTTTCGATCGCACATAGGCGAAGTGTACACCATCAGCTCTGGAGCGTCTCGCTACTTGAATTTGCAGACCAACTCGTAAGTGTGGACCCAGCCATCGCAGACGTCTGTGAACGGTCGGGACGGAGCTCCAAGCGCAGTGATTGAACTCACCGCGGCACCGATCAAATCTCACAGGTTCTGCGCCGGAGGTGGATGGCTCTCTAACGGAACCTGTGAGTAGCGCACACGAACAGCTCGACCTCGGCGAGAAGCTAATTGCTGACTTGGATCAACTTTGGCGCACACGCTCAGTGGTATCTATCGGAGGCAATGGCGTTCAATCGTCGAACACTTTTTCGCAGAATGGAGTCAATGCAATCCGACTTTTCACGCCTTGCCAGGTCGGTGGAAGTTGCGACGTTCAAGAATGGCCTAACAAGCTCCGCCTCACTTCGAAGCGTTGGTATCCCTCCACTTCGCGCCTTCAGGATGGCTCGATCATTATCATCGGAGGTGGGTGGCAGTCGCGGTTCGACGACCTGCTCAATCATTACTGACTTCACACCGGAATGCGGACAGGTACTAGATCCGGTGGATTCAACAACAAAGCATCCAAGGTGAGCTCCCTCCCGACCTAGTACCGCTCGAGTAAAAAATGGTTCTCACCCGTCACGCTCTTTTGCCAACTGCCGTGCACGGGACAACCCCACCATCGAGTATTTCCCCCCCAAAGGCAACGGACTTTCAATTCCGTTCAAATTTCTGTCAGGTAAATGGGATCGCGTAGCGGGGGAAGCGATGCTTGCTGACCGCCTGTTCAATCGCATTTATTGCTGCGTACAGACGCCCTCAATTCGAACCTTTTCCCAGTGACCTTCCTACTACCTCAAACGGGCTACCTTTTCATCGCAGCCAACAAGCTCGCCACGATCTACGACTGGAAGAACAATCGAGAGTACCGTCTCCCCAGCATGCCGAATGGGGTTGCCATTACCTACCCCGCTTCGGCTGCAGGAGGTGAGCAGCTTCTGTTCCCCATCGTGAATCCCGTCACATGTTCAAGTTGACAGGTCTCACTGGTTCAACCTCTCTCCGGCAGCCCTCCTTCCTTTGTCAATCGCCAACAAGTACGCCTCAGAAGTTCTTTTGTGCGGTGGAACGACGGCGAACATCGACGGCAATCCAACCGCGCTTAGCTCCAACACTGCGACGTCCAAGCAGTGCGCTCGCATCCTAATATCCGGTACCGGTTCTAGCCGAGGCTGGCAGGTAGAACAGATGCCCGAGGCTCGAATCATGGGAAGCGCCATCCTCACACCCGATGCTAAGGGTAAGTACGACAACCGCGCGAAGTCTGTCCTCGGTCGGTGAGGGGTCAAGTCTGACTCCTTTCGGACTCACTCCCGCTCGCTCCAGTCCTCCTGGTCAACGGCGCGCAGACCGGAGTCGCAGGTTACGGAAATGTCGCGAACCGAATTGGCGCAAGTAACGCCGGAAACCCGGCCTACCGTCCGACCTTGTACGATCCGGTGGCCCCTGCGGGCTCTCGCTTCAGCACCAACTTCCCCTCGAGCAAAAGCGAGCGCTTGTATCACTCGACAGCCTCGCTCGTCGCCGACGGAAGGATCATCATTGCGGGCAGCAACCCAAACGATCGGGTGTCGACGAAGTCCTACATGACCCGATTCAACACCGAATACCTTTCGCCGCCTTACATGTCGCTCCCGAGACCGGTGCTGCGTTCGGTCCCTTCGAGCGTCAACTACGGGGCATCGTACACCATTCGCTTCTCTCGCATCAGTAAGACCTCGACTATCCGCATGGTGGTGAACGACATCGGCTACTCGACTCACGGCGTACACATGAACCAGCGCTGGCTCGAGCTCCCCGTGACGTCGATCCAAAACGATCGGCTCACTTTCACCGGTCCTATCGACACCACGTACTACCCTCCCGGCTACGGATGGCTCTGGGTTCTCGAGGACGACGTCCCCTCCCAGGGTAAGCGTGTCATGGTCGGCACTGGTGCGAGCCCTCCTTCGACCAAGTCCGCTTCCGCCAACCTCTTGTCGATGACCTCGGGCGTGGACGACACCGTTTGATACCGTCCCTCTCTGCCTCCTATACCTCCCGGTTCGTAAGTGGGCATCTTTCCCAGTGTCATTGCGACTTCGTTCCTTTATGTTGTCATCTGTTGTCCTGATTTGTCTTCGCACCTCTACCTCCACCTTTTATAATACTGTTCGAGGCGCACCTATATCCAGCGCTGCGCGTAATTGTGCATGGATTTCCATATTTTATTCCAAGACACTGTTCTCCCATTACACTACGAGATCAGGGCGTGCGAGTACCCACTGCAGTTGGCTTCCTTGCGACCCAAAATTCGCAGTCGTATGCGAACCTGTACCGGGCAAGATATGAACTCAGCCTTAGGAAGCAACGACAACAAACACGGAAGGGGCTTACATGTACATTCCTGAATAATTTCACCCCGGTAACATATTTTGTTAGTACTTGCAGAAGTGTCTCGTACTCCAACGCGAGCTCACCCTCAGTATCGGACGTGTACCGAGCCTCCTTGATCGTCTTGCGATCTTCGATCACGAAGCCGATCAGCTCGGCCAGTCGCACGATGTCGTCCATCCTGCTCAGCAAACTCGTTAGTTAGCGGCGAGCGATTAAAGTCAATCCAAGTAGCAGAATAACTGACGCAAGTGCCATTCTCGGTGTGCCAAACCACAAGCAAGGTCCTTCGTTGATCCAGAGCCCCCGGGCTTGAGCAGTCGCCAGATCATTTCGAGATACGAGACGATGTTGGACGCCTAGGGTTCACTCGACATCTTCAGCATGTGATGATATGATTGTGATTACTATTATATGATAGAAACTCACAGTATCGATGAAGAACAGCGTCGCGATGGCATCGAACGAGGATGGCTCAGGAAAGAGGCGCAAAAAGTCCCCTGACTTGAACTCGAGATCCGCATCCCTCGACGGCACGACGTCAGGGAACCGAGCACCGCGGATCATCGAGTCGGTCGATCGATGGTGCGAGAACGTGTGCAAGTAGGGGTGTACGATGTGTTCGTTTGTCCGTGTTGTGGCCTTGAAGATTAGGGACGCTCCGATGTTCATGAAATGAGAGTCTGAGCATAGTGAAGCGTCGCATCGACGTCAGGACTCGGAATTAGGCGGAGCTCAACACGAAAGACTGACAATCATTCGCTGTCGCATGAAACCCACTCGAAGCAATTTCATATGCTAACCGAGCGAGCCCTGACCCCGGAACGAGGACCCTAGGCTTCTCCCCACTCTTTATCCGTCCGCCGAATTCGGTCGTGAGCGCATCAAGGATCGGGGGAAAGAGAGCATCACGTTCCGACTTTCCTTCCTCACTCCAATCTCGCACAAAGTGCTTGAGAACCTGCGTGGATGCAAGCATGAGTTCTGAGCCCAAGTGATCTCGTCCGCCTATGTCTGCTCAAATTCTCTCTCACCTCGATGACCCTGCCGTCTTGCCTGCTGAATCGACTCCTGAACCCAAGCACTTCCCCCGTGCGCCTCGCCTCGTCCATCCCCAGCACGCCGAGGAGTTCGCATATCCGAGCATTGACCGAGACGGCTTCCTCGACCTCGTGTAGCTTGTTCTTCCACCCGAGCTTGTCCCCCAATGCTCGCTGCTTGCGAGGTAGGCGTTCGTACGACCGCCATCGCGGGTTCAGCGCTTGCGACTGAGCGTGGTGGTAGTCGCTGAACGAGCGAACGGCGATGGCGAGATCAGACGGTGGACCGAGGTACGAAGGGAGTGGTATCCGTAGCAACATGCCTTCGAGTCGACTGCGGAGTCGACTAAGCGACCGCGTGGGCGGGAACAGGGCGAAATAGCCGACGACGACAAAGATTAAAAGCGTGATGAAGAAGGACAGCATCGTCTGCTGCGGTTTGGGAGCCAACCCCGGAGTTGCATACTTGCTCCCCATCTCGATTGCTGCGTGTCGAATGCGGCTGCAGCGACTGGGCAACGTGGACGGCCCTGCGGAGGTCGATGCGACGCAGCGAGACCCACGCGCCGCGACGTGTCAGACGACCTCAGGCCGAGACCACTTTAGCAGACGAGGTCTGACTTTGAGCCCGCCGGGCGTACTAGTGAAGGGACCGACGATGGTGTGGGCTTGAGCTGGGTGCGAAGGACAGAAGGACCGCTCCGTCGAGAGCGGCCCATGCACCTCGGCTTCACGCGTCGTGCCGGAGATTAGCCTCATGGTAAGTCCAGGTCGAAAGAAGACGATACAATTGCAAACAAACTCGGAAGAAAATCCAAAAGTATTCCTAGACTTGGACGCGGTCAGACCCACATCATCAGCAATTGCGACCGCCCCTCGTAGTCATTTCGCTCGTCCGAGATCTCCGGGATAGTAGGGTAGTAAGGCACCAGCGCATCTTGTGCTCCCATGTACAGCGACGAATAGATCTGCCAGTACACTTCACGAACCCTTCGAGCTGGGTGCCACAAGCCTTGCATGATGTATGACAGCAAGACGCCGGGGCCGAGCGCAATTCGCATCGCCTCAATCGCATCGAGAACCGCTCCGATGACGTGAGGACTCGCTGTGGGTGGCGGTAGAGGTGAAAGGACCTTATCAGTACATGCACTTCCGAGCGGCTGGACTCACTAGCGGGTTACTCACTCTCGAAGATGTTGGGCCAAAGTAGGTTGAGCAAATGCAAGCAAGCATCCTCATCACCGAGACCGGCCGTTCCGAGCGCCAGGTGCTTGACGATCGTGGCTGAGGTTTGTCGATGAACCAGGTCCCGATCTGTTAATGCGTCTTCGAGGCACGTCACCACGGAGTGGATATAGTCCTTGCCCATCTCGCCAATGTACTCGAACAAGAACGACATGGCCTTCAAGCAGCCGTTCCGGACATTGAGTTCCGGGGTGCGGTACTCGTTGAGGATGGCGGGAATGCAAGTGAACGGTCCACACGTCTCGGCTACGATGGCGATCGCGACCGTACTACATACACGCGACTGTCGCTCCTGCACCCGCAAGTTGGTGAGCAGCACACTCAGTACGTCCTGGGGTCCGATGGCTTTGGCGATATAGCCAAACGAGTTGACGGCCGCGCGACGAATCGCCTTCTTGTGGGCCTTGAGCAGATCCAGCAGTTCGAAGCAGATGCGCATCCACTCGCGGGCTGAAACAAATTCCGCTCCACGATCAGCGATACGACCAATCAAGTTGATCGATGCTTCTTGCACCTTTTCGTGACGGTTGCGAAGAATGGGCGTCATTCGAGGCACTGCCAGACAAAGAAGCAAATATCCGCAAATTAGCAGATGAGCCACGGGTCTACAGTATTCGAGAGCAAGGACGTACATAGGTCCTTGACAGGTGGGCTCATTTGTGTCATACCCACGACGTTCGCAATAGCAGCAATAGCAGCGATGATCGAACCGAGGGTGTCGGGGTACTCCTCACCGAGCTGTTCGAAGAGGACGACACCGAGCTTGGAGAGGAGCGCATCCTCTTCGCACTGCTTGATGACGACGGCAAGTTTCGTCGTCAAGTCGGCGGCTTGCTGGCGCACCTTTGCACTCTTGTTGTTGAGTCGCCACAGAATAGTCGAAACGATCTGGGTCAAGTAGGGCTTGACGCGAATGCCGAGCGCATTGACGACCGTGCCAAAGCCTTCGAGCATGACGTAATCCTCGGCCGACTGCTCTTGGAACGCGTAGATAATACCATCGATCAACTGAACCTCGAGCCGCTCGTCGATATCTGCTGCTCCGAGACCTGCGACAACCTGTGTGATGATGTCCATCACCATCTTGCGATACGGCTCGCTCTCATCCTTGAGATCGTTCACGATACGCCCCACGATCTCCGATACACCCGCCTTTTGTGCCAATTCAACCGTCGTTTCCACGACCTGTCGATAGTTGCGGCGATCGAGTGCCATCCGGCGCACCATGAAGTTCTTGAAAAACTCTGGCAGGATTTCCTCCTTGACATAAGCTGGCTGCACTCCGTCCGTGCCCGCGCACTGCTTGACAACCTTGAGCACAATCTTCTTCATCTCCTCGTCGGGCGATTGGAATTCTCGGATGAGAATGACCATCACCTCACGGGTGTAGTAGTTGGCGTACTCAGGGTCCATCAGGGGGATGATAAAACCGATTGCCTTAAGGAAGGCGGCAAGACCTTTGCCTCGGTGCTTGCGGATACCCGTCCATAGCGGCTTGAGCACGCTGTCGAACGACTCGATACCGTAAGGCGCCGCAGCCTCGGCAAGAGCAGCGATGCAAAGCGCGGTCATCGTTCGCACCTTCTGCTGCTCGTCCTCGAGGCCATGCGCGACCGCTTCGACCAGATTCTTCAGGTGGGGCAACACCGCGCAGCCCATCATGATTGCGATCTGTTGGATGATCTTGATACCCGTGTGGCGAGCTTGCCAAGACTTTTTGGATCGACAGACGGCCTTCAGGAAAGGCAACAGGGAGGGGATACCAAGCGCGCTGGCGACGACGGAAAAGGCACGAGCGGTGGTGTTGCGCACGTATTCGTCGGCGTGGTCGATGTCGGGCCGCATCGTCGAGATCATGTGAGCCAGTCCAGCTGCCTTGGAGAGGTTGCTGATGATCTCACGACCCTCGACACGGGCATAGTAGTCCTCGTCGATGAGCAAAGGCTCGATGACGACCAATATTTTGTGCACGTAGGGTCGGACGAGATCGTCGAGCTTGTATAGAACGCGGTCAATGACCTTGACGAGCAAGTGTCGCTCCTGATCCTCGAGTGTCCGCTCCATCAGCAGTGGCAAGATCTTGTCGAAGAGGGGGCCTGCACCGAACTCGCGCGCCTTGTCGGTGATCTGTCGCAAAGCCGTCTTTCGCATCGGCGGGGTGCCGTTCTTGATCTTGAGCAACAAGCGCATGATCTTGCGCTCCTTGAGCTCCTCGATCGAAAGTTCGCTCTCATCCTGGTCACCCAAAATCTGTGGAAGACGAGCAGCAGAATAAGAAGGCTATTTGTCTTGGCACGAATCTCGGTGTGAAGCTTACCTTGGCAAAGTAAGTCGCATCTTCTTGCTTGAAGAATTGAAGATCTCCGACGCCTGCAATCTCGGTCGGCAATTCCTGGGTAATACCCAGCATGGAAGCGCTCGCCGCATCCTCTTGCATGATGAAGCCGCCGCCGTTCATTGCCATCGGGGTCTCTTGCAGCTTGCGTGCCGGCGTTCGGATCGGGGCGTACCCTGCCGGCGGGTCGACAATCTCGTAGCCCTCGGTTGGGAGCATTTGGTTCAGCTCTTCATCCGAGAGGTACCGGTTGCGAGGGTCAATGAGTTGGCCTGCTCCAGGGATCGAGGCATTGCTACCGGTCGCGCCATTGAAGGGGGTCATGGCCCCAAAGAGACTTGCAGCACTTGGAGTCTGTGCCACGCCCACCGGCGTTTGGTCCCATCGAGATCGTCGTGGCGTTTCCCCCGGCGCTCCACTGCCGGCTGTCGCCGCTTGCGCAGGAGTCTCGTCCCACCTCGAACGCTTCTTCTTGGGAGCGGCGGCAGCGGCAGCAGCCTCCTTTCCTTGAGTGTTGACATCGTCCCACTCGCCACTGCGCTTGGTACCACCGGACTCGAGGGCATCGACCATGCTGGCGCGGGGCCGATCGTCTTCGTCGACGTCCCAGCTCTGCCGCCCTCGTGGGGTTTCATCGGGTGCGGTGACTGCACTCTCCGTCGACTCCGACGTTCCAGCAACAGCAGCCTCTTCCTGCTTCTTTTGGATTGCTCTCTGAACCCGTTGTTCCTCTCGCTCGATTTCGGCGCGACGCATCTGGTCGGCATAGGTCGTCGACTCGTCGTCGCCACCCGTCTTGGGCGCGTCGTCCATGGCGAACGCATCCGCCTGCACCGCCGATTCACGATTGAAACGCCTGGCGTGGTACTCTGATTGGCGTGACGTGACTTGACGGGATTTGGCCGTCGCCGCAAATGGATCCTCGGCGTCGTCGTCAGCGAACTCATTGATCAGATGCTTCGGTGCGGTGACTGCGAGGGCAGAGACGATGACACAACTTCAAAGTCAGCCAAGACCTTTCTTACAGAGACAAGTTACTGTGTCTACCGCCACTCACATGAATCGAGCAGACGAACGGGCTTAGGGTTGCCGTACTCATCGAGCTGCTCGTCATCCTCGTTCGTCGACGGCCCCGCGGAGATGCTGAGGTCGTGTTTGGCGAATCGAGACCCCTTGGACACTCCATCGTAGACGTCGAGGTCCATCGAGACGGAGCTCATCGACACCTTGTTGGACTCTGACTCGGGGCGTTGGGTCGCCTGTGCGGCTCGCTTGGCCTCGCGGCGTGCAGCCTGCGCAGCGCGGATCTCGTCGGCAGCGGTGTCACTCATCGTGGGGGCTGGTATAATCTTGGGTTGGTCTTTGTACCTGGACAGAGGATGGGGCTGGGGCGCAGAGGGGCCGTGTAGGGGCGCTGTTCGTTGTGATGCGGGGGAGTTCGATCCGGCTGACTCGCTGCGACGCGAGCGACAACCGCAAAGACGGTAGCCACTGAGAGAGCGTGTACAGGATCTGGATCGGATAACTGATAACCGGGCTCGCTGTTGTGTAGGTGCGGAAGCAAGTGCACGCAGGTGGGCTGAGAAAGAGGGGTCGTGCCAGAAGCGCGAGCTTGCAGCTGTCGGGTGCTGCCCGCCTGAGACAGCCTGCAGGCTGAGCCAGGACCCGGGAAAGCTCAGCCGAAGGTGCGTCTCGAAAAACCCCGTTTTTAGGCCGATTTGTACACCGAATATCCCTATCCAAGGGTGTATGTATTCCGGTGTAAGACCAAAGTATCGGGCTGTGTTGAAAAAGTTACTCTACCATCAAAAATTACGTCATGTAGCATACACATGGCATAAATGGGCCCGAAATGTACAAATCTATCGGACGCACATTGGGCTGAGCTTTCCCGGGTCCTGCTGAGCCCGCCTGAGCCAGCCTGAGCCGCCTGGCACAGCGGCCCCTACGGGAAATCCGACGCGACCGCAGTTGACCGTGGTGGTTTCAAAAGGGGGCTTCGCTGACATCGAGTTATTCACTTCACTCAGTCCTGAAGAATATTCGAAACACGCTTGATGCTTGAGGCGACCCACCCTTCGCTCGCCGATGCCCCGACCTCGACCAACCTAATCTCGAACTCTGTTGCGCGGCCCGGTGCCAAGCCTGGTGGACCAATCTATACATATCAGATGTACGTTATCAACTATACAGAATGTTGCTCTCTTGTCGGGCTCCCTCAGTTTCCTTACATATACTCTCAGCCTCATGGCGAAACTCGGACTTTCGATACCAACTGCATTCACATGGGCTATGCTTGGCACGGTTGCTACCCAAACTCTTGCAGCCGAACTTCCGCGAAAGGACCACAGATAAGGTGTAGAATTTGCGGTGAAATAAGAGCTTGGGCCAGCAGCCCTGAGTACGCCATCGGATCCTCTCCGCAATATCTCACCGCGGGCAGGGTTGCCGCCGCGCCTCGAGTGCTCTGTCCCGGCCGCTTCTATCTTGGACTCGTGAGGACGAAATCGCCTGCAGGACCTGCTCCTCGATTTCGGCAAGGGTGGAAATCTGAGCTTGCGGCAAACTTCCTCGCGTGCGCGGGAAAGGGGCGGGGGGGGGGGGAGGGGGGGGGGGCAGACTGTGATAGGAGTCGGATGGCGCGTGTTACGGGTTCTTCCTGACCTGAGCACGCACCTCTGACGCATGGGTCTAACTATTTGCTGGCTACGCGATCACATCCCAATCTCACTCTCAATCCTCTCACCTAAACCTTTATCCTTTATTCTCAAATCCTCACCTATCCTCATCCAGTCTCGTCTGGGCACGTCATCTCGCCTTACCGCATCCACCCCCTGTCCTTGGCCTTCAGTTGCTTCGGCCCAACCAAACCATCCGAGATCCCTTGCAATCTCCCTAAACTAACTACAGTCTTATATAGTCTAGAGCCTTACCTGTCTGCGAGGGCTGTCATAGCACGTAACTACTACGACGCCGTCTCGGCTCACACCAGCGGCGCCGGATCTTCGGAGCTGCTGAAGTGGTATTCCCTACTAGTAATGATCCTGTCAGCGCTCAGTAGGGGGTACCGGGTAAATAAGCGCAGAAGCCGTATTTCCTTTTTAGGTGATTGTGATTTGACGGGAGCTTTTCACATTCCAGGTGGATAGAACTAGCCACCTGCCCACTGTCGGCAACTGAGGTGGAGGCTAGCACCGACCGTAAGATGCGCTGACCTGCCAGGTGCGGTCGCCTGCCAGGTCCAATCTGTCAGCTCTGTCAGGCCGACGGCACATTCTCAAAGTGAGTGAGTGAGCCCCGCCGCCTGCCTGCCTGCATGCCGACCGTACTTGCAGTACAACCTGGTACAACCTGGGTACCTACCTACCCAGGTAGCTGGGGACTCGGTTCTTAAAAAAAAGTTCACATGCTGTAAAGCATTTGCATCGCCCCGGTCAAACCCGGCAGGATGCCAGGAGGTCCGAGCCGCGCCAGCTCGGAGTTTTCCGCCCCGTGCAGAGGCAGCGCGATGTCTCGGGCCTCGATGATGGCCTCTCGAGGCATGAAGTGCACGCGCCACACGCGCGCTCAGGGAACAGCTGAGGCCGGGGTCTGGGCTGATCAAGTGGGCTTACTACGCGGTATTTTCCCGAGACCGTTACACAAGGATAATTAGAGTAAAGAAGCGATCGAAATCCCTGCCACCGGCGGTGAAGCCGGGCTCAGGCTCGTGCACTGTGCCCTTTTGTTTGACTTGGCAGCCGTAGAAGCTGCTCACTACTACCGCTAGGATCACGTTCCACGGTCCACCCTGGAAAGTCTAGCAGGCTATCCTTGCTTTCTGGCTGTTCCCTCACACTCCCCCATCCCCTCAACGCGACCATGACCAACATGTTGTCTCGATGCGTCACGGTCCTTCTGGGCTTGTTGATCGTCAACGCTGTAGCAGCTGAAGAAATTTTGTAAGTGTCCCTTTTTGGTCCGCGGATCGAAATTCGAATATCAAGCTGACCTCGATCATTTCACACGACACAGCGGTCAATACTGGCCTGCATATGGAAAGCAAAAGCCTACCTCGCTCGACTGGTCTGTGACCGACATTGGCTACTACTTCGGTGAGTACGCGACCGTTGAGTGACGGGGACGCGACTCTGCCGCCCGCGCGCGTGCATCATTCGACGAGATAACGGGCGCGTCGTGCCATGTAGGCGTGTTAAAACGCGCGGATGGATGCTCATCAGCTCTCCGCCTATTTTCTCTTTGCACAGTGACTGTTACCAACAGCACCGGCTTTGCGGTCCCCAAGGATCAACCCGACGCCGATATCAAGACGTTTGTTGCGACCGCACACAAGCGTGAGTCGGAGACCGACCGACTGATTTGCGCGGGCGGCGCGTGCGCGAGCGTTCGCGCGAGATGCACGCGCCCCAAGGGCCTCGCCGGACCGCGCACCGGTGACAACGAGCAGCTCCTAACAAGGCGTGACCGGCGCGAATGTTCCCGGATCTGTCCCTTCACAGACCGAAAAAAGGCCGTGTTCTCTGTTGGAGGGTGGACCGGATCGAGGTACTTCTCTGACCTAGGTTAGTCCAAGAGCTCTCGACTCCCTCACTAGTTTCATGGAGCGACCTCAGCTCGAGTCGAAATTCGGATCTGACACACCCCTTCTCGACGGCAGTCGCGACCGCTTCCAACCGCGCCGCCTTTACGGCTTCCGTTTTTTCGTTCGTCAAGAAGTACAACTTCGATGGTGTTGACCTTGTAAGGCTCTTCGTGCTAGCTTGATTCGTGCATCATGAGGTCCTACCGTGCGCAGTCCGCGTGCGCAGTCCGAAATTCAGGCTGATCAGTTTTGTTCGCACGCCTAGGACTGGGAGTATCCAGGATCGCAAGGCATCGGGTGCAACAAAGTCCGCCCCGCCGACTCGGCCAACTTCCTCTCACTCCTCAAGACGTTGCGTGTCGCGCTCCCGAAGCCTTACCTCATCACTATGGCCATCGGCACGCAGGGGCTCATCGGTCCCAACGGAGCTCCGCTTCCCGACATGCGGCCCTACTCGAAGATCCTTGACTACATGAACCTCATGACGTACGATATCGGTGGAAACTGGAGCCCTACCTCCGGACCCAACGCTCCCTTCAGGACATGCAACAGCGACACGAGTGTCTTGCAAGTCGTCCAAACATTCAAGAAAGCCGGTGTCCCCGTTGAGAAGATGGTCGTCGGCATCCCGTCCTACGCTCACTCGTACAAGCTCAAGTCATCCACATTGAAGAAGCAGAAGATCGGCCGATGGACGTCTCAGGTCTACCAGAACAAGACGAGCACGATCCCCAAGGGTGACAAATCCGACTCGAATGCCCCCACGACCGACGTCTGCAATAAGCGTTCGGCTACCTACAGCGGATCATGGACCTACAACAGTCTCATTTCGGAGGGAGTAAGCTGATCGGACCTTTTGGCGCCTCGGAGTGGTAGGCACCAAGCTGACTTTGGATCCACTCGGTCTTTCCTAAGCTCCTTTCCGCAGATGGTTCGAAAGGCTTGAAGGGTTACACCCGTCGTTATGACTATTGTACGGAAACCCCATTCCTATTCAACCCCAAGACGAAAATCATGATCAATTACGAGGATGGACAATCCGCTTCAGCCAAGATCGTGAGTTGCTTGATCCGTGGCGTGGCTCCCTTAAGTGACCTTGTCTGAACGCTCCGGACTGTTCTCACTCCCTTCTCAGGGCTATGTCACCGAGGAGTTCCTCGCAGGCGTATTCGTCTTTGACTCGACTGGGTTCAATCGCGACGGTAAGCTGCTTTCGACTCACTCTGGTGCTCGCCGAGGCCTAAACCGCTGGTTCTCGTCCCACAGTGCTCAAGACGATCCGATCCGCTCTCGACGTCAACACCTAAGTCTGCGCCTGGTCTATTTATCACCGGTCAAGCTAGTGCGTAATGAGTATTTCAGGTAGTCTCGTTTTTGATAAGGTTTCGAGGCCCTTGTTTATTTTCTTACTTCGAAATTCTCCACGTTTTACGTTGGTATTCCCGTCGTCGGGAAGCGGTGTTGTTAACACGCCACCCAATATGACTATACCCTACAAACCCTATCCAACGTCTAGTCGTCACCGCCTGGAAGTCCTTGAGCTTCTCTGCAGCACGTAGCGGCGACATGTGTGACGAAATCTCGTCTTGGAATGCTCACGGAGTGACGTCAAACACTTTCCAGATAAGTAGACTTACAACAACAACGTACGAAAAAAAGGTCTCCCTGCTGAAAGTTTCCCACAGCAAAAGTAAAACAGGGCCCCCAGGTTCGTTCACTTCTTCCAGCCGGTGGCCCCACGTCCGCCCCTCTCCGACTGGACCTCGCGATGTCGGTCCTTCATCATCCTCGCGAGAATGATGACGACTTTCTCGTCTGCGCTGACGCTCGTCGTCCGACCGGCACCGCCACCTATGCCGGTTCGCGACACGGGCGCTGCCGAAGGTCCGCCCTGTGAAGCCGTCGACGAGGGGCTGGTCGCTTGTGCCGACGCCTCCAATTGGTTCCACAGCTCGTACAGCGATATCACGTCCTGTACGATCTCGAGTATAAGCGAATGGTCGACTTGAAGCGAGGCCAGGAAGGTGATGGCATCGGTTCGACCTCCGACGGTGGGCACGGTCGTAGCCACGGTCGAAGAAGTCGTCGCTTGGGTCCCAGGGGCAGTCGGAGGGGTGACATCGGTTGATCGCCGACGTGTTCGAGAAGCTGGTCCAGAGATGCTTGGATCTTTCGAATTGGCTGTGGCGGTCTCTTTGACCACGGAGGGTGGCGGATGGAGGGAGAAGGCGAGATAGATTGCAGCCAAAGCGATCAGATGGGGAGGATGGACGAGACACAGCGATGATCGGAAGGTGTCGTTGATGATGAACCTGTGAGGGTATATATGTGAGATGAGTTGTCGTTCCGACAAGCACCTTGTCAGCCGCATTCGATTCGTCAACCCCAACCCACCAAGCCATCTGTAGCGCCGGTTCATCCATCTCGAGCATCGCCTGTCGGTTCAGTCGTCCCTGTTCGCCTCCTGCGGATGGCCCGCCATCTCTTCCACACAGCTGAACCAAGGATCGATAAGGGTGGAACACGATGAGGTGAAAGTCGAGTTCCTCGACCAGGTAAAACTCCATCTCGGCCAATTTGGTGTTGTCGCTGGGAAAGGCGAGACCCATGTCTGAGACACGAGGCATCCTCTCATGGTCAGTCGCAAAGTCTACACGGATGTAATCACGGCATCCGGAAACGAACCATGAAAAACCATCTTGGCCTCTGCGACGGCACTCTTGACGTGCACCGGGGTCTCCTCGGCCTTGGCGGCAACGTAGCAGCACGCGGCGGCGACGAGCGCACAATCGGTGTCGCAGTAGGCGTTGCGCAGGTAGAAGCGTCGAAAGTAGACGATGGCGGTGGCTATGACCTGTTGGCGTAGACCGAGGCGCTTGCACAACTTTTGAATGACTGTGTTTGGGTCCAGGATGCGGTACGGGGCGCCGAGGATACGGGCGAGGGATTGCAAAAGGGGGTAATGAAATCAGATCAAGAGCCTGACAAGTGCAACCGAGATCAAAGCATAAAGACTCGCCCGATCCTGACCATATTTCGACCCATGCGATCTCCTGTTCTGTGGCATGGCGCAGATCGTCGACGCGGGCTGCGAGCAGTGCCGAGCGCGGGTGCAGATGGTAGTTGGCATGCGACGACAAGTAGAAATTGGCGGCCATCCAGTACGAGCGCCAACGAAGATGGGAACGCTCAGGAGAGTATACACGAGATGGGTGACCAGAGGTGAGGGAGCGTAGGGTGTGGCACGAGCGCAAGAGCCGAGCGCTGAGCGGGGGGGGACTTGGCGTTGAGCTCCACTTTCCGGCTCGTCAGACAGCTGAGGCGCTGAGGGCTCGTCGGCAAGAACGGCAGGCCGAGAGCGTCACCGCGTGACTGACTCTGCGCGTCCACGTCACTGAGTACTGAGTACTGAGTACTGACCGACCGCGTGTTCAAAGGACGGTCCCTCCCGCTCTACGCGCTTGACACCGGCTCTCTTACCTCGTCCTACCTCACCAGTGAACGACCCCTACCACTCTTTTCTCAGCAAGCCAACAAACCCTGACTCCAACATGTCCGCTGCCTCGTCCGCCGCGTTCCCCCTGAACCATGCGCACCTGCTCCTGCGACGGCTGCTCAAGCTCCACCCCCAGGCGAGCTCCGTCCCCGCGCTGCATTACATCTACCTGGCCGGCGAGACGGTACAATCGCGCCACGACACGGACCGTGAGCTCCCCTTCCGCCAGGAGTCCAACTTTGCCTGGCTCAGCGGCGCATGCGATGTGCCCGGTTCGGCGCTCACGATAAAGTACGAGCATCAGGGCGGTGGCATCGAGCTGGACGAGGCCAAGGTCGAGACCAAACTACATCTGCCTGCCATCAACCCCGATGAAGTCATGTGAGTAGCCATGAACAAGCGCCCTGAAAGCAGTGTAGCGTGTCCTCTGCGCCTCCCCGGATCCCGCCCTGATTGGAGCTAACTTTTCTCGGCAACTTTCGCTTCGATCCGAAACCGCTTCCGAACGGCGGGCCATTCTCACAGGTGGTGCGGCTTACCACCTTCACCCGCGGACTTGTCGACGTCCCTACACTTCACCTCGATCGAGCAAGGCTGGACCCCGATCTCGTTGTTCCCGCCCCAATCGCCTCTCAAGACCTTCATCCACCACCTTCCCTGGACCCGCCCTCCGACGGCGCTCGTGTCCCGCATCAACGGGCCGACAGCAACCTCCGAGTTCCTGATCAAGGCGCTCCACGAGGCGAGGAGGAACAAGACGCCCCAGGAGATCGAATGGATGAGAAAGGCGAGCGAAATCACCGCCGGAGCCCACTTGGCCCTGATGAAGGGAATCGGTAGCGGCGAGATCAAAAACGAAAATCATGCCGAGGCCGTATTCGTCGGCCACTGTAGAAAGCAAGGGTAAGTTTCAGGATTTGAGGGTAATGTGAGATAAAAATATAGCTGAACGAACCTTCTGACGGTGTCTCGCGAGTAGTGCTGTGCACCAAGCGTACACACCCATCATGGGCTCGGGCGAACGAGCGGGGACGCTCCACTACGTTGCCAATGCGCAACCCTTCCCCGACACCCAGCCGGGGGCCTTGATTCTGGTTGATGCCGGAGCAGAATACAACTGCTACGCGGCAGACGTTACAAGGTGTACACCTGTAAGCTCGCAAGTGTTTCCATGATCTGGTCCGAGATCTGAGCTGAATGGTGCTCGTACATCTGGTCGATCGGGATAGATCGGAAATGGAGGCAGATTCGCGAAAGAGTGCAAAGAGATCTACGAGCTCGTCTTGGAGATGCAGATGGTGAGTAGGATAGGCTGTCGACTGCGGCCACATGGTCAAGCTGAGCGTGCACCGTTCATTTTTCGCAGGCCGCCTTTGAGATGGTCAAACCCGGAGCATCCTACGAGGACATCCAACTCAAGATGCACGAAGTCGCCGCCAAGGGCCTCCTTCGATTGGGTCTCTTCAAACCCTCCCCGTCCTCTTCTTCGCCATCCGAGACCGAAACGATCCAGTCGATTCTCGATTCAGGCTTGACCACCGCTTTCTACTCGCACGGCGTGGGCCATCTCCTCGGGCTGGACGTGCACGATGCGGGAGGCCTGCCGCAGGGCAAGTCCAAGCACCCTCTGATGAAGTACTTGAGATTGAGGGTTCCGCTGGAAGAAGGCTTCGTTGTGACGATTGAGCCGGGAGTCTATTTCAACACCTTCTTGCAAAAGGACTGGAAGAATTCGCCTTTCGTCGACTGGGACAAAGTGGAGCAGTATGCGTACGTCGGTGGCGTCCGCATCGAGGATAACGTGAGTTGGAGTATTCTGCTTCTACTCTCGCTTTCCCTGCGACAAGGCTTGGAAATGACCCCCGTCTCAACCGGATCCCGAGGCCGCCGCCACTCTGTGATCATGCTCACCGACGCTGACCGCGAGCACCCATGTCTATACCTCTTCCTCCCGTAGCTGTTGGTGACCAAAAGCGGATTCGAGAACCTGACACCATCGTCGCTGCCCAAGACTGTGGCGGAAATCGAGGCAGTAACAACTTCAAAGGCCTGACCAAGCAACCATGTCTGAGCGCCGAGAGGCTGAGGCTGCCGCAGCTGGTCGAATCCAGCCGACCAGGCCCTCGGAGATATCGGGAGCGCATATAGGGAGGTCGCTATCTCTGATCCGGGGCACTGAATCATCCTCGGATTGTCGTGACCACCGTGCTGTAGCTGGCAAGGTTTTGATCTGGCAATGGCTAATTTCTCATGTTGATCCGAGTCATATGGCATGCGCTAGCTTGACGATCGATTTGCTTTTCAGGTGTTGAATGTTGAGGCTAAATGTGAGGGTAAAATTTGCTTCCGCGGGTGGCGTACGAGAAGTCCGCTTCGGCCCGGATCGGCACAGAGCAGATCGATGGACTGAGCGGATCGCCATCGGTCTGCTGGTGAGCACCGGACTCCGGGGCTGACCGGGGGCCGCGAGGCGTCACCGCATCACCCGTGGGGTGGCCATCTCCCCCTCTCTGCCTTCTTACACTCGCCCATTCGCAACCACCTCCCCCAGACACTCATCCTTAGGCCAACCTTCATAACTTGGTGAGTGATATGCCCTGATGACAGGTCTACCCATGCGGCGATCTGATGCTTACAGCTATCGCTCCCTTGCCCTCTCCGCCCCTCTCCGTGCCGCCCACGTCGTACGGGCATCGTGCTTCATTCGGTTCCATCGCCTACAGACCAACGCACTCTCAATACTTTGAGCCCATCCCGTCTTCATCTACCAACCACATACAAGCTTAATCACAGTAAGTGGTCTTGATCCGCGTCTAATCGAATGGACTGTTACAGCGAGCGTCCGGAGGCTTGTGTGTGGCGTTGTTGGGGTTCCGTGACGGCCCCATTATCTATAGCACCGCCTCGGCTTGCCGCGCGATCGATTGAGCAGGTGCTGGACACCGTCCCTCCGCGGGCTAGCACTGCGTCGATTCCCTCCGACATTCAACAGAGGGGGTATACCCCCACTTGGTGCTGCTCATGGAAGCAGAAGTCGTGCAATGGCTCGCCGTCACGCTCGCCTTGCTAGGCGTCCTCGTCGGGCCACGTCGCCTCCTTCGCCTCTCTCCACCTTGACGGTCGAACCCTGGCTGACTCCTCTCCCGTAACCCTTACTTCTTCAGATGCAAATCTTTGTCAAGACCTTAACCGGCAAGACGATCACGCTTGAGGTTGAGTCCTCGGACACGATCGACAACGTAAAGGCTAAGATTCAGGATAAGGAGGGCATTCCCCCAGACCAACAACGTCTCATCTTCGCGGGCAAGCAGCTCGAGGATGGCCGTACGCTCGCCGATTACAACATCCAGAAGGAGTCGACGCTGCACTTGGTGCTCCGCCTCCGAGGTGGTATGCAAATCTTCGTCAAGACCTTGACAGGCAAGACGATCACGCTCGAGGTTGAGTCCTCGGACACGATCGACAACGTCAAGGCCAAGATTCAGGACAAGGAGGGCATTCCCCCAGACCAACAACGTCTCATCTTCGCGGGCAAGCAGCTCGAGGATGGCCGTACGCTCGCCGACTACAACATCCAGAAGGAGTCGACGCTGCACTTGGTGCTCCGTCTCCGAGGCGGACAGTAGATCCAGTTTTGTGTTGAATTTAGTAGCATCCGTTTGCAACAACACGATACCATTACACAAACCTACATAGCATCATAGAAGCGCAAATTATGAGATGCCGGCTTTGTGTTGATTTCCTTGCGCCATTACGGCTTGAACCTGAAAACTACGCACAGGAGGCCGTGCCTCTCAGGGCAGACTTCTCGATAGAAATTCGTGACATTGTCAGTGGACAGCAGGTTAGGTATTCTAGGTGTAGGTAGATGTTGCCGAGGAAGTAGCGAGTAGATCTGATAACTGTTGCTCTCAGCCTGGCAACCCGGTTTTCCGGCCCGCCTTCCTCCGCAAAGAGCTCGCCACCCCGCGGGGGGCACACAAAGGAGCTCAATACATGCGCCTCTTCGCGGAGAACCGGACGTCTAAGCTAAAAGGCTTCGTAGAGGGGACATAGAGCTGCTGTCGCATACGCCAAACATTGAAATTCGATTTGAACAGGCTGATACTTACCTCTAGTTCATCAAAATGCCGCCGACCTCGCTACAGGACGGCGAGGTAACGCATGGTAGGCAGGGGGGTAACGCGTCGTACTAATTCCTCGTCGAATTGGCTGGCGCTGCCGTTGCCGTCAATTGAAATCAATCGCAACATCGTGCAGCGTGCCCTTTTTCAAGTTGCCCCTTTGTGACCTTGATCTCCACCGTCAGCTTCGCCTCCACCCAGTCGTCATCCTATTGCTGATGTCATCCACCTCCACGTCGGGATTTGGCGTAACAAGGCGTTTCCTTGTCCGGATCGGCGATCATCGATTCATCGTGAGCTGCAGCACTCGAGAGCAAGGAGCATCTATGGGGGAGGACGACTCAGCGCTGCGAAAAATGGTTGAAGTGAAATAAACCAAAGGCTGACGACCCGTACAGGGCATGTTTCCCGTGCACAAGATCGAACAAGCAGCAATTGCGGATCCCACCAGTAGGTTACTTCCGCCTCCCAGCCAGCCCCAGCCGGGGCAGACGGAGCCAGACGGAGCCCGGCAGAGCCCGGCAAAGCCCGGCAAAGCCCTGCGCCACCGGATGTTTTTAGCTCAAGCGATTGAGCTCGATGCAACTGCCGCTGCCCAACTACTCGCTCACTTCCTCGCGGCCGCCGGCTTGCTATCATTCCCCTGTCGGCCTGTTCGTACGTTTCTTTTTCTCTTCGGGAGTTGGTCCGTTCGGTTCGCGTTGGCTCGACCTTGGGAAAGTGGTCCCTTTAATCGTCCTAGCCGCTTGCCCCTCAACTCGATCTCCGACGCGCCGCTCCACGCCTTCTTCGCACACCCCGCTCGACCCGATTCCCCAAGGCCAGTGGCAGCGTAGCAGTATGACAGCACCACGCTCCACGATGGGATTGACCACCGGGACCGGGACCGATCAAGTTTCCAAGGCGTTTGTGACGCTGTTGACGAGCGACTCTTACCTGCCTGGGTGCCTGACCATGATCAACTCGCTGCTTAACGTCGAAGGCGCCAAAGGGCGAGCCGATTACGAGACGGTCTGCTTGGTGACGCCAGCGACCGTCGGCCACGTTGCGATCAAGGCGCTGCACAAGGTGTTCGACCAAGTCATCGGCGTGGCAGAGATCACGACCAGGTCCTGGCACGAGTTGGCTTTACTAGGTGAGTTGTTGCTTTCGCTGTTATTGCTATCTCATCGGCAGGGGTACTCCGCTCGGCCCCGGATGAGCGCACTGGATCCGGATCCGAATGCGCGTGGCCCGTGTGAGCCGATTGCGATGCCCCAACCCGCGGCGGAGCTCGAATCTCGGATCCGTTCGTTACGCGATACGGGCTTCCTTCGCACGGCCGACTGGCGACGGCATGCTCTCAACCCGAATTCGGTACCGCCGCGTTCGTTGAAGCACGTTATCGTTAGGATGACGTTGTATCGCAGCTATGCGGAGGGTGGTCGATGGACAGGATCACTGATCTCTCGCCAATGGCCTCTCTGAACGACAGGCCGGAAAGACCTGGCAGCGTCGCTCACCAAGCTTCACCTATGGCGGTTGACGAAATACAACAAGATCGTCTTCCTCGATGCCGATACGCTCATCCTGCGTCCCTTGACGCCTCTGTTCGACCTCGATGTCGAGTTCGCTGCTGCACCCGACAGTGGGTGGCCCGACTCATTCAACTCGGGTGTCTTCCTCGCCAAGCCGTCCAGTGCGACATTCGACTCGCTCATTGAGATGATGGACCACAAGGGTACCTGGGATGGCGGCGATCAAGGGTTATTGAACGACCATTTCCCGAACTGGTATCGGCTCAAGTACACGTACAACGTGACCCCGTCGGCCTATTACACGTGAGTCAGGCCGTCCCGGAGAGATCGGATGTCGTCTCGAGCGGACTATGCGACCGTTCGAGGCTCCCTCCCACTTGAGGTTGCCCGTCGACTCGCGAAGGTGCCTACGGGAGTCTCCGCATGCTGACTGCTATGTTTACGTCGTTCCGCAGTTATGCTCTTGCTTTCCGACGACACGGCCATGACGTGTCTGTATTACATTTCATAGGCAAGAACAAGCCATGGCACAGAGGCACGCGGGGCACAGCTATGTTGGAGGAATCCACAACAGATTACTACAATCTTGTTGGCCTTTGGTACGATGTCTACGAGCGACACTATGGAAGGAGTCTGAGTGAGTTGATCCAAGTGAACACGTCATCGGCATCCCATTCGTTGTCGAATCTGAGCCCGTCACTTTTTGTTTTGTCGCTCAGCTTCCGACGTCGCAGACAAGGTCGTTGCGCCACCTGCCTTCCAATCGAAGTTCTCGATGCTGCAGCCTCACCAACCGACCCCAGCGTCGACGAAGAAGCTGGTCGCTTCGACGTCCCGGTCGGGCATCGACTCGCCCCCCAAGCTTGACTGGGACCCGGCCGTCAACCCACCTCCTACGACAGATTATCAGATGCGTGAGGCCATCACGGCGCGGTATGACAGCGTATGGGACGAGCCGGCGCGCAAGCAAAAGATTCGTTTCCAGCCCCCTTCGTCCTACCCTAATGTACCCCCGTCGACGCACGAGTGGTACAAAGACGTGATGCAGAAGAAGCCCGACCCTTCGGCAGTGAAGCCCGTGTTTCCGTGGGAGCAGCCCAAGGTCTCGACTCGACCGTCGCAACCTCCTTCACCCGTCCGAGCTCCGACTCGTGCTTTTCCGCCAACGCCTTCGGGGTCGCCGCCGCGAGAAGCTCCCAATGGGTTCCAGCCTCGTCAATCGTACACAAACGCTTGGGACAATGTTCCGGGGATCGATCGGTACGCCAAATCGCTCGCCAAGGCTACAAAGCGAAGGGAGATCTCGATCGATGCCACCAAGGATGCCAAGGGGTCAACCGGATCGGCCATTTTTGGTTCAGGATCTGGACCGCGCTCAGGCTCGTCTGACTCGTCGACGAAAGGGGACAACGGGTTGGGCGGCCGTCAATCGAGTCTGGCAGAGCTGAAGCCGTACAATAGTCGCAGCGATGCGAGCAGTCGAGACGGCGACGACGAGGACGATGACGATGACGAGATGACGTCTGGGAATGACGACGAAGAGGTCGACCGACCGCGCATCAACTACCGCCGATCGTCGAGTTATGGCTCTTCCAGCTGGGGCCAGAGCGGCGCATCTTCGCCAACAACCGCTCGAAGCGGCTCTACGCTTCTCGGCAGCGGTGAGACCGCACCTTCTGCAGCAATGTCAACCTCTGCCAGCGCCAACAGTCCCCCAAAAACGAAGCGTTTCGTTCCCTTGATGCCTCGACTTGGCCGCGCGGCTAGCTCTGAGGTCCCTGTCCATCATCAGCCCGCCCACCAATCCGCCGCGCCATTAAAGTCGGCGCTCCGAGGCGGCCATTCGACAGGTCACTCAGCACCTTCGGCCAGTGGTGGGATTCCCTACGTTCCTGCCCCATCGCCCCGGCTCGGCCCTCAAGCGATCCGCAATTCGACTGCGGCTCGTCTGACTTCGGCGGGGTCCGGCGTCGGCGACGGACCTCCCGTCGTGCGTGCAACGCGTGTTTTCTCGCCCGAAACCGATACCGGCGTAGTCAAGCAACAAAGACTTGCGGCGTTGCAGCGTTTCGTGGAGAATTTTGAAGCCACGAACGGCAACGGCTCGGCGGCGGGTGGCCCGAGGGGCGGCGGCGCGGGCTCGGCCGGCACTTGGCGCTTTGGTTGAGGCCGAGGATGACTCCGCTATCTACGCCAGATGGTTACCTGCTTACTCTTCCACCAAAAACTTTTTTTCTGAGTCTCTTTGTATCCTTCAGTTGTCTATATCAGTATGGGGCTGGACGTGTAAAGCAATTTCGTAGACGATGATCCTTCACGTGTCACTTTGCTTGTACCTTTTCTCCTCCTCCTCTTTTTCTTTCTGCCTCTTTGACTACATCCTCTTAGATCACGCCCATAGAATCTATCCTCCTAATACCTATCCGCTTAATTCTGCTTGTAACGAAGTGCTGTCTTCCTTTCTGTGTTCGCTCGTACAAACTGTGCCGGTTCGATGCCTCCCCGCACACGGGCCCGCCATACTGAATTTCGGGCATTTGGGGCTGCTGTCAATTACTAGCTTGAAGGCTAACTAGCAGCACAATCTGTGGTCAACATAGTAGAAGTTTGTTCATCAATATCAAACGGAACTCATATCTCGGAACTCAATTCGTCACAGACTTGGGTTACACTGGCGGATGAGTCGATTGGAGGTCTGGTGAATCGACTCATTCGGAAGCGAGTGCTCGCCGTGGGACGAGCGGGCTGCTTGCTCTTACGACTTTCTTCTCCTCTTCACCCCCATTTCCAACCCGTCATGAGCCCATACATTTTCAAGGTGTCGCACCGCCCTGGAGGTGGACTGGCGACCCTTACCCGTCGTATCCTCTTCGAGCCCCACGGTCGTACAGCGGCAGGGTTGACCAGCGCAACGATCGGCGCCACCACACTCGGTGATGCCCCACACGGCACAGCGGACGCCTCCAGCTCGAGCAGCGTGCCAGACGACTACCAACACTTTGTCTCCATCGTCGAGACCCGCTTTGGAATCGTACTCGATGCGATCTATTTGTGCTACACGGATGCTGATGGCGACCTGATCGCTGTGGTGAGTGTCCTTCGTCTGACTCTCTCGGTCCGTGCGATCACGCGCCTGTCGCGAGTCACCGCGTCAGCTCGGAGTGGCGGCAGACCTTCACCGCCACGCTCGACTCCGGCCTCCAGCGCGGGTGGCGTTGGCTGCGATTGATTACGATACACTGCCTCGACTGACATCAATATGCATCGGGCATATCTTCACAGTCATCAAGTGAAGAGTTCCAGGACCTCTTGTCGTCGAATCCACCGGGGTCCACGATTCGCTTGCAACTCGGAGCAAACCTTGCCGGGCCATCCGGCACGATGTCCGTTCCGATGTCGATCAGCGGCGGCAGTCATACCGACAATACCGACGCTCCATCTATTTTCGCCGAAAGTGACACTACAGAAGTGGTGCCATTGCTCGGCAAAGGCAAGAGTCGAGAGCTTGATACAGCACCCGATGCCCAAGCGGACGCCGAGCGGCCCGTTGCCACCTCGAATGCAGCTTCGTCGCCCACCTCCTCGGGAGCGCTCGACGAGGTCGCTGATTGGACCATTACGGACAAATTCGACCTTGATGCTCAGGAGGAACCCAGCTCAGGTGCTTCCACGCCCAGCCTGCTCGCCTTTGAAGACCCACTGCCCTCTTTCGCCGAGGAGTCGAAAGCTCCCGAGCAAGTCCCCAACCATTGCGAAGATCCCGTTGTCCCCGAGGTTCCCGAGACTAAGGCCGAGGATCCTGCTGAGGACCCACCGGAGCCGACAATTCCTGCCCCTCCACTCGCCGAAGCGATTCAGCACTTCCTCGCTTCGCTTCCCTATCATGCCGAGGCTCTCAAGACCCATTTCGGCTCGTTCTTCGCCTATCCGCATCCTCAGGCGATCCCCGGTCTATTCCACAGCGCTCCCGTCGGTCCTCCCTATCAAGAGATCCTCGAGCTCGCACGTTCTGCGCGAGAGGAGTTGAAGCGAAGCGTCGATGGGGTCAAGGCCGAAGCTGAGTCGATCCGAGGCGAGTTTGATCTGTTCAGGGCCAAGTTGGGTGAGGACAAGCAAAAGTTCGAGGAGGACATCAAGGCCGCTATGGCTGGTGCCGAAGAGGCTGCAAGGAAGGAGAGGAAGAAAGCCAAGAAAATGGCGGAGAAGATGATGGAAAGGATGGCTCGAGACCCCACGGCTGCTGCCTCCCAGGCTGCTCCGGAGGCAGCTGCCCAGTCACCCGAAGCCGGCTTTTCAGCAGCAACGGTCCCTCACTCAGTTCCGACGACGAGCCTAGCCACTTTCCAGACACCGACGTCGAATGTTCGAGTTTCCACGTCGCCGCGCGACGACCTCTTGAATCGTCGCGTCTCCGCGACTGGCGTTTCAGGTTCCCGCAACCTCTCGGCGGGGCTCGACGCCACCTTGGCTTCGATGCGCCAAGTGCCTTCTCAAGAGCCACCCCCATCCACGATCCCAGGGTCTTTCCCCGGTCACCATGCGACGACGCCCCTTCCGACCCCGACTCCTTCGACTTCGACGATGCCGTACACCTCGCCATGGGCAGAAGCGACTCCTGAACATTTGCACAGCGCCATCAGAGCCGTAGGTCTCAGCATCGACGAGGCCAAACTCAGGTTGGCGTGCCAACAGATTTGGGAGGAGAACAGGGGCCAGTCATTGGATGTGATGGTCAGCAAGGTGCTTGAGAAGGTGCTCTGATTGGGGTTTGCGAGCATGTACTATCTGTGCCTCTCGGTTCCCTCTGTAAAAAACCTCAAACATATTGTTCAATTCATTCCAATTTATAGGTACAACGAGACTCTTGATTTTCGTAAAATGTCAGCACTGCCAATGCATCAAAGCTAAAAGACTACTACGCCCGCCCCCGCTTCCGCCTTGGTGGCAAAGATGACCTGATCCAGTTCCTGCTCGTCTAGCTTGGGGAAGTTCTTGCGATAGTAGCCCTCCTTGAGTGCCTTGATAAAGTTCGCCACTTTGTCCTCCTCCACCAGCGAGACCGTGGCGCCTCCCCATCCCGCACCGGTCAACCTCGACCCGATCGCGCCATTCTTGCGGGCCAGATTGACCAACTCGTCCAAACCGGGGCAAGAACACTCGTAATCCTCTTGACAGGACCTCATCGATTCGTTCATCAGATCCCCCATCTCTTGCAACAATTGTGTCCCCGTCTTCGTCGAGCCCGACGCCTCCTTCGATGTATCCCCGGTGGAAGATTCGGACAAAATCTCGACGAACTCGTACACCCGCTTCGCCTCTTCCAAGACGTGACGAGCCCTCTTCCATACCTTCAACTTGCCACCAACTTGCTCGACCTGTTGCCCGCACGCCACTTCTTTCTCGAGCTCATCGACGTCTCGTCCCAGCTTTTCGGCGATTTCGTCCCACGTCATGCCAGCTTCCATCCCCGGTCCACGCAAGGCATCGATCGCCAATCCGAGCATCATCTTGATTTCGTAGATGCAGTTCGCATTATCGGGTGGGAGAGGGGACGAGGGCTTGGCCGCCATGGTAGGGCCATCGGGGGAGATGGATTCCCTTGCCAGCGGCGAAGACCTGTTCTTTCGACTCTTGGGGCCCGGTTGATAGGGCGGGCTGGAGCAGTACTGGTCGAGAATTGCTTTGAAGGTGATTCCGGGTGTCGGGGCGAAGCCGAGGTGTTTGGCCAGGAGCAATGCTCCGACGCGGGTTTCGGCCACTCGAAGGTTGTAGCAGTACTTGGCCGTCACTGCCTTGTTCGAGGTGACCAGAGAGTTCGCGATGACGAAGGCAAATCCAGGTCTGGTCCTAGGTAGAGGGACAAGTGCGGCGTGTAGTGAAGGAACGAAGTCGATGTGCAGGAGGTGCAGAGGTTGAGAAAATACCGATGCAGCTTGATCCATACCTCCCGAATTGACGCCGACCAGTCGTTCTACCAATGAACAGCCCACCGTCAGCCCCCACCGATCAACACTGAAAGTTCTGTGTGCCAAGCCTACACCTACCACTTGCAATAGCGACTTCGGTCATGGCCTTGCGGTCGATCGCATCGGACCCCGAGATCCTTCCGACGACATGGAGAATAGCGATGGACGAGGCGATTGTGAAGGCGCTCGACGAGCTCAGACCGGAACCTTCGGGAACGGAACCGGTAACAAGCATGACAATATGGGAGGGATACGTCCCTGTTGACGGCAGGTAGGCTGTGCGAGAGTACAGGTGACCAAGGACCCCCTGGGGAGGTCGTCGACGAGTAAGATGATCAGCCAGGGCAACATGATCACCCGTAGTTCATTCAGAGTTCCCGAACCAATCCACATACTTTGGTTCCGGCAATAAAGTAGGAGCTCCAATGGTGCTGCTTGGGCATCTGTACATCCCACGCGGACGAATTGAGATCGACCTCGAAGTGGGTCGGTGAAAATTTATCGTCGACATTGCGCAGGATGATGACGGTGTGGTCGGGTTGCGATGGTTGCGGATAGTTTGTAGTTTCTTTGGGTGAGGTCGAGAGAGCGATGAGAACATCGCGTTCGACCGCAGCGGGCAGGACCGAGCTGAGAGAGGAAGCAGCGACACATGTTCAGACTTTATCGATGGCGCGGGGCTCCAAGATCGATCGAAAACGAGAGGCCAAAGATGATCTTCGGGAGCAGGGAAAGGGCCGCGTTCCCGGCTTGGATGTCTGTTCATCAACTCACAATCCGCAGTAATCAATGTGCTCGCCTGCCAAGTGAGAGGTGGATCAGCGCGAGACTCCTTCCCACCATGCGACAAGTAAGGTGGCAGGGCAGGCCGGAAAAAAGCGGGGGGAAAGCAAAGAGACGGGCAGCCTCCGCCGAGGAGTTGTCGTAGCAGTACTGACCAATAATATTGACTCGGCCGGGAGCCCTGGCTACTGCTTGAGCCTTGACACCGTACTGTTTCTCAAACAGTTGCTGCAGCTGGGCCCACCGCTGCTGCTGTTGAGGAAGCGACGAGGGTGTGTAGACGTGCTCGAGCGATGATGACACCGGGATAGAAGCACTGCTGTCGGCGGGCTGCTGCGCCTCTGAACTGCCGCTCATGGCGACGGAGAAAGCGGTGGTAAGGATCAGAAAGGGAGGGGGAGGGGGGAAGGAGGGGAGGGGGTGAGGATTGAGCCGTGATACAAGTGTCGAGAATGAGGCCGAAATCGATGTCACGCACGGGTGGTCTTTGTACGTCGGGCTATTGCCAGGCCACCCTATTAAGCCACCTCTGGCTATATATGTTAGCACGCTAAGAAGTGGCGCGCGCCTCCGACCCTCGCTCCCCAGCGACGTAAAGCTAGCCAGAGGTGTGCCAGGCATGCCAGGCATGCCAGAGGCGACCCACGGAGCATGCACGGAGACCCGCCGGCGCCGAGCGAGTTGGGAGAAGGCGCCAACAAGTGCTCAAGTCTTTCTGCTTCTAAACCAATTATTTTTAGCAGTAATGTGTCAACCAAATGCACTCTCGCTGATGCTTTCCGAATTTTTGCTGTTTCCCCTGCCTCCCCGGTTTTGCCTCCCTTGCTTGCGCTGGCCCGTCGGTTTCTTCGCGGGGCCGTGTCGTGGACAAAAATCGCCCAAGAGCGCAAACAATTCATTGACGATTCTATGATGCTGACTAACTCTAGGACTTGGGTCCATCGACGAACTGGTTGCCCAATTGATACTTCGGAGGATATGGACGAGTAGAGCCGGCCGCGTCCCTTTCCCAGCTTTGACTCACTCCTTATTTCGTTTGGCAGAAGGCTTCTCGATACTGGTGTGATTTTCGCAACTCGGAACGCGGCATCGTGTTGGTGGTTGATCGCCCTTCGCTACTGTTATCGTCACGATTCATTGCTGGCATAATCCCGGCCTGTCAATGCCAGCAGCGGATTAATGCCGAAGGCCCTGCTCAGCCGGACGGCCATCAGCTGGCCCGGCCCGAGCAATCGATCACGTGAATCGTTCAGGACGAGGTGACCCCACCTGCCACGGTGCCACCTTGCCCGCCACCTTGCCCCTTCTCCTTCCGTTCAGTTACCACCTCCTCGCTCCCACTCGGCAATGTCGAAAGCGACTCCCTCCTTGGTGCAGCAGTTCTCCCAATTGGGCTCGACCTCGTCAGCCCATCAAGATCACTCGTCTCATGCATCGACCTCCGCCTCAACCTTGACTTCATTCCGAACGCCGGTGATACCCCATTCGCAACCTTCAGGACTGTCAAGCTCCGACGTCAGCACTCGAGCACAAGAAGGTTGGACTCCCTATTGGGGCTCAGGTACGGACGAAGATTTGGGTCGCTTCGCAGCTTTCTCTACTACCGTCGGACTCGGCGCCAAGCATCAGCCTTCTCCAGGTCACGACTTGGGAGCTGGAACACAAGATGCGATGACACTTGATTTTGAATCATCATGGAACACCGCTCAACCTTCACCAGCTTGGAATGATGACGAACTCTATCACCAATCGCACGCCAAGCTCGACAGTGAAGCCGGCGAAGGTCGCAATGGGTGGCAAGACGGCGACGAGATTCAAGCTCTGCTTCAATCCGGTATGCTCAACGCGCAGCTGGAAGAAGGATGGGAGCAAGAGCTTGCTTCGGAACAGTCGAGGAAACACCACGCTGAATCGACCATAGCCAAGGATCCGACCATCTCGTCGGCCCAAGGCCAACTATCGCCGGTGACGCAGAAATTGGTTCAAAAAGTCGACGCGTTGGAGCTAGAGGCTCGACTGCACTTACAGTCCCTCTTGACCTTGACCAACGAATCGGGCGACGACACCCTTGCGATCCAAGCCTACCTGTCGCAGAAGTCATACGCCGACGACGTGTGGGGTCTGCCTCGCGAGATTCGCGAAGTCCTGACCAAGGTCGTCGAAGAACAAAGCCAAGCCAACGATTCGGACAAGAACAAGGCGCTCCAGCGGCTCAACCTGGTCTTGAAACATCTCCAAGAGACAACGATCAGCGTGTCTACCGGTAAGGAAAAGACGAGCCCGACTTTTCGAGGAAGTGGCGCAGCTTCGGATGATGAGGGGGACTCGTACGGGAGTGCATTGCAGCATGTTGCTGCGAGGCGGTCCTCGCAATTGGGGCCAAAACACTCTTCGGCCATGTCGACACCTCCGAACGGGCTAGTTCAAGATCGTGCACACGATTTCACTCCTCTGCACGAACGAATGGCAATAGGGGGATCGGGGTACGAAGGGCGATGAGGCGACGCAAGTCGAGCTCCAAAACCCACGACAATGAGTGACCCATTAGAAGACCGTTCCATCGGCGACTGTTGGGAGCCGACAGGACTATTCGGTCAGTTCAACGCTCCTTCTTTAAGAAACAGACTTATGTGCAAATCGGGACTGACCATATCTGAACGGCGGTGCCCCTGTCTCAGGTCTCAGCTTCTTTGCGATCTCTCGCCCAGCTTTCCACGTTCCCGCTTCCAACACTTGCGCCAAAGTCAACTTGACTCCGACCCGTTCCCTGATGGCGTCGGCGATCCGATCGAGCATGATCACGGTGACCGCTCGCAATTCGACCACGGCGGAATGAGAAGGATCTAAGGGCGGAACTTCGAGGAGCGTAGGCATGGATGTGGGAGACGAGGGGACTGGTAGGGAAAAGGACGAGAGAAGGGCTGGTATTTTGGGTTTCAGCAAGTCGAAATCGATCAAGAGACCGCCGTTGCGGTACTCGGGCAGTCCGGTCATAAGATCCTTGTGGAGGAACTTCCAGCCGAGAATCTTCTCCATCCTGTTCGTTCGTGATGCCGGTGCAATCAGCATTTGAACTTAGATCGGTTCGAGTAAACCATTCCGATGACTCACACTTCGATCAAAGAGTACGACATCCACTGGGATAGCTTGTGAAAGGAGACGAAGGCGTCCGGAGAATTTTTCGCATCTGCTTTGTGAAGGCAATCCACAGGCCACACGTCCCCGAGAGAAACACCATCGATCTTACTTCTTGCCGCTGGCCATACACCGCTCAAGCCATCGACGACGATCTCCCACAGAGTTTCGATCTTGACTGCGATGCGATAGGAGGACGGTGAGGGGATCTGTTGAGACGATGGATGAGCAAGGAGGTAGTCGATGATGTGGCCCGGTCGGGAGCTCGAGTCGACGGTAAAGTATGCAGCGTTTGCAGCATCGGTCAAGACCGAGGCAAGACGAACGAGAAGTTCGGCGCGACCCTCGATGCCCGTCATGGGATTCGAGGATGAGACCTGCATCGCCTCCGAGATCTGTGACGTCGAGATCTTGGCCAGGCCGACGGCTGTGAATCGAGATCAGATTTGTGGACGAATCCATCATCAGCTCCATTCTGGTGATTCATGACTGGTAAGGGGGAGAACAGTGATAGACTCACCATCGACTCGATAAGGTTGTTCTGCCAAGCCGCTGAACATGCCTTGGCTGAACATCTCGAGGCTCCCGACGGCAAGTCCTTCGCTGCGACCGATAGGCTCCCCACCTTCCTTGGGAGTGAACTTCCACTCATTCCCGGCCCCCGCATCCATCAACACACTGACGACCATCAAATCGACGAGCCGTCTCGCGATCTCGAGGTCGTTAACGTTGTCGCTGTGCCATTTCGTGAGCAGCGGCTCGATCCGATCGCCGACAAAGTGTCGCCATCGTCCGTGAGGTGGAATCGAGGCATAATTGGTGCCGTAGTCTCGCTCAATGAGAGAACAGACAAAGTCGACAATCTTGGGTTGTTGGGAAAGGTCAAGAGTCCAATATTGCAGCTGGTCTGCCTCTGCTAGCGCAAACACCTCGGAGCAGCGAGCCCGAATCGACGGCAACGAGCGCAGGTACGACACGGGCGACTCGGACGACATGAGGAGCGATCCGACTTTTTTTGGTATAATTCGACGAGTGTTCACTGTACCGAGCTCTGCGGAGATTCGATCGAGAGTCAGCTACGCGACCTTCAAGAGATAAGCTCGGATCGCCGGACGGCGGACGGCCCACCCCCACCACCACTTGTAGTATCGCCATCCTGTGCTGCATTGACGAGCAATGCAGTGCAGATCGGTGCGATGGAATATAGAGAGTGGGGCAGATGTACTGTGAACTCGATGTAGCACTGACCGTGGGCGTTGGAAAGTAGTCCGCAAAGTGAGGACAAGCGTCAACAGGCAGTTACTAAGTGACGGCCCAACCCGAGGGGCACATTCCGGCTAGGGCTTCTCGGCCGAGATATGCCGTCGGCCGAGATTTAATCCGCGATGGCCTCGATCAAGAACTGAATTCTCACATCGCTTCCTCGCAAAGGTGTCCCAGTCGTAGTACTCTTCTCAACAAACCACACTTAACCAATGATCCCTCCCCATCCTGTATGCATTTTCAGCCATTGTTTGTCTGAACTGATACCATCAAAAATCGACCCGCGAGCCTACTACCAAGCATTCAAGCGAGCTGAATCATGCTTCCGATTTTCCGGTGCGGGCCATTCGTACTCCTTGTGGCATTGGTATTTCTTCGTCACTTTAACCGTTCGTTTCTTGGATTGAAGGGCTTGTGAGATATGGCTAGGTATTGATCGAGATTGATGGAAGACTTCCTTCGTCCCATCCCGTCAGACACAAGGTCTCGAGTTGCAGCTTCGACTGCTGAATGGTGGCGACGATTCGTTGTAAGAGCTCCTTGTGGAAGCGCACCCTGGAGTGGGGTACGAATAAGGAATCATGGAGGTGAAGGTGAAGATCCTTCAAGTGCTCGCAATGGCGCGTTATGGTTGCGATGATCGGTTCGATGATGCAGACGGCAAGATCGATCTCGATCGACAATTTGGTAAGGTGCCAACGATAGTCCAAGACAAGCTTGATGACGATCAGCTCGGGCATGGTTTGAATCAATGCGACGTCCGATTCGCGGTCGAGCTCTTCGTCTTCAAACTTGAAGGACGCGTTCGGTCGGGTGTGGATCAGGGCGAGAGACTCGAGCCTCGGCGCCTTACAGGGAGGGAGGACGTAAGCCCAGTCGTTCTCTTGTTCCACCGTCAACGATTCGAGGTTGGGCAGGTCGGCAGCGGGAGGAAGACGACCCGTGCCGGACTCGAGCTCGCCATCGAATGTACACGAGCTCAATCGGAGCGAGCGAAGACCTGGATTAAGTCGACGGAGAAAGGGCTCAGCAGTGCCTGTCAGCGCGGGCTTGCTTGGAATAAAACCCTCGGAGCATCGCCGATGAATCACGAAGGATTACCTACTTTGAAAGGAGGCACTTTTGAACCAGCCTGGGTCGATGCCATGAATTCCAACCAGCTCAAGATGGTGCAAGCCTGTGGGAGCGACTCGACCGAAATTTTGTCAGGGAGTCGGTGATGTCGAGGGGAAGCTCTTGACTATAATGGCCCGCATTCAAGTTGTGGTGACTTACTGTGCGTCATCTCGATCAGGATGATGCGTATGTGATTCACCCACGTCTTGACGCCAGTGATGGATCCGAGTCGGAACGAGCGCACTGTGCCATGCTGGTGACGTTCGAGCATGCCGGACTTGATGAGCCGTCGAGCGGCGACGCCGCTATCGATGTGGATGTCTTGCATCAACAGCGGTTGAGCCACAGCTCTCCATCTACTGTTCACCAAACTGCCTTGCTTTAGGGAGGACTGGTAGGCGCCCGAATCACGCAAGGTGGAGAGGATGACGCGCAGGAGCTCGACGGGGAGATGGTCAATCCTCGTCGCGGGCGACATGATGACACACGAGTCGGGCAGGATTGTTATGGGCCGTGGTGGATCGAGTGGGGCAACTGCTCCAACTTGCACCGGGACTCCAACGGTTGCGTGGCTGCCACGTCCAGGCTGAACCAGGTGGGGTGACGGTAAGGCAGCTAGCTGGGCTGCAATCCCTCCCCCACTTCGTGCCCAAATTGGGTCTGGAGCTGGCTGTATGCACTTGTTGCCTCGGTCCGCCTGAGTAGCGAGGCCCACGTAAGGCAAGCACGAGTGAATGTTTTGATTACAACTCAAGCCCTCTAGCATCCTCTACTCGTCATCAGGGTACAACATAAGTTCGGGTCGAACCAACTCGTCAAACTTGGCACTGTCCAAGAAGCCCAAAGCCAACGTCGCCTCCTTGAGCGTCGTGCCTTCCTTGTGCGCCTTCTTGGCGCACTTAGCGACGTTGTCGTAGCCCAACGTCGAGTTGAGGATCGTCGCGAGCATGAGCGATTCGTTGAGCAACTTGTTGATGCGATCCTCATTGGCCTCGATGCCGACGATGCAGTTCTTGGTGAACGATCGAGCACCATCGGCGAGCAGTCGGATCGATTGCAGAAGGTTTTTGATGAGCACCGGCTTGAAGACGTTGAGCTGTGGAAAGCATACGACGAGAGTTCGTCAATTTCTATAGCCTTGATCAAATGCCGTCTGGGCAGTACCAAACTCACCTCGAATTGGCCATTGGAACCAGCGACCGAGATGGTCATGTTGTTACCCATAACTTGAGCCGCGACCATCGTCAGGGCCTCGCATTGGGTCGGGTTGACCTTACCGGGCATGATCGACGATCCGGGCTCGTTCTCGGGCAAGCTCAACTCGCCCAAACCGCAACGCGGGCCCGAACCCAAGTACCGGATGTCGTTGGCGATCTTCATGAAGGAGCAAGCGAGGACGTTAAGCGCACCCGAGGCCTCAACGATCGCATCATGCGCCGCGAGCGCCTCGAATTTGTTGGGTGCGGTCTCGAAGGGAAGGCCGGTGATCTTGGCTATTTCGGCGGCGACCTTGGTGTCAAAGCCCTTGCGGGTGTTCAATCCGGTGCCGACGGCCGTTCCACCCTGGGCCAACATGGACAGGCGGGGCAAGACTCCCTTGACTCGCTCGATGCCGTTGGCGAGTTGCTGGACGTAGCCAGAGAACTCTTGGCCGAGCGTCAACGGGGTCGCGTCCTGCAAGTGAGTTCGGCCAATCTTGATAATGTGCTCGAAAGACTTTTGCTTCTTGAGCATCTCGTCGTGCAGCTCTTGCAGGGCGGGGAGGAGCGTGTTGGAGATTTCGACGACAGCCGAGACGTGCATCGCAGTCGGGAAGCTGGTGAAGTGGCCAAATATAAGGGGTCAGGCGAACGCCTCGAGAGAATCCGTCGCTGTAGGGTGAAACTCACGTGTCGTTGGAGGACTGGGACATGTTGACGTGGTCGTTGGGGTGGACGGGCTTCTTGCTGCCAAGCTCACCGCCGAGCATTTCAATTGCTCGGTTGGAGATGACCTACGAGCAGCGCAGATTTCGCACGTGAGATTATGAATAATCGGGATCGGAAGCCAGCATTCGCGTGTACTGACCTCGTTGACGTTCATGTTGGTTTGGGTTCCGGATCCGGTCTGGAAAACGACCAGAGGGAAATGCTCTTGGCCGATCTTGCCCTCGATGACCTGATAAAGGTTTTCGTGGAATGTTAATGCCTTGCATTTTGATAGACGATGGACATGGGCGTCTACTGACCTCATCGGCGGCCTTCTTGATGGCATCTCCGACAGTTTTATCAAGACCATAGGTCATGTTGACCTCTGCGGCGGCGCGCTTGAGCACGGCAAAGGCCTTGATCAACGGCGCGGGCATGCGCTCGGAAGGTCCTCCGATGTCAAAGTTTTGAACTGATCTATAATCTTCAAAATAAAGATTGATCAGTGTGGGGCTTGGAGAAAGATGCAAGGCGACCGGAGCGAGTAAGGGCCGCGGCCCGCGTCGTCGGATGCCGCCCCACACGGAGGAATGCATTGGCCACGGGTCGCTCCGCAGTGCAGCTCTTGAGTCCGAGGTACGACATGGTGAAACGAGAGAGACCCCCGTGATGACAAGAACATAGAGTGGCTCGACTGACCGCTGGGTTTGTGCGCCATAGTATTTGTCGGCGGGGACCTGGAGGTCACCGAACGTGTCCTTCTCAACACGGATCTTTTGCTGCCCGGGGTGCAAGGTCGGTCGAAGCGACATGATGGATCACGAGGTCAGCTTGACTGGGTACGGAACGATCTAGGGAAGTGGTTGGGACGATGGGTCGAGTTGGGCGAAAAGGGTGTGATTGTCGGGATGTGGGAGGAGGAGGACGATCGGGTCGGAGCCGACTCGCTCCGAAGGCGGAACGGCTGGCTTGGGCCACGCGCTCAGCGCGGCGCCGACAGCTCCGAGTGACCCGAGTCCAGGAAAGAACGAGGCTGTTGCGACGGCGTCTCGGAAGAGGAAGAATGAGAGAAAGAGGACTGACCAAGAGCGCCGACTGGGTCGAGAATGCTCGAGCAGCAGGTACAGAGCGGACAGCCTGAGCGAGCGCAACACAACGAACCCCAACGGTCATGCCGGTCATGCATGACGACCGGCGGCAACAACGGACCGACCGCGACCGAGATTTCGCGCCGATTACGTAGAGAGAGAGAGCAGCAGAGGTGTCAGCTCGAGTACGATCGAAGAGTCCACTCCGATCACGGCGAGCAACACTTACGGATCGCGACAACATGATGGCTTCGGGGTGGGTCGAGAGACTAGGAGCTGCACAGGGGCGGAGCTCACATCAAGTCGATTTCGCAGCGAGGCGCTTACTTGCGATCGTCGGAGCGACCCGGGATCATCGTGCCGCGCGCCGCGGTAACGTAGGGTAACGTAGGGTAACGTGAGGGCCATGCCAGTTGCAGATGGGCATTTTATTTTTTTTGGCGTACATCAGAGCAGTGATGTAATTTTGCTTGGACTCTCGAACTTTGCATCCTTCATCAGAAAATCGTGATCTAGAATTCATTGTGCTTTTCACACCGCTGTGCAGGCCGTCTCAGCGCCTCTCAGCGCGGTCGATCGCTCTCGGCCGGCCTGCCGGCACCCCACACAGCTGCATTGATCACCCACACCCACACCCACATCGATCAACCACGATTCCGTCGAACCTTCTCTCAGCCCGGCAAGTTCCACAGGTAGGTCATCGGTCAGGTGAAAACGGGCTGCCGAGTTCCTGACCGCACTTCTGCCCCCTCGTCATCGCCGTGCACTGGCTGCAGTCAGACTCAGCACAGCTGCTCGGCCTCAGCCTCCTCACACGCTTCTCACCGCGTCATTGCTCCGCCGGACCTCGTCGCATTCAACCACGGCATCAGTCCGCCTAGTCGCCATCGGGCTAGCGTTCATATCTCACCCCACAACGTCGTCTGAGCAGTCGTATCCGGAACAAGACCGCCATGTCGTCCTCGGTGCCGATGCGTCGACATGACCCGCGGCGGGTGTGCCTCATCTCGATGCCCAAGATTGCACTGGGACCGAGGAAACGAGAGTATCTCGTCTACTTTTCCGGAGCTTTGGTGAGTACTGTCGTATGCGTGGTTCCCTGTTTTGGATGCCATCGGCCCAGTCTTGATCCTCGCCAGATCGAGTCATTCGATTCGGCGTGCGCGGCCAACCCCCACTCGCCTCTCGTCTTCGATTACTTCTCCTCTAAATCGAGTCGGCCATGCTGAACACAACCCATCGTTCATCTTGTTGACAGTTCGCGCTCGGGTGGTGGTGCTTCCTGGACGCAGCGATCCTCTCGTCGCATGCGACCCCCCCGGCCGACTCGGGAAGTTACGACCCTGTGCCCGTGCACGTCTCGTTCGCCGACTGGACCCCGGGCATCTGTTCGACCTTGGGCATGATCATCGTCAACCTTATCAACAAGGAGCACCTCTTGAACGACGAGGGTGAATGGGAGGGAGGTCTTCTCGGCGGTGGGGTCGCGTGGCGAGCGAGGCTCTTCTTATTCGTCGGATTCGCTTTGATGGCTGGTGGGCTCGCTGGAAGTGTTGTAAGTACCACAACAGACCATTTGTTATGCCCACTCCTTGAAGTGCCAGCGGTCACTTTTTGTTCTTGAGGAGGTACAGTTCGCCGAAGGCTGACCCCACCTTCTGTGGCCCCTCTTGATTGTGCGCAGACGGTGCTGGTGATCAAATACGTTATCCCACCTTATCCTGGCAACTTTGGCGTCGAATGGGGTGTTGCAAATGTTCTCCAATCCAGTACGTCTTGCGTGTTGCTCCCCTCCATGGGTCTTTCCCGTACTCACCCACTTTGCCGCCTTCATCTTTCGCAGTCTGCATCATGTTTTCGGCTGTCGTACTGTGGACGGCCCAAAACGCCGACAATGACTACGAGTACAACCTGCAGCTTTGAGCTTCGGAATGCTTTCCTTGACGCTCGAGCACTCAATGTCCCGGGGATTTCTGACGTTCTCGATTACAAGGTCAGGGCAGCGACCGCTTTGCATAAACCTATCCAAGAGGTGTGGGCACGTGTGGTTCCCTCTATTGTAACAATGTTTCTGATTTACTTGATGTTGCTTGGCGCCGCGTCGTGGTGAGAGTACAGGCGATTGCCCTCGAGCCCAGACTCGGCACGCCCAGTGCAGGAGTCTGCAGGCTGGCGTCAAGCGGACTGATGAACCTGGGAGCGCAGCCAGATCAGGCGCGCCGGTTCTTCATTTCAATTCGCTCTTCGACTTGTCTCTGCCTTGGCACCCTCGGACGATCCACGATGCATTCGGCTGCGCGTAAACCTGCGGCAGGTGTCCAGTTCTCGGTCGATCGACTGTGGGTCTTGATACCTTGCCTCGTTGACCCGTCGAGCACGTCTCGGCTCGTGAACGCGTCGTGTCGCGTCATGTCGCGTCGTGTCGCGTCGTGTCGCGTCGTGTCGCGTCGCGTCGAGGCTAGGGGGGTCGCGCACTCGCTCTGACGGTCTCGGCGGACCCACCACCGAGCACCATCAGATACTGATCTCCTTCAAACGCTATATCACGATGCAGATTCGGTGACTCGGCTACTCCGAAACGCGCTGCTCGTCCTACAGGACCCCCAGGATCGAATGGACGTCCCAGCGGTGGCCACCTCGGGTCCTCGCCAACTGCTCACGGCACTACACCCAAGTCGAACGCTCGTTTACCCCATAATGTTGGATCCAGTCCAATGTTAGAGTCAGTCGAGTTTGCATTCTTCTCCTTTCACGAGGCCTAGGAACAAGGCTCGAGGACATTTGCGCTCATCGTCTCCCACGCGCTCCGACACCAACTGACGTCCCTTACTACTTGACCCTGCTCTAGCTCATCGCCTTCCTCAAACTCCATCTCGACGAGTGCGGCTCCCCCAGTCCCCTTCTCGGAGCGGAAGGACAAGTTGTCGATCCAAGAGTCGTTGAACGGTCATTTGGGTCTGCCCTCGGCCGATGATCGCAGCGGCGATGCACCGAGGGTCGTCTTGTCGAGTACGATGGACCCCAAAAAGTACGCGTACAGGATCGCATATGAACGACCGATGGAGAGGAGTGAAGGTGAATGAACACGAGATTTATTGCGCGATGCGTTACTTCCGTTCGACTTTTCACGTAGCTGACTCGGTCCAACTTCACACCAGCCCTTGACGCGGCGATCGATGCCGCCGCAGACATTCTGAGAGAGTATTACGGTATTGAAGAGTACGGTGATGCTAGTCTACAGTCGCAGGTGAGCTGGGCCACCGACAGGAGATACAGAAGCGTGGGAGGGTTCGTGGGAGGTTTACGAAAGTTTTCCTGACTTTGATCACGCGCGTCCAGGACGACATTATCGTGTGTGGACGATTGTGCCCAGAGTCCGACCAAGCCAAAATGACCGACACCTCGACATGGCTCGAATCATCTCGCGCTCTGGGGAGTGGCTTCCGAGTGTTACTCAAGTTTGAGCCAGGGATGAAAGTGCGAGGAGCGCCGCCGGGTGCGGGTGGTATCGGCTTGTTCCCGGGTTGCATGGTCGCTTTGAAGGGACGGAATGGGGGCGGAAAGCTGTTTGCTGTTGATGAAATAATGATGGTTCGTCGTCTGTCTGATTCGCTCGTTGGCCACTCGAAGTGGGCGAGTTCGCTAACTACTGCCCCCCCTCCACTTCAGATGCCGCCCATGGATGCCCCCGTCACTGCGCCGTCCGAGATCTTGGCGAGACAACATGGCGACAAAGTCAAGCAGTTGAACGGCAAGCCCATGTCGCTCCTCGTCGCAGCAGGTCCTTACACACTTGACGGCGATCTCAACTACGAACCGCTGTCAGCCTTGCTCGATCTGGCCCAAGCCGAACGGCCCGATGTACTTGTCTTGCTCGGCCCCTTCGTCGATGCTGAACACCCCAAGATCCGAAGTGGCGATATCGACATGATGCCCGACGAGCTGTTCCGCTCCCAAATCTCGACCAAACTGAACAAGCTATTGCAGGCTGCACCGCGGACGGCGATCATCCTCGTCCCGAACCAACGCGATCTCGTGAACCACCATGTCGCCTACCCACAATCACCCTTTGTACGAGAGACGTTGGCCCTTCCGAGGGGTGTGAAACTGTTGCCGAATCCGACGACGTTCAGCATCAACGAAGTCGTTTTCGCAATCACATCCGTCGACGTCCTCTTTGCCTTGCGCCACCAAGAGTTCTTCAAGAAATGCGGTGAGGTCAAGGAAGAGGGGGAAGGGATGGATATGGATGTCGAAGAGGATCCGGCCGCCAAAGACGTGATGGCGAGGACGTGCCGCCACCTCTTGAGGCAGCGAAGCTTCTATCCCATCTTCCCGGCCCCGATCGGCGCGCGCAACTTGCCGAGCTTGAATCTCGACGTGACGCATCAGGAGTTGATCAAGATGGATGCGGCGGGAGCCGATGTCGTCATTGCGCCTTCCATGTTGAAGCACTTTACCCGGGTGAGTCTTTCACATATGCTTTGCCGTGGCTTTGAATGCTGATTGTTCGCGCTGCGGCTGTGCTCAGATTGTCGATTCCACCATCATGATTAACCCTTCGTTCTTGTCACGAGGGAACCTACCGGGTACATTCGCCCGTGCCACCGTGCGCCCGATCGATCGAGACTCGCTACAGCAAGCTGTTCAAGAGGATGAGAATTCTGAGATTGAACATCGGCTATGGGAGAGGTGTCGAGTCGACGTCATCAAGATCTGATCGAGCCTCCTGTCTTTGTTGTCGCTTTGTGTCGTGTAATCCTAGGACATATTCTTGCAGCCGACATAACACGTATTCGAGTTTATGTGTACGATGCTTTGAAGTACTTTGGGCCCGCTAACAGTCGTTGCCCGTCCACCGAAACCCCTAGCCCCAAAGCCCTGAGCGTGGAGGGATCTCCCATCTGACCCTCGCGGGTCGATGTGGAGGCGCTCTGGGCTACAGTACCTAGCGGAAGCGCCGACTTCCGCTTTCGATCTCGGTCGTCCTGGCACTTGGACTCGATGAGTGCGAGGCCGTGCGAGGTCGCTCGGGCCTCACACATCTGCCCGAGCCCAACGACGTAGCCCCTGAGATATCTTGGCAGGCTTGGCAATTGCGCACTCCCCAACTCCGCCGCGGTCTCCCCGGCCAGCCTCAGAAGAAAGGCAAAGCGCTGCAGTGATGTTCGGAATATCGGGCCCGACCTCGAACATCACCAATTGACACGACTCGACTTTCTTCGGCTAGCCGTCATGATCAACCTCTCACCCAGACCTTACTCGCCAGAGTCTCGTTATATCTCGTCTCAGACATCAATCCTCGTACTCGAATCAAGTCTTCAATCTTTCCGTCATCACTCTCGCGACACCATCGAGGCGGTGTCATGCTCTTTCAACTGCCTCTTGCCCTCTCCACGCTCGTATTGGCCGCCATCGCCATCGCAAACGATCCTACTCTCCCAGCATGTGGACTCAAATGCGCGACGGACATTCCTCCCAAGTCTCCTGTCAGTACTTAGCCTTTTCCGTTCAATCTGGACCTGCCTCGACCCTATTGTCGGGTGGATGGAGATTGCACTCACCCTCTATACTTGGCGCAGTGCCTCTACGTGACGAACGTGTCATGCGCGTGCACCAATGAAGTGTACTCCAAATTGTTCCAGGACTGCATCGTCCAAGGTGAGCCGCCACCACGAGCCCCGAGGGCACCCCAGCCAGGGGCTCACTGTCCGACGGCGCGTTCTTGGTTCATTCAACCCACGTCGGACTTGTACTTCATAGGATGCAACAACAGCAAAGATCTACAAGCGGTCGCTGATTTCGGTCGAGAAACCTGCAAATTGTTGAACATCACGCCCGATACCGGTGGTCTCGATGGTAAGTTCTGGTGCGCGCTCTGGGATCGACTCGACACCATTCGAGCTGGTGACAGCTTCGCATGCTCGTCGCCTAGGAACCCTTTCAGATTGACTATGTCACTGAACGTGTCTTTTTTTGTTACGTGACCCAGGATCCCCCAAAACCTCGCAGCCATCTACGGACTCGCACCAACAAAACGTCAATTCCAGCCTCTCCGGTCCAAGTTCTTCAGCCGCTTCACCTCCACCGGCCTCATCCCATGCTCCTATCCTGATCTGCCTCGGTCTCGTGAGCATCGGAATCACCGCCCTGATTTAATATTGCAAATACTACCCTCCGCATCTGTATATAAACCGCCGTACATTCGACGCACATGTTTCGGCCCCCATCTCATTCTCAACCTTCCTGCCCTTGAAACTTTCTTTAGTCCTCTCGCCCCACCTAAACTTTGGTCCTCAGTAGTGAACTCGACATCTACAGATTTCCTTACATAAAACTGAGTTGTTCACTTCCTGAATGCATGCACGCCTAAGCATTAGCGCGCACCCGCGAGAACGGAGACCCGATCGGTAAACGTTCATTGTGTGCGTCAGCAGGGGTTGGGTCAGAGCGTCCACTGTACACGACCTTGGCCAGTAAACCGAAGGTTACTTTTTCGCAAGTTAAACTCTCCCGCTCTGCAATAGCACGCAGCATATCCTCGGGGAAGTCGTCTGAGCTCGCTTGAAGGCTTTCTGGACAGGGGTTCACCTTAATGCTCGTTTTTTTTTTATCTGGTTGCAGAATAAGTTGACCGGATTCACCGTCGAACATCATAAATGATCGTATCTACTCTCACTTCCCAAACTCACGATGATTCCTGCTTACAAAGTCCGGCTGTTGCTGACTGCACAGAAGCTCTATTTGCATTGCGTTTGCATAAAGTTACAAGAACAGAATAAGACGGAGGGAAAAAAAAAGGAATCCTTCTAATATGCTTCGTAAGAAGTGGTATAAACGGTCTTGGTGTGCTCGTCGGCAGAGCGGTCATCTTGCAGTGGCGTGAAGGCAAGGAGAAGATCTTGCTCGATGACGGCGAGATCGTAAGCGGGAGCAACGTTGCCATGCTCCTGGGCGGAGACTTGAGGTGGTCGCTCGGCGATGGCATCGTAGTTGGATTCCTTGGGAGGTTGGGGTATAGGGTAAGGCAACTCGGATAATGCGGAGGGGTAGACCTTGGCGGATCCGGCGAGCTCGGCGATCGCTAATAGGAGCTGGCGCACGACAAACTCGGCCTCGACGCGGGCGCTGCGGAGGTGCGGTAGATCGGATATCCTGATAGATGAACGTGATCGTCAGTCTCCTCGTCTCGAGTGATCGCATATAATGCAGGTTCTTGAAAAGCAACTTACCTGCCTGCCCAGCAGATCGTCGATCCAGACGACTCGACGTGTTCGAGCTCCCGTTGGCGTAAGGTGAGAGCCATCAATCGGTATTTCCACGAGGTGTGAAGGGCTGTCAAGGAATGTTTCGGGGAATTCAGTACACCAATAAACGCGTCGTATTCCGTGAGGAACGCTCCCTTGCACTCACTTCGCAGTTGCTTCGCAGAGACGGTGACGGCGCGAGCACCCGTCCCTTTGCCCGCGGTGCCCGCTGCTGGACTCGCCCGCAGACTCGCCCGCGATAAGCCGTTTACCGTGACCGAGGGGACCGACTTTTGCTGGTCCGTGCGATGGTGGTTGAAGAACAGAGCAGTGGAAGAAAGTAGGCCAGTCATATCGTAGGTACGTGGTTAATGGACGGAGCAGAGTCAAGAGATGGGCGGTTGCAAGTGATGAGGAGAACACAAAGAGAGCAGACGTCAATGATGATCCCATGAGTAGTGAACGTGCGAGAGAATCACGAGTGGCTTCGAGCGCGACACCTCCACCCCGGGACGCGGCCGGTGGTTTTCACACTCCACAAGTTTACAAGTTTAGGCGAGCGGGCCAGAGCTGACTAAGGCTCGTATTGAGAGATGTCCTGACTCGTTCAGAATGTCCGCCTGAATGTTTATGTACGACTCCGGGATAGAACTCTCCCCTCAAGTACCTAGTTCCAAATTATAGGCTGCAGGGGCCTACAAAGATGCCCGGTGACAGAAATGGACTGTGGAGTGCATTTACGTGCTTCGCCGACGTCGCCCGTACTGGCGCTCAAGATCACGTGATCGGCCAAGCGCTCCGACCCCTTCGCAGGAGGTTCGTTTTCACGCCCAACTTAGTTCTCCTCCCCTACCGCGTCAAATTGGACCTTTTGTGACGGGTAACTGCGATTGCATTCTACAGAAAAGGGTTACATCCGCAGGCGATCGCTCGTACAGGGAAACTTGCAAAGCTGCCAAAGGCGAGGCCAAACGTGAGGTAGAACGACACGCAAGTAGCAGCGGTGTCGATCTCGTGCTCGTCCAGCGATGGCTCGATCACTGTCGCCAACATGATCAGGGTCGACAGGTACCCGTTTGAGAGGGAGAACAGAAACATGATCGTCAGGAAAACTGCATAGTCGAATGGGAGTCGGCGCGGTCGTCGTGAATGAGTGGAGCGACCGGTGATCCGGTGACGATGGCAGCGCGTAAGTGGAGGGGTGGAGGGGGGAAACAAGGAAATGTGGGGTAAGCGCCGACTACCAGACGAGCGCGGCCGAGTTCTGGCGCGCTGCTGACTCGAGCTGCGACTCACCGACGTCAGAATTGATGATCGGCGTGCCTTGGCTGTAGCTCGTGTTGCACATGAAAAATAGGGGCTGCAAGCGAAAAATTTAACGGAAGCGTGAGCTTCTGGTGGGTGCGCCATTTCCCGGCCACGACCCGTGCCGAAGACTCACTATAAAGACGAGCCGCCCGATGGAGCTGAGCATCAAAACTTTGATGTTGGCAAAGTTGAACACCTTGACCTGGGGCATGATCCTGCCGATCCAATCACCCAGCGCAAACATAGCAAAGCTCATGGGAATGAATAGTGCTGGCAATGTCAAAGTCCCTGTGAATCCCAGGGGTACATCTTTGCCCGGGCCGCGGTTGACACTGTGAACTATGCAGCCCCAAGTCAGCGTACGCCCAGGGGATTCGGTCATAGACGAGCGAGCGCACGATTGTATGGTCGAAGTGATCGATGGGAATACCGATAATGTTACCCCGAAGACAAAGAACATTGCGATCCCGTACTTTCGAACCTTCTTCTCGATCTTCTCGATCTTCTTCAGATTTGGCGTTTTCGAGTCGCCGGCCGCGTCGTTCGGCCCTCGTTCGCCATCATCTTGGGTCCCCAGGGAGCGCATGACGAGGCGATAGAGAGGAAGTCGGAGTAGGATGAGGTAGGAGAGCAAGGCAATGAAAGCAAAAGCCCCGATCGCGATGAAGAAAGTGAAAGCAGAGTTGCGCAGGCCTGCACTCGGGACGGGTCCGCGTCGGCTGATTTTGCCAGCTTTGAAGAATCTCGTCTGACTAGTGAAGGCTTCGAACATGAGCGGTTCACCTTCCTCGGTCTTGAAGGAGGTATAGGCGGCAACGAATTGGATCATCGCGACGGCGAGTCCGATTGCTCCCTGACCAGACAAGATGCCTTGCAGACGTGCCGGGCCGAATTTTGACGACAGGGCGACGACGGCGTTTTGCAGGAACGATGCAGACGCTGCGAGGACAAGTGTGGTGGTGATCAAAACTGAAAAGAAGAGGCTGGCGCGGAAGGGAAAGAGATCAGTTCATACGTCGCGAGTGCAATAACCTTGCTGGCGACGAACTATGGGTTGATCTCTTCGATCTGGGTCGATGTGATGAACAGTGACACAATGCCGATGAGTATTACGATGGATATCCATATTCGTCGTCCCAGATCAGCCTGTGAGAACAGCCAGTGGCGTGATCAGAACCAGGCCCTGTTGCATCATCATGCCATCTTTTCCAAATTTGAGCCCGAAACTCACTCCGTGCTGCGTCACATTCGCCCACGCCAAAAAACTCAAATTGCCAGTCGTGAACGTCAGGGCGACAAAGTTGGAGTACGAGTCCTGGAATTTGGACCCCTTGAGGCGTGCACCAAAGTAGACGCCAGCAACGATTATCGAATTCCAAGCCAAGAGGATGCAGGCGCCTGTACGGATGCAGAGCCGTAATCGATGTCAGCGCACTGAGTCCTCGTCCGTGAAATCGAGACAAAAAAAATCTCCCCACCAAGAATGAAAAAGATACCATAGGCGAGCCCAAGCTCAAACTTTCTTGCGCTCAAGTCAAGCTGCAAATGGTCGTCTTTTGCCTTGACATCATCGCTCCGTTCCCCTTCGCTTCTATCTCGGCGGTGGCCTCGTCCCCGTTCTCGTTGGCCTTGGTCCTCTTCCTGATCGGCTTGAGCGCTTTTGCTCATCAAGGGTTGGTACTCGTCCTCCAATCTTTGCTCGACCTCGCTCGGCTCCAAACCATCGATCTCGTGCAACACGCCCTCCGGCCCTTCGGCACCCGGTCCTGCTTGATCGACGAGATGTTCAGCCGCTTCGATGGACGAGCGCGTACGTTCGCGAGCTCGAGAGGCAGCTCGGGATGCGGAAGCCAAAGGGGCGAACATGGTGTTGGATTTCGAATCGGACGCGTCTGGTCGTGACGATGGCGAGGCTGAAGGGAGGGAAGTGAGGTGGATGGCGGACGACGAAGAGCCGAGGGACGAGGATGAGGTCGAGGACGGTGATGCGGAGTACCTATCGATGGAAGAAGCGTGCACCCCGAGAGCAGTTGAGACGGGTATTGACGTCGCCAGGATGACCACTTTTGCTGCACCACCAAGCGAGGCGAGGTTGAATCACCGCACAGCGCTCGTGCGACCGGTGGGTTCGAAGCTGAGTGGGGAAAGGCGTGGGGACCGTGCGAGGCGGCGACGGTGGCACGTAGTGGTAGAATGTGGATGAGTGACTGCTCGCTGACTTGTTCGTGATTCGAGAGCCCAGACTTGCGTTCCCACCACGCAAGGAGACGGAGGCTGGCCTGGAAGACGAACCAGACGGAGATGAAGCTATGAAGCGCCGGGGACAGGCGCCAGGCGGGAGCGCACTCGTATAAAGTGCTGAGAGCCATTTGTGCGCTTTTTCAAAGTCTCCCGGAGGACTCGGAGGTCGCTCAAGAGTCCTTTGCCCGGCCGTTTTGACGTCGTGCCCATACCTAAAGAATCAACAGTGATTGTTTACAGGTAGCCTTGCAGTGGATAGGTAGATAACGATTGTTGCTCATCTCCAGAAATGGCTTCACAATTTCCCCTCGTGAGGTCCGTGCGGGTGCACTGCGCAGTGACTGGAGAAAAAGCAAAGGAATGACTAAGTTACAGGAATAAAAAGGGAGTGAACTGCGTGAGTGTTTGGGCTAGCAAGCTAACGAAATTTAGTTGGGATCAACTTTATTCGTCATTCCTTGCCCCGACTCTTGAATGCATCCATCCATCTTGACGCCCAGTGCTGTCACTGGCTTTGAGCACTGCGCAATTGGTCGGTCTTGGGCCGGGAGTGGCATCCAACATACCTTGCTTCTTGAGGCAAGTGTTTATATATGATCCCGTAGGTGTACCAAGGATAAGTCCTCACGCCGTCCTTGCTGTCGTCTGGAAGATCGCACGGCGGCATGAAGGATGCGACAGCATTGCCCGAGGGGTGAAGATCGCAGACCCCTACCAGCGGACCCGACCCACCATGCTGCCACTCTTCAGCAGTTCATTACAGGTCTTGAGTATCGAAAGAGCTCAGAAGGTCAGGTTAACGGTCGTACCGGTAAACCGGAAGGCCAGCCCGCAGCTGCCGAGCGCGGGGGAAATTCCAACTCCTTTCTCTGAAAGTTGAGACCCCCCCTCGGATAGGCGTGCGCCACGAGATGCTGCCCTCTTGTACCGCGCCTGGCGACCCTCTCTTCTAGCTTCGGCCCAATAAGAAGTTGGAGCGAGTCGAGAATGGTCATGTTCCGTATCCGCGCTGTTTGAACTGGACATGCGCTGGACCTCACCCCTTGTGACGAACGCTCTGGACACCTGCCGTGACCTGTTCAGGCCCCAGAGTTGGTCGTGTCTCTCATGGTCAGTCAAAAGAATACCCGTAGATGATGGTTATACTGTACTCCAAGCAAGTGTCTAACAAGGTATGCTGAATCACTAGTTCCTGCCACGATCGATTTCCGTTTTTTACGCGAACATTTTGCCAAACTTCTTGCGCTCGGCCTCCTTCTTGGCCTTGATCTTGAGTTTTGTCTTTTCCAACCTACAGATCATAGCCAATCAGGTCAGCAGGTGCCAATTATCGACCGAGAGCTGCGTCCATTCGTGGCAGCTTACTCTGCTTCGATAGCCTTATCACCCTTGACCAGAGTCCTAGCCTCTTCCAGATCCTTGACCGCCCCGGCCTCCTCCTTGATCGCTACTTTACCCAACGCCCTCCTGTATAAACACTTGGCCTTGTCCGCATCCGAGAGAGGTGTCCTCATCTCTTGCTTATCGGCATCACCGTCGAGGTTCAGGGCTTTGGTCGCTTGGTCGATCGCGAGTTGGGCATCCGAGGCTTTGATGGGGTTGGACGTTTTGAGTGCCGTCAAGGCCGAATTGAGGAAGAGGGACAGACGAAGCGCGACGAACTTTTGTTCGAGATCATAGTCGCGCGACGGGAGCACGGGATGTACGTCGAGGTCTGTGGACCGAGAAATCTACTGTTTCAGGCTTAGGGTGCTTGTGGCTTGAACTTCAGCCTCGACTCACATCGGAGGGCCTTTAGGTACTTGTTCTGTGCGGCCTTGAAGTCGCCAGCTTTGAACAAGTCGGTACCTTTGGTCTTGATCTCCGTTGCGATCTTGAGCACGACGTTGGGCTGAAACGCGACCAGGTCCTCGTCAGTAATCATCCAGAATATCGTCGAAGCTCTCTTCGAACTCACGTCTCCAACATCACTCTCATCATCACTGGGGTAATCCTCGTGACCATCGGCATGAGGATCGGGCTTGACCCCATCGTCCTCACCCTCGGCCAATTGCCCACAATCGGCGATAACGATCTTCTCCGTCGGGCTGTCGGATTTGACGGGAGCGTTCTCCATGAGACGAACGATCGAGCGCCCCTTGATGACCTTTCCAAACACGACGTGTTTTCCGTCGAGGTGAGGGGTTGGTACAGTCGTAATGCTGTGACGAATTCAAGTAATGGCACAGTCAGAAGGGTGGACCGACGCAAAAGAGTACGAACGCGATGGGCACTGACAAGAATTGGGAGCCGTTCGTGCTCGGTCCAGCGTTGGCCATCGAAAGCAGGAAGGGCTGATCGTGCTTTAACTCGAAGCTGGAAGATCGGATCAAGTGTAATGTCAGCGCTGTAGCTTGCTGCATCAGCCTACATGACCCATCACGATGACGCACTTTTCGTCCTCGAACTTTTCGCCGTAGATGGATTCACCGCCCATGCCATTACCCATGGTAAAGTCACCACCCTGAACAAGTGCGAAGACTAGTCAGTCTGGTTCATAAAGAATCGAGTCCATTTCTGAGCCACGCACTTGGCACATGAATCTAAGCGACAAGAAGCAAGAAGATGGAACGTCGACGGGGTCAGCTCGCTCCAGTTTTGGCAAAAAGGGGAGCCCCACTTGGGCGGTCCTGATGGGCTCGCGCGATCGCCAAAGGTGGGAGAATGCAGAACGGGAAGGTATCGAATCTGCGACATTGATCGCTCACCTCTTGATGATCCTGTAGGCCAAGAGTGATGACCGAGTGAGATCAGTCACAAGCCAAGACCTCCTAACTCGAACGAGGCCGAGTGAGCGCCGAGTGAGCGCTCACCTGTGGAACGTCGAGTGCTTGTAGTGCAACGGCTTGCCACTGTTCCCTGTCCCCTTCTCTCCCGTACACAGTGCCCTAAAGTTCTCTGCGGTCTTGGGTACGACATCGGAGAAGAGCTCAAAGACGATGCGGCCGGCCTCGTTCTCATTGATGGTGCTGTCGGCGACGGAGGCGCAGAGAGGGAGAGAGGGGGAGAGAGCCCGTCAGCTGAGAAGGGTAGCTGTGAGAGTTTTGTCTGCCTACTGACATGTCAAAGTAGACGCGTGGTCGAGGTGCACTACCCGGTGCTGGCGAGGCGATCGTGCCTTTGGGGCCGGCTGCGGTCGCGTGGAGGTCTGCGATGGACGAGTCGCTCGAGGCGATGCTGGCCGTTTCAACTCGATCAATCATCTCAGACATGGCGGCTGATTATTGCGGTGCTGTTGGCTGGGTGGGGTGGGGTGTGATGCAAGTGAAGGAAAGGGCAAAAGTTCAAGAGGCGAAAAGGGTTTGACCGAACCTGAAAAGTCGCCCGGTTCGGCTCCGCTTTCGACGCGGTTCCACGGCGTTCCGCGGCCCGCGGAGCTACCTAATCCATTATTAATCCGCTCCTTAATCCGCTTCATTAGCAGTGATCGACGCCGACTATTAGCGCGATCCTCGACGCGCCTCGGCGACGTAAATAATAATCGAACTCGGCCTCGTTCAGCTCCGCACCCGGCACTGCCCACGACGACCATGCCCCGTACTCTGGCAGGCGAGGATGTCGCAGCGTTGCTCGCTGAATTGGACGTCGCACAAGCTCCTTCACCGGACGCCATTCGCCAGGAGATCATCAACGACTGGCTCATCCCGTCCAAGGGAGGCCACAAGGAACTGCACGAGCCGAGTTGGAGGTTGTGAGTCGCGTTCCTGCGCTCCTGTCGTAGGGCCTGCTGGAGCTGAAACGTTCCCCCCGCTTGAATCGGTCGAGCGCAGAAACTGGAACCGACCGGTCGACGTCCGCTCGCTGTTGCACGTCGAACCGACCCACCCAACGACCTCATTGACCCTGCTCACCTCGGGTCTCGACGGCCACATCTCGGGCTACAGAGAGACGACCGTCACCGCTTCGAGTCAAGCCAGGACCGCACTCAATTCAACCCGCCTCGACAGGAAGCCGGCCAACTACTCCCACGATGGCTTCGTGCGCGGTAAGAGCACCTACTACCCCTTCCGACCGGGAGGGCTCGGCGAGGTCATCGGCCTGCAAGAGGCGCATGATCTCTCCGAACGGCAAACCGAGAGGTTGGAAAACGCGTTCGAGAAAGGCTCTGGTCAGTTCAGCAACGATCGGCTAGACTTCCGGCCGAGTGCAAGTCGGGGAGGCCCCTGACCCCGAGCTGAACTCGAACCCCCCTCTCTTCGCAATCAACTGCGTGTCAGGTGGGATCAGGACCGTACCACCGGGCTTCACAAGAGGCTTGGACTTTGGATCGGTCGATGAAGGTGAAGAGGCGTTGATGGAAGAGGAGGAACAGGTTGGCAGTCACGTCGAACCCATCTACCAGCCGATGCTCAACGTCGAACTGGCCTCAACCAGAGAAAGCGTCAGTTGCTAGCGCCAACCTCGGACTGACAAGCTGCGCATCATTGATTCCGAGCACCCTTTGAAACAGTCTTCGCGGAAAAAGAGTGCGACAGCACCTCAACTAGACCCCGCAATCGACAAGTTGCTGCCCACCGAGGTCTGTTGGGTCGCGCCAACCTTGTCCAAAGCAATTCACCAATTGACAAGACAATTTCCTAATACCCGTAGAGTACCCTCAATGTCACAACCAAGACGACGTCCACAAGACGGAGGCCCGTCATCGCCAAGCGTGACTGGGCACACGTCGTTGATGTCAATCGGGAAATCGCAAACTTCAGTCAGCTCGTTCCCGACATGGCACGAGAAGTAAGTCCTGCATTGGTTGTCCGGTTGGAACTCGACATCTTATCAACGCATTACCCGATGTAGTACCCTTTCGAGCTCGATACCTTTCAAAAAGAAGCAATATACCACATGGAACTGGGGGAATCCGTCTTCGTGGCGGCCCACACGTCCGCAGGCAAGACCGTCGTGGCAGAATACGCCATCGCGCTCGCAGTCAAGCACATGACTCGTGCCATCTACACCTCGCCCATCAAGGCCTTGTCGAACCAAAAGTTCCGGGACTTTCAGCGAACGTTCGAACCGAGTCAGGTCGGTATCTTGACGGGAGATGTGCAGATCAATCCGGAAGCGAGCTGCTTGATCATGACGACCGAGATCCTGAGGAGTATGCTCTACAAGGTCAGTCACAACGTTCGTTCTTTGGCGGTCTCAAGGGCTAACAGGGCTTCTTATACTTGACTCGTAGGGGGCGGATTTGATTCGAGACGTCGAATGGGTCATCTTTGACGAAGTGCACTACGTCAACGATCTCGAGCGAGGTGTCGTCTGGGAAGAGGTCATCATCATGCTCCCCGACCACGTCAACATCATCCTGCTCTCGGCGACCGTACCCAACACCAAGGAGTTCGCAGATTGGGTCGGTCGAACGAAGAAGAAGGACATTTACGTCATCTCGACGCCGAAACGACCGGTCCCGCTCGAGCACTACCTGTACGCTGGGAAAGAGTTGCACAAGATCGTCGATTCGAAGGGACAGTTCCTGGGAACTGGGTGAGTGGGACGCGTCCGACCAAATTTGGCTATGGTAAGAACCTGCTGACAAGATCTTCGACCCTCTTGAGCTATTAGATACAAGGAGGCGAACGAGTCACTGAAGCGAAAGCAAGAAAAGGACCGAGAGGCCGCCGGTCTGGGACCTCTCACGGCGACAGGCGGTAGAGGAGGAGCCGCGGGTGGGCGAGGCGGCGCTGGCGCGACTGCTCGAGGTGGGGGCCAGAATCGAGGTGGAGGCAACGTCGCTCGAGCAGTCGCTTCGAGAGCTGCTTCGAACGCTATGAGGGGTTCTCGGGGAGGGATGGCGGCAGGACGGAATGCACAAGGCAGAGGAGACGCCACGCTCTGGATCCATCTCATCGGATTGCTCAAAAAGAAGGAACTGTTGCCCGTGGTCGTCTTTACGTTCTCGAAGAAGCGGTGCGAAGAGAACGCAGCGAGCATGCCGAATACGGATTTGCTCAACGCCGCGGAGAAGAGCGAGGTGCATGTCGTCATTGAGAAGAGTTTGACCCGGTTGAAGGGTAAGTCAAGTGTGGTGTTGGGTCACGACGATCGAGATCACTGAGTACGTATGACCCTTTTCAGGCTCGGACAAGATGTTGCCTCAGATCCTGAATATGCGGCAACTTCTTGGACGGGGCGTCGGTGTGCACCATGGTGGTCTCCTTCCTATCGTCAAAGAGGTGAGCCTGTAATGCTCGTAACCATCCTGACAGATCCGAGACTGAGACCTATCGTATTGTATGGTAGATCGTGGAGCTGCTGTTCGCCAGGGGTTTGGTCAAAGTGCTATTCGCTACCGAGACATTCGCAATGGTAAGTAGTAGAGATTTGGAGCCTTCCGTTCCCATAAACCCAGGCTGACGAGTACATGTGTGACAGGGCGTCAACATGCCGGCCAAATGCGTCGTCTTCGCGAATATCCGCAAACATGATGGCCGCTCGTTCCGAGATCTGCTCCCCGGCGAATATACGCAAATGTCGGGTCGAGCGGGACGTCGAGGACTGGACAAGACGGGAACGGTGATCATCGTCGCCGATTCCGACGTACCCGAGACGACGACCTTGACGCACATGCTCCTCGGCCAACCGACGAAATTGCAGAGTCAATTCCGCTTGACCTACTCGATGATCCTGAACCTCTTGCGGGTCGAGGCACTGAGGGTCGAAGAGATGATCAAACGCAGTTTCTCGGAGAATGCTTCGCAGAGGCTGCTGCCTGAACACGAGAAGAAGGTGGTCGAGGGCATGAACGAGTTGAAAGCGCTGAAGAAACTGCCCGCGGGGCCGGAAACCGAAGAACTGTCACGGTTCTATGATCTGGAGGCACGGCTGGTTGAGCTCAATACGGCCGTCCTGGAGGGCGTGCTTTCCCACCCTCAGTCGGCAAAGGTCTTATCAGCTGGTCGCATCGTGATTCTCACGGATGGCGTGAGTCTTCGTTCACTCCTGCCCTCGCCGTGAAGGCATGTGCTGAACCGGTGTTCTCCGTTTCCGCAGCACTTCCGGGACAGCCCAGCAGTCATTCTCAAACAAGCTCCCTTGGCAACTCTACCGTCCGGGGTCATCGATCCCACGAAGCAGTTCTTCGTTCTCGCCTTCGTGCCCCCCGAAATAAAGGCTGGTCACAACGACCTTGCCGCAGACGCCGTCCCACCACGGTGGCCGCCCCGGCCGAACGCTGCAAGCACCGAGCAAGAACTGACTTACGAGCTGGCTATCGTACCCATCACTTCCATCTCGCTTGTGACGGCATCGACGATGAAGGTAAGTGTCGTCGAACGTGCTGGGAAAGCAGCAACTCCTGGAAGGAGACTGACCCCTCCAATACCTAACCAGGTCGATGTGGACGGTATTGCCGAGCGACATCGTAGAACGCCTATGGAGGCTGCTCTTGCCCAGTGGAATGTGATGGCCAACACGCCCGACCTCTTGCGGGAATCCGACTGGTCCAAGATCCGCGGCCTCGAGTTCAGGACAGCGTTGACCGAACGTGACGAACGAGCCAAAGAGCTCAATTTCTTTGACACCACGAGTCCCGACTTTGATGAAAATGTAGGTCAACAGATTCGTTCATTGAATGTCTTGATCCCAAGCTGAATGGGCCATTCATTTGGCGCAGTATCGACTACTTCATGTGGAGCGAACTCTGCAAGACAAGATTGCGACATTGCGCATGGCCCTAAGCGAGCAAAACTTGGAGCTCCTGCCCGACTACGAGCAGCGCATCGCTGTGCTCAAGGAGCTACAATTCATCGACGAGAATTCGACCGTGCTCATCAAAGGTCGCGTCGGCTGCGAGATCAATTCGGCCAACGAGTTGGTCTTGACCGAACTCATCCTCGACAACACCTTCGCCACGTTTGAGCCCGAGGAAGTCGTCGCTTTACTTTCGTGCTTCATTTTCCAAGAAAAGACTGACGTTGAGCCGCTACTCACACCCAAACTTGAAGAGGTGCGCTAACATGATTCTTTTTGATTCGCGATTCCCTTCCAACACCGAGCTGACAATCGAGGGCCTCAAAATTGTGCAGGGCAAAGCGACGATCGTCGAAATCGCGGACCGGGTTGAAGCAGTGCAAAGCCGCCATCGCGCCAACTTTGCCGACGACGGCCAATTCGGCAACGGAGGACTCAAGTTTGGTCTCGTGGAAGTCGTTTACGAATGGGCGAAAGGCATGGTCAGTTTCTGCAGTTCGATCGCCTTCCGCCCCCACATCACCCCCACGTGAACGTGCTGACCGATCCCGCGCGCTGTGCATTTTTGGAAAATCGCAGGCGTTCAGCCAAATCACGGCGTTGACAGATGTGCAAGAAGGAACGATCGTTCGTGCCATCACCCGACTCGATGAAACGTGCCGCGAAGTGCGTGATGCCGCACGCATCGTCGGCAACTCGGACTTGTTCACTAAGATGGAGCAGTGCCAGCTCAAGATTCGGCGCGACATCGTGTTCTGTGCTAGTCTGTACTTCTGAGTTCGGGGGACCACCGTCTGTATTGGGGGTCTTGTCTGCTTCGAATTCATTTTTAGCCCCCCGGGGGTGGTTCTGCCTACTCTACGTCTCGGAGATCGGGCAAGCGCCGAGCAGTGTTCACAGCGCACGGGCGCACGTGCACTCCGACGGCGGCCGTACCACGCGCCTAACTTCAAGTGGACCCCATTGCAAGCATGCCCATCAGGCCCCCTTCGGCCCAAAACGCTGCTTTATCACAAAATTCTCCGGTAATCTCAGTTATCTGTACCTTGACTCCCTGCGACGTTCATTGGGTCAGAGGCTGCGCGCAGGCAAAGGTGGGAAAAGTTAAGACTGAGTGCGGCACTTCAATTGCCCCGGAGCAATGGAAGGGAGGCGCTTCTAATTCGCGCGAACTGATTGGTTGACATGAAACGATTCGCTTAACCCCGAGGACCCGGATTATGAGGTTTCGAGGTCGACAATAATCATCCAATCGTAATCGACTTGGGTGGGTTTCGGTAGCGCTTACGTGACGCCCTCGCTGTGACTCAAGGACGTCATTTTTGATCGGGGTGGGACCTCCGGCTTGAGCTGATCACGCCCTAGTGCCGTGTGCATTTGATCTTTCGCAGTCGTGCCCTACGATTCAAACGAGCACGTGCGGTTCTGCGACCAGGCTGCAGCATCCATTCAAGTACATTCGAGGGTCTTAGCAGATGTTGGAACACCTACATGTGAACATGAGAATGGTTGCTGGAGCTCCACTTTGATCTTGAATTTCGGTGCTACTACGTCGCGATGGAGCGATCGCCGCGCACAATCTCGGCGATCCGGACGGAGCCGTAGTTCCGGGAGCGGCGGCCCCTGAAACGTGATACGATTGAGCGAAAGTTACCGCGCGGTTCGACCGGCCATTTATTGTTGCGAAATGCATTGGGGTCTGCACACGCTGCGACAAGCTTGACTGGCCTCCCTTTACCTCTCTTGACTCTCTTGCCGTTCGTTCGACGACGACATCTTCGGCTTCCCCGAACGAGCTCGACGACTCGACCCCCCCCCCCCCCCCCCTCCCTTCAACTGCCCCCCACCCCCACCGTGTGCGCAGACACCATGCTCGCCCTTGTTTCGTTACTCGCCCTCGTTAGTGGAGCATGCGCGCTTCCCAATGCTCAAGCCTCGGTCCCCGCCGCGCTCCAATCGAATTTGGCTTACCGCTCCCCTTCGCTCAGTGTCCGAGCTCTTGAAATCGATACCGGAGCCGTATTCTCGAGGAAGCGTTGGGCCAGCACCTTCAGCGGAAACCTATCTTTCCCATTCGGTGTCGCTTCCGGTGATCCGTAAGTTTCATGATGATGCTTGACCTCCATGCCACGTGGGGAGCGGGACGGGACGGAGTTTCTTACCCGAGTCGCCTCCTGTCGGAGTTCCCGCGAGCCTGCACGTGCGCTCCTGTCGGTGTTATCGTCGGGGACTGACAGTGTATTTATGAAAAAATATACTCCCGTAGTTATTCTGATTCGGCTGTGCTGTGGACCATGCCTCGCAAGGTCGATCCCGAGGGACTTTATGGAGGCAACGCATACCCGCCGATTTGCCTGCTCTGGGTCGTCGCCCCGTCCAACAGCTCATTCAAGATCGATGATTCAGTTCAACACGGCTATGTGCAGACGACTATCGATATCGGCTTTTCCGTCAAGGTGATCGCGGACAACCTCAAACCCTACACCAAGTACTACTACCGCTTCGAGTCGTGCGAAGGCGAGCCTGATCTCGGCGTTTCCCCCGTCGGATCGTTCAAGACGCTGCCCTCGGAAGATGCCGATGTCGAGAAGCTGCGTTTGGCCGTTTTCAGTTGCAGCAACTACCCCTTCGGTTTTTTCAACGCTTACGGCGCCGCGGCCAACAACAGTGATCGTTTGGACTACGTCCAGCACGTCGGTAAGTTCTCACACCTTTCAGCCTTGTGAATTGAGATGTTCCTCTCTGATTCGAGTTTTCCCGATGTTCTTCAACTCCAGGTGACTACATCTACGAGTACGCCAACGGTGCTTACGGAGATGGAACCGCTCTCAATCGCATCCCGCAGCCCCTTCGCGAATGCTCCTCGCTCCAGGACTACCGCGACCGCTACGCCACCTACCGTAGCGACCCCGACTTGCAAAAGCTGCACCAGCTTCTGGCTTGGCAAACGGTGTAAGTGAATCCTGATGGCCGAGTCGTTCCCGCAACCTTCAGCTCGATCTAGATCTCCGGATATATCTGAGTCGGACTTAGACTAATTGGAACCCCTGAATCTTCCCTTCCTCCAGCTGGGACGACCATGAAGTCGCCGACAATAGTTGGGCGCATGGGTCCGCCGACAGCAACGACACCGTTCAAGGTCAGATCGGGCTCAACCAGTTCAGTGCTCGCAAGGCCAACGCTGTTCGAGGTGGGTTTGCATCTTCTAGTATCAAATAATATGTTGATGCTCGGGTCGCATCGTCGCTGATCGGTTCTGCTGCTTCGATCTTAGCCTACTTTGAGTGGATGCCGATCCGACAAGTCGAAACCGACGACAAGCTCCGCATCTGGCGCACATTCAAGCTGGGCAAGCTGGCGACGATGATCATGCTCGATACTCGCCAATACGACCGCTCTCTCACCGATGTGTACTACAACACCAAACAAGTGGCCGCCGTCGCCGATTCGTCGAGTCGTTCGATGACCGGATCAAAGCAACAAGTTTGGTTCTTCGATCAGCTTAAGCAACATCAGGCACGAAAAGCTACGTGGCCCCTCATCATGCAGCAGGTCGTATTCTCTCGAGTCAACTACACAATCGCGACTGAAGGAAGCACCGACTTCGACTTTGACGCATGGGAAGGCTATCGCTACCAGCGCGAGCAGATCCTGCAGTTCATCAAGAAGCAGAAGATTGAGAACACGGTCGTCCTCTCGGGCGACTCGCACGCTTCTTGGGTCTTTGATTTGGTCGAGACCAACTCGACGACCTACAACCCTGCGACCGGTGAAGGTGCCTTGGGAGTCGAGTTCGCTGGATCGGCCGTCTCTTCGCCATCGTCGTACGGCCATGGCCCGAGCTTTACCGATGAAGTCTACAGTGAGTGAAGGTCACGTCTGGGGTATTGCGGTGTGAAAAGTACTGACCCGTTATTTGGCTCTCGCAGAGGGTATCGCCAAGAACCTCACCCTTGCGTCTCCTTCCCTGCTCTACGCCGAAGGCAAACTCAGGGGTTACTTCGAGCTACTCGTCACCCCCAAGGCGGTTCAAGCTCACTACTATGGCTTCGTGGACCAAGCGACTCGCAACTCTAACGTGACAGAGATGGGCGTCTTCGAGACCCTCCTTGGCGCCAACAGGATCACACGTCCTGTCAACAGCGGCATCATTCCTGTTTACGGGGCTCTCGGTGCTCACTTGTGATAATCCCAATCGACCTGGAGGCTTCCTTAATTGGTGTCGTAAGCCCTTCTCCCGTGATTTCCTATTTCAGTAGCTTTCAAATTCCATTAAATAGATTCCTTGGAATAGACCTAAACTTTTGTAGTCCAAATACACTGTAATTTCCCGTTGCCGTGGCATCTTTTCGTGTGTCCGTTCACTCCGAGTCGTGACCCTCCATAGTATCACATCATGCATTTTGCCGAGGGTGGTAGCATCATAGCTGGCAGTTTTTCGGTATCTTTACGTTCGGTCCGACTCCTTCCCAAGCATCGAGATACTCGCAGCCCTCAATCCGTTCGTACCACTTCGGCCCTGCGGAGCCCCTCGCGACCCCAGGAATCTTCAGGGGACCCTCGGCGGCCGTCTCGGCGTATCTAGGAAGCTCCGAGGTTTTGTAGACGTCACCATTGGGTCCTCCTAAACCGATCGTTTCGGGAGGCCAAGAAATGTTGCCGCGATCCATGCTTGCTTCCGAGTCGGGTCCCGCACCTGTCTGCCAGGAGGTGAGTTTGCCGCTGAAAAGGACCCCTTTTGGTTGAGGTCGTCCAGCCTCGTCGAACAGGCGACGACAATGCCCTCGACTTTGTCGCGGATTGCGAGGGATATAACCTTGTTCCAATCCCATACTGTACGACCACATTGGATTCACCGCGCGTGTGGGGTTGCGCAGTGAAGGGCCCGTTTTCCACCTGAAGCATAAGTGGGACTGAAAGTGTCAGGACGAGAGTTGTTAAAGCGCCTGCATCTTACTAAGTAGTGACTGACGTCCAGAAGAACCAATTTTGAAACGCATCCATGTGCGAAAGGGCGACGTCTTGCATGCCTTGCTTCGTCTCTGCGTCCCAGAGATCGGACCTCTCCCACTGCCCACACCCACCGGGCTGGGCCACCGATTTTTCTACCCCAGGATCGTTTAGGGTACCTTCGTACCGGGCACCTGACTGTATACCATTAATGAATCTAGACACATGACCAACAATCGGCTGAGTCATTGAGTAAACATATCTGAGGAAGCTGCGTTACTCACCTGCCGCAATCGTTGATAGCAACGGACCACTCCCCGACCATTCCGACGCCGAACGTTCGCATGGTCCGATTATGCAAGTTCATCCAAAGATCACAAGGCTGGAAGTAGAATATACAAATTAGTGCTTGAATGCCTGAATCGGTGATTATTGGGACTGCGCTTTGGCCTTACTTTGAGAGCCTGCTGCCGCATCGTATGGTCATTCGAGGGGCGGAAGGCAATGTACCGATGCGAATCGAGAGCGATGCGATCTGCGCCTGGCAAAAAGTCGAACCATTTGGCGGTTCCGATGAAGCCGTCATGGATGACGATGAACTAACAAGCGGCATCGAGGCAGTCAATCAACGGCCATCATCCTCTCTTCGGACCGACTACTCACCGGTCCATTGCCGTCTCCATACCCCGACTCTGCTCTCACAGCTTCGTACAGCTTGAGATAACTATGAACTCATCCCGATTGAATTTAGGTGAAAACCCCTAGGAAACCTCAAACCGAACAGCTACTTACAATGCTCGCAAAGCCGTTGTCCCTATTGTCTCCACCAGTGGTTCATTGATTGGGCTGAACATGCAAATGATCTGTAACACGCGTCGTGCTAGTCAGTGGTTTTATAAGAACGAAAATGAGAAATCAGTCAACTGACATCCCGATTGATTGGAAGGCTGATGAACTTGGCGAGAGCCCGAACGACGTTGATCGTTCTTTCGGCATTGGCCATGCCCATTACCCCGTTCAACAAGCCGACTGTGCCGCTTTTCCCACCGTGGTTCCATCCACTGTGCATCACAATAGGGTTCAAGATCAGTATGTACGCTTCAGGCCCCCTTTCGTAGGCACTGACTTTGCCGAACCCGGCACGGCGTGCAGATCAAGGTTGATGCGCAGTCCGTATTTTCTTGCCCACTCAATCGCCTTCAGAAAGTCTGTGGATCGGGATCGGCATGAACGTGTATGAGTAAGCCACCAGCATACTGCCCCATTCCCACATGGGCTCCAAAACTGACATTTCCACGAAACGCGAGCCAGAAACGGCTCCCCTTCGAGCGTTTCGATCGCCCAATAGCTGATGGGCAGGCGGACCCAATTCAAACCCGCGCCTGCGATCTCGGCAAAATCTTTTTCCGTAATAAACGTCTCGTAGTGATGGGTCAGAACGGCCTCAAGTCGGTCGCCAAGATGCACGGATAGCCCGTATTCGTCTTTTGGGGGTGGGTCGTGGTCGAGGTAAGGCTCGAACATTGCAGGTGTGATGAAGGGCTCTAAGGTGAGCCAACTTGTCCCATTTTTGACCCCCATGTCAGCCGCTTGGTGCTGATAGGAACTGGTGATATCATTCACTCACCCGCCCAGGCTGACGCCAAAGATTGTTTGATGAGAGAAGCTCCATCGCCGCGAAAGTGGAGGGGTGTCCGACTGACATCGGGCAGCCAGACTATTCACCCGAGCATCCCATCTCCCTCCACTGGGACAAGTGCGCGGTGTTAGCGCGGTTCGAAAGCATCGTCGACGGAGTGTGACTCACAAGTCATTGCGGTACACGAACGTTCTCCCTGTCTCTGTCTTGACCAGACTTCCATCCGATCCCTGGGTAGGCCACGGACGTCCTGTGTCGTCAAAGATCGGAGATGGTGTCCACCACTCGTGGTCCTTGACCGCCTTCTTCGGCGGGCTGTCGTGGCCCTTCGCTGCGACGTCTGGTCTAGATGGGCCATATCCTCCTGAGACAGGCGGCGTCGACGGATGTCGGCCTGCTGGATGCGATCGTTGTAAAACGAATTGAATTCGAGATCTGTGACGGAGCGCCCAAAGAAAGATGAAGGCGAGCGCCAGGAGGTACACGATCTGCCTCCACCAGATCCGACGACGAAGGTAGGGTCGAGCCATCGAGTCGAGGAATGATGTTCTGCGAGCATGACCAGACTTGCGCGGCCACGAGCCTTGAAGTACCTTTTCCGACTGCGAGACGAGTGGCAAGTGAATACCCGAGTGGACCGTCTCGAGAGAAGATGTGCCGTGATGTGAGGTCGACGTGGTGGGTGAAGCAGAGCGACAATCAGTGAGTCCCATGGGTAAGACGACGTGGGAGGTGCTGGGATTTGTCATCCTGTATTGCCCTAGTTTTGTTTGTGGAGCTGGAATCTGCCTAAACCAGTACCGCTGCGTTGCTCAAGAACCCCCGTCCTGCGTGTCAGGGGTCGAGCGATGGGTGCTGAGGGCGACAAACTGTGCTTGATGAGGTCGTGCCGCAACAATGTATCGGCGTCAAGTGACCGATAAGACTCAGAATTCCTGTACACGGTGCTCCCAACAAGTTCGAGCGAAGTATATCGCGGCGAACGGGGTGGATGTTGAGTCTGTCCGGCCTCAGACCTGCGACAGCCTGCGACTGGCGGTCTCACTGCGTGGAAAGGAGCTTGTCTCCCCGTTAGCCCGATGACGGGGCTGCGTGGGGACTCAGTCGGCTGTCTGGTAACACATTTGCGACTGTATTTGAAGAGTACCAGAGACATCGACGGAGTAAAAACGGAGATACAGTTCAATGCACAGGCCTGATACTGGACCCCATGGGCCGCGTCGGACGCACCGTGATCTCCGTACCGTTCCCGCGGACGAACCTGAGCATTTCCGTCCGTGCGACGGTGCGGAGGGGCACGTGACCTGAAGCGGACGCCTTGGCTAAGGGCTTGACCGTCCGCCGGTTCGATGCGCCAAATACGCCGTAAGAATGATGTGTGGTCATTCGCTTGCATCCTACGATGTAAGCGACTGCCGATCAACGAGGCAGCTGCGCGGGTGGTCGTGTTCGCCAGAAAGTGGGGCAGCTTCAAGTTGTGAGCAGTGTTCCGGGCTTTGCCACGTGTCTCCCTGACGTGCGCGCTGCGACGACGGGCGTTGCTCTGGTTCGGCCACCGCCTTGCCATTCGGAGAACGCACTCTGCCAGGTGGTCAAAACGTCCAAGTCGATGAGCCGTGATCGGTCGACATGGGTCATGCTGTCACTGCTGTCGCTGGCCGGCGCGCTTCTGTTCGCGCGAGGCTTCTTCCCCGTCAAGCCCCTACTGGACGGCTATAGTACCCCGTATGGACATACGAATGAATCTCATCCATCTATTATTTCACATGCTGCTCGCCCGGGAGATGGATCTGACGCATACGTGCCGTTCGACCGCCTCGCGTTCATCCTCGTCGACGCCTTACGAAGGTCAGTCGGCGGGCGGGTGTATCAGATGCGAGCCACGCCAAACATGGCTTACTCGGATATTACTTTTGATGCAGTGATTTTGCTTTCGGCCCGACGTCACAAATGAGCTTTGTGCATTCGTACGTGGCCCTAATCTCCAACCCCCACTTTGGTGGCCTCCAGATTCCGCTGACGACATGATCTTACTAGATTAATCGATGATAATCGGGCACTACCTTTCACCGCTTTGGCCCAAGCTCCGACAGTCACGTTGCCCCGGCTCAAAGCTCTGACCACCGGCTCGAATCCCACCTTCTTGGATGCGATCATGAATTTGGCCGAGGGGACCGCGCCGGTTCTTCAGAACGTCGACTCTTGGGTCAGGCAGCTCGCTCTCGGGGATGAAGCCGCGGACAGGAAACCGAAGAAAGTCGTTTTTGCTGGAGATGATACTTGGCTGCGCATGTTCCCGGAAGAGTGGTTTAGCTGGGCCGAAGGAGTCTCGAGTTTCTTCGTCTCGGTCAGTCAGAAAGAACACTGCTCTCAAGTTTCAGACTTACGGCGATATGACTGACCAGGAGTCGACATTCCTACAGGACACCGTGAACGTAGATACAAATGTCACACGACATCTCGACGCCCTTCTCTCACCGACATCGTCCTCAACCAAATCCCCACCAGCGGACTGGGACGTCCTCCTTCTCCACTATCTCGGCCTCGACCATGTAGGCCATCTCGGAGGTCCCAACAGCCCAATCATGCATCCGAAGCAGGTCGAAATGGATCAAGTTGTGGACAGGATCTTCAGGGCATTGGAAGAGCGTGATCGAGCCGACAAAAAGCATAGTTTGCTCGTTTTGGTCGGAGATCACGGCATGAACGAGATCGGCAATCACGGTGGCTCATCGGAGCCGGAGACGACGGCAGCCTTGATGATTGCCTCACCAACAAGAAGGATGAGGCAGCACTCTGATCGACCCGCGGAATCAAGGGCCAAAAGCCCCTATCGACTGCACGAGGTCGTCAACCAAATCGACCTCGTTCCGACGCTTAGCGTCCTCTTCGATCTAGGGGTCCCCACAAACTCGATGGGGAAGCTCATCGAGAGTGTCGTCGCCGCATACGGTCCTAAAAATATGCCATCCTGCCTTGAAAGAAATGCGCGGCAGCTTGAACGCGTACTAGATGCCGCCTCGCCGGGGGCTTCGGCTGGGATTGCTTCTCAGATAGTTGGAAGTGAACGCCTGAGCTTGGAGGGAGATGTCAGAGAGGTGCGTGATGATTTATTCTCGTAGCACCTGGTCGAGAGCGTGTGCTGACGTCGAGAGACTTGTTGTGTCTCACAGTTCATCCTCCGAGCACAAGATCGGCTCATGTCGACGTTCGCGGAGAGTGATCTGCGCCCGATGGTGTTCGGTCTGATCTTACAAGCCAGCACGGCGGCTCAAGCCCCGTTGAGGACAAGAAGAACCGTCGATGGCTCGAGCAGCTTGACCTGCCGCTTCCTCGTCGCTGCGACTTTGCTGGTGTATCTAGGGACGTACTTCGCGTCGAGTTTTATCGAGGAAGAGCACGAGTTCTGCTTCTTCGCAGCGGCCTCGTCCTTGCTGTTTCTGGCTTCGAGGTGAGCCAACTTCACACAGGAGTCCAGACCCAGGCAGGAACTAACGAACCTCGCATGAGCAGGCCGAAAGCACTACTGCCCGAGCGATTCATGCTAATTGTAGCTGCAATCTCTGTGAGGCTCATGAGAGGCTGGTCTTTCAACGGTATGTGATTACCTAATCGGTTGCGTTGCTGGACAGGCCGCTGAAACTATTGACTTTGTGCCATGTAGGCCAGAAGAGCGTGCCGAACGAGAGCCTGACGGCTCTGCTTGCCGCATCACCCCAGGCCTTCAGTCACCTTCTCAGCGGCTTTTCCTTACTTGTCGGGGCCGCGATCCCATTGTACTCCTTAGTTCGTGCTGCGAAGCCGATACCCCACCTAAACCGCAGAATGCCCCTCTCGACCCTGTTTTTGAGGGCGCTTTCATTTGGCACGCTCGCAACTTTGTCATTGCTCCACGCGGCCGTTAATCTCATCCTCAAGTTGTTCAGCGCCTCCGCAAGCTCAGCGCTGTGTGATTTGGGACTTGGAGACCCTGTCGAGCTCTCCAGGATCAGCTTTGGTCTCGGTGCAGCGACTTGGCTCATGGCACGTATTTGCCAATCTGCAGGCTCTCCAGATGCGCGCACTTACAAAGGTGAGCCCATGCTCGTGTTCTCGTAGTAGAAAAGTGCCAACACGAGTTCTTACTCTCGCCACAATCAGTGCTTCAACTTTCGGCTATCGCCTCGACCCTCATGACGGTGTCCAGACCGTCGAACCTCTTCCTCTTCCCCATCCTCTGGCTTCAATATTTCCTCTTCTCGAACCTCAACTTTGAACCCCTCATTTCCTCCTTCTTCATCCTCCTCCTCCAACGTGTCTCCTTCTTCGCCTTCGGCGGCTCCAACTCGCTCGCGACGATCGATCTCTCGAACGCCTATGCGGGTCTTCGATCCTACTCGGTCCTCCCCGTCAGTCTCCTCACCTACGCCTCCAACTTTGCCGGCCCCATATTCTTCTCCGCCTCTTCTCTCCTCCCCCATTCGACCCTTCCTTACACAACGACCTTCCACTCTTTGTCCTTATTGGCGTTGTGCGCCTCGGCAACTCATTTCCGCCAACACTTGTTCACGTGGACGGTCTTCTCCCCCGCGGTGTGCTATCAGATCGTCTGGTCCTCGTTCGGTCATCTCTTGACCAATGTATTCCTACAAGCATTGCAATGATCACAATCTCATCGTATAGAATAATCAAGCATGTGCTCCACCATTCTGCTTCCCCAAACCGGCTTTGCCCTCCGGGATCCGAGCCGTCCAGCCCGACCCATAATCTTTCAACAACCCATCCACATTCGTCCTCACTTCCTCATCCGAAAGCCCCTCGACCCTTCGTCGTCCCAGGAAGCCAAAGTTCTTCGTCGAAGGGATCCTCAGCGCTTCCCGTTCAGGCACGAAGCCGCACAAGATCGTTAAGTGCGCGAGGTATAATTGGAAAGCGTGGGCTCGTCCGGTTGAGAGGTTTGGGGCGGGGGCGAAGAAGGGGGTCATCAATTTCGAGTCTGACGGAGGGTCGGATGATGGACCCAGGCCAAGATCGAGGACGGGCTGAGGTATCGTGTAGTGTAAGGCTGTGAAGCGTCCGGAGAGGGTATGGTGACAACACGGGATATTGAGGAACTTGGCCCCTGGCGTTCTAGAAGCGAAGAGCGGGATCCAAGGTGTCAACTCGTCGGCGTGGTTGGCGATGAGGAAACTGTTGATGGGGAAGGGAGAATCGTCTGCGGTGAGCAGAGCTGGTGGATCGAGAGATTGGGTTCGGAGGTCCGGTTGCGGGGTGTAGTGCGCCCAGGATTTGCGCGCTCGGAGGTCGAGGCCGTAGCCTGGATAACCTTCCCTTGAGAGAAGGTGGACTCTGCACGGGAAGACAAAGACCGCAGGGCATGAGCGTATGGTCGGAACATTATGGCGAATGTTAACGTACAAGAGTCCATTCCCGCACCCGACATCGACGAATCCTCCCGGTGGTTTGCCATCCGAATCGGCGTACATGTCCCGCCAAACGACAATAAGCCAAGCAGCAATCGCAACCTGAGGCATTCCAAAGTGAAGCATTCAGCTCCGGAAATTTCTCTTTCGCGGTGAAAACCTAATCTTAAGCGTTGGACTCACATCCTCGAATAAGTGCTTTTGCGGATCCGTCTCTTCCTTCCACTCCTGGGCCATCCATCTGACAAAAGTGATGCGCGCAGCATGGGCCGGATCGTTCAAGTCAGTTCTGTCCACGTCGACGCACTCCCAAGTCAGAGGAACTCTCGTGACAAAGGCTCTGTAGATCTCCTCTCCAACTCACTCGTATTTCCCCTTGAGGCACCTGTACAGATCCTGCACATCCTCCTTCTTCGCCAGCAAATCATGAAAGACCTTCTTGTCGTACCCCTTCACCATTCCTGACCCAACGGTGTGGAGGAACCCGAGCAAACTGAGACAGGATCGATAGATGCGTTCGGAGGCTTTGTTGGATTGTGAAGGATCGGTATTGGGTAGGGGGATAATGTCGATCCTGATCGTTGCCGAGGAGGAGGAAGATTCTGCTCCGACTTCGGCTTCATCGTCTTCCAAACCTGTCGCAACGGGTGTAGACGGGATGTAGCGAAAAGCCAGAGAAACGACTTGTGGGTGATAGTAAGGGAGTTTGGAGTTGGCCACCTCGGGCAAAGATTCAAAGTCGGGTCTCAAGATGACGGCGCCTTCCTCGTCGGTCTCGGAGGAGCGGAGATGCTCGGCCAGTACATTGTCGACCGATTGCAGCGACCGCGGCCGTGTATAAACGCAACAATCTTGTGTCATCTCCCAATCGAACTTTCGCTTGGGTAACAACCTCCTCCTAATCTTGCGGTGACATTGGAACCCTGCCAATTCATTATCGTCCTGTTCCTGCTCTCCGAGCGCAATATCGTGAATGAGATCGGCGCGGAGGATGGTCGTACTGAGATGCTCGGGGTGGGAGGTCATATCGATGCATGCTTGATGGAAATGAGAGAGGGAGAAGTTGGCGGGAGAGGATACGATCGGGAACCAGTCCTGCGTGATTGAGCTGAGACGAGGCAGGGTGGGATCAGGTGCTGGTGTGGTGTGGTCTGTGAGTCGAGTCGGGATGAGGCGACGCTTGGGAGTTGGAGGGGTGGGAGAAGCGATAGTTTCAGACTGAACCATCCTTGTAGGGCCCGCGACAGGGCGGAGGTCAGAGTGTGGGGGGGAAAGAGGAGCGCAGGTTCGCAGCGGCCAGTCGTCGATCACTTTCGATCACGTTGATCGTCGTCCGAGATTCCCGAACTCGCGCCGATTGCTGAGCTCAGCTCTCCTTTCCCTCCCGCGACAGTCAGCTCTTTGGATCACACGTCAATTAGCACGCCTCCCTGCCGATCATGTCCAATCCATCCACACCCACGCCTCATCAGCAATACGCGCTCAGTCGCAACGAGGAAGCCAAGGTGTTGGCCCAGTGCAAGATCGATGCCCTCCGCCACTGCGAGGTCGAAACAGCCTGTACGTACCACCGGAGCATTTCCTCGACAGACGAGGCTCATCCTCCATTCATTCACCGTACAGCCTTTTCGGAATGCGCCCAAGGTCGAACGGTCTCGGTCGCATGGAAGTGTCGCCAGCAGTTCAGGGTCATGCAAGCGTGCATGGCAGTACAGCAAGTCGCTTGATATCTTTAAACAGGATCATGGCGATCTTACATCATAGCTGACCCGCTCTGGTGTCTCCTGCAGCATGACCGAAGAGAAGCAAGACCAGGCCAAGCTGAGATATCTGGAAAATCGACGAGGCGGCGTCGCTTTGCCTTGACACAGCACTTTGCATTCTTCTCCTTTTCTCTCTTAACTCGAATCCCCACCATGTTGTATCATTCTAGCAGCGCACAAAAAAACTAACGATTATCAAACTACAAGAAGCCCCCATTCTCACAAAAGTATTCAGCCGAACCGACTCCTAAGCCCTCACACCTTCCAGAGTTCTCCTCTCCCCATCCTGACCCACGACATCGACGCCCTGTCCCCTCCCTTTCATCCCCTTGATCAACCTCTTACCCAGCACACTCTTGAGCAACTCGTTGGCCTTGAAGCTCGAGCGCACCAACGGACCCGAGGCCCAGTACAGGAAGCCGAGTCGCTCGGCCTCCCGCCCCCAGTGATCGAATCGTTCGGGCGTGACGTAGGAAGAGACCTTCATGTGCTTCTTGGTTGGTCGCATGTATTGTCCGAATGTGACGACGTCGACATCGACCTTGCGCAGTTCTGTGAAGGGGCGGATCCGAGCAGCACGATCAGCCTTCGAGGAGCACGTGAGAGAGGGAACGCCATTGTTCGCCAGTCTCACCCTTTAGTGTGTCCAGGACCTCCTCGTCCGTCTCGCCTACACCCAACATGATGCTCGTCTTGGTGATCAATCCCGGTTTCGCCTGCTTGGCGACCCTCAACACCTCCAACGACTGTCGGAACGTCGCGCGCGGGTCTCGCACGAACGGCGTTCGGTTCTCGGTTGTTTCCATGTTGTGCGCGTACACGTCCAATCCTGATCGGGCAACGAGGGAGATGGCGTCCTTGTCGCCTTGAAAATCGCCTGTCAAGGCTTCAATTAGGATGTGGGGGGCTCTGTTGGGGGGGATGTGATAAAAGCACGGGTCAGGTCGATTCATGAGATGGAATGAAGTTGTTGTAGCTGCCGATGGCTCACTTTGATTTGGTTTTTCGGATCGTCTCGGCAAAGTGAGATGCTCCTCCATCGGCAATATCTAAAGAGAAAAAGACGCGAGACCCAAAAATCAGCGTCCCTGAGCTCCACGACCGCAGCGAAGCGTCTCTCTTAGCGGAGGCTTGCTCTTTACGACTCACCATCTCGGTCAACACTGGTCATAACGATGTACCCAACACCCCATCGAGAGATGGCTTCGGCGGTGTTTTCAGGCTCATGTACGTCGAGAGGCGGCGGTCGTTTGGCGGTCTTGATCGCGCAGAAACGACACCCTCGGGTACAAGTGTCACCCATGAGCTGCAAGATCGAATCTTTGCTTAGGCTTGTCAAGTGTCAGGAAGCAAACAGATGCAACAACGCACCATGATGGTCGCGGTCGCATCACCCTTGTCGCCACCCCAGCACTGGCCGATGTTGGGACACCTCGCCTCTTCGCACACGGTGTGCAGCTTGAGCCCACGCAGATCGTTCTTGATCTTGTTGTAGGACGCAGACACGGGAACTTGGGTCTTGAGGTACGATGGGAGACGTTGACTGTAGCGACAACCCAAAGAAAAGCGAGTCAGCTTTGGGGATGGGATCCGACGGGAACGGGAACGGGTGGACCACTCACGCCTTTGATGTGGTGAACACGACTCGATCTTGCGATGGGCTTGATGATGATGATGGGGTCGAATCAGGCGAGAGAAAGTCATCGACGGTCAAGAGATCGGCTCGCAAGGCCTCCAATCGCGGGCGGGCCGGTGTTGCTGCTGCTGCTGCTGCTGCTGACGGAGACGGAGACGACGAGCTTTGAGTGGCGAACGCTCGGATCGAGTGCGCCGTCGCTCGCTGAGTGATTCGATCCGGACAGAGGTCAGAGATGGAGAGTGAGGATCGTGGGGGAATGGACGAATGAGCACTCGCCTGTAGGGGTCGGGTGGTGGCCATCATGCTGGCAGAGGGTCGTTTCGTCGTGTGTGATCAAAAGCGAACGACGCGATTGGTCTCGCGGATCCGGGACGGGCACACGCGCGCGACGATCGCCGCGGGAAACGATCCGGCCGGGTCCGTGCGCCGCGCTCTGTCTTCCGATCGGCGAACTTGGGGTTGCTCTCGATCATGACCACGCTTACCAAAGTTTATCAACTGTCGGCTCAGTTCAGAAACTGGCTAGTATAGAAGAGAAACCATGCGAAAAAAAAATGAGGGGTGCCATAACGATCTCAGAGCAGGGGGAAAAATCCAGACGGTCGATCCAAAGCGGACAGAGAAGAAGGCTTGTGATGACCTAGGCGAGTCCTATCGATGATGTCCTCAAATTATTCGCTCCACGAGTCGTTCTAGAGCAATCCAGCGAACGCAACCGCGACCGTACCGAGCGTTCCGACGGCAATTGTAGCCATCTTTATCGCCGATATCATCGAAGCCTGGACCGAGCTCGTCTGGAAACAATTGTTCTCATTACTGCCTGACGAGTGATTCCTTTTCTGTTAGCACGGTCGACGGTGGGTGTGATGAAAGGAATTTCTTTATCTCTGAAAGTGGGATAGTAGATCACAGAATTCAACGATGAGCTTCAGCTTGGGAGCAAACTCTCCTTTAGACTCCCCACCGCACTGAAGTCGTTCTTCACGGAAGGCGCTTACAATTGAATCCGTTCCAGGCGAGTATTGTACCGGCCTTAGTAACGTCATCGCGGTACAATCTCACAAGACCATCCAAAGGCACCATAAAGCGTAAAGAAGCACCTATCAGCACAGGTGATCTTTCGACCTGATGACCTTTCAGAGCTATGGCAAAGCGATGGGCTGCACTCACTGACGTCGATGCGACCATTGAAGGAACATTGGAGGTACCAACAATGTTTCTTCTTCGTCGCGCAACGGCATGTAACATTGAGCCATGTTCACGGTGAACCAGTTGAAACGACGGAAACAGAATGAACTATCGACTGGGAGATTGTAGCCGCATGTGCCAGCAACAACTTATGCGACCTTCTCCCCTCCCGCCAGGAACGTCAAACACTCACCGTCTTAGTCAGGGCACTCGAGAACCCGGTGCACTCGCAATGCACAGCGGACGACGGGTGAGAGATTGCTCCCTACGATCGTCAAGGTGAGATCGGAGCCGCTGCCCTACGGGCGGTGCGATCCGGCGGCGACTACTAGTTGGCGACGTTGATAAGGCGAAGAAGGAGAGGAGCCGAACGAGACGAGCATCCTGGGACGATATTATAATGCTGAAGGTGCTGAGAGCAGTCGTAAAAATAATGGTATCGATTGATCCCCCTTCGGTTCGGGGCTCGAGTGAGATTGAAACACCCCAAACTTAGGAGGGCTTGGTGCATTGCTGCGCATATCATATACGGGGAGGTTCTGACACCGACTTCGCACTTGCCTTTATGAACGATGGTGTACCGTGAATGCGACATGCAAAACGAAAAAGCCATAAGCCTTGGGATGATTGGTAAGGAGTCTGCACATTTCAAGGGCTGATTACTGTACGCCCTTCTAGTGATCAACCGGTCGCAGCTAGTAGCAAGGCAAAAATGCCACCGATGGGGCGGCTTAGCTCCGAAGAAGGCTGATCAGGTCTGACAAATGGTGAGCAGAATACTCTGCTGAATTCCTGGAGTAAACAATATAGTTTATAGCGGGGGTTAATGAAGTATAAGTCCCGAGGGTATGTACGCAAAGACGGGAACTTGAGGGTGATGATGGTGTGCAGAGAAGCTCTAACAAAAAGGCTTGCATTGTGATCGATATGATGTCACACGAAGTGAAGGCTTCAGTGACGAGGGGTCTGAGTAGGGAACTTTGAGGATCAGACCAACACCGCGAAAGCGACAGCGACCGCACCGAGACTTGCGACGAGCCGGATCGCTCCACTGGACGACGCCCCCGCCGAGGACTTGCCGCCATTATCGCCCGAGGTGTTGCCACCGCTCGAGCTGCCGCCATTGCCACTGCTGCCACTTCCACTTCCGTTTCCACTTCCGCTGTCACTACCACCACTGCCACTGGCACCACTGCCACTTCCGCCTCCTGAAGTATTGTTGTTCACGTGGGTCGCACCACCGCCTACGCTAGGGCCGCTGCCATTTGAAGCTTGGCCTGGTCCAGAGCCTGAGGCAATGGCATAAAAAAAGGATGGACAGAAACATAAACACTGCTCAGTCTCGAGCTTGAGCGCAGCTTTCCATCTCCCGAATCGGCCCAGAGCCCCCACTGCAAGTCTCGGGTGACCGTTCGCACACTAACCTTGAGCCAAAGTCTTGCAGAAATTAAGTCCGAAAGCGATGGTGTCTTCTCTATCTTGGGGTGACTTGCATTCTGAAAAAAAAGCGAGCGGGATGCCCCATGTTAGTCATCTGACGGTCCTTTGGAGACAGGGCCCGGAGCCGGCACGTTATCTCCCGAGGCTAGGAGCCCATTAGACTCGCCGCTTGGCGTGCCTTATGTGGACCTACGAGTTTCGATGCAAGTCCTTATCAAACTCCCGTAGTTCGGGTCCGAACACTGGCAGGTAGTGTTGTCTAAGGTTTTGCACTATGCGTGATGGGGTGGATGAAGGACGCAAGGGGGTTCAGCATGCATGGACCACGATTCGCTACTCAAGAAACTGAGCACTGACCACGGTGTTGGGAGCCACTTGCTGGGCGCATACGATGCCACATGCCGGAATTTGGGGGTTAGATCCACCTTCGTTGGGGGTACCGTCCGCGGCAATCATGGTCGCAGCGGACAATGCGACGAGGAAGAGGGAGTGAAGCGATATGTGCATTTTGGGTGGAGGCTACCGCGAATCGTTTCTGAGGGAGGGATGGAGAAGGAACAGAGAAGGGCCTCAGTCGAAACCGCTTGTCAATCGTCACAGCTCATTCGGCCTTGTGACTTCTGAGACAGCCCTCAAAGAACAAATTAGCCCGGCTCCTGAGTCATTCACGAACTCAGGAGTTCAAACGCGTTGCAAGAGACATCTCCGGCGCCGACTATTATTAGAGAGGCAGTTTCAAAGTACCCTCACAAGTGAGGAAGACGGATTTGAGATGCGGTACACCAGATATATTCGTAGATCGACTGCAATCGGGGCCGTTGCTCATGCTTCAAGCTCAAAATCTCTGCCGCCTGCGTCGTGAGGCTCGAGAGGACAGAGGTGCTCTGATGCCCGGCCCCGGGCCTCGGCGATCATGAAGCGAGCTAACGTCACTACTTCCTGTCTCGGGGGCAGAGGTAACACGAGGAGCTACTTGCGCGAGGAGCCTCTTGCTCTCTAGCTAGACGCTGAACTCGTCTTAGCACCGGTCCGTTCAAGTCTGCATTTGTACCGCATCTGTGCCCAGTTACGGCTAATTTACGAGATATCGCGCCACGAGGCAACAAGTGTGTACCAAGGGCTCACTTACCGTAGGCGCTATGCTATTGCCTAACGACGAGCTTGCACTACCCATGTAGGTACCACTTGAAAGAGGCTGAAGCTTTGCAATCCAATAGATCGTACCCTCCGCAGGCCTCAGCAGGCTCAGCTTGAAGCGCCAGTGTTTGGGCAGGTCCTAGTCGATGGTCGGAAGGTGCAAGGGTTTGATCTCTCAAGGGTCGCGAGGACTACTGCAATCTACTGTTGACGTGTTCGGGTCGTTTCAGGGTCCTCCAAACCGTCTAAGTTGTCTATAAAGGAACGAGAGGAACGAGCGACTTTCCAAAGGTACTTTGATGAGTTGATTCAAATAAGGAGAGGAGAGCTTGTCTCAGGCGCGCCCCTCAGAGGGTGAGAGGTTCGTTCTTCATCATCTAGTCACATCCCGACGAAAGCCACTTCACTGGTGGCCGCTCTCCAAGGTCATCTGACCCGTTCGCGGATGACAGTCCTTCGGCAATAGTGAGCCGTGGACATCAATTGGTTGGTTGAAGGATGATCCGAGATCGGATGAGTAGTCCACTCGATAAGAGAGGTGTAAGGGGATGCCTTACAGAACAGCCCCATAAGTAGCCTCTGAGTAGCTAGAACTGTCGAGTTCTAGTAACGACTTGCTTTTAGCCTAGCGGTCAAGGCGACAGATTGTAATTTATGCACATCAGAGGCGCATACCTTACAAGAGGGTCCATCCGAGGAGAAACACCACCGACCCAGTCTGAGAAAGCGGAGAACGTCCAATCCACAGAGCAAGTGGACGCGGCCCAATCTCTACTTTTCCGATGGGACGAATCTTCTACACCTGCCCCTATCCCGATCGAAGAATCTCCAAATCATGTCCCCTCTCTTGACCTCTCTCCAAACCCTCGCAAGCGCCTCATAACTGCGGTTACCGAAATCTCACTGTTGCGGTCATATCTGCGAAGCCTGTCAGTAACTTCTCAGGTCCGAAGCGCGAAACTTGGCTTGAAGTTAAACCGCGGTTCGTTTTTTTTTTTTTGGAATGGCTCGACTCGCGGCATCGACTGGACCAACCTCGGTGGCCCGAAGTCAACCGCGGCGCGCGCACGGTCAATTGCGGTCGCGCCGGATTTGCCATAGGGGTGTCTGAGCCCCTGACTAGGCGGCGGTGTCACTGCTAAACTCCGAGAACAGCCGAAAATTCGCCGGCGCTTCGGCGACTGTAAAATAGGCAATATCGATCTATCATACGCACACGGTACTCGTCTTATTTTTAATAAAGGAAACGTTTGGGTGACATGCTGTATGTACCGTGTCTTCCCGGCTTCGGGTCGGCGACGAGTGGCCCGAGACATAGAGCCGGGTGACACCGGAAAGCGGCATGAGCACTGCGCACCGGCCCCTGCGCCAAAAAGCGGATCACTTCAGCGATCCCTGTAATTCTGAGCGCCTGAGCCCCCGATGCGGTTTCGCAAAAGAGAAAAGTGCTCCACAGGCGGATAAAAGCACGTGCGGCTTTGCTGCCCTCCATTTCTCCATTTTTCCCCTGGTCACCACGCTCCTCGCTACTCAACATGCCCGTGTGGTTCAGTTCACTCATAATCATCGCCATCTACGTGTCCACAACCTTTTTCGGTGTCGCCTTGGGCGATACCTCGTGCGGAGCTGCGTGCGCGGTCCAGATCACACAGAACACCACTGTGAGTTGTTAGCGCGTTAGCAGCCGTTGAGGGGCGACAACAAGGAGCGACCACCACATGTACTCAAACCGCATACCTTGTTTCCCGCCACCAGTGTGGCAATGTACGAAATATCAGGTGCATGTGCCAAGATTACGACTACGCCACCCAATACAGGGGATGCATCCAGAGAAGTGAGTCCCACACTGGAGACGAATACGCGGCACATCACTCATCGCGTAAGACAACCACTAATATCCGAGCGGATCCTGTCCTCCCGACCCCCGGCCCCGACAATCTCATGATTTCATGACACGGGTTATCTTTGATTCTCTAGACTGCACCCAAGATAACCTACAGCTAGTCTTCAGGGCCGACGGTCAAGCATGTGGGGCACTAGGAATTTCAATGACGGAACCCGGCCCAGGTGAGTGCATCGCATCGATAGCTTCTCGCGTCAACAGAATTCTGCGAGTCAGCCATACCAATGGACACGAGATACCCGCAACCACATGCCGACCACTGTTCTGATCACGAGTCCTCCCTCTTTCCACCCTAGTCCTCACTCCGCAACCCCCTCTTCCACGTCCAAACCCCACAACCAATTTGCCCGCTCGTCCCGACAACACAAACACTGGTACCGGCAGCAGTGGCGACGGCAACACAGGCGGTCCAGGCTTGTTGGGCACCAACTCGGCGGGATCCTCGATAACTGTGGGCAAGGGCTTCTCGCTCGTGACGACTCTCGGGGTGGTCACGCTCGTCGTTCTGTGATTGATTCTCCTTTAATAGTAAGCAATACTTTGATGTTCGATATGATGGGCGTCGCATTGCACTTGGACCGTAAACTTGCCCCAGCCAAAAAATAAAGCAAAAGGGACTGCCTCTCGGATGCGACCCCACAAAGACAATACGAACAAGTCCCCCCTCAACTCGCCCGCTCCTTGTTGTACATGCCTCCATCGAGCCCCGGATCAGTCGGGTCATCTTCGTCCATATTCTTTCCTTGTTTTATACTTCAGTAGCGTATCCTTCCTCAGTCAATCGATTGCCCTTTTTTCTCGGCTTTCCCTGGTCAGCGAGAACTGAATCGGGGGTGCAGCTTGGGGTTCGATTAGAAACGCTTCTTATTGGCTTGCGTTATTAGGCTCACCTCTGACCCAGTGCGCGCGCCGCCCGACAGCGCCCGCGGTCGCCCTTCCGTCTCGACGCCACATCTTCACCCCATTAGCTTCAGATTGCTCCACGATGCTCACCCGCGTCGTTCGACCAACAGCGAAAGCGACCCTTCGATCGGTCGTCGTAGCCGGCCAAACGACCAGCCCACGAACATCACAGCAGCAGCGTGGATTGGCGACCGTCCAGGACCCGCCCAAGCCTGCGCCACGAAAGACGACCTTTGGCGGACTGCAAGATCAGGATCGCATCTTTTCGAATGTGTACAGGACGGGCGATCATGGGATCAAAGGGGCGATGGTGCGTTGACCTGTGGCTTGCTTGTCTGGCTGGTTCGACTGAGGAGTGTGAGCGAGGCGGCGTGAGCGACGACCGGTCGAGGGCGTGGCAAAGGGGTTACACGAGGGTGGTGCAGCTTCGTCCGAGGCACGAGGATTTTGTTTGGCTTCCACCGGCTGTATGACCCTACAGTCGGTGGTGCAGGTGTAGCTCGATGGTCGACTGACTCGCCCGTGACGTCTGCCGATCGGAGCGGGCCACCGTGCGAACCTGTCCATCGAAGCGCACTGCAGCCCATCCACACGACTCGTGATTCGGCCGACCTGATTTCAATCATCAAAACCTCATCCGGACTGATCGGGTGTGTATGGGAGGCTGACATACCCCCTCATTCTTCCCCTCCGGTGCCCTGTCGCGCTTCCCCGCTGGCTGCTCCTTCGACCACTCAGAAACGCGGCGATTGGCACCGAACAAAAGACATCATCCTCAAGGGCGACTCGTGGTTGATTCAGCAAAGTCAGTATCAGCTTTTCATGTGATCTAAATCCGACGAAAACGCCCATGAGCTGACACGTATACGACTTGCAATCCATTCTGCCCACCCGCCTTTACGCGCCAACCAGTCAAGGACTCGGGTCTTCGAGGTCGAGGTGGTGCCGGATTCCCCTCCGGTCTCAAGTGGTCCTTCATGTACGTCAAGACGATGGGAGTAGACTGAGATGATGCATCCTCTGACACTCGCCCGATGACCCTTTACAGGAACAAGCCCAACTGGCAGGCCGACAAGCGACCGCGGTATTTGGTCGTCAACGCCGATGAGGGCGAACCCGGAACGTGGTCAGTCTGCACTCGGAATTCATCCAAAGTCGACCTCGCGCTCACGAGCATCTGCGTCCTACAGTAAGGACCGAGAGATCCTCCGTGGTGATCCCCACAAGCTCATCGAAGGCTGCCTTGTCGCCGGTCGCGCCATGAACGCCAATGCTGGTAGGTTACACTGAGCAGCATCATACAGTGTTCAGACACGTGCTGACTCCTCATTCGATTCTTTTGATAGCCTACATCTACATCCGTGGCGAGTTCTTCATGGAGTCGGACCACGTCCAGCAGGCGATCGACGAGGCGTACAAGGCCGGCTTCATCGGCAAGAACGCGTGCGGCTCCGGCTACGACTTTGACGTCTACCTGCACCGCGGCGCCGGCGCCTACATCTGCGGTGAAGAGACGGCCTTGATCGAGTCGATCGAGGGAAAGCAGGGCAAGCCCCGACTGAAGCCCCCCTTTCCGGCCGACGTCGGCTTGTTCGGATGCCCGACCACCGTCGCCAATGTCGAGACCGTCGCCGTGGCGCCGACCATCATTCGCCGAGGTGCGAGCTGGTTCGCCGGTTTCGGTCGCGAGCGTAACCAGGGCACGAAGCTGTTCTGCATCTCGGGCCACGTCAACAAGCCGTGCGTCGTCGAGGAGGAGATGTCGATCCCGTTGCAGGAACTCGTCGAGAAGCACTGCGGGGGTGTCCGAGGTGGATGGGACAACTTGCTCGGCATCGTCCCCGGTGGATCGTCGGTTCCCGTCCTGCCCAAGAATCATTGCGAGGAGGCGTTGATGGACTTTGACTCCTTGCGCGACTTGCAATCCGGTCTCGGTACAGGTGCGGTGATCGTCATGGACAAGTCGACCGACATCATCCGTGCGATCGCGCGTTTCGCCAAGTTCTACAAGCACGAGTCGTGCGGTCAATGCACGCCTTGCCGAGAGGGCACGACCTGGTTGGAGAAGATGATGGACCGTATGGTCGAAGGACGAGCACACGAGCGCGAGATCGAGATGCTGCAAGAGTTGACCAAGCAGATTGAAGGGCACACGATTTGCGCTTTGGGTGATGCCGCTGCGTGGCCCGTGCAGGGTCTGTTGAGGCACTTCCGTCCCGAGGTCGAGGCTCGTATCGCCCAGTACGCCGCTCGTAATGGTCAGGTCTTGTTCGGTGGTCACTTGCGAAAGGATGTCGATCCTTCGATCGCCGTGCCCAACAATTTGGGTATCTCGTTGCCCTTCCCTTCGACGACCAACTGATTGTCGACTTCAGTTCTTTGCTCTGTTTCTCCTTTTCTTTTCGTTCCCGAGGGTCATTCTGAAATATAAACTTGCGCGCGCTCGTAATTGTACGACATTTCTTTCCCGAAGCCTCGAGAGCTCATCATTCGTGAACTGCTTGGTTACAACACTACATCTGTACTGAACTGGGTCTACTACTTCTCTGAAGACTCCTCGGCTTTGGAGACCGATAATCGTCGTTTCTTGTTGGCCTCCCCCTCATCGTCTTTGTCATTCGCCTCCGAGATCGTATCACTCTCCCTCCGCTTTGATCCCACACCACTGCTGCTCGGTTCGGCCTTGCTCATCATAGGGGAAGTCGTGGACAATGGCGACGCCTTCTTCTTGACGACCACACCGGCAATTAGATTCTTCTTTTTCTTCGGTGGTGGTGGGAGTGGTTTCTTTGTTGTGGTTGTTGGGGAAGTAGACGTCGACGTCAAAAGTGGTGACGTCGCCGAGGTGGAAGGTAATGTCAGGCCCGAGATGGAGGCTATCGAAGGCGGTGGTGGAGCTTGAGATCTTGAAGAAACGGCTCTGAACAGTGATGAAACAATCCCCCCTAGAGATCAATGACCAGCGCCACGATTCATCGCCGGAGTAAAGTGAAGCCAACCTACTGCTTGAAATTCCTCAATTCTTCCTGAACCTCTTGCTGTCGAGCGAGTTCTTCCTCGTTGTTCTCGTCCGTCATCGAATCGAGAAAATTGATCTCGTCTTCGTCCAAGGCGCGAAAATGATTTTCTATGGAACCGCAAGGGAACGGCCAACAGCAGAGTGGAAAATGGTTCATCGTGGGGAAAGCGACTCCAGTCAGTCAGTTTGTCCTTCGAGGTCGAGGTGGCGGATTGGCGCGCAGAGTGACGCACTGAATTTCAAGGCTTCGTCAAAGGCTTCTTGCTTTTTGTTCTGCGGAGAGAATTAAATCGGGGTTGAGGTCATTTATGGGACCTGATCGCAGGTAGTGGTCACAGAAGGCTTTGGGTCCCCGAGCGCGAGATGAGCGTTGTCCACTTCAGCCGAGAAAAGTGGGGGAGTCAAGGGCATAGGTGGAGTCACCAGACTATCGAAGCGTCCATCGAGCTTCATCATGGCAATATGTCATCCCCGTCGACGCGTGTGCAGCCCCTGCGAACCGCGCGTCGTGTTCCCCCCCCCCACACATGCTCCTCTCTCCCCCTCTCACGCCCTACACCCATCCCCCACTCGACCCCAAAAACCCCCACGCCAGTATATCTCCACTCTCAAAGACCATCTCACCTTGTGTTCCTGCAACTTCTCGTACAAGCTCCTCCCATCGTACGCTTCGCCTTCGATCGAATTCGGATTCGTCGGAGGTGGTTCCTGCCCCATTCGAGCGTAGGCTTCTTTCCATTCCGCTTGGCGTTTCTCTTGCGCTTCGGTCAGTTGTTTCTCCGAGACGAAGCGCGACGCCACGGACGTTGACGGGTCCATGATCAGTTGGGTGGTGGGTGGGCGGTGGGCGGCGGGAAGCGGGGGGTTTGAGGAAAGGGAAGCGGGTGCGCGAGAGCGTTTAGGGCTTGGCTCATCAAGAGTCGATATTTAGGACTCGGATACTGTCTTGGATGTACATATCTTGGGTTTGGCATAAGGTTCAATAGCACGGCAAATATAGCACACAATAAAGGAAAGAAAGGACCCTATCCGAGCCTACATTTTGTACTGAAAACCAAGGAGCTCGATTTCACCACCTCTCCTGCTCAAACCAGCATGAATTGCCCCTGCACCCTCTGCGCGACCCTCGCGGCCTTATCCGCCGTGAAAGCGTCGATAGTATGAGCCGCGCCTTGAACGGGGGAGATCGGTCGACTCGGCGTCGGGGTCGCTCCACCTCGGAGACCATGGTCGACTTCGAACATGTAGCGAATCAAATCGAGGCATCGGACGGAGTAGGCGTATTCGTTGTCGTACCTGGAGAAGCGCGGGAGGCGAGAGGGTCAGGGATGTGTCCTTCTCCGAGCGGATGGGCAGGAGATCTTCTCTGGGCTTACCATGCGATGATCTTGAAGGTCGTAGGGTTCAACTGAACCGTGGCGTGCGAATCGACGATGCAACCTATAGCACGAACAAAAGCAGCACGCGTGAGGTCAGTCCTCAAGTTTCTTCTCGACTCTCCAAGACGACGACTCACTCTGCTGGTACCCCAAGAAATCCGACGAGACCAACTCGTCATCGTTAACGCAAATGACAGTCGTCAAACTTCCCAAACTGGACCCATAACGACCTGCGGCGGCCTCCCTCAAAGGTTTCAACAATTCCTCTACGCTCGCGACGGGCGTCGAAAGCGTGACCGTCAAATCGACCATCGACACGTTGTTGACCGGTACGCGAACCGAAATACCGGTGAACTTGCCCGTCAATTCGGGTAGGACGAGTTGGACCGCCGTAGCGGCTCCGGTCGTGGTCGGGATGATGTTCGAACCGACGCCTCGACCGAGACGACGGTTCTTCTTAGAGTAACCGTCGAGGATGTGTTGCGAAGAGGTCGAGGCGTGCACGGTCGTCATCATGCCGTATTCGATACCGAAACAACGTTGCAGAACTTTTGCCAAGGGGGCGAGGCAGTTGGTCTGAAGAGGGAGACAACCCTTGAGTCAAAATGTGAGGATTGGGATTTTCGGATCGACGAAAAGGAACTGACGGTGCAACTGGCATTGGAGACGACTTGCATCGAAGGATCATATTCCCTCCTGTTGACACCGACAACTATAGTCTTGGCGTCCCTGCGCACACAAAGTTTCTCCATCAGCCCACCCGAAAAGCTACCGCTCGAAATGAAGCTCCGACGACTCACTTGCTCGGCGAAGAAATGACGACCTTCTTGGCCCCTTTACCGGGTTTGCAGTGCCTACTCGCCGCCTCGACGGTCGTCATCTTGCCCGTCGCCTCCAAGACGTATTCGACCCCCGCCAAAGCCCACTCCAATTGTTCGGGATCGCGCTCGGAGAAGAGCTTGATCGTTCGATCGAGGAACTTGAGGTCGCCGGATTCGGTGATGCTGAATTCGTTCGCGTAGGGCGAAGTACCGTGGGTCGAGTCGTAGCGGATGACGTGGATGAGGTAAGAGAGGGTAGGGGCCGTGTGGTTGATGGCGACTTTTGGGAGGGGGAGAGAGCGGGTCATGATTTGAGGTTAGCGAATGGATGCGAGGGGACGCGCAGAATTTCTCGGAGACGGCCCGGGATTCGGCGGCACGGGTACGGGGGTCACGGGAACGGAAAGCGGTTCCCGCTCTCCCGCTTGCGACGAAAGGGATACGTGTAGTAGCTTACCAACTTTGAGATCATCACGAGCGAGCGAAGCACGGAAAGCAGCTCGACCTGTTTCGGGAACCCAAGAACCCGAGAGCTCAGTCAGCGTCAGACCTAAATGGTCGTTTGGCGCCGATGTACATGTCGTTCAGCGCTCAGCCTTGAGCGCGCGCGCAAGCTCGGAGGCGGCCGTCAGCAAAGAGGAGAGGGCCGCTAGGCAACGGGGACTGACCGATTCGACCGAAGCCGTTGATTCCTACGAGAGCGACGGAGTCGACGGAGGGAGCCATGATTGATGATGGAGAAGAACTCGGTCAAGGATTGGAAGAGATATTCGCGTGAGCTGTGTTGCAGTGCAGAAGGAAAGGAGAAGAGAGAGCAAGAGACGAAGCGTCGGCGGCGGCACGTTTCTCCGAACCGCAGAAATCGGGTCTCGGAGCCTCTCGGGCAGGTGCACACTCGAGCCACTCGACAGGGCGGCATCCAACGCTCCCTGCTTGCGCCGAAGGCAGGCCTCACAAGAGGTTTTTCTCGACTTGTTTTCCCAAATCGGCCAGACTCGGACATCACGAAGGAGATACTTTTCTCGACCTACAAAGCCCTCAAGAATCTCTCTCGTGGTCCCAAAATAAGACCTCGTGTCATGAGACATAAGGCTTGTGCGATCGAGCGCGCGCTGCTGGCAGGCAAGGCTGGTGACGGGATCGGAACTCCGTCCGGGGTAAGTGTAAAATGGGCCATCGGAGGAGTTTCGCGGCTGGCGGCGGAACTTGGCACGGAAGGCTTATAATAGGCTGGCTCGTTGCAGCTGGAGGCGACTGGAGGTGTCGAGCAAAACCGGAATCGATGATTGCTAGGTACGGTATGCATTACAGTGCCTTTATAAACAGGGGCCTCCAGATTGGCGATGCCCCCTTTTCCCGGATATTCGCGTGCCTGCTGCCACATCCATAACGATCAGCCTCACAGCTCGCATATGAAGCCTCCCACCTCCGTATCGTACTCACCCAGACTACTCTGCATCATCAGCATTCTTCTTGGCGCACTCTGCCCTAACCCTCTGCAAGAAATACTTCATATGGTCCGGGTCGACACCGGGCGTGATCCCATGACCCAGATTGACGATCCAGCCTCCCTTCATCCCCTCCCTAGCACAGGTCAAGAAGCCATCGGGTCCCCACACGAGTTGTCGTACCTCCCTCTTGATCGATTCCAATCCGGAATGAAGGATCGGTGGGTCCATGTTGCCTTGAAGGGCGACTTTGCCTCCCGTCGCTTCCCTCGCTGCTCGAGGGGTGATCCCCCAATCCAAGCCGACGGTCGAGTACCCGATCGAAGCCAAAGCTGAAAGTTGAGGTGCGGCGTTGGTTCCCTTGGCGAATACGGTCATGGGCGGGCAGGGGATGTCGAGTTCCTTCAGTTGCGCCTTGACGAGTTTGGGCAGGAGGGCGAGGTAGGGGAGGATGAAGGTCTCGAACCCGACGGGGGTGAGCACATCGGCGTTGGTGTCGAACACTTGCAGGAGCTGAGAGCAAAAGGACACGTTGGCTGTAGTTGATCAAGGGTGTTTCGCTCTGAAGCGAAAGAGGCCCACGTCGCTCCAAAAGAAGAATTGACGCACCTGAGCTCCGGCGCGGACTTGACCGACCAAGTACTCGGCACTGACGGTGGCGATCTGGTGCAGCACGGCCTTTGCGTTCTCCGGGTCCCTGTAGCACCACGCCTTTGTCTTTTCCCACGTCTTGGAGCCTCCCCCTTCGACCATGTAGCCGAACAGGGTCCAGGGGCCGGCGCAGAAGCCGATGAGGGGGACCTTGCCGGCGAGGGTCTTGCGCGTCAGGGTGATGGCCGCAAAGACGTACGAGAGCTCGGCAAAGACATCGGTTGTGCGATCGAGGATACGGCTCTGTGCGTCGTCGGGGTTGCGCAAGGGTTCGGGGAAGTGGGGACCGATGCCGCCCTTCATCTCGACGACGATGCCCATCGCCTGCGGGACGACGAGGATGTCGCTGAAGATGATGGAGGCGTCCAAGAGACCGTCGTAGCGACGGATGGGTTGCATCGTCAGTTCGCACGCGAGTTGGGGCGTACGACAGACGGTGAAGAAGGAATGGTCCTTGCGCACGGCGAGGAACTCGGGAAGGTAGCGACCGGCCTGACGCATCACCCAAATCGGGGGGTGGTCCAGCTCGAGCGGGTTCTCATTCGCGGCGGATCGGAGCAGGAGGTCGTTGAGCAGAGGGGCGAAGTCGGTCGACAGGTTCGGGAAGGTGTAGTCCTTGACCGGGGTCGGGAGATCGACCTGTTCCTGGGGGCGGGGGACGATGACGAGGAGGCTTGAGCCGTCGAGGGGGTGGGGTGGGTCGTCATGCTGGCGGTGGACTATCGGTGGCGATTCTACGAGTTCTTTTTTGGAGTGAAGTATGGTGTAAGCCTTGGTGACCGCAAGTCGCGCTGGACGATGGAGGTGCGAAGGAGGGGAGCAGACCGAAGTGGGACGGGCCAGTGGGGTAGAGCAGCGGCGATCTCGTCGTCCGAATTGCCCATTACCAGTGGCCAAGTAATGGCTAGTAATAGTCGTGATAGAGCGTCAGGGGCGCGAGCGCGACAGGCAGGCGACACGGCTCGACTTCTGGCTTGTAGCTCGCTGCGTCTGTGCACATCCGACTCGATACTCTTGTCCCCTCCGCCAACAGTGAGTAGTGACTGTTCTTGCTCCCTTCGAACCAGACATCACGCGTGAATGAACATGCGTCGACGATCCCTCGCATCCCACCACCACCACCACCACCACCACCACCACTTGGACGACGACGTCGAGCACCACTTGGAGCCCACCACGCACCGGTCCACGACCCCCCCCGAGTCCGAGTCCGAGCAAGGTAGCCGTGTAGCCGTGTAGCTGTCTACGTCGAGGAAGCTTCTACGTCCCCCGTGACTGGACTCTACCCACTCGCCCCGACCCTCGCCCGAGCTCCGTCGAGAAGGAGACCGACTGACGCTGACGACGTGCTCTTTCGCTCCCTGTGTGGGTGGGTGTGTGTGTGTGTGCGCTGTACAGTGTCGCGAACATCGTTTGATCGCGCCTTGACCATCTTCTCACCCGAAGGAAGGCTCTATCAAGTCGGTCAGTGTGCACTATTTACACTCTTCTACCCCCCCCGGCTCAGGCTCTCGCATCTCTTTAACTCTGTCGGTCGTGGCTGTACCCGCTCTCAGAATACGCCTTCAAGGCCATCACCGGCTCGGGGCACACCACCCTCGCCATCCGAGGCGAGGACGCCACCGTCGTCATCACCCAAAAGAAGGTCCCTGTGCGTGTACACCCATCCCCCGACGCGCGATCCCCCGGATCCAGCTTCCCTCCTGAAGCTGACGACGCGCTGACCCACTACAGGACAAGCTCTTGGACCCGGATTCGATCACCCACATCTACAACATCACACCCAACATTGGCTGCGTATTCACAGGTCGACATGGTCAGTCATCCTACCGAGCTCGAGCTCGAGCTTGAGCTTCTTCTCCTTCCCCCAAAAGAGCCCCTGGACTGACCCAATGCGTGCTCGCTCCTCTCCAGCCGATGCACGCAACCAACTGCAACGGGCACTATCCGAAGCGACCCAGTTCAGGTACAAGTTTGGCTACGAGATCACGCCGGACTTGCTCGCCAAGCGCATCGCCAACATCAACCAGGTATGCAGCCATTCGAACCCTGGTCGGCCATGCTGGCACGAGGGATACTAATCATGACCACACGATTCAGGTCTATACCCAACGAGCTGCGATGCGACCTCTTGGCATTTGTAAGTTCCCTATCCGAACCGAAGCCTACCCGCGAGTCGCCGCGCCGAGGTTGAACCCTGGTGCCCATGCGTCTTCTGATCTTGTCCCCACGCAGCCATGATCATCGTCGGGATCGATCCCGAACTCGGCCCCCAAATCTTCAAACTGGACCCGGCAGGTTACTACGTCGGCTTCCACGCCACCGCTGCAGGGCAAAAACAACAAGAGGCGATCAACCTACTCGAAAAGGGGTACAAGAAGGGGTGGAAACTCGCCCGGTTGGACGACGTCGTCGAGTTGGCGCTGACGAGTTTGAGTACGGTCCTGGCGACCGATTTGAAAAAGGGCGAGGTCGAGATTGGGGTCTGTGGTGGCGAAGAGAGGAGATTCAGGAAGGTGAGTCGTCGGTCGGGATGGTTTGGGCGTGGGCGTGGGCGTGGGCGTGGGCGTGTTGTGGCTTGGGCGAGGTCGAGTACGGCTTTTTGACGTGTGATGCTGATGGCGATTCTTTGCGTCTCTGCAGCTGTCGACGGAAGAAATTGATGGGTACCTGCAACGACTCGGCGAGAAGGATTAAGCTGAGGATTCGAAGCAGCCGGGCGACTTTCCCGACCCGAATCCATGTGTAGTTGTTTAGTGTGTGTTTGCGTCGACTTTTGCGCTCTGCAATAAGCCATAAGAGCATTTCATTTCGTTGTTTGAAGTAAGATAACAGGGTGAAAAAAGTCACAAATGCAAAATCAGAAAATCATGGCGCTTTCGGAGGTATCCGGCGTATACTTTCACCGCTGCGCCGGTTCCGGTTCCGGTTCCGACTCTGACCGCGATCCCACCTCGCCCATTCTGCTGTCCACGTTTGCCGTCGTGCCAACCTCGCCGACGATGTCTTTCCGCGCTTCTTTGAGACGGTTAGCCTCCCATGCTCCTCGACAACCTTCGATCCACTTTCCTGATCGATCGGCTGCTCCCGGTGAGTCTCAATCCGCTCGTGTACGAGACCGAATCGTCCGGAGCATACGTCGAGTCGATGCCAACTTTGGTGCAAGTGATACCGAGCTCAGCAATTGAACATACTGAAGCTTCTTTGCATCCTCTCCTCAGTCCACCACCTCGCCACTCCTCACCCCTGCGCCCCCTCCGACATCCTCTCCTCGTCCCCCTTCCTCCAATCCCTCTCCAAACGTCCGACGACCCCTTCCGAACCTCATCAAGGCCCTAAAACACCCCTTTCCGGTCCCGCGGGGGGAGCAGAGGATGGAGCGGGGTTCGTGGGTCCGAAAGCGGACTACGAGGAAGGGGATTCGGGGATGCCGAGTTGGTTGAATAAGGCGCGGTACGCGCCGGGGGAGGAGGAGATCGAGGCCGTTTTGGTTAGTCGCAGATGATGTTTTGCTTTGTTTGTGGGGGAAGGTTGGGTTCGTAACTGATGGTTGTGTTTTGGGGGTGGGGGGGGGGGGTGGGGCGGTGATTGTTGACAGAGTGGTGGAGCGACGGCAGCGACTGAAGTGACCAAGGCGTATAAGCAGAAATGGTGGACCGCGCAAGTCTAGACACCAGGGGCGGGGGCGTCTTGTGCCGAAGGGGAATGTTGGGGAAAGAGTAGAAGAAGGGGGTTGTAATGAAGGGGGAGTGGTTCATGATCGCCAAGGCTGGGTTGGCAGGGTCACGGACGAGAGAGGGGGGATCCCCCATGGCCCGAGTCCGAGTGAGGGATGGGTTGTCATCTCTGGGATCTACATCGAAGTTGGTGAGGACCAGGATGGAGGTTGTAGTCGCCACCCATCGAGCCAAGTCACCTATCCGAAACGCAGGGATCGAAAGAGTCTGATCGATCGGACCGAAAAAGCTTTCGAAGCGGTATGGCAAGGCTCTCCTAGCTTCTTCGAGGCGGGAGGGACTCAGAAGTGACTTTGAAAGGGCACGCGGGAACAAAGCTTTATGGAGAGCCTGGCATTCTGAATTGCAGAAGAAGTGGATTGAGCAGTCCGAGCCGCTGACGTCGACCTGTGATGAGCATGGGATGTCTTCCCGAGGTGGCCAGTCGGCATCGGAACTTTGGAAAGAGAGCATACGACTAGTGATTCGTGCGCACCTGAACCTGAGGATGTCTCGAATTGTTCCGGAAAGAAGAGTGTGAGAATGCTCGAAGCTTTGATTCCCGAGGAAGTTACCGGGACCCGTTGACTCGAACGAACGCCGACTCGGCAGCGATCGGCAAGACGGCGTTCACCTCCTCGTCCGACCGATAGGCGCGCGCGCATATGCCTTCCGCAGTCTTCCGCAGTTGCCAGAGGGACTCTCAGCGAAGCGGCCGAATCGCGCCGTGCGGCTTCGCACGCGACCGACCAGCTGCAGGCTCAAGTTCCGTCTCTGCCCGTACGACCGCGACCTTCACATCACGTGTGGCGTCCAAGCCCATCTCGCGCGTTCCCAGCCACGACCCCGGCTCGACTGGACATTGGAACACTTGGCCAGCCAGCCCCTCGACGCCGAAGCCTTCCATCCCACGCCCTCGACGACCACACTCCGCGTCTGGTCTCGGATCAAGACGACGGGCCTTTGTGCCCTCCCCTTTCCGCCCCCCCCCCCCCCACTTCAAAACTCGGCATAATCAGACAAGATGTAAGATCTCTAGACCGTACTGGCTCTACACCCAGAGGCTCACCTCGCCTTCGTTTCCTCTCCTACAGGGTCGCGCACCTCTCGTCCAAGCTTTCGCATCTCGCGCAGTCGTTCCGACCCCAGCACCACTTCAACACCTTGCGTAACGCGTTCCCTTCCTCCGCTTCGGCCCATGGGGGTTCGACGACCGGCTTCTTCGACCCGGCCAATGTGTTCCAACAGGCCGCGAACAATACTTTGGGAGCCGCGACGGGCCAGGCTGCGGGCGCTGGAGCGGGCTCGTCGGCGGGAGGCGCTGGAGGGGCCAAGTGGCACGCCGGTAGGAACGCTTACAACTGGGGCTCATCGGTGAGCAAAAAAAACAACAACAACGCCACTTTACTCGAGCGGCAAGTACGGATGCTAATGCTGTTGGACTGATCCGCGGTCGGATCTTTTCTTCCCTTTTTCCCTAGAATCCGGGCCGAATGATGTCACAAGCTACTTCCCAGGATTCGTCGACCCGACTGGACGAGGAAGCCGAAGACTCTTCCAGCACACGAGGGAGACGCAACGTCCTGCTCACCCCGCATCGCGCAGGACGAACAGCACCGGCACCGTTCAAGCCCGCGACCCGAGAACGCAGCTCGTCGATCCCTTCTTCGACCGAACGACCGGCCCCACCAACCGAATTGCTCAACGTCTCCGAGATGGGTCTTCCAGCACCGCGGCTGTCGAGTTCCGAGATGCAGAGCCGGTATCGATTTGCTTTTGCGCAGGGGACCAAGACCGTTGAGATGGTCGCGATGGAGAGGGAGGCCGATGAGATGGACCTTGGGCCGCAAGCTTCGAGTGTTCGCGTCTCGGGGCGGAGAGCGTCCATCTCGTCCTTGACGACACCCTCCTTGATACGGATGCCTCGACCCTTGTTGTTGGCTGGTTCATCCTCGAGCGCAGCGGCACCGCTACTGAGCGCCCGAGGCGTGCACACGACGACGAAATCCTCCCCCTCGAGTCGGCCAACTCCTTTCCCTTCGACCTCTCCACCGCTCGCGACCGTCGCTCGGGTACGACGCAACTCGACCTCGGCGATCGAATCCTCCTCGCCTTCTCTTCTTGACGCGGCCGATGCGGCGTTGCAAGTTCCTCCACCCCGTCAGTCCTCGTCACGCCCCCCGGCATCGAGCCCCAACGATCCCGCCTCGATGCTGTTGCGCAAGCGCAGCTCAGGCTTCAAAGACAAGATGAAGGCCCCGACTATTGAGACGATCAGAAACTCATCCTACCGCAGTCCTGAAGCCGCGAACGACGCTGTTCGTCACTACGTCGCCGTCGAGAGTGCTTACTCGGTCGAAGGCCACAACGCGGCGATGGAAGCTTTGTTGAGGACGCGCTTACCGAACACGCCCATCACGACGATCGTGCATCTGTACAACCAGTTGTTCGAGCACGAGGCGTTGAGACCGACGAGGAAGTCGTACGAACTCGTGCTCAAGACGTTCTGCACACGCGATCAAGAGGTGCTCAACAACATCAGCTTCTTGACGAAGCGCATCGAACGCAAGAAGGGGGCGACCCTGGCGCGCGGTCCGTACCATCGCACATCGAGCTCGGAAGAGTTGTTGATGAACCCTGCCGAACAAAGGACGCTCGAGACGCTGCAGAAGGAGGACTACCTCTCCCCTGCGCTCGAGATCTACAAGACCTTGGGCCCGCTCGGCGATAAGCTCGAGGACGGGGTCATGAGCGAGTTGATCGCCGGCGCCGCTCGAAGGGGTCGCATCGATTTGGCCTTGACCTTGTTTGGCCGAGTCGAAAGGTCGCCATTCCAAAAGGCACTTTCGGGGACGTACATTGCGCTGATCCAGATGTTTGGTCGCGAAAAGGACAAGGAGTCGTTGATGGCCGTGTTCGAGGGTTACCTCCAAGCCCGAGCTACGGGCCAGCTCCGACCTACGAACAGTGTCATCAAGCGACCGTTCCACCAACAAGTGCCGGTCAAGCACGCCTACTCTACCGCGCCCGAGTTCACGCTCCAGGCCAACTCTGGCTTCTTCATCGGCGGTGATGATGCCGTGTGGCGCAACACGATCGCGGCGCTTTTCGAGGTCGGCGATTCGGCCGAAGCGGTGGCCTTGCTCGAACGCATGCTTTTGGCGCAAAACTCTTCGGAGCCCCTTCCTGCCGGGTACCCCACCACGTTCGCCCCCGCGATGCTCGCGACGATCGTGGCCGGGTTCGCTTCGCTCGGTGACGAGAACTCGGCCCGCAAATGGTTCGATCAGGCCGGTGCCGTTGCATCGTCCGGTGTTCCGGTCGAACTCCACGGGATCGCGTTCCACGCCGCTCTCCGTGCCGATCTTCCTGCCCTTCTTCGACACATCTACGCCGCGAGCCTCGATCGGGCTGGTCCCAACTTCATGCTCTCCATCTCGGACTTTGTCACCTTCGTCGACACCCAGATCGCTTCGTTATACGCTTCCACAACGTCGGCTGAGGATGCCCGTGCCGCCATTGACGCGATCGTTTCGGCTCGACCCAAGTTCGAGCAAGCGGCCAGGAAAGGGTGGACGCTCGGCAATCCGCAACGCGAGGTCGCTCTCTCGACCGGTCTCTTGTCGCGCATCGTCAGTGCTTTCGCTCACTGTGGCGACTGGACCAATGCCGCGAACACGTTCGTGGAACTGGGTCGCACGATCCTGCGCGCTCAAGTGAGCAAGGACTCGGTGCGCAGTCCTGAAAAATGGATCTTGGTAGGACGCGAGTCGGCTATGACGGCCTTGGGCTTTGTGCCGCAAGATGCCAAGGACTGGACTCGCAACGCCGATGCGCCTCGATTGCCCATCGCCGAGGTCACCAAGGTCGTCGCCATGCTCAATCGCTTCAGTCTTCAAGCCGGTACGAACGAGACAACCCCTTCGGCTGTTCAGGTCCTCGTCGTTGAATGCTTCTTGAGCGCCAAGGCCGAGAACAAGGGCGATGTCGAAGCGCTTAAACTGTCCGGCGATCAATGGTACACCATCATCGACGCGTTCGCGAGCGTCCAATCCCAGATCCGTCGTGGTCTCGAACCAGCTTTCGAGTTCCCCGGTTTCGAACCCATCATCGATGACTTTGCCGCATCGCAGGTCAAGATTCCCTCGGCGTTCGCCAACAACTTCCCTGCTTTGGTCGAATCGCTCTTGGCCGGTGGCATGCCGAGCGATCGCGCTCGTGCCGTCTTGGCCGTGCTGGATCTCAACCTCGCCCAAAGTTTGGAAGCCAAGGAAGCTCCTGCACCCGTCGAGGCTCCCGCCGCTGCTGCTGTCGCCGCCGCCGCCGCTGCCCAAGTCGAAGCCCCCTCGCCGTCTGTCGCTCAGTCCGCTCGAACGTATGCGGCCGAGCCTGCCCCCGTTGTCATCCCTACACCTCCCGCGACGCCGCCGCCTCACGTCCTCAAGCACTTGTCCGCGCCTCTGCCGACCGTCAACGCGATCGACATCAATCTCTCGAACCAACTCGACACGCTCATCTACGGCCACAACTTTGACGATGCGTTCAAGATCGCTCTGCAAGCCGCCGACCAAGGGCGCTATGCCCACCCGGAGGCGCTCGGTCGTCTGCTCGAGGCTTTGGGACGAGCTGGCAAGACCGAAGCGGCTCGACAGACCTACACGCTTGCGTACGCCTCGTTGCCCGCGCTTGCTGCGCAACCGACCGATCAATCCATGGCCTGGTCCGCACTCGAGGATCATATGATTATTACCCTCGCCGTCGCGGGTGAACTCGAAGAAGTGGGCCAACATCGCGATCGCTTGATCCAAGCTGGTAGTGCTCCCTCGGCCGATGGGTATGCCGCGATGATCCTGCATATGAAGGAGACGACCAACGACGCTGCAGTTGCGTTGACCTTGTTCGAGGAATCGCAACGCCTCGGCGTCAAGCCCAACATCTACCTCTTCAACACGCTCATTTCAAAGTTGTCGCGCGCTCGAAGGGCCAAGGATGCGCTCGAGTACTTTGAGCTCATGAAGTCGCATGGTCTGAAACCGACGGCGATCACCTATGGTGCCATCATCAATGCGTGCTGCAAGACCGGGGACGACGCTTCGGCAGATTACTTGTTCCAAGAGATGATCGCGTCGCCCAACTTCAAGCCCCGTGTACCGCCTTACAACACCATGATCCAGTTCTACACCTCGACCAAACCCGATCGGGCCCGTGCGTTGCACTACTACCGCGCACTGTTGAACGCGAGGGTGCAACCGACCGGACATACGTACAAGCTCTTGCTCGACTGCTACGGCTCGATCGACGAGCCCGACTTCGCTTCGATGGAAGACGTCTTTGCGACTTTGCTTCAGGACCCAGCCGTGATCGTCACGGGCGCGCATTGGGCCTCGCTCATCCACAGCTACGGATCCGTCGGCAAAGACCTCGACAAGGCCGTCCAAATCTTTGATTCGATCCAAGGTCATGCCTCGACTTTGCAATCTCGTTCGGACCTACCCGATGCGGTCGTATACGAGGCGTTGTTGAACGCGTTCATCGCGAATGGTAGGGCCGATTTGTGCGAGAATTATTTGGTCGAGATGAAGGATCGAGGGGTGAAGATGACGGCTTATGTCGCGAATACGTTGATCAAGGTAAGTTCCTGGGTCTGGGTATTTGTTCCTTTATGGCTTTTCTTTTTTTTAACTGATCATGAACTGCTTCGGTGGGAACATTGACAGGGCCACGCCGCTCAGAACAACATGTCGTCCGCGCGCGCGGTCTTTGACGCGATGCAAGACCCTCCCGCCGGTTTCGCCGCCTCAGGCAACCACGCCGTCAACCGACACCCCAAACAACAGCAGCAACAGTCGAGTGATCCCGCGGCGAGTGGCCCCGTGTACCGAGAACCTTCGACGTGGGAGACGATGATCAAGGTTGAGTTGGAGGCCGGGGAGGCACCGAGGGCTTTGGGGTTGATGAAGAGGGTTGAGGAGAGGGCGTTCCCTGAGGCGGGTGAGTTCTCGCATGTGCTTTGCGTTCACATTATTATTGGAGTAGTTCACTGATCCGCTTGGATCCGGTTCTTCGTGTGCGCTCGATCAGTCGTAGCTAGGATTCGCAAACACCTCGATGACGCCGGGCTCGTTTCCTTGGCATAGAAGAAGAAAGAAGTGGACGAAAAGGAGTTTCGTCGAACTATTTTTGGGTTTGTTTGTTTTTCTTTTGTGTATCGCACTGCATGCCTTCGTTTCATCTCCGAGGAAGGTACATACCAAGCACTATGATGTAATTTTCAAGCGAAAAAAGGAGTGACACAGATCGAAGGGGCTCGCTTTCGGAGAGGGGGTGAGGATCTCGGGACAGCGGAACAGATGGATGAGAGTGAATAAAAGTCATTAGAGAAGAGTGCACTCGTGCGAAGGAAAGTGACCTTGGCAGAGCCCACTCTTTACACCGTTGCGGCGAGATTATAATTCCGAGCGAGTCGGAGCGGTAGGCCATTCTCTGCTTGACGTCGCGCGGCGATGCGCTTGATCTGCCCGACCCCGGCTGCAACTTTCGGCTCCACTTTGCCTCTCTCCACACCACGCCGCCTCCTCGCCTGAGCACCATGTCACTCCGAACCCTGTCGCGATCGTCCCTGCTCTTGCCCTCCATGATCGGCTCAACAAGTCGACAGCCACTCCATGCATGCCTCTCGTCGATCCCGTGCTCGATCGTCCCTCGGAGCTCGACCTCACCCTCTTCCTCGTCGTTCTCCTCCTGTTCCTCGGCGTGCAACAGGATAGCACCTGCACCATCTGCAACCTCAGCCCCTCGTCCAAGTCGACCAGCCTACCAGCAGCGTGAACTACCATCTGATCGTGAATTGCCCCGATTAAAAGTGAGCCTTCCCACTCACCCCTTTCCTCCTCCTCTGCACCGACTTAAACCCACCCTCTTGACTCGACAGTCCCGAACCCCGCTCTACCTCTCCGTCGCCCTCCTCTCCGCCACAACATGGGGGCTATTCCTCTTCTACGCGACCAACGCCGAGCGGTCCAATTCGTCCGTGATCGGTTCGCTCGCGTTTCAACTCAGGACCTCCAAAGTCGTCGCAGATTTCTTGGGCAACAAAGTGCATTTACCGGCCTTGATCGGCGAGTTTAGGACGGTGAAAGGGAACGTGAGTGCTGCAAGTCGGGTGTACGGAAAGTTTTCCGGGAGGGGATAACTGATGAAGCTCGTGTTTTTTTGGCTTCTTTCTTTCTTCCTTTCTCGCCGACTCGCCACCCTTCTTCGGCGTCGAATCTCACCCCTTCTCAACGACTTTTTTTTTTTTAGATCAACATGTTGGCCGGACGAATTGACGTCCAATTCAGAGTCAAAGGTGATAAAGGTCCGTAGTAATAATAATAAAACCCTTCTCCCTTTCCCTACCTACTCTTCACCTAACCCCCAAAAAAACCTCAACTAACCATCCTCTCTCCCCCTCCCCCCTCCCCCTTTTCTCTCTCTTGTAGCTGGAGGAATCGCTATTTTCACCTCCGTTCGTCGAGGTAAAGAAGGTAGATTCGAGGTGCTGAGATGGAAGATCATCAGGGATGATGGGCAGACGTTGGATTTACAAGCCGCGGATCCTAGAGCGGCGAGGAGGGTGATTGAGGAGGTGGTGATTAGGGAGACGGGCGAGAAGGGGAAGGGTGAGAGTGGGGTGGTCAAGAGGGTTGTGTAGAGTGCGAGGGCGAGGGCGAGTGGGGCAGGAAATGATTTTGCGTTTGGGGTAGATAGATACCTGGCGGCGCGGTGCCATAGGGAAAAAGGGTGACGAGTTAGGTTTTGCTTTGGAAGCGTTTGTGAAGTCTTCAGTCTCCGCGCGTATGATCGTAAGCATAACCACGTAGTGTATGTAAGATAGCCAAGAAAAAAAAATGACATTTTCACACACAGAAGAGCTTCAAAGAAAAAAAAGGACATGGGGGAAGAAAAAAACAGGACAGGAATGGAAACAAGTGGCGCGACGATTTATATTGCTCTCCCCTGTGTTTCTGTCTACGACCCCTTTGAACCATCGGTCCCGACCGATCCTGTCATCTTGTGTTCCAACCCGTAGACGGTCTGAACGGTCGTCAAGGCTTGGGAAGTGAAGACCAATAAGGGGATGAGGATGAGGAAAGAGATGAGGATGCCTGGGGGAATAGGAACAATGTTGGGTGGGGTCAGTTTAAACTTTCCAAAAATGACAGATGGCCAACGCGGACTCACAAAGGATCAAAGCGGGCGTGAAGAAGACATAACGATGCAACAGGCCCGAATTAGGCTTGACCTCAAAGATCGAGGTTGGGTCAGGTGCGAAAGCCGAAGCGACGTAGTCGATCCCGGCGTCGATAGCTTGAGCGGCTTTGTCAGTGACGGATTCGATGATGGGTCGGTCTTGGGCGGCAAAGGTGTCGGGGTCGTCGGTGCCGATGGTGGAAGAGGGGACTGGGGTTTCGTCGAGGGCGTCTTCGAGGTCGGACAGGGAAGAAAGAGCTTCTTCTTCGATTTCGAGGGCTTTGTCGTCCAGATCAAGGGCTTGACGTTTGGTGAGAGGGGTGATCGATGCGAGGGCTTGGGTTGAGGCTTCGGGGAGCGAGGTGAGGACGACGAGGTAGGGTCCTTGAAGGGTGTGCAGGTGAGCTTGGATGGCTTCGTCTGTGGGGCAATCGAGTAAAGTGGGTGAGCTGCGGGCCGAACATCACTCGAACCGTGGAACGCACCAATCTTGTTGAGGAGCTCTCGTCTCCCTTGCCTGGCCTTGACGCCAACCAACTCCCACTCGTCCAAACCCTGCACGGTCTCGATCCTCAACGTTTTCGCCGCATCTCCCTGCCAAAAGCTCGCGTAGTCGTCCGTCTGCAGGACGGCACCGCACTGCTTGATGAACGTGCGCGCAACTCGCTCAGGGGTCGTCAGAACGCCGTTGGCCAGGGGGACGTAGGCGCGCGTGAGGGATGAATCGGCGTAGTAGTCGACACGGGCTCGGATGCCCGTGGGTGTAGTGGGGAGGAGGGGGAGGTCCGAGTAGTGCAATCCCGGTGCGGAGACGAGCAGGATCGCTTGCAGCGAACATAGGTCGGCCGCGGCGTCCGAGGAGGAGAAGCTCGCTTGGGTCCCGGAGCGGGAAGACGATGATGGGGAGGTGGAGGCTAGTGTTGATAGGGAGGAGTGTCTGTAACGGGGGAGAGGAGGTCGATGAGTGGAGTGCTCTTCTTGTGCTGTCCTTGCGGGCGAGGGAGTAACGCCAGATCGCCGCCGCCTGACTCGGTTCTGACGAGACGCGTGTACTGGCAGTTCGACCCCAACAAGTCGGAGTAGTGTGGTTCGTGAGGGACAGGCCCCTGTTGAGGTCTCTGCTTTCCACCCGCAGCTCAATCGGTTGCGCTCGCGGTCCAATCTCGGGCCATCGTCATCGACGCCGCTCGCTTCCCAAGCAAGACCGGCCTCGCCACCACTCCTTCACCCAGACCGCCACCATTGCTCGCCATTCCATGCTGAGACCAACACCGCCCGAGGAGAGAATCAGAACGAGCCTGGCTTCCAACTTACGGTCTATCGGCCCAAGCGACGATGGGGAATGTATTCGCGAACGCCTCGACGCCAACCGCGATGGTCGTCAGTGCGGCCAAGGTGACGGCCCATCGTGAGACACTCGACTTTGAGTTGTGCGACGGTGCCATCGTGGTTGGAATGGTGGTGGGTGGGGTTGGGCCGCGAGTGGAGCGGAGCGGAGGGAGCAGAGAGTGCGGTGCAGGGCCTCAGGCGCGCCGAGAGAGATTGGCGATTACAACTCGAATGTGTAATGAGCAATTGGAGCGCAATGTCACTGCGCGCGTGAGCTCGGCGCGGGTTTTGACTTCTCCGCGTGTGGCGACTGCTGTGGCGACTGCTGAGCGGACGATGACCTCGACCTCCAGCAGCTTCAACACCATCAGCCCGTCAAGATAGTTGTTCTTGAGTGCATGTATCGACCGGTTGAGCTGTTTCCGGTCGCCCACGACATGGCGGTACTGTGCCGACCCCATCCATTCCTTCTGTTTTACCGGCCCTCTTGTTCCGAAACCCTTTCTGGCAGTAGTGTTGATCAGCTCTATGAATTCGTCGTACACGCTGTCCCATTCCTCCGTGGATTGAATTTCCTTCCCGTTTGGAGGTAGGTATGGTTGAAAGATGTCGTTCGTCCGAAGGCTGCTGGAGATTGTGGCCCTGAAGAGGGGTTTAGTCGCATCTCCTTTCCTCGCCAGTTGGACGCGCTTAGGGCCTGCATTGTTCACCTGGGCAGCCGGTGGTTCACATCCTTCGAAGGCGATGCAAACTATTATCGGCTTATGGTCTGAGCCGGTTGGCGTTCCTCCCCTGATCGTTTCAATATCGATATACCCTGGTGCGACCGAACTGGCTGCGCGAGCCAGGATCGCTTTTGTTTTGTGCGCCATGGATTGGTGCGTCCAGTCTTTGGTCACCGACGTTCCTGCTTTCACATTCTATGCATCTGTTGCCTCCATGTCTCGTAAGAACCGCGAGTATCGTAAACTAGCTTTGTTCATTGTGTAGGTTGTTGCATCGGACTCGTGGACGCCAAAAGTAGCATTAGTGTCTCCCAACAGGATCCAGTTGGTGATCGATCCGTTCGTCAGATTATTCGTCACTTCTGTCCAGAACAGGTCCAGTGCCGACTCTCCTCCCGTCGTCTGATGCTCGAAATCCGAATGGGGGGCAGTATCCGGCTAGTATCCGGGCCTTCTCACTGGGGCCCCTTTCCCTGCTCAGGAGAATGTCTGCTATCACGACTCGTCCGGCAAGTGGTCCTTCGGCGAACACTTTGTGCTGTATGACCGGTATACCCTTCCGAACCAAGAGCAACACTCCATATTTTGCCGATGCACCCCCTTGTGCTCTCTCAACTGGCAGAGAGTTTGTCTGAAACGCTAGGTAGCCTTGGGTGTTAAGGAGTCGCTGCGTGTTGATTGGCTCTTTGAGCTCCTGTACAGTCAGGACGTCTGGTTTCTGCGTGTCGAGCACCTGCTGGATTCAGTTCGCTTTGATTTCACTCATGCCATTCATGTTCGCCGAAAGGAGTTTAAGGGGAAGAATTCCGATTGCAGCCGCGGTTGGGAGGTTTGAAAGGAGTAGTTATGAGGGCTAAAGGGACTGCTCGGGCAGGCTGGCTAGCTACGAGGGGCATAAATACGAGGAATTCAATACAAGGTTTGAGTATGGGCTGGGTGAGATCGCGATGTTGGTTTTTTACCTCAATAGTTGGTAGGTCCGCTTGGCGGGTGTACCTCACTCTTCTACCTCCATGGCGCTGTCCGCACTGCTGGTCATTTTGGCCTGCTGGCATTGAAAGTTTATGAGCATCGCTCTCGCTACGTATCAGTACAGCGGTGGTGTTGAATGGACCGATCAAGGTAATTCGTACTCGGACCAGTTGTGTGTCGGTACTACTCCTTTTTTTTCGGTGCGCGGCGATCGGCGTCCTGTCGGAGACGGACTTGCAGGCGATGGGCTTTCAGGCATGGCCGGTATACTTGCCACAGCGGGGTCCGTGGTCCTCAATTCGGTCGATGTCGGGGGTGATCGTCCGTTGCCCGTACTGACGGCCCGCAACATCGTTATCTGTCCGGCACTTGCTTGTATGGTCGATGTCCAGCCCGTGTCTAGTCCGCTGGGCTCGTTGGTGGGCTGTAGCAGTGTCTGACGGACTTTGGCGGCTCTTTGGTCGACGATGCTTTGGAGGTCGTTTCCTGCCTTCTCCAGCTGCGCCCGCGCTTTGCTCTCCATGACCACGGCTCGCTGGAATTTTGCAGTCAGGTACTCCTTCTCGTGTGCGGGAAGACTAGGTCGCTCCAATCATGTAGCTCGCACGTCATCGATGGCGGCTTCTGCTTGCTCGGCACGTGACGTGAAGAGCTCGATTTGTAAGAGCTGACCGCGCTCTTGAATATTGAAGTCCATCATGGCGTCTTTGTGCCGTTGTGTCTGTGTGCCCAAAATGACATCAGACGCGCCATGCTAGACAGACACAACGGCACAGAGACGCCATGATGGACTTCAATATTCAAGAGCGGGGTCAACTCTTACAAATCGAGCTCTTCACGTCACGTGCCGAGCAAGCAGAAGCCGCCATCGATGACGTGCGAGCTACATGATTGGAGCGACCTAGTCTTCCCGCACACGAGAAGGAGTACCTGACTGCAAAATTCCAGCGAGCCGTGGTCATGGAGAGCAAAGCGCGGGCGCAGCTGGAGAAGGCAGGAAACGACCTCCAAAGCATCGTCGACCAAAGAGCCGCCAAAGTCCGTCAGACACTGCTACAGCCCACCAACGAGCCCAGCGGACTAGACACGGGCTGGACATCGACCATACAAGCAAGTGCCGGACAGATAACGATGTTGCGGGCCGTCAGTACGGGCAACGGACGATCACCCCCGACATCGACCGAATTGAGGACCACGGACCCCGCTGTGGCAAGTATACCGGCCATGCCTGAAAGCCCATCGCCTGCAAGTCCGTCTCCGACAGGACGCCGATCGCCGCGCACCGAAAAAAAAGGAGTAGTACCGACACACAACTGGGCCGAGTACGAACTACCTTGGTCGGTCCATTCAACACCATCGCTGTACTGATACGTAGCGAGAGAGTGCAGTGCAGGGCCTCAGGCGCGCCGAGAGGGATTGGCGATTACAACTCGAATGTGTAATGAGCAATTGGAGCGCAATGTTACTGCGCGCGTGAGCTCGGCGCGGGTTTTGACTTCTCCGCGTGTGGCGACTGTTGTGGCGACTACTGAGCGGACGATGGCCTCGACCTCCAGCAGCTTCAACAATGGCTTGCTCCCACCTCGTTCGACAATACACGACCTCTTTCGAGCTCGACACCAAGCCGAAGCCGAGGCTCAAGCTGCCAAGATACGTTCCCCAGCCACGAACAAGAGCCCGACCCGTCGCGCGTCAGCTCGGAACAAGTTGACTTCGCACACCAAATCACGCCCGTTGTCGTCGTCCTCGTCGGCCACGAACAGGCTGGACAGGACAACGACCGGTACAAGTACAACCAAGAAGCGTAAAGCGGTGGCGGTGACTCCTCATGTCGATAGCGATGATTCCGATATCGAGATCCTGCCCTCTACGCTCAAGTCGACCACGACGAGTGGGGTCAAGCGATCGAAGGCGATCACAAAGGAAGCTCCAACTACGGATGGCAAGAACAAGTCGTCCGTACGGGCCGAGTCGATCTCGATTGATTTGACTATGGAGGATGAAGAGGAGGTCTCATCTGAGCAGGTATCGGCGGATGTGGCGGCCACCGAGCTTAACGCGAACCACGATGACGACGATGGCGAAGGCGAGGGGCATCGATCCCGAGATGCCGTCGAGCGAGAACAGAGCTTTGGTCAATGGGACAACGACGAGGGCGCTCACGAGGGCGAACAAGACCTATTTTGGGATCAAAGCGATGACGACCACGACGAACCCTATCGTCGTAGCGAGACTCCAAGCCGAGCAGCCCAGGCCAAGGACGAAATGTGGGGTGAGGAAGGCATGCTCCAAGACTCAGACGGCGACGATGTCGTCTTTGCCGACGAGTTTGACGACCAACCCATCACTGCGATCGGGCAACAAGGTAGCTCCAAGGATCTTGAACCAGTCCACGACCACGCCTCTTCCAATCCTTCGACGTGCCCCATCTGCTCCATCTCGCTCGGCTTCATGTCCAAGAAGGCAAGGGAAGCGCATGCTAACACGTGTCTCGATGAGTGCGACGACGACTCCGTCTCCAAGCCTGCCGGTCGAGGCATATTTTCTTCCATGTTCGGGAATCACTCGAAGCCTGCACCGACATCGACGAAAGACAAGGGCAAGACTGTGTCAACCCCAGCCGACGCTCCGAGCAATGGCCGACGACCCCTCTCGTCCTTCATGCCTTCCTTCTCCTTCGGCGCTACCTCCTCCACTTCGAGCTCGGGGCCAGGTGCTCCCAATGCTTTTACGGCCCTCATGACGGGACATGCCGAGACGAAGCAGTGGAAGCTCGCCGAGGAGGCGGACAAACAGAAAGGTCGAGTGCCAAAGGGCGAGTTCAAAAAGGTGCCGTTCTACAAATGGGTCGAAGGGCTTCAAATCACGGTCAGTTCGAAGCCTCTTTACAGAATGTCATTCGCACAGTGTCTAAAACCGGTGTCGAGGGTTGACACAGGTCGATGCCTTTCGCTACAACGCGATCCAAGGCTGCAAAGCCTACTTCCTCACGCACGCGCATTCGGACCATTATCAAAACCTTTCGGCGAGTTGGGACCATGGCCCGATTTATTGCTCCTACACGACGGCGAACTTGATCAAGCTCAAGCTTGGCGTCAAGGACGAGTACCTCAAGCCGTTGCCGATGAATGAAACGGTCAAGGTTCATGGGATAGACGTGACGCTCATTGATGCGAATCAGTGAGTGGGCTTAAGTTGCGGATGGGTCGTTTGAAAAGGTGGAGGTTGAACTGATGTGTGCTGCACAGCTGCCCTGGTTCGGTCCTATTCCTCTTTGAGGGCCCCCACACCGATCCGAATAGTCCCTATTCCAAGACGCCCTCGAGGATCTTTCGGTATCTTCACTGTGGAGGTCAGTCTCACCTTACAAGCGCGTTTGATGACCCAGTCCTAAGTCACATTCACTTCAATCGCCTCGCCCAGACTTTCGCGCCGCACCCCCGCACGTTTTGCACCCGGCGGTGAAGAACAAGCGCATCGATATCTGCTACCTCGACACGACCTACCTCGACTCCAAGTACTGCTTCCCCGCGCAGGAACTCGTCATCGAAGCGTGTGCGCAGTTGGTCAGGGAGCGCGTCTTGGAGGGTGATGAGGAGGCTTTGAATCGACTTGCGGGGGAGGCGGAGGTCGGGATGAGGAAGGGTATGAAGGGCTGGTTGAGTGGGAGGGGGGTGAAGAAAGGGGAGGAAGAGGAGGAGGAGGAGGAGGGGAAGGCGGGGTTGGGGGTGGGCAAGGTGGAAGATGAGGAGGAGGATGAAAGGGTTATGAGGGAGATGGAGGAGGAGCAGGTGATGATGGGGGAGGAAGCGGAGATGGTCAAGGCTGAGCAAGGTCGGGGAGGGGAGGTTGTCAAAGACGAGGAGGAACCTCTGGACGGTGCGAAGGAGGAGCGGAAGCCCAAGTTGGAGAAGGAGGATTCGAAGAAGCCCAAGAAAGAGAAGCTGCTGGTCATGGTCGGCACGTATTCGATTGGCAAGGAACGGATCGTCAAGGGTGCGTGACATGTGCATAATGTGCTGGCTCAAAAATGTATAGAGCTAACATTGGAGCTTTTCTGTCAATCAGGTATTGCCAAAGCGCTCGGCACCAAGATCTATTGCGACGAGCGAAAATCTGCCATCCTGTCGGCGCAAGACGATCCCGAACTACATGCACTCATGACGAGTGACCCGCTCGAAGGGCAGGTCCATATGTGCTGGCTTAATAGCGTTAATAGGGTAGGTAGAGAGAGAGACGTAACACTGTGAGGTGCTGGGCCTCTGAGCTGAATGTTCCGCTTTTCGAGATTGCAGGATGCCATGTCGGACTACCATGCGCAGTACAGCGCCAAGCGGATGGAAGGTGGATACACGCAGGTCATTGAACTTCGGCCCACGGGTGGGTTCTGGCTACTTTCGAAGATGAATAAGGCATGATGCTGACGAGAGTTTCTGCGTGGACTGACGAATAGGCTGGACCTACAAAGCCGAGGGATCAAAAGGAGAAAAGACGCCGACGATCGCGAAGATCTTGGAGCGCGAAAGGTTGCGCAAGTTCTCGGCTGCTGGGATGTGTGAGTCCGCCGACGAAACAACGCCATGGATTGAACAGGATCGCGAGGTGAACAAACTTAATGAGCAAAACCCATGCCCCATCATAGACCCCCAACGCGACTCGACCTCAACCTTCCTCGGTTACGGGGTCCCCTATTCCGAGCATTCGTCCTTCTACGAACTGACCTGCTTCGCCCTCTCGCTCGACTACGTCCGCATGATCCCGACGGTGAATGTGCACACGCCTGCTTCAAGGAAAAGGATGGACGATTGGATGACGCGGTGGAAGGCGGAGAAGAAGAGGAGGGCCGATGCGAGGATCCCGAGGTTGGTCGAGCCGAGGAGCGAGAATTATTGGTGAAGCTTGGGAGGGGTAGGGGTGGGCGCATAGGCCGAGTCTTCTTTGGGTTTATTGTTTTGTTTTATTAATTTTCATGTCGACCTCTTGGGGACTTTCGTTTGCGCTGTGTGTGCGGAAGAAAAGTCATGGTGCTCAGCCCGCTTAAATGGCCCGCGACTGCTAACGACGGTATTGCGTAGAGCAGTAGAGAAGGACCCAGAAATCGAGTTTGGTTGCGGTGAATGTTCGCCACCGAAGCGCCACAGCTGGCCCCGGTCCGAAAATCGAGTCAGTACAACGAGGTGGCGACGCCCGCAAGTGGAGGTTCCAGGTGGGGGAGTAGCTGGCAAGGAGGCCTGAGCGGCAGCGGTTTTCGCGCGGAGGGCGTGGCGTGGTCGAAGTTTTGCAGCGTGGACGGCACCCTACGGCACCGCTCTTTTTCCCGCCCATCCCACCGATCTCTCGAGGTCGCGCCCCCGTACCCACCCTTTCCCCTCCCCTCCTTCTTCACCACCCGTCACCCCCAAAAGTCTAGCCCAACATGGTTAATTTTACCATTGGTCAGTTCTCGCCTCTCTTTGTTGGGGTCCGCATCGCCCGGGGGTGGTGTTGGCTCCCGTGGTGGTGGGCTCCGCACCCGAGCGCGGCCACCCCGCCGTCGAGGGCGTGGCGAACGCATCTCAAGCGAGCAATTGCGAACTGCGAATCCCTCCAATGATGAGAGAGCTGACTCGACCTGATCTTTCTGGCTGCAGACGAAATCCGTGGGCTCATGGACAAGCCCACAAAGTGAGTTCCTGATTACAGATTAGGGTCTCGGGGTTCGTGGGAGTGGCGCGTACATGCATCCAACCCATGTGCGGCGGCAGGGCCCACATTCACGACGACGCCCTCGTGTCAGCCCGTCGCCGGCTGGCGGGCCTTCGCTGGCTCGCGCCTGACTCGGCTAGCGCCTTCGCGCGCGGGCGAGGCCACACGGTGTGGCAGTTGTTGTTATAGGTGTTGACGTGATCGAGTTGCTGATTATTCGTCCCTTTGGCTTCGTACGTGTGCGATGATCCTCTTGATCCTCACAGCATCCGTAACAGTGAGTTTCGGGCCGGTGACCTCCGGTCGTGTACGTGGCCACACAAGTGCTGATTTGACCTTCTCATCTTGCGTTTGCGTTGTTGTTCCTGCCTCGTAGTGTCCGTTATCGCCCACGGTGAGTTTAATACGATTCTCATCTTTGACCGTTGACTCGCTGGTTGCTCATGCCTGAGTTTCTCCCTACGCCCTCCTCCAGTCGATCACGGCAAGTCGACCCTCACCGACTCGCTGCTCGCCAAGGCCGGTATCATCGCCTCCGCCAAGGCCGGTGACCAGCGTGCGATGGACACCCGTCAGGACGAGCAGGACCGTGGTATCACCATCAAGTCGACCGCCATCACCATGTTCTTTGAGCTCCCCAAGGACGATGTGCCCGACATCAAGCAAAAGACCGATGGTGCGTCCGCGATTTCCTCGGTTCAGGAAGAGTTTCAGACAGTTTTTCACGGCAGTGAACTAAATGCTTTCTCTCGTCCCTCTTTTAGGTGGAGAGTTTTTGATCAACTTGATCGACTCCCCCGGTCACGTCGATTTCTCCTCCGAAGTCACCGCCGCCCTCCGTGTCACCGATGGTGCCCTCGTCGTTGTCGACACCATCGATGGTGTATGCGTCCAGACCGAGACCGTGCTCCGTCAAGCCCTCGGTGAGCGCATCAAGCCCGTCGTCGTCATCAACAAGGTCGACCGAGCCCTCCTCGAGTTGCAGATCAACAAGGAGGACCTTTACCAGACCTTTGCCCGCACGATCGAGTCCGTCAACGTCATCATCTCGACCTACAACGACCCCGCCCTCGGTGACTGCCAGGTCTACCCCGAGGCCGGTACGGTCGCGTTCGGTTCCGGTCTCCACGGCTGGGCCTTCACGCTCCGTCAGTTCGCGACCCGCTACGCCAAGAAGTTCGGTGTCTCCAAAGACAAGCTCATGCCCAAGCTCTGGGGCGACAACTACTTCAACCCCAAGACGAAGAAGTGGTCGACCAAGGCCCAGGACGCCGATGGCAAACCCCTCGAGCGTGGTTTCAACATGTTCGTCCTCGACCCCATCTTCAAGATCTTTGATGCCGTCATGAACTTCAAGAAGGACCAGATCCCCACCCTCCTCGAGAAGCTCGAGATCCCCCTCACCTCGGACGAGAAGGACCTCGAAGGCAAAGCCCTCCTCAAGGTCATCATGCGCAAGTTCTTGCCCGCCGGTGATTCGCTCTTGGAGATGATTGTCATCCACTTGCCCTCGCCCGTAACGGCCCAGCGCTACCGTGTCGAGACCCTCTACGAGGGCCCCATGGACGACGAGTCCGCTGTCGGTATCCGTGACTGCGACAAGGCCGGTCCCCTCATGCTTTACGTCTCCAAGATGGTGCCCACCTCCGACAAGGGTCGTTTCTACGCCTTCGGCCGTGTCTTCTCTGGAACGGTCCGTGCCGGCCCCAAGATCCGCATCCAGGGCCCCAACTACGTGCCCGGCAAGAAGGACGATCTCTTCGTCAAGTCGATCCAGCGCACCGTCTTGATGATGGGACGCAGCGTCGACCCCCTCGAGGACTGCCCCGCAGGTAACATCGTTGGTCTCGTCGGTGTCGACCAGTTCTTGCTCAAGTCGGGAACGCTCACCACCTCCGAGACGGCGCACAACCTCAAGGTCATGAAGTTCTCCGTTTCGCCCGTCGTGCAAGTCGCCGTCGAGGTCAAGAACGCCAACGACTTGCCCAAGCTCGTCGAAGGTCTTAAGCGTCTGTCCAAGTCGGACCCGTGCGTCCAGACCTGGATCTCCGAAACCGGTGAACACATTGTCGCCGGTGCCGGTGAGTTGCATCTCGAAATCTGCTTGAAGGATCTCGTCGAGGACCACGCCGGTGTGCCCCTCAAGATCTCGGACCCCGTCGTTGGTTACCGTGAAACTATCCAGGCCACGTCGTCGATGACGGCGCTGTCCAAGTCGCAGAACAAGCACAACCGTATCTGGATGACCGCGCAGCCGCTCGACGAGGAGGTCGCCAAGGCTGTCGAGGACGGCAAGATCGGCCCCCGCGATGATTTCAAGCTCCGCGCGCGTTGCCTCGCCGACGAGTACGGATGGGACGTCACCGACGCTCGTAAGATTTGGTGCTTTGGTCCCGACGGACAGGGCCCTAACTTCCTCGTCGACACGACCAAGGCTGTTCAGTACCTCAGCGAAATCAAGGATTCGTGCGTGGCCGCGTTCCAGTGGGCGTCCAAGGAAGGACCCATGGCCGAGGAGATCATGCGTTCGACCCGATACAACATCATGGATGTTACGCTCCACACCGATGCCATTCACCGAGGTGGTGGACAGATCATCCCCACGTGCCGACGAGTAGTCTACGCCTCGGCCTTGCTCGCCGACCCCGGATTGCAGGAGCCCGTGTACATGATCGAGGTGCAGTGCCCCGAGACCGCCCTCGGTGGTATCTACTCGACCCTCAACAGGAAGCGTGGTCACGTCTTCTCCGAGGAGCAGCGAGTCGGCACGCCCATGTACACCGTCAAGGCGTACTTGCCCGTCAACGAGTCGTTCGGTTTCACCGGCGAGTTGCGCCAGGCCACTGCCGGCCAGGCCTTCCCCCAGATGGTGTTCGATCACTGGCAAACCATGCCCGGCAAGTCGACAGAGAAGGGTGGCAAGGTTGAGAGCTTGGTCTTGGAGATCCGAAAGAGGAAGGGTCTCAAGTTGGAGATTCCTACGCTCGACCAATTCTACGATGTACGTTTGCATTCTCTAACCCTGCCTACCTTTTTCCCTGCTGATCATCTTCACCACTTTGCTTCTCACAGAAACTATAAACGTTTTTTTGCAGCGTGTCGCGAATGGGACGATAGTAGCAGGTCATCTTCACTTTTACTCTTTTTGATTGGCAATGTCAAATCATGTTCTTCAGGCCCTCAGTCCCGTCCTCACCGCATTCCGAGAGAGAGTCGAAAGCAGGCTCGAGAGCCAGCCAAGTACGCGAAGCAACTGTACTTCGGATATCGTCAGGGTATACTTCAGATATCTTCAGGCTAGTGCTACACCAGTGCATGAATACAGCTCCTCTTGTTAATCCCAGTGACTTGGCCATCCAATGAGACAAACTGTCACGCCGCGCCGCAAGCCTCCTGACCGTCGACTAGCCTTCAAACCTTGCCTCCTGTTTCACCGTTTGCGGCGGGTGCGTAACGTGGACGGGGGTCCGTGTCCGATCATCATCTCCTTCTTTTTTACTCTCGCCTCTGTACACCTCCCCATCCTTTACACCTCTTGCATCTCATCTGTTTGACATCTCGAAGAGAGCGACCTGGCACGCGGGAAGACTTTGGATCGTATTCCCCGGATTGGGGCGCGTTCGCTCGATTAGGCGCGACTTGCACGGCTAACTTAAGGGAACACGTATCGACCCCAAATGGACCGCTCGGGCGCTCCGTCTGGCTTGCCTTTGGCTCCACCCGTCATACCCGCTGGCGAGGCCGAGCAAGACCGAGCAGCAAGTAGAGGAGTCGCTGCACAACCACCAACAACTGCTACACCTACGGCTCAAGACCCTGTAGCACAGGCCCAAGGCTCCGACCTCGAGCAACTCGCCGCCGTCGCGAGTCGTGCGACCGCCGCCCCACCGCCCTTATTAGCAGCCGAGGTCCGAGCCCATCGGCGCCTGCGATCGCGACGGCAAGAATCGCTGCAGCTCGCCGGACGAACGAGTGCGATCGACTGGTCCAAAATCATCATGGCCAGTACTGGAGCTGAAGATGGTGGTGTTGGTGGAGCAAATCTGCCCGATGAGAATGACTTTGATCAACTGTCGAGGTACGTCCGGTCGTTTCGAGGTCGGGGTCCTCCGAAACGAAGACAAGCGACGGTGGCCCCGGCGACTTGGGAGGTTCGCAATCCCGGGTCCAGCTTCCGCGATCTCAAGATGGGCTGACACTCCCCTCCTTGCGATGCGCATCGTTATTCAGGGATGAGATCCTGCAAGTCTTTCAAAGACAGTACTTGGAGATGGAGGACCTGCGCTCGCGCGTCAACAGCTTGGAGGACGATCAGGCCACACTCGTGAATGAGAACGGCGACGTCTTGAAGCAGCTCGACAATGTCCGGGCGACCAATTCCGACTTGTTGGCCGAGCAGGCGAGGATGTGAGTATTGGAACTTTTCTCTCGTGAGTCGTGGTGTTCGCGGGCTGGTGTGCTGACTCTGGATGATGTGTAATTTCGACACGACAGGGAGGAAGAGCTCGCGGGTAGGATCGAGGTATTGGACAAGCTACGGGCCTCTGTCAGAGAATTGGAACGAGAAAAGAGGGATGCTTTAAAACGGTATCGAGAGCAGGTACGTGCGAACGGAAAATTGCATTGCAACCCGGCGACTCCACGAGCTTCGGCGATCTAACACTTCCGCTCCCGTCCTCCTTGCACAGGCCGACTCTTTCGATTCTGAGCGCCAGTCTTGGTACGACCAGGAAGCGCACTACAAGGGACGGCTCGCCAACCTCGCCACTGTTGGTGCTCGTCGTACACCCCGTTCCTCGCTTGGACCCGAAGCATCTTTGGCTCCCTCGCCGAAGAAGTCTGACGAAGACAAGCAATCGACCCTTTCCCCCGAAGACGACCTCCCGGCGTCCAAGGAAGGCAAGACGTCCGATGGCGAGTCGTCCAATTCGTCCATTCCAAATAGGAAGAAAGTCTCTGCACCTTCGACTGGACCGACGGCGAACGAATTGGCGCTGCAAGAGCAATTGACGACTCTCTCGACCGCACACGAATCCCTCACGGTCACGCTGCGCACTGTTCAACATGAATTGACCGATCTGAAACGCGTCTACCAGGATTTGCAAGAGGAGAACGAGTCGTATGAGATCCTCTTGGGAGAAAAGACGTTGAATGGCGAGGTGCGAGATACGGACCTGTTCAAGCGCAGCTTCCAATGGGAAGAGGCGGAAGGGTCGACACCCCTCAGCGAAGGACTTGGATTCTTGGGCGGCTTGGAAAGCGTGGGAGAGGAAGAAGACTTTTCGGATGACGATGAAGAGGATAGTGAAGAGCGCGAACTCGATGATGACGAGGTCGAACTCGCATTACTCGAGGCGCAAGGCACCGGCTCGCCGAATTCGGGCGCCGTGCAGACCAAAGGAGGTTCTCGCAGACGGGCCAAGAAGCGACCTAGCTTTGAGAGCGGCGCGGGTGGTGGATTGGACCTGGCTGCCGAGTTGGAGATGGCGCAGGCCGTGGATCACGAAGAGGAGGAACGAAAAGCGGCCAAGTTGGAGAGACGACGAGCTTCCGAGGCCAGAAAGGCGACTGCAGTGGCGCAAAAACGCAAGGACTCGATGCCGTCGATGCCCCAATCAGTTGAAGGTAGGTTCGATCTCTTTCAATGTGCTCGCTTGACGATCCCGAGCTGACCGCTATTTTCTCACTGCGCTTTCCGTTCACAGAACTGCAGAAGGAGCTCAAGGCGTTACACGAGGCCAACCGGGCGCTGACTCTATACGTGACCAAGATCGTGGAGCGAGTATGCAGTCAAGAAGGATTCGAAAAGGTATTGGCCGTCGACTACCGGAACGCTACGCCGAAGGCCGCTGCTCCGGCTTTCGTCGCTGCCGAGGAAGCGCCCGCATCGAAGAGCCAGCAGCCAACCGACGACCAAGAAGTGATCAAGTTCAGGCCGTCTGCGGCCTCGAGGACTTCAGCGTCACTACAAAGCCCGAACGCATCTAGTACTCTTTCGCCTACGTCCGCGCAGAAGAAAGGTTGGGGTGATACCCTGTCGGCCGTCCTACCGTTCACCCTCACGCGCACCCCTCAAGTCGCCTCTGCCGTGCCGACAGGTATGAAGCCATTGCGACTGACGTCGGATGGGTCCGCCAGAAAGGTCGCAATTTCGGATGAGATCGAAGATGAAGATGATATCCGTGAACGAGAACTGCTACGACAAGAAATGGCCCGCATCGGCATTTCCTCAACTGCAGCGAGTGATCCGACCTCAGCCCTGCCCACGGCCTCGACGGGAGGCAACAACTGGATTGGTAAAAAGTCGAGTAGTAGCGACCGCAGCAGCTCAACTAGGCACAGTGTCGGATCCGCCAGTTCCTCAAATCCGGGCGACAGCTCTTTGAGCGGCTCGACGCGAACGACCCAGACGTCACCACCGACTCCCCAGGAGATTGATGCCGAGGTACAGGAGGTACTTCAGCTTCGCGTGGTCAAGGAGAAGCAGGCCAAGGAAGCGCTCGAGCAGGGTAAGGCCTCTGGGTTCACGGAGCCACGTCGCTTATCACGACCATCCTCCTTGATGCGTCATCCCAGTCGGTCAAGTGTTTCTTACATCACGGGCTCGGCGACTCCCATCGGCATCGGACTTGGCATCGATGCAGGGCTAGCCGCACCGAACAAGAGTCCCGGCCTCGCTGGCGCCACAAGTCACAAGCCGGGAGATACATCGGCGGTCAACTCACCTGTTTCTGTGGCCGAAGTAGACTCGGCAGCTCCTTGGGGTAGCAAGGCACTTCGACGGCTGTCCATGGGATGGACCGCACCGGCTCCGACCTCTTGAGGCTCCCTGGCAAGGTTGCGAGACGTCCGGCCCTGCAGGGCACTCGCAGCACCGACTACCTGGGCTATTCCAATCTTAACATCTAGGTTCCCTACGTTTCGCCCCTTGTCGTTTGGATCGTACTATTCTGCATACCATTCCCTCGCATTCAGTTCAATTGCAACATGCATTCGTCTCCCAAGCGCAGCTCGCGAGTGACCGCTGGACCTGGCCGAGAGCTTCTCGGATCAGATCTCGGCACTGGCCTCGGCAGCCTGTAAGGTATGCGCCTCTGATGTGCATAAAATACAATCTGTCATTCTTGACCGCTAGGCTAAAAGCAAATCGTAACTAGAACTCGACAGTTCTAGCTACTCAGAGGCTACTTATGGGGCTGTTTCTGTAAGGCATCCGTTATCATCGTCGACTTCCATCTAGCTTTTTCGTAGGCCAATCAGGGGGAACAGGAATTGGGGGCAATATGATGAACAGTTTCTACAAAAAAACAAAAAAAAAGTGTATTATCTTCAATCTTCCTTTCATTCGTCTCTGGGAGGGAGCAACCGTGGGTGGGGGGACTTGAACTTGGATGTATCGGGTTGGTCTGTTCTGCTAGTTACAACGCATCGAGCGGCGGTTGTGGTCATCATCGTGCATACTGGGCAGCATCTCCTTTAGTTCCGTAGGGGGTTTTCTCGTCTTGCAAATTAGCGATGAGTTTCATACAAAAAAAACCCTTACACAGCCCTGGCGAGCTCCCAGTTCCAACCGGACTTCACTTGGTTCCTTCTAGGCCAGGGCATTCGTTGACGTGATTCACACGTTAAAGTGGTAATGATCGCTGGTGTTTCACACTTGAGATTGCAAACTTGACGAGGAGTTCGGGACCGGCCAGCACCGCCTTCCGGTGCCCTGCCAATCTGCCAAGCGCCAAGCGCTCGCGACGCTGTCTCATCTTGGAAGCGTCATCCGCCGACCTGATTTCCTTGGTCGCGAATGCAGGAACAAGGTACGTATCCCATAGGTGACTGCTACGGTAAATACGGTCCGTTTCTACTACCCATACCATTGACAAGCGCACTCGGTGCATAGTCTGCTTCGGTCGTCGGCTTTCGTAACCGTTATTAGAAAATCCCATTAGGAAAAGTGCGCGCACACTCGGCGGGCCTCCGAGCTATAACCCTTATGCAAGCGTGAGCCCACTTTGTGATTTCGTTCCCGGTGGTGGAGGTTAATATAAAGCTTTATTACCCCCGTCGGCTTTGGGGCCTCGCGAACGCTCGCCCGCATCCCTGAGGCTATCTCGACGATCTTCCCCTTCTGCTGCGACTACTTTGCATTCCAAGACTTGGCGAGAGAGCGAGAATTCGAAGAAGTTCATCTAGAAATCTGGGGGGCCATCTTTAGTGGAGAAGAAGGTTCTGACGACACTGCACAGGATCCTCATCGGAATGGAGGATACGACAGGAGATGAGATGAGATGAGACGAGATGAGATGACGGGAAAAGCCTGACCTACGAAGCTTACGAAGACTAAACAGGGTTTCGCGGTGCACGGCGGAGGCGCTCTAAACTTCCTGACCCGAGTGTCACTCGGAATACTGGTTGCGGTGATCTCGATCAGTAATTCCGGTCCGGAGGCGGAGATGCGCAGCTCTGACATAGGAGGCCTTGGAATACTCCGCGGGCGCGCATGCGCACAGAGACAGATCAAGCGCAGAGCACAGAGCAAGCGTGGAGGAACTGTTAGTGAAGGGCTCCCTTTCTGACCGGAGTCGCGGGACGGTCCCTTTTCACCCCGAGCAGCCCCCCTCCGAGTGCTCTCGGACTTACACCCTAGCTGCTTCGGCACCTAATCCACCCGGTGAACCTAGTAGACCATGATCAGCAAAGCCACATTGGGCGGTTAGTGTGAGCCTCGCCAGATTACATATATTACATATAACCGGGAGCAGCGGAAGAACAAAGCCCTTCGATTTTCTGGTGCCGGGCGCGTGGGCAACAAGCGTCATCGCGTCATCGCCGCGGGTGAGGCCCCTTTGTAGGGCGGGCAAACCGAGGGAGAGGGTATCGGTGCGTGGACAATTGGGCAAATAATAGAAACGCACCATGGTTGTTGGTTGTGCTGCGTCGGAGACCGCCGCCACAGGCGTGCGCGCAAGCTGGCGATCATAAATTGCCTTCTTTCCTAAACCGTGCATGCCCTGAATTCGCGACGAATCTAGCGGTTCTGTGCGACCTTCTCGGGATCCGGACTAGGACCCACCCAGGTGAGGCAAACGGCGTTGGCCCAGGTTCAATTACTGACTCAAAATTTTGGGAACACAAGAGGTAGACCTTTTCATATTGAGACACGGTACATATCATTACAGTGCCTGGCGTGACACCCAAGCTCTGGAACAGGCAGTTCTCGACGGTAGCAGTGATCAGCAGGTCCAGGGTGAGCCAATCCTGCCTGCGGCGCTCGCGCGCTGGGCCGCCGGCGCAGCCTGGCGCACTCCAGGAGGCTGGTGGCCCTGACTGATTGATCGCGTGGGAATCTCATGGCTTTGACCGCTTTCGGCCGCTCTCGGCGAAACTCAACGACAAGCTGATGGCTGCAGGTGAAGCCAGCCTGAGACCGCGCCGCTGCTATTGCGGTGCCAACGTGTGGAGAAACCTCTTAAAGTTGCGCCCGAGCTGACCTCAAAGGTACCGACTTCGGTGGCCCTACATTGCCTTTAGGTCCCGAGTGGCAACCGAAACCGGCGGGCCGGACGATCTTCGGCCTGCGAGTCGTCGGGAGATTCCCCCCTCTACCACTCGCCCACCCGTTGTCCTTTCGCTCTCCTCCCCATCACTTGATCAGCTCCTCTTCATCCCTCTTTCTCCGTCCCCTCCCAACCGCGAGCGAACGACCTCGAACCGAGCTGCTGGCCATCTCTAGTTCAAGTCCGACAGATTCCTGCTCCGAGATTCGCTCCGAGATCTGACCCCTCCCCGAGATTCCCTGGTGACGTCTCGAAAAGTACCTACCGCGGCTGGCCCATACACACCGCATCGCATACCTCGACTCTTAATCTCGCACAAGCATATCCATTACCCAGCAAATATCAAAATGTCTAGCTCTTACCTTGTCGCTGTTAGCCTTTTGGCGATGGCATCCTCGACCGTCGCTCACATGAGCATCTGGACGACCTCCATGTCAGTCCGCCGCGCCCGCCAGCTTGGGATCGAGTCAACGGAGTTCATTTCCGGACTTGCGCTGCAAAGCTGACACTCTCCCATCTCTTCACTTTCTCCCCAGGTACGGTGTCGGATGGCACGGAACTGGTACCCCGATCAACACGCAAGAAGGAGGTTACTGTGAGTCTACTGCTGTTGCGGTTAAATTCTCATCCGGATACAGGGCGCGGGCTGATTTTTCCCGCCGAACTGGATACTCTTTCGCAGTCTCCTACGACAGTCAGTCCCAGAAGCATCAATTATAGAGGTGAAAAACATGTGCATTATGACATTGTGCTGATGACCTCTACTCCCACCTCGCCCATCGCTGCTATAGCCGTAGACCCCGTCGCTCCTCTCGGCCCGAACTGGACCAACCAAGACGACTGGTGGTTCCGGTGAGCCCCTTCGCCGCGGCCGCGAATAGAGGCCAGAAAAGTAGCTAAACATTGGCTTTCCTGTTGCAGTGGACCTGCTGCGCGTGCTCTGAAACCCTCCCCCGGCTCTGTCGAGAAGTTGCCTGCCGGCGGACAATGGACCGTTCAGGTATGTAACCCTTCCTTTTCGTCCCTGTCACCATACCGCCGCCGCTGACTTCTGCGTGTCCTGCAACACAGATTGCTTGCCATATCGCATGGACATCGTACGGTGTTTCTACTACCACTCCTGGCTCTCTTCTCGATGCCTGTCCCGGGAACCCCGGTGCCTACCACTCTGGTGATCCCGCCGCCACCGACATCGACCGCAACCTCCTGAGTGGGTGCGCTCTCGGTATCGCCGACGTCGACGACATCTCCAAGGTTACCATCGACAACCTGGCCATCTTCTCCGTCAAGCACTCTTGCGTCGCCAAGAAGTTCAACACCTTTGACATCCCCGCGGCCATGCCGGCTTGCACGGGCAAGAAGTGCATCTGCGGTTGGTTCTGGCTCGCTAACAATGGTACCGGCAACTTCTACATGACCGCTTTCGACTGCGCCGTCACTGGTGCCAAGGCGGACGCTTTGCCCATCGCTGCGCCCAAGGACCCCGTATGGTGCGCCAAGACAGACACGGCTTGCATGGCCGCTCGTCCAGGTGGAGCCAAGCGCCCCCTCTACGCTTACAACTCGCCTTCCAACATTGTGTGGAACGGCAACGACGACCGACCGGGCTACCACGCCAACTGGGGTTTCCCCAACGATGGCGCGCAGAACGACATTTTCGTCAACGCGTCGTCGGTTAAGTCGACCTCTGCTGGTGCCTCCCCCACTCCTGCTTCTCAAGCATCCCCGACGACCGCCGCAGCGAGTCCGGCTTCCCCCGCCTCCTCCACGTCTGCGTCTCCCGCCCCTACGAACTGCGCACCGTCTGGCTGGTCTAGTAAGGGCTTGGGCAATGATGGCTACGACTGCGACTCGACCGGTGCCACGATCCCCTACGTTGCTGAGGACTTGATGGACTCGAACGGAAAGTGGCAATACTATGGTGTCAAGTACGGATGGCAGCCTGTGAGTGGTGAAACCTGCTTTGGCGCTGTGATACGCACTCTGCGGTTTGTTCTGACGTTGCCCAAATGTAACTCATTTGCAGTCCGAGCCGTGGAACATCCCGAGCGCCAAATGGGTCCCTCCCACGCAGTGGACCGTCACTGAAGCTCTCAAGGCGAAATGGTGGTCTCCCGCTTCGTCTTGGCTGTACCCTTCGGACTGGGACATGAGCAAGCTCCTGCCCATGTGGGAAAAGCTCGACTCGAACTACCTCGACCCTTACGGGGCGGGCGCCACACCTTCCCCTGCGGCTTCACCTACGACCAAGTCCAAGACGACGACCACGTCCAAGACCACTAAGACGTCAACGACCACCTCTTCCACCACCACTGCCAAGGCCTACCAGAGTTCGTCAACGGGTGCGGTGGCCGTCGGTGCTACGACGACAACGACGACAACAACGACAACGACGACGACAACGACGACGTCGTCTGCGGCTCCTGTCCAGACCACCGCCGCCGCCGCCGTCAACCTCGCGCTGCAAGCGACGGCTACCGGTTCGTCGTACCGCTCCGGATCCGAATACAGCAAGCTTATCGACGGCAACACCCAAGGTCTGAACGACAAGGGTACGGGCAGCGCTCGAGTCGAATGGATCTCGCGCAGCCAAACCGTTGGCGCATGGGTTCGTCTTACCTGGAAATCGACGCAAACCTTCAACCAGGTTGTGCTCTACGATCGACCGCTCTCGTCCGAACAGATCACCGCCGGTGTCCTCATCTTCGATGGCAACCTCCAAGTCCCCGTTGGGTCGCTGAATAACGATGGTGCCGCGACGGCGATCAACTTCACGCCCATCCAGTCCAAGACGGTCACCTTCTTCGTCATCGGCACCAACACCGCCGCTTCGGCCGTCGGTCTCTCGGAGCTGCAAGTATTCAACCAAGCCAGCACCGCCAGTTCGACTCGCGTCATGACCCCTCAGAAGCGTGACGTCGTCAACGACTTCATGGACGCGTTCAACGAACCTGCTCATCCCGCGGGCACCCGTCACCCTCGGGACTTCAAGTCAGCCTCGATCGCCCAGCGAAGCCCCTCTCCCCTCGTCGCCGAGGAGGACCCTCTGGCGAAGCGATGCGGAGGGATGGATCACTCGTGCGAGTTGACGGCCGAGAAGTTGTTTGCTTGAGTTGTACTCATTGTGAGGTGTCTCGTCTCCCACATAACCAACCCTTGTATCATAGCTTCTCCTGGTCTTGTTCTTGTGGCCTTTTGACGACGACGACGCGGGGCCATTTGTTCCTCGCCCGCCAATAGCATGTTTCTCCTTTTTAAAAATGTCGGTGTCAAGCGCCTTCGTCATATATTTTGTGCATAATGCAGTGTTGCAAAGCCCTTCCTTGCCTCGTCTCCTTCATTCAGAGAGTGCCTCGCCAGCAGTCAAGTGAGACTAAAAAAACTACACGGAGAAAGGCAACGCCTTGAAAACATTGAACCCGTCCAACGCAGTACTGATGACGACTCCAGGGATCTGGGGATGCCAATGCACCTCCTTGATATCCCTCTGTCCCTGATGCACGAACAACAACTGATCAGGGACGTCCTTCAACTCGGCCCTGGCGCCGACTTTTTCGTCCGCGTCTTCCTCGACGGAAAGATCCCATAATGTGACTTGGTCGTCGGCGCCACTGGCGGCGAAGCATGAATCTTCCGTAGGGTGCCATTCGATCGAGGTGATGGGTGCGTTGTGCCATTTGAAGTCTGCGACGGGGGTGGGAGCAGGCGAGGCCTTGCCCTTGAGATTCCGTAAATCCCACACCTTGATTCTACCTTCGTCCCCACCGGAAGCGAGCAAGTAGTTGGTCGTCAAGTTCCAACTGATGACGTTGACGTCACTTTCGTGGGCGTCAGAGATGCCTGTGACGTTGCGTCGATCTTTGGTTCGGATGTCCCATACTCGAACGGATTTGTCGGCCGAGCAAGAGGCGAAAACGGTCGGTTCCGAAGGGGACCATTGGATGTCCTCGACCGAGTCGGTGTGGGATGCAAAGGGCTTGGGAGAGGGCGTGAAGGAAGCGGGACCCATCGTCGTCAGGTAGATCTTGGAGTGAATGTCTCCAGAGAGCAAACGGGCCGAGGACGAGGAACCGATAGGGTTTCCCCAAGCGAGAGCGTAGCCTTCGGCACGCCCATGGGAGTCGATGGTGTAGACGGGGAGCTTGGACAGAGGGGCCGAAGATGTTCCGGGGTGGAGAAGCGAGTCGAGGTGCGGCGCGACATCGAAGATGTGAACTTTGCCCGTCTCGGAGAAGGTCGCGACGTGGTAGGGCGCCGGAGGTGCTGGTGGACCGGCGGACAAGGGGCCAGGGAGGATACGAGCTCGGATACGATTGACGCAGCCTTGGTGAGGGATGGCCTTGAAGGTGAGAATGGGATCGTCGTCGGTCTCGTCGTCGTCGTCTTCCTCTTCGTCGTCAGAGTCTGCATAGAAAGGTGGGTCAGCCTCGCAAAGATTGATGATGCCACGTTCTGAGACTGACCAAGTTCATCTTTCCTCGTGCGTCCCAGCCCTTCCCAGTGCATGACTGTGATCTCGTTCGCGGTCCTATCCTGGGCCTGAGTTCCCGAGACGATGGAGCAGCTGGCCGGGTATCCTCTCCGCTGTTCCCCCAGGTCGTCGCGAAGGATGTCAAAGCTCAGACTGGGCCATGTCGGTACGAACGAATGCAGCAAAGGGTAGGTCGACAGGTCGGGTTGGAGGAACTCGCCTTCCTCGAGCTTGCCTCCTGGCAAATACGCCTCGGGACTAGGGGCTCGCTTCGATGAGACCGCTCTGTCGGCGTTGTGCTCGTCCTCGTTCGCTTCGACCATCTCCTGATCGGCTTCCCCGTCCTCTTCCTCATCATCGGTCTTGTCGTTCGCATCGATGACCTCGCCAGCTTCCTCGTCTTGCTCAATCTCATCGTCCCATTGATCCTCGAACTCGCCCATACCTTCGTCATCGTGCTCGGTCGTCGCTCGGTTGGCTGAAGAGGGGGCTTGCGAAGTCTTGGCCTTGGATTGACCCGTGGGTGAAGAAGCTCGCTTTCCCATGTTGAGCTGAGTTCGTGACTCTTGACTGCGGTGATGGTGTGCACAGTTGCGGAGCTGAGGCCGGCGGAGGCAGGCCGCGCATGACGCCGAGCAATTGCGAAAGTCGTCGCTGCGAAGCCCCCCCCCCTCTTCCGCGCACGGACCTCCACTTGGGATCGAGCCAGGCCCCGCGTCGCGCAGCAGTTTCCCGCCGGGGCTCTTGGCAGCATTACCATGCGGTCTATGATGCGTTTGTGCAAACTGCAAATTCACTCCACTACGAACGACCTCAAGCGTTTTTAATCACACTCAACTTCATCTGCTCCACGACTTTCTTCTTCCTCATCTCGGCCGTGACACTATCCTCATCCTTCCTAGGACTGCACAAAGCCTCCTTGACCAAATCGAGCCACGCCGCATGCGGTTCACTCGTCGTCATCGTCGGGTTCTTCATCTTGGCGAGGAAGAACGAGTTCCATTGTTGGCGTAGGAGACGCATGGCGATCGAGGTTTTCGGCTCGAGGCGGATGCGGATCTTGCGGTCGATCGAGAGCGAGTGCGCGGCGAGCTGAGGTTTCCACCAAGTTCAAGACTCAGTTTCAAGACACGAATCTCGGATCGCCCATTTCACTTACTTGAGTATCTGCGTTTCCGCACAGCAGGTAGACGGCTCGCTCGTCGACAGTTCCCGACTCCCAGACGTCTGCGCACCTCATCACCAACAACATTTAGTAACCCGAGTAATCAATTAAGCCCGCTTTCCCGTTCCCTCCACTCACATAGTTTATGCGTATGCATCGCCGTAAAGAACGCCACAAACTTACTCCCCCCGAAATCGACCCTTCGTCCCGGCGCGAAATTGACCGAGCTAGGATGAATCGCCGCCGGTGTATTCTTCGCCAAGGTCTTCATCTGCCCCGATTGAGGATCAATGACCAGTAATTTGGGATACATCGATGCGGCGAGACAGGCCATCACTGCTTTGGGGTCTCTGGAATGGGTGTCGAGTTCGTTGGGTACACGTACGAATCGTGTGCGTGATTTACCGTAACGAGTTGAGACGAGATCGCGCTTTTCGGCTTCCGAGATGTCTATGAAGCCCGCGTCGACGAGGAAGGAGAAGTATTGCTGGCGTCCTTGTTCGATCTCTTGCAGATTCTGTTGACTCAGGAAATTTTTCTGTGTGGAACAAGCCAATACGCATCATCAGTCTGAATACCACGAGCAATCCAATCGAGGAATTAACTCACCCTTGTAAACTCCCTCTCGTACCCATTGCCCGACGCCTCCCTCCACGAACAATAAGCGTTATACAGTGTCAAAAAATCGCTATTCTCCACCTTGAACCCACGCTTAACCGCATCCGCCTCCGCCTCCCTCCCAAACGGTGTCATCCAAGGGGATTTTGCATTCAATGCCGCCGCAATCGTCAACGCCGCATCGAGGCAATTGAAGATGGTCGCCATGATCAGGAACTTTCCTAGATGGACGTCCATGGGTAGTTTGGCGAGATGCCGACCAAGAGGGGTGATTTCTTCGGTACTTGTGAGTGCTTTGGCTTCGATGAGGGAGAAGACGGCGCGTTGGATGTTGACGAGGAGAGGAGGATCGAGAGCGCGTAGGAGGACGTCTTCGATCGAGGCGTTGCCGATCTTCATGATTTTGATGCGCAGGGCTAAGTCTTGTAAAGACAGGCGAAGCATCTCGGGTTGAGGATGTTCCGCCATCTGTGTGATCATTCATATGCTAGAGTCAGCCATCACCACCCACAGGCGCACCACACGTCCGCCGGTACTGACGATTGTATCATGCCTCTGCTTAGAGAACAAATGGAAGCAGATGCCCTCTTGCACACGACCCGCACGACCTCTTCGCTGCGCCGCGTTCGATTGCGCCACGAATGTCTCGACCAATCGACTGATCTGTCGTTTCTCATCGAAACGCATCTCGCGATGTTTGCCTGTATCGATCACGGCCGTGATATCGGGGATCGTGACACCCGTTTCGGCGATGTTTCTGTGGATCGCCAACGCAACTCGGTGAGTTCCCCCAATCACCATCGTCAGTACGTCACTGAATTCGCAAAGGACGCACGTAGAAATGACGATCTTCCGAATTCCCCTCCTCGGGACATTGAACACCAGACCTTGGTTGTCGTTCGAGATCGTCGAATGCAACGGCAAGATCAAGAACGAGTTCGTACCAAACTTGGGGTGACCTTCCAACATGTCCGTCAACCTCCTGATCGATTCGATACCGGGTAAGAAGATGAGGATCGCGTTCGAGAAGGGGATCAATTCACGTCTTTCGAAACAGAGTTGCTCCAATAACAAGGTGATGAGCCCGTAGTTGATGACGTGTTGGTCCATGCATTCTAGAGTCGTGCGTGATTGTTTGGAAAGCGTCGTGAGGGTCTTGATCAAGCCTCCAGCGGGGAGATCAGGTTCCTCGTCCTCATCAGGGGGTGCTTCATCGTCGGCGGACTTCCGAGGTCGACCACTTCCATTGTAGGATCGTTTGCTTCGCGCAACGTATTGCGAGTCCGTGGTGGGCGTGAGTCGGTATTGCGTCAATTCGATCACGTCCTCGAGGAAGTGAGGAGTAACGGGGAACGTGCGGCCTGGGACGGTGATGACGGGACAATCGCCCATGTAGGACGCGATCTTCTCGGCACTGCATGACAGAGTCAACAGGGGCGAGTCAGGTCTGGTGAGGCTGTGCGTCTAAGGAGGCATCCCACTCACTCGACTGTCGCAGACATGAGGATGACCTTGAGGTCCTTGCGCACCTCCAAGATCTCGCGCAAGACGATGAGCAAGAAATCACTGTCGATCGATCGCTCGTGAACCTCATCGATGATGATGTGGGTCAAGTCGGAAAGCGCTTCGCGACTTTCGAGCATGCGCAGAACGATTCCCTGTGATGCGATCCGGATCGGTCAGCGTCCGCACTACGGTTGTGCAAAACTCTGTTTTAAGTTTGAGCACGCACCGTTGTGGCATACACGATCCGACTCGACGCCGAGATGGCCGAATCCAAGCGGATCGAATAGCCGACCAAGGACGACCGTGATCCACAGGCACCGGAAGCTTCACCCAATTCGCTTGAGACGCGTTGAGCGAGTGAGATTGCCGAGATACGACGAGGCTGCGAGCAAGATTCGAGACCCACAAATCAGTGAGATGGACCATCACCACAGTGCACTCCGAACCGGCTCACCTCGGTACAGTAAACCTTGACATTCCTTCCTTTGCGCATATCATGCTCGACGATGAAGGAAGGCACCTGCGTCGATTTCCCACTGCAAGACAGTTTACCTGACGAGAATCAGCTCAACTGTCGCAAAGGCTCTCTTTTGAGAGTGTTCCGGACTCACCAACCCGTCTCACCGCACAAAACGACGCATTGGTTCTGCTCGATCGTGCTCATGATGAAAGAACGGTAGTTCGCGATGGGCAACTTGGCTCGTTGTTGCTGAGAAGTGAACCGATCTTGAGAGGGTCTCAGTGCCTCGACACTGAACGATGTCATCATCTGGACCCATCGATCGGTACTCACCAGCATCTCCTGATAGGCCGGCCAGTCTTGCCGTTGTGCGAAGTCCGCCTTAATCTTCTCCGACACCTCGGGCGGTGTGAACGACGCCGGAAGAATCTTGGCCTCGGGCGCAGCTGACGAAGGCATACGAGTAATCCTTGGGTCCTGTAAAGCATCGCAGTAAGAAGTCAGCCGTCTTGCTCTCCACACCTCATCAAAGCTCCGAAAACGAACCCTACTCGGCGGTTCCGCCATCCTCGGTTCCGCCAACCTTTTCCAAACCTTCAATCTCTCCCTGTACCTCGCCTCATCCTCCCCCTTCTTCTTCTCCGCCAACTCGTCCCACAAGTCCCTAAAAATTGCCGGTAATTGCTTATGCACATTCGTCGAATTGACTTCGAACAAAGCGACGGTCGCGATGTAATCGAAAGCTTGTTTATGATCATGACACGCGACGTCGTCCATCCTCCAAAGTTGTTTCCTCCCTGATCCATCACCCCATGCGATAGTAACCGAAGCACGACAGGCTCTTGTACCTCTTGAGATGACACGAAAGACGACTGTCGCGTATTTATCGATCTTGCGCACCGTTTCTTCGAGGTTCGTTTTGGGCGTCTTGCCGGAGAAATGTTTGGGAAGACCCATGTCGCGCACGTAGATCGTTTGACCGGTCTCTTCGGAGGTTTCTTCCGTGGGCATTTCGTCTAGGAGGTTACCGAACATGCCTCCTTCGTCGCCTTCTTCCACGCTCGGAGGATCAGCGGAGAGGGTCGGTCCAGCGACGGCCGCCTCGACCGATGGGGTCGACGTTTCAGGACCCTCAGACGTCGCCTCCTCCACGATCCCGCTACTCGTCTGAGGAGGCGTCGCCAAACTCGTTCCGTTCAACCGATCCGCCAAAACGGCCGCATCCAACTTCGTCCTCTCCTCCCGATAAATCAAATCGGCATCGACCCTCCTGAACGTGTAGTCCTCTTCAATCTCTCCGATCTTCTTGATCAATTCGGTGACTTTGTGTTCCCTCCATTCGTCCTCCCTTGTGGGGCCGGTTCTTCGTTTTATGGCGAGACGCTTGGAAACGCCTTGGGCTCGTTGGATCTCGGAGAGTTGGAGTTTGAGGCGCGCGTAACGAGTGTTGGCATCTTGGTCATCTTTCATATCGTCGAGGTCGGGTTCGCTCTTTTGATCTCCATCTTGTGCGTCGTCGTCATCGTCGTTGGTCTCGTAGGCTAGAATTCGAGCGCGAATGGAGGCATTGGCCCTCGCTTCGTCATCTTGGTTGGGAGTTACGGACCCGACGACGGAGGTGGAAGGGGTGGGTGAAGAAGATCGTGTGGGTCTCGGAGTTGATGATTCGAGTGAATCCGTTTTTGGAATTGTGGAATCCAGTGATGGCTCGGCAGGTGGGATGGTCGGTGCGATTGGTCCTTCGCATCCCAATTCTTCGGCATCACAATGGAGGAAGAGCTGTGGGACGACACACCCATTTTTCAAAGCATGAGTTTAAATGGACATCACTCTCGAGAACAGATGCCACGTACCCAATCAAGCGCATCTTCCAAATCGAGCGATTTGGCCTGGGTCAGACATTCCTCGATACGTTCGGTGCGGAAGCCGATCCCTTCGAGGACCCCCCACAGCGTCGCGATTTTGGTGATGACTTTATCCTCGGGCTCGTATAGGGGTTGTGGGGCCTCTTCAGCGGAGAGGCTCTGGCCTAGTTCGATGATTCGCCGTTGCTGGTGGGGTATCAAGTTCGAGGGGGGTCAGCTCGGCGTGTTTGGGACTTGTCCGATATGTGAGAATTGTCCTACCAGATCCTGGTCGGTCCAGAAGTAGGTAGGTAGTGATCTCGACAGTCGTCGTTCGTAGTCAATGACCTGCACGAGGGGCAAAGCTTGAGTTGACGCAGTCCGACACCGAAAGGAGGCCAAGTTTTCCGCGACTGAGAAGCTCACCTTGAGCACCCTAGCCACCTCCTTGTCAACTGTGGACCTGATCTTGTCCGCCAACCTGGACCATTCCAACTTTTCCATCTCTTCCGCATCCCACTCTGCCTCCTCAGTCGCCGCCGCCGCGCCGTCCGGCACCGTCGCTGTCTCCGTGGCCGTGCCGACCCCATTGAGCTGACTGGTCGAAGCGACTGCATTCGTCTGCACGGCTCCATTTTCGGGTGCGCTGCCCTCGGATGTTTCTTCCAGCTCGGGTTCCTTCTTCTTGGGTATGGACACGGTCGCGAAGCCTCGGTTCGAGATGGGTTTAGCCTTCTTCTTGTTGCCGGCGCCGCCCGATTTTTTGGGTGGCATCTTGGCGCCTTTGTCGTGGTTCACTCCTCTACACCACCCTCCCCTTCTGCTGGGTCGATCTTCCTCGCCGTTACCGTACGCTGTGCGCTGTGCGCTGTCCTGACTGGTTCACTCGCTCCGCAGGTTGGTCGAGGTCGTCAAAGAGGGTCGTCACGGTAAGGTGCACGAACTCGCCTTGTAGCTCAAAAAGAGGGTTTAGCAGTGATCGAGCGTGGAATAGTGCGTTGGCTCAGGATGTGCAAACCTGCGTAGATGTTGAGGAAGGTGATCGCGTGCCAGGGTATGAGAATGATAAGACTGAAGCTGGCCAACAGCCTCACGACTTGAAGCGACTCTGACGTCAAACCACTGCACTGGCGCACAAGTTGGTCGCCCGGAACGGCATGCGCGGAGATTTTACTGTACCATTTCGAAGCTTCAAGAATTTTAAAGTCGTTGAGAACCGTCTACCAAGCGAAATCTTGGCACATTTTCTTGATAGGGCGTGCACGGGCACTCCGCCGGGTGCTCCAGCGACGCGCTCGCTCCGGTTCGTTCGCCTCTCGAGTCGCGCTTCCCCGGTAGAGACAACAACGCCACGCCGTCCAGCTGCTGAACTGGGACGCCATCGCGAGTGGTAACGGCAGCGAGACTTGGACGAGCGGCCACCGGTCGATCGTGAGCACACAGTATGGCGCCGCGCAAGAACGACTCGACGAGCTGGAAGAGGGGCGCAAAGGAGTCGCTTTGGGTCAGTACCTACAAGCCTGTACTACAGAGAGCGAGCTCATGTTGTGCCAACATCCCCCTCTTTCACCTCACCGCAGACCATCCGGAAGCTGGACGGTCAGTGACACGACGCACGACGCACGACGCACTTTAACTCGAGGCAACTCTCCCCTACTTGGTCCTGCAGAGCCAACTCACCCCCCACCTCCACCTCCACGTCCTCTCCCACAGCCGAGCCCATCCTGCGCTACGACCTTCAATACCAAGTCCTCGACGAGCTATTCTCCGATCGCACCTTCCGCTTCACCGCGCCCGTCGACTCCAAGAACCCTCCCTCTTCCCCGACCTACCTCAACTTTGACCAGCTCTACCTCAAGGCGCTGCTCGGTTCGGGCAAGACGACCCTCAACCTGAGGAATAGGTTGATTGAGAACCCGACCGTAAGTTGGGGCCGTGTTGAGATATTTCATCTGCTCATGCGTTCTTTCTTCGCTTTACCGTCACCCAGTTCTCGGCCAATTTTTGCAAGGTAGATCCCGAGCGAGGAGAACGTGGAGTCAGTGCAGAGCTCACACCTCCAGCGTTCGCTACCTCTACAGCTCTGCTTCCTCATCAACATCGGTCGCATCAACACCACACTCGCCTGTCAGTATTACTGCGGTGCCCTACACTTCATCGTCACTGATGAAAAGCTGACCCCCAAACCCCCCCTTCACAGTCTACCCCAGCATGAAGACCGCGCTAAGGACCTACCACCCCGTACCCGCCCTCCAAACCGACGAAATGTCGCGCAACCAAATGCAAGACGCCCCCCGACTCAAATCCCTCCTCAAAGCCTGTTTCCTCGATTGGGAACTGACCCAACAACAACAACCCCAAACCCTGCATGAGCTGGCCCTCAAATCTGTCAGTCCCAAGAATCTCACAGACGCGGTCGTTCCGTATTGCTTCCTGATACTCGATGACGTGACACAGGCCGCTCTAGAACCTACCCAAGGCCCCCCTACGACGGTAGTGAACGCGCTCTTTGTCCTCTTCAACGAAGCGATCTGGGTCGCCGATCGTTACTTCCCCCCCGGGTTCGACCTGCTCGATCTCTTCTATCCCGCCGATTCACCCTCCCTCCCCCGCGCTCAATCCTTCCTCTCCATCCTCCATCATATCCTCGAGAACAAAAACTTCATCCAGGATTTTTCCCCATCCCTCGATAAAGACGCCCCCATCATCGAATTGGCGCCTCCTTTACAATTGAGCAAGGAATCGTCGGAGGAGAAGGAGAACGTTGATACGCAGGACGAGATGGATTTCATTCAAGAGATGCAACAGATTAGGGAAGGCGTCGTCAAACTTGTGCCGGCTATTCAGAAGAAGGATGAAGAGATGAGGTTGGCGATTCAGAGACGATTGGAGAAGGAGGCGGCGGCGGCGGAGATGGAGGCGAATAATGTTAATGCTGGAACGGGGGCGGGTGGAGGAGGGGGGGAAGGTGGAGTTGGAGGCGGAGGAACGGGGGGTGGGGCTGGTATTAAGAAGAGGAAGAGGAAGGAAGGGGATATGAGCAGGAGCTGGGCGAGGTTCTCGAGGGATAATGCGTTGGCGGAGAAAGGGGTCATCGAGGTGTTGCCGCTCGAATGGGAAAAGGAAGATTACTCAATCGAGGTCCCCTCGAACGAGTCCGGGCTGCCTGGTGAGTTGGGCAGAACTCCAATCACAGCGGTGTGCTGGGATAACTGATTGCGAGTGACGACTTTTCAGATGCATGGAACAAGGTGTGTCGCGACATGCTCGATAACCGGGATCCGGACTACGACTCGGAAGATGAAGAAACCTGGTCGTACGACCTCCTTCGTAAGTCATTGGAGCCTATCAAAACACACATCCACGCACCCCTCTAAGCCTTCCGTCCCCGCGGCTAAATTTCTCCTCCCTACTCTCACCACAGTCCGTCGTCGCTACCTCACCTTTCCCCACCCACTCACCGGTATCCGAGCCCCCGTTCAAACCTTCCCCGAATTCGAGGAGTGGAAACGCCGTGGAGAGGCCGGTCAGAACGGCTTTTTGGAAGGGGATGATAATGAGGATGAGGAAGTGGGTGGGGAAGGTGGGGACGATGGGCTGGAGGGAGGTGGGGACGAGGATGAATGATTGAGTTAAGATAGGAATGTGGTGCAGGAACCCTGGAGGAATCTGTTGTAACATGGAAAGTAGTGTAGAATTTGCATCAAGAGCAAGATGTTTATAACAATGGCAAAGCTGCAGCACAGATAAGTGTATAATGGGAGTGTCCCTTTTCTTCACTCCTAGCACTCCGAGCGCAGCAGCTCTCAAAAATCACCGAGCGGCGGAACAATAAGGTCCACTATGGCCCGTCGGCCCGAGTTCTCGCGCGCCTTACCTCACCGGGGCTTCAAATGAGGTCGAACGGTGGCAAGCTGCCCCGGCCCGTGAGCCGCACGAAAGCCAGAGACCTCTCAATCCCACTACTGCTGATCGAGAACGGTACCAGAGACGATCACCGGATGTATCGGTCCGCGCAAGTTGGTGAAAACAGATTGCAAATGTACAAAACTCGCGAGTCGAGCCGAGCCGGAAACAAAAGAAGTCCACTTCACCCCTACTTGTTCTTCTTCCTGCGTCCTCCCCCCTTCTTATCGCGCTTTGCGATCCGCTTGAGCGCCCTCGCCTCTTTCCGATCTCGCGGATCGACCATCTTGTACCTCCCCTTGACACCCTTGGGTCGTCCCTTGATCCCCCTGTTGGCGCCTTTGGCGACAACAACTTTAATCTCGCGCTTCTTGGTCGGTTTCGCCGACGACTTGGCCTTGGACAAGACCTTGGCGATGCTCGCGGCCTTCTCCTTCTCCGTGAGCCCGTTCTCCTCGTCGTCGTTGATGCCCTGCGCCTTGGCGCGCATCTTCTCCGCGCGGCGGATCGTGCGCATCTTCTTCCTCGCCTTGGCCTCAGCAATTTTCTTGATTGGCCGCGCGTTCAGTTCGCGCATCTTCTCCCTCAGGGCCACAACCGCTTCTTTGGTGATTGGGATGTTGTTGCGGAAGTGGCGTTGCTCGTCGTCGAGGAACCACGAAGGCAAGCCGTCGCCTCCGACGTTCGAAGTGTAGCGGTTGAAGCCCTCGTCGATGAGCTGCGTCTTTGTCTTTTCGCGGTTGACGAGTTGCTGCGCCAGCGTCATGGCCTCGGCCGTGGTCAGGCCGATTTCTAGACGGAGGAAAAATGCCGCGTGTCAGCAAAAGTAACTCGATCAGGCCTCCTAGGCCACAGTAATGAAAGCCCGTCTCACCTTCTATCCGCTGTCGTTTGAGCTCCTCCGCTTCCTCCTGCGCCTTCAAGTCGGCTTCCTCCTCCATGTCCGAGTCCTCAAAGTGCGTCTCGCGAGCGCCCGTAAAGTCATCGTCCGAGTATTCATCTTCCTCACTATCCAACTCCTCATCGTCCTCCTCCTCATCGGCCGAGTCGAGACCGTTCCACGTTTCCCCATCCTCGTCGTCACTAGCCTCGACCGAGGCCTCGTCCTCGACGTCTGATGCTTCGTCATCGTCACCATTCAGCAGCTTGTCCAAACCCGGCATCCCTTTGAACACAGGTTGATCGAACCACATCTGCGCCGCTCGACTCTTCTCGGCCGTCTTCTTCTCCTCGGAAACGACGGGCTGCAACTTGGTCAACAGCGCCTTGGACTTGGGCTTGCCGTTTTTGCTAGTCGTCGGGACGAGCGTCCCTTCGACTTTCATGTCCTCTTCGTCAGAATCCTCCTCGTCTGAGCTCGGTTGCGGTGCAGGGTCAAAGTCTTCTTCGTCGTCCTCATCGTCCTCGTCATCGGACCCCTTGGCTTGTATGCCGTGCCATTCCCCACCTTCCTTTGCATCGCGCTTCCGTCGTTCCTCCTTGGCCTTGTGCTTGGCATCGCGTTCCATCTTGTGCTGGTGGTACATGTCGTAAGCGGTATCGAGCGATCGTTCCAGGCGGCGCATCTTAATTTCCTCCTCGTCGAGTTCCTCGTTGTCCTCGTCGTCCTCGTCCATAGGCACAGCGGATTGCTCGGCCATCCTCAACAACTTGGCCCGGGCCGCGTTAATGCCCTGATCCTCTTCATCACCCTCCTCATCCTCATCAATGACATCCTCCGCCATCGTCCGACCTTGGACCCCACTCCTTCCGGCCTTCTCATTCCCCTCAACCTCCCCAAGATCAAAGACGTCCGCATCATCAACTCCGTCCTGGCGTTCCAAACCGATATCCATCGGCGTGACCATATTGAGCTGCATCCTCTGAATTTCCCTCGCCTTCTTCTCGTTCGCGCGCCTCTTCTCCCTCTTGCGCCTCAATTGTTCTTCCGCGGACAACCTCGACAGTTCCTGAGCAATCTGTTCGTCTTCGTCGAGGGGTTCGACCTCGACTTCCTCCGTTGCGTCGGGACCCTCGTTGCCCCCTTGCCCATCCCCACCTTTATTCTCGAGACCATAGTCTTCGCGTACGGCAAGGCGATACTTGAGCAAAGTCTTGAAATCCTTCTTGCCCAACACCTTGAGATCCTGTACGAGCGCCTTGATCTCGAGCGTCGTCAAAGGGTGTTTGAACAACTTCTTATCCTCGTCCGTGCGCCACTTCATCTCATTGACCAGACCGAGCACCCCGATCGGGTCGACCGAACGAATGAACTCGGACACCCCGCATTCCTTGTGCAGCGTCAAGTCCCCATCGGCGTAACCGTCTCGATTGCGTCGCTTCTTGTCCGGTTGAAAGACGTTGAGCGAAGTCGGCGTGAGCGTATCCTTGCTCGAGATCTTACCATCCTGACCCAACGCTGCTACGGCCGAAAGGGGGTTCACACCCGTACTGGTCGTGATGTCGATATCGGAAAAGACGTGCTTGGCATTGAGCAACTTGGGATCGATCTTCGAAGGCGCGAGGTACCCGGAACAGACAACGAAGATTTCGGCCGAGACGTTACGCGACGAAGGGGGTTTGGTCGCCTCGACCTTGTTGAAGAGTTGGTTGAAGACCCAGATCAACGAGTTGTAATCCTTCGAACGGAAGACCTTGGTGACGAACGTGCCACCGGCGGAGAGGAATTCGGTCGCGAGCTTGAGCGAGGCGAGTACGAGTTCGACCTGGGTGAAGGCATCCTGGACCCATGCGGATCCGACGTTGGGAGCTCCGTCGTGCAAGACGCTTTATGAACATGTCGCGAACAGTCAAGGGGACCAGTGGAGGGTCAGTTGCTGGAGAAAGTCTTCCGCGAAGAATCTGCGCTGCGCTACTTACACATCGGCCTTCCAATCCTTGACCTCTGCGCGAATATCCCTCCTGCACTTCTCGGTCGTGATATCATCGACGAGGGTGATACACCTCGGAATCGGTTTGATGGGAACGAGATCGACACCGACGATGATCGAATTGGGGGGCATGTTCTTGGCCGCGACCTGAAGCCAACCACCGGGGGCGGCACACAAATCAATGACGCAGCGTGCCGAGGAGAGAAAATCGTACTTCTTGTTGAGTTGGATCAGCTTGAAGGCCGAACGGGCACGGTAACCTTGTTCTCTGCGCGGGACGAGGGACCACGGAGCAGAGAATGAGTCGCTGGGTGGTCTCTGGAGAGGGGAGGGAGAGGGCTTACTTGGCGAGTTGGTACCTTTCAGCGTGGGGATATCATCAAGAGCGGTGTCAGTTCGCATAGTTGCCTACCACCGATCGCTCGGCCTTCCCCCACGCCAACCGATCGCAGTTGCCGTCGAGTTCGAATCGCCAAGTCTCGTCCGAGCGTTGCGAAGCTCAGCCCGTCGATCGGGCTCGACTCGGCTCGCTAGCTCACCACTTGTCCAATCGACCTGCACGGCGACAAGATCGTCATTCGAACGTGTGTCAGAGCTTGGAGTGGGATTCTTTGCGCAGACACCGGCCACGACGTACCCTTTCCGGTCTTCTTCTGCGGTCCTTTACCCTGTCAGACGTCGTTTCCGTGTACGCCAGCACCACAACTCAGCTTTCGCGACGAGGCGGGACGCTTGCAGTGAGCCTACGGTGGTGGGACTGACCATGTTGACCCAAGACTGCTGTCTGATTCAGTCGGGGTAGTAGATAAATAGGTCGAGTCGAGTACGACTGCGTCCGGATGAAGCTCCGACAGAGAGAGAGACTCTGAGAGAGGCACCACTGCACTCTGCTGCACGCGGGGTTGGCAATCCGCCCTTCGCAGCCGGCGCGCATTCGGCCGACACCCGACGCACGGACCCACGCCGCCACCGCCACCGCCACCGCCACCGTCGAGTGCTACTCGGATCGCCGGCCTCTCTCTCTCTCAACTCTCATCAAATCGTTCAAGTAGCACCGCGGCGAGTCTTTTATGTGCACAAAAGATGAATTTCCAGACATCGAGCTAGAAATCAAGAAGGTCGCGCGATGGAAACAAAAGAATTAAGAAGTCAAGCGTAAACACGGAAAGTCGATCACAGCCCAGCCGAGGAACGGGTCAAACACATTCTCAACTAGCTCGTCGTCATGAAAGCATCGGCTCAAAGCCCACGTCAATGTTGACCAGGGGCGGGAGTACCGGCTACCACGATATACAAAAGGCAACATCGTCAGCGTCTCAACACGTACAGTCACGACGGCGAGCCCGAGGGTGTCATAGTCAAGATCCCTGAAGCTCGTTAGAGCTGAAGGTTTCGTTTCGAAAAATGGGGGGGTCCCAGCCTCGAAAATGGTGCACGTCTGAGATTTTATTGGACGAAATGGCCGAAATACCCCGCACGCGCGTGGCTGTTGAAGCACCAATAGGAGAGCTCGATTTCAGCGCCGATTGGTGCGAACAAGGCTACCCCGGATGGGAGGACCCTGCCTAAGCGCAATAGGAGAGTCCGAGTTCAGCGCCGATCGGTTAAAACAATGCTTCCCGGATAGGAGGGCCCCTCGCACTTAGCACTCAGCTTGGGCGTCATCAGCTTCCCCGAGTCCCCGCGGCAGAGGCAGTACAGTCAGACCTGAGAAAATTTATATTTTCGGTGGACGGATTTTCCCATAATTTAAGACAGGTATAAGCTTGGAGAGTGCGGCTTCAGATCACTACATTATGACCTGAAACTCCGTTTTTGAGCTTCCTACATCAAATCAAGAATTTTCAAGCATCGTTTGAGTCGATACATTGACTTTTGAGGGGGAGGAAATTCAGAAGGCCCGAATTACTGAATTGCAGCCAATGTACGGCCTCTACTGAGGCATGATGACATCTAACAAGTTTTGAAAGCTCCAAGAAAAAACATCTTGACCTACTGACGCTGGAAATACGAAGTCATTGTCGTCTGAATCCTCGCGGCATCCTGCTCGGCAACAAGAGTCCTGCGAATCCTCCTAGCCTGGTCCTCAAAAGAAATCAAATACGTTGGACCTAAGTTTCCATTCATAGCAAACCTAAGGAAAACATCAAGCGCTGAGATTGCCTCCTGCAGCGTCGTTCGCTCCGCCGGTCGGAGCTCTATCTCCCCTTCCTCCTCTCCTCCTTCTCCCTCGCAATTCTCTTTCAACTGTTCGGCAATGACCAGGTCCACAATCTCCTGATCGGTCATTTCCGCCCCACCAGCAAGGTTCTCCTCCTCCACATCGACAAGAAAGTGGATACTCATCTTCTCGTTGCTCGTAACTATTCCCTTTTCGACCAGCTTATCGTTCGCCGTCTTCAGAGCGTTCATCGCGTTGATGTTGCCGCGATCGCCATTGAGAGGCCCGCGACCGTTGGGAAGAGGTGTATGGTCGGTCGATCCTTTGTTCTTGCGATCAGACGAGATTTGAGCGTGGCGCCAGCAGTTGGCAATCGTCTCGGGGCGGATGTCGTTCCACGCCTCATGTCTCGCAATGATGCGAGTCTTATTCATCTTGACACCATTTCGACCGTCCCGAGCAAGGCCCGTAGACGGACGCATAGCGTAGAAGAGACCGGTTTCGTCCATGTTGAAGATATCACTTGGGTCGTACTTGTTCGCAAAATTGTCAACCGCGCCGCCTTTGCTCTCCTGTGCTCGCTTCTCGGCTGTTTCGGGGCATTTCGGACTCTTCCAGCAGGCGGCTCGTCAACAAGAACGCCGAAGGAGAGGCCAATTCCTGATCAATCGCTCATTTCCGGCTCTCTCTTATCTTATAATTTGACCTGTAAACCCATAAATTATAAGGTATAAGATTGGACAGGTTCTGTCAGCCAAAAAAGTCGGGAGATTGAAAAGTCCATAAATTTTGACAGGTATAAGATTGGGCGATATAAATTTTCTCAGGTCTGACTGTATGTACTTAGGCTGCCCGGGCTCAGCCTCCGCTGGCAAGTTGCCACTGCCCGGCCCTCTCCTTTCCGTCTCTCTGTACTCGCCTTGCTCTAACTTGGTCCGAGTTTCCTCGCATCTCTAAGACCCGTATCGCACAGCCGCCGTCATGTCACTTCTTTATGATCTTGTACCCCTCCGCACCATCGAGGTCAGCCCACAACTTGAACGCTCGAATCTCGACGACGTGTTAAGCCTCGCATCCACCGCTAGCGACAGCCGATCCTCCCGCCGCACCGAACACGCACAGTATATGTACTCCGGTCCGCTCCTACGCAACAGTCCAGTGTTGGCATTGTAGAATGCAGTCTGGGGCGACTCGTGCGCAGCAGCATCAAATTCAGCATGAATCTCCTGAAGGAGCTTTGTCGGGCGCACCACGTGGAAGGATACTCCAGGAGGAATCCGCTCGCGAAAGAGCTATCCCTACAAGCGCTCCTTTGGTCGTGCGATCCCAACTGTAATGCTTGTTCAAATGGGCATGTTTTCAGAAGGCAACAAGCGGCGAGTCCCGTGACTCCGCCACGTCGTCATTGCTTCCCCGACCACAGAGCATACGCATCAAAACCTGTTGACGTGCTCCAAACCGAACTGAACGAGGAAGCCCAGAAGAATCGCGAGAACGTCTCAGCGACTAAATCTAAACAAACGATGCACAGACGTCCACCGCTGGGTCCCGAACGTGAACAAGAAGAACCCGGTAAAGTGACATCACATTTTGCCGCAGCATCCGATCAGTTCAAGACCGAGAACCGTTCTGAATGGAATGATTACTTCATCGACGCTCGTTCCCGTCTCTTCTGCTGCCTGGTGTGTTCCGAGAGAGTATTCGGGCATAACATACGATGGGTGCCTGAAGACGACATCACGCGTGAGGAATCAGGCATTTGGAAGGTATTTACCAACTCTACACTACGTACGGACCTCCGACCACCGACTTACGATTCTTCAGCTTGGCGGGGCGCACTCATCCATCCCCGAGGTCTTCAGCGACCGAAAGATTTAATCGATCAGATCGCGTACTCGCCCATGAACAACACCCTTCAGTGCTCACTCTGTCCAGACTGCTTCAAACGGTTGTTCCCTACCACAGGGCCACCGACTAAGCCCCCTCGGTCGTTGAGCAACGGATTTTATCGCGCACTGGATCACGTCCCCGCTGATGTCCGAGATTGCTTCTCCAACGCGAGTCAGCTTGAGCACCTCGTCACTGTGCGCGCCAGAGCCTACAAGATCATGTACAAGCTAACTCGTTTCGGAGATCGCAAAGCTCAACAAGAATATAGGCGCGGAAACACCCTCATTTTCAGCCAGAACACCGCTTCGTTCACCGATGTACTGCCCATGTCAGTCGAGGAAGTCGCTGACAGTGTTTGCGTTTTATTCTGTGCAGGGAGCCCCAACCTTGCGGAGCTGGACAAGTGTCGACCCATGATCGTGAAGCAGAGTCGGATCCACTGCAAAAGATGCTCAGGTGGTTGATCAACGAAAGCAAGAATTCGGCGTACTCTGCCGTCTCCTTTGATGGCCATTGCACAGCTCGTTCGACGCAGTTCCGGTGCGCTCAACCCGACCTCTACAGCTTCTACGGCGGTTTCAGCTTCGACTTCGACTTCGGCTTCCGTCTGCGTTGCTCCCCAAGTATCGGATCCACAAATCGCCGATGGAAACTGTCCCGTGCCCGACGTAGTTTTGGCGAATGTGGTGACCGCAGAGACAGTGGAACCAACATCATCACTCTTTGAAGGCTACGCAACAACGTATAACGACTTTGATGAACCAGTATTCGAACACGTACATGTGCCGCCACCCCCTACCGACGAACCAATTCACTCATGGCTGCTCTTTGAGAAAGCTCTCCGTTATTTCAACCAGGACAAGCCCACCTTTGTCATTCCTGTCAATATATTGCTGTTTCATCCCACTGGTATTCCCGATTATGATTAGTTACTAGTTGTTGATATTAGTCGCCCCGCGCGTCTCGAGCCTGCCTCGCGCGCGCTCCCTTCGCGCTTATCTTCTTTCTCCAACTATCTTTACTATCTTCATCGGCTCTCGTACTTACGCACTTCGTGCCTCGGCCTCAGTTCCTGAAAGGTTATGAGCCCACCTAGCCTATCAGCGGCGGGCGACCTCGACGTCCACGGTGACATGGCATCAACGCCTCCACCACCGTCATCAACGTCGTACCATACCAACGACGTCGCCTCCACTACCTCCGTCACGCTCACTAAAGAGCAATTCGACGAGCTGATCAGGAACCAGCGCCCCGCACGGGACGACGACGCATTCTCCATGCGTCAGCGCCTACCCCCAGCCAACCCTCCGGTCTTCCCCGACGACTCGAAACTTACGGAGGACAATTACGTTGACTGGGTCCCCACGATGCCGCCATGCCCGCCCTCTTGGGCTGGATTCAACGCTCGGACGAATCGAGCGACGGTCCCCGTTGCGAAGGCGGTCGTACCGACCAAACGCTCTGCACCAGGCAAGAAGGGAAAATGGGATCGTTCTGGTCCTGCCCCGAGCAACTGCCCAGCTTGTGGTCAAGGCAAACACTGGCTCGACAAGTGTCCGGAATCGCGCAAGCGAGCCAAGTACCTCGAGCTCAAAAACGCCATGAAGGAACTCCAAGGCTCATCATCGCCTGCGTCCACGTTCGTGGCCACCGAGGCAGCATCCAAGGATCAACACCTGTCCGTCGTTTCTTCTGCTACGTTTGTCAACATCGGGCCACCGGCGGAAATCCTTCTGCTAGACTCGGCGTCGGCGTGCCACGTCGTCAACGATGCGTCCTTCTTTGACGGCCCCCTTTCACCTACCCCGCAAGTCCTGCAAGGTCTAGGGGGAACGGTGAAGGCCTCGGGAATCGGCTCGGTCAAGCTCGTCTCCGATAATGGTACCAGGTTCACCCTCAACGACGTGATCTAAGCCCCCGAGAGCCCTGCCAACCTCATCTCAGTCCGGGCCTTCGACCGCAAAGGCGTTCGCATCACCTTCGAACACGGATAAGTCGAGCTCCGCACGCCGCAAGGGTGCATCGCCACAGCATCAGCCATCGCGTCCTGCGTTTACAAACTCAACACTTCGGTCCAAGCTGCCAGCAAAGATGCGCGACACACCCTCGTTGCCACCAAGTCCAATAGGCTACCTTTACTTACCCTTCACCGGCGCTACGGCCACGCCTCTGTCCAGACACTTAAAAAACTGGCGGCCTCTGGCCAGGTGGAGGGTTTAGATTGGCCCTATAGTGACTTCGAGTGTGATGGCTTCACCTGCAACGCGTGCCTTGCCTCCAAAGCGCATCGTTTGCCTTTCCCCTCTTCGTCGTCGCATGCCGCGGAACCACTCGCATTGGTGCACTCGGACGTCTTATCTTTCCCCGAGGAATCCTTAGGCCATAAGCGATACCTCGTCACGTTCATCGACGACTTCTCGAGGAAGACTTGGGTTTACCCTATCGGGCACAAGAGCGAGGTCCTTCAGACATTCAAGGATTGGCTTCTGGAGATCGAAAACGCCACGGGTCGCAGGGTCAAAACACTTCGCTCGGACAACGGGGGCGAGTATGTTTCTACCGCTTTCAACGGCTATTGCGTGGCCCGCGGAATTCATCGCGAATTGACCATACCGTACACACCCGAGCAAAACGGTCGGGCTGAGCGAGCCAACCGGTCGATCGTCGAGGGCACCCTGGCTCTACTGTCTCACTCGGGACTCCCACGATCGTGCTGGGACGAGGCTGCCATGTGTTACATTCACGCCAAGAACCTCTCGCCTCACGCGGCCCTTGGTGGAGCCATCCCAAACAGTCGTTGGTCGGGCCACACACCAAGCGTAGGGGGTCTTCGGGCATTCGGTTGTCGCGCTTGGACCACCGTGCCGGCTCACCGACGGGACAAGCTCGACCCAAAAGGGATTCCTCTGGTCTTCGTCGGGTACGATCGACACGCGAAAGCCTACCGTCTTCTCGATCCTTCCTCCATGCGTGTGAGTCTGGGCCGCAATGTGACGTTCGTAGAAACCGAGTTCCCCTTCGCTATCGCGCCCACCCGAGTGACGCAGCCGTCCATCCCGGGTTACGCCCCCCAGCCCCCACCCGTCGAAGCTCCAACACCCGTCGAGCCTCCCCCACGGCCACCGGCCCCAACGCCTGTCGAGGCACCCGCGTCGCCCGCATCGACCAGCTCGGCCGACAACGACGACGCCTCATCGACCACGAGCGCAACGACAGAGTCAGCCGTGAACCCGCCGCAACCACCTCCGGATCCAGCTCCACTCGCCAAAGTCAAGCCGAGTTGGGAGTACGGCGACGTCGCCAAGGTTGGTCCCGATCCAGGGAAGTACGGTGAAGTCAACGCTCGAAACATCATTGATGGCCCCCGGACTCGCCGCCAACCCGTTCCCACCATGATCACGCGGGAACAGCCAGTCGACGGCACCGACGGACCCACCGCCTCTTTCAAGAGCCTGCTCCTTGCCTTCGCATCCACCAAGGCCGGCTTCGCAGATCATGACTTGTCGGTTGTTCGCGATCCGGCAAATTGGGGCGACGTCATCCGATCGGGACAAGAGGACGTTTGGGGCGCTCCGGCACAGGATGAATTCGATTCGCTTCTGAACGATTACGAGGTCTTTCAAATCGTCGAATCCTGTGAGCTCCCAGCGGGTGAGATCCTCCTGCGGTCGGGCTGGGTGTTCCGGACTAAACGCAACCAGCATGGCGATATCACCGATCACAAGGTCCGACTTGTTGCTCACGGATGTGCCCAACGCCCTGGCCTTGACTTCGAGAAGACCTACGCCCCTGTCGTCAAATTCACGTCCATTCGAGCTCTCATCGCACTCGCCGCGGCCAACGGCTATCACGTCCATCAGGCCGACGTCAACAAGGTGTATTTACACGGCAAACTTGACAAGCCTCTCTACATGCGCGTCCCTCAGGGCATAAACCTGCCAGGCAAGATCCTCAAGCTGTCCAAATCCATCTACCGCCTTCGCCAGGCCGGCACCATCTGGAACGCTGAGATCGACTCGACTCTGCGGTCCCTCGGATACGTCCCCACCAGGTCTGACATCTGTATCTACCGCCGAAATCGAGCGGGTGCTGGATGCGCTGGAACTCACATACGGCATCAAACGTCTCGGACCTGCTGAATATATTCTAGGCATCCAAGTCAAACGTGGACAAGACGGCTCTATCACGCTCTCACAAGAGCGCTACCTTCGGGACATCCTTGCCAGGTTCCAATTCACCGATGCCAAGCCGGCAAGTATTCCAATGCAGCCAGGTGTCGTCCTTGACTTCGAGGACTTGGCGGCCACTCCTCAGGATCGTACGCGCTACTTGCAGGCCATCGGTTCGTTGATGTACGCCGCAGTTGGAACTCGTCCGGACCTCGCCTTCGTGGTCAGCTACCTCGCTCGCTTCTCCCAGCAGCCTGGCCCGGAGCATTGGACAGCCATCAAGCAGGTCCTCCGTTACATCAAAGGCACGCTGGACTTGGGCCTCACCTATTGCAAGACCAGCCAACCACTCCATGGCTACTCGGATGCGAACTGGGGAGCCTGTCTAACGACCTCACGATCGACCATGGGCTACGCGTTCATCTTGTCCGGAGCCGCTATTGCTTGGTGCTCCAAACGCGAGCACAGGGTGGCCAAGTCCACTACCGACGCAGAGTACCTCTCTCTTTCGTACACAAGCGGTGATGCCATCCACCTGAGCGAACTCCTGGCTGAACTTGGCGCTCCGGTCTCCGGTCCAGTCGTACTCTACGGGGACAACCAAGGTTCGCTGGCTCTTGCGCAGCACCCGACCAACCATCAGGGGTCTCGTCATGTTCGCATCTCGGAACATTACGTCCGCGAGAGGGTAGCTGAGAAGGAGATCGAGGTCCGCTACATCGCCACCGGCGACATGATTGCCGATATTTTCACCAAAGCCTTGGGTCCCAAGCCGTTCATCTTCCATCGGGAGAATTTGGGTTTGCGAGGTGCAGTGGTATGACAGCACGGGGGGGGTGTCAATATATTGCTGTTTCATCCCACTGGTATTCCCGATTATGATTAGTTACTAGTTGTTGATATTAGTCGCCCCGCGCGTCTCGAGCCTGCCTCGTGCGCGCTCCCTTAGCGCTTATCTTCTTTCTCCAACTATCTTTACTATCTTCATCGGCTCTCGTACTTACGCACTTCGTGCCTCGGCCTCAGTTCCTGAAAATTCCGACAGGCGACGCCCCTTTGTGGGAACCTTCGGACGAGCTCGTGCTCTCAAAGCTGTGGCCACACCTCGATCCATTTGGTCTCGTCGGTTTCTGTGTGGAGCGCGACCTCAACATTTCTCTGGACGAGCAAGTCAAACATTTGCTCAATCTATACGACAGCGATTTTCGATGCGACCCGTCTTTCCCAGTCATCGTCTCGAACATGCTCCGCCGACGAGAAGTATTTCGCCACCTCGCTTTTCGGGTCCCCAATGGCTCGAATCGCAGCAGCACAGTTCGAAATTGTGTCCGAAATGATCAAAAAATCCCAAGGACACGAAAAGGTACAAGGCAACAACAGAAGCAGAGAAGCATACCAACCGTATTCTGGCAGAATTGCAAAGTGTCCGAGACAAATTTCATGGCACAACTGCACAGATGCTCGACATGAGGAGTGGGATCCGCGGATACGTCAACGCGTTCGGTATGTACACCCTCTTCGTCACCATCAACCCGGCAGATTTACACTCACCGTTGATGACGAGGTATCCCACAGCCTTGGGCGCATCAAGGACAAGTTTCTCGACCAAGCAGATACCGTTTGGGCCAACGACAAAAAGTCATCTAATCGTGGATTGCAACACTCTTCCCACTTTGAAAGATTTGTGGGGGAATACTGACACTCCATGCCATTTGATTCCCATGTCTCTCAGCGGTGGACACATTCACCACACCTAGCCAGGCCGTCTCGCGCCCAAGTCGCTCCCGGAAGTCCCGATCTCTCAACGTCAACTGAAACCACTTCTTATAGCTGACTTCGGTGAACGCGCGATGTGGGTCCCCGGCGCTGACGACCACATGCGAACACAAACTCGTCCAGACGCGGACTGTGACATGGGCGATGTCGAGTGATCTCAACTTATGCATTTACACCCCGGCTGTGGCTCGATCTCGTCTGGTCTGCAATGCTCATTAATGTTTGGCACACTTACACTCATTCATGTGAACCGAACTGACTCGCGAACTCGGTGCTGTATATTACCCGATCCATGGCCCGTTACTAGCTGATGCTGTCAGTCGGTGTTACTCCGTCAGAGGTTCAGGGACCCGTCGCCCCCTCCGGGGGCGCGTTAATTTCAAGCTTGGACCTTCCCATTTCCGACTGCCTTGTTTCACTCCATCATCAACTCCTCTTTAACTCTCATCTTCAATTGTCGTCTTCCATGAGACCGTCTTTGCCAAGATCTCCAAACAGCTCCTTTCCACTGCGTCCCGTCTGTCCGTGACGGGCAGGGAAACTCGGCACTTGGGATATCTCTCTGCCTTCGTATCTAGTCGCTCTTGGTAGCTCTTCTCTCTCTTTCTTCTTCTTCAGTTGCAATATTCTCGTTACTATGTGCTCCATCACACTCGATCAGATCATCACCATTCATCCTCGTACTCCATCCTCCAACTCAGCAGTCAACAAAGTGCTATCTGCATTGCCCCTCTTCATAGGGGCTTGTAGGGTAGACTTCCGACGGTTTCCCTCCTTCTCTTCATCCTCCTCTTCATCCTCATCCCTCATCTGGTCTTGACTCTGACAACAGGCCTGAAAAAACAAAGAGACAAATACCTCAAACAACACATCACCCTGCTAGAAAAAGCAATACAAAACAATGATATTTCCTTCTACAGAGCGTACACAACCTCACAAACACTCAGTATATACCTAGCAGGGGGAAACCTCTGGAGATCAAGAAAACCCCCAACCAAAATTAAGCATCACCTCGGAACTCTGGGCTTGGATGCAAGGTTGGGGCCACATAACCCATACATACCCCATCAATGACAAACAAGGACATGTAGCCCTTGCAATCACACATCTTCTACAAGAAACAGTCAACCTCTGGAAACAAGAAATATAGCAAAAAAAAAAAAAAAGCAAAAAAAAAAGCAATAAAGCCCCAAGGGGACCCAGGAAGACACCTCAGCAGAGGGCCCACATGGCTCCCACAAATAGACCCCCAGAAAAGAGACTAAAAACTGCCTCCTATGAAGCAATAAAGCCTCAAAAAGGCCCAAGAGGGCACTACACCAGATGGTCCACATAGCCCCCAACAGACTAAACAAGACACAGCACCACATAGGGTTGTAACCAGCAACACACCTCTGACAACTCACGGATAAAAGGACACCTGGAAGGGACACCTCTCTTTCCTTCCTTCCTATTCCCACCACTTCACTCTCAAAGAACCACACCACACACACACTTCCAAAAAACTATCCCTCCCACCACCCAACCCACCCCTCACCAAAGAAACAAGACACATGGCCACCAAAAGGTCAGCCCCACAGAAAAACCAAGTACCCCCAGTCATGGTGTAAACTGACCCCCAATACCCATCTACTAAACCTCCCCAAAGGTCAGCAGAAAGTGACTCTGAAGATGATGATACACCCTTGATGTTCACTCAACCAGAGGCGAGTTTTTCTTCTTGAAAAACAAAAAAACAAAAAACAGCTTCAACTGGGCAGATGACATCGAGACACCTATGAGGAAAAAAAACAGAAGAAAAAGACCAAAAAGAATGGCCTAGCAGGACTGGTGGAAAAATATGACCCCCCCAAAAACTCCAAGCCTCCACCAATTCCAACTCCCTCCACCAGCCAAAACCCCACCCCCACAAATGCAACACCCAATACACCTCAACCAACACCCAATACTCCTCAACCAGCACCCACAATGTCAAATTCCAAAGAGCTGATGGAGCTCACACTGAGGGGCTTTTTCGCCTGGTTTTTCCAGGCGCGCGGCTGGAAATACCAGCGGCTTGGGTAATACCCTCGTGAGGTGGTAATACCCGACCCACTGGTATTTCCAGCCGCGCGGGTATTACCACTTCACGAGGGCTATTACCCAAGCCGCTGGTTTTTCTGTCGGTTGGGTATTAACCTTCTCAGATGGTATTTCCACCCGAAAAGTCTCAATAGGGGCTCTTGTGCGGAGCACGACCGGGCGCAATTAGCATTAGGTTTTTTGTAATGGGTGTCACCTTTGTAGTAATAATGCTCATATTCAAATTTACTGATGCTCATTTTCGATGCTCATATTCGAATTTACTAATGCTCATATTCGAATTGTAGTTTCTCAATGCAGGGTTTCTACTGGTATTATGATATAGATACACTACAAAGCAGCAAACTGAGTGTCCACGTCCGTCACAGGCTCGTCCCATTCGTCTGGATTGTCAGATTGATCAATATCTAAACCGCCCGAAGCTCCGGCTGCCGCTCCTCTTGCCCGTTTCTTATACCCTTTAGTCGGCTCTGATTCTTCCTCTTCCTCTTCCTCCTCCTCTTCCTCTACCCGAGACTGCTCTTCCTCGCTTTCTTCTCTGCGGCGGACCCACCTGGTGATGGTCTTCTGGCTGATGCGAGATGATTGTTTAGCGTTCGCCTCCTTCGTCGATGTTGTTAGACCGCGGGCTGCGGGACTTGAAATCGCCCCTGCATTCGGTGTCTGCATGCCGAGCGTCTGCACGAGCTGGCTTGCTGGGACTGTTGCGATGAGATACTGAACTGTTGCGATGTTGATGCTTGCGGCGCTCGCTTCGGGGGCACGGACACGAGCACCCGATTCCTATTCCCCGGCACTTCTTTCCTGGTCAGATTCGGAGTAGACAGGCTCGCTTGTCTGAAGCACATCAAAAGATTATCAGAGCCCCGGGCCTTTCAGTCTTGTTCAATCGGGAGTAGTGACTAACCTTCAGAGCAGATCCTACACCTAGCTCGTTGCGCAATCTTGTGATGTCCGCCCTGGAAAGCCGTCTCATGATTCCCGCCAACCGACAGGCCTCACGGTCGTACTGCAGTCTATACGCGGCTCGGACATTCGCCAACACATCAATAACAAGTTCTTCATAGAGCCAGTCGCCCGATGTGGCCCTTAAGAAAGCCGTGCGCTCACGAATCTGAACGAGAGTGACAAGTGAGTGCCCGAGCAAGCGCACGCTCCGTACAAGACTGGCAGGTTCCGCGCAACTCACATATTTGACGATATCTCGTTGTTTTGCAAGTCCAAGACGTCCCCACACAGTAGTGTTGCTTTGCGTTTTGGCTTGAATGAGCCTGAACGCGTCCTTGAGGTTGAATTCCTTAGGCGTGTGGTACTCTCGAGTCCACGTCTGGTTGGCATGCCGACCATGAAGGACATCACACAGATGGTGAGCACTGAGCAGTCAGATCGACGAGATGGCGTCGCGCCCCGATCGTTGAGCCGCCGGTACTCACGCGAACTTGATTCGCCCGCGGAGACAAGTATACTCGCGCAAGCTCATAGAACCCTTGTCTGTTCGTACGAAAAGACCATCACCATCAACGTTGTTCTGGTTAAAAAAATAGGATGAAAATAAGAAGACAGGTAGCCGCAGTGGGCCGATGGTGAAGGACGGCGGCGGGGTTGAAAAAGAACACGTCAGCAAATTGCCTCAACTGTGGCGGTGCAGACGCAGACCGCGAAGATTTCAGCTCTCTGTACACACGTGGACGTCGTTCATGCGGTGGTTCGTTCTCCTTGTCCATCCTTGTTGTACGTCTTGCTGTGGTCGACGATGTTCGTGTCATGGTAGGAAGACGTAGGCGGGGAGGGTTGAGTTTCGACGTGGGCACAAGTGGATCGAAGGCGAAAGAAGGAAAGACGCGCGCGGACACATGGCGCCATTCTTTACGGAGAGGATCTCGCACATAATCAAATCTGCCTAATCGCTGTTCGTATTGCGCATTACTGTAGCCCGAATGTCCCCGATGGCCTGCCGGACTAAGCGTCGTTCGTTGCTCTTAAGTCTCACGTCTCACCGTAGTCAACCATTCGATTGGGCCACCATGACACGCAACCAGTCTTTTCGCCTATGCCATTGTTCGTTGTGCAACGATGCAATGGTATCAAGAGCGACGTTCTACCGCCACAAACGCCTACAATCAATCTGTTGACTCTTCCAGAGCCGACGCAACTGCTATCCTCGAGTTCTCGCGGCAGCCATCGGAACCTCCAACATTGCTTGCTCCTCAGGCTCAATCGTTCCAGCCCCCTTTACCAACTCCTGGTTGGTTTGCAAGTCGCTCGCCACCACAATCAGCCACAAATGAAGCGCAATATGGAGTGCCCACCAGTCCCCGAGGGTCCCTACTCTCCTCAAGGAGATCACGAGTCCGAGCGAGCTTCTTCGGTCGGGGGATCAATGGGGTCAAGTGAGGACCAAGCGCTAGGATTGGACAAAGAACATTTTCGCGAGACACAACAGTTTGACGCGGCATTTGATTGGGGAATCGGGGACAGGTGCGCATACCCATTCAGGCCCCACACAGTCGTGACACCCGCTCGTACAAACGCTAATTTGTGCCTCTCACTCCACAGACTTTCCTGGTAGGGAAGGTCAGGTCTCTTAATTAAGTCGATTGGAAGCCGTCGACGCTATCGAGCGGACTTCGGTGGCCAAGCCAACGCAAAGGCGGCAAAAAAGAAAGGCTGCATCTGTTGTCAGTGCGCAGAGGCACCAAAACTTGTTTCTCACTCAAGGTCAAGGAACTCTGGGAGCAATCGAGATTATAGATCTGCGCTGCATCTTAGGCTCAGCTGGTTGCATCTATCGGAGGGTGGGTCGAGAGGAGCTTCGCGAGTATATCTTTGACCGATTGGAGGACGAAGCTCTGCCCAATTTCGACTTGTAATCCATTCCCAGCTGTTTTCCATCTGCTAGGCTAGAAGTCATTTGGCTCATGCTGAGACAGCTGAGAGTAGCGGTATGACTAGGATCTAGACCCAATATATAAGTGGACAATACCATACCTGGCTGGGAAAATCACCGGGCGAGGGTAATAACAGTGCCGGCTGGTATTACCACGCGCCTGGGCAGAATCTCCTTCGGCCTGGGCGATATCACCTCGCGACCTGGAAATACCCAGGCGTCTGGGTAATACCCGACGGCCTGGTATTTCCAAGTGACGGCTGGAATAACCACGCGCTTGGGTAAAATCAGCGCGCGCGTGGAAATAACACCCTGCAACCTGGAAATACCCAGGTGCGTGGTAAAACCAGGCGCCCTGGAAATACCAGGCTGTCGGGTATTACCCAGGCGCGCTTTTGTAAATACCAGACGAGACCTCGGGTATTCCCCTCTGAGGGTGGAATTCCCCGCTCTCAACGGCCCTCAGTGTCATCAGGAGCCTCAACACAACCAATGAGGAACAAAAAACTCAAATGCAACAACTCCAGCAAGCAACCAAGAGACAAGAAATCACATGCCCACAACAACTACTACAAGACATCCCTCACTTTATGTCTCTCTCAGTCAAATACAAGGAAACCAATGGAACAATCAGGTACCAGAGATACATCCTCAGGAAAGCTGGGGATAAGGCTTGGAGTTTTTGGGGGAGTCATATTTTTCCACCAGTCCTGCTAGGCCATTCTTTTTGGTCTTTTTCTTCTGTTTTTTTTCCTCATAGGTGTCTCGATGTCATCTGCCCAGTTGAAGCTGTTTTTTGTTTTTTTGTTTTTCAAGAAGAAAAACTCGCCTCTGGTTGAGTGAACATCAAGGGTGTATCATCATCTTCAGAGTCACTTTCTGCTGACCTTTGGGGAGGTTTAGTAGATGGGTATTGGGGGTCAGTTTACACCATGACTGGGGGTACTTGGTTTTTCTGTGGGGCTGACCTTTTGGTGGCCATGTGTCTTGTTTCTTTGGTGAGGGGTGGGTTGGGTGGTGGGAGGGATAGTTTTTTGGAAGTGTGTGTGTGGTGTGGTTCTTTGAGAGTGAAGTGGTGGGAATAGGAAGGAAGGAGAGAGAGGTGTCCCTTCCAGGTGTCCTTTTATCCGTGAGTTGTCAGAGGTGTGTTGCTGGTTGCAACAGAGTCTGGCTTGGCGGCCGAGCACTCCTTCTCCAACGCGCATCAGGGGAGAACTTTCAGTGACTTTGTTACGGTTCTCTGACACAAGAGCGTAGTCAAGTGGGATCCGACCCCTCCGGGAAACCGGGCATTTCTGATGACCTTTTCAAGAGGCAACTTCTCCACCGGTGCGATGAGCTCCTATACCTCCGCGCGACCGCCTCACCCTCGTTTTCGCGAGACAAGTCTTCGGTCAACGGGCTCGTCGCATACCTAGTCGATGTGGGATGCTATCACGTTGGAAAGAGCGACAACCGGGATGCGCAGGATGGGAGGATGGCGTCAAGAATCCAGCGAGCAGGCGCCAACTGTCAAAGCCCGGCCACCCCTCTTGGACCCAGCTGCCAAGGTGAAGGCGTCACGTGAAGGTCGTTGCTTCATATGCAATGTGCATGGTCATATCTTCACAAATTGTCCTTCCAAGCAGACACCCCTGGCACCACCATCAACATCCAGCCAACGACCGGTACTGAGGCCGGCATTGGTGGCCGCTATTCGGGAATACCAAGAGACTGGCGATTCAACGAGCTTTGTGGGCCTTAAACTCCCTCAGGTTCATAGACGGAACTAGATCGCAGAAAGGAGAGTCAAGAAGGTACAAGATGTATGGCACGACAAAGAGCGCAATCTGAAACTAAGAAAAAAGAAAAGAAAAAAAGTAAGAAAACGGAAAGAAATGCGAAAGGCAGGAGCTATGCGAGAGCGACCCTTCTGGACCACTGGATAAGAAAGAAAAGAGACGTGTCCGGGACCGTACGAGCGGTGGAGGAAACAAATAAGTCGAGCGAAGGAGAACGATGCGATCGAGCGAGCCGTCGAGCACTCAGAGGAGGGTGCGTGCGGGCCATGTCGAGGGAACGAGAGGTTAGAAATGTGCGATGTGTATGTACGAAGGTGGGAAACGAGGCGTCGGCGGTGGCGACGCGGAACAAGGATATCAAGAGGCCGCTCAGTAGTGAGTGGGTTGGTGCATCGCCCTCGCCTGGGCGGCGTAGTCGTAACCCCCTGGAGTGGCTGCTCGGGCAGCACCGGACCCCACCGAAGTCGCGACCGATCCACCTCGCTGCAAGTCAGCGTAGCCAAAGCTCGCCTGCTCATGAGGATAGCCAGCTGTGAGATCGCAATCGAGAGATAAATTCGGCAAAAGAATCAGCGCTGGTTGGCAGTCAGGTGAGCGTTCTTCGTCAAGCCAAGCTACTCACGCCGAGCACCATACTGGTTCGCCGGCGCATTCCCATAGTAAGGAGCGGCGACGTAAGCTGGACCGTTGTAAGGGATGCTCTGGGGGTACGCCTCGGCCATAGCTCCACCGCGATCACTCCCTTTGCCACTGTCGCTTCGGCCCAAACTGGCCCCCGACGCGCCGGCGGTTGTACCGCGCAGACTTCCATTGCGACCGCTCGCACCGAGCGACCCGTAAGGGTACGTCTCGTCGCGATGGTGTTGCTCGACCGGCTCGGTCCACTCGATCGGTTCGAGCTTGGCATCGAAGCGCTTTGAGGTGCCGAACGCGGTCTTGCGGATGATGGTCCACACGAGGCCGATGAAGCCAACCGAGGAGGCAACGGCGATGATGATGATCAAGGCCGTCTTGGACAGACCAGAGGACGATGACTTGTTGGCCGTGTCATTCGCCGTCGTCGCCGTCGGAGTAGGTGAAGACGAGGTGCTCGTCTGGGACGTGTTGGTCACCGTCGAAGTCGGAGGGGCGGATGAGGACGTCGGGACCGACGACGGTGTCGAGCTGGCTTTGGTGTGGTTCGCCGTCGTCGTCGTCGTCGCAGCAGGCGCAGCAGGCGCCTTGGTCGTGTTGGAAGGTGTCGGGACAGCTGGATCCGGGTGCAATTCTCGGTCAGTCCCGTGCCTCCGCTAAAATTCAAATCTTCAAATCTTCCAGGAAGGTTCAGCTGCGGCTCACTCACCTGGGGCAGGTGCCGTCGTAACGTTCGGCGTCTGGGTAGGAGTCGAATTGTTGGTTGTGACACTAACTGGCGGTGCGATAGTTGTAGTGTTGTCGAGCGGGTTGCTCGTCGTGTTTGAGCCTGCGCCCGAACCTGATCCTGCAGCCGAACCTGATTCCGAGCCCGAACCTGAGCCCGAGCCTGTATCCGATCCCGAGCCGGAGCCTAAACCCGACCCTCCAAGCAGACCCCCCAACAGCCCACCATCGCCAGTGCTGTTGTCACTATGGAAGAGATTGCGCAACAGAAATAGGCGAACCAGAATTTGAAGGAAGGTGAGGGTCGACGGCAGAAATGAAGCGGACATGCGTGGGACAGGGGCAATGCGCGTCATCAGTGAACCGCGCTTAGCGAACGCTGCTGCGCTGCGCCGCAAGCGCCCCAAATCGCAGGCCCGGGTCTGCGAAGGAGGCGGGTGGGAACTCACGCTATGCTTTGACGAGTGACGAGCAGCTTGTGCTGTTTGACGAGTCTTTTTTGGCGATGCGAGGTCGATCGAGTGCCATGGTGGATGCTACGCCTGCCCACGCCGACCCGCTCGACGCCGTTGTCGTGACTGCGCGTGTCGATCAACGGTCGCCTCTCAGTCGCCGCGACCGCCGCCGGGGCCACGACCGCTGCCGCCTCCGCGTCACCGCTCGTCAACGATGCCGACGCGGCGAGCCACAACGGCGCCGTGACCACACACCACAACGCAGCTTGGTCCGTCACTCGCATATTGGCGTTTCACTCTTCGTCACCGATGTGGAGATCGTCGTTAAATGAGTGGTGTGCCGTACAAGTGGTGGTGACACACAAAGGGTCGTGGGCAAAGAGGAGCGGTCGCACAAAGGAGGCGCGTGTCGGGCGTGGGCGTGTTGAACGAGCGACAAAACGGCGCGTGCACACAAACGGGGCGCGCCAAAGGCCTAGCCTCGACGTTGATGCGTTTGACGGTTGACTGAGCGCGGAAGGGGGTGTTGTAGGACGCGTGACGAGGCCGGACGATGGAAATGGATGGGGGAGGATGAAAGAAAGTCGGGACCAGCCGGGTTTCTTTCGGTTCTAGAAGGGAGAGTGCGGTGCAGAGACGGTGACAGGCAAGACGAGTAGTGGGGCGAAGGCGGACGTCGATAACTTGAGCACGCGAACGGCCGGCGAGCTCTGGCGACTCGCGAGCTTTCCAATTTCCGACTTTTTCGTAACCCCCGAGGTGATCACCTTTACTAAATTCCCCTGATCGAAGCACCAGCCCCGTAATTGCCTCGCGTCGCGATCGAATTCAAACCTGTGGCGATCAATTATTGTACGTGACTTGTCAAAAAAGAAACGTGAAAACGATAGTGAGAGAACCTTCGGCTCAAATCTCACACAGAAACAAACGAAGAGAGGTTCCATCATCAAAATAAAAAGTAGGAGCACAGCCGCTGACGCTTGTCGACGCTTGTGAGCTTCGCCGCCGAATCGCCGGAGCTCTCCGGGCCTCCGGGCGCGCCAATCGCACCGTTTGCCAAGCCAACCCGAAGAAGATGAACTGGCGGTGCATTCCCGTCCTAACCTAACGTCGGGAGTCGGGACCTCTTCAAGAATTGAAGCACAGCACATTGAAATCAAAGTCTAGTCACGGCAATCATGTCGGCGAGCTCTTCATGAGTTATTTCGAGGGATTTTATGGGAACGATCAGTTGTACGGCAAGACCTGGGATGAGCCTCTCTTGTCCATTTTCACCTCCTTTGACATACGTTTTCAGCGTTCGACCGTCTGTAACCCCTGAGCTGGAGGAGGTGAGGTTCGCTCGTTCCTTTGAGATGTAGAATTGGTCTATCCTCTCGACGTTTTCAGCGTTTGGTTTATCCTCTTCGTACAGTGGTCTCGGTCTCTGTGAATTCCGAATGCATCACCATAGCACTCTCCTGTCCTGTCACGAGATCGCCGCCGACCTTGTAAGCCCGTAGCACACCTCGCGCGTCTCTCCTCCAGTTGTATGTACGATCATCCTCGAGGTTCCGTCTACATCTACGTTCTTCATGTAATACAAAATGAATTCCTCGATAAACATGGAAAGACGAAAAAGCTGGGAAGGTAATTATCGGCAACGGCAAGAAACAAATCCCCGAGATCGACGAACACCATTTTCGCACTTGTTTTTCGACTTCGTCCCGTTCAGAGTACGTCGAATAGATCCTCGACAGCGCAGCAGAACTAGATCATGTAAAAAGTCGAACCGTCGAAATCAGCCTTCCGGAAATGAGCAAAAAAAGTCGACCCCAAAACTCACCTTTCCACACGCGACACTTGCCGAAAGCGAATACTCTGAGATCGCAATTTTCTCATCGACCATATGATCCGCGAAATTGTCCGGTCTGGTGAGTGCATGGCCAAGGTGATCTAGCTAGATCAGCACTGTACTCGAGATTGCGCCGTTTGGACCCCCGGTCTCGACCACTCACCCATGGGCCATGGCTCCGACAAAGACGACGATGGAATGCGTATCCGGGATCGTGGGGAGGTAGTGACTCAGTCGCACGGGTTTGGCATCAAAGGAGAGCGTGATTTTGTGTGACAGGGTGGGAAGATGGTCCGTGATGGGATTTTTGATGACTTTGAGAAGCTTTTCGGAACCGTTGATGGATCGGATCGAGAGACGTTGCAAGAGTTGGACTGCGATCGTGAAATGTCAGTGTCGCGAACAGAAAGAGTGTATCCCCATCTGCATGACTGACCCATGAGGCCGCCGAACCGCTTGAACGTTCTTGGAATTCGGACGGCCGGGTTGACCTCGATGAGGACCCCTCGGGCTGTGTGGATGTAGACCTGCAGTTTACCGGCCTTGTTCAACGGTGAATCGAGCAGCGTCAAGAGGCACTGCATCGTACGAAGGTACAGATCAGTGAAGAGATCATCCCAAAGTGATAAACTCTGAAGGTCCTGACCTGATGGGTTATATCCGGTCGAGCATGCGCGATATCCCTTCCCATCTTGGCCAGCACGCCCTGATGATCATCGCAGTTCAACAACGAGTACTTCTCCTCGCCAGCTTTTCCACCCCTCGAATTGCTCGCCGAAGTCGTATGCTTGTACGTCTCCAAACAGGCCTGTTCCAAAACGACGATCAACCGCCTCGTCTCGTCCTTCTCGAGTGGGGTTTTGGGCACTTTGGGAGCCAAGGGGACGAGCGTCGGGTTCAAAGGTGGAGATCCTGGGGCGGGTCGTTTGCGGGTGTTGCTGGTACGATGGGTGGAGGAGGAGGAGGTCTTGGTCGCTGCTGCGGCTGCTGCTGCGGCGTTGGTTTGGGCGACCAGTTTGGCCGATGGGACGAATTCCTGCGAGCTGACGGATAGAGGCGCTGAAATACTGAGACCGGCCGAGGCAGCCGTCGAGGTGGACGCTGAGCCAGAGCCAGAAGCTGATTTGCCCTTGGTGGAAGAGGGCATGGTCGAGGGTAGACGGGGAGGGAAAGTCGAATCGAGTGGGGAGAGAGGAGCGAGGATGAGAGCCGGGTCTCAAGTCGAGGTGCAGTGGGATTGATGTCCAGTCGTGTGAGTCCGACGATGGGTGTCACACAGGGCGACGACGAACTTGGAGTGGTGGACCGAGACCGATCCAACTGGGGGGTGGGGAGTGGTGCTGCCGGTGTTGGTCCGAGGGGTGAAAGGCAGGAGACAGGCGGCGATGATTCCCGTCCCGGCGCTTCCGGTTCGATTGCGCTTGGGCTTGGTCTGGCTTGGTGAGGCTGGCGGGGCAGCGGCTGCGAGCTGCGAGCTGGGTGGCCTTCGCAGGAGCTCTCACGCAGTCTCACCGTGCCAGACCGCGCCACTGCGCCAGTCTGCGCCAGACCGCGCCAGGACCCGGGAAAGCTCAGCCCAATGTGCGTCCCCGAAAATGTACAAATCGGACCCTCTGAACCCCAAACTGCGACTCAAAAGTGGTACAAATCGAAAAATGTGGCACTCCAGATCTTGGATGTACGTCCTGGATGTGGTACAAATCGATGTACCCCGACCTCGCACCTCCCTGGTCGTCCCCTGCTCGGCCGATGGCCGAGCACGTATCAGCGGCGGCGGTCTGGGATCAGTAGGCGCGCGCCGCGGGCCAGTCAGCTGGCGGTCCATTAGTTTGAATGAGTTTCGGAACGAAATTGGACGCGCGAGCCGATTGTAATGCAAAAAAATGCGCTTCACGCTCAGAGAGCTCACAGACGCTCACCAAATCAAGGGCGCTGGAAGTGAAACAAATGCCAATAGACCCCCCTGACAGCCTCTGACCACCCTCACCTTGTGCCACGTCGCGAGCATCTTACCCTCTGCGCACTTCCCTGCGTGCCCTCGCTGAGGGTTAAGAGGACAGCATGTCATCTACAGCAGCCCCTCCAGATGCACCAATTCAAGTGCTCTTAGACGACGTGCTCGAGATTCCAGATGAGCAATTCGCCGCGATGTCTCCTGTTGCCGAGTTCATTGTCGGCGAGCTTCTTGCGTTCGAATTTACCCGGCCTGACCTGACCGCAACCCTCGCCGTATCCGAGTTCGAGCCGACATTCCATGAGCATCAGATTCGCCCCGATAGCAACGCCCGTGTATTATTCAACAAAGCTCACAATCTTCGAGAATTGTACGCCTCCGGCTATCGATCCATCGAGGTTCGATCCCCTTGCACGTCGATAGTGGAACACATGCCAATCGGTTCCGAAGCATTCTGGCAACATCTGGACTCTGTCGAGCAGCTGAAGTCAACCATCTCGGATAACGTTGATTGGCTAAGCAATGTTGAGGTCAATGACAAACGCGACGCCGCGTACATCAAGCTGGCAAGCGCCTTGCTTGTTGCATTTCGAACCCCTTCACTGCAATCGAGAAAAGTTGCTCATCACGTCGGCGTCTGCATGCACCACAGTGCGCTATATTTACACAAAGCCGTCACCAGCAATGCCTCACTGCAGTGTTGAGAGCACCGAATCCCTCGGCCTCGTCTCCAACATTGTGATTCAGGAGCTCTTTCCTACGCAAGCCAGTTCCGGAGTCTTCACCAATCGCAACAGCCGCAGCCAAGCTCGAATCTTCTTCTTGAATGGTCACCGGGTCGTCAGCTGCCTTGACACTTACAACTCGAGCATGCAGACCGTTGAGCCCCCAGCTGGTTTTGGCTTCGACGGCCACACTTGGTGAGTCCTGGACCCACAGGCGCAAGCGCGATATTACCAGCTGCAAAGCTTCAAAGGGGTCCTTGTAGCGTCGTTGGCCCCGATTCGAAAGGGACTTGCGCATGCTGGCGAGGAGAGGGGTATTAATGCAGACGGAGGGAGCGGAGCCGATAAGCGGTCGGGATCTTCGCAGGGTCCAAGCGGCCGGCTGTCAAAGCGGACGCGACGTTAGTACCGGGTCGTCGGAGCGATTTTTCGTATTTCTGGCTGTTGGAGAGCGATTTTTGGGCAATTTCACGACATTGAATTTTTCATGTTTCGGAACTCTTCCAATGTACGACCGAAAATAAGTACAAATCGACCCCTCAGACACCTCATCCCGATGTACAAATCGGCCAAAAATCGCCGTTTTTTCGGACGCACATTGGGCTGAGCTTTCCCGGGTCCTACCGCGCCTGCGAGAGAGCCGCGCGCGAACCCCACCCGACCCGACCCCGAGCCGCTTCGGCTGCTGACCGGTGACCGACCACCGCGACCGGACTTGCCGACGGAAAGACCGGAGACTTCAGATCAAGACCTACATCAAAGCGTTCAGCACCATGATGGACAACGATGACGATTCCCCATGGATGCAGGATGACGACATGGACGTTCACCACCCACCGGGCGCCTCCACCTCTGCTCCGTCAGCACATGCCAGTCGTCACGAGGATCGCATCGCCCAGCAGGAGTACAACAAGATGGCCGCGAGGTACCATGATGTAAGCCAGCCAACACCAAATTGGCCACCCAAACCTCACATCCCAGACTGACCCCCTCCCCCCCCCCCCCCCCCCCCACCGCTCCCCTGCCTGCTTGCCTCCCTCCCTCGGCTCACCCTTCTCAGGAAGGTTACCGAGCCGGCATCACCTCGGGCAAAGAATCCCGTCTACAACAAGGCTTCGACGAAGGTTATTCCCTATCCGCACCCCTCGCCCGTCAACTAGGTCATCTCCGCGGCATCGCTACGACCCTCCTCGCCATCCTCACCACGACCTCAGGAGCGAAATATTCTTCGCCCGTCTTGAACCACTTCACTTCCGCTGAAGAGAAGGAACGTGCTGTCACCGCACTGAGGGACGTCGTTTCATGCTTGGGCGCGTTGAGTCAGGAGGATGTCGTACCTGTTGATCAAGAGGCAGAGGAACATAGGAAGGAACACGATGGGGACGCGGGGGAGAATCTCAAAACGATCGAAAGGAATCAGATCAATCAGTTGGATGCGATGATGCAAGGCTTAGGCGCAGCACAAGAATCAGTACCAAGGAGTAAACCGGGTTTGGAGGAGTGCAAACAGAGACTACAGATAGTCTTGGACGCGTGTGGAATGGGGTCGATACCTTTGCATTTCAGCGAGGGCTCGGTCGATGGGATGACGCAGTAGATTTTGGCCCGAACAGCAGCAGCAGAGCATCGAAATCGTATGTTGTATAATTCAAACACCACCACATAAAGACAATATGGCGGAGAAGACAGAACTGAGAGAACTGTTACATGTGTGACCAATCAAACCAGGTCGCAACCCGAGAGCGGCCGAGGGGAGAGAGAACTGAACACGGACGAAAGCAGGTAAAAACAGACAAGTCCACCCAGAAACAATCCGAAAGCCCCCAAAAGACTCAAACGACCATGGAATCATCCCCTGCTCGCAAGTCCTGGATGACCTCCTCGACCTGATCCATCGAGATCCCACTCCCCAAAGCGATCAACTGGCGATACTGCCCCATCTTGGTCCCCGCGCCCAACTTGGCCGTTCGCTCGGCGTACAACCTAAAGTTCTCCTCGCGGCGTTTCTGCAGGTCCGCGATCTGCGACTTGAGTTGTGCTTTACGTTGATCGGCATCGGTAGGAGGGTGCTCAAGTAATTGACGGTACGAGTCGAGATCCTCTTGCGAGTCCTCCACCCCGTTTGAAGACTTGGCTCCCCCATTCAAGCGTAACTCTTCTTCATAAGCCCTTTCCCTCGCATCCTCATCCCGAACCCACTTCTCCCACCCCAAGCGGAATCGATTCCCCATCTTCTTTTGCAACTGAGCGAGCAACTGGTTCTCCTCTTGCGCCAACGCATCCGCATTCGCGACCTGGTCCTGCAAGAGCATGACCTTTTCCCTCGAATCGGCGATTTCGTTCCTTAGGCTCGTGACGAGCGAGGTCGCTTGCGTCGCGTTGCGCGCTTGGCCCGCGAGTTCGGCATCGAAAGAGTCGGCGAGTTGTTCGAGCATCTTGGCCATTTCCGGAACGCATTTGAGCGACGCTCGTTGGGCCGTCTCGGAGGTGTGCAGAGTTTGAGGTGCGAATAGGACGGGTCGGGATGCTCCCCCCGCTGCTTCGGGACCGTTGGATTGTCCACTTGGTACACCAACATGATTTCGACCATTCGCATCGGCAGCCTCGGTTTCGCGGTACTTCTCGTCTTCGAGGATATAATCCTCGGCCGTCTTGCCGTCAAAGTTGGGCAATTTCGGATCGGCGTGGTGGTCGAGCAGCAGTTTGACCAATCGCTTCGACCTCGCCCGGGCCGCGAGGGTAAGAGGGGTCTCGCCTTCTTCGTCACGGAAGTTGAGGATGTCGGCGACTTGATCGGGGTAGTCGGCAAGACGATTCAATACCGTCTCGAGGTAGTACCGTGCGGCGTGGGTCTTACCCTTGCCGAGGGCAATGTCGACGATGTAGTGGAAAACGCTACGGTTGTTGCGGTCGATGTTGACGGTCGAACGATGTAGCAGTTCAAACAGTTCGGGGAACTTGCGCAGGTCATAGTTGTTGGTGAACATGACCGAGCGCATCAGAGCGGTCTGACCTATTGCGTTCGCACGGAAAATATCGGCCCCGGCGGAGAGCAGCAGTTTGACGATACGAATGCGACCCATTGCGCACGCCCAGTGCAGGGCCGTGTGACCATCATCATCGATAACGACGTTGGCGTCAAAGTCCGCGGGCGGATGTAGCAAGAACGCGGGCACCTGCGTCGATTCGGAGACGAAATAATCGAGGATCGCCCGAGCGTATCGGAGCGCGCCGAGCCCTTGCTGCTCTTGCAACTGGCTCGCGTTCGAGCTTCGTGCGGACCCGTTCGTTTGCTTGCGCTTTTTGATCGGAGGGCCTCCCGCTGCGCCTTCGGTCCATTCGCCGTCCATTTCGGATCCGAGCGGGCTAGGGGTCTCGCTCGTGACGCTGCCGTCCTCACTGGGCGTCGGACTTCGGCTACCTTCGGTTACTCCTGCCCTTCGGTCAGCGATGCCATCGTCGCCGAGGTCCGAGACATCATCGTCCATCGGGATATCGTCGTCATCCTCTTCCTCCTCTTCCTCGGCCAAAGCGGCAGCAGCGCGTCGAGCCGCGGCGGCCGTTGGTTTGCGAGGCGCGGCCTTCTTCTTCGGCAACGCTCCATCAGCCGCTGCGGCCTTGACGGCTCGGGGCCCTCGGGTCGGCAGCGCGGTGATGTGCTTGGGTGCGAGAGGGGGCGAGTTGATCGTCGGTTGAAAATCGAACATGGGTTGCAAGAGGTGGTCGACGCCGTACTGCTTGGCGAGCGCGATTCCCTTCTCCATCGGAATCCAGGTGCCTGTAGGAAAACATGGGGAACGACCGCATCAGCAGGGGTCCTTCAATCACATGTATTATTTTAATCTGTTCCCAAGACGGACCTTGGTATTTTCCGTAACCTCCCTGCACTTTCTCATGAACATCCTTCTGCACCTCGCGTTCGAGCACACGCGTCCGTTGCGGCTTGTCGAACCCAGCGACCTTGAGGATCTGCGTGGCGTTGAGCCATGCATCCGACTTTCTTCGCATCACAGCCACGCCATGGCAGGGGAACTGGATCGAATTCGAAGCGACACGAACAAAAGGGAGGCGCGTATCGCGCAGGGTGCGGAGGCGTTGTCAGATGCGTTCGGTAAATGGACGAGTGGAATTGGGCAGACTAAGACTCACCTCGTATACAGGAACACTCGAATAAGTCGCCTTGTAGATCTGGACACCTCCCGAGGGAACGGATGCGGGTGCTTTGGGCATCGTGGCAGCGGTCGTGGGCGAGCGCGAGATGTGGGTGCGAAGCGGAGGCCGAGGTCTTATTGCACGCGTTGATGATACGTGACTTGTACCAAGAAGTTGAGCACGGTACCGTTGATTTGATCCAAGTCGAGATGACGGGAAAGGTCGGGGCTGTACACGACAAGCCACGTGCCCACATCGCCACGCGTATATGAAAACCGCGTCAAGGGCGCGTCCAAGGGGAATAGAAAGTTGTGTACGCGGTCAACTACGTGAATGATGAATCGCAGGTACCTGAAATTATGGACCACATACCTGGGATGTCGTTCAAGCGTGGCCTGAAGGAGGAACGCGTTCCGAAGGGGGGCTTGGGTGCTCAAGAACGCGACGCGTCAAAGCCTTGGGCCGGTAAGGGAGGAAGGCCGCCGGGCGCAGCGGTGGTCAAACGACAGCGAAAAGGATCCAAGTCGAAGCAGAGCAGAGCCTTCTTCGATCAAGGTGGCAGATGGGGGCGGCTGTTGTGAGACGGTTGCGATGATGCCGTACGACGAGGCGTGGGGTGTGCCGTGTGCTGAAAGAGTAGCAGCCGCGTCCCGTGGCGACGTGTAGTTTAGCTCACGATGCACGCGCCGGGGCGCGCCGGCTGGGCCACAAGCGGCCGTGGGTCAGCGCGACAGCTGTGGCGTCGTGTCTGCGAACACCTCAAGAGCACACCCCGGGGCGAACAGGGATAGGGTATTACAGGTGATGTAGGGCCTTTATGGGCGTCTCTGCTGGTTTTATAATACTCTACTAGAGTCAAAAAGTATGTATACGCCAAGGGAAGACGACACATGCAGCTTAGCGGGGCCTTCTCATAGTTTTCAGGGCGTCTCGCACATTCGTAAAGTCAAACCGCTGGCGGCTGGACATGGCGCAACGGCACTCAAGTCATCGACCCAAGGGGTCATTCATCAAGCGATCATTGAGCTCCAAAATTCAAACAGCTTACGCTCCGCCTAATGGGGCGTATTGCCTCGGATCAAGTACGCCCGGGGCACAGCGGGATGGATGCTTGTGCGATAATGCAAGGTTGCCGCATAAGCTCGCGCAGCAGCGGGGTCGGAGGCGTTGGCCGGTGGCGGACGATGACCATGGTAGCCGACATGCCACACGTTTCGAAATTTAGATCTGTCGAAGCTGCAGCGTGAGGCGATCATGAGCTAAAGATATGTGGGGCTGTTGAGGCCGTGAAGAAGGTAATACTTACTTAGGATCCGCAAGCTCTGCTGCCGTGAGATCCGAATCGTCCAGTTGCGCTATGAGAGTGTACGCTTCGCATGTTTTGTGCATCAACGGCCCATGGCATATGTCACAATCTCGCCGAAGTGAGTGCGCCGTACACGTCGAATGCACGTGTCGCTTGGGTCCGTCCCTGGCAGCTGAAACGGTGTTGGAACGCGATCCGACAGACGACGTTCCCTTGGCTCGGTCGATACCAAAGCAGTCGGAATCTGCGCACACATATACTCCCAAGCACTTCGATTTGATGGCTTTGACTTTTGTTGAAAGATGAGGGTACTTGTTGTGGTGAGGACGTTTGCGGTATCTCGAGCCAGACTGTTTGCTGTAAGAGAAGATGGGCTGAATGATCGGACTAGTATTCAACCCATGGCGCTCGACGCGAATTGGGATCGTCCATGTTCCATTGGGGACGTAGGCGCTCCGAATTTCTTCGGGCTTCAATTCTGAGAGAAATACAACGAGGAGGGGGGCGCCTGAAGTATCAAGGCGCATGCAGAAGGGCAGGGTCGCGGGGTCGTCCGGGGGATTTGGCGTCTTAGCCGCGTGCGGTGCCGGCACGTTGGCTCCAGCGAGAGAGGTCGAGTTTGGGCAGCTGCCTGGTTCCAACACGTCGGTTTGAGGAGGGCAAGTCGTAGTGAGCAACGTGCCTCGCTTAGGGTCGGTTGCAGATGCGCCCAGGACGACAGGGCCTTGGCTGTGACCGATTGGCGGCAGATCGACGGTGGTGGGCAAGAAGTGGCCGAGCACCTCTCTCCGTTGAGCTTCGGTGGAGAACATCTGTCTCACATGAGACCAGAGTGTGTTAAAATGATTCTGGCGAAAAGAGCCACCAGAAGAGAACCAACGAGGGAGTAAGAATGTACCTGTATCCAGAGTTGTGGAGGATCCGAAGCTGCTGCGCCTTTGGCCAGTCGAATGAATTGGGCAGAACTCAGGAGCGTTGTGTCGGCAGGGCTAGCAGACTCTAGTTGACTGAAAACATCCGTTTGAAAAATCATGTTTTGTGATCCAGATAAAGAGAACGTGCCACGGGAGTAGCGCCCGCAGGCATCATCAGCTATGGGTACCCAGTTGAGGGTCGAATTAGTGTCAAAGTTTTTGCCGAGTCGGAAATGGCGCGACAGTTGACTGACGTGGGGATGTGCCCTTCCAAAGACACATATTGTGGGAGCCGGTGAACACGTCTCGAAGCGAAAGAAACAAGTCGCCGTTGTATTCGTAAGCGGTCACACCACATGTGGTGGGCTCGAATTGGCTTGGCGATGGCCAGATAGTTGGAACCTCACAGCGATGCACTGTAATAAACGCAGGTTCGTTAGGGCCAAGACGGAAGCATGGGCTACATTCTCCTCCCTTTGTAATGGAATTTCTGTAACGTACCCAGCAAAATAGTCTTGAAGGGGCGTGGTGAAAGACGCTCGGTCACGGATGATGTCACATCGTCGAAGTCGAGGTCAATTTGCCCAGTGTGGATATCTGATGGGAGATTCGACGATTGAACGAGCCGGTATTGCAGTTGCGCATTAAAGACTCGCTTACCTCCCATATTCAGCGCACTGTCGTCGTGATCCAAGACGCCACCAGAATCGTGTGTGCTCGATCCTTCCGAGGAACAGATCGATGACGCGACGCTGAGTCGATGAGGCGAAGGCGAGTCGCGAACTCGTGCGGTTTGTTCGGGTTCCGCCTCGGACATTATGCTCTCCGTTCGAGCGCGACCGTGATCAAACGTGTCGTCTCGTACCTCAACGCTGGTGGACCCTGGCCAGCCACCAGGAGAACTTGCAACGGAACCGCAATTGATCGTCTCGCCGGACGTTCGCGGCTCGGGGAACACAGGCGCTTCCTCTTGCAGTAAAGTCATCGACGACCCCGACTGTAACTAGAGCGCCCAAATGATCAATTTGGGTGGAATGGGCCATCAGACAAGTTCATAAATGCCCCTAAAGATGGATTATGAACGGGTAGCCGCCACCATGAACTCATCGTCTGCTCACCAAGCTGTAGTCTACTACTCGTGGGCGAGTCTGTGGCTCATGCAGCCTCTTGTCCGATCCAGGGGATAGATCCACTTCATTGAAAGACTAGCAGCAACATAAACGTTAGACTTTCAAGTAACGACATGGTCTGATGACTGAGGCAGTACGCACCCTTCGCAGTCTGACGGCCGAGCGTGAATGGGTCGCGTCAACGGAGTCGTCGGACAAGCCTTGCTGGGATGACCCCGGGGGCTCGAGATCCTCATACCCATCATCGAGATTCGATCTCCAAAAGGTTTTGAGTTCGATTCATGTATGTGTGTTTGCGGCGACGGAGAAGTAGCTGGGAACGCCGGCGGCGACGGAGCGGCACCGGACATTGGCAGATGATCGAGGACTTGGAGACGCGTCCGACGCGATTGAAGTCTTGCTTCTCGCTCGGAAATCGGAGGTGGGGCATGAGCCTTTGGGTTCCGCTTGTTTCGTTTTCCACGGGCCATCGGTGGTGGCCTGTGTGGTCGACTCGAAGGAAAGCACCGCCAGTCGCGGGCCGCAGATGGACGCGTGCAGCACTGACGTACTGACAAGTACTGACAGGCACTAATTTGTCGGGCCGAAATTGAGTCCCCTGAGTCGAGTCGCGGCGGTAGAGTGGTCAGTCACGAAAAAGGACGAGTTTGCAGGATTAACAGAGCTCGATACGGAGGCTTGGTACCATCTTGACGCCTTGTTATTTTCTACACGTATATCAACCTGAAGACAGCTCGGTCTCTCTCGTTGCGCGGTGCTCTGGCAGAGCTTCGGCCCCGGCCGACTTGTGACCATCGACTTGTATCTTCTTCATCAGCTCAAGGAGATTGGGGAGACGCATCATTGGGCCAAACTGGTGACTGCCGGAGTGCATGCGCTGTAGCAGTGATGAATGGGATCCAAACTTTTGGGGCGTACTTGATCCGAGGTTCGGAAGTCCACCCCATCATGCGGAGCGTAAAATGTTTGGGGCGTACTCTCCGCCAACGAATGTGCGGTACGCCCCGAAAAATATATAGTTATTACTACAGCTCCGGCTAATATGCATGTATCGTCTTCCTTTGTCGTATGCATACTTTCATGAGTCTAGTAGAGAATGATAGAGCCAGGAGGGACGCCCATAAAGGCCCAACATCACCTGTAATACACTGTCCTGTCCGCCCCGGGACGTACTTTCGACCGCACCCCTGTGTCTCACAGAGTGACGCCCAGCCTCGAAGCTGCGGGACGCTTGGCTTGAGGTCTCGATCGCGATGTCACAAACAATGAGACGCGACTCAACGTAGAAAACATAAGACATGGACCCTTTGTCAAAGACGATACTGAACATTGGCGGGTCATTCTTCCAAGTCCACTTGCGGCCCGACTGTAGTATTTTTCCTTTTGTTCCGCGGACGACACGGAGCACGACTTGTCTGACATCACACGCCATATTTAGACGAAAATTTGATCATTCCGAAGTATCGGAAGTTAGAACGATCAAGACACGTGTACGCTATCGACTTTTCAACAGCACCCCTGTTGTGCTCGGTTCGAACCTCCAATTCTAGGATGACCGGGCAAGGCAGGATCCTAATGTCCCTTGTTGGGACCATGTTTTTTCTTCTTGTGCGTCTTGTGAACAGACGTACTTTGAGTCGACTTTTTGCAAACTGTGAGGGGATGTATTCACATGAGGGTGAAAAATCGAAATTACGATCCCGCCGACGGTCCACACCGTCACGAGCCCCTGAGTGTGGGACCGCCCTCAGGCCTGCTACAGCGGGACGCCGAGGCGCTCGCGCGGCAAGTACGACTCGGCAAAGGGATACATGGGGAGTTTGAAGGGGTAAAGGCAAATCTCGACCTACCATAGGGCCGATGGTTGGCATCGGTCTTTGCTTTCATACATTTGCTGCAGAGTTGTCTTTTGATGGAGGGGACTTCCTTCGCGCATCCTAGGTAACCGCGATTGACAGGAGGACCAATTGTGCAAGAGGAGACCATGGGCCGTCAGCTCCGCTTTCGGCATCGTTGCAGCAGGGAGCTCACCTGGCGTTGCATTTAGACACTCGACCAAGCGATCGGTGAACACGGTGTCCTCGCAGATGCACCTGATCTTGTCCCACCCAGTACACTGGTTGAAAGGAATAAAGGATGTGAGACTGAGCAGGTTGGCATGAGGGCGACCACGGTTCACATGATCGCTGGGCAGATATAAGATAGGAGGGCTAGAGTGTGACGAGGTCCGCGTGACGCCGCCGCGACTTGGCGATCAGTATCACTCACATCCGTCGATTCGAAGACAGCGGTCCCACAATCCTTTTGACAATGGGACATCCGGGGAACGATGGAAGCAGCCGAATTCACGGCTAGAGAAGCGAGGATGAGGAGATTGTAGCCAACCATGGTGAGCTGAGTTTGCGTGAAGCCGGATGAGAAAGGGGAAGGGGAGAGTGAAAGAAAGGTGGGTTGGCTTCGGCCCATCAAGACACGGTCGAAGACGGTCATCTCTAGTTGTACCGACCGTTAGTTCTCGGCCGAGTCGTTGCTTGAAGACTTCCTCATGAAGAAAGGTTCGGCAAAAATCTCAAGGGGACGTTCTCACTCGACTGTTGGAAGCCCTCCTAAGAAAATACAGGCTACCCCCTACCTCGCCCTAAGAGGTGTAAGAGGTGTAATAGGTGTTCTCAAGACGAGGGCCAAAAGCGCTTTCGAAGCAAGACCGAAATTCACCAGATAGACCTACATTCTGACACGCCTATCCCGCAGCTTCTCCCAAAACCCTGACGACATCCCGACCGTTGAACATCTCATCTCAAGCTTTCCTACATCTCGAGCACTTTCATTCCGAGCGCTTAGTACTTCGGCTGGATCTGGGACGCTAAAGAGAGATAGTGGGAGGAAATCAGAAATCATAGATTTCAACGAGTCAGCTAATCTTGCTCAAAGTTAAAATGAAAGTGATGATTAGCCTCCCCTGTTCCCAACCGCGTCGCGCTGTGGCGTACTTCGAACCGGCCCCTGAGTTTGCGCCTTAGTCTGTACCACGAAAGCGTAGAGACAGAGGTAGGCATCGTACCGGGAGCTTCAGGGTACGTATGCTGTTGGCAAGATGTGCAAATTGCGCGATTGTGCCTCTTGAATGCGAATTGCATCCTGCATAGATCGAAAAGAGATGGGTCGGTCAGTACGAGAGGGGGCGACGCGCGGACCCGGGAGGTCAAAGACGGAATCTTGTCTGGAGGGTTCCAAAAGAGGGGCGTACCGTAGGTGTTCATTAGAAAGACCTTGAGAGATTTAGTGCACTTCTCATTTTGACAAATGCCGTCCCATTGTTCCGAGTTCCTACACTGTCAAGCATAGACAGCATCAGAAGCGGGCCGGAATAGTCGGCATCCATGGCCGTAGTGATGGTTAATAAAAGAAGTGGCAGGTGATGAGAAAGAGAGAACTAGACCTTGGTCAGAGAGTCGCTCTTGGACTAGTCCGACGGTGCATGCCGAGGTTGTACGGGCATTAGCCTCACGCCAAATATGCGGCCGCAAATTCACCGGAAGATAGGGGCTGAAAACTGCCGCGACGTTGTCCAGTCGACTCCCTCCTTTCCCTCACCATACCACACCGTTTCCTGAGTCATTTTCGGAAGTAGCTACACGTGGCTTTTATCTAACCTTTCCGTCGCTCATACAGTAAGCTGACGGGCAGGCGATGTCGGAGACCACACATGCACAATATTCAACGATCGAGCATTCGACATTTGGGAAAAGCCTACATTCGCAATTACCACATGAACCTAGCCACATCCACAACCCCTTCATTCGTGATCCGCGTCCAGGGTCGCTGAACGAAAACCCACATCGTGACCGCATTCACGAGCCCGTAAAGCAAGCCCTCCATCCATACCGCTCTCTGTGTTCGAGGGCGTATGTGGAGTCGTATGAGGACGTAAGGGATGAGGAAGTAGCGAGGTTCGATAAGTGGACTTGGGATGATGACGAGCAGGGTCGTGAGGGCCAGTCCTAGGGCCTCGAGAAGCCGGAATGAACTCGCTTCGACTGGAGAGGATAGTGCAGTCGAGCCGAATGTCAGCCTTCACTTCAACTCAGGAGTGAATAGGTGCTACTCACTGACTACATCAAGGAACAATCGCCCTGCGAATATGTACCCTGGCGCAAGCAGGTACCGTGCGGCTGGGAATCGATTGACGATCCGGCGCAGCACGTAGAAGGTGTAGTGCCGGTTATCAGCCAACAGGAAGCGATGTAGGATGCTGCAGATCGGAGCAGAACATTGCTTCAGCTCTGTCTCCACCAGGAAAGCTATGCATTTGTAGCACGTACGTGTGGTATCTGATGCAGTACAACGCGACACCCATCGCCAGCGTACTTGTCACAATTCGTCTGTTCGAGCAGAACGCGAGGAAGATTATTAAACCGCCAGATACTGATGCCGATCATAATCCGATGGCAGCCCAGATTTGATACAACGTCGGTACTCACCTTGGGGTACCAAGTAGATTCCTCAGACTTCTGGAGACGTTGCTCGGTGTGAGGGTATAAGGTGCCAAGAAGCCGGTGAAGGCGAAGAAGTAGAGGGGTTGGACGAGATGGAGTGTAGGTACGTGGTTCGCCTTGTCCCCTGTTGATGGTCGTGAAAAATGAGATTGCCTTTCACTGAAACCGTGGCCATAAGACGCCCATAGACTCACCGAGGACGACACCTCCGTTCCACTTGATGAACGCAGCCGCGCCCAAAAAGACGGGCAGGTACGACAAGATGATCGGCAGGAGTTGAGGAATGGACCGCAGACCAAGATCCACCACTGATATAGCTGAAGAGGGAATTTCGGCTGTTGCCAAGTACGAGTCCTCGGTTTGCTGCATCAGCGGCCGAGGCTTATTATTTCCGATATTGAGGAGGTATGAAGCTTACCGAGGTTGGTGTTCGCCAAGAGTGGGTTCTTGAGTGGTCTCTTGGCTTTTTGGCGCGAAAGAACACGAATGATTGTGGAAGCGGAGACGAAGGCAATCCATAAAATATTGGTTTGACGGAACGTGAGGGAGGCGGCTCCGACCTGTTCGATTTGAAGAATGCGACCGGTCAGGCGAACGAAGACCTCCGAGAGATCCTCATCAACATCTACTGACCAGGGCTGACTTGAGCCATTCTCCTTTGAGCGCAAACGAATGAGCCAATAACACGAGGACGAGGGACCCCGTCTCGGTATAGTAGAGGTACCCGAAGAACCAAGCGATCGGGAATGTGGCGATGAAAATTGCTTCTGAGCTGAGGCTTAGACCGCGTATGGTTGTCGTCTCGATAGCCGGTTTATTTCCTTTGACCTTTTGCTGTGTCGATGTATCTTCTTGAAGTGTTTCAAGGAGTCCGGATACCACGTAAGGTAGATAGCTGAGGAAGAGAAAATTGACGGCGCGTAGACCGGCGGTCGAGCAGAGGTATGGCCGCAGCGGAGCGATGAGGTAGGCTGGAATGGCCGATATGAGGTATCTTGAGCATGCGTTGAGGAGCCAAAAGTCAGCAAATTTGAACACCTCCCCTTCGAGCGAACACAGTGGCCCCTCCTGCGGGGCTCAATCCCCACATCCCCCCTCTCAAAATTGAATACACTTAGTGAAACAGAGGCTACTTACAACCCGGGTGGAGTCGTCAACGCCGGATCCCAGAAACCAAAATCTCCTCTACAATATGCGCGAGCTTGAGGTATATGGATCAGTTCGTCCATGTACGGCGTGGGACCGACGTCCTTGAGCACCGCGTAGAAGGTGAGGAGGTTGGTTGCATGGTAAGCTGCTGTGAGAGCTCCATTCGTCTTGCGAGACAACATAGAATCTAGAAGTACACGGCTGACGCTGGTCAGGTTGTTTTGCACCTTGGGACGTGATGGGACGTGAGCTCGGTGTGGGGAAGGGAGAAGAGGATGAGAGTCACACCGCGGAGGACACGAGTCTTTCCGGTCTGAATGGGTCGCTCACAATTTCTCGCAATGTTCCCCCAGCTCTTCCATCAATACACTCCACCCGCAACGCAGCTCAACAAAAAACAAAATCGGCAAATCACAGACTTACGTGGACCAGGCACAGATGACAAATTGATTCGCAGAAGGGAAAGGGTAGGTGAGCTACAGGATGGTCAAAATTGGCATGAGGGCCACAACGTGCTCGGGGGAGATCACGCTGTTCATATATAGTATATACGAGAAGACCGAATCAACGGGTGCGAAGGACAGAGAATGATTGGAAGAAAAGAAAGGGGAGGGAGGAGGCCATATCGCAGAAAAAGCAAACGTAAAACAAAGTGTCTATCGGCCGCACGCGTCGATCCTCCATCATTTGGATCCAGTTTGGGCCCAGTCGAGGTGGGCACCGACAGCTTGCAATCGCTCCATAGCGACCTTCCGCAACTGCTCGAACGCGAGCTTTTGTCGTTCCTCATCCGAGATCACGGGGATCCCATCGACCTGCGTCGGGTCCGTCATACTCGCGGACCCGGCTGTCTCGACGGCGCTGTCGGCAGGTCGCAAGATCTCCTGACTCAAGCGTGACAAAGACGATTCGCCCCCCTTGCGCATCGCCGAAGCACCAACGAGTGACCTCGATCGTCGTTGGTCGATCGATCTCTCGATCAGAACTCTCCCCGCCGCACTTCTCGAGCTCCTCCTGCCGAGCGTGTTCGTCGACCTCCGACCTCGGTCCTTGTCGTTCTCGCGATCGTCCTGTTCGTTATCATCAAAGAGCCCGCGACGACCCTCGCTCCATCTTTGCGGCTTGTTGAAGAGTTGATCAAAGTCCCATCGGTTGTAGCTCGTCACTTCCATCGTCAGCGGATGAGCTCCGCTTCCCCCCTCGATCTGCGAGGTCGGTGGCGTCGATGCGACCGAAAAGGCTTCTTCGGCCGTCGGCAAGTCGCCCGAGGATGACGAGACGAAGCTCGCATTGGCGTTGCGATGCATGTACATCGGACCCGCCATCGAGGATGAAGGCGTACCTGACCAGTTCGGTGACGAGAAGCCCCACTGGATCGCCGACAGGGTCTGCTGTTCGGGACTGAAGAGGGGCGACGCGTCTTCTTTGTCGGCATCGAAATAAGAAGACGACGATGACGACGACGACAAGGAAGCTGCTCCCGGAAAAGATGAAGTCGATGCGTGCGTGGGTGGCATCGCCTCGACCTGCGAGCTCGGACCGGTTGCGAACGCGGCCCAATCAGCATCGAGGCTTTCCATCTTGGTCGACCGGTTCGATGGGCTGGTCAAGCCCTGATGATGGTCGGTGTTGCCATTGCCATTGTGACCCGAAGGAACGGACTTGGCGCCGAGCAGACGAAAGGACGAGGGCGGGGACGATGACGCCGAGTAGGACGAGGGGCTCCGAGCCGACGGCTGAGGGGGGATGAAGGAAGCCGGCGAGACGTGCTTGGCCAGCTCGTGCAGCGGACGCGCGGAACAAGCCACTGCAACGGCGTGGGAAGATGGGATCTGCGTCAGAATGGGTGGGGCAATGCGCTCTGGATGGTGTGCAATGGGACGTACTGTTGGCACTGCAACGTTGCTGTGGGCAAGACTGCCACCAGCGGGCGAAACGACCTCACCTGCAGCTCCGGCAACCAAATCCGAACTCCGCACGCGATACGGCCGAGTGTGCGTCACGCGACAAGTCGAGTCGATGATCGCACTGTTCGCACACGGCAGCACACAGCAGGGGGTCACTCGCGAGGCTATAAGTCCTGAGGCGAGTACGGTATTGTCGGATGCATCCCACTCGCAAGAACGAGGCGGTGCGGTCGGTCAGGGGTCGTGATAGGGAGGGAAGCAGAGCTTACTAGCGCGGTGCCAGGGGCGATCTACGCTCGCCGCGATCGAGCCAAGTGAGGCCAAGTGCGGCACGCGGCTCTGGCCGGTAGTTGGCCCTCCGCGCCGGCTATAGCTATAGCGCTATTTTCCAGAGGACTTCCCTTCGGGCAGCCTACGGGGATCAGCTGGGAGTCGTATAGGTGCGCTCACCGAGAGCCTGGGATATAGTTAGTAACAATTGGCAGCGTATACATCGCTCTTGAAGCCCGCCGTGTTGGGATTTCTCGAATCCCGGCTGCCTCCCGAAAGTTGCAGCTCCTAGGCCTGCTGGCAGTGGTGACTCCCAGTTAGGGGCGCGCGATGACAGCTTTGCAGGCCATGAATTGGTGCCACAAATGCTTCATTAAAAGCAATCAAAAAAAAAGAGGGGGGGGGGGGGGGGGGGGGCTTTATTGAATCCTGAAAGGTGCAATTTCGGTCTTCACTACGAGTTTTTCCAAAAGTGTCAACACCGCAATCGAGTAGGGGTACGAAGATCAATAGGCTCTCTTTCAACTACTTCAACGCACGCTAGGGTTTACATCACATTCATTTCAAACGATCACACAAAGCAAAGAGAGAGAAGAAGCTCAACACGAGGAAGGCTGGTTTGCGAATGGTTGAAGGAGCTAGAGTCAGTGTAAGGGGATGCCATACTGAGGAACAGCCCCATAAGTAGCCTCCGACTGAGTAGCTAGAACTATCGAGTTCTAGTTACGACTTGCTTTTTAGCCTAGCGGTCAAGCTTTTAGCCTAGCGGTCAAGAACGACGGATTGAATGTTATGCACATCAGAGGCGCATACCTTATTACAGTCAGAGTCTCACTGGACGCAGCCTTGTGTCACGCCGTGTGGCCCGAGCGGTGCCAGAGAGTGTAGCACCGAGCTCCACAATAGTCTCGAAAAACGGCGGCATACTTGCCTGGGAACACTCGCCCGGTCGGAATAGGGACTTCGTTCTTCCAGGTACCAATCTCTTGGTGCATCTCAATCGCTGAATTACCCAAGATGCTTAACGACGATGCCATGTGCTTCACAGCGGCGTTGCATGTTCGCAGCTTCCGCTAGCTGCGGCAACCGCCACATTCAGCGGCGGGTGCAGGGTTTAAATTATCTGCACCAGCCGACCTTGTATTTCCACGCCAGACGCGGCTTTATATTCTGATATGTAGTGCATGTTCTTTCATGCAACTTTATACTCGATCGCATCCCGCGACACTCTCTGAGCGACGTTGCGTAACACATGCGGCCGCCCATCCGCCCGTACTCTAGACCCACAACGCGATCCCAGGTCTTCCTAGTCCATCCAACCTCGCCACTTCTTCCCACGTTCCATCCTCCTCCTTGACCTTACTCAACACGACCTCATCCGAATCATGAACCGCAATAGCGACCCAAAGATCCTCCTCCCCATTTCCAGCCTTCCTCTCCCTCTTACTCTCAGCAGAAAAAGCGAAATGCCTCGGACCCCTTCCCCCACAATCGATCAACTTTATTCCTCTGGGATCGATCTTGCCCGTTTCGATATCGATGGGGAAGATGGCCACGGAATCATTCTCCCCTTCTTTGGTCCCGTTCAAAGGATCATGATCCTCGGCTCGGTTCGCGATGTATAACCATTTCCCACTGGGGTGGACTTTGATTTCCGAGGCGTGCCATCGCTCGAAAGGGGATTGAGTACCCTTGGGAGCATCGGGGAGGGTCGAGATGGAATCTTGCAAGAGTTTGAAGGAAGGCGTTGATGCTTCGTCATTGGCGTAAGTGACGCGGAAAACGCTGACGGAGTTGCTCAGTTCGTTCGAGACGTAGAGCGTCGAGTGAGAGACGGTAGGAGGGGAGAAGGCGACGTGACGAGGTCCGGAGGAAGGTGTGAGAGCGACGTTGACGTGGTGCGTGAGCGTACCGGAGGGGGAGATGAGGTATACGCGGAGGTCGTCGGTACCTGTTCGGCATCGAGAGGCCGAGTTCAATTATAGGAGGCCTTCAGGATCAGTCATCCGCCAGGCGAACCCTCATGTCCGAGAGTTTTTCCCTCACTTACCGAGATCTGAAACGACCAAGACTTTCCCCGTCGGATCGACATGCGCCTCATGAGGATGTTGTTGCGTCTGTCTCCACGAATGAGGTCCGGGGGTACCCCTCTCCGCAAGGGAATGGACGACCGCCTCGACCTCGGTATCGAAATCTCCATTCTCCTTCACTTGATGAACGACAATCGACCTTCCTTTGTAGTTGGTCGAGACAAATTTCCTGGGGTGGGTGTGTTCGAGAAGAGAGGAATGGCAGGGCCACATGCCTTGCGAGGAGACCGTCGAGAGCTTTTTCAGCGCAAGGGTCTTGGGGTCGACTTTGTAGGCTGTGAGTTGGCCTTCAGGTTCGTTCCATTCATCCGTTGCGTCTGAAATGCACGAGGAGCGATATATCACGTTTGGTATGAAATTCGGAGGAAAGATTGTCGGATTTATCAGTCGGCATAGGGGCGTCGGAGATAGGGGTCGGTGGGCAAGTGGAGTCGTGTCAGCACTGGTCCAGTCCAGTCCAACCCCAAAGCTCCATCACTCACAAAGATAAGCCCGATCCGAACTCAACGTCAACCAAGTCGGCGCGGCCCCGGCACTTTTCACTATCGTAGACCCCTCCCCCCCACTTGGTGGTCGCGTCTCAGTCAAGGTCGCGTTCCTTCCTTGCGAAGGTGGGGTGAACTCCAAGGTGTAGATGCATCCTCCGTATCCACCGACAAAGAGATGGTAAGGTTCTGCCATGATTCGTGGATGGTGCGCACGGGTCTCGGGGTACGGGAGAAGAGAGTTCGTGTGTGGACTTCGGGGTGGGGGAAGAGGAATGACAGCACGCAGTCAGCCGGATTTGTTCCGTTCCGAAAGCACAGCGGATAATTCATGCGGAGCATTACTCATCCTGGCGGAAAGGGCTGCATGTGGGCGCGGAGCACCCCCCCGCCCCCACGTCCCCGTGAGCACGAGCATCGATAAACAAAGGAAAGCACAGTACCAGCTCAGATACAGTGCAAGAAGTATACAGCAACACATGGAACGGTGACTGTAAAAAACTACTTTCATCTCCGCCTTCCTTCACCCGATGAACGTCTCTTCCTACTCGACCTCTTATCAGCGTGAAAACTCCTCCTCGGCCCTCTTCGCAAACGATCCCTTACCTCAACTTCTCGTACTGCTCTTCTTGACCGTCCCACAACTGGAACACGTCCAAAAGGCATGTTGGTTCATCGTCGTACACGTACTACAGATCCAGCCCTCGTCTAATTCCAATATCGATGGATCAGGAGCTCCTGCCTCCCGGGCGACCCGATGCGGACAAAACAACATTGTGGGTTTATTGATATGAGGTCGCTCAGTCGCGCACATCTCGCATGTCAAGAAGGGTAAGGTGTTGTCGTAGGTGCAGGTCGGACAGGTCCAACTGTCGCTCGTCAAGGAGGATGGCAAAGAAACACTTGACGAGGTACGAGCCCGTGACGCAGGGCGACTACTGGATCCAGGTGCTTGTTGTGAGGTTGTCGAGGGCGTACTGGATGATGATCTGGTCTTCTTCGCTGGAGCTGCATTCGGTGGCGGAGGATGTTGTCGTTTCGACGGCCCGGCAACGGACAAGATCTCAATCCCGTCCGAGCTCGGATTCGGATCCGACTCCTGTTTGACCTTGGGAGGTGCAAGATCACCGACAACGCGAGAAATATCTTCGTCTTCGCCATCCGAGTCCAGTGTGAGGTCGACGACGTGAACAGTCCCATCGGCTTCGGCTTGGTCAATCTCGGCTTGGATCGTCGGGGGTAGGTGATGGTCTCCCGAATGATCGGCGCCACAAGCCTTGTTCGCTTGGGCTCGTCGTTCGGCCGCCTGTTATTGACACCATACATAGTTAGAAACGGAGACTGAGCATTGCGTTGCAGATCGACTCACCTCAGCCAGGATCTCCCCTCTCGTCTTCCCCTTGGTGAAGCCCACATCACCTCCCAACCTCCCCCCCTTGCCCATCAATTTGCCCAACCTCATCCTTTCCTCCGCTTTCTTCAACGCCAATTCTCTCGCCTCTCCCATTGAAACATCATGGCTCCCCCCTACCCCAACCCGTTCCCCACGTCCGTAGAACCCTTCACCTGACCATCCGGTACTGACGAGCGCGTCGAATTCCTTGTTCAGTCCGTCGAGGAAGGTGAAGAATTTGGTGTCGTGCGGTCCGTGGACGTTGTGTGTGAGTTCGTGGAGCATCGTTCCGATCAGCTGCTGGGAGAGACCGGGAACCACGGGGTCAGCTCGAAGCGGTCGCATTGACTTTTGACATCACGTTCGCTGTCCGGGTTTTATAAATTGGACCAAGAGGGGCTCACATCTTCCAAAGGGTAAAACGAAGTCGGTCGATTGGCCGGCCTTAACCTCAAACAAATCTTTTCACCCCCATTGTAATTCACACCTGCTCTCGTGACACCCCAAGTCACGAGTCAGCTACCTAAGCTTGCACGTGAAAGCCCGGCTCAGAGGCGGTCCACGGACCTAGCAGATTCGATTGTTTGGGGAAGAATTCGACGAGTTTGGGTAAGGTCCAGCCGTGTTTCTTCATGATAGGCTTGACGAGCTACAAAGGCCAGCAGTCGGTTGACGAGTCAGAACGAGGGCGGGGACTAATGGTGACGAAGTGGTTGAGGAGCGTGATTCGTCCCGGGGTCGTGAAAGCGCCCTTCTCGCACGTACGGAATGTATCTTCCTGAGCAATGTTAAGGCCTCCTAATCGTCCGGAGACCGTGAAAAGTGCCATGTCAGCGGGAACTCTCACGCCAGCCCGAGCAATGACGCGTCGCAACCACGCCTTCGCGAAACGAAGCCTCGGACTCACATCGGCTTTCGGTTGACTCTTGAGTACGGTGAATTCAAGCACCGTGCCCGCCGTCGAGTTCATGATGGATAATAGACGGCAAGTGATGGTGTCGACCCGACACGAACCACTCGTGCGGGCGGGCGAGCGGGCGGACAAGTGGGGTGCAGTGCGGAGTCAACGAGCGCGCTCACACGACGAGCGAGACTGGTCTCACTTGCTTTCGCAGTCACGTGACGGCGCGAGCTTCGGGAAGCGCCGAGCTCTCCTTCGATTTGCGACAGAGCCTGAAGTGCAAATTAGTGAGCCTGGTGGGCATGCAATGCAAAGGGTCCTACACACAGCCCCTCAAGCATCAGACGCCTCATCCTCGCTACCCTCACTGCCCTCACTGCCTTCACTGCCTTCACTTCCGCCTTCCTCCTCGTTATCCTCCACCTCCAGCGCCGCAAAAGCGCCCAACACGGCCCTCGCCGCCTTCTCGTCCTCCACCTCCTCACTATCCCCCTCACTCTCGTCGTCGTCGTCGTCCGCACTCTCCTCCGTATCATCTTCACTCCCACTCTGCTCCTCCTCCCCCTCTCCCTCTCCCACCAACCTCCTCCCCCTCCTCTCCTCCTTCTCACTGCCGACCTTTCCCCCTCCGACAAACCCCTTCAACCAAATACCCTCCTCCCCTCCCTCCCCACCTACATCCCCCTCCTTGAAATCAGGTCTAAAACCCCACGGGATTCCACTCGCATGCAACTGCCTCAACACGAACGCGCCCGCTCGGTATAAATCAGGTCGTCCCGCTTTGGCGGTGATGAAGCCTTGGGAGAGCGCGTATTCGGTCAGGAGGGAATCGGTCGTCCATTCCGGAACGGGGTTATCGTCGAATGCGTTGGGGTCGTAGGAGGGGTGTTGGATCTTTAAAGGCTTTTCGAGGGGCATGCGTTGCGCGACAAAGTGCAACACGGGCTCGACCTTTTGGGACAGAGGACGATCAGCCGCTGCGCGTGATAGCTTACATGCTTGATCCGCAGACTGACGTTTTGAATAGGGAGGATCCCCGAAAGTACTTGACGCTCCATACCCGCGAATGAAGGGCACACAAGCCCTGTAGCGAGAACTCAACCTTTCAGCTCCCAATGCCCCTTCTCCACCCCCGAAACCCTAGTAACTGACCAGGACAATCGCACAACCGAATCGTCGAGTTCCAGAAAATTGTCTGCAGCGTCTTGGTCTTGCCCGGGGTCCTCGAAGCCCTGACGACCTTCTTCCCCAAAAGGGCATTCAACAGACTTGACTTTCCGACGTTGGGTTGTCCGATCAAGCCAATGGTGAGGTAAGGGTATTCTTCGTCGTCTTCACCTGCGGTTTCGGCATCGGGATCGCCTTCTTGTTCCTCCTCTTCCTCCTCTTCCTCCTCTTCCTCCTCCACAGCTTCCCCGGTTTCTCCTATCGGCTTCCTCATCACGAACCCTTCGACTTTTTTCGCCCTCCTACTCTTCTTCCCTCCTCGAATACCCGACCTCACCTCCTCCCCACCCCCTCGTTCCAACCTCTTTCTCTCCTCATCCCTCTTCCTCACAACCTCCTCGTCCTCCACCGTATCCCACTCCACCCCTCTCCTCACCCTCGGCCTCCACCTCGCCACTCTCTCAGGATACCCCCTCACTCCCTCAGGAGGTTCCAACAAGTCCTTATGCGCCTTCTTCAACGCGCCCAATAAATCCTGCCGATTCGCCGAAGGAGCAGCAGGTACGTAACGCGCTTGAGTACCTTGAGTCAAAGCCGAACGTTCGATCTCTCGATAAGCTTGCATTTGGACGACTTGGGCTCCTTCGGGACCTTCGCGTTCTTCAAAGTATTTGGTCCAGGCTGTGGCGAGGTAAGGGGGTACGAGGTCCGTTTTGGTGAGGACGAGGATCACCTGTGCAGTGGAGGCGGACGTTCTTCTTTGAGCGGGGTATTTGGCGGTGCAGCGGGTGAAAATTCTCGGGGACGTACCTTTTTCTTGGGCCGAAGAGTCTTGACGTATTGTTCCAAAGCCGGCGGGTAATGGATCAAAGGGAAGCGAACATCTGTTCAAGTCACGCGCGATACTCATCAGCCCCAATCAAAGAGAGGGAGAGAGAGCGAGACGGGAGGGCGACTGACCGACGAGAATGAGCAAGATCGACGAAGCCTCGCTGACTCGCCACAACTGTCGCCAAACTTGGAGATTACGTTCGTAGAAAGAAGGCGAGGTACGAAGCGGTCCAGCCGCTTGGGCCATTTCGGCATGTTGCGCAAGTAGTTCGTCGGTCGAGTCGAGCCATTTCTTGAACATGCCCTCTACGAAGAATCGAGGTGTCAGTCAAAGTGAAGGCAGATTCTTCTTGATCGGGCGAGCCCGCAGCGGACTGACCTTCGTTCTTTTCAACTTCAAGTTTGGTCATGGTATACTTCCATTTTGGTCTCTTTGGACACGTCAATTGATCCTGCAGATCCTTGAATTCCAGCGGCAACAATCCTTCTTCCTTCAGAATGCCGCGAACGGAAGCGACGGGGCGTTCGAGGGGTTCGGTCGAAGCGACGAGTCGAAAGTGTTGGATGAGGTCGAGGGGAAGTTTGAGGAAACGGGATTCGAGCTTCATCTTGCCGTTCGCTTTGGCGATCTCTTCGGGTGTTCGACGCGAGGGGAAGGTCTGGCGTTTCCTCACGAGCGCGGAGGTCGAGTTGGGGTGGGTCGATGACGTTGAGGCAGCAGCACCACCACCGTTCAAGTTACCGTGTCCGGCGAGAACGGAGCGATAGCGTGAGGCTGTGGAGCCGTCGGCGGTGACGAGGGTAGCCGTTGAGGGAGTTGACCGAGTGAGTTGATCATGTTGATCACGTTTGGTCGCTCTGTGGGCTTGTAGCTTTTGCTTCTTGTTCTTGGCCGAGTTGGGTTTCTGGGGGAGTGAAGGTACGAGATGGTGGATGGGGTCAGATCAGCTCAGGTCTAGCCATGCGGTCAGTACTGTTGCAGCGTACTTACCCTCCTGGCCATGATGAAGATCGGATCGTGGTCGGAGCCAGAGCCAAGGCGACGGGGTGAAGTCGAGTTGTGTGCGAAGGCGCCAAAGTGGTGCGCCGCGCGCGCGTGCGACGGGTGACAGGTGACAATTCACGACCAGCTTCTCAAATGCCGCATTAGCAGTGCATTACTCCAACTGACGCCGTCTCGCGGGGGCACGCTCTGCTCGTCCCAACACCCCACACCGAACGACCGACTTTGAAGATGGTCCGCAGTACGATCATTGCTCGGACAACAGACGGTCAGTCCCCACCCTTGGTCGCGGTACATACTGTTCCAGGCTGACCCATCTTGATCCGCATCCCGATCTTGGTCACTCGACTCGAACACGTGAACGTCCCCGACTCGAACTCACGACTCCTCGACCAGGTCTGCCCTTGGCTGCTTCCAATGACGATGATGAACAGGTTCGTCGTGACCGAAGATTATACGCTGCGAGCCACAAGATCGAGGGCGGACTGGACTGGACTGGACTCGAGGCGATCTCGCGCAAAGTGGCCGGTTCAACTTGTCACTGAGCCCCTCGTCGCTCGTGGGCCACCGTGCTCGCTCGAGCAGAGCACAACATTGCTCCCACGCACCACATCTGCTTTTCTTGTGCGGTCTCGATCAACGCTGACACGTTGTACACTCCCTTCCTTCTTCAACTCCGATTCGGGCTACCCTCGGACCGACCTTCCTTCGCGAATTCGTCCTGCAATCGACGCGCCCCAAACAGGATCCCAAGTTGCCCGAATACAAGCAACAGGCCAAGATGATCTTCCGTCGGGTCACGCCTCAGGCCGAACCGCGTTGCTCGATCGAATCCGGCGCTTGCACACTCCAGTCAGTCAGACTTCCTCGACATCTCTTCTGAAAGTAGGCGCACCCAACCCATCTCAAAACCACGCTCAACTCCCCCTCCACAGCTACTTGATCAGCGATTCGATCATCTACCTCGTCATCGCCGACAAGTCGTACCCTCGTAAACTCGCCTTCGCTTACCTCTCCGAGTTATCGACCGAATTCGCTCGCTCGTACCCTCCTTCCTCCTCTCTCAAACCCGGTCTTCGTCCCTACGCCTTCGTCAAATTCGACACCTTCATCCAGAGGACCAAACGCTTATACCTCGACCCACGAGGAGCCGAAGCATTAGGAAAAGGCGCTTCCACAGCCAACGGTGGTCCCACTTCAGGACTCGATCAACTCAACGAGGATCTGCAAGACGTGACGAGGATCATGACCAAGAACATGGAGGATCTCTTATGGAGAGGGGATTCGTTGGATCGTATGTCGACGATGAGTTCGAGTTTGAGGGACGAGAGTTTGAAGTACCGCAAGGCCGCGAGGCAGATCAATTTGGATGCGTTGTATAGAAAGTGGGCACCCGTCGGCGTGCTGGGCTTGTTCTTCTTATTCGTCGTTTGGTGGAAATTTTGTGAGTCAATGGACTGGGAGGTTGGTGGTTGGAAATATCGATCGACTGACTCTTTCTCGATCTTGATTCGCTTCTTTTTACAAAGGGTGAATACAGAGTGCCCGCGATGGAAGTCTCAAAACATCGTCACTCGCTTGCTCTCTCTTCTTTTTTTCAATCTCGCAGGACCTCTGTACACTCCACTCCCCTTATTTGTTATAATCACACTACGTTCGTTCCGTTCCGCCACATGGACCGCACGAGAGAAAGTGAGCAAGCCAGAGAGAGAGAGAGAGAGAGAGACGAAAAAGCGCACCCGAAAGGGCCGTCATTCAAGAAGACCCCGCCATAACAGATATTGCCTTTGCAGCGTTCCATTCACATAGAGGTACACAGGCTAGCGCAACAGCTACATATCGGTAGCCTGAATCCAGATGCTATTCTCTTTACTTCCGATCCGCTTCTATCTCCTGTGACTCGTTGCATGTGGAGGGTGAGTAGCGATTTCATCTCCTGCCAAGGGGATATGAGAGTTAATGGAACGTCCCCTCTGTCGAATCCGCTCCTGAAGCGGCAGTCGCTGAAGAGCCGGCCGAGACAGCTGTGAATGAGCAAAGTACCGGTATTGGAAAATAATCAGTACCCCAACTCTTGCGCATTACGAGCACCCCACCCCACCAGACAGAGTGTACGGACCATTCAAAACGCGATCGATATAACTCGCGCCTGACCACTTCTGATGCGTCAGCACATCACAACCCAACTCCTTCTCCTTCTTCTGAATCAACTCGACGTAAGCCAGCATCCCTTCATCCTTGTACCGCTTGGCCAACTCGTGCGTCACCACCGCAGTTGAATGTAGACCGGCCAAGGAGATGAGTTGGAGAACGAATCCGGAGGAACCGAGATCCCACACGAAGGATTTGAGTTGTTCGGGAGTGAATCCATGGGCTCCCCAATTGAAGGAAGGGGAGAGGTTGTAGACGAGCCATTTGGAGGGGAAGTGTGAACGGATCTCGGTCGCGAAACCTTGCGCTTGGGCAAGGTTCGGTTCTTTGGTTTCGAGCCAGAGGAGATCGGCCAGAGGGGCGTAAGATAGCGTTCGTTTCATCGCCGCCTGTGGAGAAGAGGTGGTGGTCAATCTCTGTAAGACCGACTCGGAAGGCGCTAGATAACGTATGGGGACTTACGGGCACTCCACCCTGGTAGTGGTAGTAACCCTCTTTGGTACGAGCCAAGCCCCAATCCCACTTGACCTCTTGACCGACGACTTCCTTGGCGACGCGTCGAGCTTCTCGGTTGGTCAAGTTGGCCTCCCCAACGCGAGACTTGTAGTCGTCGAACTTGGTCTTGGCTTCCGAAGCCGACAAGGTTCGTTCGAGGTGTCGTTGGACGGCTGTGGGAATGGGTCAGATTTTCGAATTAGTTGTCAATTTCCCTTTGTAGAGAGCGCAGAGGGCGATCACCGACCTTGATCAAACGTCACCAACTCGACACCATTCATCCAATTTGCCTCAATCTCATCAATCTCGGCCCCGCTCCTCCCCTCCCTCTCGGCTTTAGCAATCTCCTCCGCCAACGCATTCCTATCCCCCTCATGGGTCTCGACCCCCAAAATGAACTCATGATCCCTCCCGTCCGCCGTTGACGAAATCAGTTTCGCCGATTCGGCATCGGTGCGTGCGATCAAGAGCGTTTCCAAACCCATGATGTCCCATTGCATTCGCGCGGCGACGAGGCGGGACATGTGTTCCGAAATGGGGACGAGCACTTTACCGGCTTGGTGACCACATTTCTTACCGCCGTGAAGTTGATCCTCGAAATGAACGGCCGACACACCGGATTCACCAAAGACTTTGGCGAGCTTGAGTACGGAAGAGAGACCCCCGTGGCTGTAGGAAGGGGGAGTCGATGAATTTGAGAGCCAGTTTCGGTTTTCGATGGAGACATCCCTTCGGCACTTACCCGGTATCACCGTCCGCAATGATCGGTCTCAAATAATCGACCCAAGGCGCCTTGTTGCCACTGGTCCTCCTCTCGTCCCACATCTTGCGATCATGCATCTCCTGCGCCTTCCTCAACCTCTGCACCTGGTTCGGCACAGTCGTATAAGGGTAATCGGCCAAATCGGGTCCGACCTCGTTGTTACCGGTCGTAAGGACCGAACTGGCTGCCCAGCCCGAAACGTAGAGCACTTCCAAATGGGGAGCCATTTGAGTCATTTGAATAGGGTCGATCGCTCCCATCGTATGCAAAGGACGTCCCTGCTCGGCGGCCCGTTCCAAAGCGGCGAACAGTTTCTTCGCCGAGATGTTGGAAGGGTGTAAAGGAGAGATGGGTTGGGTTCCCCGTTTGGAAGCGACGAGCGAAGCGGAATAAGGTCGTTTGAGGTTCTTGAAACGTGGGGAATCGAACCATTCTTGGATTTGGTGCGTTTGCGCGGCGAAATCGGCGGCTTCTTCTTCGGCTGTGGGGGGGTCCAGGCGGAAGAGAGGGGCCGAGGAAGGGGTGGAAGAGGTGGATTGGTGGCGTGTAGTCATGGAGGTGAGGGTAGGGGCTAACCGGGCGAGGGTTTGAGGTCGGGCACACGTGGTGCGGAGAAGCGATGACGTCGGCTGACGGGTGCTGTTGAGCGTTGTACGGGCCACGTGTCGCGAGGTGGAAGTCAAAGGTCGGATCATGATCTGTTTCAGTGAACGAGGTGGTCAGTACTCGGTCTATCGAGCGATGTGGTTGTGCTCCGCTGCTGCGCCAAGCATGATCGCGCCAGCTGAGGTTGGTTCTCCCCCCTCGGCTACTTCTGGCCCACGCCCGGCTGACCCACGGATGCCGTCCGAGCCGTCGGGGAGGAGCGCAGAGATGGGCAGCAACGTAGGGCGACCAGTCACCTCAGCCAACCGATACAGAAGGTACCCACCTAGCCGTCAACACAAACAGTCTCTGCGCTCGAGGTCAGAAGGCCTTGTGGATGAGTAAGCGAGAGAATGAGAGAGAGGAATGGCAAGCCCGGGGCAAGCGACGGCAAGCTCGAGCGCAATTCACGCGGCAACCATTCAGAGTTCCGTTCAGGAGGGTCCATCCCCCTCGCAATATTATACACCAAAGGGCCCCACAGTCCCAAAAAAAGAAAAAGCATGACCTGCAGCGCATCATAATTACAGCACATTCCTCCTTTGTAATCAAACCTGATAAAGTTTCTCGTCCTCCCCCAAATTCAACTGAAACTCCCTCACCCCCGTCCCATCCGCTTCATCGCCGCCCAACACTTCGCCGAAATCCTGCATCTCCTGAGCCTCCCTCTCCTTCCTCTTCCACCCCTTTCGACCCTTCTCCTTCCAACCTTGTTTTTCTGTCCTTGGTTCCTTCTTGGTTTTACCTAGCTTGAGACCATCGGAATGGATCTGGATCGGAACCGCTCCGTTCTTGGGAGGATGAGGGAAACTGTCGCCCCAGGACGATTTGCGCGCATCGTAATAGGCTTGACGACCTTGGGATTTGGGGATGATGTGCCGTTCGATTTGCCCCGAGGAGGAGGAGGAGGCGGAGGAGGAACGATCCTGGGCAGAAGGGGGTGAACAGACGTCGAGGATGATGTGGCCGGATCGCTTGGATGGGGGGGAGATGATGCGTGGCCAGGTCCAGCGGGTTGATGTGGAGGGCGTAGTGGGGGCAGGGGGGGACGAGTCGGCCACGAGGGACGTGGAGAGGAGGTCTTTGGTGAAGAGTGGAGCGGGCGGAGGAGTCGAAGGTCGTGTTCCACGTTTGATGACGACGTAGGAGAAACGAGCAATCTCGTGTCCTTGGTTCGAATGCTTGGTCGCGCGATGAAAGGCGGGGGATCGGACTGAGAAGAATGAGACGCGCGGGGATGAGTTTCCGCCGACGAGAGGAGTCCAAGAGAACTGATCACGCGACTGACCTCGTTGAGCAAAGTGACAAAACATGTTGATCGAATGGTGTAAAGGGCATGCTCCATCATGAGCGCACTGTGGAATGAGATCGGGGTCAGGCTTCGAACCAAAGCCAAAGACAAAAATGGTGGACTCACGGGAGCAAGGACAAAGCAACCGCTGTCCATGTCCTTCTCCGATCCCTCCTCACTGACGATCTTCTCCGCATCCCTAGCGCCATACATCAACAACTGTTCCCTCGCATCCTTGACGATTCGACTGCCCCTCGGCGTCCCCCTTTCAACAATGACGATCACCTTGGCCCCCGTTTCCCACATCGATCGAACGAATTCTTTCCTCTTTTCCCGAGTGCTCAAGTCGCCCAGGGAGAAAGAGGAGAGGACCAGTGTCTGGTTCCATGATTTGGAGGATTGGGACTTGGGATTGAGGGGTATGCCTAGTCGGGCAAAGGAAGAGACCGAGGCGGGGATCGCGAGTTGGTGCATCTTGGCCGACATCGTTGTCGTCATCGTCGTCGGGGAAGGATCCTCGCCGCCGTCCGTGACTTCTGTCTCGTCCGACTGCAAATCCAAATCGACCATCCTCTTCGGTAACGCTCCGATGATCCTACTCCCCAACTCGACCATCGACCGATCCTTATCCAGCCCGACATACTCAACTTCCACTTCGGAATCCTTCCAAACCCTCCTCGCGGCCCAAGCCCCACTGCCCGTTCCGGACCCGAATTCCACGACCCGATTCGGAACCCACTCCCCTTCTCCCCCCTTTAGCCAACCGATCCTTTGGCGCGTCATTTCGAGGACGTGGACGGTCGCTGCGTAGACCGAGGGCATGAGACCTGAGAGGTAGGCGAGGGAGTTTAGTGGGGTGTAAGAGGGGGAAGGGGTGGTGACGTGGTTCGGGAGAAGGGAAGAGGTCGATCTAAGGCGTTCGTAGAGTTCAAGGGCGGATGTCCGGATCGAACTCTTTTCGCCTTCGTATTCTGTAGGCGTGGGAACGAGGGCGGCGGCCGTCGTCAGCTTTACCACTCGAGCTCGTGTGGAGCCGGCGCAGATGCGGTCGAAGCTTACGGTCCACTAGTTGATCGACGGCTCTGACCAATTCGATAGGAAGATCGACATCCCAACGCGTGGCCTGACCGATCGTAGCGGCTTTGGATCGAGTGATGGTCTGTTGATGAGCTGCCTTGGGAGCGTTCGATTCGTCGCGGTAGGCGCCGGCGTTGATGTCGAGGTGTAGACGATCGATCGCGGACGAACTGGCGTGGCGGAGGGTAGTGTAAGTACATCGTTGCGTTAGACGGCTTTTGACTGCGTTCATGGTGGGCAAGGAAAGTGGACGGTAGCGACACGGTCCACAGCCGGGATAGGGGCTAAAATGGAAGCGGAACGGAGCTGAGCCACCCTGGCTGCGAAGCCGCTGGCTGGGCCGAGCCAGCCCGAATGAGCCCAGGCACTCCAGTGGCACCCCTAGCCAGGCCGAGGCCGAGCGAGTCCGAGCCAAGCTTGCAGCAGGGCTGAGCGCACTTGAGCGCCTGAGCCGAGCTGAGCCGATGCTGAGCCGAGGCTGAGCCAGGCTGAGCCAGGCTGAGCCAGGCTGAGCCCGGGCTGAGCCGAGCTTCGCAGCCCCAAAGTCACGCGCGAGCAGACGGCGCTCGTTCCTTTGCTCTACACCCCTTGCCCACACCACCAGTCTCGGCTGGTCGGCGATATCAACCAAGCCTCTTCACTAGATTTTCCTCAGTGGGTTACGCAACGACTTTGCTGGACCCCGCCGAGCGATCCGACGCCAGCACACCCCTTCACCCCGATCGCTTCGTGGCCCCACCGTCAGTCGACGCTCCCCACTAGATCCCATCCTCGACCAGCTCTTCCTCCACCATGCCTCGTGATACCTCCAACAAGGACTCCAAGGCGCGCAATAGTCGTCATGCCGCCGCTACAGGGCTCAAAACGGGCAATCTCAAAGTCAAGGGTCGGTGTCTCCCAGCTTGCCCATTCTCATTCCCATTCCCAGCCGCCACCGATAGTCGAACGGCGCAAGCCACAACTCTGCCGCTGATTCGTATCGCTTCTCCCCAACTTGCACGCCGCAACAGGTGAAAACTTTTACCGCGATGCCAAGTCAGCTCGGCGAGTCAACATGCTCTCCGGCAAGACGGGCTCCGCAGTCCGTAACGCCCAGGGTCGAGTGATCCAAGAAGCCGCTTTCCAATCCAAGGACGTGACCCCCGGAAGGGTCCAACCCGATCGCAGGTGGTTCGGTAATACGAGAACGATTAGTCAGACCGCTTTGGAACATTTTCGGACCAGTCTCAAGGACAAGATCGAGGATCCTTATGCGGTCGTGTTGAAGAAGAACAAGTTGCCGATGAGTCTCTTGACCGATGCGCCGTCCGGGGTAAGTTACTTACACAGCGGCGAGGATCGCTCTTTCGACATCTCTCTTGGCATTCCACTCACGCTCGTGGTCCTGCAAACAGAAAGTCAAGTTGGATTTGACCACGACTGAGCCCTTCAGCGACACGTTCGGTTCCAAAGCCCAACGCAAGCGGCCTCGTCTCGACGTCGGGTCCTTTTCCGAACTCGCCGACAAAGTCACCGCGCACCAGAACGCCAAGCGCGATGCCGCCAAAGTCGCAGCAGCGGATGCGATCCTCGAAGCCGAGGATTACGAAGGGTCGCGTAACCCGGAGGAAATCGCCGCAGAGGTCGCGAACAACATGCTCAATGATGTGCCGCAGGACTATATCCTTAGCGCGGGAACTTCGAGGCGTATCTGGGGAGAATTGTACAAGGTACGTTGGCCGAGCAAGGCACAAGGGGCGAGCATCTACATGACAAGGCTGACCCTTCCTTGCGATTCCCGTCGCATCAGGTCATCGATTCCTCGGATCTTCTCTTGCACGTCCTCGACGCTCGTGACCCGATGGGCACGCGCTGCGAATCCGTCGAAGCCTACTTGGCCAAAGAGAAGCGCGGTAAGAAAGTCGTCTACATCCTCAACAAGGTCGACCTCGTTCCTGGGTGGGTCGCCGCTCGATGGGTCAAGATCCTCTCCAAGAAGAACCCGACCATCGCTTTCCACGCTTCGATCAACAACTCGTTCGGTAAGGGATCTTTGATTCAATTGTTGCGACAATTCTCGACTCTGTTCTCGGACAAGAAACAAATCTCAGTCGGGTTCATTGGCTACCCCAACGTGGGCAAGTCGAGCATCATCAACACCTTGAAGAAGAAGGCCGTGTGCAAGACCGCTCCTATTCCGGGTGAGACGAAAGTCTGGCAATACATCACTTTGATGAAGCGCATCTACCTCATCGATTGTCCTGGAATCGTTCCTCCGTCGGCGAGGGATTCCGAATCGGCCAAGGTCTTGAAAGGTGTAGTGCGAGTCGAGCATCTTTCGAACCCGGCGGATCACATCACGTACCTCTTGGAAAGGGTTCGTCCGGAGTACTTGAGGAGGACGTACGGAATCAGCGAATGGACCGATTCGGAGGATTTCTTGGCCAAGTTAGCGAACAAGTACGGCAAGTTGCACAAGGGTGGCGAGGCCGATCAGAGGACGGTCGCGACCATGGTGTTGAACGTGAGTTCAGGATGTGCAGCCCCCCCTTCGACTCTGAACCAGCGTAGACACTGATAGGTTCCTTGTTGACGCATCATAGGACTGGATCCGAGGCAAGATTCCCTTCTTCGTCGCGCCTCCCGAACCCGATACCCGAGAAGCCAACGGTAAACCCCTCCCCAAACCTCTCAACCCCTCCACCTCATCCAACAAGCTCACCAAACCGATCAAGTCGACCGCAACGGGTGGCTCAGAGACCTTGAGCCGTGGGGAAGGGGTTTTGGCTACCGGTTTGGACAAGGATGGGAACGTCGTTAAATCGGTCAAGGGGGTTACGCAACAGCTGCATCAGATTGTGCATTCGACGAGGTTCTTGGATGATGATGTCAAGGCGATTGAGGTGGACGAGGTCGGTGAGGATGATGGAGAGGAAGAGGAGGAGGAGGAGTGGGGTGGGATCGCCTCGGGCGATGAGGATGAAGAGGAAGAGTTTGAGCAAGGAGAGGAGGACGATCAGATCCCTCTGCAGTGGGACGAGCTGTTCGCCCAGGCGGTTGGGGAGGAGTCTGACGCTAGTGGAGATGGCGAGGACGTCGACGAAGATGAGGATGATGACGATGAGGACGAGGAGGTCGAACTCATCCTCAACCCTTCGGCTGCTGGTGCTTCATCGTCCTCCAAACCTGCTTCGAGCAAGAAGCGAGGTGAGTTACCATACCTTACAGCTTCTACCGATCGCGCGCTCGAACTAATATGTCCCGTAACGTTCGCTCCAGCCGTCGAAGCCGATTCCGAATCCGACGTTGACGAAACGACCTTGAAACCGACCAAAGAGCCTCGCATGAAGACGAACAAGACCAAAGCGACCAATTACTACACCACCGCCAACGTCAAGAACAAGTCGAGGCGCGGAAAGCCCGACACCTCCGGTCGAGTCGGGGAGGGGAAGGGTACGGGCAAGAAGAGGGGCGGGAGGAAGAGCAAGGCTTAGATCTTTGCAATACATGGGGATGCTTTCGTGATTTTGCCAGTCTTTACGTTTGATTATGGGTTCATATTGTAGTGGTCTATTTCGTTTGAAGGGAGATGTAATCTTGACGCTAGCGTGATGCCTGATCGTTGCCAATCAGGGATGTGTTGACTTGGAGAGTTGACATACCACACTTAACAGATACAGTGCGCAATATAGATAAGATGGCGCAAGACAACAATAAAGATAGATACGAGCTCCGAAAACTTCCAGAGTTTTCCAACATAGTAATAAAACCCCGTTCCAGCCGAAACCGCTCCTCAACCAGGTCGAGCCGCAAGTTGCCCCGAAGTTCGAGCCGGATCACCGAGCATGATGATCTTGACCTCTGCGCCGTAAGTTGAGTTGGAGACATTCTGAGGGGTAATGAGGATGAATTGGGCTCGCTTGACGTTCTTGGCCGTATCGACCATCATCTTCATCGCGACTCGTCGATTGACAGCGTCCTGTGGGCGCACGAGTGAGGGTGTCAGGAAATGCGGACTGAACCACAAAGGTGCGAGCCAGTGCTGACCATGAAGACATCAAACTCGTCTAGACATCGAATATGACACGCCGCGACCTTCCACATGGCCAATAACAAACAAATCGTCGCGAAACTTTTCTCCCCACCCGACAAGCTCTTCACGTCCTTCCAACGACTATGGTGCTTGCCATGGTTCTTCGCTCCCTCTTCCTTGGTCATGATGTGCAGGTTCAATTCTTCGTCTTTGTGGTTGAACTTGAGTCGACCGGTAAAGCTGCGAGTGGCGAGGTAGTTGAGGAAATGAAGTTCGAGTGAGGTGGGGAGACTTGTGAGCCAACCCTCCCATTTCTCCATTCGTACTCTTCGGGCTGTCTCGAGTAGCTATATCATACAAACCACGCCGATTACTTCCATGGTCAATTTTCGAAGCACTGAGAATAGCACCGAGCTCACCTCAACAAAGTTTTCCAGTGACGACAAGATACTCTTAGCACGCTGAACGACCTGATTTCTCCGTCCGACTTCTTCATTGAGCTCGTCGAGTGTCGCTCCGAGATCGCGTTCACGAGCCCGAATCGCGGCTTTGAGCGTCTTGATGTCGTGATCGAGTTGCTCGGCCGTCCGTGGTCTTGGGAAACGCGGTGGCCGCTCACAGATCGTCGAAGCATCTTCGACCATGATCTGAAGTGGATTCACTCGAGTGTCAGTGACAGTTTGGCCAAAAACGAGCCAAGCCGAGCAAACTCAGTGGCACGCTCCTGCATCTCATCGACTTGTTCGCGCATCATCTCGACCTCAGCTTGGACCTCATCGAGCTTCTTCTGATGCTTCGCAATCACTTTCTCCGCCTCCGATCGTTCCGCCACCGCCGTGTTGATCTTTTTCTGTAATATACAACGAAACCCAAATCAGATTCTTGCAGACCTCTGCGGCGATCGAGCCGGACGCACCATCAGCCTTGACAACAAATCATCGGCCTCCTTGATCGCAAGATTGATCTCCTCCTTCTTCCTCACGAACGATGCCAAGTCGCTGGTCCCAGTCTCAGCATTATGTCTCCTCAACGCCTCCTCGTACTGCGCCAGCGTACTATCCAACTCGGCCTGTGACTCGTCTCGCAGATCCTCAATTGCCGAGATATCGGAAGGGGCTTTCTCGAGGAGTTGATGTCGATCGTTCTCGACCTGTCGCCGTAATTGGGTCAAAGATCGCTTCGATTCTTGTCGTCGAAGATCAGCCGCTTTTCCGCGTCGATGTATGGACGCGAGTTCGTCATCAGCCTCTTGCTTGTCACGGGAGATATTGGAAAGATGGATGTTGACCGAGTCGAGTTGATTCGTGAGCATGGCGATCTGTCCTGCGATGTCGGGGCTGAGTCGTCTTTGTCCTCGCCACGCGGCCATGACGATCGAGGCGGCCTTATTGTCTCGGCTGGCACCAAACAGGGTCCGAACCATGTCAGCAGACCGTACGCGGGACTCGTTCTTCGTTCTTCGAATCTGCTCACCTTCGTCTGACGATAAACCAGTCCCGACTGTACACGACACGAATGTTGCGCCGTCCAGCATCGAAGAGTTGATCTCCCTCGCTGCGCCTCTGGACTAGCACCGCATCTTCACAGCCGGTACCGTTGATGAAGGCTTGCTCGACAAGTCGATCGGAGATCTGGTACAGCGTTATCGCAGCATCACGGCTTCAGTTCGACTTTGTTGAGAAAAGCTGGCTGTGAATTTGAGTAACCGAACTTACTTTAATTGCGCGAAGCACTGTGAGCAGATCCGAATCGGGTTCGCCACTTGAACAGTCGAACGTGTCGTCGTACCTCAGTTTGATGATCGAGTGAATAGAGCCGCTGTAGAACACAGTTCAGTGCCCGCTCAATCAGTGAGGACGTGATTCCTCCACGGGGGTATCAGATTTTACTCACACGCCGTGCCTGTGCAAGAGCGCGGACAGCTTGATGCGGTCCTGCTCGTTCGAAACGACGAAAGCGTTGAGAATGCGACCACACAATGACTCGATCACGTTACTCCATTGTTGATCGCGCACTTCGATATAACGCCCCACGGGACCAAGCGGCTTTTTCGTCCATCTCGTCGCGTCGACGTCCCTCAGGACAGTCGGCATCTTGGGGCCATATGCGAGCATGCTGTTGGTGCGCGAGGCTTCGACGTTTTGGATCCTCTTGTGAAGATCCGCTGCTTCCTTCTGATATCGGCTGATCAACGGCGCGGCGGCTTCAAGCTTTTGCAATAATGTCGACCTGCCCTCCAACTCGAGTCGTTCTTGGTCGGCTTCCAAAACGATCTGTTCGTGTCGTCGGATCTCGTCCTCATTCTTGGCGATTCGATCATGAATCGGACGTTCTTCAGCTTCGATATCGCGGGCAAGTCGATCGTGTTCAACCACGAGCTGAGCTTTGAACGCCTCGATCCCTTGCTTGAGCAAGTCGATCGTGGCGGCCATTTGGCGTTCTTCGTTCTGAATTCTCCCCAAGTGGCGATCTATGAGTACGCATACGACCGAACAAGGTACATGAGACCGCCCCGATGAGCTTACCTTGAAGGCCAACGTTTTAGCTCGTGCAGCCGAGATCCCTTGCTGCACCTCCTCCAATTTGGGCGTCTGCTCGTCCTTCTGCAATTGTGTTTCCGCCTGCGCCTCTTCAAGATCTGCCAAGTCCGTCATCGCCGCATCCCTCTTGGCCGTCGCCACCGCCAAATGATGCCTCAACACGACCAGCTTCTCCTCTGCTTTCCTAATCGCCGTCCGACCCTTCTTGATCTCCGCCTCGACCCACTCAACATCACACCACGCCCTCCTATTCTCCAACTCTTTCAACCTATCCACCTGTTCCTCCGCCGCCCTCCCAGCTTCAGCCCGTTCCATCGCCCTCCTCAAAACAAGTTGTAATTCGGGCATGAGTTCATTCTTCTTCTCAATAGCGACTTGGATCGATTCGATGTGACGACCCATCTCGGTGTATTCGTCCCGAAGCTGGGAGAGCATCGTTCCGCGGAGGAAGGCTTTGTATTTGTCTTTACCGGTGGTGGAGGCGATGAAGGCCCGGGATTGGTCTTGGGTCAGTACCGTGATGGGGTTGTCGATTTGAATCTCGAAGTGATCGACTGTAAGCCATGGAGGAAGGATCGGAGGCGCAAATTGGTCAGATCTTGCTGTCCGGAAAAACCCTGCTGATTCCAAACGATGTGAAAGGAACGTACGGATCGAATCAAGTACCACCTTTGAAGTCTCTACGACCTCCCCCCGATGATTCATCAATTTGTAACTACTCCCTCCATTGCTTCGCAGCGTTCGTTCGACCGTAATGGAGGCACCAAAGAGGTCCTGCCTGTACGGATCGGATCCGCGGTTGGAGAGTCGGACTCGACATTTGGCTGAGGCCGCTCCTTCTTTGACTAGACCTGCTCCGTTCGTAGCTCGGTTCTGAATGTGAAGCAAGGGGAAGACAGTCGGGCTCAATGGTAAGAAGGGCATCGGCGGGAATGATAAACGATCATCGACTGACGGTGGCTTTAGCGTTGCCTCCCAAGGCCATCGTGATACCGGTCAGAACTGCCGACTTCCCCGATCCATTGTGTCCAACGAGAAAATTCATCTGAGGGCCGAATTTGATCGTGATATAGGTATGACACTGCGAGAGTCGAGGAAAGGGATCGGGGCGGAGGTGCACGTGACTTAATCAGCGCCAAACAGGTCTCGCTCCAGCTGGGCCTGACGCGACGCGACGCGTTCCGCCGACACGGTCAGTTCTTGAGGGCTCACCATGAATTGGTAGAGGTCGACTTGTTCGATGATGCCGGACTGGGCTGTATCCTATCAAAACAAACATACTTAACTTTCAGCCTCGGCATAGCATGTTGCTTCCCAACATGAACTGACCCCGAAGTCGCCGGCTTGAACCTCATCCTGAACCAATTCGGGCAGCGGAGGCAGTTGACCATCCTCGACGTCCATCCCATCATCACTCCCACGCTCAGAGTCCTGATCCACCGTTCTCGAAGTCGACCTCGTCTCGTCGCCATCAGGACTCTGCCCTCTCACCGTCGCAGAGCTGTTCGAACGCGTTGACAGCCCGGCAGTCGCGGAGGTCGCTTCCGACGTCGAGGCGATGGGAGGGGGTGTACTAGGTGGTAGGGACGAGTCATCGTAGCGGGGTCGCTTGGCTACGGGCGCGTAGAGGTCGTCGTCGTCGTCCCAGTCGGACGGAGAGTACGCTGGTAGCGCTAGGGCCATCTCGTCGTCATGGGGTGTTCCGCCTGTAGGTGGGGAGAGAGGTGAGAGGGGCACGACTGGCAACTGAGCGTACTGAGCGCCATGGCAGTGGGCGCGAACGGGCTCGAGCGCGGCCGGACTCGGAAAGTTGAGCCGACCAACGAAAGCGTAGTAACTCGAATCTGGGCATGCCAGTGTGCAGGATAATATTTTATGGAACATAATTCGCTCAGATTTTTCTCTCCCTTTTCAGTAGAAGTTGCTAACCCATAATTGCGCGTGATCCTGAGCGCTCGGACCCTTCGCAACCTCAGATCCCGGGGCCGACGTCACCAACAGAGCCTTCTCAGCTCCAGCCTCCAGGAGCGCCTGCACCAGTTGCAGAACACGTTCGAAGCTGAAGAGAAAAGACGCATTCATGCCCAAGTACGTTCATTCATTCAACTGTATTGGACGAGACACAGTTAGGCAGGTCGGCGTTCGGGAACTTTCTCCTGAGTCGGTCGTCGCGACAACCTCAGCCGCGAGCGCGCGCGAGTCGAGGCCTCGAGCCGGGCCGTTGAAATAGCCGATCCGATCTCTGTCGATCGCCCGGACGTACGCGCTGGGGAAAAACGTGTTGCGGCCGGGTTCCGGTGCGCTTCGCCCCGGCTCAAACTGTTCCGCTTTCTCCCTTCCTCCATCCGAGCCCTCGTCACAAACACGCACACCCCCCCGCATCCAAGTTCGCAAAGCTTTTTTTTATCCTCAGCCACAAAAAGAAAACGCCGACCAGCGTTAGTTTCATGCTCGCCGCTCGTCGCCAACTACTGGCACCTCGTTCCTCCGCCTCCGTGATCTCTGCCTTGACCGCGGCCGCTCGACGACAAACCCTCTCGACCTCGTCCATCTCCCAGATGGCACCCACCTCGAACCGAAAGGAAGACGCCAAGGTCGGACCCATGTGTGAGTGTCGAGGTGTGCGGCGTGCTTGCAGCGGTTGAGGTCGTGGACGCCTCGCCTCGGCTTGAATGGCGATAACTGACCGACCCACCGCGGACTACATCACCCTCACCCGACCACCCACAACAGACCGATTCGAAGCTACGTTGCCTTCATTGCCCGTCCCCAAGATCGAAGAGACGGCGCAGCGCTACCTCGAATCGATCAAGCCGTTCCACATCGACCCGAACCCGCTGGCGTCGACTGAACCGACCGAGTCGTTCCGAGCGAGCGAGAAGGCCGTCGCCGAGTTCGTCGGTTCGCCACTCGTCAAGGAGCTACAGCAACGCCTCGAGCAGCGCGCCGCCGAGCGACCGAGTTGGCTCAGCGAGTGGTGGAACGAGACCGCTTACTTTGGGTGGCGAGGACCGGTCGTACCTGGTTAGTGATGGAAGCGGCGGCGCTTCTCCGGAATTGTCTGTCGCCGGGAGCGATCGGGGTGGTGTGATGCGGATTGGATCGCTCCGTGCCCACGCGCAATCTGCAAACCGAAAGCCGCGGCATATAACCCCCCACATGGTCTCGGCAACCGAGCACGACCGCTGATCATACTCATCCCATCCTCTCACAGGCGTCAACTACTTTTTCACCCACCGAGATGACAAGAAGCGTCGTACTGGACCTGCACGGGCCGCTGGCCTCGTGAGGGCCCTGCTCTTCTTCCGCAGGCTGACCGAAACGTAAGTCCTCGAAGACCCAGTATGCGGCCGGTTCGAGATTGTGCGCTCGTCAAAATCTAATTTCCCCGATGCGTGAATAGACAACAACTTGAACCCGAAATGGCTCGCAAGGCGCCGCTCTGCATGGCCTCGTACAAGTACCTCTTCAACACGACCCGTCTCCCGACCTCCCCCTCGGACAGCGCTCGCAAGTACGACTCCGATACCCACAACCACGTCGTCGTCATTCGTAAGAACAAGTTCTACGAGGTCCCTGTCGTTGATAGCAAGGGCGAGTTCTTGAGTGAGAAGGAGCTCGAGCTGTGAGTCTTCTCTCGGTCGGTTGGGAGACCTCCGGGGACCTCCGGGCTGATATCAAAGGTGCCGACACTCCCTCTTGGTGACCCTTCGTTCATCTCGCATTAGCCTGTTCAAAAAGGTCGTCGATCTTGCCGGAAAGGACGCCGCGGCACACCCTGTTGGTGCCTTGACGACCGCCCATCGAGATGTTTGGACACAAGCACGAAAAGACATCGTTTCGCACGACCCCAAGAACGCCAAGTCGCTCGAGAGGATTGGCTCGGCGATCATCATCGTCTCGCTGGACGAGAACAAGCCCGTCACGCGCGAAGAGATCAGTTGGGCCAATTGGGTCGGCGATGGCCAGAACAGGTGGTTCGACAAGCATCAATGTGAGCAGCGAGTGATGGTCAGCCATGGAGTCCATGCTCTCTTGAACTGGCATATCTGACCGAGAATATCTCCTTCACAGTGATCGTTTACGAAAACGGTCGATCCGGGTTCAGCGCCGAGCACTCGTGCATGGACGGTACGCCCACCTCGCGACTCAACGATTGGGTCTTGCGCTCGCTCGACAATGACAAGATCGATCTCGGCCCGTCGACGCCTCGTGATGCCTCTTCCCTCCCCTCCGTCACCCCGATCGAATTCTCCCTCCCCGCCAAGGTCCACACCGCGATCGACGAATCGATCGCCGCTCACCAAGAAACGATGGCCAAGCACGAACTCGCGGTGATGCAATACGACGGTTTTGGATCGACGACGATCAAGTCGTGGAAGATCTCCCCCGATGCGGGTGCGCAATTGATCATGGGCTTGGCGCATTACAAGATGAACGGCACCTTCGCACCGACGTACGAGTCGGCCCAAACGCGCAAGTACAAGTTGGGACGAACGGAGGTCATTCGTTCGTTAACGACTGATGCGATCGCTTTCTACAAGTTGATGGAGAACCCCGAAGCGACGAACGCGCAACGCGTCGATGCGTTGAGGAAAGCTGCTGCGACGCACATCAAGCGAGCGGGTGAAGCCGCCGATGGTCAAGGTGTTGATCGTCATCTGTTTGGATTGAAGAAGTTGTTGAAGGAAGGGGAGAAGTTGCCGGCTTTGTACGAGGACCCGACGTTCGCTCAGTCCGGGAACTGGGTTTTGTCGACCTCGCAATTGGCCTCGGAGTACTTTGAAGGATGGGGTTACGGTGAAGGTGAGTAGTGGGTGGATCGGAAACCCAGCCGCTCGTAACATCTCTGCTGGGATCTGACTCTATCATCACCACTTTCCCACAGTCGTCGATGAAGGATACGGTCTCTCCTACGCCGTCAACGCCAACTCGCTGCGCTTCATCATCACCTCGATGAACAAGGGTGCGCAATCGCCGGCGCACTTGAGGGCCTACCTCGAAGAAGCCGCCGGTGACGTCCGAACAATGGTCGAGAAGGCTTCGGCTGGAGCAGAAAAGGCCAAGTTGTAAAGGTCAGGGAGAGCGAGTTATTTTTATGTCTGTTCTTTTCCCCTTTGTTTCTTTCTAGACAGCCTCCAAAGGGTGTAGAGCTGTACGATTCGAGTAGGTGTTCAGACCCCCAAAAAGTAATGCCCGTGCAGTTTGGAATAGATAGGCTCCGCACGACACGCAAACCTACCTTTCTATTACGAGGGTAGTTGATCAGCAACCTTTCGCCAGCTGCTAGTGGTGGAGTTCCTCATCCAATCCACCGATTGTTCACGCAAGCACCCCAGAATTCTCAGATCACCTGGACGGTGCAGTTCAGCTGGAGGAGGGTACAGCCGAGGGGTTGACTCCTGATGGGGACGCCTGTAATTTAGAAAGGGGCTTGTCCTAGCGGCCACCGAAGCGGCTGGCCTGAGGCGCGTCAACGGTTCGCGCTCGCGATCTCACCAAGCACACACGCGTCCATTTTGACCACCGCGCGCCAAACCGACGTGAGACACTGCAAATGGCGATTCTGCTCTGGGCGCGCTTGACATCGCATCATCACACGAAGCTCTCGAGTCGTTGCTCCGTTGCTTCGGCTTTGCCCCTTCCACCACTTCGAGTCACGATCCCTCCAGAATGGCTCCTGCCTCCAAGACCCCACCAACAACGCAGGATGTCTACCTCGATTGCGAATGCGATGCCGCGCTGGACAAGATAACGGCTGCGATCGCAAAGGCCAAGCGCGTCGTCGTCGCCGTCGGGGCTGGGATTTCGACCTCGGCTGGCGTACCGGTGAGTTGGATGGGTGGCGGAAGTGAGGGAGACATTTCTGAGCTGATTGGGGTTCTTTGGGTGAGTACAGGACTTCCGGACCAAGACTTCGGGCCTGTACGCACGTGCTGGCAATGCCGTCGGGGGTGATGATCACCAGGGTGACGCTCGAGCGCGACGAGCTGCGACTGGCACCGCTGCGTCACCAACCAAGACAGCCTCAAAAGCCACCACAAAAAGAGCCGAATCCAACTCGCTCAAAGGTCCAGCAATGTTCACTTCTTCGGTGTATACGGCCGTCTCGACGCGCACTGCACATTGGCAATTCATGACTCGGCTCAAGCGTTCAGTCGATCACATCGCCTCGGCCTCCATCCCACCCCAATTGACCTCCTCCTCCACCGCTCTCCCCTCCTCGCCTTCTCGCTCAACTCGAGCCAGCGCGGAGAAGCGTGAAAAGGGCGTGACGAAGACGCACGCTTTCTTTGATACGTTGCATCGACGCGGTCAACTCGAACGGGTATATACCCAGAATATTGACGGGTTCGAACTCACCTCGGGTCAACTCGAAGAAGTAGGCATCGAAGGCATTCGCGTCCAGGCCGACCACGTCGATTATTCTGAGAGGAGCTTAGTACCGAAAGCAAAGGGGAAGGCAAAGGCAAAGGAATGGACGGGCGATGTCGTGCAACTGCATGGCTCGTTGGGCAGGGTCAAGTGCTCGAGTTGTGCTTGGGTCGGTGAATGGGACGAGAGGCATTCAAAGGCGTTCGAAAAGGGGATGAGTGTCGATTGTCCGGCTTGCGTCTCACAAGGTCAGTCGCCGTGTATTGCTTTCCCTTCGCCTAATCATCCTGGCGTGACTGACTCTGGAGTCGTCGCTGTGCCATCCACCAGCCGAACTGCGCGTGTGCTGCGGCAAACGAGCGCTCGTATTGCGATCCTTCGTACGCCCTTCGATCGTGCTCTACGGCGAACGCTCCCCAGCCGAGCAATCAATCGGGTCTATCATCACTTACGACCTATCCCGCAAACCCGACTTACTGATCGTCATGGGCACGACGCTCAAGATTTCCGGTTTCAAACGGCTCGTTGCGGACATGTCGAGGGAGGTGCGCAAGAATGGTGGGTTGGCGATTTTCGTCAATCGCGAGAAGAATGGGGCGGCGATGTGGAAAAAGGTGTTTGATTATCAAGGTACGTTGTGGGAGTTGAGGTCAAGTAATTTTCGGAGTAATCGAGCTGATCCGACTCGATCCGAGCACGCGCACAGTCATTGGCTCGACGGACGATTTCGTCGATAGGCTCCTGAAACGATGGAAGCAGACTCGTCCGGCGGATTGGCAAAAGCAAGCGACGCTCAACGATACATTCACTGTGACGAAGCCATCCCAAGTCGTTGTTTCCAAGCCCGTACAGCCGGTGCTACCTATGACCCCGTCTGGTGAGTCTGCTCACCGAGAGGACTCGACTTGCTTTGCCTTGCTGAGTCATCGAAGGTTGTCGTCTCACAGCTTCCAGCACCCGAACGCCTTTGCGCGACCCCAACTTTTCGCTCGTCGTTCCCGGTCCTGGTACACCGCCTCCCTCACCTCTCAAACGAAGGTCATCATGTAGTGATCGAACCAACTTACCGAGCATGGACAAGCTTCCGGAAACACCTTCCAAACGTCGATCGCCCCGATCGCCCCGGGCCGACCAAGAACAAGAACCAGGAGCCTCCTTCGACTTTGACTATGACTATGATCACCTCGACCAACTCAGCAAGACTCGATACCCACGAATGGACCAAATAAGCGATCCTCCCTCGACGCCCTTTCGAATGCCTGTTATATTTGTTCCCAAATCGCCTCCGACACCGACGAGAAAAGTGTTGCCGAGGTCGCCTAGAAGGGCTGTGGCGAGGTGAATGCTCTGGGAGAAAGGGTCGTGAGATTTCAAAGTTCATTGTAGCTTTTTGATTGTGTTAGGATAATAGTCGGTTTTCAGTGTTGTGTGGCCTGATGGCATGATGTAGTGGAGTGGTGGTCAGAAGAGTCGGGCGTGGGTCCGAGCTCAAAGTCGGTCAGCGAGCACCACAATCAGCCGGATGTCGCGTGACGGCTTGGCCTTTCCGGGCGTTTCCCCATTCGTTCGATCGCGCGTTCCGGGCCGTCATCGTCATCGGAGAGGACTCACGACACCTCGAGTTCGTCGTCGCGTAAATACGCTTTACTAGGTGTGGTTACCGAGCTTGAACAAGGGGTCATGGGTCGGGAAGTGCCCGATGTTACGAGCTCAAGCTCGAAGCCGTCCATCGCGGTCGCTGCTGGCGCTCGATCATTCTCAACTCCCATTCCGACACCGATCGCCTCCGCCTCGACCCAGTCCAACTCGACAGCTGGCCCTTCTCAACGACCGTCTTTGAAGGGCCCACCTCGTCGTTCTTTCTCCGACGGTCCTCATCCGGGAACGGAACGAACCGGTCGACCAACCACAGGAGCTGCAACCGCCAGCGCATCAGCCAACCCTTCCCAGCCAACGCCGATCGCTGCCTCACCCTTCCTGCCCGAACATCTACGCCCTCACGAATTCATTCTCCCCGCCCTCAATTCAACCTCCCTCAACGCACCCAAAGCCGAAGCCACCAATACGCCGAATCAAGCTTCTCCCTTTGAAGCCAAACATGCCGGTCCGGGCTGCTTGAGAAGGGTCTTTATCGGACCTCATCGAGCGGATGCGGTCACGGGTCCTGCAGGGTCAGGTGGGGCCGCCGCGATCATTTCTTCCCAAAGCTTGTTTGGCGCAAGAGGGGGCGCACAAGCGAATGGGAAGGGACGGCTCGAAGAGGAGGAGGAAGATTCTTCGAGTAGTTCTTCTTCGGAAGATGGACTTTTTGATGATGAGGATGAGAGGTTGGAAGCGCGAAGAAGGAGGAAGGAGGAGAGGGCGAAGTGGAAGAAGAGGTTCGTATCAGGGATCGAAATGAGGGATCCGACGATGAAGGGCAAGGAACGAAGGAAGGGCAAGAGGATACCGACGGGGGAGACGATCAAAGGAGGGACGATGAAACCGAGTGGATCGAGGAAGAGCTCGATACATCAGTGGGTCGGGGGAAGCTTTGAGATTGGCGGGGATGTGAGGGCTGCGGCGAAACGGAGGGAGGAGAATAGGGCTAGGACGTCGAGGTCGGTTACGGCCGCTGTAAGTGGGGATGGTGCGCCGTCCACAGTACAGCCGGGAGCATCGAAAACTTTTGTCGCGGCTAGGACGCACCAACCCACGACGACACAGACGACGAATGCGTTGCAGCCGTCTCTCGCGGTTGAAGAGACTTTGCCCCCGCAAATCGCCCATGCTCTACTTCGAAGAACTTCGGACGAAGGACCGACCGAGACAGCGTCTCTTTCGGCCGTTCCCGCACCCGAATTCGAGCCAATCGATCTCGGCACCTCAACGACCACTCGACCCGATACCAAGAGCATCCTCAAACGCAGTCAAGCCCATGCTTCGCTGGGACACGGGCACCCTTCAATGAGCGGGCAAACATACAACGACTCTGCCCCACCCGACGAGTTTGGTCGACCGAGATCGACGAGATCGATGCCTGTTCCTCCGCCTGCGATTCGGAATGAGTCGATAACCAAGATTCGCTTTTCGCAACCTTTGTTGGATCGGGCGGCGCGTCCGGGGGACGAGCCACCTAGGCCTGTCGAGGAGGTACTTGCTCGACCTGATGCGGCGGACCAACCCTCCGTTCAAGAGACGATTGATGAATATCGCGCAAAGCAAACTCCCAAGAAACCTGGTAAAAACGACGTCCTTCGCCAAGAACGGATGTTGGTCCGAGTTGAGTGGACTGCAAGGGAGGATCTACCGAACGACTTTGATGAGAATGCCGCGCGCAAGTTCCCGACGAGTGGGGAGACGTGGGAGGAGTATGGGGTCGTGTGGAGACCGGGGAGGATCGAGTTGTGGAATGAATATGTACGTATGTATGAAGAGGGTGCTAGAAGATTCTCTAATATGTACTGATCATTCCATCGTGATTACACAGACGCTTAGTGCGACTTCGCTCTTTCTCGGACACAAGAAGCTGGCGCACGTCATCCCACTCGCGCCGGCACGGACAAAGCTTTCGCTATACTCGTCCGCAGACGTGATCTTCTGTCTGACACATCAACCAGACGGATCGGGTCTCTTCGGCGGTGCGACCTCCCACATCATCGGCAAGAACCAAGACGAAGCCGCTCCTTCAGCTTCGAAAGCGACGCGCAATCGTTACATCCATCGTCGACACGGGACCTACGTCTTCATTTTCCGAACGCGAGCGATGAGCGTCGCCAAGGAATGGATGTGGTTGCTCTACCGAGGGCTGGGGAAGACGTTACCTGATCATCTCGAGATCACCGTCCCCGGGATAGGAGCCAAGATCCGTATACCCATTCCTGGCGTCTTGCAAGACTCTGCCGAAGGCTCAGGCAAAGGCGCTCATGCTCGTCAAGCAGGTCTATACCTCATCGACGACGAGACCAAATTGTCGATGCGGCAATTCCAACCCCATCTCATCGTCGAGGCGTGTTTGGAACAGTTGAAGCGGGTTAACGAATGGCAGTCCGTTTTGGCGGATCGGGATCCGAAGGACGTGAAGTTGTGTTGGAGACGAGGAAATGTGCTGGATTGGGTGAATGTATTCGGGAAAGGGGATGTCGATTGGTCGCTGTTGTGTGGGTTCAGTCTTCGGCAGGTGAGTCCGCAGAGGAGGATTTGCTTCCTCAAGTCTAGGAGCTCACCTTGAGGCTCTCTCGGATCCCCGTTCCGACAGCCCCACTTCGAGCCGACACTCGAACTCCGAGCCGCTCTTCACTACCCAACGACGGTCCGAGTTCCGGCGACGCCCGAAACCCCCTCTCATCGGCTTGCCGAACCCCCCGCAATCGAAGGCTACGTCGCTCGTCTGCGCAAGAATTCGTCGGCCTCTGAACGCATCTACCTCTCTTCGCACGACGGCCACCTCTTCGTCTGTTCCCCCTCTACTTGCCATCCCCCCGATCCACCCGCCCCACCCGCAGCAATCACCCTCAATCCAGCCGTCATGGTGCTCGCTCCCTTCGCCCTAGGTTGGAGTTCCGTCGGCGTCGGATCGGACAAGAAGCGCGAAAAGATCCTCGATCGGGTCTACCGTTCGGTCAGTGGTGTAAGTGGTGCCAGTTTAGCCCACGAACGACGTAAGAAAGAACGAGCCTTACAAACGATCTTCGCGGAGAACGCGGACGAAGATCCGGATGTTCTGGAAGGGGATTGGGTCGCCAAGATGGAACTTTCCGAACGACGACGAGCGGTGCAACAGATTTTGGACGCTAAGGGGTATGTTGATCTGAGGGATGTGGAGAGGGTGGGAGGCGTCGAGGATGCGGATGAGTACAAGGGGGATGAGTACGGAACGGCTGCGGATGATATAGGTGGGGAAGAGGGGATGGCTCTGGCGAAAGATCGAATCGTACTGGCCAAGAGAAGGACTTTCGTGATCGAGACCAAAAAGGGCGTCAAGGTTGCGTTCGAATGTTATTCGATCGCCGTCAGGGACGAATGGATAGGCCGCCTCAACGCTTTGGTGACGTATTGGACACGAAGGGAACGCGTTGACGCAATCGACCAAATGGAACTCCATCCATCCTCCCCTTCCCGAAGACAAGAAGTCATCGCTCGTCTAAGGAGCAAGATCAAAAACCAAAACGAAGGCGCTGGGCTAGTCAGCAAGGCGTCTTTCCTCAACCCTTCCGGAAGTAGAACTCTGGGATCGACGACGGCCGATGGGGATGCGACGTTGTTGAACAAGGCGTTCAATTGGTGCATCCTCGAAGGGTGTAGGTCGATCATCTTTTGTGGCAAGTTTTACGTCAAGAAAGGGTTGCGGGGTTTGTTCAAGGAACGGTATTTGGTTCTGTTGCCGGGGACGTTGATCGAGTGAGTCCGCACAAGAGGTGGGAGTAGGCGGTCACCAAAACAACTGAAATCGTCTCTTTGTCGGCTCAGATACCAAGCCCACGACCGTGACTTCCACGGCCAAATCACGGCTTCAAGTTACCACTATCGCAAGAACGTCCTCTCCCTGCGCGACTGCTACGTCTACTCGGGCCGTCTAACCTACCCTCTCATGGCGATCTCCGTGGGTAATCCCACGGGTTCCTGGGATCCTGGAGATATCCAACATCGTTTCCCCCGCGTCTACACGAGTACGGACGGTCTTCGCGTCAATGACGAAGAAGAGGATTGTACGTTGGTCATCTTCAAACGCTCGACATCGGGGAAGAAGACCTCGTTCGGAAAAAAGGGGACGAGTTATTTGCTGAGGGCTAGGAGTCGGATCGAGAGGGATGAGTGTGTGTTTGCGTTGAATTCGGCGATTGAGAAGTTGAGGTATGCTGAAAGGGGGAGGGAGGAGAGGATGAAGAGTTTCCCTTGGTTGGATACGATGAAGAAGGGCAAGTAGGGGCGGGGCTTTTTGGGGGTTCTCGAGCTGGGCTTTCTCTCGAGGCGAGCTTAGTCGTTCGTTGCAAGGTGAATGCTGTAGATTGCCACAAGATACACACAGAGAGAAATGGTCCGATCATGCCTTGGGTTTCTTGGCTGTAAACCGAAGCGGATAAGGTAGGCCCGATCAGTGTTCAGTCGTGCCCGATGATGGAGGAAAGGCGAGCGGCCAACGCGCTTCGGTGACTCACTGCCATACTTTGACCGACTGTTCATCCTGCCCGCGACACCGGTCAAGTCCATCGCGCCTCGAATGATCTTGTACCTGTGCGGGGGGAGTTGAACGTGGAGCCCTCTGTCTGAGTCGATGCATTCATAACAGAGCGATGCGGCCCCTCGACGCACTTTGTCCCCGGTAAATCCTGGGTCCTGCCCCCCTTGACGAGTACGACGCTATGTTCCTGTAAGTTATGACCTTCGCCGGGGATGTAGGCGATGATGGCCCTCCCGTTGGAGAGTTTGACTTTGGCGACTTTGCGTACGGCCGAATTCGGCTTCTTGGGTTTGACGGTGTACACTTTCGAACAGACGCCTTTGCGTTGGTAGGCGCCTTGGAGCGCGGGCGTGGAGGTCGGTCGACGGATGGCTTTCCTCGCTCCGCGGGTGACTTGGTTGAGCGTGGCTTGCGGGGTCGGGGAGGTGGAGAAGGAGCGGGAAGTGGAGAGGGAGAGGGAGGATGGGGTAGGCGAGGGGCGCGGGGAGTGGGAGTGGGAGAGGCACTGGGACAGGGACAGGGAGGAAGTGGAGGCTGATGGTGTCGAGTGGAGGGATAGTCGTGTCAAGGACGCGGTCAGTGATCGTAGTACGCCTGCCATGTTGAGGTTGGGTGGAATGTGGGGTAAGAACAGGAGGCAAGCCGGAGCTTGACGGAGCAGAGTGACGGAGCGTGATCGTTTGCGCGGTCCAGTAACGTTCAGTTCGGGGCGTCGGTTTGAGCTCGGACCGCTTTGCCGACGCGCGTCACGCGAGGCGCTTGGACCCTCTCTCTCTTGACGTCCCCCACCGCTCCCCTCGCTCGCCTTGAAGCTCTCTTGATGCCCCTCTACTCGGCCGGCTCCAACTCGCGCGGTCAGCTATCGCACCGAGACCAACTCGACGCCCACTCGTTCCAACCCTGTCACTTCACCAACCCCGCAACCAGCTCGAACCTGATCGTGCATGATCTCGCGTTAGGTGCGAACCACACCCTTGCTCTGTGTTCCTATGCCTCGACCTGCCCTTCCGAGGAGGAGGAGGCGGCGAGAATGGAGCTTTGGGGATCTGGTTCGAATCAGAGAGGACAGTTGGGGCCTGGTGAGAACGGTCGTAGGGACGAACAAGAGCTTAGGACGAGCTTCGTTCGCATTCCTCTCGAGGGGTTGTTGGCGAACGTCGAGGAGGAGGAACGGCAAAGGCATCGGATACGAACCCAACCTCCCCGGGACGAACAAGACGCGGAATACGACATCATTTCCATTGCATGCGCGTGGGAAACCTCTTTTGTCCACTTACGACGACGAAGCACACCCGACGAAAATGTTGCCTCGTCCGACTTGATCCTCTCCTTCGGTGCGAACGACTGGAACGAAAGAGGGATACCGAGCCACACGCACTTTGAATCGGCACCCGTCAATATCATCTCATTCAATGAGTCGACATCGAGTGTTTGCAGAATCACACAGCTCGTCAGTGGTCCTCGACACGTGCTGGCGATCGTCAAAGATTCGTCGACAGGATCGAGTCAGAGTAGAGTTTTTGGATGGGGTGCGAGTCGTCATGGGCAATTAGGACGAGGTGGAGGGATTGGATCGGTTGGAGGTTCGACCACCCAACTGCCGAGAACGTTCGAGCGACCTTACAAGGTCCAATTATCCGACCCATCGGACGACCGACCGATTGGCTCGACTCGTCGTCCCGTCGGTCTCGCGGTGGGACGAGATCATTCCATCATCCTGTTCGAGGACGAATCTCCTCAAGCTTCCCAATCCGTCGTCTTGTTCGGAAGCAACAAGCAAAAACAACTCCACGTCTCCAACATACCCTCAGTCGGAGAAAATCCGACCTGGGTATATCCACTCGACAAGGAAGTGACAAACATCTGCGCGACTTGGACCAGTTCGTTCTTCCCCTTCAAGGATGGGACGGTGCAAAGTTTCGGCTCAAATACCAAAGGTCAATTGGGACGGCCCGATCCATCGTCGTCGGACAAGGAAGCGACTTCTTTTTTCGTCAAGTTCCCCACCCCAAACGTGCCCCCACAAAAAGTCGACATCACTTCCCTCGCGACCGGCTCCGAGCACATCCTTGCGATCGATCGGCATACGGGGGATGTCTACGGTTGGGGATGGAACGAGCATGGCAACTTGGGACTGTCACGTACCGAGGATGTCGGATTACCAGAGGTGGTGTGGTCCGCGCAGGACCGTGGCGAGGTTGGAAAGGTTTGGTGCGGGAATGCGACCTCGTTTGTTTTTGTGGCTAAGGACCAGAGTTGACTAGGTGAACTTGATGTCACGGTGTACAAGATTATAGTAATCAAAACAACATGTTGTAAAAACACAAGAGACAAACACAACCCTGCTCAGAATCCCAAGATCACAGCCCAAAAACCAGCCTCGACGCCGTCCTTCCGACTCTATTCCCCTTGATCACCTCATTCGCTTCACACCCTCTAGGCCATCTCCAATTCCCCCCAAACACCCTCTCCAGTTCGGGTAAGAAATCCTGGAAGTACCGATACCTTTCTTGATCTTTTTGCGCGGCGAGGTTGAAATGCCTTCCTTCCTCATCATCCTCCACCATGCCCTCTTTCTTCGTCCGCTCCCGCTCCCCCAATTCCTGATCCAACAACCTCCCCAACTTCTTCCCCGGCCAATCATCCAAATTCGCTCCTCCCTCCCCTTCCCCCCTTTCGGCACATGCGTGACCCAAACGTCCCTCAGGACCTTAAACTCCCACCCCATCGCGTTCAACAACGCGGTCTGACTCTGTTTATCGCCTCCTTGATCGGAGAACCTCTCCTCGAACAAAGGGTACGAGTTGCGATGAAGGACGTAATAAGGTTCCCATTGGGGTTCGTAACAGACCTTATAAGACCAATGGAGTGAGGGTCGGAGGTGTGTTCGCGATGGGTGCGGGGTTAGAGGTGTGGTGTGAAAGAGGAGGGAAGGAAGGGAAGGGCCGTGACCTGCGTTAGGGTCCGTTAGGTACGCTGAAGGGGGGTTCGTCGCGTAGAGCATCTCGTAAAGTGTGGCAAGGCTTCTAGGGATCGTCTTGACGGAAGGAGCGAGGGCGAAAGCGGAAATGACGAGAGCTTGTCTCGATTGGGTTGGTGAACCGACGGTTTCTGATCCGTGGGACATGAGTGAAGGGACTCGGACTTGAAGATGATGGTGCATCATAGGCGAAGGGATGAAATCCGCGTCGAGCACGAGGAGGTACGAAGTAGGGGCGAGGCGTAAAGCATGGTTTCGTAGTTCGTTGATGGGGTATCGCAGGCGACGGATGAGGGCCACCCTTGAGGTTGAATAAGAAGGTCGGACCAAAGTCAGCGACAATTTTGACCAAGCCGCTCGGAGCTCGTCATCGAGGTTCGTGATGAAAGTGGAGAGGATCTCGCCGTCGGAAGGCTCGGTGAGGTAGATGGTCAAGGAGATGGGAGCATCCCAGATGCGTAGGGTTTGGGTGAAGCGTTCGAGGCGGGACACGGAGAATTGGGTCACGAGGGTGATATCCTCAAGGCGGGAGGGGAACATGGACGGGAGACGAACAACCTTCCTTGTGGATGGGTCTGCGAATCAAGAAGGGCAAAATCGAAGATTAGACGGTGAAGTATTCGCAAAAAAAACCGAGCGGAACTTGCCGAGTTTGCCGAGTTGGCGCAAAGCCAGTAGCTCATCCTGCGTGACTGTGAACCGCCTCAAGCCCTCACACGATCCCTCCTCACACCCATCCCCAAAATTGCTTTCAATCGTCTTAGTCAAACCCCTCGAGTTGACAAAGGTCATTCGGGTTCCGAACGGCATCTCGATCCTCCTGATGGGTCCTCGTTCGCTCCAAGCGAGTTCGGTCCATTCGTTCCAAGGTCGGGGCGATTTCAATCTTGGGATCACAGGCGGTGGGAATACGAGTGTTTGAGGTTCACCTCCGTCGTGATAGTGTAGTGTGATTTTATTGCGTTCTTGTTGACTCGGCACGAATTGGACGAGGCGATCTCGACCCTTTGCTATCGCTGCTTTCGAAGCTGAGGTCGTTGAAGAAGGCCCGTCCGACCCCGGCTCAGCGGCCCGATGAAGGAAATAATGCGTCAGATGCGTCAAAAGGAACCAAGCTCCAAGAAGAAGCAACAGGATCGCCAGCTTGCGTTGACGCGACGGCGAACTGGTCAACCTTCGAACCAACCGACGATGCCACGGTGCGTTGTGGAGAAAGGTGCGACTCTTGAGCGTCCCCGACGGACGATGGTTCGCCAACGAGGTCGGTGACATCGTCGGGCCTCCTTCTAGGTGGTCGCCTTTCGGCTTGCGACGAGTAAGGGCCGACGACGAACGCGCGTGAAGGTAAGAAAGAACTCGCGGGATGACGTGTGTGGAGACGAGCGAAGGGTGCGCGTGTAAGAGCGATAGTAGAGCGATGGTCTTAGAGCGTGTAAGCTCGTGTAAGCGGCTGCAGCTGGTGCTCGGGCTGGCCCAGGTCTGCCTTCTTCCTGACCTACCACAAGCTGTCGACCGATGATCATTCGGTCCACTCGCAGAGTCCTCCAACTACGGCGTCGAATTTGCGCCCTAAATCACTCTACCGGAACCTGGATCGCCCCCATGTCGACGAGCGCAACGAGGTCGTTCGTTCCCCCACCCACCACGCTCAATTCGGCATTGGAACGGATACGAGAGCTCGAGAAGAGGTTGGCCGTGGCGGAATATGCGATACAACAAACGACGGGGCAGACACTTTCACAACTACTCGGCGAGGATCAGGACGAGACGAGCTCAAAGCCGACCATTGCGAAATCGACACCGGCAGTAGCAGCAGAACCGGTCCAGAACTCCACAGAAATTGGGACTACGGGGCCAGAACCTATCGAAATCTCCCCCCTCGTACTGAAAGCGTTGGCGATCAAGAAAGGCGTACACATCGGTTCAATACCCGAGGACGAAGCATCGAGTCAAGTCGAGAAATTGTGGGAAGGCTTGAAGGTGACGCACGAGCAAAAGGACCAGTTGAGGGCTTGGGCGGGGCTGTAATCGAGTCGTCATGTTAAAGCAACATTTTCTTGGAGATGTGGGAGTTGCACGTGCAGCGCAGCGGAAAGGGAACGTGCCCGGTGTGGGGCATCACGTGACACGGATCTGCAACGTCGAATCATAATCCCGGCCGTGCATGCGCATCCCGATGCGTGCACTCGAAACTACAAATGACCGAAGAGTCAGTCGGGCCAGCCACATCAGATTACAATATTAATTTTTTGTTCTGTGTACAATGGACCCTTGGCGCCACATGGACACCGGCCACTTAAGACCATCCTTCGGCGTGAGGGACGTGTCTCCGTCGAAGAGGTTTTTTTTTCACGATCTAATTAAGTCGGCCGCAATCATGCAAAGATTGTCCCACATAATTTCTCGGGATTGGCGGTGGTGCTACCTATCGAGTGGGACTATCGTACCCGGGGTTTTACAGGACTGGTTGCTGGGTGGTAGGCAGGTACCGAGGACTTGACGGCGATCGCGGAGGGCAGCCGTCGCGGAGTGTAACTTCGTGATCTTGCTCATGCGGAGTGACGGAGAAACGCGGACGCCATTCATTTTAGGACCGCGCCAGTCCGTGAATCAGTTCGGAAATCTTAAATGCGCTTGAGCCCTCACCATACCTAAACGCGCCGAATTCCGAGAAGTGAGTCCGCATGTCGGCAACGACGGGAAAGGCGGAGCTCGCGCGACAATCGCTTGGGCTTATCTGGGCTGTCGCTCCGCTCCTCCCCACCCCCCGCCCCGCGCCGCGGCTCGACTAGCGTGAAATCTCGTGAAATCAGATAGTTCGCGATACTGCAGGTGCCCTCTTGTGGATGATCACTGTCTCCTCTTGACTTCTCATCCTCTTCACCTCCTTTCATCTCTTTCACCGCCCCTTGAAGACCAAGCACCATACATGAACATCATGACTCCCGAAGAACAGTGAGTCCCTCGCTCTCTCGAGGAGACGAGCCTGAGAAGGCCGAAGACTTCAAGTTCCGTGCCGGCGATCATGCGAACTGATCACCACCCACCCGGACACTTCCGTCGTCGTACAATCTCCCGCACCGACAGAAAAACTTTCGAGAAGCGTGTCGTACGCAAGATTGGTAAGCCCTACGATCACATGTAGTCCCCTTCGCAAGCGTCGCGAACGGAAGTCGACGCGACTCTGAATGTTTCTCCGGCCTACGGCTTCGAAAATCCCCTGTACTCTGACACGGCTTGTCCTTTTCTGCTCGCATCACAGACATGCGCATTATGCCTTTGATCATCTTGTCCTACCTCATCAACTATCTGGGTCAGTACCTTCTTCTCACCGTGTTGCGCCACCGCCACTCTTCCCGCTTTTCATCGCCCCTAACTGACCTCTCCCACGATTACCCTCTGCCAGATCGATCCAACTTGGGAAACGCACGCACCCTGAACAGCGACAAGCCTGGAGAGAGTCTCGTCGAAACGCTCAAACTGAGTGGTATGCGCTACAACATCGTCGTTGCCATCTTCTACATCACCTACGTCCTCTTCGAGTTCCCGTCGACTTTTTTGATGAAGAAATTTACGCCGTCGCGATGGATCAGGTCAGTTGGGAGGTTTTGACCGGTCATTTCAGAGAACGGTGTACTAACACATTTGCTGGGGAATGTTTAGTCGTATCATGGTCACCTGGGGCATCGTCACGATCTGCTCGGCCGCGGTCAAGTCTTACACTGGTCTCATCATTGCTCGTTTGGCTCTCGGCGTCGCCGAGGCTGGCTTTTTCCCTTGCTGCCTTTACCTCTTCACTTTCTGGTGAGCACTAAGCAAATACTGGACGAAACCCAATGGTCATCAGTATCTGACGAAGGTCCTCATTTTCTTTTATTAGGTATAAGGCCGATGAACGAGCCACAAGGATGGCCTGGTTCGCCGCCTCGGTCGCAGTCAGTGGTGCTTTCGGTGGTGTGATCGCCACCGGGGTGAGCTACTTGTCGGGCAAAGGCAACCTCTTTGGATGGCAATGGCTCGTGAGTTGCGCGTTATATTCGGCCGCTTCTCCCACTCGACTTTAATATTGAGTCGGGCTTTCTCCCCTCTCCTTCGCGACGGAACAGTTCATCCTCGAAGGCATCCCCGCAGTTATTGTCGGTGTCATCGTCTGGTTCGCCCTCCCCGACTGGCCTGAAACAGCAACGTTTTTGAACGAGAAGGAGCGCGCGTTCGCCATGGCCCGTCTCGGCGATGGCGCCCCTCGCTCGACGGATGCCCACTTCAACCGCGCCGACTTCTTCGCGACGATCAAGTCGTGGCAGTTCTACGCTTTTGCGGTCGCTTACTTCTTCATGGCAAACTCGCTCAATGCTTTCGGCGTAAGCTCACCTACCAAGCACGCGAGAACGCGAGAACGAGACTGATTTTTCTCTCGCATTCGCAATAGTACTTTGGCCCCACGATCATCAAAAACCTCGGCTACCAAGGTGCCAAAGCCCAGCTCATGACCGTCCCTCCCAACATCGTCGCCTTCTTCGTGATCCTCGCGAACGCAATGCACTCTGACCGAACCCGTGAACGACCCAAGCATATCATCGCCGGTCTCCTCTTCGTCGGATTGGGTTACATCCTCCTCGCGACTGTCAAGACGACAGGTGTGCGATTCTTCGCCGTATGCTGCATCGCCTCGACCAACGCGGCTGTGATGCCTTTCGTAGCATGGCGTGCATCGACGGTTCAAGGCGCTACTTCGACGGCAATTGCTACGGCCTTCACCGTGGCTTTCTCCAACTCGGCAGGTGCAGTCGCTCCTTTCTTGTTCATCGCCAAGGACGGACCCGACTACACCAAGGGCAATTGGACGTGTTTCGCCATGCTCGGTGCCGCAGCTGTCATCGTGATGGGTTTGTGGTACTCTTACGGCGCTTCGGCGCAGTATCAGACCCACGCCAAGATCGACGATGACAAGGAGGATGTGACGGATGAGGAGGCTGAAGTTGGGCAGGTTCGGACGGTCGCTAACGATCCGAAGACGAGTACGGGAACAGATGAGGAACAGGATTTGGAGAAGTAGGATCATTTTGTTCGGCAGTGTTATTTTTTCTAGTATTTTCTGTTGTGGTGCATCAGTTTGGGTCCTTGGCTAGAGATGTATCGTATCTCCTCTTCTTGGAATGATTAGTTATGGTTACCGAGACACAACTTCTTCCTCTCTTTGAGGACTTGATTGACGTTCATCATTTTCCGGTTACGGCAGAAATTCCTTTTGTGCTGCACACTACTTGGAAAAGTGTTTGCTTGTGCAATGCTTTTCCAACTCCGACAGCGACGCCGGCGGCGATCACTCTGGACTGACAGGGGCTTGTTGCACTGGCGGCATCGTCCGATCTCGCCAATTTTTTTGGTGCTAGATCGTATCTGCTTGAAATTTTAAAAATATATCTTCACTTTATCCAAGCGATACCTAGCTTTTGCAGCACCGTTCAAACGCAAGGCCGACGCGGGAGCAGCGCTTCCCTGCGCCCGTGTTTTCCGCCGCTGACGATGCCGAGTTCTCGGCAAGAAAGCTGCTGGCTGCACTCGCGACCGCTGACGTCGTGTATGCTCTCGAAGCCGACGCGCACGCAGGAGCGGTGGAGTCCGGGTGGAGCCAGATATAGCCATGAGCTCTTTAGGTCGGGACTCGGCCTCAAACGTTCTGAGCTGACCTCCTCGCACACACCATTGGCACCAAATCATCTCAGGTGAGTAGAATTCATTCGGGGTCTGGTTGCAGTGGCTTCAAGTTGGCCCTCGACGGCCTCCGAGCTCGATGCAAACGGCAAGCCGCCGCTGTCTGAGATCTTGAGGCCCGAAGCTCAGCTGGTCAGCTTGGACGCGCGCGCCGACCGGCTGACCAAGACCATCTTTTTCGGGGCACGCATTCCGGTCCGATTGGCACGCGCTGAAATCTTCCCGCTCTCATTCGTCTGAATACACCCAGGAGCGAGCACCCACAACTCTGAAAACACGTCTCTCGACTTTTTGGATCGTACGTCGAGTTCACCGCCAACTCTTCGTCATCGTAGCCTGTAGCAGCTAGCAAGTCTAAGTTGGAAAGCAGCTCCCGCCGAGCTCCCGAGCCGCCCGAACGCTGGGTCGAGCCCCAAGTCCGGACAGTGCACGCCTGTGGGCCCGGTCGCATCGATCGCATAATTGCGCCCCGGCTTCGCTTCCGCCCCACCGTTTCACGCCGGGCATGACAGCCGCTGTAGCGACCATGTCCCCGACCTCCGCGAACAGTTCGGCCAGTCTGCCTCATCTGCATGCGGCCTCGAGTCAAGGCCACGGCCCTTCGCGGGAGGCCTCGCCGGCGCCATCGGCCGGAAGCAGCCACCTGCTGGCCCCCACGAGTGTCGCACCTTCACCGTCGCCGGAACCGCCTGTCCGAGCAGACTCGACCAAGACCGCCGATTCGACCCAGTCGTCGCTGTACGACGGCAGTGCGAGCAGTCGATCGCACAGCATCTCGTCGTCCGAAGGTCACTCGAACTCGACCTCGACTTCGACCACCGGTACCGGGCTCGGCCTCGGTGCGTATCAAGCCGGCGGCGCCCCTTTGCCGTCGCCGCCTGGGATCCAGATGAAGCATTCTTACCAGATGGAGCGCGTCCCCTCTCGCCACATGTCGCTCGAGGTTTCGTCGCGCTCATCCTCGACCGAGACGCCCGACCATGGCCCACCGGATCATTCTAAACTCCGAGCCGCCGCGGCGGCGCTCCCCGGTCACGCGTCGTCCTCGGCGTACCGAGAAAACGCCCACGGCTCAAACCATCACGCCCCCTCCGGGGCCCACGGCCACGCCCATGGTCACGGGCACGGACATGGCCCCTCCCATGGTCATCCTGGCCAACACTCACCTTCGAGCAACGCCGGATCGGGCTCCGTTACCCCGGGCGGAACGGCGACGCCTCCGCAGTTCATCTTCTCCAAGGTCGGCGAGCGCCAACGCGCCGCCTCGTACACGAGTCTCCACAACCACCACGCCGTGCACCACATGCCGACGCCGTCTCGCCAATCGACCAAGACGCACCATTCGGGCCCTCTGCACGACTTGCGTCGCTTCCTCAATAATCATATCCACCACTCCAACTCGGACAAGCATCTCGACCGCCACGGCCACCGCAGCGACTCGCACGACACGAGCTCACGAGTCTCGACCCGGCACGGCTCCCCGAGTGCCAAGTCGAGTCCCACCAACTCCGCACCGGGGACGCCTACGAGTGAACGAGTGCTCGACTACACCTCGACCGCCTCGCACCCGAGCCACCACCGCCACGGCCGCGACTCGCCCCCACTCGGCGAGGACCATGCCCACTTGACCAAAAAGTACGGCAAGTGGGGCAAAATGCTCGGCTCCGGTGCCGGCGGAACCGTCCGCCTCATCAAGCGCTCGAGGGACCACAGGGTGTTTGCGGTCAAGGAGTTCCGAGCCCGGAGATCGGGAGAGAGTGAGAAAGAATATGTGAAGAAGGTTACGGCCGAATTTTGCGTGCGTCCTTTCTGTCCTTTGCTTTCACCCGGCCCGCGAGGGTCACTCTCGTTCCGCTTTCCGCCCACTGTTCGGACAGCCGAGCTGACAGTTTTGGGCTCGTACCCATGGCCCGTTTTCCTTTCATGCAGATCGGCTCGACGTTGCACCATCCCAACATCATCGAGACGCTCGACATCATCTCTGACAACGGCCACTACTACGAGGTGATGGAATACGCCGAATACGACCTCTTCTCGATCGTCATGAGCGGACGTATGACGCGCCCCGAGATCTACTGCGTCTTCAAGCAGATCGTCTCGGGTGTTGACTACTTGCATCAGATGGGATTAGCCCATCGGGATCTTAAGCTCGACAACTGCGTCATGACGGGCAACAACACGGTCAAGATCATCGACTTTGGCACGGCCGTCGTGTTCCACTATCCTGGTCAGAAACCGGTCAAGGCCGGCGGCGTCGTTGGTTCTGACCCTTACCTCGCCCCCGAGGTCATCAGCAAGAAGGAGTACGACCCGCGATTGACCGACGTGTGGTCTGTAGCCATCATCTTCATGTGCATGATCCTGCGACGTTTCCCTTGGAAGCTGCCCGACGCCAAGGCCGATGCTTCGTACCGACTCTACGTCAGCTCTCATCCCGAGCTCTGCGTCGCCCCCTCGGGCCCCGATGCGACGATTGGTGGCAAGCCATTACCTTGCCGCTCGGTCACGCTCGACCCCGTCTCGCGTGCTACAACCAAGTCGGGGTCCAGTTCGCCCGTCCATGACAACTTGTCGCGAAGCAGTTCCTCTGCCGGTGGCCAAGCGGCACCCATCGACAACGCGACCCGACGACGCGATCTTGCTGGACTCAACATCACAGCTTTGGCCCGCGTCGAGTCGCCCTCGTCGCTCTCGGCAGCTGGTGTCAACGCGGCCTTGTCCCCGTCCGATTTCGAGAGCCACAGCCCACCCACTGCGACCTTCGCTTCGCTCGGTCTTGAGCACCACGATAAGGAGGGCGGTGTGGACGGTACGCAGGCGACGCTCAAGGCCACAAACTCGACCGTTCGCCCCGAAGCGACGGACTCTCCCCCAATCAAATCCACGGTCTCGCACGAGAGCGATTCAACCGCGGCCAGTGATTACGCCCCTCTGCGCCGAGGGTTCTCGGTCGCTTCGGACGCGACCTGGACGACGGGCGCCGCAGACTCGATCTTCCGCCTCTTGCCCCGCGAGACACGCTCTTGCCTGACGCGCATGTTGACGATCGAGCCTTCGATCCGTTGCACGCTTGCCGACCTCCTGCGAGGTGGTGACGCCGATATCGCCGACCCTGCTCGACAAGACGAATGGTTGCCGACGGTTGAGATGTGCATTCAACACGGTGGGATCCCCCGAGGTCGCGAGGATGCTCATGACCACGTCAAGATTATGCCTGAAGGTGTCAAGCCGCCCAAGAACAAGAAGTAATTGCATCACTATGCTACCACACCTTTCGGAACTTCTTTATCAACCGATTTCCATATGCCCTCACTATCTTGTCTGTCCCGTCCTCTGCCGATCGTCTGTCTGTTTTTGTCTCGTCTCTTCCTGTTCGTCCATCGTCTGTGTATAGTCGCTTTCGTCATCTTTGGAGACTATCCTGGCGCCCGACTTCGACTACTACCTATCGACCCCTCGCTCTGGGTGTTGTCTTGTAGCCTTCCTGATGCACATACATATCAGACCTTGGATGGATGGGTCGTCATCGCGTCGTCACTACATACACCCATACACACTACACCTAAAGTGCTGCTTCCTCTTTCTCCTCCACGATTGTTTTAGCTGTCTGTTAGCTATGGCTCGGAATTTCTCGTGTATCGATGTGTTCGTCTGCTATCAAAAGACTCGGAAGAATCGCAATGTGGAAACTTTGAGCATTCGGAGGAGATTGTCTTGCTTCTTTTGCTTCATCTTCTCCCACGTCACTGCAAGCGAAATGTCTATCTCGTATTGTATTGCCCGGGAAGCCCTCTACAAAAGACGCAGCACTGCGCCTCCAACCGTGCTCGAGACCGTAAAGAAGAGCACAAACACCAACGCGATCCCAATCCAATCCCTCTGCCTCGCACGAACCTCAATCTCCCTCGACCCCTGTCGTCCTTTTGGGAATTCCCCCTCTCTATAGAACTGCGCCATCAACCCATCCTTGATTTCCCAACGTCGTCTAATCCACTTATCGAACGTATCCCTATCCTCCTGCGTCAACTCTCGTTCGATCGTCCGCGGTGATTTGCCTTTCTCGATCCTCGGACCGACGGGACATTCGGCTGCTGCGAGCTGATGAAGATGGAGATGAACGCGAGGAGAAGGTGTGCGGAACCCGAACCAGGAGAAGATGGTATAGTACGATTGAGCGTAACCTTTTGGGGGGATGCCTTCGTAGCCTATTGTGAGGTCGTAAAGGGTCAAATTTGGGAGGACGGACAAGGCGGTGCGCATGCAGTAGAGTAATCCTGCCGAGCGAGGAAGGACCAGGTTTTCGAGGTCGGGCTGGAGGAATGGGGGACAGCTACGTATAAATTCGAGGCGCCGCAATCTGTGGTTTGTTCGACTCTGCTTTCGTGAACTCACTACTCCCAGCGTTCGAGCATACGCTTCACTCTTGGGACGAGTCAAAGCGCTGACCAGAGTTCCTTCAGGGTAGAGAAGCAACTGGAACGGCAGACCGAGCGCAGTGCTTCGCTGCGCATGGTGATAGATCTCATCGGAATCTTGAAGTCGATGCTTCTTATCTATGAATACGAATTCGAAGAGTTGCATCGCCTGGGGAAAGGGAACGAGACATCTCAGGAACGGCCGTGTATATGCGAGTCGATGGCTCGACACCCAACCGCTTGAGGATACTCACCGGGCCAACGATAGGCGCCCATCGAAGTGAAGCCTTGAGAATGATGATGATACCACCGTCGAGGTGTGCGAGTGCGAATAGGATCCTAGAGATACAAAAAGAAAGTTGATGTGACTTGAGTGGGTGTCGTTCTGCTGGAGTCGCGTGGCCGACAGTTCACGAACCAAGAGAAAATCCAGTCGCAGTATTGTTGATGGTTCGCAACCCATACTGCAAGAAGGAACACAACTGTTTAGATCTCTCTTATCCGCCGTAAAGGTGACGCATCGAGTCTGCACATAGGAGCCCGGAGTATCTCAGGTCGTCGCCGAGGCCGCGCTGATGGATTTTCCACGCCGGCGCAATGACGTCAAGCCACCGTCGACGTCAGCCAATCCAACTCACAACTCTGCTGATCAAGCTCGAGCTTTTTGAACCTCCCCTTCTTATCCAACACGACCACCTGATCCAAATCGACCGTCTCGTCCGCGGTGATGACGAACGTCGTCGGTGCGAAAAGGGACGTGATGACGAGCAACGCGCTCGAGAACAAGCGTTTACAAAACTGCGCCGCTCGGTAATGCCATAATCGAGTTTTCTTGTCGAGGCGCAAGAGGTGGAGAGGGGAGAGGAGGAGTTGGAGGGTATGGATCGATACAAGTTGGAGGCCAAAGACGAGGGTGAAGGCGAGGGCGTGCAACCGCTTCCAGAGTGGAGGGTTCGACCTCGAGCGAATTGGGATCTCGTGCAGGCGCCCACTGCCACTTTCACCCCCGAGACCGCGCCTCTTGCCGACCGGTGACGGTCGATCTGCTACTGATAAGTCCTCTAGGTACTCCGGGAGCGGTTTGGAGTGCCCTACGTCGTTTGGTGGAGCCACCATGGGGAGATCTGGGATGGGAGCAAGCGCAATAGGGAGACGAAGAGCCACGTAGACGCAATCGGCGCCAGTAGGGTCTCTTTGAGTCGGGGCAGTCGGGGCCTCCTCTTATTCATCCCCGGGGAGGTTCACGTGAGCTACTCGGCAAGTCCGAGCGCTCGCCTCGCGATCGATCGATCGAAATACCGCCGAGATCTCCTTCTCCTCTTCGCAGTGGGCGTATTATCAATGAATATGCGTATTACAGTACCCGTAAAGCTAACATCTGAAGGTGAATATACATCTAGTCACAGTCTATTCCTCCTCGCCTTCGAGCGGCTCGTAGGGCGGCTTGCGAGAACGTCGGTAGTAGCGCCAACCTCCCCAGCCGGTCAGCGCGACGAGCGCCGTCCCCAGTACAGCGACGAGGATGATCCATCCAAAGCGTCGGAACCAGCTGTGAAACATCGCACAAAGACAGTCAGCACAAAGGGGCAGAGGAGACACTAGCCAAGTACGGCGAAGAAAAGGGAAAAGGCTCACCCAGGATTGTAGGGCAAAAGCACCGAGTCAATCATCAACACTCCACCCCCTGCAAGTCTTCGACCTTGACCGTCCATATCGACGAACGACGGGGTCGCTCGGCCATAGCTGACGATCTTGGCCGAGTCACTCTCGCCTCCCGTACCACGCGCTCCACTAATACCGACGAGCCAGCCATCATCACCCCATCGGCGGAATGCGATCGAGCCGTATCGACTCTCGCCGCCTTCACTTCGGTCGAGCAGAGTCGGGAACGACGCATTGTCGACCAGTGTGAGGGGCCGGCCATCGGGTTTCAGAGGCATGAAGGGGTCGACGGGTATTACATGGAGGCGAATGAGTGCTTCGAGCAAGGGTGGATTCGCATGATAATGGCTTATGTTGAGACGGGACAAAGCTTTGTCGGTCGGACAGAGGATGGTGTACGCCGAGTACTCGGGCTTGACCTTCGGCTTCTTACTCTTCTCGCCATACTTTCCACCATTCAACAGCGATTCGGTCGGAGGAGGCGACCTTCCCTCGAGTACCCAGGTCATATTGGCGGCCCGGATCAGTTCGAGCATCGTGCTCGCCTTGGCTCCTCGCATCAGCTTGACGGCGGTGATGTTGAGCGTCGGTGGGAGCTCGACCTGGTCGATGATGTGCACAGCTCCTGTCGCGGTCAAGATGTTGCCTTCGATCACACGAGCGTCCCTCACCTCACCGTTGGTAGCGAGACCCCCCGAGGTCGGACCATGCACCAACACCGTCCCGTTGTCCTGACGAACGAGAATTTCGGCCCCAGAGTCGAGCGTCGGATAGCGAGCGGCACCTGTGCGGGGGAAGTCTTCGAAGAAGACGATCTCGTCGATCGCATGGTAGCGAACGAGGGATCGCAGCTCGGCGCGAGCCGTCGGCAGAAGCAGGTACGACATGACGAGACCCAGCGAGGTGAAGGCCTCGTTGTCAGGGACAAGATACGTCACAGCAGGTTGGTGTGCCAGCGTATGGTCGAGCGAGGCAGCATAGACCGAGGCGACAAATGTCGACAGGCGCAAGTCCGAGACGGCTTGGTTGATGATGGGCGCCGGGGGCTCTAGAGTCGAGGAGATGAGGTAAATAACCGTGTTGCCGACCACCACCGGTTCGCGAATGACGCTGACACCTCCAAAGCCAACGAGACCGGGTTTGCGTTCGGAGTTGGGGTCACCCGAACTCCACCAGCCCCAGCCGATTGATGCGAGGTTTTGTGATGCGACGTTGACGTTGACGGCGAGCCGTTGTCGCGCATCCCGCAAGTTCGGACCTCTCAGTTCCGTCCCGACCAACATTCCGTCCTTGAGGTCCTCGGGCAACCATTTGCCGCTCACGACCGAGTACAGCAAGAACTCTTTGAGCGCATCACTGCCTGCGGGAGGAAGCGATCCACCGCTTACAGTCACTGCAGTGCCGTCCACTGCGTCCTCGTCCTCCAGAAGCTTCCATTCATTCTGTAGCACCGAGTCGGGTGGCGCCAGGATGGTATAAGCTGGTGCTCCGTCCAGTGGTGCAGCGAAGATAGACTGCGAGGTTGACGACGAGTAGCTCGTAGCCATTACTGCGGGGTCGCCCGAAGGAATTTGAACGTAGTGCGAGAGGTTGACGGAGCGCAGCAGGGACACGAATCGAGTCGCCTCCAGCGCAATCAGGTACTTTTCGGCCGTCAGCGATAGTGACCCTGATGGCAGGAGCAAGGTAGGTACGGTGTGGATGACCCCTGTGCGTTGCGTGCATATGGGCGGCGTCAGCCTCTCTCAAGTCTTCTGGGCGAATCCCATACGGCTGCGCTCACCATTCAAGGCGAGGATGTCGGGTGTTCCTACTCGAGTTCCATTGACCGCGACATTGTTCGATTCGTCCATGGCGATCTCGAGGGTGCTGTTCCAGATCGTTCGCACTGTGCGATTGGACGTGGGAAAGTCAGCTCCTTGATCCGGCCAATCTGGACGGAACGCCAGCCGTAAACACGTACTGGCAGTGGTAGTGTTGGTCGGGTTCTTGCCGAAGAGGGACGAGACGTATCCGACCTTGCCCTTGCCGACACCTTCTCGCGAGGCTCCGGCACCAAAGATCTCGATGAGATCCTTCTCGGCGAATCCAGACTTGAGGTATTTGCTGGAGTGGGGAAGGACGTCTCGGTCAGGCTCAGATACATTTGTTTTTCAACCCAGGCGATGAACGTACAGCTCGAGATCAGACAGAGATGCCCAAGCTTCGTTGGTGGGTGCAAACAGTGTCAAATGAGGGGCGGTGGCGATGTAGTTCAGAAGCGACTCGGGTAGCAGCGAGGCAAAGGTCGACAAGTCGGGGTTGGTCCGGATGTGCGCGGCTGAAGTCACGACGGGTAGATAAAGAACAGTCATCAGATCAGGTTCCAGTAGAACTTTTGAGAGAATTTTCAGACCGACCCAAATCAACGGGCCTGTGCAGAACGGCGGTCAAGGAGACCAGTGCGCCGTTCGTGGCATGGAGAATCTTGTTGTCGGCAACTGCCCCACCCTCGCCTCGCCAGTCCCCACCAATCCAGACCTCTTCCTTGCTGCCCTTCTTGATTGCTGACTTTCGCACGACTCTGACGCGTTGTCCTTGGCCCCGGAGCAACCCCTCGACCTTGTGGGGCTTGTCCGGATCGGGGTTGTCGGGAGGTGAGCCGGGCAGGGTCGGTGGGGCGGGGAACGACTTGTTGAAGCTCGAGAGAGAAGGGTGGTATAGCGTCTCATGCAGGATGACCCTGTCGAGTGGCAAGCCGTCAAAGGGACCGGTGCCGTTCGACATGAGGGATGTCCGGTTGTCTGACGGCGGAGGCGTGTCATCGTGCGGAGGCGGGAACAAGGTGTAGTTGAACATGTGGTACAGCAACGTGTCCCTCAACTCGAGTTGGAGGTTATCACGTTCTTCAGAGCGATTGCTCGTCATCAGTGCAGAGAAGCCATGCACGGCGTAGGACCAAATCGGGGTGTTCGTCGCACGGACAGTGTCGCTGCTGGTGCTGGTGCTGCAGCTGAGGCTGGGCCGATGACGTTTGGCGCTGTGCCGTTCGGCGAGATGGGACGCGTACTGCTTCTCATGTTCGATCTCGGCCTTGATGGCGTCATTCGTAGGTGCCCAGAGTACGCTCCCGTTGAGCAGATTGACGGTTGGGATCAACCGAGCGCGTTGCAGCGCCGACAGCAGCATCGAGTGCTCGGGTGAGTCATTGAGGAGATCGACGAGCGAGATCGAGCGGGCCGACGGCGGGAAGAGGGGTGGCGAAGCGGAAGAAGCAGCGAGTGCGAACGAAAGGATGAACGATAAGGTCAGCAGCAGAAGAGACGGAATCGACCCGGACCAGATGATCATAGTGTCGTCCTCTGGCGCGGGGTTGGTCGAGGGATGACGGTCATGAAGAGGAACGTGCATCCGCGCGCCGCCCATCGCGGCTCCATCCTCGACCCGCGATCTCCCGCGATGTGGAGCGTTGTGGAGCTATGTAGCTATGTGGAGCGGAACTGAGCGGGACGTCGATGAATGCCAGCAAGTTGACTGCTTTGGAAAAGGGAGATCATTCCCACCGACCAGATAAGTTGGTTCGGGCGAAAAGTGGGCATTAGAGGATTCAGCTCAAAAGTAGCCCAAAAATTCCGAAAGGTCGCATCACTACTAAAAGCTGGTTCTTGATCTGTGCCACGTAAGTGCGCGCCAAGTGGGACTCGTAGTATCGAGGTCCGTAGATGCCCAAGTATAGAGGAAGCGCAGCAAGATGGAGCGGTCCCCCTATCGCAAGCGAAGCTCTCATCCTCGCCGATGGCAAAAAAACATCCTGAGCGACATTGACAGGATTCGAACCTGCGCTCCCGTAGGGAAACAGATAATTGGGATTCAAATCTGTCGCGTTAACCAACTCCGCCACAATGTCCAAAAGGCGTTGCTGAAGTACGCAGTTTTACCTATAGCAAGTCAGGGACAAGTCACGTGACTTCACCGCTCGAGGCGATCATCCCCAAGCCCGTGGCCCGCTTCGCAATGGAGCAGCGCCTTCCGGACCCGGTGCTTCCACAACAGGCGAGCCAGTATACGCTGCTGAACACGGCTCGACCCTACACAATCCGTCGCATCCGCCGGGTCCTGAACGCGAAGGCATTTACCAACACGCTCGGGCTCAAGGGACCACCGCAGCCGGACGACCTCAGGAGCTTCTGGAAGGCAGTCAACTCGAAGGCACTGACGGCGAGGGAGAGGGAAGTTTGGTTCAAGCTGATTCTCCGCTTCACCCCGACGCGCAAGCTCCAGCACGAGCAAAAGCACGACACTTCTCCCGCGTGCCTCGTCTGCGAAGCGCCGGTGGACAACACCGATCACTACTTCTTCGGCTGCGTCGACTCGCGGAACGTCTGGACCGCGGCAAGGGGCGTGCTCTGCGACGCGCTCGGATGCGACACGATCGAGGACGCCGAGTACACGACGCTTCAACGACTCTTTGGCCTCCCCAAGCTCAAGGCCAAGCTCAGCGAACAGGAAGGCGCGGGTAGGACGATCGAGATCTTCACGGGGATGGTTTTGGAGATGATCAGCAGTGGGAGATGGAGGATGCAGAAGCTAGGGACGAGGATGGAAAGCCTGGAGCGGAGGAGGGTGGTACTGGAGGAGAGAATGAAGTTGAGGGCGGGAGGAGCAAGAGGCGGGCGAGGGCAGTAGAGGCTGGGTTCGATTTCCCCCCACCCCATCCCACACTCACACACCCCACATCACACATCCTCTTACAAAAACTGTATACTAAATATATTTTCTTCATCTTTCTTTTATTACAGGTCTGCCTCTGTTGCTCATGGACCGGCTCGCGTTTTGGGATTGACTCGACGGTGGCTCGCGCTCTCTGGCTTCGGGGTTCTGAGTTTAAGGGAGGGATCAGCAGACACAGGCAGAAAGTCGGCTTTGAGGGGCCAGGGACTGCTGAGGTGGAGGTTTTGAGGGGCCTCCACCGCGTCTTGTTGTGACCGAGCATAGACTTGGGATTTCGCGGGTCAGGGTAGCTGCGCAGTCGCTCTCCTGTCTTTGTCTCGACCGAGTTGGGAAGTGGCGGCAGGGTGGGCCTCTTGTCGTTAGTACGCTAGTTGGTTTCCTTTTTCTCTTTCTCTCTCTCCTTCTCTCTCTCATTCGTCTCCTGGGGGGGAGCAACCGCTTGGCTAGGGTACTTGAATCCGAAGTATCGGATTGGTGGACTTGGCCCGTTTCTCGCATCTTGCGGGCGGTTTGTGTTATCATCGTCGACTTCCATCTAGTTTTTCCGTAGGCCAATCAGGGGGAACAGGAATTGGGGGCAATATGATGAACGGTTTCTACAAAACAAAAACAAAAAATCTACAAAAAAAAAACCCCCGGCCGGGTTCGGGTTCGACCTCCCCCCTCCCACCTATAGAATTCAATCATACCAATCAACAAAAGCTGTATACCAAACCTTCCGATCCTTTCTTTTCTTTCATCTTTAACAGGTCCACCCCTTGGCTGCTCACGGACTGTCTCGTGTTTTGGCATCGACTCGGGGTCGCGCGCGTTCTCAACAAAGGCGAAAAGTCGGCTTCGAGGGGCCAGACTGCGCGTTTGAGCCCCCCGCCACCGCGTCTTGTTGCGACCAAGCAGAGACTACGAGCGTCGTGGGTCGGGGTGGTGTCGATGTCGCTCTCCTGTCTTTGTTTCGACCAAGTCGGGAAGTGGGTGCGGGATGGGCCTCCTTTCGTTAGTATGTCGGTCATTTGTTCTTCTTCTCTCTCTCTCTCTCTCTCTCTCTCTCTCTCTCTCTCTCTCTCTTTTCTTCTTCTTTCTCTCTCTCTCTCTCTCTTGTTCTCTCATATTCGTCTCCTGCTCCTGGGGGTGAGCAACCGCTTGGCTGGGGCACTTGAATCCCAAGTGTTGGTTTGGTGGCCATTTCTCGCATCTCGCAGGCCGCTTATTTTATCATCGTCGATTCTCATCTAATTTTTCCGTGGGCCAAACAGAGCGATAGAGTAAGGGTGCAGATATGATGAACAGTTTATACAATACAACAAACATAATAATAATAATGTTCATAATAATAACAATGGTAAAAAACAATAAAAATAAAAACAAAAACAGGTCAAAACAACTTGTTTTATTCTACAGTAACTCAACCTAACATGTGTGATTCTACGGGGATCCCATACACTTTACTTGGGGCCATACATCCAAGGTTTATATTCTGGGTTAGTATTCTGGAAGCACGTCTCTCATTTAGCGACAGACACGTGCATTGTTGTCAGACGGCTTTGACCGTGACTGTCTTTGGTCGCTAAGCGGCGCTCGCACAGCACGTTCATTGCGAACCCACAGGCAGATTTCATTAAAAGGGAGGCTACTAGAGCAAGGCAATGCATCCTTCAGTGAGGTCCTGACGTCCAGTCAAAGAGGGGTCGAAGGCGCTGGTCCCCGCCGCGAGACCGTGATCGCCGATCCGAGCCTTGCACGTGTCTCATCGGCAGTCATCGCGCTGCGCGTCCTTCGAAATTCAAGGACATCATGTTGAAGTTGTTGAAGTTGTTGCGATAGTCCCGGTTATCGTGTATGAAGGCGGTATCCGATTCAGTAAAATGACTCATCTTAAAGCAGGTCTGTCTCCGAGGACCGTCCCGGTAACGTGACTTCGTCGTCTCCATTTCGAATGGCCCGGGGCTTCAAGTTTGACTTTGATGACCAGTCGACACCGCCGAATAATGTCGCGCCGCGCACGCCATCGGGAACCGTTGCGTCAGCGCGCGCGAGCCTGCGCGAGCGAACGTTCCTCGCTCAGCTCCACGGTGCTGCTCCCTTTCACTGGTTCGTGACTCTTTCGTACTCGCTTCATCTCACACCATCACGAGCACTCTCCCCATCAGGCTCAGGGGTCCTCTTAAAGCCCAATCGTCGTGTGTACCGCTACCGCCTTCTTGCTGCGTCGTATACCGCAAGGGGCTCCTCGGTCGCACTATTATCTCCGCCCTGGGTATCGGACATCAGCCAGGCGCTTCAGCCGAGGCTCGGGCTTTTTGTGTGGGTGAGCAGTAGCAGCTTGCGCTATCGCAGCTCTAGTTCATCACTCTCCTCCCGCACAACTTCGCTAAATTGCTCGATTCCCTTTCTCACTCCCTTCCCTCATGCGTCACCAGCCAGTTCACGGCACTATGCAGGTCTTCTACCTCGACGATCCCGAGACATCGCTTTACGCTCAGGCTGAACTTCGACATGTCGTCGGCGAGAAGGCTCCCCCCATCACCGACTCATCGTTGCCCGAAGCGAGGTACTTCCCTCAGCGTACACCGTCGTCCTCCTCGTCATCGTCCTCGTCCTCGTCGTCAGTTTCGTCATGCAGTTCGAGCTCGACCGACTTTTGTTCGACTGAACACGACCAACATCATGCTGCGAAGTTGGCGTCTGCTGCCTCGGCCAAGGAGAAACCCCGAACTTGGCACCCGGCTTCGGCCCAACAGGAGCACCCACGTCACACCTCCACCACCTCCGCCGCTGGCATCCACGAACCTAGGTCCGGTCGAGCACTTCACCCACTCTTTCCACCCTGGTGCTCTTTCACCAAGATCCTCCCCAGTCCAACGACCCCCACCTCGTCCGCCTCGGCGCCCCCAAGGTGAGTCCGGCTCCCCCCCCACCCCCACTGCGAACGATGAGGCAGTTCAGCCGCTAGAGGCTTTTTGGCCCGGTCGCCTCCATATCCGAGTTGACTAAAAGCTAATGCACCACATGATTCGTGTCCGTGCAGAAACGCTATCCAAAACAATAGTGCAGACGTCCCCGACCCATCATCGTCACCTCGACCTCATGTAGCACCCGCCCCGGTCCCGGTCCCGCTCAAGCGCAGCAAGCCCATGCCCCTGCCTGTACTACCCCTGTCCTCGGCTACGGGCCGCAGCACCGCCACCCGTCGTCCACCAGCTCCGGGCTCGCGTGAAGCCGCGGAAGAAGCTCGCCGAGGTCGCAACCGCTGGCCACGTCTCCTCTGGAACTCGCAGCTCGATGCCGAGGCGCTGAACGTGCTGCGCGCGTACCACGAGCGTGCCGTCGGTGGACCTTTGCCCATCCTCCACCCCGACGATAGTCCCAAGGCAGTCGCCGCATGGAGTCGTCGTCTCGAATCGGCTGGACTCTGATGCCCGCATATCGCTTTGCGACTTGTACACTCGTTTCCTACAAAGTCATCATCTTCGCCTCGTCAGGTCACTCGTATCCGGGTAGTTGCATCGCCTTCTTTCCATTCCTCATCACGCAGCATTCCAGTCTCTTGTCGTTCGGTTTCCATGGGGCGCTTGTACAAAGAGGTAGTACCGTTTTTCGTGTGTATGTGTTTTGTCCTTTCTCCCCCTTCATTTTTATACTTTCTCTGTATCCGTTCAAACCGTTCAAAAAATCGATCGCATCGCAGCAGCAAACCTAAAAAAATGTGCGTAGACTTTCGAAATGCATTCCCTTTGTTCATGTGATCTGTGACGCGATTTTTCTGCCGAGAGAACGGGACGTGTAAGAGAACATCGCTGACGAATTGTGGTCCATGACGTGCTCGGGCTTTGTGCGAAGGGGAGATCACGCCAGGGAGCACCGATGCTTGACTGAATTGTTTGAGCTCACGCCTTGTCGCATCCTCCGTGCGTGCTCTCTCAACTGTTTAGACGAAGATTTTGCTCGAATTCCCCACAAAACAAAACTAGTGCTTGAACCCTACATGCCTGAAACCACGAAGCCCCAAGTTCGCGGTCTCTCTCGAGTCCACTGGAACTCAAGTGGCAATCTTCAACCAGTGTCTCAAACCCCTTTCGCCGATAGCCAGCCCACCTTTTACAAACCCAATTCCTTCTCACTCCCCGGCGTCTTGATCCCATCCTCACTCCCTCGGCTACCCCCACTCTCCACCGACCTCCCCCCCGATTGACTCAACAAAGCCTCCAACTGCTTCTTCTCCACCTCCCCACGACCCCACAATGTCACGCCGATCTCTTTCACCACGAACCAAGCGGGGACGAGACTGACTCCCCATAGAGCGAAGTTGAGCGAACTTGCGCCGATCGTACCGAACGACTTGACGGAGTTGAGACCGTAGGATACGGCTTGCGCGGCGGATTCGGTCGCTCGGAGGAGGCCGCCGATGCGGATGATGTCCGCGGGTTCGGTTACGACTGCGCGGCGGTTGTGCGAGAAGAAGAGGGTCAGTTGGGTTGGGGTTCGAATACTTTGAACAGAACGATGTGGAAATACTCTTACGATTGCCCACGACAAAGTAAAGATAAAGATAGTTCAACTGGAACCCGGCCACGAGGAAGATGTATAGGGCGAAACCACGACCGAAGCCAGGGGACGACCAATCGAGCATCGTGTTGTGGGGTTGGTAGTCGGATTGGATGACTGTGGACCAAATCCACCATACGCCTTGGAGACCGAGGACGACGAAGAAAGAGTAGCGGGCGCGCGATTTGAGAGAGAACTTTTTGGAGTCGAGTAACCACTGCGAACGGAGGGATTGGGAAGATTTGATCAGCTTCACAGGTTCAAGCCAGGTACGAGAAACGGGCTAGAGGAACAGGACTTACTCCGAGAAGGTTTCCAGCAATGATAGCGACGATGGCAGAAAGGAAAGAACCCAGCGCCCTCGCCCGAACAGAAAAGTGCAACGTCAAATACGTTCCATTGAACGATTCCGGGAACACGGCTTGCACGATCAACGGCACGATAAGCAAAAACTTTTTGGTGAAGAACAGCTTCGCCGAAGCCTTGACTTCATGAATCAAGCCCGTCGTGACGAACAAACGAACGGGGAGACCGTCGGTACGTTGGACTTTATTGGGTGGGGGCAGGAGGAAGGCGACGAAGGGACCGAGGCATTGAAGGGCGATGAAGACGAGATATATTTGTGGGTTCACTTTGCCGGCGGTGTTGCGGTTGGCGTTGAGGCCCAGGTTGATGGCTCCCCCGAGGACACCTCCCAAGACTCGGAAACTGTGAAAGATTGGGGTTGAAACGATCAGAATCTCCGTACAGGCCACGTGCGAGGCGAGGACAAGGCAAGGCACTCACCTCAGCCAAAGACCGAAGAATCGACCCTGGTTCTCGGGTTCCGGGTACGCAAGCGCGACTGCAGACAAGGTTGATCACCTTTTAAGTGCATGTTCGCGTAAATATCACGCCGGGATGAGTGCTCACTAGCTGCTTCGATAGCCCAGAATGTTCCGGCGCCTGTAAAAGAGGGGGCCAGGAGGCACAATCAGTTTAGGGACAACATCGCCGGTGCCGCTGAGACGGAGTGACTTACTAATTCCGCACAATGCCGCGCCAAGCAAGAGGAACCATTCGTTTCCGAAACGATTGTTCTGTCCAGCAAAGAGGGGAGAACAAGTCAATTCGCTGTGCGAAGGCGACCTCGAGCCCGGGACCGAAGACTCGCTACCCGAACTCTTTTTCCAGCGTTCGAGGCGGGGAAGCCAGTAGACAGCGGTGACTCACTGTGTAAAGCCCAGCAGCGTAAGGTGCATAACCCGCCGCACCAAAAGCGAGTGTCCAAACGACGCCGATGTAGCGCACCAAGCTCGAGGTGAGGAAAGCGGTCAACACCATCAGACCGAAGGTGAGAGCGTTGGAGGCGTTGACGAGGAAAGGGGCTACGAGTGCAGATGAAGACAACGTAAGTCGAGGGCTTCAAAGCTGATACTCTTCCATATCGTCCGAACCTACTAGCTTGTCCACCCGCACCGAGCGAATTCATCGCACCCCAAATACCAGGGGCGCTGAAATTGGCCAACCCGAGAATGAGAGCGGCGAACCACGTGCTACGGTACCACTTCACTTTTCGGAAGGGGGCGAGGACCACATCGGTGTCGATATCGGTAGGTGGGGGGGCTTCGAGAGCGTCAAGTTTGGTTGCGGACATGGTCGTAGAGAGGGCCCGAGGTGGGGGGTGGGGGGTGGGCGGCTGGGGGTTGAGATAGGGGCGGAGGAAGGGAGGGGGAGGGTGTCTTCGAGGCACAAAAGAATGCGTAGGTGAAGTGGTTGGTAAGGAGGAGAGGAACACCAATATTTACCAGCACGTAAAGATCGGACTCTTTTTTTGTGATAGGAAAATCCCCGGGCCCGCCACGGAAGGGACGGGTGAGTTCGAGCTTCGAGCTCGTCACTATGGGGAGAAGGCACGGGCAAAGCACGCAAGCCGACGTCTCGGTTTCGTCGCTTTGGGGCCCGCCGGCTGCCCCCCGGCCATTCTTGCCTAATCCGCGGGCGATGATGCGACGAGTTGGGTAATTTTAGCAGAAGTGATGTCGTGTCCTGGATCTGCCGCCCTTGTCGTACGTGTATAACCCGGAGCCCCTAAGTCGATGAAGACTTCGCCCGCCGGGAAAGGCCTGGTAGCGAAATCGGCTCGTGCTTCTCTTTGCCAGAGAGGTACAGACTTGAGCCACCTAGATAACAACGTAGTTTCCAAACATCTTCCTAGTGTAAGGACCAGGCACCTTGTCTGTTCCTCCTGGCGAAATTTCAGCCCTACCTATCGTCGAGCCGTGTGCGCCGACGGTGTCATTCTTGGATTTTTAGCGCCCCCTGACTCAAATCACGCAAGAGGCGGCGGGTCCCACGGCTTCGCCATCGCCATGGCCGGTCGCCGGTCGCCGAAGAGTGGGGGAGCTCTCTCGCAGAGGGTCTTGGCGAGCTGAGGCTCGGGTCGACCCATCTCTGGTGTGAAGGTAGTATGACAGGGTGCATTACAGGAAATATTGTGAAAGAAGAGGGGATATTGGTACATCGAGATGCGAGAGTGGACACCGCCGGTGCGGATGCTGCGGATTGCCAGTCGTGACAGAGGAAAGCTAGCGTTTCCTCTGGGCCTTCCATTTCTATAGAATTCGACAGTCCAAATCAGCAACAAGCCACGGTTTCCATGGATCTGTGCGCCATATACTCACATACAACCTCGCCCCACTCGCGATTCCGACCTCGTCCTCATCCATCGTCGTCTTATCCCCCTTCCAGTCCTCCTCAACCCTAGCACTCGGGTCCTTCTTCTTCTTGACGATCATCTTCTTGGCCCCTTTACCCATCAACAATCTCTGGTTTTCTAACTCCTTCAACGCCAAGGCGAATTGCTTGAGGCGTTCTTGACGAGCATCGAGTTCGAGCGTCAGGCGTTCGCGGTGCGCTCGAGTGGCTTTGTTCATCGATTCTAGTTCTTCCGGTGTTGGGCCGAATTCCAAAGTGGGCGCTTTGCCTTTGCCTTTCTTGGAAGAGGTGGATTTGGTCGTCGTCGAGGTGGAGGGTGTTCGTCGCTTCTTGGGTAAGATCTTGGACGGGTCGTCGACGGTACGAACTGTGCAGGTTGAAAGAGTTGCGCGCTACTCAGCATGCGGGGTAACAACGATCGCGTAGAGAGAGATTGTTCTCAACCTACCCTTGTCGAGGTTGTCAGAAAAGATGATGTGCTTCTTGGGCCCGGATGAAGCGCCTAGAGAAGAGGTCGAAGCGACGGGGGGTGCCGAGTCAAAGGCATCCCAATCGTCGAGATCGCGCATCATCTCATCATCGTCGTCAGGTCCACTGGTAGGTTTGGGTGGTGCGTTGGTGACGTTGTCGACGAGCGAGTCGAGCTGTTGTTGTAGTCGACGCACGCGCTGGGTCGGTCGTGAGAGCGGTTTCGTTTCGGATCAGGATCGATAGCTCGGGAATAGGATGCTGTTGCAGAACTTACACCCTGTTCGATGGCTTGCCGAGTCCTGATGTAGCCTGCGTCCTGTGTCTTGAGCACCTTGACGAGATCGTTGCTCATCGCCTCGTTGCCTCGTGACTGAACATGGACCCCGTTCTACGAACGTCGATGCCCATCGCGCCGAGTCAGCACCGAGCCGATCCCAACGAAGGGACGCGATAGACGTGAATACATACCAGGGTCTTGCTCCTGATCATGCCAAAGTAGAACTCATCCTTGTTCTTGGCGCTGGCCTTTTCGCGCAACTTGGTGAGCCGGTCCTGCTTGGAATGGAAGTCCCTCGCTCGCTTGACGTAGTCGGCATGTTTCTCGAGCAGGCCTAGTTTGGCTCGGTGGACGGGTTGAGCTCGTTCGCTGCAGTGAGGTTGGGAATGTTGTGCAGGGCGATGTGGACGGTGCGGAGGAGGGTAGAACGTGGGTCAGTCAATGATCGGCGTTCGGATACGCTGGCGGGGCGACCGCGCTCGGCTGCGAAGCAGGACGAGGGAGCTACCGGTGCGGCGCCCGTCGAGCCGCCGCAAGTGGGGCCTAACGCAGCGAATGAGAAGGATCGTGTGTACTGACCGATGCTGTCGCTTCTGCTCGTTCAACTTCCAGGCGACCATCTTGGGCGATCGTGGGGTGCTTGAGCAAGGGCAAGGGGAGGAAACGGGGCTACGGGCGCGTGGCGTGGCTTGGGGGAGGCAGCCGAGCCGAGAGTCGGGCAATGGCAGGCAATGGCGGCAGACGGCGGCGCTATTCTGCGCTATTAGCCCTGGAGTTTGTATTCGGCAATTGGGGAGGCTTTCGGATGGATTGGATTGACATCATCGAAACCACGCGTCACCCCTCCCGCACTCCCGCACCCACCCACCTCGATTCACACCTCGGCTCAAAGTTCAACATGGTCAGTACATGCTCACGGGGGGTTTTTTTTTCTTTCTTTTTTTTTTTCTTATGCTCGATGCACTGACCGACTCTGCGGTGGTGTGCAGTTGGTGCGGATCCGTTCGCGCGATGGCAACTTTCGCTTCGAGCTGCAGCCCAGTGATGACGTGTCGGTGCTCATACAAAAGGTGAGCAGCACGAGTCATGCTACGTCGTTCCTGTGTGCTGCTCGATGGAGAAGCCTCTACGGCGAAGGAATGGTCCGCTCCGATTCGACTGGCCTCGCTTCCGTCGCTCAGGGAACGATGACGAAGCCCAAGTCCCAAGTCGAGCACGGGCACGGGCACGTCGTCCCACATCACCGAGCTGGCTTTGATCACCCAAACATGACCCTTTCTCATCGTATTCTTCTTGCGTGCTGGAACTTTGCGCTGACCCGATCTACCTACCCCGAGCAGATCCTCGAAACGTCGGCGACGATCGACCCCTCGACCCTCGCGCTGTCGAATGCACCTCGAGGAGGAGAGCAGCCCGTGTCCAATATTGCTGGGGACCTTCAGTCATTAGGGATTGGGTGAGTTGGCTGAGCTACCGACTTTCCACCTTGTGACCCCATTTCTCGGCCGCTCACCCAGCACGTCATCCCCACTTCGCAGCCACGGCGATCTCTTGTTCGCATCCTACACGCCGCTACCCGAGGGCGCCACGCCGGCACAACCAGCAGCGACACCTGCTGCTGCCCAGCCTGTCGCGTCGACGCTTGCGGGCAAGACCGTTCCCATCGAGACCCCTACACCTTCGACCTCGGCGCCCATCGCAGCACCGACCTCGTCGACCGGCTCAAAGAAGCCATGGGAGTCCGCCAAGGTCGACGCTGTAGATCTCTATTGGGCACAGAGGGATGGCAAAATTGAGCGCAAAAAGGGGGTCAACGGCTGTCGATGTGGACCCAAGGCCATGTGCGATTACTGCATGCCTCTCGAGGTCCGTCCTGACCTTTCGCTAGAACCCAGTCCCAGTCCAAGAGCTGACCTGTTCTCAAGCACTGCAGCCCTTTGATTCCAACTATCAAGCCGAGCACTCGATCAAGCATCTCTCCTTCCAAGCCTACTTGCGCAAGATCAAGGCCTCGGCCCCTCTCTCATCGGCATCGACGAGCTACGTCCCGCCGCTGTCGAACCCGTCGTACCGTGTCCAGGTTCCTTGCTCGTCGAGCTCGCACCCGTCATGGCCGGCAGGGATTTGCACCAAGTGCCAACCTTCGGCCGTGACGCTCTCTCGTCAGGTCTGGCGCATGACCGATCACGTCGAGTTCGCGGACCCGTCCATCATCGAGCGCTTCCTCAGCTTTTGGCGCCAATCAGGGACGCAGCGCTTCGGCTTCTTGCTGGGGAGGTACGAGCCGTACGAAAAGGTGCCGATGGGTGTCAAGGCCGTCGTCGAGGCGATCCATGAGCCGCCGCAGGAACCCCTGGCCGACGGCGTCTCGGTCGGTTTACCCTGGGAGGACGAGGCACGCGTTGCTCGACTCGCCGAATCGTGTGGTCTTCAGGTCGTGGGGATGATCTACACCGATCTGGTTGCAGACCAAAGCAGTGCCGAGAAGAAGGCGCAGGGCAAAGTCGTGTGCAAGCGTCACGCCAACTCGTTCTTCCTCTCGTCGCTCGAGGTCGTCTTTGCTGCGCACTTGCAAAGGCTTCATCCGAACCCGTCGCGGTTCGCCGAAGCGGGCCACTTCAGCAGCAAGTTCGTGACGTGCGTTCTGAGTGGCGATCTCGAGGGCAACGTCGCGATCGAGGCGTACCAAGTTTCGGATCAGGCGATGGCCATGGTCGAGGCGGATATGATCGAGGCTAGTGTCGACCCGGGTATCATGCGTGTCAAGGAGGCAGGACCGACACGTTACATCCCTGACGTCTTTTATCGATACAAGAACAAGTACAATCTCGAGGTCAAGGAGTCGGCCAAGCCTTGCTTCCCCGTCGAATATCTGCTTATCAATGTGAGTGCTGGATCAGCAGGGCAAAAAAGCGAGTGTACGGAGCCTAACATCGTACGATTCTATTCGGCTGTGATTATTTAGGTCACCAATGGTTTCCCTCTCGCGCCTTCACCAATGTTCACCTCTGAGCGACCGTTCGCGATCGAATCTCGGATGGGTCTACAAGATCAAACCATGGCTTCGGCCGCTTCGACCTTTGCAGCGCTCGCCAAGGACCTTCCGCCAAGCCAAGTCGGATACTCGGCGCATCAGGACGGCGAGAATGGGGCATCGAGTAGCAGCGCCAAGGGCAAAGAGAAGGAGGGGACTTCTGGAAATGACGCTGCGACGCCGATCATCAAGTGGCTCAGTGATTGGCACTTGTTGGCGTTTTTGGACCAGGTTGGGTTGTTTGAGAAGGTGAGTCTCAATCGTCGGGGCTGCTCTCATGTTCTACGAACTGATGAGGTGATGTGTGTGAGCAGTCCGACATCGAGTTGATGGCTCAGATCGCCAAGACGAAGGATGCCGCGACATTGCGACGCCTCTTCGCGACCAATAGCTGGCAGACGTTCTTGACGATCGCACAAGATGAAGGTGAGCATATTTCACCGTTACTACATTGCCTTGCGATAAGGGCCTGACTCGTTCGTTCCTCCCTCTCTCTCACCTCAGGACCTCGCGCGAACGGCAACGGCCCCAGTTCCGGCAACACCCTCGGTGGTGCACCACAGACGTTCGACGACGGGTTCGAGATTCCACCCGACGTCGACGTACCACCCGATGCATACAACAACCATGACATGCAAGACGTATCGATGGCCAACGCTGGCAATGGTGGAGGGCTAGGTAATGCTGGTGGTAGTGGTGGTAGTGGTGGTGGTGGTGGTGGTGGTGGTGGTGGTGGTGGTGGTGGTGGTGGAGCTGGCGGTACAAAGGTGTGCCCCCATTGCACTTTCGAGAATGAGGCGGGGAGCACGGATTGTGATATGTGCGGGTTGCCACTTTAGAGATGGTGTGGGGGGAAGATTTGATGAGATGGTGAGATTGCAATTGAAGAGAAAGCGATAGTTATAACAGAGACGGTAGAGCAGGGATCAGACATTCTCAGGCACGGTCGGCTTTGAAAATGCTCGCATGAATGACTTGACGAGATGAAGCTGACTGGAGTCGGTGAAGTGAATGCGAGTGCCCGTAGATCAGATCTAGCTATAAAATGAAGGGTATGATCATTCGGGATGAGGATAGAGCTGGGCAGGGGGCCAAAGTGAGCGCAAGTCCGCGGCAATATCGGTGCGCAGCCTCGCGCGCAAGAGAGGTTGGGGAATAGAGCCCAGATTCAAGTGACGTGGATGTGGCTCCGGTGGTACCGGGGGCCTGACGAGAACAAGCAGGCCTCCCGTGCCTGATGCACGGCCTCAACGCTCTCGATGGGAGAGGATGACGTCACGGAGCGGAGGGGGTTAGATAGGGGGGTCCGCGGCAAAGGAAACCAGATGATTTTTTTATCGACGACCCAAACAAAGCGCTCCCGGCTTCGCGTTATTACGTTCCATAGCTCACCGCACCACGTCCTACCACGTCTCGTGCCTGTCCGAGGCATCTTCCTGATCTATCTAGTCGGCCATTCTTCTTCTTCTTCTTCTTCTTCTTTTCCCGTCTGGCCGCTTGACAAATTATCGGTTCTATTCTCCTGCATTTACCCGTGGAGAGCCACTGCAAGCCAACTCTTTCCCTCTCTCTCGCTCGCGGATCAGAAAAGCTTCTCAGATTGTTCGCGCCTTCGAGCTTGTCACAAGCCTAAAACTACAGAAAGACCAGAGATCTAGTTCAGGGGCCTCGCAGCCTCCGACCGGAAGAGGATAGTTGCTCTACGAAGTGCCCAGAGGGCCATAGCGATGCCGGCGGTGCGCAGCACTTAGTTAGAACTTGACGGAATCAGGCCATCAGGTACGTCGGACGAAGGGTCGGAGGGCGATGGCCATGATTTAACAAGATGATGAACCTTTTTTGGGTGCCGATTTTTCAACCAGACCTCGAGACAGCCATGTTTGTGACGCCAACTGAGCGCGTGATGGTGTTCACCGGCACGACCGCCGAGACCCTTTCGACTCCGCGGCCTCGTTGTACCAAGGCTCAGGATCGGTAGAGGGGCAAAGCTCTATCTCCGAACAGTTTATCCGAAGCAGCATTAACTCCGAAACGCGCCAAATGAATCACCGGATCTCTCTCCAGACCCATTCACTTCCTATCGCCAGCATCGGGATCGGGCCTCTCTCGATGTGGTCGAGACCCAACCGTGGGAATGTTTCGGGTACTCGGCTATAAGGGTACGGGGCCGGAACCATTCCAGTGGCCGCGTTCCACGTGCTTTGACATACCTAACTACTGCCAAGACAAGAGCCCCTGTGGCCTGTTCCGACTTGCAACGTCCCATCTGGATCACCTACTGCCCCCCGGACATTTTCTTGAGCGATCGTGCCGAGACACACGCCGAGCCAAGGATCGAGCCGCTGGGGCCTCGACCGGATCCAAACCTTGCGTGCTAGAATGCGTGATCGAAGTGAGTGATTCTGAACACTGAGGTCGGCTCTTGCGTCGGTAAGAGCTCCTGAACTGTTTCAGTCACACGAGTAAAACAAAAGATACCCGAACGACTCGTCCTAAAGACATTCCGATCGAGCCGGTCGTGATGGCCGGTCTCAGATCAGGTCGGGGCGTTGGCCTTGGCTGTGATCGAACGTCGGCGCGGTCGGACCCAAGGCACGCCTTGCTTGCCCTCCAAGAATTCCCCCGAGTCAGAAAGAGGTGGTACGAGACATCCACCTGCTTCGGTGGTAAGTACCTAGTTGAAACCTAACACAGACTCGGTGGTCAAGAGGAGAGTGCTGGGTCTGGAAGGTTTTCCATCGATTTTTGAAACTCAAACGTAAGCCATTCTGACGAGCTGGCATGCCAGCGACCAAGTCGGGGGACCGGATGTCACGCCGGGTGACCGCTCGGAACTTCCCCGGGACCGTTTCGATCGGGAATTCCCAGCTTCCCGAGGCCCCGGTTCCTGGGCGGGGGGGGGGGTGTTTGCGGGTTTCGACCAAATACCGGCGCCTGATCGCGGAAGCGGGCGTTACCTACTACCAATTCCAGCTAGTCTTCAAAGACAGAATCTTACAAACGCCAGAGCCCGACTGGAGTATCAAGACTTCCCCCCCCCTCTTTGTTTTGAGCTTTTGATCACCCTACACCTCCCTGCACTTACTTCGCGCCACAGTCGGCCTAGTAGTCCTTCACGCTTGACTCGTCGACCGAAACTCACAGCACGATACGAGGTCCGAGTTCGGCTGTCATCCACCAAGAGTCCTACGTCACCTCAGGAGTGCTCTCAATACCACCGAGGGAACGGGCCGGCTAACTGCACGCCTCGAGCACTCGTGGGACGTCGACGTCGCGACGACATCAGCTCAACTGACTGTTCCAGCTGAGAGCTTGAGCTCGGATCGACACCCGTCGGCCGCACATCGATGCTACCGCCTTTGCAAGGGGTACATCATCCACACCACACCATATCGGGATCCCAGCATCACGAGCAGCATCACCGCTACCCTTACGGAGACAACACATCGGACCCGCTCGTCGAGGATCTCGCCGTCGCGGGCGGCAGCAGCAGCACCGCGCCGTACGATTCTCACTCGGCCACGATCTCCTCGGCTGACCATCGACTGCAGCATCAGCAGCAGCATCAGCAGCATCAGCAGCATCAGCAGCATCAGCAGCATCAGCAGCATCAGCAGCATCAGCAGCATCAGCAGCATCAGCAGCAGCAGCAGCAGCAGCAGCAGCAGCATCAGCAGCATCAGCACCCTCACCAGCACCCTCACCAGCACCTCCAACAGTACCCGCCGCACCTTCCACCGATGCCCTCCTCGCCGTACGGAGCTCGGTCGGATGGATCGCCCTCCCAGGCCACGAGCTCGGAATACAAGCTGCGCAAAGATGGCCTTCCCAAAAAGAAGCGGAAACAGGTACGATTTTCGCACAATGCTTTTTTCCTCCTCTTTCTCATTCCGACAAGTCTGTCTCCCTCGACCCAATTTTCTTTTATGGGCTGTACCCCATCCCAGGCGGTGACGAGAATTCCGCTTCGGCAATGTTCCAAGAAGTGGGCAGGTGGGCCGTTGAACGGGATCGGGCAAATCGCCCGCGCCCTGCCAGTGCTCGCCCGACGCCCAGGCCCACACTTGCCGCCCGAGTGATGCGCAAGCGCGGCAACTTTATTTCCAAGATCTCTCAAGAGTCGTCAAGCGATCACTGCTTGGATTCTCAACTCGATCGAACTAGTTACCGGCGAATACCTGATAATTCGTACTAACGAATTACCTGCTTTTTCAACCCTTCCCACAGTTGGTGTAAGTGTCCCACGGACCATGCCTTGGTGTCGCTTCCGGCGCACCGACACGTCATTTGCGCAGGCATCGATTCGCGGTGCCCCGTAGATCACCTTACTTGCTCAATCTGCGCGAAAATCTAACTAGTGACACTTTGCTGCCCCTCACGAACTACACAGTGCATGTGACTCGTGTCGGCTACGCCGGGTGCGTGCGCAAAGGGACCTCACACTTGTCCTGCCAATGTCCGAACCTCATCTTACTGTTGCCTTGCTCCTTTTCTTCCTGACAACAACAGGTCAAATGCGACAAGGCCGAGATGGGTGGAGGCGATTGTGAGTCTTTGCCGGTCCATAACGATATTGCGTACGATCAGACCCTCTCAAGACATCGTGCTCTTACCCGCCGCAGGCTCGGAATGTCTGAAGAAGCACATTAAGTGTACGGACGCCTACGTCAAGTCCAAGCCGAAGGTCGTCCGCAGCGGGAAGCTGATCCAGCAAGCCAAGTAAATCCGCGTTCGATCTCTGGATATCGGGCCGTGGTATAGGGATTGACATCAGCTATTGTTCAACCCAAACCAGGAAACTGTATGGGAACGGCGAAGACGGCGGAAGTGGCGACGAACGGCAACCAGAGGCCGGCGGCGAAGAAATGGAGAGCAACGAAGATTTTGATGGACTGCTGTACGTTGCCTCGAACGCGATCGAGACCTCCGCCGAATCGGCCGCGACTGGTGCCCCCGATCATGGGTCACCCCCTCCGACTGCCCCGCCGTTATCTCTCGTCACGGGGCCCCAATCCCGCATCATCTCGACCCACCTCGGCTTGGCAGTGCAGGACCATCTCGTGCAAACCTACTATACAGTGTTCCAGGTGCAGATGCACGTCGTCGACTGGCCCGTGTTTCAACAGACGTGGGACAATGCAGGTCGCAATGCGGCGGCGATGAGTCCAACGAACGAGTGCCTCGCAGTTGTGATCCAGGTATGGTTCGGTTCGGCGGACATACTCGGGGGTGCGGCCCTTCGTCGATCTCTCGCTCATTGAAGACTGTCCCACTTCCGCAGGCCTGGGCCGCTCGGCTCTCGGACCACCCCGTCGTTCTCGGTCAGGAAGGCGCTCTGACCTTGCCAACCTTGAATGACGTTCGACACCACAATGGCCGAGACTTCACCGACGTCGGGAACCGACGCGAACCGTTCGCGAGGGCTATGCTGGATCGCGCCCTCCAGGTGTGCGACGAGAGGGGAGCGCTGAGGAAAGCGAGTGCGGCTTGCTGCACTGCGCTCTTGTTGCTCGAGTTTCTGATGGTTTGTAAGTCGATTGTCTTGGCCCGGAATAGAGTCACGTCATATCGGGCTTGACTGAAGCGTTGCTACAGGGGACAACTCGGGTAGGGCGCCGAGCTCGGCAGGCCGCTCGATGATGGTCAACTGCGCAGAGCACCTCCGGTTCATCAACGAGCCTTCCTACGTCTCGGCCGACCCCGACGAAGTCGTTGTTCCTTCAGAGTTGATCTCGGGAGGCACTTTGCTGTGGACGATGTACACGCGCGACGCACTGACTGCGTTGATGCGCTCTCAAACGCTCTGCCTCACCGACGAGGATTTGGCCGGCCTCAGCGACCTCTTGGCGATCCGACCTCATGCTTCGGAAATCATGGCTACGGTCTCGTCGGACAACCCCCAGATGCTGCTCGGACTGGCCGTCGTCTGCGTCTTCCGACACTTGACAAACTCGATCCGCAAGTGTGCCAAGGCGATAGCAGGGCGTAAGTAATTCGCATGGCTGGCGCATTCTCGTTGCGCTCGGCTGACTCCGCTCTCGGCTTCGCTTTCTACTTGACAGCGCTGGCACGCCGTATGCGACTGAACGAAGCTGCAGTCCGCGAGGAGTGGTCTGATCTCGACCAATCGGTGCGCTACACGGCCATCTTCAAGGAGTCCGTCAATCGCATGGATTGGACCTCGTTCCCGACGGCCAAGGCGCACGCGTGGTTCCGCGACGTCACTGTCATGCAAGCGCAAATCGCGCTCGCCGTGCATAGCGTCGTCCTTGAGCGATGGACGCTCGAATCGAGCGACGAACGCTCCCTCGCTCGTGATCCGACGTACGCGGGTTATGTCGACATGTTGCATCAGCTCAAGTGCGAATCGGACGAGCGCCTGCTCACCTGCATTCGCGAGGTAACCAAGTACTACCGAGGGGTGAACCACTGCGTCGTCTTTGAAGGTTTGCTCTCGGGCGAGTTCATGAAGGACTACCTAAAGGTAAGTCCACCGCTTGGGACTTTTCGGTGCCGGAAAGACCACATGTGACCAGCACAAGAGATTGATTCTGTGCCGCTTACTCTTACAGCATTTGCTTCGATCGCCGACTTGGGAGGAAGGTGGTCCGGCGACTTGGACCTGGGAAGATAAGCAACTTCACTGCGACGACGCGATTAAGGTTCTTCGCAACGGAGGTTGGTGCTGGTCCGGTTACGACGTCGTCATCGTCGATGCGATGCGACATCTCGCCGACGAGGCGGCGCGGATCGAGCAGGTTCAACGAAGACGGACCGAGTCGACAGCTTCGAACCAGGGACCTCCTTTGGGATCGAACCATGGAGGTGCGGCCGGATACCCACTGGGGGCCTGGCGTGGCACACCGGGTACATGGCCGCCTTCGCAGCAGCATTTTCCCGCCCCGGGTGGGGCCGGTGCGGGTGGGTTCTCCCCCGCTTCGAATCCGGCCGGCTTGTCCAGTCCTTCGACGTTCTCCTCCGCGGCATTCCCGATCCCCGATCCGGCTTCCTCTGCCGGTACTTCTTTGGCCGCCTACGGTCTCGCGGGGTCACCCAATCCCATCGCTATGAACTTTCCTCCCCCAAGCGGGCCGCCGCCGAGCGCCAACAACAAGAAGCTGGCGCACCTGTTGGGCAATGGGTCCGACTAAGGAGGGATGCTCCATTCGCCGGTCCACGCACACACAAGCTCCCACAAGCACACACACACGCTACTACACGTCAGGATGCATTATCAAAACAGGGGTTCCCCCTGCTCGGTGAGGAGGCGGTGATTCATCGGCTGTACGACTATTACTTCTGATTTTTTATGAAATTTGAAACGTGTTGTTGTCACTGCTGCTGGAAGATGCGTAGGGCTCTCGCAGATGTCGTCGGGCATTTGGAGACATGGATGGATACGTTTCAAATCGTGTTACAGCATCTTATACTACAACTGCCCTTTCCCCTCATTCGATCTCTGTAACGCCCAAGTCGGACGTTTTCGAACTTTTTTTGCCGCGTACGTTCTCCGGAGTCGGCACGACGTAGTAAGCGCCTCGAGTCGTCGAAGCCAACCCCAGATACGTGGACGAAGCGATGTCTTCATGGTTATGTCGGTTCATGTCCAATCCATGCTCTGTCGGCTTTGCGCGGATCCTCGCATCGACAAAACCCGCTTCCGAATCGGCTGGGACCGAACTTGTATCGATCGACCTCACGCCCTCGACCAAAGCGACGAGTCCATCGAGGCCTTTGAGTTGGTCCCATTCTTGTTCGGTTTGGGGTGGTTCGAGCGCGCTGAGACGATGCAGTTTGAGGAGCGTTTCGCGGGATAGGGGGGGAGGGGAGGTCGGGAGGTAGGAGAGGAGCGAGTAGGGGGGCGTGAGGGGGATGCAGAGCGAGTCGACAGGGATCGAGGGGGAAGTCTTCTTGGGGGGTGGTATGGGGGATGTGCTTGGGTCGGATTTGGAAGAATCGCCTTGCTTAGGGGTCGACGATCGAAGAGCGGAGGTGCTGACGATCGAGCGTTGCGAGGTGCAGTGCATCGTCCGTACCGTCCATACTCGGCAGACCCATGGAGAGGGTGAAGGTAGACTTGATAGTCCGCGCTGCATCATTCGGTTATGATATCGTCGGCGAAGGGCAAGGGGAAGGTGTCTGGACAGCGCGAAGCGCTTTCTCGCGGCTTTCGGGCCGGCGCGGGCACGTGACCGTGGAAAGCCCCCCTCCTTTCCCCTGCCTGCGCGCCGTCTTTGCTGCTTTCTAACCCAACCCCACTCATATCACATGTCTATCCCCTCCTCGTCGATCCTAGCGACGATAGAAACGGCCTCCTTCGACACCAGCTCTGGCCAGCTGCTCGTCTCGAGTGATCATCTCATTTCGACCGCTCGATCTTACGCTGTCCACTTTGCTCCTTCCTACATCCCTTCCTTTCAACCACCTCCTAGGGAACCCTACCAATCCGTACCATCTCTACCCCTCAACCAAGATGAACCTTCGCCGACGGACGATGCTCGACCGAGGAAGAGGAAGCGGATCAAGAGGAACAGGGAAGACCTCACCCCTTTGGAACATTGGAGCGCCCGTCATAACGCCTTACAACGGTCCAGTACGGATCACGAGACGGCGCAACATCATGAACGCATCTTGGCGAGGTTGACCGAGGCGGTGGAGAATATCAGGGAAGAGGTATTGAGAGGGACAAGAGGTGGTACACTAGACCGAGCTGTGCAAGAACAGACGCCGCCGTCGGAGCAACTCTGGCTGGGGAATCTTGCTGGCCAAGTCCTCTGGGAGGCCAAGCCAGAGAATGGGCGACCTGAATTTGATTGGGTATCGTTACTCGATCTTCCAGAAGAACCGTCTGACGGAGAGGTCGCGCCGGCACCTCTTCGACTGAATCGCACGACCGAAGAACACGAAAACTCGAAGCTTTCTCCCATCGAACTACCGAACCGGATCATCATGAACGACTCGCCGGAACGACACGCTCTCCTCAAATTGACGTCCAATTCAAGCCTGGTCCTTCCTCCTCGTTCGGCATTCTTGCTGCAAGACTTTTCTAGGTGGTCCTTACCCGGTTCACCGATCTGGAGATTCGCTCAGGTGATAGGGGGTTGGGATCTCGTCGTCCTCGAGTGAGTCACAAACCTCGACGGTGTGCGGTTCCTCATCGATATTGGCGCGCTCACTTCCTTGTTCATCCTAGTCCACCATGGCCCAATGCTTCAGCCGCTCGATCCTCATCCTATCACACCTTCGACCCCTACGCCTTGGGCAAACTCGACATGACGGCCCTCCTCCAGTCGGAGACTTCCACCCGACCCACTCTCGTCGCCGTCTGGTTGACGAACAAAATCAAGGTACCCAATTCACCTCCAATCTACCTACAAGTCCCAGAGAAACCTGATGTATCTCTCCTGTCATCTCTCATCGCAGTACCGTCGTCTGCTAACGAACCAACTCTTCCCCTCTTGGCGTATCGACCCTTCGACCCTCGCCGCCTGGTACTGGATCAAGACCACCTCCCTAGGGCATCCCCTATGGTCCCTCGATTCGACTCATCGAAGGACGTACGAGCCTTTACTCATGGGTTACTCGTTACCGAAAAAGTACGATAAGGTGAAATACCCTCTTCCGGCTTTGCCGAGGGACAAGGTTTTCTTGGGTGTTCCATTGGGGCATTCGAGGAAACCGGTTTTGGGCGAGTTGTTGGAGGGGTTCTTGGTGCGTAGGGATGAGGCGGAGAGGGAAGGTAGGAATGTGTTGGAGTTGTTTGGGAGGACATCGGTTGGACCCACTTTGGGGAGGAGGGGAGGAGGGGATTCGAAGGCTGGGGTGTGGCTGAGCGTCGGAAACGAGGCGTGCAAGTTCAATGTCGTTGAGGAAGGTGGGACCTACAAGGGGTGGCTTAGAGAAAGGACAGAGGGAACCGCACAGCAGTGTGAAGCGTCAGAAGCAAAGAAAGAGGAAGCTGCGTAGAAAGCTCATTTCGAACGAGCACAAGTCGATTTGGAAACACTATGCTACGATTTCCTCTCCATGTTCTGAACAATACTTGACTTCTAGGGCAAGAGACAAAACACGAACTTCTACTTTGTAAGAAGAGCCAAAAGGGTCTTGTGCTTTTGAGACACGAGATTGATTCGGAAAGAAAGAGGACAGGCCGACCGGGACGGAGACAATCGCGCACTAAGCCGAGAATGAAGAAAACATCCATATGGAGTCGGGGTTTGACAGAACAGAGACGAGAACAAACCCCAATGACTAGGATCATAAGATCTGCCTAGACGGACTCGACCTTGACGGGTTCGACGTTCCAGATCTCGTCGGCGTATTGCAACACGGCGCGGTCGGACGAGAACTTGCCCATCCTCGACGTGGCGAGGACTGGAAGACGAGTGTGAAAACCCAAAGATCAGCCATCAATTCGAACCAAATCCCAAATTCCTAAGTGAAGACATCCGACTCACTCGTCTTTTTGACCCAAGCCGGTCGATCGACGTACGACTCGTCGACCATCCTCTGCGCCGCAAGGTACGATGTGAAGTCGTCCGAAACGAGATAAAAGTCTTTGCCTTCGAACAAGGTCGAAATAAGTGGTTCAAAGACTCCCGCATCGCCAAACATTCCAGATCGGATGGCGTTGATGGCTTCGAGCAATTCCTCGGGGTACTGGTTCTCGCCGAAGTGGTGGGCGCGACGAAGGCCTTTGACTTCGGGGGTCAAGTGACCGAAGAAGAAGACGTTCTCCTCGCCGACCTCTTCGCAGATCTCAATGTTGGCTCCGTCGGCCGTACCGAGCAACAAGCCACCGTTGAGGACGAACTTCATGTTGGACGTTCCCGAGGCTTCCGTACCGGCGGTGGAGATGTGTTCACTGATGTCGTTGGCGGGGATGATGACTTCGGCGAGCGAGACCGAGTAATCGGGCAAGAAGGCGACGGTCAAGATGTCGCTCACTTCCTTGTCGGCGCAAATCTTCTTGGACACGGCGTTGATGAGACGGATGACCAACTTGGCGATGTAGTAACCCGGTGCAGCCTTTCCGGCAAAGACGCTGAGACGGGGAACGACGTGCTTGCGCTCCTCGGGGGACAATTTCTTGAGTTGGAGGTAGCGGTAGATCGTACCGAGGATGTTCATGAACTGGCGCTTGTACTCGTGCAAACGCTTGCACATGACGTCGAAGAGCGCATTACGGTTCACGGCGATGCCGAGCGTCGACTCGATGTATTCCGCCAAACGTTCCTTGTTGGCCTGCTTGACTGCAGCCCACTCCTTTTGGAACGCGACGTCGTCGGCGAACTTTTCCAACCCGCGCAACTTGTTGAGGTCGAGCAAGTAGTCGTCCGAACCGAGTTTCTTCGTGATCAACGATGCCAAGCCGGGGTTGGCTTGCAACAACCACCGTCGAGCGGTGATACCGTTGGTGACGTTGGTGAACTTGTCGCGGCCAAAGAACTCGACAAAGTCACCGAACATCTCCTTGACCAACTCGGAGTGCAACTCGGCGACACCGTTGACCTTGTGCGAGCCGATGATGGCGATGTGGGCCATGCGCACCTGCTTGTGGGCGCCTGCAAAGTATACCAAGCTCAGATCAGTTCTTGAACAAACAGGACATGCCGATGCACGGGGAGAAAGCTCACCTTCGCCAATGATGGACATAGACCTGAGCTTCCCGTAATCCCCAGGCCACTTCTTCTCCACTTTTTGAAGGAAGAACAAGTTGACATCGTAGATGATTTGCATATGACGCGGCAGCAACGAAGCGATCAAAGGCTCGGGCCACGTCTCCAAGGCCTCGGGTAGAACGGTATGGTTCGTGTACCCAAAGGTCTTGCAGACGATGTCCCATGCTGCGTCCCAAGGTTGGGCCTCTTCGTCGATGAGGATGCGTTGCAGTTCGATGATAGCGATCGTGGGGTGCGTGTCATTGAGTTGGATCGCGTTGCTGTTGATGAGGCCAGACGGGCGGATTCAATAAGATAAGACCTGATTCCACTGAACTCCTCGACGTCAACTCACTAATGAGGGAACTCGGACCACTGCTGCCCGAGCTTCTTGAAGCGACGCACAATATCGGCGAGCGAAGCGGCGCACCAAAAGTACTGTTGCTTCAAGCGCAACAACTTGCCCGCATCAAAGTTGTCGTTGGGGTACAAGACACGGGTGATGTTCTCGGCATCACCTGCCTCACGCACGGCGGCTTCGTAATCACCGGCGTTGAAAGCGGCGAGATCGAACGACTTTTTGGGCTTGGACGACCACAAACGAATGTTGTTGGTGTTGTTCGTCTTGAAGCCGGGGATGGGCAGGTCGTAAGGGATGGCCAAGACGTCGAGACCTCCGTTCCAGGTACCCGAACCGTTATCGCGACGGACGGCGTCACCGTAAAACTTGACCTCGACACCGTTGTCAAGGCGGGGGATCTCCCAAGGGTTGGCGTGGTCGAGCCATGGGTCGGGCACCTCGAGTTGCGAGCCGTTCGAGTCGCATAACTGACGGAAGATACCGTACGAGTAGCGCAGGCCGTAACCCCAACTCGGGATGTTGGTCGTCGAGAGCGAGTCGAGGTAGCACGCCGCCAAGCGACCGAGACCACCGTTACCGAGACCGGCATCGCGCTCGTTGTCAAGCTGGGGATCGGGGTTGGGAAAGAGTAGTCAGCCTCTGTAGGCGGTGTGTGCGGGCATCCACCATTGACTCACAAGATCCTCCATCTGGAACCCAAGCGACTTGACCGCTTCGCTGTACTCCTCCTTGACGCCCTGTAAGTCAATGAGAATCCAATCCGGAAGCATCGATCAGCTTGAGAGCGTCTGTCGTCACCTTTCTGTCGAGATAATTGCGCTGACCAAGTTGAGCAAAGCGTTATCCAAACTTCTCCCCATCAAGAACTCGAGCGAAAAGTAGTAAACGCGCTTGGGCTTCTTCTGCGTGTGTTCCAACTGCGTCGCGTTCCATTTCGCGATCAGGCGATCACGAACGGACAGGGCCGTGGCTTGGTACAAGGCGAGGTCGTCGACGTTGAAGGGGGCACGGGCGAGAGTGGTGGTGACGTGCTTGACGATGGTCGAGGTGACGACTTCTTTGTCGTGTTTGGTCGTTTCGTCCTTGCTGTGGATTGAACGAGGAGAGAAAGGAGGCGCGAGAATGGGGCCGGGAGGTTTAGGGGTCGGAGAACGAGTAGGAATTAGCTCGCGGTCCCAATCGCGGTTTGAATAAGTGCGTTCTTTTGGACTGACCCCTTCTTGAGAGCGGCCTTCCAAGCACTGGCATCACCGGGGAAGATTTCGCTCAAAGATTGACCACCGGCGGTGAGGAAACCTGCAGTAGCCAGAACGGAGAGCATAAGGGATCCGAGTTAGCACCCTTGGATCCGAACACGTCCCTTTCATCAATGGGAGGACTCACCCGTAGCCGAACGCTATTTGGTTCCAGGCAACGGATTGTGCGAACCGAAGAATCAGTACCATCGCGTAGAGCTTGAGCGAAAAAAACCATTCGAGGGTTTCTCGTCTCGAGGCGACGCGTCGGGACTAACCTTGTGAACCCTCAGGCGAGCGGGGGCCGAGCCAGCGTTGGCATTGACGGGGTGCTGTTGTTCATCCAAGAAGACCAATTAGTACATGAGTCGTGTTGGGAACATTGGAACCCGAACAGCGGCGGCAGCCCCATCGGCAACCCCACAAAATAGGGTTGCCGCTGATCGATCAGATCTAGTAGGTGGGATTTCTCGGCGCGGGCGCGTGGGAGGAAGAATGCGGGGGCAGGGAAGAGGGGCTGGGCCATGCGACGGGCGGGGGCGGAAGTTGGGGCAATGGACGAGACGACTTACGGAAGCGTGTTGAGCGGCCATCGTGGGATGATCTTGATCCTGTTCAGGGTGTCGAGTGTAGGACGGGGGGTTAGTTTCGGGCTGTGAGTTGCCCTTTCCCCTTGAATGGACGCCGAGGGTACAAGTGCCGGGGCGCGACCGGGACCGATAGTTGATCTCTGGACCATCCCTGGCGGAACGATCGAGCAGGCTGAAGGGGACAAAGCACCGTGAGGTACACCAAGATGATCACATACCCGACCTTTGTTGTCTAGGACTGAGTCTTGCAAGGAAATGGGAAACGGGAAAGAATCTCAGGTGAGGGGGGGGGGCAAAGGAAGAGAAAGCGCCGGGCGGAGATTTGACGTGCCCGAGCCTCAACGTGTTCCAGCCAGTTCCAGCCTGTTCGACCCTGTTCCTGGGCCCCACTATATATAGGCCCCACTATTCGGCGCGCTCGGTATAACTCGATCGCGCGCAGTCCGTGGACAGATGGTATGACGATTAGCGCTGAGAAACAGATTCGACATGTTTCCCGCGTCACGGTTTTTTCAACTTCGGTGCAGTTGTAAGAGCTGAAATTTGCGGCCGTCTCCGGCGTCGGCGCAGACTTGTGCCCGGGTCCGACATCCGACTTCGTCCGCCAGATCCACGGACTGTACACACCTTTTGAAACACCGGTCTTGATAGACCCTTTATCTGAACATGTTCAAGTTATTACAACAACACTGCAAATTCGATCAGCCCATCCCAAATCTAACATCCTTCGTCACAATCCCTCGTAGCTCAGCTACCTTCGGACTTCTTCCCTGCGCTCTCTAACCCCCAGTTCCCCTCCCGTCCTTGTCTAAGCCCCCGTCATCGATCGATCCACCACGCATCCTCCTCTCCGACCTTGCCCAGCCTCCCGTTCCCACTCTTCGCAAATTCCGAAAGCCTGACCTTCACCCACACCTGACGTTCCTGATCCGCTGGGCCATCTGAAGTCGAATTCTTTTTGTCCTTCTCCTTATTCTTATCTCCGTCCCTCTTCGCGTCCCCGCCTCCTTTGGTACCCGCCGCTTTCCCCTCCACCGTCACGATCGGAGCGTCCTCCAACAAGGCTTCGTACCTCCTCCTCATGAACCTGGGGCGTAGGACTTTGGGCGTGGACCATTTGGGGAGGGAAAGATTGGGGATCGTCGTCGTCGTCGTTCGTGACGAAGAAGCCTTCCTCGGTTCTGAAGTTTTCGCTCCGGCACCTTCGTCCTTTTCCTTTGCGGAAGACGATAACCGTAATCGTGTTGAATCCGTCCAAGTGCTCGACCCCTCCTCCTCCGGACCTATAAGCGCCGAGCTCACGCCTCTCAACCTCCTCGAACGCCTCGGCCGTTCGTCTCGTCCAACGCTCGTCCAACGCTCCAAAAGCTGCAATCTCTCCCTCCCCACCTTTTCCAAATCCTGCCCCAAGCCCACCAATCCAACCTTCTTCAACAAGTCCTCCCTCTTCATCCCTTCCCCTTCCTGTCCCGGTTCTGATCCCTGAACGAGCACAGCGAGGGGTTTCTTGATCTTTCCGGTTTGACTGTTCCAATACCTCCTCCTGATCGCCTTTACGCGTTGAGGGATCAGGGGACCCATCAAACGAGCCTCTTCTGAATGAGGGAAAGCTCGAGGGGGGAGCGTTGGAGGGGTGTCGAGTTGTTTGGCCGTCGGGTTTCGGGACGTGTGCGAGAGAGGGGAGGTGAGGAGGGAGCGGAGGGAGGGGGAGTTGAAGAGTTTGGTCTGTCGCGAGGGGGAGAGGAACGGCTTTGTAGAAGGAGAGGAGGAGGAGATGACCATCAGCACTTGTTTGGAGGGAACGCGAATCGTTCGCCTGGTGCGGTGAACTCACTTCCAGCAACGTATGACTCCCCTTGCCCTTCCTCTGGTACGCCTGATCCAACACCCTCTCGATCGCATGCAAATGACCCTCGTTCGCTGCCATCAGCCTCCTCAACAACTGCGATCGTCGGACGAACCGAACGGGAACCAACCCCCCCCCCCCCCCCCACGGATCAGTTCTCTGTGTGGTATGAGCCGAGCGGAGAAGGGAAGGACGGAGCGGCACTCGACTGCTGACTTTTTGGGCTTGGACTGTACGATCATGAGCTCTCGACCGGTCCAAAGGGAGAGGTTTTCGAAAGTCGGATTTGATGAGGTGTCGGTAATGATCACTGCAGCAGGCGCAGCAAGGATCGCGAACGGGCGGGAAAGCTGGAGGATTAGCAGCTCGGTCTCGGTCTCGGTCTGCGAAGAAGCAAAGAGCAAGAGCACCGACCTACTTACGTCACGTGCGTATCGGGCAGCTGTTGCGCCTGTTGGAGCAATGCGCGGTAGAGCCATTTGCCTGTCAAGAGGGAGGGCGTGGACATGCGCACGGCGACCGTTGTGCAGCAGGCGGGGGGGTGGGGGGTGAATGTACGGGAGCAAAGAGCCACAGAGAGAGCCACAGCGGAGGTCGTCGACGAGGCTTCCGCTGTTTCCTGCTGTTTCCTGTTTCACCTGGGACGGGAACGCGGTTCCGAACGAGATGGGGTATACGAGATGATCACATCATCTCTCTCTTGAGGACTCTTGTGGTGCCAGATTGAGCCGGCAGACACACACGCTCGCCTCTCGCTGAGACACTTGGCAGGAGCCCATCTGTTTCAACCCGCACCCAGAGTCCAAGACGATACAATTACAGCCATCCCTCTTTCCAATCTGCTTCCCAGAGGCCCTATGATCCGCCGACGAGGATGTTGTTGATGGGGATATGCACCAGTTTGACGACGTAACCGATCCCGCCCATGATCACGAACCCGGTCGCGACCGCGCGGCAGATTTGCAGGTATTCTGTTCTCGAGGGAGAGAGAGAGGGGGAGTGGAGTGGGTTAGTGCACGGCCGATGCGCGCCACGGGGGGTCGAGGTGTATAGGTCGGGTAGGTAGGTATTCGATGAGGTGTGTGTGTGTGTGCTTGCCTTTCTTGTCGGGTTTGGTACACCGCGTCATGAACTGTCACACCCCCCCCCCAGTACCCCCAGTACCCACAGTCAATAGGCCTTCTCACCACACCGCACGACGGACGATTCGGGGGGGGAGAGCCAGGCGTTGACGTGGCCGTCTCTCCGCGTCCCCGGGCCGACGTGCTCCAGCAAGGGTATGTGCGCCCGACGTACCTGAGCGCCATTCTTGAATTCGGTTTGCAGTGATTCGACGGCTTCCTTGGCGACGTCCATTTCGACTGTATGCGGGGGGGGGGGTTGGGGTTTGAGCGCGCACAAGTCGAAAGAGGTCGAAGGAGCGTGACCGAGAGCTGAAGAGAGCTGACCCCGACACTGACCAGACGGCGCCAACTCGCCGCAAACTGCCGCAAACTGCCGCAAATGCGCAGGGACCTTTTTTGGTCTGCGTGCGTTCCGTTTCCCCGTGCTATACAGCGTCTGGGAGCAGCGAGTATGGCGTCCTCGACTCTCAACGCACCTCCGGAACAGCTCCTCGTCGATCTGCATGTCAAATACATCCAATCCCTTGACGAGGTAAAGCTCCGGAGACGCATGCCCAGGAAAGCAGCACCCCACTTGATCGCTCCTCACTGACCCCCCTCATCCCTGCACCCCCACACGACTCCCGACCACCTCGTGACCCCTACCAAACTCCCTCTCCAAAGAAACGAGATCACCTCTACTACCACACGACCCAACACCTCCGCATGAACGGCATCTACTGGGGCTTGACCGCGCTCAGTCTGATGCGCCGAAAGGACGCTTTACCCAGACCGGAGATGTTGGATTGGGTGATGAGCTGCTACGATCCCGTCACAGGTGAGTAGCGGGGGCATCGTTCCGTGTTTGAGAGGGGGGTAAACAGGGGCTGACTGTACTGTGATGCTGTGGGATACTTAGGCGGCTTTGCTCCTCATCCGGATCATGAACCCCACTTGCATCCGACACTCTCGGCGATCCAGATCCTCGCCACGCACGACGCTCTTCATCTCCTAGACCCGGACAAGCTCGTGCAATGTACGTGCTCTTCACTCCCAAGATTCGATCCCAGCAACGCCTTCCTCATCCCCCCGTTCCATCTTTCCATCTCTCCCCAGACGTCCTCTCGCTCCAATCCCCCACCGGCGCCTTTGCTGGTGACCAATGGGGCGAACAAGCCTCCCGCTTCACCTACTGCGCCGTTTCTTGCCTCTCCCTCCTCGACCGCTTGGACGATCTCGATCTCGATCGAACGGTGTCTTCGATCGAAGCCTGTACCAATTTCGATGGAGGGTTCGGCATGTGCCCTGGCGCGGAGAGTCACGCGGCTTACGGTACGCTCATTCTCCCCCTTCACACATTCTTCTGACTCCCAATGTGGCTGATCATCATCGTCGGTGCGGGGGTGCGGGAGTGCAGTCTGGACATGTCTAGGCACGCTCGCCATACTAGGACGCTTGGATCTAGTCGATAAGGATACGTTGTGTTGGTGGTTATGCGAACGACAGTTGCCTTGTGGGGGCTTGAATGGGAGACCGGAAAAATTGGAAGATGTGAGTCGTGCCGAAGCCATCGGCGTTTCTCGTTGGGCTGAAGCTGAGCTTGTGGTGTGGTCGATGCTAGGTATGTTATAGTTGGTGGGCTTTGGCTTCGTTGGCGATTATGGGGAGGGAACATTGGATCGATGCGCAAAAGTTGAAAGAGTTCATCCTTTCGGCTCAGGTGAAGTTCCTTCCTCCAGCATCCCAATGCTCCTCAAAACAAAGTGGCGACTCACATTTCCCCTCGTGCGGGTGGGATGATTCAGGACCCCGACGAAGGCGGTATCGCCGACCGACCTGAAGACTTGGCCGATGTTTGGCATACCGTTTTCGGGATAGCTGGTCAGTTCGAATTGTCCCGGACTATCCCTCCCAATCTACTGGAGGCTTACTCTCTTGGTTCGAGCAGGTCTTTCCCTCCTCTCCTATCCGGGTTTGGAACCCGTCGATCCGATCTATTGTATGCCAGCGGAGGTAACGAAGCGGTTGGTAGGGATGAGAAGAGGTGACGGAAAGTGAGGTGGGGGCAATGCAGTGTTTTATTATTGGGTCAATTGGTTTGTTGTACTACCTTTACGATCTGCACTTGCGTCCTGAAAGAATCTTTTGGTCTCTGTCTCTAATTGAACCCGAGCGAGAGATCCCTCACTCCAAGTGGGGCTCCAAGCGGGGTTCGAATCCGCACACTGCAATCGTCTCGCCTTCCAAATCCTAGTCATACAACAAAAAGTCGACTTCAATCCCCTTCACTTTACTCCTCTACTTGGCCCCCTTTTTCCTCCCCTGCCCCTCCTTTGACCGGGTCTCCTTCTCCGCCTCGATCTGGTTCATCATATGCAACCTGATCGCCGCGAACGCATCCTTCTTGAAGTCCTTGTTCGTCAAAACGGCGGGTAAGCGGGAAGCTTCGGATTCTCTGTGATCGATCCGAGCAGGTTGAGGTGAGGTTGTGGAGAACGGGGTGGGGTGGAGAGAACGCGGGTGAACGTACAATACCCTTGACCTCTTTTTGGCGGTCAACTTTTCCTTCCCCTTGCCCCCTTTCAATCCCCGTACGCCGCCCTCTTCCATACCCACATCCACATCCTCCTGCTCCACCTCCTCACCATGTTGCATCCCTAACGCATCCCCCATCAAGCTCGTCGTAGTCCAAGAAGTAGGTGGTAAAGCCTGTTCGACTTGCCTCAAGTCGGCAACGAGGTTGTTCTCCGGTTTGGCAGCGCGTTTCATTCTACGGGCGTGCGATTTCGAGTAGGGTTGTTGGGAGGAGGTGATTTCTATATAGGAAAGCAAAGGAATGGTCGAAGGGTTACGGTGGTCAGCTGATCCGAGAGGGTCGAGTGGGGGATTTTCCGGGGGAGGGGGGCGGACTTACGGTCGAGTAAGGCCTGTCTTTTCAAATGTTGTTTCGTCGCTTTGGTCTGCTTGGCAGGGAACGGACGACCTGGTGTGGTTGTCGATGATAAGGCTGGATCCTCGTCTAGTGCTTCGTCATCATCATTCCTCGACTCGTCGTCGAAAGGAATCTGCTTCACATGTGTCCTCTATTCGGATCAGCATCAGCCGTCTTTCCACTCCCCCGTTGAAGTGTGAATTACCTTCGCGGGTTGAGTATCCCTAGGTCTCATCAACTGATCGCCCGCACTCAGACCGATCAAATCATCGTCCTGGACCGTTGAACGAGTTGCACCGTGTCGGGAAGCGGCTTTGGAATGAGCGGGGAGCGATCGACGTTGTTGCGTTGGACGGGGCTGAGAAGAGATGCAAGGAGGTTCAGTTGATTCGAGTGGAGGAGGAGGTGGGCCTTAGGGAAGGAGGGGGGGGGGCTTACCATTTTGTTTTTGGAGAGGTGTGGGGGGAGGGGGAGAGTTATGAGCGAGCGCTTTCAAGGGCTTCGCCGGGAAAGTTTTGAGCTTGGACCCCGCTTGGGAATCACACGTGACAAATTCCCCCACCGGCCTGCCCTGCCTGGCTCGCTCAGCCGCCCCTCGATGAACACGTTATGGACCCCCTCACCCTTTCCTCGGGCATCCGTACCACCACCGCTCTACACCTCTTCAGCTCCGTCCTCTGCCACGTCGACGATGCCATCGCCACCACCTGCATCCAAGGGCTCGATGATCTACTCGAGAACCAAGGACTCGGAGGGGTGAGGAGAGGGGATGTGATTGAGATCCAGGTACGATGATGGGCTTGGCAGTCGTGCGATGCAGGCAATGGATTGAATGTCTTGTCCGGTAACAGGGACTCGCCGGTTCGGGCAAGACGACGCTCTTGCTTCATCTGACCATGATCGCCATCCTCCCACGATCGACCTACCACGCCGCATCGGGGAAGCAGGTCCCCCTGGGCGGGAAACAACATCACGTGTGCTACATCGACTGCGCACCGTCGAACGACTTTCCGTTCGCCCGGTTGGTCCATCTGCTACGAAGGCATTTGCAGCGCTGTTTGAGCGCGGTCGAGAAGCAGGCGAACACAGCAGCTTTGGTCGAACAGCTGATCAAGGAGAGTTGTTCGAGGTTGGTCGTCTTCAGGCCGAAAGGCTTGGTGCAACTGGCTGCGACGGTCAAGAGTGTGGGGAGCATGTTTACGAGCTGTCACGGCGACTCGGACGCACAACACGATCGAATGCAAGACGACCACTCGGACGATCGACCTCGCCCAAACTTCCACCTCGTCGATCCCGCCCCCCTCGGTCACGTGATGATCGACTCCATGTCCACCTTCGGATGGTCGCCCCAACTGCTCCACGAGACCAACCCCCCCGAACCGCTCCCCCCCGCGACGATCTTATCCCATCTCATCACCTCCCTCGCCGAATTGCGCACCTCCCTCGCTCCCATCATCTACATCACCCAGTGGGTCTTCAACCCCAGTCTTGTACCTAGCTATTCCAAGGATCGATTACCTTTTTATAAATCCCACCTCGAACCGCCCTGGCCACGTCTCTCCTCGATCCCCGTCCCCTCCGACCCTTCCGACCGTTCGTACCCCGACCGTTTGGAACCCCTCTCCCAACCACATCATCCCGAAAGACCTTCCTTCCCTATACACCACCATCTCACTCTTCATCCTCCGCTCAAACGCAAGATCAAGCAATCCGTTCCCTTTCCAGAAATCTGGGAACGCAGGAAAGAGGGAAGAGGGGAGGGGATGGATGGGTTCGTGTGTGTGCTTCGATCGGGAGGTAAGGAGGTCGGTAGTTGGGAATGGAGTGTCGAGGCGGATAGGGTCGTTTGCTAGAAGTGGGATGACTGTTTTCAGAACCGGTGGGGAAAGCGAGTTTAGGCTTTGTTGTTGTATATCCTGAGACTGCAAGTCCGTTACTTGGACTGCTGCGCAAGTTTCTTTCAATCGCTCACTCCGCTCGACCAACGGATCATGCTCGCCGCGATCAACTCTTTTTTTTTTTTTTTTTTTTTTTTTTCATTATCGATCAAGCTCGATCAAGCTCGGAACAACATGGTGCATCCCAAGATATCAAGACCTAAAGTGAACGAACAACAACGATATTATCAAATACTAACGAAAGGAAAAACTACATTCCCTTCTCTTCACGTTCCCGTCCCTCGACTCGAAGTCACTTTCCACTCCTCGGCAATACTTTCAAACACCTCCCCGATCACTTTCGCATCTGTTCACACCACCCCAAATCGAAAACCATCAGCAAAAGATCTGTCTCCTCTTTGACGAAACGAGGTCAGACCTCAACTCACTCGTAATCAACCCATGATCGGCCCCCTCTACGACTTTGACCACACACCTCCCCTCTCCCAACCTCACCTGCAAACCCCTCACACTCCCCAACGAAATTCTCTCGTCCTTCTCCCCCAGCCAAATCTTGACCTTCATACCAGGGGCTAGATTCATCGGATCGGGTACGCGTTCAGTCCCTTCGGCCGGAACTTTGGAAGATCGATTGCCGAGGAGGAGCGCCAAGTCTGCTGTGGAACCGCGGAGCGATTCGGCGTGAGAGGCTCGTAGCAGACCTTGGATTAAGGAGGGACCTGAGAGGGTTGGTGGGATAAGGCACGTTGATGAGGGATGGGATGAGGTGTTGGGATCCCGTGTGTGCGGTTCGTCGTAGAGGGGTGACGGAGGTGAGGCGGTGTGGGCGCATGATCTCGACTTGAGACTGAACGTACTCGTTCTTCGTGGTCGAGCACCTGAAAAAATCGAATCCCGATCCGTCGAACCATCCGCCTGTACTCCATCTTGCCCCTCCTCCTCATCATCCTCCATCATTCTTCCCTCCCCCCTACCTCCGACCCACCTCACCTTCCCCTCCCTCGCATCGTACCCGATCGCAGCATGCTGCACCGTCGGCGGTTTACCCAATTTCCTCGCCGTCAACTTCCATTCCGCCAACTGCGCCGTCTTCAACACCCCCGACGGTACGTATTTGAGTAACTTGTAAGGCCCTGAGAGGGGGTCGATATTCGAGGTCGAGTTTGAAGTTGAAGAAGAGGTTGAAAGGATCCAAGGTGCTAGGAGATGAAGTGAACCTTTCACCTTGATCGACGAAGCCGGTGAAAGAGCCGAAGCGATTGCGAATGATCCACCTGCCGAATGCGCCAAGATCGAAAATTCATCCAATCCCAACCTCTCCACCACTTCCTCCATCACCAACGCCCAAGCTCCGAAACCTCTCTTCGAATCAGGTACTTCACTCGATCTTCCTAAACCCCATCGATCGACGCAGATCAAACGAAGGTCGTACGCCCTCGCCAGCTCATCGTACAACGCGATGATGTGTCGAACGCATCCTAGGCCAAGGTGAATGAGGACGGGGTGTCCTTGCGGGCTCCCCACGTCGGCGTAGGAGATTATTAGACCCAAGTTGGGGGGTCTTTGGAGGGTTATGAGTCGCGTGAGTTTCGAAGATCGAAGCACTTGGGCAAGCTCACGCTCGATTTGGAGCGATGAGGTGGAGGGGAAGGTCGGATTCGAGAGTTTGCGTAGGCGCGGTCGTGGTAGCCCCTGTGGGCCTTGGGAGGATTTGGTCGACAGGATGGATCGGGTATCGTCTGAAGCGCTGAGGGTCGATAACTTGGTCATGTCCAAAAATATCTCATCCGTATCGCGAGCTTCGAGATGGTCTGCGAGACTCAAGCACATGGATAAGCCTGGCTTGAGCTCCACATCGTTGCTGGGTCCGACGTGGGTAGTGGCTGGACTCGAGGTGCCGTCATTCGTAGATCCCTCCTTGGACTGTTCGGCTGAAGCTGCGATCGAAGCTGTGAGTTTGGATAAATACGAAGCGCCGGCATGTTGCCGAACGATCTCGTCGATCGAGAGGATAGGAGTCGTTCGTGTTGCAGCTGGCTCGGGGGCTCTCGTGATAGCGTCGGGAGCCGAGGGTTCGGAAGCGTTCGTCGAGGTTGACACATCTTCGACCCAAGTAGAAGAGATCGCCGGAAAATCCAACCCTGATTCATTGGGATCGAACTCCTGCCGTTCCACTGGCACCGACTTCCACATCGGAGCAACGAACGAATACCTTTCTCGTGGAGGCGAAGAATTGCGTGAAAACCCTTGACTCGACCTAGCGGAAGGCGCTCGAGGTAAAGGTGAGGGTCGTACGACACCGCCAAATATTGGGCCCTCGGGGATTGGGTCGTTGACTTGACGATGTGGTGACCGATCTCGGTCGATCGGTGCAAACGCCCGCTCGAGTTCAGGTGGGGTCGGGATATCGGGGATCGATTCTCGTCGCTCGATCTCGCCTCTCGAACGCGCGTCGTCCCCTACTCGTGCGCTCGCTTCAACATCGGAACCCTTTTCTGACCTCAACAAAGACCGATTCTTCTTCCTACTTGAAGAACAAGCCCCACCCCTTGATCCTCCAATTACTCTCCCGTTCATATTCGCGATCAACCCGTCCAAATCTGGCGGAGCCGAAACGCCTCGTGTCGAGGCTACCCTGCTTCCGAATTCGTCCGGAGGAACGGGTAAGCCTGGATATTGAGAAGGTTTGGGCAGTAATGGGGATTCATTCGAAGAGGAAACGGTTGAAGATGAACGGTAAACACCTTGTAAGGGATCGTAAACCCCTGGACCGGCGAAGAGGTCGATCATGGTCGATTTAGGCGATCCAGAGTGAACCCCTGTGGTGCCTAGACCTCGAGTCGAGAGACCACGTAATGAAGTGGAGCTCTTGCGGCCAGGTTGAATTGAAGGAAGATCGTTTGAAAGGGATGTATTGCTCGTCATTCCAGCTGGGCTCGATCTGAGAGACGAGATTGAGCGCAATGAGAAGAGTTTGCCGATGCGTGAACCCGGCGCGATGAGGGAGAAGCGGCGGGAGTTGGCCGAGGTCGAGCTGGTCATGCTATGTTGATCGTCCCCTCGTTCGGTCTGCACTGTGCCTTCGAGAGAGCTCGAGAATGAAGTCGACCCTGATCTTGGTGTTGTTGGAACGGAAAGTAGGTAATTTACGCCTGCTGGACGATTTGCCTTTGGACGATCAGGATGAACGAGGAAGGTGAGGGGTGCCTGCGCTGGTGGTGACATTGCGTCCGGTGCAATAGCCTGTGATCAAGAAGTATACCCTAGAGTGAGCGCGGTGGAAGCCCCCTCACATTGGAACATCAACTGACCTCGGTGCGCCGAGCTTTATTCGGTTTACTTGAAAGGATTGGAAACGGCACTCGGTCAATTCGCTTGAAATGATGCAATGTTGATGTCGAAGTCGTCGTCGGGATGCCGTTTCCTGGGGGAGCTTTCGTCGAATCGTGGACCCCTTTGTTGGTCGACCTGCTCGGCGGTGGGAATCGCTTTTCCGAGGATGCAGCTTGGGACTTCTTTGAGTCGTGATCGATAGGTCTGGTGGTGTGAGGGGGGCTAGATAATCGTCGCCTAGATGATTCGGAAGTGAATGCTCGGTAGATCGAAGCCTCGGAAGGTGATGTTATTGGTCGTTTGGGCCGCTCCAGCGAGGAGAGCGACAGCGGTGCAGCCGACGAATTCGAGAAGGACGAAGCACCGTTCGCTGAACCTCGACGAGCTCGTTGCAGTAGAGCGAGATCCGCCGGTGGTGCCTGAGGTGGCGACGAGAACCTATGCGTGAAAGATGTTTTGGACAGCTCCGAAGCGTGAATGAGGTTGACGGGGCCTCTGCTCGACGAGCCCGCGCGGCGAGGTGTCGTGATCGTCGACTCCGCCGGGGTCTTGGAATGTGTGGGAATAGGGGCAGCGTAGCTGTTGAGCCGTGTCCTCCGATCTGGGTATTGGTCGAAGTAGGAACCTTGAGGCTCGAAGCGGGGTGGATTCCTGTACGTGAGTGAGAAGTTCGAAAATGATCAGAAGATTGGAGTTGGTCTTGATAGGCTAAGATCCGACGATGACACTGACATGGCCAATCACATGCCCCGTGCTGTCTTGCAGAGCTCAGTCCCCGGAGGCGTGTGCACGCACCCCCACACAGCCTCGCACCGGGCCTGGTCCGAGTCCTGGGACCTGCACGAGGCCAAGAAGGCCAGAGAAGCTTGTCAGCCTTCCAAAGCCAAGGAACAGAATCCTACCAGTTCAGCTTTTGGGACTGACCGTAGTGTTACCCACTGTCGGCCGATGATGGTGACTTCCCCCACCACACAAGAGGGGCCTTCGCGGACGCTCGGGCCCTAGATCCTGGAGTGAGTCGAAAATTCGCCGGCCACTTCTTCGGTCCGTGCTTTCCGAGTAGCGTGAGCTGATGGATATGTAGTCCTGGTCACCAAATCAGGTCGGGATGAGCCGAGGGTCGCAAGTGGATGGCTGGTTCAAGAGTCAGCGGACACGGACGTGTGAGCAGCTCAGCCAGAGCGCATACAACCACCGTCTCTTGTGTTGAGCTTTTGGGATCTTTGGTGAAGGGGACAGAATGGAAGAGGCATGCGTGAGAGCTGGGAAGTGCGAATGATTGGAGTGAGGTCCGACCCACCTTGAGATAGGGGCAAAAAGATGTCACGTGCTCCGCACCTCGTGGAGCTGGCCCAAGCTCGACTCCAGATTCCGAGCTCATGAGGTCAGCACCAGTGAAGGCTGCCCGACCGAATCGGTTGCGACCCGAAACAAGTCATGTGAAATTCGGAAGTACCACTCGGATGGAAAGCACGTCGCTCCGAGGGCACCTTGTTGGGTGTTCGAAACCGAGGCCTAAAAAGGCGAACAAAGATCCAAGAGCGACGATTGCTCCCGATTAGCCCGTGTTGCGCCCGTACGCCCTGCTGGGTAATCTTTGGCCGAGTTTGGCCAGGTTTGGCCCTGTTTGGCCGTTCCTGGCGATCGCCATTAGCGCGCCCGCCCACGTTCTTCTCTCTCTTTCCTTCCTCCCCACCACTCCGAAACCCAACTCGACTCGTCGAGACCGTCAACCCGTAAGTCGACACGCCAATCGTGGCCTACTCGATGACCATCATGTCTGACACCTTCGATTGCACTTGTTTATCCCACCCCACGTGCTCCCTCGCTCACTCCGCCACTCGGGCTTATGACTTGGGGGGGGGGGGGCTGCCACGTTCGGTCATCCTTACAGGTATTTCAAAGCCAGTAAAACCTATTGCACCACCCACAACAACCGCCCGACATTGTAAGTTACATCCGCATTTTATTCTGTATCCCCGTCGACGCTTGGCGTCATAGAGCGGCGTAACACTTGCTCCTGTGTGGCGTTGGGGGTGCGTGTTCGGCAGTGTGACACGTCAACAGTGTCGAGCGAGCCCTTGGCTATCATCGTCCACGATGACCTGTGTGCTGGTTGTCCTGGCCTTCACCGGTGTAGCCGGTGACCACGAGACGTCTACGTGTGCCACATGTTGATCGATGGGGGCCGTGCCGCGCTTTCGGCCCGCCGATCACGTCACGTCACGGCACGGCACGGCACGGCACGATTGAGCCCCACCACCTCCATCTTCCTCTCCACCCGTGAACGAAGCGAGCCGCTAATACGCCCGTTCGATATCCTCTGCAGATGCAAATCTTCGTCAAGACCTTGACCGGCAAGACCATCACCCTCGAGGTCGAGTCCTCGGACACGATTGACAATGTCAAGACCAAGATCCAAGACAAGGAGGGTATTCCCCCAGACCAACAACGTCTCATCTTTGCGGGCAAGCAGCTCGAGGATGGCCGCACGCTCGCGGATTACAACATTCAGAAGGAGTCGACGCTCCACTTGGTGCTCCGTCTCCGCGGTGGTATGCAAATCTTCGTCAAGACGCTTACGGGCAAGACGATCACCCTCGAGGTCGAGTCCTCGGACACGATTGACAATGTCAAGACCAAGATCCAAGACAAGGAGGGTATTCCCCCAGACCAACAACGTCTCATCTTTGCGGGCAAGCAGCTCGAGGATGGCCGCACGCTCGCGGATTACAACATTCAGAAGGAGTCGACGCTCCACTTGGTGCTCCGTCTCCGTGGTGGTATGCAAATCTTCGTCAAGACGCTTACGGGCAAGACGATCACCCTCGAGGTCGAGTCCTCGGACACGATCGACAATGTCAAGACCAAGATTCAAGACAAGGAAGGCATTCCCCCAGACCAGCAGCGATTGATCTTCGCGGGCAAGCAGCTCGAGGATGGCCGCACGCTCGCGGATTACAACATTCAGAAGGAGTCGACGCTCCACTTGGTGCTGCGTCTCCGTGGTGGTCAATAAGGTTGACCAGTAGTCCAACTGGATACTGTCACTTGGGGGAATTCTCAGCCCGGTAGTCTATAGCGCTCTTTGAGTTTGTGAAATGCCGATTGCCTCGTCACCGAGGTTCTCTCCGTCTGAGGTTTCTGAGAGGCTTGAGCACTGGAGCGGTGACTGATACTACGTGAACGAACATTGTCCCAAAATGAGACTGCTCTTCTCGTCATGCTCGGCGCTCGTCACGCGCATCCTCGTCATCGCCGCTCAGAACTCGAGAGGCACAAGTCTGTCGGAACAAGCTCGGATGCGAAGCGGGTGCGACGGGCGGCCGTCGCTGCTGACTCTTTCTCGTTCTCTTTCCCATCCTCCTCCTCCTCCTTGACTGTTTCGTTGAATGCACCTGGCGCGATCCTTATTGTTCCAGCTGCGCATTCGTACTCGTACCACACTAGTCAGAACGCCCCTGCCCTACACCCACCTCAACACCCCTTCCCGACCCAGCTCTTTCCGGATCGCGCCGTACAGCATGAGTCAAGCGGCGCCGACTGACCACACCGGATCGCGCGGGATCGTCGAGACCATTGTCGATGCGATCAAACCTGCTCAAAAAACAAACGAGCAAGCGGGGGCACCGTCAGCAGCCGTAGCTCAGGAGGCCTCGGCCGAGCAACCTCGAGTCAAGTCAGTTCCATTCTCCTCTTCACCTCTCGCACGGCTCACGTCTCACTAACACCAGCCCCTGTGCGGTTTCTAGGGAGAATGGCGAACTGGAGACCAAGTCCGAGATGAAGAAGCGCATCAAGGCCGAGCAGAAGGAGAAGGAAAAGGCCGAAAAGGCCGCCGCGAGGGAGAAGAAGGAGGCCGAGGACAGGGCCGCCAAGGCCGCTGCTGATGCTGTGAGTATCTGGATATGTGGGGACCGAGAGCAGAGTCGGATGCAGTACAGTCGGTGTGAACTCACTTGGTCGAGGGAATATCAACTGATGACGTGCGATCGACCGTTGATCAGGACTACTCGCCCGACAAGTACGGCAAGCTTCCTCTCAACACATCCCAGGATCGATCCCGTGAGTTGCAGATTGATTCCCGACCAGCGCGTACATTGCAAGATCCGGCGAAGAACAGACCGCTCACGCAGCATCCGCTTCGCTTCGACTTTCGCAGGCAAGGAGCGAACCGACTTGGGCACATTGACCGCCGCCGATGCGGGCAAGAAGGTCTTGTTCCGAGCCCGTCTCCAAACGTCACGTGCACAAGGTGCGTTTCTCGTGCGCACTTGGGACTTCAAGTTGTCGTGCTCCTGCTGATTTGCTCCCCATTCCCGACACTCCCGCCGCCGTCGTTCCCCCACACTCGTGCAATCGGCCGCAGGTGCCAAGATGGTCTTCCTCGTCTTCCGTCAACAGCAACACACGATCCAGGCCCTCATCCAAGTCGAACCCGAGCTCGTGTCCAAGCCCATGGTGCGCTGGACCGAATCCATCAACGCCGAATCGATCGTGCTCGTCGAAGGCACCGTCCAAAAGCCGCTCGAGCCCGTCAAGAGTTGCACCGTCTCGGACGCCGAGATCAAGATCTCGCAGATCCACACCATCTCGGAAGCGCCCAACGTACTCCCCTTCTCGATCGCGGATGCGATGCGCACCGCCGACTCGGTCGAGGGCCCTACCGTTGCTCTCGATACGCGCTTGGACAATCGAGTGCTCGATCTCCGTACGATCACGAACCAAGCCGTTTTCAAGATCCAATCGGGCGTCTGCCAGCTGTTCCGCGACTATTTGATCAACAAGAATTTTGTCGAGATCCACACCCCGAAGCTGCAAGGTGCGGCGACGGAGAGTGGTGCGTCCGTGTTCAAGGTGTCCTACTTCAAGGGTAATGCCTTCCTCGCGCAATCGCCCCAACTCGGCAAGCAGATGTGCATCGCCGGTGACATGGAACGTGTGTTTGAGATCGCGCCCGTCTTCCGTGCCGAAGACTCGAACACCCACCGTCACATGACCGAATTCATGGGTCTCGATCTCGAGATGGCGTTCGAGGAACACTACCACGAGGTGATGGAGACGATCGACGGCATGCTCAAAGCCATCTTCAGCGGCCTGCAACAAAAGTACGCCAACGAGATCTCGATCGTGCAAAAGCAATTCCCGCACGACGATTTCACCTTCTTGCCCGAGACGTTGGTGCTCAAGTACACGGACGCGATCAAGATCTTGCAAGATGCTGGGGTGCAACAGGGGAGTCCACCTGCGCCGATTGGGGATTACGATGACATGTCGACGACGACGGAGAAGGCGTTGGGTGTTTTGGTCAAGGAGAAGTACGGCACGGATTACTACATCATCGACAAGTTCCCGTTGGAGCTGCGCCCGTTCTACACCATGCCCGATGCCGAGGATCCCGTGAGTTGACACACCCCTTTCGCATGATGCGATGTCCCTTTGCGCTGAATGAAGCGCTTCTTATGATCGTCCTGCAGAAACTGTCCAACTCGTACGACTTTTTCATGCGAGGCGAAGAGATCCTTTCCGGCGCCCAACGAGTCCACGACGCCACCCTGCTCGAAGAACGTATGCGAGCGGTCGGGATCGACCCCGACGACATGAAGGCCTACGTCGATGCGTTCCGCCTCGGTGCTCCTCCCCACGCCGGTGGTGGTATCGGTTTGGAGAGGGTCGTGATGTTGTTCCTCAAGTTGAACAATATCCGACGGGCGAGTTTGTTCCCTCGTGATCCTAAACGATTGAACCCTTAGGGAAAGAGGAGCTTTTGAGTAGAGCGGTATATGTTCGTTAATGACTTGCAGGAACCCCACGTCTTTTCCGAGTCGCGCTTTGTCGGTCAAAATGACTTTTCGGAGACAAGTCTCGAGAGAGCGGATGTTCCCTTTGCGCCGCTCGCTGCAGTCTGCTGCAGTTGGATGAGCGCGCCTTGGCTCACGGTGCGGTGCTACTACGGCTTCGTCCGCTCAGCCCACCCACTCACTCAGCCACCCACCCGCCTTGCAACAAAAACCCACCATGTTCCGCCTCGCTGCCCGCTCCGTCATCACCCCCGTCATCCGACGAAACACACCCCTCGTCGCGACCCGCTTCCCGCAAGTGTTGTCGCTGCAACAACAGCAGCAGCAGCAACGCTTTTACGCGGCCGGGGCTCTGAACGGCGAGGCGATCAAGGCTCGCGTCTTGGACGTCCTGGGCTCGTTCGAGAAGGTCGATGGCACCAAAGTCAGTTGGGAGGGGGGGCGGAGGTGACATAGATGCGAGCAAGCTGTGAAGTGAATGCTGACGGTTGTGGGGTGTGTTGCAGGTGACGGAGACGGCCTCCTTCACGGACGATTTGGGCCTCGATTCGCTCGATGCGGTCGAAGTCGTCATGGCCATCGAGGGTCAGTTGCTGGTGGGGAGAATCCATGTCGATACTTTTCACTGACGTCCTTTGAACGCCTCTTGGATCACGCCCGCCCTCGTGCCTCGCTTCGTTGAAATTTCCCCCCCCCTCCTGTCTCCGCGTCTTGTTCGCAACTCGTCATCGAAACATCGTCCTCATCCAAAACGCCCTCATCCCTACGCTTTACGATGACCTACCAACACCCTTTTTGCCTCTACAAACACCATCATCTACTCGATGCTGCGATCACAGAGGAGTTCTCGATCGAGATCCCCGACGAGGATGCCGACCGAATCACGACCGTGGGTGAAGGTCAGTCGGCATCTACCACTACAACAACGCCGGTCATCCAAGAAGACGTACTGATTGTCTCTTCATCACAAACAGCCATCGACTACATCTCCAAGTCACCCGAGGCTCATTAAGGCGATCGCGATCGGATGCTCGAGAAGAGGAGGGGACAAGCAGGAAAAGAGGGATCGGTTTTGATGATTTTCCGTTAGATTCTGGAAAGAACACAAAGAGCTTACAATAATGATGCATGGGTGCGGGGTGGGTGAGCGATCCGAGAAAAGTGAAAGCGTAGGACGAACAAGCTTCAAGGGCAGCGGAGCTTTACGGATCTGCCCAGGCTTCGCTTCGTTGCTTGGAGGTGATAACATGCCAGTGGTTCGAGACCACAAAAACTCCTCGTTTGCCTCAATGGGGAACGACAACGATCTGTTTGGATCCAAGCTCATGCGCTTCGTCGATCGGGGTAGGGACTACGCTGCCTCTCGGAGTGCAGAAGGCTCGAGCACGTTAGGTACAATACTGATACGATTCCGAACCAAAAGGTGTCAAAAAAAAAAGAAAGCACGGAAACTTGAAAGACCCAATCCAATGACCGCTCTAACCCCGAAGCTCGACCTCGTCGTCTCCTCCAACTTTCAATCCCTGGACCAAGCCTCCAAATTCCTCATCACGCACCCCTCACCTTCTTGCACCTCCCCAATCTGATACACCTTACTCTTGCCATTCGCCTCCAAGTCCTCCTTGACTCGTTCCGCCTTCTCCTTCGCGACGACGACGACGATCCCGATCCCGCAGTTGAACGTCCTCGCCATCTCGTTAGGGTCGACCCGCCCCAACTTCATCAACATCTTGAACAAGGGTAGGAACTCGAACGAGGAGGCATCGACCCAGCAACCTACGCCTTTGGGAAGCACACGGGGTACGTTCTCCGTGAAGCCTCCACCGGTGATGTGCGACAATCCTTTGAGATCCCCTCGACGGATGGAAGGGAGCAATTGTTTGACGTAGATCACCGTCGGTTCGAGCAACGCCGCACCGAGTTCGAGATCCTTGTTCCACGTCGTAGACGCGTGCAAATCCATACCATGCGCATCGACAATTTTGCGCACGAGGGAGAACCCATTCGAATGAATACCCGAGGAAGCGATACCGAGCAGAACGTCACCCACTGCGATGTTAGGTGTCGGCAGGAGGAGTTCCCTTTCGACGGCCCCGACGGCGAAACCGGCAACGTCGTAGTCGTTACCGTGGTAGAGGGATGGCATTTCAGCCGTCTCACCGCCGACAAGGGCGCAGCCCGCCTCGATACATCCATCAGCCACGCCTTTGACCACATCCGCGGCCATAGGGACGTCAAGGTGTCCGCACGCATAGTAATCGAGGAAGAAGAGCGGTTCGGCACCTTGAACGATCAAGTCGTTCACACTCATCGCGACAAGGTCGATACCGATCGTGTCGTGCTTGTTGTAGTTTTGTGCGAGCTTGAGCTTGGTCCCGACACCGTCCGTACCGGCGACGAGGATCGGGTCCTTGAACCCCGCGGCTTTGAGATCGAACAAACCTCCGAAACCACCGATGACGGAGTCGGACCCGATCCGCTTCGTCGCTTTGACGATAGGCTTGATCAAGTCGACGAGAGCGTTACCAGCGTCGATCGAGACACCGGCCGAGGCGTAGGTGAACCCAGCAGGGGCGGCGGCGGCCGATCCTTCGAGGAAGGCTCGGTACGCAATGTCCTTGCGGAAGGTAGCGCCCTCAAAATGGACGCATGTGACACCCTTGTAAGCGAGGGCCTGGGCTTCCTTCAAAGTTGCTGCTGTGGCCGTGACGGCGAGTACGCGACCACCATCGGTGAGGACCTTGCCGTCGGTCGACTTGGCCGTTCCGGCGTGGAAGACGACGACGTCCTTCGGCAACTCGTCAAAGGTGATCTCGACGCCCTTTCCGTATTTCCCGGGGTACCCCTTGGAAGCCAAAACGACGGTGACGGCGGCCTGGTCCTTCATCGCGATCTTGATCGAGTCGAGTCGGCCTTCGACGCAAGCGAGCATGATCTCGGCCAAATCCGTCTCGGCGGCCAAGAGCGCCAGGAGGGACTGTGTCTCGGGATCACCGAAGCGAACGTTGTATTCGAGGACCTTGGGTCCATCGGCGGTCAACATGATGCCCGTGAAGAGGAGACCGACAAAGGGGATACCGTCCTTGCGCATGCCGTCGATCGTCGGTTGCACGATGGTGCGGTGGATCTCGGCCTCGACGTCTTTGGTCGCGCAAGGGGCGGGAGAGTAAGTTCCCATACCGCCGGTATTGGGTCCCGTATCGCCTTCACCGATACGCTTGTGATCCTGAGCACCGGGGAGGGAGACGGCGGTGTACCCGTCGGAGAAGGAAAGGATACTGATCTCTTGACCGACAAGGCACTCTTCGACGACGACCTCGTCACCGGCCGTACCGAACTCCTTAGAAACCATGATCTCCTTCAAGCCTTGGAACGCTTCCTCCTTGGTCGAAGGGATGATGACACCTTTGCCACCTGCGAGACCCGAGGCCTTGATGACGATGTCGTGAGGCACCGACTTGACGTATTCGACGGCTTCGTCGTAGGAGTGGAGGTTCTTGTACTGCGCCGTCGGGATGTTGTGTCGCGCCATGAAATCCTTGGAGAAGGTCTTGGAGCCTTCCATCGCGGCGGCCTTGACCGAAGGACCAAAGACGGGGATTCCGACTGCATTTCCGGGGGAGCAAGATAGATGAGCAACTTGCAGGGACATGAAAATTCGAGGTAAAGTTTTGCACCCGACGCACCTTTGCGGAAAACGGTCTCTAATCCATCGACAAGAGGTTGCTCGGGTCCGACGACGACAAAGTTGACCTGTAAATCGACAGGATGCGAGAGAGAGAGCGTCAGATTCTCGTCCCGAGACGTAAGACCCTGAGTGCGCCGAGACTGACATCGTTCTCGAGAGCGAAGGCGCGCAATCCAGCAAAGTCGGTCGACTGGACGGGAATCGAGGTGACCTTGGTGCCAAAGGTTGTGCCGCCGTTACCTGCAAGGCACATTTACAGGGTGAATCACCAAGAGAAGGGAATCGGAGGTTAGTCCAGCATTCGCGATCAGCGGAGCCGATGGGCAGAGGCAACCTGCAGCTTCAGTAAGGATGGACTTGCCAGGAGCAACAAAGATCCTTTCGACCTTTGATGATTGTTCAAGCTTCCAGGCGAGCGCATGCTCACGGCCTCCGCTGCCGACGAGCAAGATGCGGAGCGCCTTTGCGAAAGCGAGTTCGCGTTGGGGAGTTGACGGTGATGGATTGGTGGATGAACGGACATGATACGCGTCAGTGTGGGATACCAAGCGGTTGCAACACGTGTAATAACTGACCTCTTGCTCAAAGATACGTCCGGCATCGGTCGGGGTAGCCATGATTGTACCAAGTCGGAGCTCGGCGCGGAGCGTGCGAAGAGGGTGGGTGGCAGGAGCGGAGCACGAGAGTGAATGCCCAGAGCAAGAGCTCGTGGAGCTGGACAAGAGCGATTTGCGAACAGTCAGCTCATGCTGTTGAACACGTTCCAACGTCGCGACTGACAGAGGTTCTGGTCGATCAACACTCGCTAGAACGACGATGGCGAGTGCAGATCCACACGCCCGACTCGCCAGTCGCCAAGGGCCTGGGCCGCGCACGGACCTCCTCTGGCCTCTCGTCACCCCCGGCGTCGGGCACTTGAGCTTCAGATGCATTGAGAGACATATCACTTCCTCTAAACCTGCCTTGGATACTTGTCCTAATTTATCAAGAACTCCAACGGAAGCCTAGAGACCTGGTCTGTCCCCGGTAGCTCAACTGAAGAGCAAACCAAGAAAAAGACAGGGGGAGAATTGGAAATTGGGCAGTTTTGTCCAGCTGGCCAAAAGACGAAAGCCGGCCCAGCTCGCACGTCGCAGGCGCACGACTAGCACGACGCCTTTTCTCTTCCCTCCGTCTCATCCTCACCCATCTAACTCAAGACCAAGGTCAGTACACACGTCCACACTCGGCCTGCCAGCAGCTCTTCGTCCAGCTACTTATCCTTTTGGTTCTCCTCGCTCTCTCGTGCTTTGCAGATGTAAGCTTCAACGTCTCTTTCTCCACCCTCTTCGCCCTCACACGCACACGAGCATCGAGCGTCTCCGCCTACGCTTCCGCCTGCCACGGCGGCGGCGGCTTTGGGGCGCGGCGGGGAAAAGTTCACAGTGCGACGAGCCGCTCGCCGCCCAGCCTGCTCCACTCGCTCATCGCCCGTCCAACGCACGGTCGCATTGTCATCATCCCACGACTGCATACTTATTCCGACCCCGTTCTTTTGCTCCTCCCTGCAGGCGTGACAAGTGGCGCAAGAAGCGTGTTCGTCGTTTGAAGCGTAAGAGAAGAAAGATGCGCGCCCGTTGTAAGCTGCCCAGCTCTTTCACCACGTCACCATGACCCACATCAAACCCACTCCCTTTGCCCATTCTACCCCTTCTACAGCCAAGTAAACGACTCGCTCCTCTCCCGACGCTTCGAGTCACTGGACGAACTACTCAAACTACGTCCTCGACCCAACTGAAACCTCACAAACCTCGGCGAACGATTCAAATCGAACTCTTGGGAATGCGAGAGTGGAAAATTTGGGGAAAAGGATGGGGCAGGGCGCACAATGACGAAGGAGGGTTGAAGAAAGGTTGTGATTCGATTTACCCCACCCCAAGATCGGCAATTATGTTCTTTTTTGTGCGCAATAAGTCGAGAAAGGAAGGGACCGTGGGATGAAGAGGAATTGGAGGGGCGGTACTTGTGCCCTTGAGATTATGCCTTGAGAGGATTTTTCTGAAACGATGATCCTGGAAGGGTTGGTGTCGAGGTCGTTCTTCGTGACGGCGCTCTCGATGCCTCTTCATCTATTCGAACTTTCTATACAACCCTGGAGAGTGGGAGAAAAACGCTACGTTGCATGAAACGAAATGCTGGGGTAGTACTACAAACACGAAGCTTATAACGCAAAGAAAGAATGCTGTGAGAGATAATCAAATCTTGGGTCACCATGCGATCGTCAGGAGTTTGTTTCCCAGTCGACCAGGACTTCGGAGGTATGGTCTGGAGATCAGGGGCGCCAAGAAGCATCAACATGAGCGCACACCTACTCGGGCCCCGAACGAACAGGGCTCACGCGATCCCTACCCCAACACCCAGTAGCAGTCCACAAAGCCCAACGACCTGCCACACCTTGAGCTCCACCGAGCGCCCAAGAAAACCATACCAGCCGCCCGATTGTTGCGTCATCCGCCTTTCACGAGAACCACCCGAAGTCGACGAAAACCCTTTGCCAGTGGCATCCGTGGTCCTCCGACAAGGCGATTCTTCGGCCGAAGAAGACAGGTCGAGCGTCGGTGCCGACGAGGGCAAAAACGGTTCCGAGACGACGAGAGACGACGAGATCGAGTCTTGGGTCGTTTTGGCGTCCCAGTCGTCCATCGCAGCCGAAGTGAGAGGCGTTGGCCGACGGTCTGGCGTGCACTCTGATGCTCGCGCCGAAGTGTCGAGATCGAGACCCCTAACTGAAGCCATGCCCACTCCGGGTTGACGAAAGCTGGCCGCAGGCGGTCTCGGCGATCTCGTCCCTCTGGTACTTTCACGATGAACCCGAGCTATTTAAAGATAGATTCTCGCGTCAGCTTATTTTGCTGGTGGGGGTTTACCGATATTCCAAGGCGACTCACCATTCCCGATTGATCCTTCTAGACCTTCAGCAGATCCTCGAGCGGCTCTGGCCCGTCGTCGTTCCTCGACCGATGCAGGAAGAGGCGAAGCCGAACCACGTCGGTTGCCTCGTCTTCGTCCTCGATTCGACGGAGCCGGTGGACTACCGGGCGCAGGACCAAGCTGTAGCGGCCTCGACCTGATCGGTGAGAAATCGGGATCGGTGACCGCGGAGGGAAGTGTTGAATCTCGGCGACTTTGAGTCAAGTCCTGGGTTTGCTCTCTTCGTGTATCCGCTTCGTGCCCTCGAGTGGCAGTGGGTAAAGCGGGGGCGCTACCGGATGTCGTCTGTGCTGCCGTGCGAGGCGCCAGCTCGGTACCCTCGTCGGACGACAACGAGCTTAACTCGATCGCTTCCCCGCTTGGTGATTGATATCTTTCGGCCTCGCGCCCGGGCATGCTGTGCTTGGAATCTTGGGATCTCATCGATGCGATAGAAGAGGCCAGATCGTCGTCATCGTCGTCGACTTCACCAAAGGCGTCGTCCAAAGCGAAAGCAAAAGGAGACGGTCGGGGCTGCCCCGCAAAGACCGAGGTGACGCCCGCGGAGTTGACAAAGGATCTTTGGGGAGATCTCAGGGCTTCATTCGGAGTCGCCGAAGAAGACTGAAACGCTAACGATGTGAGTGAGACATGTGACATGGCCGGGGAAAGTGATTGGTATGGCGCAGCGAGGCTGAGCAGAGTCGCGAGACTTGAGGGGAAGAGGAGGGGGGAGGAAACCACGAGCACACGGCGATCAGGAACAGTCGACCTCGCTTCAGGTCGGTACGCCCAATGCGACCCACCTAGACCTAAGAGCATCCTCTATCAGTGTCGTCCTGATGGTGGGATCGTCTTCTCGGCGTTTGGTACGACCCCGCCCGCGCCCTCGGCGCTCATCTTCATGAGGCGAAAATTCTGAGTCGTCAGCGTCGGCAACGTCCCCAGTGCGCAAACCGGTGTTGCGATCTTGGGTCGGCACTGCCGAGATCGGTAACCAGGCTCCGTCTCTTGTTCCTCTGGAGTCCCTCGGTTCGAGGAAGGGAGAGGCCGCTTGCGGGGACGCCGTTGATAAATGCGGCCCAAGCGATGCTGGCGACGACATCTCCAGTGTCGGCCCATCCGCGAGCTCGGACGCGCTGATGTGTTCAAAATCCGAAGAGGAAGGCGAGGACAAATCGAGATCCAGTACTGTGGGCGTGGACGTTGGCAGTAGTTGAAGGAGGATGGAATAATCAGCGACGGCCAAGTATGTACATCGAAAAGATAGGACCGGGGATGATCGTGGGGTCCATGTCATGCAGAACGTCATTGATCGCGATCATCGAGGGCCGACTCAGGGATACCCCTCGTGGCTCGAGCTCGCTTCAGGTCAAGCGCCCCATGCCGATCCGCCCTTTCACGCGAGAGCCCGGTGTGCGGCGGTGGCGCCGTCAGACGAGCTGGGCCTGAGCCTATCGGCCAACGGCGAGCCCGAGGCCCGGCCCCGAGCCCCCGTGGTTCGTGGATTGATCCACCCTCCCGGGCCCGAGGGAGGTGGTCGAACACAGATTCGATGCATGAAACATACGTCATGGATGCAACGACACGTCGTGCTACTCACGTTCCGTTGATGGTGTCCAGCCTGGCCCCGTCGGGTCGATCGGCGTGTGGTGGCCGCTGCTCGTCCGTGTCTGGAGCCGAGAGGGAACGTCGGCCCCACCACCAGCGAGGTGCCTTCGACGCTCGCTGATCTTCTTGTTCCGAGCTTGTTGTGCGGGAGAGTGGGCCGTCGAGGTGGAAGGGAGGTAATTCATGATCCGGGCCCAGGTTAAAATAACGATGGTAGATCGAAGCCCGAACCTCCGCGAGGAGGAGTCGGCTGCTGCTGAGGAGAGCAGAACAAGTCGATCGGGCGTGTGCGCATTTTGGTTTCCAAGCTTCCAGGTGCGCTGCCCTGATCGCGGGTCCCAAACTCTCCAGTTCCGTCAAAGCCGCGTGACCACCGTTCTTATCACATTCAACGACTTCACCTGTACTAGACTACCCACGCAATTCTGCTTAATTTGAGATGCATTTCTGCACAGGTGTGACGTGATGGCTCTGTTGCGGTCGGCATGCTAGATTCACTCGGAGGTACGAGGGCTCCAGCGCTCCAGCTCTCCCGCCGTATAGCACGGCGCTCATCTTTCGGAATTCCGACACATCGACCGAAAGTGACACGTCCCCGATGGATCAGTGCACTGCCGCGGCAGGCTCAGTATTTGCGCAAGGGTCTTTCACTTGTGATATCGCTGTTCACTGAGTGTTACAAAGGCCAGCCTGGATTTCCAAGGACGTGACAACGTTAACGTTCCTTTAAAGGCGAGGGGCGATATTTCAACGCGGGGAATTTAAGCTTTTGTGCATTTAGGTCCCTGCTCACTTATAACTGAGGGGGGCTGGACTGCGTTCGTGACAAATTACAATAGACAAAGGTCGAATGAGCGCATCGTTCCACACAGCCAAGAGGGCCACAGATACAGAGCGAGACGATCGATCGATGACGGATGTCAACGCTTATTCTTCTCGTTTCGCTCTGCAATGTGGGGATAAACGCAGGACAAATGGCAGATAGTTCTTTACCCCGAGACCATCTACGATCTTGAACGTCGACATAAAACTAGAATGCTTTGGTCAATCTGAAAGATGGACCCGGGTGACGAGCCGGTGTGATGAGCGGAGGTCGCCGATCTAGAAGCGACTCGAGCCCCGGATCGTCAGCGGTTCGGGTCCACCACGCCTGCTAGTTTTCAAGGTGCCTCAATATTAATTCGCTTTGCACGTGCCAGGGAAGAATCGTATAGTACAACAGCAAACATCAAACCATAATCATGCAATCAGAAAATGTTGAAACTTTCAGTTACCTCCTCAAGCATCCTGACTCTTCAACCACTTCCGCAAAGGCTCTGGTACGTCCCTCGACCTTTCTTGTCGGATTCGAACGGCTTCATCCAATGTCGAATCCCAAGGCACAAATCGGTACAGCTTGAAACGATCGCCACGACTCGGCGAAGGGCGTTGTGTCGTCTTGCCCGTCCAAGGGAGTAGGATCTCCAAAGCTCGCAGTCGATCAAAGGACTGCAGCGAGGAAGACGTCAGCGAGCCCGGCCTGCGAGACGGAAGTGACGTGAAAAACAAGACGGACCATACAGAATGCTAGTCGTGTCCATGCCTTCGCCGACACCATCAGTCGACTGCGTTGGACATGCTCGAGGTAGCAACGGTAGAGCAGCTCGACGTTGATCGCATTCTCGTGTTGGGCACGCATGTGTTTGGCCGCGACGCAGACGGTCAAATCGAGAATCGTCAGGTCTGCGAACCCCGTGAACGGTCAGTTGACTTGGTTCTCACATGGAGGGAAACGTCGCTGAGCTCGAACTCACGGTCAAGTGGCAGGTCTTCACGGAATGTCGGTTTTGCTCCGGCGATGAACATGCAGTGAGAGAGATGGGGCAGTCCGAGCATCTGGTCGTCGTCCTTCACCAAATTTTCGCAATGGGTCAAAACAGGGGCCTGAGGCAACGAGATGAACGCCGTCAGCATCGATTCCGGGAAGATCCCATTCAAGCAGGCTTGAGAAGCTCACCAATGCCTGCAAAAGTGGCGCAGGTGTGTTGCCGTGAATGGACCACACTCGCTCGAGATGGTCGAAGACGAGAGGATCATCCAAGAAAGCCTTGATGGACACAATCTCCGAGTCAGTGGTTTTGACGGAAGTAGAAGGTGGCTGCCAGCGTGTACTCACTTCGACCTCCAAGTTCCAATCATCTGCCATCGGCCCCAAGCAGTGCTCGTCACCGAACTCGTGAAAGGCAGTCGCGTCGACAGACAGCACTTGCTTGGCTAGTTCGGTGTAGCTGTCAAAGTCGCTTTGAAGAACCATCTGATGCACCTGAGATTGACACCTCGAACGAACTCGTTTTTCGAGGATCGAGAGGCAGTCCTGAACGGTGGAATGAGGAATGAAAATCGATTGACAGTGTCCAATAAAGATCGATTGTCAGTGTCCAAGAAATCCGACGTTTACATGGATAAGATCAGTAAGACTCACGGATCGAGCACTCAGGCCCACCACGCCCATCCCAGCCTTGCGTCGGTTGCCTTGCACGATGTCCAGCAACGAATAGAGAAAGCTCTGCCTAGGGTGCTGGGCGAACAAATCGAACTCGTCGACGAGAATGATGATCGGTTTCTCCGCAACAGATCGGGGGTCGTTCGCTGGCTCGAGCATGTGCAGCAAGGTCGTCATTGTCGCCGCGTTGGAGCCAAAGTCGCCATCCTCGTCTGAGAGCCCCTGACTCTGAAGTTGGTGCGCAATCGACCGCAGCGCCAGACGGTCGGTGGTGTGGACGAGGCCGCTGAGACGAACGATGATCATCGCATCCTTTCCGTAAGCCTTTTCTAGAACTTGGACCGTTCGTTCGAAAAGCTGGTGAAGCCGCCGGCCAAGAAAGTCAGTCATTCCTCGAGGGGCCTGGTGACCTAGCATGTTTGTGAAGGCACTCACCATCGTCTTGCCCACTCCTCGAGGTCCCAGCATAATCAGACAGTTGCCCACGTTATGTTGCACGACACCGTTCATAGCGTAGCGAAGCGGCTTCTCCCACTGCGAATACCCACCTGACAGGTGAGGGTAGGCCAGCGCATCGCGTCGATCAAATTGTGCCGGTGCTCGTGGCTGTCTTGGCAGCGTCCATCCGTTGAGGCCATTGAGAATACGAGAGAAGAGGAACGATAAGTTTCGAGCCGGGTAGAGTTGCGAATGGTCGAGCGAATCGCGGATCATTTCGGTGGCGGCTGTCGACGACTTGCCGCTACGGCTCGGACTCGACAAGACGTCCAGTTCATCAGCCGAAGAGTCTTCGTCGCCATCATTCATGTGCCAGCCTACGAGTCGATTACGCAGTTCCTTGGGCGCGGCGTCGATGTCGAGTTTGGCGACAGGTAGTCGTCGAGCTCGGGCGGAACGTCGAGGGGTAGTCTCCGCAAGTGTTTGGTTCTTGGACGGAGAGGGTGTCGAGGACCTTTGTGTCTGCTCGTCCTCTTCCTCGTCCTCCTCCTCGTTGCCTTCCCGCTCTTGGGCATCGGTCTCCTCCGCAGTCTCGACGCTGGTCGCCCGTGCATGTCGGATGGGTCTGGTGGGTAGCAATTTATCGGCATGAGAAGGTTTTGTCGGTGTCGACCTAGGCGTTGCAAGCTGTCGCGGTTTGTCTTGCACGAGATCCTGTGCGATGTTCTCTGGATCCGACTCTTCTGACTCGTCGTCGTTGACTGGCTTGGCCCGGGTACGCTTTGAGGGTGTCTCGATGAGCACGGAGTCGTTCGAAGATCGTTTGATACGCTTGCTGGGAGTGTCGGTGATCGCATTCTTGCTGCGCTTTGATGTTGTCTGCGGTGTATAGAGCGCTTGGGCCGCCGCGGCGCTCGTCGTCACCTGTCGAGCGCTTCGTCGCGCCGTTCGCGATGGGGTCGACAGTCCCGAGTCATCGCCGTCTGTCATCGAGTCCTGGTTCCGTGACGTGTCACTTGACTTTATCCGCGATTTTGTCGGGGTTCGAGTCACCGAAGAGGCGGATGTCCGAAGGTGTGATGGCTTGGACGCGTCGAGTCGCGCCTCGTCACACTCGCCAAGACGCCCGCTGTTCCGACGCCCGCCTTTGCCGTAGTTGACCTTGACGCTCTGGACGGGTCGGTGTGGTGTGGTTTCGAAGTCGTGTATCTTGCTCTCGTGCGCTGTGGCGGGTTCCGTCTTGCGCGATCGCGCGCCCCTGCGGCCGACGAGAGACTGGGACAAGGTAGAGGTGCTGCTGTGACGGCGCTTGGGCGGCGACGATGGCGCTGTCATGAGCGAGGGACCATCTTCATCACTTGATGTATCCGGTTGTCGACGTTGTCGACGTTGACGACTTTGAATACGAGCAGAGACCATGATGCTCGAAGTGCGGCCACGGATAAATCGAGGAAGCGGACAATGAGGTTGGAAAAGGTCGGGCGGGCGCACGTGGGACAGTGTCGCGTCAACAAGTGTCGCCAATTTGTGATCGACAGGGCCCCAGGTGCCCGCCCCCAGAGTTGTCTGATTCGTGCGCGCGCGCGCACGGGCCGCCCAAGCCCCAAACGACGTAACAGGCTGGCGGGAGCGACTCGGTCGCACTGCACCAGGTGATGACCCGCGTCCAGTGGATTAACGTCACTCGACATCAGTTTCTAGCGTCCACTAGCTGATCTTCGGTTTCGCTTATCAACTGCGGGGCTATGCAGTCGCCGAGACCGCAGGTCAACCCCTGATTCCGAAACGTCGGGCGAGCCCGAGCATGGCCGCCTCTGGGACCCAAGGGGTGGCCACTACCGGGATGATTAAGTAACGCTGTTGGAAAAAATCATTTCTTCCGTAAGGGCCAGTTTGGCTTACTTCCCATTCCCAGAAATAGACTACAAGACAAGAGTCTACTACTCGGCAGCTCACTCTGAATCACCCGAGTCACGCTAAATGCCTATGCCTCGGCACAGAGCGCGGCATCGCCGAGCCGTCTCTGTTGCCATTTCGTAATCCCGTCCCGGCTGAGGCGGGGCTCGCGCTGTCTCCTCTTTCGAAACGGGCGCAACAATGCTTGGCCCAGTGAGTCCTTGACGCTCGGACCAGGCAAGTGGTCATCTTCTTCTGGTCGGCTAACGACCACACTTGCGGTTTCTTCTCGTCACTCGAGAGAAAGTTCGCCTTGGGTCAGCAGCGAGCAGGACCCCGTGTCTTCCCTCTTCTTCTCCGCCCTCTGACTTACATCCTTGCCTGCTGCGTGTTCTACTTCCTCACTCTGCAAAATTTGACCCCACCAAAGCTGCTTGGCTGTGCCTGCAACTCGACCGTTGCCGGTCCGCCGGTCCCGCATCGTCCCCAGCAACCTTGTTCCGATTCAATCTCTGTACGATGCAGGATTACGACTCTCGAATCATGATGTTGATGGCATGTGACACGTTGTGTTGTGCCGTGGGCTGTGCGGCGGCTATCGTGCTCGGGGGTCGCCTGCTCTGCAAGATTCGATGGCAGCGCCCCGCCGTTCGTCCCGTGATCGCGGCAATGGCCGCTCCATCTTGCACTCTTGCCCGCGCCCTGGCCCCTGCGACCTGGGCCAACCCCACCGTGACGCATCGCCTCGACGACTGGTTCCTCGAGTCGCTCTTGCTCGCATCCGGTATGTTCTCTCTCCACCCGCTCCTACGCCCATGCTCTTGCTTCTTACTCTGTCGCAACGCTGATGCGTTCGGTTGACTCAATGCGGACTCGGCCGCTGACTCCCGCCCCCGCTCCTTTTCCCCAAACCCCCAACCCCCCTCCCTGCCCCCGCTGCATACAACGACCCCTCGATCTTGGCCTTGCTTGCACCTCCCCAGTCGATACATCACTCGCCCTCTTCTCCTTAAATGTCGTCCACAATGCGTGCTTTGGTTTGAAACGGATCACGGTGATCTTGTCGATGTTTGCCATAGGATGTGAGCCCCTGACACCCCGCCTCCGCCGTCTCAGATCCGGCCTCGTGACCACAACCCTGATCCACCGCTTCCGCGCTTTTGCCAGCTGTTGCGGCATCTCGTGTGTCGCCTCTCGCGGTCCACTTGTCGTACCCTTTCAACACTGCCTCCGTCCTGCATATCCTTTCACACATCGCCTTCGGTTTAGTTGGGGCTCTGTTCTTGCGATTGGCGCACGCCGCGGGTCTCGACAACTACAAAGCTGCGGAACGGATTGTGAGTCTAGGTGCTTGGTTGACTTGGACCTAGGAGTGGAGCTGACCCACACCAGTGCAATCAATGGCCCAGGGTCCAAGCGTGCGGCCAGCCGGCACTGCTGTTAACCCCTGCCAACATCATTCGCCTCGCGCACCGCAAGGAGATCAACCTTCAGCACGCGATGGTATCAACCTCGGTATACATCGCGCAGCATTAGTCAGTTATATGGTACATTCCCCTGAAGTTCTGGAGGACGCGGCAGACTGACTCTTACCTGTCGCTTGGTCATCACAGCGAAATGTCTCGAACCGGCAATTTGTCAAGGTCGCACCGTTCGTCGCCGCGTTGCACTGCTCGAAACACCTGCAACCTGGACTGCTCAGCTCCATCGTACAATGCATTCCCTTTGTGAACGTCCACTCCATCACGAACTCAGCCCTCGATGGTTCAGTCCACCTCGTCGCATCAGCAGGCGTGTACGCGCTGAGATGGGCGGTCCGCAACGTGCTCGTGATCACCCGTACGTGCCAGCTCTAGTCTCCTCGCACGATGAGCCTTGGCATCGTCTAATTACTCAAATTGCCACGTCTTTCGTACCATTCTCAACTACAGTGTCTTTTGTCCTAGTCTCCAAGCTCCGATGGCCGACGTTCAATCTCGTGCCGTTGCGACTCTTGAGCCGTTCCATCCGGCGAATCTCGGCGCAGGGACATCAGAATGCTACTGACGCGCACACGGGCGTCAACCACGCTGAGAGTGATGAAATTCCGCAGCCTTCCGTTGAACGCATGGATGTACCCGACGGTCATGGTGGGGAGCGCGGTGCCCCGCTCGTTGCCGAGCCCTCGAACCGATCTCGATCACCTACCGTTACAACTCAGCCTTATCCTCTGAATTCTACGTCTCCCGCTCAAGTCGTGTTCCCTGCAGCTGCAGCTTCTCATGGCGAATCGCAACAGCAACCAGTGGAGGAGCCCGCAGCCTCAATCGAGGCTGAGTGCAACGTACCATCGTCCTCAAACGGTCCATACTGGCACACCCTCGAGACGAGTTCCAAGAAGCAGAGCCATCCTTCTGGGTCCGGCTGGCGTCGACGACGAGTTCGCATGCGTACATCCCTCGGCACGATCCTCACCACCTTCTCACCCAAGCATCGAGAACACTCTTCTCCCGTCACTGAAACCCGCTCTGCATCATCGAGTCAAGTCGATCCGGTGGATGTGCGCCGTGTCCTCGACGAACATGATGCCTCGCCCAAGCCTTCCCAGACGACGGCCCCGAACGGTCGCGCCGAGAGGAGCCCCCAGGTTATCGATCGAGCTACCATTCAAGTCGCCGAGCCAGAGGTATCACCTTCCATGCCAGCCATGACGACGGAGGCGATCGAGCCCTCCTCGACGCCCCGTGAGGCCAGAAAGTCCGTCTTCATTGAGCAGCTCGGTACTTCACCTCAGAACCCTATCCCGGAAGTGACATTGGCCGATACCTCAAGCCCCTTCGAACCCGATTCAGAGCTCAACGATCGACCGAACTCGCGTTGGCTGCTGCCTCCGTTGACGTCGCGTTCACTCACTGCACCTACGACCCCTCCTTCGCCTCCGATCGCTGAACGCCTTACTCGTGCGGCGAGCATGGAGGCGATGCATCAGATCACGCGCAGTTTGCTTTGCACGCCTCGAACTCCTCGTTCCGAAAACGGCAATCACAACAGAACCGGTCGTTTTAGCTCCATTGCTTCGCGCATGGGTGTCCCCAGCCATGAATCCCCCGCGACACCCACTTCGCCGTCGGGATCAACTTCACCCTCCTCACCGACATCACCGCCTTCATCGCCTACCTCGCTTACTCCTCCTAGAACGCCCGAGACCCCCAATTCCTCAATACCCGCTTCGCCATCGACCCCTCCCTCACGATCGCGTTCTTCGCAACCATACTCGACCCCTCAACGAGTCATCTCGGCGTCAAAGCGTCTGCATCGCCAGGCCAAGGACATCGTGGTACCCAACTCCCGAGATAGTGTGCACTCGAGCTCAGAGCTCAGCTTCCATTGTGCCGGAGATAGCGAGGTGCTCGAGATTCTGGTGACGACGACGCGCACTCAAGTGACCGAAGAGGACGGACAAGTGGGATCGCCGACGTCCGAATCGACTGCGGACGGTGGTGCCCAAGTCGCCGAATCTTCTCATGCCCCATCAGAGAAGGTCCCGGGTGGCATCGTCGCGCGTGCTCGAACGATGATCACGAAGAAGACGAAGTGGTGGAACAACCCCATTTCCTCGACTCGAATGCGGAGTCGCAGCATCTTCCACAAGGCGATCAAGTCGCCGCTCGCGAGAAGCAAGAGATACCCAGCCCCTGTCAACACCTCCCAGCTCGACCTCTTTTCGCCGAGGCCCCCGAGTATTCAGGATCCCAACGATACCACCACGTTCGCTTTGGGCTCTCCCATTTCCGACTCTTTCTGGCGTCCAGAGAGTACACAACGCTCTCGCTCGGAACCTCCTTCTCTCCGCGAGCCATCACGACCTAAACCTTCGCGCGCGAGGATCGCGGAGGAACGTCCTTCGTTGTTTTTACTTTCCCTTGAAGACCATCAGGCTTCTCCAGGTGAGTCACATGTGCAGCCTTTTGAAGTTAATTTTGAAGAGTGTGCGGCCGAAGTAAGTGAAACACCTCCTTCAAGCTTCTGCCTCGCAGACACGCCCGAGCTCGTCGATTTGTGGAAGGACGTGATGGAGTGGAAGCGCACTTATCATGGCCACGGCGATTCATGTGAAGAGCTTCGTTCGGACGGCTCTTCGTTCCCTTCCGTTTGTGAGCAATACCCCGACTTCCCTCAAGTACCCTCAAGAGGGTTGCGATCGACATCTACGTTCATTTGAGCGCATGGAGTCCTTTTTCGTTTCTTTGCCTCTGAAAGTCGGCACGATCACGGTTCGGCCGACCTCGATTTGGTTCGTCTCGCTCTTGCTTCTTGTACTCCTCTTTTCTGTTTGTACTGTGTTCGCATCACCCCTCTTGGTTCTCCTGTTTTTCCGGTTCTCTTGTCCGTAGCCTCTTCGTCTCGCTAGCTCAAAGACACTCTGTGCCGCAGCTCTTACATACCCCCTAATTCCACCCACCTTCTAATTTGAAATTTGCAGTACTTTCTTGTAATCCTGTGACTCACATCCTCGAGGGAGCAAGTCTCAAAATCTCGTACTTCTCTCAGGTGGTTCTGAAGAAGTTATCATGTTACAACAAAAAGACTCAAGAATGCAAAATGCAAAACGCTGCTCAATAAAACGCCTTCATCTTCTCCCCATAATGCTCCTTGACCAGCTCCAAAATCTTCTCGGCCCTCTCCGGCCCATCCTCTCTCGACATCTTTACCAACGTCTCGACCATCCCTAAACCACCCCTACTCCTCCCTTCCTTGGAGAAAACCACCTTCTCCGCCTCATCGTACCTTCCCCACCTACACAACGCCTCGACCCAACTCGACCAATGCTTCTCGTTCCTCATCACCCCGACGAACTTGCTCTTCTCCAACGAAGCCCATACATCCTCCCCCCGTTTCCTCGCTTCGGAAGATCCGTCGAATCCACACGTATCGAGGTAAATGGAAACGCTTCGATCGTCGACTTTGGGACCTGGACCTCGGCCGGCGTTGATCCGCAAAGTGTCCCAGATCCGATAGGCGGTCGAGTAAGCACCTACGCGAGCATAGGCCCCCATGAGCGAGTTGAACAACGGTGTATCGGGATCGAGTGAGCTATCGAGCTTGATTAGGGAGTGCAGGTGCACGATCGTCGATGTGCTCGTCGAGGGGGCTCGAGAATAGTAGCTCAGCAAGAGGGAGTAGGTCGCCGAATCGGCGGGGCAATTGCTATAACGCATGTCGGAGAGGAACTCGAGAATGATCTTGGGAGGGGCGGAATCACTGTCCTCCGCGTTCTCAAACTTGAGCGACGTGAAGGCCGAGAGAATCGTGTTGTAGCTCTGTAGATCGTAGACGCTCGCATCGAGAGCTCGGATCTGATCGTAGGCCGTGAACGCTTCCTCGTACGAAGACGAAGCGCGCATCAACCCAATGATATGCCATGTCGCCGACGTGCCGTCCAACTTGATCCCTCGCTCGCGCATGTCCGCCACAAGGGTGCGAGAGAAAGCGAGATCGGGATGGGCACGCGACGCACAGGCCCGGAGCAGGGTGATGTAGATCGAATGGTCCGGCCCCAGCTTGTACGACTTGGATGCTTGCGCCAGGTCTTCGTAGAGCGCCTTGGCCGATGCCAACGATTGGGACGACGGCTGAGACAGAAGCCCATCGATGAGAGGCTGCACGATACTAGAGCTGATGGGTACGGAACGATCGCGCATCTCCTGGTAAAGTCCCAGCGCCTGGTCGAGCCCACCCGACGAAGCCCGCAGGAGGCGGTGGATGAGCAAAGCCCAAGACCTCCGATCGCCAACGGAGCCGGTGACGTCCTCGATGTGCTCGATGAGTTCGATCGCCGCTTCTACTGTGTCGACCTGCTTGGAGCCGTACTTGATCAGGGTGTTGAGCGTCCATGCGTCGGGGATGAACCCCTGATCGCGGTAACGATTCGTGGTCTGCACACCGGCCTTGACGCCTTCACTCGCGCAGGCGTACGCTATGACGGCATTGACGGCGGCCACATCCCGCTCCCACGATGGCTTCCCGACCATCTCCTCGTTAATGACGCGCACCAACCGCCGATGAACGATTTTGGCGCTGGCCAACTCGCCCTTGTCGACGAAACCCGAGAGCAGCGCGGTCTCTGTCCATGCGTCGGCTTCGATCTCGGCCTCCTGCATTTCCTGGACGAGTTCCCTGACCTGTGCGATCTCGTCGGCCTCGAAGGCGGCGCTGATAGCGATGTTGTAGGTGTAGACGTCGGGACGCTTGTCGAACTGGCGCATGCGCTCGATCGTGGCCCGAACGCGGTCGAGCTGCTTGGCGCGACGGAAGCCAGAGATGATGACGTTCCAGTCCTTGACGATGGGGGTGACCGAATACGTGTCGGGCATGCGCTCGATCCATTTGAGTGCGGCGTCGGTCTTGCCGGCCTTGCACAAACCGCGCAGGAGTAGGTGGTGGTCGACGCGGCCCGGTTGGATGCGGAGCGAGTGCAGGTCGGTGAACATGCGCATCAGCAGGTCGAGCCGGTCCGTCGACGCGACAAAGGCGAGCACGGCCCTCAGTCGAGCATGGTCAAACACGGGCGGCGGGGCGGGTGTACCTCGTGTCGCCTCTCGGTTCGCGGCGAGCTGCTCCGTTTCGTCGCGCGCGGCCTTGACGAACTTGGGGTACAGCTTGCCGATCAGATCCAGCCGCTCCTGTTGGCGGGCATCGTTGAGTTCGCTCAGCAGCTTGCTCGCCGTGGGTGGCGGTGGCCGACGGTTGAAGATGAACGTGGATCGGGAGGAGCTGCTGAATGATCGCGGCGACGACGATGAGCACGTGCTGGACGAGTTGGATCCGCTCGCCGTCGCGACCGCGGGGTGGGCGGGCCATGGCGAGCCAATACACCGTGGGAGATGGTTCCATGCTCCCAGAATCGTACGAGAGCTCCGAGGAGCCGAGGAAGCGAGCATCGCGCAGATGGATGCGAGAGCGTAGGCAGGCGTAGGCTGGCAGTCGAGAGGCGAGAGGCCGTCGGTCGGTCCCTCTCGCAGCGAACCCTATTAGCAGCTATTAGCGAACCAGTAGCCTCCAGTAATAGCCGACTCTGATCTCTCGGACTTGGGGCCCTAACTCGGCGTCGGTACCATAACAACACTTCCGCGTTCAACCCCAGAAAATATGTCGTACATCATTGCAAATTAAAAATAGATGACACGATCAGTGCGCAACAAGACCCCACATCCTAGAATTACCACCCCTCCCTCTCCCCCAATCTCACGGCTTTCCAGACCTAGGCCCACGATATCCGGGCCATCGGTCCTTGCTGTTCCCCGACTCGCGTCAACGCACTCTTGTAGTCCTCTGAATGTCAGGCAGGAGGGTGAGTCATGTCAGCACCGTCTCCACAGTTGCAGAGAGCCATGTGCTCGAACTGACCCATTTCGAACAGGTTGAGATGCCCGTCGCCGGCCGCACATCCGAGCATCATATGGTGCGGATGGAACGCCATCGACGTCATCGAGATGTTGCGTTGGTTCATGAACCCGACTGGAAGCATGGGGGCGCGAGAGTCATTGGTATCAGCATTGATGATGAATGGTCAGGGCGATAGAGCACAGGTTCGCCAGAACACTCACATGAGTTGCCGAACTTTGAAATGGGTTCAGTCATGTCCTTCATGCTCCACAATTTGATGACATTGAACGCCGACGAGCTATGCAACCCACAGTTCTCTTCATCAGAAATGGCCGCATCAAACACCGAAGACGATACTAAGGCACTCACGTAGCAAACACAGGGGCATGTTCATGCACCGCAAGCTGAGTCATCCCTCCGTGATGCGCCTGAACCCTCTTGATCGGTTCGGCTAACCGAATATCCCACAAGCACGCCTCACCTCCCAAACTGGTAAAAGCGCGTCGACGAATCAGCACCCAAGTAATCTTCCGGTGCAGAAGCTCGCATCGCGACACTCACCTAGCGCTAACGAGCTCTCGATCGCCTCCTCGCTGCATGTGCACGTTCAACAACCAAGATTGATGATGCCCCTTGTAGCTGCGCACCATGTTGTCCCTCGCCGAAAGGCGTCGATCGTAGATCCTCATACCACCGTCTCCGAAGCCAGCAGCCAGAATATTGCCTGCGACTTGGTCCCCCGTCAGACTCGTCAAACACGAATTGGCTCGAGTCGGCAAATCCTGCACGGCTTGTTCTTTCGTCGCGTCCCACACTCGAATCAGCTTGACGTTGCCACCCATCAGCAGCTGACCGCGACCTTGTTGCCATTCGAGAACGAGTCCAGCATCTTGCTGTGTCGTCGTGGTCGGGATTGTTTCTGCGATGCCCTGGAAGGACGAGACGAGCTCGACGTTGTCGACCGAGGCGTAGTTGCGGAACAGTCGAACGTGACCGTCCGCTGCAATCGAAGAAACAGATGTGGTCAGCTCTTTTCATTCCTAGACCTTAAGCAATCGAAGTGTGCTCACCCGTCCCCGAAAGCAGCATCGCGACGTCATCCTCGTTGACGAACTTGAGCGAGGTAATAGGTACCGATGCCGGGCTCCCGTTGGCGAAGCGATTGATGCGCAGGTTCTTCTCCCAGTCGTACACACTGCAGGACAGGCGCATCAGCACACACACTCAAAACTTTCTTTACATCCAAATCAACGCACGTTATTTGTCCTCGATCATCCGCAGCCAACAGATGCGACTCGAACTGATGGAACAAAATCCGTGTCGGAATTGTATCGTTGCTGTAGAATCCAATCTGCGAATCCCATCGCGCACGCGAAGCGGCCGTCTTCATCGGTTGGGTCTTGAGGATCACGGCTTCGTTGCGTTGACGCCTCCACATCCTTTCGTTGTGTTGCACACTCCCAGGTTCTTCCGATTCGGTCGGCTGTCAATCCGAGTAGGGGCGCACAAGACATCAGCTCCCTATCGCCAAGGCTCCTGGTTCGACGAGCGCACTGACCTTCATCTGCGACTCTTTGTAATACTCCAGCGCATACTCATACACCGATCCCTTGAGCGGGAACACCTGATCCGGTTCACCCTCGCTCAGCGTCGGCGCGGCTCTTCGTCTACGCAACCTCTCCTCATCCGCGGCAACGAGCTCAATCATGATGCCTTCGATCGTCGCCGAGTCCGTTGTTGGGATCGAAGCTTTCTTCGATGAGGCTTTACCACCCACTCGCGATTGCAAGTAGCGCAACGAGTCCGTCGAAGCGGACGAATGTAAAGGCGAGGCACTGCCCGTCGGAGAAGCGGCGACCGAACCTGATCCTCCTCCCGTCGATGCACTTCGCCCGTTCAACCTCAGCGCCGAAGGTGGTGGTGGAGGCTGATTCGTCGTCGCCTGGTCGGTCAAAGTCGAGCTTGTCAAGTGCGCCAAGGACTTCATCGCCGTCGTCGTCGCTCGTTTCATCGTCCCTCCCAATCCAGGTGTGACGTGCCCATTCGATCGAGGGGTCATACTCGACGACCCTGGATCGGACAAGTGCAACTGATCTCGCAAGACGCTTCCCGCCGGAGGCGCCGGGTCGATGCTAGCCTTCAGTGCCGACGGCGGAGCGGAGCGTAAAGCCAGTCGAGCTGATGGTCCCAACGGCGAAGCAAAGACGAGGTCGATGATATGATCCATGACGGTCTGCGCCAATGCCGCGATATCGGGCTGAGGATCGGCTGTGAGATCAAAGATGGTCTTGTACATGCACGAGAACATCACGGCCCGGAACTTCGGCGACTTGGGACCCTCGATCAACGACTCGGCCGTGGCGTTGATGCTTGAAGCGATCGCCGAGGTCGGGTCTTCCCGAGCAGGTGGGGAAGTCGACGAAAATCGTCCTGTTGTTGATGAAGCATTGGCGGGACCGAGACCACCTATCGGAGGCGTGCTCGAGGCATTGGCAGCGTGGGCGGCTTTGGTCGCGCGTTCCATCAAGGCGCGATACGCGGCGATGATGAACTGGCCAGGATGTTCATTCACGATCGAGGAGAGCAATGCGACCAGTTCCCGTCGGACCAGAGGTGATCCGTCGGTCGAGCTCTTGAGCGTGGCCATCGCGACGCCCAACTCGATGTCACTCGCCTCCTCAGGTGATAGGCCACACGCCGGCCCCGTAGCAGCGATTGAACGCCCAAACTTCTTGTTCGGATCACTCGACCCCGTCGTCCCCAACAACGTCCCCAATGCGTACAGCACCGACGCTCTGACTTCCGGGATAGGGTCGTTGTTCAACAAGCTGCAGAAGAGCTCGTGCACCCGAGTCCGTACCCCAAGGCCCTTGGCTTCCTCAAAGTCGTCCCAAATCTGAGCGATGCACAACGCCGCCCATTGTCGCAACAGGCCGTCCTGGTCGTGCAGATGCACGAGGCAAGCTTCAAACACGTTCGACTTGAGGCAGGCGACCTGCCCCGGCTTATGTCCGCGGCAGCAGACCGAGAGGATGAAGGCGCACATGGCGCGATGCTCGGACACGTTTGAAACGGGCAATTGACTGTTCGTCGACGGGTGCAGAATGTTGACAAAGTAGGTGTAGGGCGATAGATCCGCAGTCCGTGTCGGAGGGTACGTCTGCTTCAGCAGGTCCTCCTTACAGTTCTCATAGACGGCCAATATCCGCGCCCAGATGTAGATCAACACCGGCCGCAGCTCGCTCGCAGGCGCTTGCAGTAGTCGGAGGACATAGGCAAAGATGCCGATCGATAGTGCGACGTTGACGGCCCAGGGACCGAGATCGATGAAGCGACAAAGCAAGATCAAGGCTCGCAGTCGGTGGGCCTGGGACAGCAATACCTGCAGCACTACGGGTAGTTGTTCCGGATGCCGTCGTTTCGAGACGGCGCCTTGGTCGAGCCACACTTGGAAGGCGGTCAGTTGCTCGGAGAAAAAGTTCGAGTGCTCGTACGGCAGAGGAGGCCCTGGTGGTTGCGGCGGCGCTGGTTGATCGGGCATCATCAGCGGGTGAGGCGGGAGCGAGTCGAGCCACCGCTTTTCGTGGTCCAGAAGCTTGGACAACTGGGCGAGGCACATGTCGACGGCTAGATCCCAACTGTCCCATAGCGGGTGGTTGTGCGTTTGAGGCAAGGCGGGGACCGAGATTGGCGTGCATTCGTAGAAGCGCATGATGCGCTCGGCGAGCAAGAAGCCTCGGAACAGCGCCGCAACGACCAGATCGTGCCGGAAAAGCTTCTGGAACAAATCCCTCGGCAGCGAGTTCCATGCAATCGTGTCGGTGACGGCGGTAAAAATCCAGTTGAGCTCGCCGAGCGGTGTCCGTCGATCGTTGACTTTACCCGGTACCTTGAGCAGCATATCGAGATCGAGTTGACCCATCTTGAGCGGATTTCTGAGCAAAAAGAAGCGCAGTGCAATCTCGATCGGGGAGGTGAGGCATGAGGTGAAGAGATCGGCGGGGAGGTCGGGGTTCATCGGCAAGGTCTCGTGGGCGAGGCAGGCGCCGAGCTGGATCGTGTCACGGAACGGCACGGTCGGGATCTGGGGTTTCGCCTCGGGTACTGGGAATGAGCCGTCTGCCGCTGGGGTCGGTGGATGCCCGTTAGCGGCTGCGACCGCTGCTGCGGCTTCCTTTGCGAGCTCGGCGTCGCGCTTGATCGCAAACTCCTGGACTTTGGTGACGATGTTGCCGGCGGCGCTGCAGTCCCATACAAATATGGTCGGACTCCCGAGCCAGGCTACAATCTCGGACAAAGAAACGGGGATGTACTGCGTGTACTGCTTGTTGAACAGCCACAGCTCTCCGCTCGGGGTCGGCTTCGGCACGCCGTGGCCGTTGTAGTAGAAGAGCACGCGTTCGTTCTTGGCCGTCTTGCGCGCGGCGGTGCAGAACTTTTTCGCGTCCTCGATCGGCGGGTCGAGGTACTGCTTGTAGCGGGTTTTCGGTGTCGCGGCGAGGTTCTCGAATTGAGACTGCAGGTTCTTGCCGATCCGTTCCATCGCCTTGTCCTTGGCCAGGGCGTGCGGGTCAACCCAGCATTCGAGTTTGGCGCACGGGTCGGTCTTGATGACGTCGGGCGGGTCGTACCCGATACGCAGACAGACGACAAGGACGGCTGCTGCAGTCCGAACGCGGTCGCGGTTTCTCCAGTCGATCTTGTGGTCGGCCGGGTTCGACGACGGCGGTTTGATCAGTCCGGCTCGCTCGTGCCGTGTCTCGGTCCAGTACAAGAAGTAGCTCTTTTCGAGTGCCTGCACGTTGGATGGAGAAGGAAGCGTGTCAGCTGACATCACTACAAATGACGTGCGCTCACTTGACCCTGGACGCACGGTCAGATACTCCTCGGACGAATAAGCTTCGGCGAAGCCATGCCTCATGTTCTGCGGGAGACCAGGCGATGGCATGAGCTCGGATTCGCGCCCGACGGGGCTAGATAGTTTGTGTGCAAGCTCACCGAATCACTCGCTCCTTGCGCTTGACCTCTGTGGACGTGCGCATAGGACTGCAACGGCCCATCGTCGTAGTCGGGCTCACGATTGAGGCCGTCGTCGTCTTCGTCGTCCTGGGAATCATAGTCGTCGTCGTCGTCGTCGTCGTCGTCGTCTTCATGATAGTGCTCGGCTTGACGATCCTGCGATGGTTCGTACTCGTCAGGAAGAGCTGCCGAGGTCGAGGCCTTGATGGGCGTCAATTGGAGAGGTGCCATCGCGCTCGAGCTTTAGCCGAGTCGACCCAAGTGCGAGGTGGGAGGAGGGCGGACAGACGACACGGCTGCGGCACTCGATCTGTGCTGGATCAGATATGCGTTTTAGTCGGGGAGACTGGCCAGTAGGATTGGATTGTTCGTGCTTACATGGTAGCGCTGGACGTGTGCGAGCGGTCGATACACGGCTTCGTCGTCGGTCGTCGGTCGTCGGTCGTCGGTCGTGAGACTCGTGACGCCCTCTCGCGCGCGTGAGCAAGACTGAGCAAGACCGCCCAGTGCAAGGTACGGCCTGCCACACGACTCGAAAGTTCGTCCGATCAGAAAGGGAGAGCTACTGCGGACTTGCGCACTGCGTACTGCTTACTGCGTACTGCTTGCGACTCGGCCTTGCTGGCGTCGGCCCTGGACTCGCAGCGGGTGAGGCACGGAGGGTGATAGACGATCATAGACCGTGCAGCTGGCGAACCCCCGGCCGCGCAAACGACAGCAGAGGCCCGGGTCGTGTGGGGGCGTCTCGGGGCATCTCCCAGCGCGTCGGCCGCGGGAGCTCAGCGCTCAGCTTCAAGTCACGCTGGGCCGAGCAAAGGCGTGGGGCAGCAACTGCCGCAAGAGTAAGCTTTCACTCGTTCCGACATGAGGAGACCAAAATCGCTGTCTCTCAAGCTGTCCCCACTGGTTGTGATTGCATCTCGTGCAATGGCCAGGCTGAGGATTGAACTGGCGAAAATTTTATCATTTATCGGCCTCGGCAATTCTGGCGGGCATTCATGACTATATTCCGCCCATTTCTTCACCCCTGTTTCCCAGAAAAGGATTTTCCAGTCCGTCTACCCAAACATGACTGCCACTGGTCGCAAAGATCGCGGCTCCGCTGGTCTCGAGTCTGCAGTGAAGGTAGGTGAAGGAGGGTGAAGGTCGCCCCCCCACCCACGCGCCGCTCCCTCGCTGGCACTCCCCACATCGCCTCCCCTCCCGCCCCAACACGTCACCGTACCGCGCGCATCCACATCCTCGATATTTCTCCACCCTTCCGCGACCTCGAACTCTCGAGCACTTTGCAACGATGGCCTCGTTGACGTCCTCGGATGCGGCCAGCAGTTCAACACCAAGGGCCTCCTCCTCGTCGTCGATACGGTTAACAGCAGCTCAGCAAGCGCTCAGCACGTACAAACTCAAGGACCCAACAAAAGGTGCGGCCAGCTACAAATCTAACTCTGCTCTACACAGACCACCCTCTCTTACCTCTTGCGCCTGGTACTGACCCTATCGGCTACCCGATCGCAGTCGTCGTACGGTTCAAGGCAACAGGCAACGCGCCCATCATGAAACAGAACTTTTTCAAGATCTCCGCCTCGAATCGGTTCCAGACCGTCATCGCGTTCTTGAGGAAGGAGTTGGGGTGGAAGGCCAGTGATGCTTTGGTGAGCGGGAATGAAGGGGCTCGAGCTTGGATCCCGGCCATCGATCGATCACATGGTGGGTTCGGATGGCTGATCTACGTGTGCATCTCTATCAAACAGTTCCTGTACATCAATTCGAGCTTCAGTCCAGCACCGGACGATACCGTCGCCAACCTGTTCAAAGTCCGTTCATCGTCGACAACACTGTCCCTTTTGGTTCATCTCACTCAGGACGGTATCTTCGTTCTTACCTTTGCAGTGTTTTGCTACGGATGGGCACTTGATCGTCAACTACAGGTCAGTCGCACCTGTACGCCCCGCTCCTGCCGTTGCTTGTTCACTCGTCTCACCGTCCACGGGCTCTCCTACAGTTCAACAGCCGCTTGGGGATGATCGATAATCTCCAACCTCCGTCTCTTTTTCTCGGTTCGGAACGGACCATGCTTTCTACCTCGGACCTACACCTCGCATTCGTATCACTCGTGTACTCCTCGCATTGCAACTAGCAAATCACTTCCTTGCATCCTCCATTCTCGTTGCCCTACCGAGAAGAGCTCGCTCCTCCACCATCAGCTATCGTACTCTCTCATCATACGAGTCCCTCATCAACAGTCAACACCTTCAGCGCCAGAATCCATGAGACCGTTCGATCAAGGTGCTCGACGTGATGTAGACGTAAACTTCAATGGTCGCAAAGAGGTTGAAGCCCCAGCTCGGCACGAAACATGACAGGGACGTGAGGAAAGAACCTTGCTGATTACAAACTTGCTACGGGATGAAAACGCACGAACGAAAGAATGGACACAGTCATTCCCTGTCGGTGGGTCACAAAGTCCACAAAGAACAGAAATCAACGAAATCAACGAGGATGCTTAAAATCTCTATCGATCCCTCTTGGCACGTTCCAACAAGCCGAACGGGTTCTCGAACCCAATCCTAGGTACGATCGGCGTTACCTTGGCCTGAGGAACGTCATCCTGACTCTTCTCCACCTCTTCTCGTTTCCTCTTCAAAGTCGCTCTTCTCGTAGGTCGTGTCTTGGTCGCTTCCACAGTCTTGGCAGGACCTTCCTGGGCCACGCCTGCGAAACCCTTGGTTCCTCGCCAGATCTGTCCACCTCGCTTCTCAACCAACACGTCAACTTCGGCAGCTTCCGTTTCGGGGTTCTCGACCAATCGAACGAAAGCGGCACCGAGGTTGTCCACACTCTCTGACAAGGGCTGGATCGCACCTGGTTGTGAGCCTGTTTGATACGTGGGGATACGTTTTAAGTGTGAGCATCCGGGCCCGCCTGTCGAAACGAGGAAATGAAAACTTACAAATGAGAAACACCAGAGGCGTATCGTTGAATCCAGCCTGTAGCGAGCTGCCCGGAGTTGTCCATGAATCCCTAACCAGTGCTTGCGGCGTAGGAATCATCGGATTAGGGATGCAAGCCGGTGAGGGCCCACCACCGAAGCGGCCGAGGAGGACGTTGTTACCGATGACGGTGGCATTTTCATGGCCGGCGACGGCGATGGAGTACCCAAAGTAGCCGTCGTTTAAGGAGGTGAAGGTGTTGTAGCGGAACGTTCCAAAGTGGCCACGCGAAGCCGTTCGATTATCGGAACCCCAGATCTGAGTAGGAGAAAGATAGGGGTCGAGTCAGTTCCTGCGTTACTTCGGCGTGGGCACAGGCGCGTAAAGGATAAAACTGACCATACCACCAATCGCCACCCCAACTTTCATCATCTGGCCATTCGTGATCAGGTGGTTGTTCTCAACGACCGTTCCCGAGTAATTGCCGGCGAAGGGTGCGTAATCGACGGCGTTGATGCCACCCAAAGCACGTCGAGTAACACTCTGGATCGTGTTACCCGTGATTAAAGAGCCCGGTGCGCCAAAGATGACGATTCCACCGTCCGTAGCATCCGTGACGACGTTGTTACGGACCGTCGAACCCTTGCAAGCCAGCGAGATCCCATCGGCCCATTGCCCCGGCGCGATCGTCGCGTTCACGGCTCGGCGGCGGAATTGAAGACCGGTGTTGGGGGCGTTCCCGGAGGGGCCGATTTGGTTGTTCTCGATGAGCATGTTGCTGCAGACGAGATTGGCACCTTCGATAGCGTGCACAACGGACCACCCGCGAGGCTCCGACGCCTTGACGTTTCGTACGATCTGAAGGAAGGGAGAGGGGTTAGAATCCAATGATACCGAGCTAGTGACTCCGCCGAGCAAGCTCACCTGGCCATTGGTCATTCCACCGAGCTCCAACAAGGCGAGACCGTTCGAGAGGTATCCCAAAACATCGCGCTGTCCGAGCACTTGGATATTGGAGACAACGATGTTGGAACATTGATCGCACGCGCCGTAGATGGCGCACGATTGGTGTGCGCCGGTGACGACCAATTTTGCTCGAGCATCGTCGGTAGGGTTGCCTGTTACGCCATCTGCTGTCAGTGCTCTACGCTAAGCAAAAATTCATATTGGAGCAATCGGATCGGACCCACCTGCTGTTGTCAGCACTTGTCCAGCCGCAGTGAAGAAGATCGTGTTGGTCAGGTTGATGGTCGCTCTCGGGCACAACGTCACCGTGGTGTTGGCTCCACCGTAGTAGAAGAGCTTGTTCTGATACAAAGCCCAGAAATTCAGTATCAGCCAAACCGTCAGATTACTTGCAGAAAATTCAAGACGTGTGCCGCCCGCTCACGATATCGACGTCAGTCACCCAAGACCCCAAGCACGTCGGCGTCCTCGAGATCTTGGTCGTCGCATCCATCTCGGACCCATCAATGATCGTATCATTACTAAAATTACCCGACAAAGTCGCATCAAGTTCGACCACTTCGTCCAAAGCCCTCATACGAATCTTCTCCGCCGATTCGGTCGCCCTCGCTTTCTTTTTCGCGATGTGGGACGCCATCGCCGCGGCGGCCATGGTATCGATCCTCGATTGGATGTCGCGGTCTTCCTCATCTTGGTGAAAATGAGGCCCCAGAGACCTGGAGGGTGTTCCGGGTACGGATCTCGTGGCAGGTCGAGCGAGGATGCTACCGCGGCGAGCGGGTACTCCACGCAAAGTAGGGAAGGCCTCGGCGTATGGTAGAGGAGCGGTCAGGAGCGCGGTCGCGACCAGCGCGACCGTGAGCTTCAAGACGCCACGGCTCGCGCGGCGCCCGGCGCGGTTCCGTTGTCGCTCGGCGGTCGTCGTCATGGTTGAACTGGACATGTCGAGAGGGTGGTGGGGATGTGGTGTAGAAACAGTCGTCTATGAGGAGTCGAATGCGAGTTACGGGAGATTCGGACCAGCCGTACCCGATGACAGTGCACGTTGCGCCGTGGAAGCGGTAGGTTGCGAGATTACGGATGCGGATTCGGACGAGAACTGCCTGTATGAGCTGCCCGCGCTGGCCGAATGAGGAACTCCGAGGGGTTGTCGCCTAAGCTGAGAGCAATCGACGCAGAACGGACCCCGGAGTGGAGTCTGAAGGGAGCAAGCAAGGACAGGAAAAAACACGGCAAAAAGGACTGCTTCGGACGTAGACGAAGTGGTGTAGTAAGAGGAAGAAAGGGACGAAAAAGCACACTACACAGATCGACGCCGTCGGTGATGGTGCCGGGCGAGGGATCGGATGAAGATTGCCCCCGAGCCCGGGTTTCCGCAAAACGACAACCAATTGATCCTGCACGTTGAGGGAATCCAGGATTTTTCATTACTCCTGACAACTTCGTGTGAGCTGACCTTCTAGCCAGAAAGTCGGGGCAACCGTCCGCGGGGCCGTCGAACAGCGCAGCGTGCGCTCGCATCCGTCATCATCCGATCTGGTTCTGCTCAAAGCGGGTCGAACGCGTGCCGTCATTTTGGCGTGGACCCCTGCGCCTTTGCTTGAAAGAGGAAGGTTCGCCCGCGGGCCTAAATGGCACGCGCGCACTGCCTGCAGGGCCCGTGATCATCGCCCTGATTCCCAATAAGTGCAACGCCAGGCGACCTGGAACATTTTCAATCTGAGGCACATTCAGTCTCACCTGTGCTGTGAGACTCGACTTTGCAATTTTAGGTAGGTGCCTCACTTAAGTGCCTAGCTAGGCAGCAACGGACGCCGACGATCCGCCTCGCCGGGAAATCTTTTGAGCGCTGTGGACACGCAAACCAAAGATCATCGTGGCCCGCGTTGGGCAGCTGACAGGACAAACGCAGTGATATAGCATCAAAAGGACTAGTAATGGTGGACACCGCATCTTTGAGGAGTATACTTCTTCAACTATGACAAGATCATACCGAGCTAGAATTTTCGCCACCAGGTTTGAACTCGGAGGGCAGTGAGTTCGAAGCGACCAAGTCTGGCCAGGATTTAGCCGAGTGCTTCGGCGCACGCGCTCGAGCTGTTCTCGCACCAGGCGAACCTTGTCTTCGCTTCCTCGACTTCTCAAAGATCATCTTCGGCCGGGCTCCGAATTGCTCTTGACGGAGTGACACGAGCCGAACCTCACGTGGCCTTTCACGCCCTTTGTGGGGTTTCCAATATCATCTCTCTCCCTCCAATGCGATTGCACACCTTTCCCTTGAACGAGTGAATATGTAAAGCGAACACCTGGCCCTCCCTCTTCTCAGTTCTCCAACCTCGCTTCCCTGGTCCTCTTGACCCCTCCCAAAGCTCTGACCACCCGAGCGACCAACTCGCCAATCCCGTCGGCCTGCACGAACCCTCTCCCCGTCACGCGACCCAAGACAGCGACGAGCAAGACCGCGATTCCTAAATCACCCATCACCCTTCGTCCAACTTTCATCAAACTCTGTACGAGCCTCACGAAGAGGCCGTACCAGCTCAGCTTGGGCAAGGTGCGTTGCGACGCCGGTGACCGAATCTTGAGCAGGACCAAGACGCGCAAGAAGGTCAAGCGAAGCAACGAGATGGGCGAATCGAGATCCGTTGCTGTCGAGGTCGACGAAGAGATGGAAGACCGTTCGAGTTCAGCCAGTCGTTCGTGAAGTGCCGTCAAGGAGGTTTGGATGCGATCGAGAGCGGCGTCTAGGCCTGCAGGAGCTGCAGCCGCGGCTGTCGGCAGACGAGCGGCGGCCGCAGCGACTGTGTTGACCGTTGACTGGGTCGATGGAGGTCGCATAGGCATCTGCATTTGCACACCCGGTGGATAGGCCATGGCGAGCTGCTGCGAGCCGCCCATCGAAGGACCAGGGGAAGCGGCCCCTGGCCGAGCGATACCAGCTGCCTCGTGCAGCATCGAAGCAGAAGGTGGCGGATGTTGCGGCGAAAACATGTGGGGGTGGAGCGGCTGTTGGGCAGGCGTATGGAACTGTGGCGAGGGAGCCAGACCTGGGGATAGCATGCGTTGCGGTGGTTGCATCATGTTCGACGCAGGTTGTAGCCCTCCATGCGACGATCCGGCGTATTGCTGCGGCGTGAGCGGTGCACGTTGGTATCCTGCAGGTACGCCCAGAACAGAGCCACCTCGGGAAGACGCTGGTGGGTGATCATAGTATTGTCGAGGCCTGCGACCCTCATCAGACGAGGAGCTATAGTCATCCTCGTCGCTCAAATCTTCCGGACGGCGAGGCGAGTCGGCACGTGTCCGGGGTGGACCGTAGCCGGGTAACGAAGGTGCGACCGAAGCCGAGGTTATGGAGGCCGGTGGTGGAGGTCCGGCACGGTGACGATGCGAAGAAGGTTGTGGCGGGGCTCTCCCACGAATCGACTGAGGAGTCGGCGCTGGGGCTGCTCGTCGCCGGGAGGAAGAGGCCTGCGGCTGTCGTCGATGCCGGGGATCCTCGCCTTCTGTCGATGTCGACGATGATGATCGGGCAGATTGTGCAATTGAGCCTGCGGCATATGGTGCTGGCAAGATCAGTCTTGCTCCTGACATCTATCGTCGATGGGGGTCGCCGCCCAGCAGAACCTACCCGACATGACCATGCCCCTCGGGTCGAGAGAGAACGTCTCGAGTTCGCGAATCAGTTCGATCGCTTGCGGTCGATCAGAGTAGCCTTTGAGGATCTGCCAACATGGTTATCCGCCTCCAAGGTCAGATCGCCGGCCAATACAATCCTCAACACCACGTCGAGGGGCTCACCTTGAGCAAACCCTGAACGTAGAGCCGCTCGGCCTCTTCCGGCGAAAGTCCCTTCTTCTTATTCCAAGCGTCCCTGCGTTTCAAGCAAGGGCCAGAGCATCAGATCTGAGCACTCCGACGCTGGTCGAAGCTGAGCCGTCGCTCGTCAAGCGCACCACTTGGCCTTGCCCAACACGTCCAAGATGCCCGGGCGCGGGACTTTGATGTCGCCTTCGGTGGCTGTAGTAGGAGCCCGCGCGAATCCAGACGAGGTCAGCTTCGACACTTCGGTAAGAGATAAGGAGCTGTTGCACGCGTGCCCACCTTGTTTGTAGACGCTACAGTTTTCGACGAGGAACGAAAAAAAATACCAGATCAGCCTATCCTTTTGGGGTCGATCGCGCTAGGGTCGTAGCGCGCGCGCGCTGGGGGCGTCAACACATCGATCTTGGCGCAAAGGGAAGGACATACCTGTACAGCAAGAGCTTGTCATCGTAGTTGGTTTGGATAGGGCCAGTCCGAGGAAGACTGTGCGGTGATTGTGGGTGAGATTAGTTACGGATTCAGTTCGAAGGGTGTATCGATCCCGGATGATTGAGGACGACGAGTACGACGCGTGTGAAACAGGACGGCCAACTCACGATTGGACGATGTCGACCGCCCTTTCGAACCGCCTGTGATTTGGAGAGTAGAGTGGGAGTCCAAGGTCAGTGTTCCCCTCTTCAAGTTGTGATGCCCTTGCCGCGGACCGATGCCTCGGCGCTCCGTCCCGACGAGTTGCTTGCGCATCACCCCACCTCAGCCCACCTCCCCCCTCTCCGCCGGCTATCGATCGCCTTCCACTCCAGCCTCTGCAGAAGCGCAACCGACTTACGCATGTACCCAATCGGCTGTGTCAGCACCGCGGGGGAGGACGACTCCGCCACCATAGGAAGAGATGGACGTCATGGCCTCCTGCTCCGTCGGGTTCGAGGCGATGGGCACTGGAAAGAAGCGAGTTGAGGTGCAGGCAGCTGGCGCGCAACGTGCCCGAGAGGCCGCGCCGCGCTAGACCTCGCTCGGACCCACCGATGAAGGGCCTGCCAGATTGGGACTTTGTGTAGAGGAAAGAGGAATCACCCTTCGTTCACACACGGTGATAGAACTGAAACTGTCTTTCGATTTGAAAGCAATCGATTGCACGCCTCCGAACCTCTCTACTTCGCCCCCATCCCAGCCTTTTTCATCCTCCTAAAGCACATTTCCAAGCTCTGCTTCAGACTCCCCACATTCCCGACCCCAGGAAAACGTTGTAGATACCAACACAACGCGATGGCTTTATCTTGCGATGGTTTGGGCAGTTTGATGAAGGGTCCGTACATGGAGCCTCGGGTCGGGTGGGATACGTGGAAGAATGGGGCTAGGACACCGGTGAGGGATGTGATGGTCTAAACTCGGGCGGAAGGAAGAGAGCGTCAGTTTTGAGTAGAACGAGAGCGGCAACTGAGGATGAGCAACTCACTGATTTCGAAAACACGCCCTCCCCATCGACGGAAGAGGTAGCGACCGTCTTGAGCAGGAAGGTCAAGACCATCTCCGAAGTCTGGGGGTGCTTGGTCCCGAGTTCCCAGAGGTACTTGGGCAGCGATAGGAGCCACTTGTCAATCGACGATCCTGACGAAGACGAGGCGGACGGAATTGTGAATCGATCGATGTAGGCTGGGTCGGATTGTAACTATGTCAAAAGGGCGGGACCGAGTAAGTCAGTCGTCCTCAAAGCGAAAGCACCTCGGAACAAACCGCTCACCATGACAATCCTCGCGATGAACAAGAAGCTCAACTTCTTCGTCTCCCCTCCCGCATTCGCCTTATCAAAATGATACAACACAACCTTCCATAACGCACTTTCTCTCTCCTTCGCCGTCGTCCGTTCATGATCCACAACCCCACTCTTGAGCCCCGAAGTCGAAGCCGACCGGTTCAACAAGGCCCAAATCGTAGGTATCAAACATTCGATCGCTTCGACGCCCAGCGTCATTCCCAAAGGTTGACTCGTCGATTTGAGTTCCCCTTTCAACGCGTCAATGACCCATTCTTCGACGTTTTGGACCATTAGTTCGATCTTGGAGCCGAGTTCTTCTTGTTTCCTTTGCTTGGTTGCGGTCTTTTTCTTCTGCTTCCCTGCTGCGGCCCTTGTCGCGTTCGGATGGGACACCTCGGAAGAATCGTTGAGTACGAGAAGGGAGACGAGGGCGGAGAAGGATAGATTGAGAGACAAGAGTTGGTTCTTGGCTTCGTTCGAACGTTCACGCAGATCGTCGGACCCAAAGGGGAAATAAGCCGCTGCATGACCCAAGAGCATAACGAGCGATTTTCTCGCTTCGTTCGTACTTGAAGACGTCGACTCCGAGGCGAAGGATCGACCTAGTTCCCTTTGGTAGAGCGACTGCGCCACGCTTACGACGGCGACGATGGCTGCGAGGTCAGAACTGGAGGAAGTGCTCGAAGATAGTGATTCGGTAGGGGAGAAGGCGGCCGGAGCAGCATCGAGGAAGGAGGATAGTAGAGTCGGATGGAGGATAGATAAGAGTGTCGGGTTGGTCGAGGCAGTCGTAGAAGGGGTCGAGTAGGCTGCAGGAGCCGGGTGGACCAAGCCCAACGTGTCGAGCGAAAAGTCCAGGTCAAAGTTCTCAAACGCGAGTGGGTATGGCTCGATCGAATGACCTTCATAGTTATCATCTTGAATCCTCGTTACGGATGCAGTAGAAGGTGGGAAAGAGGCGATGAAATTTTCATAGAATCGATTCGACGAGAAGGAACTCGAAAAGTACCACGGCTGCGATACGGGCCTCGAAGTCGAGGTCGAGGCGACAGGGGTGGCTGGCGATAGAGCGACTTGCAAGAATCTGGCCAAGGTCGAGAGCACAGCGAGACGGGACTAGAAGGTCCAATGAAATGTCAGTGTCGATTACGATTCGGCCAAAGAGACGTCACGAGCAACTGACAGCAGGAGAGAGGTCACTCGAGGCTGTGGAGGTGAAGCTGCCCTGAGCAGCCGCCAACCCCGGATTGCGCACCCTCAGCACCCCCAACAGCGCCTCAACGACCTTGCCTCCCACTCCCTTGTCCTCTAGACTAGCTTCTGCAGTTTGTAAAGCCGATCGATCATGACTATGGGCCTGGGCATCCCATCCTCGGACAATCTCGTCGGGGATCTTTTCTAGAAGGATGTCGAGCACCTTGAGCGCGTCGATCTTGACGTCTTGGTCCAGCGAGCTCAGACTGGAGATGTTGAACAGAATGAGACCTTTGGATACGCCCTTGAGGGCTTCGAGATCGAGACGGTCGGCGATCTTGACGAACAAAGCTCGGGTCGAAGCTCGGACGCCGGCAGAGGTGTCGGAAAGGAGATGGGCGATGCACGAGACGAGTGGGAGGAGGTGTTGGTGCAGCAGGTGGGGGTGGGAAGTGAGAAGCTGGTCTATCTCGAGGAGGGCTTCCTTGCGCACGGGGAGCGAGTAGTGGCGCGATTGGACGAGCAGCTCGCTCAAGGTGTGGTTGCGCCGCGATACGGGTTCCGTCTTTGCGAATTCGGACAAGGATTGGTTCGGCAGTCCGATAGCTGTGGTAGGTCGGTGTGAGTGGTGTGAGAGGTGTGAGAGGTGTGAGAGGTGTCAGTTGAGGGTAGTGTCCCTGCACGCCGGTGCTCGACGACACTCGAGCGGAGGTGGACCGTACTCTTTGAGGATATGGTGGTGTTTGTGGCATTGTTGGCGACCTGCTTGCCCTTGCCGAGCTTGAGTTTGGCTTTCTGTGAGGATTGGTTGGCTGAGTGAGCTGGATGTGGTGCACTCGGTCGCAGTGGGCCGCGCTGATCGCCGCCGTCGGGCTCGGTCGATCATTTCGCACCGCAGCTCAGGAGCTTCGCAGCGTGGCTCGGCAAGTGGGGACCGGCGGAGGCTTCGACTTTGGATCGCGATCGATGGGGTATAGGTGAACGTGGTAGATGAAGAACTGACCGTAAAATCAGCGACTCGCGCCTTCTTGTGCTTGTTCGACTTGGGCATGCTGGGTGTTGAGGTGCGTGATCATGCGTGATCATGCGTGAGGTGAGCCCGAGCTAGACCGAGCGCGATGTGAAGTCGAGTCGGACTTGGCCGTCACCGATCGCCGTGTCAGGCCGAGGCAGTGTCAGGTTGTGGCAGGCCGTGTCTGGCAGGGCGTGTCGCCGTGTCGAGCTTCGCAGCCAAAAAGCCAAAAAGTGAGCGGTCCGAGCTCAGGCGCGACGGGCCGGGGCAAGTTGCTCAACTTGGTTGCTTCTTCACTCGTGAGGCTCATCGCTCTTTCCTCGCAGCACCTCCAACACGGGATGGACGACTTTGTCATCAATTTCGACACCTCGTCGACCTCCAACACCGCAGCTGGCGGCTCGGCGAGGCAGAAGGGAGGACGATGGACCGACCGCGTCAAGGACAAGCGCAGGCAACAGGCTCACAGCAGGAGGCAGAATCATCAGCGTCCTAATGGGTCCGCACCAGCAGCACCCTCGACCTCGAACAACCTTGGCAAGAGGCCCAGAGAGGCGAATGACGATCATCAGGGCGCGACGTCGCGTTCCTCGGCGGCTCCGACCACGATCCGACCTACAGGCTGCTCCTTCAACCTCAGGGCCAATGCCACCACTTTGAACGCCCAGGGACGAGACGACGATGAGACTGCCATGATCCAACCGAGACGAGGACCCCAGGCGAAGCGACCTAGCACATCGGCCGCCGAGGCAGGAGCTGCCAAGCTCGCTCCGGGTCAGAAGAAGCAGTACATCTCGTCCCTCTTCACCGCCGAAAGATTGCCGTCGACCGCACCTGCTTCGCCCATCATCCCTTCTCAACCTTCCAACGCGCCGATGCGAGCAAGACCTGGTCATTCCGACGACGACGACGACGACGACGACGACGACGACGACGACGACGACGACGACGACGACGACGACGACGACGACGACGACGACGACGACGACGACGACGACGACGACGACGACGACGACGACGACGACGACGACGACGACGACGACGACGAGGAGCAAGACGATGTCGAAGACGACGTCGACTCGAGCATGGTCGTCGACCTCGAATCCAAACCCGACCCAGCACCAGCACTGACCTCGCTCGGCATCATGCGCCCCTTGGTGCATCATCTTGCGAACAAGCTCAACATCACAGGACCTACCGCATGTCAAGCTGGTGCGATCCCTCCCCTCCTCCAAGCGATTCAGCCCCCAGCCCCGTCTTCATCGTCATCTCCTCGAGCCCACGACGCCATCTTGCAAGCCCAGACCGGGTCCGGTAAAACGCTCGCTTTCCTGCTACCGATGTTGCAAGATCTTCTCTCCCTCGATCGTTCTATTCTCCCTTCCTCCGCGTCCGCTCCGACCCGCTCGATCGGTACACTCGCCCTCATCCTAGCCCCGACACGAGAACTCGCCTCGCAGACCTACAACGTCCTCGAGTCACTCCTATCGCTGCCCTCCTCGTCCTCCTTCAACTTTCCCCCTCGAGCTCTGACCCCTTGTCTCCTCGTAGGAGGCGCGAACCGAACGCACGAGAAATCCCGACTAAGGAAGGGATGCCCCATCGTCGTCGCGACACCGGGCCGATTATTGGACCATCTCAAAACGACCGAAAGTTTCCGTATCGCCGGCGAACCGATCAAATCTCGTGGGCCTCGAGGACGACCTGGAGTCACGGGCTCGAACTCGTCCGAGCTCGGTGTCCGGGGAGGGAGAAAGTTGGGTCTGAGGTGGTTGATTGTCGATGAGTGCGATCGATTGATGGATTTGGGTTTCGAGGAACAGATGAAGGGCGTTTTGGAAGAGTTGGAAAAGAGGTCGCCGGCGATGGCTAATCCTGGGCAGGAGAGGAGGACGGTCCTGTGTTCGGCTACGGCGAGCGATGGCGTCGATCGATTGGCAGGGTTCATGACTTTGCACAGTCCTGCTACGCTCAAGGCCGTCGACAAGGATCACAAGGGCGGCGTCGTTGCCGTACCGACACCGAAATCGACGATTGATGGTGCCGGTCAGGATGGTCAGAGTCTCGAGGTCGCAACAGGGAACGATATAAAAACTTCCTTCACCCCACCAACTCAACTCGTGCACAACTACATCGTCTGTCCCCCCAAGCTCCGCTTCGTCGGCTTGATCGCCCTCCTCCGTCGACTCTTGATCAGTCCGAAATCATCAGGCAAGAACGGCGTCGGGACCAAGGTCCTCATCTTCTTGTCCTGTACTGCCGCCGTCGATTTCTATTGGGAGGCTCTAGGATCCATGGGAATGGGTCTAGGAGCATCAAATTCAAACGACTCGGAGACTCAGACGAACAAACCCGAGTCGGCGAAGGAACGCGTTGAAAGGGAGAAACGAGAAGCCGAAGAAAAACGGACCAAACTTGCCTCCGATTCGGCCGTACTCCCCGGGGTCCCCATCTATCGTTTACATGGAAACCTCGAACTCGAGACGAGGTTGAACTCGTTAAAGGCTTTCGCGCACAAGTCGGTCGTGCAAAAGGGCAAGAATAAGGGCGCTGAGACGGAGAACGCCGTGTTGCTTTGTACGAGCGTCGCGGCGCGTGGGTTGGACGTGCCTTTCGTTTCTCATGTCGTTCAATACGATCTTCCGACCGAGGTGAGACATGTCGAGGTGGTGATTGGTACGCCCGTGGCACTTCACGCTGATTCTTTGACTCTTGTGTTTCACAGGGCGGTGTAACGGAATACGTCCATCGAGTCGGACGAACAGCTCGAGCTGGTGCATCGGGCCAAGCGACCTCTTTTCTCCTCCCTTCAGAAAAAGAATGGGTCCCCTGGGTCGAACAAGGGATGCGTTCGGATCCTTCGACTTTGGCTCCGACGGCGGGTAAAAGGGAGGTCAAGTTGAGAGAAGTGGGTATTGAGGATGTGCTGAAGGATGGGTATGGGGGCGAGGGGAGGGAGTATGAGACAAGGGCGACGGACGTGCAAATGGGATTCGAGAGATGGGTCAATGAAGAGGATGAGGTGAGTTGTGCTCGCTTGGTGCCCTTATGGTGTACATCAGCTGATACCGGTCATCTTGTTGACTCTACCAGCACGCCACTCTGGCACGCAACGCTTTCGCCTCCCACATTCGAGCCTATGCGACTCACCCCGCCGCCGAAAAAGCCATGTTCAACACCAAAGCCTTGCACCTCGGTCATCTCGCGAAATCCTTCGGCATGCGCGAAGCCCCCGGAGCCCAGCGTCAAAGCCTTAGCTCCAAATCGAAATCGACTAAGAAATCTCGTTTCCAAGCTCAGGAAGAGATGTTGGCGATGGAGAAACCGACGGTCAATCTGAGTGGCGGGTTCGAGGTCGGGAGGAGGAGTACGGGCCCGAAGAACTTGAAACAGTTGATGAGGGGGCCGACGGGGGATTCGGAGTATACGGTCGCGGATTCGGCAATGTTGGAGTCGATGGCCAAACCCTCGGCTGGGGGGAAGAGGAGGAGGATGTAATGAGGGGTAGTGCTGGTGGTTGGGATTGAAGTGCAATATGTTTGGCTTGCACTGTATCTATAACCGCGTCGAAGAGGGCTCGGCAATCTGGCCCAAGTGATCCAGACTTCCCAAGCGTCTGAGCGAGTACATCTGAAGTAGCGCATCTAGTAGTAAATGAAAACAAGGCTTTGAGATATCTATGACATGATGCCGTCACTCCCCCTTGGCCTTCCTCAGTTCTACACTATGCAACTCCTCCACCTGATCCAACTCGTCCTTGGCAACCCCCTCCCTCCTCAGGCCCACCACATCCCCCTTCTCCCCACCCAAGCCTTCAAACAACTCCTTCCTCCCTCTATACTTCTTCTCCCACCCCCTATAACCCCCATCCAAAATCTTGACTTGCACTCCCTCGGGCCAATCATCATGCTCACACAGCGCTTGAGCGGCCATAGGTCCGCGATATTGCGAGCGCATGCAATGCATGATCACTGTGTTGAGGCCTTGAGGAAGTCGAGGCTTGATGTGGGTTGAAATGATGGATTGAACGGAGGTGGGGGAGGAGAAGAGACGGGAGGAGAGCCATAAAGCTCGGGGGAGGTTGCCACCGGGGAAATCGGACGTTCGTACGTCTGAGGTGGGAAGGGGATGTGGGGGTTCAGTGTCGGGGCGTGTGGGCTATGAGGGTGGATGTGGGGTCTTTTCATGCCGAAAAACTGCTCCGACTGAGTGAGATCTTACCGATGATGAGGAACGAATCGGGATTCGGACTCGAAAGAATCATCTGCTCCACCTCGGTCGAGGAGATGTACGAAGGCGAAGCGGCGCGAACCATATGGGACTGGGAAAGCGGTATGGGCGACGAAGTCAAACAACGTCGACCCGACCCGAAGTAGGTTTGTATTGGTTTGAACGTCGTGGGACGGCGGGAGAGCGATCGTGGGATCGCCGAGTTGCTAGCTTGAGCGGTCGGACAGGGGACCAACGACGTCACTCGTGGGCTCGGGCGGCGCTTCGTGCCTTCGAGACCGAAAAAAGCCGGGTTGGCGGGCTTTGGTATTACACCTTCTGAGTCTTGACGACTGTGGGAGAAAGTACAAGAAGAAAGAACTCCAGCGCGCAAGATCTCTACAAGCTGTTTTCATGTAGACATGTTTGTTCTCTTTTCATGTCGAATTGACGGGGCTTACTAACCTACAAATGGGCGACTATCGCAGTCGCAAGCGAAACGGAGTAATAACAAAAACGGCAAGCCCGAACGGGTTCCGCCCGTTCGCCGCCGCTAGCCTCGACAGCTTTGGTACCTCGCCTCCGACGTCTCGAACCCCTGCACGACGCTCGACACCTCTCTGCATCTCCTCCCGGTGGAGATTAGTGTGTCTGCCCGGTACATTGCAGCCAGGCACGACGCCAAGACGCTCGCCCCTCTCGCTGCCATCAAAAGTGTCGCACATTCAGTCAACGCTCTACGCTGACGGTTTGATCGACTGTAGCGACTGCAGCCCGCCCACGACCCCAGCTTTTACGTGATCCACATCTTGCACCATGGCAGGTGCAGTGGCTCGGGCTTCGACTCGCACGCGCAAGAAGACTGCAAGGGCACAAGATGATGACGAGCGCGACGGCAGCAACCCTCCCAGCCAGCCCTCAGCGCCAGCCTCGACCAGTGCGAGGGGTGCCAGTGCCAGCGCCAGTGCCAGTGCGAGCAGGAGCAGGAGTAGGAACGGCACCGTCGACCTCGTCTCGGATGCTGATGCACCACTCGTAGCAGCTGTGGCTTCGAGCTCCAACAAACGTAGGTTCCTACCTGACACTCTTTTCGAGTTGTGGGACGCCAAGGCTCCGATAGCTGATAGCCTCCATCTTGTTCTCCTTCTCTGTCTCTCGACTCCGGATCGTCCTCGACCTCGATGACTGCCGACTCGCGACTGGTGCCCTGCCCGCCCGCTCAATCACCGGCCTCGCCTTTGCCGTGTGCCTCTTTGCATTTGCTTTCTAATTGTACGCGCTCGCGCTCGCGCTCGCAATGTTAATGCCGTAATGGACGCGCGCCGCCCGCCTTCGGGTTCATCTCGCGACCTGTTTGCGGTTCTCCGCTTTCATTGCTCTCCCGCCGCCTGCACGCTCTGTATATTCTCGTTGGACTTCAACTTATTCTATCGTCCGACTCGAAATCTGTTGTCAACCTACACCATACTCGTTCATCACCCGCTGTCGGCGTCGCGAACCGCGTCGGGCCGCGCCGCGCTTTCAATAAACAACACGACTCGGACGACCCCCACCCGTTGACGACTTTCGTCGCGCCGGCGCGCCATGGCCTCCAACCCGCATCCCCACTCTCACCCACACCCGCACCACCATGGTAACAATATCTATGCCGATCCGTACAACGTCGACCACGCTCGCACCATCGTCGTCGGCTCATCCTACACGATGCACTACCCGATCGGTCCGCCGCTCGACGTCATGCACGCCTATGCGCCGATGCCCATGCAAATGCAAATGCCGATGAACCACATGCCGATGCATCCGTCGCATCGACCGTCGGTTCCGATGATGCCTCTACAACCCATCACCAATACCGCATCTTCGTCCTTCATTTGGCCCGCTTCGCCGCCCAAAGCCGCCGCTGCCGATACGCCGGCCGCCGCGCCTTGGCCTCAGAATGTGCTGCCTCCACCGCCCTCGGCCGCCGCAAACCCTAAATCGGCGGCGGCGGCGACGACGACAACCAAGGCCGCCCGTGGAGGTGCTGCAGCGAAACGAAAGTCGATCACCAAGGATGAAGCCGCCGCCGCACAGTCTGCAGCGCTTCTGCTCGCGCCCGAATACACCGCCAACCCTGCCGGACCTGCTTCATCCTCGGACACGGATTTCAAGTGCTCGTACTGCGATAAGATCTATAAGGGCAAGCATGCGCGGTCGATCTGGCGACGTCACTTGCAAGACAAGCATGGTATTCCTTTGGCCTCGCAGCCTCGACGGACCCGATGGGACAATGGTTAGTAAATGCTGGCCTGTCTCCTCAGATTCGTACCCGCGCCCTGGCACGACCAAAAGGGGCGATGCTATTCTCAGGCGCGCGACGCGCGTGTTTGTCGAGGCCCCACAAGCCGCACATCTCGACACAATGTCGTACTACATGCACAAGACACATCATCAGGAACGAGGACATTCGTGTCTTGTCCTGGTCGACTTGGTGTGTGCACGCGTCGCGACGCGCGAGAGGAGGCCTGAGCGCATTATTTCAATAGCTCCTCGGGACGTAATGGCTTGTCAGGGGCCTGTCAGAAGCTGGCTTCATTCGCAGATATTGCACTGCACAGTCGATCAGAGCTATCATACTGATCATATCTTCACATATTCCTTTCTGTTCGTCCTGGCAGATGCAAATCGGCCCAAGTCCGAAGAAGAACGGCGGGCTAGAACGCTAGACTCCAAGCGAAGATGGGCACGCAAGAACCGTGGGACCGACGGGAGATCAGCCGGTGGCGACACGCCCGGTCGCGGTGGTTCGGCCTCTTTCGATGGTCGTGACGAGGGTGAATGGGAGGATGACCAGTTCGGCGATGAGGATGGCAGCAGTGCTGGTGGTCGAAGTCGAAGCAATAGCGCCAGTACCTGGCAAGAGAGCAAGACCGCACTCGCTCGTTCGGGCAGCGTACCCACACTCGGTGGTGCCGGTCGACTTCAGGACGAGAAGCCCGATCGGTCGACTCTGAGGGCCAGTCAGTCTACATCGGCCGTTCCGCACGCCTCTGAAATCGATCCGAGACATCCTCAGCAGCACCGCGGGTCTTACGCTCATGGGCCACCGGTCCATCTCGTTCAACCTCGTGGATCACATCTGCCCCACTCCCCATCGTCGTACTACCAAGCACCATTGGCTGCCGCTGTCCCTATCGGTGGGGCCTTGTCGGCGCCACTTTTCCCGCAGGCGAATGAGGCCGAGTTCTACCGAAGCGAGAACCCGACATCGATGATGCAACGCCTTGGTGCCTCCATCCCTCGTCCCGCTTCCGCCTCTTCCCTCCCTCCACCGTATGCGCCAGCTCAATCGACGTCGTCTGCCTCCTTGGCTTACTATGCCTCGAGAGCCTCGCCGGGTCGGGGTAGTCGGACGGCACTGCGACGCGAACCCAGAAGCCCAATACGCACCGGGTCCAATACCGAGGATGCCGCGGGGGTGCTGCTCGCGCTCAAGATGGCCAGTCCTTCGACAAGCTCGATCCTTCAGTCACCGGTCTCGGCGACCCGATCACGACGATTCGATGACGATTCAGACGATGATGAGGAAGAGGACGAAGACGCCGGTGACCTCAGTCTCGAAGCGAACGAACCCTTCTCGGCCTTCACCGCCAAGCAAGCGAGTCGGCGCACAGGAGGTAGTCGACTCGTTGCAAACGGACGAGGAGCCGCTTTCGCAAGCCCTACTCGCGACCCACCTTCCTCGCCCGAAGGGTCCGATTCCTCGGTCGACAACTGGTCGCGCAACGAAGGCGAAGCCTCGACATCGACGACGGTCGATCCGACGAGCTCGAAGCTAGCCGGCAAGAAGCGTAGCGCCGAGGACTCGCCACCACCTTACGGCAGTGCCCAAGCGCTCGTCGGTCTCAGTGCCAGTGCGCGCAAGATCCGGCCGATCGCCGGCATTGCGCCGAATGGTAACGGGCAGGTCGCTGGTCGACCCCTAGGTCCTAACTCGTCTTACCACCAATACACGAGCTTGACGGCGACTCCGACGCCGGCGATGCGCGTCACGATGGAAAGCTCCCCCGCGATGGTCTACGGCCGAGACTTGTTAGAAGGTGGCTCGATCGGGCGCGGCCCACGGCACGATCATCATCATGATGACGACGATGGCGATCTCGAGGAAGACGAGCCGAGTCGAGGCGGCCATGTCCACGACGGAAGCCCTAGTCGTGCGATGCGGTCCCATCGAAATGGCAACGGACCGATTGACGACGCTTCGTCCTCCGCCCCTCGAGCTCATCACCATCATCCTTATTCTCACGGGTACCCCTCGTCGGCTTCGTCGGCTCGTCATTACCCGCAAGCGCTGCACCACCATCACCCCGTCGGACTGAGTTCGGATCTCGGTCACTTCAACCTCTCGTCCTCCTCCGATCCCTCGCATCCTTCGTCTTCGTCCTCGTCGATGCCACCGCACCCTTCCTCATCTTCAACCTCATTCCCCCACTCGACACCCGGTGGCGTTTCAACCGATTACTACCGACTCCGAGGCTCGTCCCCACCCTCGCGCTCGAACGGCGGAGGCGGCTACCTCTTCTCCTCCCCCGCCCACCCCGGCATCTCAAAGCAACTCGGTCTGCACGCCCAACCCGGTCCCGGCGTCTTATTCTCCGGTGAAACACCAGGTCGCAACGCCCCGGTCGATGTGCTCGAGTCGAGATCGAAAGGGATGAGGTTGGTCGAGGAAGGTGGGAGTCGAGCGGTGTTGAAGTTGGAGGATTGAAAAGTCGTTGTATCCTATTCCCGCCCAATGCACGTATACCTTGCATAAACCCCTTCGATTCTCTTCATTCCCCCTGTTTGCACACATAGTTCGCACTCCCGCGAGAACAAGCCCTCTTTCGTCTGTCGTCTTTCTACCTATTTTTTTGTCAGATTCTCCCAGGTCCTTTGGATCCCCACTCTTTCTCCTCTCACTCTTGTACGCTCGCTGCTGAACGATGTCTGTTCTGATTTTTTGTTTTTGTCCACTCGACTTGTCGTGCACGCACACCCTATATGAAATCCGAGGATCGCATTTCCTTTTGTACCTCTCACTTCGGATCGTCAGAAAGAAGTGACCTTGGTTGCAAGCAAGTGTAGAAAACGAGAGCCAAAAGAACACACAGAGATAAACACAAAAGAACAAACAGGGGTTCAGCATAAAGGCGTTCCTGTGCATAGCATAGCTATCGCTGGCGCATGGATCGGTTCGAGTCGCAGGTAGCCGGGATAGGATGCGAAAGAGGACGCAATGGGTGTGAAAAAAAAGGTTGCATAGCAGTCCTTGGGACAGAACGGCGGATGTCGAAGGCTTGAGGAACAATCAAAGGAAACTTGCGAAGTTCCTTAATCCTTGCCCACATCATTCGCGGCATTCACCCCCACGGCATCCTCTCCACTTGTCGCAGCGGCACTTAAAGACCCGCCGCCGGAAGGACCGGAGAAGGATCCACTGGCAGAAGAGGTATTGACGGCCGGTTGCCCGGCCAAACTGGCGACGGTCGCCAATCTTGGCGAGGCGGACGATCCGGGTTTGGTCGCCATTCGTTGATCGAGAGCTTTCAGGGCCATTGCTCTGCAGGGTCGGGTGCGATTATGACAAAGCAGGTGCGATGTCAGCTCGCAACAAGACACTGCGGTGATGAGGTAAAGGAGACTAACCTCCGTCTCTCAGCCTCGGCCCTTGCCGCACCGGGTACGGCAGCATACCCGCCCATTTCCACATCAGTCCAAGCCCTCAGTACCCCAACCTTGACCGCCAAAACGAACGCGATCCCCGCAACCTTGGCAACGTAAGGTTGGATGAAAGGAGGGAACCAGGACGAGAAGGCGAAAGTCTCGGATCGATCACCTCGGAAATCGGAAGTCGGGTCGGCGAGCTTGATGAAGCGGAGGTAGAACCAGCTGACGATCCAGCCGAATTGGATGAGGATGTAGGGGGATTGGTACCCGATCAAGCACGCGACGTTGGAGACGGTCACGTAGAGCATCGGCAAGGACTGTGCACGGAGAAGCGCGGGCAAGGTCAAGGGTTTTCTATCGACTGTCAGCACGAACTTGCTTCCTGAATGAGCCAATACGAAGGCGCGACTGTAACGCACCTTTACTCTGACTTTGGCGATCCCACCAAAGACTTGGACCTGATGCTCGGGGATGAGCTGGGTGAAGGCGACGAGGAATCCGACTTGGAGCGCCATCAGGCCGTGGTAGCTCATACCGTAGCTATTGTCAGATAGTGTAATAGAGTCAGTACGTTGTGCTCTATGATCGCTTTTGATCGGGTTGTCATAGATCACGATGTGCGCTCTCCGCAGCAGCATGATTGCACGGGCTCATCGGCGATCCAGCACTGCACTGCAGCCTCCTCAGCATCGACCGTGGACCTTATCGCGCCTTCGCCCCTTGCATTCTAGTGCCTCGGACAAAGGGCGTGACGCTGCCTCGTCTGAACCGACTAGTTGCGTTCTCCGCAGCACCGATGCCGCTCCGCAGGCGAGCGAGCGCGAGCACCGGGGTCGATGGGCCGAATCGAAGCAGCTTGAACGAAACAAGAAAAGCGTCCAACTGACAGGAACAATTCCTTGTTGCCCAAGACGACCGACTCGAGCACGTTGACGACGACGGCGATGATGTTGGACGCGACGACGACAACGAACACAAATTTGAGCAGCTCGACCTGGCCCCAGACGCGTTCGAGGTACCGCGCCGCGAGGGGGAGAGTGAACAGAGAGAAGAGGAACTGCGGTAGGACAGGACACACGTCAGGTCGTGCTCCGAGGGAATGCTCGTGGCTGCGATCGAGAGTGTAGCCGGGGCCGAAGACATGCGACCGACGACGCGTGTGGCGACGAGGCGCTCCGCTCAGCAGCGGGCAGACAACTGACCTCGAGAAGGTTGCTCTCGACGAACGAGCCCGTCAGCAAGGTCCACGGGTACCACACCACACTGCCCGGCAGCAACACGAGCCAAGGGAACACCAAGGACGGGTCCGACGACGCGCCAACGATGCCCTTGAGGTCGCCCGGCGCCAGCGACAAGCGCAGCGCAAACAGAAGCAGCGACATGCCCACCAGCGCGCCGGTCAGCGCCCGTGTCGCAGGTGGCAGCGCCAGCAGCGAGAAGAAGCTCGACATCACCGACTGGGGCTACGAGCGGGGTCGGGCAGGAGCACGAGGGGAGGTGGAGATGAGAGCGCGGAGGGAGCACGAAACAGCGAGAAGAGCAGGAGGAGGAGGCCAATCCCCGACGCTCGCGACGACACATCGATCAGTCGATCATTTTCCTACGGCCCACGGGCCACGGCCCACGGGCCACGGCCCACAGGCCACAATTGGTAATTCAATCCGGCCACGAAGGGTTACTGATGTCATTGGGTGTCTGAATAACTACAAAAGAAAAACATTCGCTCAAAATTATAACAACAAACAATAGAATTCGGTGAAAGAAAAACCTCGGCCGCCGCCGGCGTAGGAAGAAGATATCGTCCTTCATCGCTCAGCGTTGATCCTATACCTCCTACCTCGTCGTCCATGGCTATACGTGTGTTTTTGTGGTTATACGCGTCCTCGGATGAATGCTCTTAGGCATAGATCGCATACACCGTCGCGAGTACCAGCGCCACGGTCATCACATCCCTTGTCCACTCGCTACCGCCACCGTGCAAAGTCCGAGCACCCGATGTGCCGCTACTCGACGCGTTGGCCTTCGAGTCCCCCAAAGATTCGGTTTCAGATGCACCGATTGGGTTTGGCACCGTCGACATGGCCGTATAGTCAGCCCATGCGGCTTCCATCATCAACACGAACGCTTGACCCTCGGGTGACTGCTGACCAATTCGCCCGAACGAGAGGGGATCGACGACGGGCGATAGCAGACCTGTCGTACTCGAGATGTGGGAATGGAGAGCGATGCGCGTTTCTTGTGCTTTGGCCAGCGTCGATTCGGAAATCTTGAACTGCGCCAGGCGGAACGACACCGCTGTGAGCAGAGCCGTTGAGGCGGCGTCGGTGAATGTATTCGGGTTGTCCAAGTAGTTGTGGAACAGCAAATTGGCCTGTGTAGGTCGAGGCACCAGTGTAAGGTGAGCGGTCAGTTCACTTCGATGTTGGACACAGTTCACTGCGGCAGACTCACAGATTGTAAACTGAAAGCTGCTTCGACGATCTGCATCGTCCAGGACGCCAAGTCATTCGCCTGCGACGCAAAGTCGGACGCATAGTTCGAATTCATGATCGTTGCCCATACTCGAATCCTGAAACGAGTGCACGCACGAGACTGTCAGCAAAGATGAAGCCCTTCCTTGCTCAAGAAAGGACGTACATTCCAGCAGCGGCCCAAGCGTTGCCAGTGGCCCAGGGGTCGGGATCGGGGTTTGAACCCCACAGGATATGTTTGTACAAGCCCGAGCTTGCGTTGCGGAGGTTTTGTCGGTACAGTCGACACTGGTCGTATGCTTCTTGAATAAGCGACATGTTCGCGTTGATGGTCCCATAGTAGGCCAAAAAAGGTGGAACCATGTCTGTGAAGCGGCAGGATGGCAAGAGGTTAGCTTATGCTGCACGCCGTGGAAAAATAATTACCGCGTCAAATTTGACGGAGGCGAGATAACGAACATATAGAGTCGGCCCTAGAGAGGGGGAAACGATCCAAAGTCAGCACGACGATCCGAGGGGGCAGTAGCCCCTTCGGACCAGGTCACGTACCACAAGGAGAGCTCATCAGCACGATGCGAAATTGCACCATCCGCTGTTCTTGGTGTGTGAAGTAGCAAAGCCTCCAACTGATCCTCCGCAGCCGTTCCAAATTGAGCACGATCATCCGCCCGGATCGAATAGTTGGCCAAAATGGTAGCCACACCGATGCTCGCGGGATCGGCGGCGGATCCGTCGGGCATCAACTGGAGCGAGTTAGGGGCTCTGCGCGAGACGACCGAGCCGACCAGCGACATGACAGGGTACGGGTAAATGGTGTCCTGCGGTAGGTCCGTGTACGTGTCGAAAAAAACCGCGAGGACTGGATAATCACTGCAAAAGACGACGGAAGAACCTCGTGGTCAGTGGGGACCTCCTGAGGGGCACACTCTCGACACGTTTCCGAGGTCGATCGCATGTGCCGAGAATCGTATGCCGATTCAGATCGCCGTTGGCACTCACTATTCAAGAAGTGCTTGTATATGAGCGCCAATCTCCCAACTGATTGTAAAGACGAAACAAAGTTTGGCGTGGAGGATCAGTACGTGAGATGACGGGTCAAACTCTTAAGGCTGTGCTCGGTGTCGGAGCGGCGGCTGGGCCCCACCCGCACGGCTGGGCCCCACCCGCAGGGCTGGGCGCGCCTTCGGGCCCAAGACTTCCGGTCCAACGAGTGGAACTACGTCATGAAGATTCGGCAGGTTGCGCTCGTCAGAAGGAGGTGACCGCCAGCGCGTCCACATGGGTCCTCGTGAGATCAGCAGTCACAAAAGTCGAGCAAGATGGTGGTAGATCACTCCAAGTAGTGGTAAGGAGTCTCATGCACCTCTTTCAGGACCAAGCCGGCCATGGTTGAAGGAAACGCTGAGCTTGCAGGAGGTCGCATTGCGCACGTACCTTTCGAGCGCGGTCATGTTGAGCATTTGCTTGATCAACGTGATCGTGTTGCTCGACAGCGCCGTACTGTCTTTCGAAGTCGCAGCGATCGCGAAGGTCAAGTTGTTCATCGTCTGAGTCTGCCTCGGTCGTATCCGGTATGCCGGTAAGGCGTATACACGCGGTATCGTGGCCAGGATCGAAAAGAGCAGGGCGAGTGATGCTGTCGCCGACGCGTGCATCAGGACTCGTCGAAGATTGGCCGAGGATAGAATAGGAAACATGATCTGTCGACGTGCGGCCAGTCAGCTCAAGTAACGTACTCCATGGTTTTGCCCTTGAAGCACCTACAAAATTAAAGGTCTGTCGGACGCAGGAGATTGCGAAGGGAAGCCAGGAGGTCGCCTAGCTCGGCGAAGGAACCCGAAGGAACTGAGTCACCGTCAGCGAGACTAAAGTGAGACATGATATTGCGATCGTGACGTCCAAGCGCAAAATTCGCATCCTTGAAGACCTTGAACCTTGGCACTCACCAGGCTTGACCCCACGCCATCAAGGACTGTGTTTCGCTTTATTTTTGGTGCAGCGTGTAGATCGTCTCGATTGATCACCATTACGCGCAGTCTGACCTCAACTATGCCAGAGGCAGACGCCCGCCTGGCGCTCCTCCCCTGCACCAAAAGGCCCGCCCTCAAGTCAGGCCCGTGCCACACCTGAGGAGCGGATGGACTCTCCTCTCCATACACTCAGTGACAGCTCCTGCGGCCTCTCGTGCGTGCACGCGTGCGTGCATAAAACTTGTATTACATCAATTCTCTCGACGCTCATCAATTCCTGGGTGTGTTGTTGACCGACGACGGTGACCTTGTCGACAGGCCGAAAGCCTCGTTGATCACCTCCACGTCGCTGGCGGCTTTCTGCAACGTCTTGGTCAAGTGATCCAACCCAGCTTGCTGCGATGCAAGGATCTGTGGTGAAGATAGTGTCTCGACTCTGGTTCGGCTAAGAACGCGCGACGTGAGCGTAACAAAGGTTGCTCACCTCGAGTACTTGTCTCAACCCCTCTTCATCTACGACGGCCCACTCGCGTTCCCCAGCCAACGCCTGCCTCCGTGCTTTGACGGCCCCAACACCACTCCACAACTCGTTCGCTCGACCTTGAGCCCTCTCTGCATCCCCAGCCATGCTCTCAAGTCGAACGCGCATCGCATCCTCCTCGCTTCGCACGCTCGCGTTTCGACTCGGGGTCAATGCCGAGACCTTGGCGATTAAGGCGAGCACGCGGGCCTCTAGTGCGGTCGCCGTTTGTGTGGCTCGTAATGTGCGTAGTGAAGTCACAAGAGAGTGTGTCGACGATAGTTCGGAGAGGTGAGCTCGGATCTCGCTGAGCAGAGCTTGGTGCGCGAGAGCCTGCTTTTGCTGCGACTCGATTCGGGTTTGGATCGCGGGGAAACCGATGGCAATGGCTGGAACCAGTCTGTGAAGTGTAATCATGGTTTAAGCAAAGATATCCTACATTGCTTTGAGGCCGACTCACTTTTCGGGATCAGGATTTTCCCGCACGGCCTTTTGCCAAGCCTTCTCATCTGTCCCTTGTGGTGGCCTTCCATACATCTTGACGTTGTTGGGCGGAGCTGGTTCGTTGTAAAAGTACGTCTGGAAGCGACACTTGGGATCTTGTGGGTCCCAGGCGGACTTGATGGCTTCGATGCGGGCTTCGATCGGTCGCTCGTTCGGATTTGGGGGTGGGTAAGGGTCGCCGAGTCTGGGCATGGGAGGTTGGGGTTGACCAGCTGGATTGGGCTGGACACCGAAGGTCGAGTTGGAGGCGAACAGCGAAGACGAAGCTGGGTTGGAACCGAATAGAGAAGCCGTCGCGGCGGATTGCGATTGACCAAACAGGGGAGCGGCCGTCACTGCCGGCTGAGTGGCATTGTTCCCCTGCTGCTGAGCTTGATTGCTAGCACCAAAACTAAACGAAGGTGTTTGCTGGGACTGGCCGAACAACGACTGCCTTGCCGGTGTCGCCGACGCGCCAAAGAGTGAAGAAGTTGCTCCCGGTTGCGAGGTGGCGCCGAACAAGGAAGAACCTCCCTGCGAGGCTGTAGAGGTGGAAGCACCGAACAGACCAGGTGTTGTCGTCGTCGACTGCTGTTGACCGAACAGGGAGGTCGTTGCCGGGGCCTGCGACGTCGAGGAGGCACCGAACAATCCGGCACCAGGGGTGGATTGGCCAAAGAGACCGCCACCGGAAGCCGGTGTCGCTACACCGAAGCCACCAAACAAGTTCCCCGTGGTTCCGGCAGCGGAGGTGGGCGTGGCACCGAAGAGACCACCTGTCGGCGCAGGAGTCGAAGTCGGAGCCGAGCCAAAGAGGGAAGGGGTCGCACTGGGCGTCGTTGTAGCGCGTGCCGAAGCTATGCGGAAGGGGCAGCGTGACATCAGCAACCCCATCCAGATATCATGCTTGTAATCGACTCTTTAGTCGGGCAGCTGACCTGTAAAGTCGGGAATCTTGTTCGCGGTCGCCGCGGGTGTGCCTGTTTCAACATCGCAATTGGAGCCGAGAGCGGTGAACTAGACCGCCACATGTGACTGAACAGCGTGACCACAGCAACGTACCGAATGAGAACGACATGGGTCTGGCGATAGCACTGGTGCTTGATGTGTCGTCCCGTGCTGTGGAGATTGAAGCGCTCAGCACGTTGAACCATGCGTTCCCCGGCGAGACCGGTCCCATCACGGGACTCTGAGGCGCAGATGACCGACCTTAGCTTGCCCAAGTGGACAGGTCTGCAAGGTGCCTTATAATCTTGAGCGCCGGTGCGTGTGTTGAACGCCAGCAGCTAGCACGGGCGGAAGTAGGGCTTGCCCGTCCCAGGGGCTCCACGCGACGGGCGGCGCTCAGAGCTCAGGGCGATCGTCGAAATTACTCGAAAGTACTCGACAAAATGTATGATGCTGTCGATCATGTCAGTCTTATCGGCAAGAGCTTTCCCTGACATTCCAAAAATGGGTGGGTCGTGAAACAAGCGACTAAAAGTACTGCGACTGAATCGAAATATTCGTCGCCATCACCCCTTACGAGCAAGTGCGAAAAAAAAGTCCATGCACATCCCCAAGCCCCCAAACCCCCATCCTGAATCACTCCCCGACGTCCAAGGCGAATAAATCGATCAAATACTCGTTGTACATCCGCCTTGACCGGTCCCCCCCACCCGCACTCAGCGGTGCTCCATCCGGTCCCGTGCCTGACCCTGCCCCAGCACCTCCCACCAATCTCATCGTCGTCCCATCCTTGGACGATTGATCGACACCGCACATCAAGTTCAACAAAGCCTTGTAATCCTCAAAGTCGTACTTGATTGTACCCTCCCGAATCGCATCCAGCATCTCCTTGGGTCCTCGACCGAACACGTCCCAAAACTTCCGTGAACGATCAAAGTTGACCTGTAGCGGAGCGTCGCCGAGGTTCTTGAGGTTCTGTTGTAGGGCGAGGATGTTGCGAAGCATTTTTTTGAGACCGAACTGGTTCGCTAGACGGATGTGACGCGCGTTCGAGATGAGCAGTTGGTCCATGAGCAGCGAGAGGCCCTCGAAGATGAACCTAGGACAAGGAGGACGTTTCGGTCAGTCGAAACGCACGCTTTTCCGTCGTCAGAGTCGACTCACTTTCGTTCTGGCTCTGCTAGTGTGGTTGCTGCACACTCGTCACACTCGGCCAGATCCGAGTTCAAATCGACCACGCTCGGATCGGGCTCAGCAATGTCCTCTGCGAGCTGGTACACGCCATCCCTTGTCGCCTTGTCCAGGTAATGGATCGTCCTAAGGCGAATCTCAAGTCGTAGGGTGAAGAGAACCAGATTCGTGAGCTGGCGGTAGGAATTGAGCAGTGAGTCGAAAGGTCTGAAGGAATCGGAAATTCAAGATGTCAGTAACTTCTGCTGCTATGCGAAAACCACCAGAAGAGCGACCCACTTTGACATCTCATTCGTCAGAGGTAACGAAAACGGTCGAGTAGGAGAGTGTCCATCGTCGGACTGGTCGAGAGCAGGTGAAGACGGGGACGCATCATCGCCGAGGGTGCTCCCGTTTGGTCTGTCGGCCACGTGCTTAAGGGCTGAGATGTGAGCGATGAAACAGTCCTATGAATAGCTCGGCATCAGAAGTGTCAACAGGATGATCAGAAAGCTGAAAGACATCTTCACACCAGCGATACTCACCAGACTCGAGTAGAGTGTCCCCAATGCCATCAGCTTCTTCGACGGTGTGATCAGATCCTCCGAGTTGACGAGGCTGTTACGCTTCTTGTCCAACTCGATCTTAGTCTCGCGCCTCAGTGCCGCGCTGACAGCTTCTGTGTTGTCCGGCATCGCAGCATGAAGATCGGCAAGAGTTGCATTCAGCTCAGTCAACGATGCCCAATTCGCCGACGTCTTGAGCTGCATAGCCTTGGAGTTCGAACCAGCTGCCGATTCATGGTTCTCGCGAGCCGTGAGGTCCTTGAACCTCTCGTTGCAGCGTTGATAGAATTGATGAATGACGCTGATGATGAGGTGCGAATACGACTCGCGATGGAAAGGCGTCGCTTGAAGCATGGATGTCAACGACGTGATGAGCATCATGAGGTTCGAGACCGATTTGACGATGGGGACGCGTGAGACCTTCTTGTAGTTCGGATCTTCTTGGAACGCATCGAGCCCGCCGACGGCCTGGTGGAAGACGTGGGTAACCTTTTCTTCGAGCTGCGGCAAAAAAGTGCGCACGACGAAGTCGTCGAGGAAGCCTCCGAACCCACCCGCGCCATCGTGGTCGGCAACGAGACCTCCGGGCATGACCTCGCGCACTCGTGAGAGAAAGGAAAGCGTGGGCCCAAAGAGGACTGAGACGTTGAACGCATCCGCCGAGACGAGGGCTTTGTGCGTTCCGGCCAGCCCAGAACGAGCACCACCAGCCCCGTACCGGTCATCGCTCCCCAGTGTTATCCCCGAGGATGGGAAAAAATTGGCACCGTCGGTCATCAGTCCCGGAAGTACGAGCTTGAGCGTGCGGTTGAGCTCTTCCTCGTGGATTTTTAAGGCTTTGGACGAGGCTTTGAGATCCGAGTCGGCAAATTTGAAGATTTGCTGTGGGACAATGATACCAATCCAAGCACTTGTCAGCTGTGTCTATCGAAAGAGGTGTCTGGCCTACGGATGTGCATTAACCTTGTGATGATCTCTCGGCCGAGCAAGGCGTAACACCTCGTTCACCGAAACGATAGGATTGCGCGACGACACCGTCCCCGACTGATCGTCCGTCAGGTAATCATGCAGCAGCGACCGCACTTCCTGCTGTACAGGTTTCCAGATGTCCATCAACGAGAAGAGCAAATTCCCCGACGACGATTTGACGACGGCCGAGTCCTTGAAATCCCTTCGCTCCGTGATGCGTAACGAGACCTCGTACGCGACGCGAAACCCTTGCAGCACCGCATCGAGTTTCGAGTACAAGGTCCAGAAGAAATCCTTAAGCGTTTCGACGTTGGATTCGAGAGCCGTGGTCTCGCTTGCGGTCAACCGCAACAGGCTCGTTCGGTTTCTTACTCCGTTAGGTAGCGATAGCGACGACAAGGAAGCCAATGGCCCTCGCTGCTCCTGGAGGTTCATGCCAGTTGAGGCGGAGGTCGGAAAGAACAGCGATTGGGGTCGATTGACACCAGCGATCATTGACGCCTGCTTGGTCGAATCGTTGCGCTCATCGACCTCCTCCACGGTCGTTTCAACAAGCTGAAACATCTCCCCCTGCACACGCTGCGAGATCGCATCAAGACCGTAGCCAAGCTTGCCTAGACATGCCAAACACTCCATCAACATCTCAATGTAAGCGAACGAGTCCAGTTCAAGGTTTTTCGTCGGCCGTTGCTTGTCACCGCTCGACTCGAACTTGTCGCCTCCGAGAGGGATCCCTGTACCATCGAGGCCGAGGGACCCATCATCTGCGGTCGGGCTTAAGCTGTCGTGTATATCGTCGATGGGTTCGTCTAGCAGCGGATTGATGGAAGGTCGTAAAGAGAGGTAATTGAGATATCGTTGCAGTTTGGTCAAACGCGGCAATCGGGCTGTCGAACGACCCGAGGAGTGGAACGAGGGTTCAAGATGAGACGGTGCGCCAGCCGTTTCGACGTCTTCTCCGAAATCGACCACGGGCAAGCTCGTCTGTCCCCGCGAGTAGGGTTTCCATCGCACGTCGCAATAGAAGCTTTTAAGGTAGAGATGGTTGTGAAGTTCCTCGATCAGGATCTCGAGCATCACGCCTTCTTGCAGGACGAGCCAGCTCCGCAAATCCGTCAGCGCGCCGATTTCCATCATCTCCGGTTTGCTGATCGTCTTCAGTGACCGGACGAGGAGCACGACGGCGGACAGGAAGCGTTTTTCGGACAATAAGAGCTCGAGTCGATCAGGAATGGACCGGAAGTGGTCACTGCAAACATACGGGACAAATTCGCGTCAGTCTCGCAGAGCTGGCCATGTCCGTTCTGCCCAGAGCTCACATTTCGTCGAGAAGCTTGAGCATTTCCTCCAAATGGCTCATTCGGTTGTAAAGCCCAAACAAACCTTCCCTCCCTTTTCCCTCGAGCATCTCTCTCGCATCAACGAGCGCTTTGCGCAGATCAACGATCTGCTTCTGGTTCGCCGTCAAGCTCTGCAGTGTCGAGTTGTGGGTCGAGATACTCGTCTCGAAGGCGCGATAGCTCGATGTCGAAGCTGCATCGCCGTCACTCAGAGTCGCTTTAATAGCGTGATCGAGATCATCCTTCATCCTCAAGAACGATGACAGCGAATTGTCGGTCCCATGATTCAAGGGGTCCAACAAGCCGAGCGCGAGCGAAACAGGGTCGAACTCTCCCGCCTGTCGACCCCCAGCCTCGAGGCTCGTGCCGAGAGTCATGACGGGCCATTCTTGTACGACCTTGCGCAGTACGGCCTCGACTTCCCGGAATGCAGGGGTGTCGGGGTACTCGTTCGGGTCGAGTGCGGTCGAGTGAACCTTGACCCCCGTTTCGTCGGCATCGGCAGCATCGAAACCTTGATCGGCCAATCCACCTCGTCGCCCGTCTCTACGTTGGCCAGCACTGGAGAAGGCTGAAACGGCACTCGTCAAGGCCATCGTCGGTTCCGTCACGCCCATGACGCCGACGGCTTCTTCGCCGTCATCGCCCTGTCGTGGCGAGCGGGACCGAGACGAAGTCGAAGACCCGCCATCGGAGGACATCGAATCGCGTCGAAAAGCAGGCGAAGGGGTTGCGCGGGTGCTGGAGACTGAAGATGGATGCAGTCCATCCTTCTGACTGTTTGGCCGCGAAGAAGATGATTTGATGACGGGGGAGGAGGGGGATCCTTTCCGGAGCTGGTCCATCATCCGACTCGACTTGTTCGCCACGGCACCGTTCCCTGATCCGCCTTGGTCGTAGCCACCATTAGACTGATTGCTACCGCTTCTGACCATGACATGCGACGAGTTCATATCATAGGGCGCTCCCCCAGATGAGCCGCCGTGCACGTTGTTCAGGCCCGAAGGTCCGGCACGGCAGGGACCCGCCCCACTTGGTCGGCGCGCGTTGTCTTGGTCCGGGAAGCGACCATCGCCCATCGCCGCAAAGCCAGACGGACTGGATGTGCTCCCGAGTGGTCTCCGGGTTGAGCGCTCCGGTCGTGAAGGCGCGTGTTCGTCACCATATCGACCGGGCGAGTCGGGGGGATGGAACGACGAAGGTGAGGAGGCACCGCTGGTGTGACTCGGCGGCAGACGCGAGTTGGGCTGTCTCGACATGTCCTAGGCTCGAAGACTGGATAAGGAGTGTCGGATCGATCGAGCGATGGCTTGCGTGTGGGTGGTCGACCGCCCGGGATTCGGCAGGTGGGGCGACGACCGCGGTCGGAGTACGTGTCTCTGAGACGGCAGGCGGCGGGCACCCGTGTTGGCGTGTTTGCTGAACAGAGAGTGGTGACCAAGCAAACGATCGACCGGGATCTGGTGTGATACGAGTCCGATCCAGATCCAGACGACACACCAAGCCGTTGATCGGGTCGAGTCGTCGCTTCCTCCCACTACACTCGACTCGGCTGGCGAGCCCAGGAGCACCGGACAAGCCAAAGTGGAGCCGTGCCAAGTGGTGAGGTCGCGGAGCGGCACCTGGGCCACCGTTCAGGCTTGTAGGTTGATGCAGCCGATATCAAGAAGCCGTGCCGCCGTTCCCGAGTGCTGCCTGATCGATGGATGCGCTGCACAGCCCTCGGTGCCGGGCCGGTTCGATAAAGATAGACAGACCAGCAGACCTGATCAGACTCTAGCGAACTCGCGCTTGTCACTCACCCGGCCCGGCGCGTGGGCACGGACCTACGGGATACCCGGCGAGCCCGGCCCGGCCCAATTTCTTACTCCTCAGTAGCGAATGCTCAAGTGTTTGGAAAGCAGGGCAGTACGTTTGAAAGGCTTACAACAAAAATCTACTCGACCTCCTCCAGAACTATCTACATGTGAGCCTTCCTATCCGCCTTTTCCCTCACGACCCCATCCTCGCCTTGCTCCAATCGACCATCGACGAAACCCTTGACGTCGACACCTGCATCATCAGGTCGATCGCGCCAAATTGGATCCTTGTCCGAATCATACACGATTCGACTCGGTGCATCGTCCGAGGCGTTGTCGACTAGTCGGGCCCTGTGAGCCAAACGCCAGTGAGCAAGTCAGTCCGCTGCGCTCACTTCCGAGGTAGATCGCACCTAGCGCACCTTCGGACATGAGAAGGCGTTGAGAGGTGTGTCACACAGTGCGGTGACTTTTCCCTTGAGTGTTTAAGCGCATCTGGATTTGTTATCTGGTCAGTCGGGACGAGAAGCGTTAGGCCGCTGGACGAAAATTGTGCGCGATTGGAGAGAAGCACTGACCCGTCCGGTAATCTTGGCCCTTCTCTGAGCTCGCTCCAGCATCTTTTCCTCGGGAGCAGTCTGTATGAAGATTACATCAAATCAGTTAAATGCCATCAAGTGTGCTCGATGCTCGAAATAAGCGCCTGGCAAAGGACTCACGACAAAAACAATCTCGCAGTCGTACCCATCGGCGCCATACCGCCTGCAAGGTACGCAGGTGCGTCGTCAGATCATAAGAGCACAAGCGACAAGTCACCCTATGTAGATTTTGACTCACTTCATCAACTTGGAGAACCAAGCACAATCGCTCAAACTCCCGTCCACGACCAAACTCCTCCTCTTGCTCCTAGCGACCTCGGACAGAATCTCCTGCAGCAAAGCCGCCTCCGGATGCAGTTTTTTACTCGCCGTCTTTGCATCGGCCCTCAGGTATTGTTCCCGTTCGGGTAATTCTCTAGCCAGAGCATCAGGGTCGACCCAAACGAAATCCCGGGGAAGTCGGATCGTGCCATCCTTGAGCATCTCCCGTAGCGTATGACCTTTGCCCGCTCCCATCCCACCGGCCGTGAAGAGTGCCAAGGGCTTCTTAGAATGGTCTGATTCCTCGGGTCCGTCTGATTGCCTTCGTTCACAATCGCGATGAGCCCGCGCTAGGACGGAGCTGACGATCGAGTCTTGCAAGAACTGGCGTTCCTTGGTTGGAATGCGATGGTACTTCCAATCGAGTCCCTTGCGTTGGGCAGCGTACATCCCATGATGTGTATCTGAATCGGCCAATGAAGACGACGCGGTAGGTCTTGCGTAGAGCTCCGCGGTCGATCGAGTCAATTGTGCTGGCGTGAGCTCAGGTGGTGGCTCGTTCGTAGACGTAGGCGAGACGATCGACTCGTTCGACATGGTGGATCTCGAGATAGTTCCGTAGCACCGGGTCCGACCTAGCAAAGTCCACGTCGAGCCGCAAGAGCCACGATACACGAGTGGAAGGGACAACGTCGTTGCGAAGGTCGATCTTGATCTCGGCCAGCTGAAATGTAACTCGGGGATGACGTCGAAGACCCGTTTTCTCGGCAGTAGAGAGCACCCGAATACCCTTGCAACTTCACAGACGATGGCGTGAGGAAGTGCTGTGCAGAGGAAGAGTTCGCAAATCGGGATTGTCGGCGGTGTGCTCGAAGATGGGGCATGGACTGGAAGAGGAGCGAGTGATCTAGTGATCACCGGGCCGGGAAGGAACTTGGCCAGTTAGAGCTCGCTCCACTCATAATCTCAGCGCCATCGAGGAATGCCCCTGCTGATCGGGTTCAAGATGGCAAGCGTCGCTCTTGCCAGCTTCATAAGTCTATGATTGACACAAGATATCCAACTCCTTGAATAACTGAGCCACCTCTGCGTTCCCCTCAAGCAACTTAGCTTTTCCATTGACCACCTCCTCCAGACCCAGCACCCCAAGCAATTCCTTGACCGGATCCGCATGTGAACTCTGAAACATCAACAAACCCAACGTAGCCGCCAAACGATGCACGACCTCGACGCTTTCCTCCTCCTTCGATAAGGCTTCGAAGAGTGCACTCGCCATCTCGACTTGCCATTCTTCATCGGCGTCGATCGAGGCCGACCCGACCCGACGAGCATAGACCCGACTGATGATGGACCAAGCTAAACCGGATCCAGCGCTACGCACGCTCTGATCAGGATCAAGTAAAGCTCGTACGATGATCCTTGTGACAGTATCAAAGGAGGACCGCTCGAGGAGTAAGTTGACCAACGTAGGTGAAGGTAGCATGTTGGAAACGAGGCGGACGAGCGTGAGGATCAAGGCTTTCTCGCTCGATTCGAGGTCGGTGCAAGTTCGTTCAAGTAGTCGTGGGATGAGGGAAGTAAAAGCAGTCGAGGCGGAGAGTCGAGATATGTCCCGAGCTAGGGCTATCCGATAGGTGTCCAAGAGAGGGAACCATTCTTGAGGATCGAGGGCCTCGAGTGCTTTCTCGGTCGCTGGGATCCACGCGTCCGCAGGTAGCGGTGTTGTAGGAGCGACCGGCGGCGCTGGAAGAGCGGCAAGGTAGGCAATGACCCGTTTGGTCAAAACGTCACGAGTCGTCGAGTCTATCTTGTCTTGGTGGTTGTTAAGGCTCGCATCAAGTTTCTTCGCAAGCACGGGTAGTGGAGGGAAGCTAGGGTAGGTGACAGGGGCCAGAGACTTGGAGAGCTTTGTGACAGCCGGGAGGGATAGCTTGGTGTGAGCGTGGGCTATGTGCAAGGATCCGGTCAGTACGTACTTTTTCAGGCTAATTGCGGATCATCTCGCTCACCAGGGTAAACCTCCATTTCCAAAAGTTGAACTTGGGTCTTTAACTCCTGTCGATCCGCTCCCTGGCACTGTCCGAGCTTTTCGCCCCGAGCAAACAAGATGAAGGTGGGTGTAGCACGTATCGGTCCCCCGAACGCCGGATCTGATGCAACCTGTGCACCACCACCGACGCCCATCTCGACCAGGACGAAAACAATCCGCTTTGCGCCAGCACCGTGGGTTCTCGCCAGCTCTTCAAAGTAGGGCCTGACAGCGTTACAAGGCGGACAGCTGTTCGACGTGAACATGACCGCGACGGCCGGATTCTCGGACAGAGCAGTTTGCATCGATGCGGTGGATGTACAAATTTGAAGATTCGATCCCATGGACTGCTGAGAAGGAGTCGCAGTCGAGGAGTTTGAGCCCGCCGTCGATGGAAGCAGTGACTGGACGGCGTTGGAAGCATCGGGCCGAGCATTGCCTCCTCGGAACATTTGGTCGATCATGGGACGCATGTTGCGACCGAAAGGCGTGCTCATGATCTCGCTCGGCAGATTCCGGATGTGTTCGGGGATCTGGTTCCCGTTCCTGCAGCCGTCCGACGTTTTCAGTTACCGTCCGCGACCCCTCGAGTCGTGCATGGTGTACGGGGCACCTACAGGAACCCAAGGACGTCATTCGTGAACGTGTTGCAGTTGAAGTCGAGCAAATGGTATCGATCCGCGGAGTAGACCTCACGCATGCCTTGGATATATCTGCGCGACCAGCGGGGAAGCACGAGCACCATTTAGTCGACTCCAGAGGATGATTCAACGATCTCGGTAATGCTGCGCGTACTCCAAAAAGGTGTGGCGATCTATCTGGGTGGACCCCATCGAGAGTTGTTTCACCGGCCGGCCATGCTGTACAGTCGAAGAGGATAGGGGTCAGACTCAACCCCAGCCAGCGCAGGCTAGTCGACTTACATGGGTCGTGCCAGGTGGGGAGACGATATCGATTCCTTGTCCGTAAAACACTTCCATCCCATGCAAGACCAGTGATGTGTGCCTGTTTGTATAGCAAGGTAGACGTCATCGTCAGTGTCCTCGTCACGGCCACGTAAGCGCGTGCGACAATCTTCCTCCAGCGAGACATGATCTCGACGCACCATATTCCTTCAACATCACGGCCTGTCAACATTCTCCCCCATTGCTTCGCCATCCCGTTGCTGAGGTCATACACGTACAACGAGATCGGCTCGGCGGCGGCCATGAATGCGGTCGTCTGTTCTCGGATGACGTGTGGGGTCGACGATTTCGATGTGGGGTCGAGCAATTGGCGATGCTGATGGATGCACAGCTCTTTCGAAAGCGACTCGGCCCAGTCCGAGCTGGTGATTTGAAGACCCAACAGCCAAAGTGGGAATGCGGACGCAGTGAGGGTGCTGAGGGGACAAGTGGGCTGGGGCTTGCGAAGCGCACCAAGTTCGCCGACCGCCCAAGGCACGGACCTCCTCGTGACATCGAAGCGAACACACACACACACACACACACAAAGAAGAAGAAAGAAAGAAAAAACCACAACACCAAGCAACACCAACAGCCAACACTTCTGCACTTCTGATGAATGTCAGCAGTGCCGACGATCCAGGCGGTACCCTGCCGCCTGCTGTAGTCGTTACACCGTCGCCATCGGGTAGACCCGTCCTTCAACAAGATGCGTCGTCATCCGCCAGCCCCCCGTCACCGGTCATTTCCCCTACCGTCATCACCGCCGCCATGGCTGCCACGGCTGCCCATGAGCTGACGATCCAAGAAAAACAACGAGACCTTGCTGAACGTCTACTCTTCTGCAAGGAGCTCAATATCGTACCTGGCCCCAACGCGGGGCGCATGCTCCATGTCCACCATCACCATCCCCTCTACCCTCCTACCTCCGCCATGGCGATGAAAGACGCCTCCAGGAAGTTGAAAGGATCCGAAACCGATTACCGCGATGTAGTCCAACCCGACACCATCCGTATCACCCTCAGTCTTGCGACCCACAAGTCGCTCCCTCGCGTCGACGTCGAAAAGGCGCTCATCGCACACTACAACACGGCGAAACCCAAATCCATGTGCCTCTTCTCCATCCCTAACGCCGACATCAGCAAGCTCGGATCCAAATTCGATCACCTCCTTTCCGATATCTGCGGCATCTCGCCGCGTGTCATCCCGGCCGACCCGTCGAAAGGCCGCAACCACGCCGTCCACACGTACGACATCAACTTCCGTAACGCCGAGGCTTTCGCCCGCGCCTGCCAACGTCCGGCTTTCCAGTACAGGGGCTCGCCAACGACGATCACCCTCCCTCATTCCCCCGTCGACAGGGTAGTCGAGATCAGGCTCCGTTGTCACTCCGACCGAGACGACCCGGACTTTTGGCTCAACGGCATCCGCGTTGCCCTCCGCAAAAGCGCCGAGACCCACAACAAGACCTGGGGAACGAAGATCGCGACCCCGGAGATCCTACATTTCCAGCGCAACCTCGAGGTAGTCCCAGACGAACCCTTCCAACTCCTCTTCAGTGGCGACTACTGGTGCTATGTGCAACTTCCGGAAGAAGCGATGAAGGATGTCGATTTCAACACCTTTTTGCCGGTCCACCTCACCAACAGGCAAGGAGCGGTAGTCGCTCTCAACAACGATCTTCAGGTTGGCTTCTGCGGCTACTGTCGCCGTCCCGGACATGTTCGTTCTGTCTGTCCGATCCAGCAAGCCAAGACCCAACGGCAGGTGGTCGGACTCAACCGCGCGGTCGCTTCTCAACCTCGGACAGGGGCACCGGCGATGGATGGGCGACGGCCACCCAGAGCAGCAAGGCCCGGCCGACTACCACCCCTAGTCCGGCTACGGGGGCAAACGGGATGACGCTCACCAACGCCTTTGCGGGATTGGAAGAGGAGGACATGGAAGAGGAAGGGGATGAGGAAAATGAGGAAAATAGGGCCGAAGGAAGGGGCGGTCAGAAAGAGGAGATGAGGAGCGGTCCGGCGGAAAAGGAGGAGGATGGAAGTCAGGAAGAAGAGGAGACGGAGGATGAACAAGCAATGGAAGTAGAGCAGGGGTCGAGCTCGTTATCATCTAAACCGAACAGCAACGACTTTGGGCTGGCGGCGGCTCTATCGACCCCGGTATCATCGCACTTGAGCTCGGCTGATTCGAGCCCGATCCCGTCTTCAACACCTCTCTCGTCGTTGGCACCTCCGACTTCACCACGCTCCAAGAGACCGGCACCGTACGAAAGGCCGACCACTCGCGCCCCGAAGGGAACAGCGCTCGCACCCTCTCCTCTATCTTCTGGTTCAGTGTCCTTGATGGACACAAATTAAGAACTACCCAAAATGATTGTACCACCAACTCGACCTGACTTGGACCAGCTCCACCTTCTCACTTTCAATGTAAACTCTATTGCTGACTTGGGGCGCCAGGAGCGTTTCCTCGTCTACCTCTCTTCCCTCTCTCCACCCCCTTCCATTGTATTTGTACAGGAGCACGGATTAAAGAGTCGATCACAACGGGAGCGCTTCGAGCGATGTTGGAAAGGGCGGGTCTTCTTCAGAGACCTTGTCGCCACCCTCATCCCGGAGCGCTCCCGCCTGTACGTCCTTTCCCCTACTTTTCGAGACCTTCCTGACCCTCGAATACTTACTATCAACTACTTTTTGAATTCACAGAAATACCAGTTCGTGAACTACTATGCCCCCGTGAACCCGAAGGAACGCAAGGCCCACTTCAGCACTTTTTCGCTCGACCGAGAACCCGAAACGACCGTTAGGATCATCGCTGGAGACTTGAACGACTGTCCGAACGTTATGGTGGATCGAAAATCTGTTTCTACAGAGGGACGGTCTGGCTCTGCCCCCACCTACTGGCGTACTCTCATCGGCCGGCTCCCTTTTGCTGTGATCGACACGATCCAATACCTGCACCCTCACTCGAACCACTTCAGCAGGCCACATCAACAGGCGGGCAAGATCAAGTCCTGGTCGCGCATCGACTACATCCTCTTGTCGGAACAACATGCTCAGCTGCTGGTCTCGGGGACCACGTACCTCGACGCGCTCCTCTCGGACCATCGCCCCGTGTATGTGGGGATCGCCTGCCCATCCGCCAAAAGCACGCCGGCCCTGCCCTCGCTCCCGGAAACGTCGTCCCAGTTGCTACGAGTCAACACACGAGTCTATGCCGACGAAGCCTTTGCAGCTCGCATACCTTTCATCATCGACGCATCTCGCGAGTCCCACCCGCTCGATCCGCTTGCGGCTTTTGAGGAAGCGATGTCTCGACTAAGATCTGCCTCGAGTGACCATGCTCGCCACCTGAATCGGCAATTTTCGACGACAAAGGAAACGCTCGAGCGTCGTATCCATGAGCTCGAAGCACTCGGTACTTTCGACGACGGGAGACGAGCCGAATGGCAAGATCTGGTGGCCATGACCAAGGTTTTGATCCTAGACCGAGCCCGTCAAATGAGGATTCGTGCGCACATCCCGGAACTCAGCTCGGAGGAGCAGCTCTCCCACACGGTCCATGCACGACTCGCCGCTCGCCGTACGGCCATCAAGATCGACACCCTTCGTCTGGCGGATGGCTCGCCCTCAACGGACCTTACCAAGTGCTTGGACCACGCGCGAGCATACTTCCAAGACCACCACACGCCAGATGATCGCGATCCCGCTCAAGTCGAAGCTGCTCGCTCTACCCTTCTTGATCCCGTACGACGCGCTTTACCAAGAGGCAAGAAGCACTCCGATTCAAGGTTCATGAGGCCGATGACTGCGCGACACGCCAAGCTGCTCGAGGAACCTTTCACTGCCGACGAGTTTGCAGCCGCAATTGCCAAGACTGACAAGGGCCGAAGTCCAGGAGCGAGCGGGCTACCGTACGAGATGTATCAGTCCTCCCCAACCGTCTTTGCGGAGCTACTGGCCTCGACTTGCAATGAGGCGTGGACGAAAGGTGCTCTGCCTGAATCGATGACCAAAGGAATTGTCCGCCTCCTCAAAAAGTCAAAGCCCGACGCTGACTACTCGGACCTCAAGTACTACCGCCCGATCACGCTTCGCGAGTGCTCGTACAAGTTGATGACCAAGGTCCTCGTAGCAAGGCTGAACAAAGTGCTGCCATCCGTTCTTCGCCTTTCACAACATGGTTTCATGCCTGGTCGAAAGGCCTCAGACGCGGGAAGTCACTTGTCCCTGCTCCTTGAACAAATTCGCTCCCTTGACCTTGCTGACTCGGCTCTCCTATCGCTTGATCAGGAAAGCGCATATGACCTAGTTGATCGTGACTGGATCATGAGCGTCTTTCGAGCGATGGGAGCGCCAGAACGCTTCCTTGGCCTTCTCAACGTTATCTACAGATCGGTGTCACTTCGTTACATCATCAATGGATACCTCACGGAAGCTGTGCGCATGCTGTGCGGGCTGGGGCAAGGAGATCCCGTGAGTTGTCCCATCTGGAACGTGTGCTTTCAGCCCTACCTCGATGCCCTAGTGAGGAGAAAAATTGCCCTTGATCTCAGTGCAGTATTTCTTCCCACCCGGGCTGCAATCCTCACCCACCTCGCCTTTGCGGACGATGCGATCGTGCTCGTCTCGTCACCGGCAGCACTCGATCTCCTGACTGGTCTCGCCGTCGATTGGCGCTTGGCTACAAACGGACGCTCGAACACAGTCAAGACGACTGCTCTCCCTCTCGGCTTGGGCTGGACTCAGGACGAGCGGGCTAGCGGGATCGCTACTGTGCGCGCTGGTGAGTGCATGACTTGGGCTGGCTATCCGGTTTCCATCGACGGCAATCTCTCGCTCTTCTGGAGCACGACACTCAACCGAGCAAAGGCTCGACTGGAGGCAGCGGCGAATCGACGTGTTCCCCCACGGGCTCGCGCGATGTACGCCAACTCGTATGTCACTTCGAGGGTCATCCACTTGCTCTCGTTCGACATCCCACCCGTCACTTTCGTCGACGCTTTCGAACAAGCGCTCATCTCCTTCGTGTGGCACAACGACTCCTTCCGACCCGTGACAAAAGAGGCGGTCTTCCTCCGTCGCGATCTTGGTGGATTGGGCCTGCTGAGCATCGAGGACATTGTTTGCTCTATGGCGATCCGGTTCTGGGACTGCGTTGCCCATGGCTTCGAGCCGATCTGGGCTACACTCGCACGGATCAGCTGGGAGCGCACATATCCGGAAGAAACGTCGATTTGGTCAACACTGATTGCCTCACCTCGCCGCGCAACCCACGCGCGGTGGACGAAGGTCATCAACGTTGCGCGACTGATGTTGCCCCATGTGTTCCCAGAGCTCCTTCGGTCGACCGAGGTGCTCGTGATCCCACCCACTCTGCCTTCCTTACACCCACAAGGCCTGTCGGACGATGCGCGCAGGCGGCTCAAGAAGTTTGGGGCAATCATCGATCTTTACCGGAGGCCGCAGACGACAGGGGACCCCGTCAACCCAGGCCTGCAACCAGAGTCGTTATTGGAAAAGCTTTGGGCCGATGTGAGTGCTAGCTCTCCGATAGCCTCTGCATTGCCCCAGCCCGCCGCCGTCCGGACCGCCATTGGCGACTGCTACTTCCTACGACCCTGCACCTACACGTTCTTTGGCGCGACCCGTCCTTTTACGATCAAAGCTCTGCGGCACTTCATCAATGAGGCCCGCTATCCCTCGCTGGACGACGGCTCTCGACTCAAGTGGCCAACAGATCTCACAAAGTCACAGAAGCAACAGTTCTGGATCTGGCTCAACAGTCAATGGGCAACAGCGGTCGAAAAGGACGTTCACTGGAAACTGATCTTCGGGGCGACGCCGACATGCGTTCTGCAACATCACCATGGTCACGCTGCATCTGATGGGTGTCCACAGTGCGGCCAACGAGACACCTTCATGCACTTCTACTTTGAATGTGACCATTCACGTGAGTTCTGGCGCCTGACCTTGCAGCTGCTGAGGGTTGCGCTTGGCCAGGCAGGTGACTTCCAACCTGGCGAAGTCGACTCTCCTCAGATCATGCTTGGCCTTCCTCGGGTGCGTGGCGAAAGTCGTGACTCTCGGACCTACATCGTCGTTCGGGTCGTTCTTGCGATTGCTTTCAACAAGCTCTACCTTGCTCGATGGCATCAGCACAAGGATCAAATTCCCCTACCGACCCCGTACTTTCTTACTCGCGAAGTCCGCTCGCATCTCAAATTCCGACTTCGACGTCTGCCAGACGGCGAGCTTCTGGACCAGATGATGTGACTTGACGTTTTCATGAGTACGGAGTTCTGAATTTTCTCTCCTGATTTTCCTCCCCTCTCCTCTCTCTCTTTCTCGATTGTGCCTATTCTTTAACACCGTGGAATAGGAAGGGTGGTTGGTGCTCACATGATTGGAATCACACTTTTGGTGGTTTCAGGAGTGTGGGGGCTGCATGGATCTAGTGGCTATAACTTTACATAAGTCCAACCCCCCTTTTCAAGAAACCTTGATTTTGCGTAGATAACCGAATATGTGAAATCTAATCAGGCTTGATACAAAAAAAAATTGGCCATTCACGAAACGGGACAGGGGCTGCACGCGCACGCTGATGACGGTTTACAAAAAAACAGCCACCACGGTGGTTCTCAAATTCTGTATATCCCATCAGCCACTTTGGCAACGTCGACCATTGCCTCGACATCATGCACCCGAACGATCTCGGCCCCTCCGGCGATACTGGCCGTCACCCCCGCGGCGGTACCCAACACCCGATCCTTGGCCACGTCTTTCCCCGTCAACGTCCCAATGAATCGTTTCCTCGAGAGTCCCACTAGGCTAGGAAATTGACGCAAAAAGGTCGAATCGTCGTCATCATACTCGGGGGAATTGCCGACTTCCTGTCGACCGAGCACTTCGGGCAACCTTCGCAGCAGTGCGAGATTGTCCGCTCCCGTCTTGGCGAAACCGATTCCCGGATCGACGATGATATTCCACCTCTTGACACCCGCATCCAAAGCTTCTTGGATACGCTGAGCAAGCTCCCGTCGCACGCCAGCCACAACGTCACCGGCCTCGTAATCCGTCATCTTTGACATTGTCGCTGGCGTGCCCCGCGAGTGCATCAACACAACAGGGACGTCAGCGGCGGCCATCACTTCAAGCATGCCCTCGCTCGCACCCCCCATCACGTCGTTGATGATGTCGGCACCGGCGATTACGGCAGCTTTGGCGACCGAAGGGCGGAAGGTATCGATCGAGATGGGGTTCGTCACCCCTCGCTCCCGCAGCGCCTTGATGAGAGGCACGACGCGAGCTTCTTCTTCATCTGGGGTCACATCCGCAGCACCTGGCCGTGTACTCATCCCTCCAATGTCCAAGATGTCGGCTCCGGCAGCAAGGTGACCCAGCGCGGTGGCTACAGAGGCTTCGAGATCGACATTGTCGCCGCCATCAGAGAACGAGTCCGGTGTCGTGTTGATGATCGACATGACCAAAGTCCGCCGCAGGGGCAAGGTTGGTGCCAGCGAGGCCGACAGAGGCATGACCCTCTTGAGTGTTGACGGGCCGATCGAAAGTGCGGACAGCAAGCCGGACGTCGTTTGGCCCAGTTTCGGGTGTCGAAAGTGCGGGTTCAAGTCGACGAGAGGCCGCAGAACAAACTCACGCTCGGCGATACTCGCATGCGGAATTTGAAGCCACCACCTGTCTTCGGGAGTGACGACGTCGGTCGTCGTCTGCCGCGAGTCAATTACAAGGTCATCGTAGAATAACACGTCTAGGTCGATGATCCGCGGCCCGTTGCGGATCGTCTTCTGCCGACCAAGCCTATCCTCGACCGACTTGAGCGCGTGGAGCAGAGGCAGAGGTTCCAGCGTGGTTTCGATCTGGCCGAGTGCGGTCGGGGCACCCGCAATCAGCGGGTTGTTACGTATTTTCGTCAGTTATATCAGCTCACCTCTACAGCAGCATTGAGAAACTTTGCCTGCTCCTCGACGTACATCGCCTCGCTCTCGTAGAGGAAGCTGGTACCGACCACTCTCGTCTTGTGCCCACTCTGACTCCCGATGACACCGAGCTCTTTCAATGCCTCTGAAATGTTGTGAACCTTTTGCCCCATATTCGTACCAACTCCAAGCACGACACGGTGTGGTCCACCACCTTCCTCCACAATCTCAGTCGCAGCTGTGGACTGACTGGACGAGCTCTCCGCCGTGGCACTCGTTCCCGCGCTCCAAGCGTCAGTCGCCAGCCCCCGTGCACTTGATGCTCGAAGTGCCCCATTGGCGTCGAAGAAGTCCTTTCTATCGCGAGTCACTTGCACGGAAGGATACTTCGCGAACATGAGGGCCGATGGTTTGGATACTCGCACACTCGTCCGTGGGACGTTCCAGCTAAGCGGCAGCGAGGTTGTCGAGCAGGTCGGTGGAGTGACGATCAGTTGAGCGAGAGATGTGGTGATATGTTCAATTGTCAAGGGCTGAGATGTGCTCAGTTGCTGTTTCGAAGAAAGAAGAGAGGAGTGAAAAGTCAGCTTGGACTAGGAGAGATTGAGAGATTGGAGATTTGGCGCAAAGACTGGCCCTTCCGCGGGCTTGCAACTGCCCTCGAAACTCACCTCCTCCACCTTCTTGACGACCTGTCGCCATGCCCTCCATTCACAGCGGGCCCCGTTCGTCAAGCGATGTGCGACCATGGCAACCTCTTGATTGGCTAAAAAGTCGAGATCAACGATAACCTCTTGCTCTTCAAGGCGTTCGTAAGGGTTGATGCCGATGAGGATGAAGCGGCGCAGACCTCGGACGAAGAGCTTGTCGTGAGCAAGGTTGAGCGACGAGGGATCCAAAGTCAAGGCTTCGATCGAGGCTGAAGGATCGGTATCCGCAGGAGCAGTATAATCGGCACGTGTGCGGAAGATGTCCACCCCAAATGACTCGGCGGTGAGCAAGGCTCGTGGGCGAGTGAGCTCGAGGCGAACGCAAGGCGCGTTGGATCGGAAGAGAACAACTTTGGCAAGAAGCTCTGCTATTGCTTCGAGAGGGTGGCCACCGGAGGAGTCGAGATCCAGGTCGAGTTCGTCGGATGAAGACGGAGAAGGAGGTAAGGGTGCGAGCTCGGCGACGGCCTTCTCGATCGCCTTGGTGACGGTGCCGTAGTTGAGCGACGACCCTAGCAGCGAGTCGGTCGAGGCTTCGTCCTGCACGTCGGTATGGATCCACAACGAGACAAAGAGCGGTTGCGCCTTGCTCGGTCGTTGCCAAAGATCCTGTTCGAGGCTCGAAGTTCGCAGTGCCAAGGAGGTGATCTGGATCAGGTCGCGAGAGGGGAGTAAAGCTGACGGATGTTGCATCATCGGAGCATGCCGGTGTGAGATTCCGTGCGTTATTCTGTCGGATCGAGTTAACAAAATGACGTCAGTGTTGAGCCTGATCTACCGGAGACGGCGGCGATCCAGCCAAGCTTGAGACAAGCGGGAGCTGAGTCGGGTGGTGATCGATGGTGATCCACTACGATGCCACCGGGGCCAGTAGCTGGAGTCTTAACACGCCGATGCGAGATTTCTTACGTGTTGAGTGTCACGCTTCGCAAGAATCGAGTGCGCCAACAATTTGAATGTGGCCGGCGGAATAAGTTGGCGAGCGAGCAAGCTGGATCCTGGAGGCAACGAGCTGTCCCGGCCGCTCGAGCAGCGGTGGGGATGCCAATGAGGACCCCCGAAAGCCCAGCCACAGGCGGCCCTCTAAAAACGGCGTTTTTCGAGGCAAGATGTCCAAATTTTTCCCGGATTCTGACTGAAAATGTCCAAATATGAGGGCCGCCTGGTGTTGAATAATTCCTTAAAACTACTCTACAAGCTGTACATTGCTCAGGAATTTTTCTGCGCTGCGTGAAAACTGCGTTCCCGCCGCGCGCGGGCCAGAAAGGTCGCGCGCGCGCACCAAGCATGTAAGGTATGCGCTCTGATGTGCATAAACTACAATCTGTCGCCGTGACCGCTAGGCTAAAAGCAAATCGTAACTAGAACTCGGCAGTTCTAGCTACTCAGAGGCTACTTATGGGGCTGTTCTGTAAGGCATCCCCTTACAAAGCACCAAGAGCACCGCCAGCTCGACCGCCAACGAGCCTTTTCGAGATGGAATGGACTCGAATAGGACCTCATCTTTGTACATTCAAAGGAGTTCACTGACAGTACAATCATCCTAATACCTAGAAATTACTCTAACTAGTAAAAAAAAAGTGTGAGTTAAGGAATGTACCTAAAATCGCTGTTTTTAACTAGGTTGCGGCCCGGAGGGCCGCATGTGGTGGATGTACCAGCATACTATTGTGTCTGCCGCACCTGCCTGTGGTGTTCATGTTGCGATCAGAAGTCATGTACAAGCTCTGTGGCAACTTTTGTATTTTTCGCGCCGTTCTAACGAAGCTACAGCGATCCCAGTATTTTCCTTCCTTTTTTCGTTGACATAAAACAGTGCTTACACTCATACTGTATTTAATGGACCGCAAGCGCGTGGCTTTACATGATATTGCTTCTACAGCAGAGCTCCGCCTGACGGGCGGGGCGAGGCTGGCGTCTGTCACGTGATGCGGCGCGCCAGCGGTGTCAAGTGTCATTCCGGCAGCCGACCAGCGGCATTAGGGGCTGAACAACAACAAATCACACCCCGTGAACAAACCCGCGCCACTCCCTCGAACCTTTTCTTTTTCCCTCCCACTCTCCCAATTTTAGTGACACTCATTCAAGGACAAATCCTCGGCACTATGCCCCGGTCCCAAGGTCGTCAGGGAGGGCCATCGCAACCTCGCCAAGTCTTGGGCGCGAGGGTAGCGCGGTAGCGCCCTACCATGCGCCTGCTCGAGCGCCTGCTGCTGGGCGTCCCGCTGCTCGACCCTCCTCTTCGTCCCGCTCCGATCAACAGAATCAGCCCCCCGCACGTCATGACAACAACCCAACCGATCTTGGTATTGCGACACATATACGAGCCCGCTTTGCGGCTGTGCAGAACGGACAGCGTGGTCAGCGACTCAGCGCGATGGCCGACCCGACGCTGAACGCGACTGTTTCCTGAGTTGAAGTGTGCGAATACCTGCTTTTCGGCGAAGTGCTCGCCTCGACCTGCCTCGACTCGCCTGGCTCGCCCTCGCCAGCCCAGGCCAGCCCAGGCCAGCCCTCGCCCGCCTCGCGCGCGACCCCCACGCCCCACGCGCCCCACCACCACCTCCTCATGCGCAAATGCGCGGGGCTCGAACTGGCTCGAATCGCGCTCAAACCCCTCAAGCCCCACGTTTCGATCCGCGACTAGCTCGGGCCCCAGACGGCCGTGTGCACCCACTGCAAGGCTCGGCACTGGGAGTGCGAAAGGTCGAAGTCGACCGGACACTTTAGCACGTGCTGCTCGCAGGGCAAGGTGCGGCTACCTCCCCCTCCCCAGCCCAATCCCGAGTATCGAAATCTACTTGAAGGCTCGAATAGCGGCCAGTTGCTCCGTCCAACAACATTCGTCTGCAGTAGAGCCACATGCTGAACTGTGCGACAACCTTCCCACGCACACAGAAGCTAAAGCGTTCCGCGAGAACGGCCGGTCGTACAACAACGCGTTGTCGTTTACTTCGCTCGCTGCCCACTGGGACCAAACTCAAGTGGGCACGCTAGGATCCCCCGTGTTTCGCGTGTTTGTTCGCCTTTACCATCGGCTCGACGCCCTGATCCCTGCCGTGAATCAACGCCCAGCCTTTGCTTAAACATGGCTGATCGACCCGGCCGAGGCCACCGACCCTCGACTTGGACGCGACGGCGCAGACAGTCGCATACAAAGATCAACGTTGACCAAGTTCGAGTCCATCCTGCGTACCGGCAATCGCTTTGTGAGGGAGTTCGCATCAGCCAAAGCTCGCGCAGGTTGGGATACGGCCAAAGAGTGGATCCTGCGCCTCTGCCTCCCGCCAGGCCGAGACCGACGCACTCACAACAGGACCCGGGAAAGCTCAGCCCAATGTGCGTCCGAAAAAACGGCGATTTTTGGCCGATTTGTACATCGGGATGAGGTGTCTGAGGGGTCGATTTGTACCTATTTTCGGTCGTACATTGGAAGAGTTCCGAAACATGAAAAATTCAATGTCGTGAAATTGCCCAAAAATCGCTCTCCAACAGCCAGAAATACGAAAAATCGCTCCGACGACCCGGTACTAACGTCGCGTCCGCTTTGACAGCCGGCCGCTTGGACCCTGCGAAGATCCCGACCGCTTATCGGCTCCGCTCCCTCCGTCTGCATTAATACCCCTCTCCTTGCCAGCATGCGCAAGTCCCTTTCGAATCGGGGCCAACGACGCTACAAGGACCCCTTTGAAGCTTTGCAGCTGGTAATATCGCGCTTGCGCCTGTGGGTCCAGGACTCGCCAAGTGTGGCCGTCGAAGCCAAAACCAGCTGGGGGCTCAACGGTCTGCATGCTCGAGTTGTAAGTGTCATGGCAGCTGACGACCCGGTGACCATTCAAGAAGAAGATTCGAGCTTGGCCGCGGCTGTTGCGATTGGTGAAGACTCCGGAACTGGCTTGCGTAGGAAAGAGCTCCTGAATCACAATGTTGGAGACGAGGCCGAGGGATTCGGTGCTCTCAACACTGCAGTGAGGCATTGCTGGTGACGGCTTTGTGTAAATATAGCGCACTGTGGTGCATGCAGACGCCGACGTGATGAGCAACTTTTCTCGATTGCAGTGAAGGGGTTCGAAATGCAACAAGCAAGGCGCTTGCCAGCTTGATGTACGCGGCGTCGCGTTTGTCATTGACCTCAACATTGCTTAGCCAATCAACGTTATCCGAGATGGTTGACTTCAGCTGCTCGACAGAGTCCAGATGTTGCCAGAATGCTTCGGAACCGATTGGCATGTGTTCCACTATCGACGTGCAAGGGGATCGAACCTCGATGGATCGATAGCCGGAGGCGTACAATTCTCGAAGATTGTGAGCTTTGTTGAATAATACACGGGCGTTGCTATCGGGGCGAATCTGATGCTCATGGAATGTCGGCTCGAACTCGGATACGGCGAGGGTTGCGGTCAGGTCAGGCCGGGTCAGGCCGGGTAAATTCGAACGCAAGAAGCTCGCCGACAATGAGCTCGGCAACAGGAGACATCGCGGCGAATTGCTCATCTGGAATCTCGAGCACGTCGTCTAAGAGCACTTGAATTGGTGCATCTGGGGGGGCTGCTGTAGATGACATGCTGTCCTCTTAACCCTCAGCAAGGGCACGCAGGGAAGTGCGCAGAGGGTAAGATGCTCGCGACGTGGCACAAGGTGAGGGTGGTCAGAGGCTGTCAGGGGGGTCTATTGGCATTCGTTTCACTTCCAGCGCCCTTGATTTGGTGAGCGTCTGTGAGCTCTCTGAGCGTGAAGCGCATTTTTTTGCATTACAATCGGGTCGCGCGTCCAATTTCGTTCCGAAACTCATTCAAACTAATGGACCGCCAGCTGGCCCGCGGCGCGCGCCTACTGATCCCAGACCGCCGCCGCTGATACGTGCTCGGCCATCGGCCGAGCAGGGGACGACCAGGGAGGTGCGAGGTCGGGGTACATCGATTTGTACCACATCCAGGACGTACATCCAAGATCTGGAGTGCCACATTTTTCGATTTGTACCACTTTTGAGTCGCAGTTTGGGGTTCAGAGGGTCCGATTTGTACATTTTCGGGGACGCACATTGGGCTGAGCTTTCCCGGGTCCTCCCACAACCTCCCACAACCTTCCTACGTCAAGCACGGAAATGGCGATGCTTATCTGCAATTCCGACACCAACACGGGAGATCGTGGACCGCAAGATCTTATTCTCCAGGTGCACGGTGATCGATGTCCCGATGGTCGGCCCAAGTACCAAGTCGTTAGCTCGCTCCATCCGTCCGCGATGCCTCTCCGTTACCCGCTACTATTTCCTGCAGGGGAAGATGGCTTCCACCCCAACATCCCTCTTTGCGGGTTCCACCAAGCCGGTCCGCCAATCGCCAGAAACCGAGAGCAGATCGACAATGGTGTCCAATTGCGCGAGGTACTTGCCGGTCTTGGTCTGGATGACGAAGACGAAGAGGAGGACGAAGACCGCGACGATGAGGATGAAGACGGCGAGGAAGGTGAAGGTGAACGTAAGCGTCTTCGGCTCTTTCTCACGTCTTCCATTCTGTTGAGACGTAAGCACAGACTGACACAGAATGTTTGAACATCTAGCACGAAGATCAAGGAGAAGGTCTCGAGGTGGATCAACCCGAGTCTTGCGTTCCCAATTCTTTGCATACTACTCTCACGAACGCGGCAACAATCTCTCAATCCCGTGTTCCACCCGGCGTTTCTTTCTCGAGGTCCGTGATCGACGGATACTCCCAAGTCGAGACCGATCGACTGAACTCCATCCGGTTGCATCAAGAAAACCTGCTCCTCACCACGGCCCAAGGCATCGCTGAAGCTGTTGCCAACGGCTTGACCCCGGATCAAATGGGACGTTCGGTGATTTTTGGGCTCGATCAACGTTGAAGCACAGGCCGTGCGAGATCACGCAGGTTACCAAGGTACGATGGCTTGCGTCTTCAAATATGAAAAGCCTTCGCTGTTCATCACGGTGACGTGCATCCCCGGACGGCCGGAAGTCCAGGCTGCACTCGGGCCAAAGGACCAAGCATGCAACCGCCCGGATCTCATTGCACGAGTGTTTGAAGCCAAGCTGAACCGACTCTGCGACGACGGCAACAAGCAAGGTACAGGCTGTTTCGGCGTCGTTCTGATGCATACACACGTGATCGATTATCCGTCGAGGCAGCCGAAACTGAGGGTGGGATGGCGCCCGATCTGATTTCGCCGGTGTATCTGCATTCAATCAACCCGTCCGACTTCCCCGCGCATCACTTGCGTCTCCGAGTCAAGGAAGGGATCCCTGTAGTTCTTCTTCGCAATCTGGACCCAGACGCCGGCCTCTGCAACGGTACTTGCCTTATCGTCTTGCACGCAAGATCGCAAGTCATTCCAGCCATCATCTTGACCGGAGATTGAGCGGGCATCCGAATGCAACTAGCAGTCGCCAACTTGGTTTCATTATGCGCCGGCTCCACCCCCGCTTCGAGTTGCTTTGGCCACGACGATCAACAAAGTCCTAGGTCAATCACTCGATTGTGTTGGCGTCGATCTCTCCCTGCATCCCGTCTTCACTCATGGGCGGCTGTATGTGGCATTGTCTCGAGCCATGAGTGTTGATCGAATCAAGGTGCTACTGCCCTCTCGGGACCCCGCCGATGATGTCAGAACCCAATCATACTGATTCTCTTCTAATTCTATTTACTTCTCATGCCACTATTCCACTCCTACTTTGCACTCCTACTTTAGCCTATTACCCTCTACGCCGGATCCCAGCGCCTGATCGAGACTCGGTTGACACGTTGGCTTGGGTTGAAGTCGCGCGCCTCGCGGGCACTCGTCTCTCTTCCTTCTTCATCCATCTTCCATCCTCGATCTTGCGCTCGTACTCAACCCCTTGAGTCGGGATCCAGGTCAGTCCTTTTGCAATGCTTCATCCATCTTCCATCCTCGATCTTGCGCTCGTACTCAGCCCCTTGAGTCGGGATCCAGTCCTCCATACTTCTCATAGATGATGACGACGACTTACCTGCCGTAGCCTGCCGTCGATCGAGCGGCAGCCGCAACCACCGCGACCCCAAATCCAGTATTCTGCTCTGTTCTCAGGGCAATGAATGGAGAACTGTTTCTTTGCTGTACTTCGTAGTGTGTTTATTTAACCTCTGTTGAAATCATGTAGACTGTTCAATTCTCTTGCTATTTGAATTTCACCCTCCCGTTAATTTAACGGGTTCCCACTGGTCTTTGGAAAAGAAAGTCGGAGGAAATGCATTTAAGCACACTGGCTAGGCCAGTAGTGTAGGACTCATTGACCCTGCAGTGAATCAGAATCAAACATATGCACACCCACTAAAACCCCCTTGCAATGAGGTGATTTACAGAGACGCAAGGCGACCTCGGACTCCTGCATTGACGCCCGGAGCTCCTCGAGTGCCGATTCGGTGATCGGCTCCAAAGAATCCGACGACAATCGGCGGCGGCGAGAGAGCTTCCAAATCGAAAGGAAGAAGAAGAGACGTAGCTTGACAAGTCGACTGTAAGGTATGCGCCTCTGATGTGCATAAATACAATCTGTCGTTCTTGGCCGCTAGGCTAAAAGCAAGTCGTAACTAGAACTCGACAGTTCTAGCTACTCAGAGGCTACTTATGGGGCTGTTTCTGTAAGGCATCCACTTATCCACTTACATCGACGTTCCTTTTTTATTTATCTGACGAGCGAGAGAAGACCAAAAAACGATAAATGATCACAAATGCAGACCCTAATATAACGCGCTCCAAACGCAAACAGCGCGATTGTTACCCGCGGAGGCCCCGCGCGCGCAGATCCATTTGTTGCCCAAACGGCGGCCCATAGCATTGGCTCGCATTGGCAAGGACCCCCGAAAGCCCAGCCAGAGGCGGCCCGCAAATTTGGACATTCTGGGGACCCGAAGATCGGCTAGGCAGCCCGCAAGTTTGGACATTTTTGGCTCAAAATGGGTCGAGGCTCACCTCATTTTTGGACATTTTCCTCCCCTCGGTCGAACTTTGAAGCGCAGACCAGTGTAGCGGGAGGCTGGAGGCGCAGCCTGCTGCAGGGCATATATAGCCGGCCCAGCTGCGCGGCGCGCGCCCAGAAATATGGATATGTAGGCAATCTACCAATTGTGCGGTCGCTCGGGCGACGTAATGTCTCACCAATTCCAGTGCCCCCCTCTCTCGTTGGCGCTAACATTTTGCTCCGATTCGACGCTCTGCCACTTATTAGATCCCGAGCCACGCGGCGGCGGCACCTTCGAGGAGAAACAGGAGAACAGGAGAGGCAAGGCACGGCACCCCCGGCTCGACCGCTAGTCTCATGCGGCCAGAACGACCTACAAAGACACCTGTTTATCCTGGACGACGTAAACCATTCATTCTGCGTGCCATCAACGAGCTTTAAGCTGAGCGAGCATTATCGTCCCAGCCGCCACGAGCTTCGACGATGGAAACGCCGCAGAAGTTTGCTCAGGAAAGCCCCAAACCACTACTGCATTTACACCTGAAAACCGACGGAGGAGAGTGAACCGCACTCTTCTCCATGTTGGATTTTGTATTCAGGTTGACTAAAAAACAGCACAAGTACGTCACTAGACTCCGGACGGCGGTGCATCGGTGCAGTGGCTGCAGTGGCTGCATCGGCGAAGGCGGCGTCGATCATTGCATGCGCGCGGGCCTCAAAGGTGCGGGCCCCGCTGCTCAGAGTACCCATCGGCCAAAACGGAACTAACGGAACGCGAGCTTGTGCGAGTTGCGGGTGGCGACGACGGGCTGCCGCAGCCTTCTCTTCCGGCCTTGCTCACCACCACCACCTTTCGCCCTCAACTAGAGGGAACGATTGCCCCTCGTGAATCGTTGGCATCTTATTTTCTTAATCCCACAGGTTCGTCATCTACTGTACGAACAAAGCCTGCCCACCCTCCTCAACCTGCGTGTGTCTTGCTCCGGGCCCCGTCGACGCCTTTCCGAGATCGAACTCGAATCGCCGTTCGCCCGACTCGGCGTGCGGTTTGAACCACCTCCCCGCGAGTGCGACCCAAGGCGACTCGACTAAGCTTGCTCCAGCCTCGAGCGTTCACCAGCATGTGGAGGAACGACCAGAGTACGAGCTCTGCGGTCCCAGTGCCTCAACAAACTCGGACCCATGCACCCTTCCGACCCCATGAGGAACCATCAAGTATGGGCGAGGTGAGTGCGCGACGTTAATTGGTACGCTGTATGCCGGAGCCTGGCTTTTGTTCGCTCGCCCGAGGGAAAAAGGGGGACGAACGCGCATGCTTTCAAGCTGCGACCTTTTCGAATGCTATCCATCTTTACGGAGGGACTGGCAAAGAAATAAAAGTTGGGTCGACTGCACCGCCCTTGCTCGTTTGCTCTCGCTACAGCAGCCCCAGCTCCAACTTGGACTTGCGCCGACGCAAGCCCAGCTGCTAGCAACGGCCGTCTGCGCCCGCGCGCCCGACCGCCGACTACCCACTGCCCGTGACGCAGATTGCCGGGCGGCCGGAGCCCCAGCCTTTTCTCCCGGATCGGCGAATTCGAAACCCCGCGTCGTCAGGGCCACGGCGGCTTAGCGCCACGAGACCTTGTGGCTGCCGGCCGCTCCGGACTCCGCACGGCCATCATCCTCGGATTCGTCGCATTCTGGTGGACGCCGCAGCAACGAGTACTGACCACGCGATACACCTTCTTTCTTCTGTTGAAAACTCTTTTTTTTTTCTATCGATCTACTATGCTGTCCTGATCACTTTAGGATGGTTACCTCCGAAACCAAGACGCCAGCTCGTCGCACTCTGGAGGCTCGAACGAGCCGCTAGCCCGAAGAGGAGCCGCGCCAGGGGTCGCCGGAGCGGCCGCCGCGGGCGGCGCCACACAACGAAGGGGGGCCTCGCGCCGTGACGTCGACAGTGACGCTGGCAGCCCCGCAGACGATAGCATTGACTCTGGGTACAAGGCCGGGATGCCGATTGGCTTGCTCGCTGCTCGAGGTGAGTTGTGGCGGTCCCGTCCATCTTTCTGGCTGCGCCTCGTCCTTGAGGTCCCCGCCAGGGTTGCCGCTCTTTTTAGCGCGCTTGCGTGCGCGTAAGCTCTGGACAGGAGGCGGGGACTCGAGGCACGCGTGCACACCCCGGAGAAGCTCTTTATGTTTTCTGTTTTCTGATCACTGATTTCTGGCCCCTTCACCGCCACATGCAGGCACACCCCACGCCAAGAAGCCCATCTTCAAGTCTCGCAAATTCCTGATACTGTGTCCGATCCTGGGTCTCGTGACGCTCGTCGTGAGTGACCGCGCCGCACCTTGACGCTTCGATGCAGTGGCCTTGCGACATACTCTGATGATTGCCCTCTTGTCAAACAATAATGTTCTCTCCACAAACAGGTCGGCATTGTGCTCCTGGTCTTCCCCATCTTGAAGGCCGTCGCCAAGCACACGCTTTCCGTCTCCGTGCTCGGCGTGACTTCGTCCAACATCACCAACGCGGGCAACGATTCATTCACGCTCACGCTCGAGGGTCAGGCGCGCAAGGTCGGCGTCTTCCCCGCCCAGATCTACTTCCGTGAACCCGTCTACGTCCACTGGATCGCGCCCGAGAACCTCACCCAAGAGCTGCAGATTGGTCACTTCCAACTGGACCGCATCGGCGTCGCCGCCGGCCACGGTCGCATCAAGCAGCAAACCACTTTTGTCATTGACGATGTCCCCGGATTTTCGCGCTTCGCACAATACCTCATCACCCAGGACGAATTTACCTGGCGCCTGAAGAGTAACAATGTGGAGGCCAAGGCCTTTGGCTTCATCCCCGCCCGCAATCTTGCCTTCGTCAAGGATCTGACTCTGCCGGCGATGGCCAACATGACCGACGTGTCGATCACCGATTTCCAGATCCCCGGAGACGATCCCGCTGGCGGCGTGTCCATTTCAGTTATCACCAAGTTCACCAACCCGTCTGCGTTCGGTGTCGGACTCGGCATCCTCAGCGTCGACCTGTACTACGGCGATCTGTACCTGGGTCCAGCTTCGACGGCGACAGAGACCAACTTGACGGCTGGTGTAAACACCGTCCACTTGGTCGGTCGTTTAGTGCCCTACGCCGATGATCCGGTGGCCCTGCAGAAATTGTCGCAGGTCTTCTCCAACTACATCAACGGCGATGCTACCCCAGTTGAGGCTCGCGGCGCCAGGGTCGCTTTGCCCGGCGGCAACGTCGTTGGCTGGCTAACCACGGGTGTGAGCGCGCTGGTACTCAACGTGCCCCTTACGTCGCCGACGGGACCCATCCGGCCGATCACCGGTATCACAATTCAGCAGCTATCGCTCGCTTTCGACCCAACGGCGCCGTATTCTCCTCAAGCCAACTCGAGCGCCGTCTCAGCGACGTTTGCCTTGCCCTTCGGCTTCTCGCTCAACATCGTCCAGCTCGCCAACAAGTTTGCGATTGTCGAGAACCGCACTACCGTTGCGAGTCTGTCCTCTCCCATGGGCGCGGCTAACACCAGGATCCTCGTCCAGAACTCGGGTCAGACCTCGGGTGACATCTCGCTCGATTTGCCGCTTGCGCCTTTGGAGATTGGGAGCAGCGTCAGCGAGCACTTGACGTTCGATCAGTTCACGTACGACCTGACGACTGGAAACGGGTCCGCGTTCTACTTGCTCGGTAGCACGGACGCCGTGACCGACACGCCCCTCGGCCAAGTTTTGCTCAAGAACATCGCCTTCATCGTCCCGGCGGGCCTCATCGGTCTCTCAAGCCTCTCCACATTCCCGACCTTGGTTCGCAGTGTCGATGTCTTGGGCGGCACCAAGGATGCGATCCTGCTGAACATCACCGTCGGCTTGACCAACCCCTCCAACTTAGATCTCAAGGTCGGCAACGTCACGTTCCAATTGTTCAACAATGGTTCATTCGTCGGCACGACAGTTTTGCCCGACTTGCATCTCACCCCGGGCTACCAAGAACACGGCTCGATCGGCTACTTCCAGGCCAACAACAATCCTGTCGGGCTCGATACGCTCAACACCTTCGTCGCCGGTACCGACAACGAGCTCCAAATCAGTGGTTTCAATGGTTCGACCGCGGTCGAGAGTCTGACTCAGGCGTTCATGGCGCTCAAGCTTAACACGACCCTGCCCGGTCTGCAAGCCAGGTTGCTCGAGTCGGCTGCGGTGACCGTATTGCCGACGACCGGTGTCACGAGCAACTTGGCCAATGCGGTCGTGAACCTCAACAACCCCTTCACCTCGGGCTTGACGGTCACGAACATCCAATCGAACGTCACCGCGTACGGAGTCTTCATCGGTTCGATCGTAACGAACACAAACTTTGCCGCCGCTGGTAAAGCTGTCACGCAATCCCCAACCCTCGGACTGTGAGTTGGCTAGTTAAGGGCAACCTCGCTCGTTCTCTATGCGGCACAAAAATTGACCGACTTATCTCTTTACCTTTTTCATCATACATGCAGGGACATGAACTTGTACCCTCCTGACATCTTTGGTCTGCTCCGAGCGCTTGCCGTTACTGCGGGTTTGCCGACCGAGCAGCTCGATGGTATCGTCGGCCTCGCTGGCTACACGCTCACTCCGACCACCGCCGACGCCGCCGGCTCGCCCACCACTGCCAATGTCACCGGCTCGGCCAAACGCTCCCTTGATCCCAAGATCGAGGCATTCTGGAAGCACACTCTTGACAAACGAGCGAACACCTACACTGGGTCAGTTCAAGCCAATCGATGCTCGAGCTGCCGCTCACCTGCTCACATCGTGGTTCCTCCTCGCCTCCCACAGCTTTGACCTGCCTTCATTCGTCTTGGCTGCGTTCAAAGCTCTCGTCGTCAACGTCGAGCTTGCCGCCTCGACGACGATCGGCGAATACGTAACCGAACTCAGCTACACGCAAAAGAATGTCCCAGCCGTCACCGACTCGAGCTTGACTCTGCTGTTACCAATCCTGGCTCGCCCGATCGTGCAAAAGATTGTCGACGAAGCTATCCTCGCCATCACGACAGTGACCATCGCGAACCCTAGCAACACTGCATTCACGGCCGGTCTCGTTGGTGCCATCAACAACGCCGGTCCTTTCGACGCTGTCATTGCATTCACGACTGGTCTGACGGTTGCGTGGAACGGCACCCCGCTCGGTCAGATCGCCATGCCCAACGTCTCCCTCACCGGAGACGTCGGCGCATCGCTTGCTCTCTCGGCGACGTTTGCCGTCGCGGATCTCAACCACCTCACCGATTTCACGGGCTACCTGCTCACCGAGCCCTCGTTCACGTGGCAGATCTACGGTCAAAATCTCACCGTTGCTGCCCTCGGTATCGAGGTCGGCGGCATCTCGATCATGAAGACCGTAGTCCTCGACGGTATGAACGGCTTCAAGAACAACGTCCTTATTGAGAGCTTCGACTTGCCTGCCAACGACCCCGCCGGCGGTGTCGCATTGACGTTGCAGACGAGCTTGACCAACCCGTCATCCGTCGGTGTGGACCTCTCCAGCATCGGCTTTATCAACTCGTTCGGCTCGACCATCATCGGCCCCGCGGGTGCGACGAGCGCATTCTCGCTCAAAGCCAAATCGACGATTCAATTACCCCTGTCAGGTCGACTCATCCCCCAGACGACCGCTCAAGGACTCGCCGACGTCTCGAGCATCTTCAACGGCTTCATCCACGGGGTCCCGTCCGATCTTGTCGTTGCTGGTGACTCTGCTGGTCCTGCCGACTGTACGTGGCTCAACCAAGGCATCAAGAAGCTTAAGATCGCAGTCGTACTCCCTGCGGTCGCCAACTTGCAAATCATCAAAGCTATTAACATCAACTCGCTCACGCTCATGTTTAGCCAGTCCGATCCGTGGAACCCGCTCTTCACCACGACGGATACCCAGGCTGGTTTCGGGCTCCCCTTCGCATTTCCTATCGACATCACCTACTTGGCTACGACCATCACGGCCAAGACCGGCGCCAGCGGAAGCCGTCTCGCTAAACGCGATGCTGGGGACTTCGCGACGCTCGCCGTCCCATCGGGTCCCGTCAAAACGAACGTGGAAACTCGAGAGATCGCGCTCACCTTTGCCAACGTGCCTTTCAAGTCGATGGACAACTCGGCCTACTCGGGCTTCCTCACCCAGACCACCGACTCGCCGCAAGTTCAGCTCGGCCTTCACGGTAGTGCTGACACAACCGCGTCTACGGCCATCGGTGCGCTCAACCTTGTCGGCATCGACTTTGAAGTTTCGTCTCCCTTGCTCGGTCTCCAGGGCCTGAACGCGCAACCGACCACCGTGTCGGATCTTGATGTGTTCCGTGGCTACACCGACTACTTACAGATCAACGTCAAGGCGCGCTTGTACAACCCGTCCAACATCACGATCGGCACCGGAAACGTGGCTTTCGGTCTACAATTCCAAGGGCAGATCATCGGTACGGCCAATATTGACAACCTTGTGCTCGTCCCGGGCGAGAACATCGTCGCCACGGCCGTCCACTATCAACCGGGTGGCGGTGCTTCCACGGCTGCGGGTCAGCAGCTGCTCGAGAACTACATCCAAAATGTCCAGTCGGCGACCATCATCCTCGGTACCGATACGACCACGCCTATCGCGTCACTTCAGGCCGCTCTCAAAACGATCGCTTTGAACACTCAAATCCCCGCCCTGGACCAATTGCTGATCACGAAGGCGGCGCTCACGTTCCCGATGAACATTGGTCAAGCCGGCGTGACGGCCAACGCCAAAGTCACGCTCGCCAACCCCTTCACGGCTTCGATCAACATCATCAACGTCGTCACCAATGCCTCGTACAATGGCATCTTTGTCGGCGCAGTCAACGCCCAAAACCTGAACCCGCGCATCTCCGCGCCTGGCCACACCACGATTGTCTCTCAGGATTTGCCATTCACGCTCAACACGGATGTCAAGTCTTTGGTCCGGTTTATCGAAGCTGCTGCCGCTGCTAATAGTGTCAATCTCGGGCCTCTTGGTAAGTCAAACCTTTTCACAGAGTCGGCGTTGGACAAAGGTATGCTAACCGGTGAACCGTTGCCGTTTCTCAGTGCCTCAGTTTGCGTACGTACTCGGCCTTTCCGACACGTCAACGAGTGTCACGGCTTCGGTCAACCCCAACCCCGAGTCATGCGCACCAACGGGCACGACCAAAGCCGTCCAGGGGCTGATTTTGGCGGCTGTCGCAAATCTCAAGACCGATTTGGCCATCTCGGCCTTCACAGCTCTCGATCAGTACCAGACCGGTCTTAATTTTGTGCAAAACCAGGTTCCGACTGTCTTGGATGACTCGGTGTTGTACCTCACCGGCATCATCGGAGCTCCTATCGTTTCGAACATCGTCGCACAAGCCCAACTCGCCTTCGTGTCCGGTGACGTCGACAACATCACCGACAAAGGTTTCACGGTCGCACTCAAGGGCAGCTTGACCGACGCTGGGCCCTTCGATGCCCTGATCTCGTTCCCTGAGGGAGTTCAAGTGATTTTCCAAGGCAATTACATCGCCGACATCGCTCTGCCCGACATTTGCTCGCCCGGCTCGACGAACGTGCCCAATTTGCAGACCACGGGTACACTCACGATCCGGGATCTCGGCAAATTCACCGACTTTGCCACTTACCTGTTGCTGAACCCAAGCTTCACTTGGACCAGTCAGTGCCCTTGACGTTTCCCATGCTCCTGCTCTAGCCGGTGCCTTGTACTGATTCGTCTCCTCCCCGCTTGACTTTGTCAATAGTCACGACCAAGAAGTTGCGCGTGTACGCTTTGCAGACTATCTTCGATAACGTTACGCTCACCAAGAACATCACCTTCTCGGCCTTCAACGGCCTTCCCGGTGTCACGATCGTCAACCCCGACTTCCCCTCAGACGTCGAGAATGGCATCGCCCTTGTTACGGAAACCGCCATTCCCAGTCAGTCGAACCTCGGCATCAACCTCGGCACCGTCAACTTTAAGGCCTACTTTGAGGGTGAGCTCGTCGGCCCCATCCAAGGAAACAACCTCGATCTCGCGCCTTTGACGACGACGACTACGAAGTTGACGGGGACGATCGTGAAACGTACCTCTTCGGCGAGCACGTCCTCTCTGGGTCACTTGTTTTCGGGCTTCTTGGCTGGCCTCAACCAGACCTTGCAAGTCAAGGGAGACTCGGTCATCTCACCAGCTCAGCCGAACAAGGCCGTGAATTGGCTGAGCGCTGCGTTCCAGCAGTTGACGTTGCAGGTCGTGCTGCCGGGCAAGATCTTCCCGGACATTATCTCTTCGGTCACGCTTCAGGATCTGACGGTCCGTATTACGGAACAAGATGCGGCCTACAACGTTCCGTCGCGCAACAACGAGACCGACGTCGTCTACAAGTGAGTTCTCTCTCTCCTCCTCCTCCCCCCCCCCCCCCCCCCCCCTCCCGGGCCTTGCTTCGGGGTCGTGGACTCCTCAGCTTGAACGGCGCTTACACTAATTGTATGTCTTCCAATCGGTCAACAGGAATCCTTTCGGCTTCTCGCTCACTGCCAAGCAAGTTGGCGGCTCGTTCTACATCAATTGGCAAGGCGTCCAAACGGCTCTCTTGACATTACCGGTCGCTAACGCTGTCCGCGTCGAAACCTCGACCGGGCAGCCTGCCAACCTCGTCATCGACTTCAAGCAAGACCGGTTCATCAAGAGTCTTGACGACGCCTCTTTCCGCTCCTTCTTTGATGCCATCACGAACACCGCGAGCGTCACATTTGGTCTCAACGGGGCGGCGACCGTCACTGCTGGCACGAACGCGGGAGATATTCCCATCACAGGCATCCCTTTCAACGTTCAAACGTCCCTGCGAGGTATCGAATCCCTCAACGCATGCCCTACTGTCGTGTCGGACCTAGTGGTATACCAAGGCTTCCCGACGTACCTCCAGATCAACGCCGACGCGGCGCTCTACAACCCGTCGAATGTGACCGTGATCACCAACGACGTCACGTTCGGTCTGTCGTTCATGGATCAGATCGTTGGTTCCGTAATCATCGGCGATTTGTTACTCATTCCGGGTACCAACAACATTGGAACCGAGGTGCGCTACATGCCGCAAACGGCTGCTCAGGTCGTGGCCGGCATGGAGCTGCTGGCCAACTACATCGAAGGCAATGTCTCGGACGTGATCATCGCCGGCACGAGCACGACAACCCCCTACGGCTCGCTCAGTGAAGCGCTCGGGAAGATTCAGATCAAGACGTCGATCCCGCCCATTCACCAGAACATCATCACCCGCGCGGACCTGAGCTTCCCGATCAACATTGGCAATGGCAATGTCTCGTCTCAAGCGACGTTCGGCCTGAGCAACCCGTTCCGAGTGTCGATCAATCTTGTCAGCGTGGTGGCCAATGCCTCGTACAAGGGTATTTACCTTGGCCAAATCAATCAACAGCCTCTTCCTACGGTCATTACGGCGAAGGGTTTCCAGAACATCACCTCGTACAAGTTGCCGTTCAACCTCAATCTCGATCCGCGCTTCCTCGCCAAGTTTGTCGAGTTCGCCGCGGCCAACAATGGCGTGGACCTTGGCATCCTGAGTAGGTCTAATTTTGAGATATTTGATGCCGGTGTTTCCTTAGAGTCGGTCTGATCACTGACGCCGCTTATTACGATCTCGTGCGAACTCCGTAGAGCCGGCGCTGGACTACGTCATCGGGCTTTCTGACGCCCAGCTCAACACGGCAGCGGTCACCGCTATTACGTCCAAGGTCAACACGGCCAAAGAGACGTGTCAGCCCACCGGAACCACCAAATCGGTGCAAGAAACGATTCTCAAGGCCGTTGCAAACCTCCAAACCGATTTGAGTGTTTTCTCAAACACGCGTCTTGATCAATACGCCACTGGTGCGTATATAGTGACCGGGCCGGGCCTTTAGACCCGAAAGTTGAAGCTGACGCTGCCAAAAGGTCTGTTCACTTGCGATATACAGACTTGCAATTCGTCCAAAAAAATGTTCCCACCTACTTGGACGACTCGGTACTGTATCTCACCGGTATTCTTGGTCGTCCGATCGTCGCCAACATTGTCGATCAGACGACGTTGAGCTTTACCGGCGGCTTCATCAACAACCTCACCGACAATGGCCTCACAGTTGCACTCGTAGGATCCTTGCTCAGTGCTGGACCTTTTGATGCCAGCATCGAATTCCCTTCCGGTGTTGACGTCATCTGGAAGGGGCAGAACATCGCCAAGATTGCCCTGCCCCCGATCTGCTCTCCCGGTAACGTCGGTGTCCCAGCGCTCAACACGACCGGTATCCTCACGATTACAAATTACAAGGGCTTCGTCGAGTTCGCAGGCTATTTGTTGAACAACCCTCAGTTCACCTGGACGATCACGACCGACAAGTTGCGAGTTTCGGCGCTCGGAACAATCTTCGACAACGTGACGCTCACCAAGAACGTCACTTTCGATGCGTTCAACAAGCTGGCACCCGGAATCTCGCTCATGAACCCCGATTTCCCCGGCGACGCGAAAAGCCCACCTGGTATCAAACTCACTGTCGACTCGGTAATTCCGTCCCCTTCGAATCTCGGCATCGAGCTCGGCGAAGCGACCTTCATCGCGAGCTACAATGGGTCCGAGATCGGTCCTGTTACGGCGAGCGACCTCACCCTGAAGGCCAAGTCGAACACGAGCGAGTCGCTTGTGGGAACCGTCATCTATCGTAACGACGCGAACGGCCTCACGTCTCTCGGCGACGTCTTCTCGCTCTTCTTGGCGGGCGAGAACGTACCTTTAACGGTCACGGGTAGTTCGGTCACCTCGCCGGCGCAGAAGACGCCCGTCAAGTGGCTTTCGGAGGCGTTTGGTCAACTTGTACTTACCGTGCAGCTGCCCGGCAAGAAACAGAAGATCCTCAGCGCGATCCAGCTTCGTGATCTGACTGTTACGGTCGACGACGGGGCGCAAGACTATGCCGCGATTATTGCGAACAATGCCACGGACGTCACCTTCCGCAACCCTTACGGCTTCACGCTCACGGCGATCCAAGCGGGAGGTAATTACATCCTCAACTACGAAGGACAAGCTGGAACTCTGAATGTACCCGTTGGAAACGTTGTGAAGCAAGGTACATCGACCGGTCAAGATGTAAGTCGCGCCTTGGTGGCCTCAATTACCAGCATCTGCACAGCGAAGACTAAATCACATACCGCTCGCTTTTGTCTGTTCTCTGTTTTCAGGCCAACATCACCATTCAGTTCGTGAACCCTCCCGCAGTCTTTGTGGCGAACAACACGCTCGCGTATCAAAAGTTCTTCGCCGCGGTCACGAACGACGCCCAGGTTGCGTTCGAGCTCACTGGTGGCGCTTTTGGTGAGTCGCGCTTCTCGCTCTCCTTTGGGCCGGGTATTCTTGCGACAACTGAGCTTGTCAACCTTCCCCCCAGTCACTGCGCGCACCGCGGCAGGAGATATCCCCATCAGCGGCATTCCATTCGACGTGCCCTCGACTTTCCCTGGTATCAACGGCTTCGACCACAAGACGGCAATAAATCAAGGTGGGTGCCTGTTGGCCTCAAAGGAACTACCACCGCACCATTCAAACATCGAGTGGCTGAGCCTAATTTTCTTTTTCTGCAGTGCCCGTGGTGTACGATGCAGGAAGCGACGCGGATCCTTTCGGCCAAACGGCTGGATCCGACTTTGTTCGCATCGCCATTACGACCATCCTGATCAACCCGGCACCTCTGATCCTCCACACCAACTTCGCGTCGCTTCAGGTTTACTACAGATCGGTGCTGGTTGGACGGGCTTACATCAACCCGCTTGATTTGTACCCGGGTAATAACTCGGTCCCTGCCGAGTTCCACTATGAGGTATGTGCTGCGCATTCTTCGAATATAGCCGCAGGGTGCTGTACTAATGAGAACTTTCTTCTCTGCGCAACAGCCTAAAACTCGCTCGGATCCAATAGCTCAGGACATCCTGACCCAGTACCTCGAGACGACCGGCCCGATCCCTATCAAGATTGAGGGCGACTTGACTTCGTCACCTTATAAATCTTTGCAACCAGCCTTGGGCGCGCTCTCGCTCAATGCGTCGTTCCCGGGGCAAGGGAAGCCTCTTATCAACAAGATCATTGTGGGTTAACTGCACTAGCTGGCACGTTCGACCCCTTGCGAGCGTACCGGGGCGCTGACTCCACCACCTTCGCCACAATGTAGATCTACATTGATCTTATCACAGCCTTTTGCAACCGCACGGTGTCCATCCAAAACCAACTCACCAACAACCTTGAGACGTACATCGAGTTGATCCATTTCTCCGGAACGGGCACTCAAACCGGGACGGAGTATGCCTCGTTCAACTACACGTTCTCGGGCTCCGGGTTCCGGACCGACAAGGGCGGAACGGGGTCTTTCTCCGAGGTCGTCAAGCCCGTGAAGCTCACAAGCCCTCTTGGACTTCTCGGCTCTATTCCACTTCTCTTCACGACGGGCTTGGGTCTCGATATCGTGAGTCGCGTCGGGCTTCTCATGCCGGCCAAATACTCGCTGACGCATCAAATCCCGGCCACTCTCAGGACATCATTGCGGAAGTGTCTGTCGGCGGATTTGTCACTCCTTCGCTCCACTATACGCAGAAAGCGGTCCCTTACGAGATCCAGTTCTCGTCAGGCGGCTCAACGATGAACTCGTCCTCGACGGGCTCCACGCTACCGTCGCTGTCGCAGCTTACCGGATTACTGGGTGCTCTGGGAAATATCGCGACGTGCAACCCCCTGGGCGGTCTCATTGCAAAGACGTCGGTAGCCGGGGACCTACTGTCGTCCGCCACAGCAATCATCCCCTCAGCACTTCAAGGAGTTATTGGCGGCCTCGGCGGGCTACTCACCGGGGGAGCTCGCGCCCCGAGTACGACCACCAGCCTGAGTGTCAGCACCAGCCTGAGTACCACCACCAGTCTGAGTGCCACCCCCAGTCTGAGTGCCACCACCAGTCTGAGCTCAAGTACTACTGCGGCTCCCACGACGACCTCCAATACCCCCACTACGACCACTACGACCACTACAACCACTACGACCAGTGCTCCAGTCATTCGCAAGCGGACTGTGGAAGAGAGCTTGGGCCAGCAAGCCCTCGGCGAGGAGTTGAATAAGGTTCCCCAGGAGTTGCTCGCTCGGTTCGGCTTCACGCTCGGTGAGCCGGTCGCCAAGGTGCAGCAACGTCGCATGGACGAGTACTGGATCGAGAAGGCGAAACGTGCGCGAGCTGCCGTGGAGGACGATGAGGAGTGATTGATGAGGCGTCCGAACAACATTCGATGGACACTTCCTTCTCGCTTTGGCCTTTTTTCTTCTTTTGCCTCTAGTTGCTTTCTATTGTCTCTTGCTTCTTCGATAGCTCTCTTGCTTCTTCGATAGCGGACCCGCCTTGGGCTTCTCGGTGTTTCAACATTCCACCCTATTCTATTCCGTGTGAACATACACCTCTATCCTTACTGGTTATTCCCCCTTACCCACATCGACTCTTCAATTCCGGCCCCTGCTGTTATGTGGGGTTGATCTTTGTTGGATCTTGTCCTGTCCCGTTCCTTCTGACTGTGCGTATCATCTGCTCGTAGTACAAAGTTCTCTTCTACCACCATTTCTTGTGATGTCCCTGTTCTTCTCCTGTTATTCCAAAATAATCTTGGGTTCTATCGCTTTCTCTCATTGTCGAGCAAGAGCACCCAGAGTATTCCCCAAATGGTTGTTCCCTTTTTCGTTGCATCTACAACAGCCCAATATTCTAGACAGAAGTAAGTACATGGGAGGATCTTCTCCCTCCACTCGACCACATCAAAAGCGGCACACGAAGCCAGATCCTTGAACGGATGCCGCCATTGCTCAGGTCTTCTTCCCTTCGATCGCGTCCTGGATCAATCTCCACAGCACGGAGAACATCAACCCTTGCAAACCATTCGCCAAGATCCTCGTCCTCAAACCTCGCCCGAACAAGCCCTTCCACCCTTCGGCGGACCAAATCTTTCTCGCGGCTCTGCGGTACCCGATCGAGTTGTGGTTCACTTGACGGTACGTTTTGACGACTCGCAACGAATTGGAGATGGTGTCCGAGACGACCGAGGCCGAAAACCCGATGAAGGCCTGGCGCGAGAAGTTCGCCAACGTCGAATGCGCCAAGGGAAGGTTTTTGGAGAGGAAGTTGTAGGTTGCGAACCAGGGGAAAGAACCGACGAAGGAAGCGGCGGCGGTGGCGAATGCTCCAGCCCACAAGGTCGAAAGGCCGTACATTTTGACGCGTTGCTTCAAGATGACGAGTGCTCGTGGAGATCCTTCGGTTTGCATCGTCGTCTGCGAACGATGTCATAGTGTTGGTCATGATCAGTAAAGATGACACTGCTTGAAGACGTGAAAACTGACCTTGAGGGTGTCGATTGGAACCAAAATCATCCTGAAGAGAGCGCCTGCGACCGAAGCGAAGGCAGTCTGCAGTGGACTCGGGAGTTTCGATAACCAAGGGTTGGATTCGAGTAATGCCAGGATACCTGCATTGGTTGCCGTGTCGCCGAAGCGAGCGATCGGACCTTGGACCAAGGCAGGACCGAGGCCTGCGTAGAAGCGCTTGAAGCCGCCTGAGGTACGTAGTGCCGAGATGGACGAGGTCATGGATCCTCCGTAGCGGTATTGATAGTTCATCGTCGTGCGCAAGGGCATCAATGTGAGACTGAAAGAGGGTGAACACGTCAGGTGATCAGTGATCTGATGTCGATGGTCGAGTGAAAATTGTGGCTCCGAGGCCGCCGACTCGGACCAGGGAGACGTACACTTGCACGATCATGGCCAATGCTCCACTCAGTCCCTGTTGGATTGAATTGGCGTCGGGTCAGAATGCGATCGACCCATACCGAAGCCGCTTGACTGATGGACTGACCCCTCCTCCGGCTTTGGCGAGTGCGCGCTTCCAGTCAAAGCGGCCCCCACCTTGCTTGAACGCCTGCACGATGCACACCACCACCACCACCGCGACGACGGTCCAGAACGCGAGCCACTTGTACAACGACTGGCGTTTCTGCTCCGGCGTCAACACAAGTTCGTCCGCTTCGTCATCATCGTCGTCATCGTCGTCATCGTCGTCATCGTCGTCATCGTCGTCATCGTCGTCATCGTCGTCATCGTCGTTGTCAGTCAGGGGTGCTGGCTCGCGATCGCCGGTCGTTCGATCACCGTCGGTCGGCAACCTTGGGGCCGTGGCTGCAGTGCTTGACGACGGAGATTGTTGGCGCTGCGAAGCGAGCAAGGGTTCCCTTTCATTTCCTTTGTTGACCGCTGCCGGAATGGCAGCTTTGGGCGCGGGCATCGGGTCGTGCAGGTCCGAGTATGGGCTCCAGTGTCCCGAGCTAACGATGAGGTGAGATCAAGCCCAACCGCGAGGTGCGTCAGGGGGCGCCGTGCGGATCGCGCCGGCCGGGCGGCCATCTCGCGTCTCGGACTCGACTCGGAGGTCATGTCGAAATACCAGTCCTGCCCAGCCGCCGAACGTCTGAAGCGGTCTCGGCAATTTTTGAAAACACAGACAAGGCTTGAAATGAAGACTCTCCCCTTTTCTACACATTCACATTCACAAAACTACGTTGCAGCACTTTGCTCAGTCGTCGGTCACCCACTGGCAGGGTCACCCCGGCCGATCGCTCACCGGCCGAATGTCTAGCTCGAGCTTCGCAAGAGCTGCCTCTCACTCGCGCTGGCCCGAGCTCACCCACACTCTCTTTCCCCGCACACCACAGCTCCCACCACCCAACATGAGCAAGTCCCAGGACGAGTCCAAAGCGAGCAAAAAGAACAGCGGGAAACGCACTCGATCGCAGCAAGAGGATGAGGCCGTAGTCACTAAATCCCAGCAAGGCGAGTGCGTCGCCCAGCTCGAACCAGCAACGACGGCGTTGAAGGAGCACGTCAACGAGTCTGCTGCAGCGCCCAGCCAAGACGACGCCGGTTCAGACTCGCGCGCGGAACAATCTGTTCAAGAACGCAAAGCGAGGAAACCAAGACCGGACAGCGACAAGCCCAAAATACGCCTTCCGATCGACGACGACGACGAGACGCCCGCGCTCTCGCACAAGGAGAAGCGATTGGCCAAGCGACGCAAGCTCGCCGGGATACCCGAACGAGAATCCGCACCAACACCCGCTTCCATGATTCACCCTTCTCGTAAGGCAGTCGTCGACCTTTCTGGTGACGGCACCGTGACAACCGCCATCGGCAACACTCCGGCCAAGTCGGCCCACGGTGTTTGGGTCGGCAATATGAACTACGCGACCACGAGCAAGGATCTCATCCAATGGTTCAGCAGTCGTGGTCTGACCGAAGTCACGAGGATCAACATGCCAAACGGGAAACGAGCCTACGAGAACAACAGGGGGTCAGTCTCACCCCATCGCCTTTTCAGTCTGAAGAGTCTTTCATGCTCATTCCTCCCCGTCTCCACAGTTTCGCCTATATCGATTTTCCCACCGCGACCGATGTCGAAATTGCAGTCGGGGTCTCTGAACAGCATCTCGACGGTCGCAAACTGTTGATTAAGAGCTCATCCGACTTTACCGGTCGACCGACCCCTGCCGCCGCTGCACTGACGATGGCGTCGATCCCTCCTTCGGCACTCGTCGATTCTGCCCCAAAATACCCCTTTGAAGACGATGGGGAGGATGACGATCACCACGAAGACGAAGACGAAGGCGAAGGCGAAGACGATGAGGATGATTCGGCCAAGCCTCCCGTCGTCACCGTCGGCCCGACAGGGAACCAACCTCGACCCGTGACGGGTGTGGCCCAACCGACCTTGAACCGTACCGCTCGCAAGATCCTCGATCGACAGAAGAATCCACCGGGACCGACTTTGTTCTTGGGCAACCTCGGTTTCGAAACGACGGTCGAGGATATTAGGGAAATGTTTGATGCGCATCAGAAGGCGATGGCGAATTGGGCACCGAGGGATAAGCAGGAGAAGAATAAGCAAGAGAAGGAGAAGAGGAGGGCCAAGAAGCGCGAGACCGCGGAAGGGGATGAGCAAGCGAACGGCAGTGGTGAAGATTCGAGTGATGAGGAGGAGAACGATTCGAGCGACGAAGAGAAGAACGAGAAGGGCGAGGACGGTGAAGATGAGGCACGGAAGCCGAAACGTGTGCGAGCGAAAAAGTTCAAGCCCGAGACGAAGGAACCTCTAGACCTGTCGAAAGCCCAGGATGCGGGCATACGCAAGGTCCGCTTGGGAACGTTCGAGGATACGGGCAAATGCAAGGGGTGAGGTTTGCTCGTGGGCTGTCATTATCGTGTTATGCGCTCGCTCTCCGCGCCCTGACACCACTGTCCTTCATATTACTAGATGGGCTTTTGTCGACTTCCATCTTCCCGAACAATGCACACGAGCACTGCTCAACATCCGCAACCACGCGTTGGCCGGCCGAACACTGAACGTCGAGTACGCCTCTTCCGATGCCGTTCGTCGGGGAGCCATCGGGACGCGAGGAGCGATCAGAGGCGGAGGTGGGGGGCGAGGTAGATCGTCTCGCGGGCGAGGTGCTCATGATGGGAGAGGGGACGATAGCCGCGGGCGAGGTCTGCGATCGCCAGGGGACGGCGAGGCTGGGAGACCTTGGAACGACTCGGACACACGAGCGGCTGCTGGAGATGGAAGTTGGTACGAGACGCCCGCCGCTGCCACCGAATACGGTGGTCGATCTGGGAGAGGAAACTTTGGGGCCGGTCGTGGTGGAAGCAGAGGAGGCGCGCGGGGAGGCCGGGGAGGCCGGGGTGGACCGAGTGCTGGAGCAGGTGGAGCGTCGAGAGGAGGCCATGAGAAGCGAGCCAAGCCCGGCGCTGCTTTGGCGAGTGCGCAGCGTGCGAGTGAAGCCATCTTGCCTAGTACTGGACGCAAGATCGTTTTCGAATAAATTCCGACAGCCCTGTGTTTGTCATACCTACCTCTAAAGTTTCCCATGCCCACACTCGGCCGAAGTCGACCGCCGCGGTCTCGGCCGAAAGTTGGTCGTCGGTCGGCCGTGATCGCGCGCGTGATCGATGTGATCCGCAACCTTCCGCAACTGCTGTCCTTCTACCGTCCCCGCCCCGACCAGCATCGAGCCAAGACTCCCAAGCCAACCTACGAAGATGTCAACCTCGAACGCAGCGGTGGACCAACACACCGCCATCGCGCAAGAAGCCTTACCCGCGAATGCATACGCCTTACAGCGCACGAACCAGCTCGCCGGTCTGCTGACCATCATCCGCGATACCAAGACAACCCGCGGCGACTTTATCTTCTATAGCGATCGTATCATCAGATTGTTGGTTGAGGAAGGTAGGTTGGACCCAGATTCGGACCACCCGTGGATGAGTTATCGCCGAGAGTCCGCGCGTGGTATTTGGAACACACAAGTCCTCGGGAGCTGATCTGCCCTGGGTTTTCTGGCCCGGTTCCGACTCGGACTCGGAGCAGGATTGAACCACTTGCCCGTGGTCGACAAGAGTGAGTTCGTTCAAGCAAGACTATCGGTATCAATACAAGGCGCTCTTCACTGAAACTGCTTCACTCCACGACGAGCAGCGGTGCTCACCCCCACAGGTCCGTCTCGCTCCGCCGCACGGAGACCCCCACATCTGCACGATCTGACTGTTGGAAGATCCACTTGCGCAGGTCTGGATTACAAAGGCGTCGGATTCGAGGGAAAGATCTGTGGTATCTCCATTATGCGAGCAGGTGAAGCCATGGAGGCTGGTCTGCGGGAATGTTGTCGGTACATCATGCGTTCCAGATTCAGCAAATTCCGGGAGAAGGGGAGAGGGGGGAAAAGATCAAAGTCTTTGCTCTGCCTCTTCTCCCAAAATGATCCGGCCAACACAACTTCTGACGCCATTCCACCTTTGAGCTCTTTTAGAGCAGTTCGAATAGGTAAAATCCTGATCCAACGCGACGAAGAGACTCATCAAGCCAAGCTCTTCTACGCCAAGCTTCCCGACGATATCGCCCAACGATATTGTCTTTTGCTCGATCCGATGCTCGGTCAGTATCGTATCTTGACTCCTTGGCATTCGACATTCGTGATCTAATCAGAAAGACCTTGTTCTTTCTCAACCTAAAGCCACCGGGGGTTCCGCAATCAAAGCGATCGAAGTCCTCCTCGACCACGGTGTACCCCAAGAACGCATCGTTTTCCTCAACCTCGTCTCATGCCCCGAGGGCCTCGAAGCGATGTACAAGGCCTACCCACATGTGCGCGTCGTGACGGCTTGGATCGACGAGTGCTTGAATGAGAAGAAGTATATCGTGCCTGGGTTGGGAGGTGAGCTTTTCTTGCACCGCATCAGAGGGCTTCGTTTGGAAAGGGAGGGGCGGTGCTGATCGAATCCTTCTTGGTGTGGTCATAGACTTTGGTGATCGATATTTTACATCGGATTGATGCTCGAGCGTCTACAGTACGAAACTACTCAAGCCGCACAAAGTCGGGTCAGAACTGTGATCGGAGTGCCAAGATTAGGTGAAATTGCAAACTATGCAGAAATATGCGGATTATATGCTGTAAAGGACAAGTATGCGGTGCGGTGAACAAAGTGCAGTGTAATGCGAGCTGGGTGCGTCGAGAGTAGAGAAGGATCAGAGCCGAACAAAGCTATCTTGATGGAAAACCCATGCCCTATCGTAGGATCCGTGGTCGGATTTTAAACGTCCCCTCGATCCCAATGAGCGTTCCTACTTGCGGGTCGAGACGAACTCAAGCCACTGGGCGGACGACCGATCTCGGCCCCTGGAGCAGGTGAAGCCGCTCGTACAAAGGAGATGGACAGGTTGGACTTGGCCAAAGGACCGCGACTTGGGATGGCCTTGTTGTTGAACCCAAAAGGAGAAGTAGAGGGAGGGGAGACGGCGATGGGGTGAGGTGCGAAGAAGGCGAGTTCGGTCGGTGGAGTCGCTGTTCTCGATTGGGCGAGGTCGAAGGCCAGTCCATCGGGGTCATCGACGATCGGAGGCATCAAAGTGGGCGAGCCGTAGATGCCATCGTGGTCTTCGACCAAGTCCATGGGGCCGTTGCCATCCGCGTCGATAGATGCTCCGAGGCCAGTCGTCGGTGGCGTGGGCCCCGCTGGCTCCGATGCGGCACGAGCTCGAGCGGCAGCAGCACTGCGAATCTTTGCGAGTTGCTTGGCCTTGGTCCGAGCCATCTCCCATTCGACGCCAGGACCCGCATAAGGAGCAAAGTCGAGTAAGGTTAAGTCGCCCTCGCCGTGTGGACCTTCGGCCACGACCCTCAGCTTCTCCGACAGGTCGAGCGCACGAGAGGCGAACACGATGCGAACGTTGCCGTGGAGGTAGTAGTGGGGATCTGATGACTTGCTCCCGCTCGCGGAGGCGGAAGAGGCCGCCGTCGGTGGCGAGCAGAACTGTAGATGGATGGCGTAGCGTAGTCGCCCCTTGGTACTGGCATCACAGGCTTCAAAGGCATAGCTCTTTTGTCGGACAAATGTCTTGCCGCCTTGGCGTAGACGGTCCAGACCACTTAGGTCGTACGGGATGAGGAAGAGCTTGATCGCGGTCGAGTTGGGATTCTTGACGATCAGTTGGACCTGGCCGCGCACGGGCACACGGTAGCCGGGGAAGCGAGGCAAGGATGGCTTGGAGGTGCTTGGGCCGTCCGCTGCAGCTGAGATTGGCTCATCACAAGGAGACCTGTCGGCGTGGAGAAGGGAGCAGTAGTAAGCCTCGAGGTCGATCGTGCCAACGTAGGGGCTCGAACCCTTCGCTCCGTCCGGGCCGGAGTAGAAGAACGCCTCGAACGGGATATTGAGGTGGGGTGGGCATCTCAATCTCGAAGGCGCATCGGTACGGCCGAGTACTCCGATCGATGCAAGGAATGGGAGTGGGAGCGAGGGCAGGGCGCTGAGTCGGCCCGTCAGAAGGGACTGCTCGAAACTGCCGACGAACGAGCCGTGGGGCACGACGGCCGGTGGCATGGTCCAGCTCATGGCCGATGAAGCGCCGAACGAGGTCGAATGCGCCGAGGCTGACGATCGTCGGCGTCGACTCGATTGGGGTGAAGGGAACAGCGGCGAAGTCGAAGAAGTGCTCGAAGCATTCACACTCGCCGCAGCGGTGCGAGGAGGTGGGTATTGCGCCGAGCTCTTGTGCCGAGCTCCGGGGCCGGCGGCGTAGAACGAGTGTGCGAGGGGTGATCGCGGGGACCCGACGATGACTTGGGGAGCGGACACGACTCGTCGGGCAAAAGGAGGATGGATGGAGCTGGTCGGAGAGGATGGCGAGAAGGAAGGCGAAGGGCGAAGAATTGTAGGGGGCGAGGTCGGAAAGAGAGCGAACTCGTCCGTGCCTGCGGACGATCGACTGGACGACAACAGCACCGCAAACGGTGGTCGGAGATCTCGCAATGGCCCATCGACGATGGAACGCTCGCGGCCGTAGAGTTCGAGCAGCGAAGACGATGAAGACGATGCGATGACGTCGTTCGGCGGTGTTTCCAGTGACAAGACCGATTCGAATGAGGTGTGCATCTCTTGCAAAGGCGCATGGTGTGCCGTCGGCGAGGGGGCGATCGCTATAGGTTCCGATACGACGTTTGCAGTCCGATCCGAGTCATGCACGGCCTCGGATTCATGGTGCCGCATCGGTGATGAGTCGCCTGCAGATGTGTTGGGCTCTCGGCTGGAATCGCCCGCGTGTTGTCGGGTATCTGTGAGACACGGACACCGAGTCAGCGTCGAGCGTCGGTGATTGGTGCACCCCCACCACCGGCGAGAAGGTCACGAGACCACCCGAGCCGAGCACGACGCCGGTCAGCGAGATGTGAGCGCAGCAGGCTACTCACTTTTCTCTCCTCCCCAGCTCATCGGAGCGGGTCGACTAGCGGCTGAAGGACGCACAATCTTGCGGTGGTCTGCGCTGGCGCGAGGAATAGGCTCGGTGAACGGTATGGGAAGGGGCCTGAGCCTGCTCAAGCACGAGAGCTCCCTCCCTGGCGCCCTGGCTTCTCACTTGACTAGACTTGACTTTCTCAGTGATACAAACAGAAGCTCGCGGCAGAAAACTGATGAACGTTCAAAAATCGTATGAAAATTGACAGCCTGATCTCTTGAGTTGCTGCACTCGACATTCTTGGAAATTGGAAATGATTGTACGCCAAGCCGAGAGCTCCGCCTCCGGTCGGATTAAAGTTGGCGTCAACCGTTGACGGAACGATCCTGCGATCGTTTCAACAGGGAAGAGTGCGGGATATGATTCATGGGCCCCAGTGCCGAAGACAGCATATGCATTTTCTTTCAGTATTGTCGCTAGGGCCCACTTTCGAATATTACCGCGACAGGTAATTCCGAGGTTTCACCGCCGTCTCACGTGGCACCGTCCCAATCGTCAAAACCTCGGGCGCAGCGCTGTGTTGAAGTTCGCTTCCTGACCTCCGTGTGTGCACACAGTGCATCCGACCTCGACCGCCCACGATGACCGATTCCGCAGGACTGAGGCAACGGAAAGCCGCAGTAGCCTCATCCTCGTCTTCCTCGGCGACACGCGATGCCTCGAATGTCCGTGGGACCGACGATGAGGCGGAACATGAGTCGGCGTCGTCGCGGCGCACCTCGATCACGTCGATACCCATCAAGGAACGAGAAGCCCCTCTCTCGCGAGGGCGCAGTGTTCTGACTGTGCTCCTGTTCCTCGTCATCCTCGTGCCGCTGCATTGTGGTCAACTTCTGTTCTACCCGCTATCGTTCGTGCCTGGTCAGTTCTCGTGCGGTCTTCTTGCCCTTGCATTTCAATCTTCCCCATGAGACCATGCGGTGCACCGACGAGCGCGTATCGGCACCGTGTGGGGCGATGCCCATAATCGTTGCGCGCCGAACGGCTCACAAGAAGCGCCTACGAAAAACACGCCACTCCAATTAACATTCCACTGGGATGGCGAACAAGTCTAGTGTGTGTGAAACTCATTATAAATGCCTTGGCTTTGCAGGTGGCCTTCGAGAACTGTACTGGTGGGGCATCGAGCGCACCAGCGAAACCTTCTCGACCTTGCTCGTGTTCATCTGCGCACCGTCCAAGATCGTCCTGACCGTCGACGACTCGCTCGACCTCGCCGAGCTGTACAAGAAGGACCCGGAAACCGGTTCCATGAAGCTCAACTTGGACAAGCGAGCAGGTGAGCAATCTACGCTTGCATTGTATTTCCAAGCCAGTTGGCGGTCCCGTCGACCTGACCTAGAAAAACCGAAACTTACATGACCACCGAATTGCTCCCGTACAGTCTATATGAGTAACCACCAGATGTACGCCGATTGGATCTACACCTGGGCCCTCTTCCACGCCGCTGGATTGCACGGCTACGTACGAATCTTCCTCAAGGCCTCGCTCAAGCACATCCCCATCGCAGGACCGGCGATGCGTCTGTGGTCCTTCATCTTCCTCAAGAACTGGACCCAGGACCGCGAGTCCGTCGGGAACCAAATCTTCCACCTCGGTCGACGCGCCCAACGCCACGATCGCAAGATGGCCATGCTTATCTTCCCCGAAGCGACGCTCGTTTCAGTTCTGACGAGGCCGAAGAGCAAGGCGTATGCCGACAAGATTGGCGTTAAGGACTTGAGGCACTGTCTGTTGCCCAAGTCGACCGGCCTTCTTTTCACATTGAGGACACTCAAGCTCAAGGTTGACGATCTTGCTCTGTATGATATCACCGTGAGTCGCTCATCGCGAGATTGTCATCGAGTCTCCTGGACCTGACTCTGCTTTTCATACCTCGGTCTGCTCGCGCTGTAGATTGGTTACCCGGGTATCCCATCAGGGGGCTATGCCCAATCCTACTATACCCTGCAGTCTATCTTCGCTGCCAGCCAAGGTCCGGATCAAGTTTCGATGCACCTACGCAAGATCAATCTAGCCGACATCCCGATCGGCAACGTTGATCGTTCACTCACGCCCGTCCAACTTGACGACGCCTTGACGGCCGAGGAACGCAAGACTTTTGACGAGTGGGTGCGTGCGAGGTGGACGGAAAAGGATGAGCTCATGGATGGGTATTACAAGACGGGAGCGTTCGAGGCCAAGGAGTCGCAGCGCACCGAGTGGCCTGTCAAGGTCACCAGTTGGGACGATTGGGTCAGTCCACGTTCCCTGTTTGGAATCATCTTACCCCTTGCGGGCGACCTCATGATCGTCTTCCTCATCGATGTACCCGCAGTTGTCGATCGCCGCGCAAGTATTCGCCCTGTACGCGATCTGGCGCATCTCGGTGTGGTCCTGGCGATTCTACCACTCGAGCCCGAGCGGAGTATCCCCCTGGAAGTCGATGTGGAAGCTGTACACCGACGCGGTGATGCAGAACTACCTCAAGACGCCTCCGGGCGTAGGGGATCATCCTCTTGGGGCTCCGGGTCCTGCAGGTGCCGGAATGGGTGCGGCGATGGGGATGTAAAGAAAGGAGTGAACGACTACAACGCAACCTTGTTAGTTGTTTGGTGACAAAGATTCGGATTCCTGCTTGCATCGCTGAAATCGAGTATGTATCGACGTCATCATATTTCATCTAATCTTGAATCATCGTGCTCATCGAGCTCATCAAGCTGGAATTCAGTAAAGTTTAGGGACGTTCTCACTGGAGATCACATGAACTTGCTGGCCATCCCCATCAACCCAGCCAATCCACCACTGTTCGCACCCCCGATCGCACCACTAGCCTGACTCTTGAGCAACAGCTGCAACGCCATCTTGCCGGCGGAGCCGACGGCATCTTGCTTGGATCCACCGTCGCCGGTGCCACCGTTCTGGTCGAACAATTTGGATGCCTCGGCCATGGCTTGCGAGATGAGTTGGGCTTGGAAGCCTCCTCCGCCACTGCTTTGGCTTTGTTGTTGGCCTTGGTTGCCCGAAGTAAATTTTTTCATCGCTTGCAGGGCAGCTGTGAGAAGTGGCGAGAGGAAGGGTTGCGTATGGGGGATCAGGGATAGGCCGGTCGCGACGCGCGCGGGGAAAAAGGAGAAGATTTTTCGTCTGAACAGAGTCCGAAGCGTCATCAATCCCCTTGAAACCCGATGTTGATCACTCACCAGCGGCACCTAATCCATTGGTGCTCATGTTGGACGAGTCCTGATCGCCATAGGCCTGGGCATGGGCTTGTTGCGCCGCTTGCTCGTCGATGTCGTTATTCTCGTGTTGGCCCTGCTTGACGAAGTGCATCGCCTGCGCGAACATGCCTTCATCTTCGCCCGAGTGGCTCGAGGCGAGTGAAGCGATTTGGTCGAAGTCGACTGTAATAGTGGGAGGGGGGTTCGGGCGACGCGTGTCAGTGCATGTTGGGCATCGACTACGACGCGTCGCGCGGGCGCTTGAAGTGGGGCACAGCCTCGCCGCACTGGGCCGTTGACATCGACATTCGAGATGTGCAGGTGAGCGCCGCATGAGTGGGGAAACCAGAGGCAGGAGACGGAAATTGCCCCCACACCTGTCCACCACGACCACCGCAGACCGGGAAGCTATACTTACATCCACCTCCGCCACCAGATTGGTTCTCTTGAGGGGGTCGGTTGTTATCAGCACTGTTGAGCGCGGACGAGCCCTGGATGCCGAAGTCGCCTCCGCCCTGGCCCTGGTGCCCCTGTTGCGACGCCTCGTATTGCTTGTACGCGCCTTGGGCCATGCTCATGATGTTATCCATAGTGAAGAGAGTGGTGTGGGTGAAGTTTGTGCGGTGGGTTGGATGAGATGAGATGAGATGGGGACGAGTGAAAGCAGCAAGAGCCGCCACGGCGACTCCGCCGATATGACGTGGCCTCGCCGGAATTCAAATGAACCGTACGTGGGCACCGGGGCGACCGCCGGTACCGCTCGATGCGACAATCGTGCATCAACTGACTCTTCCGGTTGAAGGGCCCGAGCTCCGCACCGGAGTTATCTGACGTGTCATGCTGGAGATGGACGTATTTCGGTCCCGTGACAAACTCTTACCTTTCAGAGACAAGCCGTGTACACCCGCGGTCTTACCCTTCAAAGAAAATCCGTGAACACCCGCGAACTTCGCGTATTTCGCCACTAATACCTCTCGTTGAATTAAGCTGCGGGCGCTGTGCTGACAGAAAACCTCCAAGATCTCGCAGGACTACACAAACTAGTAACGAAAGTCAATCTATAAAACCAGAACCCTTTCATCACCATAACCCCACTGTATGTGCTACCTCGGCATGTCCTCCATCCTCCGAGAAAGTTGCTTCGAGTCGACCAGCACTTGTCGGAGAATTTCCCAACGATATGAACCACATAACGAGTCTCCACCGACGCTCGTGAGCTCGATCGACCTCTTTCTTCCCTAGGAGGTCACTCATATCGCCTCAATTCCGAAGCGAAGAATCAAAGAACCCGGCCCATGTGCGAGTGCGACCGCCCCAACTTCCCCTTCGCACTTTCTTCTCCGCATCCGCACGCTCCAGGTTCATCAAATAAACTTGCTCGTCCAACGACATCCTGGGAGACGAGGAGTTCCGTTCGATTGTGGTATGGTTGGGTAGACTGTACAAACTCGATTTGCGCCACTTGGTGGGAGAATCGGACTCTACCGATTCGATCGAGCTCGAGCTCGACCTTGACCTGTCGGATGAGAAAGTCGAGAGCGAAGACGACGACGAGTTGCGTCCCTCCGAGGAAACGGTCGATCCATCCCAAGTCTCGTCGTCGGAATCCTCTTCCTTCGTTGCTCCATCCAATAGCGCTTCCAGGGACTTGATCATCTCGTGTCCGCTCGAGGTCAGACTTCGAATCGCGTCGGAAGATGACCGGCGCATGGAAGCGAAAGCTCTGATCCTCTTGCCCAAATTACTGAGAGCGGAGCTCGTCGAAGTGGCTGACACCGTTGTGGCAACACTTGCCGTTCTATTCCGACTCGAGTTGATGGATGGTGGCGGCGGGGCGCTGGATGATAGCGGAGGTTGGATGAAGCCGGATCGACGATGAGGCCGTGGTTTTGAGGAGATAAGCGACGTCGCAAGCTTTGACGGCTCGGAGGACGTGTGATCGAGCTCATGGGGAAGCGCTAGTTGCTGCGATCCCCTGGTCGACGGAAATGGGATCCGATGACGTACATTCAAAGTCAGCTCCCGAGGCAGAGACTTGGAAACCTTGCGGTCATGCGAAAATGGGTCTGCGATGGAAGCCGACATCCTCATCGCTGCGCCCGCACAACACGAATAAGCTTTCCATCAGCCCAGCTCATATCCATAGGACACACACTGCCATTGACCCACCCTTTCTTGCCTTCTTGACACTCAAACAAATCGCCCATAACCTCAACTCCCTCTCGCCTAACGACGCCCCGGACTCATGCTCACTAAAGCGATCCCCTTTGATCATCTGATTCCTCAACGTCTTCTCCGCCGTCGCTCGAGCAAGATGTTCGTACATCCTATACTCCTTACATTCGGGTTCGAAATCGGTGTACCATTCCGGTAAGAACAAAGGTCTAGGATCGATGCGGTTGAGAAAGCGAATCGAGACGACACCGTCGTTGGGGCATTTCGAGTCGAAGGATCTGGTTCGGACGTAGTGATGATGGTGCGGTCGAGGGTCCGGGGTATGGGTAGGCCGCTCGAAGGCTAAGGGTGAACGACGATAGGATTTTCGAGTCCATTCGTAGGCTCGTGGGTGCGTAGGAGGTAGGTACTGCCCCGTCGGGGATTGCCGCAAAGAGGCCGGTGGGCGGGGGGCAATCCAGCCCGTGGTCGGACATGAGGATGGGGTTTTGCCGCCGACGGATGCGACTCGGAAAGGTGGTGACGGTGGCCGAGGTGGGACTGGAAGACTTGGATGTGGTAGAGGGAGGTAGGTCGGTAGATTATAGGACGGCATGGTGGGGTAGGGACCTCAAGGGTGGCGAAAGTGGCTCGGAGACGATTGCGTGCGACGGGTGGTGCGGCAAGAGTGCGTCGAGAAGAAACGGAAGACGACAAGACGAAGCAGGGAAGCTCAGAGCGAGCTAGGAGATGGACGAAGGCGAAGGCCAAGGACGTGGCAGGTAGCAAGATAGTGACTAAGGGAATGATCAAATAAGGACAGAGGGAGTGGATGGGTGGGACAAGATTATGAGGCGATAGCGAGTGACGACGAACGGGAACGATCCCTCCTTTGATGAGCGCAGCCAGGGTAGGGGCCCACTCGATCTCCGCGCGCCGCACCTGTGCGGGCTAGCGATGTCCCGAGGGAAGATCCAAGCCTGGCCAAGCTCGCAAGCAGGCGGGCGGAAGAGAGCAACGAGTGAGCGTGGGGAGTGGAGGACCAGTGCTCGAGAGTTGAAACCGTCCCAGTCCGTCCTAGTTGCGACCTAGGCGGCGGCGCGCGCGCGCGAGCGCGTAGATCTAAAACCCTGTCGCAGGAGAGGAGACAGCTGGTCACCGTCACCCGTTGCGGCCACGCTCGGGGACAAATCCCCCTATCCGTACGACACGCCTCCCTGTTCTGGAAATCTTCGCAACGGGTTTCGCAATCATACCCAGATCATCACCTCCGGAACGGATAAGTCCTTGATGGTTCCGGTCTGATGTTTTCCATCCCGATTCTTTCTCTTTAAGATGGCGCAGAGGGCAAACCGGCCCTACGAGGATAGTTCAGGGCCGGGGCCGGGAGTGGTGGTGTGGTGGTGTGGTGACATCAGGGCCCCCAACAGCCGCGCGTCGGGCAGGCGGTGCCTCGGGAAGCAAAAGTTGCTCGCCAGGAGGAAGAGTGAAACAGTGATGTTCCGTCGGCCTGTTTTCCTCTTTTATGACTCGTTAATCTCTCGCGGTCGACGGTAATATCCCGCATGCCTCCTGTATTGGACTCTGATTTGTTACACTGGCACCGAATAGGCCGAGGCTAGCTGACCGTCTTCGCTAGATTCACGTGGTAGGAGGGTTTTACAGGGCGCCGCGTCGGCTTTCGAGGTTCTTGACGATAAAGAGGGATGTGTCGAGGAATCGATCGACGCAGTTGACCAGACATGACTCTTCCCCTCTTGAGAAACGACCGCCGATCGAGCCCGTGATGCATCTGGGGATGAGTTGACCATGCCCGTTCAGTTTCGTGAGAGGGTTAGAGCTGCGCCGAGCCGAGTCAATCACAACACCACTCACTTGTCCCAGCACATGTCGGTGAAGGTGTGGATCGAGGTTTGTAATCGAGCCTTGGTCTGTTCCTGCTCGAGGAAGGCTTGCAGTTCGCGCTGTTGCAGGTGCACAAGTGAGGAGGTTCGTGAGCATCGTCACGGGGGGGGGCCAGGGACAGGTGGGTGGGGTGTAAAGTACCTGAGTTGCGGCGTCGAATTGTTCAGTGGATGCGGGTGCTTGAGGTGCGGACATGGTGTACGTGTATGTATCTGTGTGTACGATGCGGGGTCCGGGGTGGGGAGGTGTTGCAGCTGAAAGCCGATTCGTGAGCATTGCTCGACTTGGCGCGCGCTTGCAGGCGCTTGCGAAAGCAGTCGGCTGTTAGTAGTCGGCTTGGAGCTCCCGTTCCAGCTCTCGCTCCTTATCGACCAGCTCGCCTTTGACGACGCCCACCTACAAGCAACCTCACAAGCTAGGCATGTCGATCCGATCCGTCACTGCAGCACTGTGGTCCTCACCCTTGGTCGCGTCGACAATAGGCGGTGGCAGCACTCGTTCGCTCTCGTGCACGGCCTCGACCTCCGCCAAGAAAGTGCTGTCACCGCTGCACAAGACCTCGATCGAACGAGCACGACGAGCCGAGAGGTTGAGTGGTGGAAGTGCGAGTGGGAGTCAGACGAACAGCATGACCCTGAACGAGGCTGCTAGGACACTGCAGGTGAGCGTCATCCCAGCATCCAGCTGCCCCGCTGAAACAATCCAGTCGAGCTGATCCCGAGACTCCCATGTGCAGGCCTTATCACCTACGACCCCGAATGCCGCTTTCGAGGTCAACATCACCACCAAGCCTGTCGCGACCGTACAACTCAACGCCCTTCGAGGTCGAGTCTTTCTGCCGCACTCGTGCATGTCCGCGACCAAATCGACGCTGCTCGTCGTCTTCGCCTCGGGCCCCGCCGCCGCCGCCGCTCGTCAAGCAGGTGCCGACGTCGTAGGAGGCGAAGAGTTGATCCCCAAGATTCTCAATGGTGAACTGTCACCGGACAAACTCATCACCACACCCGAACTGTTGCCGTTGATTCAGAGGAATCCGACGCTTGCAAGGATGCTCGGCCCGAAGGGTTTGATGCCTAGTGTTAGGCGTGGTACCGTCGTGGAGAACGTCGCAAAAGGTGTACAGGAGGCCCGTAACGGGTTGGATTGGAAGGGGGACTCGAAGGGTGTCGTCAGAGCAGGTACGACATGAAGTCGATCCGGAAGTGAGAGAATCCCGCAGGCACTAACGAGCTCTCAAACTTCCTTCACTCAGCCATCGGGAGACTGCACTTTGACGTCGAGAAGCTGCAAGACAACGTTCACACACTCTTGGCGTCCGTATCGGACATCTCATTGGGCGGTTCTGGTGCCGTCAAGGATTCGGCTGCAAGGGCAAAGCGACGTGAGTTTTTCATTGAACTGTTTCGTTCCCATTCGCCGAGAGCTGTTCTGATCTCTCTCTCTTCCCATTCAGCCGCCATCACTAGAGTGATGTTGTCATCGACGCAAGGCCCCGGTATCTTCTTGGCTGATGTCTGATTGTTTTGGGGATGGAATTGTACACCCAAGTGGCACGAAGTCCAGAGATTGTCCACCCCGTCCGACTTGAGAGCTCTGATCAGGCACCGCAGTTCCATCAAAATCAAACCTGTTCCCCAACCATCTGTTCACTCAGCTCCCACAACTTGGCGGCGTTCTCCTCCGACAGAGCGTACTCTTTGGCGACGTCGTCGGCGAGTTGGCAATCTTCGAGGTAGCCGCCATTTGACTCTAGGCGAGAGAGAAAGAGCTTGCCATGTCAGAGGGGGCGTCATAAGGTTGTCAAATCGGTATGAAGTTCAAGCCTTACCTAGGATTTCGTCGTCGAATGCCGCAACGATATGCCTGCACCGAGTGTCGACACGACGTCGGTCAGCCGCCGCCCCCGTTTTGGGCAGATTACTCCAGCGAATGGTGGCACTCACGTTGAAGTCCCTTGAGGGACGTCCTTGGACTCTGAGTTCCCTGCCTTTCTATTCCCGTCTTCGTCAATGATCCCTGCCGACTTTTTGTGCTCCAAGGACAAATCCCGAGTAAGATTCGTCATGATCCCACCTGGATGAAGTGAGAAGGTCGGCACATCCCATCGTTCCTTGAGCTCGACGCTATAGAGCATATTGGCCGTCTTGGCTTGGCCATACCCCAACCAAGGATCATACGCCTTCCCGTCCCCAAAGTTGATATCGTCGAACCGCACGGGACCGCAGACATGTCCCCTCGAAGAGACGTTGACAATTCGGCACTTGTCCGCCAAACGAGGTCGGATCAGCCCCGTGAAGAGGAAATGACCCAAGTGGCACGTCGCAAATTGCGCCTCGTAGACATCGAAGGTTTTGGTGTAGTGTTCCAAGCCCATGATACCGGCGTTATTGATGAGGACGTCGATGGTCTCTCTGTAAGCGAGCACCTCCTTGGAGGCTTCGCGGACGTTCGACAGCGAGGCGAGGTCGATGATGAGCGGCCTCAAGGGAGCCGAAGGGGTTTCGGAGTGAATTTCCTTGATCGTTTTTTCGATACTGAATGAACGTTCGAGAGTGAGTTGTGTCATATGCGAAACCCCGGAACCTGTCTGGGGTTTGGGTTCCTCGGACTCCGATCGAGTCGTGTGGGGCTTCAGTCTTCCGTTCGACGTACTTCGTTGTGGACCGACCGGCCAAGATGATGCGTTTGGGATTGTGTAACGCAATCACCCTAGCTGCTTCGGCACCTAATCCACCCGGTGAACCTAGCAGACCATGGTCGGCAAAGCCACATTGGGCGGTTAGTGTGAGCCTCGCCAGATTGGTTGTCGCAGCTTGACTCGACCACACTGACCGCCGGTGATGAGCACGACCTTGCCCTTGATCTTGTCGCTGTAATACTCGGCCGCTTCCTGTGCGGTCGTCTCTGCACCAAAGTGGGATGGCGGCATATTGTTCGCGGTGTCGTGACCGGGACCCTGGGTGGGTCGTTGAGTGGGAGGACGAGCGGTGCCAAGTGACGCTGGCGCGTCGAACTGACGTCAAGTCGGTCTGTTCTGTGTGAGTTTTGTGACTTTGTCTTCGGCATGCGGTCTCTGAGATCGTGACGTCGAATCTGGAGCTTTGCCAGATTCTGATGCTTGCGAACGTGGCAGTGCGAAGTGAATGATGCAAAGCACTACTTTCCGGACGGCGAGTCCTCCATAAACTCGAATGTGTTGCACACGACCGTGTCCGTCGCCACGCGTCCGAACTTGAAGGCGCTGCTGCAAGTCTGCTGCAGTGGGCTCGGTCGTCGCCCCAAAATCGCCAGAAATCGCCTCGCGCGCTTGTTGCTTGGGCCAGGCGGGACTGAAAGCGCACTTGTTCTTTCCCTTCCTCGACTAACAGCGACTGGCGGCCATCCAACCCCCCCCACCCCCCCCCCCTCCGTCCAGCCAGCAGCACCTTGCCTCTTTTGGCCTCGTCGACCACCTGAACCCGGGCGGCGATGGCACCTTCGATGGGTGATGCGGCGTCGACAACATCGATGCCCCCACCGACCGCTGGTACCACGACTGCAACTGCGCACCCAACCTCGAAAGCAATAGCGGCCGGAGCGACACCAACGACGACGACGACGACGACAACGACGACGACAGCCGTTCATGAGCAATCGCCCGAGGCACCGCACCCTCACGCCATGATGACGAGTGACGAGGTCGATGCTCTTGTTCATTCCTACCTCCAAGAGTCGGGTAAGTGACGGGGTCAGGGCGAGGCGCGAGGCGGGGCACCGTCCTGGGTGGATCTGGGCCTGGCGCGGGCGAGTATTGTGTGTGATGCCTGGCGGGCGGACGACCCACGACGACCCAGCACGACGACGACGACGACGACGACGACGATGGGGACGCCAATCCGATGGATGAATGTCACACTCCCCGCTCGACGTGTCCCGACGTGTGCAGCGAATTCCGGGAACATACATGATGGCATGTTGGGTCGGCCATGGTGCGTTGCAGTGTACGCACGGGGGCATCGGTCACGCCCTCCCTCCGCCCCTTTGCCCGCCTGCTCGCCGCCCGCCATTTGACGTTTCGAGCCAGCGCGAGCGCCAACACAAAGCAGCCCCATGGGATCGTCGCTGTCGTTCCCAACCTCCGGCGCTCAAGCTTCATTCCGACCCACCACATTATCAACATCAACTGACACATCACTGCCTCTCGGCTCCCGCAGGCTACACTCACACAGCCTTCTCGCTCATGCACGAGTCGTCGCTCGCTGGTCCGACCTCGTCGTCGTCCTCGGCGGCTTCGACACCCATCAACGGACGCAAGAACGCCCTCAATGCAGTGCTCGACCACTCGATCCCGCCAGGTCATCTCGTACGGATACTGCAAAAGGGGCTGCTCTACCTCGAAGCGGAGGCACGGTATCGAGGCGTCAGTCCAGCACACCCGCTCCCAAGTGATCACTTTACCAACGTCCCTCGACTCGCCAGCTGACTTGATCTCTACATCGTGCGGTCTTCATAGGACCCCAAGGAACTTTCACCACGGTTGATCGGGTACACGATCCCCAACACAATGCCGCTACCACCGTTACCCAGGGTCGTGCACAAGCAGCCCTCGCCCACATTACCCACAGCGACAACAACAGCTGCGAGCGCCGCCCAATCCACCTCAACACCATCCACTTCTTCCGCTGTTCCACCCCAGCAACCGTCTGAACCCAGCGCAGCCGCAGCAGCACCTCGAGCGTCGACCCAAGCAACCTCTTCGAACAAGTCCGAAAAGGCCAAGGGAAAAGAGAAGGAGTTGAGCGCCAGCTCGACATCCAATCTGAATGGCAAGCGAAAAGGATCGGACCGGGACTTTGTCAGCTCCGAGGTCGGCAAACGACCCAAGATGACCGCCAGCGACGGCTCCTCCAAGCGAGGACCCAAAGCGAATGGCGCCCATGCCGATGATGCGATGGAGGTCGACGCGGCGTCACCGGCTGCCCCGACGACGACCACGGCGACGACGAAGAAGAATGGACATTCTGCCAGTTCGACACCTCGGTCCGTCTCTCCGAACGTGCAGAGAAAACCGAAATCGATCCAAACAAGTGCCGATGGCGTTGCCAATCCAAAAAAGCGACCCACATCAATGTCGAGCACCGGGGCAGGGTCGGCCAGCGTCACGTCGACACCGACGAGTCCATCCGATACGACAACACCATCCGATCGTAGGGCGTCATTGCCCGACGGGGAGAAGCGTAGTCATGCCGAGCTGGTCAAGATCAAGGCCGAAGATGGCAGCGCACTCGACGATTCGAACGACAAGAAGAAGAAGAAGCGGGGTGCTAAGCCTTCGAACGGGCCACCGCATAAGCCTAGCTCGAGCGACTCGGCCGAAGTCTTTCCGACGGTCGACACATCGAGAGCGTTGAAGTGGTCGGCGGAGAAGGGGCCTGTCAGGTTACTGCAGGGTCACACGATCGCGGTGAGTGCCTTGCGTGCTGGTCACCTTTAGCCAGAGGGTGCAAATGCTCATTCGAACCCCCTTACTCGAATCTTCTTGCAGAAAATTCAAGCTTGCGCATGGAACCCCAAGGTGCCATCTCTTCTCGCAACGGGTGCCACGGACTCGACATGCCGGATATGGGACGTGCCTTCCACACGAGCATCTTCGTCCTCGCAGCATCGAGACGTGCTCAAGGACAACATCACACTGAAGCACTCGTCGGCACAACGACGCGTCGACGTGGGCGCAATCGCCTGGGATCCCAGCGGGTCGTTGCTCGCTACAGGAAGCGAAGATGGCATCGCCCGGATCTGGACTGCTTCCGGTGATCTGCATCTCGTCCTGTCGATGCATCAACGCGCAATCTTGTCTTTGCAGTGGAACCGGCTTGGAACGATGCTTCTGACGGGGTCGATCGACGGTACCGTCTGCCTCTGGGAGATCAGCAGCGGCAAGGTCAAGCAGCAGTGGGCGACGCACGCCGATTCGGTGCTGCATCTCGACTGGAACGACGATCAAACTTTTGCCAGTGCCTCGTCGGACAAGACCATCCACCTTTTCAATGTCGCACGCATCACACCCGTCTATCGCTTCAAAGGGCATCGCGATGACGTCAACTATGTCAAGTTCTCGCCGTGTGGGACCTTGCTCGCTTCGGTGTCGGACGACTATTCGCTTCGTCTGTGGTCACTGCGCAACATTCCCGGGTTCCAAATCGAGGAATCCAAAGCCGCCGTTGACCGCGACGAGGAGCACCTCATCGACAGCGAGGACAATGGTGGTCAGCTCGTGCTCGATGGCCACACTGCCGATGTCCACGCTCTTGCATGGTCTCCTTCTGCGACCGCACGACCCCGGCTCGTCGCTTCGGCCTCGTTCGACAACACGGCTCGACTGTGGGATGCCGATGCGGGTGTCTGCTTGCACACGTTCGCGTTCCACTCGGACTGGCTTTATTCAATCGCATTCTCTCCCAACGGCGCGTTCCTTGCGACCGGATCGAACGACGGCAAGTTGCTCGTGTGGCGCGTCAAGGATCGCTCTTTGCACCTCGAATACACGCACACGGGACCCGTCTACGAGCTCGCGTGGAAGGCCAATGGGAAACAAATTGCTGTATGCGGCAAGTCGCACGACGTTGGCGTCATTGATTTCGACGAGAGCAAAGGTGGAGAAGGGGGAGCCGCTGCCGCTGGGAAGGATGCGAACCCCCCGAGTTCGACTTGAGCCGTTGCGGTAACTCAAAATTGTGTTGGGTCGAAGCGAAGACGGGTGAAAGGGTTGAGCCTGGTCGCACCATTTGCGTAGAAGACAAAAATGCCGGATTCCTGAGTCCTGAAGAATACAAAGTCCGCTCGTTGTTGTTGTTGTCTTTCCCCTGTAACCATTCGCCGAGCTTTATGAATCATTCTGAGGCTCCTGATGGTGGACGCTCGGTTTGGCAGTGGATGGTGCGCAGCAACGACCCGAGGTGTCGGACCCGTGAAGTGGGGCGGACGAGGTTGTTCGGCGATACGGGCAAAGAGGGTCCATGGCGCGAGTTGTTAGATCTCACCATCCCAAGTGGCTTGATCATTCCCTCGAATCATCCGATTTCTTAGCATGGCTGTGCCCCATGTTCCAAAGCTCTTTGCCCGCTGGCAATTTCTTGGCGCGCTTGGATTTTGGGACCGACGCTTCCGATCACGGTCCCGTGTTTCCGGGACACCGTCCGGACGCGGTCCGTTCGACGTCAATAACCTTGTCTTGACAACAGACTCGCAAGTTCATTACCAGACGGACTTGCTTAACTGGAGCAATTTCATGGTGACTTTTGTAGAAAAATTACCTTGTAATTGCAACCTCGCGGTGTTGCCTACGGAGTTCCGAGTCGAGGACCCGCTCTCCCGAAATAGGCAACCCCTGACAGTCTGTCAGGATCAACAGCAATCTTAGATTCTCGCAGTGGGCACAGGCCCCAGGGCATGTCGAAACTTGTAATCAGCCGCGCTCGCTCTTGAGCATGAGCACGGTCATTGGTCAAGGCCGACTGAGTCACTGCTTCAGCCTTCGGGCCGCCGGATTTTTGTGCGTACGGACTTCGATCACCTTGCGTTGTGTTTTTGTTCTCTTTCTCTTCTACTCGCCCTCCCCCGTCTCACCCCTCTGGGCGATCGATACGCAGGAGCGACGGCCGACTTTGAACATAACGCTGGTAGCCTTTTCTGCGACCGGCCGAACTTAAGTCAAGCTTTGAGCTGGCTCATCTCGGGGTCCTCGCGCGCCTGCGTCCGTTGTCTGCGTCGAACGCGGCACCTCGTGCGCCGGCTTGCCTCGTGCCCATCTCATCGTCCACGCGTCGGCGGCTTCAGGCTCAGTCTGTGCCTCAACTCCGGCCTCGCCTCGTCCTCCCACCTGCGCCTTAGTCGACTGCAGTGGCAATACCATCTCTCTGCGATTTCAGGACGACTTTCGAGGCTGTTGCGTGAGCTTCGCGAGAAGAAGAAGCGAGCTCGAACGCGCCCCGTGCGACCGACCCGTTCGTAACACGCTCGCGCCCAGCGCCAACCCGCCCGCGGTCGAAATCGCGACGATCTGCTCGCACCGATCGGTCCACATCACCCGCATCGTCTGCTTCCACTGGGTCAAAGTCCCGCGGCACGGCTAGTTTGAACAGAGTACGCAGGAGTAGGATCACCCTTGGGACGCCTTCCTGTGCGAACGTGCCTAGAGGAAACACGCGAAGGCCAGTCACCCGACCGCGAGTCGCAGCAGCGAATCGCATCGCATCGCATCGCATCGCATCGCATCGCATCGCATTTGCAGCTCTACGACCGACCGACTCGGACCGACTCGGACCGAGATGGGTAGCATCTACAACAGACGGATGCAATCGCACGTCGCACCGGGCTTGCACGTGTTGGCGCAGGAGGAACTGCTCGTGGAGGATCTCAAGGTCGCGGCCGTGGGCGTGGAGAGGCCGTTGGACGCGATCAATAGGGTACGTCGTCGCCGTACAGGCTTCTCTTCCCTTGCGTGCGCAAGCCGTCGACCGCATGTTGAAGAAGAGGTGTCGGGATGACCTTTCTCTCTGTATGGCGTGCACGTGTGTCCATGCCCTCGTACTAACGCGTGCCACTCATTTGACCCCTCGTCTCTCACCCCGATCGTCTTGGCTTTACCGTTTGCGGTTGTGCTTGGTCGCGCCATGTCCATCCCGACGCGACATACACCATTTTTTCCACCCGTCTACAGTATTCACGTATGGCCGACTTTGCGCCGCACATCCCCGATGGTCGTCGCCAGTCGCGTATGCCCGTCGACCTGATTGACCCCTTTGGCTTCGACGCCGGCTCCGAGGGATCACCTTACGACACGGCACTGCAGTACTCGGTCAACGAACGCGTGCGCTCCTCGTTTCTGGGGCCTACACCGCCGAACGGGCTCGCTCCGAGCCCCATTTCTTCGAGTTCGAGGAATTCATCGTGCTTCACCAGCTCCGGGTCGACCCTGGGCAACGGCTCGACGACCGCACCGTCGTCGCCCGCGACGAGTCCCGTTCCATGGAAGACCCCTGAGGCGCCGTGGGGGTCCAAGCAACGCAGCTCGAGCTTTGGCGAACCGCAATCGCATCGTGCCTCGGTCAGGGCGAGCTTCATGGCGGGTGCAAATGGGACCAAGAAGCAAGGCAATGCAAGCGCTCGGCCCCCTTTGTTGACGGCGGGGGGCAGTCAAGGCCGAAGCAAATTGTCGGGAGAAATTCATGCCGATGTGAGCGCTCATTCTCGCGTCATTCGAAGCTCCGGACCAGGCTCACTGACTGATCTTGGCTTTCCCGTTCCCCGAGTGCACAGAACATGTCACTCGCGGACACGACAACGAGCACTCTACCTCCAAATATCGAATACACGCACTCCAAGCTCTATCAACGCACGCTCAAGGCGCAGAAGGCGCTCGAGAAGGAACGGGCCAAAGCCGCTGCCAAGGGAAAGATCAGCAAAGTTGACCTACAGGTACAGACCCAAGATCTCACCAGTCGCGCCGATCGGAGAAAGTCCAACGCCGGCTCGTTCGTTTCCGACGTCGGCGGGTTCAGGAGCCGCAGCTCGTTGGGGTGGTTCAGATCGAGTTCCGAGGCAACATTGCCCTTGCCGCCGCCGCCAGCGAGCTTTGCAGCACCCCCGATACCGACCTCTCGATCCGTGACCCAACTCCCCTTGCCTTCACCGACCTACTCTCTCCCACTCCCTCCGTCACCTGGGCTCGACCCTAAGTACGCAACCCAGCCACAGCCGGTGCCTCACCCTTCGCCCGAGCATCGTAGTCAGCGGACGCCGTCGCGACAGGGTCCGAACTCGGCCACACCCTCGAGGATGTCGTCTCCTGCTCCTACGACCGATAACCGACGCAGCCGCGAGGCTTCGAGCAACAGCATTGCATCGCGGGGCACCCGTCCGAGCGCAGCCACCCCGATCCCAACCGCGGTTCAAATGTTGGCGGCCTCGGTGCCATTGCCGGAGACACCGAAAAGTGAGACACCGCAAGCCTTTTCCCTGCCGCCCTCGGCGTCTGACCAAGATCTACCTCGAGCACCTTCATCGAACTCGATCGACCGCAAAGTCGAGACACCGATACCCATTCCTACCGAACCGAGTTCTCCCGTCAAGCTGATCCCCAAGTCGGCTTCGCGAAACAGCCTCAAGACGGGGCATGCACGCATGCCGTCCTCGAGCTCTCGTCAAAGCGATCACGACATGGAGTCCATAGCTACGCCACCGCCGAGACGTCGCGACCCGTCGCTTCTTGCAGAGCGAGGCGAATTGACGAACCCGCCCCCTCGTGTCTCTTCTATCTATGCCGACACTGGTGTGGAACCCATACTGATGCCGCAGCAACGCGCCGTGGACCCACCGGCTACATCGTTGACGACCGCTTCGACCGAGTCGCTGCCCGCTGCACCGTTGACTCCTCCTCTCGACGAACACATCAAGCCCATTGCTCAAGCGCAATTTGCAACGAAACCGCCCGTCGACCTGCCGGCGCCCATTCAAGACAAGACTCCTGCTCTGCTCGGTCCTCCGATGATCGAAGCAATCAAGCGCCCGCGCAAATCATCGTTCCGGTTCTTTGGAGTGGGCAAGAAGGACGAGAATGAGCGTTTGGCGAATCCCACGATGAAGGACTCGACCAACTCGAATCGATCGACGCAGTCCGCGCCCGTGTTATTGAGCAAGAGCCCGAGCAGGTCGATCCGGCAAACGTTCTTTGGTCGTTCGCAGCGCGCCGTACCGACCTTGCCTCCGAGCGTGCCTTCTTCACCGAAGTCGAGTTCTCGCACGGCCCCATTCTCCAACGGCTCGAAATCGATGCCTGCTTCGCCCATAAGATCGAGTAACATCCGACCGCGCGAACCTATGTCTGCACTCGCCTTTGATCAACAGCAACAAGACTTGCCCTCGGCGCAAACGTCCACGACCACACTCTCGCAGTCATCGACCTCTGCATCGACCTCGACGCGGTTGTCGAAGAAGAAGTCAACGGTCGGCCAGGGTCAGGCTCCAGTATCACGACCGCCGAGTGGATTCTTCGCCTCGTTCGGTCGACAACGGTCCAAATCTTCTGCTGCGGCCGTGGGATCGGCACCGGGAATCTCGACCCGACCTCCTCTCCCTGCCGGGCCCTTGCCTCGCCTCCCTTCACCGCTTCCGCCCGGACCGACGAAGGGAAATGGAGGGCAGGGGCCACCTGCTCAAACTGCCAAGGCCAAGGCCAAGGTCAACGGCAACATTCGCGAGTTTCCGTAAATTTGGTCACACCGAGCCAGGTGTGAGCCACCTGTCTCTGGTTTCGCCAGTGTCCGAATCCGAAACCCCGTCTTTCTCTCACGTCAACGAGGCAGAGACTTGTACTGCCGCTTCGCTTTCTTCTTTACACGTTGTGCGTGTCCAATTCGAGATATCATAGCTTTGATCTAAAGGTCTTTTTATGTCTGGCTTCCTCCCCCGCCGCCCTCTCTTTTTCACCTTGTGGAGTCTGTGTTGATGATATCATCAGTCTTCGTCTTAAGAATTAACGCCAAGCTTTTCGAGCGCACGGGTAGTGAGGCCAATTAAGAGGTTACTTCCATCCTTGTCACGAGAGAAAGCAACTTGTGGAGTTGTTGCATCTGTTGTCACAGCACGATCGACCCCCAGGCAGGTCACACGAGAAGGGTCCGAGAGAAAGCAGCCGGTGGCCAAGCGAGATAAAGCGGTGTGAAGTACGTTCTCGCTTGCGAGGGTGGCAGGGAACTTTTGGTGTGTTTTCTACGCTCATCCTACATCTTGGCGAACGTGACCTTGATCCTCAACCCTGCCTCCTCATCACCGGGCATGACCTCCTCCCATGGTTTGGTATTGTGCAACGCCTCCTTGGCCGGTGCGGACTGCACCTCATCGACGAATTCGACGAAGGCGATATTGCTCCTTCCGGGGATCGTACGCACTTCGACCAAGCCAGGATAAGGCGCGAATACGGCTTCGAGGTGGGCTTTGGTCGTTTTGGAAGGGAGGTTTTGGATGAAGAGGATCTTGTTGGGGGGGAGGTACTCGTCCGGCATTTGGACTTGGCGACGTGGGGCCGCTGTCGTCGTCGTCGAGGTTGGCGCGCCATTTGCGGTCGTCGAGGCCGAGGTCGAGGCTCCGGCGTCGGGTAGAGAAGATGATGCGGCTGCTGCTGCTTCGGCGGCTGCGCTCGCGACAGGGGAAGGCGGATTCGGTCGTCAGTTTCTAGGGCCCGGGTGAGCTGACGAGGGGACGCTGAGCCCTACCTTGCTTAGCGGCCAACTTTTTCTGTAGTTCCTTCTTTCGCAGCGGGTTCTCTCTCCTCGACACCTCTGCTCAGGGGTCATGGCACGGGTCAGTTCGGGGAGTGATCTTGTGCGCCGGCACCTGACCGAAGCCGAACCGAGGTAGCGTACTCTTTCGTACTGTGCGTTCTGCGATGTGTTCTGACATGTGTTGGGGGTCCTTCTTCTTGACGAGTGCGTCCGATCTTGTCTTGGCAAAGGCGAGTTGCTGTGGGGGGTTTTGTACGAGGTGCGGTGAGAAGGGGGGTAAGGGGTCAGGGGTCAGGGGTCGGGTCGGGGTCAGCAGCTGGGCGCAGTTGCACGGCGTGGCCTCGGGGAAGGGAGGGGTCCCGTCAGAGCTTAACGAATGGCGGAACGAAGAAAGGCAAATAACTGACCATGGGTTTGCCATACAGAGGGAACCCCTTGACCTCCTTGACGGCGAGTTGAGCGGCTTTGGGGTCGAGCAGGGTCACAAAGGCCTGTCCTCGCATCCTGACGTTGCGGTGGAGTGTGACGCCGAGCACCTTGCCGTACTCTTTGAAGAGCGTCGTCAGCGATTGTTTCATCACTGTGTGGAGTGGGCGATCAGGGATCAGCATGGGGGTGGTGGGGGTGGTGGTGGTGGTGGTGGTGGTGGTGGGGCGAGGTCGGGGGAGGAGCGGTGAGGACTGACCGGCAAGCTTGACTTTTTCGTTGAGGTTGTTGATGTAGACGACTTCGAAGCGGGGTTCTTCCTCCTCTTGCTCTTGCTCTGGCTCTGGCTCTGGCTGTTGTGCTGCTTGTTCGCCGTCGAGCGCGTGCGCTGTAGCAGTGGCCATCTCGACGTCGCCGGCAGCTGGATTCGGTGCGGTCGAGGTCGAGGTCGAGGCAGAGGCCAATGTCGATGGCTCAGTGGAGGTGACGGACGCGATCTCGACCGCGGGGGATGGCATCGTGTGGTGAGGGGAGACTGGAGTGCGACACTGGGCGTGAGTGCGAGTCGTGGGCAGAGTCGTGGGCAGGGAGCGTGGGCGAGAGCGACGGCAGCCCAGTGAGCCTGCTGGGGAACGCGGGAGGACGCGGGTGCACGAGGCTAATAATGATGCGCAGATATGTAACAGCAGGTAAGATAATAGCTGGGGAAAAGCGCGCAAGGCTCCACACTGAGCGGCTGAGCGGCTGAGCGGCTGAGCGGCTGAGCTCTTACCACCCTCTACCACCCTTCACCCACGCCGTCATCGGCTGCAGTGCAGCACCATCCTGGTCAGACCCAGCGACGCCTCGCATCTACTGGGTTCATTCTTTGCTGCTTTTGCTCGACCGTTCACCTGTTGGACCCACTCTTTGCTCCGCCTCGGGGCCTTGGTGCACTCTCGGCGAGCAACTTGCCGTGATCGGCACTGGGGACCAGCTCACTCCCAGCTCACTCCCAGCTCACTCCGAGCTCACTCGAGAGCCTTCCCTTCCTTCGGCGCGCCACCAGCCATGCGGATACACTGTCTGGGCGGTCAGTCTGGCATGGTTTCGACCTGTTGTTCCCCCGTCGACCTCGCCCAGACTGAGCTGACGCGTGCTGTCCCCCTCTCGCCTCTCCTAGTCGGCTCGATCGGATCGTTGCTGGCGACCTCGTTCGCCGCCACTCGTTCGCCGCCGACGATTCGGCTGATCGTACGCCGCAAGGACCTGCTCGCCCATCTCGTCGCTCGGCCCACACCCGCCGACTCGACTTCCCATCGGTCCTCGTCCGCGTCCGCGTCCGACACCCAGCCCCGTGTCGCGCTCACGATCGAACGCGACGGCATACCCCACCGCTACGCCGCGTTCGAGATCGAGCATACGCTCACCCCGACCGATCAACTGCAGATCGACCCCCTGTCCGCGCACGTGGTCCCTTCCATCAGCTCGTCCAAGTACCCGTCCACCGGTGGAGGTCTCTCGCGCAAGGACCCCATCTCCACCCTGATCGTCACGACCAAAGCACCCCAGGCGCTCAAGGCGATCAAGCACCTCCTACCGCGGCTCTCGTCCTCGTCGACGATCGTGCTCTGCCACAACGGCATGGGCGTACTCGAGAACCTGCTCGAACAGTACTGGCCCGACGACGACGACGACGACGGCCCTTATTCCTCCTACGGCCATCGCCGAGCTCGCCCCTCCTTCATCTGCGCCACCACCTCCCACGGCGTGTGGCGCAGATCGGCCGACCATTTCGTCCATGCCGGAGTGGGCCACCTTCAATTCGGCGTCGTACCCAATCGCTCGACGCTCTCTTCGATCCAATCCCACTGGCCCGACGAACCTTCGTCCAACCCTCTCCTCAATCCACGAGCCCTCATCGCTCCCACGCTGCAGCACCTCCCCACTTCATCCTCCCTCCACGCGACCCTCGATCTCCTACTGCGCACCACCAACCTCAACCCCCTCTGGCTGCCTCTACCCCAACTACAAATAGCACAACTACAAAAACTGGCCGTCAACTGCGCCGTCAACAGTTTGACCGCGATCGTGGGCGTGCATAACGGGGCTTTGGTCGGCAGTCGAGCGGCGAAGGATATGTGCAGAGAGGTCGCGAGCGAATGTTCGAGTGTGTTTGCGGCGCACGTGATGGGTCCCACAGAGGATGGCGAAGAAGAACAGGCATCGGCCTTGTCCGATCCCGCATCGGCTTCGTACGACGACTCCACCCCGACGACGATCCATCCCAGACCTGCGCGAACGTTCGCGCACAATCATGCGCTCTCCGAACATTCCCTCCTCCAAGCGATGATGAAGGTCATCTTCGCCACCTCCACCAACATCTCTTCGACCCTAGCCGACCTCGAAGCGATCGAACCGATCCAGGATCTGGCTCGGATCGATCCCCGCCCTTTACCAACTGGGGAGAAAGCTGGCCCGGCGCGCTTGCGGGGCAAGTTCGCTACGAGGACCGAGATGGACTACATCAACGGCTACGTCTCGGCTCTCGGAAGGAAATACCACATCCCGACGCCGTTGATTGACGGTCTGGCGACGACGGTCAAGCTCAAGGAAGAGATGATCGTCCACGGGGCCGTCGAGAGGTTGAGGACACAAGCCGAGGAGAAGAAGGCCCTGTTCTTGAAGGAGAAGACCAGATTGGCCTCGAGTGCGGATCAGGGTATACCGAAGAAGACCAAAGGGAGGAGGAGATTGGAGAAGGTGTTGGCGTTGCGGCAGACGCATATGCAAGTCGAGCGCGAGCGAGAGCGGGACAAGATTCTCGATCGGCAAGGGGGTTCGGGTGGCGACTATAGATGAAGCATGTTGTTCGGGGACGTCTTTTTGTAGAAGCCACCACTTTGCAATAAATTCGAGATTTGATGCGTAGGAAGAGGATCATAGGATTACAGGCAAAGACGATAACGGGTCAACGAGAGGCAAGGAAGGCCGCACGAGCAGAATCGGACCAAACCAAGAGACGATCAAGGTGAACGAACGCAAAACAAGTCGAGAAAACAAACGTTATACTTCATCACTGAGCCTCCTGGATTCCTTCCCCATCCTCCCTCTTCTTCAACACCAAATCACTCCCGATCGCGCGTCTCCACACATCCTTGACGTCATCACACACAGTCTCAAAGTGCGAAGTCGAATCGTACGAACGCGTGACAAAGACGCCATCGTACGATCCCGAGCTGGCGGGGCTAAAGATGGGGGCCACCTCGATGAACTTGTCAAAGATCGGGCCGAGCAATTGCAAACCCGGTTCGAGCTCGGCTTCGGGATTCGACGTTTCGACGATCGTCGAGACGATGGCGATGTAGATGTCCTTGGGGCAGACCATGTGGTTGTGCGACACTTCGGCGATGTAGATGTCTGCGTCACACGACAAGAATCGGATCATCAGTTGACACTTGCTGCCTAGGATGATAGCTATCAATTAGCACTGACCGTGTTTCCTGTTGACCTGCTTCTGCGGGATGATCAATTGGACCGAGTCCGAATTGTCCGTGTTGGGGATCGGGTGCTTGAGGATGCAGATGGCTCGCACGACGCGACCCTCGAGGTAGATCTTGTCCTCTCCCTTTCCTCTACCGCTCGGGTCGGAAAAGTACGAGGGGTCCCCGATGACCTTCTTGGCCTTGACGGTCTCGCCGCCTGAGGTGACGCCGACGAACTTGCCCTTGTCGTCGTAGACGACCTCGTCGATCTTCTTGTCGAGCATGTACGTACCACCGTAGATGGCCGATAGACGAGCAAAGCCTTGCGGCAGTTCACCGAGACCATACTGCGGGTGAAGGTAAGGGGAGCTACCGTAGCGGGCCATGGAGGTGGTGTAGAGCAGGATGCGCTCGTACGTCTCGCGCGCGGGTCGGTCGACGTACGTGTCGTCGAGGTGGAGCGACATGGCGTGGCCGATAAAGTCCTGGGTGCCGACCTCGAGGCCGAACTTGTAGTAGACCTCGGACATGGGCGTCTGGTCGAGGTTGACGCCCTGGTGGGTCGCCGGGTCGTTCTCGCGGTAGTTTTGGACCCACTCGAAGAATTTTTTCGCGCGTCGCTTCTCGAAGAGACCCATCAGGGGCGAGCGCACGGCCTCCATCTCGGTCGAGGGCACCTTGGAGATGCGACCGTCGCGGAAGACGTACGATCCGGCGATCTGCTTGAACTCGAGGTAACGGGTGACGTCGGTGTGGACGAGCATCTTGACCATCTCGCCGTTGGCCATCATGCTGTCGAACGGGAGATCGGCCCGGTGAGTTGACTGCACTGAGGGTGGTGCGGGTGCCTCGTACGCACAATTTGGGGATGAGATCGACGGCATAGTCACGGTCGCGACCGAGATCGGATGGTGGGTCGGCGTGGCGGAACCGCTTGTACAACTGAGGGCATAACTCTGACGTGTGAATATGCGCGCGCTCTAGAGTTGGGACTTTTGGGGGGGGGGCTGACGAAGACACTGACCTGGGTCAAGTTGAGCGAGGCTGACTCTCCACCGTAGTAGTCGTTCCTGTGGGGGAGAGGAGACAGGGGGAGCACGTCAGCCGCTGGGTCGGAGGTAGGTGGGTATAGGTCGTGGTGGTGGCGCGTGGCCAGATCGGTCGGGTCAGGTCGGGTCCGCCTCGGCCGAGAAGGACACGCGCGCCTGCTCCGGAGCGCCGGAGCGACGGTTCCCGCACCGAGACGACAGCAGAGATCGGTTCGGGCCAGGCTACGAGCAGTGACCAAGACTGACCTGTCCATGTGGAGCACCTTGTGGCCCTCGACCGAGAGCAGACCGGAGAGGACGCATTCGGTCAAGCCGGTGCCGAGGATGATCTGAGAACGGGTTCGATGAGAGCGAGGTCGGCCACCGAACGGACGAACGAACTGAAACGCGGCGGGGGACGCTCACAAAGTCGTATTCTTCGTCCATGTTGCACCGCTTGATGTGATTGGACTACTAGGGGGGGAAGGGGGTTAGACACGAGGGGAGGACGAAGGCGACGAGCACTCGACGATGATGACGATGACGATGACGATGACGATGACGATGACGATGACGATCGAGGCCATTCGACGAACACGATGAAACGGTCGGGATCGGGAGGACATTGGGGGTTGGATGTGAGCGCTCATAGTCGCAGCTCTGATCGGTGCTCACTGCTACCGAACTCACCAGAACGAGGGGCACCAGGGCGGGGTTCGTGCGACGTGAGAAGGAAGCGGAAGACGAGTGGCAAGCAGCCTGCCGGCCGAGGCCAATTCCGATTAGACTCATTAGCGGCCCCACGATTACATTTCGATCAAGCCCAGTTTTCAAGTTTAAAGTCCTGTGCAGTCCGCCGTGCGCGTAGGCCCCTTTCTCGCCCGTCTCGCCCGTTCGCTCTCCCCAGCAATTCAGCCCGCACCGCCCGCGCCGCCCTCGTCGCCAAGCTGTCGTCTTCGTCGGCCTACACCAAGACCCCGGGCTCGCTGAAGCTCAAAGGGGGTCTACCCACACCCGATGCGTCAGTCCTCCGTCTCCTCCGCTGCCCTGACCACCGCGGGACTCTACCTCTCTCCCCACATGCATCTTCATTCCCCCTCCCCCCCCTTCCTCCTCCCACCCCTCATTGACCCTCCTCCCATCCCACTCCAACGCCCACAGTAAACAGAAGAAGAAAAAGACAAAGTCGTCGACCTCGTTGAGCCTAAGGGATTCGGACACCCACCCCGAGTCATCGTCCGCCTCGACCTCGTCCTCGTCCCACCACCCCGGATCCACCAAGACCGAAGCTCAGAAGCGGTTCGAGCAGGTGCAGAAGAAGAGGGTCCGTCATTGACGATGGGTCAGCTCAGGCTGGATCAGAAGAAACTGATCCAACCCCCGCTGCTGTGTCTCCCAGTTGTTGGAGAAAGCGGCCAAGGCGGCGACCAAGACCCACAAGGAACGCGTCGCCGAGTTCAACGAGAAGCTCGAAAACATGAGCGAGCACTACGACATCCCTCGAGGCGAGTCATACTCCACGAGCACGCCTGGCATCGCTCCGATTCTGATGCCCGTTCCGTCCCCTCCCCACAGTCGGACCTGGTTAAAGAGTCCAAGTCTTGTAGAGCACGTTCGGGGGGTCCGATCCAGCCGATGTAATAGAAAGATAGTACACCTCGCATCGTGGACAGGAGAGCTGACATGATCAATCATCAAGCTATCGATCGGTCTCTACTGCTCGTCCTCATCCTCCTCCCCCACGCCGACCTGCCCCTGCTCGAAAAATTCGACCCCTTCCTTCCTCCCTTCCTCACCCACGACGGTCCAAAATACCCTCTCGGCTTCCATTACCGCCTCATCCAACGCAGTGGCTAACCGATCCGTCTTACCCGAGCTAGGAACAGGTGGGACGACCAAAAAATTCCGAGGGACGGACGATGTCGGTTCAGGCGGTTTGGAGGAGGCGTAAAAGACGCTGTACCGCGGGGAGATGTCCGATGAACTCAAGGCGAGCAATGCGTCGAGGTAAGGGGAGAGAAGAGCAGCAGTGTCACGATTAGTAGCTGTGAGGACCGGTGCATCGAGATAAAGCACGACTGGCGGACATGAGGCAGACGGCGAGAACGATCAGCAAACCTACGTCTCGTCGTCACCGGACGGTCATCCCTGGTCCAAGGACTCACAGGATCCAGAAGGACACGCGAACGTCCCCGGTCCGACTTGCAAGGCCGTGACCGTGCCCAACTCGTCACTCAACTCCTTGGGCGAAAACACGAACACGCTCGAATCAGGGACGTGGTCCACATCCTGTGTTTCCTCTCCTTCGGCCCCTTGGTTCCGTTTCGGATTCGGAAAAGGGATCGCGTCAGGGAGGATGACGATGGCGTGGACGGAATCGATATCGGACGATCCTCCTTCACCAGGGGTCGTCCGTATCTCCTCAGGAAACAAAATGGAAACATGGGACTGGGCCGTGATGATCCAATCGGCCGTAAAGACGTCCGCGGGTTGATCCTTCTCGATCCGAACGGGGACGCCCAAAGCACTATGTGGTATAGTGTCGTCGGCGAAGGTTGAAGGCGCGGCAGGCGGGGGAGGTTGGGAAGCGTGAACGAAGAAGGGAGACTGGGCCGTAGGAACGACGATCCCTGGCTTCGCATCGAGGATCAGGGGTCCGATGGGTCGTCCGAGGATTTGTCCGCCACCCCAGACAGCACAGATCCTGTCAGAATCTCGTAGAGAAAGCCACAATCAGCCTCCGGGGGACCCACGAAACCTTTGACCTGAAAGAATTGTCTCGGACTCACCGTGAGAAACCACCGACGAGATCGCCCGCGCCACCGTAGTGGCCGACGAGGAAGGGGGACGGACCATACCGCCCCGACGAGTGTATGAATGTTCGTAGTCGCTCAAGTGCCGGTAGCGCAAGGTCTGAAAGACAAGAATGGACCACAAAGCTGGGTCAGCGCAAGGTCGACCTCGAATGAGGGTCACGTGACTCACCTCGATCCGAAGTGCATAGAGCGAGCGAATACGCCAGCGAGCTCGACACTTCCGACGAGAGCGAAAACGTCTTTTGTAGACAATCTTGAAGAGTCAAATCGGGGTCTACATGTATATGAGGATGGAATCTCATAAGCCGGTAGTCTCCTCATGCCGGTCCCCGAGACAGTTCGGATTGAACTGACCGCTCAATCTTGGATCGTCGGCGAGTGACTCTTGACCCGCCGCGAGCAGCAACAATTTGGTCAAGCGGCGTTTCTCGATCAAGAAAAGAGTCTCGTGGTTGAAGACGTCGGCTTTGCTCGATGGCACGGGTTCAACCTTGCCTTTCCCTTTGCCCTTGCCGTGAGGTTTCGCAATCTCATTGGTTGCTTCGTCATCGCCATCGTCGTGCTCGGACCAACTCCACAGCCCTACACCGCTGACTTTGCCGAACGAGAGGTACGAAGCGACCTTACTCCGCACAAGAACGTCGATCGCCGGACCGGTCGCTCGCAACAAGGTCGGAAACAGAGACAGGGCGAAGCGTTGGCCGGTGGGGAGGAGGTCCGTGGGGGGTGCGCTCGGACTCGTCGACGCACCAGGCGCTGCAGAGGCCCATTCGCTCAATTCTTGTAGCGACAACGAGGCCCATTGATCGCCGTAGTTGCTGGATTGGTCGAGTTGCAAGACCGAATACCCGGATTTTGACAAGGCGCTGCTCGGTCGAAGGAAGGCAAGAGCCAAGTCAGTCGTCGATGGGAGCTCGAGCCGCACTCAGCGGAGAGCCAACAGGATCAAGCATGTAGCTCGGGAGTAGACAGTGCGAAACTCACGCTGCGACGACTGATTCGGTCAATCCTGTACCGACTATGATCGCGTTGAAGTGCGTCGGCGTACCGGGCTCCATGGCTTGACCGAATCCGCGAGCAGGTGGGGGGAGACCGAGGAGGGGAGAGGCGCCGCGAGGCAGGGGGTTTGAAGCGGGCGACGAAAAGCAATAACAGGTAGAATTTGGCTTCCCTTCTAGTGTTACAACATGCACATCCTGGACCAAACAAAAGCAGCCCCCCCCCCCCCCCCCCCAAAACAAAAAAAAACTCTAGTCACTGCCGATTACCCCCTACCCATAACCTTCCGACCCAAACAAGGTTTCCCGGTTTCGAGCTCACTCCCGAGGCGCTTCCGTCGGCCACGGTCGGCCATAACCGTCACCCATGGGATACACCGGTCGCGCAGCCGGACCAACTCCATTGTACACACCTGCAGGTACATCCTCCGAGCGCGGCGGGGCTTGCGACCACGCGTACTGCTGCCCGTATTCTTCCGGATGGACTCCGCTTGCCATCCCGTACAGTCCGCGTTCGAACCCGAGTTCGCCGTAGGCGAGCGCCGCGGCGATGCTTGACTCGATATTCCACGGCGCGACGCCTGGCATCGATTCGGCCGTCGTACGCACGTGTGGCTCTGACTTGGGAGCCGACGACGAGTAGGGCAGCACTTCCGATGACGCCGAGAGCTGTGATTAGGCCCGCCCAAGTGGCGCAGGAAGGTCAGCCGAATTCATTCGTCACAGTAGAGCTATCCACTCACCAATAAATGATTCACCACGTTACGGAACGGCGAGTTGCTTTCCTCGTCCTCAAGGTCAAGACGCGGTCTTTTTCCCGGGACGGACGTAATGTCTTGCTCGGCGGCCAGCAGCCCTTCCAGCACCTTGACGCCCATCCTCGCAGCGGCCGAATTCGAGGAAGCCAATTTAAGGAGTTCGACAGATTCGCGAAGCGTGGCCCTCATCTCGATCGAGGGCTTGTGGATTAAGTCGATGAAGCAGACAATCGACGCCACGAATTGGTACAGCGAGACGATCCAGAGTCTGAAAATCTCCGGGCATCGCTCCCCTGCTTGCCGGAGCAGAACGAGAACCGAACGAGCTGACGACACACACCTTTCGGTAGAGGCGTGGTACTTGCTGTCGTGGTAGCCCCGCATCAAGTACGGTCGATGCAGTCGGAGATGTCGATTCGCAGCGGTGATCTGAATCAGTAGCGCCTCCTTTTCGAGGTTCGGCCATCGTCGATCCTTTTGCCAAGGATGCGATAGACTGGAAAAGTATTCGGGAAAGTCCGCAATGACGTCGCAAATCCGCCCGTCCATCCTGCCGATTGGGCGAAGTATTTGAGCCAAAGTCACATGACTTGAAGCCTATCGCGAGAGAACTCACTCGACAATAAAATCATAGTCGGCAAGTTGGTTCACGTTGAGGTGGTCGACGAATTCGCGGTACAGAGTGACGAATCGAAGCTTGAGGATGGTCATCGTCGATTCCTATGCACATCAGATGGTGTTCAACGACCTCATCTCGGAGCTTTGTAGGCGAGACCTGGCTTACGGTGTACTGTGACAGGGGTCTCGATACGTAATCATCGTTCATGTCGGCGTCGTTAACGTTGCTGGGTGGCGCCGTGTGATTTTGGGAAGGATGAACACAATCTGGCACCGAGGATTTAGGGTCGGGTCAGCACAGAGAAGAACTGCAGTAACACTCCGGGGAGAAGAACTCACAAGTGCCATTGTGCGCCTGAGCATGACTCCAGTCAAGGACGACTAATCCCCACCATATTCTTCGACCCGTCTCCCTCCTTCGGAAGCTCTTCCAGGCCGGTGGCCACTTCTTTCCGTCCGTCTCCCATCCCAAGCGGCTCAGCCCCAGGTTTGTCGCGCACTTGATCGCGGATCCGAGGAGAGCCCAATGAACATCGGCTTCCGCACTCGTGTTGTACATGAAGACCCCGGCAACGATGATGCTTTGTAGATACTCGAGCGATGGGTGTCGCAGCCAATCCGAGTTGCTGAGCATGGATAGACCAGAGTGGTACACGTCCTCAGCCAGCAACCAAGCGTCTTCGAGCGAGTATCCGAGTGCCTGTGCCTCGTACGGCTCGATGAGATGCAGTGAACAGCACAAGACCATGTACAGCACGCAGAGGAACGATGTCCTGGTTGTGCGATGCGCTTCCTCGGGGTCGAGATGGAGAATGGACTTGCACTCAACAATGAAGGACGGGGCATGAAGCGACTTGGTGTACCACTCTATCCGCCCAAAGTACGTCTCGACGAGCATCCAGCTGCGTTGCGCCCCAATGACGCTCAACGGGTTCATCATTCGAGCTCGTTCGTGGCGCACGGATGCCGATCGTAGAGTTCCGGAATCCTGATGCAAAGGATTCATGGCCTGCCTCAGGCGGCTCTTGTTGGCATTAAAAGACATGGCGATATCTATGGGCAGAAGGAAAAAGTTGAGCCTCATCGACAAGATTGTCAAGCTTTACACTCCCCACCGAGCTTACCTTCGAGCATGAGGGCCACCTCTTCCTCCGGCGGCTGTCCTCTTTCGCCCCGAGCGTTGACAGCGTCATTCGTTGGTGTCGATGCAGTGGAGGGACGGATGGGTGCATGAGTAGAGGAACTGAGAGCAGCGCTCGACGAACTCGCGGACGTCGCGAGACGTCTAGTCGATGCAACCGCATTCGCCCCCACCCCCGCACCCGTGTCGGTGACCGCCGAAGGCTTCAAGTTGGTCGAGCCCGATGAGGAAGCCGGGCGCGGTCTCGGGGCGCCGTGATCTTCGAGCTGGGCGATCTTGTGCTGCAGGGCTCGCACCGTCGACTCGAGAGACGACATCCTTGTGAAGAGAGAGTCATATATGGGCCTGTGAGATTGATACCACTCGAAATTGTTCAGTCGTCGGCCAGCCTCAACAGTCCGAGCGGCGCAACCGCCTCCGAGGGGCCACTCCGGACCGCACGACTTGCCCGCCCGGCCGACCGACGTACGAGGGGGTTCCCGGATTGGTTTCTGGCTTCTCGCACGACTCGGCGTCGCCGCGCATCTGGCAGGGCGCACACGGATAGACCCTGTCACATTTGATCTTCCTCCGCTTGCACTCTGCACACGACTGCACCTGCCTGCGCGTCGTACTGCCACCCGCGGACAAGGGGGCCAGCTGACTCGAAGCCATCGTCGACGGCGCCGGCGAGCATTGCGACGACGAGGCACTCGCCGCGACGGCAGAAGGTACGGTCGGAGATCTATCATACGTATGACCGTAAGATCCTGATCGCACACGCTTGAATGTCGGTTCCGTTGTCCCCGGATGCGACGAGGCCGACGGTTCTCCGGCTCGGATGCTCGACGTTGTCAACTTGGCCAGGCCCTGCAGCTGACTCGGGCCGGCAGAAGCATCGTGCCCTGCAACAGCAGCCTCAGGTGAGGACAGGCATGACGACATGCTCATTGGCTTCAGATCTGCGTGGGCGCCGTCGCCCGACATGCCCAGAAGCCGAAGCAGGTCAAGCGGTGGCTCGAAGGCAAGTGCCCCCGACTGCTGACCCGCCTGTGATTGGAATTGGCACTCGTTGACTCTCATTGGCGCAATGCCCATATCGCTCGCGCGCGAGGCCAAATTGGGGAACACCAGGGATGTCTGACGTCTTTTTTTTTGTATCAAGCCTGATTAGATCTCACATATTCGGTTATCTACGCAAAATCAATGTTTCTTGAAAAGGGGGGTTGGACTTATGTAAAGTTATAGCCACTAGATCCATGCAGCCCCCACACTCCTGAAACCACCAAAAAAATTAGCCGACGAACTCACGGCCTCACGGTCCAAGCTCAAGCCGATCTGCAACTTGTGACCAACTCCATCCCCTGATTCCCAGTCCTCCATGGCAGTCGGCAGTCAATGCAGGAAGGAGCCTGTAATTTTTAGGAATCAAAGAGGAGCAACTCTAGTCACCTTGGTGACTCGTGTCATGGACTTTGAGTGGCAGTGCAGTGGTTCTGGCGATGACGTACGACGCTCGGAGCCGGCGCACTGCAGGATCAGTCTTTGTAAGAGACAGGGGGCCAGGGACGAGCACTCACATTCACCGCCGAGAGTCTGTTTACAACATAGTGAACATATAAATATGGGCAAATTGAGGATGCTGGAGAATCACAAGCAGTTGGCACTATTCCCTCACAGCTACCAAGTTTGTGGTTTTAAGCGGCCTTCGGAGATATCTCGCGAGTCTACTTCAGACGAACTTCTCAGAGGGAGCTGCTCTGAGTATGTGTAGGTGTTTGATATCTCAAGATCCTGGTTATCAAACCTTTCTTTGGTGTCAACGTAGGCGAGTGCCAGTGTACCTTGATAGGCAGGTACCACTGGGAGGTTGAGCTCGGGCTGCAGGCGTGTGCGCGCCAGCTTCTGGTGGGTCGGCTGCAGAGCATTCGAGACAGCGAAAATCAAGAAAATCAAAAAATTGTCTTGGCGTTAACCCGAATCGAGTGATCCCCAGTAACTCCAGCGATGCGACATACTACTTTGTATGCTGCTTCTGTGGAATGTTCTGGGTTAAAGAAATGTTGGAAGGTACCTTGTTGCCTTGGTAGATATCGGTGAGACTCAGAGGTACTGCGGTACCGGACATGGGCCGAACGTTCCCATTGGAGTCTCCGACTGAACGACGTTTGTGCCGACCTCTGTTGATGAATACTAATGGTGAATATATGATAAATGGCTTGGTTTGGGCTTGGGGGCGAATTTCCCCACGACACGGCCCCGCGAAGAAACCGGCGGGGCAGCGCAAGCAAGGGGAGGCAAACCGGGGAGGCGGGCGGGAAAGCAAAAAAATCTGAAGTTTCGAGCGAGCAACAGGCGATGTTGCGAGCGAGAATAGTTGATTCTGGCCAGAGGGAGTGGTTCACCCCGCACTCGCCTTTCGACCCGCTCGGCGCGCCCGTTGGTCGCCTTTGGCAACCGGCCAAGCTGAATTTCCTCCGAGAAGAGGCCATCGCCAAGCTGAGCGCTGTGCTCGGCGCAACCGATCAGTGGTCGCTCGGTCGCCCGCGATCTCGGACGCCACCAATCGGAAGAGATGAATCGGCTATCCATGTGTAAGTCCCAAAATCTACTTATAATCATCTCGTTAGACCGACAAGCAAATCAGCCTGGGTAAAATCCTGTCCGCTGAGCGCTTACAACTCAGAAGACGCAGCGACTGGTGAAATAGAGCTGCAGCCCGTCGGCTTTTGTACGTCGCAGCACCATTTTCGTGCCTGCGTGTCATTGATCGACCCGTATGTTCCGGCGAGTGGCATGGGGGTCTCAATACCTACTGACACCCGAGAGATGGCACTCCGAGGGCTGCGTGCTTATCGGACGCTTCTTCAAATCATTCGGCGATGTGTTGCGGGAGGCGTGGGGTCGCTTGTGGCGGATAGGCGAGAGCACGGAGCAGGGCCGTCACAGTGGAGAGTAGACCCCCAGCCAAACGAGTCCCAGGGTCACGGGTTGCCGTCGAAGATTGTGGCGATTTCCAATTCCCCGCGTCGCAGGAGCTCACGCTCGCGAAAGGCTGGCGGGGAAGAACACCGATCGGGCAAGCCAAGGCGGCCGCCGCGAGCCAAGGGTTTTTTTACTGGTCGAGGATCGCTGGCGCCGAGCGCGATTCGGACGGTGTCGCATGGTAAACTTTGGCCATGGGCTTATCCCAAGACTTTGCTCAAGAAGTGGCCAGTTGAAAAGCCCAAGCTGAACATGCTTTGTCCCGGTAGGCCTGGCTTTGCAATATCGCCTCTGCAAATAAAGCGCGGCATCCCTCCCGCCCGTATCTTTGCCTCTTCTCCTCCTCTTTTCCCATTCGTCGCTTTTCAAGTGCGCCGCCGCACCACGATGTCAGCCACCCTAGACAAGCACGCCTTTGAGAAGAGCTCCGACAAGGAACTCAGTGACAATGATGTTCACGTCGTAAGTGTCGCGTCTTTCCCACAGCTCGGCGAATGAACCCGGATCCCGGACCAAGCGAAGCTTGCCACCCCCTCGCCGCTCCTGATCGGAAGGTCAGGGGCGTCGGAAAGCTTGGGTAGTGACTAGCAGGTCGTACTCATCAGTGCCGGGAAATTTCTCACTTACACGACACTTGACTGATATTCCTGTGCTGGCCAATCTAAATACCGCAGACCACCACCGCCGCTCCCGAAATTTACGACCCTTCCCAGGAGTCGATCTGGACGCGCGCCGGTCTTTCTTTCCGATCGTACACCCGCGCCCCCGGTAGCACTGCCGGTCTCAAAGTTCATGGTTCGGCGGCTCACATCGATCCCCTCAAAGAGGGAGCGAACCCAATGCTTCAGCAAAAGATGAAGTCTCGTCATTTGACCATGATCGCCGTCGGCGGCTCAATCGGTACCGGTCTTTTCATGCAAGTTTTTAGGCGCCTTCGCCCGAGCCCAGGCGCGGCCGACAAACCATCGGTCGCTGACGTACTTTGTCTCGCTCTCGTCCTGCAGCGGTTCGGGACAAGCTCTTAGAAACGGTGGCCCTGCTGGTATTCTCATTGCATGGTCTCTCATCGGCATCATGATGATCAACGTTACGCAATGCCTCGGTGAACTCGCTATTCTCTATCCCCTCTCCGGTGGCTTCTACACCCTCGCTGTCCGCTTTTTAGATCCCGGCTTCGGCATGGCTCTCGGTGGGTTGCATCTGAATGTGACGTCATCCGGTACTCTCTGGATTGTGCTGACGACTGCTCCCTGAACACAGGCTACAACTATCTCTTCCAATGGGCGGTCGTCTTGCCGCTCGAGATTACCGCAGCGGGCATCACGGTGAGTGGCCCTCTACACCAATCCTGTGTTCTCTGCGCTTGAAGCTGTACGACCCTTGCTGACCTTTCCCTTTCTAACTGCTCACACAGGTGCAATATTGGACTGAGTCAGTGCCAATCGCGGCGTGGATCACCATTTTCTGGTTTGCCATCATCTTTGTGAACATCTTCGGTACCCTCGGCTTTGCCGAAGAGGAGTTCTGGTCCTCGTGCCTCAAGTTAACCGTCGTCGTGATCTTCGTCATCATCGGTATCGTGCTCAACGTCGGTGCCGGCCCCTCGGGGGCGAATACACCACATATCTTGGTGGTGATCTATGGAGGAGCCCGGGAGCGTTCGCCAACGGGTTCAAGGGTGAGTTCTACTGCTCAAGCCGAAGTCTCTGGGTATTCTCGGGCTAACCGAGGTCGAGGTTACATCGCAGGTGTGTGCGCCGTATTCGTGACTGCTGCTTTCTCCTTTGCTGGTACCGAACTCGTCGGCCTTGCGGCTACCGAGACCCCCAACCCCCGCCAGACGATGCCCGGCGCCGTCAAGGGCACTTTCTGGTGAGTTGTAGAATGGCCGACATTTGGCCACGCTAGTGTTTTGTCTGGTAACGATTTGCTGATTCACCGGGGTGGTATATCACAGGCGCATTACCGTTATCTACCTTTCCTCGCTCCTGATCATCGGTCTCAATATCCCTTATAACGATGAGCGTCTCCTCGGTGGTAGCGGAGCCGGTACTTCGCCGTTCGTCATCATGGTTGACCGAGCGGGAATCCGCGGCCTCAACCATCTCATTAACGCTACCATCTGCATCTCGGTTCTATCCATTGGGTTGTCCTGCGTCTACGCCGGATCTCGTGTCTTGACGGCCCTGGCCGAGACCGGCTACGCCCCTAAGGTGTTTGCCTACGTCGATCGAAGCGGACGACCCCTCTGGTCGGTCTTGTTCGTCCTCGCGTTCGGCCCCATCGCCTACGTCAATGTCTCGAGCTCTGGAGATGTCATCTTCGATTGGCTCCTCGCCTTGTCTGGTCTCTCGACTCTCTTCACTTGGGGCTCGATCTGCTTGTGCCACATCCGTTTCCGTCGCGCTTGGAAGGTCCAAGGCCACTCCGTCGAGGAGCTTCCCTTCAAGGCCGCCGGTGGCGTCTATGGCTCCTGGTTCGGGCTCATCCTCGTCATCCTTGTTCTCATCGCCCAGTTCTACGTTGCGATTTGGCCCATTGGAGGCATGGAGAGCGATCCCAAGGCCGCCGCCGAGACGTTCTTCAAGGTCTACCTCGCCATGCCCGTACTGCTCTTCTTCTGGGTCGTCGCTTTCCTGTGGAAGCGCACGTTGCCTCAGCGAGCCCATGACATCGATCTCGATGTGAGTAGATTTCCCTGAATGTGATTATACAGCGCCTATGCTGACCGTGTGCCTTATTCCATACTCTGTAGACGGGACGTAAATCGTGGCTCACCGTCGAGGAGATGCGCCTCTACCGAGAGGAGCGACGCAACGCCCCTTTCTTCACTCGCGCGTTTCGCATTCTCTTCTCGAACTAAGTATCTGTGTGTCTCTCTTACAACGGAAAGGAGACCTGTGACATATTCATGGTACGGATCGGTGTGTACACCGTATATCTTTATAATGTCGTAAGAGGAAGTGATCAAAGTAGATTTTAACTGCTTCAGAGCCGACTTATGAAGTTGACTGCCTCCACCGCCGAGCCTATCGCTGAGGAAACCTGCCGCTAATACTTGTTACCCAACGAGAGACAATTGAATCATGTGTCGCGCGAACCCCTCCCTTTTCTTGAACATCCGATGAGCATATCGACTGAGAGCAACCCCGTTTCAACGCACTGCTTCCGCAGGCTGTCGCGGACCGTGCGCGACTAGCCCCCGATCGGATTGTAAGGATGTGCTTGCTTGCCCCGGATTACAGCCCGCAGCCTTCTTCTTCGAACGCATAACCGCATGGTGAGGCAACGCAGAGCTCAGACCGGTCCACAGAGTGCTTGCTTCTAACCCGCTCAGTGTTCAAACTCACATACAGACCGCTACCTGGCCACGACCCGTGGCATCTCTTGAGTGCTCTCTTGTGGTGGCCCATCAACTACGCGAGCCCACCATCCTCGAGCCCCTTGCGTTGCGCCAGCAACTCGCCCAGGATGGCTTCCTGTACCTTCGCTCGTTCGTGCCGTGTGAACTGGTGACGATCGCACGCCGTACGCTCGCGCTCGACCTCGCTTCCAATGGGTTCCTCGACACGAGCACGTGCTTGGACCTTACCGAGGACCCCTTGTACATCAATCCCGAATCGATCAAAGACAAGAGAACGCCCGAATTGCTCAATCGAACGGATTTGCACCGGCATCCAGACGTCCTCTCTGTACTGGAACACGACTCTCTTCGGCGCCTGATGAGGTCACTTCTGATCACTCCGAGTTCCGACACGGTCGGATTCGCAACGCCGCCGAGTACAACATGTCTACCCGAATTGCGAACCCACCCTTACAAATGGCTGCGAGCTGTAGGCCCCTCGCTCTACACGGGTCTGCACGTCGATCGAACCTATTTTCCCACCTTGTCCTTCCCGACTCTCTTGACGGCTTGGATCCCCCTCGACAATATCCCGACAGAACTAGGATCACTCGTTATCGCCCCCGACATCCATCTCCCACCGATGAAGGTTGGCGGAGACGGAACCAAGTCGGGGTGGATCCATGAAAAGTACCTCGAGGATCAGACGATACGGTGGGAGTCGGCCGATATGAAGAGAGGCGATGTCGTCATCATTGATCCGGCGAGATGCGTTCATATGAGCAGTCGAAATGTCGCGAGCCCGCCGGCCTGGAGGATTAGCGCCGATACAAGATGGTGGATCTAGTATGATCATACTGCATGTGCAACGCCGTTCCACTATCGGAATCGTCTCAAACTCAAATCAATCCTCCTCTTCCTCCCAAGCCACTCGACTCTGCACGTGCGCGCACCCAACCTCATGCTCCTCAGCAGGTCTTCTCCACGCTCTCCGATCTATTCTCTCCCTCTCCCAATTCATCTTTTCGTTCCGTTCCCTCTCCTGCCTGTCCTGGGCTCCGTTCCACGCAAGCGAAAGATGGGCGACCCCCCGAGCACTGGAGCAATCCGGCGTCAGGCAGAGGATGAACCCTCCCAGTTTGGACAGGTAGGTCGACAGGACCGACCGAGCCCAGCTTGCATCGACGACAATCATACCGTTGGTCGAGAGGAAGCTAGAAAACAAGGGATCCTCATCGAAGTCTTGTTGTCCAAGCCGAGGCCCGTTTGCGTCGAATGACGGTAGTTCCTCCTTGAACGCGATCATCCGCCGAGTCCCATCCCTCAGCTTATCGGCTTCGTTCCACGCTTCCCATCGGGCGATTTGCTCACGCAGCTTGGCAATACATCGATCCATGGCTTCAACGTATCCTTCGGCAAAGTTCTCGCGCCACAACGGGACGAGCTGCGCTGCGAGGTCGAACAAGCCTAGCCCGAGGGATTCGAGTCGAGGTGGAGGGGCGACGATGAGTAAATCTCTAACAACCGCGTGCGAGGGTGCAGGGGAGGGTTGCGCTGGCGCGTGCTGAAGGGACAACATCGATCCAGGACGGAGTCGACGCATTGGTGCAGCCGACGAGGTCGCGGATCCGGATCCTGGAGCGGCAACTTCTGAGCGATCGCGAACAAGTTTGCGCCATTGCCTCAGGGCTTCATCGGCACGCGTCTTGCCAATACTCGCACAGGTGTGACCTAGCGAAGAGGCGCACACAAGGGACGGGGGTCAGTATCTGGGAATGGAAAAGAGCCGGACGCGGAACTTCCTACCTAGCCATTTGAGGGTGTTGATCGCCGCCGGTTGATCAGCTTCGCGATCCCCGATCAATCCCGAACAGCGATCCAGTGTCAGATGTCGAAGATTTGGATGCAACCTCAGGAAAAGCGGTAGCCGTTGATCGGCGACGATATGCGTTGTGGAAAGGTCGATCGAAAGCAGTGAGGCAAACGGTCGCGGGGGTGGCCAGACTATGTAGGCAGTCAACGAGAGTAATACATTGCGACGAGGCAAGCGAAGGACGAGATGGGTCAATTGAGAGCCGATGGGGGAGGTGGCCAAGGCGGTGATGCAATAGAGTCGGTGGAAAACCTGGATCGAGGTATGCAGCGCGAGGTCAGAGCGCCATAAGGTCGTCGAACCGAAAGCAGATGGACGACCTTTCACAACTGTCTCTTATCATACACCAGCCGGAATTCAGGTTCTCATTCTCGTTATCTTGAAACTCACAATGGGCTGAGCAAAGTCCGCCTTTTCGGCCTCGAGACGTTTTGCCAACCGAGGTCCCGAGGTGTCCGGCAATTGGATCGGTGGCTTATCAGGTGTTAACGATGCCGACGTTGCCGGGGGTTCCGCGCCGAACTCGTCGAGCGAATCGGTCAGTTCTTGCAGGCCGAACGCCGGGGTTGGTCGACGCACGATGCCGTGCGAAGGTAGAAGGTCTTGGGCATACGCCAGACAACGAAGATGAGGTGCGGCCTCGACCGGCCACTGGGCGATCGCCAAAGGTGCGGTATCGAAGTAGGCGCCCTGTCCGAAAGCGAGGATAGCTCGGTATTAGACATCACTAACTTTGGATCCTGTACGAGAAGGCAAGCATCTTACCTTGAGAAAGGAATAGTAGGACCTCTCGAGTACATAAGGGTTAAAACGCAGCCATAATTGCTGTATCGAAGCTCGAAAGGTCGGGCGCTCGAGCATTTCTTCGAGATGGTCCGGCGCGAACATGGGTCCAATCGTCATGCGCAGCGAGGTGAGGACGGGCAACGCGGCCACCAAGTTGATGATGAGTTGAGGATCATCTCTGTTGCGGTAACAAATTCGGTCAGAGAGGTACTCCATGCAATGAAAGCTGGACTGCACCCGGAGGCCTTCGAACACGACGTCATCTTTCCCCGAGTTCCGGATCGCCAACGCCGCACTGACCTCCAGCATTCTACGACAGCAGTGCGCACGAGTGCAGGCCACCTCGGTTGTTGGCGCAACTTGGCGAGGCACTGTGCGGCCTGGCCTGGCCGGGTGATGCGCAGGTGGCGCAGCAGCAATGCCGACGACAAGAGCGACATACGAAAACAGGCCTTGATCACCGCGAGCGTAGTCGGCTGCAGGTCCGTTCTAGACAGCATCAAGAGTATGTATTCGAGCAGCTCGACCGGCAGCTGCGGTGCTCCCTGACCCGACATGCTGTGGCAAGTGTCGCGGGCAAAGTCGCCCAATCGTCGCAGAGGAGACATGGGCCCTCGGGGAGGGTTAGTATTGATCCATTGCCAGCCCGGCTAGGCCCGGCTTGCCTTTACTAATCGATCGGACAGACCGAGGTCCAACGGTTTCGTTATTTTTGCTCTTGTGCTTTCGCCCCACATTTGATGCCGCGGATGCTCATGTCGGAACCAGGCACTAGCAAAAGTATGGGCGGAAGCGACACTCGAATCGACCACGACGCGTATCATGAGCTCAACCTGCACCTTCAGCAGCAACAACACGAGCACGACTACGTGAACGGCCATGGGCACGAGCCCAGGCACGCCGGGCACGACAAGCCCGAGCGCGTGCTCGTCCGCGAGCTCGAGTTCAAGCCCAAGCGAGCGAGTACGTCGACCAAGAATCGGCCGAGATCGCCCAGCCCGTATCGAGCGCACCCGGAGCAATCCTCGACCGAATTGTGAGTCCGGTCGGGTTCCTCCATGTGTAACACCCCCGAACGTTAAGCACGTACGCCTACCAATCTATCGTCTGAACGGGGATAAAAGCGAGCGACGGCGCCCGTGAGCGAGAGCGGGCTCGACTGCAGGCGCAGGTCAGCAGAGAGGCGCTCGAGTGAGCTATTTGAGCTGACTCTCTCTCATCGTACATCGGACTATGCACTCGATTATGTGCCTCATCAGTTTGACGAGGTCAGTACCTTTTCTATCCTTCTCGTCAGCGGCATGGCTGCGTCTCATGAGCAGCTGCTGTGACTGACAACTGATGACGTTCTCTTCAACACGCACCCGATTTGGACTTGGCGCGCCGGCAATTCCTTGGCTTGGCGGTCTCCATCGCGGTTCCCGACGACCCGCATCCCTCGTCGCTCGGCGGTGACCCGTGACTCGTACTACCTGGAAAAATGCCTGCTCGGTAACCGACCTGCCTCGCCTCGCCTGCCCTCACCGACCATAACGTTCCATTTCGCAGCTTCTGGCAACATAGCATCGACATTGCAGAGAATGTTCACGACGACTTCAAACACCAGGCACTGCCCCTCGCCCGAATCAAAAAAGTCATGAAGTCGGATCCCGAAGTCAAGGCTAGTCGCAACACACAGCTGTAGCTCTAGAACTTGAGAGACGTGACAGCTGATATATCATTGTGGCCTTTGGACGCACAAAGATGATCTCGTCCGAAGTGACAGTATTGCTCGAGAAAGCTTGCCAAAGTCGGTCAAATGAATGCGGGTGTAATAGCTCACACCCAACGGTGGCGCGCAGTAGAGAGTAGAGAGGGCGGACACCGCCGCCAGGTGAGCCTGCTGAGTTCTGACCCATCCCGTGTCTATCGCTCGACAGTTTTCATCCAAGAAATCACCAATCGGGCACACATGGTGTCCCTTGCTTCTCGCCGCCGCACCTTGGCCAGGTCAGACGTCGCCGAAGCGGTCGCCAAATCCGACACGTTCGATTTCCTCGTCGACGTCGTGCCGCGCGACGAGTCGACCCCCCTCCCCCCCTCGGCATCCGCGTCTGTTTCGGCTCCAAACTTGGGTCAAGATGGTACAGAAGAATCCGAAGCACCCAAAGCTTCAACTAGCCGCACGACGCTCGACAGCTTCACGTCGACTCTGGACGTTGGTGCCGCCGAAGATGCCGTCGATCCCGAAGATGAAGCTGGCCCAGGCGAGGATGAGCTCGCTGAGGGGACCCTCGGTGTATCAAAGACGAATGCGCGTAAGCGAGCCTCACGTGCCACTGGCAAACCGCGAGGTCGACCAAAGAAGAGACCGGCCGCAGATACGGGGCCGTCACACGGCGAGCGAGAAGCTGAGCACGAACGAGCTCGGCTAGTCGCTGAGGAGCAGGCCAGGCATGCTGCAGCAATGGGGCACTTGCAAGGCAAAGCAGCCGAAGCGAGCAACCCAGCACCGACCCCGGCCCCCCAAATGCCTCCTCCTAATCCGACAAGCCACCATTCGGGTCACAATAGCGGTATGTATGGCTTGTCTGCGCAAAGTATGCAGGCACCACCCCACCTGATGGGCCTGTCAATGGGGATGGGCATGGGCATGGGCATGCCGATCTCGATGCCGATGGGTCTGCCCACATCAGCCGCTGGGTCACACGAGGAATATCAGAGGTGGATGCTCGATCAGTTTCAAAGGAGCGGGGCGCACAATGCTCATGTGAGTTGGTGTTTCACGATATGTCGAGACCACGTCTGAATTGCTCGAGCTGAATGACGGCCCAACTGCGCTACCTTGACCAGCCGTTCATGGCCCCTGGTTCCATGCCTTGGCCCAACCCATTCGCTTACGATGTAGGTCAAACCGTACCCGCGAAGCGGACGAGCAGCTCTAAGCTGAACCAGACCGCTTTCTCTCTTCCCCTTGCCCATAGTCGAGCCACACCTTCTTTGCGCACACTGCCCAGCGCGAGTAGTGTTATTCATTGTTTTGCGCCAACCGGCGACATCTTGCACCAACATTCGAAATCCAACCATAACAGTGCCAAATTGCGTCCGAGACAGTTTCGTTCCAATGGAGGTGACGTTGCATCCAATAGACAAAAATAAAAACCGCCAACAGATGCAAAAGAGTTCATGTTCAAGCCTCGGCCAAGTTCACATCGGCAAACTTGGAGTACTGCTTCCTCGACTTGACCTTGTCGACGTCCGCTTGGGTGATGGACTTGCACTGCGAAGTGTTGCGGCGGGTGAGCCACCTGCCCAACTCGTCGTATGTGTTGCGGGGGATCGGTGCTTACCTCCGCGGCGTGGTTGTAGCCGAGGCGCGCTCGACCGTCAGCGCCCCCTTCCTTGTAGAAGCCGGGTCGCTTGAAGATGGTGACCACACACGCGCCACCTGATCGTCCAGGATGACGAGAAATTAATACGCACGATCTGAACTCTCTTGCAGCCGAGGAAATCAAACTCACCGAGACCCAGGTTGTGAGCGAGAGCATAGCATTCCTTGCCTTTCTTTTCCGCAGCTCCGGGTACACAGCGAGGATCTTGCATCGGTCCCGCCCATCCACGGAGCTGATTGACGAGGTAGAAAGCCATACCCAACCCAGTCGCGCCAAGGGGATGTCCCTTGGATTCGAGACCACCGGAGGGATTAATGACGAACTTGCCGCCATAGGTGTTATCGCCCGAACGAGCCAGTTCGTGAGCTTTACCGGGGGCGGTCAACTGCAGCGCGTCGTAGACGAGCAACTCGTTCGCGGCGAAACAGTCGTGCAGTTCGATGATGGAGAGGTCATCGGCCTTGATACCGGCTTGCTTGTAGCACTTCTGCGCCGCAATACGGGTCATGTCGGCGCCGGTCAGCTCGATCGAGGAGCGGTCATCGAAGAGACGAGGGCTGTCGGTCGTCATAGCTTGAGCGACCATCTCGATTGCTTGATTCTGCAGGTTGTGCTTCTTGACGAAGTCCTCGGAGACGACGATCGCGCAAGCCGCACCGTCTGAAGTGGGGCAGCACATACCACGCGTCATCTGTACTCAATATATATTGACAGAGTGAGGCTCAGACCTCCGCTTCGGCAGCGGATGAACATCAGGCACCAAGGACTCACGTTGCCAGTGATCTTCTTGTCGTTATAAACCTCGTCGGTGGTCATGACGTTGCGGAACTGCGAGTACGGGTTCACTGCGGAGTGTTTATGGTTCTTGGCTGCGATGCTGGCCACGTCTCTCCATGTCGAGCCATACTTTTGGCAGTACTCCTCGGCACCGTTGCCGAAGATCTGAGCAGCAAAGGGTCCTGATCCGACGCCGACGACGTCGTTCATCAACTCGATCGTCTTTTCGAGAGGGGGTGCACGATCACTGAAGGTGGTGGTCAACGAGCCAGGGGCCATCTTCTCGAAGCCGATCGCCATGATGCAATCGGCGACGCCGGCCTCGACCATTTGACGGGCGAGGAAGAGTGCTGAAGAACCCGTCGAGCAATTATTGTTAACGTTGACGATAGGAATTGCCGTCATACCAAGAGCATAAAGGGCACGTTGACCGCAAGTCGAATCCTTGTGTGGGAGTAAAGGGAGCCCGATCAGACTCTGTAGCGAAGCAATTTTTGGTGCGGGGAGGGGCAGGGTCTCGGCCTGCAGCGTGTGCAATTTACTCCGGGTGGCCACTGGCGAAGAGAGACTCACGCCATAGACGTATCCAGCATAGGCTTGTTCCACCTCGTCGTAATTGATTCCGGCGTCGAGGAGAGCCTTGGTACTGAAGCGCAACAAATGGAGAGTCGGTCAGCAAGACAATCCGCGCCTCGGCAAGCAGTCCCTTGGCCGGGCCCAAAGCGGGGGCGGGGTCTGATCCGTGGCCTACTCACGCAGCTTCGACGGCCAGTTCGGGATAGTCGATGAGTTTTCGGGGCTTCATGAACGCCGTCATGCCGACACCAGCGATGAAAGTCTTCCGGGGAGCCATGGTGAGAGTTTTGAGAAGGCTGAGCGTGGGGATCGGCGCGAGGTCAATAAAAATGATTGGGAAGAATTATGGAAAGTTGCCGCCCGGTTGAGAGCCAAGGCTTTGAAATGCAGGAGGGAGTCTAACACTCACTAAGATGGGAGTGGTAATAATGTAAGCAAGGGGTGTGAGTTGCGTGAGTACGAGAGAGTTGGAAGGTAGGTAGGAGGACTGTGGCAAAGGGCAAGCAGGTGCAAGCTAAGCCGAGTCGAAGCGTCAGATCGGAGTCCGGCAACGTTGCCAAACCGGAGGGTTGCGCGGCTCAGCGTGCGAGCTGCTAGTCCAGCCCGACCCCGTGGGGTGTCCGTGATGCTCACTTGATGCTCGGGGAACTCGCCTGACTTCATTCATGTGCTTTCGTGCCCGCCCCGCTCTATTTCGCTGTGGCCACTTAGGGGCCTCGATCAAAGTCCGAAGATCCTGGGGCTATATGTCATTCTCAAGACTAGTTCTCAAGATAAAGATAGGCGACGATGAGTGTACCTTTTTTGAGCGAGGCAACCACCACACAGTCAGGACGTCATGTGAGTGGTCAGCGCGGTACTACCTGAGCCGGGCCTGTGGTAGTTGCCTCGCTCAAAAAAGGTACACTCGTCATCGCCTATCTTTATCTTGAGAAGGAGTTGAGACTGTCGACACGTCGAGATCACGCAGATCGAACAAGGCGACAGCTCGGAGACTGTCCCGTTCGCCGTTGACGCCAACACTAACGCCGTTGAAACGAGTCGCCTTGTACTCAACCATGAGGGCATTGCTCACAACATCTTGCTGATGCCACTGGAACGAGAGAAGCTCTGCAGTACAGCATGCAGCCACGTGACAGGATCCGATAAAGCCTAGCCCCCATGTAAACGACTAAGGCGATAAGCAACAGTGTTCATACAACAAATTAAGCAAAGCGGGTAAGACTAGAGGAGGAATTCTTAAAAATCGCAGTCTCCCATGGGTATATCACAGAAACTGACGCTTCGTCGGAGTGCGCGGCGCGGGGGACGGCGACAGTGCGCTGGAGCTCAGCTGTTTCACCGAGCTCGACTGAACGTGCTGACCAGCAGTGGAGATGCTGAGCCGCCGTTTTGCCTTGACGGCCTCGTTCAGAGCCCCCACCAGATGGTGCGAATGGTTGCTAGAGAGCCAGAGGAAGAATGCGTTGGCGAGAGGGTAGATGTTGTATGTCCAGCGAATGCCGTACAGCAGCGCAAATCCTGCTGCGATCAGGGGTAGCGCGATCGAAACAGTCGAGGCCGTTCTGCAAGCCAAGGTAGTTGGCGAGTCAGTAAGGGAAACGAAAAGATAAGAAAGGTGAATTATGAATCAGAAAGACGCGAGAGCGACTTACGGACCAGGCGTGCGCTGCAGCATTTTGCCCGAATGCAGTGCCTCGACGTTGAGGAGGAAGCCGAGGATGTTGAGTACGTTGTGGTCAGTAGAGAATGGCGCAAGCCATCCGACGGCTAGGTTGCGCACCCAGACCGCAAGAATCATGGCATTGATGGGCAAGAGACCGATCATGACTAAGAGGGATACAAACGAGTAGTGATAGCGATCCCATAGGCGGCGAGTCGATGCAGGCGTAGAGGGCGCGCTGGCGTCCTGCGCCAACAGAAGCGCCCTGACGGTTGAGAGGAGGTGCACGAGGAAGAGGACGAGGAAAGCGAATTGGTAGGGGGCAAAGAAGAGCACCAACAAGCCTAGCGCTCCCATCGTCACGATGCGCTGCAGCGGCAGCGTTTCCCGAGGCTCCACAAGCGTAACAAAGGACCGCATTTGGGAAGGACCCCGCTGACGGATCAGGCGGACGAGTCGAGCCAGGACAGTGACGAGTAGGTAGAGCGCAGCATACTCGAGTACAACGACCGAAAGCATGGTGAAGAGAATGAATGCGCCGAGAAACGCGAAGAAGGGGCCCTGATTGCCCAGCAGCATCTCCGAGATCCACCTCGGCGGCAACGACGGGAGGAAGTGGGCGTCTGCACTTGCGAGCTTTGCTTCAACGAACGATAGGCGCGTGCCCAACATTACGGACTGCAGGAAAGAAAGCGCTACGAGGCCGCCGAGCAACGGCATGAGGTGATGTCTCGCGAACGTGCCGAGGGCCGTGGCAAAAGGCGGGAAGGAGTGTCCCGAATTGTAGTCCCGGAGCTGGCATGCGAATACCAACAGGATGAGTGCAAAAGGGAAGGCGACGACCGCCATCCGGTAGCGCATCGCCAAGTTCCCCAGCGACGCCCACAGGTCGAGCTTGATCTCGATCGCAACATCCGCGGATGCGCGAGAGTTCTCGCGGGCACAGGTCGGATCGACGATGAGCTGCAAACGCGCGCCCGACGAGACAAACGGTGACGCTGGAGCAGGCAGGTACGGTCCTGAGGCATGCGTGTATAAGGAAGCTTCGCGGACATTGGGAAAATATTTGGACTCGTGCAGCAGCGACGAGTATTGCCGCAGCAATGGCGCAAAGAGGACGGTGGACGAGTCTGCAAGGGTTCGGATAGGATCAGTTGCTGAAAGGTGATAAAAGTAAGCTGGCATCGAATATTCCCTATGCTCACCTTGGCAATCGCTCCGGAAGACCTTCATCTTGAATGTGAGCAGAGACGAGTCCAGCGCGGGAAGCCAAAGCTCAGAGATGAGCGAGGGCGTGGTCGGAAAGTTCTCAATTTTGAAGCCGCCAAGCATCAGCTCTGAGAAGAGTAGGCGAGCCTTCAGTGTTCAGTAAGGTTCATGCAGGGCCGATCCAGCTAGGTAGGACTCACGGAAAGCGGACTTGTCGACGGTGTGAATACGCCGATCTTTGTCCCCGAATTCGGCGAGGAGCCAGGCGTTACCCGGCTTGACGACGACGACAATCAGATCTTGACTTTCGAGCTGAGAGACATCGACGTTGAGGAAGGCCATCGTCCCATCCTCAGCGGGTGCGGGCAATATCGGTGATTGGGCAGAGTGAGGCGATATGGGGATAGTGGTGACAAAAGAAGGGAAGAGGGACGTGCAGGAACTGCTGCGCGTCGACTCGGGCGCCGACTCGTTCTTACCGCAGGCATAGACTTCGACCAAGCTGTCGAGTGATCGCCCGATATTCGCCGACGTGAGGAGCGAGAAGACACGAGCCGAGCCGTACGTTCGCCGCGGAGGAATGGGAAGGACGAACGTCGAGCGCTTATCCCCGTGGCCTCGCAGTGACAGGCGCTCGCCGATCGCCAGCTCCCGACCATGTTGGCCTCGCTCTAGCGACTCGAGAGTACTCTTACGCCCTTCAGGTTTGACCGGGTGGGATTCGATGGCCCCAAGCAAGCGCTCTGCCAGCTTTCCAACACGAGCCTCTCGCGGAAGCACGCCCAGAGGCGAGCGCACATCGACAATCGCCAGCAAGGCGGTGGCCACCGTTTCCACCAATTGGCGGCACCAAAGCATCGCGAGATGATCGATCGGCGTCTGCACACCCGGGATGGCAGTCGTAAAGACGGTGAAGCCATGCGAATCGTTCAGAGGCATGATCGATGTCAGCGACGCCGACTCGGACGCGACGGTTGTGTCCGAGATGCCTCCTGAGATAGATACAAGGACGAGATTGGACAGCTCGGCCTCGCCGCGTAAGTCTCGGCGCGAAGGCGGTGACGACATCGCCTCGAGATGATGAGCACGTCGCCAGTACGAATTGATATTGTCGTAAACTCGATCCACACCCCTGTCCACGGTCACTGGTGGAACAGCATGGGGCGTTGCGATCGTGACAAGGGTCGAGATGCTGCCGGACTGATAGTGCGGATGCAGCAGAGCGGCACGCGCGACGATTCCACCCATCGAATGGCCTATGACGATGACCGACGTTGGGTCAGGTCGACCTTGTATCGCGTTTGATTCTTGGTGGTAGAGCGAGAGAATATAGCGAATCGAATCGGCGAGATACTCGGCCTGATCGAGCAAGGTCTGGCCGTGGAAAGCCGAAAAGTCGTCGTTGAAATCGAGCGTGAAGAAATCGAGGGGTCTTCCCCCCTCCTTACTACCGATTCCTTTGCGACGCACGCCGGGAAGCTCGTAGTAAGCTCGACTTGCTGCACTTGCGAGCGATCTGACCTGGCGAAAACTTCCAGCGTTGCCGGGGACGAAGATGACCGGAATTCCGGTAAGGGCGAAAGCTCTTGGAGTCGGATCGGTACTTGCAGCCCCATGGCCGACATGCGGCTCGAACGGATCGTCGTCCCATCCTTCCTCCCGGTAGAGATACAGACCCCAGGGTCCTGCGCCTAGCCGACTGTATTCACGCCCAAAGGCTGTGGAATCCGGATTCGGAGCAGGCGAGGGCGACGGCGAGCGAGGCACGAAAAAGCGGGCATGAGCTTCGGGAACACGCGACGACCACAGCCGGAAGAGGGGAAGTGACGTGCCAGAAATATGGAGATATGACGGCGACATCCAGCTTTGTCGACATGCGCCCGCTCCGCCCCCTTTTGCGTCGGGAGGCAACGATCCCGGCGGGTATCGCGGAGGCGAGGCGATGTGTGCGAACAACACGGTCACCAGCGCGACAAGCGACACGAGAATGATGGCGACGAACCCAGCCAAGGGCGTACGACCGAACGAGGAGCGGTTTGTGGCGGCATGAACGACATATCCAGCGTTCTTTGGTCTTGCTGTTGTCGCCGTTGTTGCGGCGTCGAGCGCGTCCGGTGCGATCGTCGATCGGGTCGAGCTCAAGAGTCCCGGTTCCTGTGATGCAACTCCCGCCGGGGCCGGCATGCGACCAACAGCCGACTATTTCTCGGCTAGTGGCTGCCACGCAACAAAGAGTCGGCTCGACTCGACACGTTAGAAACGGCACAGGAGAGGCGGTCCAGTCAGATGAGCGTGCGAGAAGGAGGAGGAGCAGCGCGTCCGCACGGCACCGGGTTGCACTATTGGTGACAAGTTGCGGTGGGAATGAATCTTCGGGATGTTCAGCCAAGTTTCCGGCTCGCGCCGGGCCACCCTTCGCTCCGACAACTGCACCTGTTAACAACCACTTGCAATTGATTGCGAAAACTGCTAGGTACCTTAGGTTTGTACCGTGCACTTCTCTGCCTTGGTCGGCGCCGCCCATACACATCGGTCCGACTGCGCGACCTGCCGCCGGCGCTACTTGCCATTTGACAGTCACGGACGTCAACATTCTGGATTCTGAAACTTGCCTCGGAAATCTGACAAGGCTCAAGATTGCGCTTTTCTTTACAGACTACTACGAAGGTCATTCTCTAATCAACTACACCTCACTTGGGCTGACGTACAGGGGAGTTCATGCAGCGCTGACACCCTTGCTAAAGCGGTCTAGGCACTGTATTCACTCGGCGCTAGGTGAGGTACTAGACGGACTGAAATATACAGCGAGACCTGATCGCCTTCGAGTCGAGGATTTTCAGGCACGGTGCAGCTTCCCCCCACCCCACCCACCCCAAATAGGTGCACCGATTGGCCATGTCCGATGCACCCACCTACCCAATTGTTCAGGTACCTTAGATACCCTTAACTAATACCACGGCCACTTCCAACATACCTAATGTCTCCTAGCGCCAGCAGGACGCGCGGGGCTCGCGATCGATAGGGGGCAGTTCCATTTTTTAAATTTCATCAGATGTAGCAACTGCACGGCCTTGACATCAAAGCTTCAGCTAAATTTACCGCAGGATAGCAGACACTGTATGGTGCGTTATGGTTTCATGACGTTGCTTCACTGTAACGTCCCTTTGAGAAACATTCGAGCACGATCTGAAAGTCACATATACTTGAAAGAGGCTTCAGGTGCGACAGGACAAGGCGGTACCTATTTGACGGATTTTCACATAGCTAGCTCTCTAAGAACCATCCACCCAATCTATTTCTCAAGTAGACATCATGTACAGCTTGGTTCATTATGCCGGCGGGGGAAATCAGTGACGCGCCTCGGGCCTCTGCCAGCGTGGACCCGGCTGGACCCGGCGGCTCTTGCGACACTCACTACAGCACAGCAGCACCTAGCAGCACTATCCCCCCACTCGGTCCAGCGGTGGTGTCCTCGTTCGCTCGCTCGTCTCCCGCCCGTCCCGTTGCTACGATTTCTACCGTCGCTTCCAGCGCGTTTCTCACGAATGACCAGGTGAGCAAGACCTCGATTCCCACCTAACGCTGCGCCGCTCGCGCTCAACCTTGATTCCGTTGATCGCTGAGCGTTGGAGTGCTGATCGACCCGACCCCATTCCCGGCCCACGTACTGCCCACGTACTGCCCACGTCGTCGACCGACAGCCGCTGCGCGTGCACACGACCTTGAGACGATGTTCGCCTGAACGCCCCCAAAACTACCCTCCGACGACTTGTTCGTCTGCGCCACCCCATTACCTCGCCCGTGCGGTTTCCCTCTCATTCGGGATGGCTCCCCACCCACTGCCGGCTCGCCCCATCCAGTCCGTGGCCGGGGTGGCGACGCCTTCGTGGCCTTCCTTGGCGCAGCCACCCTTGTCGACCGGCGCGACTATGCACCAGCAAGCCGCTCGCAGCCAGGCTGGTACGACCGGCTTCTCGACAACACTACCACCCCCACCATCCGCTGTTCAGCCGATGCCGCGGCTGCCGCCGCCGCGGCCGCCGTATTCGGGACCGGCGTCAGCGGCCGCCCAGCAGTCTTCGGGCCAGGTCTATTCTCAGTCTCAGTCTCAGGGTCAAGGTGGCCCGTTGCCGCTGCCCGCGCTCGGTGCCGCGAGAAGTTCCTCGTTTCAAGGGAATGCTACGAGTCCGAATGGAAGCAACACTCCGGGATCACTACCCGCTTCACCAAAGTGGGGCACACCAGGGCAACACTTGCCGCAGTCGCATCAGCAGCACCATCTCGCTACGCCGACGCACACTCCCAACCCCGCTTCCTCCTCAACGCCGAGTTTCGCGCTGCCGAGAGCACCGAGCATGCGCAAGGCACTCACCAGCCAGGATGTCCGAGTTAACTCGGTCCAGGTCGACCTGCCGGGGCAAGGCCGCTGGAAAGTTCATTGGAGGGCATGGCGTGGACCAGCGTTACTCGACACTTCGGTCGCGGCACCTCCGACTCCGCCGAGCACGACAAATGTTTCCGACAAGGCGCTGGCGTCTCATCTCGGCATGCCGCTGCACGAGCACACCCCGACGGCCAAGTATGACCCTTTGACATCCACTGCACCAATACCGACGACGACTTTGAAACGAGCCCGGTCAGCTCTCTGTGACGACGACCCTTCGACTTCGATACCGATCGCCTCGACGAGCTCCGCGCCCGGCTCATCATTGCGAGCCAGGCTACAGGCCTTGCAGAAAGTGGATCCCAGTCAAGATCCAATAGAGCTCGCATTGAAGCAAGTCCAACGCGTAGCCGCTAATCTCACCGCGTCTGCGTCAAACACGGTCTCATCGGGCGTGCCGTCGCTCTTCTCGTACGTCAGAATCAGCGCGGTCAGACCGATCGAGGATTTCAAGGGCAAAGGGAAGGCGAAGGCCACCGAGGCGCAGGACGCGGCCGTTGGGAGGATGCTCTGGGTCTTTGGTCTATCCTCGGATTCAATCGAGCATGACCCCACTCGAGAAGCCTTGAGTGCCCTTGAGTTCGCGGACATCATTTGTAGGTTCATGAATTGCGGAGGCTTGTGTGGCCGCGTGCGCGAGTGCTGACCCCGACGTCGCTGTACGTCACAGGTGTTGGCAAAGGCCATTTCGCGCATCGAGATGTGTTCCCAGCCATGTACGAGATGACGACGTCGCCTTCGAGCGACGCCAAGACGGCTCCGTCGCAGCCAGCATCTGTCGCATTGCCGCTTGCGTTGCCCGCCTCGGCGTTTCCTTCCGTGCTTTCCCTGTCCGCTCAATTCCACGCAGATCTCCCCTGCCCGGCGAGCGCGCCTCAACCGCAAACTCGCATCTGTTCACCGTGCGAAGCGTTTTTGGCCGGTTGCGGCAGTGTTATTCGCCAATCGCTGCTCGCCCAGGAAGACGGGCATTCATCCTCCGAGCTGCGGCGCCCGGCTTTGCCGCTGGGCTCAGCGATCGTTATTCTCCCGCCAGCAAGCGAGCCTTTCGGCTATAGCGGTCGCCGTATCTTGCCCGAAGCGATCAAAACGACGTTGCATTTATCCCTCAATCTACAGGGGTTGCTCGTGCGGAGCGCCGTCGAGGACGTTGCGTACCGGCCCTACCCTGTGTTGTCAGCCACAGTGACCCCTGTTCCGACCGGTGCACCGGTGCTGCTTGCCCCACTAGGAACACCGGCGACATTCGTCAGAACTGTGGCGCCATCGTCGCATTCGTTACACGCGAGCCGGGTCAACGCGTCATTGCGCCAGACCTGGCTGAATGCTCTCGACGGCTCGGACCTCGCGCTGGACGAGCATGAGCATTGGCTCGTTTGTCGAATCTCGATTCCTCCGCATGACACCACTGCCAACATGTCACCCCAGGTCTCGGATTCCTCACCAGAACACCTCGACGTCATGTGGCCTGCCAGCCTCTGCCTACTTGATGGCACTCGGTCACAACCGTTGCGGTCACCTCAAAGCACCCCGCCTCGCGTAAAGGCGGTCGACCTCGCCGATTCTTCGTCTCTGGACCCTTTCGTACACAACACTTCTGAAGCGGGACTCAGCTCTCCCGACGTTTTGACACGCCAACAATTGGCGGCGGCCCTCCATCGGGGGCTCGCCGCAGACGCGTTGAACCCTCACAAGTCGTCGTCATCTACGACGTACCATGACCCCATACGAGCTCGCGTAGAGCAGGTGGGCGCCCTACTCGTGGATCTTCAAGAACAACGGGAGCAACGACTCCGGCTCGAGCGGGAAGCCGAGGCCGTGCGAGCTTCCCCTGCCGCTGCGGCGACGACCGCACCCCCCGCTTCGCCGCCCGTTGCCGAACCTGCGAAAGTTGCTTCCACAGCTGGTGCGCCGATCAGCATGCGTACTCCAATCTCCCTCGTTGGGGGGTCCACCGAGGCGCTAAGCCCGGGAGACGCGTTCAGCGCCGCCGAGCGCAGCTTGATGAGTGCCCTCGGGGAGGCGCCATTTGCCTCCACCGACCCGGCGACGATGCAGTCGTCGAACGCGTCGGCGCTGACGACGACTAAAAATGCCGAAATGGACCATCTCTACCCCTCTCCCTTCGAAGCCCCGAATGCGCTACCAATTGTCAGCGAGGGCGTCGGAAGTGATAGCGTGATGAACACGGTCGAGCTGGGGTCCTCGCACGACGCCACTTTTCCAAACTTTGACTGGGGTGAGGACTTCAGCGCCGGACAGAACCCCGGGCTCCGTCACAATCAAGACTTCGACGACGGGATGATGATGGACTTGAATGATGACGACTTCTCCTTTTTCGACGACCCCGCGCCCTTACCGACGTCACTGCCGCTTGGAACTCTGAACGGCCTGCAGTCGGCAGGCCCAAGCCCCAAGTTCTTGGATCACTTCAGTCACCTTGGCTCAGGAGCCACGCCGTTTCCTTCGGTGGCGAGCCCGGCTTCGCCTTCGTTGGGAGTAGCTTCGCCAAATGTGCACACCTCCCCCGCCGTACTCAGCTTCAGCTTTGACAACAACCAAAGTCACAATGCGCTCGGTCTCGGGGGCGCTACGCCTCGCGCTCAACAACTTGCAGAGCAGTCGCCTTTCAAGACTTCGCGGACTCCGTACACTCCATATGTCGAAGTCGTCGATGAGGAGAACGAGCCCGAGATTGCCCACAGTGGTACCCACGCTACTGCCACGGTGTCGGTGGCAGGTACGCCAGCCTCGAATGCACTCGCGCTGAAGAAGTTGACCCAGTTTGAGGCGGTGCCGTTTGGAAGCTCTCACGCCAAGGCAGATGAACGCTACGATCCTCGCAAAGGCAAATTTGGACTCCCTAGCCCCGGCTGGGATCGTAAGGAACTTCCCATGGGAAAGATGTCGAATGCGTCGGCGTCAGGCGTACCCTGGTTAACCGCAATATGCGATCCGCGCGCCAATGCCGCTCGACAGCTCAAGCAGAAGCGCACACCATTTCTGGCCAAGAAGCGCCCATGCACGGACGGCACCTCAAATCCATGTGCACGGGTCCAACCACGAGACCGAAAATGGATTCGCTCCACCGAAGCTGACAGCGACAACCCAGGAGAGGAGGATAGCGAGGATGACGATATGGATGGGCCCATTGAGCCGCAGCACCATGATGGAGATGACCTTGCCGCCACGGAGACAGGCCCTTCCCATCGAGCTTCAGAGAATTCCTTCGGCTCGGGCTTGTTGATTCTTCGGGACCATCTCAAACGCATGCTGTCCACCGCAGGTGCCAAAGTGGACATCATAGCGCCTGTGCCCGTGGCGACGAAGGCGACGAAGGCAGCAGAACATGCGCTTGAAACCACTGTCGGGCTCATGGCGGATCAGACTCTACATAACCCCGATTTTCGTAACAGGTCCGCTGCCTTGAAGGTGCGCAGCAAGTCGAGCGGCGCGAATGGTGAGTCGACCGAGAGTTTGAATCGCGATGAGATGCGCGGTCCTGACGCCGTAGTGCCTTTATCCACAGCTTCGTCAATTGCAACCCGGATCGTCTACAATCGCCTCGCTCGGGTCGCGCCCAACCCGGATCCACTGCCACTGTCGACTCTCCACGCTCCGACGTTACTCTTACGAGCTCAGCAAACGATCATGCAGCTCAGCGCGTCGGCGCTGGACTTCTGGAACCCGATGGGTTTTGAGCCTCTGTCCGGTCCCAAGGACGTAACAGCCTTTGCAGTGTTCGAAGAACTCAATACTGATACAAGGGAGGCCGTCGCAACTTGGCTTGACGACGTTTCGGAAGGCTATCAAAGTTCTCGCCTTGGTCGGCATGAATTGGGGCACATTGCAGCCTCGGGGACGTTCTCTGGAGTTGAGAATGGCTTGGCCGCGCTGCCAGCAGGAGCATTATCGAGGGTGAAGGATGACTACAAAGGAATGGGTGAGTAGCATGTCGCTCCGAGGTCCCTTCTTGTCATTTAAGTTGAACGCTGGACTTCCCGACCTCGCTCTGCAGCCAACCACTTGGTCGATGCGGCGCGCACTCGAAAGCATGTTGTGATTTATCTACTCGACCCATCCGAGGCATCTCGGACCTCTGCCTCTGCGGCGCCATCCATTATTGCAGCGTTGGCGCACATACTTAAGTCACGCGCAAGCACCATGTCACTGGTCGTCTACCCCCTACCGCTCTCGACCGTGTCACGCTGGAGGTCGATCGCGTCGGCCGACTCGATTGCCGCTCGCCTGCGACGCCTCGCTTTCGCTGTTTATGATACCCTGCTTGTATCCGTCTCGAGCCTTCCAGCACCAGTTCCGGAAACATTCCCTTCGTCGCAAATCGGCAGACATCCGGTGCTCGGTCCTCTGACACGTCTTTACCAGAGCCCCGCCATCACCGCTTCGCCGGTGCGGGAGACTTCCATCGAGTTCGCGCTTGTGTGGCCGCCCTCGAGTCTTGAAGTCCTGCATCGGCACCGACTGTTCCACGTTGCCTATGGATGCTTTCGCGCCCTCGCCGAAGGCGAACACGGTCCTGCCCTCGAGTGGATCGTCATTTCTGGTATCGATGAAAAGGGCGAGACGTGGAAGTCGGTCCCGCAGATTGTGCGCTACCCGCCGCAAATGCAGCTGGAGGAGGCGAGGGCGCGCCAAGTATGGAAAGCAGCCAAGTCGCTTCATGATACCGCTGATATCGAATGGAGGGTCGTCGTCACCAAACTCGGGAACATGTCGAAAGAGGAAATTATTGGTGAGCCGGATTTGGACGTATTTTCCGCAATTGCGCATTAGAGCAACCGACTGACACTGGCGTTACTTATCAGCGTGGGATAAGATAAGCCGAGAAATCATTGGCGGACTGAGAAGACCTTTGCATATCACAATCTCTTGTGCTGAGATCGGTCCAGCGCTGTCGCTGTTGCCAGTGCTCCACGAAGCTTCCGAGCACACCAGCTCGCCGATGTCCGAGGAGGGCGAGCTCGGGGCCGGCAACGACGCTGGAACGACCATGTCACCGGCGCTAGGTAGGAGTCATGCAGGCCGTACGAGAAACCAAAACAAGCCCATTCATCTTGACTCTGGCACATGCCTCTTCGTACATACGCCGAACCATCCCATCACCTTTGACACGTCCGCCAGTCTGGTGGCCCCGGCCAGCTCGTTCCTTATTCACGCCCCTCGTCTGCCGACGTTCGCCCAAGCACCTTTCCAACCGTTCATGCCCGCCAGCCCGGCAATATCGGTGCTTGCTCTCCACGTACTTTCCTCAGCCTGTACCAAAACTTCGACCCTGCGTATCGATCTCTCGCAACATGTGGCGGATATTATGCAGAGCTTTGCTGATCTCGCCGCGCTCGGACATGCGCGCTGGGGCGCATCCGGTCGAGTACCCTGGCACCTGGAAGCCGTAGCAAGCGTTTTGGACATCTTGGCCGCCCTGACCTGAACCTTCCTTCTCTCTCGTCTGAACAATCGATTCCCGCCGGCATATACCCGGCCACGCCTGATTACATTTTTTGTTTCTTACGTGGCATCGCAACTTGTCTTTTCGTAGGAATCGTTTCTTCGCACTCTGCAGGACTCTTAGCAAACGCAAGAACCCATATGATACAACTATCATCATGAACAAGTGTAATTACTCGTTTTTGCACACCTTTCGGGTCTTCACTAAAGCTGACCCAGTGCGCGCGGTCCACCCGAACCCCAAGAAGCAGTGGAGGAGTTTAAGCCGCAGATTTGAACTCGTACCCTCCTTCCCGCCTGATCATGCGATGCGAGAGAGAAGCGAGTACGGTTTCATCCTGTTGAAGTCCTGCTTCAATCTGATCGCCTTCCACGACTTGACTGACCCCCTTGGGTGTACCTGATTCGGGCAATTCAGCGGCTCTCGGTGAGTTGATAATCAACCTAGCACCATCGAGAGGTCAGAATGCCCACCGGTCAAGATCAAGTCGCCTTCCTCCAACCGCATGATGGACGAGCAATGTTCAATCAGTCGATCGATCTTGTACAGCATCAACGACGTCGGTCCGTCCTGCCGGGTTTCTCCATTGACCTTTGAGCAGCGAAAGAAGTCGGGTGTCAGAGAAGACAGAGGACCCGGACCGAAAAGAATGAGCATCAGCACTTTGCTATCCTTTGTGGATTCAGGGAAGTTTGGCTTACCTTGTACCATAATCTCAGCTGATGCGGATCCTTGACCTCGTCTTTGGAGATGAACCTCGATACCGGGCTGTTGCAGATGTGAACAGTTGACCGCAGTGGGTCAGACTTGAGCAAAGTCAGACAACGGGTCAACCTGTTGAGGGAGGAACGAACCACCAGGTGTCCATGCCTTTGGCGGCGGACCAAGGAAGACCTTTTTTTTTGACTGCGTCCTGCATGTTGCGGCCCGTGTAGTCAATCGCGAGCGTGTATCCGGCGACGTGTTGCATCGCCGAAGCGGAAGGAATGTCCCGACCGCCCTTGCCAATCACAACGCCAAGCTCGACCCTTAGAGTGCAACATTCGGTTGAGCGAGGGTACACCGACTCGTTGCACCGGGGACTTGAGCACGTTTCTTGTAGACCTACTCGTGGTGGACCTTGACGCCTCGAGGAACTTCGACGGGCTCCTTGTCGGCATTGTACTGCCGAGTGCCGGGCAGACGAGGATTTCACTTGCGCGTCAACACAGGCTGAAAGTGTGAGTATGCGAGAGGTGGTTCTGCACTCACACTCGTGGTAGGCTTAAGGAAGAAGAAAGGCTCGGTCGGGGTGGTGCTGTCGGAAGCCGGACGGATCCGGCGCAAGCAAAGACGTCGGGTAGGTTCGAAGGTGGGGTCAAAAGCGAGGTTCGAGCATGAGTGGCAGCTCTAGGCGGGGCGGGCAGAGCTAGAGGAGAGCACAAGCTCACTTGTTCAACTCGGCGATGTGAGCGGCATAGTTGCTGTGGTGGTGGGTGTGGCAACTTCGTGAGCTGCGCTCGGTGGACTAGACGGGCGAAGACGACGGAGTTTGCCAGGTTTGCCAGCTTCGACAGTATGCGCCCAAGCCCGAACGTACCGGCCGATCGCGATGATCTAGCGAGGTGTAAAGACGAAGGCATGGGTTAGTGCCTTCCATCTTTGCTACCCTGGAGTTCTGCGAATCGCTGGACGTCCGACGCCGGATCCAAACTTCCTCGACTCGCCCGACGTCAGCCGCGGCGCACAGCCGGTGCGAGGGCTGCCTGGGCAGGAGTGGGCGCAGATGCAGAGGTGCATGATGGACTACAGATTGCCGAGAGAGCCGCTCACTTTCTTTCCCGACGTGCGAAACTCGGCAGCAATCGACATGATAGGCGAATAGGGTCACGGCTCGAAGCAAAGAAGCCGGTTGGGCCGTGGGAGCGCCCGGTGCGTGGGGGTTCGGGTTACGTTGACGAGGACCCCCGAAAGCCCAGCCAGAGGCGCATGTGGAAAAACGCCCTTTTTTGGCCTTTTTGTCAAAGTTTTTTACCCTATTTTGGCCCCAAAATGTCAAAATTTCACATGCGCCTCGGAAATATTACCAAAATGTGTTCTCCATGCTCCAAAAATCGCTCAAAAGTCCTCGAAAACGCGTTCCGAGCGTTTGCGGGCGCGCGGCGGCCGATCGAAAGTGGCTTGCGGCGCGCTGCGGTGCGCGTCGCTTCGGCTGGTGTCGCGCGTGGCTCCAGGTATCAAGAGGGCCTTCCTTGCTTTACTGGCGGGCTCGCTACTTCGTTGTCAGACTTCCGTTTTCCTGAACTTGAGCTCTTTGTATCCGCGGTGGCAGTTATGCGGCTTGTAGAGGTTCTACCGGCGGTGTCTCGCGGCCCGGGCACGCTCCGAAGGGCGGCAATCTTTGCTCCGCATGTACGCACGTGCTGATTATGCGCTCGTCGGGGTAACATGAGGTAAGGTCCTTGGTGGGACAATATGTAGTCGTTGGAGGGCCTAATGACTCGATGACCTGTCGACCATCAATCATGCGAAACGGCATGGTGCCATCAATGAGGTGAGTGGAATAGCATGCTTGCTCGATGAGGCGAAGCTCCTATGGACAGCGGTTCTTCTCCGTAAGCAGTTTGATCGCAGCTGCATGCCACGCCCGAGGCCAAAGCAGATCAGGGATCCGATCTCCAAAGGTGTGGCAGTGGTTACAACTCCGTCAAGCGATCCGAAATGACGATAGCGTTGTGCTAGCGCTCCGTACTGCTTGTCGACGCGACGGCCAAAGGTCGATATCCATTCTTGCGTGCGTTGATCAGAGCATCGGTGGCGAGAAACGCGTCTCTGGTCTGGAGAGTCGGGTAGGGTAGGTCGATTACTGGGTGGGCTTGTCTTTGGACAACTCGGTGTGAAGAGACGCGTCGGCGGGAGCGACATGATACATCGAAGGCGAGGAGCTCGGCGATCGTCATGTTGGTGAGCGGCGATAACCGATCGAAGTCATCGTCCGTTCAAATAGTAGTCCTGGTCTTCGTCGAGAAACAAGCATGAAATCTTGTTGTCGTGCTATGCTTCAATGTCAGAACGAAGTGAAGCGGAACGGAACCTGCGCCCCTTCAATCTCAGCAGTGGGAACTATTGGTACCTAATCCCTAACAGCCTCTGCACTAAAGTGATTACAAAAAATGACTAGTGACCCGTACAAGCGCGAGCACGAAGCGCGTCTCGAAGGCGAATGCGGGCCCATGGTCATGCCGAAGGCTGCTCAGGGTCGGCCAAAATTGCCTCGACCCCCGGGAAAAATGTCAAAATCTGCAAAGGCGCCTCGGGGGCAAAACCTGTGTTTCGTCCCAAAATGTCAATTTTTTGCAATGCGCCTCGACGATTTTCAGGATTTTGGGTCCTCAAAATGTCAAAAAAAAAAAAAGCGCCTCCGGCTGGGCTTTCGGGGGTCCTCGTTGACGTCTGCAGACGTTGACTGAGTCTCTCGTTGACTAGTCGTTCGTTGACTCGCAGAACCGCGGAGTAGGTGACTCCGAGTCCTACCGTGCGAGAGCACCATCTCGAGATCAACCGAAAAAGTAGAGAAAACTCCCACACGAATCCGTCCCCGGTTTTCACCATCCTCGTCGGGCTCTTCAAGCGATTGTCGGCGCGAGTTTCCCGGATTAGTTGTCAACTTGTTGGCAACCAAATCGAGTACCGATCTCGGTGACCAAAGGGTACGTACAGTACAGCCTTTGGATGAATCAAGCTTTCTTTGCGTGCAATGTTCATGGGACAGCGGCGGGGAAAGTGTCTAACAAAACATGTAATTACGGGTAGGCACATAGGGCTCTTGAGGGAGACCGAGGGGAATTCAAATTCAAGCTCGAATATGATGCTTGACAGGGAAATTAGATATATAAAGTAGGAGATTTGCATAGGTCAATCATGAAATTTGGGCGAGGTCACGTCGGCCGAGGAGTTCGTTTAGGCACTGAGTGCACCGCCGAACCCGTTTCCGGATCGAGCCGATCGGGCGCCAACGACGACGATGGCAGCGAGAGCAATCGTGCTGAGGATCCAGTTGATCCACCCGAAAGCTTCGGCAGATTGGAGCTGGCCGCAGTGACCAAGGCGACGGGCCCCGCAGTCACCGAGCTTGCGGAAACCGTCCGTGACAGCGGCCGATCCGGCGAGCCAGAAGAGCCAGGTCAACGCGAGCCAAGCACCATGCGACGCGATCGAGAAGAGGAAAGAACTCGACGACCTGACAACACCTGTAGGAAGACCGAATGTCAGAGTGAAGAATGGTTCCCGTGACAAGCTGGACTGCCCTGGGCCGAAATAAATGACCCGACCCGAGGGGCCGCACGGCGCACTTACCAACGATGTAAGCGATACCGAAGAACAAGGTCCAGAGCGAGGTGAAGAGCAAGAAGCGGGTCCTGACATTGGGCAGAAAGAGAGCAAGCGGGTGCTTGTTATTAGCCATCATCCTCTGCGATTCAAGCCCGCCCACCCCGTTCGAGAGGTCTGACGACATCGAACTGCCGCCCGTCATGGCTCACGATCCCTTGAGCAAACTGGACGGGTAGTCGTCCTTGCGGTTATAAGATCCGACCAAGACGGCCGTTTGGATCATCTCGGCGAAGGAGAAGAAGACCATCAGGCCGAACACGATCTGGGACAGGCCGCGCATAAGGGGGTGCCTTGTCAGCCACGGGACACTCGGGAGACTCGCTCGGTGTTGGACAAGGAGAAGAGGAGTGCTTACGGGGTGACCGCGTTTCTGTCATAGGTCATACGAAGGTGAACATGCGAGATGGTTCATACGACGTGGGGGAATGGTGGAGGTCGGGTTGCGCAAAGCTCGGCGTCAGTTTTCATTCCAGCGGTCTGGCTCGCACCGTCATCGCAGGCGCAACCCGGGCAGGCCGAAGGCAGGAACGACCGCTTTCCCGCGGGTCTTTGTTCGATCGCCCTCGCCCGAACGCTGCCGTCGGCTGACAGCGCTGACAGCTGTGCGCGGCTGAAACTGGTAAGATGGTGGGGTCACGTACGATGATGGAGTCGAGAGCCATGCTTGATGGATTATAGAGAGGGCGGGGCCTTGAAGGTAGAGTTGAGCCGGTAAGAGCTGAAGCTGCGAGGTGAGAGTTGCGAGCTGAGGTGAGGAGGCGAGAGCAAAGAGGGATCGAAGTCTGCGCCGGGGCTTCCGGGCTGATGAACTCGCAAGTCGCCTACTGGTCGCCTCAGGTCGCCTCATCGTCAGTCGCCTCGGGCTCGGGCTGACCTGCGGCGCGCGCGACGTCATGATTTTGCCCCGGCGAACTCGATCGAGTCGTGCACAGACGAGTAGCATGCGGGCACCGAAACAAATCATTCAAAATGTGCATCTTTGGTTGCAAGTCTTGATTGCTGCAAGTCATGATCTGATCGTACTTGGCTCAATGCCAGGTGCCTGGGCAGGGCCCCCATGACGCCTAGGTATCGAGTCTCGACTCGGAGCCCCTCGGTCTTGTCTTCCACCTCCACAAGTACTAGATTGTGCGCTCGTTCCGCTTTAGGCAGTCGCTGCCCCTTTGCTGCCCCCGCGGGCTCGGACCGGCGCGAACTGGTGGACTCCCCGTCGGAACAATTTTCAGAGTGCAGGACATTGAATTCCTTGACATAGACGCGTGTGTTTGAATACGAGAGAAAGTCATTGTTACAAATCGAGCTCATCCTCAACGAGGGTGGTCTGAACAAACGGCAATGCACACATGAGGGAATCCTAGGGAATCAGAACCTCCCACACAGAGGAGCAAGCGCCCAAAGAGCGACTCGCCATGGAGAATGGGCCATCAAACCACATGATAAAACAATGACGGCCTGTCCTTTTATGAGGTGGAGAGTTGCAATGGAGAGAAGAGGAAAATCGTGCGAGCGCACGCAACGAATAACTGCCGATAAGAGGGGGACAGGCGGAAGAGAAGAGTAGAGTTGAGCGAGAGGGGTGCATGGGGGTTGCGCATCATTGTCGGCGTCGATCTAGTCGAACTTCATCTTCTTGCCCTCGAACGAAGCGGCTCCACCAGTTCGGGCAGACCCAGCTCGGGCACCCCATCCGGAATCTCCTTGTCGGCCACCTCGTCCTCCGCCGCGTCCTCCACCTCGTCCGCCACGGTCGCCACCGAAACCGCCTCGTCCTCCACCACGGCCACCACGCCCTCCACGGTCACCGCCGAAGCCACCACGACCTCCACCACGACCTCCTCCACCTCGGTCGGATCGCTCCCCTCGGGGTTGCGAGTAGTCGAGACGGACGGTTCGGCCATCGACTTGCACACCCTCGCCATCAGCGGTCGGTCCACCTTTCTTGACGGCCGCCTCGGCACCATCCAGCGACGAGAACTCGACGTAACCGAAACCCTTAGGTCGCCCAGACTCGGCATCCATCGGCAAGCGAACCGACGAGACGTCGCCAAAGTCGGCGAAAACGGACCAGACACTGTCCTCGCTGCACGAGAAGGGCAAGTTGCCGACGAACAAAGTCGTCGTAGGCGGGCCCGAGAGCGTGTCGTTGAAAGTCTTCTTGGGCTTGTCGCCGAAAGCGCCTTGCTCGCGGTTGGGACGAGGCTGACTGAGGTCAACCTTGATCGATCGGCCATCAATCTCGTTGCCGGCCATCTCGAGCGCCTTCTGCGCCGACTCGGCCTTGACGAACTCGACGTAGCCGAAACCGCGCGAACGACCGGACTCACGGTCGGTTACGACACGTGCAGACACGACCTCGCCGCAGACCTCGAACTCGCTCTTGAGCCACTCGTTGTCGACGTTCCACGAAAGGCCACCAACGTAGACGGTGGAAGACACAATCTCGCCATCGTTGCTGGCCTCGGCGGCAGGAGCGGGGGCATCGGCCGTCTTGGCCTTTTTCGCGGGCGCTTCGGTGGAGTCGGCGGCACGCTTCTTGCTAGCAACAGCGGGGGCTTTCTCCTCCTCTTCCTGACGGCGTGAAGATGCGTAGGAGTCAATACAAAAGGCAATGCGGGCAAAATTGAGGCTCTTCGAAGACTCACGTCATCGCTGTCGTCAGAGTCATCGGACGAGTCAGAGTCTGCCTTTGTGGCGGCGGGTTTCTGTGATGCAAAGGGTTCGCTGTCAACAGGGCAGGTCAACTGACTGGGGGTCGACTTTCACTGACCTCCTCGTCATCAGAGTCGTCCGCCGACTCGGAGCTGTCATCCGACTCCTCCGTGGCCTTGGTGGCGGCTGCTTTGCCGTTGCTCTTGGCCTTGGGAGCCTACTCATAAAGACGAAGCATACATAAAGCATCAGCATGCGTTTTTAGTGACACAGAGACCAAGACGCACCTCATCCTCGCTGGACGAGTCGTCTTCGGACGAGGACGTCTCTTCAGCGACGACCTCTGCGACCTTGGCGGCGCCATTAGCGACGGCCTTCTTGGCAGAGACGGCGGTCTTGACAACCTTCTTGGCGGCGTTCTTGACAGCCTTGACGGGCTAGAGAGTGGTGCGGACGAAGGGGTCGCAGGGCAGGGGGGATGAGGGGGTGTGGGTCAAGTCAGCCACACATCAGGCAACCGGATGACAGATGTAGAACGATGCAATGCAAACAGCAAGAGACAGCAACGCAATGCTGTCTCGCGTCAGGACGCAAATAGGAGTAAACGCGGGGAAGCACATCAGAGTAGGAAGGGAGCCGCGGGGAGAGCTTTGGCGGTGCTGCTGGCTGCGAAGCGCGGAGGAGCTCGGATTTGCTCAAGGGCGAACGCGGGCCCCGGAATGCGGCCAGGAAGGAATAGGAACACTCACAGCAGCCTCCTCGTCGTCGGAAGAGTCATCCGAGTCAGACTCTGACGAAGACGAATCGCCCATCATGGCGGGAGCTACAGCAGCGACGACCTTGGCTGCGCCCTTCTTGGCCTTCTCGACCGCAGGCGCAGCCTCCTCCTCCGAAGACGACGAGTCACCGTCCGAGTCCTCGGATTCAGACGACGACGACGACGACGACTCCTCAGGCTCGGGCTCGGGTTGTTTCTTGGACGCCTTTTTGGACACCTTGGCGGGAACGGCGGGGGCGGCGACGACGGCCTTCTTCGAATCCTTCTTGCTCGCGGCGGCCGTGGTCGACGACTTGGTCTTCTTCGACGAGTCGGCCTTCTCGATCTTGGACGCGGACTTGGATGTCTTGGGGGTGGTGGATTTTCCCATTTTGGAAAAGAGTTGGGGTGTAAGGGTAAAGAGTGGTTTAGGCGGAGGGGATGAGGGGGTTAAGGGGGAGAGGTGGGGGGTGGGAGGAGGAGGAGCGTAACCGGGCAGCGGATGTGGGAGGCCAGCTTCGCAGCCTTTCGTATTTCGCAGCGAGCGCGCACGGACCGCCGCAGTGGCGTCAGCCAGACTAGCCAGTCCCGACTCTAGCACGTCCATGACATTTGCTGGGCGCATGGAGCTGTAGGCTGGAGTCGACTACGGGATTCGGGGCCTAGAGAGATTCATTCCAAGGTTTTCACCTTTGCGGGATGTCCAACTGAAGCACCGAGCGAGTCGGTGAAATAAGTTACACAGAGAACAAAAGGAGACAGGAAGCGGGACTACTGCAACCATAAACTGCGAGGATATCAAGAAGTGAGAGTACCGAGAACAGATAACGAAGAGAACAGAGACGAGGAGTGATCGTGGGTGTAAGCAGCTCCGAGCTGCCCTAATTTTTTTGGGTGTTTCGACAAAAGCATGGTATAGACAAGGCTGCCCCTTTACGCTACTTTGGCCATCTTGGCGGCTCTTTGGCGGGTCACAGCCCCCTCGATATTGGCATCGGCAGAACTTGGCTCGACCGAAGCTCGATTTGCCGCTCGTCCGGCGGAACGTCGCGCGCCGCTGTTGCCATTTGCTGCCTTGCTCTTGCGATTGGGCGTGGTCGCGGTGGTTGTAGTCGCAATGGAAGCAGACCCTCTTCGAGCGGATCTTCGCGTAGTACGACGCGTGGACGATTTGTGATTCGATGCGTCGGCTTCGTCCTCGACAGGATGTTCTTCTCCCGCATCCGAACTGGCAACGCCCGTCGCATCGTGCCCAAGTTCCACCTCGTTCAGCTCCCGCACACCCGGCAAATGCAAGGAGGGCATCAATGGGGGAGCGATGTCGCCTTGGAGTTTGCTGGGATGCTCCGTTCGGGAAGGGGCGTCGATCGACATCACGCTACTGCCACCGCCGCCGGACTTTTCGTCCTCGGACGAAGACCAGGCCGATTGCAATACCTTTCGTTTCGAAGGAATCGACGGCGGGAAGAACGTCGGGGCCCGAGGTACGATGGTCGTGCGTTTTGAATTGACTTTGAGCGCGATAGTCGTCTCGAAATTGGCGTCGGTCGAATCAACCGATCGGTCGCCGATCTCGGTTGGGGCAATCGTTGTGTCCTCGTCGCCGTTGAGCTGCGGAGCGTCGTGTTCCACGCCATGGGCGGTTGCCGTGGTAGGTCTCTGAGGAGTACTTGTTCGAGTACCGTTGATGCGCAAGTTGTTCATGCCTTGCGAGTCGATAAAAGAGTCGGACATATTGCGGCAAACGCCCATGGACGCGTAAGACTCTTCCAGCGCTGCTGAGGAAGCCACCGAGGTTCCGTTGCTATCGATGCGCGTCTGTTGCGTAGAGTCGCGAGGCACGTCGAGCTGTGGGCTCGAGTGCGTCGATACCGTGCGTAGCCAGGGATGTTGCAAAGCAGCCTCTGCATACGTGGGTGACCGTCAGTTGTAGCCTGACACATTCTGCGGCACCCGTTTCAGAACTCACGGACGGTCATGCGTTGCTTGGGATCCTGCACTAGGAGTTTCGACAGAAAGTCAATAGCAAGTGGGTCGATCGCCCGATCTTCGACGAGCCAACTCCAGTCTACGATTCGATGCTTCATGCGGTCTGGCAGTGGCGTCGCCTCGCTATCGTCGAATGGGGTCTGGCATGTGAGGCACGAGTAGAGGATAACGCCAATGGACCAAGCGTCGACAGCCGAGCCGTAGCCAGATCCCGGGTCATTTCCGAGCACAACTTCGGGAGCCAGGTACGTTGGTGTACCGCACATGGTCCTCAACATTGTCTGCGAGTACCAGACAGGAGATAAGCAGATCAATCAGATCACAGCTGCCAACTCAAGGTCGGGTTAACTCACGCCTTCGTCGACCATCTTGGCTAGGCCGAAATCGGTGACTTTGCAAACGGGAATGACACCTTTGGACATTAGGAGGTTCTCCGGCTTGAGATCGCGATGGGCGACCCCCTGCGAATGAAGATACGCCACGGCCTCGCAGACCATCAGGGCGATTTCCCTCGTCTCTTTGACGCCTGCCAAAAGGGTACCGTCCAAACATGCTTGCGTTCAGTGAAGTAGACTTTCTTGCAGGGGCGCAAAATTTTAGGGCCTACCCAATCCGCCCGGGTGCTTCATGACGTATTCGAGCAGGTCGCCCCCGTCCACGTACTCGAGAACGATCCAGATGCGATGCTCATCCTCAAAGTGATCGTAGTATCTGACGCAGTATTTCTGCATTTGCACGATGACCGAGAAGTCAGCCGGGTCAGCTCCGCGCCCAAACGTGCTGCAGAAGCTGTCAGAGGATCAGACTGACATGTCTCAGCCCCTTCATAATCTCGACCTCACGTGCTATCATGAGCATCGTCTTTTCGTTGGACATGAATCGCTGTGGAAGTCAAGATTCACTATCAAAGATCAGGATACAGCTAGAAGTCAAGCCTCCACTTGGGGTGCTCACTGCTTTTTCGATGACTTTGATCGCAACCGTTCTGCCCGTAGCGCGCTGAACTCCTTTCCAAACGATCGCAAAGCTACCCTTGCCCAGCTGTTCGCGGATCTCGTAGGACCGGTATATATTGGGTTCCTTGCTCTCATCGACCGGCCAGGGTTTATCGCTGCGGTGGACGTGACCGGGCTGAATCGGGCCGCGAAACATGAAGCGATACTCGTCGACAAAATCCGGGTTTGCCGGACCAAAGACGATGATGTCCCCATTTTCGATCACGGTCACGCTGTCTTTGCCAACCTGTGTCAAGCGATCATAAGGTGATGAAGAGCAAGAACGTCAGTTTCTGCGCGCTGACGACCGCTTAAATGCGGCCAAAAACCGGAAAAGCTCTGGCGGCTTTGACGAGCGATCTCCGTTCGGTGTTGGACTCCTAACGGAGCCACAATGGACCGACCGGTCGACTATCGCAGCCTTGGCCAGAGTGAGCCAGCATGAGCCACCTCGGATGTTCCTTCCGAATGGTGATATGTGGGGCACGCCCGGCCCTCGCGGTATCGAACTGTGGCAGCACAGACTACCGGGCGCTCATGACGCGAGCTCGTGGCTTGGACAAAGCACCGAGACGCTGCTCAGGCGGCAGCGAAGGAGAGCTCAGTAGAAAGAGTGACTTGCCCTGCGATCCCTGACAAAAGTACCGTTTGTACTCGTGTCCATGAGTTTGACGTTGTTGTCCTCGACGTCATACCACAGCTTGGCGTGCTTGGTCGACACTTTGCCATGGGTCAGTCTCAGTCCACAGCTGGGACCGCGCCCTACGGTGAGCTCGAGTTTCGACCATGGAAGTTCGACGACGTCTACGCGCCCTAAAGAGTGGTGGTTGATCTGGTGGGCTCCGTTGGGGGACAAGGTCGCGCCAGACGGGGACGACGAAGTCGGGAACAGCTTGCCCCACAGGTGCGACGGAAACCCGGCTGAGCTGTCCAGCTGGCTATGCTGCTGTGTACCTTGGGTCTGCGGCTGGGTCTGCGTCTGGGTATTTTGCGAGTAGCTGAAGTCACTGTCCATGGTTGAAGGTCGGGGCGTGGGTAGGCAAGGGCCGGCTCGGAACGAGCTGGGCGTGGAGCTTCTGCCCGGGAGTGCAAGGCGAAGCTGATGAAGACGATCGGACGACGAACGCGGAGGCGTGAGAGTACCGGCGAGGACGGCGGAAAGAAGAGAGCAGAGCAGAGCGCGATCCCAAGTGATGGCCGAATCGGATAGCACGGTAACAGGGAGCTGGTCGAGTGAGTGGGCGGTGCGGAGGAGTGAGCTGGAACGACTTCGCGAAAGTGGTCGGTGGTCGCGGGCTGCCGAGCGAGGCCGAGCGCCGCGGTTGTGATTGAGGCGCGTGCAATGTCGCGTCACGCGCCATGTGCCTCGAGCTAGGGTGCGTGTGGCACATGTCAAAATCGGTTCAACACGATATCAAAAATCCGCGATCACTCCTCCTCGTCTCCGTTCTCTTCGTTGTCTGTTCTCGGTCCTCTCACTTCTTGATATTCCCTCGCAGTTCATGATTGCAGTAGTCCCGCTTCCTGTCTCTTTTTGTTCTCTGTAATTTGTTCCACCGACTCGCTCGGTGCTTCAGTTGGACATCTCGCAAAGGTGAAAACCTTGGAATGCATCTCTCTAGGCCCCGAATCCCGTGGTCGACTCCGGCATACCATGCGTCCACTGGCTCACTCCCAAGAACGATCCACTGAGCGTGATGTGATTCCCATTCAAGCGTAATCTTAACAACGGCCGGTATCGCTAGAGATCCCTCGCTACTGTACGCCACACCCCTCGTTGGCGATCAACTGGCATCCTCGAATGGGTCATCGCCACCATTTGCGCCCTGCGGCACAGCGTTTGGACCTTCCGGAGCTTTGTGATAGCGTCCCTCTCCTATCTCCATCGCATCCTGGTCCCGAATCCCACTAGTGCCGAGGACTTGGGTCAAAAGCTCGACGTTGGCCGCGTCGCTTGACGAGATCGCTCCCTGCCGCTCGTTGTCGCGTCTCATTGTGCGGATGAGGACGCCAGCGTCGATGCCGTGCTCGGCTAGAACCTCGACAAGAGTTTCGTGTAGAGTGATGGCGGTCTCGTCCGGGGACTGCTCATCCGCCTGGGCCTCGAAAAGCTGCATACTCAACCGCGCACGGGCCGGTAAAGGAACGCACGGGTGCCATGTGTCAGCCGGTGCAGCATTCAGGTCAGCGTTCCCCTCACTTTCGCACTCGTCAAGCCGCACTCGTCAAGCAAGGTAACGAAGCTCTACGCATCTCCAACTCACGCATTCTCCCACCATCACCTCGACACTGAGGACCTCACGTCCTTGCACGGCCGACTTGACCCTCCGCTCAGCTTCGGCGATGCGCTCGTTGAACTCGTCCTCGACGCCTTGGTCGACACGTTTCGACATGGCTTCGGTCTCGTCAACGTCACTGACAACCGTGGGGATCATTCTTATGCGCTGTCTTGACTCGGGCTCCCCTGTATCGGCGTCGGCGTCGGGTTCGGCATCGACTTGGGCATCGTCGTCGTGTCGCTCGTCGGGTATCCACCTCGCCATCCAATCCGCTTTGAGTGCGCCGACGCGGACTTTCCATTCGTCCCTCAACTCTCCCGCCAACGCGGCCATCTCAGCTCGTGTCGAACTCTGGATCTGAGTGAGCAGCAGCGCATTCGACAACAGCACAAGTTCGGGATAAATCCGCGTCGCTCGCACCGGGTCAAAGAGAGATGCATCGAGCGTAGCAGGTGAACTCGACGCCATCAAAGTTCAAGCGGGGCGTGTAATGTGCTACGAAGGGTTCGTTGCTTGAGCCAACCGGCGACCGATGATTGTATCTCGTATGAGGTAATGAGCTCGGATGAACGCTCGAAAGAAGGGATCCGCGGTGAAGCTGTCGCACGGACCGTTCTGAGGCGCCGTCGCTTCGTAGGTAGTCGAATCCTTAAAACTACTATAATAAAAAACGTCGTCGAGAGACAAACCACGTGGCGAGACAAACCACGTGGCGTGACGTCATAGGCAGCTCTCGGTCGAGCGCGTCCCAGCTAGCTAGCGCTGTTTCAGCATGGGTCGGCCAGCGACAGTCCGTTTCGTCTTTCCAACGTTCGCCGAGGTTCCATTTGTTGAATTCCATACACTCTTGCTTAGGTCGATCTCCAGCCCGCGCACAGCCTAGCCAGCCGCGCGCCGCTCGGACCCCTTTTTGGACTTAGAGATATTTCGCGCACTCGCACCGCGAGCCTCTTTAGTCTTCCCCCTAACGCTCCAAACTACTTCCTACCACTCGTACTGTGTCTCGTGTACTTACTGGTTGCCGATCCAGTCCCCTCTCGAGACATACGATTTAACACCATTTCCCATCAAAGCAGCCTGACACATGACCCTCCGCTTCCCGAAGCAGACTGAGACGACCTGTTTTGCGTGTCTACCACATCGTAGCGTAGTTCCTTCAATCATCCGGTTCCTGCTACTGCCGAAATTGTCATCTGCAAACTTTTACGTCCCGTCTCCTGTACGACAATCTTGACGCCGCACGGAGAGCAGAGGGGCAGCAGAGACGTACGGTCGGCAAGGTGAGCGAGCTGAGCGCGCCGCCCGCGAGTCCCTCCTCCGCACAACTCACCTCCGGGCTTGAGATTCGTTCGTCCACGCTTTGAAGCAGCTCCAGACCTCGGGTAGTGTCGGCCAGTGCGCCAATTCCGCCGTTAGGGGCCCCACCAGCGTGTCACGGCTTGCCGACACTGGGCTTCACTCCACGTCGTTCCGCGGCCTTCCGCGACATTCTATGAACCCGGTTTGAACTGAGGCGCAGGCTTCTCCATCTTTCTCCCTCCTGCTCTTCACACCTTACCCGTCGCACCTCATCCCATCGCCACTCATCCCATCGCCCATCATGAAAGAAGCCCCAACACCACTCGCGGATGGCGAACGAACAGCCCTGTCAGTCGATGACCTCGATCGACTTGCCACAATACGGTCCTGGCCCAGGACACGGCTCAGGTAGTTGTCACAATGCTTGGGGAGTGTCGACTGATCGATCCCTCAACAGGGAAGCCTCCGTGTAATAAGTAACGCGAACAGCAAAACGTTCAGGGGAGCAGCCCGTTGATATACGTTCATGATGTCAACCAACCATCCATCCAGCCTTAGCCGCAGATACCGAACGGGTGGGCCGATCCGACACCCGAAGCGGTCGTCGTGGAAGCTCTGCAACGAATACGGGACAAGTTGCAGCATGCAGCATAGCTACGGATTCGAGTAAGTGACTTCATCAACTGTGCTCTAGGTGTGGGATTGTTCAGGAGCTAATGGAAAACTACCAAACAGCAATTCCCTTCAACACGTCTTCGTTGAATGTCAACCCTCGAGTTGCTTTCCTCCACCATCAATTGGTGACTGCATTCGTGAGTTTCACGTGACATTGGCTGTGCAGGCAGGTGTGACGGAAAAACTGATACGAAAAACAGACATTGGATTGTCAGTGACAGGAGGTGACCCTATCCCCGAAAAGCGGGGGCACCCACCGTGGCCTGTCTGGGAAAACGACATCGATGCCCACAAGCACCCCATATTCTACAACAACGCTCGCGAAGGAAGCAGGCCACGGGAAAATACAGCGGAAGGATTGACTTCGTACGGTTGAGAATCCGGGTCCATGGGACACTAGATGTGAGTCTTCACTGTCATTGCTACAGATGGACAACAGCAAGAATATTGACAGTTGTAATCAACCAATCACGCAGAAAAACAGGCTCTGGTTCCGTGGATTGCGGCTCACCATCCCGTGGCAGAACCTCAACGGCTCGGTTCGGGGGAGTGACCGTCGTGTTGGCCGGTGTGTGCCAATCTTTCAAAAGCAAAGCGCAGGGCGGCATGACTAACTGACCGGTTGGACTGTAACATCACAGGAAATCCGAAGCAATGCCTTCTCGTTATTCCACGACTCGGTTCGGTGGAGTGACCGTCGTGTTGGCAGGTGTGTGCCAATCTTTCAAAAGCAAAGCGCAGGGCGGCATGACTAACTGACCGGTTGGACTGTAACATCACAGGGGATCCGAAGAACCCGTTATTCCAAGTCATCGCCTGCACAAATTGTCGACGCTTGCATCATGGAATGCTGACTTCTGGGGGGAAGTTGATAGGCGAAAAAGTCGAATACTTCCGACATCGAGCAATTCTGGCGCCCAAAGATTCGCAGGTGGATCAGATCAACGACATGGTGCTCGACCTGCTGCCGGGTGACGCTCAAACGTTCTACAGCCCGGATTCGGTCGTCGAAAACGAAGACGAATCACTGTTCTCGATCGAGTATCTTCAGAGTCTCAACATCGTCGGGATGGCGTTGCTCCACACTCGACGCGGGTCTTGACGACGGTCTGAGCCCATCATCGGGCTCCCAGAGAACAAAAAGTAGTTCAGTGATGAAATGAGAGGCGCCGATGCAGCGCCGTCGATGTTTCCAGCTGGTCGAAAGGATGTTCCAACATGTACGGCTCGGTTCGATTGGCAGCTCGCAAGTCAAGCTTGCGACACCCGTGAAAAGGTCCACACTCGACACGGGTCTCTAGGTTTCCGTTACTGAACAGTACCGCAGCTGTTGCAGCGAAGTACATCGCATTGCAGGTCAACGGTTACGGTGTGAGGTGGCGCGCGGAGCGCGCCGCCGAACCTAGTAGATAGATATAGAGAGAGATAGTTAGAGAGAGAGATAGATCCCGGACAACGTTCGGATCTTCAAAAGTTCCTGAACTCTGGATTCACTTCAAATTCCTCTTTGTTCACCGCTCAACTGCGACCTGTAGTATCCGAGATGAATCATGGGCAACACCGTACATCAAGTATAAACATGCTTTGTTGATGCAGCCCCTCATAGTCACTTGAAGCTCAGTGGGCACAAGTCTCTGCCGGGCTTAGGCACTGGGACTTAAAATGCGGAGTCGATCACAGCTCGGTGACTACTACTTACTGCCCACCGCCCAGCCTCGCCCAGTCCGGCTCTCCGTCAAAAGCCTCTTCAAAGCGCCAGGAAGCGCCTGGAAGCGCTCCCGAGTCGTGCGTTGGAACCGCTCAGGTCAGAGCTTGCGACAACTCTGCCTCTGCTCTGTCGCCACTCGCCTGCTTCGCCTGCACTTGGGATATAATGCGTCTTGGGCTCAATCTGGCTTGATTGTGCATCGGGCTGGAGTAGTGTCCACAGAGCAAACGCCTGCCCGACTGCCCGACTGCCCACCTGACTCGACAACCCAAACCCCCCACTCGGCTCTGGAAAGCCGCGACGCCGCGACGCCGCGACGACGCGACGCGTGCGTTCCCCCGGGTGCTTCAACGAACGAGCGGACGAGCGGACGAACGCCGGGCCAGGTCGTCCGACTCGACCGCCACTGCGATCGCTGCACGACAACGACCGTTACTGCAGTAGGCCAGCACGATACATCAACACGATCGATGGTAATGCTACCTGCCCTGCAACCAAGATACTCGTCTCGCTCAGGTGGGCCGCAGCGACCACGTATCAGCACTAGTGGGTCGGCGCTCCTTTTCGCCCCACCGGGATCCCGTAACCGCGGCGTCGCGTCGTTCGGACGACGGATTCCGCACTCTAGGGACGGGACTGACAGTGTTTTCGCCGTATGCAGGCTCCATCGTCCACGCGGATCCGACACACTCGGCTGCCTCGATGCGCGTCGGCGACGGCCAAGCTCGTGGACCGAGTCCCCAGCCACTCGGGTCCACCGCCACCGCCGGTGCCCCGTTAGCATCATCCGCTAATCGGGAGGTTACGACACAAGTCTTTATGGCCCAGTCTCTCCAGCCTAACACCAACTCAGGCTTTCCATTGCGCCCGGCTCTCATGCCACGCACTCGGTCTTCGCCCGTTCCGGATCGCAACAGATCTGCGAGCGAGCACGAAGACCTCCTGCCACCGCCGTGGCGTGTCGACGCTCCAACTACGCGCACTCGACTATCGCCATCGCCTCACAGTGCCTCCAGAAGCTTTGTCGATACGGGCGAAGGGTACGTTGACTTCAGCTCGACATCGCCGGCCAGATCAACGTCATCGGTCGCGACTCGTCGCTTCTCGCCCTCGCTTGAGACTGGCGTCTCCCTCCCGGCCTCCCCGACCTCAGGTCTGAACGCAGGGCAGCGCTCTAGGTTATCCCAAGCTCTGCTCGATGTCTCCGCCGAAATATCGTCGCTGCTGCCCTCGCGACCCTCGTCACCCTTGTCACAAGGCACCACAGGTCTGGTTCGGGCCAAGGTCGCTTCCAATAGCCGACGTGCCACCTCAATGTCGAGTCTCGATTCAAACACGCTCGAAACGATTGCTCGCCCCTTAGAGCGTCCCTCGTCCGGTGGCACCTTCGCGAGCACCTCACCTTCGTCCACTGCCGCCGAGGCCCGACAACTCGAACGCACTCCTTCCGTACCTGGGTCTGACCACTCATTTTGTCATTCAATCTCGACGGGATCCGCTTCGGGGTGGTCGCCCTTCTTCTCCCCTCATTCCGCTGCTTCCACCGCCGCTCGAACGAGCTTTGCCAGCGATGTGTCCAAAGAGCCAAGTACGAGTCCGCCCCTCGGATTGGGCATCCTTGAGATCCAGGCTTCGTCGACTGCAACGACGTCTCGGTCTCCGGAGCTCGACTCTAGCGGCCATCGAGCTCCCCCTCTTCGATTGGCGCACTCGTCCAGATCCCCACTCGCCGCCACGCCCAAGTCTGAGCATGCTTTCGGTGACGGGGACCTCGATGTATCCTTGGCCGAGCTCCAACGTTTTGCGCAGTCGCTGCCTTCGCCTGCACTATCGATGAAGCCGTCATACTCGCAGGGTTCCGCATCCAATTGGCCGCCCCCGTCGCCGGGGATCCTGACCAGCTTCCAGGCCGTCAGCCCTGTGCTAGCGCAGACTCTATCCCCCATCAATTCCGTCGCCCCTTTGGGTCCTTCACCACTAGCCGAACCAGATTCCGAATGCCGATCGAGTGTGGCGACCGTCTCCTCGACCATCGCTAGCGAATCAGACGGTGGAAGCGGAGGATGGAACGGGGGCGACAACTCTTCGAGATCGACGGCAGCGAGCGAACTTGACTGGAAAATGGGAGCCCAGGAGACGCATAATGACCAAGACAACGCCGAATTACTTGGCCCAAGAAGCACGATTATAAATTGGACTGGAACGGAGATCGACATGATGGCTGTACTTCCTATGGGTGAGTGGGGCGCCAGGCCCGATATGCGACTTTCGTGTCAGGCACTCATGAGCTATGCCGGGGCGACGACAGGTACGACCCATCTCCTGCTCTCACACATGACGCCGTCGGCCGCCATCTCGTCACTGCTCCGCAAAGTGCTGCCCTCTCTCAATCCTGGCCTCACCGTCCTCAATCTCGCGCACAACAGCTTGCGTGCACTGCCATCCACCATCGCTTCGTGTGCGTCCACACTGGAAGAGATGTCGGTTTCGGGGAACCCGATTCGCGATCTTCCCCAGTGGCTGTCCGACTTTACTCGCCTGCGCGTCTTCCTCGCCGATGAATGCGGACTGTCGTCAATCAGCGAGGTCGTCAATGCTTGGCCCGCGCTGGAGACACTTTCCCTCAAAAGGAATCGTATCGATCGATTGCCATCTTGGCTAGCCCGTTCAAGCAACCTCTGCAGGCTCGACATCGACGGCAATGACTGGTCCGGAGAGTGGCTGCAAGTCATCGCACCCCTCTTGACAGACGAGAGAGCGGTCGTAGGCACGATTTCTTCGGCGACCGAGGGTTCTCGGTCGGGATCGAGCACCCCGTCCGGAGGCTGGCCGGATTCGAATCCGCCTCACGCCTCTGCTCCGGCCTCAATCTCACTGGACCCTGGTCAAAGCTTGAAGGGTTCGCGGAGCGTGAGTGCGTCCTCTTTGCAATTTCCCGCGCCTGAAGTGGGAGGTAACCACGCGGGCAGCGTCTTTGGCAAGATGATCAAGACCGCGTCCTCCCGTATTCGATCACGGTCAATATCGGGAAAGAAGCTGTCGCAGCTAGATCGAGCCCAATCTGAGCCCACGATGCCTCTGTCTGTCCTCGACATCCGACCCCGCCCAGGTGAGAGCCGGAAGCGAGGGAGTTTCCTCCTGACGCCATGCGACATCGCAAACATTTCAGAGCCGGAAATAACCCCCATGCCACGACTGGCATCGCTGCGCGATCAAAATAACCCTAGTGGGCAAGACGCTGCGACGTTCGCGACCAAGATGGTGGATAGCAATGTTGACGAAGAAGACCATCGAGCGGGGCTGCGCATCGTCATGGGCTACCTTCGTGATCTCGACGACTTGACCTTGGGCGTCAAGAGGAACTCGTTTAACACCCTCGCGTCCAGCCAGGGTTCAGTTCGACATTCACCCTCGCTCGGCTCGATCGCATTCGGACAGGCCGACGGAAATTCTGCCACAGTGGTGCGACGTGCGCAATCGACTCGCAGAAATACGTCAGGCCGCGCCTCAACTCTGGACGAATTTGACGCCCTACGTCAATCGCTCCCTGGCAGTACCACGTCAGGGCCACTGAAGATACGAGACGACCCCGCTCGGCGTGAAGCTGTAGTCAAGGAAATCATCGAGACGGAAAAGACGTATCTCAGGGGACTCGAAGAGTTGGTAGCAATCTATGTGGGACCAAGCGCAGGTGTGATTGATGGCAAGGAGCTATTACCTGCTGTCGAGAGACGAGCCATCTTCTCCAACGTGGTCAGCATTGCCCGGATGTGACATTGCCCGCTAATGCTTGACTGACCTCTCCGGCCTCGTTACTTTCCTTCGGGAGTAGGAGGCAATCCGCGATTTCCACGCAAAGATCTTCTTCCCCGACCTGCTGGAAGTCGTGCAGTCAGCCACCAAAGCCAGCTCTTCGATCCGGCTTGTCGATCCTTCACACCGGTGGCTAATGGCCGCTATAGGCATTGGCCGCGTGTTCGCACGTCATGCTGCTGTGCTCAAAATCTACTCGGCGTACGTCAACGCGTTCGACGGCGCTCTGACCCGCATTCAATCTTGGATCATCGACGCTGCCCCTTCCCGGCCGGGCACAAGCTCCGGGAGTCGCGAAGCTTCTACGCCCGGCCTGGCCGCGAACAAGCCAGACGGTTCACACGGCGGTTGCGCCCTGACGATGAATCAAAAAAAGAGGATCAAAGCCTTCCTCAAGCGTTGTAAGTCTCATCCGGACCATTCACAGATCTCACTCGAATCGTACCTGCTCTTGCCGGTTCAACGAGTCCCGCGGTATCGCATGCTCCTAGGTACTTTTCTCTCTTCTTTTTTTCCTTTTCATCAACGCACCAGGGCCTCACCGGTACAGTTTTGTATTCTCCGTCAGAATCCCTCCTTTCGTGCACGCCCTACATCCTACCGGTTGGCGACTCGTGTGTGTCGCCGCACGACACTGCATCACCTTCGGTCCCGCACCCGACGCTCTATGAAGCATTGACGCTTGTTTCCGAAGTTGCCGTATCGATGAACGAGCGCAAGCGAGAAACTGAAGGACGTGCCGAATTGTTGTACTGGCAAGGAAGAATTGGCCACCGTTTCCGCTCACCCCTCGTACAACCGCATCGAAGTTTGATAAAGAGCGGCGCCGTTGAACTTGTGCGCACAGTCGAGCGGGCGGGCGGGACCGTAGCGCAAAAACGGTCAAGCCAGGATTCTGGCGAATCTTTGGTTCAGGAGGTTGGCAAAACATCCTTGGTGAGTCCTCCCTCGCTAGGCCGCCAGAATTTGCCTCGTTTTCGAACCGCGTGTTGACATATCGCGTGTTCGCTGCCCGCTCTTCCAGATCGCGCTCCTGGTAACAGATCTCCTTGTGCTCGTCAAGGCACCTCCACCTATTGTTATGGATCCACATGCCCAAGTTGACTTGTACACGGTCATTCGCTTGTCACCCGCGATCGAGCGTGGCGGTACTTTCGAGGGGCCGGCTAGTGTCTACGGGGCTGATCACACAAGTAAGCGTCTATAGGCCACTGCGCTACAGCTACGCCTCACGACTGACACCTCTTCTCCCTCCACTGTACAGCCCTCAGGATCGTTTGTGACACGCGCGCAGTTCTGTACCTGGACTGCAGCTCAGTCAACGAAGCTTCCACGTGGGCGCGGTTGATCAACGTGCAGTGGGAATTGAACACTTGAGAAGGCCGTCTCAAATTCACGCTCGGCCTGTCTACTTGAAGACTGCCGTCATCGGTGCAAACCTTGCCCATTCGCATCACTCGCAATTTGCTCAGTCGTAGATATCAAGCAACATGTTGATAATGGCATATGCTACATTCACTACTATACTGTCTCGATTCGGTCTCGATTCGGTCTCGGCCGGGCTCAATCTGAACTACCGCTTCAAACGCGTTCTTACATTCCACGGCTCCCGCAAGAGATTATGTGGCGGGTCATTTCCCGCCCGGCCACTCCTTCGCTGGCCTTCGATCCTGGGCCAACACCGAATGGCTCGGATTCGACCTCGGGCTGGAGTGAGCCGCGAGCGGTGCGCGCATGCCATAGTGGGTGCGCCCCAGATGGCTGCTGCGACAGTATTGTGCTGAACAACGATTCCACGAGTGTTACGATCACCCGTCTCGAGCTTCGAATTGGTTCCATCCACTTCCACGCTCTTTTTCGATTTGACTCCATCGTCGCGCTCCTTGGCCGTTCCATCGGCTTCCATTTCTCAGTTACGGATCTCGAGCTTCGGGCTCATTCTCTTGCTTTCATTCTACTCGTTTCTATTTCCTTCTACACACGCTCTCCACTCTTTTGAGATAGTTCCATGACCTTCGATAACATTCCACAGGTTTTGCTATAGAAGGCGGCCCATTTGTAGACGTTCCTTTGCTTCCTGCAAGCAACAACATCGACCTTGATCCCATCTCCGAGAGAGCCACCACCTTGACCTACTTCCGTTGCTTCACAGTCCTAACCTGATCTCATACTCGAGACTCCCTCGCACCTCGTCTCTCCCTCGTCCACACCGTCTAGCCCCGCCTAGAAGGTCTCCCCAGCCGCGAGGACCGTCATAACGAGCTTCGGAAAAGCCGAAGTAGCCGCTGCCGGACCCGAGGTGGTTGCTAGAGATGTCTGTGCCGAACGATACCGAAGGTTTTGTTATATCTTCTTCACACTTGCATTGAAAAATTGGATGCTCTTCTTCTCACTCTGACCATCGTCGGACCCTGCACACGGGAGTCTTCAGAGTCAGAAGCCGGAGCAGGGGTTCAGGTGCCCGCGCTCGCCATACGTCCGAGCTTATCACATTATTGGTGCAGATAAAATTGAGAGTGGGAGACCCCTGTGATGAGCTTGTTTTCGGATCAACACGAGAGCGAGACTAAAGTCGCGGAACGCTGATAATAGGGGCTCAATGTATTGGAGGATGGCTCGCGCTCACCAAGCCCGGCTGCAGGGCGGCGTCTGACGATAGTGCCTGCTCCAGAAACGCGGCTATATCTACGCCCGCCTTCTACCATCGAACCAAAGCAAGGCTACTGACAAGTGTTTTCGGATTTCTTGCGCAGAACCGTTCATCGTAGTAGTGATGTTGTGGTTACCACGCAGGGGGGCAGACGCACCACAAAGGTTCACAACTTTGCCGGCTGCGCACCACGCGAGCGAGCCACCCGCGTCGTAATCAGCACCATGGTCGGCGGAACCCGCCCAGAAGTAGCACCGGATCCAAGCAGGGCGGCGCCGGCCGAGGGGGCCAACCTTTCTGCAAGCACTAAGTGAGGCGTTCCCACTCCCAAGTCTCAGGGTCTCGGCTGGGCGCTGAGGTCGGCACGCACACATTCCCCGATCCCGGCAATCTGGGCCCAGTTGTAGGAGGTAGAGGTGCCTACGGCATGCGTCAGAGAGCCCCAAAGTCTCCGGCGTGGCACAGGCTCACTTCCTGTTTGGGAAGCTACGCGCGGGCATCATGGTGACTCACGCGACCTCCCGCGCCCAAATCAGATCGACATGCGCCACGCTTAATTAAACGCTGCGGTGATGTCAAATTTCAGTAGTCTCACACTACTACTCAACTTCTCGATCTGCCGGGGAAGCACTGTCGGGTACCTATCTAGTACCACCTGCCTTGGCGCCTACCTATGGAGCAAGATGTTGCTCCGTTAAGGACCTACCAAGCTCGCTATTTCGCTCCTTAATTGGGCTACGAGATGATGATTAACCGGATGGATTGTAGCAGCGAGTCACAAATACAAAGGCATCTTCCCGGTGGAACGAGTGCCTACCGAACTCGACTCGACTCGGCTTGACATGAGTGCTGAAGGAGCGGTGTACATGTGGCAGTAGCGGCGAGGGAGCTTCGGAAAATCGATGATCGACCTGATCCGGGCTCCGAGCAGGTCTCAGTAACTGTCGCACTCGCTGTAAAATTGGAGCGAGCGCAGAAATATATGATCTCTGTGTGCGCTAGGCAGGGGTTCCACTATCTAGGTACTTACAAGTAGGTCATCGCGACGTGTTCGCGATAGGTGTCGCGAGCTACTTGGAGGCTAGTGCGCGACAGGCGCTGTGCGCATTCGAAGTGAAACTCGGAGACAAAACTGACACGGCCCAGACAGGTCCAGGCGCGGGACCGGGCAAGGCCTGGCGAGCCCCCTTTCGAGAGTGGGCACCGACTCAAGCCCGTCGCGCTGCCTTCCTCTCGTACTCACCATCCTCTCCCATCAGCTGGTCACTCTTCCCCGGTCCCCCGTTGTGCCGTCGCCATGTCCATTTTACCCGTCTCGCCTCGAACCCACCAACGATCGTTTGCCTCGTCGAATTCGACTTCGACCGTCTTCGCTTCCTCTTCCTCGTCGTCGGACGAGTCCGACGAGCAGATCGACAATGTCACCTTTCCGCGTCCGCGGTCACCTCAATCGCGCCGCAATCATGTCAGCACGATGCGCAAGCTCGTCGCGGCTAGCAAGTGGATCCAGTCGTCGTACTCGCACACCTCCAAGGATCTCGATTTTGGGTGCGCTGGTGATTGGACCGGGCACGGCCCCGAGAATTTGGTGAGTGTGTCGTCAAGTGGTCGATTGCTCTTCGGTGGCCAGTGGCCGAGTTCTTTCTTACCCGGGCGCCGCCTATGGCCGGACTCGGCGAGGGCCCGCGCGATGTCGCTACGCCCCATGCATCGCCATGATTTTTTTCGAACAATTTTTTCTCCGTGATGTACACCAGACGTTCCCGATAGTCTCCTCTTTCACACTCAATCCCCTGCTGCTCTCGTGCTCTGCGCTGTCGCGTAAGGGTTGCGAAGCGTGGGATCTGGCCCCATCGACTTTGAGCACCTCGGACGTCTTTAGCAGCGCCCAGCGCGGAGACCGCTGGGGGCCCCCGTCGCCGAGACAGGTGTCTTGGACCTGGCGCGAGCGGACTCACGGCTGCACAAAATAATGAAACACCTCGCTTCGCGAAGGCTCGTGTAATGCTTGCTGCATGGACCAGACGGTGGTGTGGCACTAACACTACAACGATGCGACTCGATCGAGGTTGAATCAAGTCGAGCCAGTCACATGGATCGTCGAATTCTAGCTGACCCACTTGGCTGTATCCTCCTCTGCGCGGAAACAGGGCGACCGATACTACTCGAGCATCCCAGGGGCTGCCGGCAAGCGCGCCTCGACTTCGTCGTCGATACTCGTGCCGTCCTTGACGCATTCCCGAGCCCATTCAGCGTCGTCAGATTTTTCTACCGTCTCCACCACCGATTCCTCGCTACCGCCCTCTCCGACACAGGGGTCTTGTACCTCGTCGCCAGTCGCGCCGTACACCTCGCGCGTTCCCCTGACCCCTCGCTCCGCCCATCGCCAACGCCAGTCCGACGAAAATGCCGCAATCGACGCCGTCAACGACTACTTTGTCCGTGTACGACTGAGTCAGATCCGAGAAACAGTCGACGACGTCTCCTCCAAATCTCCCGCTGCCTCCGCTCGTGGCTCCGTCTCTGCGCTCACCGTTCGAGCCGCACAGTCTTCCGACCTACTCGAGGGCCTCGGCATCCGTGCGGACGTTCCCACCGAGTATCTGGCAACAACAGCAGCCAAAATTTCCAAGTCGGAGGCACCCAAGCTCGAATTTGGGAAGGTTTTGCGGGGTTCAGGTGGCAGCTTCGACTTGGACTTTCAACTCGAATTTGCCTACCTCGCACCCGAGTTCTCCACATATGCCGCCTTCCACGATGCACCTTACCTCTTTGATGACAGCGGGTCCTTGTCACCTATCTCTTCTTTGGGAGATTCAACCGTTCAGGTGTCGACACCACCCGCAAGATCGCCCGGCAGCGAGATCGACTCGACGCTCGAAGGCGAACTCGACGAACTTTCAGCATACTTCGCCAACACGGTCCAATCTCTGGCTTGCGACTCGTCCTCCGCCCCGACCACTTATTCGCTTGCAACATCTCACACCGATTTGAGGCATGTCGCTTCGACGCGCCGTCGACCTTCGTCGGTTCTTTTCCAAGCTACCGGTACTCGGTCGGTACCGACCAGTCCTCGGACGAGGGTCGACTACGCTTGGATCTGATCGGTCCGACTGGACAAAAATCTCGCACATGACACAATCGCAGGGCTGCAGTACCGAAGTAATTAGATGACCGCAACTCAAATCATACACCAAATAATGTAAAGATACATACAATAGTCGTCAACTCTGAACAGTGTCGAGAGACGGGGTTCTTGAGAGCGCCGAACGTGCAGCATACGTGTGCCCACCCGCTGAAGATAACTCTCATTTGGAAATTAATCGATGTGTCGGAGGCACTACTTTGGGATCCTCCCCGGGAGCGTGTATCATTGGCTTTCGGGCCCACAACATCGTTGCGGCATTCAGGGTGCACTGGTGTGTACCAAATTGAGCTGTCGTTAAAGAACTCTAACAGCCGAAGAACAAGCCAGTAGGCATATTCCAATAAAGCCCTAGTATGTAAAAGAGCTTGTAGCTCACACGCCTCCAAGGGTCACTCTTCTTAGCCCTTGGTCCTCAATGAGGGGCAGGCCGCTGTCCATACGATGTCTCAGATTCTAGAAGCTTGTGGAAGGCTCCGGTCGACGATACCTACGACGGATACCTACGACTGCTATGCTAGGCACAGCCCGCGAACGACGGCTGACATCACGCTCCCCACAACTCAACATTACTGCTCGCTTCCTTGTGCGTTGGCCGGCGACGTCAGTTCGTGATCGAGGCTGCACTTGGGCGAGTGGTACCTGGTAAGTGATCGATCGAGGAGATACGGCGGACGCGCGCGGGCGAAATGAAAATGGCTCTAGCGTCGGTGCCCATGTCTCAGAGGTGCCAGAGCTGCCGACGTTGCTCCCCTGAAAAGCGTCTCTTGAACCAGGGTGGTGGTGACTCGTGTGAGCACGTGAGTAGTGGTGGTGGTGATCTTGTGTGCCACTAGTCGCTACTCAGCTGGGCAAGACCATAGGATTATCGTCGAGCAGGTTGTCACAGGCTGCACTGGCCCGCCGCAGTCGGCGGTCACGTCTTGCGCCTCAGGAACTACAAACCGAAGATAGGTGCCTCTAGCCACCATGCTGTTCGGTCTACTGAACCCTGACGGCTGCAACCTATCTACCTTCCATTCCCGCTCAAAATTAGGTGGGGCGCCGCCAGTTGATCGGCAGCGCTACGTACCGCACGACGCCTTTCAGTATCGACCGTGCACAGCTTAGTAAGGTACACCTTTCCGCGAATATAATGCAATTTAACATCATACAAAATGATCCCGACAGAGAAACAAAAGCACTCGATACGCAGAGACACCCCACGCCAACTGCTGGGAATGGCTCTCGCTAAAAGCAACTGCGTGCGTCAGGATCGTATCCTGGAGCGTGACTAAAGCTGGTTCCTCTTCCGTGCGGTCCTCTGGTACGGTCGGAGAACCCACTCGACATCGGCTTCGACCTGTTCGATCGTCCCTTGTCGGATCTCGTACGCTGCGTTCGCACACGAAAAACAAAAGCTCGCATCAAAACATGGGTCCGTGACCGCTGGTGGGACTTTCGGAGCTCACTCACGTCTCATCTCGAACCGAGGGCCAACTTCAGCAAGTTGCACTTCCTTGTGCGACGTCTTGACAAAGACGTGATGGCGGAAAGAGATAAAGTCACCCTCGTTGACAAAGGTCATTGTGCGTTTCGAATCCTCTCTGACGGGCGGTCAGGTAGAAGACAGGGGCTCGATCAGTATCCGGTCGCAAAGGAGGAGAAGCTGCGGGCCTCGACTCGTGCCTCGACCCACTTTGGAACAGGGAAGCAAAACTTGAGTGCATCTTGCACTCGCTTGCCCAATTTGGATCCGAACCCCTCGAAAATTAAACTGCGCAGCCAGCGGTGCTCGCGCGGGATCAGCCTTCTGTTTCTCGGCATGCGGCGTTCGCTGTACAGAGCAAGCGTCCTGCTCACTGAGGGTACTGTTCGCTGATAGTGGTTCCCTGTACACCCTGCAGACTGTGTCGTAGCACGACGCCGCTGAGGGTAAAGAGCACCGTCGGTCCGTGAGGGAAATGGGAGAGCATGAGTGCATCCGGCACGCCTCGATGTTCGTGGAGTACGATGAGGTCGGTGATGCCGTTAGTTCGACATGCGTCGGCGAGTTCCTTCATGACGTAGTTACCACGGTTGATTCGTGTCGAGTTGGGGAAGCAGAGTCGCATTTCCTGCAGCAGACAAGTTGAGATCAAAGCGTGAGTGGTCGTGACGAAAGGGAAGGACGCCGGTCGTTAGCGACGCAAGCCCGCAAAGTGTTGTGAGCTAGTAAGCGCACGACGCACCTTGGCAAATTGAGCAAGTTTTGACGAAGGATCCCGCGAGGTGGTGATGAGCACTCGCGGATCTTCGAACCCGGCTTGAGAGTATTCGTCGTCGACGTGCGTCATCGGCGCTGTTGAGAAGTTGCCAGGAAAGCGGTGAGGGCTCGGTGTCATACACGTATCATTCGTCTCTAGAGACAGCCCACGGTGCCCCCGAGTCGACCTCACCCTCTTGCCCTGCATCCATCTTGGCCTCACGCTCGCCTACGCCATGCCCCCGCGGGACCTGCTTCCCCTTGGCCAAGAGGTCCTTGACGCGTTGCTTGCGCTCCCAGATCTGCTGCTCCTTTTGTTCAAGTGACTTGGTGTAGAGGAACTCGCGGCGCTGTCGAGCTTGTCTTCGCAACTACGTGCGATGTTGCGTAGTACGAGTGCCATGTTCGACGACGAGCCGCCCAACAGTTGCGAAGCGATGCAAGAGTGCGCGGCACGGGGAACGGGGGGTTGTAAGGAGGGTCTTGGCGGGTCAGCTCGGCTTGGCCTGGGATTGCTGCTGGTTTGGAAGCGATGACTTACCATGATGGGCGGACGACGGGGCGGAGGGGCGTGTGTACGTCCACGCAGGCGAATGAGCTGAGGAGGGTCGGCAGCTGCCAAGTCCGGACCTCGGCAGACCTCGGCTAGACGTCTTCGCAGCCTTTCGCAGCAGCGACGAATGGGCGGGCCGCCTTCTGCTGCCTTCTGCCGCCTTCTGCCGCCTTCTGCCGCCTTCCCACCGACGAGCTCGCACGGACCGCCGCCTGGCCGCAGCTCGTTCTCGTTCTTGAGCTCCGGAGTTAGCTGCCCACCTCTTCCACCATCTCTCCGCACTCGCTACGCTCAAATTGACCACGCAAAAAGTGGCCTATCCCAAAGAGACCGACACTTTAGGGCTGCGATCTCGTGCTTGGTTCCTTCGAAGTCCCCAGCTCATCGTGCCGGCGAGGTCACGCGCGACGCCATGTCCTCGTTCCGCAGGCGCACGGCGATGGCCACGATCGCCGGCACCCGTCCCTCCCCTTACAACGCCTCGCAGCCGCTACTCTCGACCGGACTGGTCTCGCTCGACGACCTGATCGGAGGGGGTCTCCCCCTGTCGACCGCATGGCTCATCACGGGCGATGACCACGCGTCGTCGTACGCTTCGCTCGTGCTGAGGTTCTGGCTGTCCCAAGGCGTCGAGTGCGCCCACGACTGCCTCGTTGTCGGCCCAGGCGACCAAGTGCATGCGATAATCGAAAACCTCATGGACATTGACACGAGGTCCGATGCGCCCGCCGCTCAAGACGAGGGGCCCGACCCGAACGAGACACCATCGTCGACCACTGTCGCGACGGATCAAAGTGGGGGGGACGGCCAGAGCGAGGCCCAGGCCCAGGCCAACGTCGACGACGAGGACCAGGACAAGATGAAGATCGCGTTCAGGTACCAAGGCATGAAGAAGCACAAGACGACCGTCGACGAGCCCTGTAAATAGCGTCACCTCGGGCACGGTAGTATGCCTTGGGACCGTTCGGCTGACCCATTTTAAGGACCCCTGTCTGATCCCATCACTCCAGCGGCCAAATCCTCGCAAGACGACGTGTACTGCTCGCTATTTGACCTCACAACGAAGCGCAACATCACCCACACCGAACGAGAAAGAATCGAGGTGCTCGATGTGGACCGTCTGCCGATTCCGGAAAGCACTCCTCTTCCGAACGATTTGTGCGATCTCGTCTTTGACGCGATCGAGGCCAAATTGACTCGAGGAGGCTTTCTGTGCGTCCGCTTCACTCTGGTAGCGCCTTGCCATCCATCTCCTACCTGACTCATGCCTATACCTTCCGTGCATTCGGAAGATTCGACGAGGACGTGCCCTCCTCTCGGCCATCGAAGGCACTCCGGATTGCTCTGTCCAACTTTGGCGGGCCAGCTTGGGGCCCTTCTTCACCGCCCACAGTGAGCTGTTGCCTCCCCGATTCTGCCCAGACTCGTTGCTCGACAGAAGACTCGCCTGACCTCTGTCGTTTCTCCCTCGGTTCCCAGTCTATGTATCGCTTCCTTGCTCGCCTCCGGCCGCTGCTCCGTCGCTCCACAGCTTCGGTCTGCCTGACCTTTCCTTGCTACCTGCATTCACCACAAACCACGACCCGGCTGGCGCATGCGACCGACCTCCATCTCGCTCTGACCTCCTTCTCCACCTCGGCAACCTCCCTCGCCCAATTCCCTCGCCACCAAGGCCTGCTGGCGTTTCCCAAATTACCTACCGTCGGGGCTTTGGTCCCGAGCTCCATGAAGCTGTCCGTACTCCGAGGTATAGGCGGAGGCGGGGAAGGTAACGACCTAGGCTTCAGGATTAAGAGGAGGAGGTTCATTGTCGAGACCGTCGGGGCGGATGAACCCGTCAGCTTCGGACCGGCAACGACGACGCCGGTCGTCGCCGCCGTGTCACCGGACGCCGTGGAGGACAAGGGCGCTACGAAGTTCATGACGAAATCGGACAAGCAGGTCTCGGTCTCCCGGTTAATTCACGAAAAGCCGGAGCTTTACGAGTTTTAAAAGGCACATGACTAGTTCTAAAAGCACGTGACTCGATATGGTATTGTAGAGGGCTCTAGCATGTCACTACAACTATGAAGACGACCGCGACCTCTTTGAGGAGTATGTTTAGTCCAGCGTTTCGACGAGACTTGTACCCTCCCACAGCTTCTTGACGGCGCCCCAGTATTTTTCTGGCTCCCTCCTCACATGACTGACATGTTCGGTGCCTTCGAATTTTAGCATCGTCACCTTGGCGCCTTGTTGGCGCGCCCATTGTGCATTTGCTTCCACGTCCTGAGCGGGGATTAGCATGTCCGTGGCCGAGTAGAGGTAGAGGCGGGGGACAAGAGGGATTTGCGTCGCAACGTATGTTCCCACTTGGTCCAGGATGGAAGGCTTGAACCGAAGTCTGCCTCGAAAGAAAATTCGTTCAAGAGATAGAGAGGGTGAGAGCCGCTCGAGTCCACTCTCGGCCCGATCTTGAGCCTCGCAAATGCAGCTTCAAGAAGACTTACGCATTGAAGATCCTAAGCATACCGAATACCAGAGCTACGAGGACCATCGCCGGTGCCTTGAACAGCCAATTGTTCAACGGCGCCGTGAAGGCCGAGATCATCGTCTTTAATCCCCCATTCCCGGGGCAGCTGTCAAAAATAATCGCTCGGGCCGGGATTCCGTTGACCTCCGAATTTTCGGAGTACTCGGCCCGGCCGTGCGGATCGCCCTGGGAGATGCGGGACAGGGACGAGCGTAACATCATCTCGTTGATCATCTTGAGGTTGAGGCAACCACCGTTGGAAAAAGTATGGACGAGCAGGCCGGAGGACGGTCCCGCCGCGGGCACGGCCGAGCCCGAGTCGCCGAGACGTGCTCGGAGGAATTCGACGGCGGGGCTCAGGGCGCGCCGTTGGGTTTCGGCCCGGGAATAGAAGGATGTCTGCGAGCTCCGAACGAGCAGAATCGTCGACGACGGATACTGCACAGGCGGTAAGTCACAGGACAGAAGGTCGTCGCATCCATCAGTCCGGACTGCGGGCAGGAGGAATCGCCAGCTGAGGCCGGGCGGAGGCAGACGACGCTTATGCGCGCGGCCACAGGTTGCTAAGCGAAGGACTGACCACGCGATGGTATCCTTCAACGTATTTGGAAAGATGCTTCATTTGGGCGTCCATCCATCCAAACATGAGCTGTCACCGATCTCGAAGGAAAAAGGGGGGGGAGTGAGGTCGTTGCCCCAGGTCATATAGTACGCCTCCTCGCAAGTTGTACGTCGCGGGCAGGAGGTTTCGACTGACCACAATATGTGGCGCCTCATGGCTTCGTTTGCGTGGCGCAGATCGGACTGGCTCGGCAAAGTAGATACTGTTGGTCAACCTTGTGAGCTGCTTTGATGCCATGTTGCTTCCCGGTGTATGCGGCCGGGCGGACGCGACAAAGCAAGTTGAGATGCGTTTTGGAAGGTGTTGGTGCCCGCACAATCTCGCACAATTAGCCAAGTTCCATAACCGCACCTGCAATCAACCCAATTCGTAATAATGGCCGGTTGCCAAAGGCGACCAACGGGCGCGCCGAGCGGGTCGAAAGGCGAGTGCGGGGTGAATCACTCCCTCTTGCTAGAACCAACTATTCTCGCTCGCAACATCGCCTGTTGCTCGCTCGAAACTTCAGGAATTTTTGCTTTCCCGCCCGCCTCCCCGGTTTGCCTCCCCTTGCTTGCGCTGCCCCGCGCCGGTTTCTTCGCGGGGCCGTGTCATGGGGAAATTCGCCCCCAAGCCCAAACCAAGCCAATTATTATATAGTCACTATTTGTATTCATCAACAGAAGTCGGCACAAACGTCGTTCAGTCGGAGACTGCTCGTCTTTGGCCGACACGAGACGCTCGACGAGCGACCAAGCGCCCCCTATTCCGATTTGCCAAACCGGGCCCGGGGCAACCACCTCGTTGCCAAATCTGGCACGGCGGCGATTCGCACAGTGCCCTACTTTCCGTCGCTCTGCTACTTCTGCATCTTTTGTTGACGTAAGCGCATATCGGAGATGTCGGAGATTGCTTTCTATTTAGCATGCGTTTCCCTCGCCCCTCGGGAATGGATGGGGTCACCGCAACGAAGCTGAAAAGTGAGTCCGCTCCTGTCCGCTCTCGGGTCTCCACCCCCCCCCCCCCCCTCCTTCGGTCGCGCACCTTTCTCTTTGCATCGAGTCTTTATCGCCACCCTGGTCTCCCTCTCTCCCTCTCCCTCCCTCTTTCCCCACGGCTCGCAGAAAACAAGTGACCCTCTCCCTTGACCTCGCCTCGCCCTACGCTTGCCCCGTTCTCCCCCTGCTGGCCATCTTCCTCGAGAACGACGCCTTTGAGAGCACCCCCCAACTCGACTGCCTCGCCACACTGCGCCTCGACAAGCCCGTCCCCCTCGTCCTGCGTCCCGGCGTCCTCGACCGCTACGTCTCTCGCGCCTCGGAACGTGGCAACACGAGCATGACAGGCGACACCCCTTGTGGCTGCGACTGGTTCGGCCGCACGCTCCAGGCCCTCGGCACGGCGCTCGGCTGGGTCGTAACCCACACGTTGTACGTTTGGCGAGGCTTCCCTGCCAACGCCATCAACGTGCCCGAGGTGACCGTCGCGGAGCGCCGCCTGCTCATGGGGCACAGCGCGGACTTGACGGCGTACGAGCGGTACTACCAGAGCCGCCGTACCAAGGTCGACACTCGGGCGCCCTTTGATCCCTTCAGTTTGGACTCGGAATCAATGAGGCTCGAGAGCGATCTCGTGCCTTTCACCGGCCCACGGACGAGGACGCCACCAAGCTGAAAGGATCAAACGGTGCAATTCGCAGGCGAAGAAAGACTACTAAAAGGACTAAGGTCAAGAGACCCTGCGGCGCCGCGCGCGAGGGCAAGCGTGAGGCCGCTGAGGTTGGCTAGGACCCCAGAAAGCCCAGCCGGAGGCGCATTTTTTTTTTTTGACATTTTGAGGACCCAAAATCCTGAAAATCGTCGAGGCGCATTGCAAAAAATTGACATTTTGGGACGAAACACAGGTTTTGCCCCCGAGGCGCCTTTGCAGATTTTGACATTTTTCCCGGGGGTCGAGGCAATTTTGGCCGACCCTGAGCAGCCTTCGGCATGACCATGGGCCCGCATTCGCCTTCGAGACGCGCTTCGTGCTCGCGCTTGTACGGGTCACTAGTCATTTTTTGTAATCACTTTAGTGCAGAGGCTGTTAGGGATTAGGTACCAATAGTTCCCACTGCTGAGATTGAAGGGGCGCAGGTTCCGTTCCGCTTCACTTCGTTCTGACATTGAAGCATAGCACGACAACAAGATTTCATGCTTGTTTCTCGACGAAGACCAGGACTACTATTTGAACGGACGATGACTTCGATCGGTTATCGCCGCTCACCAACATGACGATCGCCGAGCTCCTCGCCTTCGATGTATCATGTCGCTCCCGCCGACGCGTCTCTTCACATCGAGTTGTCCAAAGACGAGCCCAACCAGTATTCGACCTTACCCTACCCGACTCTCCAGACCAGAGACGCGTTTCTCGCCACCGATGCTCTGATCAACGCACGCAAGAATGGATTTCGATCTTTGGCCGTCGCGTCGACGCGTTTGCCGCTCGGCGCCGATCGGCTATGGTCGCAGTACGACCGAGCAGAAGATGTTCAAAGCTGGGCGCTGCGAGCTCAACGATGGATGGACAAAATCGTCGTTATCAACGGAACTGACCGCAACCGTATCGCTGTCGCACGTCGCATACTGAACGGACTGCAATGGCAAGAGCAAGCTCATGCGTGCTCGTTACTACACAGCCCACACACTTGAAACTTCCGCCTCTTGTCGATGCTCGCGATACCAATTTCTCGCTGAACTGGGCCAACTTGATTGCCCATCGAGCTGCTCATGAGTGTAGCCACCTCAGAGCTGTTCTACTCAAAGGGAGGCCGATGGAATCGAGCCACACAAGTCGCGGAGAGGCAGGCGTAGGGATTAGCAATACAGAGCAAGGACGCAGTGCAGTACATTCACGCGTCTTGAAAGGGTTGGTCCAGTCCATGGGACCATCTCGCTTTGAAGACATGGCGGGCACGGCCAGGAGCTTTCGCTGGACTGGAGGTGGCCAGGTGGCCCGAGCGCTCACAACAAACGAGATTCAGAAGAATGCCTATATTGAGGATGGCCGCATTCAAGTGAGTTGTCGCTGAAATCAGGAAATAAGGCAACTGGATCTAATGTTTTGTTATTCCTGTACTTTTAGGAAAAGCTCCCTGAAAGAACCAAGCAGTACGGAGCGCTAGCACAACGCTATCCTCATTTTGGATCGCTTGACGGAGCTGTAACCACTGCCGCACCATTGGAGATCGGATCTCTGATCTGCTTTGGCCTCAAGCGTGGCATGCATTCACTCAGCTGCGATCAAACTGCTTATGGAGAAGAAACGCTGTCCATCGGAATTGGTACGTTGTTTTGAGTGCAGTGGCAGTTGAGCTGTGACGTTCTCATTTGACAAAGGTCTTGTCTGCTACAGTGCGATACATCTACAGCAAAGTGACAACAAACCACTGCAACCGAGACACGCTCCCGTCGTTGGTTCTACTTTCAAATGTCGTCGTACAGGAGCTTCGCCTCATCAAGAAAGCATGCTATTCCACTCACCTCATTGATGGCACTATGCCGTTTCGCATGATTGATGGTCGACAGGTCATCGAGTCATTAGGCCCGCCAGCGACTACATATCGTTCAACCACGGACCTTACCTCATGTTACCCCGACGAGCGCATAATCACATGTGCTATAGCGCGACAAGGTCTTGAAATGATGATTTCTCTCTCTCATAATCAGCACGTGCGCACATGCCGAGCAAAGATTTGCCGCCCTTCGGAGCGTCCCCGGCCTGCGAGATGCCGCCGGTAGAACCTCTACAAGCCGCACAAATGCCTCCGCGGATACAAGGAGCTCAATTTCAACAAAACGGAAGTCTGACAACGAAGTAGCGAGCCCACCAGCAAAGCAAGGAAGGCTTGTTTGATGCCTGGAGCCACGCGCGACACCAGCCGAAGCGACGCGCGCCGCAAGCCACTTTCGATCGGCCGCCGCGCGTCCGCAAACGCTCGGAACGCGTTTTCGAGGACTTTTGAGGGATTTTTGGAGCATGTAGAACACATTTTGATAATATTTTGAGGCGCATGTGAAATTTTGACATTTTGGGGCCAAAATAGGGTAAAAAACTTTGACAAAAAGGCCAAAAAACGGCGTTTTTCAACATGCGCCTCCGGCTGGGCTTTCTGGGGTCCTGGTTGGCTCCGGTTTGCTAGGGTTGGCTCGAGGTCGTCGTCGTGAGGCGTAGGCGTAGCGACGCCTTACACCTCCATGAAAGCCTGCACGAGGCTGACGGGTATCGGGGAGGTGACACCGGGGGGGAAGAAGTTGGCGATGGTGTCGGACACGCTTTGCTCCTCGATCCGGGCAACAAAACGTGTAAGGTATGCGCCTCTGATGTGCATAAAGTACAATCTGTCGTTCTTGACCGCTAGGCTAAAAGCAAGTCGTAACTAGAACTCGATAGTTCTGCTACTCAGAGGCTACTTATGGGGCTGTTCCTCTAAGGCATCCCCTTAACACAATGGATGAACGTTGCAGAATGCGGAGCTGGGCGTCGGCCGTGTGTGCCGAGATCTTCTTGACGAAGCGCACCTGGGCAAGCTCTTCGACGCGCTTCCTCAGTGCCTTGACCGACGTGTCGTAACCGCGGGCAGTGGCGACCACGTCACGTCGAGGAAGCGCCTTGGCCGCCCACGCCTTGGCTGACAGGACCACTCCCTCGAGGTCGAGCGTCGCAGTCGAGATCGAGATCGAGGCAGGGCAACCTGCACGGGGTGAAACGGGCCGAAAGGAGTCGGCACGACGTGTTGAAAAGCAACGACGCGGCGTAGAGCTGGCTGGGAAGACTCGACAGCAAGCAGGGAGGATGATTGACTTGAGCCGTAAAGCAAGTCAATGCCCGAGAGACGACACCCAGGAGAGCACACGAGGGCTCGATACGAGGTGAAGATGCGGAGTCGAATACGTGACTCAAACGCGAGGTGAAAGCACGAGGCGCTGCTCCCAACGAAGACCCAAAGGTATACGCTGTATCAGGACTACCTTGCAATCAAGAGAAGAGCAGCAATGAAGCTGGGATCGATGGACGAGATACGAAAGGCTAGACGAGGATGAATGATGATGATCCCTGCCAGAGAGGCAAGCGCACGCGAGAGAGCTAGTCACACTAAGCGAGGGGCCAAAGTTCAATAAACTCCACTCAGCGACCAATTCCTCCGACCCAACCACCTCTCCTCTTCCAGTCTCTGATCCCAGTGAATCCCAAACCCAAGGCACGGACTTGATACACGACAGTGCCGATCCAGACCAAATGTGAGAGGTGTTGAACCCCTGGAAGAAGAGCGTCTTCGAAACCAAAGGAGAGCGCCCGCAGTTGCTCGTGTCAGGAGTCGGAGGCGTCCAGATCCTTACATTGGCCGCCCAGTCGTAGACAGGCCCCGAGCAGATGGGGTCTTGGGTGTCGGTCGTCGACGAGGTTGCAGCGACCGTGACCCCAAACCCAGTATTTCGCAGTATCCTCAGGGAGATGAATGGCGAACAGTTTCTTTGCTACACTTCCTAGTGTCTCTACTGTCAGAACCCAATCATACTGATTCTCTTCTAATTCTATTTACTTCTCATGCCACTATTCCACTCCTACTTTGCACTCCTTCTTTAGCCTATTACCCTCTACGCCGGATCCCAGCGCCTGATCGAGACTCGGTTGACACGTTGGCTTGGGTTGAAGTCGCGCGCCTCGCGGGCACTCGTCTCTCTTCCTTCTTCATCCATCTTCCATCCTCGATCTTGCGCTCGTACTCAACCCCTTGAGTCGGGATCCAGGTCAGTCCTTTTGCAATGCTTTATCCATCTTCCATCCTCGATCTTGCGCTCGTACTCAACCCCTTGAGTCGGGATCCAGTCCTCCATACTTCTTACATCTACCTCTGCTGAAACTTACAATGTTTGAATATCCTGTCATTCGAATTTCATCCTCCGTTAATTTAACGGGTTCCCACTGGTCTATGATACTACACCGGGGCATAAGCCATGTTGCGGCCGCCCTGCGCATGCAAACCCGGACCCCGTGTCGAGTCTGTCCCGATCTACTTCTTTCGCACGTTCGGCATCGACAATACCATAGGTCAGGTAGACCGGCAACAGCCGACGATTGAGCAGACGTCATTCACTGCTTCGGCTGAGTTGTGATCGAGCGTCATACTCTACCGCACAATATCTCGCAACATTCGTACAACCATGCAGTGAAAGGTAACAAATACTAGAGGTTTCGTATTGCAGTCTCAGTGTTTTGAACTAGCCTCGAGGAACGTTGGACCGGAGCTGGGCTGGAGAGTCCGGCCGCCGAGGAGCCTTACCAACTCGTTCCAAACGCTCAACTTCGCTACAAACTGTTCAGAAACACTTGCGGTGCACACAACTGGGTCCACCCTCATCGTATTCTGTTTTTGTTGGTCCAACCACAGGGTTATGGTTGTGGCGAGCGGGCGGGCGAGGCGGACGCGGCGTTGACGACGGCCAAGGCGCGTGGTGAGTGCAGACCAAGGTGGATGTTCGAGCACACGATGATAGATTCAAGTTTGGTGGTGTATAGCGTTTCCAGAGGGAAGGTGATTGCGCGCGGCGGCAAGCAGCAGAAAGGCCGAACCAAACCAGGGTAATGTAGAAAAGGCAACGTACTAGAGGGTCAGCGACGCGCCAAAGCACCTCCATCTCGTATTCTCGTAGAAATGGCAGCTCGACGCACCCTGCTTCGAGATCCACATGGCTTGGAACGTCGAGAGCGACGCCAAGATAGATCCACCGATCCAGACCGAGTACTTGCGCTCGGGGGGAGCAACAATCTTGACCTGCAGTGTGCCGCCGACACGTTGGGGGAAGGGTTTCATCAGTTCCAAGAACACCATCAACCTCGACTGCAATCGAGGACGCACCTTCATCGACGAGGGAGCCAGCGCGGTGACCTCCTTCTGCATCCTGTCCGAAATGCCGGCGTACATGGTCGTACCGCCGGACATGACGATGTTGCCGTAGAGATCTTTTCGGATATCGAGGTCGCACTTCATAATCGAGTTGTAGGTCGTCTCGTGGATACCGGCGGCTTCGAGGCCAAGCAGGGCGGGCTGGAAGAGGGCCTCGGGGGCACGGAATCTGGTGGGGATGGTCGCCGGTACAGCGCGGCGAGGGTTTAGTGAAAAGCTCCTACGAAAAAGGCAAAAGGCGACGATGGCGCCGGCTGGCGAACTTACCGCTCATTACCGATGGTGATGACCTGTCCGTCGGGAAGCTCGTAAGACTTCTCGAGGGCTGAGGATTGGGCAGCGGTCTGCATCTCCTGCTCAAAGTCGAGGGCGACGTAGCAGAGTTTCTCCTTGATGTCGCGAACGATTTCACGCTCGGCGGTCGTAGTGAAGGTATAACCACGCTCCATCAAGACCTTGATGAGGTAGTCCTATGGGTTAAAATGGTCCGGCCAAAGGATTACGTCGTGGCGTCGCGTCAGCTTCTCGTGTGCTCAGTCCAGACGGGACCGGCGGCACCGAGGCTACTCACGGTAAGATCGCGACCGGCCAAGTCGAGACGGAGGATGGCGTGGGGCAACGAGTAACCTTCGTAGATGGGAACGGTGTGGGTCACACCGTCACCCGAATCCAGGACGATACCGGTCGTGCGACCCGAGGCGTACAGCGACAGAACGGCCTGCGAGACGATTATCATAGCGAGCGCGGTGTCAGTGGGCGAGGAGCGGCGGTCAAGTGATGCAGTTGGCGGTCCGACGCACCTGGATGGCGACGTAGAAGGCGGGGGCGTTGAAGGTCTCAAACATGATCTGGGTCATCTTCTCTCGGTTGACCTTGGGGTTCAAAGGCGCCTCGGTCAAGAGCACGGGGTGCTCCTCGGGGGCGACACGGAGTTCGTTGTAGAACTGCGGTGGGGGGTAAAGTGGCGCGAGTCAGTCGTCGGGCCAGAGGTGGACGGGAGCTTTGCTGGCGACGGGTGCTTACGGTGTGATGCCAGATTTTCTCCATATCGTCCCAATTGGTCACAATACCGTGCTCAATGGGATCTGCGGATGATGACATCAGATGAAGGGCACGAACGTCATTAGTTCGATTCATCCTGGCCGGGTCGGGAGTCGGAGCGGTTGCGCAGACCGGTGCGGGTGACTCACACTTGAGCGTAAGGATACCACGCTTAGACTGGGCCTCATCACCGACGTACGAGTCCTTTTGGCCCATACCAACCATCACACCCTGGTGGCGGGGACGACCGACGATCGAGGGGAAGACCTAGTAGAATGACCAGCACCACGACGAGACGCCGATGCGGGGGCGTGTCAGCTCAGGAACACCCCAGGGGCTTTCCGGTGCAGCACACGGCCAAACAAGATCGACTCTACCACACAAACGAGCCCGGGAAAAGCTGGTGTGGCACAGAGAGTGACGGCTCGCCATTGACATCGACGGGGCGGCGAGGGCAGTCGAGGAGCGGCTGGGACGCGCAGCGCCAGAGGCTCGGTCACATCCCGGGATCGCGATACGGGATACTCACAGCACGGGGAGCGTCATCACCGGCGAACCCGGCTTTGCACATTCCTGTTGCGGCGGCATCACGCGGTGATTGGGTTACGGGAGGGAGAACAACGGGGACAGGACGGGCGAGGTGTGGGACTGGCGTTAGTATAGCGGTCTGCTGCGCGTGCGTCCCCAAGGATGCGGAAATGGCGACTGACCCGATCCATTGTCGATAACGAGGGCAGCGACTGCAAAGGGGAGGCGAAGCGGATCGAGGACATCGTCAGTACGCCCGGATGTGCCACAACATCAGTCTCGTCGACATGCGGGGCTAGCTCGCTTGCACGGCGACGAGGCGGTGCGTGCCGGCGTGTGCGCGTGCGTGCTCAGCGCTGAGTTAGGTGGTGGCCAGTGGCACGCCGTCACGCCGACCGCGCAAGCCAGCGCTAAAAAGGACATGGGTCGTGTGCAGGGTGAATCGAATACGAACCTTCGTCTGTGGGAATAAAGGCAGCGTACTTAAAGGTCAGCGTCTGTACGGTCAAGCTAGAATCGGCGAAAGAGCGGGCGAGATGCGGATGGAATGGGCGCAGGTGTGACGCAGCAGCATGGGTGCGTGCCGGCCCAGCACGGCGAGCGGCGACGTGGCGATCACATCGGAACGCAAGCCCCTCCCTCAACTCGCGACACCGGTGCCACTCCATGTGGTGCTGCATGGTCGAAGTCTTATCGCAGCCTCGGTTATGGAGACGGTCGGCGACTCACCCTCCATGGTAGTAGGATTTTAGGCGGGTGGGGGTTGGATGTGGGTGGGAGCGGGAGCGGGAGACAAAGGGCGGGAGCGCGCAAACGCGCATCCCCATCTCTACGCCCCGTTGCTCTGGCCTGCTCTGGCAGGCTCTGGCAGAGTTGTGGCAGATTACGACTATTACTGGCCGCCTGTGGCCGCTCCGGGCAGCACTCGGCCTCGGCCTCGAGCTCCAAGCAGATCGAGCCACCAATCGAGCTTGGACCTCTTCTGCCAGTTAGACCCGAGCCTCAAAGGGTATGTACCGGCGCACCGCCCGAAGGCACAATACTTGGTGAATAAGATCCCTGGGCCAGAACACTGACCTCACTGTACCCGTGCCTCCATAGCAGGATGACTCATTCGCGATGTAGATACCGGAGCCGGGGCGGTCGACTCATTCCGAAGCATCATACGTTCCGCCGGCCTGAATCTTCACTTCCTTTAGCAACTGCTCAACTGCTGCGCGGGTCTGGCCACGCTCCAAAGGGCACACCGCAAGCTTCATGCTCCTTCTCATTACCATAAAAAATCCTTTGGCGAGACACCCATGAGCACACAGCTCGGTCAAGATGACTTACATCCGCATAAGCGATTATATTTTGGCATCGATCGCGCGCTCGTGCCGCATACCCTAGTAACAGTCTAGGTAGTACCTGGTAGTACCCGCCGGCGATTTTCATGAGCTGCTCTGTAGCCCGGCGTGTTCTGCTCTCCCTCTCGCCCCGTCATCGCGCGTGGTGAGCTGTCGAGCTGGACGCTTGCAGTCGAGTCGAGTGAGTCGCCAATATCCACCCACTGCCTCTCTAATGTTCCAGGCATACACCTTCCCTGTCGACTAAACACAGCTTCTGTCTCCCCTTGGCTTGCTTCATTCCCGTGTCGATTGAATTGCGACGCGGCGTCGCCTCCGACTGCCCTTGTACGCGCTCGCGCTCCTGTTTCCACGATTACGAGAATGCAGCTACACTTGTCCACCACACCATGAGCTACGATCGTGCCTACGACCATCGACGCGGTGATGGACCGCCGCCTCCGGACCACTACTACGGCTCTGCGCCGCCCTGGTCGCGAGGCTCGTCGGGTGGACCGCACGACCCCAGGATGGGACCTCCACCAACGCACCTCGGCGGCGGTCCTGGGCCATATCGTCGATCCCCACCTCCACCTATGGGCCTGAGCATAGGAATCGGAATCGGAATGGGAATGAGCGCGCGTGACGACCGTTACGGTGAACCAGAGGAGTGGCCGGGCTATCCAGGAGGTGGCCCATCCGGGTACGACGGTAAGTCATCATCGTCAGGTTGACAAAAGTTGGCTCCAGCAGCCTTGGGCTCCACCTTTGTCTCTTTTTAACTCACATCCACATGCTCCTGTCGTGCTCTTCCTCTCTCAGATCGTCAAGGAGGCAGCAAGAGGCGAAGAGGGCCGTCGCCCTCGGGCTATCGTGATCACCACGGTGCGTAAGCAAAGAGCACCAACGCACAAACGAGCGTATGCCTCCCGGCTTTACTAAGCCTCAGTTGCTATCACCCTCCTATGGCAGGCTACGGCCACCCTCGCGACTATCCTCCCCCACCATTCGACCCGCGTGGACCCCCGCCCCCAGGTGCTACGAGCCGATCCGAACCCCCGATCCGCTCCACTCTCGAGGCCCCAGAGACCCTCCCGTACCAGGTCACGCAACGGTACTTCACCGACTGGCTCCTGCAGAACAAGCCCTCCTTGTCCAAGAATCAGCCGGCGATCGAGGCCGAGTGGAGCAAGTACCTCACCTCGTGGAGGAGGAAAGCTTTGACGTCGACGTTCCAAGAGCACGAGAAAGCGGCCTGGTTTAGGGAAAAGTACGATCCGCGGGAACCGTATGCCGAGATGAGGGAGCGACTTAAGCAAAAGGGGAGGGAGGGGAGGGTCGAAAGCTTCTTGGCCGAACTTGCGCGCGACCACTTGGAGGGGATTGTCATGGACTATGGCGAGTGGAAGCCTCGCACACTCTTCCGTTCCACAATGCAGTTTCACTAACACGAATTGCTACCTCGACGTTCAACAGGCTCGTTTAATACCGACGGCACGAACGCCGAGGAGCAGAACTCCTCGTTCAAAGCCGACGACGGCGAATCGCGTAAGATCCACGCGGACCAAACGCTCGTCGCCGGTTCTCCGACTGCGCTCGTCCTCAAGACCATCAAGTCGAACATTTCCCGCACCCAGCTCGAGGAACGCCTCGCCTCGCTCGAAGGTTTCCTCTACCTCGCGCTAACGGACCCTATCCCGGACAAAAAGTTCCACCGCGTCGGCTTCGCTAATTTTGCCACGACCGAGCAGACCGAAGCGGGACTGGCGGCCCTGAAGGACTGGTCCATCGACGGCTTCCACTTGCCGATCGCTCGCGCGGACAAGCCTCTTTCGATGCGTTACCGAGCGACGCCGGCGCTGATGAACGAGCCGTCGCGCATCGCCAAAGATCTCGAGCAGATCCAGAGACTCGCGCTGGCGCTGGAACGGGATGCGGGCGACTCCCGAGGCAGTGTTGCGATCGAGCAAAGGCTCAAGAAATGGAACGAAGAGGGCGGCATCGCGATGGAAGCGGACTCGACCAAGAAAGCCCTCGATCTGTACCTCCATTACCTCAGGACAGCGTTCCACACGTGCTATTACTGCTTGGCCGTCTTCAATTTTGGCGAGGAACTGTTGCGTCGATGCCCGAAGCACGTCAGGCTCGTCAGCGAGGGCAAGAAGCCAATAAGTGGGTCGCAATGCTTCATGAGCGGGGCACAAGCGCAGACGCTGATGTTATCTCTATTCATGCTTCCGATTCTTGTAGCGGCCGAGCTCACTTGGGTCCGCTCGTTCGATGATCGGCTCGCGTTGCTCACGGACCGCGATACGGTCAATCTTGCCGAATTGGGTGGTGACGACCCCGAGGAGGCGATGCACACGCTCTGCGCGACTTTGCACAAGACCGAAGGCGAGGGCAAGTACCGATGCCAGCAGTGCAACAAGCTCTTCTCGGCGCTCAAGTTTGTCGAGAAGCACATCACGACCAAACATCCCGATGACATTAGGGACAAGTTTGACAAGGTGGGCGTGAGGCTCGGCGCAGCTTCAGTAGCGTGGGCGTCTTCGAAAATGCTCACCCTCTCCTTGGCGCTGCTGTGCAGATCAACTTCTTCAACAACTACGTACTCGATCCTTTGCACTTCCCTCAACCGGAGAAGCTGGACAACTTCACCCCGACGGCGTTGAAAGAGTTTGATCACATCACCCCAAAACAGTCGATGAACAAATCCAACCACAACAAAACGAACGGAACAATCCCAGGTGGTGGTGCGGCGCCTTCTTTGTTGACGGAACGCCTTGGACCAATGGCCACCAATCCGAGTGAGCCCAAGAGGCGTCGACAGGACAGTTTGCCGATGGGCCAGAGGTTGCAACCGCCCCCGCCTCCTGTCGGGGTGAGAATGGATCCGAGGGCCGAGAGAGGGCAGAGGAGTTATGCCGATCTGGTGAGCCTCGAGTGGGGTCCGATTTTGGGGTTCTCGGCGTTTGTATTGACTTTGATGATTCCCCCTCCAGGATGGTCCGGCAGGAGGAACAGCCGATGAAGTGGTTCTGCAGTATTAACGCTTTGATCAAGCGTAGACCCGATCAAACGAAGGCTTGAAATACAACCGCCTGTAGTACATGAGCGCTAGGGTCTGGGAGACTATCGGTGTAAGATTCTGATACGTGAAAAAGGTTTTAAACAAGAAAATGACTTCGTGATTGTCCAGGGCTTTTGTTAACAACATTATATTCTTGCACCACTCCGAAATCCGCTTCAGCACCCTCTCCTCAAGCGTGGCTCCGCTCCGGCCATCATGGCTCCATCTTGACCCCCGTCTCGCGGTTCGAGCCTAGCTGAGCATCGACTCTGTCCATGGCGTGGGTGCCGTTTTCTTGCTTGACCTGTGGCCCCTCCTCGCTTGCACTTCTACCCGCCGGGTGCGGATTCGCGCGGATGTGGTTGACCAGCTCCGGAAAGGCATCGCCGAGCGAGCTGGTGAGAATGTCTCGATAGTCCTGCGGACACGATCAACAAGGTGACTCATCAGCGCGGTGTCTCTGAAACGAAGTGTGAATGGACTTACCAAAACGGCAGAGAGCATGCCGTTGGTGTACATGTTCTCGCCGGCGACGCGCTCGATGAACTCGCGCGTGTACATGTGTGGGTTCTTGCCTTGATCGACGAAGCTGTTGGAGCATCACATTCCACGTTCCACGTTCCGCTTCAGTGTCGTTCCCATGTGCTCGACACCAGCTCGAAAGCCTACGAAGCTTATTAGTCAAGACTGACTTTACGACCTCGAGTGGGATCATGACGTCCTGGACGGTGCCGGTGTAGGAATACAGCTTGGCGAGCTGTTCCATCGTTTGAGAGCTGAACGGGGACCATTCAATGTGTAAGTTACGGTAGTAGTCATACATCCAAGAGTTGAGACACTGTGATGTGCGCGAGGAGACTCACACCTTGCGACCCATTAACCCACCAGGATATCCGCTGGCCACCCCACCCGGGGTCGACGACAGAGCCGAATCCTGTACATCACTCGCACCTGTGCCCGTCGTCACACCAGATCAGCTATCATGGCAAGACCAGAGCATCCCAGCTTCGTGGGAGGAGCACGAGGAGCACATACAGATGCCCATCTCCAACAGACTCTGCAGCAGCTGTTCCAACGTCTGTTCGATTGCATACGTGGGGCGCGTCCCTTCTCCGGACATCGAGTGGTGATGCTCTGCATCGGGCGAGCTAACGCCGAGCGCGTCGACCGTCATCGCGTTGATGGGTGGTGGAGCCTTCTTGTACCGACCCCGAAGACCGATAGGTGACGGATGTCGAAAGCTGTCGAAAGTGACTGTCGCAGACAATCCCAGCTTAGTCCGCCGCGCCGGCTAACCTGGCGCAGACCTGCGCTGATCGGCGCTGCCCGGCGCTGACTACTCGCTGGCTGGCGCAGACTGGCGCTGATCGATTGATCTGCGCACTATCTGCGCAGCAGACTGCGCTGCTGTATAAGCTCGACGCCCTCCCTCTGGGTTAGGGTCAGCCTTCGGTTGATCAATGAGGGTGGAAAGCTCGAGTAAGCTCCCTGCCAGACTATCTCGCGAGAATATCTATATTTGCAGGCTAAGCTGTGTGGAAGGGCCATGCGGCCCGGGTAGGCACGCGCAGATCCTGTGCAGACCTTGCCGTGACATCGGCCTCCCGATACGGTTTCGTGGAGCTGAGATGACCTCGTGGCTATAAAAAAGTGTGGAGGTAGCGCCGGCTCGGGCTCCGAGAGCCTAGGTACTTGATGCGGGTCTGACAATTTTCACTTGGCGACATTAGTAATAACGATGAAGATGAGACCTATGCATCCGCGAGGCGGCTAGTCGTCAAAAGTCTCGTCGGCACCGTTGGAGTTGCCGTCCGGCGGCGTCGGGTGTTGGCGTCGCACTCGTGCGACCAGCCGAGGTCTTCAGGTCGGGTATTTAAAAGGCTGTGGCATTGACGATGGCACTGATAACGCTCGTCTAGGCGATCGAAGAGAACACGAGGCAACTGAGTTCTAACTGAACCTTCAAGTTGTTCGAGGGTCTGCACAATCACGGTCACACTGAAGAAAGCGTCGGACGAGACGAAACTGAGGAAGGACGGAGTCGTGGATGAGCGCTCGGTGGTCACGGTTACACGCGGTCACGGGTCATGTAACGGAAATAGCGATCTAGGCCCGGGCCAGACTTGTGCACTTCCAGTCTTCCGATTCGAGGCGATTCCACGCGTCCTCCGGAAGCGGATCGAATCTTCACTGAACCGAATTGTTCACAGCAGCAGCAGCAGCAGCAGCAGTGGTCACCGAGTATTCGATCGCGGCGATCTCAACTCTGGGGTGATCCCTGGAGCTCAACCTACCTGCTGAGACTTGACCGAGCTTGATCGACAAGGTATTCGGTCTTTCCGAGGGGTGGATCGTTGGCCTCGATGTCGGGTGCACGGTCCCCTCTCCGTTCAGATCTTCGGCGCTCTCGGCCGCGCTCGGCCGAGGTGGAGAAGATCGAAAGCTTAAATTCACAGCGTGGCGTCATATCGATGAGATGACTCATTCTACCAAGCGCACACCCCGCACCCAAGTCAGCAACCACCTCGAGCTCGTCGCCTCTCTCTTTTCTCCTTCCTTCTCCTCGTCGACGCGCTCTGCACTTCTCGCACCACTTAATCTTGCCGACATCGCCCCCCTTTTCAGGAGGATACGAAACGGTGGCCTTTGTGGTGTGGTAGAGTCTGTCGTTCGATCCCTCCCACCGTCAAAAGTGTGAGTAACCACCTAGCTGTGACCGTGTTCGTGTGGCGTATGGTCGGACTGACTCGTCTCGTGTTTACCCGTCTCGCGTCCGTCTTTCACCACCCCACCTCCATCATCTACCCCACACCACTCCTCCCCTCTCCCCTCTCACCGTGATCTCTCGCTTCCCACCTTGCCACTCCGACTTTACCGTCTCTCACTGCGTCACGGCTTGCCATCAGCCTATCCACTCGTCGACGAGTGTTGAATGGCGCCTACGGCATGTCACTGAGGTTGTTCCTGGTCCACAAGACCGCTTGCATTTGATCGTACCCCGTGAGTCTTTGCTTTGACCCTTGATGATTGATCGATGGATCGATCGTACTCACCGGCCCTTGACGACGGGCGAGACGGGGCTGACGATTCGATCCTCGCCTACACTCTCCACACAGTAGCCTCCACTGCGTTACCGAGTCGACCGATCTCACCTGCTCGAATCGAAGGAGGTTCACGGTACCCCTAACATCAGTGAGTAGCATGTACCCTAATCCTATGGTACCAGGTAGCTTACTTCTAGTGTACGCATCAACCTCCAGCTGCACACGGTTTTCAAGCCATCTCCACCTCGGTCGACAAGGTCCCCTTTTCTTTTTCTGTTGCTTTCGAATTGGTTTCACCTCGGAACTCTTACGCTGCCGGTGCTAAGTGGCAGGCGACTTGGCCTTATTTAGCCTAGCCAGATCCAACTCCTACATTGAGCCTCCCTCGTAAACCCTTTTCGTTTTTTAGTAGTTTTTGAGTGCACGTATCGAGATGCGCATGCACCACGGATTTGAAATTCGAATGGACCCAAAACGATAGAGAGCTCCTCAGGACTCGAAACATTGGATCTCCCTTTTCCAATCGATCATTTCGGCTCAATCAGGCTTCGTGGTCAGTCACCTCCGACAGATATTCGAGTGTCGACAGTGCCCCATTCGGCGGCGTCGTGCATTATCGTATCATCCTCAGCGCGTACGAAGGAAAGTCCTGTCGGGTAAGCGCGAAGCTTCTTCCCCCCAAACCCTAATAAAGAGACATTTCAGCGCCTGGGAAGGCAAGGAGAGGAACGGAGATAGTCGCGCTTGATCTTTGAGCCGGACCGAGGTTGATTTTTGCCTCACCAAGACCGTTCCAAGTCGACATGCGGAAGTTAAGTTCCTTGTCAAGTAGCGGCTGACTCGAATCGCTCAAAATATCTCCTAGCAAACTCGGCATGGCCAGGTTTTCTTGTCGACCCTTCCCCGTCTATCCCCTCACTGTGCGTTTGTCGCTCCTTGAACCAGTCGAACATATTCTCCCGCAAGATCCCCCTATCAATCCTCTCGATCACTTCCCGCCACTCCTTGCCACGACTCTTCTCCATCGTGATCAACCGTCGAGCCCACTTGCCGAACTTCTGCGAGCTGTTTGAAATCAATTTCAAGCCAGGGACCGAGGGCACGTCGACGTCTTGATACTCCTCGTTGTTGGTCGGTAGGAAGAAGACGAGGCGTCCTCCCGGCTTGAGCAGGTAGAGCGAGTAGGTCACGAGCGTCTGAATGACCTGAGACATTTCCCAGGGCACGGACGGCGGGACATATTCAGGTAATCTGCAACATGCCAGCACGGTCGCGTCAGATATTGATGCGTAAGAACACGACTGGAAGTCTCCGCAACGCACTGGTGATGAAACCCTTCAGATTCGCGACCTGGCACCAGTGTGGGCAGGACTTCGCGGTGATTTGGTTTTCGGCCCAAACGCTTGGCCCCGGCTCGCACGCCATAAGGTGCTAGGTGAAGTTTGGGTCAGGGCGTATGGTGACATCAGCAAAACATCGTACTGTACAGTATTCCGAGTTTCTAGAACTCACGATCTGTCATGATGGCGTCGAAGAGCTCCCCAGTCCGTAGGGGGTGTTGCTGCGCAAAGGAAGGGGCCGAGCACAGACTGCATCAGTTCATTACCGATACAATCGATTGAGGTTTGAGCACGCACGGTCAGATCAAAAGAGCAACAGTCGACGATACGATTACGGAATCCGTATTGTTCTGCGTTTGTGTAGACGTTCTTCGAATCTGTCACGGACGGCGAAGGAAGACGATGGCGCAGGGTCAGACCCATGATCGAAATACGAGACTGCAGGAACACGAACGCTTACTCTTCCCTCTCATTTGCCGTCCGTCGATGTCCGAACCAAACGTCAGAGCGCCGAAAGCAGATGCGGTGAGGAGCATTGAGCCAGTCCCAGCTGTGTAGCGAGTGCGCCGATGCTCAGTGCTCGAGAACTTACGCGCGGGCTACATTTGGGCCAGCGCCTACCGAAAGGATCATGTATGAATTTGCCAGGTGATGCGAGCGCTTGATTAGCCATCAACAAGCTGACCTTGTGCAGGTAAGTCGAGTAGAGGGGCCGTGAGTTCGACAGCCCGGCGCAAGGAGGAGGTATTTGGGGTGCATCTGCCGACTCACCTCACTCTCCATGGTCGTATTGCCGATGTAGCTCCGCTTCTTGACGTCAAACACATCCATCATATGTCGCTGCGTATCACAGATCTATCGAACCGTCGAGAACATGAGTGATCTTTTCGACAAAATTTCGTAGATTGTACATTTCGTGCTTGCCTTGCGCCCAATCCACACGGTCCGCATGTCCCGCACGATCCCACCTGTCGGAATAGACTCGGCTTCTTTCACGCTGGCGTACTCCTCAAAGACCCCGATCTCGACATCAGGGTCTTTGAGTCGGATGTCGCCGACAAAGCTCATGAAGCTGAATGTGTTGATCACTTGGCGTTGCGCCGACTGAGAGATGCTGCGACCGTGGCCGGTGACGGAGAACTTCCACGTCGTTGTTGGAGAGGCGGCATGGTGTCGCTAAGAAGAGGTAGATCCAAAGGTTGATGGACGACGGGGATAGTTAAGAATGGGTATGCAAGCAATAGGAGTGAACGGCCGAGAGGTGAGCGTCAAATTTTGCCGAACTGGGACTGAGCTGCACGAGGCTGGTCATGTTGTGGTGCCTTTCAGGCGCGCAGGAAGCTCACCCATAACGCATCCTCCGTCTTGAGACGATCAGAAAGCTGTTCATAGGTCGGTGCATCGGCCCAATGCTGCCATATGGATTTTATGCCGATTGATCGGCTGCCGAGCAGCCGAGCTTGGTCCTCATTATCGAGGTGTATAACGACGAATGGGCTCTGTTCGTGTGAACGAGCACATGCCGATGAGTATCTGAAAACCATCTCGTGACTAAGGGTGACTCGTGCGCCATATGAGTTATACACCATCTGAGTTATGCTACGTACCTCCAGAGCAGCGGACGACGACGACGACGACGACGACGGGCGATCGGGCTCGAAGCGAAGGGGGAGCTTGAACAGCGTCGCAATCGACTCTATCTCGGGTATCCGGAACTCGTCGAGGTCGCCTCGACTACAGACGAGCAGAAAGCGCATCTTCTGCTGTGAGTTGGTCGGGTGTGCCGCAGCAATGAGCCGTACCGAACGGTAACCAGCAGTGGAGGAGCGATTGCAGTGTTCAGTCATGCCGATCGACTTCGCACGCTGCGCTTGGACCTCGTGCGTGCCAGCTCGATGCGTGTGGGGGCTGCATGGATCTAGTGGCTATGACTTTACAAAAGTCCAACCCCCCTTTTCAAGAAACATTGATTTTGCGTAGATAACCGAATATGTGAAATCTAATCAGGCTTGATACAAAAAAAAAAAGCGCCGCTGGCGGCTGCAATTTCCCCGGGCAAAAGTTGAGGAATCCAGAACGATCCCAAGACCCAAATCAAATCCAGATCCAAGAATAGATGACTACAACAGCACACGACCTCCGATTGCACACCCGCATTATCCCGAACATCGCGTCATCAAGGCCTACTGATCGGTACACTCGGCAGTCCCAGCCCTTTGGCCCTCTCGCGGGCATCCTGCGCCTGCCACTTCTTCTTGACCGCATCCTGCCTGTGGGGCAACATTGTAGGTTTAGCACCCATGACCGAAGGTTCGACAGTGTGTATTACCGAGACGAGACCTACCTCATGGCAAAGATACTTCTGTGCAATGTAAAAACCTTGGAATTGAGCGCGATCGCCTTGTTCACCTCGTGCGGGCTCGGCACCGGCGCCGGCGGAGGAGCGAGCGGGGTAGTGATCGTCGCCATCGTCGTCGTGGCCAACGAAGACACGGCCGAGTAGCCCGTCTTGAGACCGGAATGCAACCACGACGAGGAAGAGGACGACTTGGCCACCGCGGCGTCGGCGAGCGCCTTGTCCTTGGCCGCGAGCTTGGCCTCGTATTCGGCCTTGACCTTTTCAATCTCGGACTGCAGGTTGGCCGGACTGGCCGGAGCAGGACTCGAGGTTGATGAAGGTGTCGAAGGTGTGCTCGAGCTGGTTGCAGGCTTGGCGAACTACGGTGCACTAGATCAGATGTCAGCTTCACGCCTTCGTACGGTGTCCAAGCGGAGCGGACCAGGAGTCGAGCTCACGCCCGGATCGGCCAAGTGGGAGGTGCACACGTAAATGAAGTCGCCAACGTCCGGTGTAGCTGTTGGAATCGTGATATTCAGCGAAGGGTCCAGCTGCAGCGTAGAGCAAGTCGGCGGTTGGCCAACGTCGGGCACTGACCCAGACAGGCGAACGTGGCTTTGCCGCACATGCTGCACGTCTTCTCGGTACCCACCGTCCGTAGGTGGTACAAGTTCGTCAGCTGTGGAGGACCTGGTCTTGTGGCGGCCATGTTGCCCCGCGGCGAGTTTGCCGAGACGACGAGCCTTCGCTGTTCGATGTGGTGGAAGTGCAAAAGGCCGGAGAGCAGAAGAGTGCTGAATGTATGCTCTTTGGCGCACGGACCGGGTCAGCCGCTGTCGACCACAAAAAAAAGGCGCTCCAGATGCGCCTCAGGATGTCAAAAACCGGGCGCGCCGATGCAACCGACTGACATCGCGAGCTGGGCAGTGGGCAGTGCGGTCGTGCCACTGTGGCACTGCTACTAGTGCCCCTTGAACTGACAAGTCTCATTTGGCGTCTTGCTACCTGTCCATCGATCGCACCCTCGGCAAATCGTCGTTTGGGACCGTCCTCGTACTAGAACGTGTGAGCCTGCGCAGCCATGAAGTACAAGTCGTCGACTCGTCCCCCGCACAGAACGGGTGCCCGGCTAAGTTGAGCGCAGGCCGATCTCAAATTGCCCCCGGCCCCAAAGCTGCCTCGCCCGCTCGCTTCGCGCTTGCGCGGTTTTGACTTCTTCCCCTCCCGTCCCCACCGGCACGTGTGCCTGCATCCATCGATTACTACTGCACATCAGCACCTCTCCCTTCCCAGCACCGGGTATCAAAACATGAGTGACTCAGAGATGATGACACCCTCGAGTGCGGTTGATTCCGGCGCGAACTCGCCCTCGACCGCTCCCACGTCAGTGCGAGGTGCCACGACGAGCACGATCAAGCGCCGGTCGTCGGGCCGCACGACACGACAAGTCATCATCACGGACGCGCAAGACGATCAGGTCATGGAGCAAGATGATGTTGATGATGACGATGACGACGATGATGTTCAAGTTTTGATCCCGAGGTCAGTGGTATGCCATGGCGTGCCAGCCGCCCACCGTCTGTCGCACGCGCGCCGCGTGACATTCGCATCGAGTGGCGACGACTCATCCCTGCTTCCCGTCCCGTACTGAGTACCGACCTTCAACACCTTGGGCCTCTTTCTCACAGTGCCCGGAGCTGCAGGAATTATGCTCCGGCCAAAGGCTCGCGCAAGTCCGTCGAACACGCTGTCATGACCGCCGACTCGATCAAAGCCGAGGATAGCGATGGCGACTCTGAGCATGTCACCCCGTCGCGGTCGACTCGGCGATCGCTGCCCCGTCGCAGTTCGTCACAGGCCAAAGGCAATGCGCGCATCGTGCAGATCGAGTCCGAGGACGAAGACGACGATGACTTTGCCATGGCGCAAGACAACGACGACGACGATAACAATGATGAAGATGAAGACGCTGGAGGTGATATGGAGCAAGCCTATGATGTCGAGACGGCGACGCGGCTTGCGAAAGCCTTACAGAACGGAGGCTCAAAGAAAGGCAAGGCTCGGTACGTGGACGCCGAAGCGTTGGGGAAAATTGTCGCCAGAAAGCTCGGGCGCGCAAGTAACGGGTCCACGAGCAAGCAAGATCAGTCTTTTGAGCTTGTTGTGGCGAACTCGAACAAGGTGACCGCCAAGACCAAGTCAGCGACCCCTGTCACCGAGAACAAGCGTCAATTGACCCGCACGAATTCCACGCGATCCAAGCGGGGTGTGACGTCTGCTTCCACCGCGCGAAAGAGCAAGATGATTGTTGATTCATCGGCTTCCTCCGATGGCAGTGACGATGCGTCGGCCTTCTCGCCCGATTCGGACGAGGACGAGGACGAAGGGATGCTGACCGACGACTCGCTCTTGAGGGACTTGGCGGGCTCGGAAGCCGAAGAAGGTAGCGACGACGATTTATCGGACGCTGGCGGGGACGATGGCATCAAACGTAACGAAAGGTCATACAAGAAGCAGGTCAAGACAGCGGAAGAGATTGCCGAGAAGCTCAGTCGGCCCAAGATCAAGCCCAGGAAGGGCCACGTTTTCTCAAAAAAGGAAAAGAAGATGATGTCCCAGCTTTCAAGGGTCAGTTACTCTGAAGTAAATGCTCCGAAGAGAGCAAACAGCTGAACGAATTCCGTTCCATACGCGCGTTCCTCACGCAGTATGAGAAAGCGGATGCGTATCTGATGGCGAACCACCCCGAGCTCGTTGACTGCTGGCCCAAACTCGAAGCTGTCCCCAGGACTAAGGTCGAGCGTGCCGAGCAACCCGCCGGATTGACACAAAAACTGCTGCCGTTTCAACTCGAAGGACTGAACTGGATGGTCAAGCAAGAACAGAGCATCTTTGGCGGTGGCTTCCTGTGCGACGAGATGGGGATGGGCAAGACCATTCAAACAATCGCACTGATTTTGTCGGACTTCAACACCGCGGACCGCAAGCGCACGCTCGTTTTGGCGCCGACGGTCGCCATCATCCAATGGTCCCACGAGATTGCCAAGTTCACCGAGGGAATGAAGGTGCTTGTCTACCACGGCGCTGGACGCATCAAGACCGTCAAGGAGATGGAGCAGTACGACATCGTCCTTACGAGCTACGCCGTGATGGAGTCGACGTTCCGTCGCGAGCAAAAAGGGTTCACGCGCAAGGGCAACCTTATGAAGGAGGACTCGATTGTCCACAAAGTCAACTGGCACCGCGTCATCCTTGACGAAGCGCACAACATCAAGGACCGTGCGTCGAACACGGCCAAGGGTGCTTTCGCTCTCAAAGCCAAGTATCGCTGGTGTCTGTCTGGTTAGTTTGACGCACCCAAGGGGCAAATGTGTGGCCAGCCATGCTGATCTTGCTTTTTTCGAGCCCGTCTCCAGGCACCCCGCTTCAGAACCGTGTCGGCGAGCTGTACTCACTCATTCGTTTCGTCGGCGTTTCGCCTCATGCTTACTACTTCTGCAAGCAATGCGACTGCAAGAGTCTACACTGGCTCTGCAACAAGGGGCCGTGCACCGAGTGTCGCCATTCGGGCATGCAGCACGTTTGCTGGTGGAACACGGAGATTCTCAAACCGATCCAGTATGGCGGTATGCACGAGGGCCAAGGAGCCAAGGCGTTCCGCAAGCTTAGCATCCTCTTGGAGCGACTCATGCTTCGTCGCACCAAAGTTGAACGAGCCGATGATCTGGGTTTGCCTCCTCGAGTTGTCAACGTTCGTCGCGACTACTTCACAGAGGAAGAGGAGGAGCTGTACCAGTCGCTTTTCAAAGATGTGAAGCGCAAGTTTAATACGTATGCGAACGAGGGCACCGTTTTGAACAACTACAGCAACATCTTCACCCTCATCACTCGCATGCGACAAATGGCGGACCACCCCGATCTCGTGCTCAAGTCGCGCACTGCGATGCCGGTGCAGCACGCCGATTCGGATAAGCCGGAAGAGATTTTGACGTGTCGCATCTGCCTCGATGAGGCCGAGGACGCAGTCAAGACGCAGTGCCGCCACATCTTCTGCCGCGAATGTGTGCGACAGTACATCGAAACGGCGACGGTCCACAAACCTTTGTGCCCTGTGTGTAACATCCCCATCACGATCGACCTCGACCAAGCTGCGATCGAGCAGGACACAACGGGCCGACAGGGAATCTTGTCGCGTTTGGACCCTACGAAGACGAGGACGTCGACCAAGATTGAGGCCTTGCTGGAGGAGTTGAGCAAGACGCGGACCGAGGATCACACGCTCAAGACGCTCATCTTTTCCCAGTTCACGACCATGCTGTCAGTTCATCCTTTCGCCCTGAATTTCCGAAACCCTTCTCCTTGAGCAGCTAACCATGCTGACTTCTGCAATCGACCCACAGGGACCTCGTTGCTCGCCGTCTGCAGCTCGGCGGGTACAAGTTCGCGCGCATTGCGGGTACCATGACACCCCTGGCGCGCGACAACACGATCAAAGCCTTCACCGAGGACCCAGAATGCACCGTGTTCCTCATTTCGCTCAAGGCCGGCGGTGTGGCCTTGAACTTGGTTGAAGCAAGCCGAGTTATCTTGCTCGATCCCTGGTGGAACCCCGCAGTGAGTGCTCGCAATACCTCGACCAAGGACCCAAAAATCACGCTGATCCGCCGGAATTGTTGCGCTGCTAGGTCGAGCTGCAGGCCATGGATCGTACTCATCGGATTGGCCAACGTGCGTGAAAAGCCTGTGACTTCCGTTTTCGCCGTCCTAACCCGGTGCCCACTCTATATTCTTGGATGGCTTACAGATCGACCCATAACGATCACTCGTTTGGTGATCGAAAATTCCATTGAAAGTCGTATCCTTGAGCTTCAGCGGTAAGTGGTTCTGAGGCGCAACTCGTGTTTAACCTATCTTGAAGTCATGGGCTGACTCACCCTCTGACTCACGCCTCCTGTGATCTTGGCGACTTGTAGGAAAAAGGAGAATCTGGCAGCAAGTGCTCTGGGCGATGACACCACTGCGGCAGGTCGTGTGAGTCATTTTCTAACACGTCGGAGTCCTTTTGAATGTCCACGCCGCTCTGGTCTCGTAGCGGGCTTTTCGGACCAGCTTGTGGCGCCCCGATCCTCTGCTGATCGCTGACGGGTGCTGGCTCCCTCGCGTTTTCGCTTCCTCGTGCAGCTCACTCCCGAGGATCTGCGGTTCTTGTTCTCGTTGTCTTAGACGACGCTATTTCTTCTCACATTCTGGTCATCTGTCCATATAAGGGTATGGCGTGGGCCTCAATATAGGTGCGACCCACTAGAGTTTTGCATCCTCCGAGTCGTCACCTACACCGTCCCGTTCGGCACGGCATCGTTATTGGTGGGGCTCACTGTGCAGCCCCTATGTTGACCTGAATCTATCCCCACTTCTAATGTTGTGTTGTTCAGGGAAAGCTTTGTAGGTATATACTTTTGTTTAGGCCATATGTTTTACTACCTACCTGTGCCTACATTCCGTATGGTTCGTCACGCATCCCGGGATGCATGCAAAGATCCGAGTTCTCGATCTAGTACATGCTTACTACCTGGGCGAGTTCTTGCTGATCATACGCGATGCTAGCTCACTCGCAGTAAGTTTTTTTTTTCTTTCTCTCATTCCACTGCTACTTGCAAGATTGTCTCCTACGAATCTGCCCCAACTTGAGCGCCCCGGGCCGCCGGTCGCGCAGAACCTAGCTAGCAGAATCGAGATCTCACGAGGCGATCGCGCGTACAAAGTCCCATCAGGCGATCGAACGCCAACTTGAGAGAACTTGAGCGTCCCTACACCTAGCCTTCACACGACCGCCACGCCCGTACCGCGGTCGAGCTTCGACACTGTCAAGGCTTCATCCCGAATCCTCGACGTTGACCCTGGTGACCTGGATCGTCCGGGAACCCGCCCGAGTGGAGGCGCGATGACGGATTCGGCTGAGCATCCCGGGTTTAACAACGCGAGCACCTCTGCGACGGCGGCATCATCCTCTCCAGCGCCCGTCGCCTCGGCCTCGACCTCGACCTCGACCTCGACCTCGACCTCGACCTCGTCCTTGCACAACGTTGAGAATGACTCGACACGATCTTTAGGAGGCCATGCGCTGGGTGTACGGCCGTCGATGATCGACGTGCAACCGCTCTTCTCGAGCGACGTGAGGAGCGCTCGAGCAATCGCACTTGCAACCGCTGCCGCAGCCCCATCGACCTCGACCCCGAGCGGCACAGGGTCGCCGCCTTCGCCACTGATCATTTCGTCGTTGCGGCCGTCGACCTCGAGCACAGCTGCATCGTCGACCTCGTCCCTGACCGAGTGCGCCGCCGCGTCCCGCAGTCGAGATCGATCATCGTCGGCCTCGTCCGCGGCCGGCGACACCGCTCGCGCGACCCGGCGTCCCTTCAATCGGCGCAAGAACGGCTACGGATCAGGCAAGTACCACCTCCAAGAGCTATGTGGCGCGACGGGAGAGACCAGTCCTGACCCAAGTCCATTCTCGCACGCACGACAGGCGCCAACGCTGCGAACGCCCCCTCGACCTCGACCGCCGGCACATTCCTGACCCGGTTCCTAGGATCCTTTCGCTCGCCACCACCAGAGCAAGGGTCGGATGACGGATCCAAAGATGCTTCTAAACGGCCCCTACTTCCACGTAGCTTGTCGAACCCGCTGCAGTCTCGACCGAGACCACCGTCCGATGGACCCGGGTCGACATCCTCGATCCCCTCCTCTCGGCAGGCGCACCGTCCTGCAAGTCCTCTACCCGCTTCGACCCAATCCAGTCGACCAGGCTCCTTCTCGGACGAGCCCAATATCAGGCGCGTGTCGTCGGACCTCGTTGGAGCCAGCCGGGAACTCTCACGACCGACATCGAGCGGCTCGGGCTCGGGCTCGGGCTCAGCGCAGGGCAAGCACCGGTTCCAACCTTCGTTCCGACGACTAAGCTCAACTGGTACGGCACGAGACTCGCAAGCACATTCGCCGATGGTTTCACCGTTCCTCGCAAACGACGTGCCCCTGGCTTCCCCGATCTCACCAGCGTCGACGGTACGGGCGGGTAAGGAACGAGATCCGATGGAAAGGACTTCTTGGTACGATGCGCCGCGCGTGCCTCGAAGGGGGAGCGGCTTCAGCCAAAAGACTCTGTTGCCCGATAGGACACCAACACTGTCGGCATCCAACTCGTTCCCAGTTCTTGGCCCGATTCTTGAACCCGAGCCCGTCTCGTCGGCGACACTTGATGCTCCTCTCGGCCTCATCAATTCCCTCATCCCGGCGGCCCTCGTGATGCTCGCGCAGCTGGGACCATCGCACCTGTTTTCGCCCGCTGTAATATCCGGGGACTGCTCCGCAGAAAGTTTCTCTGCGCCTTTCACTTCCCCTTACATGTCGTCCTCGGCCGCCAGCCGTACGACTGAACTGCCTTACCCCGCATCCGATCGCGCCTCGATCGCGTCGTCCTTCACGTCCAAGACGTCATCGCACGACACAGGTGGGATGTTCGGCTCGACTATGAGCCACGTCGCGACCTCTCACTCGCATGAGCTCCATGCGCCGAGCACGGTCTCGCTACCTGCCGTTAGTGTAGCCGCGTTGTGGAGGCTGCTGCGGGGTCTCGAGTGGATTACTGGGGTGCAGAACAAGGAGTCGACCAATATGATAACTCAATCGGCACCGAACAAAGACCACGACTTCAATCCGGACTCGACGCGGATCGCGGGTGACGCCAACGAACACGAAGCAGCGCCCTCTTTTGACTTCCCGTCCATGTTGCAAGGCGTTGCGGATGTCTTGGCGGCGACTGCGGCCGCAAAACACATCGAGATCATCGTCGGCAGGATGGGCCAGAGCAAGCCACCTAGCTCACCCTCGACGCCTTCGATGTCGGATAGCTCGGATGGTGTGCGGAAGCCTGCCGCATGTGCCACTCTCGACCAGCGGTCAGAGAGCAGAGAGTGCCTTGTACAAGGTGACGAGAGCGCTTGGTCTATCGCACTGATTTGGGTACGTAGGAAGCCTAGAGTAGTGCCCTGGAGACCGCGAGGGGAGAGATGAGAGCTGACGATTTGCTCACGCACCCGAATTCCTAGATCCTGCATGACGTTATTTCGCGTGCCCCATCGGGATCGAGCCTCTGCATTCGATTTCAAGCCACGCCAGCTTCATCGCAATCCGTCGAATTGTCACCCATGGTTGAGCAGCCGATAGAGGATGCGAATCAACCCACACAGGCCTACATCAAGACCCGGCTGAGGTCTGACCAGATGTGGAGGGTGTCGACCGGAATTGCCCTCGTTCGGACCACCCCCGGCTCTCCCGCACCTTTCGAAGCGATGTCTCCGGTCGATCCGTCATCACCATCGGCTCTGGCCGTGCGGAAAGCGCAAGCTATACTCGATCACCCTGATCTCAAAGCGGACGTTCGGACATTTGAGTCATTCGACGCCAACAACTCATGGACCATTGAAGGTGTTCTAGCTGGTGGCATGCCGGCGGAATCGTCGTCTGCGGACGAGGACACGATCTTTGGACGACAAAGGGTTGCCAGCGAGTCCCATGAGGTGTCGGGTCGCCACGAGCCCATCGCCGAAGATCTTATTCGCTTCGCCCGTACGTCGCTCCAAGGACTGCGTGTTGCGTTGCATGCGGGCGAAAACAGCTCGTTTGCGAAGCACCTGACGCATCACCTCGCCGGATGGGGCATGGACTTGACCCACATTGCTCTCGACCACGACGAAGCCGCTTCAACCAAAAGTGGACGGCCTCGGTTCGACTCGGGCGATCATTCCAACGAGCCTCTCAACTCACCGCTCAGGAAGCTGGGGCTGGCGGATGAACTCTCTCTGAGCAGTGGTGGAGTCCCTTCGGACTTGGCTACCGATCCGGCTTCGAGTCTAATCGTTATTGATGACGACGTCACCACGCTGCGGCGACTCCTCTACACCCTCCGTGCGCTGCCTCTGCACTACCATCAAGCGCTTCCGACCAAGCGGCCTCAGCTTGCCACACGCCGCACTCGCTCGTCACCCCACGTCCGTCAGATCACCCAAGTGCCGCAAACCCAAGCGACTTGGGTCATCATCCATTTTGCGAGCTTGACGCAGTACAAGACGATCAAGGAGCTGGTTCAAGACGCGCTCGCACATGCGAAATCGCCCAGCTTGCCCGAGGTGCTCGTGATTCCCAAGCCTGCCGGCCCGAGACGTATCCTCACGGCGCTGTGGACGGCCTTGAAGCGACCCAGCATCGACCCCTCCCTCCCTCCGATTGCGACTTCGCCCTCGGCCCCGGGCGTGCAGTATTGGTCGCCCAAGCTCTCGCCCGCTGTCGGTGGTGACGAGGGTAAACCAGAGTTGGCCAGTGACAGGGGCGAAGGCAATGTATCGGGTGGCAATGCGAGTGTGCGGGTCCACACCCCACCGCCGAACGGTCACCCTCCTTCGCCTTTGGAGACGATCTCGGACGATCAAATGTCGTACTTTTCGGGCATGGCTCAGAACATGGACGGTGCCACGCCCAGCGAGGGAGTTGTCTTCCAGAGCCCAAATGGACGACCGGCCATCTTCTTTCAGCCCTCGACTCGTCGTGTGAGCAATGGGAAGACGCACCGCGACAGGGATGCATCGGTTCCGTCGGTACGGTCACGCCAAGGCAGCCAAAACACGGCCACTTCACCCAAGATTGGCGAATCGTTCGCTTCGCCTTCGTCTTCCCAAGCCGCGCCTGTTGCGACTCCGCACGAGATCGGCCTCGGGCACATCCGTCGAAGTTCTAGCGGCAGTTCATCGACAAGTCCGAAGAACGAATCGCCCCATCTGATTCCGATTGGGACGCCGGCCTTGACGCTCGATTCGTTCATCCTGTCCGCCAAATCGCGGGCTGCAGGTGAGGAAGACCCGCTCCTCATGGCTGACCCTGGGACGAATGTGCCAAGCCCACGGCCGTCGGACTCGCTGCGACGCCAAGGCTCATCTGCCTCACTCACGACACGCCGTTTGACTGCACCTACCCCATCGTCAAGCGGCACGGGTGCGGTGGCAGGCTCGAGCTCGCCGAGGATGGGACCATCAGGAGTGAGCGCTGCCGCGGCCCGGCGTGTCGGTTCCAACACGTCCTCCACCCCGCCATCGATGTCGCCTTCGATCGGAGGAACGGGTACCGCTTCATCCAACAAGACTGCGACCTCGGCACCAGCTACGCCGCAGACGTTTCACTCGAGCCCGCCGCGTCGGCCCACGACGGGCCACTCGCCCAAGAGTCGTCGGCGCCCGAGCCGCAAAGTGACGCTGCCGGCCGTGCCTCCGATCAATGTGCTCATTGTTGAAGATAACCCCATCAACCAAATGATCTTGTCGACGTTCATGAAGAAGAAGGGGATCGCGTATGCGGTCGCCAAGGATGGAGAAGAAGCGGTGCAGAAATGGAGAGCGGGGTCGTTCCATCTCGTGCTGGTGAGTCCGCAGCAGGTCGGATCGGGCTCGAGCAGATGTTGTTGCAGTTGACTCAAAGGTACCTTCTTGCTCCGTGTTGCAGATGGACATCCAGCTGCCCGTCAAGGACGGAATCGAAGCAACTCGCGAGATTCGGGAGATGGAGCGAGCTAACAACATTGGCACTTTTATCACAACGCCGACGACCGATATCGCTTCGCCCATCTCGAGTGCCAGCAGCAGCTTGCCCTCCTCACGGTCTTCGCCCGTGGTCGGTAGTCCCATCTCTCCGCTACAACTGAACATGCCCGTCATCATCGTTGCGTTGACCGCCTCGTCGCTGCAAGCCGATCGAGTGAACGCTCTCGCTGCTGGCTGCAACGATTTCTTGACCAAGCCCGTCTCGCTTGCTTGGCTGGAGAAGAAACTTCGCGAATGGGGCTCGATGGCGTACCTGTCTGGCTTCTCGGCCTTCCCAAGCGATGCGAGTCCCTCCTCAGTCAGGTCTAGCACGTTGACGACCCCAGCTACGAGTCGAAGCTTGAGCGAGACGAGCAAGCGCTCGTTCGTGTCTGGGATGTCCTCGAAGGCTGCCATCATCTCTCTGCAGTTGCACATCGCTCCCAAAGCAACACACGCTGCGACCCCGACCCCTCCCGGTGGTGGCCTCGGGCGGGTTTACGACAGCGGCAACGGAAGCGGCAGCGCCGGCGCCGGGATCGAGGAACACCGCGACGGAACGATGAAGAGCCAACCGGTGCAGGCGATTACAACCGAACGCAACTTGCCCGTCAACACTTCCGAGGCTACGCCGTCGGACCCTTCATCTTCCGCGGCCACGCCGTCGGACCCTTCATCTTCCGCGACCGAGAACCCTACTGTCACGATTCAAGCTCCGACGCCCGAGACCTCGCTTGCCGAGGAACCGTCCGCAAGCAAAGATGTCCCCAAGGTTCCGAGTACGATCGCCGAGGACACTCCTTCACGATCAGCCATCGATGACCAAGACGGCGAAGCTCCCGTCATCAATGACGAGACGATCGCGACCGTCGACGACAAGCTGAGACATCTCGCATCGGTGGCCCAGCAAGGCTCGTCTGAGCCCTCCAACGATGGGCCGCTGCTACTCACGCCATCGATAATGGCGTCGAAGCGGCCTGGTCCGTCACCTTTGGCTCAGTCCGCGACCGCTTCCTACGAGGATGAGTCTGCATCACACGCGCACGAGGTGTCACCACCAGCGGACTCTCCTTGAAACCAAACCCACGATTCAGGTGAGCCCGCAACGACTTCTTTAGGTTGGCTCGGCGTACTTCTGACATGGAAAGGCTTCTCCGCGCTTGCGCAGATCCATCATCGCAGAACGGGCCCGTTCAGCTATCAGAGCATTCGCTTGCGCGGATGGTGCTCTCACCTTCCTCTCTTTCTCACTCCCTCACTCTCATCGGGGCCAATCCAACAGACTTCCGATTTATTTTAGGTTTCGCGGCGGCTACGATTCACAATTAATGTGTGTATTCTTATACTTTGTCTGCTGGGCAGGTCCTTTTTACACGTTCCCAGTGTATTAACTCGGTTCGACCTGAGCTACTCATCTGTTGTCTGCGGTGCTTGTGATCGCTCAATATCCAGCCGTTCCTTCTGTGATGCCAACGTGCTTTCCTCATCGACGCGCCACCCGGGAGAGAAAGGATCGATATGGAGGGTAGCGGGTCCTCATTGGTATGGTGAGTGTAACGGGAGGTGGGAGATGGTGCCGTATCTGCTACAGCCGCAGATCTACCAGTTCCCCGTTCTTCGGGTGGACGTGCACTCGCTCGCACATCGAGTCTTCTGCCCCGAGAAGATGCTCCGGCTTAGCGTGGTGTGCATTGTGTGGTTGCGGAGGGACCTGTTTGTAGTATACGGCGTTTGTCGATCTTGGGCTTTCTCGACGCCGCGCCGCCCAATTCTTGCAAGCTCCTGAGGTCACGGACTACCTCTCTAAAGCGATCATCTATTACAATCGAACGGTCCGACGTCGATCTCTCGCATTACACTTGGCCGGCGAACTTGCCCTAGCCGAAACTGGTGCAACGGGGACGATGCGACCCCCAGAAGAAAACGAAACGAAACGATCATGGGACATAGTGCCCGCCACTCCCTCCCTTCTCCCCGTCCCATTCCATTCATACACTGTTGCACGCAAAGCTATCTCGAGCTCAAGAATCAGGACGATCCGGACTCTTCTGCATCAAGACTGGGAGGATTCGGTCAATCGCTCCACACACCGGCCACACTCCTCCCGTTTCGACTTTGGCTGTCACCATGTCACCCTCGACAAAAGTGTCCCTTGCCGAGCCCCGGCACCCGTATGAACCCTCCCGCAAGTCTATCTAAGAAGAAGAGCCAGGCGAGGGTCGAGAGGGATCTGATTCGATAGATCCTTGTTTCGACCTGCGAACCCTGGCTAGCTTTTACCGTGCTGTACATGATCTGCCCGAGAGAATGGAATCCATGTCCGCTCCGAGTCGGGTCTATCGTGAAAAGTACTTCAAGTGGAGTGCGGTGAGCATAAGCTGACTAACGCCAGGGATCAGAGCTCTTGCAAATGTTCAAATGCGTTCTAAGGACCTTGCTCTGCCATTATAATGCAAGTGCACGACCGTGCATCATGACGGAGGTCCATACATCCGCACACACCAGCCGTTCCACTTCGAGGGCTTTGTCCGGGCGCCGCAGCGGTGGTGTCCTTCAATTCCCCAGGCGCTTGTATGCATGGACCTGCACAGACGTGTAGACCATTGCATTGGCTGGAAATTTGATCTACACGACGTTTTGGCTCAAAAGAAGGACCATGCAAACGCGTGCACCCGTACACGTCGAGGCCGACTGAACCACTGCCGGGGGGCCGCCGGTGCGAGTCGGGCTGAGCCGGCCACTTGGACCTCAGCCTGGCACTCGGAGACTCCGACTCGGACTTGAAGTTGGACGCGTGTGCACGAGCGTATACTCGTGTGCACATTAGTGCAACTGCCTGCGAGGAAACCGAAACCTATGAAGCCTGTCCCCGGTGTGCGCACTTCAATGCACACCGATGCACGCCGACTTTCAAGGTGCGTCGCGGCCACTCATCACGGGCATGATCACGCTTGCTGGCCGGCGCCGGAGCATTCTTGGAACTGCGTGCACTGCAGCCAACTATACACGCGGAGCGCATCATGTCTTCATTACGTGTTCACGGCAGAAGTCAAAATTCATACGTTCATAGTAATACCACATTCGTGCATGTGGGTGCAAGCGCCTGTTCGAGATCAAGCCTTTCAGGCCATTGGTGAAATGGTGCACTTGCACTTCGCAGATTTAGGCGTGCCAGGAGACCGTCGTCTCACTGAGGGGCTTTTTGGCCTGGTTTTTCCAGGCGCGCGGCTGGAAATACCAGGCGCCTGGAAATACCAGCGGCTTGGGTAATACCCTCGTGAGGTGGTAATACCCAACCCACTGGTATTTCCAGCCGCGCGGGTATTACCACTTCACGAGGGGTATTACCCAAGCCGCTGGTTTTTCTGTCGGTTGGGTATTAACTAAGCTCGAAACCCTCCACTCTGTGGAGGGGCTTGTACCTTATCGGCGCGTTTGGCTGAGTTGCCTATCGAAATTTGGCCCAGAAAAGTACCACCTTGCTGTAGCTTGGCAAATAAAATCACCTATACAATATGTAGAAAAAGGCGCATTCTTATGCTATTTTTACGAGCATCTGCCCAAGGGAAGACTCTTGCATGTCCTATTCATTGAGCTACAGCGGTGAGAAGTCGTTAGTTTCGACTTGGAGCTGGCTCGCGCACGGACCCAGAGGGACGGTTCTTCGCGCCGACGTGAATCAGCCAGCCGCGCCTCACCGGCCTCACCTTCGGTCCACAACGCCAGTCCACGACGTCGCTACCGCCCTCATGATCCACCATGCCCGTACAAACGCCAACGCTTGTCAAAGGCACACCTCGTCGGTCTCCATCGATTGAGTTCAGAGAGTCGCCCTTACGATCAGCTTCGAGGGCAAAGCCAACGACATCAAGGGACCATCACTCAACCGACACAAACCCCGAACTGCCTACCCGTCGCTCTCCGGCTGCTCACTGGAGATCACAATTAACTCAAGAAGATCGAGTTGACCCGACTGAGTTACGCAAGAAGCTCAGTCTCCTTTCGGTCGACAAATTTGGCGAGGACTTCGTCCCCCGGCGGGTGCAAATCGAAGCTCTCGCGGGACTTTTTCAGCTCGAGCGGTTCAAGACTCGAAATCAGTATGACGCTGTATTCGTCATTGCTCCAACGGGTTCAGGGAAGAGCTTGATATTTCAACAAGCCATGTAGTTGGTTTACGGACGCCGGGCTGTGACCATAGTTGTCAGTCCTCTGACTGCGCTGAGCCAACATCACGTAGGTTTTATTCGGTTGGCCGTTGAGCCGACGCCGGTGCTGAGTCCCACGGTCTTGATACCTTTACAGGCCGACAATCTCAATCAAGAGCGAAAGAAAGCGGTTGCCATATGCAAGGAAACATGGGGTGACGGAGAGCTGTACCAGCAGTTGAGCGATCCCTCCCATACTGTCTCATTCATCTTCATCGTACGTGTCCATTCAATCCGCCGCAGGTTTTTGCATGCTCACAACCCCCGTACTGATATCTTGCTACTAAAAATCTCCGACAGTCTCCAGAGATGCACAATGGAGACGAGCGCTGGGCCGAGCTGATATCGAAGGACTCCTTCCGAGAACGAGTCAAGCTGCTTGCCTATGACGAGGCAATCAAGATTGCCGAGTGAGGATTCAGCGAAAGGGAGCGCGCCGGAGCTATGAGCCACTCAATGGAATGGAAGGCTCGACTGCATTTCGCCCCGTATATGGGCAAGTTGCGGAGCGGCGTCTCATACTTGGCTGTCAAACACTCTTCCTCACCGCCGGCGCTCCACCCTACAAAATCAACAAGATCCTAAAGGTATCCAGTCTCTCCGAATCGCGAACGTTCTTCGCCAAAGCCGACCTTTTCCGACCAAACCTACGCAATATTGTTGTCGAGATGAAACCAAGAACAAACGGTACGATGGGACATATCAGGGATCTCCTCAACCAGCGGCCAGATCCCAGCACCTTTCCCCAGTCCACCATGTACTTCGACAGCCGGGAAGCGACGTCAAACGCTTGAGCTGGGTCCAATTACTGTTGAAGAGCTTTGGCCTATGATTATGAAAACCATCGTGTTGTGTTGACGGGCTGAAATACCACGAGAGGTATTGACCTGAGGTATTGACATAGTGAGAGCTTGTGAAGCCGAAACCGAGTGAATAGATCTGCCTGACGGCGGCGATCCTGGCGAGTCGTCGAGTCATAGCGTCTGCGGTTGCGCGTCGTTCTGAGATAAGCGTGGTGTTCCATCGAGAACAAGCGAAGAGCATAGTACCGAGAAGATGAGTGATGCGGAATGGACGGGAGAAAAATCGATGCGCACACGCCGAAGTGCGCAAGCCGGCGGCTGCAGCAGTGTGCTGCCGCTCGGACCACTTGGGACCGAATTGACCAAATTTACACACTTCAGATCATTATAGCTTCGGCTACAGATGGGGTATCCTCTTGCCGTTCGGCACAGGCCATTTTTTCTAGTAGAAGATCAATAACATCTCTGCGTTTTGGATAATTGTAAGTACTTGCCACGCTACAGAAAACCACCCCAAAATGGCCCTGAAATTTCGGAGGGCAACTGGGCCAGGCGCGCCGATAAGTCCTAAGCCCCTCCCAGAGGGAGGCTTAGTTGAGCTTAGGTATTAACCTTCTCAGATGGTATTTCCACCCGAAAAGTCTCAATAGGGGCTCTTGTGCGGAGCACGACCGGGCGCAATTAGCATTAGGTTTTTTTGTAATGGGTGTCACCTTTGTAGTACTAATGCTCATATTCGAATTTACTAATGTATATTTTCGATGTTCATATTCGAATTTACTAATGTATATTTTCGATGTTCATATTCGAATTTACTAATGCTCATATTCGAATTGTAGTTTCTCAATGCAGGGTTTCTACTGGTATTATGATATAGATACACTACAAAGCAGCAAACTGAGTGTCCACGTCCGTCACAGGCTCGTCCCATTCGTCTGGATTGTCAGATTGATCAAGATCTAAACCGCCCGAAGCTCCGGCTGCCGCTCCTCTTGCCCGTTTCTTATACCCTTTAGTCGGCTCTAATTCTTCCTCTTCTTCCTCCTCTTCCTCTACCCGAGACTGCTCTTCCTCGCTTTCTTCTCTGCGGCGGACCCACCTGGTGATGGTCTTCTGGCTGATGCGAGATGATTGTTTAGCGTTCGCCTCCTTCGTCGATGTTGTTAGACCGCGGGCTGCGGGACTTGAAATCGCCCCTGCATTCGGTGTCTGCATGCCGAGCGTCTGCACGAGCTGGCTTGCTGGGACTGTTGCGATGAGGTACTGAACTGTTGCGATGTTGATGCTTGCGGCGCTCGCTTCGGGGGCACGGACACGAGCACCCGATTCCTATTCCCCGGCACTTCTTTCCTGGTCAGATTCGGAGTAGACAGGCTCGCTTGTCTGAAGCACATCAAAAGATTATCAGAGCCCCGGGCCTTTCAGTCTTGTTCAATCGGGAGTAGTGACTAACCTTCAGAGCAGATCCTACGCCTAGCTCGTTGCGCAATCTTGTGATGTCCGCCCTGGAAAGCCGTCCCATGATTCCCGCCAACCGACAGGCCTCACGGTCGTACTGCAGTCTATACGCGGGTCGGACATTCGCCAACACATCAATAACAAGTTCTTCATAGAGCCAGTCGCCCGATGTGGCCCTTAAGAAAGCCGTGCGCTCACGAATCTGAACGAGAGTGACGAGTGAGTGCCCGAGCAAGCGCACGCTCCGTACAAGACTGGCAGGTTCCGCGCAACTCACATATTTGACGATATCTCGTTGTTTTGCAAGTCCAAGACGTCCCCACACAGTAGTGTTGCTTTGCGTTTTGGCTTGAATGAGCCTGAACGCGTCCTTGAGGTTGAATTCCTTAGGCGTGTGGTACTCTCGAGTCCACGTCTGGTTGGCATGCCGACCATGAAGGACATCACACAGATGGTGAGCACTGAGCAGTCAGATCGACGAGATGGCGTCGCGCCCCGATCGTTGAGCCGCCGGTACTCACGCGAACTTGATTCGCCCGCGGAGACAAGTATACTCGCGCAAGCTCATAGAACCCTTGTCTGTTCGTACGAAAAGACCATCACCATCAACGTTGTTCTGGTTAAAAAAATAGGATGAAAATAAGAAGACAGGTAGCCGCAGTGGGCCGATGGTGAAGGACGGCGGCGGGGTTGAAAAAGAACACGTCAGCAAATTGCCTCAACTGTGGCGGTGCAGACGCAGACCGCGAAGATTTCAGCTCTCTGTACACACGTGGACGTCGTTCATGCGGTGGTTCGTTCTCCTTGTCCATCCTTGTTGTACGTCTTGCTGTGGTCGACGATGTTCGTGTCATGGTAGGAAGACGTAGGCGGGGAGGGTTGAGTTTCGACGTGGGCACAAGTGGATCGAAGGCGAAAGAAGGAAAGACGCGCGCGGACACATGGCGCCATTCTTTACGGAGAGGATCTCGCACATAATCAAATCTGCCTAATCGCTGTTCGTATTGCGCATTACTGTAGCCCGAATGTCCCCGATGGCCTGCCGGACTAAGCGTCGTTCGTTGCTCTTAAGTCTCACGTCTCACCGTAGTCAACCATTCGATTGGGCCACCATGACACGCAACCAGTCTTTTCGCCTATGCCATTGTTCGTTGTGCAACGATGCAATGGTATCAAGAGCGACGTTCTACCGCCACAAACGCCTACAATCAATCTGTTGACTCTTCCAGAGCCGACGCAACTGCTATCCTCGAGTTCTCGCGGCAGCCATCGGAACCTCCAACATTGCTTGCTCCTCAGGCTCAATCGTTCCAGCCCCCTTTACCAACTCCTGGTTGGTTTGCAAGTCGCTCGCCACCACAATCAGCCACAAATGAAGCGCAATATGGAGTGCCCACCAGTCCCCGAGGGTCCCTACTCTCCTCAAGGAGATCACGAGTCCGAGCGAGCTTCTTCGGTCGGGGGATCAATGGGGTCAAGTGAGGACCAAGCGCTAGGATTGGACAAAGAACATTTTCGCGAGACACAACAGTTTGACGCGGCATTTGATTGGGGAATCGGGGACAGGTGCGCATACCCATTCAGGCCCCACACAGTCGTGACACCCGCTCGTACAAACGCTAATTTGTGCCTCTCACTCCACAGACTTTCCTGGTAGGGAAGGTCAGGTCTCTTAATTAAGTCGATTGGAAGCCGTCGACGCTATCGAGCGGACTTCGGTGGCCAAGCCAACGCAAAGGCGGCAAAAAAGAAAGGCTGCATCTGTTGTCAGTGCGCAGAGGCACCAAAACTTGTTTCTCACTCAAGGTCAAGGAACTCTGGGAGCAATCGAGATTATAGATCTGCGCTGCATCTTAGGCTCAGCTGGTTGCATCTATCGGAGGGTGGGTCGAGAGGAGCCTCGCGAGTATATCTTTGACCGATTGGAGGACGAAGCTCTGCCCAATTTCTGAACTTGTAATCCATTCCCAGCTGTTATCCATCTGCTAGGCTAGAAGTCATTTGGCTCATGCTGAGACAGCTGAGAGTAGCGGTATGACTAGGATCTAGACCCAATATATAAGTGGACAATACCATACCTGGCTGGGAAAACCACCGGGCGAGGGTAATAACGGTGCCGGCTGGTATTACCACGCGCCTGGGCAGAATCTCCTTCGGCCTGGGCGATATCACCTCGCGACCTGGAAATACCCAGGCGTCTGGGTAATACCCGACGACCTGGTATTTCCAAGTGACGGCTGGAATAACCACGCGCTTGGGTAAAATCAGCGCGCGCGTGGAAATAACACCGTGCGTTTGGATAATATCACCCTGCGCCCTGGAAATACCCAGGCGCGTGGTAAAACCAGACGCGTGGTAAAACCAGGCGCCCTGGAAATACCAGGCTGTCGGGTATTACCCAGGCGCGCTTTTGTAAATACCAGACGAGACCTCGGGTATTCCCCTCTGAGGGTGGATTTCCCCGCTCTCAACGCCCCTCAGTGTCTGACGTCTGACCGCCAGGCTGGCCGCCGAGCTACCTGCGTACATGGACGCAAATATGTGCACGAATCTGTATCTCGATTATTCTGATGCGCGAAAGTATTAGAATTCAAACGCGCATGTACCCCCTTGTACCCCCTTGCACCCCAATGCACCAACGTCGAAGGTCGACTTGGACCTGCTGACCCCTGTGGATCATGGTCGAGTCAGCTATGTACCGCATCGGGCGGCAGCAACGTCTCTAGGTGCACAGTATATTATGGATTAAACGACAAAGATCGTTCTCTTGTCGATGCCTGTCCTTACATCCTAGTGCACGAAGTTCATGCACAGCTCCCGAGCCCAGTGACGCGTAACGGCCCGCGGCGGCCCACCGGCGGCAGGGAAAAATCGTGTCGAGTACTGAGAGCTCCATTGCGGCTTTTAGTATCTTCACGCGGCACATAAATATCCGATCTTGTATCGGCAATTCAAGCCATGTGCACCGCATAGGCAGGCAAGGTACCTTGAGTACTAGGGGGCACACGCTCGGCCTCATCGAGCACGGACCTCGTCAGTGATGACGTGGCGCAAGCTTGAAGGGTCATACACCTGCTTTTTTTCGACGGACGATCCATACCTTAGAAAGTCCCTCTTCTGCTCTGTCTGGCAAATTCAATCCTTGCGTCCCCGACCCGTGCTTGCTTGCAGTGGTCGCGATCCTTGACTTAGTTGGCCACCATCTCCATCTTTGCTTTCTGGCTCGCTTTGTATCTCTATTGTCCCTTTTTCTGTTCTTTCCAGATCTGCCTCGTGCTCAAACCATGAAACAGGAAGGCGCTTGGCAGTGTTCCAAAAATAATATCAGAGAGGAACACGAGCGTTCGGCAAGGAGCTCAAAAGTCCAATCGAAGTGCACGGGCCCAGCTCGGCGTTGCGCACAAATGAGACACCGTTCGCGAGCGCGCGGATCTCGCGAACACGACTCCGCTGACCTGCACGCAGGGCGGCAGACAGAGACACCCATCCGCGCTGGAAGTACTGCGACCTCCGCCGTCGGAACCCTCGAACATGAAGTTTTCATCGAGTTGCTTCACGCGTTCTGACTTATCCTCCGGCCATGCCGACGTCGCCAAGGGGCATGTTGCACTCATGTAAGATCAATCTCTTGGATGAGCGTGATCTTGCCCTTGGTACTCGGCAGCGCTTTCGTTGGCCGATCAGACGAATCCGCGCTGGACGAGTTGCCTTGGATGTCGAGTAGATGCGAAAGCCCCGATGCTGCTGACCGTCGAGGTTGTGCCATGGCCGGGTCTTCGTCGCCGGCTTGTCCGACACCCATCTTGGAGTTTTGACCGACTTCTTGGTGCTCGTCGCTGTCGTCTTCGTCTTCGTCATCGTCGTCACTGTCGTTGTCGTCGCTGTCACTACTATCACTCGATTCGATCTCTTCCAACATGACCACTTCCTCCTGCTCTTCGTGATCCTCGTCCCCGTCGACCAGGCCAGCTCGCTCGTCTCCATCACGCGCACTCAAGCTCGTCCCATCCTTCTGTTGTTGCTCCAAGCGCATATTGGCGTCCCTGATCTGAGGCAAGAAGGCGTGCAACCTGTTCAATACGTCGCTGCCTTGGGTCGGCAGGTCAAAGAGGAACGGAGGTGGGGCAGGCATCGTTCGTGCTTCGAGTCGTTCTCGTTCGGGACTCGTCGTGGAGGGAGAACAGGCTGAGGTGGGGTCTGTGACTTGAGTGGAAGCCATGTCGGAGCGATCCTGAATCCGAGCGGGAGCGATGACCTAATGTAATCTGATTGTGGTGTGTGAGGAGGAGGGGAAGAGGTCTTGCCGAAACCGTGCACCTCGCGACGGCACGCGCGCGCGGGTCCATCTTGTAAATGAGCTTCAGATCGAGCCGAAATGTATTATTAAGGGCTATAACTATAATGTAATGGGCCGTAATGAGGGATTCTAGTCAGGTGACTTGTCGCGCTTGCTCCTCATTTCACCCTTCTGCTTCCCACCACCATCTCCCGAGTAGTCACAGCCATGACCGCCTGATTACCTGCTGCATCTCCGTGGAATCGTGGCTGCCAGGTTCTTTGTTCCCTTCTGTCACTTCAAGCCCAAGGGTGGACTCACCGCGGATACCCTTTCCGGCGACACTCGACCGCCGTATACAAGGACCGTGCATCGCGGAATCGCAGCATCGCAGCATCGCAGCATCGCAGCATCGCAGCATCGCAGCATCGCAGCATCGCAGCATCGCAGCATCGCAGCATCGCAGCAGAGGCGTAGAGGTGGTCACCGCAGCTGGACTCGACAAACTTTGGGGCTTTGCATCACCATCACGTGGAGCGCACGGCACCGAAGCCCCATCCAGGCCAGACCCCCACTCCTCGCGCGCTACGTACCGTCGAGCCCATCAACCCCTAATCGCGGCAACTCGGATCCGAACAAAGGCGCTGATATCTACTCAACATGGCGGCTGAAGTCTCACAACTCTCACCAAACAGCCCGAGCGCGAGGAGCGAGCACCCAACCACACAACCCATGTTCAATGCCTCCATCTCGCTCGAGACCCTGGCCGGCGCTCAACCGACGACTTCGGGAACGACTCGCGCAACCGCTTCCGAGTTCCCATCGGCTTCGATGAACGAACGAGCCACCTCTCCCTCGATACTGTCTGCCTTGGCTCGGCGGATCGTATCAGAGTCAAACGACCGTGCGAATGGTCCGCCTGGCGTTGGGTCATGGCATTCGGCGCAGAAAGGACTCGTGTCGCCGAACGGCCCCAATGGAGTTCGTCAAACCCTTCTCGACTCCAGTTCGCCACGAGGCATTATGGGCAAGACCAAGCCACGTATGGTGCTCCGAGTCGAACGGGATTACTCCGACGGCCAAACATGCCAGTTCTGCTGCGACTGGATTGACGAACTGGAAGGGAGGGTCAGGCCCCGAATACTTGGCAAATTGAAAGCGGTATTCGTAAGCTAAGCATCCTAACTCTCCTTCACCCAATAGGTCACTCGAAATGACTTTGAATCGATGCTGAACGGGATGAACGCAATCCTCGCTTCGGCACACGACCCCTATCGATCGATCGTCGACAACTGCTGCGCCATCTTGACGTTTTATCTCTCGCCCAAGTTGTTCCCATCCCATTTTGCCAAAGTCAGTACCTGTGTCTAACTATAGCGCAGTGTGTCTGGCTCTTGAGGCTGATCATGTCATTCCTTCCTTTCGAATGTTCTTGCCTTTGCTCAGTGCATGCGAGAGTTCGATCGAGTCTTGGAAAGGGCCAATCGGGAGATCTACAACCCCGTCGGGCTGAACCTTCTTCCCCCGCGACGGACAGCTTTTTTATTTGTGAGTCTCGAGTGAGTCTGAGTATTTCTGAAAAACGCCAAGCTGACGCGGGATCGCCCTTCGTGTTCTGTTTGTGATGTCCAAGATGGAGATCGAATACTATTGATCGTCGTTTGGGGCTCGGCGGCCGTCTTTCAGGGCAGCCTTCAGTGCGAATTATGTGCACCTTTGGTTCTGTAGTGGGTTGTTATGTTTGCATTCTTGCATTCTTATACCTATGTCTTTGTGGTCATTTTCGCGATACTCGAAGTCAGAGAATAGAGCTATCAAACTTCCAAGGCCCAAAGTTCTGGGCGTTTCCTATATGGAGGCTTTGCCAAGCGCACCAGAGCGCACCGGGCCTGCGGGACGGATTCTCGGAAGCTCGGACGGCTCACACCGACCGGGCGGTTCTTCACTCTGAAGCTGTCAGTCACGTCGCGCGCTGCTCTCAACCGACCACCTGGTCTTGCTGGTCCAAGCCCGGCCTGGAACGTTCAATCGTACCCCTATGATGCTGCTTCGCACATGATCCCATTCGCCCACCCGATCGCCCTTCCCGTCTTGCCGTAAAGCCACGCCACTTTGGACTCGTACGACTCTGTCGACTCGCCTCGATCCTCGAAGTCGCCGTCACTGCGATAACAGCCCGAGTGCACTGCTTACTCGCATCCGGAACCTCAACCATGGTGCCTTCCTTGGCGATGCTGAGGAACAAACCGAGTCTCAAGTTGACGCTTGAACAGGTCAGTCCAAGCTTTGTACCCTTCCACTACCTCGTGCAAACGCATATCGTTCGCGGTGGGCACTGAGTCGGGGTTAACTCCCGCGTGGTCGTCCGAGGGAGCGTGTGAGCGAGCGAGCGTTGCGGAGCACCACTTGCCGCATCAGGTCGGCGAACGGATTTACGGAGCCGCAAGGCATGCCGGACCGAGGGGATATCATTGCTGATCTCTGCTCGGCACTACGACGCATTCTCGCTGTTTTAGGAGATGCTCTTCGTTCGGCCGCCAACATGTCCGAGCGCGCCACCGAGCGATGACCCTTTCCTCCGCGGCACCGTGCTCCTATCGCTCCCCAAGCCTCGTCTTTGCAAGCGCCTGCGAGTCGTCATCGAAGGACTCGCCGATGCGTTCGGTGGTCTTGGATTTCCTTACGAGTCGACGACGACGCTGAGGAAGGAGGTGGTGCTGGATCTCAAGGAGAATGGGATGCTTGAAGCCGGCGACCATTTGATGCGGTTCGAGATGCTCGTGCCGAGCTCGACCGCGGTATTTCAACGGTGCAGTCATGGGAGGGTCAGGCATAGTGGTACGTATGAAGCTCGGTCTCAAACCAAGGGTATCAAAGTGTGCTGACCTCACCATTTTCCCGACACTTTGCCTCAGTTCGCGCCTTTCTCGACTTTCCCACACCCATCCCTACGTCGATATCGACTCCTCCGACCGCATTTTGGATATCCGCGACCCTCAAAGATCCGGGGGAACCGCCCGACCCGCTTGATGCATTTTTATCGCACTTCAACGAGCATCTTGGACCCGTTGTACTACGTATCGCCTCCCCCCACCTCACGATATCATCTTTGATCCACACCCACGTCGAGTTTCTTGCCCCTCCCCTCAGCTGTACCGTCGTCGCCATCGCAAGCTTCATGGCGCAAACCTTTGAAGTGACGTACAAGGATGGCCAACGCGCTTGTCCGCCTACCCGTCGACACTTTTTACCCAAGGTCGATCCGACACGAGCTCATGCGACCCCGTTGATCCCTACGCCTTCCCGTCCTGTGCCCATCTCGACAACGGGCCCGGCAGGCTACAGCCCTTTGGCACCCGTCGATCCGATCCGGGAAGACCCCGTCCCGCTGCACATTCTAGAGCAAGAGCATCCTTGGACGTACGAGATGGTCGCTCGCGTACCTCGCGACGAGATCATACGACCGACGACGCTAGAAGGTACGCTGACGCCGATCAAGGTCAAGCATCGCTTCATCTTGGAGATCCGGTATCGTGTCGAGGGGGAAGACGAGGATCGGCTGTTGACGGTCGGTCGGAATTGTTGTATCGCTTCGGTGAGTTCAAACTATCTTGACTATCAATGACTGCGACTGACTGCAACTTCTACCATCAGTGCTGCTGTCTCTCTGATTCGGCCCTCCCGCCCTACGCCGCCTCTGCTGCCGACGCAGCCCCCGTTCTACAACCCACCCGAAACCGCTGCCTGTGCAACGTCTCTCTCGAGCAGATGTTCGACTCCGAGGGCCTTCCCCTACAACGCGTCGGCACTCTTTCTATTCGGAGACCCTCGCTGCGCGAGATCGATGAGGATGACCACGCCAGGTCTTGCACGATCGCCGAGTATGGCATCTTGGAGAGGTCCGACCGCGACACCAAATCGGCTCCGGCTCATTTGGGGATCATGGAAGGGAGGGCTTGACTAGCTTGACAGCTTGACAGCTGGGCAAACCTTGCAGCATCGTTTTGCTGTTCTTTTTTTTTATAGGTTGTATTTTTGGTGTTGTTTGCTGTTCTATGTTGTGTTTTTCTGGTTGTTGTTGTGCATCAAATTTCTTCGATCCTGAATGTGATGAAAATGATCGAAGCGAACCGTGCGTAATTCTTGGTTTCGATCGGCTCAGGAGAGAGTTCGTGCGCAACGGCCCGATTTCACTGGCTTCCGAGACGGAAGCCTTCTCGGCTTTTGACTTCTCGCACCTTTCCACTCTGCACAATATGGTGAGCGACGAAGATACCGACTACGAAACCCTTCCTGTTGGACCTCCACAGCATCGCAAGCCTACGACCAAGACGTATTCGAAGAAAGCCAGGCAGCGGGCGACTCGATCGGCCCCCGCAGCAGTAGAAGTGAAGGTGCCCACCGTCGTGCCTGGGAGCAATGAAGATGGTGCGACGACCAGTTCGGAGGAGGTGGATACCGCTTTGACATCCAAGGGGAAGAGGGTCAAAGGAAATCGACGACAGCGAATAGCATCGGATGGGCGTCTGCGAGGGCGGGAAGGCCATGCGGAAATGGACGATGTGCGGGCGACGGAGAAGGCGCGCGAGCGGGAGCCGAAGGAACAGGAGGTCCGTGCCTGGGCTCTGACTATCACTGTTCGACTTCGATCAGCTGGGTCGCCCGGGTGTACTGACTTTTTGATCTGAGCGATAAATGCAGAATGTGAAGACTGTTACTTCGACGCAGGCACCCGAGTCGACAGAGGAAGCCGAGACAGCGAAGGCTCCTCTTCCGGGAGCCGATCCGATCTGGCCATCGACGGCCGGCACTCGTGACACCAGGGTTTCGCGAGCGAAACGTCCCATAGAAGCAAAGATCCCGTTCCTCCCACAATTCTCTTCGACCGTTCCTCCGAAGGAACAATCGTCATCATCTATTTCTACCTCGAACCGTGTCGGACTCCCCGATCCATTTGTGGACTCAGCTCGGACCGTGATGCGCCCTCGTTCGAAGAAGGCCTCGGCCCTCAGCGACAAATCCAATTTACCCAAAAGATCATGTGTTACATCTTCCAAGCTCAAGGAATCAACCGAAATGCCTAGCCTCGAATCGATGTCGCTGCACGGGGGTGAACAACCATCCGAGGCGGAAGCTATTCGCTCGAACGCCCCTGGGAGGACTGGCTCACACTCCAAGTTGACCAAGCCGACCAAAAAAGTGCCTACGCAATCGACCATGGGTATCTTTCACGACCCTTCTCCAGCTGAAGCCGATGCGAAGAATGACAAGAAACCACACGCCCGTGCTTTGCGCACCAGCTCGAAGAGCAAAGCTCAGGCTTGCGCAGCAACCGTCGTGCCCGTTTCATCAGTCGAGACGCCTTCGTTGTCGAGTGCAGGAAGAGCTCGCTCTCTACACCTCTCTCTGGGATCGCAACGCAGTGGCTACGGTCAGCTCCCACCTCCCACTGTTCCAATCGCGGCTGGCGCCGAAGAATCCTCTCATTCCTACCACCCCTCGGAGGATGACTTATCGCGCCATTCATCCATCGTGATCGAGACGTACGAAATGACCGAGCGCGAAGCGTCCGAGTCGGATGAAGAAGGGGATGAGACCATTCAAGCGGCGATCAATCCACTGATTGCCAATCCAACCGTATATGGGCAGGAAGTGCTTAATCACGCGGAATCGGAGGAAGTGGTCCCCGCACCGGGTGAAGTTGATGTCCACCCGACTGGAGGGGACTCGAGCCCGGAGGAAGCGACAGGGATCCAGACGCCCGACGCCCACATGACGATGGCCGAACCAGTTCTCGCAACCAAAGGACCCGAACAGCTTCCCGAATCTGAGTTCCTCAGCCCTGGTCGAGCCCTCCCACCTCGCCATCGACAATTACCCCTCGCGCAGCCTCGGCCCGGAGGACCCGGATCAGACGAGGATGACTTGGCGTACTACCTCGCCATTACTGCGACGAGTTCATCGGGCGACGAAGAGCAACAGGATGCTAGGGATCGAGAGCAGTGGCTTAAAGGAGAAGCTGAGGTCGGCAAAGGGGTCGAGCCGGGTTGGACGATGGAGCAGGCGCAGGCGAGGAGAAGGTACATCTTGAAGAAGTTGCCGGATCTTCAAGGGGAGGAAGATAGTGATGATGAGTTGAACCTACGTGGAGAGGTCTCGAGGCGGGATGAAGAGTAGATGGGACTATGTCGGGAACGATCGGAGGTACAGTGATGCTGCCAGACCAGTTTGCACCTGTTCGATAGGCTTCTCTTCTTTGCTGGGTACAGCGGGGTGTTTTTTGCCAAAACAAAACAAAATCAAAAAATTTAGAAGAATATCCCAACTACTTCATCCGAATCAGGCCGAGGCTTCGACCGCGGGGGCAGCGCTCGGCGCCTCGCCCGACTCGTTCCATTGACCTCGACCACCACGACCGCCGGCCGACCCACCTCTCCCTCCTCGCCCACCACGTCCACCCCTGTTCCCGCCACGATCCCCTCGTGCTTCCCGATCGACCGTTCCACCCGCGGCACGGATCTCGATCGCGCTCGCCATGGCTTGCGATCGGATCAAGGTCCCCTTGGACTTTTCAATCACGGCTTGGTAGACGGGCGTCTGCGAGTGGTTCATCTGCACCGTGTTCTCCTTGAAGTCGATCTTGGCGTCCAAGCGGGCATCGCGCACGAGTTCGACGATCCACCTCTCGCCTTCCTCGCGATTGAGGCCGAGACGATCGGACAACTCGCCAATGTCTATGCGGTGGTGGATCTTGCAGTAGGCTTCGGAGACGAGGTAACGCGCGTGGGCGACGAACTCGTCCTTGAACTCTTCAAGGAAGAAGTCGCCCTCGAGCACGGAAGCGGCCGAGGTCATCTCCTCCCTGGCGCCCTCAAAGTCGACCTCACCGTACAACTTGCGCAGGAACTCTGTCACCGCGTCCGAGTACTGGTACTGCTCTTGTCCGAGGGCTCGGACGACGTCGCGAACGGCCTCGCGCGATCGAGCCGAATTGCCGGCCGCGGTCGACCGCAGCGTCGACTTGCGCGAGATGACGACGGCCGCGACGAGGTAACGCAACAGCCAGGGGGCGGAAGTTTGGATCGTGTTGAGGTAGTTTTGGGTGAGCCAGCTCTCAAGTAGTTGCTCGCGGCCGTTGGGGTGGTTGAAGTAGACAAAGAGGGACCAGTGCAGCCACCAGGTTCGTTGCTGCAGGGCCAAGAGCGGGCCGCCGGGTCCGGAGTGACCACGCTGGTCGATCTGTTCTCGCAGGCCGTTGAGCTCCTCCAATGCGGCGTCCCAGGCACCTTCGAGGATGTCGGAGGCGAGTTTGCCCCAGAGCGAGGAGAGGACCAAGGCCGAGTCGGTCGAAAGCACTCGGAAATGGTAGAGGTAGTCCGAAGCACCGGCGTAGTTGCCGACCGAGTATTGGAATTGACCGAACTTGTAGAGGGTTGCGATTTGCTCCAAGTCGACCTGTGGTGTAGAAGCGTGTCAGCGCCACTGTCTCCCTGGGCTCTTGGCTTTTGAGCCTGAAGGGTAAAGTCCGTCCGCGGCGACTGACGTTGTGGGATTCTTTAAGGTAATGCAAATTGTGCTGCTTGTCCTGTCGCAGGGCCGCGACGACTTCGGGGTTGGAGATGGTCTCCATGACGCTCTGCGCCTTGGCCTGCAGGTCGTTGAGGGTCGAGACGACTTGCTCCTGACGGGCCTTGAACTCTGTGGATCGTGCGAGAGGGGAGCATAGAGGAGTTAGTGCACGTCCAGGGCAGCAAAGTTAGGTCTGACGTGTTCCACAGTACAGTCGCAGTGGTCGTGGTAAGAGTCCAAGTCCGCGGCCGAACTCGAGAGCGTCCGCAATAGCCCACCGCCAAAGACGCGAGCCCGACTTTCGACTCGACTTCGCCGCGAGGCCAGCCAGAGCAACGAACACCCGACCCGACCCGACCCGACCACACGAGCACACACTCACCCTCGGGCATAGGTGCATCCTCGGAAGAGCCGTCGATCTCACGCTTGAGGTCAAGCACGTAGGTGACCATGTTGGTCGGCTTGAGCAGGTCGTACTTGGCCTTGAGCACCTCTTCGTGCGAGTAGGCGCCGCGCAGTTCGAGGAAGTCGAGCAATGGCAGCACCAGTTGGCGGTCGAGCTGAGGCACCAACTTGGAGGTCAGATCCGAGGATGACGAGGCCGAGGCGGAGGAGCCATTGGCCGTGGACGGGGTCGTCGAGGTCGCAGCCATGGTGGATGTGGGCAACGGAGAAAGGAAAGGGGGAGGCGGAGGCGGAGGCGGAGGCGGAGGCGGAGGCGGAGGAAAGCAGGAGCGGGTGGAGAGGAGAGGCGGCGGCGGCGACGAGCGAGTCGAGTCCTATCGGGGGAGATCGGCGAAGTGGCGCTCAGTCGATGGGTCGTACCAAGTCCAATCAAAGGTCGAGGTGTAGAGGTAGGGGTGTAGGAGCCCGCCTGGAGGCCGTAGCCAGCCGTAGCCCGGCAGCCCAGCCCACGCGAGCCCACGCGCCTTCGTCGTTGCTTTCGTCCTCGCGCGCTCGCGCTTGGGCCTGGGCCAAAATTCTCCCGTGCGAGCGATGGACTTTTTTCCCCTGCCAGGCCCGGCCACGCTCATCCCCTCGGACTTGTGCCCTGTGTCGAGAAGCGAACAGCGGGTTCACTCTCACTCCTGGCGAACGCGGTACAACAATTAACCGTCATGCATTGCTAGTTACAAACATCACATTCAAATCGAGCTGCAACAAAGGCACAACCACACTTTGCAAGGTGGGAACAAGAAACAAATGACTCGTAAAAATCGATCCCACTGCACACAGCTCGCTGGAACCCAACCCCCCCCCCCAATATCATATGGCACCTCTCATCTCCTCAGTGACCCTTGGTTCAGTAATTCGAGTGCCTGATCGACCGCCCCACGTTCGACCGTCAGTCGTCGACGTTGCACGAGCTCGTCCGATGAACGGATCGATTCGAGTGCAGGCGAAGAAGTAGCACCATCGCATCGCGTTCGTTTGGCAACCACATCGGCGAGCATTTGCAGATCTGGACAACGGGAGGGGTAAAAGGCAAGAACATGCCTCAGTAACTTTGCCTCACCGCGGCGACCGGGGTCTCAGCCGAGAGGACTCACTCGTAAATGCGATATTGGGATGCGACTTGAGCACCGACCACGCCTCCGAACACGGGATATCCTTCGTCCTCACCCCACTCGGTACACTCTTGGGTAACATCTCGATCACATCACTCGACCTCTGCTTCGCTTCTGCTCGCGCCTGCTCCTCCTCGGGCACGCACGTCGCCGAGCCGCAAAGCGATGGTTGGCCGCAACAGGGTAGATCGGTGAAGGTGTCGAGGAGCGCTGCGGTCTCTTCTGCGTCGAGCTCTTCTACTGAAGGTGGAGGTGTCGGCATGCGGTTCTTTAGGTTTGAGGTGGTTTGAAGGCGGGAAGGACAGTTGGCGCAAGGCGTCGTCGAGCAAACCGATTGTGAGAGCGATTCGCAAAAGGCTTTGCCGAACCTGAATCAGAAATCAAAGTCGGGGTCAGCGAAAGCATACGTAGGGAAATATCAAATGGTAGATATACTTACGGATCGTCGGCACATGCAGGACAGTTGGACGGATCGCCACTGCAAACAGGGGCCCCTTTGTCGCTGGGCGTGATTGATGACGGAGCGGGCTCCAGCTTCCACACCGACTTGACGGGTGCTCCACCTGTTCGCCTCCGAAGGTTCAATGGGACTGAGATTTGGTCCGAAATGGCCGGCAACATCGGTTTCGCCTGCGACAATTGATGCTTCGCCGTCGGGAAGAACGACCCCTGGGCGAGCGAATAGCCCTCGACATGCGTCGGGGCGGCGTATTCAGATACCTGAGAACACAGGCACGACTCGTTCGAGCAGAAACCACACGATTCCTCGAACGGATAGTCCGTTACCCGAGGCGCATCGTGGTCGGCTGCGTGCACAATGTGCGAAATCGAGGCGAGTGGCGTCCGACTATGCTCGTGCGATGACGAGGTGGTCGAGACATCCGACCCTTGCCTCGATCGTTTGGGTCGTCGAGCCATATATTCTTCTTGAACTTCTTCTACAGTCGCGGTCCGGGTCGAATGGCGTCGCTTGGTTGTCGATGTCGATGCCGAAGTCGCCGTCGATGGTCTAGTGCTGCTCGACGGAGAGCTCGTACTTGAGCTTGGGCTGGGTGCATGAGAATGGATCGCCTCGCCCAACTTGAGCTGCAAGTCAGTGACTTGCTTGAGCAGTTGCTCGTTCTCGTTCCGCAACTGTGCCGACTCTTCCTTGGCTTTGACGGCCTGCGATTGGAAGAAGACGGCCTTGACGCCTTCGCCGGCTTCGAGTGCGCGCACCTTCTGCTCGAGCTCGGCGATGTATTCCTGTCTCCTTTCCCGAAATGCGCGCTGTGTTGTCTTTTTGGAGGACTGATGTTGGGGTATGGAGGTAGCGTAGAGCGTGATAAAGCAGACGATTGCAAAATCAGCACCGATTACGCGTAAAGTGCTCAACTCGGCAACCGACCCGTCGCGGCGATGCACATCAAACACGCCCACAACGGCAGGCATGCCACAGACAAGTGTCCAGCCTTCGACAATGAATCTCATCACTCACTGGATCATCAACCTTGGACGGTTTCCTGCCCGGCTTGGGCCTCGGAGGCACGACCCATTCCTTGGAAGTCACGAGCGCGATCTTGGGCTCGGCGCGATTCACTGACGGCGGCTGGTGCGGCTGGTGCGGCTGGTGCTGCGAAGAGCCGGCACGACTCGGCGCGGCGAGAGGGACACTGCGCTTCGGGGCCATAGCGGCGGGGTGAGGACGAGATGCTCCAGAGGCCCCGAGGCTTTGATCGAGTGCGGTGGGTTCGGTCGAGAGGTATCAACAAGGCGGTTCTGGCGTGAGGGTGAACCCCGGTTCGACAGACGGCCGGGAGAAGCGCGTGATGAACCCGCGGCAGGCAAGGGCAGGCAGCTCGGAGTAGAGGCCGTTGAGGCCCTCCCCCAGAGGCAGGCTCACTGCAGCCGGTGGCAGAGATGGAAATGGGCGGTACCGATAGGTTGAAGGGCCTTTTGCCACAGTAAACAGAACTTCTCTCGATTGGATCAAGATACTAGCCTTATAGGATTGAGTCTGTGGGAGACGATGTCGTACGATCCGATTGGTGGCCTACTGTTGAGAAGGTTCAGCAGAAATCGCTCTCTCGTCCAGCTTCGGGGATTGGGTCGCGGGTCGGCAACTCTAGCCCGAAACTCCCAAGATGAAGTGAATGAACCGGGGACAATTTTTCTGGGACGTACCGAAGACTACATCAATAGACTGATTTCCCTGACCTGAACAATGCGGGTAAATACGCATATTTTCATTCTGGATTGCCAAGGGCTGTCTTGGCCGCGGGTGATGGCTAGATGCCGGGCCGCGATCTAGTGCAAGGGCGGGTGTTTCTGCCCCACGACGCCCACGAAAGATAAAAAGGTGGGCCCGCTGCGTGGGACTCGAGCGGCAGTCGGCATAAACAGCGCGTTTGCGAGGGCAGGCCCAACTGGCTAATCTGATTCGGATTGGCCTACGAACTTCGCCTCTGCTGGAGCTTTCCGCTACCGTTTTCCTACTTCTCCTTCCCCGCCCCCCCCCCCCCCCCTCGACGATCCATTCATCACGAGGGCACCTTTTCGCCAATTGTTGTACTGATTGCGAATTATGTTGGCCAACGCTTTCTTGACGGGCTTGATCGCTGCCGGCTCAGCGTCTGCGGCCGTACACGAGGTCTGGTGAGTGCGCTGGTTCGATTACGGCTCACGCGCGCTGCGACGACGGGCGAGAAGGTCCGCTCGAGCTCATCTTCGTTTATCCATCGTGTTTCGACTCTCAGGTACAACATCACAAGTGCCAAGGCCAATCCTTCTGGTCTGTTTGAGCGGTCCGTCGTCGGTGTCAACGGTACCTGGTACGTAGCATATCGCATATCGCATATCGCATATCGCATATCGCATATCGCATATCGCATATCGCATATCGCATATCGCATCTCCCATCTGAGTCTCGAGTCCTTCGCTACCTAGCCCCCGCTCGGCGCAATGAAGAATGTAGAGCACTGTATTTGAATCCCTCGCGCTGACAGATGGTTTTTACGTCGGGATTCTAGGCCACCACCAGCACTTTTTGTGAACGAGAACGACACCGTCATCGTCCATGCGGTACGTCCTTACGCCCTCCGTGATGCGCGCGATCTTTCGCCCGGCACACGTCCGAGGCGATTATCTGATTGGCCCCATCTTTTTTTGGCCCCCCCCCCCCCCCCCCCGTCTCGTTTGGCCGACTTTGTGCTCTTGGTGTCTCCTCTGTAGACCAACTTGCTCGACCACCCCACTGCCCTCCATCATCATGTGAGTGTATACTTTATGTCACTGTAGCAACCCTTCAGCGACTAAGCAGTTACATCTCATCTCCTTCCAGGGCATGTACTTTTTCAACACGAGTTACTACGACGGAGCCCCCGGTGTGACCCAATGCGGAATTCCTCCGAAAGCCACCTTGACCTACGAGATCCCGGTATCTGTCGACAAGCAATGGGGTACTTATTGGTGGCACGCTCACGTCGATCAGGATTATGGTCAGTCAAACCTCTTTACCTCCTCCGACCTCGACCTTAATTGACCCGCTCTCCCTTATCCGCCGAAATGCCTCACCTGATGCGCAGTCGATGGTCTTCGCGCCCCTTTCATAATTCGACCCACAACTGAGGTTCACCAATACGATGACGAATACACGATCGTGCTCTCTGATTGGTACAACGAGCAACACTCGGTGCTTGTGAACCAGTTCATGAACTGGAAGAACCCGACTGGAGCTGAGCCCGTCCCTAGTATGTTTCCCTGCCCTACCCAAATCTGTCCTCTGCTGAAGCTAATGCAACTTTTTTTCGATGTCGCTATTGATTCGAACTTCATACAGACTCGGCTGCTATTTACGTCGCCGACAAGAACGGCAACTATCTCTCGGGCTTCAACGAGAACGTGACTATCCCGTTCGAGGCGGGCAAGACGTACCGACTGCGCTTCATCAACGCCGGCGCGTTCGCCATGTTCAACTTCTGGATCGACGAGCACCAGATGCAAGTCATTGAAGCCGACGGTACGGACACGGATCCTTATCCCGTGGACTACCTCGGCATCTCGGTGGCCCAGCGCTACTCGGTCCTCGTTACGGCCAAGAACACGACCAACTCGAACTACCTCTTGCACGCCAACTTTGATGTGGACATGTTCGACAGCTACGATGCTGACGTGCTCCAGGTCAACTACACCTCGACGATCTCGTACGGAGCGAGTGTCACCGCAGCTGGGGCCGTGATGCCGCCCTTTGAGCGAACGCCCGATCAGGATCTCGTCCCCTCGATCGTCGAGGCGTCGCTCGATGCGAACCGCGAGATCGAGCTCGGTGTCTTCTTCGCCACCTTCGACGATGGTATCAACCGAGCCGCTTTTAACAACATCACCTTCACCCACCCGTCGGTCCCCTCGCTGTTCACGCAGCTATCGATGGGCGAGAACGCATCGCTACCCGGCATCTACGGTCCTCAAACCCACGCGATTGTCTTGCAAAAGGGCGAGATCATTGACTTGCGCGTCGTCAACTGGGATGGAAACGCCCACCCTTTCCACTTGCACGGTCACAAGGTGCAACTCATCTCGGTCACCGCCGACAGCACCTCGAATGACACGTCGATCAACCCTCCCATCCCGTCGTCTTTGCCCAACCCGATGCGACGTGACACGATCAACGTCCCTGGAGAAGGTGGAGCCGTGACGCTTCGTTTCGCAGTTGACAACCCGGGAGCTTGGATGTTCCACTGCCACATCAGTTGGCATCTGACCGCCGGTCTCGCGGTCGTCTTTATCGAATCGCCCGCCGAGTCGCAGCAAGAGCTCGTAATACCTCAAGTGATGAAGGATCAATGCGCAGCGTTGGGGATCCCTTCGGCCGGTAACGCCGTTGGCAAATTCTCGACAACTGATCTGGCGGGAGTGGCTCGAGGTCCTTATCCTCAAGTTCTCGGGTGGAGGCCCAAGGGTATTGGGGCTTTGGCCGGTTGCATCATCACGGTTTTGCTGGGGATGGTGACCGTCGTTTGGTACGCACTTGGAGGGCAGCTCGACGAAGAGGAGCTGGAAGCCGAGGTCGACCGTGAGCTCGAAGCCAAGAAGGACGGTGGTCTGGTCAAGCGAGGCGCCAGAAAGCTGTTTGGTTCGTCTGCCAAGTAGAGATGGAACGAGGTCGCTGGAGGCAGACGTGTGACGGAACAATAATCAGTATTTGGACAATTTAGTGTTGGGGAAAAGGCTTGCCGCAGTGTAAGTTGGGCGGGTGACTTTTCTCTCTCCTTCTTTCTTATTCTGTAGTGTGCAATTGGATGTTTCAAAAACATGACGAAAACGATTGTGCGAACAGAAGTAGTGGCTGGTTGCGCCGGGCCGGGGGGTAGTGTGGCTTGGCGACTAACGAGGACCGTGCGCGTAAGAGCCCCCAAGGACAGCCAAGGACATGGACAGACAACGACGGCCCGGCCGATGAGCGCATCATCGCTCTCAGACTGCCTCCAGGCCCTCCTCTCCAGGCTCCCCCACCCAGATCACACAGGATCCACCTCCGATCGCCACAAGGCCATCAACAGGGCGAACAAAGTACCTCGCTCGTCACTGACAGCTCGATCTCGACTGGGTTCATCTTGCATCGTCGGCGTTCCTTGGCCAGCCGCTCCCGGACCGGACCGCCATCGGCTCCTTTCCGACGTCATCTATCAGCCCCGGTCTCACACTTTTATTGGAGCACGGCGCTTCTTACCCCCCCTACATCTGATTGGTTTCTTATAAAGCAAGGACTACTACCACCATGTGAGTGCACTACGTCCACAGGGCCTTGCCGTCACCGCCGCCTTCCCCCGCTGCGGCCCCCACTCCGCTCTACTCGGTCCCCAGGCCAAGCCGTTCGCTGAGCTGACAACCTCCCGCCTCACTCCATAGGTCATTCTTCGGCGGAAATCGCGACCGCGATGCCGACAGCTACGACCGTGACCGTGACCGTGACCGTGACCGTGACCGTGATCGCGACGGTGGCGCATCCCGCTCGGCGCATGTGCCGACTCGACCGGTCGATCGCGACAAGGCCGAGCAGGAGCTGAGCGCCAACATCAAGAAGGCGACCAGTACCGAGGAGGCCGCTCCCAAGCAGAAACATGTTCGGAGTAAGCTGCTTCTCCTTCTGAACGTGGGTTGTGCTAGGCGGAGGCGATGCCGGCGTGTAGAGCGCAGCCGGGATCGTCGTCGGCGTCAGGGATTCCGGACGTGGCGGTGAAGGCCAGCCAGTCCCGGTCATGGCAGACCGACCCCGGCTGCGCAGTTTCATCACCGAGTCCTTTTGTATGGCCTGAGCGAGGTGAATGTGATTCATCTCAGCTACATGAATCGCACCCTACATCTTAGTCGAGTTCCCTTTTCGACTCATCGCTGACCAACGCCTCCCCCACTCCTCGCCTCCGTACTCAGAATGCATCGTCTACACTTGGGACCATCGCTCATCGGCTTCGATCTGGAGTGGATTGCGCGTGCTCCCCATCCTCTCGGACGAGGTGCAGACCTTTAAAGCGCTCATCACCGTCCACAAGGTCCTTCAAGAGGGTCATCCCGTCGTACGTCTCCACCTGGGGATTACCTTGACCGCAGTGTCAGATCTGAGCTCACGAGCTTAGGATCTTCCCGCAGACTCTTAAAGAAGCACATAACCAAACCTCTTGGCTCGAGACGTGTGCTCGAACCGTTGGAGGAGACGTATCACGAGGTCAGTCATCTCCAGCAAAGCTCGGAGTGATGTGGCCCGCTAACCGATTCTGGGTTTCTTTCACATAGGCTACGGCGCTCTGATTCGCGCATACGTCAATCTGATCCTGGCCAAGCTCAAGTTCCATCGCCAGCACCGCGACTTCAACGGTCTCTTTGAATATGAAGAGTACATCTCGCTACGAGGAGTCGATGACCCGAACGAAGGGTGAGCACTTTCAGGAGACTTCACAACGATGAGTGAAGACGATGCATTGACGACTCTCTCCCTGCAGTTTCGAGACCATCATGGACTTGATGAACCTCCAGGACGTGATTGACTCGTTCCAAAAACTCATCTTTGCCCACTTCCGTGGCTCGGCCAACAACGAGTGCCGCATCGCTGCGCTCGTGCCCCAGGTCAAGGAGTCGTACGGCATCTACCGTTTCGTCACGAGCATGTTGAGGGCCATGTACCGACGTAAGCCCTATTACGAGAGGAAGAACTTGTATGAACCGCCCAGCTAAGCGATTTCTGGTATGATGGTCGTACAGGCACCGACTCGGGTGATGCATTGGAGTCGCTCAAGGAACGCTACGAGGCCCAACACTACGCCCTGCGCAAGTTCTACTACGAGTGCTCGAACCTCAAATATCTCACCGGTCTGATAAACGTACCCAAACTGCCGCAAGAGCCTCCGAACTTGCTCGACAACGGCGATGCCCCCAATCTGCCTCGACGACCGCCGGTTTCGGAGCCCCCAAGCGCCCCTTCGCCTGCGCCCCGCGAAGACGTCGAAGGGCAGCGACGTGCCTTGGCGGAATACGAAGCCAAACAGGCTGCTTTAGTAGCATCGCGGGAGGCCGAGGCACGACGACTCGCGGACGAACAAGCACGTCAAGAGCGCGAATTCCAAGAGCAGCAACGACTGCAAGCACAGCGCGAACGAGAGGCGCAGGAGGCATTGGCAGCACAGCAAGCCCAGATGCAGTATGGCATGAACCAGGGTCGAATCGCCGAGCTTGAGAGGGAGATCTTGGGGATGCGTGGACAGTGGGAACGGGATCAGATGATGCTCGAGCGTTACGACCATCGCGTCAAGGCGCTCGAAGGCGAGTTGATGAACGTCAGCACATCGATCCAACAGCAACTCGCATCCAAGGATCAAATGATGAACGAGTTGCAGAACCAAGTTACGCTGTGGAGGAACAAATACGAGGCCCTCGCCAAGCTGTACTCGCAGCTGCGCAACGAGCACCTCGAGATGCTCGGCAAGTACAAATCGATGCAGCTCAAGGCCAACTCGGCGCAAGAGGCGATCGACAAGATGGAACGTATGGAACGTGACGTCAAGGCCAAGAATTTGGAACTGGCTGATATGATTCGAGAACGTGATCGAGCTCGATTCGAGGTCGATCGGATGAAATCGGTACGTGACCTCATGCAGGCCGATCAGATGTTGTCTGCGCTATGGGCCATCTAATCTTGAACTGGGTTTTTTCACAAAACAGAGCTCAAAGGAGGAGCTGGAGCGACTGCGCCGAGACTTGCGATTCGCCGAGGAGCGTGCCGAGGATGCGAGTCGATCCAAGGGCTCCGAGGTGTCGACCTTGCTCAGCAAGTACAACCGACAACTCGAAGAGCTCGAAAGCTCGCTGCAGGCGAAGCAGCTGCAGATCGACAGCTTGCTGGGCAAGCTCGACGAGAAGGAAGGCGAGGCGCAACGCATTCGGGACGAGAAAGACGAAGAGATTATGATCATGCAAGAAGGGATGGACGCGACGATCCGACAAATGTCCGACTTGCAGATGACAGCGGGTGAGAACGACTTGGCGGTCAACGCCACGATCGACAATCTCGTGCTCGATCAGGAGACGAAGTTCAACGAGATCATCGACTCGATCCTCGCCGCGGGCGGGCAGAAGATCGACGACGCGTTGTACGAACTCGAATCGACCTTGCACGATGGGAACCAGAACTCGACGCCCGAGTACACGCTGTCGATGATCGAAAAAGCAACGACAAGTGCGACCGAGTTTGCCACCGTTTTTACGCTCTACCTCTCTCGCGAGCGCGGAGGTGAACACGTCGAGGTCATCAAGACAGCGAACAACTTTGCCCAGTCTATCGCTGAGGTCCTGTCGAATGCCAAAGGACTGGAAAGGATCTGCCCCGACGATGCTGCCATCGATGGCCTCATGAAGATTGGCAAGCTGCCTGGTGAGGCGGGTCTACGATTCTTCACCGCTCTGCAGTCGTATCGCCTCTCAGGACAAGCCCCTTCGGCCCGAAAAGAAGTGGTCATCCGCAACAACATGGAGACGCGTGCTGCCCTGCAAAAGCTCACCTCGACCGTCGAATCCCTGGTACCCAAGCACGCTGCGCTCAAGGCGACCGGTGACTTGGGCGACTTGGTCGAATCGGAGATGCAAGCTGCCGCTAGGGCCATCGAGGCTGCGACACAACGATTGCAGGACATCATGTCGCGACCCAAGGATTCGCGTACCAGCGCGACCGACCTGCAAGTCAACGATGCGATCCTCGCTTCGGCTCTGGCCATCACGAACGCCATCAGACGCTTGATCAAAGCTGCCACCGCATCGCAACAGGAGATCGTCGCTGCCGGCAAGGGCTCGAGCACTTCGCAGGCGTTCTACAAGCGCAACAACCGATGGACCGAAGGACTCATCTCCGCTGCCAAGGCCGTAGCCATGGCTACGACGCTCTTGATCGAGACCGCCGACGGGGTCATCAACAAGACCAAGACGCTCGAACAACTCATCGTTGCGGCGAACGAAGTCTCGGCCTCGACGGCGCAACTCGTCCAAGCCTCGCGCGTCAAGGCCGAGCTCATGTCGTCGACGCAAGAGAAGTTGGAGTTGGCCGCAAGAGCCGTCACGGAGGCGTGCCGAGCGTTGGTCCGCCAGGTCAAGGCCATCACGGCCGAACAGCTCAAGCGCGACGAGAGCGACGTCAACCCGGACCTGATGAACGCGTTCGAGTTCAAGCAGGCCGAAATGGAGAAGCAGGTCGAGATTCTCACGCTTGAGAAGCAGTTGGTCGAAGGTCAGAATTTGGAAATCGTCGTGGTTCGCCTTGTGATGTCAGAACTGACTGGAACTTGTTATACACGTGTACAGCTCGGAGAATGCTCGCCATCTACCGGCGATCGGCGTACCATGCCGAAGACGTGAGTGGTTTTTGAACTACCGCAATGCTATCGAGTCGGCTTGCTGATTTCTGCTTCGGTTGTTTTCTTTCCACAGGGCGATGTGTGAAAGCGTGTCTAATTTTGGCCAGAGCCGTCCTTATGACTGTAAACAAAGATATGTGTGCAACGAAGCGTCAGAGAGAGAAAAATCTCTCGGGGTTCCTAGACCCCCGATCTGGTCACAATCGGACGGTGAAAAGCAAAGTATACACTGCAATTGCATATGCAAAGTATACACTGCAATTGCATATGCAAAGTATACACTGCAATTGCATACGAGGAGGAGAAGGAGGAAAAGCAACGCTAAGAAAACGAAGAGCCCAAAAAACCTTACGTCTCCCCGCCGTTGATTATTTGCGCTCAATCGCTATCCGAATCCGAGGTATCATCCTCGTCCTCATCATCATCCGTCCCACTTGTATCTTCGTCCTCGTCATCCTCATCACCGGCCCTCGCCGCCCTCTTCACCGACTGGCCCTTCATCAACGCCATCTGCCCCGCGATCGTATCCTCATCCGGTTCGGAAATATCATCCTCCGCGCCCAACGCGTCCTCATCATCGGCCGCTTCATCAACCTTCATCTTCATATCCTTCTGCGCATCCGTGCCCACGAAGGAATCGGACATGGCGTAGACTTGGAAGGTGTAGAGACCTGGTCCAGGGGGGCTTGGAAACTCATGCGGATCGTACGGACGCGATGGGGTCCCATGTCGGTGAATTTGTGGGGCGCGACGAAGATGCGGTTCAGCTTGTGGTCGCCGATGAAGACGCTCCAGCTCGGTTTTCGGTTCTGTAGGATAGAATCGAAGGAAGTCAGTCGACGATCGGGCTAGATCTCTCGGAAGGGTAAGGACCCACCTTGGGGTAATGGGGAGCATGAGCCAGCGGCGTCGGCTCATCGCCATCCTCACCCGCCTTGCGTCGACCGATCAGCTCATCAATACTCTCCTCTTCGCCTTCCTCCTCTTGTTTCCCAACGGTTACGCTCGTAATCTCCGGCATGACCTGACCAGGCGGGGTGATCCTCAACTTGACGGTGAAAGAAATGATCGCACCGGGTGTGACGATGGTTTCACCGACGACTTTGAACTTGGCATCGACGAAGGAAACGACGGGCCAATGTTTGGCCACTTCAAAGATTTCCTTCTTGTGTTGTTCGGGGAAGCCGGGCAGGAGCTTCTCGACTTGACCGGCGTTGAGACGACCAAAGTCCGTGATGGTGTGTGCACCGACCTTGTTCGCCTCTTGGGCAATCTCGGGGGTGAGGTTGGGAAGTTGGAGCAAAGGTGAAGAGCTAGGGTGAACGGCTTGGAGGAGGAATTGTTGGAGATGCTGGACCGCGATGTAGGTCGAGAGCCAGTTGTGGGCGAGCACGATCGACGAGAGGCCGTTGCACAGGGGCAAAGCGAGGGTCACGATGCGGTGTTTCTCTGTCGGGAACCGTCAAGAACTGTTATCAGCATGGGATCATCCAAGCGGTGTATTCTTCCAAGGCCACTGACCTTTGATCAACGCGGGCGACTTGACGGGCACGCGAAGCAAATGAGCCGCAATAAAGACACGAGCCCTCTTTTGCGCCGTCGACCACGTTCCGTACCCTTCCCAGCCAGACTTGCCATCAACACCCTCGCGGATCGTCGAAGTTAAGCGAGCGTATTCGTCGATATCGGCCTTGCCAAGCTTTTTGCGCCCACTGACGAGTTCGGGATCAACGGCGAACTCGTCTGCGGCGGCGAGGATGTCGACGAGGACGGGGAAGGAGGTCTCTTCCTTGAGCGAACGGAAGAAGGTGACGGCGGTCGAGTTGAGGACATTATCCTTGGTCAACTTGCGCGTGCCGTACCACCATCGGCCCTGTTGTGCACGAATCATCAGCTCTCTCTCTCTCTCTCTCTAGTGGTGTTTACGCGAGGCGAATGATGACTTACGACAAAGTAGGGCAACATACCACCGAGGACCAAGGCGTAGGCGGCCATGACGTACCAACGACTCTTGGAGTCGACGACCCACGAGGGCAAGGCGATGCCCTGGCTGAACTCTTGCTTGCCGTCGGGGTGACCGAACATCTCCCAGTTGTGGCGACTGACTTGGTCGGTCAGGCTGTGGGGGAGTGAACGTGGGGAGCAGTGGGATTGATGTTGCCTTTTGGGGTGAGAGGGAGGACGTACTCACGCCTTGTAAGCCTTTGTCAACTCGACAAAGATGTTGTCGACCTCCTCCTTGGTCTGGTTGACGAGCAATCCAACCTTGTCCGGGTGGCTGCAGACGAAGCGGGATTGAGTATCACACGTCGGACAAGATGCGCTTCTCGACTGGCCACTCACTACTTGAGCGACATTTTGCGATAATGCTTCTTGATGACCTTCTCACTTGACCCCTGAGTAGATTCGGTGGATCGCGTTCGTCAGTCTGCGGTCGAGTATACGTTCCCACGCCGCCATCGCCGCCATTGCCGCAAGTGCCTACCATGGCGACCCCCAAGATCTTGAACGGATCGAACGCCACGCTCTCGGCTTTGACGGTGGTAGCCTTCTGTACGACGACGGCGAACGCGACCCAGCCAGCCGCGAGCATGACGTGCCTGTTCGACCGTCGAAGCAAGCGCCATCAACGCCCTGACTCGGCACCGCAGCAGCACGGCCCCACGCCGGACTGACTTGATAGATATCAACGCATTGATGGAAGCCGAAGAGCGTTGCAGTTCGCTCGACTTCTTGTTCCAGCCCTCGCAGGGGTAAGGCACTCGTTTCGCCGCGGCTTCGGCACCGCCTCGGATCGTAGTCCACGTCAACGGGATGAGGAGGAGGAGCATCACCGTTAAAAGGAAGAAGTAGGACTGGTGGTGGTGCAGTTGAGCGTGTCGTTGCGCGGGCGTCGTTCGTCGGTCCGGTCGGGGACAGTGGCACGGCCGCGCGTTAGTGACGTGGTCGAGACTCGCGTGGGATGCGGCTGACACAGACCGTGGTGGGGGGACTGAGCGCAGCAGAGCCCAAGACTCACGTTTCCAACCTCATCGTAGGTGTATTGACCGGCCATACTGCACTCGAGGCGGGGCGGGGAGCGGCAACTACAGGCACGAGGCTAGGCGATGGGCCGGAGACCAAGACAGGTCCCATGGGCACCGGGCAGCGGGCCACGCTTGGGCACGCTTTGGCTCAGATGCAGTGCCAGCCAGCCCGCCAGCCCAGATGCAGATGGGCTTGCGCCGCCTTGCGCCTCCGTCTGTGCCGCGCCATTCGTTCTGACAGGGCGAGACATCAACGACTCGTAAAAGTCGCACAACGGAAAGTTATGGGATGCTTCATTTTCGTGCTCAGTCATGTTGGCACAGAAAGATTGGAGCTAAGCTGTACACTATACAAAAGCGTATCAACACAATCTTGCAAAGAAAAAGCCCTACCAGAACTATTCACCGCCCACAAGTTGCCGACTCACTCTCTGAGCGTGTGCCAGAAGGGGGGGAACCCTCTTATTATTCTACTGGCTCGCCTCGAGTCGTTCCCTCTCTGCACGATCTGCAAGCGACTCGCCGGACGGCCCCTTCCATGCATGCAATGCCAAATCTCCCTCAATACCTGTGGATGAACCGCACCCATCAGCCAAGTTCATCCCACACCCCCGAAGATCGGAAGCGCACTCACCCCCATGGCCATTGCACCAAGCGGTCGACATCAATTCCGGCCGATAAGGGTGCCACGACACGTCCCTGACCATGACCATACCTCCCGATTTTCCCTTACTAGTCCTAAGCTTCGGGTCGAACGGATCGTTGTAATCGCCCGTCTCGGCATTGATCAAGGGGTGTGTGTACCTCCGATTGATCTTTTGCACGAGCATGCCGTCCAAGGACCAGATGTGGATCTTGCCGTCCGAACTGCCGCTGTAGACGTATTGCTGGTCCGTCGTGGCCGCGGGGGAGAAGTGACATCGAATGAGCGTACGCAACACCGCGTGCCCTCGATAGGTCATGACCGAGCAGTCATGCGGGTGTTGCTGGTGGCGTGGCTTGGCGTAGTAGCCACCGCGATAATCCCAATTTGCTGGTGGACAGAGGCCAGGCATCAGTGGACAGGTCATCTAACGTGTGCTTGCACTAATGATCACTCACGAATTCCGTAGTGCTTGACATCCAGTCGTAATCGATCAAAGTCGGCGTTTGAAGTCATCTTGCGCAGATCCCACAGCTTCGTTCCTTGGTCCTTGCCGTTCGAAAGGCAGTATCGCCCATCCCCCTTGGGTGCGACGAACTGTTGGAGAATGTAACAGGATGACCAGGATCTTAGATTAGGGTGGACATATCATAGAAAAAGCAAGCAGTTTGACAACCCACCGTGACGCCTTCAGTATGTCCAACTAGTGTACCGGCTGCCTGCTTCCCCGACATGGACCTCCGGTCCCAAACCTTGACGAACGAATCATCACTCCCCGAGATGACGACATTCGAAGAAGCGCTATCGGCGAACGCAACAGCATTGACATCGTCTTGGTGGCCTCGAACGTTCAGGATAGACCGCTTGGACTCGATGTCGTAGACAATGATCGCTCCCGAAGATGCACCTGCGACAACCTCTTTACCGTCGTTTGAGAATCGCACGGACCAGATCTGCACGATTCGCAGTACCATTCATGTCAGCTTGAAACCCCTAAACGTAGTGGGCTGGACCTGAACTCACTCCACCGACGTCCCTTCGCGAGCCATTCGCAAAGTCAAGCATCTCTTGTTGTTCGTCCAAGTCCCACACCCCGTTATTCCCTCCACCGCCCGTCTTGACGAGATGCACATAGGGCGAGATACTCGCGTACAGCATCCACTCGTTGTCGACACTCAGCGAAGCATCGGTTACGGTCCACTGACAAGCGATCGGATTGGCTTGGATCGTCTTGATCACCTTCATCGACGATCGATGCTCCCACGTGCCACCGTACAGTCGATTGCGCCGTGTTGCCGTAGGCGTGGCCTCGATGACAGATTTGTTGCCCGTGCGAGGTGGCTCCTTAGTGTCGTAGACGTAGATCTTGAAATCTTTCGCCGCCGCATCTACGTATAGTACAGTGTCTCAGCAAATTTCGATCGGTCCCAGGCGAGGTATGGGAGCTGGACCCACAAAAGAAAGCGCCATCGGTCGAGTATTGCCCCGAGTAGACTTTGGCTTGAAGCTGCGCCACTTCGACTCCCGAGTTGTTGGGCACGAGGTCCTGCAAAATAGTCGCACATGAGCAAAGATGAATTAACCATGGGGCTTAGCATAACTCACATGTGCGAGCCAACTTTTGGGCATTCGGCCGACGTTGAGATCGCGTTCGCGTAGGATTCTCGAGACGTTTGGGGAATAGTCGCCGAATTTGCGTTCGGTCGCGGCGTACTTTTTTGGCGGCTGGAGAGGGGACGACACCTGCTATCAGTATAAAATTCTTCGTTCGATGATGATAAGATGTCAAAACTGACTGGACCGAATTCGCCCGATCGTTCGAGCCTGACTCCGGCGGGTACGGGTTCCTTGGGAATCTCGTAATAGTTCTTGGTCGTCCTCCTTGCCGGACCCCAATACGGGTCATCGTACCCACCCGAGTCCTCTCCATCGTCATCCTCGTCTTCTTCGGCTTCCTCCTCCTCCTCTTCGTCTTCGTCATCGCCTTGGCCGGCCATGACTCTGCTTCGCATTCTGGGCACGAGCTGCGAGAGGATCATGCGCCGGATCGAAGCGAGTGTGGTGCCCGTCCCTCGCAAGTGTTGGTGTGTTAACTGAGCGGCGTTTCCATTATCATCAATTATCAAAATTTGCCGACTCGTGGCTGATTGTGGGATCATCGGCGGTGAATCAGTTCGACTGCATACTCTAACTCGGGGATGGCGGATGGCCCGGATTGCCTCCACTTACGATCGAAGGCGATCCTCAGGGCGGGGCCGTTGCCGCCGCCACTTGGGTCATTGGTCTCAGCATCGGCCTCGTCTTGATCATCGTCCTCGTCAATCTCTGTAGCTTGATCCAGTTCTTCTTCTTCTTCTTCTTCTTCCTCCTCCTCTTCTTCTGCCTCTTCTTCCTCGTCCTCATTGAAAGACCTGTCGTCCGAGGTCTCCGAGAAAGTGTACGAGCCCAAAGTGGCCATATCGTCGACGGCGGCCCACCCATCCTCATCGTTGTCCTCGTCATCATCATCGTCATCAGGCATGCCTTCGAACAAGGGTAGCCCCGTATTGGCGGGATCGACTTCTTCTTCACCTAATTCCATCATGGCCTGCGTGGTTGGCGAGTCGTTGCGGCCGGTCCGCGAGTTGGCGTAGAAGCCTCCTGGCATCGACATGATGGTCGAGGTGGGGAGCCCGACCCAGCAGCAGCGCGGAAGCCGGCCGAAGCGCAGGCTGAGAAGTGGAAGTGCGCGCCCTAATGCCTCTTATGAGATGCCCACGCGCTCTTAACGCTGAATTGTGCCGCGCCTGGTGCCCCGGTTACTTTACGCCGGGTCTGCTCAGCTTTGGACTCCCTCGCATCCGAATCGTGTCCGTCTGCCTACGCGATCAGCCAAATCGCTCCGAGCGTCACGAGGAACCACATTCTTTTGGTTCACGCTTTAGGTGCTTTGATCACCCCGCCGGCACGTATTCCAGAGTCTCGAAACTGTGCGCGGTCGGATCTCCAACGTTCGAGCAGGAACCCTCTCGTCTACCGTCCGTGGTCCACAATAGCAATAGGCACTTCACTTTGGCACCTCCACGGCGCACTCTCTCCAAACGATACTACGCACCCACGCCCGCACTTCAGGTGCAACGATTCTCGCTCAATGTCGCTCAACCCTAGCGGGAATCCGAGCACGGCCTCGTCGCTGCCTCCCCCTCCGGCCGCCTACGAAGGTCAGTTCCCAGTCTCACCCGCTTCAGGCACCTTGAACCTCGCATTTTTCTCTTCATCCGAGTTCTCTCGTATCGACTCCCCTGATTACGTCCGGGTGCCTCCTCTCGATCTCGGCCGATCCACTACCCCTTTCGAGCCGAGTCGTGCGGTGGGGCTGCCCTGCGAATACGCCACGCCACACCCCTCGCTCAGGCCCTCCTTAAGTAGCGCCGGCGACCTCGGGCGGCTCGGCACACGTGACCCGACCTCGGGCGGCTCGGCACACGTGACCCGACCCAGAACATCCCACTGCAGTCCAAGCCGTCTTTTACCGAGGCCGCTGCGGTTCCATCATTTGATGTGCATGCCCATTCTCTCCTCATGCCCCGACTGACTTTGCATGACGGGAAAAAGAAAAATCGGCGGTCGGCTAGTCTGTCGTCCTTGGCCTCGGGAACTCGGCGTCCAGCGCTCCAGCAATGACTGGAGGCGCCCGCACGACTCGGCACACTCGGGCTGCTTGCGCCGATCCGTCCCCGATGCTCGATCTAGCATCGCGCGTCGGCATGGCACTGACCACGGTTCCCTCTTTTTCTTCTTCTTGCTCCTCTTCGACAGACTTTGAGTTTTCCTCTCCGTTCGATTTCGACTTCTTCCCCTCCACATCCACCAGTACATCTGGCCTCGATTCCCACACCACATTGCCAACTCAACACCCTCACCTGGCCTCAGGTTCCCACCACGGCGAATCTTCTTCGGCCGCTAGTATGCTCGGCGTATCGGGACTATCGTCGCATTCGAACGCACCCTTCAACTCGAACCCCTTCTCACCACAATATCTAGCCTCTCCACCGTCACACTTTTCGAGCTTCACTTCCCCATCTTCGAGCGCAGCACCTTCGACCTCATCGAACGCGCTCTTTACCACTCCTTCATCCTCCTCAACCGTGCCCGCTCATCGACCCTTCCTCCCCTCCCCTCCACCTCCACAAGACCCTTCTACCTCCCTAAGCGCCGCTCACCCCTCAACTTCGCTGAACCCGTCCCCGCTCTTCGACGACTTCGAATCGGCCCTCCTCTCCTCCTTCCTAACCACCCTCGACGTCGACCCCTTTTTCCTCTTCAACTCCGTACTACCTCCCGGAATGCCTTCCCCGCCTCCGCGTTTCCCTTTGGATGAAGGGGCCAAGAAGGAACGCGATCGGTTGGGGTATGGTTTGGGAAGCATCAAGTTGGAGAATCGGGAGAAACAGGGTGAAGGGACGACGAGTAGGGATGGTGGAGTTGATACTGGGGATGGGGAAGGGGAAGGGGAAGGGGACGATCAAGGGGACGATCAAGGGGAGGAGGACGGGGAAGAGGAAGAAGAGGAGGGGACACCGACTGATCGAGCGCGGTCGAGTGATGTCGTGGTTGGGAGAGGAGGGAAACGAGCGAGGGGAACTGGGCAACGTCGGAGAGGGGGGTTGGCCAAGGGGAAGAAGGCGAGGAGGGTGTCCGTGAATGAGAGTGAGGCGCAGGACGTCGAGATGGTCGAGGCTGTTTCGATGACGTCGTCCACGGGTAGAGGAGCAAGAGCCGTGAGGTCGACGAAGGGGAGTGGGGAGATGGGCTCGGCCTCGAGGAGATTGTCGAGTGTTGCGAGGAGTAAGGACGCGGGTCGATCGATCACACCCCTTGAAGCACCGTCAGGTGTACGACAGGACGAGCGCCAAGCCACAGAGGAAGCAACGATGGAAGGAGCTGACGACCCACCACCACCACCGCAAGAAGTTGAAGAAGACGACGAACTCGAAGACGAAGAGGACAACAACGTTGATGATGACGACGACGACTCGAAAGCCAACAAAGCGCCGTTAACGGATACGCAGAAACGTTCGAACCACATCGCTTCGGAACAGAAACGACGGAATGCCATTCGATCAGGTTTCAAAGATCTCGTGGACCTCTTGGCAGCTGGTGAAGCCGCATCGGGCATCGTCGTCGCTCCTCCTGAAGTCGAAGCGGCGAACGATGTTTCGAACGGAGGCAAGAAGAAACGAGCTTCTAAAGGGACTGGAAGGGGGAGAGGGAGGAAAGGTGAAGTTGCGGCTGGGGGTTCAAAGTCCGTGGTGTTGGAGAAGGTCGCGGCGTATATCCTCTGGTTGGAGAGGGGGAATCAGGCTCTGACGGCGGAGGTCAAGAGGATCGAGGTGAACATGAGACAGATGGGGATTGAGACAGTGTAGATGGCCCCAGTGGTTTCAGCCTTCCCACTAGTAGCAGTAGCAGTGCGCTCCTTAGGTATGCGGATGTTGATGTTTCTTTTTGTTGTGTCATTCATTTTAAACCTAGTGGACAATCCTCCGCCCACTGACTATATGGCGTAACCTACGAATACAGTGCGCCTCATTGCATATTCACACCAACCACCCCTGACATTCGACCCTCGCTCTCAACCTCCATCTATCATTCCCTCCCTCCTCATCTCCTCGTCTCAAAGCCTCGCGCAACGATTCCCATTGAACAAAGAAACGGTCCACGAAGGGTCGGATCAAGCGGGCTGAGGCGGAGAGACGTCTTGTGCGAGCTAGGGACTCGATATAGAGCAGTCCGGGGGAGGGGAGGGCTAGGAGCTTTTGGGAGAGGATGAGCAATCGTCAGCCCGATCAGTAACTCCCAGGGATTTCTTGATTCGTTTTCAAAACTGACCCTGGGTAAGAAACACGCCAACACGATCGGCACACAACTCCCCGGACCATTCAATAACACGACATCGGCGAAAACGAGACGAGGTGAACGCCGGATCAGAGGTGCGAGGGTGAGGAACCGCAGACAGTATAAGAGGGAGTAGAGGGTCGTGAAGGGAGAGGTGAGGTATGATTGGTGCACTTTGCGCGCTCGTGGGATGCGGAAGATCGTGAACTGGGGTGGGAAGATGAGGGGGTGGCGGGGTTGGGGGTCGGGGGTGGGGGGTGGGGGTCAGCAATTGAGGACAGGACATGTGGGGGGAAGGAGTACGAAGAGCCAAGGCCGAGGTCACACTTACGTGACCGCCATTGATGGACTCTTCAAGAGCCAATGCCTTATCCTCTGACATCTTGTCACCCATCCCAATGAGATAAATTCGCGTAGAATAGCGATCCCAGTCGACCCCGCAGAGCAAGCGCATCATCTCAGCCGTGTGTCCACCTGCAAGACCATCAGGTTCAGAAACGTAGACACGGCCTACCGCGCGTCACATATGCCCCTTCGTGATGGACTGACCTGATCCCAGGAAGACGGCCAGCGAGGCTGGTTCGTCAGGTTGACGAAGGGGTCGTCGTCGCTTGCGATGAGAGGATGATGACGTGTTGGCGTGCGTCGCTCGGAGGACCCATATCAGTCGGATGATCCCGAGGGTAATCAATAGGATCACGGCTGCCAGTGATTCCATCCATCGCCGGAGTTCCATCCTTGAAAAGTGAGCTCGAGCGTCAGCAACGGTCGGGACTGAGGAGAGGCAGAGCACACGGGGGTCGCTTGTTCATAAGAATGGTTTTGGTCTAGCTTGGTCCGGTGAATATCCGCGAGTATACGGCGCGAGCACATAGTGTAGAATGCAATGACAACAGACAAACTTCGAAAACATGATAACATCTCGACAGACAGAAATATAACTATCCTAAAGTGGCCCATAAAATCCCACCTCACCGCCCATCAATCTTGCCGCCCCCGACAATACTCGGTTTCCTCAGCCCCCCGCCATGCCCATGCGTGCTCAACCCCAACCCACTCGAAGGTCTCCTAGCGCCACTCGGGGCGATACTAGTCCCTAGCATTCCGTTCCTCGAACTGGGTCGTCGAGCCTCGATAGCTGAAGACGGTCTTCCGACTCCTAAACTGGACGTGTTGGAAACGACCGAGGACGGTCGTGTCGAACTGGACCCACTCCCCGTTTCGTAGCTCGCTGCAGGAGCTCTTCGAGCTCGTGTCGAGGTTGCGAGGTGGGGTGCACCCCAAGGAGCTCTAGGTCGGGAATATGGACCTGCGGAGGAAGGTGTCGGTGATCTCGAGTCACGCAGGGAAGGCGTTTCAGACCTCGTTGACATCCCCAAGCCGTTCGCCGAGGTCATCGAGATCGTCGTGGCCGTCGATGCCGAGAGGCTCGATAACCGCGAAGGGGGTCGTACAGGGATGCTCGTCCGACCTAGACTGATCCTCATCCCTGATCGTGAGGGTGGTCGCGTACTCTGGTGTGTCGATCGTTCCTCCTCCGTCGAAGTCCGATTCGATCGAGAACTGGTCCGACTATGCATCATCCTCTCTACCGCACTCGAAGTACCACTCGATCCAGAAGTAACGCTCCTCCCCAATGTACTCGTCGACGAAGCGGTCAGTCTCCGCGCCGTCGTACTCCTCGTCAGCGAGTTCGCACCACCAGGGCTTCCAAAGCTAGCTCGAGGGATCCCACTTGAAGTGCTGTTCATGTTCGAGAGGTTGCGCCTCGAATCAAGTCGAGATGTCAGTTGTCGTACACGATCGGTCATGTCCCTCATATCTCGGATCATCCCGTCGGCTCGCTTCTCTCGCACCGATTTAGGCGTCCCGATTCGAGATGGTGCTGATGCGGCGGCAGTGTGGGCGAGATCTCGCTTTGCGGTGGACCGGGCAAGGGCAGCACCACTACCACTTGACGGTCGATAGGCGGCTGGGATGTCGGGGACGGGAGGTGGAGGTGAGGGCAAGACGGGGGTGCCGAAAGCGTCGGTCGAGGAGGAAGAGGCCGACGCAGACGCAGACGCAGATGCGGAAGAGCGAGACGAAGGAGTCGCCAAACGTGCTGGCGTCGGATTGACGAGTGATATGGACGGAGGAGAGAAGGGGGTCGTCGAAACGGTGGGCTGTGGGTTTGCCCTGGTCGGGGTCGCGAACGCATCATGATCGGCTTGTCCGAGCTGTTCTGGGTCGCTCGTCGGGGCGGGTTGCGGAGATGGTGTGGTGCGCGTCGGTGTGACTGCTCGCGGATATGCTGGTGGATATGTGGTCACCGCTTGCGATCGCACGATAGCCATCTCCTCGTGTAGATCTGCGAGCGAGAGCAGGGGCTCGAATCAGATTCTTCGCCAGCGCCTGGCGATTCCAGTCCCCGGCACGTACCTCTGAGCTCATCCTTCAATCGCTGTACTTCCTCGTCGAGCTGAGCCTTGTTGACGAGCTCCTCTTCGAGCAGTGCGATGCGTTCGATCGACTTGCCGTATCGATTCTCGAGATCCTGCAGCGACGAGTCTTTTTCCCTTCGTGACCGCTCAGGAAAAGAGACGGGTCAGCCCCTGATGGTAATAGCAAATCACACTAGCCAGTGGTTTTCTCACCTCTCGGCCTTTTCGAGATCGTCATTGTCAAGTTCCATGTCCCGAAGCTTGGTTCTGAGCTGCTTCTCGGAGATGCGTAGGGATTCGAGCTCGCGTTGCATATGGGTCATGGTGGCGGTGTGTTCACGCAGCGCGGTTGTATACTTGGTCTGTGGGGTTGATACTTGTGATCAGTAACGGCAAACAGATCGGTTGGGCAGATGCTTCATGTCGCAGACGCGACGCGACACGTGAGTTGAATGATTCAGCGTCGCCTCGTCGAGGGACCTATGGGCGGCCTCCTTGATGGTGATAGCCCATATTCACATTCCCATGGAAGCATGATGATCAGAACCATTCGTGGAGTGGCACTCACCTTCCACTGCTCGACATCAGTCCTGGCCTCGTCCAAGCCCCTCCTCATCTCCTTTTCGCTCTTCTCCATCCTCGCCAGTTCCTGCTCGAGCTCATCCTGCAGTTCCTTGGACGACTCGGTGAACTCCTTGATGTCATCATTGGCGTCGGTGAGTTGGGATTGCAACGAATCAACGAGGTCGCGGTAGTGCGCGATCGCTGCCTCGGGCGAGCTGAACGATGACCTGTGAAAAACGTTCTTTGTCTTGGTCAGCGGAGGTGTGCAAGAGCTGGAGCAGGTCCCGAACCCACTCTTCGTCCGCCATCGCGGAGGAGACTCGCCGCGAAGTGCGATTTCAGAGGCGAGAATGAACAGCGTATAAGCACCTGAACGAAGGACAAGCGAGCCGACGGGTCGATGCGGCGTTCGTCGGCGCGGCCCGTGCGCAGAACATTTCGGCGCGTCTCTAATCACGGCTTGTCCAGAGGAGCTACTACTGATAATAAGCATCATCACTTGCCTCCAACGCCCCCACTATTTAACCCCCACCGCAGCCAAACCTTCGCAGCCAGCTACGTAGCGGTCGGTCCGACGGCCGAGCACAGGCTGGTCTGCCCCCGCTTATAGCTGCTTATAGTAGGGCCCACCGGTCTACCCTGTCCGACTTTTCCATCCTTCTCCTCTGTCTCCACCCTTCTTCTCCTTCGCCGGCTCTGGCACCTCTCCCTCGAACCGTTCGGCCGTGTGACGTCGACGCGCTCAACTCGACTCGGCCGACGATCAGTGATCATCGATCAACGCTTCAGCGCTAAGCAGCACCCTGACCGCTCAACGTTCAACCTCGAACTTCAGTCTTCGCGCCAGCAGCAACCTCCGCCAGTGGGAAGAGCTTGTGTACAGCATTTAATTTTCTCAACATGCCCCTGATGAACATCAGTCCAAACACCCGAGTGTGTGAGTCATCCTTGCTCTCGCTGGCCCACCAGGAGGCTGGGTGCCCGCGCCAGAAGCTAAAAATACCCGCTGCGTAACTACGCTTTGGCGCGCATGTTCAGGGGCTTATTCGGTGCTCGTCGCGCTGTCGGGATGCTTATTCGGAGGTGATACTGGATCAATCGGATCCATCACAGTGAGTGGACACTGTAACGTCAATTTTAGCGAGTCTTGTAATCGAACTGACCGCGCGAGCTACCCTCCTCACCCCCACTTGGGAACGTCACATGCTTTTTCGCCGGCCCGAGTAGGAGATGCCTCAATTCATCGCCCACTTTGGCCAACTCTCGGAATTGTGGGTGCATATTCTTGTCTTCAAGAAGGCGAAAGTCAGTGGATCTACGTCACAAGCAGAGTACTGAAGGGGCCCTCCCTACTCCTTCCAGTCTCCGAGGTTTCATCGTCGCCGTGATCCTCATTCCCTCCGCCATCACAGGCATGTTTGCCGGATCCGTAGCCGATCGCATAGGACGCAAGAGGACCATCTCACTCGGTTCGCTCATCTTCGCTGCGGGAATGGGTATGTGTGTGATCGCACCCAACTTGACGGTGCTCATCGTTGGGAGGTGTGTCGCGGGCAGTGGAGAGGGGCTCTTCTTGAGCGCGGGCAACGTTTACTTGTAAGATCGGCGTCGGATTTGCAGTCAAAGGTACCAGTCCCAACTTTACTCATTCAGATCATGATTCTTGTTCTAGGTGCGAAATTTCGCCCAAGCATATCAGGTAAGCATCTCCGTACATATGCGAGTGCTGATGGTCCGACTATGGCCAAGCTGATCGCGTGCGCCTTCCGAGCAGAGGTCGAATCATGACGATGTATCAGATGCACGTCAATGGTGAGCTCCTATCTCCTCAAGTTTAGCGCGCCTTCCCACATCTGGCTGACATCGGTCCAATTGAATCAAATCAGGTGCACTTGCGATTGGGTTCTTCGTCTGCTATGGCTCGATCCAGATTCAAAGGCGAGGCTTGCCCTGCATTCCGCTCTGACCAGAACTTGAAGCTAAAGTTGAATAAGCAATTCACAGCTCCTTGGCCTGGCGACTACCAATGATCGTCTCGACCTGCGTCGGCTTGATCGCCGGACTTGGTTCGCTTTTCATCCTCCCCTATTCGCCGCGATGGCTGGTGTCACAAGGACGGACCCAGGAAGCGAAAGCTGTCCTGGGTCTGATTACGGAACACAGTGAGGAGGAGGAGAGGAAGGAGTTGTTGTCGTTGCCTCCGAGAGGTGAGAAGGCGGGCTGGAGCGACATCTTTCGTAAAGGAGTTCGAGGCAGGACAATTCTCGGAGCATTCTTGAATGTGGGTCGATTTTTTTCGGGCTTCATTCATGGTCACGGATGGATTGATGCTCTCGGACAGACCGGAGGCTGAGCGCTTACTCTTCGAACCATATAGGTCTTCCAACAACTCAGTGGTATCGACTTTGTGTTGTTCTACGCGCCTCTCCTTTTCACTCAAGCTGGTCTCGACCCCAAGACCTCGGCTTTCGTCGCTTCGGGTGTGACAGGTCTCGCCCTGTTCGCGACGACCGCACTGGCGGCGACTTGGGTCGACAAGATTGGGAGGAGGACATTGTTCATTGTGAGTCCGGATTCGAGAACACAAATCCTATTCTAACATCCGTACTTCATGACACTGACTATACGTTCATTAATTCATAGTGGGGTGGATTTGCGATCGCCATCTGTCATGCATGTATTGGATCACTCTGTAAGCGCACGTGAAGCGATGGATCTAGTGAATTGATCTGACCCCTAGCTTTGCATCGAACTTTCAGATGCATCTGGTGCCGCCTACACCGAAGGTGGCAAGTGGGCGATCGTCACCCTGATTGAATTGTATACCATCATCTTCGCCGGAACGTGGTCGCTCGTCACTCGCCTGTACAGCACGGAGATACAACCGAGTCGTACAAGATCACCGGCTTCTTCATTCTGCATCGGTGTGAATCAGCTGGTCAACACGCTCGTGGCGTTGACAAGTCCGGCTTTCCTCGCCAAGATTCCATTTGGTGAACTCTCTCGACCTGACCAGTGAGACTGCTGATGGTGGAGTGGTCCGTAGGCTGACCGCCGAGTCAATGTTCACAGGTCCTTACTTCTTGTACGGTGGTTTATCGGCTTTTGCCACCGCTGTAGCTTATATCTACATGTGGGTTGGCAGCCAGTTGTCCAGCGCAATGGGATGTGCTCGTTGACTCACGGACGTGACCTACTTCCGCAGGCAAGAGACGATCGGCAAATCCCTCGAGACGTGGGTCGTTCCAAGCCATCCTTGATGATGGCTGCCTGCCTGACGACCATCTCCTTCTGTTCGCTCCTATAACAGCATCGACTCCTCCTTCCACGAGTCCCCCACCGCAGTCACGTGGCCCCCATCGCTCCTACGCACCGGCTCTCGTCGCACCCAAGCCGGCGCTCGTCGATCCTCGCGACGAAGAAGCTCGGCCGCCCATGCTGACGAGAATGGCAAGTCGACGTTCCCCGGTCATTATGCCATGGAAAGGTTGGGGAGCAGTACTGGATCGGCAGGGTTGCAGGGAAGCGCAATTGAGGACTAGAGGGGGGGAGCTGGAAGTGACCTCGTATGTGTAGGGGTAAAGTCGTTCAGGGTGGACTGAAGGACCAGTCTTGAAGCTGTGACTCTTGTGCTAGTGTCACAACCGTGTATATAACCCTAAGTAAACTGTGGAATGACACTGCCTTGTATACATAGTAAATGTCCACGGTCAGCTCGGCCCTTTTTATTCGTCCGAAACCAGAGTCCGCAATGGGCTTATCGATGTGGATGGTCAGAGATGATTTTTAACCCACCGAATCGTCGGCCCAGTATGGGACAGAAATCGACTGGCCATCCCTAGCTACTGGGCAATTCTGACGACAATTCGACGGGAAGACGCCTCGAGACCCGCGGCCCCCGACGGGGATCGTTTAAGCGCCCGGCGGCGACCGCGCCAAGCTCGTACGCCCGGCCCAGCCAATCCAGTCACTCGTATCGCCGAGGGACGTATAGGTACCTACCTACGCAGAATGAGCTCGGTTGATTACAGCTTGATTGATCCGGCTTCCAGCTCCGCTGGATTTTGACTCTTGAGGACTTACGGTCCTTCCGGTTCAGTTCGGCGGCGTTTGCGCGCGGACCAAGCTGGGAGAAATAAAGCCCCTGTTCGAACCGAGCAAAGGATCAAACCCGGGTGCTGGCCACTACTCATCACGTGAGCCCGAATAAATTGATTTAGATTTACCCTAACACATCCTGCCCAAGACCTACTCGGGTACCTGGTACCTTCACGACACGTTGCCATTACAGCGTGTTCGACAAAGTTCCATAACGGCCACGCCGTTCATGAGTCAAGAACGCAGGCAGGCAGACGCCAGCGATTCTGATGCCGAGGCTGCCGAGGCAGGCGTGATCTCGCTCGGGCTCCATGAAAAGGCCGGCGAGTGGGTGCGACTGGGCAGGGAACGACTCGGGCAGGTGACGGAAGGCTTAGGTAATCGCTCTTCCACATGGTTTCATCGACACGCGCGCCTAAACCCTTTTCCTTTGTTGACGTGTCGCGGCCGCTTGACTGATCAACGTCATGACCAAATCCGATTGGACCACCACATGGCTGAAAACGGAGCAGACACTGCAGTACACTTGACTCGACTCGCGGTGTTGATCGTCCTCATGTAGGTTTATTGCATCGACACTGTATAATTGCATCGTTTGTTTCCCTTATATATCCTTCGATAGTGCATCACGCACTCGAGCTACCAGACCTTCTGCCAAGTCTACCACCCTATTCCCCCGACACCACCGCAAATCGATCGATAGCGGTCGCTCGGCTCAGCTTTCGATTCTCCCCGGACTTTTGATCCTCCGTTTCCTCTTCTCGCCCCTGCATTCGAGCCAACCTACCTTCGCCTCATAAGGAACCAACGGACCGAGACTCAAGAATCATGTTCTCTTCATTATTGTCGTCAAAGCCCAAGATCTCCGTCACGCTCGCTCAGGAGGCCATCTACGTTCACCCCTCGGCGGTCGAGGACCCTGAACTCTGGCAAGAGAATCTCCCGTCGCCTGATCCTCTCCTCTGTGGGACCGTCTTGGTGTCTTTGGCAACCCCGAGAGCCTTCGATCGGATAAAGGTGGTTCTAGAAGGACTTTCTGATGCGTTTGGTGAGTTCATTAAAAAATTAGGACGCTCAAGAACCGAAAGAGATCACTGAAGTTTCCGAAGCGCCCCTCATCATCACTGACTCTACGCCGGATCACCTGTTTTGTCGAAGGTGGAGGCTCCAACCCCTATGAAACGCGGACTACAATACACAAGGAAGTATGTGTCGAACTTGGTGGGGAGGTTCTGCCAGCAGGGAACCACGCGTGAGTCCCCCTTTGCCCAGCGCAATCCTCCAGAACTTTCAACATTGACACACGCTCTGAGTCCAAACGTTCTTCAAGATTCAACTTCAGCTTCATCATTCCTTCCAACACGGCCATCCATCAAAGATGCAACTATGGTCGCGTCAGACATTTTGTCAAGGCGGCAGGCTACCTCTCGGGTACGCTCGCAGGATCAATCACCACACCTCCTGTCGCATTCTTCGTTATCGCAAACCCCAGCAGGCCGGGGGAGCTTCCCTTACCGACCAACATCGACATTCAATACGTCAACGAACATCTTGGGCCGGTTGGAGTCCAGATCAACTCGCCCCATCTCACAGTGGCCAGTCTCCTCTCTGTACGAGTGGCCCTCCCGTCCCCGCCGGCTCCTGTCGAGATCAAGTCGATCAACTCGAGCATCCACCAGACTTACGAAGTTCACTACGTCGACGGCCGAATATCGAGACCACCCGTTCAAAAGCATCTGTTGACCAAAGTCAGCATGCGAGCATCACCTTCTCTATCAGTGCCGATCTGCACAACCGAATGTGGGACCGAAGCGCCCGAGTCGTCGACCGCCAGCGGCCCCGAGCCCGCCCAGTGCTTCCTTAGCAGACCTCTGACGAGGGACCCCACGGGTACCCCGTGTTGCCCTCCGAGACCCGACATCCCGGAGTCGGATCCTCTTCCACTTACTCTCCTAAAGGGCCAGGAAGATGATTTCGTCTACCACCGCATGTTCCGGTGTCCGACGGATGACCTCGTTCGACCTACGACTCTCGCAGGATGCAATGACAGTCCAATCAAGGTGTCGCATGCCCTCGTCATCGAAATACAATACCGGCTCGTCGACCAGCCCACCGACGTACCCGATTACGTCTTGACGATCCGAAAACCGATTCAAATCACATCTTGTTGCTGCCTGTGGGACTCGCTGCTGTTACCTGTCTATGCGCAAAAATCTCCCAAGATCGTCAAGCGCCCGCTACGAGAGGCGTGCATGTGCACCTACTCACTCGAAACGATGCTGGATCGGGATGGCGAGGCTTTGCAGAGAGCTGGCTCGATCGAGTCGTCGTCTGGGGAAGCAAGGTTCCTTGGTTCAGCTCGGTCACTCAAGTCCCCATCTTACAGTGAGGCATCGTCTTATGCATCCTCTTTGGTCGAGGAGCCCAGTTCAGTGGCACAGGATTGAGGAATTGACGGGCTCTAGGATGGCCTAGTGCTTTGGTGTCAAATTGCAATAGTAGAGGTAAGATGGCATGATCTGGAACATTCCAGCCGTAGTTCATTATACAAGTGAAGACACCTGTGCTGCCCTGTTGTGTGAATTATGGACGAAACGGGTGGGAGCTAGCACTCTTGAGAGTCTGCGGCTGGTGGACTTTTCTTTTATTTCCTCTAATAGTGATCAGTAGCTGCATAATTGTATAAAGGGGAAGAAAATACAAGCACACTGTCTGGACTGGGGGAATAATTTGCTCCACCGCAAAACCAAACTGTCGCCGCTTTCTTGACTGCCTTCGGAGAAGCGCTTCATGCAAACACCTATCCGAACATCTTGCTTTATGGGTGTCTTCGTGTTTCGTCGACTATGTTGAACTACAAGGAGCTTTATATGAAGTAAAATCTTGTCTCTTGTAACTTTATTGGCTCCACTCGAGCTCCAGCGCCTGAAGAAGTCGTCCTTTTTGTGTAGGCTAGCTGGAATTTGTTTCTCATTCTCATTCCATCCCCCACTCGAATGAGCGCGATGCCCGGCGCTTGGCGGCGTGTCTAGATTGCGCCGTGAGTCGGCCCGTGACACAAAGGCTTCCGATCGATCCTTTTCACGGCATCTTCATGCCGATCGCGACCATCTCGGCACAAATATCTTTCCATCGCATTCCTTTTACGCCGCTCATATATGCTGCCTGAATTACCGATACCCGGCCGCCGGTGCATTACGCTGAGGGACTTGACTCGATCGTCCACCCACGGGCGGGGGAACCATCCGTCGAACCTCGTAGAAGCCGTCGAAGCCGTTGAAGCTGGCAGAGTTTTCGCGGAACATCTCCGATCTGGATGAGCAGTGTTCAGATGTGACCTTATCTAGTCACCCTCGTCTTTCACCTTATCCTCGCTCTTTCATCGGCCGTGCTGCAAAGCTTCAAATTTCCGCCCGTATACCCGTCATCCTTCTAGGCGCTCCGAGTCAAGCGTCGCTCAGGCGCTCCGAGTCAAGCGTCGCTCAGGCGCTCCGTGCTTACCCATCGCTTAGTAACCCTGCCGCCGCTGCCGCCAATCACATATCGTTCACCTTTTTTGGACCAGCTCTCACTGGGTTTGCTGCCGCTACGGTACATCTTCCCTTTCCTTCTCACTGTACAAAGCTGCTTGTGAACATGCTCTCTTCGATGCTTTCCCGCCCCAAGATCTCGGTCACGTTGGCCCAAGACACCGTCTACGTGCACCCGACGTGCATGGACGACGAGCCGTGGCAGGACAACGCGCCCTGGCAGGACAACGCGCCCTGGCAGGACAACGCGCCCTGGCAGGACAACGCGCCCTGGCAGGACAACGCGCCCACGTGGGAGCCGATCGTCTCGGGGACCGTGCTGCTCTCGCTACCTTCTCCCAGAACGGTACATCGGATCAAGGTCGTCCTCGAAGGATTATGCGATGCTTTCGGTGAGTTCAGTATCCCTGCGGCCTCTTTGTCTCGGGGTTTGAGGAATTTGACATCGCGTCCGAGGCGTCCTCACTGACGCTCGAGTCAAAGCGTCCCGAGTATGGACGCCCGACACTGTGGCCTCGGCTCCGGGCTCCGAGCGCTGAAGGCTCAAAGAAATGGCGGGGCACAGCAAGTCTTAGATGACTGACCAGGCCTTTGCATACATCCAAAATGGTCAGGTGGCTATGAATCGCGTTACGAAACCTCGACGACGTTGCACAAGGACGTTTTTGTCGACCTCAACGGGGAGATGCTGCCTGCAGGAACCTATGCGTGAGCACCTCTTTCACCATCTTGCACCTCCCTCGACGTGACATAGTACCTGATCCAAAGTTCGGCGGTACTACAGCTTCAACTTCAGTTTTATCATCCCTTCGACTACAGCTGTATATCAAAAGTGTAACTTCGGCCGCGTACGACATTCTGTCAAAGCCACGGCCTATTTCACAGGGGCTCTAGCCGGCAACATCTCGACACCCCCTGTGGCCATGTTCGTCGTAGCCAATCCAAGCCGACCCGGAGAGCTCCCACTACCGACCAACATCGACATACAACATATCAATGAACATCTCGGACCGGTAGGGATTCAGATCAACTCGCCCCATCTCACGGTCGCGAGTTTGCTTAGCGTACGAGTCGCGCTTCCATCCCCACCCGCGCCTGTCGAAATCAAGTCGATCAACTCGAGCATCCACCAGACTTAAAAAAATCCACTATACCGATGGTCAAATCGCCAAACCGCCAACCCAGAAACACCTCTTGACCAAAATCAGCATGAAGGCGTCCCCCTCTCTCGCCGTGCCCATTTGCACGACCGAGTGCGGATCTGATGCCCCCGAGTCATCGGACGAGTTCGGGCCTGAACCGGCTCGTCGCTTCCTCAAGTATCCTTTGCTCCTCGATCCTTCTCATACACCATGCTGTCCCCCCAAGCCTGACGTAGCCGAGGTGGACCCCTTACCGCTTAAGCTCCTAAATGGTCAAGAGGACGAGTTCGTGTACATTCGCATGTTCCGCTGCCCTACGGACGCATACATCCGCCCCACATCGCTCGAAGAGTCCAACAACATCATTCGAGTGTCCCATGCTATCGTCGTGGAAATTCGGTATAGGCAATTAGGGCAACCGGCGAAGGAACCGGATCAAGTTCTAACTATCCGCAAGCCGATCTCTATCACCTCGTGTTGCTGCCTCTTGGACTCGCTCCAGTTGCCCGCCTACGCCCAAAACTCTCCCAATTCGGTCGTCAGACCTTTGAAAGAGGTCTGTCAGTGCGCATTCACTCTCGAAGCGATGCTCGATCGTGATGGGGAGGCATTGCAGCGAGCGGCATCGATCGAGGAACCGACAGGCGAGACGAGGCACGTTGGCTGCGATCGCTTGAACAAATCACCGGCCTACACCGAGCCTTCTTCCTATGCGTCTTCACTTGCACCCTTACCCAGCCCACCTGCTGAAGACTAAGCGGTTGTTTTACTTGTTGGTTCACGCATCTTGGGGCTCTCTCTCTTTATCCTCGTAGTAGAAGTTCTCTCTTTATCCTCGTAGTAGAAGTTCTCTCTTTATCCTCGTAGTAGAAGTATTTGTTCGTTTAGAACCTCCTCTGTTTCTCAGTGACATGTAACACTGGTTTTTTTTGTTCGTACATGCACTCTGCGAACCCTGATACTTACATACCTTCAGCCGCAGCGACCTGAGCCGACTTTTCCCCCGCCGCCTCATCAGCGAGTTTCCGACAGCTCGTCACCACATCCAGCACCTCGCCTAAGATCTTGCCCAATCCATGATCCTCCGACGTCGTCATGATCAACCTCTCCTCAATCGCCATCAATGCCTCAGCCCCCACCTTGGCCTCCGCGAAATCATGTCGTTCCAACCTCGCCCAAACACTTTCCCTCGTCGCGTTCGCTCCACCACTCTCTTCGACCGCAGCGAGCTGTTCAAAGATCGACGTCGCGCCTGGACCCATGAGCGAATGGACCGAAGCGCCTCCGGCTGCTGCACCGAGCGAAAGCTTGACCGTTCGAGCGACATTACGAATGACGATGCACGCGAGGAAGCCCAACCCCGCTGGTTCTCCCGTATCGTCCAAAACTGCATGGTAACGATGATGCATCAACGTACTTGTGGGATCGAGCACGGGAGGTGGGTTCAGTCGATCTGCCGAGGTCGTGAATGCGGTGGAATGATCGGCGGCGAGGGACTCGATGTCGAGGTGTGGTAGGGAGGGGACGTGCACGCGCACATGGACCAACATTTCCTTTCGGTTCAACGTCGTGAAGGGGCATTTGGTCCAATAGCAGCTCGTTGCGGGGGAAGCGACAGAGACATGCCTCTGCTCGAGGTGAGCGTACAGCGCAGAAGCCGATTTATACCCGTGCGCCGCATCACAGCCCGTCCATCTGCACGTAAACACCTTTTCGAGATCTGCAAGTATAGTCCGCAATGAGTAGGCGTCAATTGACGTAATATATTGAAAAAGTGAGGCAAGGGGCACCCACCAACTCGTTCGCGAACTCGCAGTCCCCGAATGATGAACTTGCGCTCGCTCCCTTCTTGATGAACCATCGGCATCGCAGTGGGGTGCGCCTCGGTCGACATCTTGATCACGTCAGCGGCGGCGAGCAAAGGTGCGCTCATCGGGACGGTGGGCAAAGGTTTCTCGAACTCCGCTCGGTAGGCCGTCCAGAACGCGACCTGGGTCAGACTTGATTCGGGATCGGCTTCAAAAACGTATCGCATCCTATAGATGATCCGTAAACATATCAGTGTGGCGTTTCACCAGGCACAGAGTAGACGGAAAAGACTTACCAAGTCAACGTCCTCTCCGGCTCATTCAGGACTCGCAACTTGGCGCTCTCCTCCGCATCTAACTCAGCTGGGTTCTGCACGTTGAGCATTGCGATCCCAGGGTCGGACGAATGTCGAGGTGCCAACTTGCGATGCCACTCGGCAGCCTGTCCTCCCTTGACCGGAAGCGTCACTTCGACAATCTCCTTCCTTGCGCCGATATGAAACTTGGTCGTCACGAGCGACAGGATACCTCGTAAATCGGGTCGAGCCGCGAACGCGATTGCGTTCAAAGGGATGAGGGTGTGTTGGTACATAAAGTCGAGCACGGCGGAGGAGATCTCGAAGTCGGCGACGGGAAGCAATTCGACAGCGGTGTCGATGGGGTGCGGGTAGGGCTTCGGTAGAGGGGCGTGCTCGTGGTACGAGAAGAGGGCAAAGACGGGTTCGGATTTGTCATTCTGGGAAAGAGCCGTGAGGCATCGGAAGGAGGAGATGACGAGTGCTCGGTCGGTCGATCGCGTGAGAGCGACGAGAAGAGCGAAGAGGCGCACGGCCGGCGATGAAGCCGGTTCGGGTGCTCGCTTCGACGGACCATTGCCGTGACCTGATGCCTCCTTGAGCGTCGCAATCGCATAGCCTGGCAGCGTGAGAGGTACATGCTCGGCGATGACTTCGAGCAGTTCGAGGACATGGAGCCGTAGCTCGGCGATCTCTTCCCCCTCGGGTCCGTCCCTCGCGCCTTCGTCGAGCACGTCCGCGATCAAAGCCGGCAGCTTCTTGCTCGTCTGCAGCAGCTTGGCGCTAGACCGTTCCAAAGCGATGTTGCGAATGACGAGTCCGGCCTCGCACGCCCTTCTTCGCCAGGTCTCTCGTTTGTGGTCAACGGAGAGCGCGTTTAGGTGGGCTCGGACGGTCGCACGTTGCGCCTGCTTGACGTCGAGGTAGGAGTTGATGATGCCGATGAGCGCATCGATGAGTCCGGGAAAGTCGGGTAATCGCAGTAGGTCGGGATCTGTGCCTGCGACTTGGACGAGCCGTTCGAGCGCGAAATCGATCTCACCGGCGAGGCCGGATCGCAAGGACAGGGTGAGACGGTTGTGAGGCCCTGGTTCCAAGTAGTGAGCTGTTGAGGAAGATGAGAGCGTAGAGGGTTCAGTCGTGAGAATGGTGCTCCTCGATGGGGTGGGTGCGCTCGCTCTCTCGCGACGACGAGGACCACATCCACAGTGGCTCTGAACGCGTCGTCGCACCCAACACACGAGACTGACCTCCGCCGAAATGAGCGGCCCAGCGCTCCCTCGCCAGGGCCCTTCCGCCTAGATGAGCATGACTTGATGCGGCGGCCGAAGCAGCCGACGCCCCAGCGTTGCCGACGCCATAAGGACGACCGCCGGCCTGAGCGCCGTAGCCGTGAGGACGGGACGACGAGCTCGAGCCGGGCGTCGGATAGGGCAACGAGGTGTTGGGGTAGGGCTGGGTGCGAGCGTAGGTAGTCGGGCCAGGGCGTACGACGAGCGACGAGCCCGCGCGCGTTGACATCTCGTGCGGATGCTCGTTGGAAGATGCTCCTGAGACGGGGTTGAACGTTGCACGTTGAGCGCTGAGCCCGGGGGGACGCGACGCGCCTTGTTTTTGAATGGGAGGGGTTGTTCGGGAGAGGGGGTGTGTCGAAGCGGCTCGACGTGCCTGCGCGCGCATGGGCTTGAGCACTGAGCAGTGCTTGAGCTGGCAAGAGCTGGCGTGAGCCGCAGACTGGCGTGAACTGCTGACGGGAGCTGAAGCTCTGAAGCGCTGAAGCGCTGAAGCGCTGAAGCAAGCCCCCGCGCCCCGCGGCGCCGCAGGCACCCAGGCACGACGAAGCACACCCGCGGCGGTCAAAAAAAATGTGGAGTATGTAGTCAGAAAATGTCAGCCACTGGAATGGATGGTACAAGCTCAATAGCCGACTCGATCTGTTTCTCAGGAGGTTGAGACTAAAATAACAGTCACAGAGCCACTATTTTTGGGAATTGCAGGGACGTTGTAGCTGCCCTCTTGCCCCTCTAACCGGGTGTTCGGTACCGGACGGCGTCCAGGCTAGCCGAAGCCAGCTCGGGCTTTCTCTCTCCTCTCGTCTGATCTTCCCGCTCGTGCGCGCTCGTCTCGCTTGTCGTGCCGTGCGTTGTCGAGCTGGACCACAACGCAAGGCCATGAACGACCGCTACTTGCCCTCGCCGGCGGGCACACAGCTGCTCGTCGACGTGCGCGGGGCCGAGATCATCCCGTGTGACGACGACAGCCCTCGCATCGGCCTGCCCAATCACGAGGAGATGATCTCCCACATTGCGCTCGATGTCAGTTGGCGTCTCCCGTTCTCCTCTCGGTTCGCTCTTGCTCTTGGCGTCTTGGCTCTTACTCTGCACAGCGTACGCACGCCCACAGATTGGTGGATCGCTGGCCAAGGTCGTCTACTTTACTCGGACACCGCGCAGTTCGTCGCGCAAGCCTCAGCCATCCTCGAACGCTGCCACGACCAGCTCGGTCGACTCGTCCTCGTCCTCCTCGACACCCACCACCCCTCACTCGACGAGGAACCGAGACAAGTCGCCTGAAACACCGCCGGCATCTCCAGCAGCGAAGCCGAATGGATTCCTCAACCCAAAATCACTGCTGCAACGCCCCTCCTCGATCCATGCGCCCACCTCATCCTCGTACTCCTCCCCAGCGGCCTCCCGCGCTTCCTCTGCGGACCCATCCTCCAGCACTGCACCACCACCAACACCTGGGTCCACATCATCAAGTCGATACCCGCCCTTCTCATCGCATCTGCGACGACGGTCCTCGACGTCGCGTATCCCTTCCGGTGGTCGGCTCAACTTTATCAAGTTCGAAACCTCGAACCTATCCGCTTGCATCGACTTCCTCTCGACTCTCATCTCCTCCTCCGCATCCTCGAACGGCGTTCCCTTGGAAGTGATGAAACGAAGTGTCAAAATCATGGCCACCGGTGGAGGAGCCCACAAGTACCACCAACGATTGAGGGACGAGTTGGGCGTCGAGGTGCGAAGGGAGGAGGAGATGGAATGCCTCGTTCTGGGATTGGGCTTTGTGATGGAGGTTCCGAACGAGGTATTTTGGTATTCGGATGAGCTCGTACAGGCCATATCTCACCCTTCGACTTCGTCCACGACGACCTTTACTCCAAAGGGGACACTGAACCCGTTCCACGACCCTGAGCCCATCCCCACTTCCACGAGCAGCACCGCTTCTCCGAGCCACGAAGACGAACTCCCTCGTCCCTCACCCAACCCACCAAGCTACTCTCTCTCATTCGATGCCAGTCCAACCCCCGCCCAATTTCCCTGTCTGCTCGTCAACATCGGTTCGGGCGTGTCCATCATCAAAGTCGACGATTATGGGAAGTTCGAACGTATTTCGGGAACGAGTTTGGGTGGGGGTACGTTGTGGGGCTTGTTGAGTTTATTGACGGGGGCGAAATCGTTCGATGGTCAGTGCCTGACTTTCGATCTCTATCTCTTCGAAAACGCGCTGGTCTGACTGATGACTGACCGACGATTCCGTTCCTTTCCGTGCAGACATGCTCGCCTTGGCCGACAAAGGGGACAATTCTTCGGTCGACATGTTGGTCGGCGACATCTACGGCCAAGATTATCAAAAGATCGGACTCAAATCCTCCACCATCGCCTCTTCCTTCGGCAAAGTGTTTCGTAAAGACGAGGAGCAAAAAACCGTTCCAACCTCGGATGCGGCGTCCGCTTTCTCTACCCAAGCCGAAGACCGTCCCAAGAAACACTTCAAACACGAAGACGTCTCCCGCTCGCTCCTCTACGCCATCTCCAACAACATCGGCCAAATCGCCTACATGAACGCCGAGAAACATCACCTCGACCGCATCTATTTCGGAGGCGGTTTCATCAGAGGTCACGCGGCGACGATCTCGACTTTATCGTACGCGATTAGGTTTTGGAGTAAAGGCACCAAGAAGGCCTTGTTCTTGAGACATGAGGGGTATTTGGGCGGGATTGGCGCGTGGTTGAAGAATTTGAGTGAGGGGTACGAAACGCCTGTCATTGGCAGGGGGGAGGTCGCTTTGCCTTTGCCCGAACCGATTGAGGTTGGCGGGAGATCAAAGGGAGAGAGGGAAAGGGGGGATGAGGTGGCTGCGAATGAGGATGAGGCTGATGGGGTGTCGACGCCTATACCGACACCGATATTCGATAGTGCGGTCAATGGTTTGCAGGCCGCGTTGGAGGTGGCCGAGGGCAAGTCGTCCAGGACATGATCTCGGGTAGTACTATCCCTCCTTGGCAATCCTATCTTGTGCTCGCACCGCAAGGGTACCCGGAGCCCTCAAGATTTTTCTATGGACAGACATGTAAACTTCATAACCAACAGGAGAGAGTAGTACTACTAGTCAACATGCGGGGGGAAAGAAGACAAGCCAAAAAGAATCCAAAAAGCCGCTAGCAATCGTATTATCTTTGTTTCGTGGAGGTGATTTACTTGGTCTTCTCGCCAACCTTCTTCGAGACGTCCTATGAGTAGGAACACTTGGCTCAATTAGCATCCCATGGGCGTGGAAGCGTTCTTCTTAGATTCCGTGCACTCACCGATGCAGCCGAGTCGGCCTTCTTGGAAAGGCCGTCAGCGGTGTTGGAAGCGGACTTTGCTGCCGAGTCGTAAGCATTGGAAGCCTTGTTCTTCAAGCTGGTTGGGGAAGGATATGTCCTAATTCATCAGTTCTGTGCACGCTAACCCCAGATCGATTCAGCTAGAACTGACTCTTGTGTGCTCGAGTTGCTGAGCTCGTCGGCTCCCTCTTCGACCTTCTTGGCGCCGGTCGCAATGATGCTGTGTGACGGGTAGCTCCGACACAAATCAGCATCGATATCGGATTTTAGCCTTGATGCCACCGCACTCACTTCTCGGCGGCACCAATGGCGCTGGCAGCGACCTCTCGGACCTTCTGGACGACACCCCTGCCTTGGGGCTCGGCTTGGTCGGCACCCTCATGGGCAGTCTCCTTGGCCTGTTGAGCGCCACCGGCAACGACACTACACATAATTGGAAGGGTGCGATGAGTCAGTACATGCAAATCTCTCGTCGGAAGTGCCCTGCCCAGGATCTAGCCAGTTCGAAAATCCTGCGCCGGGAGAAAACCCTCGCTCGGTCTGGACCAGGTCAAAGGCTGGAATAGCAATTGCACTGACCCCTGAACGGTGTGGAGCACATTGGCAGCCAAATCTCTCGACTCGTTGACGAGACCACCAAGAGTGACGCCACCTTGCTTGTTCTCGGTCGCGTCCTCGACGGACTCGGCGGCCTTGTGACCGCCAAGGCCGACGACGGACTTGGCGTATTCGACCGAGTGCGAGGCGAGGTTGGTGGCTTGGTGGAGGATCGTCTCGTCACCGACGGTACCACCGGTGGCGTTTCCGACTGTCGGGTGGTGAAAAAAGGGGGGTGGCGAAGCGAGTCAGCAATCGGTTTCAGATTTCAGCGGGGCAGAGTGACGTTGAGCGTGATCGGGAAACTGTGGCCGTGTCGGGCGAGGGCTCCCGGGTTGCAGCTAAGGAAGCTCTCGAAGTGCCACTGCCACTGCCACTGCACAGCCGGCATTCGGCATGTCGTCCCAAACCAGCAGACTACAGAATATGACAGCTCATGCAAAGAGTATAGGTGACTGACCCTTGTTGGAGATGGACTCGTTGGAAGACCTGCGGCGGAGGGTGAAGATTTGGTGGCCGGCGAGAGAAGGACGTCATCGACGGGTCAATCGTCAGTTCGGGCAATGGTTCGGGGAACGGGCCACGTCATACGACTACCCTGAATCATGTAACGCTACTCACATATTAAAGGGTGTTGGTTGGTTTGAGTGTTGTGGATGGGAGTAGCAGTGAATGGATGCGGGAGGGGAGAGTTAAGAGAGAGCGAAGGAGAGAGAGAGAGAGAGAGAGAGAGCAAGCGAGGCCTTGTGCCCAATCGTGATGTCGTCATAGCCAGCGACTGCCAGCGACTGCCAGCGACTGCCAGCGACCCGCCGCCGAGGCTCGACGTGGCAAGCGCAGTCACCCACTAGTTGCGCGTGTCAACGCCCCTCGACGCGTTTGATCATCAGAAGCACACAGAAAGTGCAAAGAAAGTTGTCCCTTCCTGCGTCTCATCGGAGCCGATCAAATACTCCGACGATCGACGATCCTTGACATGCTCACCCCTTCGACGGGCCCCCCGAGCTTTCCTCGCAGCTCTCTCGGGGTCTTCACATTTGATGCGTAGTACCCACGGTCCGGGCGATCCCGCTCCAATAGCAATTACAACAGATGGCTTCAGAAAATAGCCTCATCACTCCCACTCCAATCCCTACTTCTTGACCCTGATGCCCAACATCGCCGCCATCCGATCGCTGCTCTTGCCCTTCTTCTTCATCGGAGGTGGCTTCATCGTGCCCGCCTTGGAGACGAAATCCCGATGTTCGGCCGATAGCAAGGATGCAGGCGTCGGTTCGACTTGGTCCAATTTACGCTTGATCGAAGTTGTTGTAGATGCTGGTGTGGTGGAAGGACTTGACACAGCGAACCCAGAACCAACATCTTGTCCATCCCTCGGTGTTTGTGGACTATCCCCGGCTTCCGAACCAGAAGATGACAACGCCGCCGCTTCCTCCAGCTCGATATCCGGTACTCCGCCCACATGGGTCCTCCCAAATACCTTTCTAATCTCCTGTTCGTCCTCCTCTTCCTGCCTCTTCAAGCCCTGCTCGTACTCTGTCAACTTGCGTCTCACGTCCCGATCCCCGACCTCGACCATGGTCGTGACCCGATCCAACGCCTTGTCCGCAATGCCGTCCTTCCTTCCCGCTCGTTCGATCCTCGCATTCTTGGCTTTCAGTTCCTGCAACGCGTCGAGGATGTCCATCTCGCGCTTCGAGTCGATCGCTTTCGATTCCAGCTCGGCCATCGCGTTGGATTCCTCTTCCTCGAGTTCGGTCAAACGGTCGACGTTGGGATCGGTATTGAGTGGTTCGGCTCGCCAGGGTTCAAAGTTGCGTTGGGCACCGTGTTCGGCTTGGTAATCGGAGTTTCTGAAGGAGGGAAAGATTCTAGGTTGGCTCCGAGAAAGAAGATTGGTCGATGTCCAGTGCCGCTCTCACCCGACCAGCTTACTTTGGATCGGTCTTGAACGTGATCTCGGCCGAGCACTGCGTGCACTTGATGTAGAACCGAAAGATCTACGCAAGTAGCTTCACACGCATCAGCAATCGCCTTTGGACGGACGGGGCAACGCGTCAGCTCACCTTGATCCCATAGTATTCCTCGCCCAAGACGGTCTCCTTGCGCGCGTTGAATTTCTTGCCCTTGTAGATGTACTCGCCACAGGTCGTGCAGCGCATCGAAAAGGGGGCCATCAGACGGACGACCTGTTGCTTGTCCTTGGGCATCTTTCGCCGAGGGATCTGGAGAGAGCGTCCAGAGGGCGTGGGAGCTCAGTGGAAAGGTCCCGACAAGAGGGGAGAGCCGAGCCTAGGGTCGATCGCCTACCTTTGAAGGATCAAAGTCCGCGGGAAAGTACTGTGGGTGGGAGGACAATGTGGTCGAGTCAGCCGGTGCTTCTGGGGGTCGGGGTCGGGGTCGGGGTCGGGGTGGGGTGGGGTCCAGCAGAGAGAACGGGGCGCTTACCTTGTTGAGCACCTTACGTTCCGACATGGTGGCGGATTAGACTCGACGTGCGAGGTGGAAGTGGGTCTGCGGTTGAGAGAGGTTCGTGCTTGTATGGTCTCGGACTGCGACGGCGATGCTCCGGGAACAGGCGGGAGACTGGCTGGCGTGACGAGACAGACGGACGGGCGAGGCTGCTGGCGTGCGAGGTGGTCGTGCCGCTGCGTGGGGGGTGTGGGCAGTGCTAGGTGTGCCTATGAGCTGGCTGCACGTAGACCCGTTGAGACGTGCAGCAGGTTCGGATGCGTTTCGATGTGGCGAGGTCGAGACAGAAAGGAGCCTGACCGGTGGGTTCTCTTTGGTTCTCAGCGGGCCTGGCGATTCTGATTATTAGATTCTGTCTTTGACGACAAGATTAGCCTCAATTGTAATCTCGAATTTTGTGACGACTTTGGATGATTTCAATCGGATTCGATTGGGCGGGCGCGCCGCGCGCCTCCACAGAGTCCGAGCGAGAGATACCTCTTGTTCATACCCACATCTCGAGTCGAGCAACACACCGCAAAGTATGTCGGCGACTCAACCTTGCGCGTCGCTCTACGTCAGCAACCTCAACATCAGCATCAGAAAGGACGGCAAGTAGCGCGCGCACTCCCACCAGCCTCAGCTTACCCATCCTGTCTTCGGCTGACCTCTCCCCCCATCACTCATCACTACACGTACGCACCCCAGAGCTCAAACGATCGCTCTACGTCCTCTTTGGTCTGTACGGCAAGGTATTGGACGTCGTGCACGTCAGGGCGGCCAAGGTCCGGTCGACGGCCTTCATCGTCTTTCGTGAACTCGCACCCGCGACCGCCGCGTTGAGGGCACTGGATGGCGAGGCATTCTATGGATTGCAGTTGGTACGCTCTCCGGATACGCTAGCGTGACTATTGGCTGCCCTTCCCGCTTCTCGACTGCGAATTCAGCCTCGAGATCGCTGAAACGCCCCCCCCCCCGCTGATCCCTGTTCTTCGCTCCCTCCTCCCTCCTCCCTCCTCCCACCTCCCACCTTCCATTCTTCACCACCACCAGCGCGTAACTTACGCCAAAACCCCTTCCCACGCCACCATCGCCCACCACGAAGGCCCCGAAGCCGTCTACGCCATCAAGCTCGGTCTCCGTTCTGCCGCCGACGCCGCGAGTGGCAGCAAGTCCAAATTGATCGTCTCGAGCGCGCAAAAGAACCAACTCGAAGCGTTGAAGAAGGCCAAGAGGGGCAGGGACGATGGTGCGGCTGCCGAGGAGGAGGAAGAGGAAGACAGCGAAGATGGGGAGGGGCCGGAGAAGAAGAAGGGCAAGACGGGCGAGGCCGAGCAGGACGACGGACCGGACGAGCAGGAGGAAGATGGTCAGTTTGGCCAGGTTATCACGCGTCGAGGGTGGCTAGGAGCTGACTTGCGTACTACACTACCTGCACAGACGCCATGGACGAGGAATCGGACGAAGACGTACCACTCTCTACAGCAGCAACATCAAAGTACCCCGCCGAGGCCAGCCCATCGCTCTTCATCGAAGGATTGCCCGCCGAGGTCACGGGCGAGATGCTGCTACCCTTGTTCCAACAGTCAGTACACCATACCAAGTCGGCGCGTACACGCATCTCCACTAACGCGGTCCAGCTTTTGACCCGTCCTAGATACCCCGGTCTATCCTCGGTCAAGTTATTACCGACCCCTCCTGGTTCGGGAACGAATGCGGGCCGAGCACACGCCGTGTACGAGACTGTGGGACAGGCATCGACGGCCAAGGAGGCGCTCGACCAGTTCTTGTTGGCACCTCAGACACCCATGTCTGTTAGTTGGATGAAGAAGGCCTAAGGGGCGTGTGGGGGTACGGGTGAGCATGCGATGCCTGCCACTGTGTGCTTCTGTTTGTTTGCCTAGGGCTAGACAAACAAAAGCGTGTTTTGGATGACCCGCAATGTACTATTCGCACCTAAACTGCAAGCTGGCTCACGAGGGGAGGTCCTAGCTCGCACCTCAGGCAGACTAAAAAGTAACCAGTCTTAGTAGCGCCGCCGCGCGGCCAGAAAACCCTATGCAAATAGGCGACCTGGGCCCGGTAGCAACACTGCTACCGACGGTAGCAACTCGGCGCCGGGAACAAGCTCGCAATGGTTTAAAGTCATTACAATTGATCCGGAAATGATTTTCCGGCTTGACCCTATGACGTAATTCATTGGCGGGAGAAGCTTGTAGAGCTTATAGAAAAGCTTGTTGAAGTCCAAGTATATCCATTAACGCCTCAGCACTGCTGAAGCCGTGGTATGTCTGGCCCAATGCAACACGTGATCTGACGCGGCGAACAGGTCCGAACCTGACGGAATCGACGCGTGTTGTGCGTTGTTGATACGTAGACAGCTCTTGTCCTTAGGCCCGCTTTCGCCCGTACATTCAACACAAGACCCATTGGTCTCGCCGCGAATATCCTCGTCCTCGATCGCTGAACCGCATACACGTCACGTCCCTCGTTGATCTCCATTGATCTTGTGATCCTTTCACATCGCCAACTCATACCAAGTTTCCACGCTTCGGCGCTCGACAAGCCCCACGTGTATGTCCGGCGATCGTTTTCCGGGCTTTTACCAGAGAACGAGCTTCTGAGGGCCTGCTGACATCCACGTCTTGACTATAGATTCATCGCGTCGCCTCGGAACATTGCGGGCTCCTTCCCTCCTGGATAACCATTCACAAACAAGGCTCTGGGTGCGTGGTGGAAGTGCGGCTGCGCGGTCGTCGTCGCGCTGTTTGACTGGTTTAATGCAGCACCGTGTCGTTCTGACCTTCCCCTGTTCGCCTTCCAGCCTCTGCCTGCACGATGTTCTCTTCCAATGCCATTTCGTCTAGCGAGCAATATGATGCGTACCATCCAAGTCCTGCGCCGCCCAGCCGACCGCTTGACGCTCCCGCGTTCGCAAACATCGATTATCCAACCTATTCGCTCGAGTCGGGTAGCCACGCGTCCGCCTTCCCAGACGACCTCCCTGTCCTAGGCAGCACAGCTAGCACAGGGCACCCATCAAGTCGACCCTCCTGTCCCGCCAATCGCCTGCTGCCTGACCCCCTTCAATTGCCAATGGAGGAAGCCAATACATCGTCGGGCGTCCTGCAGCCCTCGCCGAGTTTCTCATCAGTAGATGGAAGCACCCCGACAATGCATCCATCACCACTTTCCGCCGCGGATCAACAGTTCGCCCGCGTCGAAGTCCCTGTCGCCACCGTACCGATCCGAGTTTCGCCTTTGACGCCAGCGAAGAGGCCGATGGGCCCTAGCCTCCACGAACAGAGCAAGGCTATCCCTAAGCGCAACTGTCGCAAATCCGAACGACTTATGCACGAGCAATGGGCCCAGAAAACACACGACGAAGAGCTCGAGTATTGTATCCGACACAATATTCGACTCGATTATTTGAGGAGCATTGTTGCGCCCGTGACTCGCTTTGGCTCTTCCACTTCCTGGAATGACTTTGTGCAGAGCAAGTACTTCGAATCGCTGGCAGTTCAAGATGGATTGGAAGGTAGGCACAGCTCTTGACTACCTGACTACCTCGTGCTAAATTCTAGCATAGCATTGCACTACGCTGTTGTTGAACTAACGGGCTGGGTTGGTCCGCTTTCGTGCCGACCAATTTGGTGGAGAGGGTTAAGCTCGCAAAGCCATATTGGAACGACATAAAGGATGACGCAGAGGCGATGACGAGGTTTGACGCGGCGCTTGCCTTGGAGCGTGAGGAAGCGACGCAAGCAACGCAAGCGACCGAAGGTTCATCTTCCATCAAGATCGCCAGAAACAAGCCGATGAGTCACGAAGCCATCAAGAAAGCGCGCCGATGCATGCAAACCGCGTTGGAAACCATGGTGAGTCCAAGCTCAATTTGATACTGCTCACAGTAAAGTAACTGAAAGGATCATAACACCCTCAAAACCAACCCAGAGCACTTCATATGCGCAAAAATATGGACTCCAATTGTTTGCTGTGGTCTCTTCTGATCTTCCTGAACTCAATAAGGAGCGTTTCATGGTCGCGAGCCCCGGTGGTTTGGCCTTTGCCTATCGACAAGACTGGGGCGATAGTTTGGGTTCAAGACAGCTGCTCTCCGACTTCGCGGATTGCGTTACCGGTAGAGCGTTCTTGGAGGACAAAAAGGCCGAATTGGAAGCAGCTGGTCAGTAGGTGCACGCGCCGACAGACTATTGTCACTTGCTGATTGACGTCCGTTACGCTGTCACGCAGTTTGGGAGGCGCCACTGAAGGAAGTGAATCTTGAAACAAAAGCCTCGTGGTACAGCACGATTGTGAAAAAACTTTTCAGTGTGGACTATGTTCTAACCGAGATTTCAGTTGCTGCTCACTTGTTGACTGCTAACGATGAGTCTTCTTCTCGGTGCAGATGATGCCGTGATGCGACGTACCAAGAACCAAGGGCACGAAAACAAGAGCAAACCGCCCAGGTTGGTGTACGACCCAACCGCGCTCATGCAACAGGCCAGTATCGTAGTTGAATGTGGCCCGAGCCTCAACTTGGAGACGGACTTCGCCAGCCCCATGGGCAAGCAAAAAATGTCGGGGGCCGACTTGGATCGTATCATTCCCCTGCTGCGTGCAGGAGAGTTGAGATTCAGGCTAACGGAAGAGGTACTAGCGGATGAAGAAGATGAAGATGGTGCAGCTATCCCTGCCAACGGCCAAGATGGCAGCGCGGTGAGCCGCCCCGATTCCGACGAGCACTCTTAGAGCTTAGGGCAGCAGCTCTCGACGCCGAGATGAGCCGGCGCGCTGGGACGGACATGAAGTGTAGGGCTGAATTGGAAGATACAACGAGTGGATGCCGCTGGACGAAGCAAGAAGACTACTGGACTTAGTACACCAAGGATCGTGTCTGTAGTGCACCAAAGCCGCGAGCGTATGCTGCATGATGTTCGCCGTAATGATACCTCTGCTGCTTCCGCAGAACAAGAATACTGAAATGCTCCGTTTTCTGAAAATTTCGGATTGTAACATGCTCTGCGTCCTCCGAAATAGACTGCTCTGGATCCGCAATTCTCTAAGTGCGCTCTGACATACGCAGTTCCGGATTTCCGCGACTGAGTATTCGAGGTGTTCGAGGTGTTTCGAGAACATTTTACACTGGCGCACGGCCCAAAAAGTCTTATCCGATCTCTCATTATGACGACTAGCGACCGAGTATGACGGTCCATGCTCAAGTGCTTGCCCCGAGTTGAACCCGCCAGCATGTCGTGCCTCGTCCGAAAGTGTGTTTCACGCGGTGTGGGCATCAGGTATTTGCCACGGGGGTCCCGACGTTTCGGTCCATCTGATCTGTCCAATCAACTCAGTCTGAAGGCGAGCCGGTCTTCTCAACTCCAAAGTACCAGGCGACTCTTCGTGCTAAAGTTGAAATCATTATTACTAGGGTTTGAAGTGTGAGGAACACTGTCAGGGAATCTCGCCGTTCCTAGCATCCGATCCAAGTGGCGCTGCTTTCGCTCGGTATGTAGCAAATCGCACGTCTCGTATTGGCCGCCTATTACAAATATTACACCCCACCTTGCCGGGAATCCAGTGAGTGGGCCCGGGACTCCGACGGGTAACTCACAGTCGCCGCTCCTTCGCCCTTGCAGGCTGACATGTGGATGCCTGTCCATGCCAAAAGAGAATTGGTTTGTCGCATTCACATTACTTTTTGAGCATTGTCAAGGAGTAGCTTGGCGGATCCCGGCTGGTGTGGGACTGCGGCGACGCCACTAAAATTGAAGCTCCTCAAAAGCGACTCAAACTCCGGTTGAAAGTCGATGAAAGGGTTCAGATTTTGTCACAAAGCGATTTCGGTGTGTTGAAAACAAAATTTAGACGTTCACAACGGATTGGAAACATCCGAAGTTGCCACCGGCCGCCGGCGCCACCAGATGTCAAGCGACGCCAGAATACTACTTTTTCTTATTATCGAATAGATCTCATTAACAGCACAATTATTTTAGTACCAAGAAATCTTCGGACAAGTCGGAGGAAATGCTTTAAGCACACTGGCTAACGGCCACAGGTATTAGCTTGGCCGCCTTATTTTGCTTTGTAAGAGTAGATATTGCGCACATTTCGCTCCTTCAGCTCCTCTCAACGTCCTGTCCGCTGCTGAGAGCGCGTAGTGAGTGAGGCTCGGAGTCACCGACGCAGTGCGGAGAGCGCGTACGTAGTGAGGCTCGGAGTCACCGACGCAGTGCGCCGGCCCAATAGCAGGCAGTTAATTTACTCACTGATGACGCGTGGGCTCTTCGGCACCCATGACCAGTCAGAACCCAATTCGAATCGCAAGGGTTTCCCCGGAGTGTATCACATCGGACTCAATCGGAGTGATCCCACAGTGGCCTCTTCAAGGCGGCAACTTGAGCTAAGCCTTGAAATTTCAGCTTCAACCTCCCGGATGATGTCAGCACAAGTCGAGACGCATAGAGCATGCGACAGTGCCCACAAGCAGCGATGCTTCTAGCAAAATCGTACTCAATTCCGAGGAAGGGGTGGCAACAGGCGCCTTCAGGTGCAGTGCTCACGGGAACATGGCTCGGGCAAGGGGAACCTCCGACCCGTGTTCCCGTAGGAGGACGCTCGTGCGTACATCCAAGTATTGCGATTGAACCCCGCCTGACGACAGGAGATATGTTGGTCATACTGAAGGGACCTGCTCACCCATTTTGACAAGGTTCGTGCTTCAGTTACTCGAGTAACAACTGGCGCTTCGAGTGAAAAGTCACTCGGCTCGGGCAAGGGGAACCTCCGAGCCATGTTCCCCTGATAAGAGGACGCTCTGCAGAGGCACGCTCGCACTCCCCATTACTTCCGACCATCCGAACAGTGGGCTGAACCCTGCCTGACATGTCATGGTTCGTGCACATTGATATTGCAAATGCAGTAATCATTGTCACACCATTAATCATTCGAACTCATGGTATAATTACTGCAGCCAGTGTTTTTCACATTTCATTCTTCCGAGTCAGAGTCCGACAAAGAACGCTCCTCGTCGGGAACCAGATCATCAGAGCTGTCCGAATCGTATAGCATGCCCTCTTGCTGCTCCAGCATCTCATGCAAAGCCTTTGCGCCTTCTACATTCATGTCAGCATTCAGCTGCTCCGTGATGCGCCGCGCGAGCAGACGATCGTCATCGGTGGTCCGGAACGACTCGGACGGCGCTGCATAGGCGCCCGATGCGTCCTCCCGAGGCGCAACACTACGCGCGCCAGCTCCAGTAGCTGTTGTCGTCTTGGAGACGTTGCCCGGGTTCAACAGCAGATGCGGGGTGAGACGCTTCAGAGCTCGAGGGACTGGTTCGTGCGTATCCGCTGGTCCTCTGGTCGTGTACCACAGCAGTAAGAAAGTGCTATCGCGGAACCAGTCTCGTTCGCGCTTTTGAAGAGCCCTCATCGGCACGGTCCCGGATCGTTGCGTAGACGGTACTGCCAAATGCGCGTTCAACACGATCATGGTCATAAATCGTTGGAGCGGAATCTATTTGTGTTATCAAGAACGTATCAGCATCTAGACTAGTGGAGTAACGTTCGACTGACAACTGACCTGTCGCGCTTAGCCAAAGTGCTTGGCGACTAGAGATGAGGTCGTGCTCGTCTTCGAGCCAAGCAAGGGTTTGTCGCACCTCGGCGCCAATCCGAGCGAACTCCTCCGCAGCTCGATCCAGGTCACGCACAGCAACGATGCCCCGTTTAACCCACGGATCGGTGGCCCAAGCAGCTTCAACATGCGTGAAAAACCCGTCTTGCCAGAAGAAATCCGTGTCTTCAAGATCAAGAATCGATGCTAGGCTACCGACTGATGGAAGATTGTTGAGGAAGTGCGATGGTGATGATCCGCCTGCCGTTCGAAACGCGTTGACAGCCTTGTTGTATGCCTTACGTGCCTTTTCAGCGCCAGAGTGTGTCTTGACTTCCGTTTTGCGAGCTTTGTTGGCCTCTCTCTGACCAAGTGTTGACCCGCCCCTGCCGCGACGCGTCGATAGCAAATTTTCACGGCTACTTTTGTAGGCAATCACTTCTCGATGAAGCTTGCGCAGCGCAACGGAACACTGGCACAAGTGACGAAGCTCTGTGAAGCAAATAGGCACGTCATCGCAATCAGGAACAGGGAAAACTAAGTAAGAGAATTAAGGCCAACCTGTGGACGAGATGCTTGTCCCACTTCTTTGCAGTTGGACAATTGCTGCTTGATCGCTCTCCCTTGCAAGACGATCGTGCTTCGAATTCAGCCCCACAAGCGCTTCTGGTTCAGACTCGTCACTGCTCAGCAAGATGATGAGTCAGTGAGAACGAAGGACAAGCTCAAGCTCAAGTAGTTATCACCAAGCACGTACATGATGCAGTCAATCCTGTAAAGTTCCTCAGCAAGTTTATAAAGCTCGCTTTCCCTCAAACGATCTTCCTCAGCTTCCTGCGTAGCTGTTTTCGACGCTTGCGCTCGTCGCTGGTCTTGCCAAGCGACGCGGAGCGCCTCCTCCGACCAGGTGGCATCGTGGGCGATAACGGCGTCAAGTTCCTTGCGAGCAGCAGTGCTCCGAGCCTTGACTGAGCGAAGTCGGCGGGTGAACCAGGACCCTAGTCGTGTGCAAAGAGTCAATGCGGCGAAAGACGAAGCGGCGACTGCGGAGCACTGACCAAGCCTTGAGACGTTCGCGTCGTTCACTGCCTGCGTGCGGACCGCCAAATTGACGAGGCGGTGGGACTTATTTGATGGACGATTGATGGGGATGAGGGAGCGCAGCGCGCTCCATAGTCGCTCACAACCTTCTCCATCAGTGAATCCAAAGTTCGGGATGAGACGGGGGTTGTAGTCAACCTGGCAACCCCAGGTATGGGCGTATGCATGGAAGACACTTGTGGCGAACTCGAGTCACTCAAACAGCTCAGGCAGCAGATGCCTGAAAAGGTTGAAACACAAAGCCCATATGATCAGCAACGACATATCGGAGAGGGGCCCGAGCCGAGGTGGTCAATGCAAACCTTCTCAATGTGGTGCTTGAAATTACAAGCGATGTCGTACAAAATTCCAATCCTAGCATCTGGGGGAAGATGGTCCGAGATGTGCTTGACAATGGCTAAAGCGAAGTACAGCCTAGGTGATTAGAGCGCAGGCATGAGCATGAGCAGTGAAAGTAAAAATGCAAGTTGGAGTTGAAGAACATAAGCTCAATACACTCACTTTTCGCCGGTCTTCTCAAGATTCACCATTTTTAGGGCGATATCATGGCGGCACACGCCGGCGACAAGTCCTGTATCGATCTTGCGCGACGAGACTCGACCAGCGCCCCCGTCAGCAGCCTTCCACGACTCTGTGCACGCCTTCCGACGGGGCCGGAGCGATATTACTCAGTATTCGAGGCGGATCGCAAATATATCACGCTCCTCACCTTCTTCGTTGGCCGCGCTGTATTCTCGACGAGTGCTTTCATGTCCAGGACGGCTTTATCAGACAGAAACAAGCTCGGCACTATTCCTTGGACGTCGTATGTCGCATTATTTTCTCGGGTTTGCTGGAAGTTGCCGTCGAGCGCGATCATATAATCCAGTTGGAGGGTGTGATGGGGTCGGTTGTTTCGGCCCGAAGCACGCTGGGCATTTGTTGGCCAGCGCGTCGACGGTGCCCAAGAGAAAGTCGCCAACGTCGCGCTCAGATGCTTCGATGGCGCGAAACTCGTCGATCGCCCGCTGCCATTGCTTCCTCAGCTCTTTATCCTGAGCTCCACAATCAGGCAGCAAATGAGTCCAGGTAGAACCCATGGCAAAAAACCGATAACAAATGCTCAGTCTGGTTTCGACCACCCGTTGTCCCCGAAATAGTCTTCGAAGCCCGCAGCGTGGCCAGTGAGGCGTAAGGGGCGTTACGCCAACGCGAGTTTTCTAGGCGGATCATGCGGAAGGAGAACGCTGATCCTGGGTTGACAGCGGTCGATGCTATAAACCCAAGTTGAGCCAGGCGTACAGCTTCCGCAATACAGGGCGGATTGGAAGCGCAGAACGTGACTTGCTTGGAATAGACTGAAAGGCAAGGCGCAGAGGGGGTTTCACGTGTCAGTGATACCAGGACAACGGCGAGAAAAGATGCATCGCGCAAATCGGTGAACGGAGCTGGCATGACACATACCGGTCAGTCCGTCGTACAGGACCACCTCGCGAGCATACACGTGCTGACAGTGGCATGGTGAAGGAACGTTCAAGTCGTCGTTGTCGCTGTTCGAAACGAGCGGCAGAAACTGCCCATTGGTGCTTATGTGTAAATCAAGATAGAGACCCAAAAGGGCAGCGCGCTGACCCTCGCGCTGCTCGTGCTCGAGTGTGATAAACTTGAAGTAACCTTCTTGCTTAGCGGCAACCGGCGGATCGGAGACGCGGGGAGTTGGTAAAACCTCCTGTGCGAGTTCCTGGTGAGTTGGGCGTTGTAAGTCGGGGTCGGGTGCGTCCCAGCGCTCCATGGAAAGATCCATTCCCCCTAGGTCTTCGTACTCGGCCTGCTGAGCAAGAGGGAAGTCCCTGAGATAATCCTCGTTGAAATCATCGTGGGAGAAGTTCAGGTCATTGGCGAAGACTGAGGTCGAGGCGACAGGGACGCGTTGGTTCGTGCTCGTTTCGACGTTTGACGTTGCAGATGTGGTGGGAGTGGCATCCATATCTGTCTTGGCCTTCCTCGGCCTCTTACGTCCTCCTTTATCGACGATCGTACCTCCGAAAGTGACAAGGCACAGCGGCATCGTGGCGTATTGATTCGGGCAATCGGGATGGTCGAGGTAGTCCGAAGGCTTGATCCGCGGAAAGCGTGGTTTGAGTCGCGAGGGGCGGCCCATGGTGACTGAGCGGAATGAATACGAGAACACAAGTGTAGTAGCTCAGCAGCAACGAGCTCCGGGTGGGTTAAGTCTGCGACGATCCAGGTAGTACGTCCTGCAGGAAGCAGCGGCGGCCGCCTGCATGCACGCGCGACAGATTCCTTGCGTGCCAATTTGACGTGTTCCTCATCTTACAACGCGTCAAGCACGTGACTGGACACCCGCCCATGAGCATGAGCCCCGGCCTCAGGCGCTTAGAGTCTTAACATTTAAAAAATTACGTGTGGTTACTGATTCAACTCGAAATCAATCTTTGCTTCTTATTATCTCTCATGTCGTCACATGATCAATGTAGTGGTCTTAACGGACTTGGAAGAGGTGTACGGGCCTGTCCCGGCGCCGAGTTGCTACCGTCGGTAGCAGTGTTGCTACCGGGCTCAGGTCGCCTATTTGCATAGGGTTTTCTGGCCGCGCGGCGGCGCTACTAAGACTGGTTACTTTTTAGTCTGCCTGAGGTGCTAGCTCGACGAAAACCCAACTGTAGTTGGTTTCGGCGACTTGCCGAGCTGATTACGTCGTCGCGCAAAGGCACGGCGCTCCCCGCGCAAACAGCCCGCCTCGGCATTAGTCAGATCAGCCGATGGACTGACTCGATGACCTCAGCGGTGTCCGACGCACCACTGCTTTCTTCTTCTTCTCCCTCCACATCACACTTCCCTCCATCTACACCCCTACTACACACCCACACCCCTACCCACACCCTCACCTCGAAACATGTCTGGAAAGTCCTTGCTCGTCGTTCTCACCTCGTGTGACAAGCTCATCAGTGAGTTGAAAGCACCGTCTGCTTCATATGCGCTGTGCCCCACACCAGCGCCACATCATTACATGATCGGATTCCACCACGTTCTACCCATGCGACCCCGCTCGTTCCTCGACTGCGCGCCTTCCTGTCACTCGGTCGCTCTCGCCAGGCCATCCATCCGCTTCATCTTGTCACACCCATCTTGAAATGCACACCGACTGACAATGCTTCCGCTCCCCTTCCTCACCCCACTGCACTCCCTTCTCTCGGAACCCGACGACCGCCCGACCGCCCCTCTCCCCCTCCTCTCTACCTCATCAGACGACCGCGGCGCCACGGGATGGTACCTCCCCGAGCTCGCCCACCCTTACTACGTCTTCAAGAAGGCCGGCATCAAATTGACCTTGGCGTCCCCCAAGGGCGGCGAGGCGCCTTTGGACCCTGCGTCAGTCAAGGCTTTCTCCGAGGTTAGTTGAGTTTGGCCACGTCCTCGTTACGAGGATACGTTCGGCTGATCAAATTTGGAGTGTGCTGTAATTTTTTTCTTAGGACAAGGAGTGCCAAGAGTTCCTCAGGGATGAGGAGGCGCAGCAGCTCGTCAAGAACACGCACAAGCTCAGCGAGTTCAAGGAGAAGGACTTTGATGCCATCTTCTACGTCGGCGGCGTAAGTCCAATCCCCCAAGCTCGACCTTGACATCGCGGTCTGCACCCACAAAGACGAAGAATTGTCCAACTGATCTTTGTAAAACCGCTTCCCAATCTCTACAGTACGGACCCCCGATCGACTTGCGAGTAGACCCCGTCTCGATCGACCTCGTCGAATCCTTCTACGCCGCTGGCAAGCCCACTGCGGCCGTCTGCCACGCCCCCGGTGCGATCCTCTCCCAAGCCAAGGACCGCAAGACCGGCGAACCGCTCGTCAAGGGCAAGCGCTACACGACCTTCACCGATTCGGAGGAGAAGGCCAACGGTGGGGTGGGTACGATCCCCGAGTTGGGGGAGGAGACTTTGACCAAGTTGGGTGGGATCCTCGAAAGGACCGATGACTGGGGCGTCAAGGTCGTGGTTGACGGCAACGTGAGTTCTCTTGCGAACCCATGTGCTGAGTTGTTCGGACGAAATACTGATGGCCTCATTTGAATTTTGAATAGTTGATCACGGGCCAGAACCCCGCTTCGGCCGGCCGCACCGCCGAGAAGCTCGTCGAGATCCTCGGTGCCTGAACGACGAGAGAAGATCAGAATGAAGTGACTATAGCCCTTGTATCGCATCAAAAACCACAACTGTTCTCTCGACAATATGATATGAATCATGTCCCCAGTAAACCCACGTATGAACTTGCTGGGCCTCACGTTTCTCTTCGCTTGGTAGGTTTTGGTAGCTTTGAGATTGCACATAACATCGGACACGTCCCGTACAAACCCGCACAGTCAAAACCACATTCAAAACCGCTTCGTTGGGTACCAAATCCCTCGCCATCGGCTCGACAACTCCTGCGGCCCGGTCCTTCCATCTCACGGCAATAAAGTCTCGTCGTCCGGTGCGAATGAACCTTTTCCTCTTTCCGACTTTCATAATTACTTGGACGCAACGCTAGGACCGAGAACCTTGTTGATTTGCGAGCGGAGGCCCATGAGGGAGGTGACGACACTGGAAGGGGGGAAAGAACATAGAAGGGACGGTCAGCCTTCCTTTTCTCCGCTCGGGTCAAGTCACAGCTCTTCCATTATCGAAAGGTACTCACCCAACAAGACCCAGGACCCCATCGTCAAGGTTATGGTAACCCAAAACCCCAGCAGGGAGAAGGATATCCAAACCATCCTGCACCAATTGGGTCCTCACCGCGGCCTTTTGCGCCAACACGGTCTTGAGCTCGGCTTTACGTTCGACCTCCTGCTCGGACGCACGCGTGCGACGCGCCTTGGCTTCGCGCGCGCTGAGGTCCACGAGACGGTAGATGGACGAGATGAGCGAGAAGGAGATACCGGTGAACCAGAGCTTGGCGGCGCGTTGGGACACGATCTTGGCGTCGGCGGGGGACAAGGGGCGGACTTTGGACGAGTGCGCCTGTTGATTAAACGAGAGATTGGTCAGCGCGGGGATGAGACTGACTGGTAAGAGAAAACTTTGATAAAGGCTTACCCAAACGAGCATGTCGTTCCACAAGTAGCCGGCGTAACCCAATTGACGACCCAAAGCGGTAAACTTGAGGACCGGGTCTTGAACGTCGAGCGACTTGACCGCCGCTTGAAGGTGCTCGAACGGTTTACCGATACGCATCACTGTGAGATCCCAGGGCTATTGGTCAGCGTACTTGATCCAGCCTGAAGAAGGACGTTGAATGGGACCCACACTTTCGGGACAGCCCCAAGGTCGACTTGAGGGCGGTCAAACGCGCGACCGTCTCATTCGTGTAGCCCTTGCGGAGAGTGTCTGCGCAGAGGGGAAGAAAGCGTCAAGGGGTCAGCTAGCTGATATATACCTGACTAGGTCTGACTAGGTCTGACTAGGTTGCTTGGTCGAGCTGCATCGTCTCAGAGAGACGCGTATTCGCCGGGGCAGGACTCGCACGTGACACTTGGTCGAGGCCGCCGAAGCGAGCGGGGACGTAAGGGGGGAGGGGGGGGGGGGGAGGGGCACCTACAGAAGGCCAAGAAGCGAGCGAGGTATTGGATCGTTCGGTAAGCCTTGTCACGCCCAACTGTTTGGGTTTTGAAAGAGATGCACGTGCGGTCAGTATTGTTCGGGCATGAGCAAGGGATGGGACCGGGCCAGCTGAGCGGTGATAACCGGAAGCCCAGCCCCAGCGCGCCCGCCGCGGCACGGGCGAGGACGGAGTTCGGGGAGCAACCCGCATCCCGGACAGGAGAGCACTGACCGGTGGTGGAGGCGACCTTGATCGACGAGGTGATGGCAGGGTGCAAGACCAGTTGGTGAACAGCCGACTGTGAGGGACTCAATCAAGGGCGCCGAGTTAGAATCGGTCGACCGTGACATGATCGGGACCAGTCCGACAGTGTGCCGCGGTCGCACGACTCGCACGACTCGCCATGGTGATGTATGAAGTGAGTCTGCAGTAGCAAGAGGCACCGAGTTCAGTCGCAGACGAGCACGATGCAGAGACGAGTGCGGGACTAACCTTGGGGGAGTTATGCGGTTATGCGCGGGGGTACCAGGGGGTACCGTCAGAAGCGTTACGTCGCGAGTGAGTGGGGTAACGAGTGCGCGCTACACATGCGCGCGCGAAACTTGATAGTAATCCCTTCGGATTCCACATCGCTCGAAATTGCTCAATGCTGGCTTTTTTGGCTGTGTAGTCCAGTTTGTGAAGGGGCTGGCAAAAAAGATAACAATATCAATCGATGCTGTTATAAATCAGAAGGGAGCCAGAGGGAGCCCGTTCACGGTGCAAGGTAACTTTAAATTTGGGCGGGGACTAAAGCGCGGCGGCTCAGCGCTCAGCCCCAGCCCCGCCTCACCCGTCATCGTCATCGAAGCAACCAACGTCACCGAGACAAACGCGGCTCCCCTCGACTAAAGATGCGAAGTAGCTTGCTCCGCGGAATCGTCCTGGCGCTCGTACCTCTTGTTGTGGTCCAAGCCGCACGTGAAACGATCCAAGAAGCAGGTCTGTTCATCCCAGCGATCCTTCGCGTTCTCTGTGCACCGAGTAGGCAGACCACTGGGATGTTGATACCTCCCTCCCATGTAACAGCCATCCATGCTCGCGAACTGCTTCAATACAGGGCCTATGGCGTGGGGACGTTGATGTCGAACTACCCTCAGGACTTTGAGGTGCCCGAACTGAGAGGTTTGCCAATCGGTTTGCAGGTGCGTTCGAGCTGGCACGATGGGAGACCAGAAAGCCTTGTAGGGATACCAGCTAGACGCAGCCTGAGAGCTCCCTGAGCGGTTGGATATGTATCGCAGGAGTACTACAGCCTCTATCCTGGATCGGACGGGGATTTGCTCCTGCTCGTGATGCCCATTTCCAAGGTCGGTCACCATCCCCGGCAGTCCACTGTCGCAGAGTCAAAGTCTGTGCTCTTTCTCAAACCAAGCTTGTTGAATCCATAGATCTTCCGTAATGCGCTACCCCCGAACGCACCCAACATGACGATGACTGTCGCGGATCTCTACGGCTTCGGCACCGGGAACCTCGCCGCTGGTCGGATGCGCATCGCCCTGTTCGGCACACTCGAACTCATCACAGACGAGGAGGAGAGTGCGAAGTGCAAGAAGGCGTATTTGGAAAAGCATGGGGATGCGAGGGGATGGGCGGGGGAGAAGGGTCCCCATTCGAGTGTCTGGGGCAGACTAAGGGTCGAGAAAGTGTATGCCTTTGTGAGTTTGGGACTCGGGGGCGTCTTTGGAAGGTGAAGATATGGAGTGCTTAATCACTCTACTTTGGACATTACGTCAGGATGGTTTTGGAGACGTTGCGTACATCGGCTGGGTCCCCCTCGAGATGTACCGAGAAGCGACAAGCAAGATGAGGTCTCAGAAGCAAGTCAAGAAGGACTGGCCCGTGCCTCGGCAGCCCGACGACTCGGGGCTCGTCTCTGCGAGATGGTTGTTCGCCGAAACGGATTTGTTGATGGCGGATGCTGCAAGGGTGACGACGTGTGAAAGTCTGGGTGAGGACGACTGTGAGAGGCTCCTCTTAGAGGCCAAGGTGACCGGCTCGGGGGAGGTAGTGGAGGCTGAGCCGATATTCACGCTCCAGCTTTGATGGCTATACTTGGATGCGTACTCTTTCGTCTGGGTAAATGTAACATTGCTGTCTGTTGTTGAGCGGGTGAGAGGGAAGCTGAGCTCCGTTTCGAAACGATGGCGGGCGGGGCATCATCAGCCGGCCCGTGTACAAGGCCGACGCGACCGCGGTCCGGTCCACGAAGACGTCGGGGATGGATAAGTGCGCCCCGTCAAGCTGAAAAATCGTAAGTGGGTGGTCGGAGGTCCGTCCGTAGTGTAGAGTTGGTTAGTCCCTTCCAAATCCCTGATTCCTCACGCTTGATGTCGTCTTCAGGCACCCCGGTCGCTCGCGTGGCGTGTGACGCGCGCGGAGTTAATTATGTAAATGCGCGCACGCGTAAGAGCGGAGCTCCACGATATTCGGGACACGAGCTTTTTTTGACAGGGGTTCGATGACAATCCGACTATTCGAGCACCATAAATCCAAAGAGAATCAGGAGAAAACGCCACCAACAGGAACCGAGATTTTGGAATTTGATTGCATGCATGCTTTATAGCTGGAACCTGGCAGATCTCTCGCCGCTGAGGAGCGTCGATCCGAAGCCCGGAGCTTTCCACAACGACGGTTCCGCCTATTTCCCACACCTTTTTCGAAATCAACGACACTTGCGCTTGCTCCTTTTGCTTTTGATCAGTGCTGTTCACTTCCCCAAGCACCGAGAGGGCCAATGGATACGGCGCACGGTGCGGGTTCAGGCGGCCGCGATGGTTTCGTGCGCCTTGACTCATGGAGGAGAATGGTTCGCGTGTGAGCGATGAGGTCGGGGATGAGGATGAACTTGAGCAGCTCGTAGAGCCTAAAATGCAGCGCACTGCGTACGAACCGTCCCGACCGACGAGGGCGCGTTGGTATGGTCGCGTACGCGATCTCTTAACGCCTGCATAGATGGGCGATCGCACGCACCTAAGTTCCCCAGTGAGTTCAGTCAATCCGACGCCCTATCTTCGGGACCTCTTCGTTACGATTCGGCTCGGGATGAATCCTCTTCATCATATCTTCTTATATCGCAACAAAAGCAGGTGGGCCGCAAGGGCATGGGCCATGGGGTCTTCGATGCGCCGACAAAAGGAGCTCAAGTCGCGTTCGCCACTCTGGCGCTCGGGCTCATGCTCGCACTCGCGGTGCAAACGGCCAGGCTGTCGTCAGCCACAGCTAACAAGCCCGCGGAAAGGAGCCAACTCTTTGACAGTTCGGGATTGCCTGGACCTATCGAGGACGTGAATCCAGCGTCGATGGTGGTGCGCATCCCTCCGGCCCCCTTCAACGAATCGAGCATCGTCGCGGGGAGACCTTCGGATCCACACGGCCCGGTATGGCGACTTTCAGACGACGCCAGTCGCCTTCCAAACTGCGGACAATTGATCCTCATGCCCTTGTCTGCTGCGGGGTGGGGTGCGAACGTGGGCCTTTTGGTATGTCGATCTCATGTGAAAAGCCCATTGGACAACTCGAGCGAGGCGATTAAGGGGGGTTACTAACACCCGAGCGTTGTTCGTACCTATCTATCCAGCTTCGAGGGACCATGTATGCTCGGAAGCTCGGTATCGTGCCGAAGGCTCAAGGCGGAATTCTACGGCACCCCTGTTTTGCTGACCAGACCGAACAATACTCCTTTGAAGGTCGTACGGGCGCTTGGAGTACTATTTTGAGCCCTATACGATCGATTGCGTTCCCCCATCGGACTGGTACGACGAAAGTCAGACCACTAGACTACGGGCAAAAGGATGGAGAAAAGCGGCTCACATCAGAGTTAGCCGGAAGGACACACGGCACATGGACGCCATGGACCAAGAGCTCTTCTTCGACCGCGAGAAGGACGGATTGCAGCACGCGCAACGCTTGATGCTCGGTCGCAACCCAAAGCCGAGCGTATTACGGCTTCTGAGACTCTTCGAGCACCGTTGATCCCTGCCTTTGAGGAGTACGCCCAGCTGTTTCACACTATGTTTCCCCTTACACTGTCTCTGTGGACCTTCTGAGTTTGGGGGTCTGCCATTGCAACTGGAGATACAAGGGGCAAATATTCTTTGAGTCGATCCGTATCAGTGTCACTTCGTTCAGCGAACCGACACGTGGCGTGTTCAGCAAAGGGGGTCTGTGCCGAGACTTAGGAGCGAAGTCCAAGCGGTTCAAGTGAGACGTGGCACTCTCCTGAGTCTCCTCACGGACCCGGTTGCGCCAGCCGGAAGTCTTCTTGATGATCGATGAGAAAATATTGAACATCTCCCAAACCCTTTCCGAGAGAGCCATGCAAACTCTCTCGATTCGGGCTCGATCCGAGAGAGACTTTGCGGAATATTTCAGCCGCTGAGCCCGGGGTGCGATCACGACTTGATTCGAGGTGCATGGCGGGCGCCGGTCGGGGTCGTCGTCGATCAGTGTTGGCACTTTGAAAAACAGTCAAGAAAGATGTAAGGGTTGATGTGTTCGGGTTTCATCCAATCATTCAAATTTTCTACGTCGTCTAAAGGAAGGAGAGGAGCAAGCGACGACCAACAGGTATGTAGTATGGCGATTCTCTTTATTCAAGTGAGGAGAGGAGAGCTTGTCTCAGTTATGGGCGAGGTGCGTCGAAAGGGCCCCAACCTTCACAATCCTTGATCGTTGAACGCACCACGCCTCCGAAGCAAACGTCTACCAATCTTGCGCGAAGCCTGAACCGAAGTCAAGGACACTTGCGCTTGTTCCTGTCGTTCTTGATCGGTACTGGACACTCCCCCAAGGGCCGGGAGAGCCAATGCGCTGCACGGCGCATCGTCCGGGCGGAGGGGGCCGTGATGGTTTCGTGCCCCTTGAGATGGAGGAAAATGGTTCGCGTGTGAGCGACGAGACCATGGGTGAGGATGAGGTCGAGTGCCTCGCGGAAGCGAACTTGCAAGGGACGGCGTACGCACCATCCCCATCGACGAAGGCGCGTTGGTATAGTCGCGCACGCGATCTCTCAATGGCTCGAAGGAGGGGTGATGGCACGCACCTGACGAGTCCCCCAGTGAGTTCAGTCAATCCGACGCTCTGTCTACGGGTCCTCTTAGTTGACGATCGAGTATACCTCGTCATATCTTCCTCTATCGCAACAGAAGCGGGTGGATCGTCAAGCCATGGGCCACCGGGCCTTTGATGCGCCGTCAAGAGGAGCTCAAGTCGCGTTCGTCACGTTGGTGCTCGGGCTCATGCTCGCACTCGCGGTGCAAACGGCCAGACTGTGGTCAGCCACAGCGAAGCATGCCGATACGAGCCAGTTCGCCGACATCTCTGAATTGTCTGGACCTATACAGGACATGTACCAAGCGTCGATGGTGGTGCGCCCCCCTCCGGCTCCCTTCGACAAATCGAGCATCGTAGTGGAGGAACCTTCGCATTCACACGAGCCGGTATGGCGACTTTCAGACGACGCCAGTCGCCTTCCAAAATGCGGACAGTTCATCCTCATGCCCTTCTTTGTTTCGGGGTGGGGTTCGAACGTGGGCCTTCTGGTACGTCGGTCTCATGTCAATAGCCAGTTGGACAAATCGCGTGAGGCGATCGAGCCAGTGTACTGACACCCGAGCTTTGCTCTTATTTGTCCTTGCAGCTTCGAGCGGCGATGTATGCTCAGAAGCTCGGTATCGTACTGTTGGTCGACAATAATAATTGGTGAGAACCCTGTCGACGGTTTGACGAGGAATCCCACGGGACCCCTGTTTTGCTGACCCAACGGAGCCGCTGCTCCTTTGAAGGCCGTACGGGCGCTTGGAGTACTATTTTGAGCCCTATACGATCGATTGCGTTCCCCCATCGGACTGGTACGACGAAAGTCAGACCACTAGACTACGGGCAAAAGGATGGAGAAAAGCGGCTCGCATCAGAGTTAGCCGGAAGGACACACGGCACATGGACGCCATGGACCAAGAGCTCTTCTTCGACCGCGAGAAGGACGGATTGCAGCACGTGCAACGCTTGATGCTCGGTCGCAACCCAAAGCCGAGCGTATTACCGGCTTCTGAGACTCTTCCAGCACCGTTGATCCCGGCCTTTAGAGAGTACGCCCAGCTGCTTCACACCATGTTCAAGCCCGTGCCGGAGATTCTCGAGGATGTGGAAAGGGTCAAGACGCTGATGGGTATCGGGGGTAAACGGCCGACGATTGCGGTGCAAGTTCGACTAGGCGACAAAGTTCGCGAATATAAGTCGAGTACGCGTTTCATCAAGAACACGTTGTGAGTCGCTCGCCGAATGGCCCTTTTCTGTCCGCAGCCAAGGGTCGCCGATCGCTTACCCCCGACGTGGCCACTCCTCTCGCAGCGGGAACTTGACCGCGCATCTGGAGGTCATGCACGCCCTCTACGACCGCTTGATCGGGTGTCTATCCGTCCAAATAGAAACCTGCTACCCCCTTTCCCCGACCGCTCGTCGTTTCTCGATCGACAACACGCGACCACGTGCCATCCTCCTCACAATAGAGGACGACGCCTTAGGCAACATCGCGCGAAATCCGATCGCACCCCCTTTCGAATTCGATCGGACACCGGGGATAAATGTTTCTCCCAACTCGTCGTTCCTTCAGTCGTCGTTCGATGAGTTGCCCTTGAAGGCTCGGGTGGCCAGTGCGCGAGCGCTCGTTCGGGACATTATTATCGCGGCGAGAGAGACGGACGCCACGGTACTGACGATGGGGAGCAACCTCGGTCGATTGATCTCGCTGTGAGTGTGCTAGCGCACTCTCATGGGCGAAAGTGAGTTTGTTGCGTAGTGCTGGAACGCTCAACTTAGCGTCTTGTACCACAGATTTGCTGGCCCCGAGGCGGTGTTGGGTCCCAAGAACTCTACATCTGGCGACTTTGTAGGAGGTCGGATGTCAGTTGATCGGCGCCTATTCGCTGCTCGTCTGTACTCATCATATTTCGTTCCGTTTCACAGTCGAGCACTAGACATCCCTTGGTTCGCTTCAACGAACCCGCACGGGGTCTGGTCTCGCCTGCCTCCGAAGTAATTTGAAGCGCAGTCAAATTCTCGCTGCTGACTGATGGCTGAGGCGGTCCGTCAGAGCTGAGTTGTGTTCTATATCGAGTCAAAGTGGTAAATGGGAATGGAAATTGAATTCCAGCTAGTCTACAAGAAAATGTCCTGAAATGAGTCTGTGCTGTCATTAGTGACTTTGGTATTGTTTAAGCTGTTTCAGTTAGGGAGCGCGCGCGGCGTTCTTCGCGCGCGGCTGTCGAACTCTTTGAGAGCTTTCTCATGCTTTCTCATCACTCGGCGATCGTTCTACATTGTGATCTGACTTCTCGGCGTCGCTACCTCTCCCCTATCGGAGGTGTATCTTCCGCGCTCGCACCTTTCCTGAGATTAAGAACCTTGGTAGTATGAGGCGTAGGTTGCCTTTCGTATGAGATGTTGATTACCTAGAGGGCAGTATATACTGCCCACACAGTGAGGCAAGGCACTGGGCAGGCCTGCCCGGGACGCGCGCGAGCGCCAGCCTGAATATTCGAAACCAATATTGAGCTCGGGCCGCCTTGTTTGAGGCGTGCCTGAGGCGGATGCGGGCGGTGTGGGTCAGCGTGGGTCAGCGTGCGAGGCCCAGCGCGCGAGGCCGGGCCCCTTACTCAAATGTTTTGGCCACAGTCCACTCAGAGTCGTTGGCTGGGCTGGCGGTGGCATACTCCTTTGTGGCGATTTCGCATCCTCCTTTGCAAGCAGCAGTTCGAGCTGCTCGAGTCGTGTATCCATCGCAACCCGAGTGCCTTGCCGCTGGTGAGTGGATTGTCGAGTTTGGCCGGCACCGTGCACGCGTCTGTCCGTGATGAGGTCGCGAACGAACTCTGATTGACTTCACTGCGTTTCGCATCTCCACTCTCCTCGCCCGTATTTGACTGAACGAAGAGGGTGCCACGTCTCCCTTGACCTACTTCGACTGCCTATCTACTTGCTGTCGACTCGCACGACCGTTGTACGATCTCTCTTGATCAACACTGAGTGCGCTTGGAACTTCCTCACGTGACCGTCATTCCGAGCTCTCGGTTGAACCGACGAGCTCTCGTCTCGACCGATCTCGGCACCAACGCCACCAATTCCGCAATCGATTCACAGTATCTTCAGACCAACGCGACGAAAGGAATGACTCCCAATTCCTCCCCCATTCGTGGCTCGGCTAGCACCGCGCACTCAGTCCCTGTCACCGATTCGAACGCCGATCGCCGCGACGAATTCGAATGTCGAGAGGACGACGGCGAGCACGCCGAGAGTGAGCATGAAGCAAGCGAGGGTGAGGGCAATGAGCAGGGCATGGGAAACCTTGCTGCACGACGTGAGTCTCTTGTCCTATCCGTCCTCGGACTCGGGGCAGACCCGGGACTTTGGCGCGAATTTTTACTGACGGTTGCTGCTCGCCGCCCGCCGTCTGGCCGAGATTCTAGTTCAAGCGTCGAATAACGCGATCATCGCCAGTTGCACTAGCACATCCAACTTGGCGCCCAAGACAGTCAGCGCATACGAAAAATCGCTCAAATCTTACACCAAATTCATGGCTGAAACGTGGCCCGGCGCTTGCGTTCGACCGATCGACCCAGATATGGTCTTGAATTTTTTGAGCTCCGAGTCCAAGCGACCCGCGCGCAGATCAGGTACGGGTGTCGATCAAGGCGAGGACATCGAAGGCACGACCATTGGTGTTTCGGTGCTGAAAAATGTGAGTATTATATCTCAACTATGGCTTGTGACTGGCCTCTGCACCTAGCGAATTGGGCGTCTATTGATCGCGCCATGCCGGCTTCCCCACCGTTCATAGCATCTCAACGCCCTCGAACATGTAAGCTCGCATGCCTTTCCCTTCGTACCCGCAATGAATCTACTCGCTTGAATAACACATGTTGCTTGCTTTTGACGTGCCTCCAGTACCGTGTAATCGATTAAATTGATCGCACAAGCGTTGCGGCCCGGGGCAAGCCGCGAGATTTTCCCCCGATCGGTAATCTCGAGGCCGGCTGGAAGAAACGCGAGGCCGGTCGAAAGAAGTCCGCCCAGACCAACAAAATCGAAGGAACGGCATCCGACAATGTCACCAAAGAAGAACAACTACAAATTAGTGAACACCTTCTTTGCCAGGGGCCGACCGGTAAGCTGACTGCCGTACACTCGGTGACCCGGTCGCTTCGCAACCGCGCCATGTGGGCAGTCTCGCTCGCCACGCTATTCCGCGGCGACAACACTCGTGCTCTCGCCTTCTCGGATTTGTCAATGCGAGCGCTCGAACGACCGGATCACCCGCCGATCAAGACGCTCTATATCGTGGCCGATTCGGGCAAGACGAACAAGGAAGGTCGTCTCGACTACAAGCCCGTTGCCCGTCATTTCGACCCTCGTATTTGCAATGTCGGCGCGGTCGCCTTCTACATGTGGTTCCGCGATGAGTACACTGGAGGACTCCCATATGGTTCGTTCGAGCCAGATTTCTCTAAAGGCAGTTCGAAATACGGGTATCGAGAATGGTACAACGTCCCCCTTTTCCCGAGCGCATTTAGCGGCGACGCACAGCTGCATCCGATCTCCTACTCGGGTGAGTCGGCACTCTTGGTGCCTGATCGGAGGGCGCTTAGCTCGACTTGCTGAGATCGGTCGGTCGCTGACTGAAACCTTTGCTCGTCTTCGCTTATGCCTGCGATGGGGATGGGATCTTCAACTTCGCCATCTTCTTCGTCTAGGTCACAACGTTGCCGTTTCGACGTTCCTCAAGGAGTGTGATGTGCATTCTAGTCACACGACTCATCTCAGTCGCATTGCTGGTGCCCAAATGTCGGCGGAGAGAGGCGCGAATGAAGCCGACACGAAGGCTCTTGGAGGCTGGAGCGATGGCACCTTCCGCAGCGTCTACCAACGTGGCGATCCAACCACCTCCTTCATTGCCCTCGCCGGTTTCAATGGAAAGTTTCCCGAGAGGTACTACGTGGCTCGTGATATCGAGGCTGGTATGTCTACTCCTTCATCGAGCTTTTCGGTCTGGCAATATTGACCTCTCCGTCCCGTCGCTTTCCCAGATGTGCCTGACGATCTTCAACGACTTATCTTCCCATGGGTCGAAGCCGCTTTGGCCGAATTCGAGGAGCGCTTTGAGGCCGATGAGCTCTGTCAAGACAAGGCGTTGGTTGGTCACTTGAAGCTGCTCCAATGGTTCAGACTCGTCATCCTTCAAGATGCGGCGTTTTTGATTCAAGCCTTTCCAGATGCACCGATTTTCCAAGCTTCCCTGTTTCAGTCGGACCGATTTCGAACGTGGGCTCCGCATTTTGTGGCCAGTGTGGAGGGGAATTGCCGTGAAGAAGCCGCCCTCAAAGTGGTGTACGGCGGCCTCCTTGATTCCATCGTCGACAGGCTTGGCGCCCAGCAATCCTCGGAGCGCCAGTCTGCAACTGCTCACCTTCGCAGCGATAATCGTCGAATCTTGGAACTTCTCATCGAACAGCATAATCGAGGCGGTCACTTTCACGGTCATGTAAGGAAGCGACGACGACACGAATTTGTCCGCGACTTCGATGACGACGATGACAATTCCGACGACGATCGTCGTGATTTGTCGGATGCGCACATGTCCGCGCCTACAAGTACGTATCTGCTACCTTCTGCGTGCATCAACTGGTGTTCCTACCCAATACTTACTTGCCTCTCCTTTGTATTACCCTTGTATTAGGATATCGAGATGCTAGTCGGAGGCCGCACCCACCGCAATCGCCTTCGTCAAGCCCAGCCTTAGCTTCGCCCTCATCGTCTCGAGGAGTACCGGCACCCGGGGCCCATTCCCCCGCCTCGCCGTCCCGATCTGTCAGTTTCCGAACCCCGCCTTCCCGATCGACGAGTTTCCGAACCTCGCCAACCCAACCAGCGATCTCTCATACGGCCATGCGCGCAGCTGTCCCACCAGCCGCCGCGGGCAATCGATCGGATCGCATGCGCGTGGGCCAATCGCTGGCGTACCGATTACCGTCTCATCATGCGACCATGGACGCACTCTTGCGACCTCCAGCAGGCGACCAGTTAGAGGATGTTGGCCACCTGCTCGCCGAATACCGACGTGTCAAGGAGAGAAACCCTATGTATGTCGATCCGCGACTCGAAGCGCTGGGCCTCGATGATCTTGCCCGGTTCCCTGGCACGCTCGTAGAATGGAGCACCACCATCACACCCCCCGGATGGCTTCCCGTCGTTAAGTTCAATCCTGCTACAAATGTGGAGGATGTGTATCTCCTTTACGAAACGGGTGTCGCAAAGGATGGGGATCGGCGAAACCCGTCGATGCCTTGGCGCGAAATGGAGCGCCGCTTCGGAACTCGCTGGCGCGGTGCGCCAGGTCAAACCGCACCCGGTGTCGAATGGACTCGCATAAACAGGGTCCTGAAGTTCATCAACGAGGCCGTGGAAGGAGTTCCATCTCGACATGGTACCTTACAGCAACGAAGTGAGCTCGTTGTGGCAAGCATCAAGACGGCGCTTGCCCCCGCGGACTTCGCAAGGTACCGAAAGTTCTACGAGCACATGCAGAAGAAGGACACGCGCGAAGTCAATGGAGCGCAACTCAACAACTACGATGCTCTCAAATTGGCGGTCCGAGTCCAGTACCAATAGTGTATGGTCGAGTTGGGCATATTTACCCCACAACATGCATCGAGGCTGGCACTTGGTTCGCTTCCGTCGGGGGGCATCGGCCCCTCGCCGATCTGTTCATCTGTTCGACCTCATCTCGCCCCGGCCTCCGTTGTTTCTGTTTTTCTGAACCCTCTCTGTCTCTCTTCATCTGTACCCTCTACAGCTGGCTGCACTCTGTCGCATTCCGTCCATCGCTTTTGTTTATTACATGTGCGAACCCTTTTGTCTGTGGCCGACTCGTGATCGGTTCTGTCCTCCCCCCGTTCGCTTCGTTCCCCACAGCTTCACTTGGTGGCTTCCGGTTCCACTGCCAGAGGCGACCACTTCGACCCTTTAATTTATCTTCTTTAGCCTTCCTTGCGAATGCATTTTCAGTCACTTTCATTTCGTAAAAATCTTTGCTTGCTCAAGTAAGTCAAAATCAAGCCGGCCTTACAAAACCTCGCGATCTCTGCGAGCTGATTTTATTTTGGCCGGAACGAAATTGAGCGAGTATCAAATCGAGGAGGTGCATATAATACACTGATTCCTGAGGAGTACCCTAGATACTAGCCCTCGTTACGAACAAAAACCCGTATTCTACTCCATTTAGACTACTCCATCTGCATTTCCCATCGCATATCTCGAGAGGAATTCTCGCTCCGGCGCTTTGATCACGGCAGACCGAGTCTGAATAAAATCACACTAGCAGGCTACCTGGCTCGACGTGATCAAATGTATCCAAACGTCGAAAATCCTCAACGTACCTGCTATTTCATTTGTTCATTCGTCGCGATCGCGATCTCGGGCTGCTTTTCGCTCTCCACAGCAGTATGGGAACGGATTTTGTCGGGTCGAACGAGTCGAGTCTCGTCTCGCGATCGGACCTGATCGATTGCACGACGTCCTAAGGCTCCTGAGACTGTCGGGGACCTCACGTAGCAAGCATAGCATAGGACAGGTGTACACTTACCTTACGGTAAGAGGAAATGATAGGATTGACAAACATTGAGACGATGAGAGCGGAGAGCGGAGTTGAAGTTGCGTTTCGAGGACGGCACGTGAGAACGGCGATCCCTCGGCCGCGCTCCCTTGTTCCCTTTTCCTACCAGCCCCAGGAGCCGCTGACTCCGTGTTTTCCGGGCCTCCGTGGCCTAGAAATCCTACGACTTTTTGAAGGACTTTTACATTTGAGATTATCCGTTATGCACCTAGTCTTATTTCAAAACTGAATCAAATCTGAATCACCGTGTCTCAGATGCGCCGAAATCCCGTAGCCGAAGCATAAAACAGCCAGGTTCGCTCAGGAAACAAGCTCAGGCCCTGTCCTTGCGCGCGCACGGTCCCCGTCGACGAGGCCACGCCGCGGGGCGGAGGGGTTGAAAAGACTCGGACGAGCTCTCTAAAAAGGAAAAGAAAAGCACGTGTAGTCCGTCCGCCAGGTACACACCAGATAAAACTAAAACGATGAGATATTTTATTAGAATAAAAAAGCCAAGGTATAGGAAGTGATAGTGATAGTAAAGGAAGACCGTCAAGCTGGGCGGCTGGGCCGGCTGGTGGGGGGGGGGGGGGACGGTGGGGGGAAAGATATTATTTTATTTTAGCATAAAATATAAAAAGGTAATAGGAAGTGATAGGAAGTGATAGGAAGTGATAGGAAAGGAAGACGAATAAAAATCAAAACAAAGGTATAGGTATAGGGAGTGATAAGGATAGGCAGGAATAGGCAGGAAAGGAAGGACCCCGGAGGCGCAGAGGAACGGTGGGCGTGGCGCGACCGGTCTGACTATCCGCTGCCTGGGCCTCGAGTGGCGCTGCCCGCTCGCCTGCCCCAGCATACTATATCCGGGGTAGTGTGTGCACACTGGCTGTTTGCGAGTGGTAGCCGCAGAGGCTGGCCCGCAGTCCGCCGATCGAGGTGCCAGTGGCCGCAGTGGACATGGGGCGAAATTGGACCACTAGCATTGGTATCGTCATCATTGACCAAGTCGAATTGATTATATGTGTTATTCTTCTGGATCATGTCACGTCGACTGTGCACTTTGCTTGATATCCACTGCATGCGCCGAGATTGCAGTGAGACCGACTGCCATGAGAGCCATCGCCCACCGGCGTTCTCCGAGTCAGGCTGCTGTAAGCGAGATTCTCGAATCAGTCGAAATGGACTCTTGGTGCGTGGAGTGGAGCAAATCAAATAAACGGAAAAAAGTAGAAGACATTACCCACGCTGTCCCCCCCGAACCAGTGCTGACCAATGTAGCCCAACTTCAAGTCTGCCCGCAACCTAGCCCGTGGCAGAGGCTGAGCCTGTCGTGAATGGTGAGCCTGTCAAGAGTGGTAGAGAGTGGTAGGACCCGGGAAAGCTCAGCCCAATGTGCGTCCCCGAAAATGTACAAATCGGACCCTCTGAACCCCAAACTGCGACTCAAAAGTGGTACAAATCGAAAAATGTGGCACTCCAGATCTTGGATGTACGTCCTGGATGTGGTACAAATCGATGTACCCCGACCTCGCACCTCCCTGGTCGTCCCCTGCTCGGCCGATGGCCGAGCACGTATCAGCGGCGGCGGTCTGGGATCAGTAGGCGCGCGCCGCGGGCCAGCTGGCGGTCCATTAGTTTGAATGAGTTTCGGAACGAAATTGGACGCGCGAGCCGATTGTAATGCAAAAAATGCGCTTCACGCTCAGAGAGCTCACAGACGCTCACCAAATCAAGGGCGCTGGAAGTGAAACAAATGCCAATAGACCCCCCTGACAGCCTCTGACCACCCTCACCTTGTGCCACGTCGCGAGCATCTTACCCTCTGCGCACTTCCCTGCGTGCCCTTGCTGAGGGTCAAGAGGACAGCATGTCATCTACAGCAGCCCCTCCAGATGCACCAATTCAAGTGCTCTTAGACGACGTGCTCGAGATTCCAGATGAGCAATTCGCCACGATGTCTCCTGTTGCCGAGCTCATTGTCGGCGAGCTTCTTGCGTTCGAATTTACCCGGCCTGACCTGACCGCAACCCTCGCCGTATCCGAGTTCGAGCCGACATTCCATGAGCATCAGATTCGCCCCGATAGCAACGCCCGTGTATTATTCAACAAAGCTCACAATCTTCGAGAATTGTACGCCTCCGGCTATCGATCCATCGAGGTTCGATCCCCTTGCACGTCGATAGTGGAACACATGCCAATCGGTTCCGAAGCATTCTGGCAACATCTGGACTCTGTCGAGCAGCTGAAGTCAACCATCTCGGATAACGTTGATTGGCTAAGCAATGTTGAGGTCAATGACAAACGCGTCGCCGCGTACATCAAGCTGGCAAGCGCCTTGCTTGTTGCATTTCGAACCCCTTCACTGCAATCGAGAAAAGTTGCTCATCACGTCGGCGTCTGCATGCACCACAGTGCGCTATATTTACACAAAGCCGTCACCAGCAATGCCTCACTGCAGTGATGAGAGCACCGAATCCCTCGGACTCGTCTCCAACATTGTGATTCAGGAGCTCTTTCCTACGCAAGCCAGTTCCGGAGTCTTCACCAATCGCAACAGCCGCGGCCAAGCTCGAATCTTCTTCTTGAATGGTCACCGGGTCGTCAGCTGCCTTGACACTTACAACTCGAGCATGCAGACCGTTGAGCCCCCAGCTGGTTTTGGCTTCGACGGCCACACTTGGCGAGTCCTGGACCCACAGGCGCAAGCGCGATATTACCAGCTGCAAAGCTTCAAAGGGGTCCTTGTAGCGTCGTTGGCCCCGATTCGAAAGGGACTTGCGCATGCTGGCGAGGAGAGGGGTATTAATGCAGACGGAGGGAGCGGAGCCGATAAGCGGTCGGGATCTTCGCAGGGTCCAAGCGGCCGGCTGTCAAAGCGGACGCGACGTTAGTACCGGGTCGTCGGAGCGATTTTTCGTATTTCTGGCTGTTGGAGAGCGATTTTTGGGCAATTTCACGACATTGAATTTTTCATGTTTCGGAACTCTTCCAATGTACGACCGAAAATAGGTACAAATCGACCCCTCAGACACCTCATCCCGATGTACAAATCGGCCAAAAATCGCCGTTTTTTCGGACGCACATTGGGCTGAGCTTTCCCGGGTCCTAGAGTGGTCAGGCGAATCGAGTGCCCACTGCCCAGCCTCAGCGCGCGTGGTCTCTCATTCTCGGCTCTCCCTCTCTCAACCTCACCTCCACCTGTTCCACCCTGAACGCATGACCAAGAGTCGTCATGTCGGCGTCCAAGAAACTGCGAGCGTGTCTGATGTGCAGCTTCGTCGCGATGCCATCCGAGTTCCGAAGAGATGGCTGTCCGAACTGTGATGAGTACCTCGAGGTCAGTTGGGAGACGACCGACGACCGACGACCGACGACCGACGACGACGACCGGCGCTCAGCGCTCGCCGATTTCGAGGGCTCGGCATAATGCGGATGCGGATGCTGATGATGTGGTATGCTACGTATGGAACAGATGAAAGGCTCGAGCGATCGAGTGGTGGAATGCACGACGACCAAGTTCGATGGGGCGATCGCGTTGATCAACCCGAGGGAAAGCTGGGTCGTCAGTTCATGAGCTGGGCAGGGGGGCGACCACCCTGTACTGCGACGGAGCACTGATCATGTTGGGTTCTCTCACCTAGGCCAAATGGCAGAGGAATGGTGCGTCTCCCACCCGATGACGAGGGGAGGTGATGAAAGCTCGAACGAGCGCCGGTGTGCACGCGCCATGAGCAGCTGACCAGGATATGAGTGATGACACTGTCGATAACAACAGACAAACACTCACCTGGGGTATACGCCGTCAGGTGTGCTCTCAACTCCAAGCGCCTGACTGGATAGCGGCCCCGCACTGACCCAGCTCGTTCTGTTCTGTGGCTCAGGGTGACGGGTCAACTGCCCGAACAGATCGTCGAGGACTTGGAGGCGAGGGGGGTCACGGTCCATTCGAGGGAGATGAACGATGACTGATTCAGTTCGCAGGGCAGCAGAAGGCTACCGAGGAGTTGTGTGTACTTGTTTGGGACCGTGCGGGTGTACATGTTGTGCGATATGATTCAGTCATGAATTGCCGAAATATGGATCATGACTTTCGCGGGTTCTCTCGGGAGAGGAGGCGAGACCAAAACCCCGGTTCTAGTGTTCTAGTGCATCCCATCGATATAAAACTGCACGATTCGAGGGATGTCTATCGATCTCACTCTGCTCGGGGTTTTGACCTGACTTTGGCTAGCGCGATCACATAGCGAGGAAATGCGAGGAGTAGAACTTCGCGCGCTTCGACTTGGCGACGGAGCTTGTTTCTCCCTCCGACTAGGATCATTACAAAGCAACCGGTCGCCTCCAACCCCCCCCCCCCCCCGTACTCGTTCGGACCGCTCGATGAGCTCTTCTTCTTCGTCCTGGTCAGCTCCACCGCCGTCCTACTTCCCGACCTATGCGTTGGACCAAGCCTTCTGCGGCATAGGAGCCGGTATCGTCTCGACGCTATGCATGCAACCCCTCGATCTGCTCAAGGTGCGATTCCAAGTCGCCACCACCACCACCACCACCACCACCCCGTCGGCGCATGTAGCTTCCCCCGCGCCCGGAGGACCAGGACCACCGGCAGGCGTGGTCGCGTCGATGGCACGAGTCAAGACGATGGCACGAGTCAAGACGATGGCACGAGTCAAGACGATGGCGAGAGCGAGTTGGGGGCATCAGTCGATCTGGAATGGGTTGACCACGATCGTCAAGGAACGTGGCGGGATCAAGGGGTTGTACAGAGGAATCACACCGAACCTAGTGGGCAATGCAGCGAGTTGGGGCTTATACTTCCTTTGGTCAGTCCCCAGGCGCGGCGCCGACGGATCATGCTCGGGCCACACATGCAGGTGCACTGACAGCAAGTTTCCGTCCCGACAGGTACACCATGTTGAAGAATCGAGCGATGGAGAAATCACAGGCGGGCGGAGCGGCTACACTTTCCCCGGCGCAGCATCTGTTGGCTTCGGCTGAATCGGGTCAGTCACGTGAGAAGAGGAGAGCAGCGCGATGGCCATACCGAGCAAGGAGACGGACGACGAAGACTTCCAAGGCGATCGTGCAACGCGCGCATGGAAGATTACTGACTTGATTTCCGTTCGTCTGACCCTCGTCATCAGGTGTCATCACCGCGGTCATGACCAATCCTCTCTGGGTCGTCAAAACTCGCATGTTCACCACCTCAGCCTCGCAGCAGACCGCTTACAAGGGTGTGATCGGTACGTCATCTCCAGTACATGCCAAACGTATGGGAGCTACATACTTACTCCTCTTCCACTTTTTCACTCCTGCATAGACGGCCTCTACCGCCTCGCAACGGAAGAAGGGGCCCGAGGTCTCGGCAAAGGTTTGGTCCTGGCCTTGATCGGCGTCTCGAACGGCGCGATTCAGTTCATGACGTACGAAGAGTTGAAGGGGTGGAGGCAAGAGGTCAAGCGACGGAGATTGGGACCGGGTGCTGACGAAAGCAAGATCAAGGAACTGGTCAATTTTCGCTCGCTCGTTATGTAGTCGGAAAACCGCGGAGGCGTTCACCATCTGACCCACTTTCATCCTCTGTTCGACAGACCAACACGGAATACATACTCATGTCCGGATCCGCCAAGCTCGTCGCGATCGGTTTGACCTACCCCTACCAAGTCGTGCGTTCTCGGATCCAATACCAATCCCTCCTCGTGTCCCGCATCGAACCCTACAAATCCATCCCCGATTGCATCCGGAGGACCTACCTCGAAAGTGGGTGGAAAGGGTTTTACAAAGGCTTGGGGACGAACGCGGTGAGGATCTTGCCCGGGACCTGTGTGACTTTTGTGGTATATGAGCAGTTGAGTAGGAGTCTGGAGAGGAGGGCTAGGAGGGACAGGGACGGGAGAGGGAGAGGGAAGGAAGGAGAGGTGGACGTACGGACACAGAATTGAGCGGGTTGGGGAGCTTGTGCATTTGTCTTTTCTTTTCTTGTCGCATGATAGAGTACGTGTATGTCTTTCGTTCAATTGTAATGACTCTCGTATGAATAGAAGATGGTCAATGGCGAGGGGACCAAGCGAGCAAGACTTGAGATGAACGACTATTGATTTAAACATGTTCAAAGAACCCAGTTCCTATGTTGTACCTGAACCAAAGCAATTCGACCTCCGCCACTGGTTACCTGATCGAAAGAACACCACTCGAAAGTCTTGAGAATCATCTAGATCCCCTAAATCCACCTCGAGCGCTTCTTCCTGAGTACCAGAGGCAACCCCGAACCTACATCCTCCTTCCCATGGTGATCCGAGCCATGGCGGACGAAAGAGGAGAGTATACGGAGTGGTGCTCAATCTACTCTTTACGACCTAAGCGTGAAGAGTGATTGGCGTGAGACTAAACAGAGGGGGAGGGAAGCCGACATCCTACCTAACCACGAGGTAGGGAGGCAGGTGAGAGAGAGGTCACGCGCATTCGAGCCGAGGAGGATGGAGAAGAGTGGCGAGCAGCGATCAAAGGAGGGGAAGAATGAGAGGAGGGAGAAGAAGGGAAGGGATAGAGCCGAGCGAGATGGTTCTTCACCCGGTCGCTCGGAGACCCATACCCAATTGCAAGGCCTGCGTCAACTGGAAATCAACCGTATCCTCCGACATCTCCCACATCAATGTTCCCTGAATACCCTTTTGACGAGCGAGGACACCCTTGAGCTGCAACGATTGAGGATCATCGTACGTGATGACCGTTTTCCTCGAGACGTCGTACAAATAAGGCGTCGAGGAGCACTTGTCCCAAGCACGGGTGTAGCCGTTCGTTCCGACGTAGGCATTATTCTTCTTGACGAGCACGCCGTAGTTGATCATTTCCCAGAAGGCGATTTGGTTGCCATCGAGACCGGTGAGATCGCCCTTGCCGAGCTTGGTGTGGCCGACGTTGCCGCCGAAAACGCCACCGGAGCTGGTGCCGTTGCCAGTCGTGCCGTTCTTGGTGCCGTTAAGCGGGTTCCAATTGATCGTCGAGATGTTTTGACCTTGGACACCTTCGCATGGTCTACCAGAGTGATCACCAGGGCAGTAGATGATGGTCTCGTTGTTCTTGGTTACGACCTTGACAACTTCCGAGCCCGTCGAAGCCTGGGTGAAGACGTCACCACCACGAGCGGCCCGCTTGGCCTTGGCGCGACGACGCATCGCCTTTTCTTGGCCTTCCAGGTACGAGCGATGGAAGACACTCATGTGGCGCGTCAGAGCTTCGGCGATGTTGCGGCGGGCACCGGCGGTCTGAAGGAGCTCGCGACCGGCGTCCTCGGAGGATTCATCGTCGATAGAGCGCTTGTTGATCAGGGTCGTCTTGGACGACGCCGAGACATAGCCGTAGCCGGGGACACCCATCAAGATCTTGCTCGCGGGCATACCGGCGAGGGTCCAACTCTGGATTGCGCTGTTCATGTTCGCGAAAGGCTGGTTCGAGTTGGGGCACGCGTTCTCGAGCGGGGCGTTGGGACCCGGGCTCGGCGATGCTCCCCAAACATCGTAGTTCATGACGAGGATACCATCAAGAACGGTGGCGAAAGCCGAGACGTTGGCGAGAGGATTTTCGTGGGCATCAATGAATGGTTGCTGTGTTGTGCAAGTCGAGAGTCGGGACGTAGGAAGGACGCGGCGGAGATCTTGCAAGAACAAGAGGAAGTTGGCCGTGTCGTCCGCGGAGATCGCATTGCCCGAAGCACCCTCAGTGCCCGGATACTCCCAATCGATATCGACACCATCGGCGCCCGTTCGTGTAACCATCGCGGCGATGTTCTTGGCAAAGTTGTTGCGACGGGTGCGAGTCGAGACAGCATTGGAGAACTTGCCTGAGTCGGTCCAACCACCGATCGAGATGACAACCTTGGTATCGTTGGCGTGGCCCCTCTTGATGAGTTCGGCCAAGAGCGTTTCCGAGTTCCATTGCGAGAACTTGACACCGTAGTTGTCGGTCGAGATCACGTAGGGTACCGCGAAGGCTACACGAGCAAGGGGCCCATCCCGAGGTAAGTATCCGGTTCAACAGAGACAAGTTGGACGAAGACGCAAGACGTACCAAAGTGGATCAAGTCGAACATCTTGTAATTTATGTTGGCCGGGGGGAGCGTGTCACCTTGCCAATCGGGGTAGTACGCGCCAGAGATCATGCTATCGACTTTGGGCCAAACCGCACCCGCAGCGGTCGTCGTGGCCGCAGGGGGGACGGTGGTTGCCTTGACCGTCGTAGTCGTAGTCGTAGTCGTCGTCGTCGTCGTCGTCGTCGTCGTCGTACTCTTGGTCGTGGACTTGGTGGTAGTAGATGCCTTGGTGGTGCTGATGCGCGGAAGCACAAAAAGCTTCAGATGTTAGTAGCACGATCGCGAGCAAACACGGAATGCGCAGCAAATGTAGTCGACTGACGTTGTGCTGGCAGCCGTCGTAGTCCTAGGAGTTGCAGACTTCATCGTCGTTGTTGCCCTATGGGTGAAGAAAGGCCCTCGAATGTCAGGAATCTTGATCACAAAGAGACGGGAGAAGGATGGAGCCCTGAAAGCGATTCTGACGCGGGTAGAAATTGTCATAGAGCCCGCATGAGCAAACTCACGAAGTCTTGAACGTTGGCGACTTTGGATTAGGAATCGTCCGAGGCTTGGTGAAGTCACGGAACGCCACAGGCGCGCGCCTTTCCACCATGTTACCAAAGAAGCGGCCAGCAAACGACGAGAGTGACCGACGGAAACCGGAAGACTGGGCTACTGACGCGACCCGTTCTTCACAGGCCTTGGGGTTGGTGATCGCTCTTGGCTCGGGTGCTCGCTTGGCAAAGGCGGAACCTTTGGGGGCGCTCTTGGGGTTGGGGACGACACGCTTGGGGATGCTTCGCTCGACAACGATGGGCTTGGAGTTTGATCGGGCAGCGCGCTGTCGGTCGGCGAGCACAAGGTTGGCGGCGGCGGCATTTCGACGTTGGCGCAGGCGCTCCAGGGGCTCATCGGGCCCAAGTTGGGCCGAGGCACGAGCGAACAGAGGTTCAGCTAATGCAGCACGTCGTTGGTTTGTAGGCAGTGCCGAAGCGGTCGAGGCGCAGAACACAAGCGTCAAGAAGGCGGCGGCGCCGAGGGAGAGCCATCGCGCGGGCGTCGACGTGGCGCATCGGGGCATGTTGAGTGACGCCGAGGGGCGGGAAGAGGAGGGCATCGCGGATGCCGAAGAGCGCTCGTTCACAGAACGGCGTCGAGATGTGGTAACAGAGGGAATGGCGGCGGAGCAAAGAAGAGTCAGGTAACGACTAGCGTTGAGCTGATGGAGTGTGGTGTGAGAGAGAGGCTACGTCGGAGGACGGCGACGAGCGGGAAGATGGAGAACTGGTTCCGATGAATCGCTGAGAGAGGGTCTTGTGGAAGATGGCTAGGAGAGAAAGGGGAAAGCTTTCTCAAGAGTGTCGGGATTGTAGTAGATGGAGGGAACCAGCCTCGGGGGATGGTGGGGGAAGATTGGGAAGGTGGGGGTCGGGCGCCGGGCTCTGGGAAGTTGGATGGATGGGAGGAAAAGAAGAAGAGAAGGAGAGAAGGGCCGAGATGCGCTGCGCTCCGCCGCGCGGACTAGCGCGGATCAGCCAAACGTCGATTCTTGGAAGGTGGCAGTTCGCGCAATGCTAATGCGCAATTGTGGAAAAAGCACTTCCCTTGGAACCCAGCCAGACGCCGCCTGCCCGGGCCTGCCCGCGATTCAATTATCGATCGCGCGAGGGTTGATTCAAGGATCTACCAGCCTCGCCTGCCCTCGAGGCTCGCAGGGTCGCAGCCACGCCTCTCGATCGTGCATTCGACATGACGTCGGTCGATGCCGCTCCCGCGCCAATTATAGTGCTGCAGCAGCATCAGAACAGCTTGTGAAGAATAAAGCGCTCATTTGGTGGCCTAGACTTCATTTAGTCGTATCTCATAAACTGTTCTAGCTGCAGTCGATACGGCTACGGAAAGTTTTCGCTCAGGGTTATTTTCATTACTGCGATAGTAACGACCTGATATGTCCCGAACTTCATGTATCAGACTAGAGCACAGAAGTCCAAATATTCATCTAGTCCACAGAATGCCATCATACCCTGGACACCGGTGATGGGACACTTTGGAGAGTTTTTTTTCGGGGGGGGGGGGGGGGGGCGGAGAACCGCCGCGTCGCGCACCTCAGCGGAGTCCGCGCGCGCGCGGCTGCCCGCCATCTTGCGCAAGTCAGAGCGACGGCGCGCGCTTCCCCGGATTCTGCCCTGCCATCCGCTGCTATCGAGAGGATTGGCTAACCCCGAGAACGTCGACAGGTGCAGCCCACCGCACCCCCGTAGAGATTTGACGACGCCGCCTCAAGGACCAGCAAGAATCGCCACTTGAGCCTCGAATGCAATGAAAAGACCTGGAGCAGTCCTTTCGCTTCTCTCTCTCCTTCTCATCACTTCCATCTCGATCAACTGCTCTCAGCTTCCCAGCCACCCCTCACCCCGAGCGCCTCTGCCATCACCAACGGCCTGGATACTCACCCCGCCTTACAGTCTCAAGCGCACCATGCTCTTCACCACTCCCGTCATGATGATGCTCGCTTCGGCGCAGATCGCCTTCACATTACCTCACATGCGAACATCCGACATGGATGTTACCGCCAAGGGCCGTTTGCTCATGGCGCGCAGTGTTGCTATTCCCGAGGACGGGCACTCGGTAGACACCCACTCGCTGGCCTTGGAATTCGCGCGAATGCGCCGATTGCGCAGTCGACTGCTTGAACCCGAGCCGTGAGTTTCATCTCTCACTAGAAGCTACCGATCACATCAAATCTTGTTACTGAAGTCTTTTTTTGCATTCATTTATAGTGTCCTCGTGGCTCAGACAAAACCCATGCTCCAGCGCCGCGGCATCCGCTCGCCTCGAGTGAAGCCCGCGAACGCAAGTGCGAAACCTACGGTCTCTAAGGCCACCGCCACAGCTTCGGCATCTCCGAACACCACTTCCTCTCAGACCCCGTCTCCCACTTTGACTCCCGTGGCGAACCCCAAGATCAAGAGCTCGACCCACCATGTGCACAATATTTCGTCGATTCCTCATCCTCATGTGGGCCGAAAGAACGTTACTACCACTCCCATCGTTCTCGTTCCTTCGACCATCAACGTCACCGTCGTCTACTCTCTCAACACTACCAACGCCAATGCGACCTCGAACAGCACCTTACCGCGTCGCTCGGTCGCCGTCGCACGCAGTCGCAAGGTCTCTCCCGGTGTGCAGACGTTCGTGCGCAAGCCTTCCATCGCCTCGAAACGTGACGCTATTCCCAAGACGAGGAAAGCTTCCCCCGCCATCGAGGTCTTCCGCGCTTCGTCCACCATCAATTCGGCCTCCTCGACGGTCCACTCCAAGCGCAGCGTCGTCTCGAAGGAACGGAAGCGCTCTCCCGCACTCGACACTTTCAAGGCCAGGGCTTCCGAGTCTCGTCTACGAGCCAAGCGCTCCCTCGTCGCAGCCGACGATTCGACCACCGCTGAGACCGAGGAAGTCCGAGCTGCGCAGCCCACTCAAGCCGAGATTCAAGCCGTGCAGCAGCTTTCGTCGGAGCCCGAACACTCGAGCGGACGAGGTGCTGGACCTTTCTTCGCCGTTCGAAACCGCGAAAAGCGATACGTCGTCGACGCTGTCCCCGTCGAAAGCCGAGGTATGGGTGGCTACAGGCGCTCGATTCCTACGCCCAAGGCTCAACCCGCATCTCTTCTCTAAACCGATGGATCGCACTCCGACCATCTTCACCCCCACATTCTCTTTCTCGGGTTCTCAAATCGAAAGGTGTCGGGACCCAAGCTCGTCCCCTCTTTCGCTGGTCATTGGGGTTTTCATCAAAGTTTTTTCCTGGGTTCTCGTGCCAGAACATCCGAACCACTCGACGTGGGTTTTCGCATGATTCTGATGAAAAAATGGTCCTTCGGTTCATCTGGTAATCGAAGGTACATCACCTGGGGTGATGTTGTCGGCGTCCTGCACTCTCGAGTCTTTGCTGCGGCGTTTTCGTTTACATTTTCGGTTATTCCATATTGTTGTTGTTGTCGTAGTACGACGGTCTTTTTTTTTGGAGCAGTAGCCTCCCGCGTACGTCTCAGTTTAGATAGAAAGATTCCTTTAGTTAGCTCCGCGATTATTTGAGTCGATGGAACGAGATCTTGCCCTGACCATTCATACCGCGCCCCTTGAGGCATTGAGAGCAGCCGTTTCACTCTCGGATCGGTGTGTTCTTCGTGTTTTGACAGGTTCGGATGTCATTTCAAGAGAGGAAACCATCCATTTTTATTTGTTTTGGAAGGTTACCCCAGTTGAATTCCTACATTACGAGGTCGAGTCCACGGGCACATCTTGAGTTAGAACCGGGAAGAGAAGCCGGGACTGGGTTAAAGGAGATAATGTGAGACTCGCACGGGGAGGGAGAGGAAAGCAAAACTCGGGATAGGAAGGGGTGAAGGAAAGCACGTCTACAGATAGACACAAGCGGGGCAGGCGAAGGGGGTAGAGGGGGCACATATTGGAGGGGGAGGAATCTCTCAACATAAGAGAAGGGGAAGGGAATAGAGCGCGGGTGAGAGAAAGGTCAATCTAACCATACAGGAAAACCACCACAAAAGATCAACACTGATCCCGAGACGAACTCGTTACTTCAATTGTACGACCCGGGCTGACGCGACGGCCATCCATTCGCTTGCTGCTGCTGCTGCTGCCCTTGTTGTTGCGGCGGCGGGATGATGTAATAATCACCCTGCGGTGCCGAACCATGATGTTGCCCCGCGTTGCCTTGTTGGTTCCATCCTCCTTGTTGAGAGGCGTACCCTCCGAACGAGTTCTGAGGCACATGGTAAGGTCCGCCGCGGTGCTGCGCTTGTTGGTGCTGTTGCGACATGTAGGGTTGCTGCTGCTGGTGTTGCTGAGGCTGTTGTTGTTGCTGCTGCTGCGGCACGAATGAGCTCGCATGTTCGTTCAGTCGAGGGCTCAGCACGTTCTGTGCGTGGTGTTGCTGCTGATGGGAGGGGTGGTGTTGCGCCGACCCAGGAACGCCGTAGTGATCCGATGCCGAAGGCGGACGCATATAAGACTGGTTCTGTTGCACGGGGATGCTTTGCGGTTGATGGGCCTGAGTCGGGCGGGCGGCGTGGATCGGAGGGAGGACCGTTCGTGCGGCTTGCGAGGTAGGCTGCGTTGACGTCGGGGGCGGGGTCGGCGTCGCGTGGGGGTAGGGATGGCGGGGGAGAGCACCGGCAGCGGTGAGACCTTGATGGGACACAGGGACGGGAGCAGGGATCTGTGGTGAGAGCACTCGGGTCACCGGCGCCGGGGCGCTGGTTTGCGCAGCTGGGGCAGCGGATTGGGTCGTCGCGTTGGTCTTAGCCGGGGTTGGAGCTGAAGCCTCTTGTTGGGCAATCTCGCTGCGCTTCGATGCCAAGGTCCTGGCCCTGGGTTCAGCAGAGGCTTCGGCAGCCGGTGGGGGTGCAGCCGCTGTCGCAGCCGCCGCCTCGGCGTCAACTGCAGCACTCGTCTCGGCAGCAAGTGCGGCTGCTTCCTTTTCTGCCACGCGTCGTTTCTCCTCTCGCTTCGCCTTGATCGCGACGACTTTCTCGTCGAGGTCGGTCGGCCAGATCTCGAGACTGGTCGAGCCCATCTTGGACGCGTACTTTTGCTCGATCGAGAGGATGTACTCGACGAGGGAATGCAAAGGACGTGTCTCGAGCCATTCCCGTTTCGCCTCGTTCGAGAAAGCCGGCGAAGCGGACCAAGTGCCTTTGCTGATGTCGAGGACGTGTTCCCGCGCAGCGAGTTTTGCATCGCACTGCTTGCACAACCACGACAGATCGGAATCGACGACCGAGTCTTGAATGCTGGGCTCGGCGCACGACTGGTGCCACCCTCGCGCACACGAATCGCAGATCACGAGGCGATTACGCCCCGGTGAGTGACCCTCGCTGCATTTTTGGCACATGAGGAACGTATCGGGGTTAAAGACGGCACGCTTGCGACGATGAACAGTGGGCTTCGTCGTCGGCGTGAAGCTCTTGGGTTTCTGCACTCGACGACCAAACTTGGTCATCGCGGCTTTGGGTCGGTTGCCGCTCGAGGCGTCGAAATCGTCGGGAAGCTCCTCGCTCGGGTCCAAAGGTCGCGAACCATCACCGGCGTAGCTTGCCTGCCTGCGAGCCTCGTTACTGAGGAAGTCCGAGTCGTCACTGCCTTCGCCATCCTCGTCTTCGCTATCGGGCCTGGTCCTCTTCCCCGCGGGGCGAGTCGTCGCACTGCCCCTTCCTCCCCTGGCCCGGCTACCACGGGGTCGCCCGCGGGGACGTCCTCTAGGTTTGGGACCGGCCGCAAACCCTGCACCAGACGACGTGCCGGCGGCGGCGGTGATGTGGGCCGCGGGTGCTCGGGGAGCGGCTGGTCGAGTATCGACGCCGGGGTTCTTCCTTGGTCGGCCGCGCGGTCGCTTCGGAGGCACACCCGGGACGCCGGACTGTACCAGGGGCGGCATCACCTGAGCCTGGGCGGTGAGACCACCACTGATCGTAGCATTCGACGAGGAGGACGCTCCCGGGGTGGTGTTGGTTCCGTTCGTGGGTGCGGAGGACGCGAGGCCGTTCTGGGTCGGGTGGGCGGCCGCGCCAGGTGCTGTGGCCGCTGCTGGTGCTGGGGCTGCAACTGCGCCGGCCGCGACGACCGAGGCGTACGAAGGCTGCTGCTGCGCCGAGGCGCCCGCGGTGGTCGAACCCTGCGCCGATGTTGACGACGATGCCGACAGGGAAGGGTCTACTGCAATGTCGAGGGTGGTATGGTGGTTCGCTTTGGTCGAGTGGGTATTCGAGGTGGCCTGTTGCTGCTGCTGTTGCTGCTGGTTCTGTTCGCCGGTGGTCGACGCAATCAGCCCCACACGGATTGGGTGTAAAGCAATGGGTAAGTAGGGGCGAGAGACACAATCACAGGAAAAGCGGGACCAAGAAGCACCACCGGATCCCAACTTACGCCATCAAACACGAGCCCGACGGGGATATCGTGCAGGTTCTCCTCAAAGTCCAAGCTCGAGCTCGCTCCGGCTCCATCGGCGCCGCCATCGTTGGAGGTCGCACCTGGATTTCATTCGCGCGCACACACACACAAAAGGTCAGTCAGAGCTGACGAGCCTGTAGGACAAAGCCAAAATGAGCGATAAGGACGCACCAAACGGATCCATGATGGGCGGGGTAAGTGATTAAGTATGGTACAGGTGGGCGGACTACCTATGGCGCACGAAACGAAGGGGGAGAAGCCACCAGGCGTGGTTCCAAGGACTCGGCTCCACAGTCGCGGGCGCGCGAGGGTGCGCGAGGTGGGCCCGGATGACGGCCAGCGGGCTCGGGACCGGATTTGTGTGACCGCGAGAACTCAGAGCACGCGAACTTAATAAGGTAAGTCGCGGCGAAGGCCCTTGTGCCAGTGCGCGCAGTGCCAGGAGACTACAGTCACTCAAATTTGGTCAGGGGTAGGTAAGAGGAAAGATGTCAAAGACAGCTTTCGAGCCTCAAGTTCCAACCGTGTCTGCGTGAGCAACGAAAAAGATGGCGTGAGCCCCAGCCTCCAGGTAAGTTCGTGCCTGGGCTCTGGTGAAAAAAGAAGCGAAACTCGTTGTCTCACGTGCCAGGCGTTGGCCCCGCTCGCCGGCCGTAGTTTCGGGAGTCCCCGAGATCCAGAAGAGAGCGCTGCAATTCAGCATTCAGCAGGACTCGTGTCGCACGGACTCTTGACAAGTCACGCCTCAGGTCCACAGACATCAAAAATTTGGATTCGATCTACTGAAAACAGCTTTTCATTTCTGATGACATGGTGTCCCATCATATGCCTTCACTACCTCATATAATGATCCCCATTCATCGTTCCCGCCCTGGCAGCCAACAACCTCGCCGAGCTCTTGGCATCCAAAAACAATTCGTCCGTCTCCCCAACATCATCCACCTCAATCTCGTCCCTCCCTTTCAACTTGGCGAGGATGCTCGCGGGGGTCAAGAGTTGCAGAGCGTACCTCAACGAGGTCTTGACCCCATCGTCGGCGAGCTTGTTCAACGCGTCCTCCTTGACGTTGAGACCTTCGATCTTGAGACGTAACGACAAGACGGTCTTGATCTCGTCTCGCGTGTAAGGAAGCGTTCGAACGATCATGCAACGATCCAAGAGATCGATGGGGATTCCGTGCGGGGAAACAATCCCTTCCGAGCCCGATGATCCTGATCCGGGCTCGTTGTCGGTACCTCGGATCGTGCAGAGACCTCGGTTTGTGGCGAGGATGACGTGAGGTGAGATGGTCGACTCGAGTGCTCGGTTCAAGTAGGTGAAGGCCTCGATGTCGAGCATGTGCACCTGGAGGCGAGCAGCAGAGACTGGGTCAGCACTGAAGCGATCTCAGGACGTCAAAGCTCGCAACCAAAGCGGGCCTCAAGCTCACCTCATCGATAAAGAGCACACCAGGAATGAGCTCAGCGATTCCCTGTTCAATGTACGAGTTGACGACCTTGTTGATCTCGGCCCTGAGCTTGTCGGTCACCTCGGTTCTCCGCCCCTTGACCAATTGGCCCATAACGCTCATAATGTCCTGCCCACCCTGGGGTCGAGCATTGGCCATATCCAGATCGTGCAAAGTCACATCCTGAACGATCTCCTTCTTCTTGTGAACATCGCCCTTGGGTAAAGGGACGTATTCCTCGGCCTCGAGGTCGTACTCGGTCGAATACGCATCCGACCTACCGACGCGCTTGACTGCACCCGTGTTGGCTTCGATGTAAATGACGTCGCCGATCTGCACGCGCTCTTTTTGGATCGATTCGTAGATCGATGGGTCGAGGCGAAGCTGCTTGGTGCCCTTCACGGTCTTGAGCGAGACGATGACATGCGAGATGGTCTTGCCGTAGCCCGAGAGAGGGTTCTCCGTTTCGGCGGGCGTTAGCTCGGTCACTTCGCCCTCGTACACCTCTTTCGTCTCCTTGACTCGGAGACCTGTGCGTGTAAAGACGGCGCGGAGCGAGGTGAGGTCGTCAGCCCGTGCAAGTCAGGTTAGGAGGGCCAGCCTGGAGCTTAGCAGACGGCTCTGCCCGATCCTCACGCACCGATCGCTCGTCGAAAGTTCTCCATCAATACCTCGGTCTTTTTGACCTCGGACGAAAAGACCTCTGATCCGACCATGGGGCAGAAGGGGACTTTGGGACCGAGCTCTTGAGCGATCGCGAGCGCCAAGGCGGTCTTGCCCGTCCCGGGTCCGCCGGCGAGGAGCAAGGCACGACCGGAGAAGCGACGCGACTGGATCAGAGTCAGGACGAGACCGCATGCCTGTGACGTGGGATGCATGGGATCAGGTCAGAGTGCTGCAAAGGACGTTGCTGGTCTAGGAAAGAGTGGCCTAGCTCGCTCGAGGGAATGACCCCGTCTGGCAGCGCATGACTGACCTCTCGAGCGGCCCTTTGCCCAACAAAGCCATTCCTGTCTTCACGAGCAAAGCCTTCGTCATCGAGTCCGAGGCCCTTGATGTGCGAGTGCGAGGCGACTCGTTGTTCCCGGGACGAGGAGGACGTCGTCGCGGCGGCCATGGTGCGATCGCTCTAGACTGAGCAGAGAAGTAAGGCGAGGAGTATGGAAGAGGCTTGATCACAGACTATGGGGGCGGTGCGAAGAGTGGATCGGGGAGAGGAGGGCGAGGGTGCGACGTATGCGGATCAGCGGGAGGGACAGAGCTCGAGTCGAGTCCTTGCGTCGGGTGAGCGAGAGCTAGCGAGAGCTAACGAGAGTGGCGGCGAGACATTTAGTAGTAGTATGTACCCTGCATTCAAGTTACCAAGCTGCAGAGGCACAGCATTTTCGGCCGGGTCGAGTGGCAGAAAATTGCAAGTCTCATCTTTGTAAATTTTTTGCGGTTTGTGGCACCCTCGTAGGCCAGAAGAGCAGATTGTGTTCCCAATTCAGCTCTTTACTAACAGCGGCCCGTTCGGGTTAGAAAACCGCAAGCGCCGGCATGTGGGGGCCAAGGGAGGTCCCTCCGTGCCGTTTCGCTGCTGTCCGTCGTCCGACTGCACCACGTCGCGACCAAGTCGCTTCGTACTGTGAGCAAGCGTCGCTCTGCTTCTCTGAGAACCCGTACGCTCGAAGCTGATGACGTTGCCCGCTTCGCAGTCGCTACGATGAGCTCGTCGACATCCTCTTTGCCCTCAGCGTCCTCGGCGCGCCCAAACCCCGTCGTAGCCGATCACCAGACCCTGATCGACCGACTCAAGGCGATCCTGTCACGACCATCACCCGCAAAGCTCTCTTCGGCGGATCTACAACTCGTCTTCACCTCTTTGGCGTCCCCAGCGTCCTCCTCTTTGTCGTCCTCAGCTCGATCGCTCTCTCTCGCCATCCTCGCACGGGCCTACCCATCTACACCGACTTCACAACCCTCGAAGGAAGAGCTCAAGACCTTGACGGAGACTCTCACCTCACTGCTCTCAGGGACCGATTCCAATGACCTCGTGGCTGGCCTTTCGGCTCTCTCGGCCTTGGTGCAAGTTTCTCCGACTTGGACAACGGTCTCGCTGCTCTCCTCTTCCGAGTCAACGACTTTGGTCCAGCACCTCATCTCTGCCGTCGAACACATCTCAATCAATACCTCTTCGACGGGCAACTCGAAAGGAAAAGAACCACAATCGAGAGAACAAGCCGCTCTAATCGAATTGTTGTCAATCGCGTCGGGCCAGTCCAAATTGAGGAAATTGATTCGCGATTCGTCAAACGACTGGCTGGATTCCTTGTTGGGCTCGCCGAAGAAGAAGAATGGATCGAGCGAGAAACTGATCAAAGCCATGGCAGCTTTGACGGTCGTCAAGTTGAGATTGGGCAGCGAACCAAAGGAGCAAGGAGGGGCTACGACGACGTCTTCAGCCATCAAGGAGGAGCAAGAGGTGCCCAAATGGAGTCTTGAGGACCTTTGTGGGGTGTTTAGCGAGTTGTTCGTCGAGGAAACCAAGCCCGAAGGGACGATATCGTTACCGTTGGATCCGACAAAGGAAGCAGTCCTGCTGGCGTCGCTCGAAGGGCTGGCCTACCTCACGCTCGTACCGACCGTTGCTTTGAAGGACCAACTCGTCTCGAACAACGGGGAGTTCCTCCGCCCCTTTCTCGCTCTGCTCCCGAAGCTGTACTCTAAACCAACGGGCACGAGCTCTACTCCCGCTCTTGACTTTTCAATCGCGACCTTGCTGTCCCACCTCGTCAAATTCCCGGAACCGCTGGACTCGACTTCGGATCAAGCCCAATTGAACCGCCTCAAGAATTTCGCGTCGGCTCAGGCGAAGTCACCTTTGCAGGCCAGCCAAACGGAGACGAAGGAACAAGTCACCTCGAGGATGGACCGTATCATCTCTGCGTCGCCTATACCAACTCTTCGACATTTCTGCTTGTCTTCGTCGCTTCAGACTCGTCGATTGGCGGGGACGATCCTGCATGCGCTGGTGACGCCTCAAGCGAAGCGAGGTCTACTGCTGCAAGCCGGTGTCGCCCGATTACTACTCTTTCTCATTCGACGACAACCTACGCCCATCTCGATCGAGGAAGGGGACATCGAGCCCATCCAAGCCTTGACCAAGTTGTTGATCTCGACGAACCCATCGCTCGTCTTCCCTGATCCTTCGCTCCTCCTCGAAGCACTCAACATCATTTCCATACCCCTGAAACCCACCCCCTCCACGGCGACCCTCCCTTTGTTGACGATCTTTGAATCCCTCATGGCTCTGACGAACCTGACCTCCCTTGCCGCGGAATTGGCGAACCATCTCGCTTCGGCTGAACAAGGGATCTTAAAATCCCTCCACGAGGAAGGCTTGATCTCCTCCCACCCCATGATCCAAAGAGCTTCCACCGAGTTGGTATGCAACTTAGTCAACTCCCCGAACGGGGTGGAATTTTACTCCGTCGGCACTTCTTCGACTTTAGCGGCCCAAACGATGCTCACTCAACGCCTTTCGATCCTTTTGGCGTTATGTTCTTCCGAAGACGGGGCGACTCGACTAGCGGCTAGTGGCGCATTGGCAATTTTATGCTCGCATTCGGAAGAAATTGCGTTCGTGTTGTGTTTGGAACAAGGGATGAACGGGTTGGAAAGGATGGGGGAGTTGGTGCAGGAGGAGGACGAGGGTTTGAGGCATAGGGGTTTGGACGTGTTGAGTTCCATACTGGGGGCTGTGGAGAGGTGTCAGGTGGCGGAAAAGAGGAAGGAAGGTGTGGAGAGGTTGAAGAAGGGTGGTATTTTGAGGGGCATCAAAGAGTGTGAAATATCGGAGAAGGTAGGGATGTTGAAAGAGTTGGCGGGGGCGGATAGGAAGGTCTTGGAAAGGTTGCTAGGGATTTGAACACACGCAGGATGATGGTATGCTACATGGCTTTGTTTGTATTCCATTAGCTCTTCAAGCGCAAGGGTATACGATGGAAGAAAACAGAAGCGGGGAGAAAGTCATGTAAGGCTACAGCTAGGAAAAGACGAACCCCGAAGGGTTTGTCGATCAAGTCAAAGTTGGGAATCGGGGGAAGCGAATTCATCACGCCAACACATCCATCGCCTTGGCCAAGACCAATACGACAGCACTCCAGAGGATGGGCAAAATACTCGTCAATACTTCGGGACCACGACGTTGTTTCCAGGGGGCCATGGTCTTGAAATCTTGTTTGGGGCGAGCGACGAAGGAATAGTGGTCCCGGACGACGAAGGCTTCTCTAGGGGTCGTGAGGAGGAGGGAGGGGAAGAGAAGGGTGGTGCTGGATATAAAACGTCATGTATGTTAGTATGTATTGGACCAGAAAAGGGGCGTGAAGAGTCGCTCACAAAGGCACGAGGGAAGCGAAGAAAAAGTCCAGCCAGACCAAACTCGGCCAAGCAAGCGTCAAGATTAAAGTCAAAACCACCTGATGCGAATGCTCCATCGCGGCGTCGAGTTGATACTCTTTCAGGACTCTCCAGAGGGAGACGCCGATCGCGGCGAGGTAGACGGCGAAGTAACCGACGTGAGGGTCGATGACGAACCAGAAGAGGCGCTTGATGAAGGAGGGACGGGTGACGGTCTCTTCGGTTTGGGGGACCGAGACGTCCGAGGCGTTCGAGAACCCTCCGATGGCTCTGGGAAGGATGAGGCGGAAAAGGGCGAGACCATGATAGGGGGCGGCGAAGATCCAGGCTTGGAGTGAGCGACGGGGAGAGGAGGTCCCTGTTGCCCAGCACCAGACGACTTCGTGGAGGCGAGAGAGGACGATCATGACCAGCGCGGACTCGAGCAGAGAGGTGAGCTGGACGACGTCGGGAGCGATTACCAACAATTCACCATAGGAAAGCAGGAAGGGGTAGAAGGACGTGAGGGCCATGAGGAGGAGGGAAAAGAAGGGGACCAGGGCCCGGCCGAGGAAGTACAGTCGGTTCGCGAGAGACTGCAAGAAGCATCGCACAGGGAAGCATGAGCGCCAACAAATCAAAGTGCGGAAAAAATGTAAACTATTTCAGACTCACCATGCTCTTGATCATGCTCGAGTAGACGAAAAAGTTGAACCTCGACGCCGTTCGAAGAGGACCAATGGCGTTGATCATCATCGCGTTGATCTGCGCGCCATACGTGGGCTGCGCCATGGTCCACTGCAGCACCTCATTAACGACCTCGACCTTGTACCCATTACCCCACATCATCGCTTCAAGCTCGCCATCGGGCATCCACGACTTGGAGGGGAAACCACCGATCTCTGTTACTGCGCTGCGGCGCATGACGAAACCTGAACGATGTTCAGAAGACGTCTTCGCGGCTTGTGAGAGCGTCAAGACGGATTGCAAGACTCGACGAGGGAGGTTGATGAAACCATGCGGGGTTTTAATGAGGGCAATCTCAGAGTCCGCAACGATGGTCGGCAGCGTAGCTCGAAGGTAGTTGCGATCGGGGATGACATCGGCTTCGAGAACGGCCACGAACTCGGCGGGTCCTTTGGCCCCAAACGAGCTCGCTTCTTTGAGGCCAAAGGTGACCGCTTCAGCGCGAGTGCGGAACACACCCTTGTTGGTCGCTGTCGAAGCTGCACGGTGGTACGACAAGTGGGGGCAAGCTTGCGTTTTGACGTGTTTTTGGAGCTCGCGTTGAAGCGTCGGCGAGTTAGCAGAGTCGAGGACCATGACGCGGTATCGGTGAGCGGGGTAGTCCATCGCAGCCGCTGCTATGGCGCAGTCGAAACCGATTTCGTCGGGTTGTCCGGAGGATACGACCAAGACATCAACCGAGGGCAAGTTGATGTCGCCCCGAACGCGGAGCTTGGGTAGACTCGCTGCGGAGCGGTAAGTGTAGACGGTCCAGAGCGAGGACAAGGCTGGCATGCCATAATCGGAGATCTTGAGGGGGTGGCTGGGCCTGGCCCTGCGCGCAGCCAGAGAGCCTTTGGGCGGTTTTGCCCAGCATGGGGCGCTTGGGCTTGTGCACTTGCAAAAAAGAGCTCCAAGGCTGATCTCGAACGCGTTGAATTCGTAGATCTACTTCTTGCTCTTGCAACTTTTACTCTCCTCGTGGTGCGGTGATCTCGGTGACCACACTGGCACTGCGGCAGTGACCTAGTGACCGCCGACCCGAGTGCCGCGCCGTGCCGAGTTGCTCATCGTTCCCTTCCTTCAGCTGGTGGGCTTCTTCCGATCACACGATCATCGAGTGATACCAAAGCTACTGGCTTGGTAGCACTCCGAAAATCGAAGCGATTCTGGTGGTGGTCCTGCTGGCTGGTCGTGCGAAAAGTTTTTCCGAATCAGTGGCGATCACTCTTCCGCGCCTGACGAGGCTCCTAAAGCTACTCGCTCGGCAGCCTCTTCAGGTAATTTGGCCGCTGCCCACAAGCGACCGGTCCTCAGCAGAGCTAATCGCAGTCGGTGCCACCAAGCACACCAATTGTGAGCTCGTTTACAACCTACTTTCACTGCCTTACCACCCCTGGGAGTCTAAGGGTCGCCTTGTGTCTCCTTAAATCACCCAAGGGGGTTTTCAGGGTCGATGAGTCACACACTACTGGCCTAGCCAGTGTGCTTAACTGTATTCCCTCCGACTTTTCCAAAGGTTTCTAGGTATAAATATAATTATACCACTATTGAAATCTATCAAATATAAATTAAATAAAAGCTGTCCGTTCAGCCTGGCCCCTTGGGACACAAGCGGGAGTCAAGCGTGCTCAAGCGCGCACTAAAGCGGGCTAAAGCGGGCTAAAGCGGGCTAAAGCGGGCTAAAGCGGGCCGGACCGTTTCAGAGCGCGCGCGCCCATCTCGGGGTGTCGGGTCATTGTCTCAGCACCCTACATCGCCCACCTCGAGACTCGACGCGTGACTCTCGACTCGAATCATTGCCGACCGCCTTCCTCCTGTTGAGCCCGATCCTGTCCTGCTACGCGGCCTTTTGCGACCACGACTGTTGTCCCTCGGCGCTTGCTGCGCCTGCCAACCGCACCTCGGCGTATTCTCTTTGTGGGGCCAGACCACCCACCCGGCTTGTTGTGGTCGCGTGCAGTGAGGCGTAGCGCAAGTGTCCCCCCCCCCCCCCGATCGAACACTCCCTCGAACCTGAGACCGACGTCCAGATTTGCAACATGACCCAAGACGTTGCATCGTCGTCCAAGTTGGCAGAGGGTGAGCTTTTTCTCTGTGGGTTTCCACTCGAGCGGGCGAGCGCTGTCCGGTTCCGAGACTCCGAGACCAAGTGAGACCAAGTGGGGCAACGACCGAAGCTGCTGCACCGCCGCCGCTGGCGTGCTTCGATCACCGTGTTCGACCCAGTGCGGTGTCCTGCAGTAGGAACTACGTTCGCCCCCCGACACGCACCCGGCCACCGACCAATACGAGGGAGCCACCACCACCTTCAAGTGCCACCGTCCCTCGCCCGCCGCGGCCGAGACGTGCAGGAACGGCGTACTCATCGCGATCAGCCCGGTACACACGACCTCCCACACTCGAACTACAACATGGCATACAGGTACTACTTTGAAGTGGCCCAGGCGAGACCGACGACCCGTCTCGAGCGCGACTATAGCTTCTCGAGTTCTCGCTCCCCCCCCCCCCCCCCCCCTGGCTCCTTCTCGGTCCACAGCATCCCGGTCCACCGATCGCTGCGCAGGGGCACACACACTGAGCAGCCGAATGGCCTCCACCCACAGAGTTTACACCGCGCAGGGAAGGAATACCAGAGCGGCTCAGGTTGGACAAGCTCGCCTCGCCCGAGTCGTCCGCTGTCCGATCGCGCCCCTCGTCGCCGCACACCTCCTCCATTTCCACCCCTACCACCGCCGCATTCAATGTTCTAACCCCTGGCTCAACACCCAAGGCATCGACAATACCTCATCCTCCGCTCGCGCCCGAGCAAGCCGCAGCGCCGCCGGATCCCACAGCTGAGACCGGCGGCGCTCTGGCCGAATCGACCTCGCAGCGCGATTTGAATGCCGCTCGTGCCGCGCTCGCCGATGTGCACCTCACCAAGGCCAACACCGACCCCGAACACTATGGTCGCCATGCCGAATCCTCTTCCTCCACTTCATCCCAGCCCGGGAATCTTGTCATCTCCATCGATGCAGCTCGAGCCGTCTCCCTCTCGGCTTCGGCTTCCTCGTCTCGCAACGCATCCCCAACGGCGCCAAAACCTCCGACCTTCCCTCGTCGTCATTCGGGATCCCAGACCTCTCTATCATCGCGACGAAGCAGTAACGCGAGCATCCCGCACGAGACGGCGCGTCGACTCTCGACGAGTTCGGCCCACCTTCTCTCGCCTCGAGCCGCGGGCGAGTCGGCAGGGTGGACCCCCACAGATGTGCAGCATTCCCCTGTGACCGAAGGCGTCGTCGATCTCTCCTCCTCGACGAACCAATCCGCTCTCTCGACTTCAGCTTCGACCTCTTCGCTCAAATTTGAATTGATCGTCAGGGACTTTGCTTATCCTTCCGACGACCCGAGGTTCAAAGGCCTGCCGCACCCGGATGAGGTCAATGATAAGAGAGATAGTTCGTCGAGGGCGAGTCGGATGAGTGGGCTGAACTCACCGGCGTTTGGGAATGATGCGTTTGGGGCTTCGAGTTCGAGTGCTTGTGAGTTGGACGGCTACTGCCGAGTGCGTAGAACGGCGCCATGGACACTCGCACTTACGGAACCATCCATTCCGCTACCAGTCTCGTGGGGTTTCGTCACCTCCCACGCCACCGATTTCAACACCTCCGAAGACGATTCCCAACTCTACTCGGAAGACGACGCCTCCTCCCGCTCCGATTTCGACTACGCCGATGCGCACTCCGCCGAATTGAAACTCGGTGAATTCGTCCCCGGCATTTATTCGGCCATGTACGACTTTGCGCCTGAACTCGATACGGAAATGTCGATCAGTACGGGCGAACTCGTCACCGTGTTTTCGAGACAATGTGCGGGATGGGTTCAAGCGGCTAGGGTGGGGCAGGATGGGAACGTGACGGGGGAGATGGGCTTGGTGCCGGAGAATTACTTGGCGTTGATTGAGGAAGGGGAATTCGTGACGAGTGAGACGCCGATGATGACTGGCGTTGGAGTTGGGGATGAGGTGGAGTATCATGATGAGACGCCTTCGGCGAATGAGGTGAATCCTTACGAGGAGGAGAGGGAGGACATGGACGAGAGTGCGAATGGGCCACGGAGAGGCGGGGAGGCGTTGAACGACGAAGATGGATCCAAGGTTTCGATGTCGGCAACACCGACGAGCGACCCGAGAACGGAGGCGTGATTATGTCGCCCTTGAGGCGCCGAAAGGACATTCGCGTCGATTTGCAACTACTTCCTCTTCTGTGTTTCTGCCCTTCTGCCCTTCTGCCCTACCCGTTTTGCGTTCTCATCTTTTCCTATGTACGATGCTGTTTTTCTACACTGTTTTGCTTATTGCCTACCGCCCACCTGGGGACCCTGGTACACAGACACACAGACACACACAAACATACACCGCGCGCCGCAAACTCTCACTGTTTGTTTGATATGCCACAAACACGCAGAGAGAGACGAGAGCGAGATGTACAGCATATCTTCAGGACAATCTTTTGAACTTGTAACATTACAATCTTAGGATATACTTGGCCAACTGGGCGCACTACAGTTCATTCCTCCTCATCCGACGACTCGATGAACTCACTGTGAAACCGAAGGCACAACTCGAACCATCAGTATCCATCCTCCGATTCTGCACTTCAAGCTCTCGACACTTGAACTGACTTTGATTTGATGTTCTTTGACGCGCGCCCAATCCTCTTCCTCCTGTTGCCACCGGTAACGGCCTCTTCGCCATCCTCGTCGAGGTCCATCTCCGCTCCTGGAGTTTCACTCTTTCGGCGGTCCCTCTTGGACTTGCCCTGCGGTTCGAACGAGGGAAACGTAAGCAGAGCATGGTCAGTACTGCGGATCAGAGACAAGCGCCTTAATGGCCTCCCGGAGGCTGACCTTGACCCTCTTCTTCTTAGGCTTATCCTCCTCCCCCTCACTCGAGCTCTCCGCTCTCTCCGACCCCTCCCTCTTCTCCTTCTTACCCCTCTTCTTCCCTCCTCCAACACTCTTCTTCTCCCTCTTCTTCTTCTCCTTCCCTTCCACCTCGAACCCATCTTCATCACTATCCGCAAAAGTAGCCGATAAAGTCCACTGCGCCGCCTCTTCTTGCATCCTCTTCCTCTGTTCGGCCAATCGACTGGCCTGTTCCTGCAATTGAGCTAACCGTTGCGCCTCCATCTCGTCCCTTCTCCTTCGTTCTTCCTCACGCGCTTGTCGTGCTCGATCCACAGCAGCTTGTTCCGTCGCTTCGTACGTTTCTTGCGCTTCTTGGATCAAAGGCGCTCTAGTCAACAGTCCCTTTCCATAGTTGAAGCGTTGACGAGGGAAATCTTTCTGATAAGGTGCCGGATCCGTAGGGTCGTTCTGCAACTCGAGGAACAACGCCTGCGATTCATTCGCGTCCTGAATCGCCAAACGCAATTGTTCCAAAGTCCTTCGTTGGGGAGCAAGGTCGAAGAGGACCTGAACGCCTTTTTGTTGCATCAAAGCGATGTTGTACTTGATCGACAGATCGCGCGGTTGGAGTGAGAGCGCCAAACGACCTTTTTCGAGGGCTTGACGGATGTCGTTAAAGGACTGGTCCTTGACTCCTTTGTGGTACCATGCTCGAGCGAGGTATTGCAAGATTGTCGCGTCCTGATCCTTATGGTAACGTTTCGAGGCCGTTTCGTACTGTGAAGTTCCACGTTCGCAATTCAGCGCTTGTCCCAACGCGGGAAAGCACCCAGAGACGGGAGCAGAACTCACACTTTCGATCGCCCTTTCGAATTCCTCGCGATGGAAATGACAATGCCCGATATTGACGTAAACACTCGCATCATTGACGCTCTCCTTGACCTTGTTCAGAATCGTCAACGCATCCCTCGTATTCTTGTTCATCGCCACCATCGCCGTATTGACCTCCCCCGTCATCGTCGAGGTCTCGATCCCACTGCCCAAAACATTCTCCGCGATTAAGATGGCGATCCCTTGAGCCGCGATCGCACAATGTTTGTGTTGTTGTAAAGCGCGTTCAAAGTATTGTGCCGAACGGACGAACAGCTGTTGACGCATCTTGCTCCCTTCTCGAGAAGGGTCTCGATTCTCCCTTGCTTCGTGGAAAGCGATGATCCCTCGTGCGGTGAGCGCATAAGCATCTTTCGCGTCCAACTCCAACGTCGCGCGAGCGAAGTCCTTCAAATTGCGATACAACCCCGCGGTGTAGAGGTAGTAACTTTGCAAAGCACGTACTTCGAGCGCAGCGGAATTGGTCGTGAGCATCTCCTTGAGGTATTGGTTTGCGAGCTCAAAGTTATTTTGTCGTTGGGGACCCGTCACTCCACGTAAAGCGATGAGCGCGAGGCGGGCTTTGGCTTCGATGTATTCGGGGTGTTGGGACAAAAGTTGGTTGTAGCATTCGTTGATCGCGAGTTCGTCGTCGCCCAACGCCTCGAGGATCACCCCTCGGTTGTAGGTGCATACGCTCAATGCCGCATCGTCCTGTTCGGAGATTTTGCCCCCACTCGAAGTGATCCGTTCGCCAATCTTGACCAAAGCCGTTTCGATGCTCTCCTGCGCCGCGATCGGATCCTGTCGATGGTATTCAAGCACGCCGATATTGTTCGCCAACCTGGTCGCCAATAGTGCCCTTTCCTCCCTCTTCGTTCCGTCTAATTCGGCATCTTCCTCATTCTCATTCTTCTCGTCCAAGATCCTCTGGGCTTCGCGGTAAGCCCTCGAACACCTTTCCCCACCTTGCATCTCATCGTCCCACACCTTGGCGATCTCGACGAACATTTGCTCGTCCCTGGCCAATTCCCTGACGCGTTCACTCTTGGCGATGTACTTGTTGACGACATGATCCTGCACGCCTTCGACGGCCTCCTTACCGGATGCGAACAACCTCAAAACTTGATCGTAAGCGTCCTTGGCCTTTTTTCGTTCGGCCTGGGAATCGACGACTGACGAATCGGAAAAGGCCAGATGGGCATGAATCGAAGCGAGCGCACAAAGCGCTTCTACGCATCTAGGATTCCTCCTCAAAACGTTCTCGTACAAATTGACCGCCGCGGGCCAACTGTTGGATTCGATCAAGAACTGCGCTTCGGATAAGAGCGCCAACAATTGGTCGGGGAACATTTCGGACGATTGTTGGTAAACGGACAGAGCGGCGCTTCGATCACCCGTGGAATGGAGCGATCGAGCGAGGTGGAGGTAACCTTCCGAAGCGAGGATGCGCGCATCGGCGAATTGGATCATACGTTCGGCGAGTTTGATCGTGCCCGGTCGACCGGAGAGGAGAAAGAAGTTGGCCAAGGCGCCTAGAGCGGCGGCGCTGGTGTTGTCCTTCTTGAAAGCGGCTTGGATCAACTCGATGCCGCGGGAGTATTCTTCGGTGCGCGCTTCTTCGCCTCCGGCCAGTGTGGGGTCTTTGGAGGTGTTGAGGTGGGCAAGACCGAGGAGAAGGGTCGCCGAGTTGCTCGACGAGTCGGGGTGCTAAGAGGAAAGACGGTTTGTGAGTATCTTTGGTCTACAGCCAAGAGGGCACGTTGGAACTCACAACGACGATGGATCGGTTCCATGCGGCCTTTGCCTTTTTGCGATCGCCCATGAGCCAGCAGCACAATCCGATGCCGATGCGAGGGTCGGGGAGGAATTTGGGTGCGAGGGTGAGGACCTGTTGGTACGCTTTGAGCGCGAGTCGGAACGATCGCCGGGCAAAGAGGATGCGAGCCTGCGGGGAGGGTGGGCAGGAGATGAGTTCAATCGTGCGTCTTGGGGCTGGTAGGATGGGTATTGCGCACCCTTGCCATGAGCGCGTAGAGGTGGGTCGGTTCCGTCGCGAGGATCGACTCGAAGAGCCTCGACGCCTCGTCCAATCGTCCACGTGCGAGCATGAGCACGGCTGTCGGATATCTCGAGCAGATGAGCATGATGCCGAGGCGTCAGGCGACCGGCTGGAGCTGGCCTGGAATGATGACCGACCTTTGAGATCGGTGATGGTCTTGTCGTTGACGTGGGTCCCCTCGGCCCTACCGATACAGACCTCGGCGGCTTGCCAGAGCGCGTCTTTGGTGTTGGGGGGTGCGTGGGGGTCGCGCAGCTTGGATTCGGGGTGGTTGGGATCGGACGAGTGGGTCAAGGGGGGACCTCCTCCTGCGTGATGATCGGAGTGGGTGAGTGGCTCGGGGGGCGGGGGGCGGGGGGCGGGGGAGATGCTCTGGAGGTGCGTGGATGGACTGACTTGGCTGGGAGAGGACGGTCTTGGGTGCCTTGCGCGCCAATGCGAGAAGATAGTTGGCCTTGAGACACAGGAGCGTACACTTGCCCTTTGGATCCAAATGGGCTATGCCCTGCTCCAACATCTCCAACGCGAGCGTATACCTCTTGATCCGCCACGCCTCTTGGATCAAGCGCACCCAAAAGACGACGGGCGCGCGTTCATCCTTGAAGAGGTCGACGACGATCTGCGTCTCCGAGTCGTCGGGGGACGAGAAGAGGTCGTCGAGGTTGATGGTGATGTCGTCGTTGTCGAGGCGGGAGGGGACGAGCAACGTACGGTTCGAGAGCGGTTCGGCGTCGAGGTGGTGGGAGGAGCTGCTGCCGCCGTTCTGGTGGTGGGGCAGCTGGCCACTCGTCGAGGTCGAGGCCATCGTTCGTGAGGAGGATGCTCTCCCAGAGCAAGGGGGGGTGGGGGCAAGTCAGGAGGGCAGAGACGAACAAAGGAGCGCTCAGTAAAGTGAAAGGTGCTCTCCGCGGTGAATGGCTCTCCTCTGCGCAGCGCGGCGCTCCTTTCCGCAGCTTTCCCCTAAGTAATAAGAAGCCTTAATTGTAAGGAGAGCCTGAGCCTGAGCCCGGCTATTAAGGGCAATTACGTCGTCGCGCGGTCGACCGTGAGCTTACCGTGAACGCGCGCTGTAACGCGCTGTGACCTGCTGTGACTACTCGCTGTGAGCCAAGCGCGGCTCTCCTTTCGCCGCTCTCACCTCTCTGCTCCGTACGACCGATCACCTCACGCCTCACGCCTCACGCCTCACACCTCAACCGTACATTCGCACATCATGGCTGGTCGAATGCCCCAACCTGTACGTTCACTCTCAGCATCAGGGTCTGTGCACTGCGACTGACTCGCAGTCGAACTGGAATCTTTCCTCGCCGCGTCGTCGCACGACCCATCTCGCACGTGCCATCGCCGGCGCTCACTACTGCCTCCCGGTCCGTTCATCATTCCCCCAAACCACCCTCTTCCGCCTCCACAGCAAGTCATCGTCCTCCGGGAAGGAACCGATACGTCCCAAGGTCAGTCTTGCTCTCCCGCGACGGCCAGACGTCGCGACGCGTGCGCGGACACCCCAGTCAGCCACACCTTTCTATAACCCGCCACCAACGCTCTTATAAACACCCAACAGGAACCCCTCAACTCTTGTCCAACATCGGCGCCTGCCTCGCGATCGCGCAAACCATCTCCTCGACGCTCGGTCCCCGTGGCATGGACAAGCTCATCGTCGGCAACAACGGCCAGGCCACCATCTCCAACGACGGAGCGACCATACTCAAACTCCTCGAGGTCATTCACCCCGCCGCCAAGACCCTGGTCGATATCGCGCGAGCGCAGGATGCGGAAGTCGGCGATGGCACGACCAGCGTCGTCTTGCTTGCGGCTGAGCTGTTGAGGGAGAGCAAGACCTTTGTCGAGGACGGCGTGAGCCCTCACGTTATCATCAAGGGGTACAGGAAGGCGGCTCAACTGGTCAGTACCCGGTCGACGTGTTCCGTTCAAGGCTGTGAGCACAACACTGACAAGCCCCGACCACAGGCCATCGCACGAATCAAGGAGATCGCCGTCACCATCGACCGATCCAACGAGGCGTGAGTGCAACTGCAACGCCCGCAAACCCATTCCTCGGACCATAGCTAACCTCTTGACTTGTCGCACCACAGCGAATTCCGCGACTTGTTGCTCAAGTGTGCCTCGACGGCCATGTCGTCCAAACTGATCCATTCCCAGAAACCCTTCTTCTCCCAAATGGTCGTCGACGCCGTCCTCACCCTCGACCAGATCGATCTCGACGAGGCCTTGATCGGCATCAAAAAGATTCCCGGTGGTGGAATGCAGGATTCACTGCTGGTCAAAGGCGTGGCCTTCAAGAGGACGTTCTCCTATGCCGGGTTCGAACAACAGCCCAAGAGCTTCAAGAACCCCAAGATCGTGTGCTTGAACGTCGAGCTCGAACTCAAGGCCGAGAGGGACAACGCCGAAGTCAGGATCGAACAGGTTTCCGTGAGTGCTGGCCGAACTCCAATCAGATCCAGACGAGTCGGGGGCACGCTAAAACTGTCACCGGCGATTTCTCTCAGGAATACCAAGCCATCGTCGATGCCGAATGGTCCATCATCTACGCCAAACTCGAAGCCCTGCACAAAACCGGCGCCCAAGTCATCCTCTCCCGTTTACCGATCGGCGATCTCGCAACGCAATTCTTTGCCGACCGCGACATCTTTTGCGCCGGACGGGTCGCCGTGGATGACTTGAAGCGCGTCGTCTCTGCCGTAGGAGGCTCAATCCAATCGACGTGCTCGGATATCCGTCCCGAACATCTAGGGACGTGCGAGAGGTTCGAAGAGAAGCAGATTGGTGGGGAGAGGTTCAACCTCTTCGAAGGCTGCGTTAAAGCTCAGACGTGCACGTTGTTATTGAGGGGTGGAGCCGAACAGTTCATCTCCGAGGTCGAGAGGAGTTTGCATGATGCCATCATGATCGTCAAGAGGGCAATCAAGAATAACCATGTCGTGGCTGGGGGTGGAGCTACAGAGGTCAGTTGGGGGCCGTGTTTTCCGACAGTCATACCCGTCCTCTAACCAACTGCCGAACATTTTCACGGCGACAGATGGAAATCTCGAAATATCTGCGCGACACGGCGCGCACGATCCAAGGCAAACAACAACTCATCATCGCCGCCTTCGCAAAGGCTCTCGAAGTGATCCCTCGTCAGATCTGTGACAACGCCGGCATCGACGCGACGGACGTGTTGAACAAACTTCGTATGCTTCATGCGAGAGGGGAGATGTGGGCCGGCGTCGACGTCGATAATGATGGGGTCGGGAATAATATGGAAAGGTTCGTTTGGGAACCGGCTTTGGTCAAGACGAACGCTTTGGAAGGCGCGAGTGAGGCGGCGTGTTTGGTGCTGAGTGTTGATGAGACGGTGACGAACCCGAGTTCGGTGAGTCCTTCTTGGATAGGTTGCGGGATCCATCGCCCGCACTGATGCCTTTTCTTTCATGTCACTTACAGCAACAGCAAGGTCGAGGCGGTCCCCCGGGTCGAGGTGGGATGGGTGGTAGGGGTCGAGGACGAGGGCGGTAGATGAAACCTTCTCTTGTCCTCCCATATCACAAAAATAAAGCAGTGCTGCTTTCCTTCATTTTGTTCGCCCTTGCACGTGCTAGAATTGCAATTTGCCCTTTTCTTCTATCCTTTCGCCCTCGCTCGCTCGACCTAGTCCCAGAGCAAAAGTTCGCTCGAGAGCCAAAAGTGCTTTTCTGCCTCATGTCAAGACATCTACATCTACTTGGTCCTAATCGTCACCTCGCACCAATTCTCATACGCCTCCCCACGTCTCAACACCGTATCACCCCCAACGATCTCCTTCAGTTCCTGATGCAAGAACGTCGCGATCGGTTGATGAAACTCCAAGAACGTCGCCCCTAGTGTGTGGAAGCGAGAACGAACACTCAGCAGGCTCGATGCCTCAATTTGGAGCTCGAGGAAAGAACAAGAACACTCACCGAATTGATCATAACCCCTCCCCTCCCCCTTCCGATCATGCAACTCCTTCTTAACCGGTGAAACACCATTGAACCCCGCGGCGGTATAACATTGCACCGAACTTTGATTCGTGCGGAATTCGAGGCCTAGACGACCATCGGGGGAGATGAGGGTGACTTGGGGGGTTGCGGGAGAGGCTGAGGTGAATAGAAGGTTATGGTCTGGTTTTCAAGATGGCAAAGGGGTGGTCAGGTTTAAGAGGAGGCCGATTGAGAGGTGGTGAAGAGGACTGACCTATGCCATTCTCGGGGAAATTGGCTCCGATCTTGCGAGAGGTCGAGAAGTTGAGAGGGTCTTCTTTACTCAGTTGAAGGATTTTTCCGGTCGGGAGCATATTGGGGTGCAATTCGGGCGTTCGGTCACCCTTTCCAGGAAGAACCGAGGAAAATGATCAGTCTGCAAAATTTTCCCGACCTGAACTAGCTCGCCAAACGCTAGAAAGGAAAGACTTACAGCGATCCACAAGTCGTATTCCTTCACATCCTTTTCTTCCCTTCCATCGAATCCACCGAATCCCCAATGGATCGTCAAATTGACCGGCGTAGCATCCACTTTCATCCCCTCTCCCCCCTCCACAATCTTCGCCCTCAACACCACCTCCAACCGACCTGCAGCACCTCCTTCCCGCTCGTTCGGTTCCGATAAAGCTACGAACGCCTCGATCAAGAGATTGCCGGGGAAGCCATCTGCTCCGTCCGGAGAGAGGTGACGGTATATAGTGGAGCTTGAGGAGGGTTCCTTCTCGGTGAAGAGTTTCTAATTCGAGGGAGAGGCGACGAGGTCCCAGTCGACTTTATCGATTCCAGTGCGGCCGCCGTGGAGGCAGACGTCTGTTTCGAGTTAGTTGAAAGAAGGCTCGATTATGAGTATAATCGCCACCCTCTTCCCTCTCAAACCCGACCACTCCCTTCCGTTGACTGTCGACTAAACTCCTAAGCGCAACTCACCCTTCCCCTCCGTCCTCTCCAAATCCAATACCAAACCCTCATACCCGTCCACCTCCACGCGTCCACTAGGTAACCTGTTCGCGTACCTCCCCACAGTCTGATTCAAAAAAACTCGACTTCGCACATGATCGTTCAAGTCACGAGGGCCGATGAGCACGTCGCGTTCCTCGGAAACGGTCGAGGTCGAGGAGGATTCGCCGGGAACTTTGACGAGGAGGGAAGAGAAGGTCAGACCGTAGGGGAGGAGGGAGAGGGCGAGGTGGGTCGTGGAGAGGGTATGATGCTCGAGGGAGGGCATCTTATAGGGAATTGGGCGCGCGGGTGGGAGGGAGAGAGGGGAGCGAAGTGGAGGTCGGAACGAAGCGTATCGTTACGTTGCATCGATCGATGTGGGGGGCGGCGGTATGCACAGCCGGGGGCCGGGCCGGTCAATTCCTGCCGCTCATTTAGTGGGCAAACTAGGAACTCTCTCCCTTCTCTCATCACACAGTACGTACCCACCAAAAGCATGTATAACTAATCCAAATCGAACTGCAACAGGAACTATTCCAAACCCCCGGCGGATCTACGAACGATTCAAGCGCTGACGGCCACCTCCCGGGAGACTATTCTTTTTCCACCTCCACCCCCCACGAAGACACCCTACTTCATATCCCTCTCATAAGCCTTCAACACCGTCTCGGCAATCACCGTCTTAGGCGGTCTCCTCCCCGTCCACATCTTAGACTGCCAATAGCCCTGTTCCAACAACATCTGAATCCCCGGAACTCCGACCCATCCCTCGCACCTTTGCGCCAGGTCAATCAAAGGTGTGATCTTGGGTTTGTAAGCGACGTCAATCATCACGCCTCCTCCCGGGCGGGAGAAGACGGATCGAGGGACCACGACACCTGCTTCGGGGTTGGGGGAGAATTCGGTGGAAGTGCCTTGAGCGGGGATGGTCGAGATGACAACGATGGGTTCTTCGCGGCCTGTTGATCCCCCGAAAGCGGATTCGAGCGACGTCAAAGGGACGATGTTGTATTCGCTAGGGAAGGACGCAACGATCTTTTGGGCGTTGGGCAAGATACGGTTGTAGAGGTAGATCGTCTTGAACCCCGCTTGGTACAGGGTGTAGATCGCCGCACGGGACGTTCCACCCGCACCCAACACGAGAGCAGGGCACGAAGGGAGTCGCTCATTGTCGGCCGAAAGGTTCTTCTGAATCAACTCGAGTAATCCGAGCCAATCGGTGTTGTCACCACGAAGCTTGATCGTACCTTGTGCCGTGCGGACGGGGATGATGGTGTTGACCGCACCGATCAGCTTGGCGTGGTCCGAGACTTCGTCCAGCAAAGGCATGATGTCGAGTTTGTGCGGGACTGTGTTCCGAACGAGCTCGAAAATAGTCAGCACATTGCCATCCGAACGAAAGCTCTACCAAAGCCGGCTACTCACTCGTAACCGAAGCTCCCCCGAAATCAGGTGCCCTGATCCTCTGGCGAATCGAATCATCAACCTCGGTCGTCTCATGTAACCCGTAAAGATAAGGCAACCCCAATGTCTCGAACGACGTATTGTGAATCAAAGGGGATTTCGAATGCGCGATCGGCGTCCCAAAGAGGTAGAACTTCTTGGCGTCCAAGCGACCGATGAGGTGCAGACCCGTTTGAACTTGAGCGAACGAGAGTTGTCCGGGCGCACTGGCCGCCAAAGCGGGGTGAGTGACGGGGGACAGCACGGGGTTGAGGATTCTGGACAGTTGACCCTCGGACCCAATATTGAGCGTCATCAACGGCGGGCCATCGTCGAACTTTTCCCTGAACTTCATCATCGACAAGTTATCGACCAACGACGAAGCCCTCGCCACAAGTTTGACGACATCCCCAAACTCCTGAGCGATCACATAGCGTTCGACCATCTGTTCGGAATCCCATCTCAAAGCGCCGGTCCAATCATGCCACGAACAAATGATCTTGGTCAATTGCTTCTTGTTGACGAAATCGCGCATGCGTTGACGCGACCACCTCGTTTCCATGTCGACGTACTCACACCCGGACTTGACGCCCAATTCCATCAGTTCAAAGATGGCTTCCTCGGCACCGTCGGGACACATCCCACCTTGCGAGACCGTGCGCACGGTGAAGACGATCGGCAGCGTCGAACGTTGGCGCAGGGCCGCAAGTTGGGTCGCGACGAAGGTGACGGAAGGAACGACGGGTTTGGTCGGTGCTTTGCCATCGGGGGATAGCAAGTCGACGCGCAGCTCCAAAGCATCGACACCAGCAGTGACTTCTTGGAACTTGTCATACACCGGGGTCGGGGTCGTCAATAAAGGCAGAGTCAAGCAAAGGAAATAGGTTGGTTGCGTCCCCTTTAGTTCGATATGGTTCGTATCCTGCCCCGTCATGAAGCGGAAGAAACGCGCAATCTCATCCTCGGAGCCCTTTGTGGAGGTGTAAGTAGGCAACCCATTGTCGTTCTTCCCGTTCGACAACTTCATCTTCCCCCCAATGACATTGACGAATTCGAAATTCGACAACTCGTGGAACCAAGGTCGACGACGCTTGTAAATATCTTGCAGATCCTCACCCAACGAAGGTCGAGTCGGTTCCGAATTGAGGTAGGCGACGATATCGGCGATGTCCCGAACGACGTGCAAGATCGGTCCCCCACCATGGCCATAAGCTTGAAGGATCTCTCGATTCTCGGGCGTTTCGACGACCCCACCACCAAGGGAGACGACATGCCCTTTGGATTGTTCGGCGACGATTTTCTTCAAGATCTTGGTCTCCATCGCTCGGAAGGCAGGCCATCCATTGGCGTTGACGAAGTCCTTGGCCGATTCGCCCGCGACGGTCTTGAACATCTCGTCGGCGTCGAGCACGGGCCAACCGAGCGCATTGGCACCGATCTTGCTCAAATGCGTCTTGCCTGCTCCTCGCATACCGAGGACGAAGATACTCGCGTCTGTCGAATGACGAGGGATCGGTCGAGAGGTCGAAGCGACGGGTTCGTCACTAAGTTCCACACCCTCGATACGGATCCCCATCCTCCTCGAGAGATCATCCCACCAAGAAGGCCACGTCTTTTCGACACAACGTTTCTCCTCAAGAATGGCGCCATGGGTACCGGGGCAAGCAGCAAGGACGCTGAACGCCATCGCGACGCGATGATCGTCGTAGCAATGCACCGAGACGTCGGCCTTGAGGTCCTTGGGCTTGATCCCAAAGACCTCGATCCCGTCCTCGAACTCGTTCGTCTCGACACCAAACTTGGCCAATTGCGTACGCATCGCCGAAATTCGGTTACATTCTTTGACGCGTTGATTCGCGATACCTCCGATACGCGTCGAGTTACTCGGTTGACCGGGTTGCAACCTTTCGGGTAGAGCGGGTTGGGTAGCGACGGCGGCGAGTGCGGCAGCGGTCAAAAAAGCGTCGGTCATGGGTTCCATATCGATGAAGCCGAGCGCTCGCAATTGTCCAACGGGAGGACCAGTGACGGTTGTATTCGTCTCGGTTTGCACGACCGTGCACCCCATCGGTTCCAGAACGTCCTTGGCGAATCGAGCATCACCTTGCAACGACGACAACCCAATATTCTGCACCGTGCACGACGTGCCCGAAATCGCCGCCAACGCAAGTGGGTACGTCGCACTACTCGCATCCGACTCGATGTTGTACGTTGCAGGGTTCTGGTACGTCCCCAAGGGGATGCGGTACGTGTTGCTCAATTCGCCGTCGAGGGTCAATCGTTCGACTTGGATCCCGAACGAGGCCATCATCGCGATCGTCAGATCAATGTAAGGTTGCGAAATGACTTGACCGCCGGTCAACTCGAGTTCGACTCCTTCGCTCGCGTAAGGGGCGCACAGCAAGATGGACGAAACGTATTGCGACGAGACAGAAGCGGCAAGTTGGATGCGACCTCCTCGCAAGCCTTGCTGGGTCGCCTTGACCTTGAGAGGGAGCGAGCCCTGCGCTTCGACGTATTCTATCGAGGTGCCATTCGCGGTCAACGCATCGACGAGAGGGCCAATGGGACGTTGCTTCATGCGACCATTGCCTGTAATGATGGTGTGCGTCAACTCCGCCTCGGGTTGCACGAGCGCACACACCGTCGCCAAGAAGCGACTAGCCGTCCCGGCGTTACCGAGGAAAAGCGCCTTGTTGTCCTTGGGCGGGGAAAGCTTTCCACTCCTCCCCTTGACGACGAGCAACTCGCCATTGTCCTCCCACGAGAACTCGGCACCTTTCATCTCGAGCAAAGCCGACATCATGACCTGCGTGTCATCCGAATGCAACAAATTGCCGAGCTTGCACACGCCATTCCCCAGCGCGGCGAGGACGAGCGCGCGGTTTGAGATCGACTTCGATCCCGGCGTCGCGAGCTTGTAGTGTTCGACCGTAGGCGGCCCGGGGAAGACCTTGATGGCGGGTGAAAGCGTTCGGGCAATAACGTCGTCTCGGACACCCGTCGCGCGTTCCTCGTACGTCTTGCCGATCCTCGACAGGAGCACGATCTTCTTGACGTGGCCAGAGTTCTTCTTGTCGACGCGCATGATGTCGAGCAAAGTCTCGACGCTGAGGCGGGCGGACTTGGCGGACTTGCGGAACAGAGGGTCATCGAGGGTGATGGGCAGACCATGGGCCTTGATGCAACGCGCCAAGCGACCCACTGCGGCATTGCCGAGTGTGCCGAGACTACGAGCTACTTCGGCTTCGAGGACCATGCCGACGCCGACGCATTCGCCGTGGAGCACATCGGGGGTCATGACGGCTTCGATGGCGTGACCGATCGTATGACCAAAGTTGACGAGGTTGCGCAGACCGGTCTCCTTCTCGTCGATGGTGACGATGTGGGCCTTGGTCGCGATCGACGCTCGGATCACGGACAGGAGAAGCGATTGCGCGGGCGAGCGAGTTTCAAGGGTGCGGCCGGCAAAGGTCGAGCGGGTCGAGCCACCGAGAACGGCCGAATGGATCTCTTCGACGCCGGCTTCGAGCTTGGCAAACTCGTCCTCGTCCCAAATAGCCGCGGTCTAGAGATTATTCCGACGTGCGTACGTCAGTGGGATCGTTCCCGTACGAGGAACCAGGACAGAGGATCGAAAGCTCACCTTGACGACTTCGGCCATCCCATTGACAAACTCGCGACGCGGCAACGACTCGAGGAACGAAGCGTCAATGAAGACGTATTGGGGTTGGTAGAAGGCGCCGATCAGGTTCTTTCCGAGAGGGGTGTCGATCGCGGTCTACATTTCAGAAGAGGACATGGGGGTGTCAGCGTCCAGATTCTCCATCTCGAGAGGCACATAGCTAGCTTGGGCGTACCTTTCCACCAACAGCACTATCAACCATGGCCAACAAGGTCGTAGGAATCTGGCAGTACCTCACCCCGCGCATGAAACTGGCCGCGACGAACCCGACCAAATCACCGACGACGCCACCGCCAAGAGCAAGGATGACGGTATCCCTCGTGCAACGATGGGAGAGTAAGAAATCCTCGAGCTCGGCTTTCACCTCACGCGATTTGGATTGTTCGCCCGGAGGGATCGAGTACGAGATCCAACGCGGTTGATCAGCCTTCGTTGACGAAGAAGACGCGGCAGCAGCAAGAGCTTCTTGGAACGCCTGGTTGAATTCATCGAGGTACAGCTTGGACAGATGGGTATCGGTGAAGAGGACGTAGGTCGACGAGGGCAAGGTCGTGAGGACGGTTTCGACGATGTAAGCGATCAGATGGAAGCCGCAGCGGATGATGTCGTGGCCGAGGATCGAGACCGTGTCGATTGACGTTTCCGTATGCGCCTGGGCAGAGGGAGGAGTGAGAAAGTCAATTCTAGGCTGCTGGGCTCGACACTGCTCTGTAGTGGCCGCAAAGCACAGCCCAGAGTGCCGTGTACTCCCCGTGCGAGCGGCGGGGTTAAGCGGTGGACGGTTTCGAACGTGGAAGGCGACGGCCAACCACGCCTCAACGAGCAACTCGTCCTTGCAAACTATCCTCAACGGCCGAAAGAGACTGGGACCCAAGAAGAGACTGACCATCTTTGCGGCTTGAACCCGAAGTACCGAGACGAGACGATCGGGCACGTAGACGAACGGTCGGAGGGAGAGCGAGAGCGGCAACGGCCGGACAACGACCCCGACGCCGCCTAAAAATGATCGAGTCAAAAAAGCTGGATTTTTTTTGATTTTTTTAAAAAAGGGCCACGCCGAGCGGTCCGTGCGACCGCAACCCAGAACGGGCCTCACGTTGAACCCGTTGAACGCGCGGGGTGGTGTCAAGTGAAAGTCGCGTTTCGAGCTGATCTAGGTAGTAAAAACATTCAAAGCGTGCTATGAGACTCGGCTGAATGCAAGGTCTTCTTGTCCGATCGATCGACTCGGCCGTGGAGCCCCGGCCCGGCAGGCTTTGAACGGATGGAACTTTGTATATGTATATGAATTTCATCATCCTCCTCGTTACAAAACTTCATCTAGGGGATCGTCGTCACTTCCCAGTCCTGCATCGGATCAAAACATCAAGGCCCACAGGTCAGACTCGAAAAGCTCACGCTGAAGATGGTCATCTCCTCTTCTGACCAACTCACAGTGATTAAGAACTCGTCCAACGACGTCAGGTGGTCGACATCCTACACACCCGCGAACAATGGTCTCAGTATCATGCCGAATCACCGAGACAAGACCGAGTCCCTCAGCTCACCTCTTTGGACATTTGGAAATCAAATACGTTGGCATTATCCGCGATCCGGTTCTTCTTGGTCGATTTGGGGATCACGACAAAGCCCTGATCATACACAGTAGAACCAAAAAGTCGTGATCAGCGCCTCTCCCTTCCCGCTTTCTCGACGAACCCTTGGAATCTAAACCTACCCTCTCCAACCCCCACCGAATCAACACCTGCGCCGGCGACTTGTTATATTTCTGCGCCATCTTTACAATCTCGGGATGATCAAACCTTTGACCCCTGACCAACGGACCCCAAGCTTCGAGAACGATACCGTTCTTTTCGCAATAAGCGACGAGGTCATCCCGGGTCATGAAGGGGTGAAGATCGACTTGGTTCACGGAGGGGATTGCGCGGGGTTGAGAGGCGAGTAAGTCGGTGAGGTGTTGGATTCCAAAGTTGCTGCGAGTGGTCGAGTGCAAAAAGGATGAGATTTTCGTCCGTAGAGCACCTATCAACTCACGCAGAACCGACTCACGAAACCCCAATACTCTTGACCAAACCGATCTCCTTGGCCCTCACACACCCTTCCCAACTCTGGGCCCTCACCTCCGGACCCCCCTGCGGTCCATGAATCAGGTACAAATCCAAATAATCCTGCTTCGACTTTTCGAGCGAGACTTTGATGGCATCGATGACGCGTTGGGGATCGGATTGGTTGTGCATCAATTTGGAGGTGAAGAATATGTCGGAGCGCTGCACGGAGGGGTTCGCGCTGAGGAAGGCGTTGATCGCTTTGCCGCAATCTTCTTCGTTTTCGTCTGGTCGTTGAAAGTTGACAGTGGTGTGATGGGTCAATACGGTGAAAGGCAGGCGGGCAGCTCTCTCTTTAGCCCCCCGTGCAAGCTCGACCCCTCGAGGGCCAACTCACACCACTCGGCCCCATCGATATGCTACATATCCAGAGACAAATACCGCATAACATCAGCCAAGCTACCCCACCCCACCTCCCCTCCTTAAAAACTGACCCTATACCCCGCCTCCAGCGCCCACCGCACCGCATTGTAACACTCCTCCCCCGGTTCGGATTCGTAGACTCCCAACCCGAGTCGGGGCATCGAGTTGCCGTCGTTGAGTTTTACGGTCGAGGTGAGGTGGTAGGTTTCGGACATGTTGGGTTGATGTTGGAGAGATGGGTGGTGCGAGAGCGGGGGAGGGAGAGGGGCAGTGAAGAAGCGAAGGGCGGAAGCGATGCGCGTGGCGCAGCCGCACGTCATCAGACAGAAACCTGGCGAGAGTGAGCGACAAGGAAGGCAATTTCCGACCCAGTCACACAATTTTCGCATGCGAGGCTCCGTCAGCTGCATCTGCTCCAATTCGCAGCTCATATCGTACACCAAGACATGTACAGGCGAGCCTGTTCTCCGTCCTCACAGCGCCTCCAAATAAGCCCTCGGCACGATCCCCTTTCTCCCATCCTCGGCCTGGCATTTCCACCATTCGTCCGAGACTGTCCCGAACGCAACCAGATGATTGAGTATATGCAAACACCTTTGAACCTGAAAAGGACTCACTATGTTCCACAACGGTAACCACTTCCCCCTCGCTGATCTGCAAATCTTCCTCCTCGGCGCCTTCATAATCATACAGCGCCCTCGCCCTCGCCCTCGCCCTCCCCAAACCCGAAGCCGCGTTCGACGGGACCGTGCGAGGAGGTGGAGGAAGAGCGGCTTGAGTTTTGTGACTGGGGGTGGGTAGGTGGTTGGCTTTTATGGGGGCGTGCGTGGCGAGGGATTCGGTGTAGGCCGCCTTGGAGGGGTCGTGTTTCGGCATCGGGGCTTGCAGCGAGGTGATGGCCTTGCCAAACTGGAAAGGAAAGCAACCGGGTGGAGGGTGCACATGTCAGTAGACGGAAAGAGTTGGTCTGGACGTTGTCGATTCCGTGGTTCGGCAAGTCGACTCGGTCCTGTGCCCGCTCTCGTCGGACCGACTCACCGATTTCGCACTGGTCGTATTCAACCCACTCGGTGGTTTAGGTCCTCTCTGTCAACGCACGCACAGCCCCCCTCATCAGCTCGTACTCGTTTCAACGAACACCTCTTTCCCCCAACTGACCGCAGGCGGCATCATCCTCGGCTGCTGTGGCTGTGGCTGTGGCTGTGGCTGTGGCTGTTCTTGCTCCGGTCCGCCACCACCACCGCCAGTCTGAGCCTGCTGAGCATTCCACCCCCTCTGCGCGGCATTCGCCACATGAGGAGCCAGAACTGTATGATGTTTAGCCCCGAATTGGGCCGCCAACCCGGCTGCTTTGGGCGAGAGACCTGCGTGACGGAGCGCGGCGGAGGATAGCGCCGGTTGTTGCAGGGCCTGGTCGGCGAGGGTCGTTTGGAAGGAAGTGGGGGTGCTGCTGGGTGGGGCCGGTTGGGGGGTAGGTGTTGAAGGAGAGTAGGCAGCAGGTGTGGGTCGTGTAGAGGTGGGTGCGGCAGGAGGGGGCAGCGATCGACCTGGGAGGCGAGGAGCAGCCGCTGGTGATGACGATCGTGCAGGTGCATGACGGGTAGTCGATGGTGTTCGATCCGAAGCAAAGTACTCGTCCAAAAGAGAAAAGAGCGCGGCTTTCTCCGACGCCGAGTTTCGGACGGTCGACCACATCCTCGGCTCGATCGGTGACGAAAAAGGGGTGGCGGTGTCGGCGAAAGAAAGAGCGAGCAGCGAGCAGCGAGCAGCTCGAGCGCGTGAGCTTGAGCTTGAGCTTGAGCCCCACCTTGCCTTTGCGCCGCCGTTACGAACTGGAATCATCGGCCAACTCCGAGACTGATCGCCGAAGCTTAGTCGAATTGAAATGGCTAATAACTGGCGGCACGCTGCCGCGCCAGCTCCGCTTCGAAGGTCTTCCTCTCCTCTCCCATGATCTCGGGGCCCGACCATGCCTTCCCGCAAACCGAAATTCGAGATATCGGCCTCCCCCACACCGTACGACTCGGACCTGGAAGCCAACTACCCAAACTCGCTTGGCACCTCATCCCCTTCCACTTCCACCTCCAGGGGTCGACCCACTGTGACGACTGCGACGATTCACGAGCATGTCGTCTACGAGGCGACGAACCAGCACGACGAAACAAGTGGGCAGAGGGAGAACGAGTCGAGTGTCATTCTAGCAACGACCGCGAATCGGAATCCTTCGAAACCGAGTCATCGGATCAGTTATGGCACTTTGGTGGATGGGTCTCCGACACCGACCCCGCCACAGAATGGGAATGGGAATGGCAGTCAATATTCCTCGAGCGGGGTCAAGATCAAGCGGCAGGAGAGTATACTGAGGGTCAGTTCGAGCGACGGGCATCAAACTTGGCGTGTTGGAGACTGATCAAATCTCGTGGACATCGTTCAGTTGACGGGCATGATCGATGATCGAGCGGGCGAATACGACAAATTCAGGTGAGAGCCCCTCCGCCCCACACCCGGAGCTTACACCCCCCACACCAGTCACTCACCTCCACCCACCTCTCACTACTACCCAGGGTCCCCCAAGCGCAACTCCAAAAGATGTCTCGCAAACTTCGCCACTTTTACAGCGCCCAAAACGACCTCCTGGACGGCTTTGCTGAAGTCGACGAGATCCTCGACAACGTCGAAGCCGAGGCCGCAACAGGTCAACTCGCCCCTATCGTCCCGAAAAGACCCTCACAAGAAAGGGAAGACGAATTTGCGAACAAGGTCAAGTTGATGATCAATGTCAACGTTGCGATAGTCCGTTTGCTCTCTTCCGTTTGACTCGGTCGGCGAAGGATGCTAACAGCTACACTGGACCATCGCGAACGCACAGAACATCGTCCTCCTGGCAAGCAAGATTGCCGTCGTCCTCCTATCCAACTCCATGTCCCTCGTCGCATCAACAGTCGATTCAGCGATGGACTTGCTCTCGACCATGATCATCTTTGGCACAAGTCGAGTGATTGAACATCGCACGTGGAAGTCGCAGTATGAATGGCCTACGGGCAAGAGGAGGTTGGAGCCTGTGGGAGTGGTTGCGTTTTCGGTCTTTATGATTGCTGCGTTTATTCAGGTGGGTGCTCGTAACTCTTGGAAAAGGTTCTCCTTCTGGGACTGAACCCCCCCTCCCCACTGGTCCCTGTCCTCTTCTCCCCAGGTCTTTATCGAATCGATCCAACGTGTATTTGAAAAATCGTCCACCACCCCCGTCACCATCCCCTTAATTGGTGGCATCGTCATGGCTCTGACCATCGCCGTGAAACTCGTCGTCTGGGTCTGGTGTCGAACCGTGAAGAACACCTCGGTCGAAGCTCTGGCCCAAGATGCGGAAAACGACATCGTCTTCAACTTCTTCTCCCTCTTGTTCCCCTTCATGGGTCAATGGTTGGGATGGCATAAATTGGATCCTATCGGGGGTATGGTCTTGTCGTTGTACATCATCGTAGAATGGACCGAAACACTTTTGGACAACACGGCCAAGTTGTCCGGTCGTCGAGGCAGTCCCGACGATCATAAACGAGTCGCGTATCTCCTTTCCCGCTTCTCTCCCCTCATCACCGGCATCCAACATCTATCCCTCTATCATGCGGGCGAACATCTCGTCGTCGAAGCGGATGTGATCTTACCTCATACGACCGCCTTGACCGTCGCTCATAACTTGGGCGAGAGTGCGCAGTTCGCGATCGAACAATTGGAAGGGGTCGATCGAGCGTTCGTGCATGTCGATGTGACGATGAATAATTTGAGTGGGCACTTGGAGAGGTAGGGGATGAGTCGGATGCGGGATGGGCGGCTCAGCCGCCCTAGGTTGCGGTTTGTTCGTAGCATTGGTTGTTCTTGTGCGTAATATATCGGCCTCCTCGTCGCATGTTTCTCACTACCGGACCACGACTGTTAAAGCTGAGCCCACCGAGGGTATGGCATTACAACTCGAGCACAGATGTCAGATACGTATTACTTCTTCTGGTACCACAACACAAGCCGACTTCACATCGTCCCAGAACACAGAACCGTACGCTCAACTGCTCCTCCTATCGCCTGCTGCTACTTGCTATCGTCGCCGCCGGAGCCGCTCGCCTCGCGCTGCCGCGTGAAGCCCTGACGGGGATCGCGGGCGGTTTCAGGGCATTCAAAGTGGGAGAATCGCCATTGTATTGAGCCTGTGATTCAATACGACCAGTCACGAAGCCGACTTGCAAAACTGGATACCGACCATCGGAACTCACCCCTGCTAGCTCGCCACCTTCCTCCCCACTTCCTTCCCTCTCCTTCACCGCCGATCCATTAGGTGACGACCCTACATCATTCTCAATCACCGGCCTCTGCTTCAACTTGGCAATCTGCAACAAAGCTTTCTGCTTCGCCCTTTCCTCCACTCCTACCCTATTCTGCGCCCGCTTCAATTCCCCTTCCTTGCTCGCCAAATCAGCATCCCTCTTCGCGAGCTCACGTTCCATCATCGCCATCACTTCATCGACCTTTTGTCGCTCGCGTTCTTCTTGTCTCGTGACGAGGGTCGCACATCGTTCGGAAGCTTCATCGCGCGCTTTCTTGACTTGCTCTAATTCGTGTTCGAGGTTGATTTCGTTCTTACGACTGGCGGCCAATTCAAGTTGATCCGAAAGGTTCGTATCACGTTGGCGTTGTAGATCCGCTTGGAGAGCTAGAACATGTTGTTGGGACGCTTCGAGGGTGTTGTTGAGGTTTACAGCTTGCAATGCAGCGGTTTGGTTCGTCGCTTCCAAGTTGGACACCGTCCTTTCGAGATTCGAAATGCGCTCCACGTGCTTCGCGTTCGTGGTAGCTTGGCTTTGTATTTCCTCGTCCTTTGTTGCGACTCTGAAAATTCGGGATATTATGAGGATCATGACTCATACAGGAGCTAGCCCTCGTACATTTCGACGACTTACAGATCTTCAAGCTTGGACAGGTCGGTCCGGAGGCCCTGAATGGTTTGGTCGGTCTGGCTCCTGTGCTTCGCAAGCTCGGCTCTGGCTTCCTCAACTTCCCCCCTAAAGACATCAAGCTTTCCGTTTGATTAGACTTATGATCGTGGTAGCTCAAAATACACAACTAGGGACCACACTTACCTAAGTGGTCTCAGCGTCTCCACCTCCCTCTCCTGCCCTTCGTTTACGCCTCGAAGCCGCTCTAGTTCCATTCGTTCGCTATGATCGACACCGAGGATTCAGCGGGTGCCGCATGCTCTGAGCGGGATAAAGTGCTCAGACTCACGTGTGTAGATTTGTTGCAAGTTGTTTGATCTCGTCTTCCTTTTGGATGTGCGATTGGTCCAATTCCTCCTTTTGCCAAGTGACGGTATCATGTCGAGTTTGCAACGCTTCGAGTCTGGGGGCACAAAGTGCGTGTCAGGTCAGGTCCAGAATACACCTCGAAGAATGATATTGTTGCTCACTCGGTCACCAGCTTCTCCTTCTCGGAGGTAGTAGCGGCGATTATTGAGTCCCGCTCCTGAACCTCTTGACAATGCTTCGCTCGCTCCGCTTCGCTTTTGGACACCAACCCTTGAACCACTCCCTGAAGATGTTCAACCTGACCCTCGAGTTTGCCAACTTGAGTCTCCAACGCCGAACGCTGAACATTCGCCTCGGCGAGTAAGCCGGTGTTCATCTCGAGTTTCTCTCGTAGGAGCGAGATAACGTCGTCGCGATTCTTGAGCTCCTGCTGTTGTTGGCGGATCACCTCAAGCTTGGTAGATTCAATTCGCTCGAGGATCAGACTGCCCGAGGGATTGGTGTAGTCTCGCTGCAGAGCTGTCAAACAGAGGCCAAAGAATAAGGCATGAATAAAAACGGTCACCAGAGAAAGTGAAGGTGCTCCGTGCAACTCACTGCCGAGTGAGTCCTGAATTTCCCGCCGTAATTCCTCAAGTTCCCGAAGATCGAATTCACGATTCAGCCGCTCCGCCACGTCTTGAAGATTCTTCTGGGTTTGAGCCATTGCCAACCCAGCTTGACCATACCTGGAGAAAAAGATAGATAGCCATTTGAGCCCCCAGTTTTTGGAGACATGAAAGTCGTGCAACTGACTTTTCCAGCGCGGTTTCCACCTTGGTCCGAAAGGTTTGCTTGAGCTCCTGCTTTTCCCCTTCAAGCCCGCGAACCCTCCTCTCGGTGTGCTCCAATCGACGCTTGTACTCGAGGTTCTCGTTGTACTGTCGGGGTAAAAGAAGAGATTCTAGGTAATGTAGAATTGAGCACAGCCGGGAGTGGTACGCACCATTTGCGTGCTCAGTTTCTGCATCACCCCAGCCTGCATCGCCAAAGGGTTGTCCTGCGCAGTCGTTGGACGAGCAGTCCGTCCGGGCTCGGTGGCAGACCCACTTCCACCGCCAGTGCCACCTGACGTCTTGATCCTTTTGGATTTTGGTTCCTCCTTGCTTCTTTCCAGCCCGCGGTGACCAGCGCCCGGCTTCTGGAGACTCATCCCGCTCGTCCCGTTGCCGGTTGGTGCGGCGCCGTGACCGGAGCCGCTCAAAGAGGCGCGATCTTCAGCGAGGGGCTTCTTGGGCTTCGATGGCGCGGGCGGATTGTTTTCTGAATGCTGCTTCCCTTCGGGTACCACTGGCGGGGCGACAGACGAAGGTCGCGAATTCGATGGTGTCCGAGGGGATGCCGAACGTGTCGTCGCGTCCCGTTGAACATCAGTGGGAGATGGCAAGCAGGAGTTTTGAGTGACGGCGCTTGTCGAACTAGCACCGGCGATAGACGAAGCTTGCCTTAGAGCATCCTTTTTGGCCGAGGCGGCAGGCCAGGTCGACGCTTTCGAGTCGTGGCCCCGGCCTGTGTCTTGTTGGGGGGTGCTAGCACGTGGGTTGGAGTTGGCGGAGCTGAATGGCCTCGCGATCACAGCGGCCGAGCCGATGACGCCTCCTGAGGCTGCCAGTCGAAATTGGTTGATGAAGCTGTCCTTTCTAAAGCGCTCAAAGTTCGGTGCATGACTTTTGCTCAAAGTTGCCGGGTTTGTACGACCGCGTTCGTCGAGCGCGCTCGCTGCTGAGCTGCCCGCAGTCTGTCCTACGCCAGCGACGGCGCCTGCCGGCCTGTGCGGGTTCGTGAACCGGAACTCGACGGTGGGCTGGATATGGGAAGTTGAGGCGAGATGTCTTGCTGCATACACATCCAACGAAGGCGTCGAGGTCGAGGCTCTTGAAGGGGTTGCTGGATGGTCGTGACTTGTGTCGGCGGCGGAAAGTGACGGCGGTGCCGGCGGAGACGACGATGACGGTGATGCTCCTGTTGGTGGGACCGAGGGCAGTGACGTCGACGTGGGGGGAAGCATGGCAGTCGTCAGATCTGTGCGGTCTTGGGCTGGGGTGGTGGGTGTCCAAGCCAGTGGTTCCGTCTTGGACGACATCGAGTCACATCTCAGCGAGATGCCGAAGGTCAGCGCACCGCACAAGCTCCCGCGACTCTTCGGTCGGTGCGGCAGCAGTTGACATCGCGCCTTCAGAAGTCAATTTGGTTCCTCGCAGCCACAAAGCCTATTCGCCGTCCAGGAATCTAATATCTACGGTTTGTAATTGCACGTGGAAGATTCCGTTCCTATAAGTCATTGGCTAACCGGTTGCCTTAAAAGGCGGCCTTGCGCAGGATGTCGGCCTCGCTGATGTTGCTGCGGCTGCACATCGAAGAGAAGATGCCGTCCTTGTTGCGGAACAGGTTGATCGGCGTGTCGTACTCGGCGACCTGGCCTTCGGACATGACGAGCACGCGATCGCAGTCAATGATGGTACGCAGTCGGTGTGCAATGATCAACAGCGTCTTGTCGTTGAATTCGCTGCGGATCGTCTGCTGGATGTGGCTGTCGGTCGCGAGATCGACCGAGGCCGTCGCTTCGTCGAGCACGATCACCCGGCTGTCCTTGACGAGCGCGCGCGCGAGCGAGACTAGACTACGTTGACCGACGGACAAATTGAGCCCTTCGTCTTCGATGACCATGTCGAGCGTGAATCGGCTCGTCGCCGTCGTCGCTGCCGTCACCGCGGTCTCGTCTCCCGTTGCTGCGGTGGCGGTGGCGGTGGCGGTGGCGGTTGTGGTGGTGGCCGTGGCCGAGGCGACTTCGCCGGCGGGGACCTGGTCGACGAGGTACGCTCGCCTCATCGCGTCCCACAGCACACTGTCCTCGTAAACGTTGAACGGGTCGAGGTTCGACCGAAGCGTTCCACTGAACAGAAGCGCATCCTGCGGGATGATCGCAATCTTCTCGCGCAGTTGGTTCAACCCGAGCTTCGAAATGTCGATGCCGTCGATCGAAATCTTGCCCGACTGCAGCTCGACCATGCGGAACAGGCACTGCAGAATCGTCGATTTGCCCGCACCGGTCCTGCCGACGACACCAATCTTCTGCCCGCCCTCGATACGGAGACTGAGCCCCTTGAGGACCGGCGGTAGCTCCGGGCGGTACGACATGAAGACGTTCTCGAACTCGATCGCGCCGTGCGCAGGCCAACTCGGGTCCGGGCGCGTCTCCTCGATGTCGGACGGCGCCTCTTGCTCGAGGTTGTTGGCGTAGTGCAGCACACGCTCGACCGAGTTCATATCGTTCTCTGTGTTGACAGTTGAAGCCCAACGTCAGACAACCAACTCCCAGAAGGGACCAAAGCATCAACGCACCGACTTGAGCCAACACGGTGACCAACCACGAGAATGCCCCCTGAACCGAGATGATGGTTGCCAATAGTAAACCAGTCTGAGCAGGAGATACCGAATTCCTCGCGACGACAGTGAACAGTGCTACGAGAAGGACGAGAACGGTGCCGAATGCGTCGAGTCGAATTTGGAGCCACCGCTGATTGAAGACCGTCAAGGCGTACGCGCGATTTTCGATGTCGATGTACTTTTCGTTCACTTTCAGGAACTGTTTACTCCACATTTGAGAATCAGTCTACGTAAGAATCGTCCGAGGATGTATGTTTCCCCGCATGAACATACCTTGCCGGACTCTCCGAAAGCTCGGATCGTTGCGAGGCCGGTCAAACTCTCGCTGAAGTGAGCGTAGATAGATGACCGCAGCAAGTTATCTGCAGCGGAAGAATGAAACCCGAGTTAGCCCAGGAAGGGACACTGCCTCGTTCAACACTGCTAGGCAGTCCATCAATGGTGTGCTCACCCAGTCGTTTGATCTCGCGTGCCGAGGTCCTATAAAAGCTGCCCACGTAGAAATAGGCACATAGGAGGAAGGCAACGACGACGAGGAAATACGGTACGACGATGGACACGAGGATGACAGCCCCGATCACGGAGCCGCTTAATTCGAGCGCCCCTTCTATAGAATCGTTGAGCTCATTGTCGATTGAGTCGATGTCCTTCGAGAACCTATGCAGGGCACGTGGAAGCGGAACACCATCAGCAACTCTGACGGACACCGCCGTCAAGCGAGGTTGGCGGAGTTCATGGGCGCACCTGTTCATGATGCGACCTAGTGGGGTCGTATCAAAAAATGCCATTGAAGCATGCATGATCGATGTAAGCGCCTGCTGGTGCAGAGACTTTGAGGCGTTGTAGCCGAGGATGACGCCCGCCAAAGTCATAGCGAAAGTCAAGACCGCCTGGGCGACACCGAGAAGGGCGTAAACACCCATGTATAAGCCGTTGGGAGAGTGAAAGTGACTGAAGCATAGGGGAGGGAGGACTGCTCAGTTCTCGATCAAATGAACAACAGCGCCTGGACACATCGCCGCGGAGGGTAAGCAACTCACTCTTCCTGCCACCACACGAGCCAATAGGAGCCGAGCACTTGCGCGCCTTGGGCGAGCGCCAGACTGAGGATGAGCAACGGCACCGTAACGTGGCCCTTGGCCGCACGCAGGAAGGCCATATAGACCCCGCCGTCGACTGCTCCCGTCGCACGCTCCTCCTCTTGCATCAGCCCTTTGCCCTTTTTCTTGCTCTTCTTCGGCGCGTCCACGAGCTCGTCCCCGGCGGCCTCGATCGCATCCTCTTCAACTTCCTCCTCCTCCTCGCGCTTCTCGGTCGCGTCGCCGCCAAACTCGGCGATCATCTTAGAAAAGGGCCCATCCTTGTCCGCGATCAGATCCGCGTACGTGCCCTCCTGCTGGATCCGGCCCTGGTCGATCGTGATGATCCAGTCAACGCGAGGCAAGAAGTGCACGGCGTGAGTCACGAGCACGCGCGTGCGGTCCTTCAGCGCACCGCAGATCGCATCGTCGAACAGAGCCTTGCCGACGTGAGCATCGACGGCCGAGAGCGGGTCGTCGAGCAGCACAATGTCCGCGTCATAGTAGAGCGCACGCGCAATGTTGACGCGCTGCTTCTGCCCACCCGAAAGCGTCACACCCTTCTCGCCGATCTCGGTCGCGTCACCAAAGGGCAGCATTTCGATATCGGCGTCGAGGCACGCGTTCGTGATCGCGCGTTCGTAACGGGCCTGGTCGTAGGGCTGACCGAAGAGCACGTTGTCGCGCAACGACACGCTCTGCATCCAGGCGACCTGCGGTGCGTACGCGAGCGAGCCGTTGAAGGTGACCGAGCCCCGAGTGCGCTTCATCTCGCCGACCAAGGCCTGCAATAGCGAACTCTTGCCGGCTCCGATGGGGCCGACGATTGCACAAAGCTGACCCTTTGCGATGCGCAAGTTGATGTTGCACAACTGCATCAGCTCCTCTTCCTCGGCCGGATGATCGTGTTGCGATGGGGATGGTGTATTGACGGGCGGGAAACCTTTTGCTTCCTTTGCCTTGCTCTCGACAATATTCTTCCTTTTAGACGTGGCCTTCTGATTTTTCGATTCGGCCGCGCTCTCGGCAGGAGGTAGTCCTTCCCATTGAAAGTCGGCGTCGTGGACTTGAATGGCGTACGCCGAAGAGCTATCATACTTGAAACTGTCCGCTCTTTTCTCAGCAAGAAGAACCTCGATGATCCTGCCCAATGCGTTGTGTGCATCCATCATGTGTGCCAGCCCGGTCGGCAGTAGGGTCAGCGGCAGATTGAGCAGATTGAACAACGTTAATGAGGTGAAGATGATGGCCGGGTTCTGAGAGTGGCCAGTGCCGCCATATACGAGAAAGGCGATGACGCTCGCCAACGTGGGCAGGCATGTGGCGAAAGCGGAACTGGCAGCTCGCATGGCGAGCAATCCTTTGAGGTGGGACATCTCTGCAGCGCGTATTCCACCGACCTTGGCGAGGTATGGTTGTTGCCAGCAGAAGAACTTGATGATACGCTGGCCTCCGATCAATTCTTGGATATACTTGGCTCGCTTGTCGGTCCAGACCATGATTCTCTCTCGCGCCGCGAGCATCTTCGTCATTGCCCAAGCTTGCAGAGGGATTGCCAGTGCAAGGAAGAGGAAGCCAGCGAGTGAACTGGGGCCGAGATTGACGAGCAGTATGATTACGATGACTGTCATTTGAACAGGCGCCGTCCAAGTCATATGGAAGAGGAAAGCCGCATTGTCGATCCTTGAAACGTCGGTCCCAATGTGGTTGACGAGGCGTCCGTTCGTCATGACCGTCCTTGCCTTGGCTGACAGCAACATGGACTGCCGATAAATCAAGGCGATGAGAGTACCGCGAGCGAGCACGCCGGTGTTACCGGCACGGGAAAGGTGTTGATTATTGCATGTCGAACGAATCAACTGCATTATGCAAATGGTGAAGGCGAGACCGAGGCCATAGCCGACGGGCTGGGCCTCATAGCCGGGGACGCCCTTGGCATGATTGTAGGCCTTGGTACTGAACTGGATGATGGCCTTGACGACGAGTGGCGAAGTCACTTGGGCGGTGTCAGCGACGACCTTGATCATACCGGCACTCCAGAACTGGTACTTGAACGTGTCGCTCAACGCCAGGGCCAGGCCCGGCTTCCGTCGTCCATCCGCTGCGCCGAGGCCGATCGAGGCTCGCATCTTCCACCACCCACGACGCAGGATCGACGGCTTGAAGGACCCGTCATCAAGCGATTGGTTCCACGCCTCGACCTCTTTGCGGCGGCGCTCAAAGTGCTCCATCAGCTGGTCCGCGAGGGGACCGCACTCCATCGACGGAGGCAGCTTCCACAGGTCCGTCGCGACGAGCGTGCGCTGGTAGCCGACAATGAGCAAAGGTTGGATCCACTGGAACGTCCATATCGAGAGCAACGACGGCTTGGGCCAGTCCGCGGCCTCGTCGAGCGAGGGGTATGGGTCGCGCGGCTGCACACGTCCGAGGAAGGGAATGCTAGATTTGGACAATGTGGGCAGGGGTCAGCACGAAAATTGGGAAACCGCAATCACGTCCTCGTGCTCGGGTCGCGAAGGCATCGGCTTTCTTCTGGTATGTCGAGTGAGTGCAAACTACTCACAATCTCGGCCTCGGGGATTTTACCTGCGGTTTTTCTTGTAGTACCGATGGGTCTTTAAGATCGTCGCCAGATACCGAATCGCCTAGCTCCGACCCCTTTTCGGAGTTGCCTGGGTATGACGGTGTCACCATTTGTCTCACAGTTTACCCCAATCTGTGGCAACAGGCGAAGCTTAATCGTCTCAGAAACGGCGAGACGGCGAGTAAGGGGTCCGATGCACGATGAAGCTTACTACGGATGCCGAGTGGTGCGAGTCGGACTGACAGCGCCTGCTTGATTGCTTGCCGACGTGATGGGGGCCGCCAATGGAGTCGAAGCCTACCGCCTGCTGTGAGCTACTTTCTGTGTGCAGCACCCTGTGATGGACCAGTTTCGAGTTTCCCTATATCTTTGTAGTGGCAAGAAAGCTAGTCAACTCGAGTTGAATGCCTCGGTAGTGTCGTGAAGTGCCGGGAGAGAAGCGTAGAGTGGCTCGGTGACTGGTGATCGTTCGAGTCATCCTCGTGCGACAGCTTGCGACAGCGTGCGGCGTTTCACTGGAGGGCCTGCCATAAAGAAAGGTGCCTCTGAGATAATTGGTACCTCCATGCCGCTAGTGGCTTATCTCGCGAATTGTGCATTCGAGCCGACGGCCGACCCAAAACGACTCGGATTGAATGACTCGACGAGCAGTCGACCGCGTGGTCGGTGAGACGCGCACGCGACTACAGAGTAGTAATCTGTAGTTATCGGGCCGAACACCGGCCACAATTTTGATCTTAGCACGCGCCGCCGCGAGCTACTGGCACTCCTGAGCGCCTGAATGCCTGAGGCCTGAGCTCCGCTGATATCCGGTCACCTCGAGAGTAGGCCCCGGGGCCGGGGGCGGACAGTGTGAGATTCTCAAAGTACTTTAATTCTCTCTTATTTCCTTCTAGCATCATGGCCCCTGTGTCTCTTCCCTTATTCTCCTTCTTGACCCGGCTTTGCCGTCTATCTTCCGCATTCTGGCCAGACTCGCGCACTTGCTCTCAGCTAGCTGGCCCCGCGCGACTCTCTCTCTCCTGCTCAAGCAACTTCTTGGTCTGGTCTCCCTTGGTCCGTCGATCAGAGACTTACCACTGCTTTAGCAGGTGAGTACTACACATCACTACCAACTCCAATACTACTAGTCGTGATAGCTTACCTGTAGTTGTTGAATAGGTGTGTAAAGAAACTTCTTGGTCTGGTCTCCCTTGGTCCGTCGATCAGATACTTACCACTGCTTTAGCAGGTGTGTAAAGCAACTTCTTGGTCTGGTCTCCCTTGGTCCGTCGATCAGAGACTTACCACTGCTTGAGCAGGTCTGTGCGTTGCTTCTACCTCTCATAGACAGGGTACTACAGGTGGTGTAGGGCCTTTATGGGCGTCTCTGCCGGCTCTATCATGCTCTACCAGCTTCAAAAAGTATGCATACGGCAAGGGAAGACGATACATGCAGATTAGCGGAAGCTGTAGCAATTTCATTTTTTTCAGGGCGTACCGCACATTTGTTGGCGGAGAGTACGCCTCAAACGGCCTTCGCTCCGCCTAATGGGGCGTACTTGGTCCGTGGCCGGTACGCCTGGGGCCTACGTGAATTGGCACACGTACGCCCCAAAACTTTAGATCGCATTTGTGGCTGCTACAGCGCATTGCATACACTCTGACAGTCACCAGTTCGGTCTAATGATACGGCTGCACAACCCTCTAGCAGATGAAGCCGATACAAGTCGATGGTCATAGAGTCCGGAAGCTGTGACCACGGCGCAACGAGTGAGGCCGGCCTGTACGAGCGTTGATATGTGTATGTGCTAGTTTAAAACAAGGCGGTAAGATGATACCTAGTTCCAGCATTGAGTACGGTCAACCCTGCAAAGTCCTACTTAGCCGTGACAGATTGAAGTCAACCGTCGCGACTTGACTAAGAGAGTACTAATTTGTCCGACAAATCACGTCTCACTTTCAAATTAGGTCTCACTTTGGCGTCAGTGCTAAACGCGGCCATCTGCGGGCCCGCGACGGAAGGTGCTTCCTTTGAGTTGACCACACTTGAGTCGACCACATAGGCCACCAACGAGGGCCCGTGGAAGACGAAACAAATGGACGCCAAAGGCTCATGCCCCACCTCCGATATCTGAGCGAGAAGCAAGACTTCAATCGCGTCGGACGCGTCTCCAAGTCCTCGACCTACTACCCGGTGCCGCTGCGTCGCCACCGGCGTTCTCAGCTACTTTCCCCCTGGAGCCAACACACGTACATGAATCGAGCTCAAAACCTCATTGGAAATCGAGCCTCGAAGACGTGTTTGAGGATGTTGAGCCCGCGGGGTCATCCCAGCGAGGCTTCTCCGACGACGTTGACGCGACCCATTCTCATTCACCCGTCAGACTGCGAAGGGTGCGTACTGCGTCAGTCACCGTCGTTACTTCCACCCCTAATTTTATGTACTGCTTCTAGTCTATCAATGAAGTGGACCTGTCTCCTGGATCGGAGAAAAAGCTTTACGAGCCACAGATTCGCCAACGAGTAGACTACAGCTCGGTGAGCAAACGGACATTCCCATGGTCGAGGCTGCCCGTTCATTGTCCATCGTCAGGGGCCATTTCTGAACTGACGTGATGGCTCATTCCACCCATGGCCCGTTCCACCCAAATCGACCATTTGGGCGCTCTAGTTACAATCGAGGAGGTCAATGACGTCGCTCCAAGGAATGAATTGCGCCGGCTCATCAAAGCAAACTTGCTCGCTGAAAGGCACGCTGTCTCGGACAGCGGAGCCTCACTGGTGACCGAAGATGACAGGTGCAAGTTATATGGATTACAACTAGCTTCTGGTGTCAGCTCGATGAAGATACGATAGTGCTGAGATAGGGAACACCAGTACTCACCTAGCTTCTGGTGTCAGCTCGATGAAGAGAGAGCTGAAGAAGCTAGGCGCGCGCAAGCTCTATTTCTAATGCCTGTGGCCCGTCGTAAGGCCTTGCCTTACACTCTCCCCTCCTTGACACAAAGCTCCCCTCTGAAAAAACACTCTCATTCCTCGTTCCGATGTTCCCAACGGTCCAATGCCTCCGTGTCCTCCAGTGCCTCGGCAGGCTCCCATGAATCGCTATCCGACGGCCATGAAACCCAAGAGACCAAATATTGAGTCTTCCCCGCTCGGACCCTTTCATCGACGATGTCCTCGATGACCCACTCGGGTTCTCCACCTACGTCCACCGGTCCCGGGCGCGCGGGTTCTCGGCTTGGGAACAATTCCGAATCATTTGAGCGGTAGGCCTTGAGCTTGCCCGTGTGGAAGAACGGTACCGCGGAATCGTCCTTGTTGAGTTGCAAGGTGTACGTGGAGATCCCTGGCTGCGCCGCAACAATGCGATAAAGGCCGTCGAAACGGTCCATGAGCTTGGCTGCGCGGCGCTTGCGGGTGTGAAGTCGCTTCCTGCGGTCACTTGAGTCGAGCAGCACAAGGTCCCCGACGGCCCATGAAGGTTCATCCGCGCGGTCCTTGTTGGCTTGGGCGGCTTGACGAACTTTGGACACAGCGAGTTGGTCTCGTGCCTCCTCGCATGACTGGAAGCGAAGTGCGAGCAGCTCCTCAACCGATGGGAGCTCCTCGTCGCCCTCAATAGGGGCAAGCGGGGCGAGGGTGGGTGTGTACCCCAGGACAAGCTCAAACGGGGTCTTCCCCGTCGAAACGTTGACCGATGAGTTGACGGCATACTCACAAGCGGTGAGACATTCAACCCAATTGGATTGTTCCCTGTTGACAAGCGAGCGTAGGATCTGGAATGCGGTCTTGTTCGTCTTCTCGCTGCGCCCGTCAGTCTCGGGGTGGAACGCCGAGGAAAGTTGCAGCTTGATGTTCAGACGCTTGTGCAGGGCGGACCAGAACTTGCTCGTGAACAACTTGTCACGATCCGAGACAATGCGTTGAGGCAGGCCAAAAAAACGATGCCACCCTCATGAAAGCGGTTGGCAACATCCGCCGCTGTGTCGGCTTCGCGCGCAGGGATGAGGCGGACATATCCCGACAGTCGATCGGTGATCGTCAAGACACGGTCGAACCCCTTGTTTGTTGGCAACGGTCCGACAAAGTCAACGGCGATGTCCGTCATGGGGCGCACTGGAACGGGAAGGGAGTGAAGCTTGCCCGCGACGCGAGTGGTACGGGCCTTGGTTCGTTGACATGAGTCACATTGTTGCACGTATTGCTTGACGTGGCGGGACATGCTCGGCCAAAAGTACGTCTGTATAACAGTCTGGTACGTTTTTACATCACCTAGGTGCCCCAGCGCGTCATGAGCATCGTGAAGGATGGACTCACGGAGCGGGGCTAGTAGTGGAATGACAAGCCGGCCCCGTAAATACAGCAATGCGTCAATAATCTTGAACTCCGATGCGACCGACGCGATGTTGTTCAGGGCTTGCTGGCAGAATGCGTCGGTTTTGTACGCGTCGACAATTTGCTGCTTGACGACATCCGAGAGCGAGACTTGCGAAATGTTGGCCACAATGACGGGAAGTGGCTCGGGAAAGGAGTACCTGCTCATCGCGTCGGCTACAATGTTCTCCCTGCCCGGGAGATACTGGAGGTCGTAATCGAATTCGGCCAAGGTGTCAAGCCAGCGCGCCTGGCGTCGCGAGATGACCGTGCGCTGCGTCTGAAAGTGCTCAAGTGTGGAATGGTCGGTAAGGATGTGAAAATGGCCGCCCAGGAGATCAATGCGCCATTCCTTGAGAGCCTCGACAATAGCTAAGAGTTCCTGCTCGTGCGTAGGGTAGTTGCGTTCAGCTGGGATGTATTGACGCGACCAGTAGGCAATGGGGTGTGCGGTCTTCCAATGCGAGCCCTGCAGGAGCACACCTCCGATACCTTGAAGACTGGCGTCGGTCATCACCCAGAATGGCATGGCATCGGCAGAGTGGTTGGGCGGGCGTAGGCAGTCAAGGGAGACGACAATGGACTTGATGGCTTCGAAGTGACGGACCGTTGGAGTTGTCCAGAGGTTGTCGATGGATGTCAGCCCTTTGATTGTCAACGGGGTCAGCGCAGCGGTATGCTCGGCAAGGCCCGGAATGAACCTGCGGAGGTACTGCACCAAACCGAGAAACCCCTTCAGTTCCGTGACGGTCGCTGGGAGATGCCAGTCGTGGATGCGCTTGGTCTTCTTGGGGTCGGCGTGTACGCCGGAGCGGTTGATGATGTGGCCAAGAAACTCACACTCCGAGGTGGCGAGGTTGGTCTTTGATGGCGAGCAGTAGAGTTCGGCTCGGCGCAGGGCGTCCAGAACTTGGCAAACACGGGCCTCGTGCTCCTCCAGCGTATCGGCGAAGATGGTGATGTCGTCAAGGTAGACGAAGCAGATGGTGCCGAGTAATCCGTGCAGGGCGTCGTTGACGCGGCGCTGGTGGGTGGCGGGCGCGTTGCAGAGTCCCATGGGCATGACCGTCCATTCGTACAAGCCCCAGGGTGTCGAAACCGCGGTCTTTGCTATATCCTCTTCCGCCATCTTGGTCTGAAAGAAGGAGTTGGTCATGTCAATCTTGGTCCAGAACTGCGCTTTGGAGCACGTCGACAGGATGTCATCGGCCAGGGGCAAGGGTGTGCGGTCCTTGATGGTGTGCCGATTGAGGTGGCGGTAGTCGTTCACCCATCGCGGTGCAATGGTCGGGTCCAAATCCGAGCCCTTCTTGGGGATGATGAACGCCGGCGACGCGTACGGCGAACGTGAGGGGCGAAGACGGCCACTTGCGAGGTGCTTTTGAAGCAGCAGGTACCATGCCTGGCGATGGCGTTTGGCGACCGGATAGCCGCGCAGGTTGATCACAGTGCGCGGGTTGTCAAGCTCGATACGGTGTCGCACCGAGGATTGATAGGTGGCAACCGGTGGAATGTCGTCAGGGAAGCGATCAGCGTAAACCGCGCGCAGGCGCTGGTCGAGCGCGGCAAGGCGGAGCTGTTCGCACCTATGCGGGTCTAAATAAGCCTAACAAATATACTACCCCGCGCGCGGCGAGTTTAGGGAGCTTTTTCGAGATTTGGCCCAGGAAAACGTTGGTACAGGGTAGGTGCACCATTCCCCTGCCAACCCCCAGCCCCCGGAGGCAAAACTGGTCACTAATTCGGGCACTTGCTACTTATCCCCGCTAATGGTCCATCTGCCTCAGCACCACGAGTTCCCCCCGCTTCCCTCCACCCAAGGCCTTGCAAGCTTGCACCCATCGCTTCAAGCATGGACATCTTACCACACACACCACCACCTCTACAACCTAGCTCAGCATCAAAACGCACTGACAAGACCAAGCGCAAGAAGAGCACGACCGTGAGGAGGAGGAGGAAGAAGGTGACCTGCAGCAACAAGGACACGATCGAGAATGGGGCCACGACGTCGGTGGGAACGGAGGAGGAGGCGAAGACGAAGAAGAAGAAGAGGAGGAGATTATGGACCAAGCGAGTACGGAAAAGGGAGCCATCGTTGTCCCCCGATAGCGAGCTGTTCGACAAGACGTTCGGCTTCAATTTCGGTATTTTCCGCTCTCCAACGAAGAGGCGTCCGAAACGGCAGCCGAGCCCTCCCCCATCACCATCGGTCCAGAGGTCAACGCGTCGTCGGAAGGAGAAGGAGCATTCGAAGAAATCCATTGCCGGCCTCCACAAATCATCGTCCGAGCCTTGGACTGACATTGCCGATGGCGCAACGGCGTGGCCTCTAGACACCGAGACCGGCGGTTTCGAGCACGACTTCGAGCCTAACAGCGCGCCCGGCTTTGAGCCCGACTTTGAGCCCGACTACGACTTCGGTCGCGATTTCGGTGGTGGATACTCATCTGGACCGGAGCATTCGCCATTCCACCCAGACGGTGCTTCTCAAGACCAAGCGCCCTCTTCACTTAAGCGATCGCGGATCGAGAGGAACGCCAAGAAGCAGCGCAATCGTCGCCGGACTGCGAGGGCCGAAGCTAAGACTAGGGCGTCAAAACGACCTGAACTTTTCCAGGCGTACCTATTGATGAAGAAAAAGGCCAAAGAAGTGCTTCGACAGAGCGGGTTTGTCCCTTCCCCGGACGACGAGGAGTGGTGCGACGCATGTCATGAACGCCGAGTCACCAGAAAGGTCCGGGTTGTCGACCTGTTCTTTGCAGGTAGGTGCTTCTGTTGCACATCTTTTGTCAACCACCCCTACGCTATCGTCTTGGACTGATTTGATATCCCCCAACCATGAGCAGGCATGCGAGAACTACGATACTGCCCATGCTATTCCGAGATCCAAACCCTGGCAGCTCACGGTTTTCTCCCGACGTCGTCATCTTCAAACCGAAAAAGAGAAGGCATCACCGCATTCACCTTTCGCACGATCGAATATCTCGACACCTACTGGGGGGTAGATCCTTTTGGTACCTATGGCATGTCCGAAGCGCTCATTCTCTTTTGGTCCTCTGAATTATCCTCGGAGGATCCTTTTAACAAGGTGGGCTCTGGACAGGGACAGGCCGGAAACATTCATTGTTTCTTACAGAATATATTGGAAGCTTCCCAGGGTCCAACCGTGCGTCAGCATCTTCAAGCCGCAATGGATGAATATCGATTTATGCAACAGCTGCAGGCAACTTTGACCGCCGAAATTCTCGGCCTCTCCCCGCGCGAGCGTCTGGCCGACGTTTGTCCGGCATGTTTTGGGCCTCGGATCGATGAAGCCGGCAAGAGCGAGAATGACCTCGATGTCATCATTGCTGTCGACGGCAATTTTCAGCATCGACGATTCGCGCGGGCAAATGCTGATCCTCTCAAGTCACGTCCAGCGTTATTCCTGCCACCAGACAAGATTCGAAACGAGCAAGCTTTGATCGATGGATCGACTGAAGCGGGCGAGAAGGTACCTTGGTGCTGCTGGTGTCGGGTCACCCGAACCCAATAATGAGTTGACCCGACTGTCTGTGATTGCTAAACGAGCTATTCTCCTATACAGGATGAATGCACAGCCAACTGGAAGGCCGCAGATGGTGGTGTGACCTCCGCTTCGTCAAATGTAGTGGCCGACACAGGCCTCGTTGCTGCAGTGTGCCGTCATGATCATTGCCTGCGACTTTGCAACCTTCATCAATCAGGTGAAAAGTATGTGTGGACTGGCCATCTGTGACTCCAGGCAAGGACACTAATAAGCTAGTTTGGTCTACCGCAGGTTAGTATATCCGGTGTCGCTGTTGAAATGGATTCTCGAAGAAGTTGAGGTCGGAGAAACGGATTGTACTACGGGGCCTGCGCGTACCAGTGACGCTACAAACGTCGGATCCAGCTCGGGATCGGACTCCCACCAAAGTTCGAGTCAGGATCGAAGTCGCGTCGGAGTCGCGTATGATATCGCCTGCAACTTATCGTCGCACTTACGCCGAGTGAGTTTGTTCGTGACATTCAGCCTGAGCATTGGCTTAGTCCGTAGCTGAGCAGCTCATCTCTCCCCGGTGTCGCAGCGCAATCTTCTGGCAGATCACTTACCGCGTCTAGAATTTGCTCTCTCGTCGATGCATGCCTATGCGCACAAGTGGTCCTGCCAGGTTGACTTTGATCCGCGCTTTCTACCCAATTTTGGTTTGACTGATGGCGAGGGAACTGAGCGCTTGTGGTCGCAGCTTCGAGGCATGATACCCATGAATCGATCATCGAGTGCCTCCCATCGGCTGGAGAACATCAATCGTCGAGCGTCTGCTTATAACAAGCAGCATCTGGCCGATCTTGGTTCGCCTAAGCTTCCAGTCTTTCATGCACTACCTTACCATGTCGCTGATATTTGGCGTATCGATCATGCCCAGTGACCAAACTTAATTCTCGACTCAAAAACGCAATCAAGCTCAAGGCCGAAGCCGACAGAGTCATTACTGAGGTCGTTAATCGCTCCGAATGGACGGTCGCTACCCTCCTTGAACAATGGCACGCGCAACGTGCAGCGTCCAAGCAGATCCCTCTGAAAGAACAGCGCAAAGAGGTAGCCGAGATGCGCAACGTCATGTTCAAGCTTGAGCTGGTTAACAGAGATATCGCAGCATGCCGGTGGGTCTGAGCTATCGTCGTCGTTTGGGAGTGAGACACGAACCGGTGACCTAACTTCGGTATTCCTTTTTCGATTGCTACAGAGAAGAACTAGCCTGCGTGAACACCATAAATACGAACAAGCTTATAGAACAGTCGACTAAACTTCAACAGCTGGTCAAACAACGGCAGGTTCTTGATGATCGACTAAACTCCTTACGCACATCGGAAATGAACATCAGTGTCCTGGACCCTGGTACGTCACTCCCTTCTTGCATTCTGACCCTCCGGTGTGATCCCCTTTGTCCTCGCTTAAATATGTCAACACCTTTGATTGGCACAGACTATGAATTTGCCTGCACATTGATGGTCGCATCTCGCTCACTGTGGGACTTGGTCGTACAATATCGACAGGGAGCTGAGAGGCTGCGGCTCCCACGCCTAGGCGGTAAAGCCCTCGGTAGGAAATTCATGGTACGAGTCTTCTGCGCCGGCAGAAGGAACGCTGATGTGTAGCAATGCCTGCTCATAGGTACGAAAGCGGCTGGTCTCTTGGTCAAGAATCTTAATTCTTTGCGTCCAAGGCTCATGAAGGCAGTGGCGATGTATAACGACGAGGTGAAAAAGTATGCTGCCATCCTCGCCAATTCTCAGAATTCCCATTCGATCTTGAGAACCCGAAGGGTACCGCCATCAGCCCCAGAGGATCTCAACGAACTGCTCAAACTCGACATCTTGACGCCGCTCTGGAACAACGGATTATATAGTCATCCCACTGAGCCGTGGGCCTACGATGATGATGTTCGTGTCGGCATTCCAGCAGTATTGTCTCGCGCAAGATGCCAGCAAGAAATCAAGCGACTTGGATGGGAAGTACGTCGCATTGGACGGTGGCTGATAAGCCGTCGCAAGAGGTTTCAGCAAGTTCGCCAGCAATTACTACAACTAGATGAGCAGGATGACTCTGCGATGATGCTGCTCGAGCGAGAAGAAGAGCGTCTTAGAACTATTGCGCGACGATGGTTCTCGAAAGGCGGCCTAGATCACCTGTGGGAATGCACCCGGCAAAGCGGCGAACCGCAAACGGAGGAGTGGGTCGAGCTCCGAATGTGGTGCACCGACGACGTTGAGGTTTTTCAACGAACCACAGCGGGTGGCTTGCCGGATCACACATGGCCAGACTGCATCATTGATGGGATGGTCGGAGAGTCGGACGACATCACCACGGATCATGACGCCCTTCTTGACATCAGTGATCATTCGAGCGATGATCTGAGTCATCATTCCGTCGACACTACCGATTACGGCGCCTTCAGTGACGAGATCAACGAGAACTTTGATGAAGACGATGGCGATGTTTTTGGGGAATTTGATATTGATCATATATAGTTGCAGTCTTTTGCCCAGTTGCTACTTGCAATAGTAAAGAGATCAATGATGCGTTCATTTTGCTAGTAGTTCTACACGTTATACGACGCTTTGCTAGGAAGTACAACAAGAGCGATCAGACATCCAAGACCCGGCATCGCTAAATCGCTCGATCTTGCGGTGGCTCGCTTGAAAAGTTTAATGTCGCTCGAGTAAAGCTGGCAACCGGAAGCCCAACACGACCGGTAAGGTTTAGAGGAAGAGCGCGCTACGCTGAGGGAGTGAACACAAGCGTCCATTGCATCTTTGCTGCGCTGACTGGGCTGAGATCTCCTACAGGTAGAACTTACCGCTCTCCCTGCCAGTCAGTCACATGCGTAGTCCGTGTCGTGCCTTGGGTGACACTTCCCGAACAGTCAGCAGGGATTGCAAAAGTACGTATCATATTCCAACACTGCCGACTACATTTTGATGTATACTTGAACGAAGTCCGGATCCGGCTCACAGTTCCAACGTCGTACAAAGGTCTTCTGTAGTGTTGTCACGGCCACTCCGAACCTCACACTCGACCAGGTCCATTGAGTATTTGCCTCGGAACTTGGTTGATGACTTTTCAGACGCAAGATACAGAAGTTGATCACCCCTAACAGTCTTTTTCTGTATGATATAATGAATTGTACATTGG